TGGGAGTGTTTAGAGATATCACTTACTTATTTTGACTCATCTTTTGAAGAGGTCTGATGTCATGCATCAAAAGTGTTTGACACATAAATATACATTTATATAATAATTATTAAACTGAATAAATATATAAGTAAGAAAAGTGACAGAGATATATATAATTGAACAACTAAATGAGCAAGGATAAAAATATGCAGCAAATGACAAGTACATAATAATCTACTACAGTCCAGATTAGACTGACAATGCATGTTTGGAAGCAATGGATGAAGAAGATGAATGACAAGAATAAATGATAGCAGGTAACAATTGAGTAGAATGAATCGAGGCTGAGAAAGATTGAGTAGGAGAAAGAGATAAATAAATGGAAGGCAACAAATGAGTAGAAGATAAAGAAGCTTATTTGAACTGAAGTGATAAAAGTGATAAATAGTCTATATGAGCAGCAGAAGTTCTATTTGCATCTCTAGAATAGAGCTGCAAGGAAAAAAATGTGAATTATAAGAAACTAACACCTATAATCAAGACTATAACTCTGACAAAGCAGGAGGCAGCTATTACTGTAGCCTTAAAAGGTCTTTGAGCTTTCAAAGAAGTGAAAACTGCTGATAAAAACTCTATTATAAGTGAAGGCAGTGAAGTGATAAGTTTGGCAGGAGACATGAGGCTGTTTCAGATACCTATAAGTACAAGAATAAGAGTCATCAATAGATCAAGACAAAGAGACACTTATCCAATATCAAGGTAGTCCTGAAACTAATACACTTCTCACTAAAGGTATGTAGTTTCAAGGATCAAATGTCATTATCTAACAGTGTTACATTGAAAGTGAATATTTGATTTGACTTCAGCCTTAGCAATCTCCATAATTGCTTAGATAAGATTATATTCACTTTATATATATCAAATATATCTGGTACATAGATAAATTCTTTGCATTCTAAGTATACATGTCCTAAGAAAAGAGTGGTATAATTAAAATGACAAATAAGAGTATAAATGAGTGACAAGACAAGTGAGTGCATGGATTCTACAATGTTAAAAGAAGAAGGCATTATTGAGACTCAAACTGTCCCTGTTATATCACTACTAAATTAATCTTTATAGTGCCATTTGAACTTTAGCCTAAGAGACACAATAATAACTATCACTATGACTCTAAAGATATATATAATTGACACTATAATGCCCTTATCAAAGAAAGTGGTCTGCAGATCCTTCATTGAGACATCCTAATAATGGAAGCAAGAATGAGTACAAAAAGAAAGAGATTGATATCCTTACATATACTAAATTCTTTTTGCAGCAAAATTGAAGATTTTCTCACATTCTTTTTTTTTATTAATCTCTTGGAGGACAAAGGACAGTATAAGTGTTAGGCAAGTACACAAACTGTTCAAGGATCTAAAATAGTTTAGTACATCAGACTGATCAAAGATAAATCAAAAGACTCACTAAATAGTAACTGCATATGTCAGTATTTATCCTTTAAGACCAACTCTGTGCAGCTTCTAAGAGACAGGTACAAGGTTTAAAAGTGCCATATTGAGACTTAATATTGATCAAGACTACTTAGTTATCAGCAATCTCCTTAACTGTATATCTAGATAAGATAAAAGGCTCAAACAAGATAGTGCAAGCACATATGAGTCTACTAACTGATCTAAACACTGACAACTTCTAAATGCATTGAAGAACATATGATATATGACCAAGATTGATTATATGATCTCAAAACACTTGGTCAGTAAGTGCCGAGTTCAGTTTACACTGGATCAATAAGTGCCAAGCACAGTTAATAAGCATAGAACTTTATAGGAACTTCTAGAAAAGGCCTAGAAGCAAATAGGTTGTTCTAGGACACAGAATCAAATTTTAGCAAGAGTTCTAGTACCAAATTCATATTTTAACAGGTAAGCTTCTATGTTTCATCTTCAGTTTATTTATTTTATTTCAGTCTTAATATATTTCACAATGCTCTCAGTTTGTTTCAAGTAGTGTACAGCCTTCTTGTGCAATAACCAATTAACTATAGTCCATTTATTCTCTATCTTACTTATATAAATTCTTAAGCAACTTAGCTTACAATTCACTAAACTTTGATCTTACATATCCCTTGTGGTATAAACTAGTTAGGTTAACTTGCTAGTTAGACTACAAGGTAAATCCAACCTCCACCCTAAATGAATGATAGGGAAGTCCTGATATAACATCTTATCTGGAACCTTCTCTGCAGAAAATCCATTTTCTAACTGACACTGGTTTATATACTAGGTTAGAGGCAGACTCATTAATTGATCTGAGTTCTAATGCCAGTTATTGATTCAGTATCAACCTCTCCTTCAGCAGTTGTTTTCTCTCTTTAAGCAGATATTTGCTTAGTCAGAAAGTTGCTGATGACTACTTCAAGCAATTGTCATGCTTGCAGAGAGAAAACATATAAGCTATAGTTGATTTGAAAAGGAGGAAGACACAGAAAATATATAGATTGCTTGTTAGCTGATAATGTTGATTGCTAATATTCTATTATAGTTAGATCCAAGTTGCCTAGTGTAGATCACTTACCTCAATAGTGAGTCATATATTAAGATGCAACTTGTAATATGTTCCTGGTTGCAACTATGCTATAAAGTCTGAGTGCAAGAGTAAATGTGTATATTCTCACAGAGCTGAATCCTATATCTGAACAGATTGAACTATCCTCTGAATACCAGATTTGGGTCAATATGAGTATAAATTTGTCAACTGAGGTAGTGCTTATATGCTATATTCTGTATTGTAGATGCTTCCAAATAGAACTATGCCCTATATAGCTTGAGAGCCATGTTATCCACTACCACTTTTTCTTCAGAAGCTCTTGACTTGGAGATCATATTGCGATATTGATACCAGTACAGATCTCTACTGTCAAATTATCATTAGATCTTCACAATTTCTTTATGTGAAATAATGTGTTGAGCTTGCTGAGATAGAGAGAGGCAGGATTCAACAGATTTAGTTATGTATAGAGCCAGATGTGATTCTGCTCATAGATTCAGACAAGTCTAAGCATTGAATATTTCTAAAATGTTTATAGGCTGCTATAAAGATCTATATCCACTAGAGAAAGCTGAAGAAACTTATAGGTGATTTTGGACAGGTATTCTCTGGCTATATATACATTCACTAAAAGTAGCAATAGTAAAAAATCTAGAATGTATATTGTTTTCTATCTAACATGACAGTGTTACTTACTGTACTTATTTATAGATAACATGTAACTTATAGATGTAATTCACAGAAGCTGACAGTAGTATTACATTATTTTATAATACTCATTATTCTACCAGATGCCCCTGGATGTTGTTCTAGATAAACTAAGACTGTCACATGTTAGGAGGACCTCTAAATATCCTCAGACAGCTTATAGCCAGTATGCAGATAGAGCTGGTCAAAAGTTGACCACTAAGTTCAATAATAATACTAACAGAAAGGCCAAAAATATTATATTCTTGATATTAGAAATTTGTACACTACTTCTGAGAGCCATCTCAGAAGCCTCAGAAGGAGTCTCAGAGACTTCAGCATCTCAGTTCTTAGCAAAAATTGATTTCAGCATGATGCACTCTCAGAAGGAATGTTATTTATTATACTGACCATCTAGCTTAAAATATAATACAAAGACTTTCTGTCTATATATTCACATACTTGAAAAGTATTTTTTAAGATACTTAATGTGAGTTTCTGAGACAGTATGGAGCTTCTCTGAATTTTTAAAAAGTGTCTTTTTTGGACATAATGCTCAGAGTGCCAGAATATGCATGAATTTCTGATGAAAGAAGCCAGAAGTGCACAAGCAGCTCTATATCTGATTCATCATGCAGACAATTCCATGATGATAGCTACTAAGCAATATCTTCACACTCCAACTTCTGGTGTATTCAAAATGTAGTCTCCCTTCTATGATATATAAATTGTGATACCACTTTATAAATGCCTTCAGTCAATCTTCAGTACATCACAAAGTCAGTATGTCTAGTTGCCAGCAATATTATACCTGGTAATGCGAACAGAAATTCCTAGGTTCATATCAGCCAGACCTGTATATGCAGATAGTTTGACCCCCAAATAGCATCTTCTATCCCAATGCAAACTTCAAGGCACCAAAATGGCCAAAAATTATGCAGATGGAAGAGTGAAAAAATAGGTGTTTTTGGATATAGACTCTGAGTATATATTCAGGAGTTCTGTATTAGGTCCAAATTTTGTTCAGATCAAATATAGACAAAATGCCAGATTTCAGCCATCTGCCAGCCAGCAATGAGAAGTGGATGAAGGGCCCCATTTCACCTGACCAATGTCTTTTTCTCATCAGAAGTCCAGCATGAGTCAGTTTCTAATTTAGCTACACATCTGCCAGGTAAAGTATATGTATGCACAGTGACATATTATATTCATAGCTATATGTTGCAGCATCTATTGTACAAATACTAAGTATTACATATCCTCTACTTGCTTCCCATTGATAGCGAGACCACATATAGAATGATCTATGAGTGCAGGGATTTGCTCAGATATAGATGACACTCACTGCAAATGTCACCACCTATGACTAGAAAAGATATCTTGACTGACCTACAGTCCCAGTAGATTTCATATCTAGACAATACAGTGTTAGCGCAGAGCAATGACACAAAAGGATGAAGTGCTCACACTACCACTCAGGCTTGAAACACAATGTAACTCTTCAATTACCCCTGGTCATTGGAGGTCAGAAATTGACTTATGGATGCACAACGTGAGATAAGATATTCACCTAAACATGGGGAGGACTTATTCGTACAGCGTGCAACGACTAAGGGTGGTGGAGACTTGAAAGGTTTGGGATGTTGTCGCAGGCGCTCACGTGCTTTGAATCATTTGAGGCTCCGAGGTTCTCAGGGTCCGTGAGGTAGAGGCACAGGCGTGTCCAGGTCTGCCCGCAAGGGCTATCGTATATCAAAAGCGTCGAAAAGAGGTCAATCGAGGCGTATTGCATGATGCATTTTGGCGCTTGATAGTTGTTGCTCCGAACGATCTTGATCAATGCCAATGGCTGCCCGACCACCACCAGCACGACCGCATATCGGCATCAACCCTGCAAACCGTTTCTCTTCGTATTCTGTCGCTGAGTGGGTAGATGACGATGCCTGGGATAGTGGTTCCGACTCAGAATCTCCAACCAAGACAGCATGGAAGCGACAGGCATCTACTTCCACAGCTCCGAAAGCTGTGCCCAGAACGGCGCAAAATAACTCTTCATCCTCGACCCTTGCGTCGTCTTATACCCATCTTCACGCACCAAGCCCTAGCTCATATCCCCCAAAATTCGAAGTGCAACCCCCTCGAAACGGCTGGACTATTGTGAACAAACAAGGCGGCAACCGTCGAAATTCCGAAGTCCATCACGACACAGAGAGTATTCAAGAAGAAGCTGCTGATGTCGAGCTGGAAGGCGACATGGTAGTTGGTGAACTGGATCCTGAAGATCCAGAGGATGTTGCAGCGCCCCTTACCGTTAGTGGTAAACCAAAGCCCGACAAGAGCGCCATACGAGAGGATGTGGATGAGATTGTGAATGGTACTTTCTACCAGCATGACACTCTATTTACGCTATGCCTCAATTATAACCTTTAGATCCTTTGCACCTCGCGCGGCGGTCCCCGAAACGACGACGAAGTAGTCGAAGCCAGTATGATTCTTCTGTACATGAAGGCTCTGAGAAGCTTATACGAGAACGCTCAATCAAATCGAATCGACGCGACAAGTTCATCCAGTGTATAATTCATGACGATGTTGACATGGGTATGTGCGCTGTTTCACTATTTCCAGATCCAACTCGATGACAATACCTTCAAGCCCAACTTCGGAAGCTCGCTTGGAATGGCGTACCGAGCGATCTACGAGCAGTTGCTTGGCCGTTACTTCTTGTACGTCTTTTAGAAGATGTAGGTGACAACATCTATGTAACCTGCTTTTGCAGGGTTACCTGCCCCTGCCCGCGTCTTCTCGTGCACCTACGCTGGTCAGAAAACGCCAAGAATACCTTTCGCTAGTTGAGCTCGCGTTTGCACGAAATCGCGAAGGGCTAGATCAGCAAATATGGCACCAAATCGAGATCGACGTTCCAAGAACAAGACCCGGTGTCAAGCTGTGGATGCATGGATCTACTCAGAGGGTAAGCGCCACTTCGCCAGAACCGTCAGCATCCGAAGTAACATTTCATAGAGCCTAGAACGTATTTTATATGTGTGGGCGATACGCCATCCTGCTAGTGGGTATGTCCAAGGCATCAATGATCTGGTCACTCCATTCTTCCAAGTTTTCTTATCCGCCTACATTGGTATGTCATCTGTGCAATCGATGGAAATGGCCTCTTACGTGTGATCCCCGCAGATTCCGACCCTGAGGAGTTCGATCCGTCGTTGTTACCGGAGAATGTCCTAAACGCCATTGAAGCGGACTCATTCTGGTGTCTCTCGAGACTATTGGACGGTATCCAGGACAATTACATCGCTACCCAACCTGGTATTCATAGAAGTGTGAAACGAATGGCGGAGTTGGTTGCTCGAATTGATCGTGAGGATTCTTTTAGTCTTCTATCCAGCTCCCCGGTTCCTACTTAACTCTCGGGATAGCTCCGCTCTCAGCGCATTTAGAGTCCGAGAACGTCGAGTTCATGCAGTTCGCTTTCCGATGGATGAACTGTCTTCTCATGCGTGAGATCAGTGTCGAGAACACCATTCGCATGTGGGACACGTATCTTGTGAGTCTTCTTGACCTTCTATATCGTAGTTTATTTCCAACCCTGAATGCGTTATAGGCGGAAGGTCCCGATGCATTCTCACAGTTTCATCTTTACGTCTGCTCAGCATTTCTTGTGAAATGGAGCAAAAAGCTTCGAGAAATGGATTTCCAGGTAGGTTCTTCTTTTCATCTATTCTTCAGTGCTCATTGACACATCATATTCTCGGCAGGGCATCATCATGTTCTTACAGTCGCTACCAACCCAAGGTTGGGGAGACCATGAGATTGAGCTTTTACTGAGCGAAGCCTTCGTTCATTATTCCACTTGGCATAACGCACAAAGCCATTTCGGCAAGTAGAATCACGCATTTTTAGACCAGGTCTTTGGAGTATATCATTTCCGTATGACGGACATGTGTAGTAATATCGATGGAAAAGGGTTTATCTATCGTCATCACTCATGATGCAACGAAGATATTGAAGGCTAGCTGTATGCATTCATCGTAAGTATGCGGGAATAACAAGGGAATAATGCAACATGTAAGTCAAAGACGCGTAGATTTATTCGGTCTTTTCAGCCTTGCCCTGCACGAATTCGATCTCTCGGTCTAGAGCACCCTTCAGAGCGTTTGCCTGCTCTTCAGTTTTCATACGCAGCTTGAATGGGGTAGCTGCACCTGGGGACTCCGCCGTCTCGCTATAGTCATGCCCAACGAACGAGACAACTTTCTTGTCGATTGTAGGATTCATTCCGGTGTAGATCTTGAAGTTCTGCGTGAAGTCTTATTAGACCTTCGACGCCGACCCATGGGTAACAATTGATACGTACAATGACAATTTTACCGGTACTGCTATTCCGAAGCAGTAAACGGCGAGCGCCACTCTCTTTGTGTTTCTTCAGTCGAAGCACACCTGCAACCATGCATGAGACTCGTGGCCAACGTGAATGCGGAAATAAAGACCAACCAATGCCCATATCACCCCATTCCTGTCCTCCACCGCTCTTCTTCACCGTCTTGAAAACCTTAGTTCGGATCTCATGGGTCGTGACCTCATCTTCCTCCCCCTCACCCTCCATATCATGAATAGACGTAGATGGGAACAAGGGCTGAGCAGGCTCTTCAGTTGGGGTTGCGCCACCCGAACCTCCAGAAGACTCATCCCGGGCTTCCTTCTCAGCAGGCTTTGATGTAGTCGGCAACGGGGCAAATGAGAATCCAGAGGGTTTGGAAGGACCGAACGGAGATGACGATTCACCTTCTCCAGTTTTGGATAGATTGCCAAATCCGAAACCAACTGGGTTGCCGATGTTGCCTGCACTCTTTGCTGCTCCAAACCCGGCAAACGGCGAGGGCTTCCCTGGTGAAGTTGCACCAAAGGCGAAGGTACTGCTAGATGAGTATGACTTCTCCGATGCGCTAAACGTGGACGCGCCGCTGAAAATGGAACTGGTGCTGCCCGCTGGGGGAGCGATATCAGCTGTTTCTGCCGGCTTTTCTTTTTCCTTCTCTGCACCTTTCGGTTGTTCCGGAGCGGAAAACAAGTTGCTGGAGAAGACTGAAGGGGCAGTTGAAGGACCGCCAAAAGGACCGCTGGCTAGAGATGAGGGTGCACCAAATACAGTACTCGTCGATGACGACGAGCTGCCAAAGCTGAACAGCGATGACGAAGAGGAAGTGGAAGTGGGTACGGGAGTCGTTGTGGAGGTTGATGGAGGGGGGAAAGTGAAAGGACTGGCTTTGCTCAAGGAAGTTGATGTGTCTACCTTGGGCACAAAGCCGCCTCCTGAAGGAGCAGCTAAAGCTGACGAGGACGGAGGAGCCGAGAAACCGGCAAAGCCACTAGGAGGTGCAGGCATTGATGTTGGTGTGGGCGGCGTAGTGGTCTTTGCCTGTGAGTCCGCCGATTTACCGAATGCAGACACGGGCGGCGCTGGTGCTGAAGGTTTCGAGGTGGTAGAAGCCGCAGCTGGCGATTGAAGTTTCTTTAGACTTTCGTCATATTCGGACTTGACACCAATGCGCAACTCTTTGTAACGAGCGAGCAGATCTGCAACATCAAGAAACGGGTCGGTTTGGACTGCTTTCGAGACAGCTGTTAGGAGGGACGCGTTCAGGCCGCGTAATGCAGCGAGGTATTTCGTCTCGATCTTCAGCTCTTCATCAACTTTGTCAGCACTTGGGGGGCTGGGTTCTTTTGGCTTCTCGGCTTCAGGCTTTTGTTCTGGTTGTGATGGCGGTTGACCCAAGAAGGATGCAAACGTCTTCGTAGCAATGGATGCGGAGGTCGATACTGATGGGGCACCGAACGCAGATGAGAAGGCAGACTGAGGTGGCGATGTTGAAGCTCCAAACGGAGAGGGTGCTGCGAAGGGTTTACTAGTGGCGGAAGGCGCACCAAATGTGAATGGTGTGGCAGCAAAGCCAGAGAATCCGCCGAACTTTGGAACACCCGTTGTAGGGGCTGGCTATTGAGTGAGCAATTGTTAGCACGCAATGTAACGCGTCAACATGACATGACACGAACCTCTACTGGTGTCGGCGCCACTGGCAAAGGAAGTGCTGGAGCTGCGCCAGCTAATGAACGCTTTGGGAGGCTACGTATTCTGGAACACAGTACGTTAAGAAAGCATATGTATAGAAATGTAGACACAACACACTTTCGTCCGGCAAGTATACTGTCGTCTGCTTTCTTGAATCCCTGGCCAGGACTGAATATTTCCTACATTGTATGGTCAATACTGAACATTATGAGCTTTGCTGGAGAGCGCACCTCCACTTCGTCTTCCCCATCGTCGTCCTTGGATAATTGTTTCTCTGCGCCGCGTTTCATGGCGACGTCGAAGAAGTACAGTGAGCGTGTGCAGTGGCAGCCAAATTCGGCGTGCAAGGCTCGATGTAAGCCAGGGTAAGCCGGCAAATGCCGTAAGGACGCGTCTAGAAGATCACGTGCACAATATCCGGCGTGACGGCGGCAACCCGGCCCTGCGGTGGTGAGACATGCGATGTCTTGCTCGGCAAGCGAGAGGTTGAGCTTGAGTTATTGAATGAAAGTGGATCCTAAGACTAGTAAGAGAACCATGAAGACTGATCATTGCAGTAATGGAGAGAAAACAGTAAAGGATGGTCCCGCGTGGACGAAGCCGTAGAGAGGGGCTGCCGGCACACTAGTCCGTCGGATCCCCATAGTGGCACCAGTGGCACCGATCTTTCCATTTTCGGACGTCCACCGAGTAAATTGCTATCGTGCATGTCTTGACGCCAGACCAAACTTAATAGCAGCCAGATACCTCTTAGGGTTTGCCCAGGATACCCCGTCTTCTTGTTCTCAACCATGTCCTCCTCGTCGACCACGGCCTGCTCGCGGTCGCCCTCACCGGCTTCCCCAGCGACGCCAGAGTCATGCGACAACCTTGACTCCGTCGTTACCCAGGAAGACCTTGCAGCCTGGTGTCACTCTCTTTCTCCAGCGGGTTTCCTCATAGGTGATGAATCCCATTTTGGCGAGCATGTCAAGAAAAGGGAAGGGCATGCCCTGGAGTTAGCGGACATCATACAAGAGGATGCCATGGTAGAGTACGTGTTCCTTCATCCTCGCCGCAGCCGAGGGTGTTGTCCTGTATGCAGTGCCCCTTTCTTACCCTCGACGCCTGTTCTTCTAGTTCTGCTCATTCAGGGCCAGAGTCACCAACTGCGTATCTCTCAAGTCGTTCTCCTTCGGTTTCGCTTCCAATGGGGATAGACGTTGCAGACTTGCTCATTGCACCGCGCAATTCGATATCCTCAACGAAGCCGATACCCCCGCCTCTGGCTCAGATACGCAGGGACCCAACAGTAGGCTCACAATGTGTTGTATATCCGCCGAAAGAATCATGTTACAAGTGAGTGCAATTCGATATCTCGCTAATGAGCGTGAGATGTTGACATTATCCCAGTCTACCGATTATGATCCCTTCTATACCCGAAGGCGGGACAAAGTCTCGGGTTGAGACTCAAGTTCGTCTTACGGTAGACCTTGCGCATGCAAGCGCGTCATCGGGGGAGCCACTCAGATACGACCGTGTTGGAAGTTGGAAATGGCTCCGCTTGCCAAAAGGCACAAGTACCAAGCGGCGCTCCCGCAAAGAAGCCAAAGTTGGTGAGTAAACATAGAAGCTGCTGACAGGTCGTACGTTAATCATCCTTGGTCCTAGACGCTACTGTCGAAGATACGCTTCATCTTACGACTGAGGTTACTTGCGCTTCGCCTCCGCATACACGAGTGACTTGTTGTTCAAGCTGCCAAGGACGGGAGGTATGTCGAGCAGTGCAGTTTGGTATCTGAGCATACATTAATATATCTATTGCTTATGATAGGCCAAACGAGTCGCACGCAAATTGGCCGCCCGTGTAAGGCCTGCGCGTTCAGATTCCGAGTCTCCGGACGATGCAGTAATCATCCCAGGAAGGGGCAAACATGAAGATACATCCAACCTCGTGCAATTCAACTGCCCAGAGGTGCTCGACTTCTCATCTGGATCAGTCGTCCTTCCTCTTCGAATTACCTGCTACTGTCGGCATCATCGTGAGAAGGTCGGCTTTAATGTTCACTTTACGATGCTGGATCACAATGGCCGGGTTGTTGGCTCGGGCATGACCCGTCCTATCATGATCACTGATGACCACAAGAGCACGGGCGTCAACAAAGCTGCCAATAGCAGTACTCAGACGCCTACCAATGCAGATTCGCCCAGGGACGATGACGCTGTGGGCGGGACGACCAAACGCAAGAACACGCGTGATGGTGCGACTGAACGGTCTAAAAAGCGAACAAAGCCATACGATGGTGCAAATCGTGGTGGCAAAATTCGACGGAAGGACAGCATCAGCAGTTTGCAATCGATTCCGTCTGCGGTTGCTTCTACGTCTGCAACCAGGGCACCTACCAGAGCATCTACTCCAGCGCAAGCACTGCTGAGGGGCTCACCATTGCATACTATTGATCCCGAACACTTGACTTCGAACTCTATCGATTCCGCAAGTGCTGAGGTTGCTGCTGCTCTGCTCTCCAATGGGTTCGACCTATCAATGCCTTCATTATCGAACGGTATCGGACAGTCTTTGGACGATATCGTCATGCCTGATGCTCAAGTGAATATCGACCCTTCGGCAATGACCCTTGAAGAGCTTACCAACCAATCATTCCTTACCAACGATCCTTCCGACCCGATGTCACTCAATCTAAACCCATCAGATCCACTTTCCGTATCTCCCAGTATCTCCTATATGTTATTCAATAACGACCCACCGCCTCCTATCAGTAATCTGCCAACCCCAAAGATTCATCGACTCATCCCCTCGGCCGGGCCGACGTATGGTGGCATCGAAGTCACTATTCTGGGTGCTAACTTCCATCCAGCTATGCAATTGAGCTGTGTATTCGGAGAAACGGTCTCAAGCTCAACTCAGCGATGGAGTGAAAATACTCTAGTGTGCTTGTTGCCTCCTTCTCTTTCTGCAGGTGTCGTTCCCGTCTGGTTCGACGGTATCGCCAAAGAGGATGATGGCAGCCCTCCTTGCTTGTTCACTTACACGGACGAAACAGACCGGGCATTGTAAGTCTACGTGCTTTGTAGCGTGCTGCTTTCTCACTGACACGGCATTCATTTAGAATGGAACTTGCTCTCCAGGTCGTTGGATTAAAGATGACAGGCAAAATCGAGGACGCAAGGAATATCGCCATGAGGATCGTCACCGGACCTGATACTAATCAAGGCACAATAGAACCTAGCAGCTCTATGCAGATGTCGACCTCTCCCGGCTCTTCTTTCGATATCCGACAACTTCTTCTCGCACGAGCTGGCGACAGTGGGGACTTCGAGACGCTAATTTTGGACTTCCTTGCTCTCCTGGATGTGCCAATGACTGTCTCGACCTCGTCGCTGGAAGGTGCTATCTCGCAGACTACGGGCAGTGGTCAAACGCTGCTTCACCTCGCTACGATCCTCAATTTCTCAAAGGTCGTTGAGTTCCTGATCTCTCATGAGATCGATATCGACGCTCGTGATAACAACGGGTTCACCGCACTGCACTTCGCTGCCAGTTTACGACATGTGGAGTCTGCTCGTCTGCTCCTGGAAGCCAACGTTGACACCGATATCGTAAATGCCGTGGGCAAGACGGCTGCCGAAGTCGCACCTGCGGGATTCTTCGACAGGTTGTACCCCGATAGCAGCAGCACCTGGAGTACGGAAGATTCCGTAGAGGAAGAGGCCGCTTGGGCTGATGAGGAAGTAAGTGCAGATGACGAAGAACCTGTCAAGCCTCCTCCCAGGCGACGACCTGAACGCGGGAACTCGTACCGCAGGGAGCGTCTGTCTCGCCGTCCGTCTGAGGCCGATTTGAAGAAGGCCGATCCCGATTCAGCTCCCCCTCCTCCAGCGGACATCAAGAAAGCAAAGGAAGCGGCAGGTATCGTGGATGAAAAGCAAGCAATGGCGTCTTGGATGGATATGGTCCAACGTACTTTTGCTCAGCTACAACATCCGCAGGGCATGATTCCTCATATACCCAATCTACCGCTACCCCAGTTCCCCCATCTCCCAGGTATGCCAGCGTGGGGCGCACTTCCTCAGATGCCTGCTGTTTTCCCCGTGGTCGTGCCTATGTCTGCATTACCGATTCCGGGTCTTCCCGCGTCTTGGGCTCGATGGGGTGAGAAACGACCCGGGCAAGATCAGGCAGACGGTGAAAATGCGGATGAGGAACATGATACGAAGACGACTCAATGGTTAGCTATCCCTGGCGCTCAGGAATGGCGTGCGACGTGGGAGAAGTGGTTGGCCATGGCCATGGCTTCTGCCCGGCCGAGTGGTGAAGGTGATGCTCCGCCGGCCTACACCCCTAGGGATGAAGATGCCGCAACGGAATCAAGGGATGCTAAGTCATCGGAGGCCTCAATGTCTGTTGTTGTCCCTCAACCGTCGACGAGCGTTGAACGTGCTCAGCCAAGGCGTGTTGAATACCAAGATGTTCCTGTTCCTGAACAAGAGGTGAAAGCGTACGAGTATAGACCAACGAAGAAACAGTCGCGCCGAACGCGCAAGAAGCGTATGTCGTGCTTGCCTTTCTCTTAACAATTGACACTCAAATACTATTTTTATAGAGGACTGTATGCTGTTCTTCTTCTGGATCCCAATTCTTTTCAGTACGTCCTTAGCATATCGTTAGTTATAAATGTATTTACTGACTACCTTTGCAGTTGGCTTCATATGGGCCTTCTTCTCCGCCATGCGTGTAGGGTTTCACGCTTTGCGGGCTGTGAGTTTCAGTGCTGCTCTTCATGTATAATTTAGTAGCGCCAGGTTTGTTCTCCGCTCGTGCAAAGGTTTAGACTGTACTGTATTTCGTTTCTCCTATGCCAAAGCAGGTTCTCATTATAAACGTTAATCGTCGTTATTCTCTTAGATGTAGCTTGCTATCGGTTTGATATTGGGCCTGTGTTGTATGTACTGTACATTTTCTGATGGACTATTTATCAAAAAAAGTCGGTTTCTTGCTCTAAAATGTTCGAATGCTCCCATTGCCTACTTCGTGTTGACCTCGCTGTGCTTTGTCTCAGTCATTTGCCTAGCTTGGGCCATTGTATGTACTGTACACTAATAAGTTTTCCAGGCGAACTCTGTCGCAATTTGCTTCGCGCGCTTATAGCAGTGTCTAATTCGCGGAGTTCAACCGAGCCCGATCTGGAAAATCTCCATCTTGACCAAGATTCACCATGAAGAACAAGTATCTGTTTGTATTCGCGCAAGTCCATGAGGAATTTAGAATCCCAGAATTGCTTTCCATCGCAGAACTGTACAACATCAACATTGGCCTGCCGGAGGATGTGGATACTTCGAGGCCATTCATGGTCATCGAACTTGATAGTGAAGAAGACGCGCACACTCTTGCTCAACGCTGCATCCTCATTAAGTACATTTCCCAGACTTATGTATACATTGAAGATTTATTTTGTTACTCACAAATATCCTCAGATGGGTCTGCGATTTTTACGCTAGGGGAAAGACTTATGCCGAGGTCCATGAACAGACCCGGGCTAACTCCTCAAAGTATTCACAATACATAGAGAATACGTCCTTCAAATTTATCGTCACGGCATACAACCATAGTATTTCGCAGAGGCGACAGCGAGAAGTCGTTGAAAGCTTCTCGTATATGGCCCTCCTCGGAAAGATCGATATGAAGAATCCTGACATTACCTTTATGTGTTTCGAAGAGTGTACGTGTCAATGATTTGTATGATATCCTTGTTCGTCTGGCCGACACGACTTGACTCAGATGCTGATAAACGCGGTACAACGCGTGAGAAGCTTGAAGGAGATGGTGCTTTTAGAGAAGTCTTCTTCGGGAGGTTGGTGCGTTCAAACATTGGTTGAAGGCAGTCTGGATTCTGATGCTGTTGTTATAGATAACGGAAGGCACTGCGAGACCTCTTGTCAAGACCTTCGACGTGAAGAAACGTTCATACTTCGGTAATACTTCCATGGAGGCGGAAATCTCGTTACTAATGGCTAACCAAACTCTGGTCAGCTTTTTCCATCTCGTTATATGGGATATACTGATCAGAATTATGCTTTGCTTTCAGGCTGCCCCAGGAAAACTGATATATGACCCTTTCGTTGGCACTGGAAGTCTTGCCTATGTAAGCGAGGAATTTCCAGACTTCTTTTGTTGCCGCCAACCGTGCTTTCTTGCTTTAGGTTACAGCACATTTCGGTGCATGGTTGTATGGCTCAGACATCGATGGCAGACAGATGCGTGGGAAAGGTATGTTAAATATATCCATTTTGAAATGCATGCTTCACTCCAGGCTCGTCCAATTCATTAGAAAATGTTCCCGGCATCAGAAGAGCTGCAGCTCAGTATGGGGTTGCAGACCGTATCCTCGATCTTTGTACATTCGACGTCACACAGAACCCGTGGCGATGCGGAGACCTATTCGATGCTATCATTACAGATCCGCCTTGTAAGCTTTTGTCTACATTGTCTCCACTCTTATTCAACTGCGTCGTAGATGGGGTGAGAGCAGGCGCGAAGCGATTAGGTCGGAAGAAACCCACCAAGAAGGGCATCGTAGAGCGTACGGGATTAACACTGAGACCGTTAGTTTTCCTTCGTCCACGGTTGGTAACGTTGCCTAAGTCATTTCACAGTGATGACCAGCCATATATTCCACCAACAAAGCCGTATGAGTTATCAGCACTTGCAACAGACCTCATCCTACTTGCGCGGCACATGCTGAAAACAGGAGGACGACTTGTGTTTTTCCTGCCTACCGTCACAGACGAGTACGAAGAGGTTGATGTTCAAACAATGTTGTGCGATGGCATGGACGTCATTGCCAACTCGTTACAGGACTTCGGGTCGTGGGGACGTAGAGTAAGTTGTGTTGGACTCTTGTGTGTTCATTTGGCTCTGACACTTGTTACAGCTTATTACCATCCGTAAGACTTCAGACAAGTCCTATCCTCGGCCGACGTTTGAGCCTGTCGTGAATCAGTCAGATGGAAACACTCCTGAAGTAGAGCATATACCGGCTCATCGCGATTTCAGGGAGAAGTACTTCAGAGGCTTCAAAAAAGACGAGGATCGGACAACACCATTGGAACAGCAATAGTAATGACAGGTAGTCGCAAGCTGTAGCAATACGTAGAATCATCTAAGCTGGAGAGGGAAACCACAAGGGTTGATGCATGATGGAGAAAGCAAAATTACTGCTCAGCAGTGGATATCAGGATATATGAAAGCAGTGGCAAGAAGCGGGTATGTACAGATAGGCTAACGCGCTGTTGTTGAATATCGTCAGGGGTATACTCAGCGGTGATTTGTACTGTCAATGAAGCGGGCCGTGGCTGCAACACGGAAGTTCAAAGGCACGACAGTATGCCTGCAAGGTTTGGTTCTTCGGTAAGTATGGTACGTGTACACAATGGTATTTCTGGCTTACTCATAGTAGGTTTGCACCTCCGCACCCTGCATTACAACCACATCACCCTAAAATTTGGGAAAGATAAGGAAAATGAAGAGCACTAACACCCAAGACACCTACATGACGCAGAAAGAGCGATAGTACGTCTCTTTTCGAGGGGTCTCGAAGTTCAGATGCATACTGAGCATGCAAGCGGAAATGCATGTACGCTGCAGCACCGAGTGACAGGGAAGCAACGGTCGGGCCCAAACCCCGTTCGGCATCACTATGAAACTACGAAAAAAAATCAGCAACACGCCACTCAGAGAGCTAATGACACATCGGACACGTACCGCCATCTTCTGCTTCTCCATGTATGCGGCACTCAGGACCTCGTTGAATTCACCAGGGAGGTTCAAGGCTTGTTGCATCCGTTCCTTTATCAGTTCGCGAGCACTAAGTACGGCTGTGGGTGCAATTTCCCAAGGCACCGTGTTATCTGTGCCTCCAACATATTGATAGGGTTCTCCAGCTTCAAGAAAGTGTGAGTATGCGACTAACAGGTAAGTTGATGGACTTTACTATTTTGAGAGAAATAGTTCGTCAAGAGGGTGCCGCGACCTAGAAAATATTCAGACAGTGTACATGTATGAATTCAAGCCTGAAGGCCATACATTTGTGCTGTGGCAGAAAGGAAATGTGTCACTATATCTCAATAACGAATGGAAGGACTCAAACATACAGCTCTCAATGGCCATCTGCGGAACTTCAAGCTTCCATTTGCGGCTTCTCGTTGATAATCCTCGAGGATTCGGTCTGCCTTATCGTTTGCAAGGGGTGCAGAAAATATGACATGAATGTATCCTCTGTGTCAGGGATCAATGCCGAAGTCATGATGAATATATGCCTATTACTTGCCTCGCGTTTGGCAGGACAAACGTCACATAATAGCTGAACCCCTTATCGAAACGATACATAGACGTGAAAGGTTTGATGATGCCTAATGAGTACCAAGGATCATTAGCATATAACATGCATGGAGGATAGATGACCTACCTGACTGCGGTGAAACGACATGACGAGAAAAATGCTTACCCTCCAACTGGTGTCTAAATTCCACCGCCCCTCTAATCCTGCCCGGAACCTCAGTAATATTCTACAGATGATCGTGAAATTAGGGACGATGGATGAGATGGAATGTTCTACGTACACCACAATTTTGACATTGCCAGTGCTCCCATTTGAACCTAAAAGAGTAATTAATCTCAATGTAGAGAGTTGTGCCTTAATTCAATCAACTCGCCTGCTAGAAAGTCGCCCACACTGTTTGCAATGCCATCCTTTTGTGAAGAGAAAACTCGTGGTAATGCCATCTTCTGGAGCACCCTGAATCGGAGGTGGTGGTCTTATATCCTCTAGTTCCTTGCTAGGAAATGACTGAAGGCGAAGGAAATCCTCGAAATAGGCGAGCACGTTTGGCGGTGTTCCACCGTTGAGTTCCCAAAAGGCACGGCAAGATGGCTGCAGACACATCCATCCTTCGCCATATACCTGAGGTGAGGGTTTGTGACAAGAGAGGCAGGATCTGGCCACGTTAACAGTTGCATAGCTGTGGTGCTAAAACGTCAATCACCGGCTCTTGACAATAGACGTCGTTACTAACGGCTCTAAAACAGGCGGATCTATCAGAGTACTGAATTATAATCATGACGTGACATGTATGCAGCGTCTGGACTCACATAGCCCATGTTCTCCCTGGGGTTGAGTCCACCAAGGCTCGCCTTGTTCTTCGCACCACTGGAATGCGAACTTATATCTGACAACATTGACGTTCGCGCTGGAGGAAAACTGCTTTTCGGCTACAAGTCAGATAGATGTCAGCATTTCTTGTCTTGTCGACAAATTCAAAACACTTAACCCCAGGCATGAGCAATACGGTAGAAACCAAGAACCGCATAGGTACAATTCTTGCTGGCAAGGTCAAACGGAAACAAAGCATACTTGTCATCAATGACAAGCGCAATTGGGTGTTTCAGCTCGTATGTTCTAAGCAAAGATCTAACGGATTTATCATCAGCACACTGGTCGGAATCTCTGTGCGTCTCAAATTTTCCATTGGATTTGTGAACGCTTTCAGCTTTGCCACCGCTACAAACATGCTTGTATAAATTCATGCGGATGATGATGCCGAAAACGTGAGCATACTGACCCGTGAGATATGATGAGCTTTCCGTCGCAGCGAAAAGCATCACGGCTGAAGAATTTACGTGAGCAAACCCCAGTTCTTGTGATAGCACTGCACAAGTCATACCTAGCGGAAAACGCGCTAAGTAGGTAGCCCTTAGCCATATCCTTGACGAAGTAGACACCCCCTTGGTAGCTTCTAAACCAGTCGAATGACTCGCACACCTCCTGTCGAGACTGGCACAGGAATTGTCAGTAAGGTTGCGGCACACGAAACCGTCCGGCTAACCTGAGCCCAGATCGGAGGAAGCATGGGTAACGGTCTTTTGGGCAAGGTATGTGCAGGCACAAGGGAGGCGGCGCCATGCGATACTGCGTTTTCTTCAGGCATCCGAGCAAATAGGGCCTGAGCTGAATCTGCCGTCGGAGGCGTGAAGTGTTCAATATTGGAGACAGAATGATGTACCGGCACCTCTGCCTCTAACCGAGTTGTTTGCTGAACAGAGTCAAGGGTGGTTGAGACAGATGCCGCATTCTGTACACCACACTGCTTATCAAGTACTGCTGAAGTCAGCAGACGTGGTGACTTGCGCCTAGAGGTCGTTATGCGGAGAGGGACATCATCATCGCTACTCATCATATCCGGAACCGGCTCTTCGGAGGGAACATCATTGTCCCAATCGATAGCATTTCGCCCTTCACTTCTTCCTGCAAGATTAGCTTGTCCTTCTGCTCCAACAGCGCATAGAATGCTGTCCACTTCAGCAAGCGATTGTGGAATGTTACTCGAGGTGATGCGGCTTCCATTAGGAACAGAAGTTGCTTTGATTTGACCAGAAATCCTGCTGCTTCTTCGCTTTGGCAAAGGTGCTAGGTGTCTTATGATGGACGCTTCTACAATCTTGTTCTGACCTACAGAAGGAGTTTGTTTATCCATATCAGTGTAGCGACGCTTCCTAGCCTTCCGTGCAGGCTTGGTTTGGGGTTTGAGGAGCTTCTTCGTCTGTGAGGCTTCGAGTCCCTGTGAGACCTTCCTCATTTCTGCACGAGCATTTGCTTCTTCAGCATAAACTGCAGCAGAAGCAGCCACCTGCATCAGAGATATGTCATCAACCTTGTTGCGAGCTTGTTCGATAGGTGCCTCCAGGCGAGTGCTTAACCTTGTCTTTCGTCTGCGAGAAATATCCACTGCAGAAGATGCCGGACGGGGGTCAGTCTGCATCTCCACAATCGAGCCATCATTTCCGCGACGTTTCTTTGAGGGACGCTGGCATTTATTACTCGACACCTCCGAGTCTTTCTTATGCCCACCTTTAGACTTTTTTTCAGGCTTAGGTGGGAGCGGCTTTCGAACAATGGGACAGGGGAGTGACTTCTCGCGATTAAGGACAGAAGAGGGTCCAGGCGGGACAGCTACCTCTGCTGGAGGTACGGGAACGGGTTCCTTCAGGGCCTCGACTTGAGCTGCTTGAGCGAGAGCGGCGGTGGCGGTCGTGAGTGTTTGCTTTTTGACATGCTTGGATCGTAGTGCAAGTCTTTCCTTCTTCAACCTTTGATGGGGCTCGCTTCTTCGTGCTGGTGCTTGGGGGAGAGGGTGCTCAACCTCAGGCACCACTGAAACATTGTCCTCCAAGGTGCCGTCATGAGCAGAGCGACTGAATCCATGGTATCGCGTCTCCTCCCGCATAAGCACAGATAGAGCATGCCGATTAGATGCCCGTCGTCGTGGCAACTCTCTTGAAGGCATTGTCGGAGCGGAAAGGGCATGTTTAGCTTTGCCCCTTTTGACTTTCGCCTTGACATTACGAACAAGGTCCCTTGTCAGCGGATCTTCGATATCTAGCTCCGAAAGAGATGACAAAGAAGAAGAAAGTGATGTTAAGGTGGAGTCGGATAAGGCTGCAGGATCGGGGGCAAGCTTCTGACGAGAAGGTGAGATAGTCCCCTTCTCCGATGCAGAGGAGGAACTACTGGATGGATGCTGCTTGGGCTGCTTTCGCTTCCTACGTGAGTAGACTGTCAACTTTCTGGGTGCCGGTGAGGATAAAAACAGGTCCATAAGGCCCGCAGACGTCGCATTCGTGGAGGCGCTAGCGCTAGTGACTAGGGCGATGCGAGGCTGCAGATCGCAGTTTGTAATAGGAGATCCATCTGAGGAAAGATTATCTTGCCATTCCGATTCCATAGCGCCCCGTTGAAGTTCCATGAGCTCGACAGAAGGGGCTGGGACCTTATCTGCTTCGTCTGCAGCTTCGTATCCATCCACAAGGCGAGCCATATGAGAACGTCCGCCCGAGGATCGTCGGTATGAACGAGCGAAGCTGCTATCATAAGTGCTGAATCCGCGCCGCTTCTTCTCTTCAACTAGAAGCGCCTGTGCTTTTCCGTCTTCACAGTGATACAGGTGCCAATAGAACTCGAGAAATAAAAGCACTGACTCCGGATCGCGAGCAGAAGGCTGGGACAATCCTTCATCGGAAGCGCAGGGCGCAAATGCATGTCTGAGCCATGCCTCTGCAGCACAGCCGAACTTCCCATGAATCAATAGTCAATTTTAGTGACGGACATATAGTTCTCCATAGGAGAAAGGGACACGTACTTGATCGTCGTCCAGAAATTGCTTGAGAATAGTATCCCTAGCCACACTACGAAATGTCTTCGGTTGTGAACGCGTGGGACGCACACGACCCAGCTCATCCTCAATTAAGGGAAACTGAGTCTTGAAAGGCTCATCTTTTAGCAATGCCAAGTCGTAGAATGCTTCAGGATTCCTCATCGCAAGGGATCGGCCAAGCTTAACGAGGACAAGGAACAGTGAAGATGCTAGGACATCTAAAACCAAGGAGAGAATGCCTGTGGCGATTCGTGACAGAACGCTGCTTTGTGCGAAAGTTGCCTGATCGAGCTCAACACTTTTGGATTATGTAATCAAGATCGTTTGGCATACTTATCACTCTGGTGTGGTCGGGCGGACAGACGTGCACATAGGCACCTTAAAGATTCTACTATAATATAGTCCTCTGCATATGTGGAACATTGTGCAATTATCGAGAGCCCAAAGCGTGTTGGATGGACTCGTACACATCGGCCTCAATACGAGCTTCCAACTTGTCCTCCTCAGAACTATTTCCAGAAGCAACCTTCAAAGCCTCTTGAAGGTTGGCACGGACAGCCTGGAAAGTGTATTCAGATGGTGCAGCGTAGTATATGTCATGTTGGATATACCTCAGGGGAAAAATCCTCAAGGGGAGCAGCTTCAACAGCGTTGATGGTGAGCGTGTTTCCCGGGTGGACAGTGGCAAACCCGCCAGAGACTAAAAATGTGATGGACTCCATCTGACTATTGAAAACTCGAATAAACGATGGTGACATACCGAACCACTTCTTTGAACCATTAGCGCCCTCAATCACCTCAACAACACCAGGACGCAAAGGCTCGATGGAAGGGACGTGGTTGGCGAGGATACCCATATCACCTGTAGCAGCAGACAAGTTGACTTGGACAACATCCGCAGAAGTAAAGATGGCCTAGGTACATAGTCATGAAACTGGTGTGACATATGTATAATTCCACGACATACTTGGTGGGGCAAGACCAGGGAAAGCTTGATTTTATCGGCTACTTCAGCATATCCACGGCGGCCCAGGGAAAGAGCTTTTGGTGCTCTCCGACCAGCAGAAGAGAGGAGACGAAGAGCAGACATGACTGGTTACTGTCGAGTGAGACGGAACACTTCACTCGACGAAAGCTTTCGCTACCTCACTCGGATAGTGCCGGAACAGCTTCCACGTGCGACCGCGTTTGCGCGCTTACACGTCGCGTCTCATTTGTGATCGGCCAGCTTCCAGCCTCTCGATACTTACTCTCGGAAGACAATCGTTTCTTCGTATATAGAGCCTGGGCATGCGGGTATATAGCACAGTATAGTAATGCGGGTCAAATATGTTATTGATAATTAAAGATGAGGTCTGTATACTAATATTTAAACTAAGTTATAGGTGATTAGAATCTTTCCTCGGATATGACCATGGATCTTCGCAAAGGAAACGAAAAACAACGAATCTACTGGCTGATACCATACGGACCGGGAGAAGGAGTGGGAAGAGGCCTTCGACGCATGGAAGGCAGGGCGCGTCTGAGGTTAGGAACCGTCAAACCAGGTGCAGACGTCAACCTTGATGCCTGCGGTGCCTTCATTTTGATATGTGCCTGTTAGCATGAAGAAACTTCAACACAAGCAGTTTGGATATTCATACCCCGCTGCCCTGTTTTTGTTTCGCATAGAACCCAAATAAATCCGCAATCTGCTGTTCCAGCGACTGTCGTTCCTTCTGCAAACGACCCACCTCCTGTGTCATCAGGAGGACCTCTCTGGTGAGCTCCTTCTTGAATTCCTCCACGTGTACTGATGCAACGTTAGAGGGAAGAGGAGAAGAAACCAGGAGCTGACGTACTCTGGACGTTGATGGCAGTAGCCTCTTTCATCGCATCGACAAACCTCAGTCGTTCCCCGCGAATATCGTTGGAAAGATCTGGAAGGGCAAGCGTCAGATGAGAAGAATGGACTACAGTATATGGTCTTACCCGTTGCCAATAATCGAAGCATTCTCTCCTGGTCTTGTCGTTGTCGCTCAATTAGTCCTACGATGGATTCCGTTGCTAATACGTGCACACTTAGCAACTTTTGTCGCAACGTATATATCAAGGGCACTCACTCAGCTGATTTCGAGATTCTGCATTTCGACGAAGGTCTTCTTGCACAGCAGCAACTAAGCCGTTCACGGAAGCTTGCAATATGGTAGTGTTCTCCTCCCTCTCCTGATCCTTGAGCAGGAAACTGCGGAAGTCAGCCAGGAGATTGCCTGCAGGATTCGGCAGCCCACCAGGTAGGGGTTTTCCGTCGTTTTCTGATGCAAGGTTTTGAAGTTCAGAAACAGGCCCGAGTTCCTTGCATAACTGCTGGACTCCAGCGACCACGCTGTCAATCTGTGAAGTCCCGTGGTTCACAAATGCTTCCAACCACTTGTTTATAAAAGGTTAATAATCACATGGCGAACGATGTAAAGTGATAACTCACAGAATTCAATTCGTTCAGGTATCGAACGCTATCCGCCTGCTGCTCAGCTTGTTCCGCCCGTTGCGCTTGCTCGTTCTTGATCAACTCAAGAATCTCCTGCACCTGTATTACATAGCAGGTGAGGAATGCATTATGACAGAAGCGGTGATGTATACTGACCTCCTTGTTCTGATCTTCACCCTCCGCAAGTTGCACCCTGGGATTGTTAGTGACTTGTAAAGTTTGACAAAGAATAAGTAGCTGATTCAACTTCTCCTCGATCGCGAGTGGTGAAATATCCATGACCGCTGTCGATGTGGCATCTGCAACATGAGGCTTGTCATCTTCAGCAGAAGCTGGTGCAACGTTCTGCATAGTGACTGATTCCTCCTTCGTATCTGAATGCACACGCCCAAGAAGTTCCACTTTTCTTATCAACTGCGGAAGTTGACTGGACATTGCAGCTCGCATCGCCTCCAAATTCTTGGTGACTTCCTCCATATTGAATGGAGCAGCTATGGCCTGTCCAGCAGTATCATCTGCGTGTGCGCGAAGTTCCGCAAGTACCGTCTCGACTTGTGCACGAAGCACACTAAGATTTTGTCCATGGATAAGCTCGTGGTCTTCGATGCGTTTCACGGAGTCATCAATACCCCGCAAAGCTTGCTTCGTGTGCTCATCGGTTGACACGATCGTGGGAGCTTGCATCCGTGCCGTAGCCAGAGTGAGCACTTCAGCCTTCAGACTGGCCAGACGATCATCAAGGTCCAGTTTCGGTGATGGCTTCGGGGGTTCAGGCAGTGTAGTCTTAGCCTGAACGCCGCCGCCTCCAGTAAAAACGAGAGGTGGTGGTCTTGATTCTTGCATAGGGAGACCGCTGATGTGGTGGAGTTGAAAAGGGACACCGAATGGCTGGTGTCTCTCCTCGTTTGAGTACTGGGAGGCAGGCGAGAACAAGTCCTGGCGTGGAGGATTTGACTGTTTCTTGATTTCATCGACTCGAGTGCGTGAAGTGCGAGTCGAGGTTACAGCAGTCAACTTGCCTGAGGATGTAGAGAACGGTGATTCCCGTCCAGAATCAGCGTAGGACTCGATTATGGACTGCTCGGCCGCAGACTCAGTAGTATCTTGGCGAGCAAGGCACTGATTTCGTTCGGTTCGCGCGGATTTAGGTGTCAACAGAGAGGAAGTATATTGACGAGTGCGCGTAGACTTTGTAGGAGTCAGATTCGAACGAGCTGATTCCTCAGAGTTGGAGCGTTCTATCTGTGCCAGACGCTGTTTGACCACGGAGCGCTGATCTAGATTTCGGATGGAGGGGCTTTGTGCGCGTGAAGGAGGTGGTGTCTGGAGAGATATGCGATTGGGTATTGGAGATGGGGTGTTGCGTGGTGCAGGAGGATCATATAGCGAGATACGGATAGGGGAGACGGGTGCAGGAAGCGCAGGAAGTGCTCTGTCCGTGACGCTCGTCATGATGGACGCAGTTGACTTGACCTGGGAGACGGTTCGCCCACACTGTTGCAGAGAAGGGCTATAAGATGACTGTTCTGAAATACTGAGAGCATCATGTCCTGAAGGCGAAAGATAACTTCGGCATTCTTGGGTTTGCAAAATCGCATCCCTAATCATTCCTGAGTGGATTCATGGATTATTTCAAAGAAAGGAGTGGACATACCATATAGCACTGACCCATCCAGCCCGATCCTGCACGGAATTAGCAGCGAACTTTTCTCTAGCTCTGCCTTCGAACAGAAGTTCAAAGACCTTCACCTCCGTAGTGCCTGAAGGTAAAAGGTCTCGCTCTGCATCATCTAAATCTTTCAGAGCTAAAGATCTAACGTCTGTGCAATGTGCTAGAGTCACTATCGACGTGGATGGATTTCCGAATGATGTGTGCCAGGTGATGAGAACATGAGATGGATGGAGTACAGCAGTACACGTCGTCCAGACAGGAAAGGAATTCGAGGTAGTGGACCGGCAAAGATAAAGAAGTGATCCTGTATGAAGTGAGCCCGGTGTATTACAGATCATGGCATCTTGTGCGGTAAGCTTTCCGAAGGACGCATTAGCGCGAGGAATATCAATAGAGGAGAGGCGGCGGGGTGAGATAGTTTGAGCAACAGCAGTCTGGTGGGGTGGCGTTTTAGAGGCAGATATTGATTGGCCGTCTTTGGAAGATCTCCTCGCCTTCTTGCTGAATACGGAGAGCAGATTACGAAATGACTGTCGAATGGGAGATCGACCCTTGACTCTTTTCTCCGCTGCTGGGCTATACAGATTGTTCCGATTTACGGAACCATTAACCGAACCCTTTACTGCAGACCGAGGAGTTGCAGAGCAGGACGAGTTCATCGACTCATAGCGACCAATAAGCTCCTTTGCCGTCCGCCGTCGAGCCAGGGAAGTGCTTTTCGCCGTTTGATCGCGAGGGCGAGAGAAATAGGGCCCATGTGGTTCAACTTCGGCTCTTGTCCTTCTGCTTTTCCCGTCAACCATTCTGGCAGCCATATGACGAGTGTGAAAGTCGTAGAGATCGAAATTGTCATCGCTCCTTTGCCCTGAATCACGGTTATAACTGCTGATATCCTTCGTTCCAAGGTCATATCCAAGGTCATCTAGCGGTGTGATAACTTGGTCTGATTCTTCAGCAGTACTTGCTCTAGTCATAGGATGGATAGAGTATTCGGGATCATCGTCGGTGGCCCGACCATCAGACCACATGGCAGCGTGCAAGAAAGTCGGCCAGATTGACAGCACAAGTAGAAAGCCAAAGTTCACATTGCAGGAGGCGGGAAAATTGCGGCTGGGATTCTATTACGAATTGGACCGACGAAGGGAACACATACGGGCATGGCATGATGAAAACCTCACAGGACGCTAAAGAGTCCTGTGTGCATCGCGAACCTATCAAGGTCTTATATCGAGGTAAGATATGCTGGGACTCGCCCATTGTCTTGAACATCAGCCCAAGTCGGCTTAAAATGAACCTTGACATGCTTGACATGATTGTCAAGCCGAACGGATCCTATCCACGAGGTCTATATATCACAAAGCAGGGAAAGAGACAACACTAGTTGTTGAAGTTGATATCTCGAACGAGTTTCAACCGACATTGCCGCTGAGGAGGTCAGTTCGAAAGTCGTTGTTCGACAAGCAGCCTCGACCCCCAACTTGAAGTCCGTCGCAGCTTTGCTGGGCGATCACCGTTTCGATCACTGATCGGCAACATAGCAGGAAGTTGCCTCCCCGGGGCCTCTCCCTGCCAGCGGTTTTGAATGTCATCTTTTAATATCCGGTCACCTGCACTCTCAGGTCTCCACTATCATGCTTCCGTACGTACGTACAATACCTTCTGCTGTCCGCCCAACCCATGTGGAAACTTCATGTGATCTACACCAATGACCCAGAGTTACCGACATCCCGCTGCACCCCCACCGCCCCCACCGAGAATTTGCCTTTTACAACTAGCTTTGGGCATTGTGCCGAACGGTTACTGTTCCAGACACTTTCTGCTACTGATCAACACTGTGCATGACCTCTGCCCGGAAACATCTCTCCGGGCGGGCCTTTGGGGTTTCGTATACTACACCTTCACTCGGGCTAATTCTGCGTAATCTGGCACTCGTGTCTATATTATGCCTTTGAAAAGCTATGCGTACCACTCTCTACGATTTGGAAACCCGCAGATTACTGCCCTTCTGTAAACTTGGCTTCACTGGAAAATGTTTTGCACGACTGTTTTTGTCCTTACTTTTGCGTCATATGTCGTAGCTCAGAGCACTCCCTGGGGCCAGTGAGTACTCTTCTTGTTTTGGTCCTCGTCACCGATGGTAATGCTTATGCTAGGTGCGGTGGCACCGGATGGACTGGCAGTACTACCTGCCCGACTGGGTATGTTCTAAATAACAGCATCTATCTGTGAAAGCTTACCTTTAGAATGATAGCTGGGCATGCACGGCCATGAATCCTTACTACTCCCAATGCCTCCAAGCCACTTCTAGTTCGAGTCTTTCGACCGTCTCATCACTGTCGAGCCCTGTCACTAGTGAACCCGCTACCACCACAGCTCCTCGAAGCTCGACATCCACTTCAACGAGCACCCTCACAGGAATTGCAGGCACCGCCCCGACTGTTGGACCTTCCAAGAAAGTTGGGAAGCTTCCAGCCCTTGGGTAGGTTCCATGAACATTCTGTTGTAGGAACTCCCACCTGTTAATAACTTGTATCTTCCTATTTTAGTTGGAACACATGGAACGCTTACGGTTGCGGTCAGTATCTCAATTTATATCGTGTTCTTCACTTATGTCTGAACGCGGTGATTAGATATCGATGAATCTAAGGTTCTCGCTGCTGCGAACCAATTCGTCTCTCTGGGCCTAAAGGACGCTGGTTATGAATATGTCAACATCGATGTGAGACCTTCAACAAGCTCCATGGTAGTGCAGCAATCTTTTTATTTACGATGCTTAATCCCTTGTAGGATTGCTGGTCTGAAATGAGTCGCGATCCGACAACCGGGCGTATCGTACCGGACCCTGCCAAGTTTCCAGACGGCATAAGTGGTGTTGCGATGCAGGTTCATAACCTCGGTCTGAAGATTGGAGTCTACAGGTAGGTCACACTCGCATTTGCAGACAGACCTGATTAATCGAGATTTGCGATTCAGCGATGCCGGAACAGCCACCTGCGCTGGATTTCCAGGCTCTTTAGGCAATGAGAATATTGATGCCGCTACTTTCAACGACTGGGGAATTGACTGTAAGTTCTAGGAGAATTCTGGTCATCCACGACGATTGACTGTTCGTGCAGATCTCAAATATGGTGCGGTTTTTGTGAAAGCTCTTTTAGCTGCACATTGAATATTGAGCAACATAACCATCAGACAACTGTAATGTTCCCGGCAATTGGAGCGACAGTGCTGTAGTACTATCTATGTCTGCTCTGTACCGATGGCTTTGTATTGACGCTTCAAGTAGACTCCACCGGATAATGATTGGTATGATGTACCTCCATATTCTTCCTGTACTGGACTAAGACTCTGTTTCCTCTCAGCAATTCTAACTCTGCCATCCGATACCGCCAAATGACGTATGTCACCTCCCATTTAACACTTTTACGTATAACTGACATCGTTTCAGTGCGGCTCTTGCTGCTCAATCTCGCCCTGTCCAATTTAACTTGTGCATCTGGGGTACCGCAAATGTATGGGACTGGGGCGTGCGCGTTGTAAGTCTTTTGCTAAACGTTAACGGTTTGTATACTCGAGCTCAAGTTATTACTCAGGGCCATTCCTGGCGTATGTCTGGCGATGCGGGACCCACTTGGAGTTATATCACGTCCATCATTAGTATCAACGTGCAACATTTGTCGTCTATTGACTTCTTCTCTCACAACGATATGTACGTCTCAGTCTGTTGTGTCTTATAACACAGTATGCTGACTTCGGCTTAGGGATATGATGGAAATTGGTATGCTCCGTGTGTAATGTAAGATGTTCGAGTGATTCTCATGAACGGATACTACAGGGAATGGTGCACTCACTATCCAGGAGCAGCGCACACACTTCGCTGCATGGTCCTTCTTGAAAAGCCCCATTTTACTCGGCACGGACGCAAGTCTTGCTTGGTTCATCTCTGAGCAACCAATCTACTGACAAACTTCGTTTATAGTTGAGCAAGCTGTCATCTGACCAACTCGCTATCATCAAGAACAAAGAACTCCTTGCTTTCCACCAAGACAGTGTCATCGTTACCCCTGCCGCGCCATTTACGCCTTCGCCCTCCGCGCCCGCTACCAACCCACCAGAATTCTATGCCGGAGAGTCATCAAAAGGCATTCATGTGTTCATCATCAATACCTCCAACACCACAGCAACCAAGACTTTCAATTTCGCCAACGTGGAAGGGTTGTCTGGACGTGGACTGTTCACGGTGCATGACATGTGGACGGGCAAGGATATTGGGAAGTTTAGTAGGAGTTATTCGACGAGATTGGATGCACACGATACGGCCGCCTTCTTGATCGAGTCAACCAAGAAAAAGAGATCACCACGCACCTAGTTGTTTCTATGTGCTCGAGAGTCCGAAGCCAATGAAAGTGAATCAATGGACCCGCAAAGAACGAAGCAAAGAGATTGGGTAGATAAGATTAACCTCTAAGATACCTCTTGTACACCTCGTTATCGGTCTCCTCTACGTATGGATATCCAAGACGTTGCAAGAACTCGTTGAATTTGTTTGACTGTTCTGGAGGTACCTGGATACCAGCAAGCACCTTACCCAAATCTAAGGGAGCGGAAAGAGTCAGCTCTGAAGATATGACGGTGTCTCGGAGATACAAACCTGCACCATGATTGCGATAGTGGAATAAAGAGATGTTCCACTCTGTCTGGATTCCCTCCAAGAATTTTCGCAGAGCACCGGGTCGTTCAGGAAACTCTGTGCACAAGCAACCCTGTTTCAGCCTAGCTATCAAGGGCCAACAATAACGACATACCGAATCTGAACACCCTCTCATGAGGAACATTCCTCCTCCCACCAATCATATACCTAGCATGACTCTTCGCCATCTCATCGTCACTGATATCAAAGCCTTTCATACCCAGGGACTGCAACGCAGATAACACCTCCGAGACTTCCTTGGCCCGTGACGTTGTTTCGAGCTTGAACGAGATGAAGATCTGCGCGACCTCAGAATCGTCATATCTATAGATGAACTCGGTGGTTGCGCGGGGGTGAATGACACTATGAAGGTTGATGAAACTATGAAATTTATGAGCTTCTAGAGTCTGAAGGAACAGGGTGCTACTCTACTGACGCACCTGCCAGGCTTTTCGGGTATCTCGACACTGAGAAGCGCTTCACGGCCTTCACCAAGTTCTGCACGTTCTGCGACGAACCGCAAGCGATCGAAATTCATGTTCGCGCCGCTAACTACGGCAACGAACTTTTTCTGTTTACCAATGAGGTCGTTGTCCTGGATATACCTCTTCAACCCCGCTAATGCCAAAGCGCCAGCTGGTTCCGTTATAGACCTGGTCTCTGCAAAATGCATTCTGAGTACAAAGGGTGATTGTGTGCAAGTAAAAGACCTATTTCACCTTCAAAGACATCCTTGATAGCAGCGCAGATCTCGTCCGTATTCGTCTTCACGACCCCATCCAGCAATTGTTTGCAAATCCTAAACGGTTCCGCACCAACAATCTTTACCGCTGTTCCATCGCTAAATGGTCCAACCTCATTCAATGTCACCCGTTCACCCTTCTTCAAGCTTCTATCCATAGCATCCCCATCCAGAGTCTCAACGCCAATAACTTGCGTTTTCGGACTTCCGATCCTTTTGACGTACTCGGATATACCAGCCACGAGGCCCCCACCACCAACAGATGCAAAGATGCCGTCGAGGTTTTCGGCATCCGGCATTTGTTTGAGAATTTCCATGCCGATCGTTCCCTGACCAGCTATGACGAGAGGGTCGTCGTAAGGTGGGACGAAGGCTAGTCCATGAGAAGAAGCGAGACGTGCACATTCGGCTTTAGCTTCATCGAAGTCGTCGCCGTGAAGGACGACTTTGGCACCCAGCCTTTGTACGTTTCGGACTTTGATCGAAGGCGTGCCTTTTGGCATGACAATCGTACACGGCACACCGAGTTTCTGGCCAGAGAGCGCGACGCCCTGAGCGTGATTACCTGAACAAAAGTTAACCCCAAAAAAACAAGCATTCAGAACGCAACTAGACAATGTGTCGTACCATGCGGACTAACCAGCACTGCACGTAATAACGCCTTTCCAACGTTCTTCCTCCGTCAGGCTCGCCATGAAATTATAGGCCCCTCTGATCTTGAAACTAAAGACATCTTGAAGGTCTTCTCGTTTCAACCAAATCTGGTTGCCTAGCCGTGCACTCAATGACGGGCAGAGAATCAAAGGTGTCTCTTTGACGATTTCATAGACCTTTGACGTCAGTATGAGTCTCAAGTAGTCAGGTGTATTTGAAGGCAAGAGGTAGTGTTTCGCTAGTCGAGGGTAGGTCAGAGGGTCCGGTGCATGCGACGCATACTCTAGCGTTGCGGCTGCAGGCATGAGTTAAATTCTAAGGGCCAAAACAAGATAGAAAGAAAGAGTTCAGGAAGACGTGAGATGTCTAGGATTATTTTATTCGACCTGATGCAACTTTCGATCGAGTCACAATGTACTCGATCATCTAGGCGCTATAAAGCTTGATCTAGACGCCTTTAAGCACCCAATACGAGGGCGCTTGTTACGACAACAACAGCCGAAGCTTGGATTTAGATTAGTACAGAATATGAGCAGAACAATGAAAACAAGGAATACAACAGAGCAGCCATTATACTATGAGAAATGGGTAAGGGGATAAACAGACGAAAACGAAAGAGGAAATCCGATGATACAACAAATAAGCAAAATCACGAAGCCCGACACGATCTATCATGATACTGCAGCCCTCCTCTCCCGCTCCTTCACCTTTGCACCAGGTCCAAACCGCTCTTGGAAAAGGATCAACTCTTCCATAAGCTCCTCCATCATCTTCATTGTTGAAGATCCGTCCTGTGTACTAAGGGCATCGGCGACAGGATTAGACGACGTCAACATGGGCGTCCTCTTTTCCTGATCAGGCGACGCCGTGAGCGTTTCTCCGTCGAGGACCATGGGAGCATCTGTTCTACTGGAATCTTGTCCCTGATCGCCCTGCTCAGCGGCGGACAGCTGTATCTCCTTCAGCGCAGCTTCCAACGCTTCCCTCCTCCGAGTCCTCTCGGCCGCGCTGGCTTGTTCTCGCCCTACCCACTCCACCATTGCGCGAACACGTTTGTTCATATCGCCTACGCTCATGCGTTTGCCCGGCCACTTGACTTTTACTCCCCGCTCTGTGGTGACTTCCACAGTAGCTTGACCATTTGCACCTATTGTGAATCCGCGTACTTCGAGTGGACGGGGCACGTCAGTTGGGAGGATGTGTGCCAGGTGTGCGAGATAATCCGGAAGACTCCAGGAAGTAAGCGGCGGCTGTTGAGAGACAGCATATGCATGGGAATTATGGTATGCGCGCGAGGCTGCTGCAGACGAGGCATACAAGCCTGCGGCCGTGTTGGCATTGGCTTGTGCCCGACGTGAGCCAGAATCGTGACCAGCACCTTTTCGTGAGGGAACATGCATGAGTAAAGCAGTCCTGGCAGGAACGATCAACAATTGAACGCACCTCTGGACCGACCACTTGCCTGGCGTCGCGTAGAAGCAGTGCCGCCGGCTTTCAATAGAAAATGTCACGTGAATTACGTCATCTTACCACGGTAATTAAGGTCAAAGCGTACCAGTGCCATCCTCGCCGTCGAGCAGCATCGGCTCCTGTTGAACTTGCGCTTTGCGACCGCCACCGCGTTTTGCTCGGACGGTGCTCTTGGGGGCAGCTGAAGAAGATGCAGGTGGCCTCGTGGCATTTCCATTCACAGGGGTCTCGGCGCGTGTAGGGTGTTGGGCCGCTGGTGTGCGATCAGAAACGACGGATGCTGATCTCGTCCGTTTGTTAGAAGGTCTGGATACATGGATGATATGATATTTTACTCAGATAAGATGAATTGGAGAGTTACTCACGGGTCGTCATCAGAACGTTTGCGTTTGCGCCGCCCATTCGTATTTGAGTCCTCAGGGTCATTCTCGGCTACATGACTGATATTCGCGTCCTCTCGATGCGTAGATACTACGGGGCTCATTGTAGCCGCGCGGGCTTCAGCGGCGCTCGCCTCGATGATGGCTTGTAGGCTTTCGTCGTACGCCGCATCTCGACTGTTCATGGTGTTTCTACGTTTAGGTGGTTTGAGGAGATGAGTGGGAGAATGGGAGCGAGAGGAACGCGATGGGCCCGTGGTAGTGTGATGTGAGGTTGAAGAAGACTGCCGGACACGTTTGGCATGTTTTCTGTGACGTAGAAACGTGTAAGAAGGTTTTGGTTGAGGCGTGCATAACCAACGCACTTTGCAAGATCAGGGTACAATTCCGGTCGGCATCTTTCACAGAAGTACTCCTCTGGTATGGTATCCGGCGTAAGCCCCATACATTGGCAATGCTGCCATTCATGACATGAATCACATTCGACCATGGTTTCATCATCGCCTACAGTATAAAATTAGTAGTGCCCCAGCAGCCGAGCATGAATAAAACCCCTCGTACCTGCGCCGTCGCATATACATCGAGTAACGCCTGCCTCCTCTTCCTCCTGAGGGTTTGGATCTGCGTTTCCATCAATGGGTTCAAGTATCGAAGAAAGAGCGTCATCAGGGATATCGATAGTGAGTGGCCCCTTCTCTTTCTCCTTGCCCTTGCGCTTGTTGCGCCCGTTGGTCGCGCCATTGACCACGGCTTTGGGGAATTCCTCGGGCATATCATCGATATCTTCGTGTTTTGCACGCTTGGTTCGTCCTGAGCTGTTTGACGAAGTTAAGGGGGGACGAGAGTTGTTCTCCTTGCTCTTGGGTGCTGAGTCGGACGTGGGTGAACCTGCGGGAGACTTGCTGGAGGAGGTAGAGGGAAGGGAACGTCTGCCAGAGCGTCGAGGCTCCTTTGGTGAAGGTGGAGGTCCCATAGGGGATACGTTGGCCATTGCGGCAGTCAACGACGGCGAGGAGGAGAGATGGACTTGGGTGCAGACTTGCTAGGAGAGAGACAGGGCGTTCGCCCACTTGCGACCTATTCTCGGCCGGCGCGGTTTTCGACATTTGTTTTCGCTTCAATGAGACTTAAAATTAGGTAAGCCTCGCTGATTAGCCTTTTGCGGCCACCTCGACGCGACTTATCGCCAACTAAATATTCATAAACTCTTGCTTCCAAACCCCCACACGGTGTGCTGGTCACTCATAACGGCCCCTTTTGACAACGACCGTGGTACTTAGGACGGCCGCCATGACTCAAGCAAGTTCCTCTCGAGATCCACTCGAACTCGAACGTCTGGCCGAGGAGCTTGCAGAACGGGAGCTCCGTTCTCCCAGGTCCAAAGACTTTTATTCGGAACAGGAACACGATCTCCCCGCATACATACCTCTCTCACATGGCAACCCAAATCTCTCCGCAGAAAACTTTGATGTCGAAGCTTTCTTACTATCACGGTCGTACACGTCGTTGCCTGACTTGAGGGCTGAACTGCGGGATTACCTCGCTGTCCTCAAGGAGGAACTTGTCAAGCTCATAAACGATGACTATGAGGCTTTTATCAGCTTGAGTACGGATCTGAGAGGAGAGGGCACGAGGTTGGAAAAGTTGAAGTCCCCACTGGCGGGGCTACGTAGCGAGGTTCTAGTATGTATCCATGTCATTTGCATGTATGTTAATGGAATATATGAACCTTCGCGTTTCGCCTATTGTGTAGGAGTCGAGAAATGAGCTGCAACGAATACAGGATGCGGTACAGCTCAAGTTGCAGAAACGATCTAATTTGAGAGAGGAAAAAGTCCGTCGGAGAATTGGCTTGCCTACACACTTACCTATTGACAGTACCTTTAGGCCTTCCTACATCTTCTTTTGAAGATTTCCGAATCTGTGACACGTCTAGAATCACTTCTACTCATCGCCACCCCCTCAGAAGACGAGCAGAACTCAACAGAATTTTCTGTCGGTACCCTGAAGGGCTCAACCCGTGCGGGGCACCACGAAGACAGCTTGGATGACCGGTCAGTTCTGATCATGTTTGTCATTCTATTTTTTTTGATTCAATGACCCCCAACAGCTCGCGCACGAACCGCGCAAAACATCTTTCCCGAGTAGCAGCAGAGTACACCCAACTCCTTTACCACGTCTCGAAAGCCAAAAGTGACACGTGCGCATTTGTAGACGAATGTCAATGGGTTTGTGAGATCTTCCGTTACTCGATGTGCTATACGCAACTGATGCGATACCTTACTTCACCTCCAGCGCATTGACCGAATAAGATCTACACTGTCCTCAGATTTGGACTATCTATTCTCCACCACTGTCAGAGCGTTGACCGATAGCAAACTACTAGGAAAGGACCATAGGCCGAGCAGTGAATCGGAGAAAGCCAAACTCATTACGGATGTGACGGAGTGTCTACGGACGTATGATTCGCTGGGACTCTGGCGTGACGCTGAAGAGGTCCTTAGAAGGGACGTGATTCATGAATTTGTCAAGAAGGTGAGGTCTTTCGTACCTTATATCACATTATGCTTGATCGACTAAGATGTATGCGGTTTGAGACCATCCACCCTGCAGCACTCTCCACGCCTCACAGCCCACTAGTTCCTCATACACCCTTCCCAGCATCCCGCCAACCAAGTCAGGGCCCCGATACGTTTATACCCCTCCGGACTCCATATACCCCATTCACAGCTTTCGCGTCCAAACAGAATCCCTTCGAGATGAGCTTCGAAGCTGGAGGTGTATCCGCAATCCATGCCCACTTATTGGATGATTCCGATGATCCTTTAGCAGGATTGTATAATCAGATCTTGAAGTTCGTAGAGAGGGATATGAAGAGGATCATGGAGGTGGCCGAGAAGGTCAGTGTGAAGAATGGGCTGCCGCAATCGACATCAAAGGGAGAGGCGAGAGCTCACCTCCTTGGACCGTCCGCTCCAAGCAAGTCTCAGACAAGCCAGGACAAGGACAGCAAGTTCGAGATTATGGCAAATGTTGTTTGGGCTGAGCTTGGGAAGGCTATCATGGAGGAGTTGGGACATGTAGTATTTGCTGTTGGCAAACCAGACGAGTTCCGGAAGGTGAGTTATGATTTCTCTGACTGTTCGCGTCACTTTCGAACACATGCCGTTGATTCTGAAGCACCATGAAACTACCCAAGCCTTCATACGATCACTCGAGTTCCTCGCTCCATCTGTGCAGGCTGTCAAAGCCATGCGCGCACATCCGATCTATAATGCATTCGAACGAAGGTGGCAATTACCAGTGTACTTCCAGCTGCGTTGGAAAGAGATTGTCATCAAGCTGGAAGAATCGTTAGCTGTCACTCGACTTGAGCGTACACCAGGCAAAGGTTGATACCTCTGTTGCTCCTCGCTTGTCATGCGGTTACTAACTACATAGTATATAGCTCCGTTTGCGACCGCTCAGGGTGCAGCTACTTGGGAAGCAATCTCATCATGTTGGAGTGCTCAGATTTTCATTCCGGAGCTGGGACATCGGTTCTGGAAACTCACACTTCAGGTAAATTTATTTGTTTACTTTCTGTATGAACTCATGTGCTAATAATCACTCACATATGAAGCTCCTGAGCAGATACAAGTTATGGATGGAGAACAGCCTCCCACCAATTGATGCATCGTTTCGGTCAGCTGGAGCAGGGAGTGCGGTGGAGAGGCGAGGCAATGTGAGTTGATAGTTACTCCACGTTTGCAACATAAGTTAACATCGAAACTAGATGTCTGCATCTTCAGCATCTGGTACAACCCGTGCGGGCACACCGACAATCCCAGCAGAAGCCGCTCCTCCCGAGAGTGTTGCTGCGGATGAAGCACTGGTAGCTCAACTCGCAATTGCGATTACCGACATTAAAGCGGTGGAGACGCAAGTTTGGAAGCTTTGGCACGAAGAGCTTAGTATAATGTTACCCGATACGTCTGCCGTGACAGAAGGGGACAATGCCAGCTTAGAAGGTCAGCTTCATGTCATAGCCTATGGCAAGCAAGTTGGTTTGAATGTATTTTTGTTTTGACAGATGCTCTTCGCCACTCCTTGTCCAAATTTCTTTCAATAATTCCTCCGCTGTCGGGCCAAATTATTCACATACTCTCACGAAGAGGCTGTGATGCGTTACTGCCTATGCGTTCAATTCCATCACAGTTTAGGGCCATGTCGTCTAGCAAGCGCTTGCCAACAGAGCCTAGTCATTTCGTCTCACTGATCTTCCGACCTCTCAAAGCGTTCTTTGGTATTGGGGCCATGGACGGCCCTGCTGCGGAACTCAAAGGCGAATTACTGGCTAGCTATACGGAGGAAGTGTTCGAGGCTATTGCTCAGAGGCAAGTCCCCGTCCCTATAACCTGGTGAAATCTCTTTCTGATGGGAGTTGTACGTGACAGATATATTTATTTCCTCACCGCGATGAAGAAAACGGAAGAATCACTGAGACGCTTGAAGAAAGGCAAGAAGTCCACTTTCTCGCTTTTTGGTGGTGGAGCCGGGAAGGATGATGAGGGCAGGGCTGATGAAGAGAAGATTCGTGCTCAAATGATTCTCGACGTTGAAGCTTTCGGGAAAGACGCAGCTTCGTTAGGGGTGGCTGTCGACAACAGCGCGACTTACCAAGCATTGAAAGATTTAGCTCATTCCAGCTTGGCAGAAGATTCTTAGCTCATGTTTTTTTTGGTGTATATCCTTCCAATGGTCATGAATCATATATAACGAATATTTAGCAACTATTATCCTGGACGGCGGTACTTTTCAGTGTACTCTGGCGGAGGAAGGAACATGGAAATCAGGTGGTGAACATCTATCATGGTATATGGCTCCTGTCCGTGAAACAATCATTTGTGAAGGACGAGAACATGAACCCTCTCCAACGGGCATTGTCGCCGCAGACCTCTTCTCACCTGGCAACCGTTCTCCACACCCGTTACACACACTTCGAGACGGTGCCCAGCCTCTTGAACGCTCGATTGCTAAGCTCTCTATAGCAACAAAGACGTCGTAGTCAATCATATGCTTTGTGATGACTAGCATGTCACCATCAGATCGATACGAGTCCAGCATTCCGGAGAGGATCACCCTAAACTCGTTATAAACCGCACCCTGTGATGCTGGGCCTTTGGTAGCAGAATCCACGAGTCGTTTGAATAGTCGGGGGAAAGAAACGACTTTGCTAGAATTGATGGATAGCAATGAGTTGAACGTGTTTTGAACGAGACTGCGGAGGACCTCGAGTACACGTTTCTCCTGAGGAGCTGCTTGAACGGGCTCGGGAGCGTTTGAAGTGGCTGTCGGACAGGCAATCGATATAACATGCAAAGACTGTATTTGACTATGAAGGACCTTGAACCAAAGGTCTTCGGCTTGTTCTTGTGACTGAAACATGGCCTGTGATCGTTCAAGACATACGGAGCCGGCACTCGTCCCTACCATCTGTAACGACGACAACACCTGCTCTATGTCATCCTCCTCCTCCTCCTGGGTGGAGAACCGGCGAGCAAACTCGCTAGAAATACGTTGGAGATATGTTTCCGCCTTCGACAGTGCAGCGGAAGGGTCATTGCGATGATTGAGAGACCAAATAACAGCATCGTACGCTTCGTGAGCCTCACATGTCTGCTGGACTCGATCCCAATCCAGACGATCCGGCGGTAGGTATTTCAGTTCATGAATAACTGCTGGACGGTCAAACTCGCATAGAAGTGAGACATACTCTTGAAGATGCTGAGGCGGCACGTGGGATGATGGCCCGTCTCTGTGTGGGATGTCTCCGAATTCTTCCTCGAGCTTCTGAGGCGAGCCCAGAAGTGAGCGGAGATATAAGAAACGGTCGCGAGCTGGACCACTTGCTAACATCTCCATGACTCGATCATGAAGGTTTGGTACTCGCCTATCGACCAGAAACGCGGTCCGTGGCATACTAACTCGAAGCAGTGCTGAAATCGAATCCTGAATAGCGACAAGGAGCTCAGATGGAAGAGTTCCCTTGTTACTTCTCGATGCAACCTGGATAACATTGTCCACCGACGGGAAAAGCTCAGCTGGTGGGAGATCAGGATCTTGCACATATGTTTCAAGAAGAGGGACCCATTGGCGTTCCTGGCGATGCCATGTGCGAAGGATTCTGTAGAAGCCAGCTTGTTCGAATAGGCGGAGAAGATGGTCACCGTCGTGTGGAGTATACGTAGAGAGGAGATATTCAGCTGCAAGCTGACGATCTTCCCGTGTGCTCTCGTCGGAAGAGTCGGCAAGTCCGATAAGGATGCTTTGCAGTTCGGTTGGCGCCATGTAATCGCGAATAAACTGAGGATACTTCGGGACATTCCGAGCAATGAATATGTTGAGGAAGGTGGCCTCTGAGGGTGATAAGCCAGGTGTAGACAAGATCTCGAAGAGGACCTTTACTATGACAAGACGGTTGACACCTTTGGACTCGTCATTTAGGTATGAATCCTCGAAGGCGAGATCCAAAGTATGCAGGAAGGATTCCGCGTCAAATCGTAGGAGAAGTCGGGTGTAGGGATAGGTGGGTTCTTCTCCATTCTCCTCGTCGGAAGTCAGTATGAGCTTGCCACCTTCAAGTGGCCATACATTGGATCGTCCAAAGAACAAGAACTTATAAACATCGTCCTTGGCACGGATAGCGTCTTCTTCCGCAAGAGGTTCCTCACTTGGATAGGACAACCCAGTAAGCACGTCCGCCAGATATGGAAATATCTTGTAGGCGTTCACCGTGTCGGATTCGACAGTCTCCACGTCCACAAACATTCGGGATGTCGGTGACGCCTCTGACCTTGCTCTCCGATACCGTCGTACCTTCCGTATCAACCCAAACAGCTCCACCACGGGTAACACGTAGTCCTTCAGTGCCGCAGTGTAGACGTATATTAATGCGTCATATAGGTTGTAATGTTGGCACAAGGTGATTGCTTGGTTTATGTCCAGGCAATCGGGGTCAATGTGCCATATTACACGCTCAACCAAGTCCGGACGATTGTCTTCGCTATGGAGAGCAACGAGCCGTTGGGTTATCCGGGGAGGAACGTGGCGGATTTGTCCGTCAAGAACGAAAGGCTCCAATTGCAGGAGAAACATACCAGCAATGCCGTTGTCTTCATAGTGCTGGTAGAGCTCCTCGAATAATAAGTCAAAGTCATCCAATGTGATGCAAGCACGTGAGCAAGATACGACGAGACCCTCAAACAATGCGGTGCGGTCGACACCTCTGCCATCGGGTGTGACGTGAGTGGCATCGTAGAGTCGCTCCTCGGAGAACGCGTAGCGAGCAGATGCTACCATCAGCTCATGGAGCTTGGTCCCAACCATTGTACGGTACTCCTCTTGGTCTTCGGGAAGACCGTTCCTATTGCCGGGAGCTTCGCCCACATAGTACGAGCGAGTGAGATCGATCGCACTGAGAAAGTCGCCTCGTTCGACAAAAGCCAATATTCGATCGGCCCATGTGAGCAATGTTCCAACCTTCAGTTCATGTTGTCCCTGGAATGGCAATTAAGCAAGCGGCAGGACCCAAGAAACAGTTGACTTACCAGAATAAAGATCTTGCCTTTGTACACCCTGAGGCTATGCGATACTTCGGTAATGGCATCGGCGTATGACACGGAGCCGTTCGTAGTATGGCTTAGAATTGGTGAGACTAACGACCATGTGTCGAAAGAGACACGCTCCACTAGCCTAAATCCACGGATATCGTAAACTTCAAGTGTCGGGGAGGTCAGTATTATGACTTGCTATAGAATGATGACATTGTCAATACACGACCGGGGAAAGGATAGCGAACGAACGAACCCACATTGACGTTAAGCCACTGGATCACCAGAACATCGGTCTCAGTGGTCCACCTTCCAACCTCTTCGAAGGTAATTCGGCCCACTTCCACGTCTACAACCTTCCCAGTCCGAGCGTTCCGTGACTTCTGACGAACCTTTGTCTCAGATACCCGGATGAGATTGACTGTGTTCCCCCAGGAATACACAAGCATAGGCGACGTCAAAGCTGGAGGAGTAGATCCATTCTGTTTCTTGGCTGCATGACTATCAATGGGTGCACCGGGTATAACGCTCGGGAACCATGCTAATGAGCCCTTATATCGAGAACTCGACCGAGGTTCATCGTCTGCCTCCCGATGTCGTCGGTACCATGTCTTGGGAGAAGGTTTCAATCCAACTATAACCAACTTGACTGGCGTTAGAAGGGCTATTAGGTTATATGCATCGGTTGGATGAGGGGAAGTGCCAAGGGGTAGTGGACTCATTGAGAGTATCGTATTGGCTTTGCGCATCCTCCGTTTCCGAAAGGGCATAGCATGGCCTAACAATTCGTGTGGGTCCTCGTCAGGGTACTTGCCAAGGATGCGCAACACATCGGAAGCCTCCACAAAGAGGACCTTGCCTAGGCTATGGTAGAAAGCTAGACCAGTTTCGTCTGCGGATACGATAGCCGTGTGACGTCCGGCCACGAAACCTATACTGTTGATCCTGGAGCCCAGAAGATGACCTTCCTGCGTACCGGCTGCAACAGCAGCCAGGGAAGTTGGTGCAACAAACCGTGCCGATGTCTTGGGTCTACTGAGTTCAAAAAGCTGGATGTGACCCGTAGCATGGCCTGTTGCGATGTAGGTGTGGTCAAATGACAGAGCTAATGCAGTCACAGGTCCAACTAAGAGCAAAGTTGGGAATCCTTAGTTCAACATTTTGTATGAAGGGATAGACCGTACCTCGAGGGTCGTCACCACAGACACACCTCAAATTCTGCTTGAAGTCGAAGACGAGGATTCTTCCCAGGTCGGTACCGATACATACAAGGCCATTGGAAGTCAGCACCGTCGGCGAGCCAAGCGAAGGCGTCCCTAATATTGCAGCAGCTTTCGAAGGCTGCCTTCCATAAATGAAGTCCTCAACGGCCTTCAATCTTGTCCATCGAAAGACGTCATGGTGCTGCTGGTCATGACTAGTACCCGCAGTTGCAGCAGATTCATGAATATTGGCTGTAGAGCTGCTCCGAGATAGTGCAGAGAAGTGAGACTGAGACACCGATGGTAGATCTCTCAACGAAATTAATGTGTTGAAACTGCCAATGGAAGGCGTACGAGAAGCTTGAGGAGTGACCGACCGCAGACGAGATATGGCTGGGTGTATAAAAGGTCGTTCCATTGGAAGTAGTGCATAAGGAGCATGAGAGACTGTGATGGTGGGTGGTGATGAAGCGAAATGCGACTCTGGGGAGGCAGACCGTGAACCAGTACGCTGTTATGCAGCATGGCGTCCATTCAGTATAGGATCAACATGGACGATAACAGAACGACGCACCCTTGCTTCGTCATCTAGAGACGCAGCAAACTTCTCATTCTCCTCCACATCATGTACTAACGAACGTTCAACTTCGACTTCCTCCAGTTCATCATCTTCATGTTCAGGACCTAATACGTCGCGCAACTGCTCCTTGTATCCACCTTCAACGTGGTCTGCGTCGACACCATTATAGAAGAAAGCTTCCTCTTCGTCCTCGTCGTCGTTATGTTCATCGGTACCATTCTCTGCGTCACTCATGAGTTCATCGAAGCGAGTCGAATAGTCACCGCCGTGGTCCTCATGACTGTCGTCCTCTACGCCGTCATCCGAGAAGTCCGGAGGAGACGATGGACCATTAAACGGCGCAGTCTGTGCTCGTTGACCACCATTCATGAACGCGTAAGGTAAAGAAATTGAGAGTAGTGTATTGCCCGAGAGAAAGAAGGCCGGAGGAGGTGAGTGCGATCATTGAGCGCCAAGCGGCTATTCACTTAATAAATTCTTAACGTTCCGTCCATAATCGTAATACAGTAGTAGTATATCATCCGTTCGTAGGACGAAGAGCTAATGGTACAACATCAAAAACTATACAAGAGGCCAAATCCTCGTTTCTCAAATTCCATGAATTTCCAGACCTGCCTCCTCCAAGAGTGTCTTCAACTTATGCTCATCATGCATTTCATGGATATCGTCAGACCCGCCAATGGAGTCCGCCTGTTTGGTTAATGGATTAAAGGTGAAAAGATAGAGCATGACGCATACTATTGAGTACACATACCTGCACTAGAATATTTGGTACTGTCCTCCGACCTGTGAGCCTGCCTAGGAGACTCTGAATGACTTGTCCATCGGAACGGGTGTCGAGTTCTACTATGGTAGGTGCAGGTGATATCTGATAGCTTTCCAGCAATTTCTTTGCACTGCGCGAGAACCTGCATCCAGATGGTGTCAGAATCACAACCAATAAGGATGAGTAATTTACAAACGCACGGGCAATAGGTCTTACTGAAGACTATTAGTGGGTGTTCAGTGCGTAACGTCTTGAGATGTTTTTCCCAGTTGTCGTCGCCGTCAGGAGAGAAGACTCTGAGGTCAATTTTCTCTTCAGGATTGACCTTGACAAGTCCCAGGCCAGCAACTGCGATTGAGCCATCCTCCTCGTCCAATCGCTTATCAGGATATGCTGTCACGAAGTGCAACAGCCCATGAATCTCCTGTACTCTGATTCGTCTCTGTGCAGCTTCAGCTTGAGCCTGGGCCTTGGCTTCAGCTACCTTGCTGACACGAGAACTCGAAGGAGAGAAGCCGACGTCTTTCAGGCTGGAGGGCAAGGACCAGGATATACTGTCCGAGTGAGTACTGATGTAGAAGAGAGCACCCGCTGTGGCAAGGATCAAGAACCAAAGGATCCTGCGACGACGATAAGGTGAAGCCGGCTTGGGGGAGTTGGTAGATTTCATGGTGAAGTCAAAGGACAGATTGCTTGCAGTTGAGTCAGTGCCCAGTCGTGCAAGAGGTACAGTAGTGCCTGTAGCTTTTTCGTCTTGTGTAGACAGTATTCAGTGGTTGCTAACGTTCAGGATACGTATCAGTGTTGCGTGTCTAGCTGGTGAAATGTAGTCGGTAGCGAACTGAGAACTTAGCAAAGGGACATAGGCCCATGGGCGTCTGTTTGGGTACGATCGTTCTTCTTCAACCTCCAGCATACACATTCCGACACCCAACAACCTGGCAGCTTTCACCAGTGTACTACGCTCCTTTTTGAAAGTTCTTATCAGTGGTTACACTTTCGCACTCGATGGACAAAACCAAATCTAAACTCGCGGCATTTTTCGACAATGATGATGAAGAGACTTCGTTCCCAGTGCGACGGATATGAGCTCATTTATCTTCTGTACTCGCTTACCAACCGCTTTCTCTGCAACAGCAAAAACCTGTAGATGACCATAAACTTTCTCATTATACGCAAGGACTTGTGCGCAAGTCCAAGCGGGAAAGGGAGAAAGAGGCTGCGGAAGCCAAACGCAAGGAGGAGGAAGCCGATGCTGCAAGGATCTACGCTGAATTCTTGAATGCTTTCGAGGGTGAAGAGGCTGATCGTAAGAAGGGAGGATCGATGTTTGTGAAGTCAGGCCAAGAGGCCGTCTACACGCCCTCAGCGAAGCCACCCCGCGCTCCCAGGATGTTTGAAGAAACAGCAGCAGTACGTGTCAGATTCAATCGCTCTATTGAAGAGAGATGCTCATTACATTGTCTAGCCTCCCTCACCTCCGCCGCCGGTTCCCAAACCGAAAGGCAAACGTGCAATGGATTCGTTTCTTGAAGAAATCAAGAGGTGCGGAACGTGGCATCTTGCCCACTTTCAGTTCCGTTACTGATACAGGCTTCGTGAACAGAGAACAAGCAACTCGTGAATCGAAATATGGTCGACAAGGTGAATCCGCTTCCTTCGCAGTTTGACCATAGAAACTGATAATATTTTAGCTACTCATGGCCGGTCGGTGACAGCCTTAGCTGCATATGAAGGTCAAAGCGGAAGCAAGGATCGCGGGGACCCAGAGGTATAAACATTCTATCAATGCTGGCCTGCCCTCTTCTCATGACGTTTTCAGACTTCAAACGTCTTTGTAGCCAACCTACCCTCACACGTAACCGAGCAGAGTCTCGGATACTTCTTTGCTAGAGCCGGTCCAGTTGGCTCTGTAAGTCTGGTCACCATTTATAACCGAAGAATGCTGACCAGTGTATGTATGAAGGTGAAAATAATGTGGCCTCGTAGCGATGCATCACAAGGCGTTGGTGCAGAAATGACAGCATCCAGAAGAGCAAAGAGTACAGGTCTCAGTGGCTTCGTCTCCTTCATGAAGCGCAAGGATGCCGAACGCGCCCTTCGTGAGTTTGACGGCTTAGATTGGGGTGGTTCTGTCTTGCGAGTAGGCTGGAGCAAGGCCGTTCCTATTGCCGCCAAGCCTATGTATGGTGCGCACTATTCCCACACACCATTTTATCTACTCACTTACCAAACTCATTTCAGTTTCCAACAAACCTTTTTCGCCCTCTCGTTCAAGGTCAAAATCACCACATCACCACCGAAGCCGCAGTCGGGATCGCCATCATTCATCGAGCCGATCCCGTTCACGCTCCCGTGAAAGAGGACATCGTAGTTCCCGACGGTCACGTAGTCGCTCCTACAGCCGTTCACCATCTCCCTCGCGTTCTCGTAGGAGAAGGTCACATAGCCGGGGTCGTCGTTACGACAGTCGTTCACCACGTCATCGGAGGTCTCGTAGTCCATACGATCGACCGGACGAAGAAGACCAGGTCACTGATCAATTCCTTCGAACTGTCGCTGCTGAAGTAAGAGGACATGACACCGAGTATGAGGAGACTTTGCGAGAGAGGGAGAAGTCGAATCCGAAGTACGCGTTCCTACACCGAGAGGTATGTGTTCATCCATAGATCCACATTGCATGGTTTTTCTTATTACCCTTTGTTTAGCACCGCCGGAATCGGTACTACCGGTCACTTTTGGGGCAGAAGGAAGATATCGAGCCTGAGTTCGATGACGAAGTAAGCAGACAAACTACTTGACGCTGCTTCTTTACCTAACTATGTGATACAGGGCTACAACTCCGTTTACTCCACTGACTCTGCTGAAGAGTCTGAGAGGGAACGGGTACGGAAGAATGAACTGGGCAGACTCGCAAGAAGACGATTCGAGGCTATGCTTCGTGCACTCTCTGGACGCCGAGGCGAGATGGCAAGATGTATGGCGTTTAGCCTTGAGCATGCTGAGGCAGCTGCAGAAGTGGCCGATATCATCATTGCTTCGCTCTTAGTTGATGGTACTCCGGTTCCAAGGAAGGTCGCGAGGTTGCACCTGATCTGCGACATCCTGCATAACTCGGCAGCTCCGTTACCCATGGCTTGGAAATTCCGTCAGGAGTTTCAATCCCGTCTCGGGATAGTTTTCGATCACCTGTCCACCATTTACCATTCATTCCCCGGGCGTATCACAGCTGAGACGTTCAAGAAGCAAATCATCTCAGTCGTGGATATCTGGGAAGACTGGATTGTTTTCCCTCCGGACTTCACATCCGAACTTCGCGCAAGGTTGGAAGGTGCCACTATACAGGACAATGAACCGCAGGTGACCGAGATTACGACTGAGACCAAAGATTCCACCGCCGCTTTCGTATCAAAGTTCAAAGCAAGCTCCTTCAAGCCAGCAGCCCAAGTTGAGGAGGCTGCCCCTAATGTCGAGGACGAAGGCGAGCCCATGGATGAGGGAAGCGATATAGATGGCATGCCTGTGGACGATGTTGATGGGGAACCACTCCCTGCTGATGTGGACGGTGAACCCCTCAATGACCTGGACGGCGAGCCTATGGAGGACCTCGATGGTCAACCCATAGCAGATGAAGATGTTGATGGAGAGCCCATGGACAATGATCTTGATGGAGCTCCCGTTGACGTCTAATTATTTCATGTACATGTATCGATACATTTCCCTCATTCCATTCATGCTCTGCTATCGCTATCATTCTATTTCTTGTGTATTGTATTAGTGGTTATCACATCTTCTGCACCATTAGGTCATGCAATGAGGTATCAATTGTTCGCGGTTAGCTATGTAATCCCAATCCTACCCTTACAGTGCAAAAAAAGCAAAACGATGAATAACAAAGAAACTAGGCGTCACGACGACCGCGAGGGCGGGAGGAGGACATTTTGAGAATGGCATTCTTGGCAGCCTCGATAGCAGACTCAGAACCTGTTTCAATGCAACCGTTAGAACCGGGAATATTCAGTCGAGTCAGGCTGAAACTCACCAACGATGACGACAGTGCTGTCTTCGCGACTGACAGTAATATCGGCACCACTCTCGGCGCGAAGGCGAGCAACGTTCGCTCCTTTGGAGCCAACAATCCGAGGGAATGAGGAACGGTCAGGAAGAGTCAAGAATCCAACATGCGTCATCTTCTCGGCGTGCTCGACTGCATCCTGGACCAACTTGATAGCCCTGTCAAGACTAGCCTGATCGCGAGCCTTAAAAGTCCACTCGGATTCGCCTGCCTCAGCATCCTGGTAGTTCGGAACGACCTGCCATTGAGCCTCCACGGCAGGCGCGGAGTCGTCGGCGTCGTCAATACGAGCGGACGAGTCAGACTGAGGAGCAGGAGTGGGTGGAACGGCCGGCTTCTGGGGTAGCTTTGACTGTTCCACGTGGACACCGAATGAGCGCAAGGTACGGAAGAGATTACCCTGCTGAGTGACGGCGTAGTGGTACTTAAGAGGAACCGTGAGGCTACCAACAATCTCAGCTTGAGGAGGCTTGACTTGACTCTACCATCAAAGTGTGTTAATGAGCAATGTTTCTCCTTTGACACGAGAGGAAAATACCTTAAGCTCCTCAACTGCTTTTTCACAAGCCGCACGAGGACCAGACACCTTGACGAGGTTTGCAGGCTCAACGTCAGCCAAATCCGTAGCGTTCTCGGGCTCCCCCACAGATTGATACGAACGAGAACCAGGGAACTGGATCTGAGCTCCAGTCTTGGCCTGAAGGTCATTCAAGTGTTGACCACCACGACCGATGAAGACACGATGCTGTGCGGCTGGAATCTCGACACCGAGAACGACCCGGTCTCTGAGTCCAGCAACGGTCTTCTCTAACTCCGCCTTCAATCGGGCTACCACCTTGGGATCACCACGAAGGCGAACCTCGTCGGAGGGTTCACCTTGACGAGGGCTAAAAATGGACTATCAGAGGAATTATGACATTAAACACTGTGGATCACTCACAATCGGATGAGGCCAGCTTGAACCTTGGGGTCAGTAGGACCGCCGCTGCGAGCTATAAGGTCCCGCAAGCCTTGGCCACCAGCACCAATCAAAGTACGGTGGAACCTGCTCTCCACATGGACAGAGTCGGTAGTTTCCTCGGTAACCTGGTTGGAAATAGAGAGGATGGCGGCCTTAGCTTCGGCAATGGCAGCCTTGGTACCACGAACGGCGATGTTAGTAACGGAAGAGTCCTCAGAAGCCTTGTCAACATCAATTTGTGCGCCAGTGTTGTCCTTGATCTCATTGATAGTAGCACCAGACCTGCCGAGGATGCGAGCGACTGAGCGAGTAGGGACAGTGAACTTGATGACATTGTTGGATTCCTTCTCGAAATCGACAGCCTGCAGACGCTTCAGCATCTAACGCCTTGTAGGAGCAAATAGCACTTACGTCGAGGAGCTCCGACTTAGCACCAGCAACACCCTTCTTTCCTCCCTTGATGAGGACCTCGTCGGGCTTAATGGATTCCCTAGTCTTGCCCTCACCGTTCTCCGCAGACTCGCGAGGGAAGGTAATCTTGACACCGTATTTCTCCTCGAGGCGGATAACGTACTTGCCACTCTGGCCAATCAGTCCCGAATGATATTGGTGAGGAATCTTCAGGACTTCCGAAGTCTCATCGGCCTACACATAATATATTAGCTGACACGACGACCGGTAACTTTTGTGGACACGTACAAGCCTATCAGCCTGGGTTATGATGCGCTTCTTGGCTTCTTCAACGTTTTCCTTGCGACCAACAATCTACTTCGCTTCAGGAATGGGCCAGGATCATAGGTAAGTTTCGCTCCTTACCTTGACCTTGGCCTTCTGGTGAACGGCCTTCTTCTTCTTGCTAGTCTTCTCCTCCTTCTCGTCAGGATCAGTAGAGAAGTCGATCTTGACACCAAGGAGGTCACGGAGCTTGTTGACGCCAGCACCTTGAGCACCAACAATACGTCCAACGAATTCACGGTCGATCTCGAACTCGGTGACCTGATCCCAATAAGCAATGAGCAATTGGACTAGATAAACAACACCACGAGCACGTACGTAGCTGCTGACGATCTCGTCGTTCTTGGCATCCTCGACGATCTTCTGGATTTCCTTGACGGCGCGGTCCACGTCTTGACTGATACCGCGAACCAGAATGATGTCTTCGGTAGATGCATCACCAGCCTCGGCACCGACCTTGACGGACAAAGTCTTGTCTTCACCAATGATTCTAACAGACACACAAGTCGGATGAGCTTTGCTACATCACTGATGGTACAATCGGACTCACGCGTTAAGAGTAGTGCCATCTTTTCCGACGACGAATTCATGCCACTTCTTATCGACAGGAACGGTAGAGGTTTTGACATCGGCAGCATCTTTCGCCAGCTTCAAGATTTCTTTCTCTACGTCCTCGAGACTCTTGGACTTGTCAACGGGGGAAGGAGAGGCAGAAGGAGAAAAAGGATCATAGACGAGAAGGACAGAGGACTGTTCCTCAGACTCAGGAGGGAAGAAAACCAAGACGTTGTGCGCGTCATGGAAGCCCTTGATCCTGCACCGTTAAGAGCCGCATGAGTACTTGCGATAGTGAACGGACTAAAGGTGAACATACTTTTTCGCATTCTTGTTTGAGTTAACGATTCGGTGAACGAGCCAGTCAATGGCAACCTCCTTCGTTGCGCCATATAGCTTGCCGATCAAGGCTGAGACCTCGCTCACAGCAGCGTCAACTGCGGGTTTGTCACCAACAATGTCAACGTTCAAAACCTGAGCTTTCGCAACCGTGGCGGGGTGAGGGGTATAGACCGAAATACCAGGGTGAGCCGCGCTAAGTGTCTTGGGGTATCCAACACGATTCATGTAAGTGAGAAGCTGCCGGGAGACATTGATGGGGCCAGGAAGAGGGAACTCGTGAATGTAAGCAGAGTTGGCCTTCTCCATGACGGCACCCAAACCAGCTGGAAGATCAGCGGCTCGTCCGTAAACCGTTATCTCATCGCCGGGCTCTTCAAGCTTAGCGACAATAACTGCGCATTTGCTCTTAGCCATAATCTCCTCTGCACCCTTACCGGTAAGAAGCCTGTGCTGTCTCTTAGGGAGAGTCATCGTAAGTGACGTAACCTCGTTGGTAAAGTATTCCACTGCAGACTTGATGGAATCCACAACACGCACGACACCTTCACGTTCGCCGCTCACAGTGATCTCCCGGGCCGTCTGATTCAAAGTAAGTGACACATCGGAACCGGCTGCGGCCTCTTGGAATTTGCTGCGACGGGGAACAATGAAAGGAAGAATATGAGTAGGGATGTCACGGACGCGTTGGGTAGTGCGGGATCTCTTGGATGCAATGATCTCGTTCAAAAGAGCCTGAGCCTCATAAGCCAACGGTTGGGGACCGATAATAGTAATGGGGATCGTGGGCTCGTCCTCGTCATCATTACCAACCGGGAGAGGTGTCGCAGTGCGAGAAGGGTCAGCAGAAGCGCCATTGGCGTGCCCGTTTGTCTGAAGGGCTTCCTTGGGGGGAACGTCAATCTTCACACCGGTCTGGTCACGGATTTGTTTGATCGTAGATCCTTTGGGACCAATAATGGTAGGAATGGTGGAAGCCGGAGCGGGGAGTACCAAAGTAATCTATGGTACGGCTTAGCGCATCAATATATGAATTGTATAATGAGTGCATACAGTGGGACTAAGCAAAGCCAACAAAGTCCTTTTAGCCTTGTCAAGTTCCTTCTGAGACTCAGACTTGAGGAAGAAAGTGGTTTGACGGGACTTCTGGTTAGTAGATGCCTCGATCTTGACCTTGTACTGAGCGATGACCTGTCTCATAACTTCACCGAGAGACGTGGGTTTGCCATCCTTGCCTGCGGTGGAGAGATCGACGGCAGGAATAGTGAAAGACTCGGAGATCAATGGCTGCTTTGAAACGGTAGCCCTGATGCGAGGTGGAGCAGCACCCCAACCGGAGGAGGGAGTCTTAGAGACTGCAGCAGGCGCAGGTGCCAAAGATGGGAAAGCCTCAGCGGAGTCAGTGTCGATATGGCCATTTGAAGGTGCAGGTGCCGCGGGATTTGAGTCTACCAGAGAAGGGAAAGGGTCCGGAGCACCCTCGAGCTCATGCCTCCTCTAATTCACCGAACAAATTCAGATACTCAAATGTTCCACGAAGCATAGATGTACCCATACCTGGAGGTCTGCAGCGGAAAGGGCCATGATGAATGAGAAGTTACGGGTGTCCGAAGAGCACTGAGCCTAAGACGATATACCGGGCAAAAGAGCTCTTAGAGAGACTCCGTTGCCAATGAAATTAAGGTAGAGGAGAAAACCAAGATTGAATGTCGTCCTACTTCGACGACACTGAAGTTATACGTGGGCATGAGCGTCTGGGATCCGTGGGAATATATTCCCATATGCGTATTATGTCTTCATGCAAAGCAAGTGCATTGCATCCACATACAACAGTTGTTTGCTTTCATCATGCACATGTTCATTCACAAACAAGCCCATAGCAGTAACTTATTTCCAGGAGCCAAGAGATAAGGATTCCACCCAAGAGTCAAAAGCGATCGAGATCTCGGGATTCAATCCACACGAACCAATACCCTCACGATTGTGCTCGGAGGCCTCAGCTACGATTGAGGAGTGATATAACCGGAGTAACATCTAATGTACTGCCCTGAGTTCTGACCTATGTCACACCGCAAAGAGCTATATAGACCAGCTGGGTTGCCCCGCCCCCGTGCTGCTGAACGAACACAACTTTGTGATTGGCTTGTCATTGTACATTGCCAAACCTCCCGTCAAAGGCTTGAGAGAGCGTTAGTACTATGTAGACGTAATGTACAACACTAGGTGGACACCGTTCGAATTGGCATGCACAGCAACTGAAAGAAAAATTGATATCGGTCAAACACGAAAAGTAAGTATATGTAGCCAGACTTTTACGAGGATGAGGCTCAAGGAGTCTGGAACAAACGAGATGATGGAAGAGAGGGACTCGATGCAAGCGCTACACCCTCGGCTTGCTGCTATAATCATGACCGCGAAGGCTACGTGGCTCAACAAACTATTTCGCACCTCTACGAGCAACCTCTACATCTTTCTCTCACCAGCACTTTAGCTCGTGCTTATAGTGCCTTTTCTTTTCATCATACCTAGATATCCACTCTCGTTACCAAACGCGAATGCTGCGGCAACAAGTCTACAGTATTCTCCTGGCATTCCTCCTGCACAGCGGAGCTCTAGAAGCTAAAGAACCACAGTCTTTCCTTTCCGATACACTCGTTAGGAAGGACCAAGTCCAGAATGTACTTGAACATCAACCGGCGAAGGAGCCTCATTGTCAACAAGTAGTACGTCAACTATGCGTAGATGTACGCATTTGGCGTTTAGCTGACGGATCGGTTATCAGCCTACAGGGCCGATAGAGACCACACTTTGTGATTTCGAGACAGTCGAAAGCTACAACGACGAGTTATATACCCAGCTGCATGATCTTGTACAGACACCTTTCTTCAAGTACTATCGAGTAGGTCTTCACAAGCGAATGTGCAGTAGCTTGATATTCATTGGTTTGTTAGGCAGACCTATACCGAGAATGTCCGTTCTGGCAAGAAAATGGGTACTGCATGAATCGAGAGTGTGCGATAACTACTGTAGATGAGGTATGTAATACGTCAATGATTTCTTCTTCGTACTAAAGGATATGTGTTGCAGAGTGAAATACCCCCCTCTTGGCGAGCCTCAGAGCTCAGTAGACTCGAGCTACCGTCAGAAGATCTGCGCAACACAATTCCTGGCTGTTATTACCGCGATTCAGACTTCTGTTTCCTGGACGATCTGTCCGAAGGAGACTATGTCGACCTTACCGCCAATCCGGAGCGTTTCACTGGATATACTGGTCCGTCTGCACATCGCGTGTGGGCCTCAATATATGAGGAGAACTGTTTCGGAATTTCTGAATGGGCGTTGTCGTCGGCACCGAATCCTGCACCAGTGACATTGCCGGATTCCATGACGGGAGTGCTCAGATCCGAGGGAGCAGATAGCTCGAGGACATGTTTAGAGAAGAGGGTGTATTACAAGATTATTTCCGGTGCGTTGACAGTCTGTTGCTTTGACGTGGGTTTGTCCTTATTCATTGATCTACAGGTTTACATGCAAGCATCTCTACTCATATATGCTACGAATTTATGAACCAAACTACTGGAGAATGGGTACGTCAGGCCACTTCATCTTCATTATCATCATAGCGTAGACTAACAGCTTGTGTTGGTTTAGTCACCGAATCTTGAGTGTTTCATTAACAGGGTAGCAGCCTACCCAGAACGACTTCAATACATCTATTTCGATCTCGTGCTCCTTACGCGCGCCGTCGCTCGTATAGGTCCTTACCTCTCCGCCTATGACTACTGTGGTACCGGAACACATAAAGGCGATGACGACACCTTGAACCAGGTCAAGAACGTCATCGGCATTGCTCAGACTGTGGGCAAGTTCGACGAGACGGTGCTGTTCCGTGGCGAAAACGCTGCTGTACGTCAATCTCACCACCTTCAATAACTGAAAAGTACTTACGTCTTCGTGTCGGTGGCAGATACTCAAGGAAGAATTCAAGCAGCACTTCCGCAACGTCACCCGTATCATGGATTGCGTGGGGTGCGACAAATGTCGGCTCTGGGGGAAAGTACAGACTTCTGGTGTCGGTACCGCCTTGAAGATTCTATTCGAGTTGGATGAGAAAGCTCTAGAGTGAGTCGAGATGTCTATCCCCACGAGTTACATAGCTAACAGCGTTTATCAGTCCACACCTCAACTCTAATTTGTTGTCACGCTCCGAAGTTGTCGCCCTAATCAACACTCTTCATCGTCTCTCGGAGAGCTTGTACTTTGTAAACGAGTTCCGAAAGATATGGGCTGAGACTGCACAGTCGGAGGAGCAACGTCTCATCCATGAAGCTGAGAAGGTTGTTGCCAGTGAAGATGCTGTCAAGGTATATCTTTTTCTTATTTAACATATTCTATCTAGCTAATGATCTCAAACCTTCAGCCACCCAGTCACTCACCGTCAGCCGACGCCAACCGTCCACCTCGAGCATTCTTCGATGACGTCCAGCGGTGGCTATGGGCTTGCAGGAATGGCACAATGGACTGCGTGCGGGGACTGCTCTTGGGTCTTCGAAATTTGCTTGATGCTCTGACAAACATATTCAAACTTTCTGGGAAGGAGCAAGGACCACACAGCGAGTTCTGAGCTTCGCGATTATGGGTCAGATCTAATTTATTCGTTGAGCGGGATGGACTTCACGTAGCTATGTATAATTGATGCAATCTCGGAACATTTCGGTCAATTGTCGTTATATTTCTGTCTCCAGAGGAGAAGCTACGATGTCTCATGAATCTGAAGGGTGTTGCATGCAAGTACGAAGAAGATAGTGCTTGAAATGAGTTCAAAAAGGTCACCTCTCTGCCTGGGAGTCGAACCCAGCTTTCGCGCGACCCCGCAATTGAGGTTCCACTGACAGGCGCGTGTACTGAACCGATATACTAGCAGAGATCTGAGATCTCCTGGAATTATAACCAACGGGTCTATCAGACCTTTGTGAACACTCTTGAATCTTCACCTCCTCGCTGGATATTTTTGACTTTCTGGCGAGCACGCCACAGACAAATACACTATGGAAGATGGAATTATTCTGAATCTGGCGACTGAAGGCCCAGAGCTCCCTACGAAGTCTTCACATGGAAGAAATGGAAAGAAAGGTGGTCGGTGGACAGACAGGTGCGTATCACCTCTTATTCTGTGTACCACGCTCGATATACGGTCTTCACGTAGGTTGAAAGCCAAGCGTGGACAGAAACGAAAAGCAAGGTCAGATGAGAGCAGTCTCTCTACTGGTCGCACAAAGGTCCCTTCGACAGGACGGCCTCTCAAACGCGCTCGTAAAGAACCTTCAGCTTTACAAGCTGAGGATGCATCTACTCAGGAGCCGATTAAATCTACCCCTCGACCACATACACAATTCATATCCTCCCTATTCACCTCCAATCCAAAGCTGGAACAGCCAGTGCCTTCTGTTTCTTCCCATCCCTCTGCCAAGCCAAGCAATGCGCCTTTACGGGACTCTTCTACATTTTCTGGTCTCGGGCTCGACCCGCTAATAACGGCACATCTCGAGACCAAATTAAACATAAAAAAACCTACGTCTATTCAAAGAGCGGCGCTGCCTATATTACTCTCGAGCTCTGATGAAGATACCTCCTCACGAGATGTGTTCATACAATCTCAGACTGGTTCCGGGAAAACATTCTCATTCCTACTACCCATCATTCAAGACCTACTTCCATTGAGCTCCCTGTCGTATATTGATCGGTCCATTGGAACTTTGGCAATCATCATCGCACCAACACGAGAATTAGCCAAGCAAATATCCGATGTACTAGAGTCACTGCTCCAGCTTCGTCTTCGCGCCGCAGACGAATCAGCTGAAGATGCCGGATCTTCTGCACCACGTCTCACTCGTTGGCTCGTCTCTGGCCTCCTATCAGGAGGCTCAACGCGTACGCATGAAAAAGCACGTCTCCGAAAAGGCCTTCCCATTCTTGTCTCTACACCAGGACGATTACTAGACCATCTACAAAATACCTCTTCTTTCAACGTGGGTAAGTGCCGTTGGCTCGTACTCGACGAAGCCGATCGATTGATGGACCTCGGTTTCGAGGAGAGTATCAACGGTATTGTGAAAGGTCTGGACGGCCGACGGAAGCTGGCTATGCAAGCAGTGGAGGAAGGTAATAGTATGGAAGTCGGTGGATGGGATTGGTCACGACAGAGACGGACTATCTTGTGTTCTGCAACAATACGAGACGACGTGCAGAAGCTGGCTGGTAACGCATTGGTAAACCCAATCGTTATTAAAGCTCTCACGGACGATTCTTCCTCAAACCCTGATGTCGCTACTGGAGAGTCACTGGGTGACGTCGTCAATGGAAATACCAAGTTCACGCCACCGTCGCAACTAGCTCAGAAATACGTCGTCGTTCCGCTGAAACTTCGTCTGGTTACTCTCATTGCTCTTTTGCGTTCGCTCCTTGCTGAAGCGCAAGGGCGAAAAGGCACCAAAATCATCGTCTTCTTAAGTTGTACCGACTCTGTCGATTTCCATTGGCACCTCTTAGGCGGTACTTCGATGGGTGAAGATGATGGAGAAGCCGCTTCACCTAATTCAGAAAACGAAACGGAGGCAGCTGAAGCCGCCGACGTTGATGAGGAAGGGAAACCAAAGCCTTCAAAAGCGTCACGTCGCCCCGATGCAGAAAAGGTCACAATGAAATCTACTCTCCTCCCAGATACCGCCATATATCGTCTTCACGGTTCCTTACCCTTGCAGACCCGCATGGCGTCTCTACGTGGGTTCGCCTCAGCGTCTTCCCAACCCTCTACGTCCTCATCGATTCTTCTATGCACATCTGTCGCTTCCCGCGGTCTTGATCTTCCTCTGGTCAGAGCCGTCATCCAATATGACTTACCTACTGAGGGTGGCGCGACTGAATACGTTCACCGTGTCGGCCGTACTGCACGTGTAGGAAAGGGTGGTGAAGCTTGGAGTTTTGTTGCACCAAGTGAAGGCGAGTGGCCCAAATGGGCGACCCAGAAAATGCAAGGTGATGTGAAGGAAGAGGAGAATAAGAAGGAGGTTGGGTTGCAGGCGGTTGGATCGGAGGCGGTCCTGAAGAAGGGTTTCGGAGGGAAGGGGACAGAGTACGAGGAGAGAGCAACGGACGTGCAACTCTCATTCGAGCGATGGGTTCTGAAAAACCAATACGTGAGAAAGTTATTCTTCTGTGTTGTATTCTATCTCACTAACGGCACTCTGTCAGCACGCTGCGCTCGCTCGGAAAGCATTCTTATCGCATATACGAGCATATGCTACCCACCCCTCAGACGAGAAACACATCTTCCATGTGCGACATTTACATCTGGGACATCTTGCCAAAGCCTTTGCTTTACGTGAAGCCCCTTCAGCTGTCACGAACAAGGCTCACGGAAAGGGATCCAAAACAAAGTCGAATGTGGCTACCAATAAGAGCAAAAACAATCGATCGAAGGTGGTCGACTCCGATGGAGAGGTTGACGTTGGAGAGGCCGAGAAACGGATGGAGAAGGTTGTAAGGGAGCAAGGTCGCTTGACGAAGAAAGGAGGGAAAGTGGTCCGTACGGGAACTTCAGAGTTCCAGATTGCGGGAGGGTATGCCCTCGAGGCGTTAGTGAACGGATCGCGAACATGACTATCCCTCGCCTTCATACATTTTTTGTTGTTCAAACGTTCAGACTCCTTAGAAGTGCTCTCATCGCTTGGCACGGTCTTAGACACACTTGGAAGTCTTTACGCGATACCAGACAGCATCAGAAGTAGCTCTCGCAACCATTTGTCAATGATTGTCCCCTTACAAAACGCTTCCATGTTCTACTTCGCGGAATCATAGAAATGTTGCATATATATAGTTATCTTCCGAAAGACTGATAGAGGTACACATCATACTGCTACTGGTCAACGCCAACCAACTACCTGCAAATAAAATGAGTGAGAGCGTATTCGTTACAACATCCGATCAACCAATGGTCCGTGGCGCTAGCATACTACAAGTTCCGAGGACCTTCGCGTTGCTGAGGGTAGTTGAAGCGTCCTGCTCCGAAATGCGTATGAGCGGGGAGAATATCGTAAGTCGCGCTTTTTAAGTTGCCTGAGGTTGGCTCACGCTTCCTCGCAGTCCATGCTGCCACCAGCTCCGCAGCGCCAATGGACCGTCATCACTCGACTTAACGGTTTCATCCACGGTGTCATCCTCACTCGTATCTCCACCTGGTACTGCAAATGGACTGGCCTACCGCCACAGTCAAGTTGTATCTACTATCTTCCTTTCAACCTTGTACTCAAATACTCCCATGCCGTTCGGGAGGATGAGGCGGTCGCCCAGTCTTTTGCCCACTCAATCGGCTTACCAGCTCCTAGAGTCCTATCATATGGAGAACGTGAGGTATGGGATCACTCGATAAAGCGAAACTTCAGCTATGGGTCAATTCTGATGACACGTGTTTCTGGACAAGTCCTTGATGATTGCCATGAGTCTCTTGAGCCCTCCCAACTCGCATCCATCATGTCCGACATTGACAGTTGTCTTGCCGCGATGCGTCGTTATTCTAGCCCCTGGGGATCTCAGGTATGTTCTGTCCTTGGCGGCAGAGTTCATGGTGCTCGAATAGTAGGAGGTCGGAATGGTCCTTACCCGGATTCACTTGCGTTCAATCACGACTACATACAATACAAGCAAACTGAGCGCTGGGAACGCGAACCCGTTGAGGAGGTGTTGGGCAATGCGGAAATGATGAATACATTGAGTGCCAACCACCGAATCGTATTTACTCATGGCGATCTCCTCCCTCACAATATCCTCGTCCGTGATGGTCGCCTCACAGCCATCCTTGACTGGGAATTTTCAGGCTGGTTTCCGGAGTATTGGGAGTATACGGAGATGCAGAGGTTTAGTCCTCGATACTTCTGGAGTCAACAGGTCGTTGCGTTGCCCAGTTACAAGTACGCTGCGGAGTTGAAAGCGAGCCGAGCGATGTGGATCCTTGCGTCGGAGTCGTTTAATTGGTGGTAGATCGCGTCGATGCCTTTCATATTGTCCTCTGTATGGATCGATCTAGGGATTTCTGCTTTTATCTCAGACGGGTGCTTATCATCGATACCGAGGCGGCTTGCAAGAGCGTTCCTGTTTATTTTGGTTTTGTTAACGTGTTGCTTGACTCACGCACCTGGGTTACGGTTATGGCTACGCTCGCGATTTATCCTACGTAGTGTAGCACTGCGAGTACCATGACAAGAGAGACTGCAGTGTCCGAAGGCGAGTGTTACAGTGCACAGGTAAGGAGGTCATCCTGCAGAAGGATGCTCCGGGGAAAGATGAGGCTGGCGTGCAGATCCAATTTACAGTAAGGCAGATTCCGACGACACGTAAGATGAAGATCTGCAGAAATGGTGAATGACGGCAAAAAGGAACAAATGTGGTCTGCGATTAAGTACATCTTTTACGGACTTGGCGGCTATTGACATCGTACTAAGATCTGATGACTACGGTATTTTGCAGGTGAGTATGGGTGTCCTCGTAACATGGGCGTACAGCTGAGTCCTCGTGTGGTCATAGTAGAGGGACAGCTTGGATAAAGTAAGGTGCCGTCTTTGCGTATTACTACGGTACACTGACAACACAGTTCAGTCAATTTGAGGCAGCCATCTTGGCTGAGATACCTCGAAGATATTATAAAGTGCAAGATTTAGAGTCGACAATTGGACGTGGCTGTTTATTCTGCTCCGTCTCCTCGAAGTAAACAAGGCCGAAGTCAAAGACTTCCTGCTCCAGAGCCTGAAGATCGTCGCACCTCACATGTCCTCCATCAATCAAAGCCTTGAGTCCGTTGAGGACCCAGATACGACATGTCATTGTTCCGTCCTCGGAGATGTAAGGGATATCCTGCAGAATTTTCTGGATCCTGTTGTGGTTCATGCTGGGCACTATGGCGATCCGAAGACAACCAATGAGGAGAAACTCCTTCATGAAGTTATGCGTTCCCTCGATTTCGAGGATCCAGCCTTGTCCGAGATTTCTGATGTGGTACTTCGTGCCGGCATGCTTGCTCTGGTGAAGGTAGAAACCCCAGTGGTATTTGTGTGCCCCTCCTTGATATCTTAGCCAGATATAGAGGCTGTCTGGTATCAAAGACATTGACCTGTAGTATGTCAGTTACTGCTGACATGTTCTAGCTATAGAGATGGTCTACCGTAGTACAAGTGTATAAGTGTTTTCTCGATTTCCGATGGGTGCTTAGACACGTTGCTGCTGGTGATGCGCACCGCAGGGAGGAAGCAGAGTGAGAGAGACAGAAGGATGAGTTAAAGGAAGAAAGTCAAGTCGCGGTCGACGAAGTGGCCATTGGGGACTGGCAACACGGCATGCAAGAAACCCTCTGCCGTTCGCACAGACAGGGCACAAAGAGACGGACATTTTTGGCAGCCATTTCGTAACGAAATGGATATGATGGCGATCGATCGACCACGTGGGAGATAATGCCACGTCTCTTGTAAGATTGGCCGACAGTTGTAACCAAACTACATATTTCTTCCCTCTCTCGTCAACATGTTCTTTGGTCGCATCCTGGCTGGCTTCGTTGCCGTGACCGTTGCGGCATTTTTTTGCGCACAATCCGTTGAGGCTGCCAAGGGTCCAAAGATCACTCACAAAGTCTTCTTCGATATTAAACATGGTGACAAGGACTTGGGTCGAAGTACGTGTTTCCATTCTGTTTTCCTTTCCATGCTCACAATCCTCAATCTATTCAGTTGTGATCGGGCTTTATGGTGGAGTAGGTATCCGTCTGATACTTGCCACAATACTCTCACCGTGTTTCCGCTCCTAGACTGTCCCCAAGACCGTTGAGAACTTCCGTGCATTGGCAACCGGGGTAAAGAAGGACGGCACTAAGCTGCCTGATGGTTTCGGTTACAAGGGCTCCAAGTTCCACCGTGTCATCAAGAACTTCATGATTCAGGGTGGAGACTTCAGTGCGGATATACCGTTTCATACTGTTTCATTGCATAAATTAATACCTTCTAGCTCGTGGCGATGGAACCGGCGGAGAGGTATGATTCAATCTCTGTATTGACTACTTGTCTCTTGCTTAAGGATGACTTTCAGTCCATCTATGGCAACCGATTTGCGGATGAGAACTTGTAAGTCACTCTGCAGTACTCATGCTCGTAATTTGTTCAGCCTCCATACAGTAAGCTCCGTCACACCTCACCCGGTGTTCTTTCCATGGCGAACGCCGGTAAAGATACTAACGGTACGTTCCTCTCATTCTATTTTCTATCCTAGTCACAAACTAATGGATGTGACAGGCTCACAATTCGTACGTTCAATACTAAATCACATCATAATTAATCTGATTGTTCGACTAGTTCATCACTACTGCTGTGACTGGCTGGCTTGATGGCAAGCATGTATGTCCTACACCACATGACATTTGTGATCCCAACTAAACCTTCCCTGACAGGTCGTTTTCGGCAAAGTTGTTGAGGGAATGGACATCGTAAACACGATCGGTATGCTGATTCTTTTTTCTCAATTTGTGCTACAACTAATCCCTTGATCTTCAGAGGATGTCGCGAAGGGCAGGAACGATAAACCTGTTGAAGATGTCGTCATTGTGGACAGCGGCGAGGTGCGCTCTTTTGTCTCTCATTTTCATCTGGTTATTGATGTATTGTCCATCGAACTCGCGAATGAACAGCTCCCCGTCGAGCCTGTAGTAGATGAGAGCGGTAATGAGGTGCCTCTTCATGCTGAGCTATAAAATCAGCACTTGTTTCTGATACAATTTTCCGCTTTTTTGTTGCTTGGGTTCACTGCTTGTTGCTCCTTACCCCGTCGCCAATGAAAACAAAACCTTGATACATTTGCTTTCGTCCTCCAGACCATTGTGTCGGGAGCCTCCGGTACCCCACGTACCCCAATGTCTCAATCGACACCAGACGCGACACACGTCAGACCCGCAGAAGACATATCCGTTCCTACTACCCCCGCTTCCTCAGAACAGGACCAGCAGGACGAAATTGAGGTGCCAGTCCAAGAGGAAGGCTGGGACTTCTTTAATTACATTCTTTCCATTGCAATCGTTGTCGCTGTGGGTTTGCTTCTCTGGTGGATGGGTGCCGGACGGGCGTTCAAGACGTTCTATGAACGACGTGCGGGGAGAGGAAAGTATAGACGGGTTGATGACTTGGAGAAGTAAGCATATAGTAAGACTGGCGGAGTTCCTTTCATTCGTTTGGTTCGGGGTGACCCTCAGAACATGCGGACTAATACAATTATACCTGCACATTCTGCGTTGGGTCATGAACTTGCAAGACTAGCTAGGGGCCAGCCTTAAGGCGGTCTCGACCACCGTGAATTCCCTCGTCGCTGCAGCTAAGTATCCTTATGATAACAAAGGGTGATGATAGACTCAAACGCCTTCAGAAGATAAGACCGGTGAATCCTTCCATTGTTGGATCAGAGAAGCATGTCGGCGGCGAACGGTCAAGTTGCTCTCATTTCATGAGTAAGAATCACCAATGCCTGCAGTGATGAAGGCACACAGGCAGGCTGTGACTACCGGGTCTGTCGCCCCAGTTCGCAGCACTGAATTGTCACTAAGATAACTATCGCCGAGTCTCACATTCTTCCCGTTGGCGGTCCATATGCGTTTGATACGAACGCACAGAATGCATGGATGCCACTCTTATCTTGAGAGTCATGAGTTCTCGTTAATGAAAGTATTGGATATATCATATATCGGCAGCACAGCCCGCCGAAAGCATTGCAGGTATCTAGTCGTATATAAGGGAGAGAGTCGTGCAGTAAAAGTCAAGCCTCTCCTCTCTTACGCAAGGTGAGTTACCAACTCTTGTTGAAGTCTCGTATTCACTCACCCAGCACTCTGGCGACCACAGTTTTCATCATGCGCTTTTCTGCCGTCATCGTTGTCATAGCTGCCCTCGTCGCCTCTGCCATGGCCAACCCTTCACCTTGCGGTCCTAGCACACCTCCTGTCGATATAAACGACCCTTCAATTGATAAGCGTCAATGCGGAGTGTGAGTAGACCTTGCATCGTTCGAGTTTTGAACTAATTGAATATTTACCGATTGATGTCTGATTTTACTGGCAGAACAATCTGCTGCTAAGTCGTCAGCAATCAACACAAGGGCACGTAACGATGCGTTGTATCAGCGGTCGACAAGCTTGTATATCATATGCAAATGCACATTGAAAATATTGTGACTCACTTCAAAAATATTACAGTGGAACCAGTCAACTGAGTATTATCTTCATACAATAAGCGGTCTGGAGAATTATCTAGAATGGTCACTCAAAAATGACAAGACCAGCTTCACTCATGTCCTGCAGCGCCTGCTTGACGGGCATCATTGTCTCGCGGAATTGATACCCAGAAAGACTCTCTTCTCTCCCAAGTCCATCCCGTAGTAGGAAGCGGAGTCGTCGCAGGCCGTGGGTTTGTTGTAAGGATGACAGTATGTTGCGAAAGCGGGCCCACGGCGAGACAAGGAATAAGTATTGGAGAAGTTCGAGATCGGGTGAGACAACCTCGAGGTCAATGGTGATAGACAACCCGTGGTCTTTGGATGTGAGCCGACATGCGTGAGCGGAAGACGAAAAGAATGTGAGGATAGAGAGGATGGCCGGCATTACTGCCTGAGGTAAGTTGGGTAGTATCGAGGGGTTTTCCACGACGCAATGCAATTGTAGGTGTGCCAGCGCACTGCAAGCGTCGAAGTTGATGCCTGCCCAAAGAGATGATGGATCTGAATAAACAGAGATATATGCAGGTTAGCGTAGGTTCGGCATTATAACATGACATACTGACCGTCTATGACAGTACCTAAGAATCCCATATACAGGTAGTGCGATATGTACTGCAATAAACCGCCGAGATGCAACTCATGAAGACTATTGCTGGCCGAGACTAGGATTTTATTCAGTTCGGTGAATGGGATATCATCCAATTCGACATGAAGGGAGGACAGCGAACGGAGGTCAACGTGATGGCCTTCGGTCCAGAACAAATCATTTAGGAAATCTCCTGTGGTTCCTGCACGTATCGTCAAGCGTTGAAGATCCGGAAATCGAAAATGGCCTGGAGGCCTGATCATAACGTAACAACAATCAAGGCAGAGCGTCTCCAAGGAGGAAAGCAACCCGAAAACATTATGTGGATATATATCGTGTCCAACACGTACGTCAAGGCGCAGAGTTAATGTTTTCAAAGCACGGGGAGAGGTAAACTTGTCGTGGTAACGATTATTCCCCGTGGGATCCGATTTAGATTGTACCATTCTGCAAGACAAAAGCAGGTCCTCTAGGTTGGTGAAGAGTTGCAGCACCTGCTGAAGAAACCCGGTATCAATGGTCGGCTGGTCGCTATATAAGCCATATACGTCGCCGCCTTCGACGCACACGTGTCTAACACTTCGACAAGTATTAGGAGATAGCTCCTGCAAGCGTCGCAGACGCGGCAGGAAAGATAATCTCTGTGTGCCATTGTCTGCACGGGCAGGCTTCAGCGTTAGCTCCCTAAAGCTGTAAAGCCTTGCTCTAGAACACCAGGAACGGCTGATGAGGCTGAACGAGCGCAAAGCTTGCTCGTCCTTTTGAAGGAGGTCAATGAACATATCGGTGATCTCTACCGGAAAGATCGCTGAGGAGTGGCTGTGACCTTCCATATTGTCCAAACTTTGAGATACCGTAAGATGACTATTCCATGTAAAATGAGAAAGGTACTGGACCTCCTATGCAATGAGGTGGCAAGTGGCAAGTGGTAAGAGCTTAAAAAGCAAAGTTGGGGGAGGCCATCACATTTGAACATCGATCATTCCCTCGATCGCTGCTTCGAGATCACAACCTCCATCACGATTGACGTTCACGTTCAACTTCAACATCGTTAAAAAATCTGTTCAGTGCAGTATGGCTTTTCCTCTGGTTGCAGCATCACCCATTATATGAATCTTTCATTGCTATACAAAGGCTCAATGAAGGAACAAGAATCAAGTGCCTAGGCCCGTGAAATCAAGAGTCTTCTCTTCCGTTCCGGCCCACTAGTAGAGCCACTCTTTATTTACGAATAACTCGTCAGTACTTTAGTGCCGGTCAGTTCTCGTGTTTACGCAGCCCGTATATTCATTCACTCGATTGTTTATGACCAACAGCGGTGAGATTTAGAGATAGATAAGTACTGTGCGCTGGCGGGGTGGGCACTACTGCCACTAGCAGTACCTCTTAGCCTCCTTGCGAGGAGTATGTGGATCGGACCATACCCCGACTGAAATATCACTGTTCAGATATGCTCGGTATAACTCTACCCCCGCGATGACTGACGAGAATGGTTGGGCTCCTTCTCGCTGTTTTGGGTGTCCGGAACTGGGTTCATGATCATTGGCATGGCGATGAAGACTCCTTGATGGCATCCAGCACACCTTTACGAATGGGCGTACATCTTTCTGCTTTTGTCATGACCGAACGTAGGTTCGGTCAATTTCTTTGAATGCGATCATGTCAAATGCATCAAGTTTCGGTCAATTTTGATTTTCATCACACTGTGATGCTCAGAACTTTGGACATACCGGTTACACTCTTTCGCTCCAACTGCGTCTCAATATGAAGTAATTTTACGCCATTGGAAGGTCTTTGGAAGAGAAAGTGTGTACTCATCGTGATTCAGATCAGGTACGTCACCAGGGGTTAAATGCATTAGGTTTCAACAACCGTTTATCCCCTTTCGTAGTTGATTGTATGCAAGAAAATTGAACATTCTTCGCAAGACAGCGGAGCTATACATGCTAGTGTGCCTGCTTGATTTGAAGTGCAGATGGTAACTTTACAATTCTCCCTTCGGGCAACAAGGTCAAGTCCTCTTCAACGCGATGTCACCTGAGGTGAACTAGAAATCACAGCTCATGCTTTCGCAACAGCTCTTGCCTGATCAACACGCTGACACCTACCACGAAACAGAGATCGGCTAGTTGTCAGATATCACCAAGGTTCCATGCGTGCATCAGTGGCAAGATGTCGGCATGGAGATATCACTTCCAAGGATGTATGGACATGCATTACTCACTCTGTCTGAGACTAGAATTGACTTCTCTTGGATATAAATAGAGGGTCTCTTTCTCGAAGGAAACCTCAGCTCTTCCTCCTTTTCGAGAGCCACTTCTCCAAGTCTAGGTGCTGGTTGGTATGTGGTTTCATGATTTTTTTTTTGCATAGAATCCTCGCTGACCTCCACGGCTACACTGCAGCCTGACTTTTGCCCTTCTTCATCGTTCCCAACTGTCACGACATTCACGACACACTCTCTTTCTTCATCCTTTGTCCAACGACCATACTATCCTCATCATGAAGTCTACTGCCGTGATACTCGCCCTTGCGCTCACATCTGTCCCAGCGTTCGCTTCGCCTGTTACGTATGGGATTGTCCGTTTTACTATATGTTTCATTCGTTAAATATCTCTCAACAGCCGTTCTGACAGTGGGGAACTCCAGGCTCGCGGTGGCGGCAAGAAACCTAAGAGTAGCGGAGGCGGTGGAATCTCATTTGTACCGTTTCAAATCCCCGTTCCTCAAGCACCACCACCTCCGGCGTTCTTACCTCCGCCGCCCGCGCCAGTTCTTCCTGCACCTGCAGTACCGGCGACGTCATCACCTACACCAGTTCAGCAGCGTGACTTCGCAGAACTAAAGACCAGGAAGAACACTGCAAAACCCAATGTACCGAAACCAGCCAAACCCGCTACAGATGTGAAACCACCTAAGTCACCAAAGACTGGAGGTAGTAGCAATTCCTTTGGTGGATTCCCGAGCTTCATACCTTTGCCTATCCCGCTCCCTCAGCAACCACCTGCTCCGGTCTACTTACCTCCGCCTCCGCCTCCTCCTGTCGCACCCGCACCCCCTCCACCAGCTGCACCTGCGCCTCCACCGCCCGTCCAAACTGCACCCACGCCTGCAGCGCCTGTGGGCCCCACGGCATCGGTCACGCCACCTCAGAGGAGGAGGCTTGAGCAGCTTCTTGCGCGAGGTGGGAAATCTAAGTCAAAGAACAATATTCAAATTCCTTCGCCTTTTCCCGTGCCTCAAGTTGCCGCTCCTTACCCTCCTTATCCCGCACCATACCCGCCTCCAGCGTACCCGCAGCAATTCAGGCGGGAAATAGAGGAGCTCCTAGCTCGAGGCGGAGGGAAGTCAAAAGATAAGACCGGGTTTCAAATTACATTGCCCATCCCAGTTCCAGTTCCTCAAGGAGCTCCAGTTCCAGTTTATCCTTCTGCTTACCCCGCTCAATTTAGACGTGAGCTTCTGGAACTCATCGCGCGCGGTGGAAAGTCAAAGAACAGGGGAGGGTTGCAGATAAGTTTCCCGATACCAGTGCCGATGCCTGCTGCGCCTCAGGCGTACCCCCAAGCGTATCCCCAAGCGTATCCTCAGGCAGTACCTCAGGCAGTGCCCCAGGCAGTCCCGCAGGCGGTTCCCCAAGCCGTCCCTCAGGCGGTCCCTCAACAGCAAAGACGCGAGTAAGTGCTCCGCTGAGTGTTCTCTCTTGACATCCTCTCACAAGTTGATTACTTCCAGGGAAGTGGTCTCAATTGACGATCTTGATTGAACGAACTGAATGTTGCAGCGTGTTATTAGTCCCTACTGTTGTCGTTCATTCAATTGTACAGTAGGAACGGTTGACAAGGACGATTCGTACACGTTTTCTGACACCCGGGAGAAAGTGAGAATGTCATATACCGCCGGGGATTCAGGGCTCGCGCATTGCATAGACGCTATACTCAAGAAGTACGAAATGAGGCGCTACGAAAGTCCAACTCTGTTGTGAAGTTACAAAGATATCATATCGAGCAAGCCAGAAGTGCCAACACAAACAGTAATGACAACACGGCTCGAGATGGTATAGATCCAGTGAGTAATGCTGGGGCCCAACTCGTGGTGGTATCTGGGCTACAACAGCATGGAAGAGTCAGCTTGGCGTACGAATTACAGAAATGGTAGACGCACGGTATTCCGTTCTGGTCGGAGTAAGACGGACAGGTATCGTTAACATTTCCCTATAAGAAACAACACAATTCTGTCAAGAAAATCGAACGTCTTGGAGCTCAAGAACGCGTTGACGCACAGTAGGATCTGCCGGACAGCAGACACTAGAGCCGTCGTCAACACTTCCGAGGGCAGCGTTCTGTCTCGCCCCCGCCCAACCCTGTAAGCAAGATACGGCTTCGTAACTGACGTTCCAGACGCCAAAGTCCTATAACAAGCTCAGAAGTCACCCTTAATGAACGACGCGTCATCTTAACTTACGGCGTAACCTAGAATCCGTGCCTTATGAGATATGAGTTGTAGGAGAATTCCAGAAGTCCTGACCGTAAAATGAAACGTTTGACGGGAAAAAATCATCGGGTATAGCAGGAGATGGCCAAGCAAGGTCGAAGTTAATGAATTCTCCGCCACTATGCAATTCAGACGAAAATGGTACTAAGTAGAAGTTGATAGTTGGTGATGAGTACTTACAGATTAGCCTTATCAGAGGTCGCAGAACACCAGCCATTTCCTCCCGTAGGACAAAGGTCAGTCACCTTCACCACCAAGCTCTTGTTTACATCCGGGAAGAAGGGTGGGTCACTTGTGAATGTGTTAAGGAGAGTCAATTTGAAACAACGACCGCAACCAGGACCATATGCTGTACTGCTGCCAAAGGCCATCTGGCTCATGGCAACGGTCGGGTAATGCGTGCTTGCGGCAGTACATCCACAGGCGGCGATGTAGTTCTGTGGTAGCGTGTAGTGTGTCATCGTGGCGTTGCCATTTGGAGGGTATTGTATCCATGCCTGGACTAGGGGTATAGAGCAGAGGGTATATAGTGCAGCTAATACAAGACAGTGTGGCAGTAGAGAGGATAACATGGCTAGTAGTGCAAGGAGCGTATTGGAAGGAGCGTGGAATGACCTAAGCCGCGCACATGGAGCTGCAGCGTTTTGGAGCCCTGAGGCTAACACTGCATTGAGTGAAATTAACTTCGGGGACAACTATAAGGCGAAAGGTTGTTGCTCACCATGTACGTCGTTGTGGTCGCTGTTCTAACTTCTCAGCGACAAACTTACTTTCCTGGAGCCTAGTGAACTTGGAAACGCAAGTGATCGCGATCGCGCTTGACCGAATTTGGCAAGGGCGGCTGCAGTGTCAGGAGTCCTGTGCGCCGACAGAACACTGCTACTTCGCCATTCGCACGGTCTTCAACGTCGTGTAGCTCATCGAGCTCGCCCATTTCACCCCCCACCGACGCCTTGCTGCCATGAAGGCATTATACCCTGACTCCCATGACCTTGAAGGTCTCTCGGACCAAGCCTTGGCGTTGAAAATCGCCCGGTACTCCCCGTGCACCAAATGTTCGTGCCGAGGACTTCGACCTCCTGTAGGTTGCCAGGTAGTATCCGAGAGAGATTACCACGACGAGATGGAGCTCCTTGGTCTCACACTAGACATCTTTGACGAAGATGATGCAGAGGCGGGCGTAGCCTACCTGGAAATTTGTAACTGTGGTCATGGCGTGCCCGATCATAGCGCCGATGAATCTCTTCTAGGAAGAGATGAGTTCCTTCGAAGAGCTCGTGTAGCTGCCCGCATGGACGAGCTGCGTCAGGTCTGTGTCAGTTTGATTTTTCCTGTGGAAATAGACTAACACAATTACTTGGCTGCTCCAGGTGCGGAGTTTGAATTTGTATTGTGATCAAGCCGTCGTCTTTGTGCTCACAATAACTCTAGGACATACACCGAACTACTGATTTCGACTACACTAACCAAGATCTGGAGTCTTTGAAGCGTCAACTGGTACACCCAGACGCAGCTCCACTTCCTCTCACAGACACTTTCGGTACGCAAAATGCATTCAACACACAAGGCCACCCGTTGACGAGCTGACTTCCAGGTGAAGGAACGTCACCAGGAAAGCGGATATTCTCTCCTGCTCTATCGGATCTTAGTGACGGCGCATTCGAACCGCCAATGAACGGACCACCACGCAAGAGGCAACGCCGGTCATATTCGTTCTCGTCTTCATTAAGTGAGGAACCCTCGTCGTCGTCGGACGAGGAGGATGCTCCTTTGGCCAGGCAGCAGAAGGCCCTTCCCCGCAAGAATGGTAAAGGCAACGCCCCCCGAACGACTCGACCAACGGGACGTCGGACAGGTGGAAAGGGTATGAAATCGAAAGCCCATACAGCTCCAGCACATGTGGCCCCACCCACGGATCAACAAAGAGCGGATATGACAATACCTCCTAGTAACGGCATGAACGGCCACGAAGCCAAAGTCAAAGTAGAAGACAAAATGGACGAGTCGCAACTGACAAGACTGGCCTCTGGTGTCACTGTCGATGCAGGTGGTGCAGTCACAGCCGATGTAGGTATCAATTATATTCCACAATGAATGTCTCACTGATTTTCGCTTTGTTATTGTTAACAGCCTGCTACAAAAGCAGAGAAGCCATCACAGATCGAACTTAAAAAAGGTCTCATCAAGGTCGTTCCGGTCGAGAATGATGGGCAGCCTCGGTCTCTGGTAATTCTCACGGGGTTGAAGACACTGTTTCAGAAACAACTACCTAAGATGCCCCGAGAGTATATCGCGCGGCTGGTATATGATGAGAATTCAAAGTGCCTAGCCATCATCAAGCGAGGGTTTAAAGTCGTCGGAGGCATTTGCTATCGCCCATTTCCACACCGTGGATTCGCCGAAATCGTGTTTTTTGCAACCAACTCGGTGGATCAGGTCAAGGTGCGCCTTATCGCAGATTCGAAATCTCACTAAATCGCCTTCTTACATCTGGTGCTCAGGGATACGGCGGAATGCTCATGGACCACTTTAAGGCCCATATCCGCAATACATATCCAAACATGAACCATTTCCTCACCTACGCAGATAACTATGCTGTAGGTTACTTCAGAAAACAAGGGTTCTCGAAAGAGATCACTCTAGATCGGTCGATCTGGGCTGGGTACATCAAGGACTACGAAGGTGGAACCATCATGCAGTGCACTATGCTGGACAAGGTCGATTACCTACAAACCAAAGATGTCATCGTGAAACAGCGAGAAGCCATTTTGGAGAAGATCAGGGAAAAGTCGAGATCCCATGTCGTGTATCCAGGATTGGATTGGTGGAAGAAAGGGAACACTGGACCAATCGATCCTAAGGATGTGCCAGGATTGCGTAAGACCTTTTCAGATTTGCTAGGTGGCCCTTGATTGAGCGACGGTGTCGTTTTGCAGGGGAAAGCGGTTGGTCACCTTCTATGGTTGCCTTGTAAGTCGCCAATGTGGTACTCCTCAGTATCCGTACCTGAGCTGATGTTGAATGACTAGAACTATGCGTCCAAATGCCAAGAGTCCTGAACGGAGTGCAATGGAGACAATATTATCCGAATTGCAATCACATCCACTTGCATGGGCATTCCTACAACCCGTTGATCCCGAAGAAGTCCTAGACTACTACGACTATATCAAAAACCCGATGGGTAAATCTTGTTATACTCCCTCATCAATCAATCTTCTGATATGATTTTACAAAAGATTTCAGCACCATGGAGCACAAACTCGACACGAACCAATACGCTACTCTGGACGATTTCGTCGCGGACGCCAAGCTCGTCTTCGAAAATTGCAAGCTGTATAATGCGGAAGATACCACGTATCACAAGAACGCCATCAAGTTAGAGAGGTTCTTAAGGGATCGGGTGGCGAAGTTGAAGATCAAGAGAGAAGAATGAATGTTGAGTGCTGGGCGGTTATACTCGGTTGGAGTTTCCTTGATGTGGACGGTGCCGACCAACTAACTTATTATTAGTCACATATACTTCATCTCATCTGTACCATACACATCGCATGCTTAGTTTGTACTGTATAATTGTACTGATCGCTCCCAGGCGCTTTGGGTCTACCTTCGTTTCATGATGGATACGAGTTACAGCTGCAATTGTAACAGACTTAGAGTACATGAAATGGATGGTACAAGATTACAAAAGATGAGAAGGGGTCCCGTCTAACTGACAACATGATCGGACTCTGTACTTAGCGTTGACCATCTACGGGACACAGTTAGATGATGCATGGGAGATCTCAGTTTGGATACTTACAAGCCTTAGTTGCCCACTTGCCGATGCCAACGATGACGTTGGCGGGCTCTTGTTCCTTACCCTGGAAGTACTTCTCAAGGATGGACTTGGTACCAGCAGCGTATCTCTGCTGAGCATCCAAAGTGGTACCAGAGTAGTGAGGAACCATGCCGTTTCCACCACCGAGAGGGTTTTTCATGGCCCTCCAAGGGTGGTCCTTAGGTGCGGGTTGGACGTCCCACACGTCACCAGCGTAGCCTTTGCGAACAAGTAATGAGACCGAGGTGGGTGGTTTATATATTTAAGTTAGATACTTACCACGAAGTTGACCGCTCTTAAGTGCATCAGCGACAGCAAACTTGTCACAAATTGCACCACGAGCAGTGTTTACGAGCCAAGCACCGGGTTTGAACTTCTTGAGGAGGTCAGCGTTGATAAGTCCACGAGTGCCCTCGTGCAATGGACAGTTGACGGTAACGACATCACATTGGGAAACGAGTTCCTCTACGGTGTCAATACGGCGGGCTCCAACGGCCTTAGCCGCCTCTGTAATCAAACAAAAATAGTATCAGTGTTGTTGCTCCGACTCCAATGATGGTGCAGCGTGCCTTCGGGAAGAGGGTTGTAGTCATAATACACGAGCTCTTTCGGGTTGAAGGGAAGCACACGTTGAAGCACGCGGTGCCCGATACGACCGGCACCGATCGTTCCAATAACTTTGCCTTCAAGGTCAAACGCGTTACGAGCAACCTGAGAAACGTCCCAGTCGCCACGCTCGATCATCTGCAGAGCTATTCTCAGCAATGTGATGTAACACGAAGGGAGACAAGACACACCTCATGTGCAGGAACGAAGTTCCTGACGAGCAAAAGCATGTTCATGACAACGTGCTCCGCAACGGAAGTTACATTCGAACCAGTGACTTCAAGTACTTGGACCTTCTTGTCAATGGCCGTATTGAGATTGATGTGATCTGAGCCGACACCAGCCGTGACGCAAACTTTCAAGTTCTTCGCCTATACAAATCACTGGTTCAAGGAACTGTGAATATGACAAATGCAAAGAGAACTCGCCTTGTTGAACACTTCAGGTGTAACATAGCCCGGATGGAAAGGTGTGGTGATCAGAATGTCGGCCTGCGAGACGAGATGAGAGACTGATACCATTGTGGAACATGGACACTTACATCTTGAATCTGTTTCTGGAAGACGCTGTTCGGGCCTTCTTTATCATCACTGACCTATACTTCAAGTCTAGAAAAACCACTCGCAATAGGATGGAATAGAACATACGATGTATTCATGGCCCTGCGATTCCAACCATGAACGAAGTCCAAGCTATTCCGAAAGTCAATTAAGATTGAGAACCACAGATTGGACGGGATGGCCATGAAAACATACTTCGTTCTCAACAGTTCCAAGTAAACGGGGTTCTTGCTTTGCCGCGTCACCGCCGCGGTAGAGGATCGCAAGAATCTATGTAATGGGCATAATGAGTTCTACAGTTGATCGATAAAAAAACACGCATCAATGCAATGTACCGACCTTAAGACCTCTGGAACCCCCGGAAGAGAATCGTTGAGAAGCGACTTGAGGCTTAGAGAGAGAAGTACGAATGGCACTGCGGAACATGGTTGAGAGGATAGTGAGGGATGGAGGCCATCATCTTTAGCTTTATATACATAGCATGTCCTCACTGGTCCCAGGGTGACGCTTCGACGTCAGGAGAAGGACGGATAGAATATTCAATTGTACGCCGGCGCATTCTCACCTGACGAAGACCATTGCTAAAGTTGTCAATTGGAATCCCGACACCGGCCAGGCATCACTCTGTAATGGTGCGGCGTCGCACGGGAACTGCTCAAGGGAACCACTCAGATGCTCTCCGAGTTCCTACGACCCATGCAAGGGAACCTGTGTAGACGGCGTTTGCACGGCATGGTCCGGCGAAATTGAGGTGGTAAACTTGCCTGCGATGGTGAAGCTATAATTATCCCGTCTGACCGCTTGTCTTTGTAATCGACCCTTCCCACCATCCGATAGGCGTTATAGCGAGATAGAACGGAATGGGTTGAAGGGCCGTGAAAGAAGTTACCATAGAGTAGCTAATGATGTTGAATGTTGAACGTTGAACATTCAAACGGGTGCACAATTCTGCGCATCAAGGTTGATTGCTACTATTGTAATTACTACGCCTGCCATATACAGACACGCCTTGGGCTGGCACCTTACTAGTAGTCTAGTACTGTGGAGATTGAGCTTCACTGAGGGTCTTCGAGAAACAAATGAAAAGAAGGTAATGGTGCCGAGCACCATCTGATGAATGTTGTGAACGAAAACCATATATCATTTACTTCCCTTCGGCATACGCCTCCGATAAGGTATATACAGAGGATAAAGCCTTCGCTACAATCACGGACTTCAACGATTTCATTCTTACAGTTAACGACGTCAAGCACTGCTCTCTAAGGATCTGAAGCCAACAGTGAGGAATAACTTCAACTTAGCTTTTGGGATACAAGGACAGACGTTTCACCACATGATATATTCGTTAAGTACAAAGCTGTTACACTTGATATTTGACCACCAGGACTATCGTACACTCGATACAAGGAGAAAGAAGAAAGAGCAGAGGCTGAGAACATCCCTGAAAGAGACTCAGACGAAAACGGATATGATGAGATGCTATCTTGACAAAACGTTCAGCGTTGGCCGTCTGTTGCACGTCAGTATCATGACATCGGAAGGGAAGAAAATCAAATAACACGCACAAGCTTTGGTAGCGTACTTGCCACCCTCGACGATGATGTTTTGAGGCTCCTGAGGAGAGCTTTTGAAGTAGTTCTCCAGGATAGACTTGGTACCGGCGGCGTAACGCGCTTGGGCGTCGAGGGTAGTTCCTGAATAATGAGGTACCATGCCGTTTCCGCCACCAAGAGGGTTCTTCATCGTACGCCATGGGTGGTCCTTAGGTGCAGGTTGCACGTTCCAGACATCACCGGCGTAGCCGTTAAGCTGACCGCTCTTCACGGCAGCTGCAACAGCATCCTTGTCACAAATGGCACCACGGGCAGTGTTGACGAGCCATGCGCCCTAAGAAATTAAGAATGAAGCGATATATTCTTGACTTAAGTGGAGGTACGGACCTTCTTAAAATGCTTGAGCAACTCAGCGTTGACGAGGCCACGGGTACCCTCGTGCAGTGGGCAGTTGACGGCAACAACATCACACTAGATTGATCAGATTAGATATTTGGAAGAATGTTTATCCTGCATGATTGCTTACTTGAGAGACAAATTCCTGACGTCATTACATTAGCGTCTGCCAGACGTCTAACGACTCATAATGCTTACCTTTAAGTCTTCAACACGACGAGCCTTGACTTCCTTGGCAGCGTGCTCAGGAAGAGGTGCGTAATCGAAGTACAGGAGTTCCTTGGTGTTGAAGGGAACAAGACGTTGCAGGACACGGAAGCCAATACGACCAGCGCCGATGGTGCCGACGACCTTGCCTTCAACATCGTACGCGTTGCGCGCGACATCAGACACTTGCCAGTCACCACGCTCGATCATCTATAGAGGCAATTCAGATATAGATATACGTTGAGAACCACGGCAATTGGAACGTACCTCATGGGCGGGCACGAAGTTCCTGACGAGAAGAAGGATACTCATGACGACGTGCTCTGCAACAGACACGACATTAGATCCGGAAACTTCCGCGACGGTGATGCCGCGCTCATTGGCAGCGTTCAGGTCGATATGGTCAGAGCCGACACCAGCTGTGATACAGATCTTCAAGTTCTTTGCCTTCTTGATGAGGTCGGCGGTAAGATAGCCAGGGTGGAAGGGGGTTGTGATAAGGACCTCGGCCTGTAAAGCATCCTCAACGTCAGCAAGGGTCGATACAACTTCCGCGGTGTACTTACATCGACGAGGTTCTTTTGGAATACGCTGTCTGGACCTTCCTTGTCGTCGCTGACCTACAACGAATAGTGAGAATGAACGTTACGTACAGCATGAAGCGTACTACGTACAATGAATTCATGACCCTGAGACTCCAACCATTCACGAATACCCAGCTGGGATAAGGAATTAGGAGCGCGTCAGGGGAGTGTAAGAAGCATTGTGGCGTTACCTGGTTCTCGACGGTACCGAGCAGACGAGGCTCCTGCGTAGCGGCTTCACCACCACGGTAGAGGATAGCAAGAACTTTAACCATGATGCAGAGTGTGTATGGTAGAGAGGTGAGATGATGTGTGCTAAAGGTAGGCTTGTGCGGGCGGGCAGTCTCCACACAGAATGGCAAACCAAGGAATATTGTTAGCCCCTCTTATATAGGTGGGTGGTCATGAGGTAGCATTGTCAGGAGCAGGACGTGGGAGTCAATCTCAGGCATCTCAGAGGACCTGGAGCTCAGGATAAAGGAATACGATCGTACTGACCTGCGCGGTAAGTACCATAATAGGCAAGTTCATATGTCATACCAAGTCCATCCGGCTTCTTCCTGCGTCATTGCGCGTGCACCGTTACAAGACATTTTTGGCGGGTGAAAATTACCTGGAAAGCCCCCGAAATTCTACGAGTAAGTAGCATAGACGACAGTTGGATCCCCCATTATACACTCACCATGCTGGGAGGATTGATTATCGGTGCGGACCGTGTGATTGGTGAATGAAGAGAGGGTCAGCTGATAATCTAGCTGTGCTTCTTGCAAGCTAGACAACGGAACTCGACAGCCCGTTGCTGCGACAGGATGAGTTTGTACACACTCGTATACGAAACGTTCCGAACAAGTTTCAGATGGGGGGTCTTGTGGTTAGTATCCAAACGCATCGAACTCCACGACATGTTCCGAATGTCGTTCAGAAAAGACAAATGATCAAGCCAAGCATCATACAAGTTCACGAGACTGCTCATTAGGTTCATCCGTCTTGACTGTATCCCTGACGAGCGTGTTGGAAGCGCTCGCTGTACCTGCCGTAGCCGCATAATGGGACGCCGTCTGAGGGAGTCTGACGTCTGATGATTGCACAATAGGAGACGCACCATCGGTTCTGAACAAACCATTCCATCCAAGGGACTATCACTCTCACGTTCCTGAAGAAAGTATCAGGATAAACAAAGGTACCTTGATTTCTTACCCAAGCAGTCAATGAAGAAGCAAAACCATCTTCCACGTTGAAATAGAACGAAGCATGCGATCCGGTCATTCATTGTATTATTAGAATAGTCTGTAACTGCAATTCAGCCACGCCAAGCTTCTATACTGCGCAGGTACCCGGACTCACCTAGATGCAGTCGTAAGCATACAAAGCCATTGGCTGAATCCCACATTGCTCATGAGACTCTCCTGTCTCAAACATGTCACCCCTGGCCCGTCTCCAACACGTTCTCACTACGTTCAGATGGCAACAATTCGTAACTGTCTTCCGGGGTATGGCTCGATAGCGACCGTCTCCGATGTGTCAAGTGCGAATCAGGGCCACCGTGTATCCGGGAGCCCGAATGAGATTCTTTGATAACTTCCCATTCTACGCGAAGGAAGACCCATATCCACCTTCTCAAGATCTCGGCCAATTCGATCCAGAATATTATTAGATCGCCCTCGGAATAGGAATGCAAGTGGCTGGACAGCTTCACGGACCATGTCAGACGTAACACTAGGTCTGCCAAGACCGCGAATGGGTATATGGCGAGTGGGAATAGGAGGGTCGGTCGAAGACCCCATGGGTAAAGTGTACTTTCGTACTTTGTGGCGACTATCACAGAGTCTTCATCGAGAGCTTCGTCATCGTGAAGACCATCCGCAGAAACTGGACGATTGGGAAGCGACTCCAAACGAGAGTGCAAGCGAGGTAAGACTAGTTGTTTGGGAGGCGAGCGGGAGCCATATCTGGGACGAGCAGGAACCACACCAGGACGAAGAAGTCCTAGTCCCCAATCGTGACTTACATCCCACCAAAACGAGTATGCTGAGTTCACTGCCGCAGCAAATAACCTAGGAGCGCTTCATGAAGTGTATCATTCTGAAACTCGAAAGAACCTACCACAAGCGGTATAACTGATAGTCCCCGTACCGTACCCCGTGCTCAGCCATGTGGCCTTTCAATACATCAGTCACTACTGTGCGCTGAGCAGCAGAAAGAAAAATGACAGGAAACGAGCTGGCATATTTGAGAGCATTATAGAGGGGTCTTCGGCTTTCATTTGTGCTTGACACATATTCAATGATACATTGCCGGAAGCGGACGGCATAAGGCAAGCTGGCGACTCAATCCATGTGATTTAGTTGAGAACAATACATAAGAAGAGGTTAAAATTCGAATCACCTCATGAGAGTTGGTAATATCCATCGCGCCCAACCATCCTGTGATGGTTGCGAGAGAAGGCTTCCTCCTGGAAGGAGCATATACAGTGACAGCCAAACATCTCCGAAGACTTTTGCAAACGAGGTGAAGATATCCGCAAAGACCACATCTGAGAAGTATATGCGTTGTTTCTTCGAGCTGAACAAACACCTGTGTATTGCACTACTCGTAGGGTAAATAAAACATTCCCACCAAAATCATAGCATAGGACTTACGCGAAGAACCGATCACGCTCGTGCTTTTGGAAGACGTTGAAGGGACAAATGAGCAGGATTAGGACAACCAGTACAGTTACTGCCGGGATGTATTTGAAGACGTCAACTAGTACTAGGTCCCCACGAGTGGTACTCCGGTATAGTGACCAGGAAACCAAGACAATGACGGAGTACTGCAAGAACAGCTTGTACACCGGAGTATGTTGGGGATCGGAGTGTGATGCATGCTTCCAACCACGGTGCGAGATTGTGGGAAGAGGCGACGCAGAGCGAAGACTACTGTGGGTTGCTCTGCTGCGAGGAGTGTCCAAGTCTAGTGCATTTGCTGCATCAATACCCAGCAGTTCGAGTCCATGAAGATTGGTTGCCCAAGCGAGAACGCCCAAACTAGCCAAGGCAAGAACACGATAAGGGAGCGGAAAGATGGTAGAGAATGTAGTCTCATCGGAGACTATATCGTGGTTCATTGTCGACACAGACTTGGATGAAGAGACATGAAGCTAGTTCGTCGTTAGACAGAAAGAATGGATGAAGACCAAGTCGCCACGTGGAAGATATTAACACTGCGTGTTCCAGCGCTAAAGCTAAAGCCTACTGTCTCGCAGTGCGAGGAATTAGATCGCTACAGCCTTGCAGCTGCCGCTGTCAGCTTTTCACAAGTATAGACGATAATCCACAAAGTCGTCCAAGAGAACAAACACAGTATGGAATAGCATCAAATATAGGGCTTTAGCTCCTGACCTGGGAGCATAAGTACCCTCACTTCTTGCCTCGCTATATTCGAGTCGTTGGCTTGTTCCTTTCAATCCCTCATTGAAGTTTACTGTCGACTATTATGTCGATATATCTAGTCCTTGAGACCTTACCATTCACGGATGAACAAGGGTATGACAAGTTACCAGGTGAAAGCTGTTAGTATCGGATTTGGACAAAGACTTGCCTTTTATGTGACATATCTTCCCAAAATGGTCTAGTATGAAATACATAACATAAGAAAGTGAAGAAAGCCGTACCAATAGATAGTATAACATGAAACGAGCATATATACATAGCACCATGATACTGTTCATAAATTTCAGTGTCGCCGAGAGTGTATCAGACATGAGACACGTCGTTACCCTCCCGGGCAGCGAAAAGTTCCGCGACGAAAGCAATCAACTTGTCACCTTCTACCTTGGTCCAGTCGATTTCAGGTGGGTCCTTCACATAGGCGTTGAGAGATTCCGCTGCAGCCGCCTTGTCTAGTTCTTGTTGACATTGAATCCAGAAAGCTACAGTAGCAGCGAGATCCTCGCCTTCGAGATGGGTCCAGTCCAAACTGGAGACGAGCGAAGCAGCAGCTCTGAAGAAAGCTAAACGAGCAGTTGCATCTTGTGAAAGAGCGGAATCGTTGATACCGCCAGGCGAAGAGATTGAGATCCTTTCAAACGCCTCTTGCAGTTGAGCAGTAATGGCCGGTGAGATCGGTGACACGGGGCTTCTCATATCAATGTCAGCATCCCCCGACTTCTGAGTGACAGCTACGAGATAGCGAATGATCTCTTGCTCGAGGAAGCCAGGTGTCCAATTGGTGGTGACGGGAGGCGAGACGCGTTCTTCGCGCATGCGGAGTTCCAATTGTTGAAGAGCCGTCTCAGAGCGTCCAGAACTGAGGCCGTTGTGAGGCAGATTCATGTCGTGGTCAACATCCATAGGGGACGCGACTTGCCCCACTGGTGAGTCTATGGACATATCAGATGCGTTTGCAGCAGTACATCGTGATTGATGCCGTTCAAGGGCCTGTTGGCGCATGAAACTGAGCACAATGGGTTAGGTTCAATCTTCGGCAAAAAATATCCTCGTACTCACCCAGTACTACAGAAGTTACATATGAAAGGTTTCCTGAATCGAGTGAAAGTGCCATGATCAACACGAAGCGTGTCAGCTAGACATTGAAGATGTTCAGTGGTATTCAGATGTCTATTCTCAGAGAGATCGGAAGGGGAGTAGATGTTATTTTGCGGGCAAATGATACAACGTCCCTGTGTTTTGTTCGTGAGCAGGCCATTGTGAAAAATCGACAGGATACATACCATCTTAATACTGAAGTTCCGCGTTTTGTGTTTCAAGCGCCAAGGAATGGGGGCGATGTCACTAGGTTTTAACTTCCGCGCCGCTAAGACTGCAGAGATGGCTTGATTCAGAGACTTGGAATTGGGAAGGAAAAGAGGTGCCCAATCAGGCTGGGGACACGGCCGTGGAGGAACCGTGGTTTCGTCAGGAAAGAGCCACTCCGCAGGGTTGAATACGGGTTTGGAAGGTGCAGTCGAAGACATCATGAAAACGAAGTTCAAGATAAAGTTGCGAAGAGATACAGGGGAAGATGATTGGGAATGAACTTGGAGTGGGCCCCGTATTTAAGGAAATGTGCGAGGGCCACGGTGTACAAAGACCCAGCTGGAGTCAAAGAAGGCTTGCCACTTACCGGAATAACATTTGTCCTAGTAACACATGGCCACTCGAGTTTGAATAGAAGTTAGAAGGAGATGGTGGACAAAGTGCACACTGCCACTATCTTCAGTTCACCAATTCCGGTAAACATTTTGTTGTCATTGAATGCTAAACTAGCGAAGAAAGGGAGAAAGCAGCTGGGCTTAAAACATAAAGGCGAAATGAAAACCTTGATGAGTGGCAATTATACCATCATATCCCGTTTCATGTAAGTACTGCAAAACGATTGAAAGGTCACAATGTTATCAAGGCGAGAAGGACCATGCTGAATTACAGAATATAGCAGTGGAATACAACAAAGAGCAGGATAACATGTACGAACTGTATAACGGATATATCACGAAGTCTCAAGTTCCTCCTGCAACAGGTCGTCTTGATGCTTCTTTGCAAGGGCATCAAGTATCTTCCGTAGTGAGTCGCCTTCTAAAACAGATTCGAGATTCTTCAAGGAGAGCCCTAGACGATGGTCTGTCACGCGGTCCTAATCACGAGGCGTCTCAGAGACATGGTTGAAAGGCGAGGTATACATACATACCTGTGCATAGTTGTATGTCCGGATCTTCTCACTTCTATCCGCGCTCCGCACAAGATTTCGCCGAACATCGCGACGGTCTACCACCTCCTGGGTGAGCTTTCTATCCATGAGACGCGCTCTCAGAACTTGAAAAGCGCGTCGGCGATTCTGAATAGCCCAGTTGTAGCATAATGTAATGTGATGTTCCATAGAAAACATACCTGATGCTGGCTACGTTCGTCTTGCATCGAGACCGTTATCCCTGTTGGTATATGTGTGAGACGAACAGCTGACTCTGTTTTATTTACGTGCTGAACATTCACATTGGTCAGAATTAATGTAGAAGCATTCGTACTTCAACAGCGTACCTGGCCGCCAGCGCCTCGAGACCTCATCACTTCAATCTTAATGTCATCCATCGAGAATAAATCGTCTGGCGCCTCCGCATTTGACTCTTCAGCTAAGGGCAGCACCTTTGGCACGTCGGAAGTAGAGTTAGACCGTGGGCGTGGAGTGCAAACTTAAACTTACCACAACCGCAACTGTGCTCGTATGGACTCTACCATTCGCCTCCGTTGCGGGTACTCTCTGCACTCTGTGCACGCCGCTCTCGAAACGCATAGTATCATACGCCTTTTCACCCATAATCTCCACAATCGCGTCTTTAACGCCACCATTCTCTGTTTGATTGCTGGCAATCACATTCGTCTTCCAGCGAAAAGTCTGCGCTAGCCGCAAATACATTCGCATCATCTCAGCAAGGAACAGTGCCGATTCGGAACCGCCGACGCCAGCTTTGAATTCCATGATAGCCGACATATGAGCGGTCTTGGAAGGTGGAACTACAAGTGTGGGGAATGTCATCTGAAGAAGTTCAGACACTTGAGACTGGAGCGATGCATATTCTTCATTGGCCATGGACCGCATGTATGGATCGGGGTCATTAAGAAGAGCCCCCGTTTCACGAAGAAGCTACTATACATGGTCATTACCACAGACAGTTCAATAGACAGTATGTTTAGAACGAACCTGGATTGTTCGTGACCAGTCCTGCCATGCATTCCAAAACGGCTCTGATTCAGATAGCTGTTTCATGAGCCTTTTACTGTCCGCGGAGCCCATATCTTCCAGCGCATTAACCTAAGTCAACAGTGAGTATTGAAGGCGATACAAAATATGCGAGCTTACTTGCCTGGGTCTGTAGTTGATTTCTCTCTTCTACCTTCTTTTCAATGAGTTTGACAATCGGAGATGACAATCCGGCGTCATTGCTGGCTTCAGCATGCTGGAAGCGTAGAAAGGAGCGAGAACAACGAGAACAAAGCAATCTTCGAGAACGAAGTGCCGTAGCGAACTGCAGAAAACCTCGTTGCATAAAGACACGATTGAGGTTCTCGCTGCCTGTCCGACATTGGCCTCACCGCTCGAACCGATCTTGGAGTTGAGCCGGGGGCTTTATATAGACGCCTTGGCATTAACAAGTTCACGCGATCATGGACTCCGATGCCAACTTGAGGTTGAACTTCGTCAAAATCTTGGTCGTATCTGCACTTTTCCCTCTTGTGTTCTGCATTTCTGAGCTATCTTGACTTCTTTGTACTGCCTCGCTTTGCGCTCTAAGCTACAGTGAATTTTCTTCGCGAAGCCATGTTCTCCTCATCTCCTACTCGGACGTCATCACGGTTTGGGGCTGGTGACTTGAATCCTCTGAGTCAAGTGCCCGCCGAATCGCCTCCATATCGGGTTCCTCTGCACCCTTCCATGGCGTTTGACGTTAGCCGACACACTGTGTCTGACTACAATTTCTATCTGGTCCCTACTAGCTCCCCTGCGAGCGGCGCAAAAGTTCCACCTCTGGCACCTGTGCTCTCTGCAGATTTATCTCCAACAAGCGATTTCCAACACGGTCAATTAATGGGTCCCCGTTCAAGAATTATCTCCAAGACGACAGCCGGTCAAACATCAAGGACCCAACCTCCTCGCGTCGATCTCGACCCAAATAAACAACGTGAATTGGATATCAACTCAGCCAGAGAACCAAGTTTCAAAGGCCACCCTGATGTTCAAATTTACGACACCTACCTTCACGAGAGCGATGCAATGGAGGATCTTGCCCCTTCTGATTATCACTCTGATACTAGCTTTAACCCCATAGATCATTCGAGTGATGGCGATAGCTACTCTGAATCTGATGGCGAAAGCTCTGCAGGTTCTTCTTCACTCCATGAAGGCGTTGACTCCGCCGACGAATCTCCAGGGAATTTTTCGCACATTGGAAGATCCCGTCTGGGACTGCGACTTCCTGTAACATCAATGTCCGGGGACGATATTCACGTCTTCCCAGACAATGTATGTGTCTCAAACATTTTCTTGATACGTATCATTAACGGTACCTATCCAGAATGCCCAATTCGCCGCTCAAAGGATGTCAAAAGACGTCATTCCCCGAGATACTGGACGCGTCAAACGGGAACAGAGTGTTAGGTTATTGGCTAGCGTTCCCGCTGCGGCAGAACAAACTTCTCCTGTTCGTGTTGGTCACGGTATCAAGGCAACGACGAGCGCGTCCCTAGATTTTTCCAAGGGCCCCAACCCAAGTTCAAACTTTCTTACTGGGGAAAGCGATGATCCTGCCGCTGTCAAAGTCGACCCGCATATCTGGAGTACCTGGAATATCAACAGTTGGAAGAGCATTCCTACCGCGCAGGGGTATTCACTCTCGATGCCTCGTCCTTATCCTCCTTTACAATTTACGAACGCCCAACTTCGGCACGTAGTGGAAAAACACCCATTACCTGACGATAAATCGTCAATTTGTCGTACCTCTACATCTGTCGATACTTTCTCCACATGGGACGCATTTCGCGCCGAATATCTGGAGCTGTGCAAAGCGTTGAACTTTCCCCAGGCTCGTACTGCGCAAGATTCGAGTGGTTGATCGACACATCCAACTGCGGATTGCACTGCAAACAAAAAGCCGCCTCTGCATCTATGTACAGTAAACGTGCAAACTCGTGAGTACTCAGTGCTATGCTTGAATGGTCTAGATGATTTTATGAAAGCAAAGTTCCAGATTCCTATCTCTCTAAATATACTGTACACCGATTCCCGACTCGGGACTCTCTATTACAGTCAGCCGGAGATCAAACATCCAACTTCAAATCCTATTCCTAGCAATACCCCACATCTGGCTCCCAAATTGGATATTCGACTGTTCTTTTGTCCTGTACCTTGTCTGTTCCTCTGCCTTTCTTGCCGTCGATATGGTTACTGGAATTCTCGTTTTGTATGGATACGAGCGTCTTGCACGATTACATGGTCAACTTTGCTAATCAAGTCATTCATTCGGGCCGAACACAACGTTGTCTGACAAGAATCGCGATGTCTGGCAGCTTAATACCCTCAAGCCCCAGGCCCTGTCTCCGGCCAAGACAGGGAACCCCCTGCAATGTGTTTCGTTCGTTCGTTCCAAGTATCGCTTCGGCACCTGTTGTCCAATAGAAAGAAATCACCTGATCCACCCTAAGGCCACAAACTCAAGAGTCCAATCAAAAGAACTCAAAGAACCCAAAGAACGCCATTCTAAACCAAACCGGAGGAAGAGCTCCACACCGACGATTGATCCAGCGGCGATCGAGATGTGAATGTTATAAATGAACGAAGGACTACTCACGAGAACTTCCAGAGAGAAGAATTCGAAGCCTCATGTTCAAATTGACTCGCCGACGCGCCTTATGTTGTGATTAGCTGTGTGCCGTGCTTAACGGTGGTTCTGCCCGCGCACGACAAATGACCTAGTGGGCGTATCGCGTCGTGCGTTTGACGATGAGCAACGCTTGAATGGTGCCGGCGGTAAGTAGCTCTTACTGCATGTCTTGACGGAATGAATACCACCTACATACCACGCGGTTGTAGTCTAGAATTCATATGGAGGTTTGAGGCAAGACGCTGGAATGGAAACAAAAACGCTGTAAGAACAACGTTACACTAATAACATTTGAAGAACAACAACAACACCAACAACATCAACAACAACAACGGCAACAGATTGGGGTTTTGTGGAGTATAGTAGTACAAATCGTAAGTCGTCAACGACACCGAATACAAGCCGGAAAAAAGAGTAGTCTGCAAGACGGAAGAGATACATAGGTTACTATAGCACTAACGCAGCCCCAACACAAGGATGAGATCACGCCAGGCCACGCGTAACTATTCTCAGATAACAAAGTATATAGGGGTCAATCAGTATGCGTCCCCCTCCCACCCCCCTCCGAAGAGGAAAGAAGCAGGAGAAACAGCAACTGTGACGGGAGAAGGAAAAAACAAGTCAAGCCAGAGACAATTTACAAATGTGGGGTTATGGGTAGGATGACAGCTACGAAAGCTCTAACGCCACCCTCCGAAGAAGATGAGGCCAGGCTCAGCATCTGAATCATCAATAGATTAGGGGATTGGAGCCAAAAAAAAAAAGACGAGACCAAGGGACAAGGCAGACAGCTGCGAACATACCCGGCACTAACGCCCCCCTCCGAAGAAGAAGACGCCAGGCCAAGCAGTGTCACAACCAGAATTGTTCGAGGTTTGGGGAGTTATGTCTAGTAAACGATGTCGAGGGATTGACATCGCAGAGGGAGAGGGAGAGAGGGTTGGAAAAAAATAACAGGACTTCGAGAACACGAGCAGAGCAAAAGGGGAACGATTCCAAGATAGAGTTGCGATAAAGCAAAAGGATGATGCATGTGTAGAGTGGATTTGGCCACCACGGAGATTGTAAACTTCCGACCCCTTCGATCAGGCGCGTTCAGAGCCTGAGCTGCTACTTGAGCCAGACCTCACATCCGAAGTGACCAACGAAAGCCGCCCTACTCGACCAACTGGCGCGGCAGAGGGAATATTACGGTGATCATCATCATCAGATTCGGAGTCGCTCTCCTCTCCGGGGGTAGTGCGATAACCTTGCTGACTGCGGCCCTCACGACTTCTGAAATCATGCGCCGTATCAGCCCAATTGTGAGGAGGCGAGCGTGTATTGCCATTGGGATAGGGAGGATTGGGGTCAGGGTGAAGTCGAGAGGGGTGTTGAGCATAAGCATGCTGGGGTCCGCGAAGTCGAAGCGGTGGTGGTAAATTCAATTGGTGCAGGGACGGAAGCTGATCTCCGCGAGGAGAAGCAGTCATGCGCGAGATGCTGTCACCACTGCGACTGGAATTGGTAGGGCTCGGAGGAGCGTAAGGTGAAGGATGATTGGATTGTGAAGGAGTTGCGTAACCATTGGTAGGTGCAAGTCTGCCTGGATGTAAAGTGTAATTGGATTGTGGTCGAGCTGATTGTGTGTGAGGCGGTGTCTGAAGGTAATGATCTGCTGATCGGGATTGCTGGTATTGGTTCTGCGAAGAATGACTGTGCGTAGCATAACCAGGAGGTGGTGGTTGCAAAGAGGTTGAAGCAGACAAGGTTGGCATGGTACCAGAGATGGGTGGAGCTCGCGGAGGAGGTAACGACCTGGAGCTGGTCATAGGTTCATCCGTGTCCATGCGTATATCGGGAGGTACCAAAGGCTTGTCGAGCGCGAGACGTTGGAAGCGCGCAAGAGATGTAGAAGCTGCTGCTAAGTGCTGCATTAAATCCGATGAAGCCTCCACCTGGGGCCAGGGAATGGGTGTTCAGCACCCGAGGGATAAACGAAATAATGAATTTGACTGACGAGTTCCTGCCCATAAGCCGAATCGCCCCCATTTTCCTGTCGCAACCTCGCCTTCAACTGATCGAGCTCTTCTTTGAGTTCGACATTCTCCCCCTCGGCACGACGCACGCGATCCTCGAGGTCAGCCAAGTACTGAGCCTTGCGCGCTCGGTAGTCTCTTTGTTGGAGGAGGGCACGAGACGGAGGGATCGTGAGATCCTTTCGTCGGCCTCTTGTCATGTCAGTCTAAGTTGGGACGTTAGCGCACGAAATGAGGGCAAAATGAGGCGTGGAGGACGGCTGTTGGGGATGAACAGAGAGCCTTGTAGGGGGATATTGGTATAGAGAGAAAATCATCAGAAAGGTGGCATTTTGAATGATTCTGGGTGAGCGTTTGTGAAAGAGGAGGGGGAACAGTCACAGCCTATCCATGGCATGGACGCCATGAGACATTGCCGGCGTCTCCATTGGAAAATGCATAGACGCCTGAACGTCGACGGAAGTGAACTGGGAACACTGATTTTGATCCCACACCTTCCATGGCCGAAATACGTCGTATCATGACGGTGAACGCTCTGCTACGGACTACAAAGAGGACTGGCCCCGCGTGTATCATAGGCGAATACAACGTTTTCTTCAAATTCACAGACAAGATGGTTACTTTTCGGATCCGGACCCGGACCCAACAAGTATCATCCTGACATCTATCAACGTTATGCAGCCCCGCTTTCCGGGATTTGAAGAACACGCGAAACATTGTAGGGCTTCTGCAGCCGCCGGACATGTTGCGCGATATTGAAATAAACATTGACAATTTGCCAGATGTTCTTGGACTTCTTAGCCTGCATCGCACATACGGCCAATTACCTCCTGAAACGTTTGCTGATGACGACTACGCAGGAAAAATCAATGTTGCAGTGCCATCACTGCGCCGAAGGCAAGATAGTCATGGCCATAGCTTGAGTATAATGCCAAGTTCGTACCCCATTTCAGAGCGTCGACGGCGGCGGATGAATGGGGAGCGCGCTCTGTCGGTAGTGACAGATGTAACTGGCCACGGGAGGCCCTGCGCTTGATCACAGTGTCAGTCGGGATTCGCTCGCTTGCCACGCCCACCACCGTTCTCTTCGGAGCTGCATCCGGCCTTGTGGCGCACCGGAGCTGATCTCTTCTATATCAGGCAGACTCATTTCCATTTGTGGTCTGTTACTTCGATCGACTAAATCAAATTCGTTCAAATTCACAAGCGCTTGCCTGTACTTCGTCGATCCCTGCCCGCCAGCCCAACTTCTCTGTCAGCCGTTCAGTCTCCGACAATGGTCAACCTCAAAAGCAAGTCCTTCACCGTGCTTTATTTTTCAACCCTTCGTTTCCGCCGCCAACTACCTCTCCTCCCTTACTCTGTCCAACACGTTCTTTTCAAACACATTCTCTATTCACGAAGCAACCACGTTCTTTACGACAAGTGACGAAACAATGTCTAAGCTCACTATTATATCTGCCTTGCTTCTAACATCTTCACGCATTATTTTGGCGGCTCCCGTCCTTAATTCTCGTGCCGATGCAATCAATTTGCCGGGCGGTGTTTCTGGCGTTCCAACTGGAACTACTGACCCTGTGGATGTACGCTGCTTGCACATTCAATAAATGCAGATCACTGACCCAGTAGTTTTTAGCTTGTTGACGCTATTACTTGCGAGATTTTTGGCATGAAACTTGCGGATCCCCAGGAAGCCCTTGGACGTGCTCAGTCGGGTGCCCTCCAGCCGCCATTATCGTGCAACTGCGGTGTGGCCGAATTCACATCGCTTATCCAGCAATGCATTTCCTCAGGTTCCCGTCATTCTAAGTTCGCTGCAAGACCAAAACACGATACATCAGCTCTCGGTGCTCATCGTCAAGCTTCTACATATCAAGCTTTTGACGGTCCGCCCAGCACAGCCCCCGGGAACAACGTGGTAGATGCGACACCACAAGCTGCATCACAGGCCCAGGCTACTTCTGACAATAGTAACCAGACCAATGGACCCAATGATAACTCTGGTTCGGAGCCCAGTGGCTCTACCGACAACTCTTCCGAAGAATCCACTAACCCCACGGCCGAGACATCCTCTCGCGTTGCTACTGCAGATGATAACAATAGTGCTGTTCCAACTTCTGACCAAATGGATGGGAATACGAACGGCGAAACAGGAGCACCGAATTCTGCGTCCTCTTCTGTTGACTCGAATAACTCCAACGCAAGTTCGGGCCAAAGTGTACCCACTTCGGACGACGCTGTTTCCTCTACTCCAGCTGACAATAATAATCCTGCACCACCTTCTGATACGAATGCCAGCCAAGGAGAGCCTTTCAACCCTTTGGATAATAAAGCTGACAACGCGGATAACTCCAATGCGAACTCGGACCAGGATGTACCTACTACGGACGGCACTGTTTCGTCTGCCCCAGCCGATGATAGTACACCTTCAGAGTCAACTGCTAGTCCGGGAGAGCCCTTCAATTCTTCCGAAGCTGACAATGCGGATAACGCGGCTGATTCCACGAACGAGGATGAGAGTACTGCGGCTTCTTCGAACTCGAATACCGCCAGCAATGATCAAAGTCCTGCCCCGCAATCCGCCGCTCTGAACGATGTACCCTCATCTAACAATGGCTTCTCAAAATTCGGCACATCTGGTCGTCCCGCGCACCCCTCTGGATCAGACCATCGTCACCCTCAAGGCTCGGATCGCTCTCGACCATCTTCTGGCCATTGCGACGGTGTCGCCTGTGTAACACAAGACTTCGGGTTGCCTGGAACCAACGCTCCGAACCTGACCGGCCTGCCAGTCTCGACTTTGACCAGCGCCGGAGGCCCACTGTTGGGCGGTATGGGGAGTTGTCCCAGCGGTGATCTGGCACTTTGCTTGGATGCAGGGACTGGGTCGAGGAAGTAAGTTTGATGGTGAGGTTGATGGTATCGATGTATATGTATTGCAATCCAGCTGTGCAGTAATAGCTTAATTATCTACTCTAGGTCTGGGATTCACGGCGAAGTTGGGTTTGTGATCAGTGTGGTGTGGTAACCTAAATACCGTACCTATACATCACTTTTCACGGATGGCAGTCATGCCCGTCTATGCGGTGCGGATATCATATCATACAATGCCACGCTCCGCTTCTTCCATGTTCTTGACTCGTTCACCATAATCATACCGATCCAACCCACCAAAGTCGATCGTCATTGCACCAGATGATAGGTTGACCTGAAGTTCACAGATGTGGCTCACACGAGCTCGCCAACTGTCCGCTCTAGTTGAAAACACAACAATCAGCAGGTTATTTCAAACATTGAAATACTAAATGTTTGGACTCACGTTGCCGTTCCATAGCAGGCACTTCCTTCCAAGCTGACAACACGGACACATTGATCAACATTGCTCCGTTCATCATATACCCAGATCCCCTTCCCTTTGTATACCTCCTGCCACTGATCATAGTCAACCAAGCGGTTGGGTGGTTTTATGCGTTTTGTACCCTGAGGTGGTGTAGGTACACGTCTGATGTCGACATCAGTGAGGAGACGGAGAATGTTCAAGTTTGTCGGGTGTGCCTGTGACGCCAGAGGGGAATGAACGCTGCTGAGGAGCCCACGAAGGGGTGAATTGGGTGTAGGGTTGAAGATAGCGAAAATCGGAGAGGACTCAGATGGGCCGTCTTCATCCTCGTCCATTTCTTCATCGGCGTTTACTACACTTGAACTAGACGCCTGAGGTTCATCCTCATTCATCTGTTGGTCTTCATCGCCTTCCCCATGGTCATCGCCTTCTTCTGTTCCTTCAGGGTGTATCGCCACTTCAGAAACGAATTCAGCTTCGGCTTCTTGTAATTTTGTGAGGAAGGTTTGCCATGCATCTTCGTTAGAGAAATCTGCTCGAACGACGATGCCAAGCCCTGGCGCGTCTTCGCCTGCGATGAAATCTAATGGGTCTTCGTCTACATTGTACGGTGCGGATTCCGACTGGTTTAGGTTGACGCTCTGATGTAAACATCGTTGGCGTCAGGTCAATGAATGGTAGAAGGAAGCGCCAAGGAGGTCACCAAAGACTGCATGAACGTCAATTCGTTCCACAACGAACAAGGCACGACAGATTGGCGCGAAGATATTAGGAAAAAGACTAATGGAGCAGCAACTTACTCTGGTAGCATAGGCAGCTTTATCGTCTGCAGACAATTTCCAGAACTCCTCTGCTACTCGGAGTCGCCACTTTCGTCTCCCTTCACCAGGGAAGCGGGATTTGACGATTTCGTATCTCTCCTATAGGTTGACCGGTAACTATGCGTTCAGTCAGATTGATCAGGACGCGTCGTGCAGTGGGCTAACCGCGAGGAATGGAGTGAGGTCTTGGGTTGGAATGAGTGGATGTGCCATTATCCAAGGGACTAGTGTTTATTCCTCTGCAGAGTGCGTGAGCCCTGCCTTTATCCGATATTTTGATGTTCTTGATGGCACACAGGTACTTATGGCTGTGAGGAAGCAACTAGTGACAGTCGATGAAGAAAAGAGATCAGGACCTCACTAGTATCCTTAGCGCTCGATCATCATGTGAGATCGGACCTGGATCGGACGACTACGACGGTTGCCTGAAAAGGCAAGTACTCCCAGTCCATCAACATGGCACCTTGGTTTTCCCGTCGCCCGGTCTTGTCTCTTCTCTTTAAAGCATGGAAACGCACGACAAAACCGCCATTTTAGACTTCATCTGGCCTACTCTGGCTCACGAATAAATTTGAATCTGATTTTCTGTCCGGGGCCCCGGATCTGCCCCACACAATTTGGAACAACATCAACGTTTTCTGCGTACCGGCCCGTGAATTGAGCACGGACAGGCATCACGAGAGTCCTTCTCAAGCTCCCACAATTGGCATGCAAGCGGAGAAAGGACTGCCAGATCACGGTGCGAAATAACCAGCCAGGTTTGGCCGTCGTCATGCCCTAGTGGGGACTATATAGAGTCATGAGTTCTCGGAATACGCTGTGAGAGGCCACCCGTCAGGTTTTGGCTGTATCATTACCACCATGGGCTCCCCTGCAGGAACGACGGGTACGCGGTTTACTTATTCTTCTGCGGATCTCTGTCTACACTTTTGCTTATCTTGTCTCGGGCTGTAGGCGCACAATTGTCCCGTGGACGATGGATTTTTGCCTTCTCTCTGGTCACCTCGTTGTTCTTCACCTGGGGTTTTGCATATGGTGTATGTGTTTGACACATCTCCTTAGGCTTGTTGCTCATTGAATCCACCGACAGCTTCTTGATGTTCTCAATGCTCATTTTCAAGAAGTGTTTGGTATCAGTAAGCTGCAAAGCACATTATTGCAACTTGCGTACTTCGTAAGTAACAGTTAGCATATGTTACTGTGTCCATGTTCACAATCAGATCCTGAATTTATCATTAGGGCGCATACTTTGTCTTTGCTCCATTCGCCAGTATATTCGTCAGTATTGAGTATTACACATAGGTCCGATGTTCATCAAAACTGACGCTCCGACTTGCAACTATAGATGGATCGGTATGGATACAAGAAGGGGATTCACATCGGACTTGGTCTTTATTCCTTAGGTATGTGATTCGCGCCCCATATTACCCTCATCTCATGCGATTCCGAACACCATACAGGCGCCATCTTCTTCTGGCCATCAGCTAAATTTCAGAAGTACGGCGGTTTCGTAGGATGCACCTTTGTCATCGGATGCGGTCTTTCAACGTTGGAAGTCGCCGCGAACTCCTACATCGCCGTACTCGGAACGCCCAAATATGCCGCTGCAAGATTAAATTTCAGTCAGGGCTTCCAGGGTGTGGCATCGTTCGCGGGACCCATGATTGCTTCAAGATGGTTCTTCCAGGGTAAGAACGCAACATCTCTGGATACTGTACAATGGTATGTCGTGTGTGGATCTTGATTACGCTGCAATTGACTGATGACCCTGGACAGGGTATATCTCGCCGTCGCGGGGCTAGGTGTTGTTCTCAACATCATGTTCTAGTGCGTATCCATTGTTCATCTCGTGACTTCGATTTTATTGATCGTCAATCCCAGCTTCTGTGATTTACCTGAGATTACTGGCGATGCCTTGGCTGAGGAAATGCATGAAGTCGGTCTCACGAACGATGATCAACCCTTCTTGAAACAATACAGGTGTATTTTTGGATGGTAGACTCTCGTATTTCTTGTTATAATCAAGGTTCACCCTGATCGTGCTCTCAGGGTCGCGCAGACTGCCTATGTGTAAGTTGCCCGAGAGCCTTGTCAAAGACAGCAGCTGACGTTCGAACCTGAATTTTGTAGTGGCGCTCAAGTCGCCGTTGCCTCCTTCGCCGTCAATTATATGGTCGACCAGAACATCGGAATTTCAAAATCACACGCTAGCCAACTCTTCTCCTACTGTCAGATAACCTTCACTGTTGGACGGTGTGTTTCAACTCTACATCATCACATCTGTCTATCTCTACTCACTATTTCACAGATTCATTGGCGTGGGACTCCTCAATCTCATCGATCCAGCCCTGTTACTTAGCTTCTACGGCATCGCGTGTACAGCGTTTGCCTTAGGGGTCGCGTTCTCTCCAGGAGTTGCCGGCATTGGATGTCTATTTACCCTGTTCTTCTTCGAGAGTATATGCTACCCCGTGATCTTTACAATCGCAACGAAGAACCTGGGCAAGCATACTAAACGCGGTTCAGGGTTGATCGTCATGGTGCGTTTACATGAGCTCAGTTGAAGTGTTGTTCTGAAGCATCATTCTCTCCTCAGGGTGTCGGAGGCGGTGCATGGTACCCTCCAGCACAGGGTTCTATCGCAGATCGGAACACTCGATTGTCCTATGTTGTTCCATTCACCGGCTATGCTGCTATGAGTACGTTGATCCCTCCATACCAAAATGCGAGTACCATTTTGACCACATTTGCAGCTGTTTACGCAGTGGGTATAGTCATTGACCAAGCCATCAAGGGTGGCTTCCGATTCCGCACTGTCGATGAAATAGAGCAGAGGAAACAACAACTCGCCGCTTTAAGCCCCAGAGAGAAAGTTTCTGAGGATGACTTTGATAAGAAAGATTCCAGGGACGTCTACGTTGAGAATGTCGACGTCGCATGACCGAATGGTGCTGGTGAAGTCACTACACTAACACCTCACAAGCGAACACTTCAAGTAGGAGCTTTCGTTTGTATGACATCTATTGTACACTACTGTATCATTGAATGCATCCGTACTTCTCTGAGTAGATGGTGTGAGATACTCTCTGCTGTAAAGGTCCACTCGCAGATTCTATCGACATGCAAGTTAACTGGCCTTCGATCCACGACTATCGCCCAACTCCCCATATCCTCTCTGCCAAAAGCTTCAAGAGAACATCGCTCCCCGGCGTCTTTGTCACAACAGGGACACCAGTCCCAACCTCACCCACATGCGCAGATGGAGGGTCAGCTTGTGCCTCACTCTCGACTTCTACTTGAGCCGGCACGGCGGCTGACTCCAAGTAACCATCGGTGTGAGCGTGCAATCGCTCGAGCTCAGCTTGTACATGGGCTCGGTTTGCTCCAGGGGAATAGGCACCATCATCGTTGCGTCGGTCGATGACCAACATGCCACGCGTAAGCTCGCCATGGCTATTGCATGAAGGAAGGCAAGTAAGAAGATGCGAAACATGATACCCTTTGGACTATATGAGATACGTACCGTTCAATCTGGAAATGTCTACGAACGACTTCCCAGCCTTTTCGGAGCTGCAAGGGTTTACTTGACACGGAAGGAGGATTCTCTATGGCACACCAGACGACAGCAATGTCGTGCAACTCCATCGCGTCCTTCCCGAATTTTAACATGACCTGTCTTGTACGGGAAAGGAAGGCAGACGTGAAGTAGACAAGAGGCGATTGCGAACCCTCGTCCGTGGATTGCACGTTGTTTGACTGTGACTGACCTCCGAACGAAGGATCAATCTGTTGAATATAGTACGGAAAGGGGAGCTCATGAGGAGTGGTGATGTCCAAAGGTAGAAGAATGAACTTTTCAAGAGGTATTGGCGTTGGAACCGAAGGCGGTGGGGTCAGAAGGTTATGAACAGCGTAAGGGTCAGCGAAAAAGTTGACTGTGGACATGTTGTTATAATTTCACATTGAATGGTCTATCGGATGACACGTACATTCTGCTACCGGACTGGTATTGCCTGGAACATCGAGAGCGCCGCCCATGCATATCACTTTCCCTATCCTTTCACCGAACAACCCCTCGCTCTTCTTCACAATTTGAGCGAGAGTAGTAAGAGGTCCGAGTGCGAGGTAGGTGATTGTTTGAGATGCATGGGAACGGATGAGATCTAGTGCAACATCCGTGCCAGGCCTATCTGTGAGGTGCAATTGAGGATGTTCTGAACTAGAGACATCCTCTTTACTCAGTTTCAAGGATGGAAATCGCTTCGTTATGTCGCCAAGACCGTCGCTGCAATGTCAGAAGAGAATATCTGAACTGTGAGCAGCAATGAACAACGGAGAAGATCTAACCGTCCGTGAAAGTACTGGGCACTGTGAAGGTCTCCTTCAAGCGGGTGGTCCGCACCTCGAGCAAGGATGGTCTTACGAAGAGGTGCAAAGTTCGGCCAGTGCCTCTGTTGCTCCGGATCCTGTGCGATTTGTCGTGAGAGGGTTTCGTATATCCTGAGGACATTCAGGCTACAGATAAGGTCAGACACAAAATGGACTTCATGAAGCAGTATTTACGGACTATGATGCATCTGCATCCGTGTTGCCTAACGACATGCATGATTCTCTACCCCCATCCGTGTCTTCCTAAAAGTTCACAAGGCTCACCGTATGATACGATAATGGCTAAGATGTCAAGTTCAGGAGATGCTAACGCCAATAACCTGCGAAGTAGCCAAGAGTGTTAGAACTTATTGTTGCACTACCAGTGTCACGGACAATGCTAAGGTATCGTCTACCCCTGGATCGGTATCGACTGCCAAGTTCACGATAAGCAGGAATCAGACGTTGTCGAAAAGAACAACTGACTGATTACTGGTATGCGAGACATGGCGGAATCAGTGTAGGATAGTTCTTGAGAAGAGGATACCTAAAGAGCTAAGAGCAAGGTCTTACTAGTATGTGAGTGCAGGTGATTCACACATCTGAAGACATCTAAATTCAAGATCGATGACAAGGTGCACGGACACGTGGTTGCAATAATATTGAACGCAGAGTCTCACAATGAACGAGGCCTATGAGGCCAAGGATGCGACACGGCTTGAAGTCCTAACAAGACTTGTTACCCGCAGTATATCAAACTTCAGACGGGAGCATCGAGGTTAACAGGGTAAGATTGCACAACGATATGATGTACATGAGCATATCTAAAAGCCACCAGCAATACATACACATAGTATAGACGTGACAACCTGAACAGATCGGAAAGGGTGAAAGCTCACGACTTGCAAAAAAGCTTGCAAAAGCTGCAAAAGCGGATGTCAGCAATAGTTCCAGTAAGATTACATGGAAGATAGAAAAAAGCATCAGAGATCTTGGTGGAAAATTAGTCTCATTGGGCGGAGCCCTCTGAAGTAGCAAATATAAAGATTGACATCACATGCAAGGAAAGAAGGTGCAAGTGCAAAACATTGAAGGAACTTATACTCACGTACAGCACGACCTACACCCAAACCCGACTGCACCATCGAATTCGCCAGAAACGTCGGATGATTCCTCGAAATGGTATAGTTGCACGCGTTAGGGAGTGAATCCAGAAGTTCCAGTAGACATAGCGTGCAGAAGAAAAGGAACAGCGTACACAACCGCAAGCGCCGCTGTAAGTCTCCTTATATACGCGGGATTTGCCGAAACTGTACAGTAGTGGTCACGGTGGCTGTCACGGAGGGCGGCAGAATAAGCAAGTTACCAACGCCGACGACGAGGAGAAATCTCAGCCCGCCTTCGCTGCACACAACATGGAGTCTTTGCGTTACTTGGGCTCTCTCGCCGGCCACAAAGGATGGGTCACTGCCATCGCCACCTCGTCCGAAAACCCGGACATGATTTTGACCGCGTCGAGAGGTACCCATTATGATCAATTACGCCTACTTGCTTGTGTTGACGCGAAACGCAACCTATAGATAAGACTATCATCGTCTGGCAATTGACACGGGACGAGGATTCTTATGGCTACCCCAAACGCATTCTCCATGGACACAACCACTTCGTCTCTGACGTTGTCATCTCTTCCGATGGCCAGTTCGCTCTCTCGTCTTCCTGGGACCACACGCTCCGTCTTTGGGACTTGAACACTGGCCTTACTACTCGCCGTTTCGTCGGCCACACCTCCGATGTCCTCTCTGTCAGCTTCAGTGCTGACAACAGGCAAATCGTCTCTGGCTCTCGTGACAAGACCATCAAGCTCTGGAATACCCTCGGAGAGTGCAAATACGACATTAAGGACGATGGCCACACTGAGTGGTACGTCATTTTGGTCCTATAATAGTTCCTGTTGGCTTATTTACGGCTTTGATTAGGGTATCGTGCGTTCGTTTTAGCCCTAACGTCATGAACCCTGTTATTGTCTCCTGCGGTTGGGACAAGGTTGTCAAGGTTAGTAATACGTTTTGGAGATCTTGTTGCCTGTATCAGTTGTGATTTTTCTGGCAACTTCGGAAACACTGGCAGATAGTTCACTCAATAATACAAGACCACTACTTACTTCCGACCCCTTGCTCTTTCCGACGTTATTTCTATTTGCCTATTCGCTAACTTACTTTCTGTACAGGTTTGGGAACTCTCGAAGTTCAAGCTGAAGACCAACCACTACGGCCACACTGGCTACATCAATACTGTCTCCGTCTCCCCCGATGGCTCCCTCGCTGCGTCAGGTGGCAAGGACGGTATCACCATGCTCTGGGATCTCAACGAGGGCAAGCACCTCTACTCCCTTGAGGCTGGCGATGTCGTCAATGCCCTCGTCTTCTCTCCCAACCGATACTGGCTCTGCGCTGCCACCGCTACCTGCATCAAAATATTTGACCTTGAGAGCAAGTGCGTTGATTTTGCGAATGTGTCTACTTATTTCATGCTAATATCAAATCTATCAGGTCGATTGTTGACGAGCTCAAGCCTGACTTCGCCCAGAGCGCTGGCTCACGCGAACCCGAGTGTGTTTCCATCGCCTGGTCAGCAGATGGTCAGACGCTTTTCGGTGGTTTCACCGATGACCTTGTCCGTGTCTGGACAGTCATCTCATAAGCCATGCTTCGGGGCAGTCTGGCGAGATGTTGAGGGCGAGAGGTTGTTACTCTACTTTTCTGTTGTATGCATTTTACGTTGCTTGTTTCCTCAAAATCAAAAGCATCCCGTTGCGCTTTGTGAGCTTGACTGTTGCTATCGATTTCATACTATCGGATTTGTCTTCAATGAATGTTCTTGAGAATGAGACCTGCCTAACGCAATCTATGGGTCCAGAATATCAGCGCTTATCGTGGATATGCGACTTACATCTTACCATGATGACCGTCCAACTGAACAAGCAAGTTCGATCCTTGGGTTTCCGTCCACCACCGGTGAGTGAAATTTGCTTCACTTCGCTGATGGTCGCGTGCTTTATACGATCTTACAATATAAATTGATTATGGAACTGTCACTAGGGTACAGAAGCTATGATACGGAAGCGTGTATACAAATGGTCATGTCGAAACGCAGACGGTCATACAGGCGAATCGTGCTTTTTCTTCTCAGTGGAGGCCGAAGTGAAGTCCCCTATGCGATCAGACCGATCATTGCCCATAATCTCCTCAAACCGTCTCCGAAATCGAGCAATACGGTCATCAAATACAGATCCTACTGCATTGCCATGATCGAGGAGGAACCCCTCAATATCTCGGCCAAAATGCTCCAGCTCTCTAGACCTAGCCCTACTCGCCTCTGGTTCTCCAGAACCTCTTGCTTTCGCCAGATAGGAAGCTGCCATGGTGGACAGGCCTCCGAGGATTGAGGTAGCGATCGATGATTGTCTACCAGTGGTTGCTGCTGATATTCCGGTTGTCAACGCCCCAAATAGGATTTGTGCTCCGATTGCTGCGTTCACACTCCAGCCGCTTTTCCGAGCTGATGTGAAGGCATGGTCAATACAGCGTGACTTCGGACTGAAATACGCTCACCTCGTTGTTGGTATGTCTGCAGCTCCACTTCTGCATGTTTCTGCGTAGCCTCCAGACGTTGGCGGACGGTCAGCTCTGCCTGCCGTAGATCCTTGTGAGTCATCTGTAAACCTACCGTGTACGATGACTTACCGTCATTGGTGTTTTCTCTATTAGGTCTCTATCCACATCCTCACCAGTTGTAGGATATATTCTAGGCTCCTTTCGCTGAAGGTCTCGTATCTCATCGTCTCCCAAATATCCGTCAATAGGCCTTCTACCATACGGCATGCCAGGAGGTCTAAGCATGACCGGTTCAATCACCCTTGGCATGACAATCCTTTGCGGATCCATACTCAGATCTGCCGGGGAGCGTGACTGCGTGCGTTTGACATCGGTTGAGCCAGGAAGGAGACCAGTAGTCGATCCCTGCTCTTCTGCGGAAGAATTGCTATATGTCTGGTCGGACGTGAGTGATTGCCCGTGTCCATAGCTTCCCTTGCGTCCGGGGATTATTGGAACGTTGTGTGGTGTTGGGATAGGGAGAGTTTGATGAGTCTCGGTGTATGGTTGCTGCCCAGCTAAACCATGCGTCATTGGACCCGCATCGACCTGATGCGACTCTGTTATGCTCGGAGGTACGATGATAGGTGGAGGCGGTGTGCCAGTTGCATGAGAACTAGCATTGTCAGGACGCAGTTGTCGATTTGCATCATTTCGTTCGTTTCGATCCATTGCGAATCGGCGTGGAGGACAATATATGCAGATTGCCTTCGGAGAACAGATAGAAGACTGCTGAAGTGCGTGGATTTGCCAAATCTCCAGATGCCCTTAATATATAACCATCGTGCCTTTCTCTACAGGTTCTCGACTCTAGTCTGAGTCGTGTCCACGTTACGTGCATGTCCCGGCATAGCAGAGTTGCTTGGAAAGGACGTGGGCACATCAGTCGACGAGGAACTGTAAGACTGACAGATCGCGCACAGAGGTCGGTGAGTCAGTATTACCGTTCAGGTTCAGTTCCTGAACGAAATTACCGCGACGTAACTCATACATGCGCTCTATCTTCTTTGACTTAACTCTCTCCTCTGTTGACTCTAGTTTGAAGGCCAAACCTACCTTAACTTAGAGCCGATGGCAGGAGTCTAGAACGGCGCGTTCCTAGCGCCAATTTCGGGAAGTTACAAAATTCCAACTCTGGAGATGTACAGTTTGTATGCACTCGTTGTTCGTGATGTGGTATGAATGTACTCTCAGAGAGAGTCGTGATAACCTATGCTGACCTGCAATCCATTCTTAACAGTTTGCCATATTATTGTGCTGGATAGGGTTCAATTCTGTCCATGTCTGTCAAGTCCTGACAAACAAGGATAAGATGCCTGCTATCCAGGCTCGCCCAAGATGAAAGTTACTCAGGGCAATCAGGGCCTTAATGTGCTTGCTTCCCCTCTGTGCAGAAAGCATGTTTAATTTCTTGATTGCCAATGTGTAGTTTGATTCTGAGGTCCCCAGTCTTTGATTGGGGTGTGATTCCGCCTGCTTCACTGGAAAATAATGCGAACAGCCTTCTTAGACTTTGGCTACTGCCTCGTCCTCAATGTCTTTATGGGTCATGCTCATGCCACTCGGCCTCCAATCTGCTATACGTAAGCACATTGTTCCTTTGTTCTCCATGGACCTTGAGGCACGAAGCCACTCGTGACGGCCTGATATATTTACCTAGATTCCATTAGTATATCTTATCCGAAGTTTCCGAACAACAATGGGGGAGAGCTTCTACTCTCCCAATATGGAAGTTAACCACCGGACACAGCGTCGGCCAAAGACACACGTTGTTCTCGTCCACTCACAGTCCACTTGACACTTCTTGCTTACTCCATTTGGCCCACTATTCTTTGTACCAAAATGTCGCGTCTTTGGCTTCCGATCAACCCTCAGTTTGAAAAACCGCAACTACCTTACCCCTTTCTTACATGGAAGCCGTTCGATATACCAAATGATATCACAACCTTCGAGGACGCGCTACACTATGCTCTTGCGCAAAGAAACCTTACTTACGAGCAACTGGCACCTGTCAAAAGGGAGTACAGACAACGCACTGATTCAAATATGAGGCAGACTAAGGTAGCTATATCCTTCGCGATGTTTTTCTATTGCACTGGATTAACCACACCCGCAGCGAGTTTGCATAGTTTGTCGTGACGGAACTGAGTACTTGGACCATACCAAGACTCAAAACCGCCACGAAGGTACAATCTGTCACAAAAAGGGTCTAGCTTACGTTCTCGGCCTTGACGAGGATACATTCCTTCACTATTTTGTACCGTGCGACTTTTGCGCTCAAACGTAAGGCACATCCTCATTCGTTTCTGATACTGGGACTTATTATCGTTCTGGCTTGCATGTAGTTTCACTAATGATCGCGCATTGAAAAACCATCTCCACAAATTTATTCACACTTCTAATCCGACACAAGCGGGTGCGTCTGAGGGCGTCAAGATCAACCGGCCACGCGAAGACATGACAGGCGCGGCTGAAAACAAACCGCATTATAATTCGAAAGTTTCCTCGAGATACAGTAGCCATCACGCGCGTCCAGTCTTGACTTCCGTCGATAATTTGTCTGTCTCGGTTTCTGGTAGCTCAACAATGACGCCTCTCTCTTCGCCAACCTCACGGCTCCCAGGCCGGGCTGCGTGGGCGGTCGACACAACGGACTATCTTTCCCCCCGGAGGCTTGTTCCTGGTCAAATGTCATCACAAATGGCAACCTCTTCTTCGACTGGCCAGCTTCGTTCTCTGACTCTTCCGTCCAACAAAACCTTCACGAAGTCTGCGGCATTTATCAATGGCCAATCTGTTACTGTCGCAGCGCCTACCTCAAGTAGTGCACATAATGCTTCCCCTCCTCCTCCTTACACCTGTATCTCTGGACATCCTCTCAAACGCAAACGAAGTGATGAAGATGAAGGGACAGGTCGGGAAGTGCCGCCCTCATTCCACCCTACCGCTCATTCTCGCACCGGAGTCACCACACAAGAGAGGCAGCTCAGGCTGACCCAAGTCCTGGATATCATCTACAATCGGCTGGATTGGTCTCGTTTGGAAGGGGAGGACCTGGTCCTCGTTGTTGCCTCCTACCTCCAATGTCGCCAGTCACTGCGCGACATGCACGTCGTTCATAGACCGGTCATTCTGCCAAGGCCGATAGCCTACCAGTGGCGGACTGACGACTAATTGTGACACAGAAGTGTTTTCTAACCTATATATCCCGACACCCTTATACCTAGCCGATCAAGCATGTCTTTTGTTTGATATCATGCGTATTACTTTTTGGACCGTGTGCGTACTGTAATGTACCAAGTATTGTTATGCCTACAAACGAATTCCCACACCTATTCTCACTGAAGACTGGGGTGCTTGGATCCCCTTCTTGAAACTCCAATAAGGGAGACGGTCGTTAGTACCTGCTTTCTCGCAGTACTATTACTGTATACTTATATGGATTTGAGGTTGCCGGGAATCGACGCGGTATCAATGTAGGCACACGGTAGTGTTAAGTGGACGAAACGGATGTTTGTGTTCGACGATAGAATACATCCTGATACTGAACACAATATGTCTTACCACAGTGTTTGTCTTCGGAAATCGTTATAAGTCTGCCCAAAATTTTAGTATGACAATTTGAGCACCTCGGCGTAAGTGCAATAGTTGCCTAAACAAACCTATTGCCCTAAATCGGGAAGTTATGTCGCGTCGGGATTTGCCACAGACTTGGCCTGCAATTCGTCTTGGGCAAGCGCATCTTTTTGCAAGAACTCCCTCTACCATCTTGCTCCAAACCTTTCTCATTCACTATTCAACAAGGACGCTCTTGAATCATGGGCAGAAATAGTACGCTAATATCTCGATATTCGTTCATGTCCTCTAATCTCATGTAGCTGATCCATGTTTCCATTTCAGAAGGTCGCAAGCCGGAGGTACCGCTCAGGTCCAGTCAGTGACTTTGTTTCACGTCTTGCTACCGTGCTAATGGTCTAGTAACATTTATATGTACTTGCAGAGCTCAAGAAGGATCCTGGAGTGCCACGGCTCCCTAATCTGAGGCTTCGCAATGCAGAAAAACAGAAACTTCATCATGTCTGTCTACAATTACCCACTTGTCGCCTCTTTCTGACTCCACATATGTTTCATCCAGCCACCTCCGCCTCCCCATAGGCCTGATCCAGACGCAGTAATGGCGTCGGAACCTACACTCTCCTCCCTCGCGGCTCTTGCAGCCTCTGCGTCTTCATCGACGTCTTCAGTGGATCATGGTCCTTCTTCCTCTACCGGACAGAGAGAGAGGTTCCAAACCAAGGAACAAGCTCGGAGACATTTCGTAAAGACGCTGCACAAAGTCATCGATGAGAGTGATATCGTACTCCTTGTTCTAGACGCTCGGGATCCAGAAGGGTGTAGAAGCAGACTAGTAGAAGAGGAAGTCAGAAGAAGAGAAGCGGAAGGCAAACGTTTGATCTTTGTGCTCAACAAAGTTGGTATGTACCTTGAACCTTCAATGATCCGTAGTGGTCTAATCCTGTGTGCATGCGATAGATTTGGTACCTGCTTCCAACGCTCAGGCATGGTTGAAGTATCTACGACAATCGACCCCAACGTTGCCATTCCGTTCCGTTTCGAACTCGAGTTCCACTGTCTCGACTGCAACATCTCCTGCATTGATTAGGTTACTGAAGGCCTACCGACCGTCATCCAAGCAGAGCATAACAGTTGGCGTCGTGGGGTACCCGAATGTCGGTAAGAGTAGCTTAGTGAATGCTCTGAAGAGAGTCAAGGTCAGTGCTGTATTGTTACTACCACAGCAATCAAATGACCATATGTTGGCGATCTTTGCAGGTTTGTCCTGTCGCCGCTCAGCCAGGCCATACAACAACGTTACAAACTGTCCATCTCGAACGGGGAATCAAAATCGTCGATTCGCCAGGTGTCATCTTCGACGACGATAGCGAACTGGACATCAATAAACTCAATAAGGGCGAGCGGAAGGCAAACTCAAGCCTTAAGTTGAGAAACGTCATGAAGGTAGAAGATGTTGACGATCCGATCGAAGTGGTCGAAGAGATCTTGCACCGTGTCGATCCCGCTACTGTTCAGAAGATCTATAACCTCCCTTTGTCTCCTGATGGACAACCTCAGACTAATTTCGGTACAACATTGGAGTTCTTAACGATGTTGGCCATGACGAATGGCAGATTATTGAAGGTGCGTCGGAGAAGTCCGCGTCGTCTCTTTCCTTTGAACTGCTAACGTACTTACTCATCTGTCAGGGCGGGACTCCAGATGTTCTTGGAGCAGCTCGGCAGGTTTTAAACGACTGGAATCATCAGAAGATCCCATTCTTCTCCAACCCACCAACTATCCACCCATCCCTCATTCCTTCTACTGTTGCGACATCTTCCGGCGAGCAGATAGTCGCTCCTGGTGCTGAGAATGTCGGCCAAGCACGTATTTTGACTCAGTTTGGCAAGCCGTTCGAGGTCGAAGGTCTATTTGGCATGGCTGATCAAGGAGCTTTCGGCGGGGACTCAGCAGCCGGCGAAGCTATGGCTGTGGAGGAAGAGAGCCAAGGTACCGATGTGTGGATGGACGAGGCCGCGTGAGTTGTGTTCATTCTTCGAGATCTTCCGGACGCTTTTTGCTAGGGCGTATCCTGGGAGGTGAACCGTTCTATCTCTCTTTCATCTCTACCCGCCGGAAGGCGCATGTTAATCTTTTGACTGTTCTCAGAAATAAAATGATCGAGGATAGCCCTAATAAGTCGCTGAAACGAGGGCGTTCCCCTTCGCCTACCCCAGAAGCGAACTCACAACCTCAACGAGTCGGTTCACCCATTCCGATACGACCACCCAAACGACTACGAAGATCACATGCGTCTGAGCCCATCGCGCCCTCGACGCTCGCAAGCATGGGGAATGCGAATCCTTTGAATCGAAAAGCTCTGAAACGTGAGATGAAGAAGGCTAGAAGGGCCGGTCGGGTACGAGTAGGCGGTGGAATTGGTACAGGGCGTATGGGAACTGTCTCTGGTCGAATGGAAGTTGATGATGATCATGGACCGGGTGGCATTGGTTTGGGCTTGGGTGGTACTTTCTTCTCTGGGTTGAGCACTACGGAAGTTGCATAGGACGTGCGGTGATACTATGGCTTTCTCCTCTGTATATCCATTCGACTTGTCTGCTGACTGCTGGCTGCACATAGACTCTTATTGTCATTTACTGCTGTTCTACATGCAATGGATACAAGCAAATACAAGATATCTTCTACAACGATGATTTACATGGTAGGGTATGATACATTGTCGCACTCGGACGACTATTCTACACCTGCCTCAGTGTGCGGATGACCTAGAAAGATACACAAGACTCTTATTGACCGTCCCTGTTGAAACAAATGCTACATCAATACAGGAACAGACGGCAATGAGATGAAGAGCAATAGAGTACAGATATGTGTCGTGGTACAGCCTTGGTCCCGGCGTACAGGTACATTCCAAATGGTGGGAAGCAGGGAACCCGGAGGAAGAAAGCAGAATAATGTACATGTCGAGCTCACAGTTTCGCGAGTACTGTCTCTCCCGGCGACCCAATGGTCATCTCCCCGACATCCCTCCACCACTTCTCCGCAACCTCATCAGCGTCATACCCAAATTGCGCCTGACTCTTCGGCTTGTCAGCCCATTGGTTAGCGTTTCCCTTCATTTCTTCGTCGGCATCACCTTCAGGTGCCGGTAAACCCTTCTCCTTTGCCATTGCACGTCGCATCTCTTCATCCCTCTTCTCTTGCTCCGGGCCGTCAGGAAGGTGGAATATCCTCTGGTTGTCACGCGATGAAGCTTGAGTATCTGCCGTCCGTTTGAGACGTAGCGACTGATAGGCTTCAAGAAGCGGGTGGATTTGAGAGGGGTGAGAGAGATGAGAGAAAAGATTTCCAAGGACTGCGGCATCTTCTATAGCCATGGCAGCACCTTGTGCACGATATGGCTGGGAAAATGAAATATGTGTCAGGTGAGACGCGAAATTAGTCGGATTGCCTGACGTACAAGCATAGGGTGACAAGCATCACCGAGTAGAACCACTCTACCAGAAGAGTGTATCCAGGTCTCAAGCGGTTGTCGATCCATGAGGCGCCATTTCAAAGTGGAGTCAACAAACTTCAAGAGCTTCTGTACCCTATACTATATGTAAGAACGGGGTCAATACCGACGCAATATCTGCACTCACTTAGGTTCAAAGTCAGCAAAATCAGATCGCATCTTATCTGCACTAGCTTCTGCTGTCCAAGACTCTACAGAGTTGTCATCGGGGTGTATCAGAACCAGGTTGTACTCCCTCTTCGCTCTCTACTCAGGATGAGTAAGCGAATTCTATACATATTCACGAACGGAAGCTCACGATGCAGTACGCCATCAAGTGACGGCCTGGAGCCATCCAACCCGTCATTTCCGGGTTCTCGAGTAACGGTCGTAATTCAGGGTCCTTCAGCATTTCGCTGGTAGGAATTATGGCTCTGTACGCGGCGTCACCAGTAGGTCGTGCAGGGTTAACGCGACCCAATACAACCTGCTGGATGTAGCTCTTGACACCATCAGCACCTATAACGAGGTCGCCATGGATGACCGTTCCATCGCTGAGGGTCACCGAAGGTCCCTCTGGGTTCGAGGCTGAAGGAGGGTCTGGGTTTACAGAGACCACGGTGGACTTCAGTTTCAGCGTTACGTTAGGCGCGGCAAGGTCATAAAGAAGCTTGTGGAAGTCGGCGCGGTGGATGTGGTAATAAGGCGCGCCAAACTCTTCCATCTTCTCTGCCCACTTCGTCCATCCTACAAGCTCGCCAGTGTTATATCTCCTCAAAGCGATTGCTTCAGGCCTTACAGCTATATCTTCGAGGGCTTTACCAAGACCCCAGCGACGAAGCAATCGACTAACGTTTGGCGATACCTGGATACCAGCGCCAACCTCACCAATGGCAGTAGCGGACTCGAGAATCGTGATTCGATGACCCGCTTGAGCGAGACAGTGTGCTGCAGCCAGACCACCCAGACCGCAACCTACTATGAGGATATGTAGTGATAGGGAGGCCTTGCGACCATTGCAGAGATTCAAAGATTCAGAGACACCTTGTGCATTAGCTGCCTGGTCAGGGATAGCCAGTGGTTTAGAGGAGGAAGGTGTTGAAGACATGAGGTACTTAGGCGAAAGTCAAGGCGAACCCGACAGGAACTAGACGTCTATTAATGTGAGAGAGGGGACGCCCTTGGAGAACAGATGTGCCGCATACCCGTTCTAACTTGGACGAATAGAGGCTTCCGATGAGCTGTGTAGGTGTACAGCACATGGTGGCTAATTGGAGGGCGAGGGCAAATTGCTCTCTTATAAGGCAATCTCCCAGCTTCATCATACGTTCGCATGACGTTGGTGTATTTAGCTAAGTTCCGGGTGCGATAGTGTTATGAAAAGAGAGATCGCCAAGTCCAATTCCTTTAGTGCACAGGTGTCATTAGCACAGAGACGCAAGCTAAGGGGATTGTGGGAATGCCACGAACCCCTGACCACGTTCGACTCGGAACAAGAGGACCAACTTGGCGCGGATATCTGACATAGAGCCTGTCATCTAGTCTCTTTCCAGAGTTCACATGCCGCGAAGTCAGTGACGGCTAGTTTGGACTTTGATGGGTCAAGGAAGCTTGGATATTCTATGGCGAGAAGACAGGCACGGAGTATTAGAGGAACGATGAGAAAAGCTATCTCTGCAGGCACGGGCGTGGTGGAAGTGCATCTGTTACGAGCAATATCATTTAGATATCCTCATCTCAGCGTCTCCTCTCCCGACTAATCGCACTCACGTGAAGCAGTCCCCATGGGGGTGTATTCTCTTTTGCCAAAATATTTGAGGCGAGGAAGCTTGTTCCTCGGTGTCGACTGTCACGAACTCGAATTAAGGTGGTTGTGGTGAGTAGTTTGTGTCTGTTGGAACCGGTGAGTCCAACGTCATGCATCATCACTTGCAGGTTTGCTGTTGTTTCACACATCACAGTCTGCGTGTTTCGCCTATTGGTCAACTATCTCAGGTGGGAACGCTGCGTTGTCTATATTGTCTTTACTTGTGGGTTCAGACTTTTCATACTAGGTCGGCATCATTCGTCAACCAGGATCATTTGATAGTAGGTCATTTCTCTTTCTTCAGGTAAAAGAACACACGCTTACACCATTTCACGTGGACAGAAAGATACATTTTGAATCACTTCATTTTCTTCTGTACGTCGCTACATCTGTGGATGCCACATTTTTTCGAGTTGCACCTCAGCAAACAATGTTGTCCATAGAGAGTATTCACGGCCAACACGTCGAAAAGAACAAAAAAAAACTGCGCTCCATCCTCAATGTACACTGTAGCCACCGGCTCCAGTTCTGAACGTTGAACGGCGAGGGCTCGAGAGGCGTTTCGAATGCGTCCTCATCCCTCAGTTTTCTTATTCTACATTGCTGCCTTATCCTACCACGTCATCACTTTTGCTATGTCGCATACTATCTAATCGGGTGATCGGCGGACATTCATAGGTGCGCGAATCGTCCAATCGTATAGTATTCTTCAATTATGCATTATTTTTCTAACATGAAATCTAGCCTTGTCAGACTGTAAGTCGACTTATATTGATTCGAGGAGTAATGTAGATTTTTTGCGATGATCTTGGTTATCCCATAGCATTGACTGGTAAGTAAATCACCCCGCTGTAACCCGCTCCACATGATTTCCGTAATTCAGTGCTCAACATACGAGCTGCGCAGGTGGTCGCCTGCGTTCAATTCGAAAGCTGTCAAATGATAATAGTGATCAAAGGATTGATTCAACTTTCTGGCGGGAAGTTAAACAAACCGACCTGAGGGCTTAGCCACCATAGATATATAAAGGCAACCTCGATTCTTCGTTGTACGGTGGAGGGAAACGTTGCGGTAAGTTTGGTCCATAATCAGTCCTGATCGGCCTCACGGGTCTACCAAATAACCTGCAATGACACTTATCCACACTCGGTGCGCCTTTCCTTCCTAATCCGCTGCAGTATAATCACCTTCCAGGTAGCACAATGTCGGTGAGTCGAACAATGTTTTCCTTATCTTGCCACTCAATAGACCTTCACAGTGTAGGCTGCAGCATGCATCCGTTCGGCGGAGAAACGGTTCCATTGTCCGCACCTGACATGATCACTGGCCACTCGAAGCTAGATTGAAGATCTCCGTGATGGGAACCACAAAAGGCTGCACGGCACAACTTTTACAACTAAGCCTCGATGGATCACTGATCTCGATCGGTTGATGTAGCCGAGGTCGTCACACGCCGTGTAGACAAAGAACTCGGAACAAACACAGGAAAACACCTGCGCTGGTTTGTCCCAATTTTCTAACATTGGGAGACATAGGCAGCACATCGTTGCATCAATGTCGACGTCTAAAGATGTGATTATTTCATTCGTCGTTTCCCTGAAGAGTCGCAAATCCCTTTGGGGTGTTTACAGGTATCTGGCCATGGTGAAATGCCCACTTCCGCAAAGACCTTTCAACAGCTTACGTGTCTGGCGAGATCGTTTTTCTGTGCGCGCTTGATTGTGATACTCAAAGCGTTCATTTCAATAGAAATCGTCGGGCTGGGCACGTTTCCATGCATGCGCAAACTGAAACTCAATGGAGAAGATCCCGCCCAGGATCGGCATGTCTCATTGTGAACCTCAATTCCCCAGCGGAAATGAAATGGTTTGGCTATCACTCCCCATCGCATGTTTGCGAAGAAGCTGGGGAGACGTCCCTCCTGCTGAAAGGAAGACGTTTTACATATTTTCCCCCCTAGATAAATACGGGATCGGGAAGACTGTGCTCTCCCTTCAGCCCAGTCTTGTTTTTGTCGCAGTGTTTCCTCTTAACATTTCTTTCCTTCTTCTTCTTGGTACTCCCTATGTCCTCTACACGCCACTCCCACTTGGACGCTCTGAACGACTACCACGTCTTTAAGGAGTACTTCCCTCTGCGGTCTCTCCGGGATGGCCCTCACTTGCATGGCCGCTGGCTTGACACCCCAGTCAAGACCACGATGACGACGGATTTGAGGACGGACGACCACTTCCCTTTCCACGAGCAGGACATCGTCAAGAAAATCGAATGGGTACTGGCCCAGCGCGGGGTCTCCTGGGAACAGTACAACCCTGCCTTCCCTCATCGCAAAGGCCAAAAGGTAATTCACTGCTGCTAGCTGCGTGTGTTCAATCTAACTTATTTTTTGTAAGCTGGTGTGCCCGATTCCGGGTTGTCAAGTTGGTGACAGCACTGGCCCGCAGGCGCTCTCGAAACATCTCAGAACCATCCCTCACATGGTCATTCTAGCGAAGTATCTAGGTCTAACACCTGACGTATTCTTTACACGGAGGTTATGCAAAGGGTGTAAACGAAGGCGAGTTAACATCTTTATATCTTTTTCCGACCCTTGCTGACCTCCCTATGTAGCGTTTACATCCAACGTCAGGATTCATGGATCAGGCACTCGACCAAATGCAAGGCCAAGCATGAGTCGGGGAATACGTCGGGAAGATATGCTAGCGGTTCAGCTAGTCCCGGACCCCGCGCTGTACCGTATTCCCCTGAGGATCGACCCTTTCAAAAACGTTTCGCGAGGTCTATGGCCAACACTGATTCGCAAGTCGAATCGCAGCACCAGCCTGGTTCTCACGTGTTTCCTCTTGAGTTGGATGGACGACCATCCACTCCAGTCTCTCCCCCTCAATTCTCCGCTGGTTGTTTTGCTCTCGATCCATCTATTGGCACTTACCCCTCACCTTGGGCTGGAACACTCGCACCGCAGACTCCTACAGAGTCCGAGCCCCAGACGCCTCCGGAGTTCGACAACTTGCCACCGGTCTCTATCCAAACCGCTAACGATCCTGGTTACTTCCATCTGGACAACGGCTACTATACATCTCAACTTTACTCCAATGAACTGGCCTTCATGCGGGACGTTCTGGGGGAGACATCCGTCGGTGTCGAGTACGTCTCTCAAAACTACGACTCGAACTCCTCTCTCGAATTCTCCGGATCGTATCTTGGTGTTTCCTCCTCTTGGACGACGGCTTATCCGTTGAACACCTGTCCTACGGATGCGCTAGGACTTCCTATTTTGCATTCATGCCATGTGTCTCCTCAGTTTTGTTACGCTTGCTCTTTCTTTCCGCAAGAGTCATAAGAAGATTTGGTCCAGTGGGGCTTGGGTGGTCTCTTTAAATCTATGTGTCCTGCTATACGATAAGTTCGTGGTCGGGTGCGTCGATCGTATCTATCTACCGTTTACTGTAGCATATTCCTCCATCTATTGGCACTGTATCGATACTGCATTCTTATACCCTCTATCAATCCTTTATACCCATTGTCCACAGTTTTATGTCATTGTTTCCATTTCAATTCTACGCATTGTGTATCCTTCCAGTCAGCGTTAGATACATTAAGTGTTTGCGTTTGTCCAACATGCATACCTTCCGAATCAGGACACGTACGACTGACACCCACTATTACAGCACCGCCACTGGCAGATAACCCAACCGTGTCAAACCTGCCAGTGACCGCGTTTGCGTTTGTCTTTCCATCTATCTCGACAGTTGTCGCGGTCTCGGTCACAAATATACTCCTTCTCTGCCGAAGTATCGAAACTAGCTCGTTTCCATGGGTCGATATCTTCATGTTGGATTGGTTCAGTTTTAATTACTGACAGAGATGCGTCGCTGGTAGCAGCACGATTGTCTATCTCTAGCTTCGCTCTCCCAGAGCGGTCGTCACAACTCCAAGCTGCCAAAACCGAAAGGACAAAGGACCTTTGCTTATTATCAAGCACACCATTCGTAGGTATCGCGATACGTCCCATTTTTCCAGTTTATGTGTATTGATAATATGCGAAGTTGTGATTATGCATAGATGGATGTACCGTATTTCCAAACTTCCCCTGATTCGCCGAAACTTCAGAGTTGCATGCGAATGGTTCCCGTTTCGTTGCGCACCCATAAATGTATCTTCCATCCAGAGGACGGACCGACGGACGATTGCCATGTATGTTTGTGGAGTACCCTTACTTGCAGATTGCTCACAACTACAAAGAATCTCCGGGCATAATAATACAACTGGGAGACAAGGTTCGTCAATTCCAATCCGTTTTAGGGATCAAGTATGACACCCCGTTCACAGATATATCGTACCGGACCGTCTAACGTTACCATGACCCTGCCCTTCTTCTTTAGAGCGATTACCCTGGATGGTCCTTGGTACAGGTTCGAGTGACAATGTGTATCAGCATGCTGATCGATATTTGGTGTGTCCAGCTCCAGTTTCCACTTCTTGAACTGTTATCCCATAAGGAAATTGTCGGTTCGTGTGCGAAACATGAAACGAACCATTGTCTGTATACTTTCTGTATCCTCGCGGGGTTGAAATATACCCACGGATGCGGTACGTGGATCCGGAGCAGTCATTTCGGCTAAAGTTCTTTGTCCTCTACCACAGTGCCTTCATATACGAAGGTTTGTACCCCTCAATGCGCTCGCCGGCGTCTCTGGTAGTTGTTTTGCCGGGTCCGGGTGGCAAACGATGATGGAGAATCCTCCAGCCTTTTGTGTAAATGTCAGGTAAGACTTCAGGTTGTGACCCTGCCGTACGAGAATTATGAGATTCTCCAGGTCTGAAGGCCTTCATAATGATTATTCTATGGTATGCACTCGAGGGGTGTATGTCGCGTGTGACTAGATCGGGATCCACAAACAATCGAAGCAGCCCGATCAATGGAATGTCTCGGACGGGTACCGTCGACGCCTGCTGGTAGTTGACCATGATCGCGGCTAGTCACAGCGTCGGCTAATGCTACCGGTTGTTCTGGACTTCCCCACTTCACAGAAGGCTTGGACTATAAAGTGCAAGCCCGGCACGTCATGTACTGCCAAACCACTCCTGCCTTTTGGCCTTTGCAGTACTCTTTTGACCACACGCTCCTTATATTTCTCGCTCTATGCCCAAAACTCGCCGCGCACGTCGCAACGACGCGTCTTTACCATACACGCGCAAGAATCCAACCCAAGATGCTGCTCGCGCATCATTAGAATACACCATTAGTCTCTCCGAGGCCACGCTTCTCAAGGCCACCCGTCAAAGGCAGCAGTCGCTGCTGATACAACACGGACGCGACCCAAACCTCTACTCGCCAGAAAACCTATTCCATCGGCCTCCGAAGACGACAAATACTCAGAAGGATCTCAAGCCTGAGGAAAAGGTATGAATCTTCCAACCTCTCATGTTCAATGACTCATTCGATCTTCACAATCCAGAAGATTGCTTGCACTCTCTGCGAGAACTCTGCTGTTAAACAAAAGGGAAGCAAGGCATGGAAAACACAGCCAATATCGGTCGATGACAGAAGCCGCGGACGTCATTGCTATGGCCATCAGGCTCACTGGGAAGCGCTAGCCCGCGTTCTCAGTATAGACCCCCATGAACTCCAGGCTTACTGGGGTTGCCCTGTTCCCGGATGTTCGACAACGTATGTTCCTCCCTTCTTGCAAGATACTCCCTTAGCTCATTGTTTTTCTCCAGAATGTTCGTCGTTCGCTTAGAAGGGATTAAATCCCACTTCAAAACACACAGGGAAGAGGAACTCGAAGCCCTTCTTGGGAAGACTCTCGAATGCTGCGGGCACAAATTCCAGGTCATCAAGAAGGCCAAGGGTCGCCAGTCCTCCACTTCCTCTTCTTCTGCTGTGAAAACTGGCGTCATCCCTGTCTCACAACATGAGGATCATCCTTCCTCGTCCTCGTCCCCGTCCTCGTCCCGGCTCTCGCCTTCGCCCCCCTCCTCCTTCTCGGGCTCCTTCTCCTTCTCGTCGCCCTCTCCCTCCACCTCCTCCATCGCTCCAGAAATCAATCTAAACTCATCAGACTGGCAGTTTTTCACCAAGACCACGACCACACCCGGGCCCGTGTCCACGCCCGCACCCCCGACTACGCCTTCCCTCTCACCCGATAGCAGTCCTTCCGACTTCGCATCGTCCGTTGATACTTCACCGGGAAGCCCAGATGATTCATCTCTCGGGTCCATCCTCTCTGCACCAACTGCTTCAACGTCTGGGGAAGACTACTATACTCCTATCTCGAACTCTGAACTGTTCGAATATTCGCAGACGTCGGCTTCGAGCTCATTTACCTGGGACGACTCGCTGTTAGACCCTTCCTACTTCCAAATCGATGAACAAATGGATGCTATTTATCGCGCCGAAAGGTCTATCGTCCCGTCCTCGTTTCTTGTTGACCAGGTCTGCTACGACAACGCCTTTGACGATCCTTTCAATGACTATGAGCCCGTGCTCATTACTCGCTACTAGGGCTGGCAAGGTTTGGCCGCATTTCTCTTCAACATTTGTCTTAATCGTCCTCCTATCTCGTCCTGTCTGCATCAGTTTTCCTCCCATGTCTCGCTCTCAATGTTGTTTCTCTTGTTCTCGATCGCACCACATCTGTATCGCTAGCTCTCGTATTTTTTAATTTCATCTCTGGAACCATCGCAGTTCACTAGTACTACTGCCCATTTTCCTAATACTTGATCCTGAAGGGATCCTTATCATCATCCGCGTATAATGATTGTATTAAACGCATACTGTAGCCAGAGCCATTCTATTTTATCATAATTTATATATAAGTACTTCCCAATTCTCCATCAGAATTCGCCAATGCGGGCGGCTAGAGTAAAAAAGAAACAGGCGTTTTTCCTACCATATAATTTTCAGGTAGCGCTGAAACAATTAGCTGGAATGGCCGAGTCGTTAAGGCGAGTGATTTGAATTATCAATTATCACTTGGGCATTGCCCGCGTAGGTTCAAATCCTGCTTCCAGCGTTTCATTTTGCTTCTTTCTCATCTACCGTCCTCAGGTCAATCGCAATGTCTCAGGCACCTCAAAGTAGGCCAATTGCCAGGGCAATTTGTAGCTTTACAGTCGGCAATCGGCAGTGCTACCCGGAAGAGACATTTACTTATAAGTTACAGAGAACAGTAAGGGGTAGGCCGGATATGTAGAGCTTTCTTTATACAACTAATCACAACAATATAAAGTACAACTGCCTGTTCTCGAGATGGCAGTAAGGGATCCTTGGAAACTGAAATCGTGTTGTTACTAGGTCTCAGCGACGCCCGCATTCCAGCTATTCAGCGCATTCTCCCCAACCTGGTCCTTGATGATACTCTCGCTCAACGTCCACAACCTCTTTGCAAGAGCTACATCGCGTGCCTGCTCACTCTCCTTCCCCTCCTCTCCCGGATCGGTAATATAATGTCCTTGCCACCCACTCGCCTTCTCATCTCCCTGCAGCCCTTGGTCTCCTTTAGGAGAAGTGTTGACGACATCGTCGCTCACAGCAGCCCAAAGGGTGCTGAGACTACCTTGGTCGGGAGAGCGCATGAATGGCACGACGACAGTCTTCATTATACTTCCAAACACGCCACCGTAGGCTTCTTTAAATTGGTCTTGTTGACCCGTGTGTACGGCTCCGGGATGAGTAGCCAATGCATATATGGAAGGCTCAGAGGTATCCAGTCCAGCGTGTTTGACGAGTTCCTTGACGAAAAGGATGTTCGCAAGCTTCGTTCTAGCGTAAAGGGAATTGGCTTCGCCTAAATTGCCTTTGATGGAATTAGACTCGACGTCATTCAGCTCTTCAATGGAATCAAACTGGATGGAGGAGGGTGCCGTGCGATGCAACTCGGATGATACCACGACGACTCGAGGGGCAGGCGTGTTCGGAAGTCGGGAGGTCTTGCGTACAAGGGGGAGGAGTTGGTTCACCAAGTAGAAATGACCGAGATGGTTGACCGAGAAGTGACGGTCTATGCCGGTGGCAGCGGTATCGAATTTGTTGACACCCACGCCAGCAGCACAAACCAACTGAGGAATGCAGAGTAAACAAAAAAATTCTGCCGCTGGCACTAAAGAGAGACTTACGATATCCAGTCTTTCTTCCTTCGAAATTTTCTCGGCGGCCTTCTTGACCGAGTCAAGATCACCAAGGTCGCATGCAATGAAAGTAACATCGACTAAACCACCACTATTCTTATCCTCCAAATTGCTTGATTTGATACCAGAGACAGCATCCTCGCCGTTCTCGCTCTTGCGAGACAGGAGGAGAACACGAGCATGAGAAAGTGCGAGTGCGCGAGCTACTTCATATCCAATACCATTCGTCCCGCCGGTCACCACAGCAGTCTGTACACGGACTTAGTGTAAGCAGATAGCCGGTCCAGCATTGCTAACGGTGGAAACGCGATTTATTGGGCAGCGCACACACCTTTCCTCGAAGATTGGGCACGTCGGACTGGTGGAATCCATTTGCGGCCTTTCCAGTAATTTGTTCGATGGTTTTCTGCATACTGATGGACCTGTATAGAGATCTGAAGGACAGAGTTATAGATTTATTATTGAGAGTCGAACACAGGACTTTCGAGTGGGCGGGAAGAAGGGAGGAACGTTTGGAGAACATGACGGCTTATAAGGAGAACTAGCGTTGCCCGCCACAGGAGAGCCGTGGTGTCCTACGGAGCAGATCCATGGCGTAGCCGTTACGCCAATAAGGTTTTCCGCGTATACAGAACCAACTCTCAGCGATGGGATGAGCTCAGACAGGCCTGCGATCGAACCTACTACTTGCTCTCGCTCGATTTGGACAGCAGTGTAGCTCGGCGCGCGTTTACCGTAGTAAGAAGTGCGATTGTATATGGCCTAGCAGGTGAGTTTCATACAACTCGCTCAAAACACCTAGTGTACAATGGTAGGGCAGTAACATGGAGAGAATCCTTGATTTAAGACGTATAAGTGTCCAGAACCTGCTTCAAGCCAAGGGATACCTTGGACAAAACCTCGATGGTTTCGGCCTATCAAACGTATTCAGCCACAATTGAAGAGATTGGAACTCGTCACTCACCCAGACTTTCTCCTGAACACGCTGGCCTTCCTCACTCCTCACCCACTGACTTGGGTCCGTTACTTGAGTATTTACGATGTATGTTCCGTGAAGGTTCTTTACGTGGTCCTCAGTCGCGCTCTCGGGACCTACTGAGGCCCAGATAAGCTGTCGGCTTCCTTCTTCAGAACTACGAGCATTCGCAAGCTGTGCTTTCAGTTGAGGGGAGTCTACCTGTCGCGCGAGGTCGGATCGACACAGTCCCGGAGTGACACAGTTGACGACAACCCGGTTGGAAAGCCGGAGATGCTTCGCCAAAGCTCGTGTGAATAAGACATTCAGTACTAAGAAGGCAAAGTTAGTTCTATACGGCATCATGGGAGTAGTGTAGCTCTCCTACATTTGGATTCGGGGTAACGTTTCTGAATGTTCTCCTCGAACACGTCCTTCTTATTCAGGTACTCAAGAACACCTGAGCCACCCGTCCGCCCCTCTGCGAAATCCGACCAAGCATGAGTCTCACTGGCGACAATCACGAGACGCGAAAGACGCGAACGTGCTTCGCCAGCACGAGCGAGACTGGGAAGAAGTAGGAAACATAGCAGCGCGGTCGATAAATGGTTCACCTGCACACTAGAAATCGACATTCATCAAGAATATGAATACTATTATCGACCGGGAGCTTACGTAGTTTCCCATCCATCCTGAGTAGGAGTGAAAGTCACAGGTAATACTCCGGCGTTCGCAACCAGTATATCAAGCGAACCCACGTCCTTCTCGAACTTTTCAACGAAAGAGAGCACCGACGCGAAGCTGGTGAGTTCAAGGACGAACCCCTCGACATGAGTGAATCCAGTTTCTTTCTCAATAACTGCGAAAACAAAAATATCCTGCATCAGTCGAGTGACGCCAGTCTGCGACAACAGAGGAACATACGTGCGACTGCGGCTGCTGTCTTCTCCTCGCTTCGGCAAGTGATGATTAACCTGCTGGGCTTCATTGTGGCAAAATGCTTCGCGGCCTCCAATCCAATACCAGTATTGGCACCAGTGACCAAGACGATTTGGCCGCTGAGGTCGGTCTTCACTACAGGAAGAGACATCTTTGGGAGCGAAGAATCAGTTTGTTGTTCTGCAGCGATGACCGCGGCAGGTATATATTTATACCAGTGAGTTAAATTCTGCCGATGAATGATTATAGCATAGCGGCAAACGTCAGTCAGCGTCATTCGCACTATCTTATGTGAAAATCTTACTATGTCGGCGTCCCTGACTCTGGTCAGCAAGATCAATTGCGGTACGCACTATGTCATATCATGAATGTCTCTTATGGGGATGTTGTTATTCCTGTAGTTCGAAGAAAAGTGATGGTTCAAGGAGGCTTCGACTGCTGTGATGCATTTGAATGTCTGCTGACTGTAGAGCTGATGATTCCCACAGCATCCCCAAATATGCAAGGCCGAATCTTCCATATCAACCTGTCCGGTAGTTTATAAGAATATCGGAGCTGCCACCCCATGCCACCCCAAGGACAAGTTCAACGCCCTTGTCATATATCAAGGGTCAAGCCGTATCACACACTTAACTTGCTAACCAAAATCCGATGCGGTCCCTGGAAGCTTTGCACGGTGGGAAGTGTTTCAGGGTGACCAGGTTTTTGAAAACGTCCCATTGATCAAGGTATTCAACACCTGCTCGATTCAAATCGATATGACATAATGTACATTGGACATCTACTGCAAGAAAAGCGTGTTTGAAACCATCACAAACTTGCAGAGGATGGACGTACTTACCTTGCACAAATTAGTTACATACTGTACGATGGGTTATCACTGTGCTTCGCTGCGCTCCCATCGCCACCCCATGTTCGAAGGACACGCTACTGCAAGCCCAACCTTTCTTCCTTGGTCTGGGCAGCCTTTTTCTTTCTCTCCTCTTCAGCCTTCTTGTACTCCTCGTTCTTCACATTAGTAGCCTGCTGAGCCTTGTGTGCTGCTTCGTGTGCCTCCATAGCCTTTCGCATGAGCTCCTCTCGAACGTCTTGAACGTCGTTATCATTCAGTGCGATGAGAGTTGGTGTTCGGCGAATCATTCGTAAAGACTGTAATTATGCTCGGATCGACGATTAGATAGTACGGTCACAAATCTTCAGTGAAGACCGCAGCACAATGATGTTCAAAGACAATGAGGCTGGCCTGACGCGAGGCTGAAGGAAAGAATGACACGTCGCAGTGGTGGTAGGAGGGAGAACAATGCGTAGCCGCATTTGGCTGCGGCGCAGATGACCGTTTTAGCCAAAACACACCTTTCTCTACAACCACCTCCCTCTTGAACTCGACATTTGCCCTCCTCGTTAACGCACACTCCTTCTACATCCTACATCTCACCAATTCTTACGAATTCAGTCATGGAGGCAGTCATGCGAATAACGGATACCCTCAAGTCGTTCAGGGTACGCCAGCGTCATTGTTCGTTCGACACGTAGAAGCCATCCTTACGACAAACTCTTCCTTTCGCCGTACTTACTTGGTGAAATGTATACAGGAAGCACGGCTGAGCGCACTTCGGGGGCCACAAGAATTTTTTGACCACCACAGGCTATCACGCCCTGCGGATATGAGCCAGGCTACTCAGGTGCGTGGATTTTCAAATGTTGGCAAACTGTCAGAATGTGTTGACGAAGTATTTCATTGTTTGCAAACAGCGGATATCCTACAACACACGATACTTCTCTGGCAACTACGGTATCATAGTCGCAATTTTAGCCGTATATGCATTGTCAGTATTCTCTTCCTTCGAGCGTAAAAGTCCTTCTATTGGGTCTCATTACTGCCTGTTCTAGCCTCACAAATCCCCTTCTACTCATTGCGATGGGCTTCCTGGTCGGAGGCTTCGCTGCCATTAACCGATTCGCCCCTGATCCAGTGCAGTTTGGCGACCGCACCATTACACAGAAGCACCTCTACATTGCCCTGTTCGTCATTGGCATACCCCTGCTCTGGATCGCATCACCGCTGAGCACGCTGTTCTGGATCGTTGGAGCCTCTGGCATTTTGATCATTGGACATGCTTCTCTTATGGAGCCTGGAATCGAGAGCGAGTACGCTACTGTGCAGGATTCTGTCTAGAAATGGACGCGTCAGGACATTGTAGTTTCGCAGTATGACCGAATGTCGGTGGGTTCTGTGGAATAACTTATACTATGTAGTTTCAGGATCAGATTGATCACTGTTCCACTGGTTGGACGGTGTGATAACCCCAGCGTTAACCGCGGACTGAACAAGGAAAGGAGAGAAAGGTATACGACAACTAAACCGCGACGCATGCATGCCCCCATACAGGTGGTACACTTTTCACGTCCTGTAACGTCTTATTACAGACCTTCGTTACATTCACGTTGCATACGAAAGGATACAGACACTGCGGCAATCGAAGGTCCTCAACGCTACACAGCGATGATTTACAACGACATGGGCGACACCTCTGGCTGGTCAGAGGTATCTGCCTGCCTTCCTCCCTCACAGCCTTCCCGTTGCATGTTTGTTACTAGCCGGTATAGGAGGTACTTCATGCTCAAGCCCACTATGATGCCTATCTCAGTTCACTACTGATTCCTCACAAGCCTTTGAATCAAGTCAAGTGGGCATTCATAAAAAGCCACGGTCCATTCGGTACATGCACAGGCTTCACGTGCCCGTCGAACACACATGGTCTGGCTATGTACTGATAAGGTCAGCAATGCTGAAGTCGTATGTATGCATCGAATTAAGTCGAATGCAACGAATGCGTGCTAGTCAAGTCTGGTAGCTAAAGTTACCTACCTTATTGCTACTGAGTTGCTCGAACGACATCAACTCTCTCCCGCTGAGAAAAAATTCAGCGCAAAAGCTCGAGTGAGGACGGAAATGAATGATAGGGGACGATGGTTACGTATGTAAATAGATAACGAGTAGAAGAAACGATGCTGGAAGGAATGGATAGCAATATTGACGTTACAAAGCAGCGAAAGATTCTCCATGAGCGGAGAGCGATAGGGGAAAATGCGACAAAGGAATGGAAAGCCGAACGAAAGAGGGAAAATACGAAAGTCCGAGAGGCTGATCGAGGTCAGGGACACTGTCATAGCAGTGGCAGCCATTGGCCTAGAGCAGAAGTACTCGTCAGCGAAATCCAAACGCGTATGAAGTAGCGAGCGAACCGATGACCAGACTTGGCAAATCCATGATGTCCCTTCTGATGGAGAAACAGAATGTGCAAGGCACTGGAGCACCACTCGGTTTCAGCAGGACGCAGTGAGAATACACCGATTGAGTGGTATTTTCGAACGCATGATTGGCGAAGTTTTCCCAGTACTCCACCACGGATTGGTTCTCGAACAACTAGGAAAAATAATGTGAGCCAAGAAGGTTGTAAACTGAATATGATGAGAAGTATGAGAAGTACCTCGTAGATGTATTTCCGTCGCCCGGGCCCTGTCAGTTCATCCTTTTCCCAGCCTGAAAGCATGCAGAATTCCGGTCCGACCAGACAGATCTCGCCTGTACGTCTCCAAGCGACCGTAGGTGTACCACTAAATGAGACGAGTTTGTCGAGTTCCTAAAACACATATAGATCAGGATCCTAGTAAATAGTTAGCCATACATGCTGTATGCGTACCACCAGTGACCGCTGAAAGCACTTTTCTACGAATACTTCGTCTTCTTCTGTCATTGGCATTTGAAGTGCGATGAGGGATGGCCGAAATATTGCCAAGGCGCGAACAATGCGAAGAATATCATTCTTCTCGAAGCCCCTTGATGTAAGATCGTCCTCAGCCGTAAACGGCAGGGATATATCATTAGAAACTCACCGACTCGAAAGGTGCTTCATCAGGAAATGATAACCTTCCGTATAATCGTAGGGTTTCGTGACAGTCTTGTACACACTACTGGCCTCTAGTTCCTGTATTACCGCCGAAGTAGGAGCGCTATACCCATTGCTAACAGGCGTTTGCCCCGCGGACCATGATGGAGCGGCATGGCCGTTGGGTTGTGTGATATTTGGAGCGGTCGACATTATGCGGGGACGTGCATAGGCCGGCATCGATATTGCACCAGTTGACGATACTTGTCCAGGATACTGTGATATCTGAGGCGCCATCTGCTGTTGGTTTTGAGTTTGCTGAGCATAATCTGGATACTGCTCATGAGGCGGTCGCTGTTGTGGTTGGCCATATTGTGACGACGGGAACGTGGCTCCTGTTGGTGACAAATAGGCGGATGCCTCAGGTCCTGGGAGTGCCATGCCCTGTGTCCGTTGTTGCTGTTGCTGTTGCTGTTGTTGTTGTTGTTGCTGCTGCTGCTGCTGCTGCTGACTCGCATAGTTTGATGGACCGGCCACGCCGTAACCATTGCTCGTGCTAGCCGATGGGCCATATTGCGTTTGCATTGGTTCGCCGGGCCAAGTCGCAGTCGCCAGGCTTGACGTAGATTGAGAAGAGACAAATGAACTGCGTTGCGATTGTGGTTGAGCATTAGTGGCGGAAGGGCTCCCGGAGGCACCTGAATCGGGTGAGTTGCCCAGGATGGAGGAGATGATGGAGTATTCAAGATTTGCAGCATCGTTAGTGCTGGTGTATCCCGTATATGCTGTAGAAGGGTTGCTATACGAAGCAAAAATTGACTCAGGCTGAGCAACATAAGGCTCTGGTGGTCTTTGAGCTTGAAAGTTGGTGTAGGGGTGAGCAGATATTTCTGGAAGTGCTGTTGAACCAGATCTACCTTGAGGAGGTTGGGTCTGCGGTTGAGGAGTTGGCTCGACACTTTTCGAAGATTCGCCCGATTTGGTTCGTTTAAGGGCCTCTTAACATACGCAAGGTAAATGACTGCAGGATCGGGAGGTAGCCAAGAATCGCACCGAGTTCCTCCTCATCCAATAAATATTTAGCTTTCTTCCGGTGCCCCTCCGTGCAGTTGTCGGCCATACCGCGTTTGACGCAGCGCTGACACGGGCGAGCTAGCAATAACAAAATCAATAAACATGAAGCTCCTAGCAGTTGCAGAGAATGCAACGAATGCCAAGCCATGACGGAATGAATGCAATGCGGTTATCAAAATGAACGCATCTAATCATGCGAAAGAAAAATGATGGATGCGCGGAGCATTCACGAAGGACGGTATCCTTTCAACCACAATGTGAAGAACTGATGACTCACAATCATCACAGGTCAAATGTGCTTTCTGACAATGGAAACAAGCGCGATTCGCCTTTTTCTTTTTGGGACCATCCCGAGTGCGTGGTTGGGATTGTGAACCAGAGTCTGCACTGTCGCTAGCGACATCGGTAGGTCCCCTTTTGCGTTTGCTAACGGAGATCTTTTTTGACGCATTGGGATCGTGGCTGGTACTCGGTGTACTTGGTGCAGTAGTGGAAGAAGAAGCCCCTGAGAAAGCTGGAAGTATCAAGGGAGGTGCGGAATGACCAGAACTATTTGATGGGTGGCCATCGGCTGGCGAGTTTAATAGCGAGTTCATTGTCTACAACGACGAGGATGAGGATAGAAACAACGAACAGAGTTCCCAAGTTGAGCTTGAGTAGAACAGCGTCACGAGTGGGCTTGATGGGGCATGACATACAGGCGCTGACAACACCGCACCAGTCCGCCTTTTTCCCGAGTCGTATTTTAGAATCCAATGTCGGCCGTCGTCCTCGACAACGACGACGATAACGGCCATGCCTCGATTAACCCGCCTTCTCTCTTCTTTATCGTCGGCGTTGGGCCCAGAGTCCGCCAGACTTGAGTTGAAGTGGATGAAGGAGGCTGCCGAACGCTCGTCAGGAAGCCTTAGACTTCCTGCGATGGTAGAGCGAAGACTGCGAGGGGAACCTCTTCAGTATATACTGGGTTCGTCGCCTTCACTTACGTTGCTACTCCTAATGTTCTTTGCATGACCGTATCTTATACAGGCACTCAGCCATTCGGAGCTCTTGATCTGCTTGTGCGACCGCCCGTGTTAATTCCTCGTCCAGAGACAGAAGACTGGACACTTCGTTTATCCCGGTTAATTCAACCTTCCCCAGAGCGGCCTATCTCTTTATTGGACTTGTGTACAGGTTCTGGATGCATCCCGTTACTTCTATGCAACACTTGGAAACCTGGAAGTGTCAACGCTTACGGTGTAGATATATCTGAAGACGCTATTCAGCTTGCTACAGATAATGCTCATCGATGTGGTGTACACGTCCCTGCAGAAATGCAGCCTAGGCGATATCCTTTCAATACCTTCAAGCCCATGTTGGCTAATATTCGTGATCCTTCCTTTCTTCTCTCAGCTGAACTCCGGCCACCTTTCCACGTCATAACTTCGAATCCGCCGTACATTTCTAGGCAAGACTTTGAGAACCTACCACCCTCTGTCAAGGGCTATGAAGACCATCGAGCACTTATCGGCGACCCTACCGTATACCCAGAACCACCTTGCTCGGAGAGTGGCAAAGGACTGACTTTCTATCACACAATTGCTCAACTCCTTGCTCAACAAGACATCCTGACCGATAATGGTGTGGTTGCCCTTGAGATTGGTTTTAATCAGGCGGATGATGTACGACAAATCATGCAGAATGAGGGCAAACTGCCTAAAACCGAGGTTTGGCGCGACCCCTGGAATAGAGATCGCGTTGTGTTTGCCGGACGATAGTGAGGTTGTTAGCAATGGCCTGTGTGTAAATTTCCCGTATTCCAAATGTAAGCCGATTTTCACCTGGTTTTGTCAGTGTCCCAATCCAAACCCTTTGTCTCGGCCCTTTTGTTCGTCAATGTGGTTCCCCTTTGACCCCTTGACACAGCTTTTTGCACGGGCAGCTTAAATACGGAAGCCACTATCTGCCACACCCTCGAACCACTTTAACTGCCTCACCCTACCACCCTCGAGAAATATGGCCCCCGTTGCACTGCCAGGAGAATTGATCGACTACATCCTTGACTTCCTCCACAACGATCGTCTCGCCTTACAAAAATGCACTCTGGTTAACAAGGCATTAAGTCCTCGAGCGAGGACACTGCTGTTTCGGCGGCTTTGTCTGACGGTATCCAACTACAAATATTTCAACGACTGGTGCATAGAATGCCCGGAGCGAGCTGGTCTCGTTCAGGAGTTGACGTTTATGATGCACGAAACCTTAATCAACGGCCGACTGGTGCGTTCGTCCAATCGCAACGATATATGGGTCCAGACGACGATGACCGCGGTGGCCAACGTGCTTACTGGACTCACGACCCTTCACTTGAATGATTTAACCATAGACCGCAACCTCGCGCTCTCTTTCAAGAAATACCTCCCAACGATACAGGAACTGCGTTTCTCCACGTGCACTTTCGACTACGTGGATACCCTTTTCTTTCTGTGCAGTTCATTCCCCAGGTTGAGCAGGCTCGACATGATACAACCTGATCTTGATCATTCGAGCATCGAGAACCTACAGTTTTCGGATAGACCTAGACCAGCATTTGATCTGCATCTTACCTCATTGTCCCTCACCAATCGTTACCCTAGAGATGTCGTCGCACGGCGCGTCCTCAAGTGGCTTCTGGTAAACCGGCTCTATGGACAGGTCAGGTCTTTGAAATTGACGGACATTACAAAGTCGGATGTCGAGATCGTTCAGGAGTTCCTCAATACTGCGGGACCAGGCTTGGAACATCTTCTACTCGGGTTCGATAGTGGTTACGGATACATGCAAGAGAGTGAGTCTATATATTTTCGCCTGAAGAGTCGTGATAACTAACTAAATCGATCCACAATAGCTGACACACCTTTGCTCAACTTGTCCCCCGCCGCGAACTTGCAGACCCTTGGTTTCGCGGTGCATCTTCGTCCGTCCGGTAATGGGGAGGTTCCTCACCATTTCAATTCCCATCAACCGATCAAGTGGATCCCCAACGTACTCAGCACAATGGCGTCTAACAGGTTGAAACTTCTTCGGTTCAAGGCGTACGCTTATGGCAGGTGTCATGAGTACTATTCCGTCGACTGGGCTGGTGTTGTGGCTGTCCTCAAATCCCGTCCTTCCTCCTCAGTGGAGAAGATCCTCGTTGACATTCACGCTGATTCGTCATGGGAGTTCGTCGTAGACATGGTCAAGGAGAGTATGGCGACTTTACCTCAACCTCTCAAGATTGTGTACAAGTGCCGTAAGAGCCTCTGATAACAGATGTACTTTGACCGGTAGTCGTTCTGGATAAGGTTGGGGTTGTAGTTTCTTATATATATGGACGCATCGCGAGACTGGTTCTCTTATATTTATAAATACCTATCGTTCGTTTACTGACGTGGATATGCTGTCTTTTGCACTCTTCTGCGACCATCATTTGGCTGCGTGTGGTAATAAGCAGTTAGTTAGGTTAACTTTGAATGGAACAATGCGAGTTACATGTTCGCCTTGCACTTCATCAGTGGTCGTGGGAAATGTTGATACAGTAATTTCAACATGAGTCTTACCGCAACATAAAAAGGCTGCACTAACTCGATCCTTTTACAACGCACTGGACGGCGATGTCATTAACATTCGCAACAAGTTCTGGAGACGTTGGTGACTTGGCGTTTAACATCAACGTGTCAGGATTAACGGACATTGCCATCAGATGAGAATTAAGGATCTATATAGATGTCGCCGAGGTGTCGCCACGGTCTTTTTTGGATGACAGCGTGGTAGAACATGGTTCCAGAGACGATGCTGACTGGTATACAGAACGGTAGTGCTCATTTTTTCTTTCCACTGAACCATCTCAGGACCTTGACATCATGCCCTTCCGTAGCCTTACTTTCCTGTCAGAGAAAGGCAAGGCTTCTCACCAAGATGTAGAACTTGCAGAGGGAAAGAGCCCAGGACATACGTTGGAGTCCACTGAGGATAATACTTCACATATCCCTCATACCACGGTCGACCCCAAGAAGAAGAAAAATCTGGAAGGTACTTTTGAATTCGAGCTTCCTAGCATTGTCGCAACTGACTCATCTATATCTGGGGATCCCAGCACCTAGAGAAGAGGACGCTCACGCAGCGAGTTACCATCGGTCTTCGGACCAACTATGGTCACTGTACAATATTCACGCCAAGGAGGAGGACGAGAGAGCTCTGGGCAGGCTGAAAGCTGACCTGGATAGCTTGTTGATCTTCGTACGAATTGTCACTTGCAGCACTTCTGCACATCTTGACCGTTTATCTGTAGGCCGGACTGTTCTCCGCCGCCGTGACAGCTTTCATAATCGAAAGCTACAAGAACCTCAATGCTGACCCTCAGGACATCACAGTAGCCATTCTTGCTCAGATCTCATTACAACTGGCAGCTCTGACGAACAGCTCATTTGCTGCTGCCGCTACACCCGCAGTTCCCGCCCCGCCCTTTGAGCCGACAACGTCATCTATCCATACCAATGTACTGTGGGTGCTCAGTCTCATTCTGAGCTTAACATGCGCAATGGGAGCTACTCTCATACAAATGTGGATGGCTCGTTACGGTTTCATTCTCCAACGCTTATCCTCAAAGATCTCCCATCATGCTGGTCCGCGCACCCATCACAACGAAGGTCCCATGCGGATCGCCATGTGGACAAGCTTTCTCTATACACTCCTTCACATATCACTCTATCTTTTCCTAGCTGGTTTGATGACATTTTTCGAACCTTTCAACTCGCTCATATCACACATGGTCAAGGGCATACTCATCGCGTGGGCTACACTTTACGGGATGTTTTCCCTCGCTCCATTCGTTTACAGGAATTCGCCTTATATCACGCCACTTACGACCATACTACAATTCATTGGTGCCTTCCTCTATATCATTTTAGGTTGTCTTGCAATCATAGTCGTATTACCTTTCGGCCTGCTGGCTGCTCTTATTACCAAGAGTTATGCAACGTTTGAACGCTGGTCGTCCGTCTCCTTCAGCCTCCTTGTTGATGCAAAGCGATTGGCTATTGCAATCCCAGATGTCAAGGCGGTTCCTCGTCCATCTCCGGAACAGGATCAGGAAGCACTCGAGTGGCTTTTGCAGCAATCAGGAAGTGATGATGACTTTATACAACTCGTGGATGGATTGAACTCCTACCTGACGTTTCCCAGGTTCGAGAAGGTATCTACTGCTAAAATCGTTCTGGGACTTGGAGATCGCTTTGCAGGTCCGGGATTAGGCGACCGCATCGGATCCATACTACACGAATGCGCGGATGTCGAGTCACTCAGTGAATCCGACAGGCTTCATCGTACCGATGCCTGCATGCTCACATTGCGCAGAGTATTTTTGCAGAGCACGACAGTGGAGCGGTTGTCGGATATGGAATGGATGCTATGGTGCACACGAGACGTGCTGGAGAGTATTCTTGCACTTCAAAACGATTCCAACCCAACAATCGCACTCCGGGCACAATGTACTGCCACTGTGCTCCTACATCAAGCACTGGCAGACTGTGGTGACCTTATTGAATATTCCAACGCCAAGGAGCTCCATGTCGAGCCTCATTGGAGTCTTCGTCAGATGGTACAACACTTGCAGGGGCGATTTTGGGTAGGATACATGCACCAACTCTCTATCGTCCCGCTTCTGCTTCCAGATCTCGGTATTACACCAGAGATTCCGCACTCCGATGACGCTTTTAGTCTATTTGTGACGGGAACTGTTTGGGGTGACAACGAATCACAAACAGAACAAGTTACGGACGAAGTCACAAATACTAAAAGGCGGCTCGTGGATGAAGGATCCCTCTATGTACTTAATGCCTTCCTCTCATCGCTCCTTTCCAGAGCTATCGGCGCGGCGGACGTAGACCTGCTATCGGATACGATGCAAGTGGCAACAAATAATTTTAGTCTGGAGGGTACCAATCGGGGGACCCAGCAAGTTTTTGTGGACCTTCTTGGGAGGATTCTCAGCGAGAACCTGGTCAGTGACCATCAGGATTTCCAAGTGGAGTCAATCCGGGCGGCATTGCTTCCGGGGAGCGTCGTAGAGCGTCTGCTCCCTATCGCAGAGAAAATAAATGACCCGGATTGCGCTAGCCGTGCTCAGGATCTTGTGGGAGCATATCGGCGTCGACGTGGTAGGGCCACTTTCGATGTGGAAAGATGATTCTCCTGTCTCAAAGGGGTGTTTCAAGTTTGGGTCCCAAGTGAACTTATGATTGTGCAATGCTTAAACCTGGCTGATGATTGACTATACGGAGGGTACTCAGCTGGGGGTAGGGGGTGGGGTATGGTGAATTACTCGAGTATAATTATATAGCATTGCAGGTAGTACAATTAGTATAACATGAAGCAAAACCAAAACAAAACAAAATCGTCCGTCAAGTTAACAAAACCTCACCACCTTCGTTCACATATGAAAGTTCAGTCGGAACGCTGTCATACGATATGAAATCAATACATGGTTAATCATGAACGATAGTTCAGAGCCTCTTACCATCCAGATCACGCTTGTCGCAGATTGTCGCCAAGTCAATCCTTTGTAAATGGAGACAGCACGTCTTCAAGGAATCCCAAAGCGACGATGAAGTCACGCCTCGTTTGTCCTCCGAGGAGCCGTCACCACCCACTGCGCTGTCGCTGTCTTGCAGCACAAGCGCATCAAGGATGGCCTGGGAGGCTTCTTCGTATCTCTGCAAGTTTAACCGATCAACATGAGCGTTCCGACGGATAGGACAACGTGTAACGTACTCTGAGGTTGATGCAGGAGATCCCCAGGTTAAAGCGCGCACGAATGTAAGCTGGGTTGAGTTCCAGAGCGCGATAATAATACTGCAGAGCTTCCTCCGGATGACCACTGTTAGCCAAGGTCGCCCCGACGCGGTTGTAAAGTAGCCAATCCTGATATAAATCACTGTCAACATGCAAGAAAAAAATGCAAAGCTGAGTGAAAGCTGAGTAAGGACTCACGTCGGGCCTGACTGCTAGGGCAGTCGTAAAGCAATCTCTGGACTTGTCATACTCCTAGGACGTCGCATCAATTCGGCAGTCAGATACAGACCGGGCGGTAGTATTTCGGGAGATTGAAGAATGGACTGACCTCGTTCGCGTTTAGCAACACGGCGAGAGCAATCTGGATATCTGGATCGATTTCTTCACTCATGTCACTCCGGGCCATTGCCATGAGACATTGAGCGAGGCTCTCGACCTTTTCAGCTGGAGACATATCTTCCCTCTCTACATTGCTAGCCCGGAAGTCGCCCACAGCCTGGCAATATTTCTCGTTGTGGTCGACCCATTGACGGATGGCATTGTACGTCTCATGACGGCTGCCTTCATTAGTGTGTGAGACAGCAAGTGCGAGCCAGGACGCTAAATGAGTTGGGTCGAGTTCCAGGGCTCTTCGGAGGGCATGGATTGCCTTCTGCTCTCGTTCGTTCTCTTGTTGCCTAACGCCCAGTTCGTACCAAGCGTGTGCATCGGTGCGGTTTCGCTGTACTGCTGCTTCCATCTCCAAAACGCTCTGTTAATATCACGGTCAACGCGGCATAAAAACCAGCGGGATATAGTGCCCACCTCATACAATGACGACCTTCCCTCGGAGTGTATGGCATGATGTCGTGTTGTAGAAGAATCATCCAACAGATATGGATTGTTCGGCTGGAACTGATAATTCGAGATGGGCTTGAGGCCGGTCGCAGTCGCGTCGAACGCATCCCAGTCGGCTTGCAATCTCTCCCACTCGGCTGCCTGTGTGGTCCCTTGGCTCGTGCCACTGGACCCCTGGACACTGTCAGTAAGATGTGGTTGTGCTTCGTTCCAATACTTGATGTAGTCTTCATTTTCCTGGCGGAAATATGCATCCACAGGATCTTCCGAGATCGAATCGGCCGCTTGGGCAAGATCGGAATTGACCAAAGGGGCTTGCCAACGGGAGGCATCGCTTGCAAGATTAGAAGAAATGTGTGTCAGATTCTGTGGGACGTCGAGAGCTCTGCCCTTGCCCTTCAAGTCCGCAGAGCTCTGGAAGTCAGTAGCCCATGACGAAGTAGCATTCGTGGCGGAATCCGCGCTCCTCTGAACAATGTCACTCCCTTCAATGACGACTTCCTTGTCTCGGACTTGTTTCATAAGAGTGAGAAACTGGCTACTCCTGAATTTGGGGTTCTGGGTATTCTTCACAGTATCCAAGAGCACACCTGCCGTGCGAGCAAATTCATCGGCTTCTTCGAGAGGTCTGGACGACAGTTCCCGCACGTTTTCAACATCCTGTGCGGTCCGTTCAGCGTTTAGAAGAGAGACATCGGGTGCGACGGTAGCATCTTGGGATTGAAACGCAACCTTCCAGCGTGATTCTGAGAAAGCGATACGGATTCAAATGATGCATAAAAGAGACTCGTTTGCATACCTTCGGCGCTGAAAGGTAAGACCTGGCTAGCTGGATGAAGCACGCCGCCAGCATGCTGGTACATCATTCCATTGAAACGAGTGACCATTGCACCTGGAATGGGCGCCCATGGTGTTGTACCTTGCGAATTGGTAAATTATTTAAGCAGAGAAATGATCACGCGAACATATATACCTTGTTGATTTTGTTGCAGTGGGGAGGATAGAAGCGGCTGGGGCGCAGACGCAACAGGATTGTGTTTCTGCATAAAGTCATTTGCCCAAGGACTCGGAGCTGCAGTTGGTTGAGACATGATAGTCATCGGCTGCTGAAGGGTATGTGCCTGCTCAGGCAGGGACTTGTGTAACGCAGAAAGATCATAAGAGGACGGCCCTGCCATAACAGGCACGGGCGAATGAGCCTTCGAGAAGAAATGAGCAGCATCTCTGTCAACTCCAGGGGCAGCCGCATATTGTGAACGGAATGTCTAGCTGTATGTCAGGATGAGTAGATACAATTGCATGTTGCTAATATACCTCTCGCGAGGATCCTGCACGACTAGGACCAAAATAATCCTGGATCAAATAATTCAGTGGCGCCTTAGGATTAACAGAGAACCGCATACCTGTTGGATTCCTCGGTCCTGATCGAATCGTTTCGATAATCCTTGGAGTGGATTTGAAGGGCCGCAATCCGCTCCGTTGACGAGGAGTGGAAGAGACATGGTGGTATAATGCCAACCGATATAATCAGGTAAATAGACACAGCCTGCAGTGTCTTCCCCAACGATGGCAAATGTTGTGAGTGCAGTGGTGCACGGTCTGGTCCGAACCTGATGAGATGATGCTAAGGAGATATTTGGGCGCTTACTACACATGGGCGTTTATCACATGCTTCTGCCGCGCCACCTCCGTGCGGGCCGGAAAATCAACCCAGTTTGGCAAGCGTACAGGATGAGGTCCGAGACTCTCTCTTGCCTCAAGTGTCCCTCGAGGTTGGGAGGTTTCGGCTTTACGTGTAGCTCTATGGCTGATATCGATGTCTGCTACACCTACCCGGCCTAATCGTAAATATTTGCATTTGATTTGCAAGATACTTACGTGGGCCTATCGTTTGATTCCTTGGACAGGCAGAGAGTCAGAATCTGACACAAGTTCTGTAAGTAATGATTGCACTATTTGTAACGGATGGTGTTGTTATGTAATTCTCTTAGAATCCAATTACTGTTGGAGTAACCCTCTACGTCCGTTATTTCAGCAGCTCGTGTCACCGGACATGCCAAGAGCGCGAAATCAAAACACAAGACCAAGGCAGAAAAGGACCCAGTGACTACATCCATGCCGCAAGCTGACTATAAATATGATGACAATACGGGGATTCGACGAAGACTTCAGTCTCGAGTTTAATCACCTTCGGCGACAGGGGAATATTATTCAGTGGGAAGTACTTATATTAGACAATTGGGGGAACGTGTGGCTTTCATGTTCAGCATACTTACGAAGCCCTTCGGCCACGTTGAGTCCACCCGTAAGCCAAGTACATGCATCTTCGCGAGGCAACTCAGCCAGCTCCTCGCGACATGCTTGATAATGAAGGTGCTCGGTTTTCTACATCTAGTGTGACACCTTGTGTTTTGCTCCACTAACCAACATTGCGGTGAACTACCAAATTGACATTACACATGCTTCTCACAGTCAACATCTTCGTCTGCAGACATATCCAGGGCCGCGGTTGTATTTGTTTAGAAGACAAAGCATCCTCAAGCTTCCAACTCTCTTTCACAGCCTTCGCTGGTTGTGTACCTATTTTCAACCGCAGTGGCCATTAGGTTCAAGGCTATGGCAGGCTTCCAATTCTGCGCAGTGAGGCGATGTCTAGTTCTCCTTCCTCAACGTATTTACAGTCGGGCAAATGTGACCGAGTGTATTACTTATGATACCGGGTGTGTAGCTGTATACGACTCCCCTGCGGCACGATAATTGATGATTGCAACAGGGTCCTCAATTTCATGGGCCTTTCTACAATTGGACGGTCCCGGTCATTCTCAGGTTAATGTTTCCTGTGCACTCAGTCTTCAATCCTTGCGTCGCGTACCTCTAACCCCCAAAGGTGTATTCACACTCACCTGTCCACTGTGATTAGCTCAATCCGCCGACACTTATTTGATATGCTACATGTCTTCGTCATAAACTTAGACCAGGCGCAGCATGCGATTATGGCAACGACTTCCTTGCGACCTGACGCACGTCATTGAACGGCGAATTTGTACCACCGGTGTTATGCTCACGCCGGATTGAGGGTCCTGGAGTAAGAGAGTTTTCTTGGAGTTTTCGTTCCTTGGCCCACAAAAAAGATAGATTGGGGTTATTAGACATTATTAGACATAACGTTTCAGGGGTTCCTAATTACGCACCTTCTGACTGTTGTGCAACAATTTACCCGTGCATCGTGACCATCCAACAACACCATCGTCGTGCTTAGCAGATTAATGCTCGACAATCCATCTTTCGGGATTGATCGGTAACATGAACATTCAAGCAGTCATACCAGCGAAGTAAATACCGAAGACGGAAAACATCCAATGAATCCCGAATGCCGGCGGAGAGCAATGCCACCTGCACTGGAAGCACAGGCGGCATAGCAATGATCAACTTTGATCTGACCCCGACTCTTCTGAAAGGAAGCTTCCAGGCTGTCACACGCGATGTCAACATACTCCCGCGAAAGCGCGCTACTGGGTTATTGGCTTGATGAGGCAAGTACGGGTCAGGTAACTAAGAACTGACCTATTTGGTATTAGTAATATATTAGTGAAAAAGCTTTGCAGGGTGTCGTTTGGGTTCAATTCCGTCCATCACCATCCGCTAAGCACTAGATGATCGTACCTGTAGGAGGTTGTGACCCAAGTGCGACCGATTGAGAGCTCCCTCACGGTGAATACGGGGGAGTATATGAGCGCGCTTCTCTCGTAGTTTAGCGTCCTAGTTCCATTCGATTTCCAGCCTGCAGAGCTGACGAATCCGGTCACATAGAGGCCTCCGACATTCTACGCATGCAACAAAAAGCCGACGTTACAAGTGTGGAATGTCAGAAAGTCTTAGTCGTAAGACACTGAGCTACTTGAGAGGTCTGTCATCCAAATGATCAAAACGTTTACGTGACACAAATGGGACCGGGCAGAACGGCCGCTATGCGCCATCCGTCAAGTCGTTCCTTGTCGGCGTCCGAGCCGGCGGGCAAGCCGTGTCTATAGACGCTTTGCGTTGTTGCCCCTGTTGAACGAACCGCTTCGGGGTCCCGATCGTCGGTGCAATCTTGAAAAGCCGCGTGTTGCAGTGGCTCTGTCTCGTCAATTATACTTTCACTGCATGACATCTGCATATCCTCCTTGCAGATCAGAACTTCAACGGTCAACCTCATCGCCACTGCTTTAATGGGAAGTTGCATAACGAAAGGGAAAAAAAAAAAAGCCACGAACTTCGCATTCGAATGCAGGTTTGCAAATGGCGGAATTCTGAACATTCGGGTCCCAAGCCTTGCTTACCATCTTTCCGCAGCAGTCGGAATACCTCGTTACAACGCGAACCCGGACTGTCGCACTGAATTGAACATATATATAACGAGTTATGTACGAATTTACGATGACTGTAGTATGCACATGAGTCTGTAGGAATTATGCCAACTATAAAGCGTACACATAGCAAATCATAGCAGTCGTGAACATACCAAAAAAGCTCCAACAGAACATACAGTAATCGAGACAGAGGGGGTGCGCGTGTGTAGCGTACATGTACATATTACTTGGATGACTTACTACGACTAACTTTGGGTTTCGTCTCCGTTTCCTCCTCTTTCGGGCTTAGACGGGCTGCGATGGCAACAGCTTCTGCGGTCTGTCTACATTCACTTCCGCCTTCAGAGCGCACTGTTAGTAACGAGGTTAATCACATATAACACGAGGTCAAATCAACAAAATAATACACACAATGGCGCTGCCAAAATAGAACAAGGGTCAGGTTTGATATACGAAATACCCAAGGAGGAAACTCACGTTCAAGGCGTCAAGACGACTGAACGTTTTGCCACAGCCTTGACAGACATTCGATTGAGATCTTGTCGTATGAAGCGCTTGATGGCGTCTATAGTTGGAACAAGGCAGTGCACGAAAGTTAAAAGAAGGAAGGCAAAAGTAGCTGGAAGTAGCACTTACTTGCAATCATGCTGCCTTGCGAATCCCTTGCCACATCCCGGCCATTCGCAAACAAAGGGACGCTCTTCAGTATGTGAACGAAGATGGCCTGAAAGAAACATATAAGTTGTGTCAGCAGGACGCCCTAAAAACACATTTCACAGGCGATTATTGAAGCAATTACCTCGGAGATTGAACCTGCGAGTGAATGTACTCCCGCAGCCCGGCACCGGACATATGAAGTTTGCCTCGTTGCGCCGACGACTCGCGCTCGCAGCCTGTGTCGCACTTGTCGTTACCTGTTGTTTCTCAACCTGAAGAATGGGTGGCAAACGAGGGATGGGCGACGAGGAATACGATCCAACGCCTCGTTGCGAAGACAGGAGAGCTAGAGACGTGGACGGGGGAAGTGCTTGAGACTGTGCATAAAGCAAAGCGGCGTTCGGTGCGCGTTGCGCTTCAGAGGAAGGACTGCGTCGGGCTGTTGATCGGCCGCCAGCTGAAAGCATAGGGGATGGGGCGTGTGGAGTGTGCTGATCGGTAGAGGGGGGAGACCAGGACTCAGGAGGTACATGATATTGTTGAGGTGGTGGATGAAGATGTGACAAGTGGCTACCGCTTGGCGAGTGCATTGGCATGGGTGCGGGCGGGGGATGTGTATAAAATTCGTGGCCGTTATTGTACCTGTAGTCGCGAGAGGCACTAACGTTGCTTTGAGTGCTTGACATGTATGCAGGAGAGGAGTCGTTTGGAGGGAAAGCCCAGCCGCGCGAATGCAACGTGTAGGATTGGAAGGAGGATGGTGGAGGATAGGAAGAAAGAACCGAAGATCCAGGAATTCTCGAGGCGTCGACTTCCATTGTGACCGGAGAAGCGCTGGTTATATGTCAGGTAGATTGACGTCTGACTTGGCGCTGCGTGTTGGAATTTTCGAGGAAGGGCGGAACAGATGAAGAGTATGGAAATTGCGCAGATGGCCTTGTGTTGGCAGGGGTGGTCGAGGAGAGAAATAAACCTAACCGAACGCGACTTATATATTCCCCGCTCGGCAAGCCCGATACTCTCTGAAACCACCCTAGCTTCTCCAGATCTCAGATCCAGTTGGCACGCTGCATCGCCACGGTTTCACTGCCAGATTCCCTTTCGGCTGCGGTCCCCGGGGCCTCTCCGGATCACCCGCCTGCCTCTTTCGGAAGCCGCGTTCTGCCGATTCTCCCGATCGCTTCCTCCATCATTCTCCCAATACCGTTTCTGGCTTTCTTTCCCTGCAGAAATTACTTCGTACGCTCACTTATCTTGGCGGCACTTCCGATTCGGGTCTCACAAGTTGAGCGATATCAAGTTTCTACTGATGGTGCCATCAATCGAGAAGCCCATTCTCGCGGGAACACTCAACACCTTAGCTTTCTCCGTTGCTTGCTTGGTCATAACCCTCACCGGCGTAAGCTCAATTGCGGGAGAATACAGTATGATTTCAAAGATTATACATTACATTACAACGGTCAAGATCCTTGGAATGCTCTAGATGTACATACTTATCTACTTCGTCGGCGTAAGACGATCCCCACTCGGTATCAAGTGCGAATCCAGTAATCGGCGTCTTCGCATCAGCTCCGACTCAGTGATGGTCTGCCCCGCTTTCACAGGTGTCCCATTCCTTGGAGGAGATGAAGCCGAAGGAGTGCCTGGCAGTGTCAAACCGCCAGCAGTCCCCACCCCATGGGCAGATCCACCTATGCCAGAGATGATACCTGCGGGAGTGTTCTGAAGAGCGGTGCCATTCACGACATCGCTTGGTTTCTGTTTCGCATCACCATGTGGAGATGATCTGCGACTATGGGCTGGGGACGATATCTTGCCATTTGCCTTCGAGATGGACGAGGGAGGAGACCTCCTCCTTGGTGCAAACGTGATGGCGTCGTCGGTTTCTGCTTCCGTTTCGGTCACAAATGGCGTCGAGTCCTCGTCACTGACTGCAGGAACAGACTGCTTACGGGATCCCCTCGTAACAGAACTTCTTCGCTTCGACCCTTGACGACCCACATTCCCCACGAATGCTTCGTCTATCCAGTCGGCCAACTCGTAGATAACCGTACGCGCCTCTTGCATTAACATCGGCATCTGAAGGTACCCATGACTCCAGTCGGAGAATATCTGCATTCGTACCCAGTTCTCATCATTCTGGGCTGCGAGCTCATCTCGTTCTCTTTTCATTGAGCGGTTGTCTTCGGACGCGTGGCTTGTGCTCATTCTCAGCTGTTCTCCATGTTTTCCACCGTGAGCCGCCCCCAATTTCGTATCGAGATCACGCAGTCGTTCCCTTTTGGCTTCCCTAACGCGACCAGCAAAAATGACGGTGTCATCAACGAAAGGATCCTTCTCACCACACGACATCAGCAACGGTGGAAATTGTGCCAGCAGATGGCTGGGAGAGAGGATAGGTGATAGATGGTAGTCGGATGCAAAATCAGGGTTGCGATGTGGCCCAATATATAAAATCGCCATGGCTCTCATCTGTCCAAATCACATCAGCATGAGGTTATGGTACGTTGCAAGAGCTGGAATTAGAGTCGCAGGCGCTAACTCACCATGCTTGGAGAGATGATGCGGTCTTGGAAATATCCCGTGCGACTTGTCATAGTCAGCCTCGTCCCAAGTGGTACCTCCACCGCTGGACTTTCTGTTTCTTCAACCATGGGAGGTTCGCTGGTGGTCTCACTAACCACAGGATGGAAGCGTACCCTAGCTTGGAGGGGCCTATCTTCCTCCCGAACTTCTGCCTCGGATTCCGCATCTGCCATACTTCCTGCCTCGTCATTAACCGTATCTTGGCTTACCGTATCTGCCCCACCCATCTTGACAGCGGGAACGGATGGACGATGGCGAAACGGAGGGCGCTCGGTTGTAGGTGAGGTCAATGTCCTGAGCGTATCCCGCCAACTACGGCGTCGGCGGATCATTTTACGGTCACCAACCATAGAAAGCGGGCTGATGTGTCCGAAGTGGTCTTTCTGTTCTGCGATGCCGGGAATATGACCAGAAGATTGCTCAGACTGGAGGACGCGAAGATTTGTCGGCGACATCCAAGAAGTAAAATTGAAATCAAGTGCGGCGTAGTTCAAAACCAGCGCCACTGGTTTGGGTAAAGATATTTGCGTCTCCAAGATCTTCAGCATGACATTGACAACAATATGAGCCCCTCTGGATTGAAGATTTAATCAAGAAAGTTATGAACGCATCGGTAAACACTTACGCTGAGTCGCCTGACAGTACGACCTTGAATTTGGTTCCAGACATGCCGATCAACTTTCCGGCCGACTCCAGGAGTACGCGATACGCATCAAAGCATTCGTCGATAGCATAAGGATAAGGGTCTGCGCCAACCATCAGTATCTCGAGTACGCCGTACTAATGATGTCTCACTTACACTCTGGCGCCTTGCCATACTCAATAGACAAAACAGGTTTCCCTGTTTGTGCGGTCCACATACGCAATCTCTCTTCGTGATGCTCGGGTGTCATGGAGATGAAGCCTCCACCAGGAAAGTCGAGGATCAAGTCCGTGGCCCGCACCAGATGATGTTCTGGAGGGGCAAAAAATAGCCAGACAGTAATTGGTCTATTGTATGCGCTATCTTTGGGCCTAGGTAAGAAGAACTTCCGACGTATAGTGACCCGTGGAAATATCGTGACTAGGCGAAGCTGCGTGACAAGCGTTAGTATTTCGGCCTTGGGGATAGAACAGAAAAAGGTATACATAAGGGTTAGTTGCCTTTTCCCAAGTTGTCCGAAGCATTTCGACAGTGGGGACAGCGCGAAATCTCCGAACCTACGAGATTATGGCAAATAGTGAGTCCATTATCTCCACAAGCCGCACGTGAATGAAATCACCTTCTCGTCCGCTTCATTAGCATAGACTATGTAATACACCGAGAACAAGACAGAGCAAATGTCTCGGAGCCATTTGGGTCGTATTGACATTGCTGTGGCAAAGCCAGCATCCAGGCCAGTGCTGATCCATGTGGCTCTGTAGTATGAAGGGGAGTACTGTAACGTGGACTCAATACCGTGTATCAAGGTTAATATGCCGCAATACTCACGAGATGAGCGAGCGGTTCGGGTGCTGTGAGCGTTCATGTTTCATATTAGAATGCATCCCTGAATGTATTATTGTGAGAAATAGACATACCGCCAAGACCCAATATCTTGTCAAGATTCCGAACGGCATATACGCCAGTTAGAGTGCTGACAATGAGCTGCCAAGGCGTGAATTGCCCTGTGTAGCAAAGATTCAGCATCGAAAAACCAGAGACATCATGTAACATACGTAAAAGTCTATTTGCTCGTCTCAACCATAGTACGCGGGGACCATGCGGGTTGTCATGCAGTATACGCCACAACCAGAATATGATCACGAAGAAGACCTGAGAGCACGCGGTCAACGTTCGCCAGCGTTGCAAGTGGTAGCGTTACGCGACATACCTGGAATCTCTTCCACGATGGTTTGGGCCTACCGAAAAGATGGTCTATCATGATCTAGTGGTGGTCGGTGTGGAAGAAGAGCGACAGTTGCAATCGAAATATAGCGAACACCATTTGTGCTGCAAGGTCGCAGAGGCTTGCATGTGATTGTGCGTGGCCAAGTCCCACATGCACAAATCCAGTCCTCGATCGATTATGTAAGGTACCTACCTCGGACCCCGTATTTGGAACTTTTCTTGCTTGGTGGCGTCCAACTTCAGCTCAAAACCTTTTGCCTCAACTGCAGCTATCTCTCGAACGTTATTCACGATAGCCAATCAAAGTCTATCTGCTGTAGAGTCAATCGAACAAAATCGTTGAATTCATCGCTGTTTAAGCTCGCTCGGGCCGAGGATGTCATGAGTTGGAGAAGACGCATTGGTTTCGCCGGGTCTCTTCCGTTCCCCTGTCAAAAGCGTCCGCTACTACAGACAATAGCATTTTTCAACTCGAAGCACCGGATTGCCAATGACGGGCTCAACACTCATTCCGAAACATTTACTGGTTTCAGCAATCTCCTAGAAAGATTGGTTCGACGTGCTATATCGTTGTGATCATATCTCATACATATGGCCTCAATAAAACTCAACTTCTGAATCGGCATACCGGTTTGATCGGTAGTATTCAAAGGGCCCAAAGAGTCATCTTGTCTCGAGGTGCTGTACCAGACCGGATGACCGATTTTGTCAACCCCTCACCTTTACCGACCATCGGAATTCACTCGCTTCACTATAGAGGAAGAAATCAGGAGCCGAAAAGACCTGAAAAGACAGCTATTACGATCGCACAAATTTTAGACTTCTGACTGGTGCGCTTATATTATGACATATGTTATACCTAGTTTGGAATCTGTAGTGTTCATAAATGTGCGATATGCGGGCGCCAAGCGAGTGTTCGGCTATAACTTTGCTATTCCAGGACCATGTAAGTTGTAACACGCTTTGATATCTTTTCCTCGGAGAGCCCTTTGCTGGCTTTCGGCCGTACCAAAAATTCTGTGCACCGTCACATTGCATCCCGAGTCTTTGTATAATCACCCATTTAAGCAGCAACGAGACACCGGAGCGATAAGGACTCGCTTAATCTGCTTATCTCCAGATTGATCCTTTCGACTTGTCGACTCATTGCATCCTTTGCACACGACCGCCTACAAGTGCCGGTATATCTGATTTCTATTGAGAAGATGGCTCAGATCCCTCTTGAACAGTTCCCTGAGACCTTTGGGACAACGATAGGTGACTTGCTTAACGTTTAATCTTCTCAAAAGGAGCTCATCTTGATATCAATAGAGTTGTCTAGTGTTGCTTTGGGAGGCTCGATAGTCGCCGTCTCCGACGAGTTCTTCGCCGAGGCATTTCACCTACTTCTTGTTGAGGTTAGTCACGTCCAGGTCTTATAGGCGTTATGTCTTGACATCCACTGGTAGCCTGCACCAAGTCTCAAAGGACAGTTTGGTCCCAAGGGTGCTCTCTATAGCGGTTGGGAGACCCGTCGACACAACCCGACTTATGACTGGTAACATACGTTTTTCTAGTGCGAGTTAGAGAATTCTAATCATGTATGACAAGGTGCATCATTAAGCTCGGGACTTCCGGAACTGTTCATGGGTTTGATATTGATACATCGCATTTCAATGGTGAGTTCCATGATCACTTATGTCGGTTAGGGGTGGGATTATGCTCATCTCAACTTAGGCAACGAAGCACCTCAAGTCTCCGTCCAGGCCGTTCAGGCCGTTGATAGGGTCCCTAATGAAGCAGATTCAGAGGTAACTCAACTATGAGCCGCAGGATCATCTGCTGACTGATCCATCTAGTGGTTTGAAATTCTGTCCAAAGTAAATCTGGGACCTAATTCGCGGCATCTATTCGCGATCCCACCAACCACCGGCGTGAACTATGTGAAGTTGAATATGTTCCCAGACGGCGGTATCGTAAGTTTCCGTTCATTCCCAACTTAACCCCCAGGAGTAACGATGTTCTATATCATTATTCCAGGCGCGATTCAGAGTCTATGGCCTTGTAACGCCCGTTTTTCCACAAGAACCTGATATAGTTTTCGATTTGGCCCACGTCTTCTCCGGAGGCCGAGTAGTATTGACGTCTGACCAGCATTTCGGCGTTGGTTCAAATCTTATCCTCCCTGGTCGTGGTAAGATTGAGCGCGTTTACTTCTATACCCATCAGGAAATGTCTGAGATCCCTCCCTGCGTTTCACAGGGAAAGATATGGGTGACGGCTGGGAGACTAAACGCAGCCGCCAGCCGGGTCACAAGGACTGGGCAATTCTGAAGCTGTAAGCACATCATAAGTATTCAAGACCACACGCTGATCCCGATCACCTAGTGGAGATGCTGGGTTCCTATCGCACGCTGAGATCGATACCGCCCATTTTATGGGCAATTTCCCCAATTCATGCGACCTACATGCAACAAATGCCGAGAGCCTCGTACCTGCAGATGTTCCCGAAGAGGGCTGGACTCTGATTCTCCCTAGGACAAAGCTGGGTCCTCATCGTCAACATCAATTCCAATTGGAGAACGTGGATAAGCCATATACACACGTCCGCGTCACGATATACCCTGATGGAGGCATCAAGCGGGTGAGGGTGTTTGGTCGTCGACAGCCAACAGATACCTCCGATAAATCAGAGACTATTTCGTCACAGGAACCCCACATCGTCTCAACCGACACGCTAATCTCTGAGCCTCAAAAGAGTACCAAAACAGCAGCGTCCGATGATGGCCCCATCCTTCCCGCGTTGGCGCTGACGGCTGAAGGTTTCGCACCCTTCGGTCAGGTCATACAGGGCTATGCTGATGTTAATGCGGTTCCGAAACCACGTAAAACTCGCATTACGGGAGCTAACCAAGGAACGGCTGTCAAATTCCATAAACTCGCACTACTGGAATCGTCCTACCCTCCCGCTGCTAATGCTACTTCTGGCATTTCCGTTTACCGCTGCCAATCTATTACACTGGATTCACGGGGTAAATGGGCGGTCAAGGTGCTAGAGAGACATCCTTTCACCAACCAGGCATTCATCCCTATGGGTGACGGGGCAAAAACGAATGATTCCCTTGTCGATGCTGGCGGGAGGTACCTCGTCGTCGTTGCCAAGAACGGCGAAGATGACAAGCCGGATTTGAAGACTCTGAGAGCATTTGTGGCTTCCGCTAGTCAAGGCATTGTGTACAACACTGGCATCTGGCGTACGTCTTTTAGTTTCCAACGGTTGGTTTTCACTGATTATATCTCATCTGCCATAGATCATCCGATGGCAGTCTTGGATGGGGTAAATAATGTCGCCTTCAACAAGTGACTGCTGACTAACTTCTTTTGTCCTAGCCGATGGACCTTGCTTGTGTTGAAACTCAGATCGGTGACGATAACTCTCTCGACTGCGAAATTGTTAATCTGGAGGGAGAAAAGAACCTACCTCTGGTCCGCTTTCTGGACTGAGAATTGGTGGCGCTAGACGAACTTCAAAGTCAATGGACGGGTGATTGGCAGTTAGCTCTCGCATGGACATGGCGTGCTGCAGTCAACGCCCTGCATTAGATGTATCTTCGGGATAGAAAATCAAATCGAGCATGGTTCAAATAGTTATCCATAAATCTGTGGCGAACGTGTATCGGCAACCAACGCTACGTCTAGTATACATGTTGATATGATTACAAGAGGAAGGCCGATGAACTACGCCCATCTGCAGCTAATTACTTGGTGTTCGAGATCGACATACGGATCTATGTCCCTTCACCCAGTCACTAAGGAGACATATAGTAAGCATCTCGATGCAAAAGGAGGTAATGGATTGACGCACATTTTCTGACATCTTCTAGAGCAGTATAGGACGGACCAACACCCTTTGCAGACCTTCAATTCATGGCTTGGCTTCATTGCATGACACACGCATTCGGCACTATGACAAGCCTTGTGTCCCAATGACCAAGAAGTCATAAAAGGTGGGTCATCTGTCAACAATTGTACATGAAGACGACGTCTTAGATTCTCCCATGCTTCAATGGCGTTGAGTGCCAGGGTTCTCTGGCTGAGTATCAATTTGGCAAGGCCATCCGTAACCATTACAGAATGTCGACGGACTAGAACGCGCATACGTTGCGACTGGTCAGGTGAAAGATCATGGCCAAACCACCCTAGCCTGTCTATGGCTCCTACGACGGGGTCTGTCAAAACAACAGCGTCAGCAAGGGCCCGTTATTGCAAAAGTTGATACTTGCCACTGAAGGATTCATCCCCTATGGAGACAGCATATACGAGGTCATGAGCCATTATATGTATGATGTCTACATTTTGCAATATCTGTGGTGTGATCCTAGGATTACCCTCGAGAACTGTAAGTAATGGCCTAATGATTCCAGTGAGATTAGAGAAGTTTCATGTCGTTTCAAGCGATATCAACTTACGAAAATATACTGTACGCAGTTCCAATGATCAGTTTCCGGACGTGCGCAGGAGGGTCGTCACCACAAATCATTCTCTGTCCCACAACAATGTGCGCATGTAATATTCGACCAACGCGGTTCTCCGCAATGTACCTGAGCTGTTGATGGTCCAAACAATAGCGAATGAAGACGAGATCGAGCACGAATAAGTAACTGAAGAGACCGGCGGCCATTATTTCACGATTCAGTAGTTCATCCAGGTAGCCGTCCACAATCGCCTCTAAGTCGTAGCCATGCGCGATCGCTGCCTCTACGAACGCCGAGAAACTGGGTGAGGATGAGAAAAGGAATCGTTGGAGCACCTGTATGATGGTTTGACGCATCGGAGGCGAGCTACATGACTGCCACAGATACAGCATTACCATGCCGAGGGGATCCTTCAACCCTGGCCACTTCCTGTAAGACATCGTAAGTACAAACACGTGAACAGCGATACGACAACGTACTTGGTTGCATCGTAAAGATCAGTTCCGTATCCTATGATAGCGGTCACAAACGACCAGAGAGGTCCGTAGGTCGAGTCATCCCTATCCTCTTCGAGTAATCCAAGAGGGATAAAGTGCTCTAGTACGAGTTTCCAGAGCTTCTGCAACCTAACCAGACAGTCACTCGCAGACTCCATATAATCATTTTCATCTTCCTTGAGGGAGAAAGACATGTATCCGACCATCTGAAGGAGACTTCGATATGCATCGGTTGTGTAGTGGAAACCCTGGCAATATCCTCGTAAAGGTACATTGTCGTCTTATCCAGATATCGTACGTACCTCGCAATCTGAAAGTTCTTCGTCCATTGAAAAGCGCTGCTGGTGAGATACATATGAATCTTTGTCCGCCACAATATCGACAAGGACACTCGGAAGGCCACTTTTGCATAATAGTTCCATTAGGCGAACGGGAGGCTCGATCTCAGTTAGTTGAGCCAGTTCTGCCAGCAACTGGATATTATCTGGGTTGCGATTTTGGTGCATTTCCCGGACAACATCACAAACTTCTGCTGTTCGCTTCAGCAGCAAGTCAGTGAAAACCCGCTTTCCCGGTGGGATTTCGTGAAGATGCTGATGTTCCTCTTCATCGATATAGTGACTACTATCTGACCATGACTCGTCAGAAGAGTCGGGACCGTAGTCTGTGGTATTGTTGAACCTCTCGTTGGTATTCAAAGACATAGTCTGCGGGAATGAGCCTGAACCGGGTACAGCTCTGTGAACAGCAATGATCAGCAAGGTGACGATGAACTTTGAAGACTAAAAGCTACGTATATATATATATGGGTGGCGCAATAGACGTACGTAAAGGATGAAAGGACTTTCAAGAATGTGTGGCAATGTATGTATACCGCGAACTCAGATCCGGAGTCTCTGAACTTGAAATGAATGCGAATCTAGGCTAAAATGCAACGTGTCTGTGCACATGATACCGAGGATTCAGGAATCAATAGAGGCCGATAACGAACCCATCCATTATAAAGGAAAGTGGCGAATGCAAGGCGTTCTTTTAACCTTTTTATTAGAAGTCTTTCATGAAGCTTTGAAAAGCGCTAAATGGCAACGGGAGGTGGCATGGGAGGCTCGCAGATTAGATAACGTTTTCCTCGATCGCGACAGATCGCGACAGATCATGTCCATTTTCGTGTTTCCATCCTCACTTTCAGTTTCAGGGCTTCCCCTGGAGCCATAACTTAGTTTGCAGTAACCTGACCTATATCAGTACCCTCATCATGGCACCTTTAACATCAATTCGAACATCTGAAGGCAAACTCGAGATCGTTAACCAACTCTTGCTTCCGCACACCACGGAATTCATAACTATCGAAACGATCGAGCATGCTCACCATGTCATCGAGGCGATGAAGGCTGGTAATCGCCAGAATATCTTCAATGCTCCCCTTGTGCTGATCTTGCTTATATTTCCAGATTCGAGGAGCTCCTGCGATCGCTTCTCTAGCAGCTCTCGCTGTTGCTTCCCACCTCGAAAAAGCTCTGAAGCAGTCACCTAGCCCAGCCTATCTATCGAGCCCGATAGCACTCAAAGGACATATCCAGCCCATTCTTGACTTCCTCTATACCGCTCGTCCTACCGCTGTGAACCTCGGAGTGGCTACTCGCCGACTTTCGAATAGACTTCAAACGTCAGTGAAAGAAGGCAAAGACGTCCGAGCGGTAGCAGAGGACGTAATCGCTGAAGCGAAAGCCATCGATGCCGAGGATGTGTCTCGAAACAAGCGGATGGCTAAGTGGGGAGGCGATTGGTTACTTGAGGAGACGGAGAAGTGTGGCCGAGCTCCAGAAAACCTCAACGTCATGACTGTGTGCAATACTGGATCATTAGCTACATCTGTACGCGTTTCAGATTTTTCCTCCTACATGTATCTCTGATCAACAACCACAGGGTTATGGCACGGCACTTGGACTTATCACTTACCTTCATGAGACTGGAAAGCTGCAAAAGGCATACTTCACGCAGTCTACACCGTACCATCAGGGATCAAGGTTTGACATCTTCTTCTTTCAGTTTACAGTTGATACTGATATATACATAAACAGACTCACAGCACTTGAGCTGCAGACGCTGGGAATACCATCTGTCATGCTCTGCGACAGTATGGTGGGCTCGCTCTTCCAACACCATGAAATTGCTGCCGTCGGTAAGAGAGCTCTGAGGATAACCTGACCGGATAGGGAAATCTGATACATCATTAAGTTGTCGGCGCCGACAGAATAGCGAGCAACGGCGACACCGCCAACAAGGTATGTTTGCATGCTTGATCTCAGGCGGGCCTGTGAATCAATAACGGATTATGTAGGTCGGCACGTACAACGCGGCGGTGCTTGCAGCTCGTCATAAGATCCCTTTCATTGTTGTCGCGCCCGTTAGCACAGTCGACCTTGACATTCCGGATGGCACCCAGTAAGCATAACGCAACCGCCAGATATTAAGCAACGAACTGACCATAATCGCAGCATTCCAATTGAACACAGGCCGCCGTTGGAAGCGCGTCTCGTTCGCGGAGCGCTGTACCCGTTTATCACTAACGCGGAAGGTTTGAAGGAGCAAGCAACTGTCATGGTTACGCCCGAGGGTTTGGAGGGTGTGTACAACCCAAGTTTCGACGTGACACCGGCCGAGTTGATCACTGCAATCGTGACGGAGAAAGGTGTTGCTGTGAAGAGGGATGGAAGTGCTTCATTCGACTTGAGCACCATCGTATAGACTGTCTGTAATGGAGTTACATTCATGACATTTCGTTATCCAGATGCTTGAGACCTTGGCAGCAATATCCCATGGCTTCCCCACATTCTGCAAAATGGTTTGCAGCGAATCATGAATTATCCAGTTCCACCTCAGGGTGGTTCATCGCTTCGAATTCTTGGTCATGATGGCAGCCTGAAATTGATTGCATCCACAAAAGGAATCCCACGTGGTCGGCGTTGGCTTTCAGACCAAGGTTGGGAATTCGAATAGGACAGTACTTGAACGACGACCAACGATTGTCCTCAAACAGTCCTTACACTGCCGTTTTTGTCTCCATATCGTAGCAAGCCAAGACGATTGGCCCAGCACGATGGGATCAGTGGCAAGTGATCAGACGGATGGGTAGTAAGATGTAACCGCCAAGCGAACTGCCCCCCGCTAGTCACAGGCGGACGGCATATTAGACCCGTAGCGAATAGAATTCATTTGTTCGCTCTTTCCTCTCCCCCTCCACCTTCTCCCATAATCAATTCCCTCCTCGGGGGCTCTCACTCTCTTTTGATACACACGACAACAAGCACTCATCATGAAATTTGTCGCTCCTTTTGCGTTCCTCTTCGTCGCGGTCGGCTTGGTCGAAGCTAGCCAGAACCACCATGTCGGTATTTCTCGACTCTCTGGAAGTCACCACAACCATTTCAAGGGTCGTCACGACGTTGTCGGTGCTGTTACTCGCAGGGATGATGCTTCCGGCAGCAAGCGTCGCTGCAAAGCCAAGGTATATTAGAACGTTGTATTTATTGTAAAGACCATGTACTCATTTTACGCTAGCCTTCGCCTTCCAGCAGCCCGGCGCCTCTACCTACGGAGACCCCTGCTGAGCCGGCTCCTACCCAGGCACCTGCCAAGGCCAACAATGCCAAGTCCGAGACGAAGAACGAAGCCCCCAAGGATACCCCCAAGGAGAACGACTTCTCCCCAGTTGCTGCAGCATCGGGATTGATTCGAGTCGTTTCCAACATCTGCGGCCAGAGTGGTGCTACAGGTACGTAATGATCCCCTACCTCCACGGATCCGTATCGATAACTTCCACTTTGACTATAGACAAGATTACCGCCACTTCCGGCCCTAATGGACAAATCGATTGGCTCAATTGCGGTCTCAATGGAGGCGGTTGGAATCCCCCTCAGGTTTCCGTTCAGGACCTTGTTGTCAAGGACCTCGCGCAGTCTCTCAAGGAACCAAACAGTCCCTTCAAGCCTTGCGAGCCTTTCCTTGGTCTGTTCGAGCAACACGCGCGCTCCAATGGAAGTTAGTAAAATAAATACATAATCTATTCTACTTGTTTACATTGTTGACCTACTCCTTTGTCCACAGTCGAACCTATCATGATCGCCTCCATTGCCATGCAAGAGAGTGGCTGCAAACCTAATGTCGTTGGTGGTGCTGGTGAACAAGGTCTCATGCAAATCACCAAGGACAAGTGTGGAGAGGCACCCGGTGGCAACTGTCAGGACCCCGTTCGTATATGCAGCAGTTGTCTGTGAAGATACAACTGACGGCGTCTTGTAGGACTACAACATTCGCAAGGGTACCGAATTCTTCGCCAGCACCCTCAAGGCTAACGGCGGCAATGTTCTTTTGGCCGTCGGAAAGTACAACGGTTGGCACCTGGACTTGACATTCGTAAGTAATTCAATGTCAATGAGAGAATGTACACTCATGACTATGATAGGGCAAAGCAGTTGCTGCTGGTGATGGATCTTGCTGCCGTTGCCAAAACAACGTCGACTAGTAAGTTTTCCCTTCATCTTTTGCATCTTTCGATGCTTAACGTCATGTCCAGCTTGATGCAATACTTCAACGGTTGGTTGCAAGGTGTCAACCCCTACAATTTGAAGCTCGGCAAGTACTTCAACCTCGACAAGTGCCCTTAAGCACCTCGCATTGTTTGTCGTTTACCCATTGACGACGACATCATATACCCCTCATCCTTTCCATCATGCGTATACGACCTCTTCACGACGAGTCTCGCTGCAAATGGACCTCATAAGGATTCCTGTGCAATGTGCTGTTGCTGGCACGGCGGCACAATTGCTGTTCATAATGCCATCCACTCGACGTACATATGGTATTAGAGCTAACTATTCCTATCTGCCTTGGTGCAGTAGTAGGTGCTGGTAATTAGCAAAGCGAAGTCATCACATAGTCAATTTGAATACAGTTTTTGTCAATATGTTTGTTTCCGTGCGACGTATACGAGGCCGTAGAATAACTACAATTGCCTATAAAGAAAGACGCGCGTACTATATTGGGCGTGAGCATGTCACTGAAGAGTCGATTATTCTCAGACCGAACCACTCGTGTGCCTATCTTTTGTTCCTGTCTCAAAATATTCCGCCTGTGCGTCTCTCAGATACTCATTGGTTACGACAGGTGCTGCCGGAAAGCTTCGCGGTTGTTCCCCCATTACTTTGCATACATACCCCGGCCAATCTAGACTTCGTTCACCAAAGGTTCCTGGCATCAAGGATCAAGAACCAACTATAAATCATGAGCGAGACCAGTTCCTCCAATCCTCCTTCTCCCGGAGCATCTACACCCCTTTCATCGTTACCATCATCCCCAACTCTTTCCAATGCCATATTGGAAGCAGAGGTCTCAGAGCAGGCTAAAGAAAAGGCGGCGAAGTTGAAAGCCCAAGCTAATAAAGCATTCAGCAGTGCGTTCTCATTTCTTTGTATCACACCGGGAAGTTTCTTCATGTTGTGATTTATTCTTGTAGATCACCATTTCACCGAAGCAGCCGATCTCTACACACAAGCGATCGAGCTTAATCCGAAGGATGCTACACTTTGGTGTAATAGGGCGTATACGAGAATCAAGTTGGAGGAGCACGGTTATGCTCTAAACGATGCATGTAAGTACCTTAAGCCCTCCGATTTGTCGAGTCAACTAATCGTGTGCTATAAGCAACGGCAATTCAACTGGATCCAAAGTACTCAAAGGCTTACTATCGGTATGCACATTCCTTTTGAGCTATTATGAAACGATTCTTAATTTTATTTGCAGACGAGCGACATGCTATCTACAGACTCTGCAATATAAGAAAGCCATTGGGGACTTCAAGAAAGTCCTTGCGCTCGAGCCACAAAATGCCGTTGTGAAACAACAGCTCGATGGCACACAGAAGCTGATGCGACGTGTTGAGTTCGAAAAGGTCTTTCACTTCTGGTTTCAATTATTGTGTGATTCTGACATCATATCCAGGCTATTGAAGTGGAGGAAGAGAAGAACCCTGTGGAACGGTGCATAGAAATCATCAAAGAAGGTTTGAAAATCTACTTTATTCAGCTTCAAGAATATGTGCGTCTCACAGTATAGTTTCGCAGGCGGATGTGAAGTAGATAAGACATACGCCGGTCCAAAACTTCCTGTCGGCACGAACGGGAAGTTCACCATCAACTTAGACTTTATACACGCCATGATAGAATGGTTCAAGAATGGAAAGACATTGCCTCGTAGGTAAGTAGACTGGTTCCTCCTCTCACCGTGTCAAACAATTGAGGGAACAAGATATGTATGGGAGATTGCCATCGGTGCTCAAGAGCACTTTGTCCAGGAAGAATCTCTGGTCACGCTTGATCTGAAGGAGGGCATGACTTGTGATGTAATTGGCGACGTGCATGGTGAGTTGATCTTATACCATTATGTTGTCTTGCTTACCACTGTATCAATACGTAGGGCAATATTGGGACATGCTTCATTTATTCTCCCTCACGGGTGAACCTACTGACAAACATTGTCTACTCATGAATGGTGATCTTGTCGATCGTGGCTCATGGTCGATTGAGGTCATCCTCACTGCATTAGCGTTCAAATGTGGGTATATGCACCGTACATGCTTGGCTTTCCAATAATTGTCTTTCCCGCAGGGCTGTATCCCAAAACCATGTACATCAACCGAGGAAACCATGAGACAAAGGACATGAACCGCGCATACGGTTTCGAGGGAGAGGCCAAACACAAGCATGGCGATCAGACTTACAAGGTGATATCCTCTCTGCCTGTATATATACAATTATCTGACACAGGTTTTAGCTCTTCGCACATCTCTTCACTACGAGTATGCTACATTTTTCATCTGTGCCGTTTCTGTTGTATTAACCCCCTTAATCAGTGCCTCTTGCAACGCTTGTCAGCGCTACCAGACCACCACCAGAACCTAAAGGCAAGGCTATCCTGTCGTCTGATGGTCGAAAACGATACTTCGTGGTTCACGGTGGCCTGTTCAGCAAAGACGGTGTCACTCTAGAAGATATTCGCAAGATCGAGCGTATTAGTCGACAACCTGGGCAAGAAGGTTTGATGTGTAAGTGCCACTTTCCCAATATGTTGTTTCTGCTTGCGGTCTGGCCATGGTGAACGTTGTGCTGACCACTTTACTAGGCGAGCTACTTTGGACAGATCCTCAAGATTTGCCAGGGCGTGGCCCGAGTAAGAGGGTAAGAGAATCATCAACTTAAGATTCTTTATCCTGCGACTAATTTATCTATGACCGTAGGGCGTCGGCATTGCGTTCGGTCCTGATGTCACTCGGAGATGGTGTGAATCCAACGAGATTACTGGTGTCATCCGTTCGCACGAAGTTCGTCAAGGTAAGTTACAAGAATCCTGTTCTATAAACATATGCTCACTACGCCACCGAATCTCTAGACGGTTATGCGATAGAACACGACGGTCTATGCACAACTGTCAGTTCTTTTCCATCTGTTGCATTATTCCTCAACTTAACCTCTTGTTCATAGGTATTCTCTGCGCCAAACTACGTCGACCAAACTGGAAACAAAGGCGCATTTGTGAGTGCTTCTGGTCCGCTACATGGCATGGTAATAAAATGTTGAGACTTCTTCTACAGATTCGGGTCGATGCCGAGGGCTCTCTGCAATACACCCAATTCGACGCAACGCCTCATCCTCCAATGAAACCAATGGCCTATGTTACAGGCGGATTAGCAAGCTTGTTGGCTTGAAACTACTGCTGACGATTTGTATCCCATCTACTGAGCACACACACGATTGTATCCGTAAGACATGCTGTACAGTACGAACATCGCTGTATATATCCACACTTATTCATTGCGTTGACAGTCACACTACTGGCTGGCATATCTCTTGACGATTTCCCTGACCGTAGGAGCTATTCCTGAACAGATATTTACCGTATCCTTCTGCGAACTCGGGATTAGCAGCGATTTGGGACCTGTCGGTAGAGTCTCTTACCCAAATCTCCTCCTGCACGTTGCGTCCTTCTTCGCTCCGGACCCACGCGCTAGGTTCGACCAACTGTGTTGAAGAAACGTAGCCGCCGTGGAGCTTCTTCAAGTCGTCCTCGCTTGCACCTTGGGGTCCCAACGCAGCCCAGATCAATTCACGACTGCCTTCCTCCGAACTCCTGGCATTGGCTAGCCAAGTGTCCCACTGACCTCGGTCTTCAATGTATCATCTGAGGTCGGACACACAAAAGCCCGGATTGACTGTGTCAACTATGACGGGAGCCTTGGGACCAATGTGATGGGCAATTGCACGGGTGAATAACACGTTGAGAACTGATAATAGCGGCGTTAGGAAAGCAAGTTAATAATCCATCTTGCTGACAGTTGCTCACGTTTGCTATCACTGTATCTCTTCTCTGGGTCACAGAAGGAACCTTCTTCATTGAGGGTCTTCATTACGGCCCTAGGGATTCTCTTTTGCTGAAATCGGTCCATTCATGAATGCCACTGGATACTATAACCAATCGAGACAAGCTGGAAGACCTTGCTGCCGATTGGACCAAGTTTGGAAGAAGTAACAGCGAGAGCAGGGAAATCGACAAGTGATTAACTTGTATTCTGTGAAGCAATCGGGGCGGGTAAGTGAATGCATTCGCATAGCCCGGAAAGCGGCACGCACACTGTCTCGCAGCCATCAGAGGTCTTCTGGTAACTCGCCAGGGCTACAGCAGCATTGCAAACTAGAATGTCGAGGGGAATTCCTTCCTCCTCGAACCTGTTGGCGAAAGCGATGACTGAGGTGAATTCCGAGAGTTCCAGAACCCAAGATTCTGCCTTGGTATAACCAGTTTCTTGTTCAATGACTATTGGAGTCATATGATTATATCTGCCACTTGTGTCACAAAAACAAAGGGACTCGTACTGGAGACGGTAGCATCAGCTTTCGCTTGGTTTCGGCATGTACAGATAAGTCGAGCAGGTTTCATTCTGGCAAAGTGCTTCGCTGCTTCCAGACCAATACCCGTATTCGAACCGATAACAGCGACGGTCTTGCCGGACAAGTCGGCTGTAACAACTGGTGGAAGTGATGGCATGGTGTAATAACGTCTCTCGCAGTTGGAAGGAGTATGATAGGTATGCCACGCATTGCAGACAGCTTCATACTGACATGCCCTGGCTGGTCGTTTACTTACTGAGTTTCTCTTTTTTATTTGTTTCTGAGCCGGCGATGATGTACGCCTCTCGGCAATATTAGTACAAGTATGCATAAGCATTCATATGCGTCCAATCGTGTGGGAGATGCTTCAATGACCGCCTCCTATTTAGAGAACTCCCTTAATTCAGTTGACGTTTTCCGATATCGGGAGATACAGCTCAGACCGGTCAGTGATTGCATCGTCAGTCCCATTCATAAAACGAAACTGCTGAGTGGAACTATCCCATCAATCATATACAATTCATATGAAGTTTCAGGTGTGACTCAACAACGTCCTAAGAATATCCTGAAGCCCTAATATATTCGGAGACAACATTTTCGACCTTAGGAGCTGCATTAGATACCGCTTTCAACGTTTCCATCTGCGAGCTGATGTTAGAAAATGAAAACCCAGAAGATGCAGATAGTGTACTAACCCATACTTCCTCCTGGACCCTGCGACCAGGTTCACTTCGGACCCATGGGCTCGGCAGAGTCAGCTGGTTATCAGAGATGTAGCCTCCGTGTAGCTCCTTCGGTTCCTTCTCACCTGCGCCTTGAGGTCCAAGGGCAGCCCAAATCAACTGACGGCTTCCTTCTTCCGAAGTCCTAGCATGAGCCATGAAGTCATCCCATTGACCGCGATCCTCGATATTGCGCCTGAGATCGGATAGACAGAAGCCAGGATTTACTGTGTCGACGAGGACATGAGCAGTTGGAGAGAGATGATTCGCAAGCGTTCGAGTGAATAATACGTTGAGAACTGGAAAATGGCGACGTCAACGGGGATAAAACTTGAATGCAAGGATCCGCTTACGTTTGGTATCGCTGTAGCTCTTTCCGGCTTGAGCATCAAAGAAACTCACGTCATTCAAAGTCTCCAGAACTGAACCAGGAATCCTGTCCTTATCAAAAGTGGTCCATGCATGGGTATCACTAGAGACTATGACTAGGCGAGATAAGCCGGATGATGTTTGGGCGGTTCGAGCAAGAGTCGGCAGCAGCAAAAGGGACAACAGGGCAAGTGACAAATGATTTACTTGCAATCTGTCAGACGAGTGCAGTTCGTTTAGTAAACTATCGAAAATCATTTGTACAAATAATTCATGACTGACACTGTTTCCCAACCATCAATAGTCTTCTGAAAATGCGGCAAGGCTATGGCAGCATTGCACACGAGGATGTCGAGGGGCACTGACTCATTTTCGAACCGCTCGGCAAATGCAATGACTGAGCTGAAATCTGAAAGCTCGAGGACCCAACCCTCCGCCTTCGTATACCCAGTCTCCCTTGCGATTTCTACCAGACACATTTTATTGAGCTGACCATCTGCTTAGAGTGGAGTACGTACCTGAGATGGTAGTTTCTGCCTTTTCTTGACTGCGACAGGTACAGATCACCCGTGCGGGGTTCATCCTTGCAAAATGCTTCGCCGCTTCAAAACCGATTCCAGTGTTGGAGCCAACGATAACCACGGTCTTGCCCGACAAGTCGGCTTTCACAACAGGTAGGTTTTGTGGCATGCTGTTACAGGGTGCTTCCAACCAATGCGGCGTGTGTGGGAGCAACGATGAGCGAGTTGAGTTGACTGGGGACTTACATACGTAGGCTCGTTATGGGCTTATATATACTATCGGGAGACGCTGTTTTCCCATATATATCGAGTCCATGTCGCTGACTATACGTCTCGCTGCTACGAGGAATGCAGCCCGTAGGCTGAGCGCCGACCACCGAGTTATCTATAGAAGCAAGTGCCAGATGACCACCAATATCAGCTATCCATGACCGGTTACTCCGTAATACATCTTTAGGATGCGAGACGCAACAATTACTTCAGCTCTCTTCAGGCGCATCGTTGCAAATGGGATCACATTCAACACTTTCACATCTAGTCAAGTAAGAAGATATGACCCGTGTGACTTTCGTCTAGTCTACAGACGCTGTCAGAGGACGGGGATTTGCTGACATCGAAAAGTTATTCGATTGATTTCGTTCCCGGGGAGAATAACGGGATGCATCAGTCTCCATGAAAAACCCCTGTAAATAATAGATGTTGACATGACATGGCCCTGGTCTGGTCCATATGAAAATAAGAAGATTATGTACTGGAGGTTTTTCCACCGATGCAGCTTGTCACCCGACCACTAGAGATCTCTGTTCACTCACCACTCGGAACATAATCTCGCCTCCAATACGTTACAGAACTTCAGTTCTTCAAGTTGATACCATGGCTCCGCATGAAGGCAGGGAACAGTTGTTCGCTAGGCAATGGGAATCCAGCGAACAAGTATCGATCGCCGATTGCACCGATCACTCGTCGCCGGTCCTATTGGTCTTCAAGTTCATCGATCGTAGTCGAGCACTCTTATGACTATCACTGCTTCTCGGTCACTGTACATGGATGGCCGGCTCTCCCCACCGCTGTTGTATCTTTTGCAGAATATAAATCTTGACTCGATCTCATGCTCTGAACGCGCACTCGGGAGACCCCTTCCTTGGCTATGTTTGACAAAGTTGTATCGCAACCCAGCTAAGGTTATGAGAATATTGCTTAGCCTGTATACAGATATCGAAGACGTGTATGTTGCTACTCAATGTCGAGATCTCAAAGTGAAAATACATCTGTAGACGAGCACATCTTGCCTCTTGGTTCGGAATCTGCTTCATGCAGGAGCCGTTGCAATGGTTGTAGGAAATGGGCCTCATTATGGTGAACCATACTCTAGCAACCCTCAATTTGATTTGAAAACCCGGCTATCACTGTACAAGTTACCTTTCCATTCATGAGGTTCCGATTACAGCTCGTACATGTAGAACGTGGAGTGCTGTCGTTCACCAGGACAATTTGGCAGTTCCGAGAATATCGTGCTATGGAGAGCCCAGTTCGATGCTATTGGATCCGAAACATATGCCAATTTCTCGTTCAATGGAGGGGATGGCGTCTACATCTCATCTATCATTAAGCTCATGCAAAACCCATCAAGATCATGAAACAAGATGCAAGCAGGATCCTCCCAGTATCCTCTGCATCATGCCTATCGTAAATTCAATCTATGGTCCACCCAGAGGATGAGCCAATGTAAGACCAGTTAAGAAGTTGGTTGCGTCTAGACGGAAAGTGTCATTAGTGATGATTTGAGGCATCGGTCCGTCTATGAATGTAAGCAATTGTGAGGCGTCGTTGGTATATTTTGGCCAGGTAAGCTCTCCATCAGTTGAGTGAGGGCCGTTGGGGTCTAGATGGTTTATGAAGTTGATGACGTTATCAGTCAGATCTCCAGGTCTAAAGACAACACCGATGTCCGTTCCGTGTACCTAGTAGGTGGTAACCTGAGCATTCAGAGAACCGGCGCAGAAGGAAAGATCAACGAACCGAACCAAACGGAGTGGCCGTTTTCGATCTTTTCATCACTGCAAAGGTTGCATGAGTATATCGCTGTATAGAAGGGAGTGCACACTTACGATACGCCCAGATATCTTGCTTATCGGAACGAACCTGAGAGACTAGTCGACGAGGAGCTTGGAAGATCAGGTCTCCGATCAAGGCAGAGAGACGCTTGAACTGAGGTGTAAAAGCACCTTCAAGACCAGTGTCAAAGGGTGATCCTGCTGCAGGATCAGCTGGATAGAGTTTTGCCAGCGTATTGATGTCGGATTCGGAAGCATTAGGGAAGAAGATCGCGGAAGCATATGTTCGGAATTCTTCGTCCGTCCTGAAGATTCTGATTCACTAATGACATAATATGTATAAACAGCATCGCACGTACGTAACGTTCAATGCGGCAACAGCGAATACTGTTCCTTCATCATCAACGTCCTAGAGAAGGCATCATTTACCCAACCGAGAGTAGGTCAAGAGTTCATGTAATACATACCCCGATCATGAACGGGACGTTCGCGATCTTGCCGTTCATGGTTGCTCGTTGAAAAGTATCTGGCAAGAATAGGCCATCTGCTCGTGGTACCCAAGCCAAAACCACTGACTGCGTCACATCAGGTTGTTCATTAGATGTCCGATTTCGACCAAGTCAAACAAACGTACTTGATACGACATGATACTGGGTGACGAGTTCACAGCAATCATCAGTTCCTCAAAGGGAGCCCATCTGAGACACTCCAACGTATCTGTTGAACCAAAGCAGCCGGTCTGTTCGACGAGAGCATCATAGTACTGCTGCCCATTTGCGATGTCGCCAATTGGCATTGGAGAGCCTGATTCCATGATAGCACCACGGAACAAGCCTTCCGTATTTCCACCATATGCGAGCAGTTGAAGCGCGACCGACTCGCCACCGGCAGACTGACCCGCTCTGCCGAGACCTGTGTATTAACAAGTTTCGTCGAGACTAAGATGAATAGTACGCACATAGTGACTTTCGTTGGGTCACCACCGAAGGCGCGGATGTATGTTTGGATCCAACGGAATGCCTGGCGCTCTGGACAATTAGGGAGTTAAAGATATTTACGTACGTTTAACTACTATTTCGAACTTACGGTCCAAGAGTCCAAGGTTGCCAATACCGGCAGCTTTGACTTCTTTTCCAGGCAGGAATCCAAAGGCTAAGGCAAGTAGAGATCGGTGAGCAGATGCGACATTATCGTGAATGCGTGAGGCTTAACGAACCATTCAATCTTTGATTCAACAGCATCCATTTCACGATCAGCGAAGAGCGTCATAATTTAAAGTTTCACTGACACTTACCGGTAATTTAAACTAACAAAGATGATTGGTTCTCCGAGTTCTAAAGAACGCTGGACGATCACGGTACCGTTGAACCTATAAGAGTAAATTAGCAATGGAGTATAGTCATTGAATGGGACTGGGGTCGTACTCTGACGCCCCGCTGGTTTCGAATCCACCTGAAAAAATGGTCAAAAGAACATTGAGAAGGTAAGAAAACAGTTCTTACCTCCCGGTATCCACTGGTAAAAGGTCTAAGATGGGACGTTGGAAAGCTACCAGTGATTAAACAACTTACTGCAACAACGGGCAATCCAGCACTCGAATTGATGCCCACTGGTGCCCACACATTCAAGAATAAACCTGATCGCAGGAAGTTCATGATCAACAGATTGCAAGTCGATGTCTCAATGACTCACAATCTTCACTGCCAGGCCGGGGTGCAAATAAACGCGCAGTGAAAGTGGTAATGATGCTTGAGACGTTTTGAGATACAGTATCCGGGATCGTGATATTCGTGAGCTGTTGAGGGCATAAAGAGCCAAAGCTGGTCGCTGAGATATTGCCAACGTATGGATCGTTCGGGACAGGCGGTCTTAACCGAAGGTTTGCAACTCTAACAGCACATCAATGTTAAACAAATGATTGTTGATACACGAAACAGCCTGATGCACATACGGTGGTTTCGCGAAAGGGATGCCCAAGAACCGATTGGCTACTCCGTCAGAAACCCCGTGGAATATTGCTTCGTCCAGTTGGACTGTGGCAGATATGCTGGAATTCTGTGCGGAAGACTCCACAATGGTGTTACCTATCAATGCGAGCAAGGTGAGCAGGTCGATCATCATACTTGCACTGTGCAAGCCAAGGCCGAATTATGGGTGGTGAGACGGATAGCACTATTGTTATATACAGTACGTCCCACCAGGATTCCAACTGACGGATGAGGAGTCACAGGTTCGATATCAGACTTGCCTTGCCGCCCATGTCATAGTAAGTAGTCGAACGGACGAAAATAGGGAGAAGGAGAAGACCACCAAACTCCACTCGTCTCCTGGCCAATGACATCCTGCTGCGCTCAGGTGGACATCGAAGAAGAAGTTCGGATCCTCTCTATGAAAAATCATATCGATAAGGTTGTGTTCAAAGAAAGAATGATCCAACCTACGTAGGGAGTATTGTTCTCGGGCATTACAGCGGTTTTGCATCCGGATCGGGCACTCCTGGGAATCCAGCACAATGACCGAGGTCCCGTACTTCTATCGTTCACCAGTTCTCCGCGTGTGCCGTGGCCAATAGGCTTGGATCCAAGAGACACTGACCGCTAGCAATTCCCGGTCTCCCGCGGTGAATATGAACCTCGAGATACATAGCCGGTTTTCAGCTGTCATACAATTGGGTGTTCCAACTGCTAAGGCTATCAAGTACAGAGTCACGGGGGAAAGACCCGGCAACGTGTTCGTCACGAATTAAGCATAATCAACTTACAGTCATATTGTATGAGCAGCATGGATTCCACATCGCGTTTCTTGTCAAAGGACATACAGGACGTCATATCTTTCGGTTCGATCAGCCGAATGCCGGCCATTGGGCTGAGTTAAGTACAGCGATTTCCTTGTGTTGCATCCCATAATTACAGGTTCAGGCTGGAGGAACAAATACACAAGAAGGTGGCAGCATAGACTGCGTTGGCCCGTCCAAACCTTAATGAGTATTGGTTGGAAGAGAACAGCCGGTGAATAACGGATAAAAATGACTGGATCGAGCTTATCAACTTCCTAAGAGGCGGTTGGTGACGTTGAGATCTAAAGGCTAATTTAGATATTGACGCCGAAGTAATTTCTACGTTATCGGGCTTCAAGTTGTTCTGGTTCTCGATAGCTTTCTTGTCGTGGAATCGTACGTATGGGCCAGGCACTGCTGAGGATTCTGAGGATTCGGAAATGGTAAATGATCGAGTACGATCGAGGACTACGCGACTCATCCACGTGGCGTGAGCAATACTCAACGGTGAACTCGATGGTAACTTTCGACTACCAACTTGTGCGAGAAGCTGGCTACATGGTCCATCCAGCTCATTTTGCAGTATGCAGCAGCTAGTGGCGGACTGTTTGCAGAGGATAATTCCAGTATGTATTCGCTTTGCGGCTTGTTTGCTCATTTCTCTTCCTATAGGCCTAGTCCGAGTCCATCTACCCTCGCCCGATCACTTGTATCTGACTCTCAGGCTCGTCTCCCATCTCATCTCGTCTCTCGCCGCTTCTCGTCTCCTTCTCCGTCCACATCTTCTCTATCAGCAGCAATCGTGTCAAACAACGCAATGCGCGTTTCTCCCGTATACCGGAGATCTTGGCAGACTTACCAATATATGGCTGCCACTCTCATTTCTGGAGAATATATATCCACTGTAATTCACGTGTACTGTATCTCTTACGATTCACTCAGAACCTTAGCGGATCCCTCAAAACCATCGATGTCCTCTCATTTATCTAACACTCTTCATGGAACGCGTATCTATGACTGTCTTCCCTGCGCGTTGCCCCATCATTTTGTCTTTTTCGGACTACAGACCCGTCATGATATCAATCACTCTGTAACCAGTCAAGCCTCAGTAGACCGCATTTGCTTTTCCCTCGATCGGGCCCTTGTATATAACCTTGCATTGACATCGCAACGCTGTCTCACTTGGGTTTACAACTTCTCTCCCTTCGCTAAACTCCCCGGTCCACGGCTTTATTACCTTGGTATGAAACCGACCTCTTCAGCCACATCGTCGCCAATGCGATCATATAACGCTTCCACATCCAGTGAACTAAGAAAATATGACCTGTGTGACTTTCGGTTTGTCCATAGACGCTGTCAGAGGACGGAGAATTGCTGACATCGAAAAATCATTCAATTGATTTCGTTCCTGGAGAAAATAACAGGACGCATCAGTCTCCATGAAAACTCCCTGTAAGCGATTGATGTCGACATGACATGGCCCTGGTCTGGTCCATATTAAAGTGAGGAAAATATCTGCTGGGGGCATTTCCGACTTAGCTTGTCACCCGACTACGGGAGACCTTTGTTCACTCACCACTCGGAATATGACCTCGCCTCCAACACGTTACAGAGCTTCAATTCTTCAAGTTAATACCATGGCTCGACCAGAGGACAAGAATAAACCTGTTGGCGATGATCAAGAAGGCCGGTCTTCAGTTGCTGATGTGCAGATCACGTCGGTCGGCCCCGCTCTTCTTCGATTGCCCATCGAAATGTTTGAGATAATCATTGCCTGCTTCGCGGACATTCCTACGGAGCTGATCCTGCAAAATCCCACCACAGTGAACGCTTCCTATGCTGAGCGAATGAGAGCCCTCCACGCTCTTTCGCAGACTTCACGAGCGTTGCGAGAATATTGTTTACCCCGGGCATGGGAACGTCTCGAGGCCTGCATTGAATATGGTCCAGAACACGGGGTGTGGTATAAGCAAGTCTCCAATCGACTGCGAAATATCAGCAACGGATTAGCAGAATCACCTGAGCTGGCTCAGCACGTGCAGTGAGTGTCTCCTCTAGCACGCGCAATGTGTGCTAACATACAATCTTACCTAAGAATCGCAACAGTCAGTCTGACACGATGTTCGGTGGACGTGATCCTACCTGCTTTCACCCGATGCCTCGAACGGCTTCCGAATTTGCACACTCTGCAGATTGTCCACGCTCACTCGCAGATGTCGACCGCACTCAAAGATACCTTCGAGTCCAAACGGTTCCCCCAGATACGCACCATTATCCTCCCTTCATGTGCGCAGAGTGTGCTTAGGGCATGTCCCGAAGTCAGACACGTCACTTGCAACGAAGACAACGGCGGGGAGCTTGTGACAGCGATCCTGGCTTCCTGTAAGAAAGTCGAGATCCTTCGTGGGATAACGCCTGAAAGCGCCATTGTGAAACGTTAGTCAAAATGGACGTAACATGTATATCACCAACATAACTGACCATCATCATGTTTAGACTTATCGAAAGCTGCTCCGCACTTGAGAGAACTCGGAATAATTTCCTGCGCCGTTCACTCCTGGCCGAAAGTCCGTGAAATATCACCTGTAAGCAGGTCCGTTTACTGCGCTCATCCGAAGTCTGACGTATATCCCGTGGTTAGTACGACATTCGCGAACTCGGTAAGCTTACGAACCTGTCAAACATAACTATTATGGTCGGCGAAGGGGAGAGTATCTGCCGAGCAAAGACATGCAAGGCGCATATTCAAGCAGCCTTTGAAGCATTGGAGCAAAGCACTGCTGAGAATAAAAGCGTGACAGTCAGATATAGTGCATGGATATCGCGTCGCGGAGCCGAAGATATTAACGGACATTGGCAGACTGTCCGGGAAGAAGAAATCGCCGTAGGAATGAAGTAGAGGATTCGATGAGGTCGACGCAGAGTCATTCCTTGAGCCGAGATATCACAACAATTTATATAACTCATAATGTTACACCCGAAGGAGAACTTCTACTGTACACGCTAAAACTAATGTTATTCCGTTTGCTTCGTGTTAATGATGAGATGATACTCACCGATGCTACGGTTACTCTGGACTGAGAGCTTCACTTATCTGAGCAACCATCGTAAGCCCTCCAGCTGATCCTTGTCCCATTTCTTATAGATTGCGGTATTGGGAAACATGGCTCGTCCACCATGCGGCATGCCGGGATATCTGCGAAGATGAAGCCAGTGAGGAAAGACGTTGATTCATGACGAATAGTACATACACTTCAAATTTGGTCTGAACGCCAGATTCTCTCAGAACTTGTTCATAAACAAGACCATCATCCCGAAGTGGATCTGCTCCGGCGACCTGAATGAAAGTAGGCGGGAGGTTTGCATGGCTGGGAGCAAGCAGGATAAATAAATTGGGATCATCCGGACGAGCACCAACAAATGCTGATGGAAAACATCAATGAAACATATTCAGGAAGTGTGTTAGAGATGTCGTACCGTTTGACTTGAGTAGGCCCTCTCGATTGAGGATCGGCGCGTCCTTGTTTTGTTCAATCGAGCGGAACAATGGCTTATATCTGTGATCAAGTTCCACATTATCAAATCATGTCGATCAACATAGTGTTTGAGTATACTCACTGTTCTGGACAGGCATCAGGGTGTACAACTTGAGGGACTTGGAGAGCCTGCCCAGTGAGCGGGCAACCTTGGAAGAAAGCGTCGTCACGAGCGCGGTGGGCTACGATGGTGGCGGCGCTAGCACCAGCCGAGAATCCGCCGACGAGGAAACCTTTGTCGACCGCACCGGATATGAGAGATGCATTCTCTGCGGTCTATAATAGAGTTCGTACGATTGCAGGCCGGAGTTAAAGAGATATAGCTTACCCATTTCAGACCAGCGTAGCAATCATCAAGACTGGTCGGGAAGGGATGTTCAGGTACAAGCCTGTTGTACAATTCATCAGTGTCTTGTGCGAAAAGGGAGTTGGTTGGTAAATTTTACCTATAGTCTACATTCACGATGACGATTTGGAGGGTGACGCAGATCCGTCGCAGACTGTAATCATCCATGTCAATGCTACCCATGGACCATCCTATTATGACGTTACTTTCCGTCAATCAAGTGTCCAGAAGAGTGTTTCGTACCTCCTCCATGGAACCAGACAAGAACTGGGAAAGTTTTGCCGCTTTCCGACGTTGGCACCAAACAGCGAATCGTGATTTCGCCTCCTTCGACCGGAATCTTGCGGTCCTCAACACGATAGTCTGCGTCTGGATAGGCGTAAGAATGATAGCATGTAAAGCTCACAATGACACAACTTACCTGGAGGAAGCTCATGTTGAGTGGCCTTCTGCATCGCAGGAAGCATGTGCTTAAGCTTCTCCCTAGTTGCGACGGGGTCGTCTAAACCGAGAATCGAAGGTGGAAGCTTGGCTAGAAGAGGTGCGAGTTCTGCATCAGGCGTGGAGTACTCGGTCCAATGTGCCATCTTGAGTGGTGTGTTGTAGACAGTAGAAGACTACGCGTCGTTGCGGTCGTGTATGGTGTAGGTGTTATGGATGATACTGAGCAGCCTTGCACCATTTGACTGGTTCTGAAGCTATGCAGAATGCTCGCAGGCATCCAGTACGGGACTCCATGTTCATGGCATTGCTAATCATCGAAAATTAATCTGATATATTGAACAGTTCGCAACAGCTTTCCACTAGAGATGGAGTCAGGACGTGGCAGGCATGTAGAGTTTAGTGCTCCGTAATAGCACCCACAGGACTACATTCGACATATTCGATGATGCGAACTGCCAGGACTAGCGACCGTAAGTGGTGACATTTGCAACCTGAGCGGGATTCCACATAGACTTGTCACATATCGTTCACACCGTGCATCTGCAGATCAATTATGGTTATAGAGTTGAAGTCAGCACGGCTGAGAGGCATCGTCAGCATGATTACATTGCTTACCACTCATTGAAGATGTATCAAACTTGGTTTCAGAGTAGCTACGCCGAGCTATAGATAGACCCCAGGCGATACACCTGCTAATTTAACCTTGTTGCTGCCAGTCATTGGCAACAATTGCTGTTGGAGTGCTGATGAGTTGAACCACAGCAGTCTGAAGCATTTACAATCCACTGTGATGCTGAGTCGTTCGAGAAGAGCAACACTTACCATGAATGAAAATCTACGCACCCTAGTAAGTTACTGTAGCTGGGGATGAGCTCCTCGAAGTGAATCCTGAGCAGGCACGTGAGCGATCAACCACATCGATCATCCACGTGGTTCCAAATCGGGGCAAGCAAGTTTGCCAGTATGGCCGCCGCTATCAACACTTCTCTCTTTTGCGCACGAAAGACCCCCAAGCTGAGACTCACCCGATCAAACAAGATCAAGCAAGGTATCAACGCAGGAGGGAGACAAAGGAATGGTGAGAAGGGATTGAATGGAGGATGAGAGGAGGTAAAAGAAAAGGTGAAGGAAAGAATGAACATCAAGTGCTGAAACAGGTGAGTGAGTTGGCAGCCCAGTGTGGGAAGGCTCAAATGGTGCACTCGCTAATAAAATTTTTGAGCCCAGATGCAGGATTAAGTGGGATCAGCCACAGCCTCCCAGTCTGCTGCAGTCTGGATAATGAAACTGTCATTTGGCCTGTAAATCAGGCAGCAGTCAGAAATCTGCAGTCTTCCCTCCCTATAGTGACCTTTCCCTTGCTCAATGTATTCAATTGCATTTTTGAAACCTATTATATATAGTCTCAACTACAGTTTTATCCATACCACCATCTAGCTGATACAGTATATCAGGAAAACTGGCAAGTTCTAAGCTTCTGAGCATTCAGGCCATCAGAAAATTAGGAAAATCTTCTGAGAGGTGTCTCAGAATGCTTAGAAGCACCCAAGACCTTCTCAGTGCCTCAGCTGTCAGAAATTAAGTTTCTGACACTTTAGGGCTCTAGAATGCTCACTTATTTAGATATTTCACAGTTAGCCTATCACAATAGGCTTAAGATGTTTTATATACATTATCATCTACTTAGAATAAGTATTTATAGCTTATCTGCTGACTATTTAAGCATGCTGCATGATAATAGTGCACTGGCCAAAATCATCATGCAGATGCTTACAAGCTCAGAACTTGCCAGTTTTTCTAATGCTACATAGAATATGAGTAGAATTTTTTGATATTATTGAATGACACTCACTAATTTTTGTGTTTAGATTAAACAGATGTGTTCAAGTCTTATAGATCAAGTATGATCCATAATAAATGTCATGATAGCTATAGCCAAGAGAGATTCTACACAGAAGATCAAAATTAAAGTAGAGGATGAAATAGTTACTCTTAAATAAATGGTCAATTTTATGATAGATCAACTTAGTGCCTTTACATCTGAGATGATCTGTGTCATAGTTGAGCTTGAAACTCAAGTATCCTAAGTGATCAAGTCACTATTGAGACATATAGGGCTATAAGCTAACCTTACCTGTAATATTAATATAAGTTTGCCTATCTTAGATTTATATTAATTATCACTAATTGTTTATCAGATAGAAAATATGTAATCTATCTCTAAGATAGTTGTCAGTATTTAGGAGGCTTGTTGGCAAGATGACTTGCATCTTTCTTGAAATAGAATACTGAGAATAAGACGGGTGATTCTGTAAAAGGAGTTTAGATAAAGCTTATATAGATAATGAGAGGTTTACTCTTGTTATTGTTATATAGATGTCTATAGGCCAATAAGATTTCTTTGACTAGTATAAGTAATTGAAATATCACTCTCTGTATAGATTAGCCTTCTTTTAAGTAGAATTAAAGTAAAGTCCTCATAAATTATAGTGAGTGTGTCTGTATAAGAAAGCAGGTACTTAAATATGATGTCTAGATTATCAAAATTCTCTATTCAGACTTTATGTCTTTCAGAGGCCAGCAAAGCTCTATAGCAAGATACTGGCAACTATTATATCTAAATGAGTGAGTGTCAAAAAAGAAATTATTTACTTGAATATTAAGAAGATTATTATAAAACTACTTTATAGATGCATATACAGACTATAAGTAAATAGCACTACTCATAATTAGCATTACAAATTCTAGAATATAAAGAATGTAAAAATTATTCTAGCTGCTGTAGACTATAGATAATATACTGTGCCTCAGAAATTGATTGAAGTTAAAAGTAATTAAAAGCATCAAAACACAGAATTATAGATATAGCTAATATAGTCTGAAGTTTAGTTTGACCTTTAACTATGCTAGCAATAAGAGTGTAGTCTAAGCTGTATCTTGAGTTCTTTATTACTATACTATATATTATTTGAAGTAAAAGTATATAATATATAAAATATACTAAAGTTTTAATCTTTTTATTATAAATAAAATATATGTTACACTATCTGAATATAAACTTAAATCTGTTTATACTATAGCTTAAGTTCAAATTTTACTTAGCATGAGATATTATAAATTTTTTCCTAATCTGAAAACTATACATTATAAACATTTTATCCTAACCAGATTTTAATTTAGATTACTGATCATAGAAGTTATTCAGCTGCCAGTATCAAATAGCCTCAGATAAGATTACTATCTAAATACAAAGACTTTTTAGATACTTTATGCTAATATTACATTAAATTAAGGCTTTCACTATATACCTAGAGTGGTGTTGATACTCACATATCACAATCTGTATCTAAGTAACCAAAAATCTATAGTTGCTTAGAATATTGAGGTCAATAGTGAGACTACATCAATTCTAGTTGTAAAGTTGATATAAAGTGTAATCTAAAGTTCACTAGATCTATCTATATGACAAAGATTCCAGTATTCATCTCCAACATATAAAATGCCTTTCTCTACTAGCCTAGGAAATAGCCAAAACCAGTTTATATATTATTCAGCTTTAGATATGCTAACAAGTTTGAGACTAGGTGCTTTTATAGATAATAAACTTGATTCAAGCACTTTACAGTCTTCTTTATCACTAGATGGCCAAAAAAGATCTACAGTTACTGACATCTCTGAATTCACAGTTGAAAGTAACTCTTTAACAAATAGAAGCCTTTGTCTATGTGCATTCAAACTTAGGTATTGCAAGCAAGAATTATGTCCAAGATAAATAGCTATCAAATTAATCAGAATGAAATTAGAGAGTAAAAATATGATATAGTTCTCACCTTCAGCATTCTCAGGCAGATTAATATGGCATTTTAACAATAATGATCTAGAGCTTGATAGAAATGAATTGATTGCTGATAGATGCTCAGTTCTAAGTTGATCTTTATAATATAACTGAATATGTAGAACTTCAAGACTAAAGATATAGCCACTATCAAATAACCACTGTAATAGTGATAGATCTGATTCTGATAGTTGAAGTGATTTCAAGCTAGGTCTGAGCTGCTTCCTATCTGCATTAGTTGTGGCAATGCTTGGAATTTTAGAAGAAATGTGAATTCCATAAAGTATCAGATGCTGCAATTTAGAACATGAATGTAATATTCTTTGAAGCTGCTTGATTGAAAATCTGGCTTCATTCAGTCTCAAATAATATATTGGCAGAAGAGCCAGACCTCTAAAAAAGTCTAGATCAACCCAGGCAAGATCAAGATACTGCATCTCAAGATGAGTGATATTATTGAATCTGGTAGGAAAGAGTGGCATTGACCAGCTCTTTGTATAAACCTTCTTCTGCTCTGCTACTGGAAAATGAACAACAAGGCTCTTTAGATATATAGAGTATGTCTTATGACATATATAGATTTTTCCTAGTTGACTAGCTTGTTGAGGAAATAAAGCAGACAGATAAACATGTCTATAGAGAAAGGGCAATGCATGTGAATGCCAGGCATGGCAAGTAAGACAACATGCAGCTAAAGTTCTTTGCTATATATGCAGAATATATATCAGAATTTTGTATGTTCAACATCAGAAATACATATCAACTCACCTTCCAAACCCAATATCCAGAAACAACACCAAGTACATAGACCCAGTATATAACTTGAAATTGTATCTCCAAGGGCAGCAATGGAAGCTGCTTGACTTTTCTACTCTTTACTCTCTTTCTTGCTTTGATTCTCTTTTTTTCCTTTAGTCTCTGTTGTCTTCTGCTTCGCATAGTCAGACTTTCGCTGAAGGCTACTCAGAATAGTGAGGGTAAGTGGGATGATTGAAAGGGGAAGGTATGCGGGGGCAATTTGCTCCAACCCTCTTTATATATACTTTGTTGACGACTCTAGGATGCCGATACATGCACCTCAGACATGCCACTGCCCACTCACAGCCCTGGAGTGATCTAATCAAACAGGCGTAGTATTAGGGTTCTGTCACATGCAGAAAGCAGTTCTCAGAGTGATGAGCGAGAAGTGCATGAGGATGCGGCATGTTGACAGGGATGCGGAAGAGCTAGGCATGAAGCGCAGAGTTGTTTGAAGGCAATGGCGGTATATTTTGGACAGCTGTCGATAGCTGTCATAATATCCACAGCCCTCGACGACGAAATCAATAGCGATAACAGTGTATTTTGTTGATTCTCCGCCCATTGCTCTCCAATCCGAAGACCGGAGAGCACGGCAGAATACTACGTCCATGCAGTCAGAGCCAGCTTCTGATAAAACGCGCGTGCCGTCCTCGTGCAAGAAAAAGTGCAGTCAAGGCGCCGACGAACACATATACTCAAGCTGATCGAATTCCTGCATACAAGCTGCAGTCAGAGAACCCAAATACACATAGCCAATGGGCTTGGTAGAACAGGGACGAGAGGGAGAGGCAGTGAAGACGATCAAAGGCGAGAATAACCGTACATCAACTTACCAGTAGCCTAAAATCCTCCACACCTCAGCTATCGTCAAATTCGCACCCTCACCTTCCCACCGCTTCAGCCTCGTCTGTCCAGCCCTGCGGCACATATCTCCATTGCCTACAGGGTCACCCGTGTTGTCTGTAAGCTAAGGCATCGGGGACGTGGTGAATTGGATAGCCACGGATGCATGCTTCGATGATCGAATCGAATGGGCGTAGGACAGATAGAAGGAATACATAAACGAGATAGACGCGAAGCGTGAAGATGTGAATCGTAGGGTCAGAGTCACCGAGAAGCGTGAGAGACCCTTGAATGAGGATCATCCGTGGGGCGTTGTGGATAGCGAATGAAGTCGAAGCATGGAGTCAAGATCCCCAAGAAGTCAAGCCGTCGAATGTCTCACTATAAAAACCTGTCGGATAGCGGCGATAGACGAGAAGCCAGTACAAATCTGCATGACAAGAAACGAGAAAGACTCTCGTAAGAGACAAGCATAGAGTGTGACTCGAAGAGCTCTGGAGTCAACGATGATACTCGGATACTCAATGCGAAAGAAGGAAATACTCGCCCAGCCCCTTCCAAGACCACCCTCACAAGATAGTCACACTAGCTAGACGTATAGAGCAGTCGAACGCGAGGCTGTTATCGTCGGCGTTGGTATGCTTTCGCGAAGGATCAGATGGTGTCCAGGGAGCAGGGCCGTGAGGCCCCAGAAAAACAACCAACCAGCAGCGTTGGAGTCGACGGAGGCGTGCAAAAGCTTATGGCGAACGAAAATCCATGCATTCTACGTAGTAGAGGATGCACCGATGAGCTCCTCGAGACTTTTGAAGACGGAAAATGCCCAAATCAATTCGGTGATCACGATCACTTGCCGAACTTGGTAACAAGGAACAACTTGATTGAATTTCTGACTTGTCGACTATCTGCATCGGTCCCGCCAACGCTTTAAAAGAGATGTAGTCATCATGATGTGTTCCGCTGTTTTTCTTTTAGACCAAGCCTATCATCTTCTCTGAAATGCCTCCTCGCAGGAAGAAGGTCAAGCAAGACAACCCGCGTCCAAACCTAGATGCAACCCCAAGCAATGTTCCCAATTTGGAGAAAAGTAGACCAGCTGCAACGTCGGTGTCAAAGCTAGGAACAGGTCTCTCTGCACTTCCTGTAGAGCTACGTGACATGATCTTCGAGGAAGTCTTTCAATCCTTGAGAGATGTCACGAGGGAAGACGTCCTTAGGAACTCCCGGTCGCTACCCACCTCTTACGCTGAGAAAAGGGACATGTTACGCTCATTGTCACAGACGTGTCGCAGCTTGAGGCCACAATTTATCCCTCTTCTTTGGGAGAATGTCGAAGCTTGTGTTACTCGCAAGGAGAACGGCACTTGGTACAAGGAGCTCGGCGAGAAACTCGAAAATTTGAGTGACGGACTTGTCAAGTCACCGGAGCTTGCTCAACACGTCAGGTAAGTTATGATATCTCAAGTGTACGCCGGTTGGTCGGACAGTGTCCTCATAATTTATATCACCGGCCTAGGACTCTATCTGTTTCACTTACCAAGTACCAAACGAACTCAGTACTACCCGAATTTGCGCACTGCCTCAAGCACCTACCGCACCTGCACACCCTCCAAATTATGCATGCGAACTCTCAAATTACGACTCCATTGAAGAACGCATTCCAGGGCAATACATATCCTCAAATCCGGACTATCGCTCTCCCTGATTGTGCGCATAATATCCTCAGGTCATGCCCGGACGTCATCGAGGTCATCTGTAATGAAGGCGATGGCGGGAAACTAGTCACATCTATAGGTGCTGCATGTAAGAAGGTCGAAGTTGTGCAAGATATTTGGCCTCAGGATGGTATCGCCAAACGTCAGTCTGTTTGTTATCTTTCTTGATATCGCGATGCAGTATTGATAGTCCTCCTTGGCCAGGTTTGGTAAAGGCAGCTCCCCAACTCCGTGAGATTGGACTGAACTGTTGCGCTTGTCGCCCTTCAGGTCCGAATTGGCGTGACGTCTCACCTGTAAGTAATCTTCGAAGCATGGCTTTCCGCACATGCTGATGGTAGAGTCTTATATATTAGGAGGAGATCCGCAATCTTTCTGCGTTCAATAACCTAGCTGTCTTATCCATCACTGTCGGTGCTGACGATGCAGACAGTAGCGGTTTAGCTGCTACCAGACAAGAACACATTGAAGCCGCTCGTGAGACTCTGAAGAAGACAAAGTTTGCTGGTCCTAAACGACTGTTGGTCAATTATAACTCTCATGATCGTGTTAACGACTTCTCGTTGGGACACTGGAAAATTGTACGGACCGAGACTTTCAATATGTAGTCGATCTTCAAGCTGCGGGTAGTGAGACCAAGGAAACAATTGTTGATTTCATCTTTATGGACGTTATACATACGAGGTGCTAATAAGGATACTCAATTGACTTTAATGATTGTATAATTCAGCATGATTACCCAAAAGCGAAGGAACAAAAGGAAGGAGAATACGAAGACAATCTGCGCAACGTCCGCTATATATGATTTAAGATCAGAAGTACAAACCAACCCAGCCTCTAGGAGACGAAACCGTCAAAGAATCGCCACCATCGGGGTTCCCAACCCAAGGCAACTCAGTCCCATTTGTACGACCATCCAAACCACCTCGTAAACCAGTAGCAGAATATGATTTCGCATCGAGTTTGACTTTGCCATTGAACTCGGCTTGTTTATACGTCAAGTACAGATCGCCATTTCGAGACGAACGGTGAGTGCTTTGGATGGGACGATGAGGTGAACCACTATCGTTCTCGTAGAAAATATCTGTACGCCCTGCGCCAGTCGTAGTCTCTAAAAGGGCGACAGCAGGTGTATCCTCGAGTGAAGGAACAGGATGGACGTGAAGGTTGGTAACGGCATTGCCTCGTTGAGTCAACACGACAGTCCTCTCAAGCAAGTTGGTCTGACCGACCAGCCATCCTTGAGTCAACTCGAAAGTCGATGCCTTGGCATTGATGTTAGCGTTAGGGAGGAGGAGGTTCCCTGGGTTGCTGGTGTACATGGTGATGAAGAGACGATCGAGATCAATATTGCCATTGTCGTCGAACTTGATATGAGTGGTCGCGTGAGTCTGAATGTGGAGTCTTTTAAGTTGAGGCGGGACAAAGAGTTTGATATCATAACGCATGCAAGATTCTACGATGACTCCCGGAGTAGTCAGTAGAAGCCTACTGTGTGAGCTGCCTTCCTCGATCTCCTCCATGGAAGGATGTGTGACGGAAAACTTAGAAGCGAGATCCTGCTTATCGGAGCGAAGGGTCATTTCGTATTTAACGTTCGTACTTCCAGCTTCTCCTTGAGCAATAACGAGTGTACCGACGGCACCACCACGCACGTCAATGGAGTGATCAGCTTTGCCAACGTTGATACCAACGTTATAAGACACCTGTTGTTGATCCTCGAAGAAATACTTGCCCTTCTCACAACCAAGAGAAGTGCTGTATTCGGGCATACCCTCAAGGCCAGTAGGAGATGGCTATAGTCTCGTGTTAGAGAATAGGTCAATGTATCTTTCAGTAATCTGATTTACCGTTGCTGCCCACATAGCCAACTTGACGGCATACCAGGCGATGAAGATCAAGCAGACGATACCAAACGCCTTCCAGAACAGACCGCATCTGCATGAGAACTGTGCATCAGCATCACTACAATCCGCGAGACCGCACATAACTACAGACTTTAAGCCGCAGCAAACGCAGCACTCCCGTGAGCGCTTCCTCTTCTGCTTCGCCCCAGGGATCTCCGTATCGAGAGTGGACGCGGTCTCGAGGTCGCCATCGCGGAAAGGCGTAGTCTCAGAGTCGTCAATGGAGCTACGGAGGGCAACACGACCCTGGGCATCTTCGGTAGGCAGCTTGTTATCTTTAGTTCCAAGTCAGCATAAAAATACACGACGAATGGACAGCGTGGAAGCTCATACATTCATCCAAACGATCTTTCAGCTTGAGAGCTATCATGACTCCACCGACCATACTCCAGAATCCGAAAGTGCGCTTGGCACCATTGGTGAGCCCACCAGCCATAGTGAAGGAGTGTAGGGAGAAAGAGAGTTGGGATGAACGGTGGGATGAATGAGTAAGAGAGATGTAGTTTAGGGAAAGACGTGTGAGAGCGTCGTGGTCCTAAAAAGACGCGGTCAGATCTTGTCAGACGAACAATTTACCTATGAGAAGACGCCAGGCACGCATAAGTTACAAGGACGATCAATCGTATCTCAAGGTTCCCGCGGTATCGGCCCCGACATCACTGTGGGTAACACAGTATCAAGAGACGGTAAGTGATTGCAAAGGCAACTGCCTGCGATAAGTGAGCGTAGGACATAGTAGAAAACATGTGTGCCCCGCTTTCAGTCGGTCACTGAACACCAGAAGTCAACGAGGTGCTTGAAGGCTACCGATCACCGAACACGGCGCCTGAGGCGCATCAAATCCAAATATGGTAGGCGTGGTGGTTTATGAATTTCCCGAACCGCGGCGAGCGATGCCGTCCTCCCAAGTCCCGGCGGACTTGTATGACTCGCATGCAGCAACAGTCATGGCCATAATGAGGTCTTCCGCCACCCAGCCCAATGTCTCTTATGTTGCGCAAGGGAAGACCGCGTTATAAGGGCCCAACAGTGGGTGAGGAAAACAGATAGCAAATACGCATTAAAACCCGATGATTATTACTTGTGCACAATACAGATACAACACTAGAGAGCGATCAAATGAGAACACATGACAGACGAGTAGAAAAGGATGAAGGACGATACACTCACAATAACAGGATAACCATACCCAATAGATTACAACCAAAACACCCAGTATATCCAAGAAGAGCATTAACTCTGAGACTTCCCAAGATCCAGACCCACCCAGCCTTTCGAAGAAATAATGAGCGTATCGATATCCTCCTCACCCACAAACATCCACCCGGCTCCTTTGGAATGCTTTATGCCAGGAGCGGAGAATGACTTGGCCACAATGTTGACCTTTCCATTGAAGGCGGCCTTGGTATAGTCGAGGTACATATCGCCGGCGCGATGCCATGAACGATGTGAGCTGTGAATCGGCCGCGTTGATCCCTTGCGATTGTAGAGAATGTTGGTCCGTCCAGCGCCTGTCGTCGTTTCTAGCTCAGCCACAGATGAGCCATTCGTGACGACAGGTGATGGCGCGACGTGAAGGTCAGTCACGGCGTCGCCAAGCTGAGTAGTGACGACAGTCTTGTTGAGAACTTGGGTAGACCCGACGATCCAACCACTTGTCAACTCGAAATCGGTGAGGTTGGCACGGAAGGTATTGCTGACCAGCAGCATGTTCCTCCTATCGTTTCCGTACAAGCTAATGACAAGTTTATCAAGAGACACCTCAGCAAGAGGCGACATCTTGATCTGCGTTGTCGACAATGCTCGGATATGAAGCTCCTTCAGTTGAGGTGGAAGGATGACCTTCATATCATACCGCATGCAGGTGCCATGCAGGTCAAGTGGAGTTGCAAGCTCAACTCGGCTGATATCCCTGCCTGTAACAACATCATCGCGTCGTGGCGATTTGATAGCGAATTGCGATCGTCGGGAGCTGGAGTCCGTGTAATACTGCATTTCGTATTTCACAGAGTCCGAGTCGCCTTGGAGAATATGGACGGTGCCAACTGCGGCGCCACGGATATCGAGAGAGTGTTGGGCTTGTTCGGGATGGAGATAGCCTTCGAAGAAAGTCAACCCTTGAAAATATCGACTGTCATCGCAGCCCAGCGATTCGCCGTACGCAGGCATCCCTTCAAGTCCAGTACCTGGTGGCTGGAGAATATACAATCAGAGAGCAATAAAGGAGCACGCCGATTTGGCTACTCACACCGAACATTTTCAGTACCCTCCACGTCAAGAGAACGAAAGCAGCAACGAGAACCAGTTTAACATATGTACTACGATCGCGGAACGTGGGTTTCCACCTTGAAGTGAAGGCAAAATCACATCTCAAACGCGGGTAGGGCATTGGACTGTTAGAATGCAGGAATCCTGTAGAGCCATACAGATACGTGTCTCCACCGGTCTCGGGGTCAACAGCCTCAGGTGAGAGCGCAGATTGGGCGGATAACGATTTCTCTGCACAAGGAATCAATGTCAAACCTACTATTACCATTTCAAACGATGGTACATACCAGACTTCCCGAACTGCATGGCTGCCCTAAGTGGACGCAGAGAGGAAGAACTTAAGCAACTTGTATAGCTTTTGTGTATATTTAGCGTCAGATTCGACGGAAAAACGCCATCACCAGCTGAACGGCCATCAGTCCCGTGGGTGGGACTGGAGGTACAAATGGGACCGTAAGGCCTAGGTTTTCCGAGAGAGCTGGAGACCATCTGTTGTATCAGACTTTTGATAGATGCTTGAAGGGGATAGCAGCTCATCTTGACGCATCATTAAATTGTCACGCCGGTTGTGACAGATCGTGTACCTTTGTGACTCGCCGTGACCGACGCGTTCTGTCGTCGCGACCGTCTGCGTCCAAGCGCAGGGTGCGATTATGAGGCACGAAGATTCGCTTCTCTGTCTACTCTCCCTTAGGGAAACTAGGTGCTATTATTGTTGCTTTCCAGTCGCTTTGTCTCGAGTATTCATCGGAATTTCGTCCTAGCATGGGCCAACTTCTGCACATACTATGCGACCGCCGAGATGGAGACTTACTAACTCCGGAAGCGGCATATTGGGTGAGATATATGGGCGGCGACAGCTAATGATATCTTTAACCAACTCGGTTAGGCTGTGGTATAGCTTATTCAAAGTCTGAGCATTTCAACACAGCTTAGTAAGTGCAGGTTGGTTCAATTCACATTTTGACCATGTTGGCCTCCTTCATGAACGATCGGTTAGCCTCTACATGCAGCCCTGACCACATCTTGCGGTATCTCGTCAGTCATCTGCAACTATCACCCTAACTTAGTTATCCTCAATGCCACCCCCGCCCAAGCATGACGTTCGCGCGAAATACAATCCTATCAACTATGCATCCACTCCTTCTCCAACAACTTCTAGGCGTCAACGACATCCTCGTGCCGCCCTGAGTCTCGCTAGACGAGGTATGACCGCGGAGGATATACCCTATCCACCTCCACCCTATACACCTACTGTAGCTCTCCACGCTGCGACTCTTGCGCCTGGGGAAAAGGATCCCTCTATTGTGTCATGGCCTGCTGAACATGCTGCTACGAATTCTCATACTGGCCCTCTCGTGGGTGCAATTCTTGCCGTCACTGTCATTGTCATAACCGCCGCCGCCGTCCTGGTTGTTCTTGTCAAGAGTAAACGGCTCAGACTGCCGTGCTTTACTTCTCGTACTTCCCGGCTCAGAGCGATGCATCTCTCCTCACGAAGGGCTAGAGGGACCAAAATGGCCAAGAGATCCACTTCAGTCGAGGAAAAGGCACCTTTGGAGGACAAGATTAACCTCTATGCTCGTGTATCTCAGGTGCCCGATTACTTCGACGAGGACAATGCGAAGCCTCTTTCAGAGAACGCGCCTACTCGGCACCCAATTGCACGCCGCTCCCACGAAATGTTTGTGAACAGCTCTGCGGATGAGAAACAACTTCGTCGATACTCCTCTCCAGCAGTCCACGACAAAAAGGCTAGCACTCTTGCTCCAGGACCTCATATAGCTCGGCCTTTTTCGCTCCCACCATTCGATGGCGAAATACCGTCTCCTCTTTTGGAACAGAGGATTGCTGAACTGGCTCAGATACGGCGGATGATAATCACTCAAGAGGACCTTCCAGTGCCGGAGCCACCGCAGCCAAGGCCACCTATTGCACAACGGGCTTCTACGATCAGTGGTCTAGGCATCATTCATGAAGAGCTGGAAGTTGACATTGGGAGTACGCCATTGTCGAACTTTGACTACATCTCGTTCTCCACGGATCATGTGCCACCTCAGCGCCTGCTGTCCTACATTCAGCAGCCCCAAGAGGAAGCACGCCTCCCTACCCCTCGTTCCAGCGTATCTGGGTCAAGACCAATGTCGAGCATTCACTCCGAACCTATGTCACTGGACTCGCTCGACAGTGGAAGCTCAATGGCTGAAACGGACGTAGTGGAAGAAGACGTCGGTGAGGTCCGCATGGCGCATACACACAGTGTCGAAATCAAGAAGGGTGTCCTCGTATCTCTCAACAGTACTATTTCCCAATTCGTCGTCTCCTCGAAACGGAATTCCTCAAGTTCGTATGCCACAATTGAACGGAACTCGGTTCAACAACGAGGACAAAGCCACAAAGAAAATCAACCGAAAATCCAGACCCGGCCAAGCGAGGACACGTTTAGGAGGACGATCACAGACTTCCCCTCTCCGCCTCCAATGCTCAGTCCCATTACAGCTTCATCCTTTACTTTCTTGGCAGAGATCGAGAAGGGCTTAGGAGGGGGTGTTTTTGATTATCGTAACAGTTCGGTGCCTCAAAGGTCTACCAAGGAGAACCAGCTCCTTGCTCTGGCGGAGGCTTTGAAGCATTGACGGGATTGTCAGGATCCATATTTTCTGTCCAATCACTCTTATAATCTTACAGGCGGCAGTGCCCTACCTGTACCACATGAGGTGCACCATGTGCTTAAGTATATTGCTCATTTAATGCCGATCGAAAGCACAGATTAATGTCTAATTGAAACTGCGGTTACTCAAGGACCTATTATAATAAACACTAGCACGCGCCTTAGTACTTAGAGACAGGCCAGTATATCGATTTCGAGCACTTGACGCTAGTAGACCAGCATGTGCGCTTATAAATATAGCTTCGGTTAGTGCCTGGATGACGAGAACTTATGACCGGTCAGCAAGCTTGTCAGTACATATGAGACCAATCTGGAGGGAGTTTAACTCGATACATTCTTCCGGGTTCACCTTCAAGCTTCATGCGTTAAAAGTGTACATATATTGCATAGGACCATTTATACTGATAACGCAATTTCGGAAAGAAAAAGCCTAATTCTTCGAGGGACGAATTGCTTGAGCAACCGGCCACTCGTCGAAGTGACCAGCATTCTTGTACAGGAAGTTGTAGTCAGACCCGTTACCCTGTAGGAAGAATTAGGTTAACATGTCCGTCAATACACCAAGCTAAAGAAGTATTTACGAGTACTTACAAATCGTCCAGTGGGGAAGCCAAGATCAAATGGCTGGACGCTCTCAAGGTATGCAATCTGCTCAGGCGAAAGAGCGATCTCGAGAGCTTCGAGATTCTGGTGGAGATGTTCAATCTTACGACCACCGACGATAGGGAAGACGTAAGGAGGCTTCTGAATCACATAAGCGATGGTGACTGCGAATATGGTCTGTGAGATGGGCGGTTAGGAGAGATAGAATATTCTTACCTGAGCTAATCGACTTCGCGCCAATTTCGGTGGCAACCTTTTCGGGAGCTAGACAAACCTTTCGTTCGCCTTCGGTACGCTCCCAGTTAGGTCCACTGATCGTCCGGCCTTCAGAGAGATGCATAAGCAAATAGGGTCATCGTAAATTAAACATAGACGATTTTACCTTTCTCGCCCGTCTCACGTCTTCGTTGCTCCTCAGCGTCGGTGCGAATCTTGCCGCCGTGAAGAACGTTCCAAGGGGCAACTGCCATTCCTATACAATGCAAATACATAAATCTCATTAATTCACGCACGAAACATACTACATAGGATGCAGAACAAACCTTCTTCTTTCACCATGGGCAAGATTTCCCGCTTGAGGTCCCTGTACAGGATGTTCCAGGGACCCTGATAGACCATCCATCCACTCCCCGAGGAACTCCTCAGAAGTTTCGTCCTGACTAGAGGTACATCACAAAGAGGGTTAGAATTCAACTCATTCTCACAAAATTGGACGATGCGGTCGCTCATGCCAAAACACTCACTAGCCATTCGCGGTATCGATGAAGTTTCCGCCAGCCTCATAGAAAGCGTCGATTAGTTTGAAGCTACTCGCCTTGTCCATGGAGCCCAAGACACTCCATTTGTCACCGACGCTTATGGCGCCAAGACAAATGGGGAAACATGGATCCCGGCCAAAGGTGCCAACTGACGATAGCGACCGAGGTTAGTAGCAGGAAGGGGCGGTGGGGTCCAGAGGTTAGACATGTTGGCTTATTGGTGATTCGCTGAGAGGATGGGGGAAGAAGTGGCGATAGTGTTTGGCCACAACGATCCTGAGCTTTTATAACTCCCCTCGACGTCATGGTACTGTATATGTCCGGCCGTATTGGAGTAAGGTGAATTTATAATCGAGAAAATGTAAGGCGAGTCCGATATCGGTATTGACCATAGATGTCTAATACTCGTAGAAGGTCTCATTAGATCAAGCTCTGTCCTGTGGTGTATATCCGCCTCATCCGAAATAGGTATCCTAGAAAATATCCCCGTTAGTCCATGTCATATCACACGAGTTTGAAAGGCGTCCTACTGACCTACGGGAGTCGGTGAATAAGCTTCCTCTTGAAGATGTTACTAAGGCGCAGTGAAACAACAAGGGAACAAATGAATACAACAAGTAGGAGGGTATTAGAAGGCCGATACAGGGTAGAACAGATGTGTAATCGGGGAGAAAGACAAAGGTATAACAGATTAAGTGTACGTGCATAACGATCCGAGTGAGTAGGATTAGAAAATGAGTGAAGAGACTCCAAGAAGTAAGGGAGTCAACGGATATTAGAGGTGCAGGAAAAGAAAAAAGTGCATACCATGATCTATAGGGAGCGTCGACAGAACCCTGAGTGAAAATATCGAACGAGGTGTTCAGGCGTGGACATGAACTCGGCCCTCCTGATGGAGAAGTATCAGTGGTGCGACGCACAAGAATCTCGATGATGTTACTGTACCATGGCATCCTTCGCCTGGGAAGTAGCTCAATTCGAACCGTCACCATCGTTTTACAGTACAGTGTCCGTTCTGGATAAGTACATGCAAGATCCGCATCACTTTCAAGGCCAGAAATAAATGCTTGAATGCTACCTGTAAACCCGGCCCCGACTCGGATGTCAGGGCCCACTTTTGAGACCCAACACTGGTTGAACATATTGTGCACAGCACATCAAAGTTGACCCAGAGAAGGTGCAGCGAGCGGCAGTGACCGCGTAGAATGCCCTCTAGCGTATAAGTAATTAATGCACCTAAGGTTTAGTATATCAGTGCGTTTATGCCCTCCAGGACACGAGAAACAATTTGAGATCGTAACTGCCAATGTGAGCGTATTGATCTTTATTTTCACCTGCGAGCATGAGGCGTGGATACAAAGCCATGAAGAATCGTCAGAAACAAACTACCGCATTCTTGTTATATTGCAGTGTCAAAAAAGGAGGGGATTGGATTCGCAGCTCAGACTTTACATGTCCATGGCGAAGTGTCCATTGCGAACAATAAGCAAACGAAGTTGAGGTCATGATGCTGATATGCGCGATTTATCTGAGAGAACCTGCCAGCCAATCAGAAGGCTGGATTAGCTCTACCCCTGACGTGACCAACAAGTGACCGACGTCCTCTGCAGAGCGCTTAAACGCACTCTTCTTCAGCCACTCTGCTGTAGGACTTCACTGCAACTTGACTTGCAGAGCAATCCATTAAAACTGTCCTTCGCCGGTCGAGCGACCTATCATCTACTTTATAATTCAGGATGCCACCGCGAAGAACGGGAAATGACTACATGGACGTAGATTCCGATTCAGATGTTTCAATACTAGATGAATTCGAACAAACCACAAAAGCCAAGGCCAAAGGAAAAGGAAAAGCCATTGATAGGAGTAAGCCATCAAAGGGAAAGAGTAAAGCAAAAGAGGTTCGTCGCGAAGTCGTTATTTATGTTCTAGTGTATTGAAAGTAGGATGACGAATAGCAACCTTATGCTTGGGAAGCATCATACACGCGTTCCTGGGATACCGTTCGAGAAGATGAGACAGGAAGTCTCCAAGGCGCAGTACAAGACTTGATTGCAAGAGGGAGGCGAAGACGGTAAGTCTCTTTCGGTATATCACCAATGTGGCTGGCATACACAAACTACTTAGCCTGTTGGCTCCTGCAGCTGCAATACGACGGTCGATCATAAGACACCTAGTTCTTGTGTTAGACCTTTCGACTTCCATGATGGACCGTGACATGCGACCAACTCGGTTTGACTTAATGCTGCAATATGCACGGGAGTTCGTTACGGAGTGGTTTGACCAGAATCCTTTGGGACAAATTGGCGTTGTTGGGATGCGAGGTGGTGTAGGTGAGCGGATAGGGGAGATGTCTGGTGAGCTAAAGGATATTTATGTTGTCCGTGTACTGCGTGACTAACAGATTGGACCTAGGAAACCCCCAGGACGTATTAAAATGTATATCTGAACGACACAAGCTTGAGCCCAGCGGTGATCCCAGTTTGCAAAATGCTATCGAGATGGCGAGAAGTAGTATGAGGTATGTTCTATCGTGCCATTGTCGTTCTATGTACTTACTTCCTTGAACTCGTAGTCATCTACCCACACATTCATCCCGCGAATTGGTAATTATATTCGGTTCGTTAACGTCATGCGATCCAGGCAACATACACGATACCTTGGAAGAATGTGTGAAGGACAGAATTCGAATATCTATCGTCGCTCTTGCCGCTGAAATGAAGATATGTCGAGAATTATGTGACAAGACAGGAGGTGATTTATTTATATCCTTTCATACTGACTTCCGATGCTAACCTTCTATGTTAGGCATGTTCGGCGTTGCAATGAATGAAGGACATTTCAAAGACCTCCTATTCGAATTGATTCCTCCTCCTGCGCAGCGTGCTCTTGCTCGAACGGGAGGCGGTGGTGTGAGCAATCCAGCAGCGGATCTTATGATGATGGGGTTCCCAACACGACTCCCAAATACTTCCCCTCCCAGTCTTTGCGTGTGTCATTCGCAGCTCAAGAGTGAAGGATTCCTATGTCCAAGATGTCTTGCCAAAGTCTGTGACGTCCCAACGGATTGCGACATCTGCGGTTTGATGATCGTCAGCTCTCCACACTTGGCTCGAAGCTACCATCATCTGTTCCCCGTCAAGCCTTATCAACCTGTGTACGTATTCTCATTCCTCTGTCGCTTAGTCAACAGTATTAAGTGAAGTCGATTGTAGGACCTCCTTAGAAGAGACACCTTATGCCGATTCCAAATGCCATGCATGTGCCGCTCCCTTCCCCTCGAATCCAACGCAAGTACCGGGAACAGCGACGGAAGGCATGAGTCTGCTAGGACGCTATCGCTGTCCTGATTGTCATCATGTCTTCTGCACCGACTGTGATGTATTTATACACGATGTCGTGCATTGCTGTCCAGGGTGTGGCAAATAGATGGACGTTACGACTAGCTCTGAGTCGTATGGAACCACTTACAGCTAGACTATGGTTTCTGAGATTAACTGCTGTTCAACTCCATGGCCAAGATATGTGTGACCTCGGCAATCTTCGAGCATACCATAGGCTCAGGCTTTTGCACTGCCTCCATCCAGACGGGCGACCTACAGCGAGGTGGCCGGCATTCTATAAGGCTATCACCCCGCCGATGACAGCACAATGCAATTCGCTGGGGGAAGGTGTTTGATAACCTTTTATGTCTGCTCGCATCGGAGCGGATGCAAAGGTGTCACTGGTGGTCCGGCGGGAGGAATAATGTTTGGAGTGTTCGAATACACCTTAGTTTCAGTGTGAAAGCTAGCAGAGGTCCTATGTTTTCTAGTATAATGTGTCTAATGCTACTACATCCTTATTCATTCGTCGTTCTATCCATTGAGTGAACTTGGAGAGCTTCCGAAAACGGCGACAGCGGTGATGGAAGATACTATATTTGGCGAGAGTTGACCCACGTGGACTGAGAAGACCGTTTCTCGAGTTGGCAGCTCCACGACGACCTTTGTACCGCTCCCGGCATAGGACTCTGGTCCTGCCCATCCTCCTCTCTCGCTTTCTTTGAAAACTCATCATGGCTGGTCTAACTATGTTACTACCCCTCACACTCCTTTTCTTTTCCTGGGGCTCTTCTCAGGTCCACGCCGCCCAAGGCAACGAGAGCTGTTCGACCAGCACCCAACGACTTCAACTAGGCACTTATCAGTTCACTTCGGACTGCGATACGATGTGGTGGTGCAATTCGTCAAACATTTGTGATTGGAAAGGATGCAGGCGGGACGAGTTTCCATTCGGATACTGGGAGAATGCCACTATCCCTGAAGGCTGCCCCCGAGGGTCCTTCTGTCCGGACGAAGAGGATTCTTGCCAACCATTGCTCGCTGTTGGAAGTCCTTGCCAACTGAACAGAGATGGTAATGTTTTTGAGAACGCTGTATCTTCATGGATCCGACTAATGCGCGAACTAGACGAGTGCGAGGCACCTCCTGACTTTCAGGATCTTGCAGACAATACCGGATTGGGTCGAAATGTCAATGGTTCTGTTTGCCTCAACAATGTGTGCATGTTAGTGTGCCGATCATGACTAGTATTGAGTGCTTGCTGATCGCTCGCTGAACATAGGTGGGCAAATGTCACGTTGGGCCTCCCCTGTGCCGTTGAGAACGTGCCCTATACCGTCTACACTCAAGACACCGAATTTATCGACATTGTTTCCCGGTGAGTCCTTACGCTGCATCAGTCGTGTTCTTTGTGTTGATGTAGTATATCAGCGACAACTGCCGCTTGGGTCTCTACTGTGATGCCTCACAGAAAGTGTGCATGCAAATGAAGGAGCTTGGAGAGTCATGCCAAGCAGACAAAGAGTTGGTCCTTTTCTTCGGTACATCCTACCCCTTTACCCCTAATCTTAACTGTGTTTAGATGCCAGTCTTTCAACTGTCTTGCCACCGGTGTCTGTGGTAAACCGGCCGATACCCCCAGTCATGTAGCATTCTGGGTTTACATCATCTGTGGTATCGCTATATTCGGAGGTGAGTAGAACTGTACAACTCACCTTTTTTTGACCGTGACGTTGACCCTGCATAGGTATGATCGCCACGTTGATCGGCATGTTCTTCTTGCACAAGGGTCAGCGTGACGTTGAGCGAGAGAAGCGTATGCAATACTGGCGCGAGCAGGTATGGACTTCGTTAGGTTGGGTTTCCAGTAACCTCTGATCATTATCGCAGAACGCATTCCGTCAAAATATCATCCAAATGCAAGAGACTGCCCGCCACTCACTTATGTCGCTTCCCATGGGTGGCAGCCAGCGCAACTCGATGTACAGCCGTGATGGCGTGACCTCAGAGGATTCCCAGATGCCCATGTTGCACGCTGCCAGCAAATCCAGCGCTCTTCGTCATTACGTTTCGGAAGAGGGCTTGAGCGGTAGCGAAGAGAGCATCATGATGAAGCGAGGCGACAAGCAGGATCTCAATCGATTCTGAATGTCTTGAACATGTACGATTTTACTGCCGCCATTTAGAGGGCGCAGAGACACTTGTCGACACATCCTTATCTGTCTGCAATATTCCCCCGGACTATTCTCTTTACGTACTTTCTAATACATATTCTCTCTGGATACCACCTTGAAATTTTGAGAGCTCGTATGCTTGGTGCATTCCATACACGGTCCGCTTGGGGTTCCAAGAATACACAACTACTATTTATAGCAAGATCCTGTGGGCGCCAAGGAGGTGCAGCAGCACTGGCAGACTGGCCGAGACGGGCACCGTCCACAACCACTCCAGCCAAGCGGCCTACTCGAATACTTGCTTTCTCTCTTCCACCAACGATTTCTCTCTGTATTTCATACTTGTAGTACTGTATGAACACGAAAGCAGATGCCTCACCGCATCCCCTGCCTTCACTGCCGCCGTCTCCTGTGGAAGAAGACATCAGTCGAGCAGGCACATGGCCAGAGGATACGTCCACTTTGACGGACAAACCGCCCAAGGCGAAGGGCAAGGAACGAGAAAGATTGGACACGCCCTCGCTCCCTTATGCAGCCGAGGAGAGTGGCTTCTCATCAGACGAAGGAGAGACCGGAGTAGAGGGTTATCCGCCTACCAAGGATGAGAAGGCACAGGCTCGGCGGGTTGAGGAGGTATGTATCTGCACTTCTGTCGCCTGTAGAGTTGCTAATAAATTAACTTGACGTTAGAACTTGCGACGCTGGGAATTGCAAGAAAGACAACGCCGGAAGGCCGCTCGTGAATCCACAATGTCATCACCGACGCGCACATCTTTCATGGCAGATATGACACAACAGGCCTCCCTATTATGGAGTGCTCGGCGATCAATACGACCGCCTACAGGTGGTGGCGGTTCTCACCACGTCCTTCGTCCCGCAGAGGACGGTGTACCATTAGACGAAATTGACACTCCCGCTCCCTCGAGGCGTGCTTCGTCTGAACCAGCAGTTAATCCATTCATCACACCCGCCGCATCTACTGTATCCCTAAATGAACCGTACCAATCTGCTATAATGACTGCATCGTCATCATTACCTTCTTCAGAAGAGGCGTCTACAAGCACCTTGACCACTCCTACTGCGAGCAGGCCAATGCTTCCAGCGTCGTTGCCTTCACATCCTCCTCCACAGCCTCTAGATCTTCCCAAACCGCGAACTCCTCCACCGAGAACAGGCACTCCTCACGCCAATAAACCACCTGAACCCATGCCCCCGCCTACACTCAACGTCACGTTAGATGAGGAGAATGTACCAGCAGGGAAGACACGCTGGTGGACAGACTGGTTATGCGGCTGTATGGATACTGGAGATCATCAAGTGAGTTTTTTCTTTCGCTTTGCGTGCAGCTCCATTTCGTTTGCTAACACCCATGCTTGCAGGCCGCTCGTACAAATCCGTTCGAGTAAATCGGACTCCGTTCATTTGTCGTTGTGCATGTCGTTCGTTCGTTGTGTGTTTTTATTTTATTTCGCTGTTCTGGCATTATTGGACTCTCTCATTGTGTATCCATCTCCGATCTCTCGTGGACTCAGCCTTGACGGACACCCTCATTTTTCTATACCGTATGTGAATAATAGACCCCGGTTGGCATCATCCTAAAAGCTGTCCGGATAGTGACGTCACACGCTTTTCGTAAAACACCCAATCAGTTTTTGTACGTCCATCATAGTTCTCATGATCTCTCGAAGCTGATTACCTTTGCCTCTACAATAGGTACCTTGTACGATATACTGACTTCCCACCGTGTCTTTTGTATTTCTTTGGAGAAACAACAATAATCGGCGATGGGAGCTGATAGACGTTAAACTCTCACCAGTTTCCACCCACCCCCCCGGAAGCAATCTCAGTCTTGTCGAATTGGTCCAGTCTACTCATGTAAGCGCCCATCTGAGAATCCACATTTTAGAGATAGCAAGGAATCTACATTCCCCCTGCCGATATCGACTCGATGCTATCTGAGGAAGATATGCGCGATCGTCTGGTATGACAAGGTTGTTATTCACCCGATTTGAGCCAGCTCGTGCCATCCTTCGTCCCCATATTATTCACATGGAGGCCCTAAACGAAAATACAGTCGAAGGTCCAGTCGAGCAAATGGCAAGGTCATTGTACACCTACTTCTAGGCCCTCCTCACGAAGTATCCCAGCTATATGTCCTTGAGCTCCTAGCGTAGCTGTGGTATCTGATGTCAGAATTCATGTCGGGACAAGCTTTCCGGTTTTAACGGGGTCGCGATAAGTTATAAGTTCGCCGCCGTCGCGACAACATTCACGATGGCAGCGGTATCACCATTAAGGATTCAGACTCATCTCCAAAGGCATCATCACCCGAGGAAGGGTATCGAATACCCCCGCTCTTGTAACCCTGCTCAATGGATGCAGGACTCCGTCGTTGATTAGTTTACAAGTTTACTGAAAGAGTTCATTGTGTACGTGAGTGATCCTTTCCATTCTCGTCTCATATTATATGAAACTCGCCTTCCAGGTCTAGAGTGAGCTAGGTACAGTTGATTCATATCGTCCGACGACTGCTCTGCTTTATGCCCCCGCTTAGTGTAACTGATCCGGTGACCCCATCGCGTTGTCCTTTCCAAATGCTGGACGTTCGGAGAATCGGAGAATTTTCATAGGGTTGCGGGTTGTTTAAGGGTCAGACCTACGGTTGTACAGGGCGAAATGTCATAACGGATGTCTTCGCAGAATGGACATTCAATCCCACACTTATCTAGCAACGTGCAGCTTGTCCTGCTAAGCTTCGGGTGATATCGTTTTGCTGCCGCCAACAATCGCTGTAGGTGGCCATCTACAGACTATATAGCCCACACATCCTCTGATATTCTTCTACGGGGGATTCCATGAACGTCGCCCTGATTGTAAACTGGAAGGCAATTAGTTCATCCTCATCTTCGACGACGACAACACCTTCCATTCGTAGCCTTTCGTTCTTGCGAAGCTCGGCCCGATGGGTCTCCGGACGACGATGATGTCGTCAAATGGCTGGGATGCTTCATAATGCTGAGAACGCTGCTACTTATAAGAACAAACCAACCATTTCGTCGTGTTTTCTTCCTTAGCCTCGTCTTTACCCCTCCCGGATCCTCAGAAAGAGAAACCAAGCTAGCAGAAAGACTGAACGATGTCTGGCCTTGACCCGAGTCAATATACTTCGACTGATCTTCAGGGAAGATATGCCTGGACGGATACGCTTAAAGGTGTTTATTATGGCCCGGGAAGCATAAAGACAGCTCTTCCTAAACTTCTCAGCGAGCTTGGAATTAAGAAGGCTTTGATTGTCACGGGCAAGAGTCTACACGATAAGGTGAGTGTGGAATGATCGGGATGGAAAACGTCGAAGGTTGGCACTCAAACCTTTGAGACAGACTGATGTGGTTAAGAACGTCGAAGCCATTCTCAAGGAGCTCGGGGCATATGGCGCGACATTCTATGAAATCGGCCAACATACGCCTGTGGCGGGAATCAGGAATGGTTTGAAAGCATTCAAGGAGGCAGGTGCTGATGGCATCGTTTCTGTGGGAGGCGGCTCGCCTGTGGACGGATCCAAGGCTATTCTATACCACTTGCAGCAAGAGACAGGTGGTCCGACACTTAGGCAGATCGCGATTCCTACCACGTTGAGCGCTGCTGAATACACTGTTAGTACTTTGGCGTTGAGTCTGGCATGTCTGTCATGGAAGTGGTACTGATGATCACTTCAGATCGGAGCTGGATTCACTAATGATGAAGGAGTGAAAGTTGCGGTGAGCTCCCAGGAACTTGCGCCAGCGGGTATTATACTCGACGCAGAAGTCACGCTGGCTACTCCTGAACGACTCTGGTACGTCGATCGTTTTCACTCAATCTCCTGGGCTAAGACATTGGCAGGTTATCAACCGGAATCCGGTCTCTTGACCATGCTGTTGGTCAGTACGACCCTCCAGTTCATTTCGATCAATGACTTATCTCTTCGACTGCAGAAAATCTCTATCGCCCGTTGATCCCACCACCACTCAAACATCTTTGCTATGCCGCGCTTGTTGATCTTTTCAAGTACCTGCCTTTGTCGAAAGAGCATCCAGAGAATATTGAGTATCGACAGAAACTTCAGCTAGCATCTTGGATGAGCATCTGGCCCATCAAGCTTGAACGATACAGGTAGCATCTGTTTTCATGATTTATGCTACCGTGCTGACTACAAGCTGTATCAAGTGCACTCGGATTATCTCATGCGTTGGGACACAAGCTGGGGGCCGCTTACAGTATTCCTCATGGTATCACATCTGTTCGTATCCTGCTCAATTCATATATGAAGGCGCATTGACATGACCTTATGTGTAGTGCTTGTCCCTGGCTCCCACTGTCAACCTTCAGGCCGAGCTTCTTTCAGAATCCGACAAGGAGTGGCTCGCTAACTCTTTATTCTATCTTCGTCAACCCCAGTCAGGATCCAAAGAGGAAGATATCAAGAAACTCTCAATTCTCATTCAGAAGTGAGTTCAGCTTCTTATCGTACCTTGACAGGGTTTAACTGACACCCTCGCAGTCTCGTTGATTCCCTCGGGCTAAGGTCCACTCTAACCGAGTACAAAGTTCCCAAGGCTGATGTGCCAAAGGTTGCTGAGCAAGCCGTGGGCAAGAGGGATGACTTTGTTTTCCCTAAGGTTGTCCAGTTACTTGAGAGTCTTTATTAACGTGAAAGACGGAAGATCGTCAGAACATGACAAGAAAGAATATTATGGATGTAATATAGTACGACACGAACCCGGAATTATTGACTTTTTCATTAATGACTGGTGCATGGGTATGAGGTCATCGCAGTGACTGGCCCTGAGAGCGTACCCGCCCGGTCTATCGGGGAAGATATATGTTGCTCGTTGAACATTTGAATCGTCTCTCCTCGCTGCGCACGTTTGTTTGCATTCTGAACGGCCAGACCACTTCTTATTATTCCCGTCCGTTGTAGAGTTCTGACGGTATTGGACGGTGTCTACGTATCCAGCCGACGTGTCGCCCTGCCAGTTTGCCCACGATAATCCCGAACCATCTTATTTATGCTTGCTAGACCAATATCTGTTTGGGCCCATCACAGCTCACACTGCGTTTCCCTTCTCCCTATACCCGCGATACCAACATCTTCATTGGGTAGCAGAACACTCTCCGCGAACAGTTGCAGTCGTCGTGGACTGGTGTCTATATTCACACAGTCCAACCCTGTCCGGCTACCGAAATCGAATGCAATGACAGCCGTTCTAACTCGCCGCATGAAGTCCAGCCAAGCGAAAGGCAAAGAACCGGAGAAAGCGAGCGTGACGTCTAACCATGATCACCACGAGCATGATGAGCATGGTCGTGAACAACACCCTGGCCACTCTCATTCCCACTCGCTCTTCGGTTTGGGTCACAAACATGAACCTGGTGAAGACGGTCATGTACAGAATCCGGAGCAGATTGTTGAAGCTTTGAAGGGTGGAGGTACGTAGTTCACCTCTTGTGCGTAATCCATGTTTCGCATCTTGCACGTCTGGTCACTGACATTCCGTTAATGTAGGTGATCGAGGCAGCCGTATTACCGTCATTGGTTTGGTGTCGAATGTCGGCTTGACTGCTGCCAAAGGTGCAGCAGGATGGTACATGAATTCTGCCTCGCTGTTGGCAGATGCCGGTCATTCTCTCGGTGGTATGTTACGCCCGCCAGTTTATGCACTCCCAATTCCCCATTCACGCTGAGCCTGCTATTATTGTAGACTTGGTGGGAGATTTCGTCACTCTTATCTGCTGGAAGCTTTCACGAATGCCGCCATCAGAACGATACCCATACGGGTTCGGCAAGTTCGAAGTCATTGGAACGACCACCGTGTCACTGCTTCTGACAGGCGGAGCAATCGCGTTCGGACTTCATTCATTCGGTCTCTTAATGGAGGCTTTAACTCATACAGCAGCCGAACTCCCAGCAGGGCCTGTCCACGACTTGCTGGTGAATGTTACGCAGATTGGTCATAGCGTTCCTGCAGTCGCGTCACAGCATGCCCACGGACATGCGCTAGACCCGAACGCGGCTTGGTTCGCCGCCATCAGCATTGTTGCAAAAGAGTGGCTCTACAGAGCTACCAAGAAAGTTGCAGACCAGGAACGTAGTCCAGTCCTTTTCGCGAACGCGATTCATCACCGGAGTGATGCGTATTCCAGTATGGTCGCTCTGGTAGCCATTCTTGGAACATGGTACTTCCCTCACCTACCTTTGGATCCACTAGGCGGTGAGATATTGTTACCTGGGTATAATTTATGACTCATGGACTAATTGTGCTTCGAATACGTCCAGGTCTACTAGTCTCGTTCTTGATCATCCAACAAGGCTGGGGTCTCACCCTCACTGCGTTGCAGCAACTTACAGACGCGGGTGTTTCTGCCAAAACACGAGAATCTCTATACCGGACACTCCAGCCCCTTCTCCCCTCCTCTCCTCATGCCGATACCCCTTCCAGTGGGCAAAGAGAATGGCACACAGAAAACCTTCTTGCTGTCAAAGATCTCCGGGCTATGCGTGCTGGAGCCCTAATGTTTGTGGATCTGGTAGCGGAGGTGCCGAACACTCTTACAGTGGAACAGACCAGTGCGTTGGAAGAGCAGATCGTGAGGGCGTTGAAGAAGGAAAGGAAGGAGATCTCAGAAGTGAGGATCAAGTTTATGCCTGTTCCGAGGGATCCTTTGGTTTGAGCTCTGAAGGGCGCTTTGAGTAAGGAGGGAGCATATATATGTATGTCTGTATGTATTCGTAGCTATCGGAATTTATACACCAGATCGGAATAGTGTACAACGGAAACTTGTTCGATGAGAAGATGTAGTCCATGAGTATGTTTTAAGCACCCTTAAGACCTAGTTTCCCGGTTTCCAGAATCGCGACTCGGCCGATGTGAGATTCACTGCTAAAGTTTTCGGACGGTTGGAGCAAGGGCCGTAGAGGCTTCCAAGCATTGATGTTTGACAGAACGATCCTAGCTTCCTCGTCCCCTGCGTCAATGACCTTAGCCATGTCTACAGCATTCATGGCTGGCGCTGTTGGAGACAGAAGCTTAGGATCAATCCTGCAAGGGAGCGGCGATGAAGTGAATGAGTAACGCTCCCGGATCGGCTATTGAATCGCGACAGAACTTACCTGGAAGAAACAGATTTCTGCATGTCAGGCGTGACGGGACCGAATATCTGCAGGACAAAATCCATGGTCTTCTGTAGTTCATCTTCAGTCACCACTTTACCGACATCAGCCGTTCCTTGGATGACTGTCTCACCACGAAACATATGAATGGAATTCAGATAGAGTCGCGTGACTCGTGTAAAGCGTTATTTACCTGGACGGATGGACTCAAATGCTTTGTCGAAGTTATCCTCTCCAACATCCGACAAAACTGGAGCTTCCTGATTACGTATCTGCTTGTAGACACCAAGGACAACAAGCAGGAACCTGTGAGACATGTTTCAAATATGATTAGAGGTTTGGTTACACATGCCAGGACCTACCGAGTGTAAGAAGTGCTGAATTTCGCATCATGCCATTGGCAAGCATCAGTCTCGGGCGCATGTCCACGAATCGAAGCTGCGATAGTTACGGCGGCAGACAAACCGCCAGTGAATGCTAAGTGAACTCCGGAGGAGAAAAAAGGATCAATGAAAGCTGAATGGTGCAGGATAGTGAGCGCCACGAGCACGAAAGATATGGAGAACAAAGGATAGGATCATCCATGCTCACCCCCGGCATCTCCAGCGATCCTGAAATGATCACCAGAGTAGGTAGGTGCGGAGTAACTGTAGTCACTTGCTGATCTTACAGCGTTCGAATTATCGGCGTTGCGCAGTTTTCCCCTGGCACCTATCAACTCCATCGTACCAGGTGCCAGATGGTGCAATTGGCTGAGGTAGAAGTCCTGTAGGCCTTGCTTACTGGCTCGTCTCTTCTCAGAGGAACGGGATTCATCCATTACAATCCCGACAGATGTTGAGCCGTCGTGAAGCGGTATGTACCATACCCAGCCTGATTCATCTGGTATTAAGTCGGTCAGCGATACTATTATCTTGATCAAGACGATCAATTTTGTGTACCAGTCAATGCTTCGATCCAGATGGCTCCTTCGCGAGTGGTTCCGGGCATATACTTGTTCACGATGGTCCAATAACCCCAATGGGCAACATTCTTCAAACTCTGATTGAATTTTCGATTATGCAGGTATCTTGTGGACATCAGTCCTCGCCGACCGGATGCGTCAATGAGGTAGTCAAACTTGATTTCGCCTGTAATAATGTCATTGACCGCCAATCCATCATTGTCAGAAGGTGCTTTTTTGCTCCAAACCGCAGCTACGGGACGCTGAGGCTCCGAGTCGGAGTACTTGGAGTTGGGGTTGAACTGAAGTTCGGTCACCTGTGTTTCTTGAAATACTTTGGCACCGCATTCTTCCGCGTGCTTGAGAAGAAGATCGTCGAATTCAGAGCGGATCTGTTGAGTGAAAGTGAGTGCCGATTTAGCAATAGCCGGTAAATTATCTGAGATTGTCAGTGCTTACTACGTGCCAAGAGCCGCTCTCTGGATCCAAAGCGACGAAGTCGGTATCTGTCATGCGGGAGAGTTGGGCCGCCTTTAGATATAGGGTGAGATGCAGAGTGATAAGGAACGCACATCCTTCCCGCTTATGATGATTCAGCTTGGCCGCACCGCCGGGCTGGTAGAATCAAGAAATAATCAGCAGGTCGTTGTGATGAAATGTACCGAGGAGAGTTTACCTTCTTGGTGAACCCATAGTTCTTGACTTTATCCTCTGCACCGACGAACTTCAAGAACGGTTTAACGGATGGCAGGAGGCTCTCGCCGGTGTGATAGCTGAGGTGCACAATGAGCGCAAGACTTCGCTGGAGGTTGAAGGAATATTACCGAGGGAACTTTGCGGACTCCAGGAGGACGACGTCAAAACCTTCTCTAGCGAGTATGGCTGCTGCGTAACTTCCTGCAGGTCCACCGCCGATGACAAGGATCTGCGCATGAGGGGGTGGCTTCCAAGCGATCAGCTCGCCGTGTAGTAGCTTGCGAAGTCATGGCGTACCAACGGCATCGTCGCCATGAGACTTTCAAGAAAGAACAGAAAAGAGTGGACGTAAGTTTCACATACACTGATATTTATGCCACATTCTTGCAGTGATCCGTGACCCCAGCGCAGATCGTGTGCGGCTATAAGTCAGCATTGCAGAGATGTCATCTCCGGATATCGCAAAGGGTCACATAATGGAAGTGGCGATGTTCTTAACATATCTAAGCACTCAGGGTCATGTGTTGAATTAGAAGGTCGGCAAAGAGTAAGCAGACATGCAACACAATTGCGACCACGCGTCACATCCGGAGTCCCAGTAGAACAGCGTAGTAATATGAATATGCTGCTTGAGTCGATTAGGCATTTAGCGTGAGTTGAAGGGACCTAGGTACACCTACAAAGCTAGAAATGAATGAGCCTCTTAACTAATGTGGGTATCTCACCGGTGTCGCGAGACAGGGTGGTGCGATAAATTTGTGTCTACACGAGGAGGGCATCGTGCTAGTTTCTAGGCCCAATTTCTTGGAGTCACAAGGAAGCACCCCGTTTTATAAGTCTGTGTGAACGCCGTTATCATGATGAGAACTGGCGCGGGTGAGACGTACAGAATTTGAGGCCTGAGCTCCTATCTAAGTCAATTTCGTAGTTATCGTATCCATATTTTGAAACCCATTCAACACGTTTCCATAGAATGCTGGACATTTGGTAGGGCCCTACGGCTGCCAGTGGGAAAAGAGAGGTGTATTGGCCTTGTACGCGTTGACGCGTCGCGAATCCCGATCAATAATGACCGCGGTCACGTGGAGGACCGATGCCCGTTTTGAGCATTGTTTTGATCATTTCAACGAGGCTGCACCGAGGCAGTAACGTTCCCCTTATCTCTTCATTTTCCGTTCTTATGGTAGTCATGTCGGACAGCGAGAAGGATCTCATTGACGAGCTTCAAGAATCTGATGTAGAGGAGGACGACATTGACCCGAACGAGATGCACGTCGGCAAACAGCTGACAGTCCCCGTGGCGAAGATGTATACTGCTCAGGACCTCCATAGTGAGATTCGTTTTATCTTGTAGACTTTCGGAAAATGAACTGATTGTCTTTTAGTTCTCATACATGAGGGAATCATAGACCTATGTCCGCCGTATCAACGAGACGTCGTATGGACTGAGGCGAAGCAGACAAAACTATTGGACTCACTGTACCGCAATTTCTATGTCCCTCCGATTGTCATGGTCGTTATGTATGAAGATGGGCATCGGGTCATGCGATGTGTGGATGGAAAACAGAGATTGACTTCCATCCAGAAGTTCATGGACGGACAAGTACGTTGAATCCACTACTGGCCATATGAGATTCTCCTCACGTTTTATTAGCTGCCATGTAGGTTACAACCCTGCGGGATTTTCTTGTTTTGTTCTTGTGCTGACTTGCAGAAATTGCAGACAGAGATCCATTCACAAAGAAGGCCTTTTATTACACATTACCTAGATCTAAGCCCTCAAGATTACAAGTGCCACAAAAGATGAGAGAGGAGTTTGCGCTCAAGAAAATTACGGTCGGTACGTTGCTCGCGATATCTGTTGACTCCGCTTGCCTGAACCTGTTGCAGTCGAGTATGTGGATCTAGACCCTGCCATGGAACGCGACATCTTCCAGCGAGTACAACTCGGAATGCCCCTAACCGCCGCAGGTAATGTCATCCATCTCTTAGGACCTAACAGTTATTTACGCGGCCTATCTCCAGAGAAATTGCAGGCCGTTTCGTCGGCTTGGGCGACCTGGATATCAGAGATTGACTCACGTTACATGAGCTGCGAAAATGGCATTACCGACATCGTCAACGTTGACATCAAACGTGGAAGGAATTTCCAGTCCTTGGCACATCTGGTATACTGCTGCTATGGTGTCCCGGAACAACTCACTCCTACACCCTCGAAACTGGAAACGTTCCTTACGAAGACGAGTCCCCCTGACCCGGAGTTCAAGTCGTCCATCGTCCACGTCTTGAATGATATTATGGCTATAGCGATGGACAAGAATAAGAACAAGGCCTTCACGTACATCAAACATCGGATAGCTCCTATCGAATTTGTCTTCATGGGTACGCCCTTGTGTCATCAATCCTGTGGTGTAAGATACTAAGAGACCAACTTGTGTGTAGGCGTCGTTCTATTTGTGATGATGAAGCACTCGACGGAGAAGCAACGGGCTGAGGAAATTTACAACATGCGAACGTTCATTCGTGAGAAGTACCAAGACGTTCGAGCTCGCGGAGACATCATTCGGACACTCTGGATGTTCGTGTCAGACATCGCACGAAAGTACCGCACTGGCTACCAGTTTGATAAACCTGCTCCGGCGCGGAAGACCAAGAAAAAGCGGACGAGGGCAGATGAAGATGACGACAGTGAGGACGAGTTTGATGGGACGAAAAGAGGTACAAATTCTCGTCCGAAGAGGAAGTAGCTCGATTTTTTTGATCTGTTCCAGTGCTTCTTGTCCTTCTTTCATGAACATCGATTCTTCTGTGACTGTATCATTGTACTACCGCCAGGCATCTTATCCATATCCCGCTTATTTCTTCTATTTGTTATCCGTTGTACATGACTCTCGCTGTATACCAAACACCCTCTTTGTCCGTGATTGCACGGGCATATTTGAGCAATAGTTTGTCTCGTTCTTTGTTATTTACCACGATGTCTTCGAGGAATGGTGAGATGTCTTCTGCCTTCCATCGAGGCCGAGTCAAGAATATATCTGTGAAACGAGCAGCGGGATCGGTTGGTAAAGCGGAGGAGGGGAAATAAGTGAGCTCCGTGGCGCCAGTCAGTGTTGAAAGAGAAGATAAATAGTTTGCCTTCAGCGTTAATTAGTTTTTATGACTCAATCGACTGTGCGGAATCAATTACCAATAGCAGGTCCAGCGTAATAGTCGTTTCGAAGGTGTCGCCTACGGCCGACTTCCATTTAGCCAGAAAGTCAAATTCGACAATAGGTTCATCCTATAAAGCAAATTGAAGCATTGCATATCTCAAAGGCCAGGAAACAAACCTTGTACGCCCTCAAAATGCCTAGTCCGACCTCCTTGACGGTGGCATTCACATCCAGCTTCCAAATTCCGTCGTCGATCTGTCCGAACCAGGCCATGACCTGCTCAGAGACGTCTCTCCTAATTTCGTGATCGGTTTCCAGAGCGGACGATAATGCAACCAGGGGAGCTGCTTGGTGAGGTATTGACGTTGATACGAGGTGGTTGAGTAGAAGTTCGAGGATTTGAGTTAGGTAGGATGGGGCTATTGGTCGAAGCTCGCCTAGCAAGACGTCAGGTTTAGACCTGGCTGTGGGTTATATCTGACCGACCTTTCAAGATGAGTACACGTCTGGATTTCAGGCCTTGCGATATTTCTGCGTCGCTTGCCTGTAAGATCTCTCGAGCATCTTCGAGCGTTAGTCGTCGTCGTTTCGACTGCCGGTGGAGTATGATCACTATACGTCAATGCAGACTGACAAGGTTGAGGACATACTGGTCTATAATCTTCCCGATCACTATCACTTGTCATATCCACATCATCCTCTTGTCCTTCGTTGTACTCGCTCCCTCTCAGAAGACCATTTAACTTGTGTAATTTCGGGATACTGGGAACCAGCTCATAGACTTCATGTAATTGATCACGAATCACTGCGTCCTCCGCAGACCCATGGGAATCCAGGGAGGGCGTGACCACCAAGACTGAGTTGGAAAGAACGACTGAACGAATTGTGTACGTTTTGTCGGCAGTACAGAGAACCGCGTCATCTAGTGATTCTCCTTTGATAGACCAGCTGCGCAGGTAAGAGTTGCGCTCCATTATTACATGAGTAGAAGTCAGACCTTTGGGTGTTATCTGTCGAATTCTCTATACATTTGTATAGTTCTGGTGGAAATTCGAGTAGCCTAAACGATCCCGTATCCGAAACTGGCGACGAGGAGTACTTCAAATTAAAGTCGTTCATGGAATTGTAGTGACCGGCCTCAGATTCTATGATATGGAGAGCAGAACAAAGTCGAGCTGAATGCAGAAGACGAAGCAAATGTATGCTCGACGCGACGCGCCAACAAGGTAGAACGCGTGACATAACGCGTTTTGAGTCACACGTGCCGTGCGGCATTCTCCGGGCGGGTGGTGATGCAGCCGCATTGGTCTTGACGCAGACGGTCGTCGCAAACGATTCTCAGCCTCACTTTCAACTTGTTCTTGTTCACGTCTTGTTTACGATCGTCATCTTCTAATCTTCGTCTACACAGTCTCTATTGCATGGCCTCTTCGTCGGCATTGCTGGCGTCGCCAACGGAGAGCATTATACCCTCAGCCTCGCTGCAACCCTCAATTACTCCAAGCATAGATCCCGTACCTGCTCATCATGCCAACGCAGTCGTGGCTTTCATAATTGGCCTTGCCATCGTTACCCTTGCTTCTATCCTAAATGCTGCTGGCTTGAATTTGACGAAATTAGATCATGTAGGATACTTCGTACCAGGACTGTGCTGGTGCTCCATCTGATGATGTAAACTAGGTTCGAACAAGTGCTATTCCCAAGGCTTCGCGGCGGAGAGACTGGCTTCGTCCACTATGGCTTCTTGGAATGATTCTATACATGTGAGTCGTAGTATGGACACTGATGTAGCCCTCTTTGACCTTTCTCCAGCTTGTCTCAACTGATAGGGAGTACCCTCGCACTCGAGTATATGCGTGCCGGTTAGTTGCACCTGAATGCACTGCCTCTTCATCCAGCTGATTAGCTTGTAGAATACGTCGCACCGCTTGGCTCGACGTCACTCATATTCAACTTCCTCTTCGCGAAGTTTCTTGTGAACACTCCTGTTACTATGACTGATATATGGGTGAGTCCGACTCGAATACTGCGATCCTTTCCCTAGCTCACTGCGGCATTCTAGGGAACTATCATTGTCATCATCGGCGTTATTGGTATCGTGGCTTTTGGCTCTATCAACAGCGGATTCAGTTCAGAAACCAATGCGTCGCATTTGTCCTATCTGTGGAAACGCGGCAATTGGCTGGGATACTTCTTCTTTATGACATTTGCCCTCATCGCACTTTACATCTTCACATCTCAGCTTGATGCCGTGTTGACTGCGCGTTCTGATCTTAGCGCATCTCCATCTGGTGGAATTGGCGCACGTAGACCCGGAACTAGATGGGTCGGCAAGATCCTAGGACTGTGGAATTACTTCATGTCCCGGATCAGAGAGTATCTTGAGATTTGGACAGCTCCACACGATGATAAGTGGGTTGCTTGGACGCTCGGCATCTGTTGGGCATGTTGTGGTGGCGGACTCGCGGGTGGCTGCTTGGTCTTTGCCAAAGCTGCGTACGTATATTTTACTACAACGTGTTCTGCTCAGCCTCTAATATTGCGTAATTGGCCTAGCGTGAAGCTTATTTCTGGGAGCCTCTCACATGAGAATACTGGGAACCAGTTTGGGCAGGCCTCCTCAATATTCACATTCATATTTCTGGCCATCACGGCCGTTGCCCAAATCATCTGCCTGAACCGTGGTCTTAAGGTGTACGATTCAACTCTTGTAGTGCCTGTATTTTACGGCGTTTACACGGCAGCAGGGTAGGTTCGGTATATGTGACAGCACCTCAATATTTACTGATCCGTCTACACCTGTGTAGGTTCTTGAATTCATTGGTAAGAAAGTTACTCCACAAAGCACGTTTTTGTGTCTAAGCCACTACATATATCCCAGATATTCAACGACGAAGTAGACGCGTACCAGTCTTGGACACTTTTCCTGATTTTCGTCTCCATTCTTATCTTGGTTTCCGGCGTTGTCCTTCTCACACACAAAAAGCCCGACCCTGCGGGGGCTCATGGCACTCCTCCGGGCTCAGCGAGCGGAACCACTTTTGTGGCGATGGCTCGGGCACGAAGGCGTACTAAGCGTAAATCCGCCAAGGATCTCAAGGACTCGGATGAAGGCGAATCCCTGCGAGATCTGGAGGAGGGTGAAGACGCCGACGAAGTCGTATGGCAACTTGGGGAGGCCAGTGATGACGAAGAAGAAGGTTTTGTCCCTCGCAGTCAAGGTTTGGGGGAGACGCATGGGGAAGGAGAGCGTGAACGAATGATTGCCAACCACGACCACGGAGACGAAGACCTCCGCAGAGCGTCAACATCGTCAGATGCGACTTTGGCACGACCAGAGGCTGAAGGCAGTGGAGATGAGTTTGGGAAGTGGGGGTTAGGAAAGACGTCGAGACCGTGACAAGTCGGAATTATGCGAGGAGGTAGCATGGTGCTACCCCCCTAGACATCATCTATAGTGTATCATCAGGTATGAGTTGGACCATCTAATTCCCGGTAGCTAATCATCCCGACTATAACTTATTCCGACATCCCACGCACCTATTCAACTTAAATGCTCTGCATTGCGGAAATTGTGTGTTCTCGAGAAACGTATTCCATGACAGGGCCATTCTAGAATCAATCCTCAAGGTTGTTCTACCCGCCCGATGCATGAGGTGGACAACTATCTGCGTCTTCAGAATGCTGAACGCCATACTTGACCTTCCTCTCTAAGCCTCTTCAACCCATCTGTCAGCCTCTCCCATCTATCATGACTGTAATGGGCTGTACAAGGGCCTATTGCACCAGTAGACTGCTTTTGCTCATATGCCCGTCCCCCTCTGCATTTGACAACACCGGAAGACAGCCCAGGAACATATATCTGATGGTGGTGCGCAGCATGCAATAGTTGACAGTATGGGATCTCAAGCTGCTGTAACAAGGCCTGGGTCACACCATAGTTCCGATTTCCCCTTTGCTGGTAGGTCACAAGAGCCCTTTCGGCCAATATGTTTCACTGACAATCATACAGTGACGTGTTTCCGCGGGCTCAACACCTCCTTTCAGGGTGTAACTCATTTTCGACCCGTTCGCCACCACGTATATGTAAGCCATGGACCGCTTACATGTGTTCATTATAGGATCAACCCGTTGCCGATGTGTTCAATAGAGATGAGTATTCGACATGCGTGGGGACTGGTAATGACTTTTGAACCCTGGTGCCTTCACAGCCCGCAACTAAATCCCTTGCGGGGTTCCGAAGAATATTACATCAGGATTGAGGGCAATGCTTCAAATTTCGTCACATTCACCCGTTGGGTTCCGTCAGGGCATAAAAGCGACAACCATACGGATGAACTGTATCCATGTTCCTCCGTCCCCTTGCTTCGAAACCTTTACCAACCCACTCCTCCTCCAGAGCTTTCAGCTAACTCCTTTTGACCTACTGTACTTAAACAAGCTTCCTGCTCTGAAGCTTGCTCAATGTCTGGGTCGTCCGGTTATGACAAGTTTGGTCTGTTTGCTGGTCTCATTGGGATTCTTGGTCTGATTTATGCTCTGCTCGAGAGACTTTTGCCTGAGACGAGACTCTCATTGTTGGAAAAGTCTTTGAAGCAAACTGATTCCCTGTTACATTCAGCTAGCGAAGAGGGCCTCCTCATCGATGCTCCCCGCCTTCAACTCAAGCTATCGGAGTAGGTACATCTCCTTCTCTCATGTTTACGACGGACTTGACGCTGTCATATAGGTTAACAATCCATGTCGATAGGCTCGCTGTTCGTACGCATAGAGCTGCAACATTGTACCAACAATGTGGCGAAATGGCGAAGGGCTTGACTTGTAAGATTCTCTCGACTCATAACCAAGTGAGACTCGTGCTTGCTGAGATTGCTGTAAGCGCCACATTCACCTTGGGATATGTTGGCCGGCCTGAAAGTGCTGTAGTCGCAGAGATTGGCGACAACCGAACGGAGAAGCAACGGTCAAGCTGTGAGGAACGTATTGTCGGCAAACCCGGCTGCCATCGTGGTAAGACACTCCAGAGAGGTACCAACACCGTCTGTGTCAATACCAGCACCTTCATCGACTAGACAAGGTAAGCTCATTTGATTTTTTTTTTCCGTGCCATGGCCCACCGAACCTTCTTGTAGCCTCTGGTGCTGATGTAAACAATCAACGCATGGGACCTGTAGTCCCGCGCAATGTCATACCGACTTTGATGTCGACGCGCAGGCAGCGACAACCATTGGGTATGTCGACCAGCTTTATCTGGCATTCATATTCTGTTACCTTCTCTAAGCTATGAACACAAGCTGATAGCAATGGGACCGGTCTTTGGAAACTTAGTTAAGCCACCGTCATCCCCCGTCGCTCGCCCCGCACCGAGACACAGTGTCGCCAATAGGCCCGTCCATCCCCCTACTATTCCTCGTGCATCTAGGGCTTCTCAGCTTCCCACTCTCGTCAGCGCTTGAAGTCATGTTGTCATGTTGTTGACATACAGTTTCAGGATTGAGCATGTTATGTACACGTCCCCTTCGGTTTGGTACCGTTCGCAATGCTCGATGACTGTCTGTGTCTTCCTTATCCTTGCTCAATAGATGCTCATAGTATAGTCATCAAAAGGCCTTCCCTGTGCGCGTCAAATATTCGCTATTGCATGTATGCGTCGTTCATGATTCTCGGGGCGTTATCTGATTTCATGTTTGTGTCGCAGATATGTGCAGTGGATCGTTCGCTGTTGGTGGTCATCTGACAAGATACGATGTCCGGTATCGTAAGGGCTCTTGTTCTCTTATGACCATTCTTTCCTTGACAGACAATTACTGCGGACCATTAGCTTATTGACAGCATCATCACCTTCGTGATATAAGCCCCCGATATTAACCACACCAGTGGACGCATGTTACTTCAAACCAAGCTTCCCCGTCTAGAAGTCTCTGAATATCATGAACAAGACACTCCAAGATCTTTGGAGCCTACGCGCAACTTACACGCAGGCTCAGCTTCAGGCAATTGATTCAATGGTTGGAGATCACGCCACCATGTTCCCACACAGAGCATTCTGAACATCGTCTAATGCTAGTCACTCCCACGACATGACAGGCCTCATTGTAGAGCTCGGCCTGAAAGTCATACGATCGAGATTTCGTGCATATAAACAATGAAGCGATGGTTCAGCTCTATCCGGTACCCCACGTCTAGCAGTCATGTCGTTGTCGTTGACTGTCGTTGTGCTGGTAGTTGTGTTTATTGGGCTGGTACAGCGCCTTTGGAGAATTGGCTCTCGAGAGCAAGGCCTGCCTCCCGGTCCGCCTACCCTTCCCTTGCTGGGAAATCTACTTGTCTTCCCGCGGACCCGCGCGCATTTGAAGTAAGTGGCCTTCTACTGACCCATCAAATTAAAGGTCGTCCATGACCCTGATACATTGCAAAAAATTGTAGGTTTACCGAGTGGGCTCGGAGCTATGGTGACATATATTCGGTGGGCGTATTTCGAATCTCTTGGGCTGGGTTGTTGTGACTGACTCTTCTGAAGCTCAAGATCGGTTCAGGGACCGCCATCGTGGTGTCCAGCCCAAAGATGGCTCGCGAATGTTTCGAGCTGCACGGAGCAACAACTTCCGACCGCCCTGTCTTACATGTTGCAGAGCTGGTGTATAAAGGGCTGGAAATGCCTTTAGCACGATACGGTGAGCTACTCACTCTACCCGGTAGAATATTCTCACCCTTATACAGGCCCCCACTGGAGGAACCTAAGACGCGCAGCGCATGATCTATTGAATAAGGAAGCATGCTTGTCTCATCTTCCTATTCAACGCGCGGAAGCAAGCCAGCTTATGTACGACGTCCTACAACAACCTCAGGTTAGCGAAGCTTCAGTTGAATATAAGAAGTCTGACATTGACTATTCCTAACCAGCACTTATACGGACATATCCGCCGATATGCAGCTTCAGTTGCCCTCTCCGTAATCTTCGGGATCCACTGCTCTACCTACGACAATCCTGTAATCGAAGAGTTCTATGAATGTCAACGTAAATGGGAACATATCCTTAGACCTGGCGGCCACCCACCCGTCGACATTTTCCCCATCTTGAAGTACATCCCTGAACGGTGGGCATCGTGGAAAGGATTATGCAGAGAGGTGCGATCTAGGCAACGAAAGCTCTACTTTACATTGTTGCAGAACTGTATCGACCGCATCAAGTTGGATAGGCGCAACAACTCGTTCATAGAATACGTGCTAGAACACGAAGATCATTATGGGCTTACGCGCGAAATGACTGGGTACGTGAAAGAACCTACATACATGTTCACCAATAACAACATGCACCACTTTGTACCACCAGTTATCTTGGCCTTTCCTTGATGGAGGGTGGCGCAGATACTACTGCTATATACTTGCAGTTCTTCTTGGTTCTCATGCTTGCACACCCAGACGTCAAGGCCCGAGCTCAAAAGGAAATTGACGACGTAATAGGGGATGGTCGGAGTCCAGACCTTGAAGATATTGAACATTTGCCATACATTAGAGCTCTCATCAACGAGGTAAGGGTCAAACTATCCACCATCGACACTGCCTTACTTCCCCCGACTCCAGGTCCACCGATGCCGTCCCGCCGCCCCGACATCGATACCTCATGCTGCAACAACGGATGAGAGAGTGAGCATTGTGTACCGCAAACTCCCTGTTGCTGATTTATAGCGGACAAGATTGGTGGATTCTTCATACCGAAGGGGTCAATGATCTTCATGAACATATGTCCGCACTTTATTCTACTCCGCCATTCCACTTGCTGAGTCGATATTAGGGGGTATTGGAAGGGATCCAGACCTTTTTGAGGAACCCGAAAGATTTTGGCCAGAAAGATTTCTAAATTCAGAGCACGGGACCAAGCCAGAAGTCGACACTACAGGATGTAGGTCCGAAATACCGATGTCATTCGGAGGAGGGAGAGTCAGTATCCATTGTCCTTAGACGACAGCCTCTCTGATCGCGAGCTTGTAGCGAATTTGCCCTGGGTTCAACCTTGCATACAATTCTATCGTAAGTGGGAATTCTTGTTTACCGGAGATGCCAGTATCTGAACGGAATTCAGGCAATGAATGTCATGAACATCCTCTGGGCCTTTGATATCAATCTGCCCAAAGATCCAGCGACAGGAAAGCCGATCGTGCCAGACGAAGACGATACCACTGACGTAAGTGCCCGCCTCCTTGATATTTATTAGAGCGAACTTCATGATGCTGGACATAGGGCATATTATTGACTCCCAAGCCATTCAAATATGATATCACCCCGCGAAGCGAAGCCAGGGGAGACATCATCAGGACGCAATTCGGAGCAGCCAAGCCTACATTTGAACTCTTTGACAGCGCCGACTTGAAAGCGTGATACAATTTGGAGTGGGCCGCGCGCCGATGAAATAATAATCTATCCGCTGGTTGTCAAGTCTGTGTTTTGTTCAAAATCAGATCCTTGGGAGGCTTCGGTCATGAGTGATGTAGATGTTATAATAGCGGTGTTAGCACCATTTTATTGGGGGGGGGGGGGGGGGGGGGGGGTGGTCCAAAGCAGGCGAAAGAACTTGAGAAAGAATGCGCTCTTTGAAATTTAGCAACCGCGAGCTACGCAGACAGAGCACCATTGCAAACAGCTTCCAGCGAGAGGCCGGCGCTTCAAACACATTAGATGACGACTCGGGTACTGTAGTAGCCGTTTGTGGGCTTGTCCGATTTCTCCGGCTCATTTACAAGTAAAGACATCTTTCATACCGCCAATGGCTTTCACCGTGACGGGCAGCTCGTACGAGGACAAGTTGATTCATTCGTATCTAGAGCTTGCAATTGGCTACACATCACGCGTCAAGAGGATAGCTTCATGATTGGAGGACACACAGGTCAGTTTGTGACGTCTTCTATGCAGTAGCCTCGGCTTCCAAACTGCTAATTGAGCATTAATAGTAAACAGTTACTCTTATGATACGTTACGCTTGACGCAGAGCTCGGTTTGAAACTCGAACGACTGAGGTTCAATTCGTATATAATGCGGACCATGGCATGAAGTGATGGTTTATCCCTGCTTGGTTCGCCTCTACCCCTCTAATAGCCATGTCGTTGTCTCTCACCATCAGTGTGCTAGCAATCATATTTGTTTGGGTGGTCCAACACCTGTGGAGAATTGGCTCGAGAGAGCAAGCCCTTCCTCCCGGTCCGCCCACTCTCCCTTTGCTCGGGAATCTGCATGTCTTCCCTCAAACCCGTGCACATCTCAAGTAGGTAACCTGCCACTACTTTGCTTCATGGTGCTAATGATTTGAACAAAATACTAGATTCACAGAGTGGGCTCGGACCTACGGCGAAATCTATTCAGTGAGAAGAATGTCTATTTAACCGAGCTGTTGCTGACCTTATCAAGCTCAAAATCGGTTCAGGAACTGCTATCGTAGTGTCCAGTTCAAAGATGGCTCGTGAATGTTTCGAGCTGCATGGAGCAACCACCTCTGATCGCCCTGCTATACATGTTGGAGAGCTAGTGTATAAAGGGCTAGAACTACCTTTTTCGCGATACGGTGAGTTGATTGTTTCGCCTGGTAGTTGAACGTTCTTATTGAATCCTTATACAGGCCCCCACTGGAGGAACCTAAGACGTGCAGCACACGATCTATTGAATAGGGAAGCATGCTTGTCTCATCTTCCTATTCAACGTGCGGAAGCAAGTCAACTTATGTACGACGTCCTTCAACAACCGCAGGTTAGCGAATCTCTGCCTGAACGATGAGTTTGAAATTTGGCATTGACTGTTCCTAACCAGCATCTATACCAACATATCCGCCGATATGCAGCCTCAGTCGCGCTATCGGTAACGTTCGGGCTTCACTGTTCCACCTACGACAATCCTGTAATCGAAGAATTCTATGAATGTCAACGTAAATGGGAACATATCCTTAGACCTGGCGGCCACCCTCCTGTCGACATTTTCCCGATCTTGAAGTACATTCCGGAACGGTGGGCATCGTGGAAAGGCTTATGCAGAGAGGTACGATCTCGACAACGGGAGCTGTACTTCCCTCTGGTGCAGAATTGCATCGACCGCATCGAATCCGATAGGCGCAACCACTCGTTCATAGAGTACGTGCTAGAACATGAAGATCATTATGAGTTCACGCGCGAAATGACCGTGTACGTGCTGTAACCTACATGCATATTCGCCTATTGACGCCCTGTATGGCTATGGACCACCAGTTATCTTGGTGTTTCTCTGATAGAGGCTGGCGCCGATACTGCTGCCATATTCTTACAGTTCTTCTTGATCTTTATGCTCGCACATCCAGACATCAAGTTCCGAGCTCAAAAGGAGATTGATGATGTGATAGGGGATAACCGGAATCCAAACCTCGAAGATATCGGTGATTTGCCATACATTAAGGCTATCATTAACGAAGTGAGGTTCAATTTTCCCGCGGCTGGTATGGCGCATTATTCTCAACTAAGAACAGGTTCACCGCTGTCGCCCTATCGCACCTACAGCAATCCCTCATGCGGCAACAAAAGACGAGAAGGTATGTATTGCATGCCTGCTACATCATCTATTGCAGCTGACTTGTAGCGGACCAGATCGGTGGATTCTTCATACCTAAAGGGTCTCCGATCTTTATGAACATATGTAAGAGCTTCACCTTGCGTTCATAATATCTCCTGCTGAATATTGAAACCAGGGGGTATTGGTAGAGAACCGGACCTTTTTGACGATCCAGATAGATTTTGGCCAGAAAGTATCTGAAATCAGAGCACGGGACCAAGCCGGGTGTCGACACTACAGGACTCAGGAGCGATATGCCCATGTCGTTTGGTGGAGGAAGAGTGAGGATTCTATCTTCTCATCCAATCATAGTCGTCTAACCACAAGTGTATCATGATAGCGCATTTGCCCTGGCGTTCACCTTGCGTACAATTCAATTGTAAGTGCAGGTTGCATATCGGCCCAGTGTTCCGGAATCTGAATCGTGACCAGGCGATGAACGTCATGAACCTCTTATGGGCATTCAACGTCGAATTACCCAAGGATCCATTGACGGGAAACCCAATTCTTCCAGACGAAGATGATACCACGGATGTAAGTGTCCACTGTCTTCATAATCATAGAGCAAGCTTTCTGAAATGCCGGACATAGGGCATATTATTGACTCCCAAGCCGTTCAAGTGTGTTATCATCCCACGAAGCCAAGCGAAAGCAGACCTTATCAGGAAACAATTCGAAGCGGCCAAACCTACATTTGAGCTCTTTGACAATGCGGCGCTGAAGCGTGGTGCAACTTGAAGTAGACGGCCCGCCGATGAGATGATATACCGTCCTCTGATTGTCAGTGCTGTGTTTCTTGTGAAGGAGATTCTTGGGAGGCCTCGGTTATGTGCGGTGCAGATGTTAGGATAGCTGTATCATCACCGTTATGGGGGGAGACCAAAGTCGGCGAAGGAAGTACAGCGAAAGGCCGGCACTTCAGACATATGTACAGCCCTGTACAGCCATCAAAATATAGCATTACTTCCGAGTGTTCACTTTCCGAATTACCAGAGCCTCTGAATGCGACCTTTCGAAGCGATAAGGCTGGTCGCAAGACGAGCGTCCCAGTAGACCACTCTTTGCAATGTACCTGCGCCTATACTGTATATAGCTCGTGCACTGGCGCATGTCGGTCATTACTACTCATCTTGTTCACTACTGTCGCGAATGGACCCGATTATCCTTGGATAAATACTTCAATTATTTGGATGCGCGCTCTGCGCTCTGTCCAAGACTTCCAGCCGAAGCACGGGCACACCTTAAACGAGAGGGTAAGGTATCATTCTTGTATATATGCTGCCACACTTACAGCTACATTCAGAACGATAGGCCCCTCCAAAAAAATCACTCATCGTAACCGAGGTCTAATTTACACAGCTTAGCAGGTGCCGAGCTCAGGCGAAGCTTGTGACCATTTTGTGACCGGAGACCAGTCGGGCCTATTCCTGGACATTTCTAGTCACAGTCGCGCCACGACAACGACGAGAATAACATGACCGATCCATTTGGGACATAGAGTAATTGCATGTACAGTACTGTAGTTTGTCAGATAATGGCAAGAGTCAGGCTACCTACGTTGACCTCAAGTGCGTCAAGAAGACACAGACGGCCGCTACAGATTGGAGGCCTTTCAACCTCTCCCGTTTCGCGGTGGTTCTTCATTAAGCACCTTATTGCATGCACGTTTATGCCGGTATATATACTGACCATCTTGTACTTGAGACTAAGTATGCTCAAGGACCATGCTGCGAGCGATCTCCTTGTATTGCTTCGGTATATGTTGCCTCATCCTCAGGCAAGTACCAGGGAGCACAATGAAAAGGTACAGATGGGAGTTACTCAGGTGCTATTACTACAGAAGTGTTGTACAAGACGGCAGTGTCTAGATAGTGGCCGCGAGGCTTGCATGGAAGAAATACGGCGTGACGGGGAGTGACAGAATGCCAGAGCGTCAGGTGGGTCTGCCGTCGAACCGGCATTGCTTCGCGTAGCGCAAGCGACTGAATGATTTTTTTGGAGGGGCCTATCGTTCTGAATGCAGCTGTAACGAAGATACCATGCATGCCGCGTACATGGATAACCGCTGCAATCTACGCTATGAGGTTGCCATGCAAGCTGGCATTCCGATCCGCCATTACTTCAAAGTGTCTTTGTTGAGCCTCGGATGCTCCATTCTCCTGCGCTTGATACTGTTTATGCTCCATGACGCGACAAGGGCGAGAACGCAATGATGTTTGGTCAACAAAATTCGCCCATTACTGAGAAGACAAAACACCTGCGACCGCGCCTCCCCTCGATGACTTGGACAGCAGTCACTGGCACCGCGTTAACAAGTGATCTTCAACTATATCCAGGGCACTCGGCTTCTACCCTGGACAACATAACGACACTCGATATTTCATCAATCGATCGATGGCATGTCAAAGCCAGTGTCCGAGAATAAGGCTGAGGAATAGGAAGCGGCAATCGGCTCGACAGATGTAAGAGTAATATGTAATTTAGACTCAATTTCGCCTTCCTTTGTAGGCTACAGGAGGCAGCAGGAAACCTAGAGAATTATCTTCAGCTATCAAGATCACAAGTATTCGTGCAGTCTTCAGCCCCCGAAGCTTCGAGCAGCTGGGCGGTCTCGTCAGAGCTCTCCTGCGGATGAACCCATTTCGTCTTTTGATGTACAACGAGACTTTCAATAGTTCAAGCTATAGTCGTGAGGACACAATAAAGCTGCCAAGATGCGAACGAGAAAGAGAGAATGCCTGGAAAAGTGGAAACACGGGAAGTGAGGCCTGTGAGGTCTGAATTTGCACAAATGTCTACCGTCCAAAGCTCGACGGCACCTTTGAACTCCGCTGGACAACATCAACGTCCCTTTTAAGGAAGATCAACCTTCCAACTTAACAGCATGGAACGACCGTCCTTCTCTATAGTGGCTGAAACCGAGCATACGTCAAAGTATGGCATGTATCATGGTCGACATGGTCATTTACCGCTAGTTACGATGAGCCACTTGCGGACTTGTCTTTCTCTGGCTCATCTACAAGCAATTATGTCTTTCGTGCTGCCAATGGCCTGAGCCCGAATTGATCTCTCAAAAATTCGCTCATGGGCAGCTATGAGAAGACAAAGTTTATTAACTCATATCTAGAGCTTGCAACTGGCTGGATATCACGCGTCGAGAGGTTAGTCTTGTGATTGGAGGATTCATCTCCATGCCCCCGCACTAGATCAGTTTGTGACATCTTCCATGCAGTAGCCTCGCCTTCTGAATCGTTGATCAGAGGTCAATAGGAAACAATTACTCTCATGATACATATACGCTTTAGCGCAGAGCTCGGCTCGAAACTCATCCGACCTAGACTTTGTATAAAGGATGCGGACCATGAAGTGATGGTTCATCCCCGCTCGGTGCCCCCTCATATAACAGTTATGTCGTTGTTACTTACCGTCAGTGTGCTAGCAATTCTATCTCTTTGGATGGTCAAACGCCTGTGGAGAATTGGCTCGAGAGAGCAAGCCCTTCCTCCCGGTCCACCCACCCTCCCTTTGATTGGGAATCTGCATGTCTTCCCTCAAACCCGTGCACACCTTAGGTAGGTAATCTGCCACTCGTTCAATTCAAGATGCTGCTGAACTGAACAAAATACTAGACTCACAGAGTGGGCTCGGACCTACGGCGAAATCTATTCAGTGAGAAGAATGTCTGTTTAACCGGGCCATTACTGATCTTATCAAGCTCAAAATCGGTTCGGGGACCGCGATCGTAGTGTCCAGTGCAAAGATGGCTCGCGAATGTTTCGAGCTGCACGGAGCAACAACTTCTGACCGCCCTGCTATACATGTTATAGAGCTAGTGTATAAAGGACTGGAAATGCCTTGGTCACGGTACGGTGAGCCACCTTGCAGTCTACCCGGCACAGCTTGAGTATGCTTACTCTGTCCCTCATACAGGCACCCACTGGAGGAACATGAGGCGTGCAGCGCACGATCTGTTGAATAAAGAAGCATGTTTGTCTCATTTGCCTATCCAGCGCGCCGAAGCGAGCCAACTTATGCACGACATCCTACAACAACCCCAGGTTAGCGTGGCCCCGCCGGAGTTGCCTGTTTGAAACTTGGCATTGACTATTCCAAACCAGCATCTGTACGCTCATATCCGGCGATATACAGCATCAGTCGCCTTCTCTTTGATATTTGGGATCCATTGCTCCATGTACGACAACCCTATAGTCGAAGAATTTTATGAAGGCCAACGCACATGGGAACATATCCTTAGACCTGGTGGCCACCCACCCGTCGACATTTTCCCCCTTCTAAAGCACGTCCCTGAACGGTGGGCATCGTGGAAAGGCTTATGCAGAGAGGTACGATCTCGGCAACACCAGCTGTACTTCCCTCTGTTGCAGAATTGTATCGACCGCATCAAATCGGACAGGCGCAATCACTCGTTCATGGAGTATGTACTAGAACATGAGGATCATTATGAGTTCACGCGCGAAATGACTGTGTACGTGGTCTAATCTACATGCATATTCGCATATTGACATTATGTATGGCTATGGACCACCAGTTACCTTGGTATTTCTCTGATAGAAGCTGGCGCCGATACAACCGCCATATTCTTACAGTTCTTCTTGGTTTTCATGCTCGCACATCCAGATGTCAAGTTCCGAGCTCAAAAGGATATTGATGATGTGATAGGGGATAATCGGAGTCCAAACCTCGAAGATATCGATGATTTGCCGTACATTAAGGCTATCATTAATGAAGTAAGGTTCAGCTTTCTTTCGATTATTATGGCGCATCATTCTCACCTGACAGTAGGTTCACCGCTGTCGTCCTGTAGCACCTACAGCGATCCCTCACGCAGCAACAAAAGATGAGAGGGTGTGTTTTGCATGCTTGCTACATGATCTATTGCCACTGACTCATAATGGAATAGATTGGTGGATTTTTCATACCCAAGGGATCTGCCATCTTCATGAACATATGTACGAGCCTCATTTCGCCCTCATGATATCTCCTGCTAAATATTGAAACCAGGGGGTATGAGTAGAGATCCGGAGCTTTTTGATGATCCCAATAGATTTTGGCCAGAAAGATATTTGAAATCAGAGCATGGGACCAAGCCAGGTGTCGACACTACAGGACTCAGGAGCGATATGCCCATGTCGTTCGGTGGAGGACGAGTGAGGACTCCGTCTTCAGCTCCAATTATAGCTGTCTAATTGCAAGTGTATCATGACAGCGCATTTGCCCTGGCGTCCATCTTGCGTACAACTCAATTGTAAGTGTGACTTCCATTCCATTACTATCGGCCCAGTGTTCCGGAATCTGAATTGTGACCAGGCGATGAACGTTATGAACCTCTTATGGGCGTTCAACATCGAATTACCCAAGGATCCAGTGACGGGAAACTCGATTCCTCCAGACGAAGATGATACCACGGATGTAAGTGTCTACTGTTTTCATAATTATTGAACGACCTTCACAATGCTGGACATAGGGCTTATTCCTGACTCCGAAGCCATTCAAATGTGATATCACTCCACGAAGCACAGCCAAAGTTGATATTATCAAGAAACAATTCAATGCAGCTGAACCTACATTCGAGCTCTTTGACAAGTCCAGCTGAAGCGCAATGCGACCGACTAGGGTCCCGATGAAACTATTCGCCTTCTCGTCCATAGATATGAAGTCTGTTGTCCAAAGGAGTCCTTGGTGTCATGTATCGTTTAGGTAAGATTGCCACGACACCATCACTGTAAAGTAGATCCTATTTCGTGAGTCTGAGCTCGATTGATTTGATTTGAATGGCCTTGAGTAATGATTAATCAATGCCACTCGGTTCAAAGATGACAAATGAAAAACTTTACCAAAGGCTTCGAGAAGGAACGAGCTACCCAAAAATCACCAGTTGCGAACCAGAGCTGCATGTGGGTAATCAGAGAAATACTCGCCATGGATAACAACAACAGTAAGACTTACGCCGGGATGACCACTTGGTCTATAGGCTCCTTTGGACTCTCCCTCCTTGTCAATCCCAAATACCTCCCTCGTACGGTTGATGATATTTTCACCGAACAACTTCTTGTTAACTTCCCGTATTTCGTGGAAACCGCATCTACAACATCCTTAGAGACATTCTATCATAAACTGAGGAGAATGACTCACGCCATAATAACAGCGTCAGCTTCTATCTCTGACCCGTCTGAGAGGATGAGGGTATGTTCAGTAAATCCAACTGGCTCGATGCCTTGCTTGACTTTGATAGCTCCACTTGCTATGAGGTCGGCTCCGCCCAAATCAAGCCCTACGTTCAGGTGCTTCAACCATACTGTGAAAGTAGGAAACTATAGGACCCACAATAGCCTACAAAACTCGTCAGCAACCCTGTGACGACACGCGACTCAGCTTAAATTACACTTACCACCCACTCGTTCATACCCAAGTAAAGCCGCTCCTTGGCCTTCAGGACCCATTGACAAACTGAGTCCACCCTTTCTGAGCTTATCGTGTACTTCCTTGTCTATCTCCCACATCTCCTGCTGCATGCCTTGGGCCACCTTCTTTCTCAAACCCACGGGTATTGAGCTGAATCTGAAATCGGATACTTCCTGAGGTATGTCGAGAGGATATACTTGTAAAGCGAATTTCTCCAGTGCCTCTTGTGAGATTACGCAGGTGGAAGATCGCTGAATCATGGTAACGGAAGCAGCTCTGTGTGCACATAAATCTTGGCAGATGTCTATAGCGGTGTTACCTGCGCCAACGACGACTACTTTCTTTCCGGTGTACGCTTGAGCTCTTTGACAGTGAATTCCATGTAATATCTCGCCCTGGAACCTGTGCGTGTCTTTCAAGGGTGGCATGTAAGGCTCCCCAAGTTGTCCGGTGGCTAGTACCATATGAGTCGGATGAAGGACTTTCGGAATCCCTTCGTGATCGATTGACACCTCCCACCTCCCTAATCCTTCGTGGTAGATCGGTTTGCCTTTGATCGACGAGTTCGTCCAGGTGACGAGATCCTGTTGATTGGCATAGTCCTCCAACCAATCTGCGAGCTTGTCACGAGGAGTGTACAGTGGCCAGGTCGTTGGGAATGGTGCATACAACACTGAAATTGACCATGAGTGAGTATGAATTCATTTTCAAATGATAGCTGGAGTGGTCAATTCTTACTTTCATGGTGAGACCTTGGTGTCTGCAGCGTGACTGAAGGATAGCGCTTCCGCCAATTATCGCCAATTCGAGCATTCCTTTCAAGTACCAAGGCTGGGATATCCATCTGTTTGAAGCGTGCGGCCATGCATAAGCCAACATGACCTCCGCCGACTGTAGATAGCCCAGGTTAGATTGCTGTACTTATAGAATATATCCCCAGTTATTTGCTCACCGATCAATACGTGTGGATCTCGTTCAATCTTTGCACGTCTTTGGACTAAAACGTCACTCCAGGTCATGGCATGCCCTTCAAATGCACGGGTGGATTCAAACCGTACTTCTTCGTGACCCTTCAGATCGTCAAGCGTCATGCATACCGCCCATGCCTTCCATTCATTATCGACATCCTTTAACAGATGAACATACCCGCGTCCATGAGCACTCGGTGTCTGGAAGGTGAACGCACCCTCGACACCTTGACCCTGTCTTGGAGAAAAGGCATTCCATCGAGGTCTAAGGTGAAGTCGTTCATCCAGCTTGAGCTCTGATATTCCAGCTGCAGCAAGCCCATTAGTGAGGTAACTGGCAATCTTGCCTCGACCGTCTAGTGCGCGAAGATCCCAGGTGAATGTAAGGACGTCACGAAACCAACCTTCAGGAAGGAAGGTATCGGCGACTGCCAGAGGATCCTCAGAATCTATAGCAGATGCGTAGCACGACAACCAATCAACTACAATAGTCTTAGGATCTGCCCTGTCAGACATGATGTAGTTAGAGATAAGTACGGTATGAGCGACAACTTACAGAGTCAGTCCGCATTGCTGTGGGTTCGTGACGCACATACAGCATAGTGTATCGTTTCAGACTGATCCGATTTCCGATCTGCCGTGACCCATCGTATTGAGAGAATATAACTACCTACGAGGTGTCAGGAAATCATGTTACATAGTGGTATGCACTTCAAAGCATAACAGATGAGAGAACGAGATCAAGATCCTGTTGACGACAAATGGGCGGCTCATTACAGTATTGGGGAAAAGAATGAACAGACAAAAATAACTACTCGTATACTATCACTGCTCCGGCCTTTATTCGACTTCATTGAATAAGTAAAGAGCGCTGCTACTGCTCGAAATTATGCAGCTGTGACTGAAGGCAAGAATTTCCATTTGGAGGGGTAATACTGTACATCATTGTGCAGAAGGTCGGTCCGGGAACCTCCCTCTCTTTCCTCCGTACTGTGGTAGTAATGCGTTCACTCAAGGGACAAGATGCAGCCAAATGGTTGTCGCAATTCAAAGGTTCAGATACGAATTAGAGTAGCAATCAATCAATCGTTTACACTTTATCTCAGTGGCGTGCCCCTGGTTATTCCCTGCATAAGATTAGCTAGCGTCGGTTATGAGACAACTCAAGCTCAATAGCTTTTATCTGAATCCCCTATGATGACGATTGTAAGTTTACTGAAAAGAGTGTGAACATCCAAACGAGATATTCACCAAGGGCTTGGAGAGGTGGCGAGCCATCCAGAAATCACCCGTGGCGAACCACAACTGCCAATGGCCTTATCAATAGGAATTACAGAATATGAGACGTGTGGACACTTACTCCTGGATGACCAGTCGGCCGATAGCCTCCCTTGGACTCGCCTTCCTCATCCAGACCAAACACATCTTTCGTGCCGTCGATCACTTCCTCACCAAACAGGTCCTTATTCGCGTCTCGAATCTTCGTCCAGCCGCAGCTGCGATCAGAACAAGTACAGTCAGTCATGTACGTCAAAGCTATATAAGTATGTGCTTACGCCATGAACACAACATCTGCCTCTACTTCAGACCCGTCCGAGAAGACGAGAGAATCCTCGGTACAAGCGACAGGTTCTACACCTTGTTTGACCTTGATTTCTCCGCTGCCTACCAAGTCAGCTCCGCCTACATCGTACCCTGGACCAAATATCAATATGATCAAATTAAAAGCAAAGCGTTTGATACTCACAGTAGCCTACGTCCCAATAGATACATTAGTAAGAATACAATAGCTACAGACATACCTAGAGAATACGTACCACCCAATCGCTCGTATACCAGTAAGCTGTGACCTGCACCATCAGGACCTGAATTTAAAGCGACCCCTCCCTTCCTCAGCTTTGCATACATTTCCTTCTCCATATCATCAACCATGTGCTGTATACCTGGCAACACCTTTTTCCTTAAACCCATCGGTATCGATCCTACTTTGAAGTCGTTGATGTCACAAGGAACGTCAGGAGGAAAGGCTCTGCCTATAAACACTTCCGCCACGGCTTGCGAGATGACACACGTAGAAGAACGCTGGATCATCGTCACAGATGCCGCCTTATGAACGCACAGATCCTGACAGATGTCTATAGCAGTGCTACCTGCACCGACGACGATTACCTTCTTGCCGGAATAGAGCTGTCCACCTTTGAAATCGATACCATGGAGGATTTCGCCTCGGAATTTGTCTCTGTTTTCCAGATGTGGTATGATGGGAGTGCCTAAGGTGCCCGTGGCGAGCACAATATGAGCGGGATGTATCTCTTTGGTTACACCATTGTGGTCGATTGTCACGTCCCATTTGCCCGCGTCTTCATTGTAGATAGGACGACCTCTGATGGACGAGCTGGTCCAAGTAAGGAGGTCTTGGTTGATGGCATAACTTTCCATCCAATCTGCAAGCTTATCACGGGGCGTATACAAAGGCCAATTTAACGGGAACGGCGCATACAGAACTAAATGTCAAGGTCGCTGTCAGCTGAGGTTGATCGAAAAAGAGGGAAATACGATGCTTGCGCTGATGATGTTGCTTCGGTGTGTGTAGCGAGATCGTAGGATACCTCTTTCTCCAATTGTCACCAATTCGCGCGTTCCTCTCTATCAAGAGTGTAGGGATGTTCATTTGTTTAAACCTTGCCGCCACCATCAAGCAGGTTTGGCCTCCACCAACTGTAAAAATGACAAGACAGTCAGCAAAGCTAACTAGTGACCGCTGAAATCGCTTTAATGAGCTCACCAACTAGGACTTGCGGATCTAGCTCGATTCTAGCACGCCTCTCAGCGAGGACATCACTCCAGGCGACAGTGTGCCCCCCATATACTCCGCGTTCCGGTCCAACTTCCTCGTAACCCTTGAGGTCGACAAGCATCATGAATGTGGCCCATGCCTTCCATTCACCATTCCCGTCTTTCAATAGGTAGGTATAACCGTGGCCGTGCGCGATAGATGTCTCAAAGGTGAATGCCCCTTCGACTCCAGCTCCGTCGTTGGGGGAGAATGTGTTCCAATGGGGATGTAAATGAGGACGTTCGTCCACTTTCATGCTCGAAATCCGAGCTGTGGCCAGTGTATCGGAAAAATAGTTGTTTATCTTCTCACGGCCTTCCAAAGCACGGAAGTCCCAAGTGAAAGTGAGGATATCGCGAAGCCAACCTTCAGGAAGGAAGGTTGCAGCGACGGCATCGGGGTCCGTAGACAGTAATGCAGACGCATATTCTGCCAACCATTTATCAAAAATATCCCTTGCACAAGAGTTGTCTGCCATCGCGTAGATAGTGTTCAGTGCATTGAGAGGAATGGTGCTAGGGAGAACCTGTCTAACGTACTTATATAGTTTCATTTTAGTCTGCAGACGCTAGGCCTACTGTACCTATCCACAAGGTTGTAGATTTCCATTCATATCAACAGAAGTGCGCCGTCGACTACGGGCGGCACCGTAAAAATGGCACCCCAGCTTGAAACACCACACATTGACACAACCACTGGAGAAAGGAGAATCGTTCCATGCCGCTTGAACGGCACAGCCAGAGGCCCTGACAGATTTTGGTAGAATTCGCCGTCGCCGTTAAAATGCACTAGTAGATTCGGAAGTAAGCTGCACCTCTTCCTAACGTGTGAAGCGATTAGGATTAGTGTCGTTTTTACCTGCACAATGATGTCTGAAGTGATGCCTACACTCGCCATGAATCCACGATACAATAGAGCTGCTGCGTCATCTGACAGCAACTTGTGAAACATCAATGTCGGAGGATGATAATGACAGCTAGAAGCAACGTGTTAAAGTCCCGTACGGTACTCCATACGAAGGTTGTGAGTATGTCATGTTGGGAAAGGAGACTACTCTATAGCTCAGAGGTGTCCCCACAGGGTCAACGCGGTAAACACTTCACGTTCGACGTTCAAACGTCCACAAGTCAACGAGCACAGCTGGATCTTGATAGATCTTGTGGCCGGTCCGGACCTTCCGCTAGATTACGTCGTTCGCTTTGGTGGACCCTTACTTTTGTTCTGAACGTCTTTGCTTTAAACACTTGCTTGCCCATATTGTGCTCGTCATGTCTGCAATAGATACGCTCTCCAACGAGTTTCAAGAGAAACTACGACGGAGACCTGAGAACAGGTCATTACGGGAAACATTGCAGCATCTGACCCACTTGCGCACTGGGCAGGATGAAACGATTACAACCACTTTGGAGTCCTTAAAGGACGATTTTGAGAAGTTGGAGGCAGAGGGGTTATGGCAGAAGTCTCCAGAGACAGAAAGACTATTGCAGGATCTCGTCTACGAGGTTGCGAGATTGCATCCTGCTCAGAAAAGGATGCCCGCTGAAGTATCTTCTAACAATCCGAGCGCAGAAGCTGCTGGCTCAGCCGAACAACCCACACCGATTCCTGTACCTCCTCCTCTGTCTACTCCGTTGCTTCCACTATCTTCTTTCAATACGACGGTACTTCCACTGGAATTGATTGAGGCCTTGAACCAGACATACTTTCTGCATTTGCTAGCGACAGAGCCTGAAAAGATACTCCCTCCAGGGAAATCCTTGCTCTCTGTCATGATACATCCAAACGCTCAAACTCAGGAAGACCCGATGGCTTCTTTGAAGAACAGGGTCGAAGATCTCGTGCACAAAGCGTTCTGGGATGAGGTGGGAGTCCAAACGTCGCCCCTATGAAGCTATTAACTCTGGTTTATTTGCTTGCCTTTCGACTCAGGCTTTCGAATCTCTTTCGAATCCAACTCCCGCAGTGGAGATGCCTAGACTGAAGAGACTATATGAGGACTTGCACACCGCTCTTGTAACTCTCCTCCCTTCCGATCACCCTGTTTTGGTTACATTAGCCTCCCCGCTTTCACCAACTTCTGCACCCCTTCGATCTGCAGTCAGCCACCTTCGCGAAGTCCTGGACGCCTTGAAGCAAAGATGTGCCCCTGCCCGTGATGCCTATATCGACGCACTTATAGTCAAATTAGACGATCCGCTTCCATCCAGTCTCCCTCAGCTTGTTGTCGAAACTGTCCGAGACATTCTGAAGCTCGCCGAAGGGATGAAGGAAGATTTATCTCAGTTTGTTTTGGGAACAATGGGCGAGAAGCAGCTCCGCGAGGTCATCTCAGCACAGGCCAAGACACGCGAGAGGGAATTGGTCCACAGTCTGTGGGATCCTGAGAGCGTTCGGACGTTATGGAAAGAATGGCTCATTGAACTAGACCCCGCTGCGCTATCGATTGCACAACCACCTCCTGATGAAAAGAGATGGGTTGTCCGGCTCATGCAAGCTCTTGGAACACCTCACGCTATCTCTTGCAATATTCCTACACGATCTGGGGAGATCCAGCCATCAGGTGAAATACGGCCCCTTTCCGAAACATCTACCGACCTACCTCTGTCATCGTCAAACACACTCCCGCCTCCTCTTTTCTTCGTTACGCCAACCCTCCTTCAAATCCAGAACTTCTTACAAGCCTTGGTCATAGCCGCGTCTCTCCGATCACTCATTCGTCTACCCCCAGCTGCCGCCCAAACTGACGGCGATCCCTCAAAGAACGAATCCCCAGAACATACATTCACCCAACGAGTTTGGATATTGCTGAAATCGGAGATTGAGGGGGAACCGGATGCGGATGGCACGAAACTCGTGCACCTCGCCGATGAGATCATCAGGACTCGAAGATCATTCGGAGGGCCGGTGAACGAGGAGGAAGAGAATCGTCTGCGAACTGCGGTAGATCGTACCCTTCGAACTAGCGATCCCGTCTTCACTTTGCTATCCAAACGTCTCGTGAATGCCTTGACGGAACGATTACTTGTAGCCCCGGAACCTCAGGGTGCTGGTGCTGTGCCCTTTCGTCTACAAGCGGGAAAGGATACACACAAGAAACCTCATATGTGGTTGAGTCCTGCCACCCACCAAGATGAAACTGAGGTGTTGAGGGAGAAGCGGACAGAGAGATCATTGTTGGTGAAAGGGTTTGAGGATGGGGTTTTAGTAGATGCCGCGACGGATGTGCTAGTGAAGCTGAGAGGGTGTGTTGAGTGGACGGAAGACGTATGGGGTGATGTGATCAAAGGAGACTAAGAGCATGTAAATGTACAAATGAACCGGACTTGATAGAATGGCATTCATACAATTGCACGTCAGCGGACAGTCACTGTGAGGGATGCAAAAGGAATTCTGATATAGGGTTAGTGAAGGACTGCCGCGCAAACCATTACATGGTTAGTGTGTTTGTTCGACTGAAAATGCATTGTACGAATAGGAAATGACCTGTAAGTGTGTCGAATAGTGGCTACGTCTATAGCCACCATTCGACACACAGGACATCGACCTGCAGACAATGATGCTGTCAGAGATTTTACCGTGACGTTTGACTGCTAGGCTCGCTTCCAGCCTCTAGTATACTCTCGGAAGACAATCGTTCCGTCATATATGGATTTGACTGCATGAGCGGCTGCAATAATGTCAGTAAGACCATTCGGGCCCTTGGCTATCTGTCGTAATATATCGCGGAGGCTAGTTGACTGAAACGATAACAGCTGGAACTACTAACCGGCACTGTGACTTTGAAGCTTGAGGTTTACTACTAGTCTCAAATTTGCCAACTGAAGTGCCTTAGGATCAGAAACTCTGATTCGATCATTCACGATCGCATGTCGTCGTCCTAGATAGGCAAGTATGCAGGAAAACATGAAAAGGTCTTATGAAACAAAATCATAATTTCAGAAACATATATCCAGTAATCGACTTATATCAGGTACACGATTCGAGTATGAAGCCAGATAACAATTGTCCATGCATTCACTGGAGGTCTGAAAACACTAGTAGGATGACATTCTGATGAGTAAGATCCTATATGAAGCGGTGATAATAACGTACTATTTGGCGCGTCGCCCTCCATGATGCTCAGAGAGTGATAGGAATGCAACCGATGGAGATCAAAGAGCCCTAAGTGTAGGCAAAAAATGAGGTTTAGTCAAGTGGCCGACAAAAGATGATAGCACTCAAAGACTTACGAAGCTGTTGTTCTGGCAGCAGACGGGGCTAGCAGAGCATCCACCAGCAACACCACCAATGATTGTGATGGGGGAGCAGTCAAGACCGAGCAAGACCTTCAAATCGGAGAGGACAATGCCTAAAAGCCCAAGGAGAGCAGCACTGCTCGCAGATGAGGCCTAATTACAAGAAATACGATGAGTATGAAAAGTGCAAGACGAAGAGAACGGACATACGCTCTGGACGGAGTTGCAGCACTGGATAGGACCTGTGTTGCATTGACCGGCGGATTCAGTAGTCGTCGACGACGGGGCGGTGACTGTGACCGTGGTGGTAACCGGGGGCGTGGTGGTGGGTTCGCCCCAACGTCTTGCAAGCTGGTTGCCAGTAGGTGTGGCGACCGCAAGAAGGGCGAAGGCGAAGAAAACAAAGAGCATAGAGATGGATGTGCGGGACATTCTGAGTTGAGTTGTTGAGTTGAGTTGTTCAGTCGAGTTGTTGAGGAGAGCACTAAAAGTGAGAGTAGCTTGGATATGAAGACTACCAGGGAATGCTGGCAGTATTTATACAGTTTCGGTTGGCGGGCTGGGGAATGACGACCTGAAAGTGACGCGTTCAGGCCTCAGGGCATGGCCTCATCGTGGATAACTTTGAAAAAAATAGAGAGAAGCAAGTCAGAAAAGTGACGTTCGAGGGCACTATGCGCACCTTGTCGGCGATCTTTCATTTACATCGACCGCTGAATGACCGCAGATTCGTCATGACTGCGTACACGACTGTCATGTCCATCTATTATGCAGCTGCAACCGCACATGCTAAGAAAATATGAACCAATGCGATTAGCCCGCAGGCAGGATGTTGACGAAGGTACAAGGTAGTTAAAAGCTAAAACCTTTCGAACGCTGCTTACCGGAGCTACGTGCTTCTATTGACTATTTGATTTGGGTAGGGTCCTTGTGATAGCTGTCATGCGTGAATCCAGAACCCATGTCCAAATGTGTCAAGCAGGAGTGGAGCTTTTTTTATGCATATCCAAATATCGGTTGCGCAAGTTGACAGTTCGACGTCAAGGTCAGTTTTCTTCTCGGCGCTCTATCTGCCAGTGAACCGATCGCGCTTAATCTAAAGAACTAAATACTTACTGTTCTCCTCTGTCCTTGAAACAGACTCGAAATTCTAGCCATAGGAGAACTCTGTGGAGTCAGGCTATTTTGTGTCTTGAAGCTAAAGGTAAAGCGCAAGGCGAAAGATATCATGGCTTGTCGTGGAAATCAGTTACGAGTTTCTCAGACAAACCGGGTCGCTATAATTACCGCGAAGCACATCAGACTATTCGAGTGGATCCAACTTCAACGCTGGTGGTAACTGGCAGTGTCTAGCGGTGTTTGCTGTGCCTGCGATTTCACATCTGGTGCGGAGAACATCGTGTTTGCTTCTGGGGCGTTCAAGCCTCCAACCATGGGTACCCGGCCCTAACTTGCTTCCCCTGAATTTATGGAGATGGCTCTATTCTTGTAATGCCTGAAGATTGAAATCATCCGACGATCGTTGAACCTACTGTGTGTGGCAAAACTTTTGCCTCGACGACTGCAAGTTGCTAAATCCCGCCGCGCATCCCGATCGATCAGAACGCGTCCTAGCGCTAAGCGCTCGGCCCCGCTCAGCTTTCTCGTTCGAGTGGTCTGGTTCAAGTCGCACAGCACACGGTCCACACTCAACGTGACTTTCAACAGATTTCTTTGTTTTGGGCCTGCAAGTCGAGCTAGTTATTCTCGAAATGCTTGGTGGCATCTATAAACACAGTAGATTGCACTTCCGTCTCCTCTATGTAACTAGAAGAAGTTTCTCAGTTGTTTCCGCTTGTCTTTCTTCCCGACCACCGTTCAATGCTGCCCCAATTTTCAAACTTAGCGAACCTCCGAACCCCCAGTGGAAGCTTGGACAGGGCATGTTGGAAAATAGTCCGCTAACAAAGCAATGGAAGGCCGACGAGGAACAAGGATGGAAAACTTGGGATACCAAGAGCACTTCCGGAAGGTAAGTTGTAATTGAACCCTCTCATTATGTTTTATTAAAAGAAGCCTCGGTGTTTGACAGGGACGTGTATCGTCTGTTGACGAGTGCCGTTACGCCAAGGCCAATTGCTTTTATCTCCAGCCTTTCCGCTGACGGCATTCCAAACCTTGCTCCAATGAGGTACATTTCAAATTATACCTTGTACGATCTAGGTTGTAAAGTTTAGTAAACAATTGTGCACTTAGTTACTTCAACCTGGTGGGTGTCTGTCCTTTGATCTGCCTTCACATGCTGTTAAGCTTCGCTCATCTTCTCGACCTCAGGTGTCCCACAGTCCTCCGCTTCTCAGTGTCTCACTCACACTAAGTCCGAGGAAGCCAAAAGATACCAGAGAGAATATCAAGGCGACTAGAGAGTTTACTGTGAATATCATCAGCGAACCGTTCGTCGAAGCTGCCAATGTATGCTCCATCGAAGCTCCCTCAGACGTTGATGAATGGAAGGTCAGTGGACTGACGCCGGAACCTAGCGTGAGCCTTAGAGACATATTCATAGTTATATTGCAGCCAGGTTGATCAAATTATCTCTGTGTAGGTTTCAGTGGGGCCAGCTAGAGTAAGAGAAAGTGCGGTTAATCTGGAATGCGAGGTGCGCAGTGACTGAACGTGTCTCATCAGGGTGTGCTAATAATAACATATCCTCCAGCTTTTCGACTCTATTGATATCTCACCAAATGCTACCGAGCCTCCATCTACGACACTTATCCTTGGCCTTATCAAGTATATCCATGTCCGGAACGCTGTCCTGGTAGAAGACAAGGAGACTGTGGATGCCGCAAAGCTGCGACCAGTAGCCCGTCTAGGCGGAGATTCCTACGCTCGCCTCGGGGAGGGTTTCGATTTGTCAAGGCCCTCGTGGAGGGCACTCAAAGATACGGTGGAAAAGTTTACCAAAGGAAATTAAGCGAAGAGAAGTGCACATCTGTACATTTCGCGCACGGAAGTGATTATAGAAGGTGCTACAGAGCTCAATCTCCGCGGATTGCTATTCGCCTCGTTACCCCATACGAGCCCCCAGAAGCCCGGAGCCTGCGTTCCTCTGATAGAAAAGAGAGCTAATAGAAGGAAGGGCTTAGCTCATACGTTACTCAGCCTCCGAGATGTACCCTCTCTCTTGGTGTGAGGTAGCGGAAAATACATTGTCACATATATAGATAATATTTCTGGACAAGGGCCGCCGTGAGAGCACGTATCGTCGTAGAAAGGTCATTTGAGCACGGCCTGCTGTCACCTTGCACACATCGCGAGGCAAATATGAGTGAATCCAGATTTGGAAGCGCTGCAAAGCCAAATTCGCCGTCGCCAGATTCGGTGTTCTGGCTCAAGCGCCGGCATTCCACTGCGTTGTTCTTTTTCTTCCACCTCACCGTCCTAGACGAATTTCCAGGTATATTCTGAATTTGTTAATGGTACCGAATCCCTTACTGATACTATGCGGTAACAGATACCATCCAACGGCAGAGGTACGGTTGACGGAACCAAATCGACGCCCTAATTGACAAGTGCGCACCAACAGAGTCCGAGGTACTTTGTACCATGGAATCATCTTCTGTCGCCGAACAGCGGGCTACAGCCGTAGCCAAACTCAAACGTGCTGCTTCCTTACCTCGAATGAGGGACGGACGACGACCACCTATGCATACCGAGGCCGTCAGCGAAGGCGAGAGGGCTCAGAATGACGAATCGCCAGACGGAGAACGTGAACCGGATTCAGATGAGAAGCCCGAAGAGAGGATGGAACCAGATGCACACACGACCTTGCAAGAGGAAAAGCCAGGCGAGGACGGTCATTCTGTTGAACAAGTTGCGGAGGCGTCAGCGACCAAGGACTCTGATACGGCTGAGGCGCCGCCGCCGGAGAGACCCACTACGCCATCTCGCAGACGGCGTTCACGCGCTCGGTCAAGAGGATCGAAGGACCTGCGAAATAAGCCTCAGAAACCATCTGTGACCACCGCCGAATCGTCAGCGGATGAGTACAATCCACCCGCAGGTGGCGAAGATGCACCTCCTTCCCCGCCTCTTATCTCTCCAATTCCTTCGCATTATGCCGCATTCCAAACATCACGTCTTCTAAGGTCGCCCGTATCCCCTGTACCTCCTCTATTCTATCCCGGAACGAGTCCTTCGACTCCTATGCTACCTACCCTAGATGAGATACAAAAGGGAATCGGTCTGTATCGTTCCAATAGCGCTGGTGCAGCCAGAGCAATGGCCATGTCGAAACTTGTTGGAGGGAAAGAGCCTGTTGATATGAGCTTTATCTCGCAGTCATCAACACCTCCTTTGGGAAGATTAACAAGGAATAACACCGTTGCTGGCGGTGAGCGGATTGAGGCGCGTCGGAACCTGCTGAATCGACTGCATGGCCGACTCAATAACACCGATGGAGAGGTAACAAGTGGCGGAGAGGAGTGCACTGTGCAAGCAACACCACCACCACATTCCAAGCGCAGACGCAGACGATCACATAGAAGCTCATCTCGTGCATCTACAGTACTAGACGATCGGGACGATCGGGAGCAACCACCTTCTACCCCGCATTATACACCTCTTGTTCCCCCCGCTCCGTTAGCCTTAGATGGCAACACTCCATCAGAACCGCCTTGGCCGCCACAGAAACAGAATGAAGCTACATTCGAGTATGAGTCCCCGATGGGAGGTCGCGGTGTCTTAGTCGAGCCTGAGGATGATGATTTATCTCCTCCAAAGCCTTATGGTTTACCCGCTACACCATCAAGGGGACCAGGAGTGCGAATGCCTCATGCGTCAGACGCTCCTTCAAGCACTTCCACTGATTCTGCGCCAGGCTTGTCTGTTCCTGTATTCATATCGAAATCCGACGCCAGTCAGCGCGATGCGTTTCCAGCGAGTCCTTTTGCGACTCCACTGAAGGAGAAACCTTTTGGAGATGGTGATGAAGATGAGGAAAGTGATGCCTACGCCGAGCTCAGGAATAGGATGACACCTGTGACCAGGAACGCGTTCGAACGAGATAGCAAGATTAGTTGGGAAGCCGACCCTTGTAAGTTCAGACTTCTGCTGTGAGCGATTCCGTACTGACAAGGGGTAATAGTGCCTCGCATGCCCATTCATGACGATGACGACGAAGATGAGGATGACGAGGTCCCGCGACACGAGGATGATACATTCCGAAGCAACCAGCTAGTTGTTTCTACGGATAGACCATTATCTCCAGCGCCGGAGGACAACTCTGCGCTATCATCGCCTGTTTCCAAAGAGGTCGTGGTGGAAATTGAAACTTCGCCGGAACCTACACCAGGATTACCTCCACCCTCACCATTCTCTGCGGTTCCTCTGTCCACTCCTGCAACAAGCGATCGACCCACAGTTGCTGGTGCATCACCGTCTATCTACCCCATGCGTTTGTCCGTCGCATCCCGAAGCCAAATGGAACGTTCGTTGTCGGCAACGGAATTCCCTGATGACGAAGGCCGCGATGCTGCACCCAAACGTGGTGGCGAGAGCACATGGGAACGCGTCAAGAATTCGTTCATCACCAGAACTGGCTCAAGCAATGGTCGTCGGTCTCGTACGAATAGTATCAGTGCACGCGATCGAAGGTATAACACAGACTCTAGCATCAGCCGGGAAAGTGGGGCTAGCTTAGGATCTGCTAAGCACGACAAAGCCGATGGCATATTTGCATCACAGCAGGGTCAACAGAGTCAGCAAAGTCAGCAAAGTCCCCTCATGCAGACGCCTTCTGCTTCTGGCTCGATCTTGTCATTGGCACCCCACCCTGGTCCACCGCTTGGAGGTGTTTCTCCCATACCCCCGGCATCATCTGCAGACCTGCTCAAATATACCGACTCTAAACTCTTCCCGTTCCCTGGTATGAAACAGTTGGAGGAGCAACGTAATCGAGCTAAAGGCATGGCTGCATCGTCTCCAGATATCGCACAATATGCTAATGGTCATTTCAATGGCATGGAAGCCATCCCGAGTTCGGGGTCATCATCTAGTGCTACTACTCGTTCACCAGAGGTTACAAGGGATCGCAAGCTATCACATCAGGTGTCGGACTCGCAGCTATTGACGAAATATCACAACATCACCACTCCTCAGGAGCTCGCCTCTGTTCCTTCATCCGGGTCTCACATGGACTATTTCTCTATTCAGCCGGCTACAACGCCTACTCCAACATCAGGGTCGGGTTCTTTGAAATTGCCAATGACCCGAGAAGGTGTGAAAAATTGGCTAAAGTCGAGGATGTTCCCCAACCCATCGTTGAATTCGACACCGAACACTCCTTCGAGTCCTCCTGTAGTTGAGCCGAAACCGAGGAACGCTATCAAGAAACCTTCCTTGTCGGATGTCCTCAAAGGGAGACGAGAGAATGACTCTTCTGCTGATTGGGAGGGGGTTAGACATGACGATTCTCGAACACCTACTGGTACGAATGGGAGTGCGCACCCTAGCAGGCCTATCCTTACGGCAGCCAATAAGTCCGCTGAAATACTCAATGACCTTGATCTGAACCGCATTGCCCAGGAGCCTCACCCTCATACTAATCCGGTTGTCCCCGCATTTGATACTCAAGAGAACCAGGGTATATCTCAGTTCTCACACACCACATCTGACTACACCGCGTTCCCTTCGCCCCCTGAGCCACCGTCATCTACCACCCCCGATCCGCAATCGTCACTTTCGGAGTACCCAACGCGCTCAACGTCCGAGTCTTTTTCGTCAATGTCGTCCTCGCGGCATTCCCCTGACGGTCACAATGACTACATTTCTAAAGCAGCCGTTGTCATGGAACGCTTAGAGGAAGCCCTCGGACATGGTTCCAAAGGTTCTGGTTGGCCCAGTGCCATTGATGCACCTCCTAGGAAGCTCGTACTCTCTTCGCCGGTTCTCCAAGTCGCGAACGCGAATACCGTGAAGGACCGTTTCCTATTCCTCTTTAACGACATTCTTGTGATAGCGAAGCCTATTATGCATGATCACGATGGGTTGCTGGACCCCTCCAAGCCAAGTCCGCTCGATCGGAAATTCATCGTGAAGAGCGTTGTTTCGTTGCGAGAACTCAAGTTCAGTGCCGATCGAGACGAGTCGCGAACGAACACAACCGCGTCATCATCCAACTTCACACGCCATCCAGTTATTCGTAGCTTTGTCCATCAGTTTACCAAGGATCCTGACCGCGCTATTTCCGCATTATTTGAAAAGTCAAATACTCGGGACGACCCGGTAGCGCTCGGCCAGCTTGTCTTCCGGACTATAGATATCGATCGCGTCCAGCTGGGTGATTACCTTGCTCGGCGGACGTCGAAGGTTGTCCTGAAGGCATTTGTTGACGGTTTCGGTTTCGTTGGACTACGCATCGACAAGGCTCTCCGGGTGTTCCTGCTCTCGATATGCGTTCCACCTAAAGTGAATGCATTGGATTATCTATTGGATACTTTCGCGAGTCGGTGGTATGAAGCAAACGCGCGGATAGTGGCGTATGACAAGGATTTGGCGATACGTTTGGTTCGGGCCATCGTACAGCTGAATGAAGTCATGCATGGCGGGATATCCCAGACACCTGGTAATACAGGTTATCCGAAGCGCAATGTTTTGGCTCTTGATTTCAGGGAGGCATTCAGGCGATTCGATCCAAGAGGTCTCGTCTCTGACGACCTCCTGGATAAGATCTATGCTTCGGTTCGCCGGGAGAAATTGTACCAAGCTCGTAACCTGCATTCGCAGACCCCAGTTCCTGAGGTCACCATCATTATCAAGCGACCACTTCCTTCTCGACTGACATATCGCGTGCATTCGGATCCCATTGTCCTCCGCATACCTCAACCTGACCCGCAGCTAACCATTCAACTGTTTGGTCAGGACCTCATCTTCGAGCCTGCGGTACTCAACTTTGCGAAGTCGTGCGAGGCGTCGTTCAGGGTTACAGGGTCTTCACTAGGACCAAAGACGATAATCATGTGGCGATCAGGTCCCAATGCACTGGCATACTCTGGACTCCCTCTCAGCAGTCCAGTGATAGTAGAGAGGGCTTTCATGCGAAGCACTTTCCAGCTTGCTTTCCTGAATCACGAGGGTCAAAAACGGAGGTACATGTTCAGCGTTGACGATCCTCTCATACGCCATCCGTGGACCGTTTCGATACAGCGCCAAATCGACATTGCTGGAAGTCAGGCGGGACAGGCCTCGAAGCCTCTCCGAGCCGCCGAACAGATTGCCTTCCGGGTCCTTCAGGATACCTTGATCGGTTCTGATGTTGAATCGCATCAGTCTCCGGTGGATGAAGCTTTTGAACGTCTGACCGGTGAAGCATCGACCAATCCTTCATCACGACGTGCTCCCCTGGATAAGTCCCCAGCGCATGCACGGTCAAAGTCGAGAAGCCAAGTCTATCATCGCCATGGTGCTGGTAAATTGGAACCAGAATCTAGCGATGAGTTGGACCAGACGACTCGCAACCGCTTGTTGCCTCTATTACGAACTCCTTCACGACTTTGGAGTGGACGTGATCTGGAAGTGATCTGTCAACAGAATAGCGCTATTCCTTCCCTCATTGCGTACCTGCTAGATGTGCCGCACGGCGCATCAACAAATGGCACATCAACAAACACTCCTTGACCAACTCAATTCCCCATTGTGTATCTATTTTCGTTCCGTAAGTGGTATCACGCAATTTCCAACTTCTCGATGCTAACTATGTTGGTTAGTGTTATCGCCTCACGTCCCATTGCTATCATCCTACGCTATGTATCATCACTTCTGCTCGGACCGTCTCCCATTTCCTCCGAATTTCGCTATATATTTGCTCATTTAGATACATTATTGTTGCATTTCTTAATACTTCTTTCTCCCTCCTTCTTTGGGATCTACATGGTCTGCTCGTCCATTCTCTTATTTCAGTGTACTATAGCAGGACGTCTCGGAATTCCCTCATATCAGCTCTCCCTTCTTTCTTCTGCATATCCCAAAGAGGAAGAGGGTGCCTACATATGGAAAGGTGTGCTCCATATACGGTAATCTTCCCATTGCTCCTCAAATTCCCATGTGTATGTCTGCAAACTTCACTTGTAAGAAGCTGCGCATGCTCTTTTAGATGTCTCTCGAAGCGTGCAGCTACCACCGAAATGTCTGACATCTATTAACGATGCAGTCTTACTTCCAAAGCAAAGAAGACAACGGAAAAGACCTCTTCGCAAGGATAATTGCATCATGAAAAGTAAAGAGACCGTGAGTCCCGATATTCTCAGTCCTTTCTCGCATATTGAACTACATTTTTCCAAGAACATTTGATGTTATCTTTGTAGTCCCTCAGACTCCTTCTTGGCTACAGACGATGACTTCATCAATGTCGGTCAAAGTGTCTTCTCTTTGAACGCAATGCTGCGATGGACCAGTTTGCAGTTATCTCCCTTCTTGAACCCTATAACGGACTTCGACGTCCTTGATAACCTTCACTTGGCTCTTGAACTCCCTTTTTTCATATTTTGACCCATTTCTCTCACGGTTGGGGGTCGTACCTGTCCTGAATGATCAATATGCAGGAAGGGAAGACAGGATGAATGCATGAAGAGTTTGAGTTCCGAGCAGGTTAGCGAAGTTCAATACTATAGCGTGATATCGTCGCAAGTTCTATTAGAAGTGGTGATAGTAAGATGACTGACATAACAATACTATCTCGAGTACTTTTGTCTAGATTACTACTGCTATGCGACAGTAGTCTCCTCGGCAGGAGAACTGCTCTGAGAAGGAGCAGACTGTGGGTCCGAATGCAGAGGTACTTCTTGGACTGTTCCAGGTGAGGCGCTGTCAACCGCCGGCATTGGTAAGGGCTCTTCATCATCATCATCATCCATGATGTCTACAAAACGGTCCGTTTTCAACACGTTGGACGCGTAGAAGACTACATTTCACATACCTTCACCATATACATCTGGGTGCTCTCTGAAGCACATCTGCATTGCCTTGAACTTTTCTATACAGTCAACACCCTTGGGCTCTTGTTCTGAGAAGACGAAACATGAGAATGCCTCCCGGAATTGCATCCCACAAGGTCCATGGGCCATTCCCCCAAGACATGGGCAGTCCCAGTTGATCTCGCCAGTCTCAGGATTGAATGCACCTCCACTTGCACCGTCATGTTCGTCTTCAGCTTCTTCTGAAGGCTTGGGAGACGTGGCAGGTTCTGCAGAGGTCGATGAAGACGCGTGTGGTTCTTCTTTATGAAGAGAGGGTTCGTGGTGAATAGCCACAGGGTCTGAAGAGGACAGGGTTTCTGGAGAAACTGCCACCTTTGGATTTAGAGGCTTCTTCGCTGCTCTCATAGACGCATTATTATTTCGTTCATGCCGTGCTTAATATTGACGGACTTACACGGCTCCACGGCATCCAATGCAACTGATTTGCTTTGCCACGTCAAGTACGCTGCAGTAGCAACTGAAGCACCCAGAACTAATCCGACACGTCCTGTTCTCGGCAGAGGTCGTGGACGCGAGCTCGCGGTATGCAAAGCCCGACGAATTGGAAGCCTGACAAGATTTCGCAGCATTTTGAAGTCGTGTTAAGGCGACAGAAAAGGCAGAACACTTTATAAATGGCAGACGACGATGTCACTGAATAAGTTTCCGATTTCGGGCGCTTTTGCGTGCCGCAGCGTATGTGAGAAAGTTGCCGAAGGGCATGACAAAGCGTTCCTGACTAAGTTTGAGTGTAGCCGAACCACTCAAGATGCGTGAATTCCCGATTTCTCAACACACACTAAGCAAACAGCAGGGTAGAGTTCACAGTCGGGAAAACGATGTGACATTCGGACGGTACGAAAATTTGACTGATAGATGTTTTAGAATCTTCAAGACGCAATTGTTGGAGGAGTCATAAAGCCTCCTTGAGACTCCAAATTTCGTTGACCATCAACCACAACTCGAATGCCCGTTCCTGTAGGTACGCATCCTTCTCCTAGAGCTCTTTCCAACGCAATCTTGGATGCAAACCCAGAGCAATGCATGGGCAGAACATACATCGGCGCTGGTCGCAATTTATTCGCCAGGAAGTCTACGGTCGGTTCAATTCTATCCGTTAAATCAGGACTGGCAAGATGTAGACCGCCAATGATCTGTCGTTTTCAACATCAGCTTTTTTAAAAATTTCTCGTCATCGAGACAGACTGAAACATACCATGTAAATAGGCCGCTGGAACTTCTCTACGGCGTCGCGAACAACATTCACAATTCCGGCATGCGAACATCTACCAATTGAGATTGAGTGTTTAAGTTCACTAATCGGTTTATTTAAGCTTAGGGCGTACGCAGAAAAAATCACGAGTCCCTTTCCTGCTACGTCGACAGCAGCATATCGTTCGTCCACAATATCCTGAAAACAGCGTGAAGTCCGAACCACGCAGATAGAAAACCTGCTCATGATCTCACCTCGTCAGGAACCCATTCACCCTGCTTGATTTGTACATCTCCAACCCATTTCATGCCACCCAAAAGCCCATTCTCGAACGAAGTCACCCTTGGAATTTCTCCACTCACGTACACAGTACCATCTGCCACTGTATGGCCCTCAGGGTGAGTTTCCACAACCCCACCAACCTTCCGAATCGCATCAAAAGTTGGACCCGGATCAACCTGTGCGACCACCTTGCCCAAAGGAGCGATACCCCTTGCATACGGTCTATCTGGGTGTAAATCAGCTACGCAAGGCTGGGTCGCGTTTCCCTTGTTGATTTGGGCTTTCGTAGCTTCCTGGTATAAGCGGAGAAAGGAAAGGAGACCGCCGCTATGATCACTGTGCCAGTGAGAGATAATCACACGCTCGACACGCTCAATTGGCACTTTCATAGAGACGACGTTCCTTGCGATGGAACGTGAGTCTGGGCCAGTGTCGAATAGGACCAGATGAGGGTCCGATCCCTCGATTTGCGTTTCCTGTTGAATCGGAACATGGTCAGAACTTACTTACGGACTTTAACGGTAAGCATACGATCAATGCCGAGAAACCATGAGCTCCTGTAGGGAACTGTGTCAGTGAAAGGGAGTAGAAATGACGGTGAATCGCTACCACAGCAATACTTCTCAAGATCGAGAACAGGGGCACCCGTGATTGGATCAATTGGAGGATCGTGCTCAGATAGATGCACTCGCATCTCATGAGTGAAGCCTGGAGGCAACTTGGTAAACCTATCACAATTGACTTTAGTCCAACGCGAAGACAATTTGGTGACTGCAACAAGACCATTCTATTGAATTGTCGACGAGGAAAGTAACAGTTAGTTTGTCTACAGTCTTGACCGGCCCCATGAATCCGTGAAGAGAGAACAAAGGATAACGAAGATGAGAGAGAAAAGTGCCAAAGTGCTGTGCAGAGGATGATTGTATGACACCCCGAACTTCGAAAGCACAACTGCAATGAAAAGCAGGAAAGCAACAGAATGTTATGTACACAAAATGCTTGGGTGGAGCTTGGTGGGTCAGGATGCATTACATAATATACAGCGGCTGAAACAGCAGCAAAGGCAGCGGGAAAGACACCAAAAAAAAAAGAACAGAAATAACCTCCTCAAGGATCGCCGTTGAGACGTGTGTCCAGCCTCGTCTACATGTTACGAAAGTATATAAATAGGTTATAAGCTTAGGCAGCTTGTCTGTATTTCGAATGATCAGTATGAATTCACACCCGAAGTTCGGACGAGACGTACGCCATGCCACCATAACCCATATTCGTGCCTTGTTCTGCGAGCTTGCGCTGACGGAAGGCCTGTGGAACAACGTCAATTGATGATCAAATTGGGACCGGTCGTTAGATGACAACATACCTTGCGGTACTTCGTACGTTCGTACGTTACCAAGCCGACCACAATCAGAGCGATTGCGGATACTCCGGCGAAGACTCCCAAACCAATTGGCAAGACTGAGAGTTTCTTTCCAGGAATCTGGAAGGCGGGTGGGCTGGAACTTGCCGAGTCCGCTGCCGCAGTACCAGATGGTGAGTTCGCTGCAGCCGCAGCAGCAGCGCCTGTAGCGTCAGCAGCCGCGGCCGACGATGCAGAAGAACTGGAGGAATCGGCCGCTGACGTAGCTGCTGGAGAGGCAGTGGTCGCCGCTGATGATGCAGAAGACACCGCAGAAGATACCGTTGGCGTGCCACTTGATACGGCTGAAGCAGCAATGGAAGACGTTCCCTGTGATAACAACGTCAGACTTAGATGCATCAGATAGCCTTGATTAACGTACAACAACAGATATGACAGGGTTACCCGATGGGGCAGCAGTTGCTGATGACGCCGAAGCAGAGGAAGTGGAAGCACTGCTGTCTGTTGACACGGCGGACGCAGCGATAGAGGAAATACCCTTTGGGACAACATCGTTAGTGCATATTCTAAAAAACCGCCAATGGCATGGTAATGCACTTACAATGACCGAGATCACGGGACTGCCAGTAGCAGATGCACTTGCACTTGCGCTCGCAGACTCCGAAGATACAGCTGTGAAAATTCGTAAGATCATCTCCATCTCGAAATAAAATTCTCATACCTTGAGAAGTAGCTGTGGCAGACACTGAGCTATCTGTCGCAGTGGCAGTTTGTGTTGCGGAAGAAACTGTAGAGTCAGTGGAAGAGAGAACTGCTGTACCGGTGGAAACGGATGCATCTGTTGACGTAGCAGAGGATGCGGATGCGTCTGTTTGTGTGGCAGAGGATGTGGATGAGTCTTTCTGTGTAGCAGAGGATATGGATGAGTCTGTTTGTATAGCAGAGGATGCGTCTGTCGATGTAGCAGAAGGCACAGATGTGTCTGAAGTAGATGTCGCAGCAACGCTCGTGCTAGCAGCAGTGTTGGAATCCGTCGACGTGGGAGCAGCCGTGGACGCGGATGCACTGTCTGAGCTACTTCCAGGTGGTGAATTGTTATTTGACGGATCTGCACTAGCAGGTACCAAAGTGCACGTCTTCTCTTCCTGCACCAGGTCCTCTCCATTTGAACCCTTTATGGGAGTCAAAGTAATCAAACATGTTTCAATCATAGTGCCCGAATTCCTGCAGCAAGATGTTACATTCAAAGATTTATTATGAAGTTGCGAAACCAAGACTCACGTCTGCACAGTATCAGTAAGTGTGAAAGTGGTGGGTTGCGACAAGAGGACATTAGCCAGTGTCAATGCCGCGTCCTGGCGAATGGCTATGGGAGCCGCTCTGACGAGACCCAAGAAAAGGAGAGAGAGCTGTAGGAGAACCATTGGAGAAGATGTCCCGAGCATCTTGAAAGTTACGCGCGAAATGGCTTGAAATGGGTGAATAGCGGTGGAAGACGTGTAAAATAATGAGCGCAGAGCCGGCTCCAGCTACCAAAGGTCGACAAGGACAACGGCGGAGAGGAAGAGGATGGTAAAAGGAATGGATATGCCCCCAGGGCAAAAGAAAAGAGGACCACGGACAATGGGTGGCAAGAAAGCAGGTAAAGAGACGAAACTGGATGCGCACCGCTCCCTTGGGTCAGTCAATGCACATTGTGATTTCTTAATTCAGTTCATACTCCGACTCTATCAAATTAACATCGTGTTCTTACCTGTCGCTTTCGGAGTTTGTAGTTCTGTCTTCGGCATGGAACAATGCAACCGGCGATGGACATGGAAACAAAAATGATCGTTTGCTCTGATCCGTCACAACGCTGTCTGCAACCTCCTTTGTCTCCTCCCATTCCTCTCTCCTTGGCGGCCGTACGCACGACCACTCGCGACTCGCCCAGCCTTGGTCCTCGTTGTCCAACAATTTCATCTCTCATTTGCTACTGTCAATACTCGACAAGGACGAGCTGTGCAGGACATCCATGTTCTGTAACATAGCGATGCTCGGTCGCAGAGACCCGTCTGGGCAGTGTTGATATTATGATAGCTGGGCCTGCCCTCGAGGGCTCTAGACGGCCCTCCCTCGAGTCGATATGTACAGCGTTCAAAGATACGTCCTACTTTATGAAGAGAGTACATTATTCCAATGACTCTAGCTGTTTCCTTTGGCTCTACCAATTCTTCGGATCGCTGATTTCTGAGTCAGTAAGGCACTGTCTATTCTACGCCACTCTCTACCCCGAATACACACCCAGAACCTACGCGAAAACACTAAAATTTTCACTACCGTCCGTCAAAGTTTCAATAAGATTCGGGCGTCTGCGAGGTCTATCCTAGGATACAGGGTGCTATTTTAAGGACCCCGGTCTCTCACATTGCAACATCCGTGCTAAATGTGGCTCCCGTCCATATTGCAGGTACTGCGGTTTCCTCTGTGAAGAGGTGCTTGTCCGACGTACAGTATCTACACCTCGAAGCCCGAAGCATTGAAATTCATCGACCATCTCACTGGTGCTTCCTAACTCTATTGACCAATTTATTCTAGACAGCTTCCTTTGAGTAGCGAGTTGACAAGTAAGGTGACTGTCATTGATACACGGTCGTGTTTATTCAAATCCCCGCGTGTCTCACATAGGGTATGGCTTCCCTAACAACTCCTTTCAATATCGTACACAATATCGACGGTACAAGTACAAGCGACGGTCAATACAAAGTAATATACAATGTCAGCATCGATTTGTCCCTCGTAAAAGTCTCATGGCAGTCTAAAGCGTAATCTCCGAACAATCACCAAGTTGATGGCCTACATCATAGTTAGATGTCTTCGTAGCAGACAGGGACCAACAGGACACTCACCCAAACGTTCCCCCATCGGCCAAAGATATCAGGGGCGTAGAATTACCGTCAGCAGTATTGGCAAAGACGGTGTTACCCCACCACGTTTGAATGTTATTCTCGCCAATGGTGCCGTTCCTAGGATATTGGAGGCAGAAGAAAATGAGAATGGCCGAGACAGCGACTCCAGCATCCAGCGCCGCAGATAACACGTCTGTGCACAACGATGTTCATTCAATACTCGTGCAGATCTAGAGTCTACGATAGCCGTGTCTCCACTTACAGTTGTATTTCGTCCACCAAGCGAAGTGACGTCTGCGAATGACGTAGTTGAATACGAAGCCGACAATGGTCCATGGCACGTAGTTAACAGCGCTGGCTGGTGGAATGAGGCCGGTACCACTGAAGATGACTGGGAAGTTAACGTATTTGATGAAGGAGTTGGGCCACTTGAGGTGGACCAACCAGGCGAGGAGGGGAGCGATAGCTCCGATGAGGAAGAAGAATAGCAAAGGGCTATAGAAGGATTGAATGTCTAAATGACAATCAAGCGGTTTTTCTTTACTCACTAATAGACTTGTCCTTTCGAGAATTGACGGATAGGACCAATTACGCCCCAGATAATGGACGCAGTTCCAAAGACTTGGGTGCTCGGGCACTACACGAATGATCGTTGAGAGACAATCAGAGTCCACACTTGTGAGTATGCTCACGATAAAGTGATCCTTCTGGTGAGGGTCACACATGTTCTCGATATTTGTGAACATCCAAGCTTGAACGCCAAGCTGCACAGTACCAGCGATCTGGAAGGCGAATGACATCAAGATCATGATCGACGACACAGATCTGTGTATCGCTTACAGCTGTGGCGACAATCTGAGCGGAGAACATTGTCTTGGGTCTAAAATAACCATGAGCAACGTCGCCTTTCAAACGTTGGACATTGTGAAGAAGACCCACGGAATTTTCATGTAATGGCCAAGCTTGAAATCGGAGCTGAACGTTAAAGCTTGTGCCATTGTGATGTAACCCCATGTCTTGAACATCATCATTGCAATGGGACGGCCGGGAAGAGCATAACCAATCACGAGTTCAGTGATCACGCTGATAATGATGATCAGTGAAGGGAGTCCTGGAAACTCGAGTAAACTCACTTAAGGCCAACTTGCTGGTTGGTTATGGCTTGAATCATTCCGATGGGAATCGTGAAGACGAATGAGATGATCTATCATGACACAATCAGTTTCAGCGAGTGAAACATTGTTAGAGGCACGACTGACCAACGCGAGAACGAATGCCCACACTGGGTACTGTGTATCCCAGACCTCGATGGAGATGATGCCGAAAACGAACATGACAACTGAAAACCAACAGCGAATTATAAGTGAGACTGAGTGAACGTAACAGCAACCATCCTACTCACTGAAGACTATCACATACCACCAGTCAGGAACCTGATTGTAGCGCGACATGAGACGAGCATGAATATCAGGCTGTTCGTGCATTGACCTTCTGGACTGTATCCAGATTTGCTTGCGGAAGAAGAGGAACGTGTGCATTAGTGTCGAAGAAATTGAGGCAAAGGACAAGCCGTAGGTCAAGGCAAATGTAGTCGACAAGAAAAGTGGACTGTACTGTTCGTACTTCGCCAAATTCAGGGTAGCATCATCGTTGATAATTTGAGTAACATCATATGTCTTGCCGAAACGATCAAATGATGTGCGTGACGAGATTCTGTGAAAGGCAACAGTTCAGCGTCAGGTGGGATTCCTAAAAGTAAAACGATACGCACGGCATGAACTTGCTGTACCAAGTGTTCGTGTAGTAGAGAACGGGAGTAAGGAACCCTGAATAGATTTAGCAGGTTTAAGCTACGTAACCGGCTATCGCTTACAGAAAAAGAACAAAAATCCAACAGCAATATTGGCTTCTGCCCACCAAGGTGTCGCCTTAAATTATCATGAATGGCTGCACATTACATATAGCTCGAATGACGTACGAGGGGGGAACCAATGTAAGCAATCTGGGACCAGTCGAATGTGATGAGGCTCATTCCCTGTCACAATTTGTCATATAGAGTTAGTTCGACGAAGGGAAATGAACGTACCAATCCGCTCGAGTAACCGAAAAGTTGGTTAATGACGATGTTATCGGGAACAATCCAGCATACCCAGCTGAAGACACTGAGGGCTGTGGGAACATACTCGTCAACTTGAATTAGATGTGTCCAAGAATAGATTTACCTTGGAAGATGTATCCCGGGAAGACGAACCAAACGAGGGAACCAATGAACGCGTACAAGAAGAATCGTTCACGACTGATACCTCCTCGGTTTCCGATACCAGCATATTGCTGGTGGTGAAGTGTGTTAAACAAGGCACAGTATACCAAGTTCGTTGGCCAGACTAGAGAATTTTACGTCAAAATAACATCATCCAACACAAAAAGTCGTCTTACTCATAGATGGAGGTTGTACCAGGAAGCGACGAGCAATTCCTCCGATGGAAAATCCGATCTGTTTCGAGATGCATTAGCGACATCTGTTACTGGCAACCGGTGTTGCTTCTTGCAACCGTACCATCTGTGTACTCATGACTACCATCCATTGGTCTGTGAAAAAGATGAGATGTCGGGTGCACATCGGTCTAAATGATAGCTTACACGAGAAATTGTAGATCTGGTTGTAGTAGACCCTCTGGACAGCAATGATGTCGGTCTAGCAAGACCGTTCAGCACACGAATATCTATACACCTGAGCATCGATGAACCTACAGCATATGCAGACTGGTAGCCAACACTGCCCATGATGGTGACGAGCACATGCTCTTTGATAGTGAAGGGTCCGGGATTCAGCGCCACGCCAAAAAGCTTCTTCTGGGGTACGATCCTCGCCCACAATCGACCAACGGGGAAGGAAATCAACTGAGCTACAATCTGGAGAACGCGTTGTAAGATTGATTGTCAAAGAATTGGAGGGAAAGAAACATACAGGGCCAACGGTGACGGAGGGAAAACGGAAGAAGAAGAACTGGTTCATTCCCGGGATGACTATGGCCAAGATGATACCAATGACCCATGCTCGTAAACTGTTGACAGGAATATCTGGATCGTCTGTGTTGGCGACGGCGGATCGTACTTCCGGGTAGGGCGAGTCGTCCTCTGAAGCGATAGAGTGAGCTCGAACAAGCAAGTGCGCCTTGAGATGGAGAACACACCGAGAATAATGGCATCCTCGTCAATGTTAGGGTCATCAAATTCCGTGACCTTCAGAATTTGCTCTTTATCATGGCCTGAAGGGAGGGGGTGACGATGAGCGAAGTGATGAAGCCGGGCAAGGGAAACCAGTACGTACCTAATGCCTTCTCTTCGTCGACTTTGTGCAGGGACGAGGAGTCAGCACTTTGTCGGTCCTCGGCAAGGGCAGACATAGTGGGTCAGGGAGGCACACCGGACTGGAAGGTTACCATCCCGGCGTGCTTCTTGTACCTCCCAGTGGTGCCACAACAGATGAGTGCCACGGCCTATCGCTTGAGAATCTGGAGTATTCTATGCCACTGACGTGCGGTCCTTATCAATTATATTTTTACTTTCCAGGTCAAGACGGAACTCGAGAAGGATACGGAATCTCGGGATGGGAAACGTGACATGACTGCACACGACTCGGTCCAACGTGTGCGCACGGCATTAAAATCATTGACGGTGAGCCATGGTGTCTAATAAGGGTGTGCGAGACCATAGCAACTTCTATGAATGACATTCCATTCTTCAATAGAGGGCGTAGGAAATAGTCAATACCGCTTGTTTTGAAGTCGGAAGAGCGTTTGTATGTCCTGGCTCCTCTGCGGGAGGGCTAGAGCGGTAGATAGTATCAGGATACCCGCAACAGATTTGACAGGGACAGAAAAGTTGGCCGCACAAACAGGGACGAGTACTGCTGCGGAAGAACCTACAATACCGACGAAGATAAGCGTGAGATCAGATGCACACTTCTAGCAGGTGGGAATAAGCGAACCGTACGTATGCGAGGAACTTCGGTGGGTGGGTGCAGATGCTAGCGACCGGAATAGAGGTAATCTTCTCATTATCCCGAATTCTGTGCGAGGAAGTTGACAAGTCAGCACCGACCTAATGTACACATGGAAACTGACCATGTGGCCGTATGTCGGTTCGTGTCGAAAAGAGCAGTATCAAGGACACGATCTCACCAAATGTCAAAAGACATAGATACATGCAGGAAGCGAAAGGCGCCAGTTGTCCAAAGCCTTGGAGTGCATGTCTGGGAAGACTGTAAGGACCGCCGGCGTAGTGGTGAATTCCACTTCTTGGGGACGCCAAGCCAATGTATGTAACATATTCGGAGGACTTTACGTCTGTCAGAACTCTTGGCCAGAACTAGTGATTTCTCTGTAGAACCTGAACGAGTTAGACAACATTTTTGGAGTTTGAAACCCAGGCAGTGTTGTTCGAGTTGTTCTTAGTGACCTCCTGCATGCAGCACAGCATTTAGTCGATCAAAATTGTGAACTGGAGCGCCGCGAGGGAATTGCTTCTTACGTCTGGCCTCACAAACAACCTCGAGAACTCCTTTCGTGAGATAGCGATGTCTTCCAACCTTTCTGTGCTCACCAAATCGCACAAGATCATTGCTTCTAAAAAGCGTGCAAGAAGGGAACAAATCAAGGAGGTTGTCTTTGACGATGATGCCAGGAGGTATGTCCTGCGCGTTCAGTCCGCTGATTTGCCTTCTCATCTATTGCTCAAGGGAATTCTTGACGGGATTTCACAAGCGTAAAGTGGAGAAGAAGGAGAACGCCAAGAAGAAGGCTCAGGAGCGAGAAAAACAAGAACGGTTAGAAGCGCGGCGAGAGGTATGTCTTCGCGTTTGGATTCACTTGGACCTTGACTCAACTTCTCGCTGCAGAAACGGAAAATGCTGGCTGAACAAGCTGTTCAGAATGCACAGGAGGTGGAAAAGGCCTACGGTGCTATTATTGACGGTGAAGGTACGCGTAATTCGATTGACATATCCCCATGCTCGCATTGTCTGATGTACTGTCATGGAAGATGATTCTGGTACAGCCTTACCCGCCACTCGCAGTAAGGGTAAACAGAAGGCGGAGATTGAAGACGAATATGAAGACGAGGAGCAACTGGCGACGGTGACGGTTGTCGAAGATTTTGACCCTGAGGCCCTTTTACATGCGCCTGTCCCTACCTCGAAACGGACAGACGTTGATGGCACTGACAGATCTTCATTGTCTCGTCGACAGCCCGAGGTCAAGCCAAAATCTCATGTGACACCGTCAGTGGACGTGAAGAAAACGCATGCGAAAGTTGCTAAGAAGGCCAAGGATATCAAGTACCAGACAAAATCTGCAAGAAACGCTGAAAGGACGAAACAGCGAAGAAGAAAAGTCGAGAAAGCTGAGAGAGCTGGCGGCAAAGCCTCAAGGAAGAGTCCAAAAGGCCGCAGCAAACGGTGAGGTGACCGCCATGCACGGCTACACTGCTCGGGACCACTTTCACCATCTTTTACTGCAAGATCACGTACAACCTCCTTTCCTACGCTCTTATTCCGCTCAGTATCTTGTTGTATGGCGACGCTGCTAGCATCATTCAATTGATTCTTTCGTGCTGATGCACGAGGCCGAATCATGCAGATTCAGTTGAAGATCTACCCGGAGTGCCTGAAGCCCTCACGACTTCTTCCAACCTACCCACACTACATATGGTTCCTCCAACATCCCATTCACATGGAATACTTCCCATACTCCGCCTCCGCTTGCCGCTAGCCACAGTTCAAGGAATTCCCTCACGACGTCTTCTGCTCTAAGTTCCACTACTACTAGCACTGCGGTCCGCTGCGGGGTGCTGAGATGGTCTATCGTTTGCACAAGTGCAGGTAGGAGCGAAGGATGATAGATACAATCCACCACCAGTAGGAGATCTATAGGGTCATACGAGAAGAGCTTTTTACGAATGGATGAATTGCAATTGTGCAATGCGAGCCAGTCTAACGGTTCCGCAGTGATTGTTCCTTTCGCATTCGGACCGCTTGCCAGTGGAGAAGATAAGCTATTCCAGTCGGGTAAGTTGAGCGAGAGGTTCTTTCGGATGAGGGGCATGAGGTCCTCGATGTCGGTAACGGTGTAGTGCCGTACCAGGGGTGAGAGAGCGATGCCTAATAGACCCGTCCCAGCCCTGCATGATGAACAGATATCTTCTTGAGACACGGCGAACCATTGGTATTGGCTGTTACTCACCCAAGTTCTAGCACATGTGAGTCTTGCAAGCGCGCACGATTGAGTAGCGCATCCGGGTTGGCCTTATGAAAATGCTGTAGGATATTCTGAGCGAGCTCGATACTGAATTCGTGCATCAGGTCTCCTTCTAAAAATTGCAGCAATGCAGATAAAGCGGGAACGGTACCTGGCTCTCCACACGACACTTCCCGTATCACCTTTCCGACTTCGGAGCGCAGTCTTATCCTGCATGAGCTGTATCTCAACTGTTCGATCCTGAGGGGCCAGTTGCCTTTTCTTTATTCTTTTCCTACTTTTTGATGAGACAGATTCAGATGCTGCAGGACTGAGATTGCCCTTCAGCTCAAAGGTTAAAGCGACGACATCTTTCGTCGAATCGAGGTAACCTAGTCCGCGAAAATTGTCTGAAGAAGCCTCGTTGGCAGGATGCGCTGCTAGATTGGTGTAAAGTAAGAACACCTGTACACAAATTTCTCGAGCTCCCCTATTGGAACACATGAATTATTAAAAGTCGCCAACCTCTTCATCAGCGTCGGAGATGAGAGTTGACCCGGATGGAAGGCAACATAGTCCACGTTGTACATGTTGGCTGGCAAGTGAAGTGAGGCCTTCCACGCCATCCATGAGAACGACAGATATATCCTGATTGAGATACTGACAAGAACGAAGGAGATGAAAGAAATTCAAGCAAAACAGTTTCCATACTCGACTCATCAGCCACAACACAAATAGTGCACAACAAGCGTGGCGGTGGAAAGAAAGCCACGACACCGTGCGTGTAACCACGTCTATGCGACAACAAGGTTGCCATATATCGTACTTTCTCTGCTCTTGACTCTATTGCTGCACGCTATGAATTCCTTATATACCCTAGGAGTACGCCAGACAAATTCAATACAAGCCGATCTTGAGAAATTACGCAATGGAGACTCGTCTGCATCTCTACTAGGTCTGCATTTCCGACTTTGGGTTCATAGACTTCTTCGGTGCAATTGGCGGGTTGGACGAGCATTGGTAACATGATCTGACTTTGACAGGACAGGTCTCGGCGTCATTGGCTGCCATGAGTCGTACAATCGATGACTATGACTCTATGGCAAAGCGCGAAATCATCAAAGCGAAGCAGGAGAAGGCAATGATGTAAGTTAGGGTTAGCAGCCTTTCACAACATCTGACGTAAAATTGCCAGGCGAGTATCCAAGTTCAGGGCCGACTATACAGAGCTACGGTCACAATTTGAACGAATGAAGAACGAAGTAAGCAAGAAGTTTGTATATACTGCTGTTTAATGTAAGCGGTTAAATATCCCTCAGTCAGAAGCAGCAGCACGAAACGAATTGCTATCTGGCGCGTCTTCGTCAACTGGTCCCCTTTCCCCAGCCGCTGGTGATGCTCGGCGACGCTTTCTAGGGGCGCAACCGCCAAATGGGTCCCCGTCCGACGTATCAGAGTCACCGTTCCGCGGACCGACACCATTACCCACGTCCGACATGCGAGAACAGCATGCGTTACGGGAACACAGTTTTATTCAGAACACAGAGGCGCGCCTGGAGGACTTTATCTCGCAAGGACGGGCAGTTTTGGATGATCTCGTGGATCAACGGACGGTGCTGAAAGGAACTCAGCGGAGACTACTAGATGCAGCCAACACTCTAGGTTTGAGCAGGGATGTAATAGGCTGGATTGAGCGGAGAAGGTGAGTTACATTGCTGTATACCGTTTAATCAACTCACAGTTTCGTAGCACACAGGATATGTATATATTCTTGGCTGGCGCCATCTTCACTTTCTTCTGTTTCTATCTGATATGGCATTATTTTGGGTAACTTGTCTCATTTCGGTTCGTTCTTTACTTTATTCTGGCGTCTATATCATTCCTACTTTATTCTATCATCCTCGTGACATTGAGTTATGCTGATTGCTTCACTCAAACCATGTTTCTGTGGTTTTGCCCACGGTTCGCATGGCAAATACATCATTCCACTGCTCACGATGAATGTGACATACAGACTGCTACTGGAGGAGAATAAAACCTCATTTCCCTAGGACGTATGCGTTCGTTTTCTTCCAAGCGAAGCCGTCATTAAAACGACGCAATTCCTCCACGCTACTAAACACACATCGTTGGTATGCGCCATAATCCCCAATATTCCGAGTTGCAAATGATATACAGATATTATACAGAGATTCGTGCCGTCATGGACGTCTATGTCAAATCCAGTTTTGTTATTCCATCAGTTCAGGCCTTCTGCACAGGCCACCATCCCTTCTTCTCGAAGTCCGCCACAATATCTTTCGCCGTCTCGTCAAACGTGCGGTACTTGATACCAAGCACCTGCTTCGATTTTGATGAGTCGGTGACGATCTCATGGATGGCCTCTTCAGGCTTGTAGGACGTATTGCCTGCAGGGAGTGTGGGGGCAACTTTGCGCACAGCATTGACTGAGGTAGAGGCTCGTCAGCGAGATGAAGGATGATGCAAAGTGAGGCCCACATACCCCAATCTTGCCATTTGTATGTGCCACCGCTGATGATGAATCGTTGGTTGGCAGCTTCCTCCTTGAAGAGCGCAAGCACTAATGCGGAGCTGACGTCCCGCACATCGATCCAGTTGTTTCTAAATATGGTCGTCAGTACTTCTGGAGACTCAAAGCAGGTAAAAGTACACACCCTTCCTTGACGAGCGTCTGATCATCTGTCTCCCCCTTCAAGACAACCGTGTAGAACAAACCCATGGAGGTGTTCAGCTGGGAGAGATCCTGGATCTCATGAATGATAGGGCCATACACGTAGGGCGGGTTGAAAACAACCAAATCCCATTGTATCGCAGCCTTATTCTTCTCATACCACGCCCAAGCTGCCCGTTCTGCCAGGGTCTTGCTAGCCATGTAAGAATCGAAGGGGCTCGTCTCCTTGCCCTTGGTCTCGACTTCGTTGACAGCCTTATCGTTCCAGTTGTTCTCATTGAAGACGGTGGGTTTCTCGAGGTCGGTGGTCTGAACGGCAGCAGTGGACGAGAGGACGACAACGCGCTTAACGGTGCTTCCATGCTTGAGGGCGCTTTCCAGGATGCTGGTAGTACCCGCTACGGCGGGAACGATGAGATCCTGAGGATCAGTGATGTTGAAGTGGAAAGGGGAAGCTGTGTGCTGAATGGCATCGACGCCTTTGACAGCTTCGTCGAAGGCGCCAGTCTGGTAACAGAGCGTCAATGTGGCAACTAGGTAGGCATTGTCGCACAACTAGCTTACCTTGGTGATGTCGTCAACAACGACAAGCTCAAGCTTATCACCGTAGCTTGCGAAGGTCTTCTTCAGGTGCTCGCCCTTGGCTGCTGAGCGAACGGTACCACGAACAGTGAAACCTTTCTCAAGGAGATCCTTGACAAGCCATACGGCGATATATCCGTTCGCGCCAGTGACAAGGACCTTTCCAGAAGTTACAGCTGGCATTATGAAGACAAAGAATTGGTATGAAAGTGGCGATTGGGTATGTAAGGTTTGGGGAATGCATCATTCAGTTATCTCACTCGCTTTATATATGTATGCAGCATTCATGCTTGACATGTCTGCCGGCGTTTCCAGAATTGTGATAATGCAAATGATTGATTGTCCGATTGTCTATTCGCAAAAACATCCGCGCTGTGACATCAGCAAGACATCAGCCATTCGGGCTCAGGAATGCATGAACAATACCTGACGCTGCCGCGGCAGTAGGTTAACGCCCGAGAATATAGACGTGTTGCTTCTTATTTTGGAATTACGTTGAAAGAACGCCGAGCAGTGTTATCTTCACCGTGTGTGGCCTTGTGCTTAAAGAAGTTCAAAGAACTCTGTATCGGCCTGCCAACTTTGGACCTTAGTTACAGGCTATGGGATTCACTGATATAGCTGACTCACCGTCGACCTTCCGTTGTTTTTCCTTTATCCACGTAGCCGGAATCCTCCAGAAGCGCAACGCGTTTCTGCCGACAAGAATTCTCGTTCGCGTTGTCGAAAACCCTCGAAATGCGTAATCTTAGTACCACGGACGCTTACACGTCGGCCATGTAACACCCGGTCTGGAACCTCAAGAGACGTTCCTTTGCGAAAATGAATTCAGGTCCGTGCACATGGACTTCATGAACATGAGGGCTGTTCAATTCTAAACGTCTGGTCGTGTCCCGTCTCGTCATGTCTGGTCGGTGGTCGGGAGCGAAATCCGGGCACAGCTCTCGCGTGGACGGTACGAATATTTGTGAATAATTCGACCGTCACACCGTGATTGCTCGCATCGCGAACTGCCAAATAAGGAATCTGTGAAGGAACGTTCGGTGTCGAGGTCAAGCATCAATCATATACAGTATGGATATTGCATTGTTGTTACACTACCGCACTTCTCTGGCCATTGAAATTGTGATTTTTACCGGGAGTCTCAGGTGGTGCTCAAGTGGCAGAATGCTTTGTCCCTATTCTCTATTCCACGGTGAACTGTATAGCAATCAAACGACAGGACTTTCTACTTGAACAGAACACAGTAGTCTACTCCAAAACACATTGTAGAGCTTGCCCGTCTCTGATTCTACCCAGTATCGCCCATTTTCCCCATTGTCACCATCGTCGTCCTCAGTTTTGGCGCGACCGATTGGACGGCTGAATCCTTCCGGGTCTGCGTACTCAAAGTTACCTTTTTTCATACCACTTTGACCCGCAGGCTCAACCGTCGGCGAAAAGCGCCCTCACGTTGCATTGATTTCCGTATCGGCCTTCTCGGGTCATGTTGACAAGAAGTTACATGGGGAGCTGGATCACTTGGCCATTGAGAAGTGGAGGGGGTTGGTTGTGAAGGTAGCACCCATCCTTGAACACCACTGGAGATAGTCTGCTGTGTGTTTGACAATAGTAGGATGTAGATTCGTGTGCCGCGGATATCGACTATGAGTGTATATTTATGGCTTTGTGGTCGGCTGTAGCATAGAGGCCTTAGCTGAACCTCGCGGCGCTGTACGTCAGGTGCGACGGGTAGCTCAAGTGGATGCCAGTGTTGCAGAGGTGCATGAAATGCACCAAGTAGCGCTATGAAAAACTAAAGCAAGAATATCTTAGCAATTCTGCTTGACCATACGGATGCAGGATTTAATGACACATACCTTCACATCTTAGAGTGGACTCCCGTCATGTAGAAAGACTATAAATCCTGTCGCGAGTCCATTATGAACCCCGCCAGAAGCGTAGAAGTCAATGTCTAGCCAATGGAGAATGTGGTGTTCGATACGAAAGTTGACTTACAACTGAATCCCACCCGCCGTTCTCCATCATAGGCAATGTGAAGCCTGAACATGCTCAACGCGTGGTGGACGAAAGAACGACGCCAGCATCTTCGAAGTCAAGTAATAAGTATAACAAGTATAACGTCAACTCAGGCCGACGTTGAACTTGGACAGCGTGGCCGCTTGAGCGGCTGTTACACAGAGTCACTTGGCGTGACATGCAGACATTTTTTGACCGACATTTCTTTCATTTTTTCCAGTATTTACTGTCTAAAACGGGAGAGGCAATGCTCAGAGCAGTGCCGGACATTCGCTTCCGACCACCGACCAGGAACGACGAGACGGGACACGACGAGACGTTTAGAATTGAACAGCCCTATGGTGATGTCGGCAATTGAAGGACACGTCAAGAAGGGCAGCAATGGCGATCCAAAGGTAGGTGCTGAGCCTAGGTCTGCTTCAACCTTTCATCCGTAGAAATGAAATGGGATGAGAGAAAGATGGGATACAAAATGTACTTCTGCGTATGGTAAAAATCTCTTATGGTCGCTATCTCAGGCCTCATTTGCTAGTGGCCGGTATTGAACAACGCCCGAGGAGTACAATTGAGATACTTGATACTAATGGCGGCGGCGGCATACTACTGTATCAGCGATTTACATAGAACGTTTCTGTTCTGCATAGTTATAGATATATATCACTTGTAAAGCTGTCTTGCATGAAAACTCGCGAACCTCCAGAACACAAAGGGCCTCGACTGTTAGTTTGAACCGTAACAAATTTTGAATGTTTAACGTTAAACATTTGAACTACGATGACTTCCTCAACAGGCTGGCTGGAAAAGGGCAGCCAAACAATTGATGGCGGACCCAGCGGGCCGTGACGTCAAGTAATATTCGATCTATTAGTATTTGCAGCCTAAGCATCTTGTGCACTAACATCTTCGTCCATAGGACTCACGAATTTCTTGGATGGCCTCCTCATCTCGAGGAGATTCATACGACTATACCGAGGGAGCATCTGCGATTGATATCCAAAATGCCGTTCACAGTTCTCAACGTGCTCGCCGAGACTCTCGATATGGAGATGAGGGCGAAGGAACCATGTTCGATGGACCTGGGCATACCGTTAATCCAAGCAGCGTCTCTAGAATGTCACTCTCCGAACATGGACGTAGAAGCAGCGATGGCTTGCGACGTCCCTCGAGCAGCCGTAGAAGGAGTGAGGATAGCAGAAGTAGGGATGGAAGTCGCAGAGGCTCGCAAAGTCGTCGCATGAGCGGAGACAGCTATCTTTCTAATGGCTTTGCGGGCCATCGAGCCGATGAATATGCGAGCGAGGTGGAAGAAGAGGAAGGTGAAGGAGTCTCAAGGCCTCTGAGGCGCAAGTCACCCTCACCACCACCAACGCGTCCTGGTACAATGTTCGAGAACATTGCTCATATGTTTGGCAGAACACCTCAGGTGCCCGAGTCACCTCCTCGTAGCAGACGTGCTTCCCTCTCTAGTCGATCATCTCGAACAGGTCTTCTTCGTCGACCAAGCAGTCGCCGCTCTGACGCCGGTTCCGACTACGCTCTTGAGTCAGAGGCATCTGAGGATGAGCGCTGGGGTTACGCTTCCGAAGAGGGCGACGAAGAATACGAGTCGGAAGAAGATCGAGATATTGACAAAGATTCCATGGACATGCGTTCATTAGATGGACGCGGGTTTCCTTCAGGACCTGCCTTGCCACTAATGTCTGGCGATCCAATATTTGGTGGGGAGGAGCGAATAGATATGGGCGAATTGGAACCACTCGCTCCCCCACCACCAGGACCGCCTAGCAGACAATCAATATACGTTGCGGATGAGGATGCTGACATTCGGTTTGTGGGCTACGAAACTGTACCAATGCGGCAATTACTCTGGAGAATATGTTGCGTTGCAACTTTTGGTGTTTTAGGTCTCCTAGGTCACTGGTTCCCCCTACTATGGCTTCGTTGGGTTGCTCGAGAGAAGGCTTTCAAGGATACCAAGCATGGCTTTGTCGTTGTAGAGGTTTGTGCGTTGTTATTGCCTATGGAGACATTTGATGACCGAGTGAAAGTCCGCATATAGAGATATCGCCCTATTCCCCTCGTTCACTATTGATTATCCCTATCCCATATCGACTGTCTTCCCAGGACCTGAGTTGGGCAATTCGCCTCAACCCAATGATGATAATGCGATACCCGGTCTTCTTCATGTGGTGGACTATCGATATGCACGGTTCGTGCTTAACCCTCGCACAGGCCTTTTCACTATGCTCAAGTGAGTTGACTTTGCTTGCGTTAGGTTTCCTAATTAATCTTTCTCCTTTCAGTGACTGGCGAGATCCATCGTGGACGGGCATACGCTCCGTTCAGAATGGTCTGGATAGGATGACCGAGGATCAAAGGCGCAGATTGTTCGGTGACAATGTCATTGATATTCAAGGCAAATCAACGCTGTCTCTGCTCGTCGACGAGGTATATTATGACTTATCAGCTCGGTAACTTATCTGTGCTCATCGTATGTTCCTAGGTTATACATCCGTTCTACGTCTTTCAGATCGCCAGTATCGTGTTGTGGTCCTTGGACGACTACTATTACTATGCGTTTTGCATTCTTTTGATCTCCGCTATCAGTATCATCACGACGTTACTGGAGACAAAGAAGGTGCTCCACTATCACATTTTTTGCGTGCGTTCAACCCTGATAATGAGTATTACACCCAATTTAGACGATCAAACGGATGCGTGAAATGTCCCGGTTCTCGTGTACCGTTAACGTGTATACTGACGGAAAATGTAAGCCGCGTAACCACATCACTTATCAGTCTGCTTCAATCATCGGTGGCTTTAGGGCAACTACGAGACTCAACTACGATCGTGCCAGGAGACATCGTCAATCTCAATGATCCTCCACTTTCAACATTACCTGCAGACCTCTTCCTGCTCTCTGGAGATGCTATCGTCAACGAGAGTATGTTGACTGGCGAAAGTGTTCCCGTCAGCAAAATTCCAGTCAAAGACGATGATATCGCACGATGGAGGGACGCGAAGGACGTATCAGGTGATATGGCTAAGAGTTTCTTGTATGCAGGGACTAGGGTAGTGAGAATCCGAAATGGATTGACTACGGACGGAAGTCCGGGGAGACCTGCTCTCGGACTCGTGGTTCGAACTGGTGAGTAGGATATATCCATTCATGCTCACTTCACTAATGATGCTGTTGTAGGGTTCAACACCACGAAAGGTGCTCTCATCCGGTCTATGCTTTTCCCCAAACCGATAGGATTCAAGTTTTATCGTGACTCTATCCGGTTCATCTTGGTCCTGGCCGGTCTGGCAGGCGTTGGTTTCTGCGCAAGCGCTGTTCAGTTCATTCGACTCGGTGTACGTACAGAAATGTTCAAATCAACTTACGGCATACCTGATGATTGTTATCCCTATAGGTGAAATGGCATACAATCCTGTTGCGTGCCCTTGATCTCATCACTGTTGTGGTTCCACCCGCTTTACCTGCCACTCTATCCATCGGTACTAGTTTTGCCATTGGCCGACTCCGGAAACAAGGCATCTTCTGTATATCTCCAAGTCGAGTCAATGTTGGTGGTCGCATCAACGTTTGCTGCTTTGACAAAACTGGCACGCTTACCGAGGATGGTTTGGACATACTCGGAGTGCGCCCATTGGAACGCAATGTACATCGGTTTGGGGAACTCATTGAAGACGTGAGAGATCTCCCGAATAAGCAAAGCAAGTCCAACTTTTTATACGCGCTGGCAACCTGTCATTCGCTTAAGAAAGTCGATGGCCAAGTTATTGGTGATCCACTGGACGTGAAGATGTTCGATTTCACAAAGTGGTCACTGGAAGAAGGTCACGTCGCTGGAACTGGTCTCGTTAAAAGCAAAACAGGTGGGGATAGACCGGCTGCGTTGGTGCAAACCGTGGTTCGCCCTCCTGGAGGCGTAAGATTCAGAGTAGAGGACGCGCTGAAAGCATCTGGGCGGGTATGTCAATTAAACGTCTATAATCTCTTTGGCTGATTTAAATACGTCTTAGCATGCACACTTCCTGGAACTTGGAGTTATTCGAACCTTCGAGTTCGTTTCTTCTCTTCGCAGAATGAGTGTCATTGTCAAGAGACTCAAGAGCAACAGTATGGAAATATATGTGAAAGGAGCACCTGAGATCATGGTTGACATTTGCGAGAGGGCTTCATGTAAGGTTGTCTCCATTTGTACGAAATTACGCTGACCTATCGGTTTTCAGTCCCGGACGACTATGATGACTTGCTTTCGTATTATACCAAACGTGGATATCGAGTAATCGCAATTGCAGGCAAAAGCATTGAAGGTCTCTCCTGGCTGAAAGCGCAGAAGATGAAGCGGTGCGTGGGACGATGGATATCCCTTTCGAGATAACTCACACCCCATGTCAGGGAGCAAGCGGAGTCAGGTCTCCAATTCCTGGGCTTGGTGATCTTCGAGAACAAATTAAAACCAGGCACTACTCCTGCGATCCAGGCTTTACGTCAAGCACACCTCGTCTGTCGAATGATCACCGGGGACAACCCTCTAACTGCCGTCAGCGTTGCACGAGAATGTGGACTTATCAATACCGCTGAACATGTCTTTTCGCCAGTGTTTATTAGAGGTGTGCCTTTGTCGCTCAACTATTTGCTTGCTTTGAACTTAGAGACGCATGTAGGAAATGCTTTCACCCCGATGGCTAAATTGGAATGGTCGTGTATGGACGAAGAAAAGTGGAAGCTGGATAGCTACAGTCTGAAACCATTGCATCCTCCGTCACATTCGACTATCGATGTTGACGCTGTTGATCATCACGACTACACGCTTGTTGTCACGGGCGACGTCTTTAGATGGATGATCAATAACGCTCCTCTGGAGACTCTACAACGGGTTGGTGATTTGACTTCGAACATCGCGTTCCGCCTTCTGAACTTCGAGATATTTAGATGCTCGTCAGAGCACAGATCTATGCTCGGATGTCTCCAGACGAGAAAAACGAGATTGTCGAAAGACTACAAGGCCTGGGGTACACAGTTTTGATGTGTGGAGATGGCGCAAATGACTGCTCCGCCCTGAAGGCTGCGGATGTAGGAATATCCCTTTCGGAAGCAGAGGCTTCAGTCGCTGCGCCTTTCACAAGTCGCACCCCGGATATTAGTTGTGTTCTGGAAGTCATCAAAGAAGGTCGAGCCGCTTTAGTCACCAGCTTCAGTTGCTTCAAGTACATGTGGGTATTGGGATACTTTGAATTCCCTCACTACGGCTGAACGATTCACAGGGCTCTCTACTCGCTCATCCAATTCACCACGATAACTCTCTTGTACTCATTCGCTTCTTCCCTAGGCGACTTCCAGGTGCGTAACTTCAGTTCTTTGATGTTACTGAGTTTGACCTCTCTACCTGGTAGTTTTTATATATCGATCTCTTCATCATTATACCAATCGCTGTCACAAGTAAGTTAGACGTTCATAGTGCTCCAGGGTAAACATTGATGAATTGTTGCTCTCAGTGGGCAGAACCCTTCCCTTCCCGCGAATACACCCTAAAGGTCCGACTGCAAGTTTAGTATCAAAGAAGGTGCTTGCCAGTATCATCGGACAGATTGTTATCACGAGTGCGATCCAATTCTGGGCATACTTCTGGGTGAGATCTCAGCCTTGGTTAGTACTCTTCGTGGTTTCATTGTTTGGCGAGCGATTGACATTATGGACAGGTATACGCCGCCCCCGCCGAATGATCCTAAGAGTGGCAATGACAAACTGGAAGCACAAAATTACGAGAACTCCGTCTTGTTCTTGGTATCATGCTTCCAGTACATACTGGTTGCCGCAGTCTTCAGTATTGGCCCTCCGTACCGAAAGCCGATATGGACGAATAGTGAGTCCAACCTCTGACCACCTCACCGTAGTACTCAAAAAAAAATTGATACCCTTGCAGTTCCACTCATGCTATCGATCGGTTGCCTATCGCTTTTCAACGTGTTAGTCTTACTGGCGCCCCCAAATCCTGTTGCCGCGATATTGGAACTTATGCCACTGCCTTTCTCCGCACGGTTAACTTTATTGGTTGCTGTCCTCATGAACATCGTTACTTCAATGGCCTATGAGCATTGGGGTGCTCAAAGCGTGGCTCAACTCATTGGCTCTGCACTAAGCATGCAACGCCAATGGCGGACGAGGGATGGAAAAACGTACAAGGCTGTTGAGGGCGGAATGCATTGACAATGCTAACATCTTATATCACTGTAGCATCTTTACCCGGATAGTATGACTTGATTGATACAGATCCAAGCTCAATTGAAATTGGCGAATATGTCGTCGCCTAGACCTAGGTCAGCCTGTCGACTTATCTCCTACCGTCATGGAGCTGCAGCCTCATAGAGAACGACACCAACGTCATTTGTCACATAACCCACGGTGAAGGCCTCGGTTCTATGGATTGCTGCGCAATCCTCCGGAGCTCTGTTTTGAATCCCTTGCCTACGAATAAGCTCCATACAGTCCGCCTTGAAAGCCTGCAGTTCTACTCCGTCTTGACGGAGAAAGACAATATATTAGTGGTACATGCAGTACTGAGTGCAGTTACCACTTTACTAGCGATATGAGCAGGGACATCGGTAGGCTCATTCTCAGCCACTATAAAGGAAGACAGTAGTCAGGTATGTATGAAAATAGTGGGTCGGTGTAAGGCAAAGTAGTCGGTTGCCTGTTGTCCATTCACGAAGCTCAGCATCGAGGTGTACATATTTTCTGCCATGTCTTGCGTTCCCTTCGTGATATTTGTTACGTGATACATCAAGGCGTAAGAGAATCATGAAGACTGGCTGTGCAATAATGGAGAACAATGGATGACAGAGACTTGTGTGCCGGCGGCATCGAATCAAGCGAGGCACGTAATTGCCGCAAGCTTCGTGATTGCCTGTGATGGCATGCAACCTGCACATGGCAACACTCCAACTTTGCTGCGGCTGCATTACAATTTAAATACCCTGTCACTGTCTTTGTCCGAGGAAAATCCAGCTGAGACTTTACCATCATGTCCGCAAGCATTGTCACCTTTGGCAGACAGTGAAATAAACCTCTCACACATACTGTGATACTTGCCTATACTTTGATGTGAAATGGAACCCTAAATGATGCCAAGTTGCCATTAATAATTGATTGTTGCTGCGGGACAAATTTATGATCACTTCGATTTACCTAATAACATCCGGACATAATCAATATAAGAAATACCGGGAAGAAAATTCCTTGTTCACCCTGTCATGCCTAAAAAATAGATAAATAATCATCTGATAATACAAGAAAACATCAACTTCTACCCTGTCGACTGCGACCAACCTTAACCATGGACCAAGGGCCAAGGGCAGTGGCTACTACACCGGGAACGATACATGGGTGCCAGATGGGTGCCAAATGTAGGCATGATCTGACAGCGCAGGGCAAAACTGTTCGAGATGGTAAGTACTTATCGCTCAATGGACTATAATTGTTTCCCTCTGTTGCCAGTTTGTGTGCTGACCTTTAATGCATTTAGCATTCTATTCACAATACAGATTTACAGCACACTCTGAAGTTCCGGTTGGCGAGATAGACAAGGTTGTGGAGCAAATCCAGACTTACACTGGATGTGAATTTTACACGAGGAAGCACTTTACAAAATGGATGCAAGCAAAAAAGAAGAGAGAGAATGGACTACAGAATATTCAGGTTAGCAGCTTTTGATTGGTATCTTTGCCAAATGCTCATAACAAGGGCAACAACAGACATTAGTCAATGTTTGCAGTGCTTCCGCTTCTCCCAGGCCCAACATTGATGATATCGATACAACTGAATCTGAATATGATTCACCTGAGGAGAATTCTAAGGAAGTGAATGCTCAAACTGTACAAGACAGTCTGGATCTTCCATTCTCTCCTATCAGTCATTGCAACTTTGGAGAGAGACTTCATTATACCCAAATGCCAGCCCATAGTACAGAAGAAGCTGAATTTCCAAGTTTCAGGCTTCGGCCAGTGCATACATGGTAATAACCATCTATGGTGAGTTAGTACATGCACTGTGACTTTTTGAACAGTCTCTCACTGCATGCATTCAGGTGCTTATAAGTTGATATTGCTTTCTTGTTTTGATATTTGATTTCACCACTCTCAGAGCTTCCCAGTTTATATCTTAGTTACCCCAATGTAACTGTTATATGCTCAGTTTTCAACCCCTTAACCAGACTGATTCAAGGAATCCATCATGGATACAATGTTGAAATCGTGGGTGCCAAGTGAACTTGCATAGTCGTGCCGCCACCACTATCTCACATTTTGGACCTTTCAGGCTCCCATAGTAGCTATATAGTGTAGCATAACATAATCAGCTCCTCATGCATTTGCCCACCTTTGTACATACTCTACGGGACAAACCTGACATATACCAACATACTCATTCGCTCATCACCCGACTCATGCTGTATGCTCGCTCTTAATTCTAACATACAATAGACAGAGCAATGGTTATTATCTATGCTGCTAGAAGCCTCCTCTAAGCTCAGACTTATTGCTGTGAAAATCATCACCACTTCTGTAACTTCCTTTGCAAGTTCTTTCCTCTGTTCAACCTTTTTCATGAATGATGTGACCCTCAATAACATAACAACAGATGGTCTTGCCAATGATGCACTCAGCATTCTTGGACTCAAGACAAAGCTTGACACAGATATCATGTAGCAGAATGCAAGAGTAAGAAAGAGAGAGACATCTGATTCCGGTCACCTTGATGATATTCTGACAGTATGCAGTGTTGGTCTTGAACTGTGCTATATGCATTGACGATGTATTCTGAAATCATGACTGCAAACCTGAGCAGTGAATGATATGGATGTGTGAGTCAAGTGTGATGCATGATAGGATAGATTCAAACATCTTACCACAATCTCAAAATACCCAATCAGGACCATCCTGAGTATATGATGTCAGAAGAGACTTCATTCTGAAATATTGCCCATTAAAAGCATCACAATAAGGGGGAGTTTGCGAATAGCCTGGTAGAACCTAGATGCAGGTGTCACCGGTGATACCCGATGAATTGCTTGCTTGATATTAGTATGCGCAGTGGCGTAGTTGAGTTGAAGGGCTTTGACACGTACGGTCCAGACAGTAGCAATAAGCGCATATCGATGATTGCTGAAGGTGGTTTTAGAAACCAACTCGTCGGCCTGGTCGTTGTGCTGAAAGTAGCTATAGACAAGTCAGTTGCTGAGGGAAGTCTGAATCTCGTCGTCCTGTCGGAACTCGAGAGGTCGATAGCCATGTTATACTTGCTTGAGGAAGAAAGCAGATAATGAATGAGCAGTATGTGGAGACAAATTTCGGTTTCTGGCACCCGCTCGTTTGGTAATCACTTCGTTGGAGTGGAACGCACAGAGTGCAAATAGGTCCAGGACGCGGTTGTTTGACAGTTTTGACAGAAGACTCGGAAGACACGTTTAGCCCATAGTATTGAGTATCAAATACATTTGCGTATGAATTGATATATGTCATTCAAGTACGATCATCCAACAACGGAATTACAATCCCGCCGCAGCCAACAAGCTCGGGAAGTTGGGAGTACCAAGACCAGTCACCTATAACAGCGTCAGTGAGAGGACAATACGAAGTAAGAAAATAGGACATACGGGGTCCCAGCCCGTCGTTGCAGGAAAACCATTGGTGTTGCATCCGGGGTTGCTTCCGGTCGTAATGTCGTTGAAGGCACCCGGATTGGCATACAAGAATGGGTTTAGGAAGCCGAGAGGCGACTTTCCAGCGGCGATGAGTCTGTCGTTGATCAAGGATATGATACTGGCGAAGATGGGGCTGGAGCAACTGGTCCCGGCAACTAGTCCTGCTTGACCTTGGAAGACGATCTCAACGTTGTCTCCCACGGCAGCCACATCGGGGAAGGCACGACCAGTGGGGGTGAATTTGCCTGCGTTGGTATTGCCAAGACGGGTCAGGTAAGCTGAGACGGCGGAGGACTGATAGCTGGGCTGAGCGAAGACGTTGGAGAAACCGCCGGATGAGAATGATGCAGAAGTCTCGGGCACGCTAGTGGTAGCTCCAACAGAGGTCATGCTATGTCACGATATGAGACATACATAGAACATATAAGTATAAAAGAAACATACAATGGGCACCCTGAAGGGAAAGTCGGCAGGAAAGTTGTGCATCGAGTAGTTTGCGAGCCTGCAACACCGCCATCGCCCGAAGCAAAAAGGATAGAAGTGCCACGAGCACCCAATTGCTGGTACGCTGTGCAAAGGCGGCTTTGGGAAATGTCAGCAGAGATAGATGGAGGACAAATACAAAGCGTACTTCGCAAGAGTAGACGAAATGGTGTTCTCATTCTGACCATAACTGGTGGTCAACACATGTGGTGGGTTCGACTCGCCGTTGAGGAAGTTGATGATGTCAAGGAAACCCTCAAGTCCACCATCCTGGAATCGTTCACCGACAGAGATGAAAACAGTCGGCACGCCAGTGGCAACGCCGATGGTGTACTGGATGTCGAGGTCCTGCGTAATGGGATAGTGAGCAAAGTGGAGGAGTGCACACGCTATGAAAGACTTACAGCTTCGATACCGGCTTGACTGCGAGTCTGTGAGTTCGTGCCGCCATCGAGGGTTTGCAGGGTGAAAGTTGTCGAGGGGCTGAGATCAGGCCGGAGCGCGGTGAGAAATTGCTAAACCGAGAACCAGTATTCAGACCATGACCATATGCATATGATTAGACAATATGGGAAGACATACCGTCAAATCGGCTTGATTAGCAAACTGCTCAATGAAACCACTGACAGCAAGGACATTAGAACTCTGGGTTGCCCGAGTGGTGGGAATGCTATAGAGTGCTTGCAGACACGCGGGAGTAATGACAGATGCACACGAAGCGGGAACTGCGTCCGAGGAGAGATTGGTCTTCGAAGTGTCGACCTTGATGGGTGAAGAGAACACGGGAACTTGAGAGAAGGGGTTCGGGAAACTAAAACGGAAAAGCTCGATTTAGCGTCAACATGCTAGTGAAGTATTTGTAAAGAACCTACGAGATGGTCGGATGGATTAGCTCGACGTGATCCTTGAGGTCTGCGGGAATCGAGTAGGCGAGAGTTCGAACGGTCTCGCTCCCAGTCTCTTCGTGCTTGAAGACCGAGAAGTCGGCATCAAGAAGTTCGCTGGCCTTGCTCACGGGAACCTCGAAGCTGAGCCAGTCACCAGCGGACGTAAGTTTGGTCGCAGTCAGACCATTCTCAGCAAGCCATGCGTTCACTGCATCGACCGTCTCAGGCTTTGGAGCAACGAACTTGTCAACCTTAACAACGGTGAAACGTGAGAATAATTACATCTGATGGCTAAGAACTGCGCGAAACTTACCTCCTCCTTGGTGAGATGTGCCCCGTAGTTCGCGCTGTCAGGCGTACTAACATCCATCAGCGCGTCGGTGAGACCAGCAGGGTCGCTCTGAGCGAGAGCGATACGCAAGCGAAGTGTAGTATCAGGAGAGGCAGACCCTGCCTTGACGAAACCCTCTGGTGCGCTTGGCCGCGTCTCATGCAATTGCATGCTACGACGGTTCAGCGGGTTGCCAAGGGCGAGAGTAAACAGAGAGACGATGAGGACACTGGTAGCCACCATCTTGGTACTGCTCGAGCCTTGGCTTGGAGACGAGGAAGGAGACCTGGGTAAAGGTCCTGCAGAACCATGGATTTGATTCTGGATCTTTTATAGGCTTCGCGAAGAATTGTGCATATACGGAGGTGGTCGATAGACAACTGTCAATCCGAGATAAGGTATCACTGCGGGACCATTCTGTACCGTTCCATGCCAATACAGCCTCGCTATCTCTGAATGAGTTGAACATGGAAGACTTCGAGTCAGCTGAGTATGTGGAGTATGTGGAGGATAGTCGGACGCACATGGAGTTGAGCTTGAAGAGACATTGATACAGGAGAAGCGGCCTGGAATAAAGACTCTACCGAAGATAATAGGTAAAGTTTCTCATACCGACTTCGAGCTGGGAACGGTCCCGCGCGGTAATGATCCCTACCGCGACGCCTCCAGGGATTGTAGCACATTGTTTTCGTCGACCCTCGAGGTATAACATCCAAGATTGGCGAAAACATGAGTACGTGCGATCCGGACCATGGTAGAGAATAGCACACGACCCATATGCTTGCCGGTTATCCAGCTAAAAATAACATCAGATATTACTCAGGATGAGAGTTCCATCTATTCCCGAATCCATGGAAACATACCTACGTCACCTGCACGATTCTGAAAAAGACCTTGCTTATCAGACGAGCACTTGCAGCACTTTGTATTGAGCCTTACCTTCTGCCGATGAGTCATGGTATCTCTGGTGTGAAAGTTATCCTTGTGTGCATTCAAACGGTATGAGAGTCGAAGTTACATCGACGGATCGCGAGGACTCCAATGGCTTGTCCGGGTAAGTAGCTGTAGCTTGGAGTGTGAGAGAACGTCAATAAACGCAAGAATTTCGGTAAACGCACTTCTCAACAAGTGGAGCTCAGAGTAACTTCTTGCCAAGACCAGCCACATATGTATTTGTCCTTAGCAGAGCGCGAGACAATGGTGCAAGATATAGGCGTCGATATTATTGTCGCATTCAAATAAGAAGATAGCCTCGAGCTTTGCAAATTCATTGCTTTTCGAGAGAAATGAATTCGACAGGTTTATGAACGCCTTTAACGGCGTCTATCTGTGCGCTGCCCAATAAGGAAAGTTCTAACTTCGGGACCAAGAGGCCCTCTAATGACCTTCGAAAACATTCAAGGGTCTTTGAAACGTCTAGACGTGACCATGATTTCTGTCTCTGAGAGAGTGAGGGTTGTTTATTTACTGGAAACGTGGTCAGGCCTATCGAGAAGATATATCAATACACTAGGTATAGCAAAGGAGAGTTCGTATGGTGACAAAGAGATAAGCTACAAATCGAATGAATTTACTTACAAGGCAATATGTCCGAAGGAGAGATGTGAGCTAACAAGCAGGCTTTGGCATCGGCAATGGAGAAGTTGCGAAATGAATGGAACAAATATGCCAGGATAGAAAGACGAACGATAAAGACGACGGCAAACAGACTAGCAAATAACTGTCATGATCATGAATGTCATCAGTCAAGTCGAAGCAAACAACTGTACATGTATCATCGTCCTGCAAAGACACCTCGGCTAACCGAACTACTTCGTTCCTGGCCGATACCACGCATATCCCCCTTGAAGCCCAGCTCTGTCATCTTGGCTGAAAGAGAAGCTCTTCTGGCTCTCGAATCATTCACGACGACCGGCATCTCCCCACTACGTATGAGATGATGCCAATATAGGACATCTCCTGTCTTGAGGGGTTGGAAAGAAAGCTCAGATCGATGTGTCGGAACTTCCCGAACGCCAGGAGCAGAGGCAAAGGCAGGGGTTGACTGTAACTGGGAAGGCACCGGGGATAGGTCGGGCATACGGGACTGTGAGACCCGTTGACTGGTCTGGGTATATGGATATCCTTGATCTCGAAATGGAGAACTCGGGTTGCTGGCATAGAAAAGTGCAGGAGGGGAAGATGTTAGCGACTCCATGTCACTTAGGTCTGAAGTCGGGTCGCTGAGTAAGCTATTGGAGGATAATGAAGCGAACATCCCACTATCACTTGGTGCAAAACCGTCTGCATGTGATGAGCTGCCAGGCTGGTTGGGAGCGGGAACGGGAAGTAATGAGACCACAGGAGACCGGACGCCTTCTTCTCCGGGAACGTAGTGTCGCTCGCACGCGAGGATTTCACTCGAGTAGAACACGAATCGATGTCCATTCGTGGTACGATTGGTGACGGTGATAGATGAAGTGCAGCGATGACACGGACTGACAATCATGTAGCCGACACTGTTGCCGCAACCGTGACAGCAAAGTGTTTGAGTAAGACATTCGCACGTCCGGGTGTTTACGTGGAATCGTTCAATATCCTCGGCATTTCCTTGCGACGAGGAAGCAAGGAGAGGTGGATCGTTCGCTGCGGAAGCGGAACAGTTGATTGGCATTGCGTCCGTCGAGTAGAGAGGGACATTGGGGCGCAACAGGAGGACCGCCTGTAAGGATGCGCAGTAGCAATCGTCAGCATGTCGTCAGCTGCAATTTGGAAAAAGGCTCGGAGGTATTATCGCATTCGAGCAAGAAATTCGACTGAGTCAAGAGAATGTGTCTATCGAGCCCTGTGATCAAGAGAGGTAATGTCCTTCACACGCACGCCGACCAGACCAGAAAGCTTGATCTAAACACAATCAGAGAGTGTGTACTCACTTTCATTCCCCTATTGGTGAGAAACGTTCCGCAGGACCTGCAGTCCAGTATCCAAACCTTGTGCGGGACTGGAGGTGGTACCAAAGGCGGGATCCGAATGAAAGGATGCGGCTGCCAAGAAGCATGCTGATGGCTTCCATGTACCATCGCTGTCCCAGGCGACACTGCATATGGGGGAAGATGAAAGTGCGTATCATGATTTCGTTGTACGGGCACAACAGGGGGTATCGAAGGATTGAGGTATACGTGACTGGATGTAGAAGGACCGTGATTAGAATACATAGACAAGGAGGGCAGTTGTATGTGGTAGTGAACGTCATGGTGAACCTGAGGAACATCGTCGCGAACATCCTGCCGTCGCGTGTGAGTAGGCGAACCTCGGTCAGTATAGCTACGATGAGAGGAGGAGGACTGAGAGTCGTTGTGGCGGTTAGGGTGAATGGCGGGCATCGCGAACGACGGCGACGAGGTCGACGAAGGAGGGAAAGGACGATGCCCGCCGAATAGGAGAGGAGGGAGAAAGTAGGAACGTGAATTCTCTGTCGAACATCGTGCCGAGGAGATCCTTTAAGAACATTGACAGCGTTAGCGATCACCTCCTTCCAGACATGCATGACCTAAGCACATCACGTCTTCTCTTCCGACCCTAATAAAGGAAGGTTTCGTCGTTCGTTGTTCGTTTCTCCCCGCCGCCACCTCAGCCCGCCAGATACAGTACTCACCGTCCCCCGCTCAATCGACAGAAGCAAAGGTTGTCAATTGCCGACAGAAGCAGTTTGTTCTTCGTTGAAGTTACTTACTCGCATCAAAGGTGTAGTGTGGCACGGCGCCGTGGCCCCTGCAAAGCAGTGCTATGGAAAGAACATATGGAATGCACCCGGCTATGTAGACATATCCAGCTGCAGTCCATGGAATACAAAGCGCTGTGAAACTGGATAAGGTGGGAGGGCACACACGTCCTCCTGTCCGGCGCTCGTGTTTGTACTCACATCAGATAGATTTGTTCTGAGCAATGGGACCGGTATGGCGAAAGGACAACTCGGGTCCCGCACCTGCTCACCTTTCAGAAGGGGATTGCTCTCCTGGCGTCTCACTCGGGAATGTCTTGGACCGTGCAAATGAAAAAAGAACTCAGCTCGGTAAGTGTTGATATTTCATTACAACGTCTGAAATGAAGCCTATTCCAATCAGAGGTACATCCTATGCATGGTCTGTTCCGAAGGCATTTAGCTGACCGAGTCGGTCAATCAATCGCATCGTCAGAGACTGCTGTACCTACAGCATAGTGCTGAATGAGTCTGACTGGTGACTCGATTAATCAACTTTAAAAGCGTCATCATTGAAGTTGACATTGTATATTGTCGCGTTTAGGTTGCGTTAACGTCGACAGCTGTATTGTGTTGGCATTAGCAAGCGAAGTTTTTGTCCTTGCAAGGTTAGCCGGGAAGTTTCGAGCCGGTCGGCACCGGCGGCATGTGGCTGTGCCATACGAATAAGGATGACTGAAGTCGGGGAGTTGCGAGCGTCGAGTTGATAAGCCCGCAGCGGTCTCGTCGCTCTCTTTCTCCAACCACCATCACATCCAACTTGCGTATCCCTTTGTTCATCCATCTTATACATCAGTAAGTAGCGTACATCGATTGGCACCATGATGTGATACTGACAATCCCAGTAGTCATGCAGATCTTCGTGAAGACTCTCACTGGCAAGACCATCACGCTCGAGGTCGAGTCCTCCGACACCATCGACAACGTCAAAGCCAAGATCCAGGACAAGGAGGGGTAAGCAATTTGTTTCTTATGACATCAATGCCGCGACTCACTGAGGATATGCAGAATTCCCCCTGATCAACAACGTCTTATCTTCGCCGGCAAACAGCTGGAGGACGGCCGTACTCTGTCTGACTACAACATTCAGAAGGAGTCGACTCTCCATCTCGGTATGTTCATCATATTATACGTCCCATTCGCATCGTATTCTGACCCCTTTTGCAGTGCTTCGACTCCGTGGCGGTATGCAGATCTTCGTCAAGACTCTCACGGGAAAGACCATCACTCTCGAGGTTGAGTCGTCCGATACGATCGACAATGTCAAGGCCAAGATCCAGGATAAGGAGGGTATCCCTCCCGACCAGCAACGCTTGATCTTTGCCGGCAAGCAGCTTGAAGATGGACGAACGCTTTCCGATTACAACATTCAGAAGGAATCTACTCTCCATCTCGTCCTTCGTCTTCGTGGTGGAATGCAGATCTTTGTCAAGACTCTTACGGGCAAGACGATCACTCTTGAAGTGGAGTCGTCCGATACGATCGATAACGTCAAGGCAAAGATCCAAGACAAGGAAGGCATTCCTCCCGATCAGCAACGTCTTATTTTCGCCGGAAAGCAACTCGAGGACGGTCGCACTCTGTCTGACTACAACATCCAGAAAGAGTCAACACTTCATCTCGGTATGTATTGTTATTTCGTAATTGATTTTCGTGGTATTGATGTTATCTCAGTGCTGCGTCTCCGTGGAGGCATGCAGATCTTTGTGAAGACCTTGACCGGCAAGACCATCACCTTGGAAGTGGAGTCTTCAGACACCATTGACAACGTGAAAGCGAAGATTCAAGACAAGGAGGGCATCCCTCCCGACCAACAGCGCTTGATCTTCGCCGGCAAGCAGCTCGAGGATGGCCGCACTCTTTCGGACTACAACATTCAGAAGGAGTCTACTCTCCATCTCGGTGAGCATATCTTCTACTCCTCCCTCCACATCCAATGCTGACTTGCTTTTTCGTTTCACAGTCTTGCGTCTACGTGGTGGTATGCAAATCTTTGTCAAGACCTTGACAGGGAAGACGATCACTCTCGAGGTGGAGTCTTCAGACACTATTGACAACGTCAAGGCGAAGATTCAGGATAAGGAGGGTATTCCCCCAGACCAGCAACGTTTGATCTTCGCTGGCAAGCAACTTGAGGACGGTCGTACCCTCTCTGATTACAACATTCAGAAAGAGTCGACCCTCCATCTCGTCCTTCGTCTCCGTGGCGGTCTCTAAGCGGTTGATGGTCGAGATCTCGTTGAGTTGTTGTGGTCTGACGATTGTTTGTCTACATCTATGCACTACGTCCTGATGCCCCTTCTATGCGATTGTTGTATGATATGTGTACGAGTAACATGACTTCTGGAATGTATTCATATGTGGATTCTATCCTTCAGCAGCGTATCGTTCGTTTCGCCAATATTCAGAATGCCCACCTTCAAACTTCGGATTCTCAGCATTAGCCTTGCGTCCGATTTACTTCATGCTTTGCTATCGGTTTCCCGCCGGACCAAAGTTCCTATCTTGTCAACTACTTGCTGCCTCGAGCTCGTCTCGTGTTGTTGCCACCAACAGCATCTTGAACTCTGATACGCAAAGGAGCTTCCGCGGTCATCCTTTTTGGATGCGAACAAGTTGGTGTTTATGAGGCGTGATCTGTTTGAATTTCGAACATTCGTTGAACAGCGCATATACTTAGCGACAAGCGAGGTCATCTGGCAACTCGTGGATCTGACGCATACATCCAATAAGCTCTCGCAATTTCATCTCTCCAAGCTTTTGAAGTTTCGGGTATAAATCCTCTTGACTCCCTTAACAAAATCGCGTATCAACTTTTACGATAAACACGCGGTCGTTCACGAATCAGACCACGAGCTTAAAGCACCCTCAACGAACGGTAGAACTCCCTTCTAGTAGCATCTACACGCGGGAACAAGGTGGTGAACACGATTCCTTGATCCCTCCCTATCAAGCACATTCCAGCAAGCCCTGTGCCACTTTTCGCAATACAAATATACACTCAATGGAACCCGCGAGTCCAATCATACCTTTCATAACTTTTCATACCGGTGCATGATTGTGCCCCTTCCCCTCCCCTCTTCCTTCCCCTGTTGCGATCTGCGGGGCAGTTCGTTCCATTCTTGTGTTCCTCATTTTGTTATAGCTGCATATCAGCTCTCAGGAGTGGAGTCCATTCCTGAACAGAATCTAGCCGAGTTGGAACAACGATGCATACCAACCGGCCTAGGGTTGTGATTCCTCCAGAGGTTCCATTTGTTACAGGAGCAGCATATAACTCCCCGCCTCCCCCCTTCTTCGAACCCACCCCTTCGCCTGCTGCGTACTACCGCTCACAGCGCTACCATTCGAAAGAAGGTATCAGTCCCGTTCGACCATCCTACTCCTACTCTCCCTCTTCTCCACGCTCACAGCGTCCTCGAGTGATTCCTTGTCAGACTTGCCCTTCACCACGCCGCACACGCACCGCGTCGCACCCGGCGGGAATTCATCTTCGTAGGAGTGGTAGTAACAGAGAGCCTTGGGAACATATGGCGCAGACGTACGCTTGGGTGTTCGAGCAGGAGATTGCGGAGATGTCGAGGAAGAACGAGGAGACTGTCCGATGGATATTGAAGCAGAAGGAACGGGACGCGAGGGAACAAACGTTCTTCACGAGAGTGACCATTGAGCAGAATTATCGGGGTCGGACTTCTGTGGAGGAGCTGTTATACGATAGTGAAGACGAAGGGACGAGAAGGTCGACGAAACATTGGCAGAGAGAAATGGAAAGGATGGTTCAAGAGGAAATTCGGAGGATGGCAGGGAGGAGAAGGGAGGCCGAAAAGCACCGGAATATCCACGAAATGCGTAAAGCACGAGACCAGGCCAAGGAACGAGAACGTCTAGATCAAGAGAAAGCCAGACTTCGTCGCAAAGAGGTGGAGAGCAAAGCATGGGAGGTATACGAGACCCGATGGAATCAGATCACTTCCAACTCGGATTTGGTGGAGCCATTGAAGTTTGACGAGATCCCTTGGCCAGTACTGGACCGACCGAGGACGGTCGGTGATATCACTCCAGCTCGAGTTACCATGTTTCTCCTTTCATCGCATCACTCGGAGAGTCAAAGTAGAAAGGAACGAATCAAATCTGCGCTACGCAGGTGGCATCCCGACCGGTTCGGAAGGGTATTGGCAAAGGTTCGGGACGATGATAGGGCAAAGGTGGAGGAGGGCGCGGGTATCGTGGTGCGATGTTTAAACAATCTCCTCGAGAGGGAGGGTTAGATTTCATGTCTGGTGCGTATCTCATTAGCTTCAATGTATTGATACCTCAAGCTCACATCTTTTCGTAAGGCCTCCGTCGAGAACGTAGTCTAGAAGATGTGACCGAACGCTACTGTTGAGGTGAAGAGCACCTCCGGGCAAGTAGTAGCTGGATGTCACGAAGTAACGGTTGTACAAGGGTGCAACAACGATGGGTTATACCGCAACACAAGCAGGTGCTTGGCGGTAAATATGCAGTATGCGTATATGTCCTCATCATGTCACAGAACAGGAGACGAGAGCCATCTCGAAGGGAGCGAGGTTCCCTTCATTCGAATCCGTAGTGAAGGCCGTATACTGGTAGTCTCTTAAACTACCGCAGTGGCTCGATTCTATATGCATTTTCTCAGACAGACAACCTTACGATGATATCAAACCTATTTGAAAATATCTCAGTAAATTGTACTCAACGTATACGTAAGAATACTTGCCACGACTACGGAGAGCCGTTGACCGGAGCACTTAATTATACACGGAGCCATGGGAGAACGAAAGTGGTCAGCAGGTCATTTCCATACAAGTCCTCACAGAAATCGGCGTCTTTCGAATTGTAAGGCAGTTTGCAACGACTTGAGTGCAATTCAAACAATGGTCGATAGAAGTACGAAGATGGATGTCGTAGTGGTACCGGTGACAGTAGTGAAGGTAGAAGTCAAGCTGGTAGCAAACGCTAGCGCTTTTGCGACACTCTACATATAGCCATGATCTCAAATTCAGAATTGGTGAAATATATCACGACATTGCAATGCTTTGACCATTGCTTCCAACGCTAAGAAGCCTGTTTTCGTCTTTCGTTTATTTGCCTGAATCATAGCTTCGATGACAACCATCACCGTGTCCCCGCTGGAAGAGAAGGTTTCCCAACTTGAACCTGTGGCTTCTCCGGCGAGACCTTCTACTCGTTCAGATAACACACAGTATGGCCTGAAATTTGTAGGGGCGGCTGTGAGTAGTACGTATCGTTTTGTTATAGCTGAAGGAACTATTTCCATAAGTTTGATGTGGTTGACTCTTGCCGTGCCTTTAGACATGGTGGCTTCGGCTGTAAGCAACCCATTAGATATCATCAAGGTGGGTCTTGTCATGTACATTAACATATAGACGTTTCTACTTATGTCCGTTTTGATTAATGTCATAGGTCCGACAGCAGCTTCGTACTCAGAGTACGTTTCTAAGCTAATATGATACCGTTTCTCCAGAAGTTCACCTCCGTTTTTGTAGCACCAGGAGCTAGAGCAAATGCATTTTGGTCTGTAGGCCTCCAAATGGCACGAACAGAAGGCATATCAAGCCTCATGGGTGGTTTTACTGCCAGCATGCTTCGAGAAATTGTCTACTCCGGGTTACGATTAGGTTCATACGAATATTTTAAGGACAAGTGAGTAGTAACTCTTCATGTCGCTCTTTGTCCCTCAAACAAGTTGTTGTAGGATATACACTGCGTCGAACGGTGCTCTGACGAAGGAGGGCCTAGGGCTGAAAGTTGTGGCAGCAAGTATCGCCGCGGCAATAGGATCGTGAGTCGTCTGGGATTGTCTCTCGCGCAATGTGGGAGTTAATGTCTCAGCAAAAACAAAGTGCGCTTGCCAATCCAGCAGACCTCGTCAAAGGTGATAGTTGTTCTAACCCATCGCACATTCACTTCGATACTGAATCAAGCGCCTTTCCTCTAGTTCGAATGCAAGCATATTACCCTGAAGGGAGACCTTATCGTAACACGCCACATGCATTCGCAAGTATATGGCGTGAAGGCGGCCTGCGTTCTCTCTATCGCGGCGTTGACGCGACAACCGTGCGGGGAATTGTACTCTCAACTTCTCAAATTTGCTCTTATGACCAAGTCAAGCAAGTCCTGAAACGTCGAGGCATCCTAGAGGAAGGGATTGGTCTGCATCTGACTGCTAGTCTGTTCGCCGGGTATGCAACACTTATCGACTTTGAGACTCGGTCTGATTTTTTCCTTTGCCTTCAGTTTGGTCTGCTCGATCACATCAAATCCAGTTGGTACGGATATATATGTCCCTCAGTAGTATGACTTTTCACTCACGAAACGATTATCCAGACGTGGTCAAAGTCCGCCTCATGACAGACAAGAACCGCCAACTCAATGGGGTGCTCGACTGTATTAAGAAAATAATAGTTAATGAAGGCCCACTGGCTTTTTTCAAGGGTTTCGGAATGTGTTGGGGACGTGTAAGTGTTTTTCATTCACCTGAAGTCATCGACCATTCTTCAGACTGACATGATGTGAAGTTAGGAACCCATACTATCGTAAGCTTCATAGCTTTTGAACGTATCAGGCTATTATTTGGTATAGATCCAATGTAAATAGAATGTAGACGACGTCGGGGGATCGATACCTGAAAACTTAGGCTGGATGCCAAGGAACACTTCATGCTACGGCCTCTATAGAGTATATTTGAAGTCGGGGTGCTGGTCTCCCAGGGTAATCCACGCTCGCTGTGAACCACTGTCGTACTGTGCTTCTTTCTCGTCTGCATATGGTGCAAGCATTTCTGCGCGATGTCGTACTTTGTTACGATTAGCATGGGTGAGCCAGAGGACGTTGACAACGCAGCCAAAGACAATGACGAGAGAACTATAAAACAAGATTAGCATGTAGAACTCGGGCACGGATGATGATAGGAAAACGTACAACACGAGATCCATGATAGTCGCCCTTTTGAATCTCGGCCCTTCCCTGGTTGGAAAACTCCAAGTACTCAAGATCCCTCCAGCATTCGTAGCAACGAACCCAATAGCGACACTCGTGGCTCTTCGATAATAAGGTTCAGAATTGTTTGCCATCCACGCAGAGAGGATGGGCGCGGTTGCGTAAACACCTGGAACTGAAAGGAACAGGGAACCATATGCTGCTGCCACATGACTCGATCCTAGTGCAAAGACATGTCATTCAGGCTTTCCTGGCATCTTTATCGACGGAGACTCCCTACCCAAGTAGATGCCGAACCCCGCTACGGCGAACGTTCCTATTACCATCGTCGGGATTGCTCGAGTGTGGTAGCGATCCGATAAGTATGCACTGATGAGCGTGACTGCAAGGCTCATAAGCTGTGGCCCTCAAGAAAAGGGAAAGGACATACCGAAGAACCCCGCAGCATATGGCCCCACACTGATCAACTGCGTCCTTGTCGGACTAAAGCCAAGTTGGTTGACGATAGATGGCAAGAACAGCGCCAAACCGTAAAGCGTTGTACCGTTCCCGAAGAACATGATGAAGACCATGATGACGTGTGGAGACTTCAGAGACCGGAATATCTCCTTGAAGCTGAACTCATCCAGTATGCCAATGCCTGGACGATCACGGGCTAGACGGTCTACAATGATGCTACGCGGATCACCTGAGTCAGAAGAAGCACCGAAAAGAACGTGGTAACTCACTCCTTCTGTCTCTGTGTGAGGAACTTGGAACCTTGAGGGGTGGAAGGGATGAGAAAGAAGGACACAACCCCGACAATCACTGTAAACAGCCCTTCCTGCATCATTGTTCAGTTCATGAGCTCAACTGTACGGATAACAACAAGACTAACCAGAATGAATATCCATGCCCAACCAGGCTTCCCGCCAATACCATCCATGTTCTGAATAGCAGCGGCGAGTAACCCAGAAAACGCTCCTGACAAGGAAGCCGAGGAGAAGAATAGCGCCACACTACAATGACGCAAACAGTCAGGAATAACCCCCAATTATAGTCAACGACGCCTCACGAACCGCAATGAAAGCTCTTCTCGAGTATAGAAATCCGAGAGATAGAGGACAATGCCTGGAAACATGGGTCCTTCAACGAGTCCGAGAAATGCCCTAATCACGACCAGACCGGTATATGAAGATACAACACCATGAAGCGTCACAATGGCGCCCCAGATCACAAGCAGTAGAGGCATTAGTAGCCTGGGTCCTATTCTACGGAGCAACAGATTTGATGGTAGTTCTGCAGCAATGTATGGCCTGCAAAACATTGAAGTGAGCGAAATACGGCGCCCGTAGAATTATACGTACACAAAGGTAACCGTGACAGCAACTTGGTACTGATGGTCTGTAAGGTGAAGTCCCTTTTGAAGACCCGCCACACGTGCATTTCCTGGTTGATGAGGGTACATGTTACAATACGACTAGATGATATCGCAAGATCGCATTGCTCACCAATGTTGGCTCTATCCTAAAGCATGAATACAGGTTATCATTTCAAAGCGCGTGTAGTCAGACGATATGACGTACCAAGAAAGAAAGTAGGTAGAACATAGTGACGAGTGGCAATACAGTATAGTCTAGCATACGGACTGCTCGCTTCTCTTCAGAAGCGTCAGCAAGTTTGCCATCTGAATTGACAGAACTCGAAGTTTTGTAATGTGGCGTAGGTTCCTCTAAAGACATATCGATTTGCCTTCCAAAACGTCCTGACTGTGCCAACCATAAGCAGAATTATAATCGAAGGAGGGACTTGACGAACCTGACAGTGCTTGAAACTACGGTCACTTCTGCTGCTTGCCTCAGGAAGGTGGTGGCAGAGAGCAGGCGACTGTCGAAATCCCGGCAGTCTACGCACCACGTCTGTGGCGTTTGATGAGTGCTCACGGGTTCGAAGGCATCAAAGAAGCTCTACCACGATGTATAATTCCGGACAGGATGCACTGAAAGATATGTTTCAACATGGTCTCATTCAATACATTAATACTCCGAGAAGACTCACACTGATCACATCGGAGTCCATCCCATGTTCAGAGTATAATATGCTAGATCGCGGCTGCTACTAGAGCGGCCAAAACGGTGGTCTAAGAATAGTGGACGTAAGCTCCTGGTGAGAGGACTAGAAGCGGGACTGCCAGTGCCGATGGTGGCCGGTCCGCGCAATCATCGCAGCAGACTATACATCAATGTTGCAGCATTACAGACCACTACACAGTAGCATCATGATTGTCTGCTTGTGTTCATGGTCAGGTGGTCAGAGGACTCCGGAGAGCGGGCTGATGCAGCCATACTGCATGCAATGAGAGAAAGCGATGGGACCGTGCTAGCGTTAATATCGGCGTTTTCGTCAGAGACATTACGAGGCGTAGGGTGCGGTACAGGGTTTCAAGCTGTCGAACTTGGAGGTTAATACAAGTCGATTGTCTAGGAGGAGTCTACATGATGGTGGAAAGAAATTAACGTTCAACATCGAGCATCAGCGCAAACGTTTAGAGCTTCGATCATTGAGAAGAACAATCGATCGCATTCCGGGCGATCTGCGAAAAGTCGCTGCCAAGCACCCCACGTGAAAGGTCTCAAATAGCAAAGCTTCAAGCTACCAGCACATATTCATCGTTGTCACTAGAATGTTATACAGTATGAAACGTAAGCTACAAACCCATGAAAACTTCTCATTGTCCAAAAATTATCATATAGTTTCCAAACCTCACAGAGTGTACGTGAAATCAGGGTGACGGTCCCCAAGCTCCATCCAAGCCTTTCTACCCCCATCCGAATTTCTACTAGATGTGTAGGGCAAAGGAGTTTGGCCCGATCTTGAACCTTCCTATGATTTTCTCGCGAGAGATAGACGGCATTGACACGAGCGCAGACAATGACAACGACAGAGCTGAAAGTACCCGCAGTATTACAATGGGATGGAGATAAGCGAAAGAAAGGGCAGCGCACTAAGATAAGTTCATGATTGTCGCTCTCCGGAATTTAGGGCCTTCATCGGTAGGGTAGCTCTAAGTGGCGAGGACACCACCCTGGGAAGGTCAATCAATCATTCGTCCAAGGATAATACTTTGACAATGTTTAAATACCTACCGCATTCGTGGCAACGAACCCAATGGCAATGCTCGTGAGTTCCGCGTTGTTCGCCATCCAGGCTGAAAGAATTGGTGCCATGGCATAAACATGGGGAATAGAGAAGAAAAGCGACACATATGCAACATGGGGGTCAGAAGTACCTATCACAGAGATATAAACAAGCAATTCCAAACATGATGACGGGAACGAGAAGGATCTCACCGAGGAAGGTGGCATAGCCAATTACAGCAAGCAGCGCGATGACCACAATGGGTATAGCACGCGAATGATATCGACCAGAGAAGTATGCACTGAAAATGATGACTGTAAAACCACGGAAATGTCATGAATTAGTAGATAGATAATAACATACCGACGAAACCTGCAGCAAAGGGTCCAACACCGATCAGTTGTGTGTGAGTTGCGCTGTATCCGAGTTCATTGACGATAGAAGGCAAGAAGAGGGCGAGACCATGGAGCATTGTACCGGTGCAGAAAAGCTGGACCAACAAAAGGATGACGTGCGGAGACTGAAGCGAGTATAAGATATCTTTCACGCTGAACTTGCCGTCAAGATTGTTTGCAGGTCGATCCCGTGCAAGGCGGGCCATTAGAATACTGCATAAGCACATGAGCACCGACTATCAAGCAGACAAGGAAGAGTGTCTTACTCCTTCTGTCTCTGAGTCAAGAACCTAGAGTCTTCTAGTGTTGATGGAATGAAGAAGAAGGCAATAAAGCCAATCAACACAGTGAAGAGGCCCTCCTATAACTATTGTTACCTCGACGCCAAGACACCATATAGAGTCAGACGTACGAGAATGAAAATCCAGGCCCAGCCAGGTTTTCCGCCGATACCGTGCATGTTTCGGATGGCAGCAGCGGGCAAGCTTGAAAACGCACCAGATAAGGATGCGGATGAGAAGAACAGGGCCACGCTGAAGGGAGATCGAATTAACGATCTTTGTTGCTCAGAGAAAAACCGTACCGAAGGGAAAGTTCTTCCCGGGTGTAGAAGCCAGACAGGTACAGAACAACGCCAGGAAACATAGGTCCTTCACAAAGTCCCAGGAAAGTTCTGACAGTCACTAAACCCACATATGACGTGACAACGCCTGCGGAACTGCGTCAGAGCGGTTCTAAATCGAAAGTTACCAGCAAAAACCTTGTAGAGTCACCATCCCACCCCAGATAACGAGAAGAAGCGGCATGAATAATTTGGGGCCAACTTTGCGAAGTAAAGGTTGGCTGGGAGTGCTGCTATGATATGGGGACTTTCTTCAATGTGAGTTATATCCAATTGGCCGAAGCTATTCAGGAGACATACATGAATGTGACAGTGGTACTGACGGTCTGTCAGATGAAGACTTTTCTGCAGCCCAGCAAGGCGAGCATTCCCTGCAAAAAAGCGTTTGTCAAGTAGGCCATTCCCAAGAGATGCACGCGAACTCGCCTATATTTGCCCGATCCTGCAGTTGCAGTAAATGAGAAGACAGGAGGACGCAGAGAAAGCATGCACATCAAGGATGAAAGCAAATAGAACATCGTTACCAGTGGCAGAATGGAATAATCCAAACGTCGAACGGCGGTTTTCTCTTCAGCTGCATCAAAGGAAATCTCTTTGTCATCTAATGGACACTCAGACGGCACTTTGCATAAGAGACTCGTCAACTCAGATATAGTAGCCACAACAAAGAAAACCAGTCAATGAGATAGGGAAGCGGGGGCAAAGAGAGGTGGGTCGAGCAGAATTGAGGTGGATCGGATACAATTGCTCTCCATGGACCAGTGGTCCTTCGGCTTCCATAAAGTCACCTTGACGTTTAGACACGTTGCATTAGACAGCGGCAAAGATCTATTCGTGGGCATGATAGACACTTGGGTGGACATTTCAAGAGTTGAAGACTTCTGGGCTGACATGCCCGGTGATCTTTGCAGTATGATTGACGAGTCCAGAGCTGGCCTTCCATTGCCTACTGTACGTGAGCGTTCACAGGCATGGCGGAATGTCAGAAGGTTCTGCCAACAGCTTGCTAGATGGGACACAAATGCAACGCCTCCGCCGATAGTCGCAGGAGGACGGTGATACCACTGTCGTCTGACATTTGGTCAGTCGAAGCTTGGACTTTGAGCCTAACACTACGAGTCATGCATCACTGTACAGTCAACATTCACACCTAGAGCCTTGAAATATGCTGACGATACAGGACAACTCGTACGGTTTGGGCAAAGCAAAAGTCAAAGAATGCGAGAAATGACAGTGCTGGAAAGTTGGATTCACATCGGAAGGGGTTACGGGGTCCTTATCCACGTTTTAGGAAATTCGCAACCACCAGAGACAGTTCCAAAGTCATCCGATCGGATGGTTAGGATGTCTGCAATCATCAACAGGCTTACGTAGTATCCAATAACAATACACCTCATATCAATCAACAGAGCCCTATACAAAAAAAAAGAGGAAGACTACAAATCCCCGGTGGCCAAGATGCAAGAATAAGCAACATTAACAGAAGGAACGAATGGGAAAACAGCTAGGATCGAAGTCAGAAGCTGCTTGGACTTCTCTTCTCCGCCATCATAGGATGATCTCCTTCTGGGTCGAATGGCGGATTCTCCTCGTCAGTGTGGACAATTCTTTCCAGACAAATTTCGACGCCCTCCGACTGAGTCTTGTCGGTGTTCCGAGAGCTACCATAGTTGGTACTAAATCCTACGGTACCTTTGAAGGTAGTCTCGTATCTGGAGGCGTTCCCTGAACTGCGGAGGATAACATAGGAAAACACGGATCCCACAGCGGGAGCCATCTGCACTCATGGCCGTTAACGGGATAGTAGTTCGAAAGTGCTTCCTTGCTCACCGAGTTGAGGAGAAAGAACATGGCAGATGAGTCCGAAACACTTGTTCCAATCAATATGATTAGAAGAACAGAGTATATGGCAGCTACGAAGGGGCTGAGTATGTGTGTCTCATGCAATACAATCTGTGCTTACCGGACTCGATGACAATGGACAGAACGTTGGGAAGACGGCCCGTAACGCTTCCACTCACGGTGCGCTGAACTGACCAGACTCTGAAAGCGATCAGAACTAGACGAGAGGTGAGTAATTCAGGTCGCTTTAGTAAGATAGACTTCATTTACCCGTACAAAGAACGTTCAGGGCCAACGTAACGGCATAGAAGTACTTTGATCGGGCAAAGACAGTGGACACAAGCACACTGGCTCCAGGGCTAGCCTCATTCACTGACCAGGTGAACCACGCAGCCATGGCTATGCAAAGGTTAGCCTTGTGACTCAAAGAGAATGAAGTATGAAGCTGACCTATATCCGTGCACCACAGAAGGACAGGGACAGCTACGATCAAGTAACTTCGTCCCCACACAACCCAAGTACGAAAGAGCTACGTATACGAAGATCAACGTTAATACGCGCACATTTTTTGAAGAACATGTACCAGAACGGCATCCGCGATGAGCGTGGTGGTGATATAGCTTGAGTTCTTTATGAGGTTTAGTTTTGTATCGACATTGGCATAGAACTTCTCCGGAGAGCCGGGGATCTCCATGTTCCCGGCGAAAGCTGTGAATGCACGAGTTAGATCAACACAAAGATGCTAGATAGTCCGTGAGTGATATACTTGGAGTTCAAATCGAACAATTTACCATGGTTATGAGGATGAAGCTGAGTACCATGACGCCCAGAAAGCATTTGACCAGCCATCCTCCGTTCTTTCGCTTTTTCAATAGAACCTCAATGCATTGCGGGAAGACGACCAAATAGATCCCTATGGCATGGGTAATGTTATCATCAGTGTGATGTTGAGCATGCCGAAGAGATACATTGCACAACGTACCGTAGAAGATTGCTTCAAGGAAGGTGCCAATGAGTTCCGCAGTCGCGACGGGGAGCTTTCCCTTGGCCATTGCGCGGATCAAAGGGAGAGAGGTGAAGTTCCAAGGACAAGCGAACGTTGAAAGCCTATAGTAAGGTTATTTGTATGTTACCGGGAGCATTTAGGCTTTGATTGCCTTGAACGGGTACATGTTTGAGGACGGTTTTTGTACTGGGGTGACCGTAAGTGATGAGATGGCGATCCTTGGATCATTCATGTTTGGTAAGATGCATTTCAGTTCTTCGAACTCAGCTTCGATGCATCACCTCATTCAAAACAATTGAAGGAAAATTATTTCCAAAGCAACGTCAATCAGGGCGTCAGATCATGTGGTCGCGCCGCTTTCACAAGAGCAGAATTCAAACAACAGCTATACTGCCTTTGTAGAAGGGTATCGACTCTTTGATCTGCGCTCAGGGACACAACCATCACCTGCAAGTTTGACTCCAAGCATACATTGTAACGTGATCCGAGGCAAACAGAAAAAAATCCCTCACCTTTGGGAAGAAACGTCACCTGTACATCTGTCAAGTCAGGCAGTGAATTTACGTACCAAGTTGCCCGGGACGAAAGAGGTGTCCACATTGCCTAAATTGCAATGACCATTTCATAACTTAGAAGTCCGTGAGACGCGGACCCATGCTGCACAAGACAACATATTGTGCATCTTCGAAGATAAACAAGGCTTCCAGTTGCACAGGTCGTAGCCGAGGCACTCCCCGAACAGGTTTTCATACATTGCAGACGGCAACAAGCATCACCAGTCGAACAAAAAACCCCGACCAACCTTCTACGATGCAGTTCAAAAGGAGAAGCGCACCACAGCGAGAAATAGAAAGTCGACCGCAGTCTCGTATGCCGGGTGTGCCTGTCGCATTGAATACGGTTTATCTTGCCTATTTGAGAAACTGGATTCACCAAATTGGCTGCCCATGTGCACACTTCCGACACGTCCACCGACAATGGGGATATGCATGGCATGCAGAAGAGCCAAACCTGGGGGATAGTGTTTTCCTTAATACAATTGAAACATGATGACAATGTCCTTTGTAGATCGTGATACAGCGAAGACTGGTCAACAATGGGCATCAGTCAGGTCCAGAGCTGCGCAGGTACTCCACCTCATCGAAAACTGTCCGTCAAACTGTAAATATTGTCATAGAACTAGAATGCTAATACACACCTCGCAGTTGGAAGTCAGGAACTTGTTGTGGATGTGAACGACGCCGCGAGAAGTCTGAACATATGAACGGCGAATTGCTTTTGAATGTTACGGCAGACTTGATAGCAATCCGACATTAAGAAAAGGGCTAATAAGGGTAGAGTTGGTGGTAGATTCTGATTGACACATCTATTGAGGATCCATCTGATGGTCAACCAGTTCTGAAGTCGAGAGTCAAGACCTCAAGAAACTTATGAACAGCCTGAGGCCCACGACTGCGATAACCAAAGATTCCCACGATTGTGGGTCAATGTGGAACGCGCGCGAGTCAAATCTCCTCTCGTCTTTGTTGCAAGTAGTATTGTACTCTGGTCCTTTCATTGCAGCCGGAAATCCGCACTGCATGTTGTTCTAAGACAAACTTCCAAGGTGTGCACTATTTTTCTATGATACACACCCGACCGTTGTGATATAGATAGCCAAGAGTGGATGACAGTCACGTCAAGTTAGTCCGAAGAAGACAAATGGATACTCTAGAATAACAGGAGACAACGGAAGAAAGCGTATGTAAGCGATAACGCTGGCTCCCGACTTCATAGTACTAAAGTTACACATCGAACCTCATATCTTTAGTGCGTGCTCGTGTTCGAAATGGTCGAACGTAGACTTGGCCGCCGCGAATTGAGCTCTAATGATTTCAGCTTTATGGGGATCTCGAGCCGTTATCTCACACTTGAATGGTTTCGGTACTAAGAGAATAGACTTCGGTGCCAATCAATACAGGAAGTGACAAAGATAAGCCAATCTACTCACGTCGGCATTATCAGAAAAATTGACTGGAATAATCTCCCCTGTGGCAGGATCCTTTGCTGGACTGATGTTGAGCCCGCATAAGAGGTTCATAGCATTCAGAGCCTGGTATCGCTTCAGAGGGTTGGTTCCACAATAAACGGGAAGTACTTACAATAGAGTTGTTAGCCAAATGGAGACCAGGGCAAATACGCTGAGAAGGGTGTAAGATCTGAGTTGACTTACGTCAACGAATATGATACTAACCCTCCCACTTCCGAAGACTAGATCATTTCGGCATCCTGTGGTGTCAGCGCCAGGTTTCGTTCCAAATTTTGATGTCAAGAAGCGATTCGGGTTGAATTGGTGCGGGTTGTCATACAGCTCTTCGTCGCGGAAGATACCCCCTAGGCGGAACGTGATTAAGGAGAAAAACAAATGAACAATGAAGCGGGCCTTACATAGGTTGACGAAGATCGTCGTTCCCTTTGGGATTACATATGGTCCGATCTGGCGGAAGTCAAACAGTCAATTGTCTAGATGATTCCAAGAAAAGTGACCATACTTGCTCTTTCATCTGCGGTGGTCGCATGAGGGACGCCAGTGGGCCCTATCGGTCGCAAGCGGAAGACCTGAAGGTAAAGGATTTCAGTCCTGTACACATTGTCATCAGTAATGTCGTAAGCATTGAAGGACCAACCTCCTTGATTATAGCTCGAACATATGGTAATCCGTCAAGATCATCAAGCTCTGGTGTTCTTGAGGGTCCGACGACATCATCGATTTCCTGCTGAGCCCTCTTTTGTATACATCCGGATGGGCGGCCATACACACGAGGAAGGACTGAATATTGACAGCCGAAGTCTCCGTACCAGCTTCAAGTAGTGTACCACCAACATAACTTTAACATGTGGGTTAGTTGTTTTCTCGTTTCATGCATTTAAGAAACACGTACGCAATCATTTCACAATCTAGTCCATACTCCTCTCGTTTGTCCAAGACATGTTCAAGAAAACAGTCATTGCGCCTGTCTTGGTTCATCCGGTCTTCGCATATATCTAAAAGGCCGAAGAATATTTTTCGTTGGTTCTTGCGAATGTCCCTGCAGAGAGCCTTCCATGCCGCCCACCTTTCTGGTACGTATTTCAAGATCGGAAAGATATCTACGGGAGGGACACCACCGGGTCTGATCACTTGTTCCCACTCCCAAAGAGTGCTGTAGAGTTTGGCAACAAAACCGTTCTCATACGTAGGACAATGGATCCCGAAGACAACTGCCAGGATGACAGATGCAGCAAAGCGTCGAGTATGAGTGTAGAAGTCCTATACAACATTTGCATACACAATCAGTAAATGAATCGGAAGACCATGTGTGATGACCAACCTCAGGGCGTTCTAGTATGTCATACATCAGTTGAGACACTTCAGCCTTCTGAACGGCCACGTGTTGGGCACACTTCTCACGAGTAAGAATCTCGTGGATTACTCGACGGAGTTTCCGCCATACGGGACCTGAATATTGAATGTTAGTCACGACTATTACAGCTGGTCCATATTCGGCTCTTTGAACGTACCATGCCTGGCAAATACGAGCTCATATTCGCCATAAACAATCTTAGCAACGTGCGATGGGGGGCGATCCGCCGTCGTTGATCCCCTGAGCTCTAGAAAATCGCGAGCCATCTTCGCACTAGATATTACAATAATGTTACTAGTCGCCAGTTTCAACTATGAAACCAAGGATCAATGCTCATTACAATCAAGCTTTCAACCAATGAAATACCCACCGAATATATATCTCCATATTGTTTGGCCCATTCGGTGAATCTGAGGGATGATCAGAATCAATATGTCAAACGCAACACGGTCAGAGTGCATACTGGAGGTGGGCATAAGATGTCGGAAAGTCCAGCAAATTTCCAAGCAGAGGTATTGTAGGTGGTCCAGGAGGGAGGTACGACTCCCTTGCACCGATTCTGCTGCAACGATAGACCACCCAGCCAACTAGAGCAAATACACAGATAATTACTGCTGGAGAACCCATTTGGATAATAGAAAGTATCCGGGGAAAAAGTGGAACCAGAACAACTTCATAAAGTCGACACGATCACTCCTTTTAACGTGATTCACTATCTGCGGATTACCATCATGTTTGAATTTATCTCGCAGTCATCATACCGCAATGAATTGGCCACTCCAATGTACCTAGATGCATAACAAGTCGTGGCAAGAACTATGTCGCCTACTGAGGTACGTTCTCCCACAGTAGCGAGATGGAGGCTGCTATCCACATATATTCATTACCTTGTCATCTCTGAACATGGTGCCAGCCGTGTCTGCTGACACGATCGTCCTGTCGAGATATACCACTAGTACGGGAAGGTAAGACTGAAATGTAGAGGTCTGCGTGCTTACAGTGGCTGCGAGATGGCCGGGCCCAATACGGCTTCACGTAGAGCGAGCGTATCGAAACTAAGTGCCACAAAAAGGCACGATATGGACCTAGTTCCTGTGTAAATATCTGTGAGATCGCATTCGACCCAGTCAAAGGTTTGAAGCAAAAGCCGCCTCACCAAAGCCGGGCGCGGATAAAATATGGTACGTCTCCGGATATATCCGAAACTTTCCCACGTTTGTGGATTTTTGTGTTGGAGTCCGCAAGGCATGCATTATTCTTCATAAACTTACGTCTATGCTCTCAAAGTCACGGATACGCATGTAATTCCAAATTCTGGCGTCACATTGTCCGTGAAATGTCTTTTCCTGTTCAGGGACTTCTATCTGAACGTAAGATTACGCCACACTGGTACTTGTGGCTTCAAAGGTTCAACATCCTGCACCAATGAGGACCAGCACAGACTCCCTTTTGCGTCGCAGAGAAATCAAGACGTAGCTTTCAAAGCAAACATGTTGCCCTTTTGGCTCGTCTTTCGATGCAATAGACACCAAGCCTGTGGTGTCCATCCAATGGAGGCTGTCAAGATCTCACGGGTTAATTGAATTGTGAGCCCGTTGCACCCGGACAATTGCCATGTACAGTAAGTGGAATTCCCTAAACGAAGTTCACTCGCCCGACCGGCGCGGAAGGTCTTTTTTTCCTCGGACTATTCGCTCAGAAGCATCAGACATCAGGTATCATGCAGGTGTTCAAACGTCCATCGGTGACTTGCATATAATCCTGCGGTTCGCTCGTTCGATATATCTTCCTACCTTCTGTTCAGATTGTTTGAGGCTAGAACCATCCCAAGATGAGTGCCCAGCCTATATCCACTCCGGAAGCATTTGGTCTTGGGGGAATCGCTGCTTGCATGGCGGTGAGGCACTCTAGTCTGCGCCACACTACTAAATCTGAAGCGCTGAGCCACAGGTGACGGTATCGAATCCAGCCGAAGTAGCGAAAACACGCCTCCAGTTGCAAGGCGAACTGGCAAAAAATGGTGGTGTAAAGGTGTACAAGAACACTCTAGATGTTCTTGTCAAAACTGCTCGCAATGAAGGGATCGCAGGCGTTCAGAGGGGTCTCGCACCAGCAGTGCGTACGTCATTGGCACTTCTTGACGCAACTAACTGGCTGGCAGTATATATACCAGGTTAGGATGCACGCATGCGGTTGTCATTTGACTGAGTTTGTTTGAATACAGATACTGGTCAATGGAGCACGGTTAGGTGAGGATGGTTCAATGTGATGTAGATCGGAACTCACTCTTTCGGAATAGGGTTCTACGAACCTTTCAGGCAATCTCTGAACCGATTCGCGGGTTTATCGCTGAAAGAGCAGACGACCATCACATCTACACTGGCCGGTGCGAGTAGTGGTGCTGTTGGAGGTCAGCCGACGAATACGTCCGAGATCGGAAGCTTCGTTACTTATCATCGTTTACAGCATGTCTCGCGAACCCGCTGTTTTTGGTGAAGGCACGGATGCAGGTTCGATAGCTCAGGTGAAATTTTCGTCCATCGTCTGATTCTAGAAACTTCGATAGGCATATTCTCCTTCTCTACCCGTGGGGACTCAGCATCGCTATAAGGGCTGGTTCGACGCACTTTCTAGCATATTCCGAGCAGAGGGCGTGCGAGGGCTAGCAAGGGGGATGGATGCTGCAGTCCTGAGAACAGCCATGGGATCGTCGGTCTGTGTTATGAGTCACCGCCATTAGAGAATAGAACTGAATCATCAGGACGGATTTAGGTACAATTGCCATCATACGGCTGGACGAAGAACAAATTAGTGGCCCATGGGATCCTGCCGGCCGATAGCTTCTGGACATACTTGGTTAGCAGCTCCGTATCAGGGATCTGTGTGGTATGTGTTCTATCTATATGCCCATCGGAATATTCAAGTTGACGAGTCTTCAAGCTAACGGTGATGCAGCCAACGGATACGGTCAGTACGATCGGGGTCGGGCTGACAAATCGTTGTGCTCACCTGTGATGGCTAGACATTGACACGCATGTACAACCAACCCACCAAGCGATTGTCAAACGGGAAGCACGTGGGAGTTTTGTACAAGAATCCCATTGATTGCTTGTGGAAGATTCTCAAGACCGAGGGACCTCTGGGCTGGTACAAAGGTACGCGATTTGTGTCCATAATTGATGCCGAATGATTTCTGACGGTTGGAGCCAGGGTCCACGGCACACTTCCTCCGCATAACTCCCCATACGTGAGTGGGCCAGCATCCTGCATGCAGGGACCTTTGCTGATACACAGATTGACTTCCATGCAGAATCATTACCCTGACAGCGAATGATATGATCATCGGCATGTACAAAAATGCGTGCTTCAGTTAGAATATAGTGTAGAGCGTGTCGTATATCATGATACAGCTACACAGTAGTTTATAACATCCAGAAGCGAGACATGGCGTTAGGAAACGCAGTGAGAACGGTGAGAATGTAGTTGAAGACAACAAGGCGACAACGAGGTCCTACAATCTCCAAAAGAGGCAGGCCTTGAGGCTAAATGACACGTGGTTGCCACGCGAGACATAGTATTTGGATTGATGTACGCGCGTGCGGTCCTTTGTCTGCACTTGGACCCGATCATTGAGTTTGTGCGTTGTAATAGAGACGTCTTTCACCCAGGGCTGTGTGCCAGTTCGCGTGAGGTCAGTCTTGCCTTTTCTGAATCATTCTTCTTTCCCTCTCCCACATACTCACCCCCAACAGTCCCCAGGTACACGCCAGGTACACCGCCCGCCACATCCTCTCGGTATTCCAAGTCGCCTTCCGACATCTTCCTACTACTCTCTTCCAATCTTCATAACGACTCTACCCTTTGCTTATCTCAGTATCATACCTGATTGATGAGCAGCGATTCCTCGTAAGTGCTGATTTTTCGCCCGCTCTGTATCCTTATTGTTGCTCAAAGAGACATGCTTGTTGATTGTGCGCTCATTTCTATCTCTTTGCAGCAACCCTCCCTCTCCAGTAAGCTATATTGACGTTAATATTCGTTTCTCGCAGTGCAACCCATACCGAATCCTTTGTTCTAGCGTGGCGTTCGTCCCCAAAATGCAGGCTTTCACAACAGCGGTATGGCGCCACCTGGTGATTCCCAGTCTTACTTTCAGCAGCAGCCGGTTCAGGCTCCAATTGTAAGACAACCAATTGGCTTCTCTTCACATGCACCCTCCGTAGGAACAGTCCCTACATATGCGGCGGGAGCTCCAGGTGCCCAAGTACCTCAATTCCATCCTGGCCAAGGCATGTCCATCGATCAGCCTTCTCAGGAGCATCGGAAGAGGAGGAAACACAAGGACAAAGATAAGTTGAAAGCAAAGCCTTCGAGGGATCGAGCACCGGTGGACGATAGCAATTACTCCACACCGATCCCTTACGCCTCACCAGCCCCCAATGCTTCAACACCATTCCTTCAACCTCCAGCTTTTCGCATCCCTGCTTATAATCACACTCCGCAAGTTCAATCTACGGCTGGCGCTCACCCTCCGCCTCCGCCGAGTGGCTCATATTTACCGGACCATGCTTCCGAGAGTTCATCTATTAGAAATAAAGGTAGCGGTACAAAGAGCAGGAGCCACCGTCCAGAGGCTCGCATGCCCGCCCCCTCCCACAGTATGAATTCACAACCACCCGACTCCCGTAGTTTCCAGCAGAACGAATTCAACGAGGCGTATCAACGCCAAGCCGAACATCACAGTGGAAATCAACCTGGATATAATGCTCCTCCTTCCGCGTCCGACGCACACCAGAGATCTCGATCGCATCGACCGCGAGAGCATCGTTCCAATTCCACTGCGTCCAACGCACCTCCCCAACAGTATACTGCTCCATCTTCTTCCTATGCCCCACAGGGAATGTCACCGACGTCGGCTGAACCACCATCTCGTCCAAAGGCCGTCTTGCGCATTCTCACTGTCTTGATTGAGGATAAGCGTTTTCCTGAGGAGGAGGGCCAGCTCGCTGAAGTTAGAGTCAGTCTGCGCCCTGGTGATGATCCCGAAGACGGATACTGGGCTGATGCTAGGGAAATTGCGGAAGAATTGCAATCCGGACCTGCCAGAATCGACGGTAATTACGTTGAATTGAAAATCAAGTTAGTATCTCAATCTTTCGTTGCAGGTCCTGCCAAGGTTTACACCATGCGTGGAAAATATCGTCAGTATTTCCTGCGTGTCACCGCCGATGGTGTTACAGATTGCCAATCTTCCAACCTCAAGGTGTCCAAGGATCGCACTCTTGAAGTGTTCGTTGAACATGTGAGTGATTCTTAATGAATACTTTGTACACTATCTTATTACGTCTTTGAACGACGATCAGAATCCTGCCGCTTTGTCCGGGCCGCCCCAATACGGTCAGTCGTGCATCCTTCTCTCACGTCAGAATTCGTTTCTCACCGCATCATTGCAGCTACTCCGCCGCCCACGGTGCCCACTTCCGTGGATGGGTATAGCCCAAGTCGGTCAGAGTTCGGCAATGTTGAAGTGGCTAGCATCCCTCGGAAGCGTCGTCACTCGGCTAGCTCAAGGTCATCAGTAGCCTCAGCACTTCGGACACAGGCACAAGTCATAACGGAAGAACATGCTTCTCATCGATCGTCTCCATTTACGAACCGTGCGCCTTCCCTTATGCCCTCGCAGGACCCACCGCTGTCACCGACGCCTGTTGCTTCACACGACTCGCCTATCTCGGAAAGTTCAATTGCGTCTCCAAGGCTTCCGGCGTCTGTCTCGCAACAACTGTCTGCATTCACAACTGTCTTCGATCAAGCTGGGTCAAGAGCTTCGTCAGGTTCTCAACATGGGTCCCCAATGTCAACAGGTTCATCGTTGGCCTCCCCGATACCTGCGTCTCCACCCCTGCCAGAGATCCGCAGTAGTCATCCATCGCAAACTCCTTTCACTGGTCATCAGTCTGTTCACTCTATGAGGGAGCAGACTGCCTCACCTATATCACTTCCAGGACCTTCGTCATCTAAGAAAGCGAGGGGACCAAGCGGTGAACCTTCTGCCAGGTCTGCAGACGGTGGTGGGTCAAACCATTGGGGATCCAGAGGTTCCTCTACAGGTTCCTCTACAACGACTCCAGCAACGTCTGGTTTCGCTCAGTTCGCTCAGCCAGTTACTTTTGGCGCTCCTTCTCTTGTTGGACCGTCACAAATAACTGCATCCTTTACCGGCCGCGCCTCTCCTTCGTCACCTTCAGTTTCTTCTCCACGCAGGAACATCGATCAGGACGTCTGGTTGTCCCTTCGTGATGTTTTCAAGAAGGAACCTCAATTCGAGACTTTCGTGACATCCAAGAGTCAACAAGTCCCTCTCGTTGACATGTTGCGGGATCAATACGCGTACATCAAGAGTAAGCTCGATAAGTACTTGGATAAGCCGATTCCAGTCACGTTCAATGAGCCTGGAGGCAAGTACACAAGGGTATGTTGTTACTGTTGTCATTACCTCAGTGATCTGCTTACTTTGTTCATTGCAGGCTCAGATCTTGAAGGCTTTCAATATGCCAGAGTACTATGCAGACGTCATTCCTGAAATGCTCGCGTTAGCAAGTTACTACGGTCCCAACGGATCTCGTGGCGAGGATCCTGAGATTGTCAGGCGCCTGACCGAGAAGCCTAAATCGTCTACCTCTCAGTCAGCCAAGGAATGCCTCAATCTAATGCGCATACATCACGAAAAGCAGCTCGAGGCTCATCCCGATGCTTGATTCAGTATTCCTGGTTCACTATCATCTTTGCTCATATAAATCCCATACCATTCTTGTATATGCTTTCTTGTTCTTAGGTTGCTTTCTGCTTTTCTTCCGAGGTTATCAGGTCTGGTACCTGCCATGGTCTGCGCTTTGCTGTCCCATTGTTCTCCTTTGCGCCGTTCACATACCCTTCTCGTATCCTCGTCCCACTATCATTAAATCTCGTAAGAACTTCTTTCTCAAATGTTCTCCACGTCATGCCCTTAACGAGTCACGTTTGTAACAGGTGTTGTACCTGATGATCTATGCACTGGTGTACGGTCCGTTGTCCGAATGCTCTTCGTTTCTAGCTATGTGTAGCTTTAGAACGTTCGCATGCTTTGTACTCTGAATTGCACATCACTTGTTGTTGTTACACTTATGGCCATCTCAGAGTACAAGTACCTCAGTGCCGAACAGCGTGCGCAGTTCCTTGAACAAGGATGGGTGAAGATACCCCAGGCTGTCCCGCCTGAGAACATTGCCCGTTTTACCGAGGATGTATGGATCAGATTAGGATTCGACCCGAATGACAAGGCAACATGGACCAAAGAAAAGGTACGAAACAATCACATTGTGTTCAGCGGGATGTTGACAGGCGGACAAGATCCATATGCCCAGGCATCGGGAGATACCCACGAAAGATTTCATGCCTAAAGCTTGGGGTGCTATGTGTACGTAAATTGTTGTCTATTGGCATCGACAGTCTGCATGTCTTCGCAGGTGAGTTGCTTGGCGGCGATGAGCGCATCGATAAGACTCTCTTCGAAAGCTGTGGGGACAGTCTGATTGTTAACCTTGGCACAGAAGAGTGGGAGGATGTACGTGCTCCGGCCATTTCCATCCTGACGCAACTGACAACTAACCCATGAGACAGAACCAGGTCGATCCTAAAGATCTGGGGAACTGGCATATGTTCGTCTGATTCCATCTAGTTATCGTATCCTCACTGACGATAATTATCTCAGAGATGGAGATTGGTATCACCTTCTTGGATTATCCCTTCGTCGTGGAAAAGTTTCTCTGACGAATTGGCAGGTTCACACACTTCCTTGACTCGGGAGAGCAGGGCCTGACCGTAATTGTCCTATTCAATGACATCAAGCCTCGCGCTGGCGGGACATATATTGCGCCAGACGGAATAAGCAATGTCATTCAATGGTTCGGACTTGTGTCAGAGCCAGGTTCTTCAAGGTTCCTGATTTTGATTGCTTCCAGGTTATATGAGCATCCTGAGGGCGCGGACGTGTTCGCTCAAGATCCAGATGGCAGCCGATCCATATGTTCAATTCAATCTTGTACGAATTTCGTCGAGGTGAGTCCAGCTGCCGTCATCCGGAGCTACACTGATAACGGTTCTACGTCGGATTCCTGGCAGCTGACCGGTGAGGCCGGGGATGTAGTTCTACTTCATCCTTTCATGGTGAGTACTGAATTTTCAGCCAAGGCGGTTTGCATGACAGTTTGCTTTAGCCGCACTCCGCTTCCAAGAATCATCTGCGTATTCCACGTTTCATAACCAATCCACCTGTAACCTTGAAAGAACCTTTCAATCTGAATCGCGAGAACCCTTTGGACTACGTCAGTGCCTAGGAATGCATCAGGGAGACATACATATTGACGTGTTTGAGTAGAGTCTCGTTGAACAGAAGACGCTGAGGATACTAGGCGTTAACTCTCTTCCGGACTGGCATATCAAGGGTGAACGGAGACGCTTTACACCCAGGACTCGTGCTGGAAAGGATGCTATGATCATGGAAGAGGTGGCGAGGATGAAGGCACACGCCCTGAAAACAGGACGACCTGTCGATAGCATGCATCTGAATGGTCCTGTTCCCTACCAAGTCGTCATAGGATGAGCAAGGGAATTTTCCTTGTGCTAAACAACTGATTCTGGCAGGAAATGCATTCTCTATCTGAGCCAAATAACCTGTGGGAATATCCATAGTTGGATTTTCCACGATTTTCGGATACTGGGCCAGCGCATTCTGCTATTCTGTATCTTCCGCTTTGGAGAACGTATCGAAGAAGTTCAGTGTCGTACTGTTTGCACGGAGATCCTTGCATGGAGCTGGTAAGTAATCGCGAAGTCAGAGAAGGGCAGTACCCCTATCTTCTTCGACTTTCTTGTTCGTGGGATTCACTAAATACAGAAGAAAAGGCATTGCTTGGGGGAGGACAAGTGCTACTGAATTTTTTATGCGTTGAGATCTAACGCGAAGGTTCAATGTGTTCCATATCAGTCCGAAATCCTCATGATATTTTTGCTCAGTCTCCGACACATCCTTGGACCTGGATGTCTCGCTGTGTCTCCAATATGCTTCTGGCCTTTTTCGCATATTGAACAGTGTTTAAGCTCGAATGCCTGGACTATAATTTGCGCAGCTCATAGCTGGACCTGTAACCTCCTGATGCATGCGACCGTGCCTGTCGGCCTTCTATAACGTGAAGTCATCTGTCACAACTGTCCCTATACTTCACCGCAGAAATTGACAGATCTACCGCGGTGATGTTCTTTCCTCAGATCGAGGCATGTCCTTCACCCCGGATTACCCTGCAGAAACTCCTTAGACCCCCCAGTAATGCTGGATCTCTTCAACGTTGGTCAAACGGTCAGTATGCAAATGTTGACCATTAACTCCAGTCTCTGCGCAGCTTGCGAGCATGCGAGAGCGATATTATCGCATGAGGCTGTGCGCTGGTTGTTGTTGTTGCTGTCACGGCATTAACTTCTAAACTTTGCTTCAATCGTTTTGAAGGAGGCGGCGGCGATACATGGAAGAATCGCCATATTATGTACCACTCCTGGATCCGAACTCTAAAGTCCGCTTATCCTTGAAACCAACGTCGCCTTTGCTTTGACTTATGCAATGGCCAAGGGAACTCTCCCGTTCCCCACTGCGGAACTTATCGGGACGTTCCTAGAAGCAATCTTCTATGGTACGTTCTTCGAACCATCGTTCTAACGTGTTCATGGTTTCACTGACGACGCGTCTCTTTGTTCTACAGGTATTTATTTGGTGATCTTCCCGCAATGTATTGGGATTCTCTTGAAAAGACGAAAGGACGGCGGACGACTTGTCAAATGCTTTCTGGGAGTCATGGCATTCAGTTTCATCCTCATAACTATGGTGAAATGTGTTCTTTATGCTCTTTGTTAATCACGTCGCCAACCGTTCGTCTAGCACCTCTGCGTTGATCTCACTCGCGCGTTCGCAGCTTTCACAGCGAATATGGACGTCCCCGGCTCTCCAGACAAGTACTACGCCAACGTTGATTCGACACTGAACATCATGAAAACTGCGACCTACAGCACCACTACGGTCATATCGGATGCTGTTCTAGTGTGTATTTTCTTCGAAGAGATATCTCTATGTCTTTGATAATTCTTGTGCATGTAGCTGTTCCGCGCATGGATCGTCTGGGGGAGGAATTACTTCATTGTCACGGTCCCCATCCTTCTGTGGTTTGCAGATATACTTCGTATTTCCTCACTATTGAACTGTACAATTGACGGTAATGTAGCTACAGCCGCTTGGTTCACCTGGTCAACCAACGTGGCTAAGCCTGGTGCCAGCGTGCTTATCTCCGCCGTGTTCGCCAGGTCAAAGTATTTTTATGTTGTCACGCTCATTCTAAACCTTCTTGGGTCTGGTAAATAGAGTCTGTCTTTCTGTAACAATATCGAGGGCTCACGGCGCATGCAGTTCTGATCGCGTTCAGACTCTGGTCGGTTCGGCGCAGAGTGAGTAGGCACACCTTTGGCCGGGTTCCCAATGTTATCTCCATTGTTGTTGAGTCCGGTAAGCTCAGATTGTACATTACCTTTCCATTTGAAGGTTCTCTTATAATCTGAGGTCTTGTAGCTGCCATTTACTCCGTTCTTCTGATAGTCATGATTGCAACAAGCGTAGCAGACGAATCTGCCCACTTCTTCTTCCTCAATTCGGTGAGAAAATGGCGAGTTCTCTCGCATGACTGGCTTCATGTTAACGCTTATGAGAATAGATGGCTCCTGTCGTTGGCTCCGTATTCTCCTACGTTATACTCCGCAGTTCGGGAGACGCCTCTACTGAATATGAGGCCGCTATCAAAGGCATCAGAACTTCAATGCGCTTTCGCAGAACCAGCAAGACTCAGGCAGCGAGCGTTGAACTTTATCTTGAGCAAATCGTCCGCGCTGACGAGGAGAATCCGCCATTCAGCCCGGAAGAAGATCATTCTCCGATAAAGAGAAGTCCAGCAGATTTCTAACCTTGATCCTACCTTTCTTGGTGTATTTATTCTTTTCTTCTGACCACCGATCCCTCTTGCTTCTGTTTTCATGGCGCATCACACGGTCTTTCCATTCTCGCACTACTTGTTTTATGAGGCTATGGCAGTTGATTGAGGAATAATACTACTTATTGAGAGCTACAGACTGATGCTTGCAGACGTCCCCAACCGGTTGCGTGATTCTCGGAATGAGATCTGTGCGTGAACTTTTTTTTTGACCATCGTGGCACCTTGTACGTTAACTTCCTAAATTGGAGAAGGACCCCGTAACTCCTTCTACATCAGATCCAACTGGTGCACCGGTCCACGCTTGGAATCAATCTAATCTCAAATTAGCTTGCGCCTTTTCATGTTTACGACTTTACTTTGCTGAGTCCATCCCAATTATTTCGTCTTGTGGGTCCTTCTTTGAAGGTCACCAGAAGGTATCCATGCTGACGATACCATCATCCACGGCTCATCGTCTGGTCGAAGTCCAAGGCTCGATTCATTGACGAAGTGTCAGGCAACAGGGATGACTATTTTCCTGTAACTATCGGGGGAAGCGTTACGTGCCATGTTCCATCTGGCAAGCTGTCGTCTGACATGAGTGAATGCTCCCTGTGAACTCTCATGAAGAGTAGGAAATGGAGAACCCAGCTCAGAGTTCCTCAGTCATCCCCCTGCCCGCAATGATCACCGGAAAGACCAGGCAGATGTCGAACGGCCTCATGAAACCATCTTCGCCGCTGTCTAGGTCTTACGTCTTAGCTAGCGATCGAGCAATGCGATGCAAATAAACGTCAGGGAGATCATATAGAAGCTGAAGTTGAAGAAGCACTGATCATCCTCCGTGGAGAGCGAATTGCCTCCAACCCACCACACTTCTTGCTCACCCGCTGCTCTCTTCCTTTCTTGTCTTCACTCATATCTTCACCAGTTTTCTTTCTCGCTGTCGCCATGTTCCGCTCGACGAGCCCCGTAGGCAAAGTGCTCTCGGAGAGTTCGTTCGACGACTCCGAGAAGCTTTCCTTCGATGCCGCCGAAGAGAAGGCCGCGGTTCGACGATTGGACTATTCCATCCTGCCACTTGTAACGATGTTCTATTTGCTCTCTTTCTTGGTGCGTACATTTTCCTAGTGTTCCTAGGTCTTCTTGCTCATTGCACCTGCAGGATCGAGCAAATATAGGTGGGTTCATGTTTGTATCTCGTGGACGGCTGATTTAACAACCGTGTCATTGCAGGAAATGCTCGCGTCGCCGGGCTCCAGAAAGGCCTTCATCTGACAGATCACCAGTATCAAGTTGCAGTTACAGTCACCTTTGTGTACGTTCCTGGAATCATCTCGGCTCAGTGAATTATCATTGACAATAGAGCAAGTCCCTACATCATGGCAGAACTCCCGGCAAACCTTTTACTCCGCAAAGTTGGCCCTAGCTTGCTTATGCCTCTCCTTCTCGTTATTTGGGGTATAATTGTTACGCTGCAAGGTTTGTTTGATCCGTATCTACTTTTTTGTGAGCATTTCTGACGTAGGTTGACAGGTGTCGTCACGTCATATGCGGGTTTAGTAACTATTCGCGCCTTTCTGGGACTTTGCGAAGGTCCCATGTTCCCGGGGATCGTTTTGTATTTGTCTGGCTTCTACACCCGTGAAGAACTCTCTCTTCGGTACGTATTTCTTCGAATTTTATCCCTGGATGCTGAATTTGAGATCATCTTCAGTGTTGCACTTTTCTTTTCATCCGCGTCATTATCTGGTGCATTTTCGGGGCTACTTGCGGCCGCCATTCAGAATATGCACGGTGTGGGCGGTAAACCCGGCTGGGCCTGGATTTTCATTCTAGTATGTCTGACTTTGTACGGTGCCTTGATGTCGAGGTTGACAGTAATTACAGGAGGGCCTCTTCACGGTGCTGGTCGGCGTTGTTGCCTTCTTCCTCGTTCCATCCACGTTACAAGATTCCAAGTTCTTGACACAGAGACAGAAGGAGTAAGACACTCCTTTATCTGACCGACGATCAGTGCTTATTTGCCCATGTAGCATCATCATGGTCCGCCTTGCGCGGGATCGACCTGCGGTCAACGTTGTCGAAGAGTTCAGCGTGAAAGAGATCATGCGCTCCCTTCGATCTCCGCATGTCATCCTTCTGTTCATCCAGTTGTTCTGCACCGGTACAACCCTCTATGGTCTCGCCCTCTTCCTGCCGTCTATCGTCAATCAGCTTGGATTCAGCCCCACTCACACTCAACTGATAAGTGTTGGTCCTTTTGCCGCAGGTTTCCTCGGTATGTTATTGTCCATCTACTTAGTTCATGACGAACTCAGTTGCTTTGGTTTTACAGTCATCCTTTGCAGTGCATACCTCTCTGATCGATATCATTCGCGCGCCATACCCACTATGATCATCGCGCTGCTTGCAGTGATTGGATATGCCATGTTCCTCGGTAACCTTGCTCTGTTTCCATTCGTATGGGTCTGAACTAATAGTTGATGTATTCGCTAGGCGTCTCTCATCCCTACGTTGCATACGGATCACTCTTCCTCTCTGTTCCTGGAGTATATGCGACGGCACCTCTTCTTTCAGCGTGGATGGCAAACAACTCCGAACCCTATTATCGTCGTGCAACGAGCGTCGCTATTGGGTTCGTTGCTACGAATGCAGTAAGTGTATTCGAATTATTGTTAGGCGGCATATTGACGAATGCTTCTGCATAGGGTGGTATCCTTGCCACTTGGAGCTATCCAACCAAAGAAGGTCCTAGGTTCCAAAGGACCACTATCATGAATCTCACCTTGTGCGTAAACACACTTCCATCTTCCTTCGTCCCTATTCTGATGAATGGCGTATGAACAGTTCTGTCATCGTCATTGTCGGTGCTGCGATCAACGCTAAGTATCTCTCGCGAGAAAACGATAGGAAGACTCAACGCAGAGCAGAACTTCTCGCGCCGTACACGAATGATGAGCATTCGGATGGTGGCGAGAAAGCTTGGTTGGACCTTGGAGATCGTCATCCTGATTTCAGATACTCGCTCTGATCGTGCGGTCAGCGTGATTGCTTTACGGTAATTGATTATCGATATAGTTTTAGGCTTATGTGAACTATATCTTTTTTTTGTTTTATACGTAGAATCCTAGGTGTATGTTAGCCATTTGGCGATTTCAATGTCCGCTCTCTCCCCCGTGTTCGGTCGTTAATTTCCTACATGGTTCTAGTTCACTAAAACAGATTTAAAAACACAGATTCAAAAAATGGTCAACTCGTAATTATAGCAAGTTCTTTGTTCTAAGTAGGTTTCGTTAGCGTAAGATCTAATCAGAGAACATACCATATATGGCAACACGTATCGAGCGCCGACAAGAAACTGCCATATCGGGGCATTTCAAGGATCCGTCTTCAAGTTGAACATCGAACGTGAACGTTGAACACGTTGACAGACTCATTGCTGCCGCCATGCGCTGTGCAGAAATATTCGCTCTGTCTCATACTGAAATACAAAGTGGCTATCTACATCCACAGCAGTATACTGTTTACTGTAACTCAGATGGATGCGCCAACAGGTCAAACATTCTCCAAAAAGGGTTTCAAGGACTGTGACTGTACTCAAAATCTGCAATCGTCGCTCGCGAGGATAGTCTTCATAGATAGCGTCCAAGTCATTTCGACGAGCAGTTGGCGAATAGCCGGTCCGCCGACGTGATCGGGACTATGGTAATTTGACTCAAATGCACAAATCCCGACCGTTATGTAGACTGATGAAGCTGATCACCCTCAGGCCGAAAACGAAAACATTCGTGCTTCCAAACACTTGACCCCATGCGCCATGATAGATGAGGTCAACTGCAGTGCCGGGTGATTGGGCAGATTGTGCCTGTCTGACAAGCTAGGCGTACATGCTACCTTCACTATCTCAAGACTTTTCGCCTCCGGTTTCCATCGAAATCCCGGCTCACAGGGTGTGGTTCTGTTTCTCAGGCCATTTCTACGCTGTGGTCGCATCTTGACGTGCGTTTATAACTTCAGATCTAGACAGCGCAGTGCGGGCTCAATAAGGACCGCTTCATGTGCATCCATGAAGCTACTCCCATTGAACCTTCCGGGGGTCTCGCTGTAGGCTCCAATCATGTTGTACTTGCTTCCGCAATGCGCAGCAACTCTTAGGAGTCGGAGGCCATTGCCTCACTTTTCCGACAAAGCCTTCACATCGAGGCAACTTCTGAAGAACTCTATCGAGTCTGTCACGCAGAGGATGTACTCTGAAACGAACATTCCCAATCCTCGTACCCGACATGCGTATCGCTGGGGCATGCAATTGGTCACAGTCGCGTTGTCCGTGGCTATGGGTTATGCACTCGTTCAGGATGACCTAGGTAATATCGCCATCAACCGAAACCATTTCAAATATGCCTCCCCCAAAGAGTTACGGAGGGCCATTTCAGAACTTCATGAAGAGTTTCCTGGAGACGTGACTACAGATCCGGACGTGCTCAAGCGCTATGGTTTCTCTGCAAACTCGTATCTTCCGGCATCCCCACATGCCGTCATTGTATGTGTACACAGCACAGAAGATGTTGTGAAGGTCATCAACATTGCGAGGAGATATCGCGTCCCTGTTGTGCCATACAGCGGAGCCACAAGCATAGAGGGCCACTTCTCTGGCGTGCGTCTACGGAAAGCACCGGATTTCTTACCTCATTAATTGGGCCGCTTTTTCAGATGCCAGATGGTAATGTCTGCCTAGATATGTCCGCCATGAAAAACTACTAGAAGTTCATGATATGTACTACTGCATTGTGAATATACGTAAGATCTCGAACTGATTTACTTCCAGAGGACGATGGAGATCTGGTTTATCAAGCAGGTACGCAATGGGAGGCTATCAACCAAACCCTCAAAAACAGGGGTATCCCATTGTTCTTCCCAGTAAGTAATTCATGTTTTAATGTGCATTTCAAACTTTATGAAATATTTGGAACGTTGTGATCAAGCTGGATCCAGGACCTGGTGCTGTATGTATCTTCATTTTAGAGCATACAGTGATTTTTACTATCTGATTCTCAGACGATCGGCGGAATGATTGGCACGGGTTGTTCAGGGAGTAAGTCACTATCTTCCTGATCGTCTTCATTTAACATTGCTTGCAGCGAATGCAGTCCGTTATGGTACCGCGAAAGCGGAGTGATTCCTGAACGTGGTAGGTTGTACTGCTGGCCTTTGTATTGGCCAACTCATGGCCTCTCACGATAGACTGTCGTTCTGCCTAATGGGAAGGTTATCAAGACACGCCGCGGCGCGCGAAAGTCATCTGCTGGCTTTGACACTACGAAGTCATTCATTGGAGCGGAAGGGATGCTGGGTATTGTCACCTTCGGTGACAATTCAATCAGCATTATCAAAGTCTGAACTAACAAGAAGTATGATGATAGCGACTATATGACTGGCGCCTGTACCGACCACCAAAGTAGCGATGGCCAATTCCCGGATGTTCAAAGGGCCGTTAATGCAGTACAAGAGATTTTGAACAGTCATAACGGTTCTCATATACGTCCGTATCCTGAATTTCATTAACAATATTATTCTCACTCGGGTATCTTGCAGAATGCGTCGAACTACTCGATGACCAAAGTAGGCATCAAATCGTGAGAGACACATGCTCGCTCGCTACATGTCATACAGTGATTGCTCATATCAATGCTGCTGGTTTTGTCTCACGCAAATATCCCGTTCTCGACACACTTTTCCTGAAACTGCAAAGAACGGAAGCAACAATAGGGGAGACTGCCGAATCGATTCAAGAAGTGTTCAAGAACCATAGATAGTCTCAATCCGAGTTCGCCAAGTCGTATGAGCATGCTGAAGAGATATGGAAAAGTCTGCGTTCATGAGTACTATGGCTGCCGGTGGCGAAGGAACCAGCGTGTAGACTACTGATGTTTGGTGAGTCTCCCTCTTCCCTGCAGCGTAGCCCTAATAGATCGTCTTCGGCAGTGTCCCTGTTTCTCGACTTCCTCAGTTGGTGTATGAGACGAAAAAGGACCTGACTGAGGCGAAGATTCAATCGACTATCGTAGGGCATGTCGGCAATGGTCTGTCCTGCTTCTTCCTGTTGGTTAATAATGCCTACATGGATCCTTCAATAGGAAATTTCCATTCGTCACTGATCTTTCACAAGGATGATGAACTGCCTGCTATTGCCGCAGCTGTTCACCGTCTAGTGGAACGTACCATCGCACTTGACGGTACCTGTAAGATTTCTTGCATTTCATATGTATCCTTAACGTGCCTGCTTGATCCGTTCATGATAGGTACCGGCGAACATGGCATCGGTATAGGGAAGAACGAATACCTCATTGACGAGCTAGGTCGAAATACCGTCGAGTTCATGCGTACCATCAAGGCGGCTGTTGATTCTCAGAACATACTTAATCCCGGAAAGGTCTCTGACCCTCTTTCTTGATGAATACGAAACTATCATTTATTCTTGTTCCGTTTCAGCTTTACCCGGAATTTGATCAATCTGAACAGTAGGTGTCTTTACCTGTAGTTATAAGCCTTCAGGTGTACATTACTCGATGCTCTTCGCGATTGTCCTTGTATTACAATGTTTCTTGAGATCGTTACCGAGTCTCTTTGTGTTATCTGATTAACCTTTTTTTTTCCTTTTTTTTTCCTTTTTTTTTGGCTCTCGGGAGACTGTGCAGCACCATGCCCCTTCTGCGGCAGATTAAAGGAATCCTAAACTCGATAGCAAGCGTGTTCTAGTACAGTTTATCCTACCATAGTTAGAGTTAAATCAAAATCTACAACGTGTAGCGGAAATCGGGGTGTCGGTCGCCGAGAGTCAACCAAGCTCTTTGTTCTTTAGCGACACCTCCTGCCTCTTGCTCATCTTCGAATGGTGCAAGGATTTCATCTCGACGAGAGGCCTTTTGGTGAGTGGCCCGAACGAGATAAAGCGCATTCAGTGCACTTCCAATAACGATTACGATTGAGCTGTTTCATGTCGCAGATGTTAAACTCTTGTCATGAAACTATGTTATCCACTCACAATACCAAGTCCATGATGGTAGCCCTTGTGAACCTAGGTCCTTCTTTGGTCGGGAAACTCCATGTACTTAGAATACCTCCCTAAGAGATGTCAATATATAGGCTGCATGAGTGTCCTAAAAAGTGGATAACTTACAGCATTCGTCGCTACAAATCCTATGGCTATGCTAGTAGCTCTGCGATAATATGGTTCGGAATTGTTTGCCATCCATGCAGATATTATAGGTGGTGTAGCATACACTCCAGGCACGGAGAGAAATAACGAACCATATGCCGTAGCAACACTGTGTGATCCTGTCAAGGTTCATTGAGAGAAAGCCGCATATAATAGTGTCTGACTTACCTAGGTAAACACCAAAGCCAGCGACGGCCAACGTGGCAATGATCATTGTAGGAATTGCTCTTGAATTGTAGCGATCGGAGAGGAAAGCACTGATAAGGGTCACTACGCAGAGAACTGTTAGCCATGGGGAGAGAAATCAACGAGCACACAGAACCCCACCAAAGAAACCTGCAGCAAATGGACCGACAGAAATGAGCTGGCTTCTGGTAGCGCTGAAACCTAGCTGATTGACGATGGAAGGGAGGAAAAGAGCAAGGCCGTAAAGAGTTGCGCCATTCCCGAAGAACATAATAAAAACCATCATGACATGTGGAGAGCAAAGAGAGCGGAAAATTTCCTTAATGCTGAAAGCTTCGATAATGCCAATAACCGGACGATCTCGAGCAAGTCTCTGAGCGATGATGCTGCAAACGTGTGAGAAGTTAGATGAGCCGGGACTAAAGGAGGTACGTACTTCTTCTGCTTCTGGGTCAAGAACTTAGAGTCTTGAGGCGTGGAAGGCACGAGGAAGAACGACACCAGCCCAACCAGGACTGTAAACAGACCTTCCTAAGATGAAATCCAGCATCAACTATGGACTCAATAATTCCGAGCTACTGACCAGTATAAAAATCCATGCCCATCCTGGCTTACCCCCGATGCCATTCATGTTTTGTATGGCCGCCGCAAGCAAACCAGAAAATGCCCCAGACAAGGAAGCGGACGAGAAGAAAAGTGCGACGCTATTATTATACATTCAGTATCAAACGAAGTGAATTCAACATTGTCACACACCGAAGGGAGAGCTCTTCACGGGTATAAAATCCAGATAAATATAGGACGATTCCAGGAAACATCGGACCTTCGACGAGACCAAGAAATGCCCTGATAATGACCAAACCTGAATAGGATGATACGAGGCCTATCCGTTGATGCTGAAGCTGAGAATTAATGCCACAAGAAGTGAGGTCGATGGCTTACCGTGAAGAGTTACAATAATGCCCCAAATTACCAAAAGCGAAGGCATCAACACCCGTGGTCCAATTTTGCGTAGTAGCAGATTCGATGGGAGTTCTGCAGCGATGTAAGGTCTATTTCCGAGGGCTCAGCAAGAAAACTACGAGGAAGCTATCCGCCTTACACGAAAGTGACGGTCACTGCAATCTGATATTGGTGATCTGTTAGTCCCAAGCCTTTCTGCAACCCCGCAACACGCGCGTTCCCTGGTAGACATAAGAACCAAGATTATGACGAATAAGGTGCATGACGCATCTTACCAATGTTGGCTCTATCCTAATTTCGCGCCACAATTAGTAGGAAGATACATGGCATGCTCATGATGCATGTAGGGCTTACCAGGAACGAAAGTAGATAAAACATGGTCATCAAAGGTAGAACGGTGTAGTCAAGCATGCGAACTGCTCTCTTCTCCTCTAAGGGGTCGAAAGTGTCCTTTTCATTCGAGCTAATGGTGCTGCTCGATACATGGTTCGCAGGAGGAAGGATTTGAACTGGCATATCGCAGCGGGAGATGCGAGGGAAGAATTGGGCGGGTCGTCCTTAGAACAGCCGGATGCCTGGGAACTCTAGAAGGAAAGTATATAGTGCTGCAAGAAAATCAGAAAAGGGACGGCCCGTTTCTGCTACCGATCTACCACGAACCTTGAGGCCTTGAGGGACCGCGTGTATGAATGTTCCCTAGCAGCCAAATCTTCTGACCGCTTAGTGCACCGCTATATTGAAAGCTTACCGGCGTCCCATGCTCCTAGCTGACCTGGCAGTGGCATTATCATGCCGAACAGATACCCGCGTAGCTTGATGTCAGGGTCCAGAAGATGGTGGTTCTTTTCTCGCACTGATGTGATACGACAAACCTTCGAATGAGAAGCTGTGGCACATGGATGCCTTGCGGTCTAAACTGCATATCTTTGGTTCCCAGCGCTCTGCAGACGACATGAATTGAATTCTATGAATTCTAATTCCGTCCAACCCTGAGCTAGCAATCAGATATCGACAACTTCCAGGGAGCTAGCGAACGAATACTTACATGCAACACAGAGAAGTTGAAAATATTTCATGGCATTTGCATGCTGTAGTCGCATGTTCCCATGCATTTGGTTGGCAACTCCTTAAACAGTGAATTGCAGAGGTGTCGCATTTAAGATCTAAGATGCTGCGGAATTTGAGTTGATGCATGTCATTTTGATGCTAGGTGACTGGGGTCCTGCACATACACCATGGTCACGGCGTCTCGAATCTCACCGTTCTGGATTTGTTCTGGATCACAGCCGCTGTTCACGACAAGGAACGCCGCCAAACACACCCGCGTCAGGCGAACGTAAAATTGCTATGGCATCTTCCCTCTCTCAGACTCTAGATGATCTGCCCAGGTTTCCACATCAAACCCCGCAAGTATACTTGATATTTGCTGCCGATATTTCGCTCGCTACATTGTTGTGCAAACAGCTGCAATCATATGTATCATACTGGTATACGTACCCACAATCCAAAAAAAATACCATGATGAAGAGAACTGACAAAGGGCCGTGGCGCGTGGAGACTGGAAGTTCGAACTTGCACTGCCTGAAGGGGACCAAAGTCAAGCATCTATGCTTCCCTTCGTCGACTGGGTACCCCTGTAATCATACTGGTGGCTTTCTTCGTCGGTGTGTACGATTTGCTCCAAATGTATCTCTACGCCATCCATTCGGGCTGTATTCTTGCCAGATCGAGCATGAGACATGTCTGCCGATGCAGCACTGCCGGCAGCAAACTGGAGGGCGCTGGCAACCTTCACGGAAGTTTCGGAATTGTAACGTGAGGATGTACTTGAGCTACGAAGAATCACGTAGGAAAACACAGAACCCTATGAGAGGAAGATGTTATTCGATGCATCCTTTCATCCTCTGATTCAAGATGGACTACTCACTATGACGGGAGAGATCTAAGTCGAGGCAGATCGTGTCAGACGTACGCTCACAGGCATCGGACAGACTCGGAAATATATCAACGTACTGAGTTCAGAAGAAAGAACATCGACGCTGAATCGGCAATACTGGTCCCGATGAGCACGATGAGCAAGCAAGAGTAGATGGCAGCTGCGCAAAACATAAGAAAAAGATAGCGACTGTAATTGAACAGACATACCGGACTCTACTACAATAGACAAAGCATTCGGAAGCCTGCCATAGTATTGATTTAAAACTCTGCGCTGTATGCTCCAAATTTTGTACGCGATCAATACTAGACAAAGAAGAAGTAATCAGGCTGCCTTAGAGTATCTGATGACCAAATCGAACGTACCGGTGCACAAGAGGTTTAGCGCAAGGGTGCAAATGTAGAAGTACTTGGAGCGAGCAAAGACATTTGAAATGAGGACACTAGCTCCCGGCTTCGCTTCATTTACAGACCAGGTGAACCATGCAGACATTGCTATTACCGAGGGTGTGAAGATCTTCTAATATCAATGAAAGCCTCATTTGGAACCGTACCTATATCTGCTCCGAAAAGAAGAGTGGGCACTAAAACAATCCAGTAGTTGCGTCCCCAGATGATGAACGTCCTAAATACCTGCATCGCAACAGCATAGATACAATCTAAATGACACATACATTCAGGTAAGAAGACTTACGATCACCATATCCGCAATGAGAGTGGTAGTAACATAAGTAGAATTCTTGAGCATGTTGAGTCTCGTGTCTACGTTGGCGTAGAACGTTTCAGGCGCAGAAGCAACATCCATGTTAGCAGTGAAGGCCATCATCGCACGTGTAAGGTCGACGCAAATGTGCTGTTAACAGAACAAATTAGCTATTGATTATTTGTCAACAGCACTCGACTCACCATAGTGATTAGAACGAAGCTAGCAAACATAGTCGCCAAGAAGTAAACCATCAACCAGGTATTGACACGCTTCTTGCGAAGTACTTGGAGACACCGAGGGAAGATCACTAAATAAATACCTTCAAGTAATATACATAATGTATATCTATATGCTTACACCCAGGATGGAGGTCCAACATACCGTAGAAAATGGCTTCGAGAAAGGTGCCAATAAGCTCCGCCGTAGCGACAGGAAGGGTCCCCATGCTAGCTCAAGAAAGGACGGTAACCTGCTCAGAAATGTACAGTTACGCAGAGGATCTTGGATGACGGTTATCAACAGTGAACTGACATACCAAGATACACTGATTAGGACCGAGCGGTATTTCTATGCTAGAAAAGCGCCATAGACAGATGGTCCTGTTGACGAAGTAAAGTTTTGAGGCTCTGCACGCTATTCATGAATTTTCCATCCGACTGATACAAAACCTTGTTTTCAAGTCCGCGTGATCATGTTGAGATGCGAACGTCAGAAGAAGCGGTTCGTAAGGAGGGCTGTTAGGTTCAAGATATGGAGGTCTGTTAAGACGCCGGAACATATCAGGTGGACAACGGACGTACAACGCAAGGCATATGAGAACTGCAAGTACAGTTCGGGTGTGACAATCTAGCTTCCTTCACCGCAACGATCTCCATCAGGGTTTGACGGCTTAATCGGCCTGAATTCAAAAAGAAACCATAAGTTGCTTGCAGTTCACAGGTTCTTGCGCGACAGATCGTTCTTTAAGATACATGTTTTCACATACGGGTGTTTCCATACACACAAGGTGTAGTATGGAAACAAGTAGACCCGGGCTTCGAAAGGAGAGTGAGAGCGTGGCGTTACATGTTCTCTCATCAGATATTCTCCGGACGGAGAGAACGGACAACTTTGCCTTCAGTAACAGAATGTTTGAGACTACCGACTCCTCCGTGTGTTTGAAAGCATCACTTACCGGCACGCCACATCTCCTGGTTACTAAGCTCCTCGAGCTCCTTTGTAAAATCGTCACCTTGATTAGACCGGCTATTGAATTCAATCGCTCTTCGCGCTTCGGTCCCATTTTTTACACTCTCATAAAGCTTCTCGAATATCTGATGATTGGCCTGTTCAAAAACGGGGGCCCAATCTAAACCGCCGCGACGCGCGGTCGTCGAGCATGCTGCCATCATGTAGTCCATCCTGAGAAGAAGATAGATAAGTATATTGTATCATTCAAGTGTAACGGAAACTCATACCCGAACTTGCCGATGAGTGGAAGAAGGGATTGCGTGGCTTCTTCCACCGTCTCGTTAAATGCTTCAGACGGTGAATGTCCATTTGCTCTCAATACTTTGTATTGTGCGGAGTAGAGACCCTGGATGGCACCGCCGAGCTGTTTACAATATCAGGGACAGAAGGAAATCAGAATGACAGCATTTGATGCTCACAACGCCGCATTTTCCAACGAGATCAGCGAAAGTCTGCTTCTCGAAGGTCGTCTCGTAGATGGACCCTGAGCCAATTGTAAATCCTAAAAGTACGGCCATTTCTTTGGCGCTGCCAGAGACATCCTGCCAGACAGCGATGCTCGAGTTGACACCATGGCCATCCTGAAAAGATTCACGCAAGCAAAGACCAGGGCTTTGAGGAGCGACCAGAATGACATCGATACCTTCGGGAAGGGTGATGCCAGTTTGATCACGGAAGACGACAGAAAAACCATGGGAGAAGCAGAGTGTCTTCCCTCCCGTCAACAAGGGTGCGATGACAGGCCATTGCTGTACTTGTGCAGCGTCCGAAAGTAGGTTTAAGATCACGGTACCATGTTCAACCGCCTTCTTGACAGAGAATAGAGTTTTACCTGCAACCTGGAATAACATGGCATCAGAAACCAACAGGTAACAGTCAACCGTTCCAAATCTTGCCCAGCCATCGCTAACAGCTTGTTTCCAACCTTCGCCATTTTCCTGCACACCAATGATACAATCAACGCCATTATCTCGGGCATTCAGGCTTTGTGCACGACCTTGGTTTCCATAACCTATGAAGGCGAGAATATGCTCTGAAAAATAATGTTGAAGGCTTGACAATGGCCACTCGCTACGTTCAAAGACAATTTCGGGCAATCCGGATACGGCGATCCTCTTAAAAGGTCTAGCAGGGGCCTAATTTATAAGTTCAGGCTGCGTATCAAGGAGATTTAGCTCTTCGTACTCACAGTAGAAAAACCGAAGGAGCAGCGAAGCGAGGTCGCCGCGTTGCATGGTCTCAAAGAAAGAGACGCATGACCAGCTGTAGAATTCCGCAAAATATGAGTCGAGATATGGAAGACGGTACGCATCCTTAAAAAAGGTGAAAATATAGCAGAATGGATCGTATGAACGGCAGTAGTATCAACTTTGAGCGTAAATATGTTCGCAGGCGTCAACACATAGTCATTTCGATTCCTTATCGGCACATGTTGCTATTCGGGTAGTTGAAAAACAAGACGCACAAGATGTTGGCCCGCGTACCTGTGCAAATAAGTTCCATCAGTTGAGCAAGCCCTGTTGTACACTTACAGGGTCCAAGTCGGAAGACTTCTATCACTTATCTTCTCCGCTACTTCGTGAGTATGCCTCGCTTTACATGCTGCACACTCAGTGTGAGCTATCAGGCTCAGGGTCCAACTGATATAAATTGGACCCTGAGCCTGACCCACATTATGTGGTAAGCAACGTACTTCCATTGTCCGGCGTTTCGAAAGTGACCGAGCGCTGAAATGTGAACATCAAAGCAAGAATGAAAATTGCTCTGCATGTAGGTCAATGCAGCTTCGTTCCATGTCACCCCAGGTCCCAAAGCCGCGAGGTATCATTCAGGACATTTTGCGGGCAACTTGCAGGTGCTGGCGTTCAAATTTCAAACTTGGCAACGGTGTCTGGGGTCGGTTAATATCGGTTTGGCATATTAGCGCTGAAAACGCCACGAAGCCCTGAGGCCTGAGGCTGTACATTTTCTACGTTCAAAAATGCTTACGAAGTTTCTTCATGTACTCTGATAAATGTCGAAGCTTGAAATATCTTGGGGTCCTCGCCGCTTTTCAAGAAGCCGATTGAGTCCTGCCCAATGAAATGCGGTTGCTCTTCGGCACACTACGTGGTTCCCAAGTTCCAGCAGGTGTACAGCGATTTGACGAGGAGGCCGCAGGCCCCAGATTTGAGTTCAGTATCATGCTGCAAGTTCAAACGTTGACCGGTACGGTACTATAGAATATCATGGGTTCTATTAGATATGCAACAATGACCTGGGAAGCTCCGGATTGAACAATAGGTCTCCGGTAACGGGTTGAAATACGGCAGCAAGGATCCGATGATCAGCGCAGCGACAACTTCTGTTCTAAGAATTGCTATGTCCATTCCATCTGGCGTCAGAACAAGGACTTCCGTCTTGCTTGAGTGTTTAATCTTGGATTATGGCGCAGGTGACAAAAGGACGTCTCGCACCCTTTTATCATCTCCTATTCGATGGCTAATCCTTCCGACCGCAGTGGCTTGCCTGAGGCATTCAGCGCCATCGAGGGTGGTTCTACAGAAGAAAAGATATCCGCTCATATAAATGTTGCACAGACGGGCACACTAGACATGCTGGAGGAAAGGTCCGACTATGCAGAGGGGAAATGGCATGCTTGGAGTACGGGTAAGGACCCTTGTTCTTGGTGCAGTTGGTCGCGTATCTAAAGCTATTCACAGTGTTTGGTGCATGGCTTATACAGTTTTGCGCTGTTGGAATCGTATGCGACAGTAATGATTTATTCATTTCGCTATGGCTGACGCTAGCCTAGATCACATCCTTTGGTGTTTTCGAGGAGTTCTATACTACAACGTGGCTCACGAAGATGTCCGCTTCGAGCATTAGTTGGATCGGTAGCGCACAAATATTCTTGGAATATTCTATAGCACCTTTCGCAGGCAAGCTGTAATACCTGTCCTTCCTTTGTCGAAGCTTCAGACTGACTTCTTCCTTAGTCTTGATCACGGCTATTTTCGCAGTATTGTTATTACAGGTTGCTTCCTCTTCGTGCTTAGTCTCGCCCTGTTGTCTCTGGCGCAAGAAAACCAATACTATCAGGCTTTTCTGGCACAAGCTATCGGAATGGGACTTGGCGTTGGAATACTGTTTCTTCCAACATCTTTGGTGTCAATCAAACACTTCAGAAGCGGACATGCTTTCGTGATCGTAAGCGTGATTTGATTTTCTTACTCGCTATATGCTAACCGTCTTCTCAGGGAATCGTCGACTCGAGTATCTCTCTTGGCGGAGTCATCTTCTCAAGTAAGATACTTCAGCAGCATTTATAACTATTTCTCATATCGTGCTTTCAGTCATGTTGAATTATCTTCTGCATGGAAGTGTTGGCTTTGCTTGGGGTGTCCGCATAGCAGCCCTCATTACGCTGGTCTGTTTCGTGATCGGTTATCTCATGATGTACTGGCCCAAGAAGCCGTTTGGTGGTCAGACATTCGCACCTGCCGACACACATTCTCTCGGACTACGCCATTTTAGTCAACGCGACCTCCCTTACATCTTAACCCTGTGTCAAGGGTTTATTATGTCACTCGGGACGTTTGTTCCCTCCTTCTACGTCCAGCTTTTCGCAGAGATGCACGGCACAAGCAAAACGCTCTCTTTCTATGCTCTAGCTGTTCTGAATTTCTCTGGCATGTTCGGACGCATCGCTCCGAACTATGTCGGTGATAGGGTTGGACTTCTGAACGTCTACATTCCACGTCTGACGCTCACAGGTACGTGACCCGAAACATAGTGCATCCGCTGCTCATGATATCTATCAGGCGTTCTCTGCTTTGCTATGTTGGCTGCCGGCACACCGCAAGGGTTGTTTCTCTTCGCGATCTTGTGAGACGCTCATTACACTGTATCAAATCCCAAGCTGACTTTTGAAGCTAGCTATGGGTTTTTCTTTGGCGCCAGTGAGCAGCATCCCGTTGATAAATGTAGATTGGAACTGACAGTTGTTGCCTTAGCCAACTCGATGTATTTGCCACTTGTGACATCAGTGACAGCGGGCGGGTACGTCCATCTTCCTTTCCTTGGATTTGTCATATCCTAGCAGTTCATCAACAGAACACGAATCGGATTCTCTCTCGTACCCCCCGCGGTGGCAGCATTGGTAGGACCCCCAATTGCTGGTAGCATTCTCGGTCCCCATTATGTGTGGTGGCAGGGAATCACCTTTGCTTCGGTCAGTCATTGAGGCATATCTGAGAGATGCTCCATAATATTACTTCTAATTGTTGCATTGTGCAGGTGACAATGCTTGCTGCCACCGGCATTTGTATATGGATCAAGGTTCTGACCGATAGAGCGAAGACCTCACATTGGACGACGAGCAACCGAGACTAGTTCTTCACTCCATGGTTGAATGTTCGACCCCTATTGCGAATGCCATAGGATGTTCACGTGCACGTCGAACGTTTCTAGTTAAATCAGCTCGTGCAACTGTTGTCCCGTTGAAATCTCTTTGCAGATACCTTGCATTGCTCAATGGAAGATGTCTGCTTAGACAGCTTGAAGCAATAAACGATAGCAAACTGAAAGACGGAATTTGAAATGAGCTTTGGAAATCGGAGGAAGTGTGGCGTCATGGACAAGGTTAGACATATGCGACACTGTCCATTCCTTGCGGTCAGAACACTCAGTCAAATTCGGGCGCCTGATAAGGGAAGGGTATGCTTTATGTGTGCTTCTGAAATGTCCTCTTTCCCACATATAAATAGACCGTGCACGTAGGACCCAACTTCAAATTGTTTAGAGACCGAGATATCAGGGCTTCAAGGTTTGGAGGCCTTCTATTGAAAGGCCGCAACGGGATGGGAAAAGCGTGGGTCCCATGTTATTGTGCATCATTCAGACAGTTCCTCAGCTTCTTGACTATAATCGTTTCAGTACGTCCCTGGGGTCTCCATGTTTGTAGACGATCCCTGGATAGGCACAGTACAAGCTTGGCCTATTTCCGCTCAGTGCGTCCTCATGCCTTCAAGCATTGTCTTCTGCCTCCCAGCTTAGCGCTCAGGCCCCAATGTCGCAGAGAGCCAAGTCTCCAACGAACCAACCTCTGTCTACACCGGAGGCCTTTGTCCTGGGAGGGATAGCGGCCTGTTTTGCGGTAGGTGTCAGCATATTGCTGAAATCGTGCATTTTCTAATGTTGTCAATCAGGTGACTGTCTCGAATCCGGCTGAGGTTGCGAAGACTCGTCTTCAAATGCAAGGGGAGCTCGCGAAGGATGGTGGTGTGAGAGTATACAAGAATACTTTCGATGCCTTGGTGAAGACTGGACGAAATGAAGGTATCCGTGGCATACAGAAGGGACTTCCCCCTGCCGTACGTTGTACACCGTTTTCAATGGGAGTGCAAACTGAAATTTGTTGTAGTATGGGTATCAGGTGAAGTCAGTGACTGATGACGATATGAGTATTGTTAACATTGCGTTTCCTACCAGATCCTAGTAAACGGCGCCCGTCTGGGTATGTTTTCTTTCCTTGGTGAATCTTGCATACTCACTCCATCAAGGTTTCTATGAGCCGTTCAGGCGAAACCTCAACCGTCTCTTTGATATCGATCAGAACGTGCAAATGACTCTGACTTCCACTATCGCGGGTGCAAGCAGTGGGGCCGTTGGAGGTATGCCCATACTCAGATGAATTCTTCAGCTTTCACTCAGAATTGTGTATTCAGCTGCGCTTGGCAATCCACTATTTCTCGTCAAGGCACGCATGCAGGTCGGTCACATCTTCCGCTAGAATTTCATGTGAATCTTTACACTATACTCAGGCGTATTCTCCTGCACTGCCAGTTGGAACTCAACGGCACTACAAAAGTTCCTTCGAGGCGCTGTCAACTATATTCCAGTCGGAGGGGCTACGAGGTCTTGCACGTGGTTTGGATGCAGCCGTACTGCGAACGGCGATGGGTTCCTCGGTAGGTTCATAATGGTCAAGTGGTTTCGAGGTTCTATTCAGATCTTCGTCAGGTCCAATTACCCTCCTACAACTGGACGAAAAACCAACTCGTGATGAATAATATTCTACCTGCTAACTCATTCTGGACATACCTGGCAAGTAGTTCGGTGTCAGGTGTATGTGTGGTGAGCAAGCCTGTCATCTGCGACGCGTGGAATGAGCTTCGACTGATCTTTAATAGTGTGCCATCATGCAACCGACAGATACGGTGAGGGGTTATTCTTTTACGATCAAGCCGTTTCACGCTCATCTGGTTTCATAGGCATTAACACGCATGTACAATCAACCTACTAAGATATTACCCAATGGAAAGCATGTCGGCATGTTATACAGAAACCCTATAGATTGCTTGTGGAAGATTGCAAAGACAGAAGGACCTTTGGGATGGTACAAAGGTGAGTAGATTCTTCATTTCCAGAACACACAGGATCCTGTAAACCTGATGATATAGGCACAACTGCACATTTTCTACGAATCACGCCTCATACGTATGCACATTCTTATGCTTGTGCATGACGTTCACTGACGCCGCTCATAGGATCATTACTCTGACTGCAAATGATCTTATCATTGACCTCTACAAGAGGGTCAAAGGTCGGAGTCTATGAGCCAATTCGATGGTCGCGTTCTGTCTAGACAAAGGATGCTTCTGACCTCTCACACAACGTCATTCAGTGACCTACCTGTTCTTAGATGATATAGACTGATTACTAAGATGCTATTTATTTGAGCTTTCAGTCTGAGGGGTTGATGATCCGGCTATGGTCGAGTATCATGTCTTTGTAAAGTTTGCCCGCATGGACATGGGCATGTCATGGTCTATCGTGAAGAGAAATTCACTTTCGAATGAGCCACTAGGTGTCCCTCAGGACGAAGTACAGCACGTGAGAAGCACTAATGGTTCGTATGGCTCTAGAAAAGCATCAGTACCCGTTATAGCGGACAACAGAGAATGTGAGCTCAGACGACATGTTGGAATATGGATGAAGCGGCGAGCGTCGCTATGTGCAAGGAACGAGAGGAGCGGGACGGAGTCCCGCATACTTGGCATATTTTCGTATATAAGTAGTTTATTTATCTTTGTACGTACCTTATCTGTTTGCCTCAGAGCTCAACGAGGTCAAACGTACCGACTCGCTTTCCTCCCTCGCGACGTGTATTTCAATACGACATGTTTTCCACAAATGACCATGAATATCCAGAGATTTCAATTCAAGTTTCCGACCCAACACCTGGTGAAAGTGTTTCAGCCTCTTGATGTTTCGACTCGTTTGTGGCGATCAGTTACCTTCTTGTGCCTACTCAACATTCAAATATTGTCCAGTCACTCGCGGGATCACATTCCCGCATCGATTGGCCTCTATTATTCTCGTAGGCTCGTCTAGCTATGACACAGTTCAATAAATGACCAGGATTTAAGCGCTACATAGTATTTCACGAATTCAATCAATCGTTTTCCAAGGCGACCTTTTGAAGGTCCTCGATTTAGCAGCTAGGTCACTCGGAAATTTGGTCCATTATTGGTCTCTAGGATCGGGCGGGACCTGTATGGATCACTCCCTCCAAACGAAGTTCGACTCCAATTGGGCTGAAAGGACGAGTATCATCTTTCGTTGGCGAAAGGACAAGCAGTTCTGCTTCAGCTCGGGGATTGGCATCATCGCTTTGTGCATCGCGAGGAGTTATCGAGGAAGACTGTTCGTACGTTAAGGTCTGTAGTTCCGCGGTGTACTGGTTATTGGTGGAACTGCGCAAGACAATATAAAAGAATACAATTCCCTGTAATTCAGGTCAACATACAACAGACGCATAAAAAGGACAGATAATACTCACAATGAGGGGTGGCATCTGCGATGACATCAGGGCGCAAAGTTAATTTTGTGATATGTCGACTGCAGAGATAACTTGCCGGATTCAACACTATGAACAAACACGGACTCTCTGCTATAGCCATGCCCAGAATAGCAAAGAGCGAGACAGAATATATAGCAGCTACATATAGGCGAATCTAAGCCTCGCATTTGCTCATAAAAATGAACACATACCTGTTTCGACAACTATGCCAAAAGCGCGGCACAAGGTACGATTCTTCCTTGGCCAGAGTCTATTAATCATTCGCTGTGTTCGCCAAATCCTGTAGGCTAGAAGAACTTCAAGGTCGGATTGGACAGACGTCAGTTGCAAATGCTTTGGCGAGAGCAATTTCACGTACCCGTGCAGAGCACATTCAAAGCCAGCGTCACAGCACTGAAGTACTTCACCAGATCCCAAGTTGGGGCATGAATGATCCTCTGCTCAGGTTTGTCTATCATCAGTGACCAGTTGAACAAGATAGATATGCCTGAGGGTCAATCAGCGAACAGATTATGTACGTTGAATGGAGAAACTGACCAATGTCTGCTCCAAGCAATAACGCAGGAATAGCAATAACCCAGGGATTGTTTTCCCACAAGATGAAGGTGCGGAACACCTGAGAGTCGTAAGCTTCAGTCCCAAATATGACAGGTGCGGAGACGGCCGTGTACTTACAATAAGTGCATCAGAGACCATCGTAATGATGATATAGCAAGAATTCTTCGTGACATTGAGCGAGGTAGCGAGGTTTTCATAATATCTCTCTGCCGCGAATGTTTGGTTCGAGTTAACAGTGAAGGCCTCCATGACGCGAGCAATGTCTGAGCCAATGTGCTATCCAATAGTATTTAACGTCAAGAATGTATACAGGGCAGAGAACAAATTTGGAATGACGTACCACCGTGATTGTAAGGAAACTAACAAGTAACGTAAAGAAAAGATATGTCATGAGGCGACCTCTGATTCCCTTCTTGCGAAGGACATTGAAGCCTTGCGGAAGGAGGGCTAAGTAAATACCTGGCCATGGCTGTTACACAGTCTCTCCAAAACCAGACATATATAGTCACCTACCATAGCCGATTGCATCTAAAAGCGTCCCAATGAGCTGCGCTGTAGCAACAGAAATAGCCATGTGTGTAGCTGTTGAGCTCGCAGGATTGTACCAAAGACCGTCCTATATAGAATCAATGCCGGAAAGGTCATGGGCGGGGAGGAAACAGTCAATCCACAAGAATTCAGTTATATCCTCTAGAAGTGTTGCATCCATCTCGCGATCCTGATGGCTAGTGGGATGTCATGCGGCAAGTTAGGCAGAAGCCCGAGTGTGTTAAGATGGTGACGAATTAGCATTCTTCCTTGTCGTGAATCCCTGTCATCTCCCGAAATCATCTTCATTTTGTCACAAAGCAGGAGATAACGCCGTGGAAGAGTGTCGAGCTGCTAGCGAAAGCTAGAATAGATGAAAAATAAGCTGTTTCGACACTGCTACGGTGTCTATAAGGAGAAACATTGGATGGCGGGTTAAGCGTGCCACAACTATACGAGGCACATCAAATGAGCAGCAACGTACTGGAAATGATACATCCAGGATGAAAGAACAAAGGAAAAAGATGAAGTCTTGATTTTTCTGTTGATATACGTCCAGTAAGTGATGCATCGGATACAGGTGTATAGACATTAACGCAAGCAATCATATGCAACAGCCAGATGACAGATTGACTTAACAAGGTGCGCTTATCTCGGTACTCCCATGCGAGCGATGTGTTTCTCCAATTCCTCTAAGATTGATAAAGCGTCAGCAAACGTACTGGGGCATTCTCGTCGCAGTTTAGAGGAGAAAGCGTAACCTGATTTGGTACCAGGTTAGATTTCCCATCTCGAATGAGCTGTGTAACTATGTACACATTTATCTATGCCGACCAACGCGGCCAGTTTCAAGTAAGTAGATAGATCCGTGTGCAACCGTTTTGTTGCGCCCGTGTCAGCGTCACGGTTAGCTATTGTAATTACCTGCCAGATGAAAGCCACATGTCTAGAGTAAATCGATTAGTTTAAGAACGGATGCTTGACCGAGTCAGATACAACATAAGCATCCAAACTTATCTTGCCTAGTTCACCAATAGCCACTGCCAGGACCTACTCTGAGTCGACATCCACTGGCATGCCAGCATGGGTGGAGGGGGCGGCAAAACTTGACTAGAAGAAGCTGCGCTTACGGAACCTTCCCTGTTCCTAAAGGTATCATGATACGTTCCAATATCCGTAGTAAGTTTGCATCATTGCCACAAGTTTTCCAAGGACGCCACTGTCTGGAGCCTGAGGAGGTCCGAGAACTTGAACAACACCATCATTAGCGCCGGCCGCCGTGCTAAGCGCTAATATGCTGTGTCCTCCTGAGTTGCTTCAAGGTTTTGACTTTTGCCACCGTGTGTCTCTCTCCTCGGAATCCTTGATGCCTGGTAATCCCAATAGCCTTTATTGAATGCGGGACGCCCTGTTATTTCCCCATGAATCGGATGCTTTCCTTAAGGTTTCGACTCGTTTGTGGGAACGGATTACCTTCTTATATCTACCCAAATTTGTCCAGTCACTCGCAGGGATTACATCCCCCCCATCGATTGCCCTACTATATTCGCGTGGCCTCGTCTAGCTATAACACGATTTGATAAATGATTGGGATTTGGGTCCTACACAGTATCTGACGTACTCGATTAATCTTTTTCCAGGGCAATGTTCTGAAGGTCCTCAGTTTAGCAGCTGGGTGACTCGGGAGTCGGAAATTTAGCCCGCATACCTAGGATCGGACGGTTCGAGTGACATAATAATTGGCAAGCACAGTACTGCGGACCATGCCTCATCCCGGATCGACATTCCATTCCATCTCTGCCATATTCGACCAGTCTCGTTCCTTGGAAAGCCGATATGATTCAAGTTGTCAAGGGTGGGCACGTGTTTGCAGCATGTCAAGCTACCCACAAGCTAAAGCAGTCATCCAAGCGGGTTTCAAGCGTGGCCCTAGTCGCGGCAAGCCGAGGGTGTTCATGCCAGCGTGAAGCTTAAGTTAGGCGAAACCCCTTCGCCCAAACCTCCAGCATGTCCTTTCAGGAAGTGCGTACACCTCTGAGCCATTTGAATTCATTCAAGTGAGTTATCGTATCCATGTCATCAGTCTAGTATGTAGTATTTACAATTTCTTGACAGTGACTATGATGCTCTTCACGAGGTCAGGGAGGCAACGGATTCCCCTACTCCACTCTCAGAACTTCTACATGATCCCCTTGCTCTCAAGTCCTTGATAGGGCACAAGAAACCCAGACGGGCTTCTGAAAGTGCCAGTTCTCGCGATCGCAGCAAAGACCGCCGAAAGGATAAAGAGAAAGACTCGGATACTACAAGTATCCTGACTTTGGTACTTGCAGAGGAGGAGCGGCAAGCACATCACCTCAAGGCAGTGTTGCGCAATACCGGCGAAAGGCTTGAGAACGAGATGCGTCGCGCAGACCAAGCGGAAAAGCGGGCGTTCACTGCAGAGAGCCAAGCTCGCGAGGTCATGACACGTCTATCTCGAGCTGAATCATCGCAACATCAGGCAGAGCTTGATGTTTCGCGTCTCAGAGAGGAACTCGCTAGATATCGTGTGCAGACGGAGACTTTGGAACGTGATCTCAGGCGGGCTCAGAGTGATGTCCAGAGGCTTGAGCGTGCCCGGATTGAAGCAGAGCGTAACGCTTCTGAAGAGAAGGAAGCTGCAATCCGGGCGCAACATGCACTACGGGAGTGGAAAGCTAGAGAAGAAGGTAGGGAGGAGAGCCGAGAGCTTGAATTGATGAGGAGATATAACGATGGGAGGGATGATGGGTTTGAAGATGGTCGTGCTGAAGGATACGAGCAAGGGCACGATGAAGGGCTTGAAGAAGGCCACGAAGAGGGCTTTGCGGAAGGTCGACAGGAAGGGTACAATGCAGGTCGACTTGCAGGATTCGAAGAAGGGAAGAATGTGGGATGGAGCGAAGGGTTTCAAGAAGGGATGGAGAGAGGTCGCAAAGAAGAGCGCGAGAACGCTCTCAGAGCTTTCGATAAGTTCGTCGCCACTGAGTTTGAGAACAGGAGTGTTTCCAGCTATGTAAGTTCCTCGTCTTTATGTGAGAGCCCGAGTATTGACCATATTTTGCATAGTCTGATGAGCGTACTCAAGATTGGGTTGATTCAATCCGGCGAAGTAGAGCTCAGTCTCTGGAGAGAAGGTCACCTTACCTTGGCTCACGAGAGCCACAACCTGGAGCGAGGGAGCATCCGCCCACGCCGAGAAGAGAGCTACCTCCCACGCCAGGGAGTATGCATGCCGTTGATCAGCTCCCAGCAGGTACTGAGCAGTATCAACGTCCTGAAAGAGAGTTCGAACAACGCTCAGCTAGAGCGACGTCTCCCATGCGATCGGAACGAGCGACTTCACCTGTTCCCAATTGGTTAACCCGTCGGGTTAACACTGCTGGCCACTCATCTCGCGCAATGTCGCCCTTACCTCCACTTCCTCCGGTACGCTAAATGCCATCCCTAGCTGCTATAAGTTATACACCTTCGGTCATCCGCTTCAAGCTTCAAGGATTTTCTTTCGTCTCGATTGTGCGAACTATTTTGTCCGTGCAGGTCACGTTTAGACTTCCTCATGTTCGTTCGTCCTTCATCATTCGTTGGATTTAGACAGCCAGATTACATATTCGTGTATGTATGAATCCCACTATATTGTGGGTGAGTATCTCGAACCGTCTCCGTGGAAAGCCAAATACTGGTCCGTTTCGCTACGCAAGAGTCATCCATTCCCGACATTGACGTTTCAGCCACCTAGCTTTCTTCGCGTCTTTCCCTCCACGTTCCGGTGTTCTCAATGCTGCCAGCTGTCTTGTAGCCAACATGCAGGTTTCACTTCGGAATTTGCCTCCCAGACGCCGTCGAAGCTTCGCCTATATTCCATTCCCAAAGTCAATTCAGCCGGTTTCACAGGAGAGGTGCGCTTACGGATAACGAGGCCAAAGCAGGTCCGGGTTCGAAAGAGTGGACCCAATCTGTGGTTTGCTTTACATCGAGGTCGCCGAAATGTTCCAACCAAACTTGCCACAAGCATTCACTCCAATCGGCTTGACGCGAAACAGACAGGAAGAACCGTTCAGTACACCAGAGAGGGTCGTCTCGGGACATCACAACAGGAGATAGTGAAGAGTATGGGAAACTCGGCTGTCCACGCGACGTGAAGAGTATTGGTTTCGAGGATACGTTCCTAGCCGAGGCCGAAGAATTGGAGAAGAAAGATCGGTAGAAGGCTTTGGGCGGAAGAACAGATAAATTGCCTGGGACGAGAACTACCTGAGGTGTGGGTGAGAAGAGACGTGCGAAGTTGAGGTAGGCATTAGGATTGTCGAGGGTATGTCCGTCAACTTGCATTAGATGTACATTAAGAGACCGATTAAGTGTTGGATTGTCCTGGAATTTCTTCAGTTGGCGTAATAGAGCCTTTCGTTGGACGGAAGACGGCGCAGAGGTCGTTGTCACGAGAATGGACACCATACCTGCTACGCGTGAGACCAGGATATGGAGAATAAAATCAGTCATATCAAACCTGTCCATTTGGCAACCCAAGCAGGTAGCAGATCGAGGCTCGAGTCATTGGTCCATAAGCAAGCGGTTATGCTGTCATTTTTACCGTGGGCGCTCCTCAGCGTGTAGGGATGAAGTGCTGTCGGTTGAGGATGAACGTCCGAGAGTTTCGAGAGGACGTGGGCAACAGGTAATTGTTCGAGCAAAGGCAGATTTTGCGCTGATACTTGCAGTCAGGATACGAGATGCCTAGCATGCCCATAAACTCACCATGTGAGGCGGAACTTGGCTTTGCATACGAAGAAGATGGCAAACGGAGTAGAGAGGCAGTGAAGATGACAAGGCTTAGAGAACAGTACATAATGAGGCACAAGACTAGACACGGATGCTTGGAGAAGCGATAACTCAAGACAGAAATTTCGGAAGTGAAACAGTGATCAAGAGGCCTAGCAGAAGATTCACAAGGCAACCCATTATTATTCTCCAAGTCATCATAAAGAACAGACGTAGTTTTTTCCAGGAATGGAGAGTGTCCGGCTGGATTTCGAAGACGCGGTTGGGATGATGTTGCTGAGAGATGGCTCTGCACATTATCGAACGAAAGCATATTGCGCGCGACAGGGTGCAGCTTTAAGGTGGGCTTGCTCATTGAAAAGAGAGGAGTACTAAGTCTCGAGGCTTAACCGGATGAGGTTGGCGGTGGTCAACGTCAACGAGAAAGCAACCTTTTAGATGGCCGTGACAATTCTACGCGTCTGTCACAGGCGCGTTATCACGCGTCACGACCTGTTGTCGGGATTGGCTTTCTACCACCACCATTCACGGGTTGGCAAAAGTTTGTAATTCTTTGAGTACATTCCTATCAGCTGGCGAACGAAGGACATTGCTATAATGATACGATTGGTAACTTTCGACGCACTGCACACTTTGGTGACACCTCGCTTGCCCATCTATGTTCAGTACTCCCAGATTTTCGAACCATATCTTGGAGTACTGGAGCCTGAAGCTCTGAAGAGATCCTTCAAGACTGGTATAGAACGGTCTCGTGAATATGTATTGAGCAACTGATGATCAGGTCCATGGTTGATATAGCATTGAAGCAATTACAAGCGGAGAAGCCTGTCTACCAGAGTGGTGCGCCAGAATGGTGGGGGGAGGTGATCAAGAGGACAGCCGTAGATGCAGGCGCAGAAACGCATGGTATGAGGAATATTGCGTCGTAGATCATCGCTGACTCTCTGTACAACACTGAGTTGTCGATAAGTCTTTGGACCGCATGGTTCCACAGCTGCTGCGTCGTTTCAGCTCAAAGGAAGGTTATAAGTTGTTCGATGATTCACTTGCCTGTCGTTAGTGGCCATTCTTCTCTTGCACTACGCATGCGACGTGACTAAGGTTAACATGCAGTTCATCAGCTCAAGAACTTGAGCGTAAAGACAGGCCTTGTAAGCAATACGGATAAACGCATGCGTAGGGCAAATCCGTTTCGAATCGTTCCCAGTATTGCTGAATATTGTAATAGTGGCCGTCCTTGACGACTTGGGGATCACGACATACCTAGACCCCATTCTGATAAGCGAAGTGGAAGGCCTCGAAAAACCGTCAGCAGAAATTTATGCTCGTGCGTGCTCAAGGGCCTCCGTCAAACGGAATGAAACTCTTCACGTAGGGGACGAGTTACAGGCGTGAGTGTTGCGGGTTATCCGTTGAATACTCTGACGAATAGTGGCATACCAGGGACTTTCACGGCGCCAGGAAAGCAGGTCTTCAAGCTTTACTGCTAAGACGCCCAGGCCCCGAAGGAGAAGGGGAGATGAAAGAACCCGACGAAGAGCTACAGGGAGTTGAGGTCGCAGGCAGTCTGTTGGACGTAGTGGGTAGGGTACTGAGAAGCATGTCGGACTGAAAGATGATCCAAAGACGGGGTCTAATGATAGAGAACCTAACGCATTAGATGATAAGTAGAGATACATATATGTAAAAGGCCGAGTCGCTTCCATAGAAAGCGCGAGAAAATGACTGCATCATCGGTCTCTGACGGTCTTTTCCCTAGTATCGACGACGTCTTCAACCTTCTCTCCTTGCTTCAGCATCGTCCACCGAATTACGCGTGGGTCTCGCCGCAATGAAGCGTTTAGTTGGTGCAACGATCGAGGTGATGCGTCAAATGTCATGGTCCAATAACTTGTGATGGGAATCAGCCGTGCAACAGGGTGACCAAGTCGGTCATAACGTACTCTCCAATGTTGTATATCTGCTTATGCCTCCGCATTCGTTGTGGTAGTACCTGAGTCCCCCAGGAGGCAATGTTACGGACGACACCTCCTTGGCTCATGACCTGCACTGCACTCGACCGGACGAGGTCCCTGATGTGTTGCTGATGCACCTGTCAGTACCCAGTTAAATACGAGATGGTATGACTGACAAACTCAGGATAGTGCGCAGTGATACATAGCATTCGATAGAGGGGCATGGCGGCTCGAATGCAACTCGAAATTCAGAAACTTTGGTACGAGGAGGAAAAGCAAGCGTGGGAGCTGACTTCCTAGAAGCGCTCTGGATCCTTGCACGCGACCTCGACCAAATTCTTGCCACATAGCAGCCACATTGCACATAACACGTATACTCTCTTTACACTTTACTTGTGCCATATTTCACCCTATCTCGCTGCCAACCATGTCGATGAAAGCTGTATGTTTATTGCTTCTAATATTGTGCTCTGCTTGCTCACGATCATGCATGTAGATCGTCAAATGTATGTCATTCGGGTGTATGCGTGAATTTGAGTACTGAATATAATGGAGTATCCAGCTGTAATCTCTGGTGATTCTTTCGTCTTGCGTGGGCCCGCGGGACCACAAGGTCAACCTCCTAAGGAGCGGTATGTAATGCTTCAATACGTGTACGAGCATGCCATGATGGAATCCGGTTTTCTAGCGTCTTGCATTTAGCAGACATTGTTGCTCCTAGATTGGGTACTGCCACTCGCGAAGATGAAGTGAGTCTACTGTACACCTTCTAGTTTTCTCTGAGGTTTAATTGCAGTGTTGTACTTAGCCTTGGGCTTTCGAGTCGCGAGATTTCCTTCGTGGTCTCACAGTGGGAAAGCCGATCACGTTCACAACCGCACATTCGCTTCCACCTAATGACGATGTTCCACGCGACATTGGCAGCGCAGAAATCAATGGCGTGGACCTTGCCTCTGAGCTCTTGAAGAACGGTTGGGCAAAACTCAAGGAGCTCAAGCGAGAACCCACTGAGGACGACCTGCGCAAGCGTGATATTGAGGCCGAAGCAAAGGCTGCCGGCAAGGGTATTTGGAATCCTCATGGACCCAAGGTTCGCGTGATTTCCCCTCATTTTCGCATTTTATACTCACAGTTTCTGTAGGCTCATGAAATACACTACATGATGCCAACAGATTCTCAAGGGTTCATCTCAGAATGGAAAGGCAAACTCATTGATGGTATATTTCTCCGTCCAATTTCTCTCACAATTGTGCTTTTAACACTCGCCCATAGCACTTGTCGAGCAAGTCAAAGATGGTTCAACGCTGCGCGTTCGCCTTCTTATGCCTGACGGTGAACACCAGTTTGTGAACATCGCTCTGGCTGGTGTCCGCAGCCCTCGTGTATCCAGCAATAAGGGCGAGCCTTCAGAACCTTGGGCCGAAGAAGTACTGTTTCATCTCCTTAACATATGTTTCTGTCACTGACTTGAGGTGTTCTGTAGGCCAGATTCTTCACCGAGTCGCGATTGCTGCAACGCTATGTTCGTGTTCAATTGCTTTCTTTACCAACTTCGACCGCGATACCCTTCCAAGCTGGTGCTAATGCCACCGCCCCTCCTCCCGCTACCATCTTCATTGGAACTGGTAAGTTGCAATGTCTAACTTTCTTGGTTGTGAACGTGTAATGACCCATAAATACAGTTCTGCATCCTGCCGGAAATGTCGCAGAACACCTCGTTGCAGCTGGACTTGCACGAGTAGTAGACTGGCATGCTGGTATGTTGGCCAGCAGTGGCGGTATGGAACGCCTTCGTGCCGCTGAGAAAGCTGCCAAGGAGAAGCGTGCATACCTTTACGCCAACGCCCCAGCGCCATCGTCGAAGACAAATGGTGCTGCAGCCAATGGAAGTCCACGTTCGTTCGAAGGCGTCGTGACTCGTGTTTGGAGTGGTGACCAGATCTCCGTCATTGAAAAGGATGGAAGCAAAGAAAGGCGATTACAACTCAGTTCCACGAGAGGACCGAAGTACGTATAATTCATTTTGAATCGACGTTATTCCTTCTTATGCTCTGCCCAGGCTGGCGGACCCAAAGCAGGCCTACTATGCTCATGAAGCTCGCGAGTTCCTGCGGAAACGTCTCATTGGCAAACATGTCAAGGTTTACATCGATTTCGTTCGTCCTAGGGAAGGTGAGTATGACGAGAAGGAATGTGTTACTGTTCGCTATGGCAGCCAGAACTCGTATGTCTTTACGTGAACTCTACCATAGAACTGCTTCGGTGTTCAGCATTTTTTTCTTAGGAACATTGCCGAGCAACTCGTTGAAAAAGGCCTTGCGAGCGTTGTTCGACACAAGCGTGATGATGAAGATCGATCACCAGACTATGACAAGCTTATGGCCGCAGAGCAAGCGTAAGTACCGTCATCATTCTGTTTCCTAGCATTGTTTTGGCTTACCTACTGTCGTTGTAGTGCAGCAGCAGAACAACGTGGAATTCACTCTGGTAAAGAACAACCCGCGCCGAAGCAACCACTCAACATTTCTGAAGTGTGTACCACTTCCCAGAAATTAATCACCTTCTTTCCCATTCTGATGCCATTTCATAGTCAAGCAATCGTGCAACACCATTCGTTAATGGTTTTAGACGTCAAGGCAGAATACCTGCTATCGTCGACTACGTCGCTGCTGGTTCGCGATTCAAGTTCGTTACGTGCTGTTGATGCTTATACATGTCACTGATATGATCTGCGTCATAGAATTCTCCTACCAAAGGACAACCAAGTCCTCACCCTCGTACTCGCTGGTAAGTATTCATCTTCACTATCGCAAACAAAAGCGTGACATGAGCGATTGTATTCTTTACAGGCATCCGTGCCCCTCGTACAGCTCGATACCCGTCCGAAAAAGGCGAGCCCTTCGGTGCTGAGGCATCTGACTTTGCGACCCGCCGGTATATGCAACGAGACGTTGAGATTGAAATCTACGACGTCGACAAGTCAGGCGGATTCATTGGTGCATTGTATCTCAATAAGAATGAAAATGCCGCCGTCACGATTGCCAAGGAGGGCTTGGCAACAGTTCATTCTTACTCAGCAGATAGCTTGCCTTTCGCAAAACAGCTGTACGATGCAGAGGTTTGTCTTTTTCCATTGATGAGGGAACATTATGACTGAGCCCCCATTAGTCTGAAGCAAAAGCTGCGAAGCGGAACGTGAGTTTCCACCCTTTGAAGTATGATATTTTAGCTGACAGATCCTTGCCATGATAGATCTGGCGTGACTACGATGAAGAAGCTGAAAAAGCGGCCCAAGTTCCAGAGGAAACAGATGGCTCTGCACTAGCCACTCACTACCTCGATGTCATCATCAGCGATGTCCGACCTCGAAATGGCTTCACATTCTCTATCCAGATTCTTAATACTGAAGGTACCCACTATTTCATATTTTCACGATGCAGAAATAGCTCATATCGTCTCGATAGGAATTGCTTCACTGGAGAAGCTCATGCATGACTTCTCCCTTCACCACAAAACAATCTCAACACCATCGGCTGGCTTCGTACCCAAGTCTGGAGACCTAGTGTCTGCGAAATTCTCAGATGGTGCTTGGTACCGTGCTCGCGTACGACGTGCAAGTCCACTAAAGAAGGAAGCTGAAGTCACTTTTATCGACTATGGTAACCAAGATACCGTTTCTTTCTCAGCCATCAGACCATTGGATCCAAAATTCAGGAGTCTCCCACCACAAGCACACGACGCACGGCTGAGGTGAGCGACGGAGACGCTATCAATATTATATTTAGGAGATTCTGACGTGAAGGAAACAAATAGCTTCATCAAGTTCCCGAAGGAAGACGGTGAATATTACGCGGACGCTGTAGAACGTTTCCGTCAACTGTGCGGAGACCGCAAGTTAATCGCGAACGCTGATTATAAGGAAGGCTCAGCATCCAATCCTCTTCTCCATTTGCGACTTATCGACCCACTGGACCCTGCCACACCACAAAATCCTCTTGCATGCATCAATATCGATCTTGTGAGGGAAGGCTTAGCCAGTATTGATAAGAGAGGCTGCGGGAAATACCTAGCGGCTTACCCTCAAATTGTCAAAAAGCTGGGAGAAGCCGCGCTTGGTGCAAAGAGAGATAGGCTGGGTATGTACGAGCTCGGAGACATTGACGAGGATGACGATTAGAGGTACGTTGTGGACGAGTATCTGAGCGGGGAAAGGGACTCCTGTATGTAGCGGCGGCGGGACTACAGACACGATCTATTGCAGAAGACATTTTATGGTTAATAACTATAACACTACGGTGCAGTGCAAACACTCTTTGCATTGTGTACTAACCATTCGCGTGACAGCTAGTAGAAGAATGGAACTAGAGCGTAAGGTGTCTTCTTTCTCCAGGTGACCCACTCGTCCTTGAATTCCTTTCGCAGTATCTTATCCTCTTTCTTGACCCTGCTCAGGCAGAGAGAAACCCCTCCCGAGACAACAGCCGCCCATAGTACTAACATCACTTTTCCGAACACCGTATTCTTCAGTCCACACTGCACCCACCAGCTCCCTCGATTCACGTGAGTTAACATCACGCCGAGGATGAACATCAAGATGCCTGAGTAGCTTGGATGTCGTACATATGCGTATGGCCCCGGTCGTGGCGAGTTTGTGGTCCTGAAGAATGGCGAGCTCGTATGTAAAATGATGACCGAGCAGTTTATAACAGGCGAATCGCAGGTAAGTAGGAGTATGGATGAACAATGTGCCCATGAGGAATGAAAGAGTGGGTTCAAGTAGTGCAGGCTCAAAGACCGGGAGCAAAAATTGGTGAACGACAGGCGGAAGCCTATATTCCGGGTAAAGGGAAGTGAGAATGGCGTAAAGCTCCATCACATTGAAGAAGTGGATGGTTAGCTAGAATTCTGGGTGAGTTCATTGGGTATAGACTTCAGCATTATCTGACGCTTACTTTGAACGTGAAAGCTAGCCATCGGCCTACACCTGGTAAGATATCGCGAGCCTTTTCGTCACTGGAATAAGTATGTTGATCATCTGCGTTTACTGGAGGGTGAGGTGGAGAGAATGAAATCTGATTGCAGAGTGTGTTCAATAGCACAAGTGTTGCCTTAATCCAGGCTCGTGCAAGAGTGATATTATCCATTTGTGCAGCCATTTGTAAAGAGGCCTTGTGTAGATATTCGTACGTCAAAGTCCTAGGCATTGTTTCTTATAAACGAAAGGTATTATCTTCAAGAAAGCTTAGTGTCTTGCTTTGTCGACTAGCGGGAAACTAGTTCTCCTGTCTCATTCTCAATTATTTCGAGGTTCTGAGACATTGTTTTAAGGCTAAGTATAGCAGGACTCGCATATTCTCTCTCAATATTCTTTGCACCTGTGAGAACGTGAAGTACAGGACTGAAATACATGCTGCTTGATGATCCCTGATTTCTAGCGGAATGTGATTGGATTTTTGGGAGCTGGCCAGGCCTGTATGCACCATAGCTAGCATGAACTTATGTGTTGTGCTACAGTTTGGCTCGATCGATCGGCCCTGAGTCTATTCACGTCCACAATAGGAGTGAGGATGCAAGCTCAAACATTGAGACACTCCTCTACTGTGCGAAAGCTCACTTTTTTCATAACTGGTAGTAATGGCCGTAAATGTGGCCTTTCACAACCCAAACAAAAAGGCAATTATCAATTTACAACCTGTGAATCGACCATGCAACTTGCTCAGCTCCTGGACTGTAATACACATTCCGCTTTGCTTTTAAACCAGGCCATCCGAACAGACAAGCGGTGACGGGGATTACGACCACGGGTATCCAAACAGTTTCAGTACTTTTCCACAGAAAGAATTTAGTAACATTTCCACGACAATCGCCGAAGTGCACTGCATGAGACATGGGGTCCGAATCCAGCACGAGACAGGAGAGAAAGTAGACAGCACAAAAAGCATATACAGCTGTATCCTGAAAATAATCACTGCTTCTTAGCCTCCCGTTCTATCTTCTTCAAAGCGCGCTTGTTGATGGATTTATGGAGGTTATGCGTGTATCGAGCGAAGAACATCTTCCATCCGATCACGTTCTGGAAATACCCACCTTAAGTTAATAGTATTCCTGCAATACATAGTGGTAAAGAACATACCATGAGCCAGTCTAGCAGGGCGTGGCTCCAGTAAGGAGTGACGACATGCGGACGGCCAGTGAAGAGTGCACCGCAGGGAAGGTCTATCTAGAGAACAGAATGACATCAGTCTGAGCAAGTCAGGTCAAAGAAAATGGAGGAACGGACCTTGGAAAGAACAGAGCGAACGTATACTTTCGGTGTGGGAATCATGAGACTGGGTTTCCTGATCTTTGACAAGTTCGAAACCTATAGGACAATAAATCACGTCATACAGAAATCATAGGATCGAATAGTGAGACGACTTACGACGAAGTACGTGTTCAAGGACTCAACGTCTACACCCTTACCTTTGACTTCTTCAGCCAGGGCAGCAGAGAATGAGGCAAGGAAGGATTTTGTGCCGGCGTAAGTAGCCAACATGGGCGAGACAACGCTGACGCCTGAGAATGAACCGATGGAAATGACCAAACCACGCCGACTGATATACAAAAGCGATTAGGTCTGGACGTCAAGATGAAAATATACTGACGGCAAACATACCGTTGAACCATACCAGGGACGATAGCCTTGGTAACATGAACCGTAGCATTGACGTTAATTTTCACGATATTGTCCACCTCGTCTACAGGCGTATCGACGAAATCTGTGGGGTAGTTATGTGACCTACCGACATTGTTAACTGAAGATCTCGTGTATCAGTCGTTTGCGATGGATATGAGAAGAGGAAATGAAAGAACCCACTAAGGACACCAACGTCAAGGTTCTCGACCTCAGAACGGAAACGGCCCCATTGACTAGCATCGTCTAGCTTGCTGAAATCCATGACCAGAGTCTTGGTCTGTACCTTGGACTTGGATTCTGTAGCACGTGCCTAAATGAGTATGTAGATGAGGACGAAAGACAACGGTTATATATACCAATTTCAGTCGTGAGCTCGGACAATGCCTTGGCATTTCGAGCAGCGACGAGCACATTGAATCCCTTTGCAGCCAACTGCAGAGCGAACTCGCGTCCAATGCCTTCTGAGGCGCCAGTGACCACTACCTCCACAAAATGCATTCAATTGAAAGTTGAGGCAATAGATATTCAAATTACGCGTACCAGCCCAAGCGCCCTTGCCAGCACCATACTTCTTCAACTAAATAACACATTAAATGTGAGTTGGGTCACATTGAGTACAAGTGAACAAACAGAAACATACGCTCTTTCCCGGGAGAAGGAAAGTCTGGGTAAATACCCCGAGTGTCTTGATGATGAACTTGACCAAAGAGAGGGAGCCAAGTGCAAGAAGGACGGCCGCAAGGTATGGATGGTCTGTAACTGATCACCAAATTGAGTCTATTGAATGACGCCTGGTGCTTGTTTGATCAGAGTATCGTGGACTGACCGATAACATGGGGGCTCGAGGGAATGCTGACAGGCAGCAATGAGAGAAGGTTGGACATCTTTTGCGCTTGGCACAGTCCCAGTGAGCGACGTGGCAAGAGGGAAAGATCGTCTAACAGCTTCTCAGTTGAACCCAGTTGAAACTTGATGCCGCTAGGCAGCAGGCTCGCATATGTTCACCGGGTGGGGGGGGGGGGGGGGGTACTTAAGATTATTCAAATCTCATTGAAAAGAAAGGAATCTAATTTATGGTGCTATAGTGTAGTGGTTATCACTCGGGATTTTGATCTTGATCACTTTCCCGGAACCCAGGTTCGAACCCTGGTAGCACCTGTGCAGTCGCCGATCCGACCTTTTCATTGTCAGGTTAACTTTTAAGGTCAGGGTGCCGTGGTCTCGATGATGATTTTTTGACGTTCTTCCTCTTTATTTTAGTATCCGGACACTGCGGGATAGCAAGAACGTGGTCATCTAGCTGACCTTCGTTATGCCTTCACGAAGTGCCATATTCATTACTCACGTTGTCTATGTTCGCGTGACATACGGTTCACATTGTATTTCTCAAATCCCTCCCTCCCAGATTATACCGTGGCGAAGACACGGGTAAACGCATAGTAAATTATGCGTCGACGCCCATATACATACTCACTGAACTCGCCCCCAAAGGATCTTCTTCTGTTCGGAAGATCTACTCTGCATGGATTGCGGACTCTCGGATGGTCGTACCAGATTTTCTTGGTCAGTCTAGTCGAACGATCTCGTACGTCTTTGCTGACTCTGAGTCGAACCATTATAGCTTAGTTCGTGCAGCATCTGTTAATGTTGTCTCGGAATTGAGTTACTTCCATTTGCCATCATTTATTGACAGGTCATCAATGGGTGCAGGGCTAAAATCATCTGGATAGTAGCCCGCTCTGACAGAGCTCCAATACCCCGTTTCAAGCTAAAGCAATGCTGAGACCTTGTGAGCTCACCTTACTCCAATAACCATTACTCATAACTTTTATTGCTATAGATAGAAAAAATAAAATTGCGGCCACTCACCTTGGCTTTATGAAACGGGACGGCCTAAGGCAGCCACCTCATTCAGTCGGCCAACTGTTCTCAACGTTTCTCAGGCATGCATTATGCCGTCTTTATTGATACCGCCTCTTCCACATTCCACACCATCATCTGACGATATCGTCGACGTCACTGAAGAATGAGGAAATGAGAATTGCTCTTTGCCGAACTTGCTAGTGATGAAATGCGGCGTACATTTTTCGTTCCCGGGAACCCTAAGCCATAGGTCGCAAACAAATCCGAGCTTTACGTGATCCTTCAGATTTGCCCCGTTGGTGTAGATGTCAGATCCCGAGACATCTCGCGAAATTCTGCTGCGCCGAGGAACATTCCGAGCCAATTCTTTCATGTCCCAAGACTTTTCTATGCCTCCGAGAGGTCCGTGCTTGTAGAACACTGTCGATGTTGCAGACTTTCTTATGGTTGCAGACTTTCTTCCAGTACATTCAACGCACCCACTATGGAGCTAATTCCTAATACAGATCGCGTAGCCTGATATGATCTGCAATACGTCCAACAAGGTTGCGCCCAGCAGCGTAACACTAGAACCACCACATGATTCTGGTGGACAAATCTTGGAGAATGAATGACAGCTTTCCGTATGGTGTATTATCAATTAGGAACATGCGGGGCAACCCTCCTTCCACTATCTCTCCTAGACTCCAACGCAGTCTCCAGGCCAAGCATTTGTGTGATTAAGTTCTCGATGGCACCCTTCTTTGTGCCGCTGACGCTGCTGGAAGAGTAATTTGCATAAATACCACTCGAGACAAGCCTTGAAAATCATCAAATAGCGACCCTTCCCCTCAACGAACAGCCATGCAGATGAAACATACGTTTTTTCTCCTTCCTCGCCCTCCTCTTACCTTAAATTATTTATGTGCATGTAGTATCTCTTCTTGCTGCTACCCTGTTCGTTTATGTCGGTAGCACCAGGGCAGCGCTCCTCGGACTGCAGAAACGTGCACCAATGTGCGACGAAGGAATCGGTACCGAATGCAACTTTTTCGACGTTGAGGGTTGTAGCGAAGCACTTGTATGTCAAACCCATACTCACGACCTCCCAATGCATATCGCATTAACCTTGACCTTGTTTTTTTACTGTGATACTACTAGGCAGCATCAGGCCTGAGCGAGGACGAAAGCGGACGTCAAACATGCTCAGGTGTCATCAGGGCAACCAACGCCGAATGCTCCGTACGTGTTTCCAGCTTTCCCTTTTCTTCCTCGTGTGGGATAAGTAACTGATGCACGACAATTTGAACTGCAAGTGTTCGTGCGACTGCGGTGCCGGCGGGGCGTTCAATAGCCGAGGCGACTTCGACGATCTTTTTGACGGAATTGCGAACAGCTGCGTCATCGACGCCGGCAGTCACCCAGGTCTGTTAATTTTATTCAACATTGTTGGTCTCTAGCAGAGGAATCTGAGCACTCGGTTTTTTTTTTTCTGGACAGGCTCTGATACCTATCAGGGCACTATTGGTGGTCGCATAACGTGTTCGCTCACCTGAGGTACTACATTGCATGAAGCACAAGATTGACCGTTGACGCACTACACAATTGTATTATACTCCGTCTAGCACTGCAGACGTTAGTACATGATTCGAACAAATGATCACATTTATGAGCGTCAGACTATACATTCCCATTCAAAGCTTCCTCGTTTCCCTTTGAAGGATGAAGAAGCTTTTGTCCTCTTAAATCTTGCACTGATCACATGCATCGATGTAAATTTACAACTTGAACACCAACTCATTGGCACCACGGGAAGGGAAACAAAATCAGAAAGAAACGCACAACAAAAGGTACAATCGCAATATTTGCATACATCAAAGCTTCGCTCTCTCTGATGACTTCTCGTCCCGAATGCGAACAATAGCTTTACCCCACGTCTTGCGCTGCTCCAGCTGATGCAACCCTTCAGCGACCTTCTCAAGTGGGAATATCTCTGTGTACAAAACGGGTTTCGCACGTCCAGAAGAGAACAAACTATGGTGGGATCAGCAGAAGATCAATCTCATGAAGAAAGGCACTAACTCAAGCAGAGCCTTCCAGACTTCAGGGACGTGCGAAGGTTCATGCTCTGAGAGTGAAGAAATCAGCGTCGAATCGCTTAGGGAACCATGGGCGGAGGTCCTTACTAGTGTAGGCACCCCAGTGTATGCCAATCACGGAGATGTTCTTCAGGAGTACGAGGTTGAGCGGGAGCTATAGCGATCCAAAGTCAGCTCTATCTCTTCGCATAGCATGACAGGAAATGTACCTTTTCAATCTCACCACCGGCGAAGCCAACGACGATAGCTCGCCCTTTCCAGGCGATACACTTCAGAGAGTCTGCGACGTGTTCTAAGTTAATGTACCATGCAGTGATTTACATTTTATTACTACTGACCTTTGATCAGGCCAACAGGATCGTAGATGACATCCACGCCCTTCCCGCCTGTAATCTTCAAGACTTCCTTCTGCCAATCCGGCTTCGTGTAATTCACGCCATAATCAGCTCCACCAAACTTCTTGGAGACTTCGAGCTTCTCTTCTGAACCTGCGGCAGCGATTACCTTGGCACCAAGTGCTACAGAGCAACGATTTATAGTACCAGCATAATCGTAACATTACAGCATGAAACGCACCTTTGGCGAGCTGAACAGCAGCAATGCCAACACCGCCTGCCGATGCTGTGACGAGCACCCATTCACCTGCAAGCGCATGAGTATCCATGTCAATGCAGATGGATAATAGACAAACCTGGTTTCAGTTGCGCACGGCCAACTAGAGCCTCATAACTGGTAGGCCATGTGAGGAACAAACCTAAGTTATATAACATAAGGTCGTGCGTTCATGGGTCGCGGAGTGACCACGCACCTGCCCCTTGATCGTAGCTCATATTGTCCGGAAGGGGTACCAAGGACTCCCATCGTGTAGCCACCTTGTCAGCATAGGCACCTTGTGCGTATCCAAAGATTCTATCTCCAGGCTTGTATGGGCACCCCTTTGGTATGGGAGAGTTCGCTGCAATCTTGCCTGCCAACTCCGATCCTAGGACAAATGGAAGAGGGGGTTTTATCTGGTACTTTCCCTGAGATTGTAAGATCTGTAATATAGTGCCGTAAGTGGACAACTTCTTTGATTAGCGAGGAAAGCCTTACATCGAAGAAGTTCAAGGCGGCACTGTAGATATCTACAAGAACCTCGCCTGGACCTGGAATGGGTTCTGGCGCATCGTTTGTGACAGATATCTTGGACGGGTGTACAAGCTCCTTTACAACGAATGCTCGCATATTGAAGGTACTTTCTCAAAGTGTCAAGCTAATGCGATGAGTCTGTACGAAACCTGGGGTCAGCTTCAAGGCAATTAATGTTTAGAGATACATACCAACGTCAAGGAGTGCAGCAAGGGAAAGATACGCGACACCGGGAAGGCTCACGGTTGGGTACAGTGGGGAGATCCCGCCGCATGACTTCCCCGCATTCTGGAGTCCACTGGCATGAGATTCCCGAGATTACCGGACAGCGCTCCCTCGGACATGTGCATGATCGATGAGTGATCGTCACTACAGTCTACAACAGGAAAGTTTATAAGTTTGATTATCACTCAAGGCTCAAGAAAGTACTGCAATTATAAAATTACAAAAGGAATATCATTGCGATGGTAAATATACATTGCGAATTGTGTTGCTTCTACAGGTAATATGTCGGGTCACTCGTCAACTATCCAGCAACTCCAATGCTCAAGCAAAGCCAAAGCCTTCTCCACCCTCGTTGATCGCTAGCAGTAGCTGTTGTCGAAGCATCTCGTATGATGAGTACTGTGGCAGGTCAATCTGGTTGAAGCCTGAAAAAGATGAGGGGTGAGCTAAGCAAACAACAAAGAAAATATAATCAACTCACAAGTATGTGCTTGGGGCAATCGGTCGGTGTCTCCATACGCTCGGTGAATGGAGAATTTCTGCGTTCCTTGCACACCCTGTAATTCCACGAAGCCGCCCAACGGGACACGAGATGTACCCGTCGCGAAGCTGAGTACCTTGGCTCTCTCTTCACGATTGAAGGACTTGAGTGCTCGCCATAACCAAACGATCACAGGGTCTGAGCTGGTGTATCCATTGTATTCGGTGGCTGCTCGCCATTCGTCGACATCGATATCGGGGGTGCCAGAAATCAACAGCTCCAACTCCTTCTCGTCAAACTAGATCAAAGTTAAATTAGGCCACATACATAACAAATCGAGATGAAGAGGAACTTACGATCTGAATCAAATCTTTGGGAATGATCTCGTAGAAACCGGTGAGCAGGCTCTCTATTTGCTCCTTGATCGAGGAGTACAGACGATACTCAGCGGAGAGTTGAACGAACTCTCGCTTGTTCTCGTTGGTGACAGGGATTGCAGCACCTCCTTCCTTCAGCTCTATGAGCTTAGTGACACCAAACTAAACCAGAAGTTAGTCATACAGCACTAAGCCCCGAAGATAACTACTTACCTCGTCAGCCTCGATACTAAATGTCAGATCAAGAGGAGTAGGATCGTTCTCAAGAATCCAGCAGAGTGAGTTGTAGTATTCGGGATCAACACCCTCAACGTCACGGTAATCCACAGCTTTGTGGAGAATTTGCTTGTAGAAACTTCGCGCGAAGTAGGCATCTAGTAGACGTCCATCGTATATGGCTTTGCCGATGACACGACCAACGAACTTGAAGAACGAAAGATGTTCTGGGTTGACGTATGAAGCCTTGTTTGGTTGGTATGTCAATTTGTCTGAGGCACATGGCTGGAAGAGCGCATAGTTGGGATCGAACATCTGGCGGGCAAGGATCTGGAACCATTCGCGAGTGACACCGCCAGCATCTACACCCTCTTCGTCGTAGAATCGCACACTGAGCTTCCCGTACTTGATCTGATCACCAGTCTTGCGTTGGAGATATTGGAAACTATCTTCGAAGACACGTTGACGACGAACATTGAGCTGGAGAGTACCGTAATGTTCTCGAGTATGCGGTCGGCGATGCAGTTGTTGATTGAAGTAGTTGCGCTTGTTATCAAACTCCAAAACACGAGGATTGTGTACAAGCAGCGAGAATGACCCGCTCATGAGGGACGGGTTGTTCCTCACCATGAGGTTGAGCACTTTCCTGTGAGCGTCCGTGAAAGTGACGAACAACTCTTCCATGGACTCGCGATTGGTCGGTGGAGACTTTGGAGACATGGAGGCACGGATGGTGCGAGCAACGGTGCCATTCGGAGTGTGTGAACCAACATACTTGCAAACGACCATCAGCGATTCAATCAAAGGAAGCAACACCGTCGCAATATGCTCCAGCTCTGGGTTTTCCTCGATGACAGCTAGACAGTCGCCCAGACGCCTCCACAAGGCGGTGAATCGGAAACTCTCATATATACTCTGGAGTTTCTCGATGTCAGCCTGATCGGGAGTACTCGTGGCGGACGTGGCTTGTTTGGGTGAGTACATGTAGTCGATTGTCTTGAGAACTCGAAGCAATTTTGCCTGGTCAGAAGAGGCTGGGGAGAACTTGGATGCGACAGCGCCAGTGACATCGTCTGTTCGAGACTCCTGCAAAGCACCAGCGAGCTCGTCTAAAGCGTTGTACAAGCTTTGACCGAATTCCTGGGCTCGGGTGCGAAGCTCCTGAGCGATCACATCCTTTGCTTCGGGAATGTTGGACAAGTGTTGAATCAGAGCTAGTGTGTGTGAAAATGCCCTTCCAGAACACTCGCCGGCAGTAAGAATGTTCACAACCAATCGAAGAACATGATGAGGAATGACTGGAGGATGTTGCAACATGGCTTTGTCTGTGCTGGAAGTGGGGGCAACGGCGGCGGCAGCATTGTCAGGTCCAGGAGGCGCGGACTCCATAGGCGGTGCCGCAGAGACGGATGTAGTTGCTGAGAAACAATGTGAGTCCGATAAACAAGCTTGCTAATGAATTTTACTTACATGTGGCGTCAGGCGGCGAGACAGGAGCAACTTGAGGTACCGAACCAGACTGAGGTTCGCCAGCAGTGGTCGGTGGTGAGGACGTACTAGTAGAAGCCTGCTTCTCCGCATCTGCAGTCTTCTGCTCTTGAAGGCCAACCAAAGGGCGGGTGACAAGAGCTAACAAAGAAACGACTGATTCCATGAGAGACGGGGTCTTGAGAAGGGATTGCCGATCCAGCAGACCAAGCAGGAGCACAATCGGATAATGCGTCTGAGGGATCTGTTTCTCCTTGCCTTTGCCCTTTTTCGAGTGGTTACGTCGCAATCCAGCAGGCAGTTCATGCTCCGTGAGGAAAAACAGCGACGATAATTCGTTGGATCCTACGATATACGTCAAGGCTTCCAAGCAACGTTGGGCAACCAACTCGGGAACGACTTCATTTTGCACCTGAGGATGTGGTAAATGGGTAAAGTAATCTGATGGCATTCGCTGTTTTCCCGCCGCCTTTGGTGTAACTTGGTTGGGTGGTCGGGAGTTTCGGAATGAGAGCTGCGCAAAGCTCCTGTCTATGGCTGCCAAATCGCCCGTGCCGTCCTGCAAGATGTTGAGCAAAAGGTTGAAGATATCCGTCCGCGTCTTGGAATTCTCGCACAGGTTGACGAGTACTTTTGAGAGCATGTTCTTACGGAGCACTTCCGGGAAGAACAATAACCGAACCAGGACAGCTATCGCAGGTTTATCCAGAAGCTGAATTGCATCCCTGGCAACAGTCGGCTTCTGAGCGTGTTGTGGTTGCGAAGCCGCTCCTCTTGTAGGCGCATTGACGTTTGAAGGCTGTGGTTGATTCAAACGATTCTCTCTATAAATCCCTGCTTCGGCGATCATATGAGAAGGAAGCGTTTGAATCAAGGCATCGTCGGAATCCATAAGAATCACTTGACGCAGCTGAGGGTCAAGGCTCGCGATGAAGCTAGCGGGGTCAATATCGGCAGGAACTGGAGGGATGTTCTGGGTTGTTGGGGCTTGCTCTGTTCTCCGAGCTCGTTCGATGCTTTCTTGTTGGATGATCTCCGCTCTCAATTCGGGAGGAAGCGCATCAAGGAATTCTGGACTGATCTGTGAGTCTGCGGGTCTCTCGATTCTAGCCGCACGCTGGTCTCGAACGTGTTGGTTCAGTACCTCTTCACGCATGTCGTCTGGAAGAGCCTCTAAGAACTCAGGGTCTATACCGGTGTCCGTTATATCAACAGGATTGCCGTGAATTGTGACAGTGACGCGTTCAGGTGCAGTTGACGAACCAGGTTCAGCTGGTGAGGGTTGAGCAGGCGCTGGAAGCTCGGCCGTTGAAGTGAGTTCCTCGGGAGCGCCAATAGGGGCCGTTTCTGGCACGGATGGGGCTTCACCTTGCACATCAAGCATCTCAGTATCAACATCAGGCCTCTGCACGTCTGTGGATGTTTGGTCTGTCGAAGTTTGTTCGCCAGCCTCGGCCGCTCGAGCTGCCTCTTCAGCTGCAGCTTCCTCAGCTTTCAAAGCTTCTTGCCTGGCCTTCTCGGCCTCTTCAGCTTCTCGTGCGGCGGCAGCTTCTGCTTCAGCCTTCGCTTCAGCTTCCCGGATTTTCTCCGCTTCCCTTTCCTCTTCTAGTTTAGCCTGCTTGGCCACCTCGATTGCTGCTGGCAAGAGAGCCAGCGCCACGTGCTTATTGAGTCTTGACAAACGATCTTGTTCGAATTTGCCGTGAAGCGTCTTTACCTCTTCAGCCCACCGTTGCAAAGTAACCAACGGTTCGAAGTTTCGATGATCAGATCGTTCGCCACCACGAGGAGCTCTTTCTACCCGAATGGACGCAGAGAAACCGTGACGGCCATGTCGATGCATGAATGGAGGTAAGAAGCCACCAGGAGGGAGGTCAATTCGTATGGTCTCTCCGGCACCACGACCTTGGGAGATAATCTGCTGGAAAAGGTTGATTGCCCCTCCCCCACCACCAATAGCATTCTCGATGGTTTGAAGCAGTCCTTGCGGGATGCCAGGGAGTGCAGAACGATGGACCCTACGAGCAGATCTTGCGTTACCACTGACCCGACCAGCTGCAGACGATGGATCAACAAGTAGAGGGTGAACCGCTGCTTCAGGTGTGGGGCCGGGCGGTGTATGGCGCGATCGCCCAATTCCAAAGAGGTTATCCATGTCATCTGTAAATGAGACCGGGATGAATGAGCTGAGTTCAAACTTCAGGGTGACAATTCATTACCATCTGCTCTCCGTCTTGTCGGACGCGTGGAGCTTTGCCAGAAGAGTTGTGGTCCTTCACGCGCATTTCCTTCTGGGAAGCCGTCAAATATGAAAGGCTCCGCCTGACCCACGAAAACATTCGGCGCGGGTGGCTGGTGTGCAATATCCAAAGCACCAATCTCGTCAAATCTAAAAGGGAGAAAGTTCAATGGGAAATAAGAACGAGCAGATGACACAACTGAACGTACTCGTCAGCTTCTGACATCATATCACCTTCTTCTTCCATATCGGCAGCCATTATTGGTATGGTGTCTGCAAGAGCGTTTAGCGAGAAATCGCAAATAGTTTGTACAAGACTGACCATCTGGCTCTTCGTCGCCATCGTCGCCACCGTCATCTCCTGCATCCTCTCCGACACCGACATCCTGACAAAAACTCAATGATGTGCAATAACAGAAACACAATGAAGGCACAAACCTGCCACATGACCTCCTCATCAACATCTTCATCATCGGCACCATCGTCCTCTTCATCATCTTCATTACCCTCATCGTTTTCAACCAAATTCTCTTCCTCCTCCTCGTCTTCCTCGTGCCAACGATTCTCGGACTCACCAGTCTCATCCTCAAGATCTTCCTCTAGATCTTCCTCCTCCCCACCATCTGTATCAGAGGTATCCTCGCTGCCTGTATCGTCGCCATAGTCCATCTCCACATCCTCCTCCTCTTCCTCCTCGTCTTCATCCATTTCATCCTCAGCTCCATAATGGCCGTCTTCCATCTCCTAAGGGTATGTCAATTCTCACCGAAAAAAAACCTCAGTATAACAGCAATGACTTACTCCTGCGTACCTGATACAATGCAGTTAGTGTTAGAATATTAACGGGCTATCAGCTATCACTTGACTTACATTCCCAATGATGAATTACGGTAGAGGTCAGGAGTCTCCTCTCGGCCTGCGCCGATACCTTCTTCTTCATCTTCTGATAGGTCAGTATCGACGCTCTCATGCTCCTCTATAAGGGTGTCCTTATGTTTGTCGGAAACACGGCTCATTCGTATGGCAACCTTGGTCCTGTTAAAGAATGAATATCGATGCAATGGGTGACAGATCGGAAGCTTACAAGTATTCGAGAGGTCGCAAGATTCCTGCAACGACAGCCTTGATATTAGGATAATTGAGATCGACTTCCGCCAGAACATTTGTAAGAGTGGCTACGAAATTCTTCTCAAGCATGATCTTGGCGATGTGAGTCGGTGCATCGTCGCTACCCCTGCGGGGCCCAATGTTGAAGCGTACTGACAGCAACCGATGGCAGAGATCTGCTAAAGCTAGGAGTCGACCGTATCGGGCGTCCAGGTTGTCTGACGGTGGAAGATCCTTGAGGGCTCGGCTGAGAGCCTCGAGAACGAATTTGCGGACGGACACTCGGTCAGCCGGAATATCTTTCACATCTTGAGTGGGGAATGTGTCTACACATAGGGCAACGATAACAGACATGGCCCAATTGCACAGCATGATCTGCCTTTTGCCGTCGGGTGAGACTTGGGGATTAATCGTGCCAAAGGTGATGAGTTCAGAGAGCAAGAAGTGCAGCGCAGCGGTCCTGTGTCGGACTCCTGATTCCTTCGCCGGTGTGTGTAGACGCTTCTTGGGAGAGAAGGACAAGAAAGCAAGCTTGCAAGTGTCGTACGAGAAGAGCAACTCCGTCAAACACTGCATGATGAAACACGAGTAGATGTAATCGACGTTCTTAGTAGTGTTGTCCAGCCAAGGTTGACTATCGCCACCTGCACGGGTCGTCCAATTCTGACCATCTGCCGAGCTCAAAGGAGCGGGCGGACGGGAGAGCGATTCAGTGGAAAGCGTATTAGGCCGATGACTCTGAGTTTCGTCAGTAGTGGTTGCTTGCTCCGGGGTATGTTCGTCCTTGATGGTCCTCATAAGCTCCGATATCAAGAAGTGCATTGTCGCTTCCAATGATTCAGAGATGCTCCCGGATTGATTTGTGGATTCATCTATCTGCATGTCTCCGGAATCTTCTTTCGTTCCAAGGCCTTGACCAGAGGCTTCTGATTGCTTGTCTTGGTCCTTCATGCTAATGGTCTTATTCGTCGCATACGGGTTTGAAAGTTGGCATGCTTCCTCTGTAACCTGGATGAAGACATGCGGGTCTCGGAGAGCCATTGAACTGCATCCACGGACGTAAGTATACGTATCCACGAGGCGATTACGAGGATTGGCAAAGTAGCGTTTGACCTCTTGCTTCATTATATGGCGCAGGATAGAGGCGTCTTCAATAACGTGTCGAACGATCATGGCGACATAGGAATGTATGCCACTGGCATTGGAGGCAGCTGTGGCGGCTTTGACACAACGGAAAAGTGCTTCTACACCGTTTTGCTTGGAAAATTCTGTCGCAAGCTTATGGTCGTGAGTAAGAAGAATAAGCAAACGCAGAGCTGAAAGCAGTTCATCACGACCAAGAGTCGGAGTGCCAATGAGTCTCAAGCACAGGTCGAACAGTATCCTGCGAGCCTCCGGATATAATGGTCCGTTTTCCAAGGTTTCTTGCACCACAACTTCATCCTCTTTAGGCAAAGATATTGAACGTGGTTCCTCTCCCATCATCAGCAATGCCTCTGAGACGAGAAAGTGGGCAGCAAGCCATTTAGGAGGGTTAGGAATGATTCCTGCATTATTGCCATGCTTGGACAACAACAACGACATGAGTAGATCCATCAGGTGCTGAGATTCGGTGCTGGAAAGTGAGTGTGACGCGGAAGGTTCGCTCAGAACAAGTGCGAGCAGACGCAAGCGGACAGCTAAGGGATGTTCCTGATGATCGTACGCATACGGCGCAAAAACCTTGATATCGCCAAGCAGGCACTGAATGGACTGTTCACGGTAACCACTTGATGGTCCGACAAAGACGCGTTGAACATCAAATACAAGCGATGGGTGCTCATCCACTAGGGCGAGTGCGCGCCGACCTACATCCTCCTTTAGTGACTCCCGAGCCGTGCTCAGTTCTTGCAACCATTCATCTGTCGTCTTGCCTACTACAGGTGGTTCGGTCTCAGGAGGGCCTTCAGGGACTTCCGCTGTTTCTTCTGGCTGTGCATCGTTTCCTGAAGTGGCGTTCGACGATTCGGCAGCTTGTTCTGCCTCGGGACCTGCCTCGGGACCTGCCTCGGGACCTGCGTCAGCCACTGGAGCGGGAGCGGGTTCGTTGGGCTGAGATGGTGGATCAGGAGGGAATGGGAAGGGGTGAGCAAGAAGAAGCTCGGCTGCAGCATTGACATTGTTCCGGGCGCGCACCAGGGCACGTTCAGAGGCTGAGCGAGGGAAACCCATGTCCATGAGCTGACGAATGCGATTCTCATCAGGACCGACGACTGGTGCACGACTTGGAATTGCGATGTTCGTAATGGTAGGGCCATGTGTGACATCAGGAGTAGCCTCCTTGACTTCACCTTCCGTATTGAGAAGCTCCAAGACGACCTGGACCACCGACTTCGCGACGCTCAATGGAGCAGAAACAAGCCAAGGTGCTTCCCAAAGATCACGTAAAAGTGGAAGAACAGATACCCTGAGTCGTACGACGAAGTTGTGGGGTTCAAAATAGTCAGGGTCGGTATCCTTCTTGTCAGGAGTGAAAAGGAGGGCTGTTTGCGCCGACTCGAATGAAGGTTTCGCCATGATCATCGGATGTAGCAGATGAAGGACGACCTTCAGACCACCATGGGCGTGTAACAGTTCCTGAGCTTGCCCCTCAGACCGGTCTTCCGCTCTGATCACAACGATCTCCTCCACACTGTTAATGAAATGCCTGCAAAGCTTCACAATCGCTTCGATGCCCCCTTTGCGGTAGAAAGCATGGAAGACGACAGTGTGTATGGACTTCTGATTGCCACGGTCTAGGACGAAACAAGGTAAGTACCGCATTGATTGAGGGGACAAAAGATATTACCTTCGAAAAGAAAAACGGACGTAAGGCCTAACATAACTGTGTAGTATGCGAAAAGCGACAGTTTGTCATCTGAAATCGCAGCTTAATAACATGTCTTGTCAAGCGCAGACATTGACATACCAGATTCCCTCTCGGCCAAGTGATTCAAGATGACTTCAGCCACCACATTCGCGCCATCGAATATTGTCTGCTTCTGAGTCGAATCAGGAGCACGCCTCATCGAGAACAAACGGACAATGGCTATAAAGATGTGTCAGCATACATACCTTCTCAAAAGGATGAGAACGAACATTGGAAAAAGTTAGTGAGCGCGTTGGGGACCTGAGTAGAGAGGTGCTTCAAGGCCTTCGCATTCTGCTCTGTTGGACTATCCTCCTTCTTCGCCTTCTTCTGGCTTCTGTCAGCCAACAACGTAGAAGCTGGCGTGTCGGACGATGCTTCTTCCAGGCCATTGGCGGAAGACGAACCCGCACCGGAGTTCAATTGTGCAGGACCAGATGTCAGAAGAGCAGAAGCTGCAGAATGCAAACTATCTGGATTTGGAGGAACATCCACGGTGCTGAACACGGGATGAGTTTTTAGGATAACATTATCCCAAACACACTCCCGATGAAGGGAACCGAGATTGATCAGAATGTTCTTCGCGTCGCTGCTGACTAGATGTTGGAGAAGAGTGACCGTAGCGCGACCTTGGTATCCGGCGGTAGCGTAGATATCTGAGAGAAGCATGATTCGCACGTGAAGTGTAACCAGTTTTCGGAAACGGTCATTCGCCCCTTCCACGTCTCCTTCTGCACAGAGATTAGTAAGATTATGAAGGACAACGCGTAAATAAACATACGACAATTGTCCAGTAGATCTTGAAGCTCAGGCTTTCCAGAAGGTGCCTGGCGGAAATATTTTGTTTCCTCTAGCGATTCATTGACCAGAGACACGAGGAACACCAAAGTGGCAGACGTTTCCGATTCCACCATAGTGCGAACGACTTGGACTAAGGAATCTGATGCGATGCTGTTCGGGAAATCATAAGGAAGACAAGGGAGAGCCGTAAGTCTTCCGATCCGCTGAAGACCGTCTGTGTTCGTCACGAATTCTCTGCAATGAGGAATGTGTTGGAAGAAACCTTCGAGGAACTGAGAGATGTCACCGTCAGCACAGCGAAATTGCAAAAGGGTCGGTGGCAAACACGTACCCTCCCGAATACATCAATATGAGAAGTGATAGGGTTGTCATGTTGCTTTACAGAAACCTCGTCTTCAACAATACCATCATCACTCTCTGTAGATGTTTGAGGGGGGCCTTCTACTTGGAAAAGTAGACTGTTACTTGGCACTGCTTCAGACATCACGACATCGCTATCAGGGGTGACCGGTTGGAGTGTGTACCACTGCTTGATATCGTCTGGGATGATGAATTCTTTTCCCAGAGTCTCAATTCGGTCCAACGTCGTCTTGATAGCCTCAAATACCATCCCCTTCAGGGAGGGGTGGTGTCGAATCAGCTCTTCAATTGAGGTGCCAATGAGAACTGCGTTTTCTTTCTCCTGTAAGACGCGCTGGTGACGCTCCGAAGTGAAGATGGAAAAGAACCCTGGAATAATAGTGGGCCGAGCAGTGAGGTGATCGAGACCGGATTGGTTCAAGCAGAGTGCTCCAATGGCATTTGGGACAGATTGAATAACCTTGGTACAGCGTTAGCCAGAGCGCATCTATTCCATGACCACCAACAACTCACCTCGATTACAGGTTCCAAACCCGATTCAACAACTTTGTAGAATGCATCGGGAAGACCGGCCTCTTGAAGAACGTTCAGACAGGTTGGTTCGTTATGAACGAAGGTCGCCATGATGTTGATAGCTGTCCCTCTAAGTAAGCAATCAAAACTTGAGTCTACTTCAAAATGAGAACGCACCAATTGGCAGGACACCGGGTCCAAAGACGGTTCGATTCTCCATGATCTTCTTGACTGACCGCAGGAGAGAGGAGTCAAGCAGCCCACGCAGGCCTTCACTCGATCCAGACGATTGCATCATTCGGTGCATCGAACGCAGGGTATGTTTGAGAACCGCCGCTCGAGCGACGGATATTTTGCCTAATCATCATGTTACAAATTGAGACAGACTAAAGATGGCAGTAGTCACTTACCGAAGGGCACTGAGACATCAGGACCAGCTTTACCTTCCCCGCATTCTTCCAGATCCAAATCAACCTCATACTAAATCAAAGTCAATAGGGGAAAACAATAAGGGCGCTTCGACATACCTCAATTCTGCCTACGAGCACGTCAACTCCACGTGCGTTGCAGAACAACTGGAAGGCGTTTGTGTAACCATAGAGGACATTGTCAACCAACTGCATAGCCTTTGAAACGACATATAGCCTCTGCGGCAGGCGGATCTCGATGATTTGAATGAGCAAGGGGACTAACCCAGCACCGACGACCATATTTCCTCCAGACGCATGAGTCGCGATGAAAGTGACAAATGCAAGCAATGCTTCGACGAAAGACTGAGGAATATTCGACTCCGGATCTGCAACTTGTGATATAGTCTTGCGAAGCAAGGCCATGAGAATACCATGATTGACCCCTGCGTTCACAGCAGTTAGAACTTCTTGAATTTTGCCTTTATAGCGGCCGAGAGCATCCAATGCCATGATGGCAGCAGTTTGCACCTGAACATCGATGCCCCTGTCAAGTTGGAGCACTTCAGCGATATGAGAGACAAGATCAGGTTCGTAGATGAACAGAGAAGACTGTGCTTGGCTCTCTGTGTGGGTGTGTGCGAAGATAGCGGTGGAGAGGAGACGGACAGTGACCAGCTTCTCGCGATCATCAGCATGATCTGGGATGAGGGCTTTTGCGGCACGAATGCGACAAAGCAACTCAAACTTCTCGTCTTCAGGGACGGAATAGGTCTCAACGGCTTCAGCGAGAAGGGTCATAGTCGGTCTCGACTCCACAGCTTGGTTATCGATGTGAACGGTCACGGATCCTGTGGATGGACCAGATGAACTAGGACCGGCGGTAGCAGGCGCCCCTTTCTTTGGTGTTTGGAGGGCGGGCGAATCGAACACGTCAGGTTCAGGAGCAGGTTCTTTCTCCTTGGTAGAAGGATGAGAGCCTTTGGGATAGAAAGAAAAATGAATTTCGCGAGCTTCGCGGGGAAGTGCTTCAACAGCTTCTGTGCCTTTGTCGCCAGCTAAGTCAGCGAAGTTGAGATCATATTCTCGAAGATTAGGCCATCGCTTGGCGAGTGACGTGAGACGTGGTGTTGACAAATTCAGTGCATGCAATACGGCGGGTTGTGCTGAATACTGTTGAGCAGGACGCAGAAGCAAATTCAACGAAAGAATCAGAACGTCCAGATCGGACGTAAGGAACAGACTATGAAGACGCTAGAAGGATATGAGAATATCTCATTTAAATCCAGAGAAAGTGAGACATACATCGTACGAATTGAATGTCTTCCTATTCGTGGAGTTTTCCAGAAGGAGTCTCTCGAAGCGCAGGATCTCGCATACAGTACTCTTCGTGGAGGGCGTGAAATCACGCGTCTGGATCTTGTCGATCTCGTATTCAGCAATGATTTGCTCCAAGACTTCGTCGAACTTGTTCAGAACTTTTATCCAGGTATGGAGGTCGGAACGAGGCCACTTCCATGAGTCGATTTGACACAAGACATTCGCCAGCTCCTCTACGGGAGTTGCCAATAGATTATCCATGAACTCCGCCACCTCAGGCAGCTGTATGAAACAGTGAGAATTACCCTCAATTGTCGACAGGATCGAAGTTACGGACCGGAGAGGAAACCTTTTTGGACTTCTGTGCTATCTTCATTCCCGCGACGCAGAGAGTCGGAGGGAGTTCTTAAGGTTCGGCCAGACAATATGGTAACAAAATTCAGAATCCCAGTTTCAGGTGTGAGTGCGAGCGGCGAGAGCTCGTGTAAAGGTGACAGCAAGAAACTAAGTGATGATGGTAAAGGACCAAGCTTACGCGGACGGGTGAGGGGCTTTCCCATATACAGCAACTCTAAGAATGCTACTTTCCCACGCTTACACATCTCTCTTAGACTCTTGATAACTGACTCGTAGGCCTCTCGCAGTACAATAGTACCAATGAGCAGCCTCTATACTCGCTCCATTTACGAGAAGTTGGCTCATTACCGCATATTCTATAACTACTAGAGTGCTAGCTTGCCATCGCTGTACTTAATAATATTATGTCTTAGTACAACAGTAGCTATTGTACGCGTGTGGCGTAAACAACGCGCAAACAAATGAACGCGTTGCATACGTCCGCAGGCGTCTCGACGCGTTCTCAACATACTTGCTCTATGAACTTTCAACACTCACAATCTAAATCTCTACTTTACCATGGCTAAACGTCCTGTTCTAGCAAGCAGTGAAAGTGAAGAATTCGAAGAGAGTTCTGCGGCTGAGACATCTGAGTCTGAGCCTGTGAAGAAACCCTCGAAGTCTGCCCCCAAGGTCCACAACATGTTACGCCTTCCTGAGGTAAACGATATGTACTAAGCTCATTGTTTGTAGAGAAACACGCGTGCTTCGAAGTCCAAGAAGCGTTCAGAGACGGAAGATGAGGATGAGGACGAGGATGAGGAAGAAGAGAAGCCGGCACCCAAGAAACAGAAGTTAGACAAGGGTAAAGTAGTATGTACACTAATGTTTCTCTATCTTCAACTGCTGAAGGACTAACATGATTTGTAGAAGGCTGTGAAGAAATCATCAAGCAATGAACCTAAAGAAGATGAGACAGACGGCTCTGCCATCCGCACGGACAAAGATGGTTCGAAGTATGTAGAGCTGGGCAAGAAGCGGAGAGCAGCAGTTCGCGAATTCAAGGGTACGTTCTAAGCCCATGTGAATGACGGAGAGTTGATATTCCATCGCAGGTGTCGTCTACCTGGACATTCGCGAATTCTATGAAAAAGGAGGCGAAGAGCTTCCGGGTAAGAAGGGCATTTCTCTCAACCTAGAACAGGTATGTCGTCTGCGGGATAGAACTACGGCATATATCTCACTTGCTTCATGGTAGTGGGAGGCGTTGAAGCAAAATGCCCATACAATCGATTCGTTGTTTGCAAAGAAGAAGTGACGGCTTCTTCTACGCATTAGCTCCGACACTAGGTGTTCAGGTCTGTGTTCTTGTTTCATTACGAAGTGCTCTATTGTATTTCTATCTGGTTGCTCTACTACGTATGTCCCAAGTCACAGCGCCGTCATGCAAGCCCCGCAGCTGCGTCATGTGCACCTCGCAATCCACCTTGAACAAGAAGACCTCGCATCCACGCTTTCCATTTCACGAGACTAGCTTGCATATCTAACACAGTCTCCGTAAGGATCAGCCCCCGATATGAAGTTTCGAACCGCCTACGAGAAGCGTCGTGAGCGTCAGGCAAGGACAGAAACACTAGAAGACATACCACCAACTCGTGAAGTAGTCATAGAGGACGCCAAGAAGACCTCTCTGGTACATTTCCGCGCTGAGTCGACGTTTATCGTCCTGCCAGATTGCTCGAGTGCAATACTTGGCGGTGATGAGGAATACTCGTATCTGACGAAGATATCAGTGCGATTCCACGGGCATGGTCAATGTTGTTATCTACTTTCGAATGAGTGGTCGCAAGAGCATGATCCAAATTCCTACATGAGGATATGCTTGAGTTCACGTGATATGGTTGCGACGAAATTACCCACCGTGTTAAGTCGTTCAACTTCAGTACCATCAACACTCGTCTTGGAACCCGTCGTAATACATCGAACACGGAGACGAGCAGCCCCTCATGTTGGATGACCGCGTTTCGTATAATTTCCATCTCCTTTTCACTAGGCCCATTGAGATCGACGATACTACCGGGTCGTTGGAAACTCGGATTTGACTCATCGAAGAATTCGTCCCAAGAACCTTTTAACGCCGCCCGACCTATTCAGCCAGATTAGATGCAAATGAGAGTCAATAATTAGACATGGGACGCACCGGTGATTGCAGCCTCGAACACGGGATACTGATGAAAATACTGTTCAGCTGAGATTCGATGGACAATATACTGAAGACCTCACCAGATCATCGTCTACATTGCCCACAAGCTTCGCGTACTTCCTTCGCTCACCATTTGTAGCCGCAGAAGAAGGTTTCATAAGGGACAATAAGAACTTGCTGTAGTTTATCCTGAGTTCGTCATCGAGGTCAAAGTAAAGACCGTGATCTAAAAGTGCGATCTCGAAGTTATATGGTGACTGTGAAGTAGGAGGCGCAGGTCGAATGAGAAGATTGCCGGGATGGGGATCCTATGGAAGATTCGTCAAACTGGTGCTAGCCGGAACACAATGAGCAACTTACAGCGTGGAACCAGCCATTCAGATGAACCATTTGAGAGAATATCCTTGCAATTTCCAAGGATACTTTGTTACGGTCGATGTCGTGGTCTGCCAGGTACTTCAAGTCGTCTACTCTGCCCCCTTGGATATATTCCATTATAAGAACCCTTTTCTTCGCCTGGATCACCTTCGCTACCAACGCATCTACAGTCACCATACTGAAAAGCAACGAAGAGGATTGAGTTCTGCTCACGAATATAGAGAGAAGTCGTGATGTCCTTGAAGTCATCGACGGCTCGTTCTGCATTTCGCGCTTCGTGTACGAAGTCCATCTCTTTCGGCAGGTTTTCTCGCATTTCATCTCCTAGCCAGGTGAACTCGAAATCCGGGAACAAATGCTTAATCCAGCCTACATTTCGATAACATTATGATTTCCGAGAAAGGCACGACACAAACATTACATACCAAGTGACACTTCAACCATCTCCATATCGATGTCGCAAAATTCTGCTAGATGTGGGTGTTGTAGCTAGGGCTGCATGTCAATGAAATTCATTGGACATAACAGAATGAGGTCACCTTAACAGCAACTAATTGTCCGGATTGTTTCAGACGACCAACGTGAACTTGTGCTAGGCTAGCGACGCCAACAGGTCTGGGATCGAATTCATCGAAAATATCCTCTATCCTCATACCCATGTCTGACAAGAAAAGGTTTTCCAGGTCCTCATATTCTGTAGGTTCACACTGATCCTGTAGTGGTCTCATGGTACTCGTCCATTCCACCGGTAATACTACACTGGGACGACCTGAACAACTCAAGAATCGTGAAAGTAGAATGTCAAACTCACAGTGAAGATATGTGTTGTCCAAGTTTGATGAATATTCCTACGTAAAAATATTCAAAACCTGCATGTTTGTAAAGAAGAGATTCTAACGCACCTCCGTTTGCCAAGAGAGCCTTCAGCACTCTGAGTGCACTCCGCTTGTGACATGCCGAATATGCATGTTGTTTGTCGTCTTCAGAGGGATAGTCTTGTGCTAGAGTCTTTTTGTAGTCAATCGCTCCAAGGACAGCAGCCTCTGCATTTAAATAAAAATCAACATGCAAAGAGGAACGACAGAGTCCGTGAACGCACCTGCAACCCTCAAACATCGGACGACAGCCGAAACTGTATGCCGGAATGGCCGCCATGTTTCATAAGCTAGTACCCCAGCACCACCAAGCAATAGAAAGGTCGTAGGATATGCAACCCATGGATTGACTTTGCGTCGCAAGGGTTTCTTGGTAGATCCACTTGATGATTGTTCCCGACGTGCAGAGCGTAATGGCGCGCGGACAAGTCTCTTCACTGAGGCAGAACCAGTTAGAGACAAGCGATTTGCAGTGCAAGAAAGGCACCTCCGCCTCAGAATGTCCATGGTTTCAAGGTAGTATATGTTGCATGAGAGTTCAAGTAATAGAGCTACGAGTTGGATGCCGAGGTGGAACCGCGGCGGGGTAACTTGAAATGAACGATCGTGTCATAACTCCGTCGATCTGCACTCACCTCAATTTGGCATGTACAGTATGTATTGCTCAGTAGGCAGTATCCTCACCAATGAACTTATATGTGACGATGAACCTTGAGTGCAGTATGATACATTGGGTATGATCTATGGAATATGTGCAACAGAAAACAAATCGAAAACGACTCCAAATTTGTAACTCGGAACGAGAATGAACGCAACACTGCAGATGACTACAAATTTATAGGTATGTATTCCCGCTACAGTACGCCGCTACCTCTCCGGCTGAGGTTTGTTGATATTCGATGCGAGGACAAGGCGTCTTCACTCTGATGCATGGCTTCGGCATATCTGGTGAAAGAGTAACGTTAAGTCAGTCGATATGAGCGTGAAGGAGGAAAACAACGCACAGAAGTTTGTATCGAACTAACTCTGACTCGAGTTCCTCATTACGTAGACGTGCACGCACAAGTTCAGTCTAGGGGAAAAAGAGTAAGAATACCGAACACGTCGACCGTGTTGCCATGACATACCAGTACTTCGCAGTGCTCAGTATTGAGCTGAGCCATGCTCGATTCCAACGAATTGCTATAGAATATTAATCAGATTTGTAACAGGGCTATCAAGGGCAAAACTTACACCTGGGTAGAAAGTTTGCGATTGCTGGACCGTAGCGCTTCCATCTCGATGGCATGAGCGTCCCTTGTCCTCACAAGCTCTTCATACTCGTGGGCATAACTATCCAGCATGAACGGCGTGATCTTAAGCGCAACGGCATCTTGAACAAACTGGTCTACGTCATACTTGGGTTCACTGGAATCGCCAGCGTCCTTATTCAGCTGATCATTGGATGTTAGTATGCCTACTTTCAACGGCATGATTTGACTATACCTGGTAAACCTCGAAAACGCGTGTGTTTAGAAAGTCGGGAAGCTGGTCGAACTTGAGGGACAACAACGTTTCTTCATTCTTGACTAGGAGGATCATACTGAACGCGAACATCGCCTCGATGCCGCTCGCAAGACAATTATCGTATATTCGGAAGACAATGTCCAAAGGAAACCTGTCAAGACGCATTAGGAATATTTAGTTCCGCGTCGGGCCATAGCACATACCGATAGCTGAACATCGTTAGGAACCACTGGGAACAGAACATGCTAGACTTGACGCCTTGCCGAATGAAATGGACATGGAGGACGGGGAGTAACTCCTCAATGAGTCTATCAAACTGCAATTTCCATACGCCGTGAGCCAACAATAAATCTGAAGCTATTCAGTCACTAGCCTGGAACTATGGGTGGGGCTCTCAGTCATGTTAAAAGTAAAATCAGCAATGAAGGAAAAACGTACCAGTCGCAACTGCAACTTCGGCATCTCAGGGAGGAAGTGTCCTCTCAGATCGTAGGAATGCATCAGTCTGACGAGAAGACAGAAAGCTTCTTCGTCGGGCATCTGTAATAAGAGAGGTGAGACTCGTGCTATTTGCAACCAGCGGGTCGTATTCACATTGAGTAACAAGACAGCAACCACAAATGGGAGACCTTGACAGTAGCCTACTTGAGGGTCGTAGCTATTGAGCAGTCATTTGTCAAGTCCCTAAAGCTAGAAAACCGACTCACATTGAATATGCTTTTAGGACATTGAATAGATTCTCTTGGCCGATACCATGACCATCCGTGAAAAATGCATGATGAGGAAAGGTTCTAAACTTCAAAGATGAGTAAGGGAAGCGCAGCATCAGGAGGTATTTCTACCGTCCAAGATCCCGGTTGATAGCTTTCTCATGAGAACTAGTCTCCTTAAGCAGACGCAAATATGTCTGTTCAAGCTCTGGATCCTTTGAAGCAGACCTATTGAATTGAATGTTCGGCAAATGGGAGTGAAAGTGAGGACTAGGGCTCGTCGCACCTACATTAACTGCCAAATCATACCACGGAGCGTCTTGGGGATGCCCCTCTCGATAGCTTTGGCCAGCTCCTCAGGACGTTCAGCAGCAAACGTTTGGTAATCTGGGCTCCGGGATCAATAAGAATGATTTGAAGCCATGACTGCTACTGACCAGATACAACATCCCCCCAGAAGTCTGTATAGAGTAGGTTGTTCAGTGCCATTATCATTTAAGGAATGTGACTCCTTACCCCAGTCAATATCCGAAGAGCTTTTCGCTGGCTTGAGACTCTGTTGTTCACCAAGTTGCAGACGGCTGAAGTCCTCCTGTAGCTTCTGTTGCCCATCGAGACTACTTCGATTGGAACCGTGTTTCTCCTCGTCCATCTGGGCATCCAAGCGGGACAATATGAACGGTACATTATTGGCAGAGACGATGGTAGAAGTTGAAGCAGTCTTTTTGTGTACGCGATTCCTGTGCACCATTGTTATGAGGTCGTTTCCGCTGAGTGTATTCCTTCGTTCATCTCCATCTTCCGCGACCGGATCCAGAGTCGAGGTGGTAGTGGTATCATCGGCAAGGCCTGTCACTTCCATGCTTTGACGTGCACTAAGTAATACTGTAGAAAATCTAGAGTCTTCATCTGTAGCTTCAGATGCGGCAATAGACTCCCGAAGAGGGAAATGCGCATCCGGATCCTTAGGCGACAGGAGAGAATCCAGTCCTATAGGTGTTGTACTTGATTGTGCACCCTCCAGCTTCAGCGGAGTTGGGGTTACCGTGGAATCTGATTCATGACTGTTGGCAGCCTGTACATCCAAAGTTGCAGTACTCGGTTTTGCGTCTTCGTCAGTGAGTGTTGTGCTTGATTGTGTCCCCTCCAATCCCAACCCGAACGGAGTTGGTGTCACTGCGGAATCTGATTCCTGGTTGTTGGCAGTCTCCACATCCAATGGCACGGTCTTTGGTTTCGCCTCCGCATCGGTGTTGGTTTGAGGTTCGTGAGTTACGGCAACCGGTTGTAGAGGCTGTGTCCCGAGATTGGACATGGTGGATCAGGATGAACCCTTGCAAGCGAGTGGGGGTAGTAGAATATAGGCGAGCACCGCTACAGCCTTGCTACCCAGCGCAGAAGATGCATCAATTCGTTGCTGTAAGAATGCGGATTTGCCAATAACTTGACAAGCAGCGTGAACCACCGTTGAGAGATGTCCATGCTGTGGCATACCATTCATACCAAGCGCTCGCCGAAATAGCAAGCAACGGCACATTACCCGCCCATGCACAGCGAATATGCGACAAAATATAATGAATAGATAGATAGTCCATGTACACCCAAATGACTACTGATGATGCCCTCGAATTATGTAACAATAGTAAAGTGCAATCCGCCCTGAAGTCTCCGCCAGAAGGTCCATATCCTTAAGATGCAGGGCTGGAAAAGAGTCAGCGCAACGTTCAGTCGCCAATATACACTGGGACTTACACAGGAGGAACAGATGTAACTGGACCGGGGTCAGTGGAGAGCGTAGGGAAGGGAGTGCTTTCACACTAGACACATGGTAAGTTCCCAATAAATGATCACATCTGAGATTCACTCACAGCTTGCTCAACGTCGGCGATGGTAAGGCCGGCGGGGAAAGTGGCAGCCTTGTTGAAGGTAGGTGGGACAGGAATCACCTCCGAACAGTCCACCATGTTGTTGATGTCGTTACCGAGCACAGACAGCTTAAGCATCGCCGCCTTGAACGCGCTCATCATCTTTGCTTGGTTGTCTGTTATACATTTATTAGATGGCGTCTGAATATCGGAAAGAGTAAGGTACTTACTAACGAAGGATTGCCATTCGCAAGCCGTCCGGCTGTCTCTAGCAAACTTAAGGGATATCAGAGAAGGCAAGGTAACGAAGTGGAGGATCATCTCACGTCAGCGTCGGATTGGAGACGAATCTCGCCAGCCAAAGGCGACTGAACTTCTCCTTGGTTGTTGGCAGTACTAAAGAAGAGGCCGAGCGTAAGTAACCGCACGATAGCATGATGTTTACCAAATCATCTCACCCAGGGAAGAGCGTGCCACGAAGTTGAGTCTCAACGAAAAATTGCGTATCGAAAGTACCGGGCGTCGAATCGAATGGACTTCCCGGAATAGTCGGGTCAACGTGGTCGGCCGCAGCAATGGAGTGACTGAGGCACACTTCAACCATTGTGTATGAGGTAGGCAGAAGGCACTTACGAGGCCAAAAGAGCAACGACTTCCTCTGGACTGAAACCTCCCGCCTCAGCAAAACGGGCGAGGATCTTGTCAACGGAATCTATATTAAGTATGGTCAGCAAGGCTAATATCTTGCACTGCAATTACCGCGTACCAAAGGGTTCTGGAACGAGACCATCGGGTGGAACAGCCGTTGCTTTAAGAATGATGTAAGCACACGTCACTGTTAGCAAACAGCAGAATATTTACCAGTGGGACGTCCTGATATTACTCTCGATTAGCATGCTGTCAATCCGAGACATGAACAGAAGACATACCTAAGAAGAAATCAAGCTGGGGAGCTCCAGGGCAGTTGCTGACACCAACAGCGCCAGCAAACTGAATACTATTGTAACATATTAGTACCTATGGAAAATATATAAACATCGAATACCCACAAGTCACCAGCGGTGATGTTGTGCTTGGCAATGAGACCAGCTTGCTTTTCGGCGATCTCATCGGTACCCAAGTTCGCAGGGTACTTGGTCTCTGTCTCAAGGAAAGTGATAATAGACCCATCAGCACCTCCACCACTGTATAATCCTTCAGTAAATGCTTATTAGGACTTATGTGCAGAAGGCCTACCCGGCAGCACCAATGCCAATAGCATCGTGGAAGGCGAGACGGAGGGATTCATGCACCTCTTCGCCACACTCGCCACCGTCGAACAGGTTCGCCTGAATGTCGTCACGAATCGCGAACAAGGCGCAGCAAGCCTCGTTGGTTGCAGTGTTCTTGCCATCAGGGCAAGCCACACGTCGAGTTATAGCAGCTGAACAAAAGAATGTAAGACCGTCTGCTTCGATAAATCAGAAGAAAACAAACATACCATTAGCAGAACTCAAGGATGCCACAATAGCAGTTAAAGCAAAGAGCGACTTGAACGCCATATCAAAGGTAAGAAGTTCGAAGTTAAAGTTGTTTGAAGGTGATGGCGATTCAATAAAAGTAGTTCAAGAAAAGAGGGCTTGAACCAGGGCAGAAAGTAATGAACCCAATAATAAAGAATGGGCGAGAGATGCTTTCCAACGACGGTCGATCCATGGTCTTTATACTCCTCGAAACTGCGGCGTAGGTCAAAGCATTCAGTGATGGGTACAGAACACATAACCGACACACAGCCAACAATCGACCCGATGGCATGGATAGCCAATTACGAAGATCGCATTCGACATGACGGGTCGAACTTGACCAGGCATCGAAACACGTACTCACAGAATATACACCGAAACACAGGTTCAAAATCTGGAAAGTGAAATCTCTATGGCTACCGTTGACCGACGTGTTGGTGGCAGCATGCTTCCGTGAGATCTTGAGAGGCGGTAGGGAAAAAGGTACACGTAGGATCCTACCAACACAGCGACGTTTGATAGATTGTGTACAAGGCTGGGAGGGATCAGCGACTCATGTCTAATAGCCGAGGTTAAGTCCCCATTCAACCCTAACAAAGACGGAGCCGTTTGACAGATATATGTCTACCCGCTATGCGTAACCATCAGCTTCTCTATCCCAGCCACATACGTTCGAAGACTAGACTCACCGCTACGGCCACCGCAGCTGGACTGCATGCATACATGCATACATGCGAGGAAAATTTTCGTTGAATTTAGCACCGTGTTCATATTGCACGAACGCCCAATATCACAATGTCTCCCTGCTAGTGTTGAAAGACCTGGCTAAACAGCATTTCACAGACATACGGTATGAGATGGCCAACCAATATGTTTTAGAGAAACGTGCACTGCCGAAGTGGCGCACAATAGACGCGTTTCGCGTTCTTGACAAGCCTCGAATGATCGAGATGATCGAAGCATCAGAGTCGAAGCTCGAGGACGCGGAACGCCCGTCTTCTATGTATTCTCAAGGCATTAAGGAGCCGAAAACCATAACCTTCGGAGCATCATCCCCAAAGGTTACTTGGATACCGAGAGGGCAACCTTGGCACTGGAAAACCCAAGGACGAAGAACAGGTAGCGATGTTCGTAACCAAGTGAGAGGGCTACCATTGAACCCTTGTCTTCTCTCAAGCCCACGGCGTCGGTTCCAATACTGTGGTTCTGGTCGCACGAAGGTAAGAATTTGAAGTAGAGCTTAACAAACCTGGAATTTCACCTCTCAAGCCTGGTGTGAACTGCGGTGCGCGTAGGTGGGGGTATCCGCATACTGCATGTCGGCACGATGACAAGTGAGTGCAACTGAATTGACGTGCACTCACGTTCATCTGGTCCCTGATGGTCTTAACAAGTGAGAATACCCTGACATTGCTCATCTAACAAGACAAGCCGAACATTCTTCAGCAACCGGACTTTCGCCTCACTCCCTTTGTCAGAGGAGGAGCCTGCCGATGCCGATGCCGCTGCAAGTTCAGATTGCGTGGACGCTTTGTTATTTCCGGGGCCGGTCACTGGTTGATTATACGTATGCGACCATGCACGGAGTACATTTCGCAAATGCACAGCGTACCGCGCATCGTGGTAAACTTTGATATGATCCGTATCGAGCAAAGTAGGCGCTGATGGTCTTCTACCGGTGGTGATCGAGCTTGTACCATCGGTCACTTTGGCATCAATGTGGGTTACCGGAGCGGCATGAAAAGACAAGGAGATGGGTCCAAGAGATTGCACCTCTCTGAGCTGAAGAAGAAATGACCAGAAAGACCGCAATGCATCTCGCGTCCAGATGATCTCAGACGAAGTGAGGACTGCCGCAGAACTATCTTGTGCGGATTCACATGGACCCTCAGAGTATTCTTGTAGGATGGCGGCGGCCGTACAATCAGGCCACGGCGGTGTACCGCGGATTGGAATGACCCAAGTACATCGGGCAAATTGGTCTTCGAAGAGATCCCATACATCCTCTAGGGTATAGGGTGGAATGGCCATTGGCTGCGATCCTTTGTAGAACTTGGTGTGTGGCTCTAGTGATGAGAGTGATACAGCAAGGTTCTTTGGGCTTGTGTACAGGTGAGGCTTTACAGTCATGTCATGTTGTTAGCTTTGACAACCCTTCTCAAACATTTGATCGTACGCACACGTTCAATGACTTTGTAAAGAGAACTTGAGTCAAGGCGACGACGTTTGACGGGATTCCCTTCGGCAGGTTCTCGACGATCTTTGCTACCAGCCTTGCGCAAGACACCGAGTGCGGTGCTTGGAGGCGTGAGCAATCCAGCACTGACTTCTGCAGACGAAGAGACAGAAGCTCTGGAGAGTTCCAAATTGAGAGTTGTTGATTTGAATTCTTCCAGTTGTTCTGTCCTGAAGACCTCCATCTCGGAGACTTCGTCGTTCCAATCACGAAGGGTCTGCTCCTTTGCGTCACTGTGGAGAAGTGGCGGACGCAGCGCATATTCATAGCAGTTACTTCGCAAGCCTGCGAATAAGCTCGGTTTCAATGATTGACCAGAGATAATTATCGTGCACGTACGAAATATTGCATGATCTAAATGGAGTACCACTGAATGCCAACCTTCCTTACCTACTGCAGACTCCAGCGCCTCTCTGCCATAAGCTAGCAAGGAGGCACGCTCGGGAGGTGGTTGATTAGTGGGGCCATGATAATGGACAGTCAGGTGTTGGCTATAGTCTGGGTCCATCCGAAGAGCGGTGTCTAGGAGACATGTAATTCGAACAGGTCACTAAGCGTGTTTGCGAGCAAATAACTGTTTTCGATGCAGAACTGATGTATGCGTCCATTAGTATTCAAAGAAGGTATCCTGGCCGGCAGTCAGAAACCGACTGTACATCTGAAGTAGGTAGGACTCTTACCGCCTGGGCGGCGTGGATTTAGCCCTCTTCTGGATAGGTTTACGAGCACGTTGCCTACTCAGTTCACGTCTTCAGTCAGACGATAGTCACAGCGATGATCAAAGTTCGCGTTGAACGTTGAACGTAAACAGTAGAAAAACGTCGGACAGCTTGGACAGTTGGCATTTCCCGTCGCGGTCCGCATGTTCCACGCCGACGCGATCGAATTTGAAACGACGCGTCAATCATCGCGACCTCCACGTGTAGGTACTGGCGTCTATGGAAACTGTAATAGGCTCCAAGTGCCTGTCCTGGACCAAGCGATCCTTTTCTATCTTACACTCATGTTCTGCTTGCTAGAAAAACTCGAAATATACCTTTCACACTCCACGCAGACGGTATGAGAGGAAAAGCACTTCGTTGCCATAAACCATGCATGGCAGGGCGCAGTCAGGCATACCAGCCAATAAGGATGCACCGTGTTATCTGCCAGTCAAGCTGCTTGCTTTAGTGAGCGCCGAGCCTGGAGGGTACGGACAAATGGAGCCACATTGCGCATCTACTGATTGAACCAAGTATAACCGGAAGGGCGTCCTATAAGTAGGCCAACAGTTCCTCCGACTGACTGTGACTGTGCGTTTTTTTTTGCTTCTCTGGGTACCCGTCCAGTCTCTCTACTTCAAACTCTCCACTGCTCGGTTGTATAACTTAACTCTATTGCCTTCGTTGAACAGTTTGACTGCACCCGTATCAAGAAGTATATAACTATGGGTGCATCCAGCTCTAAACCCGAGGTCACTTCTGCTCTATCTGACTCTTCTTCTGCGATGAAGAACGAGAAATCCGATTACCTCGAGGAGCTGTCTCGAAGTACCCAAAGACTGAGCCTCAATATCTCCAAGCCCATATCTCCCTCCGGTGCGATTACCATAGATACTGTGGAACAATGGGAATCCAGTATCAGTTCTAACCCCAAGCTGGAACTGTCTCGTACGATCTTGAATCACCAGGATATACGGACGACATTGCAATCTCGAGCAGCAAAGATCGCCGATGCACATGTGTTTAATACAAATTTGGACTTCAAGACTGGACCGATTACAAACCAGAAATCTAGTGGGAGATGTTGGTTGTTCGCTACTACCAATGTGCTCAGGTACAATGTGATGAAGAAGTTGAACCTGAGCGAGTTCCAGTTGTCTCAGGTGAGATAACTACGATGTTATGGTTCATAACTTCCAAAAGATATAAACATGCATATTGACCGAATTTTGCTATACAGGCGTATCTGTTCTTTTGGGACAAACTGAACAAGGCAAACTATTACCTCGAATTGTCTATCGAGCATGCCGACTTGCCGGTGGATGACAGATTGGTGTATCACCTAGCTGAGGACCTCATCAGTGATGGAGGTCAGTGGGACATGGTCGTAAACCTTCTCGAGGTTAGCACCTCAGTTTACTCCCACTGATCAGTCCGGCTCTATCGATGTAATAATCAGACATATGGTGTTGTACCTCAAGCGCTCTTCCCCGAATCCCTCCATTCCTCCCTCTCCTCACCCATCAATAGTATCCTCAAGACGAAACTTCGCGAGCATGCCTTAATCCTCCGTTCTCTCGCTTCCTCTCTGCGCTCCTCTCCTCGGGCTCTTTCCGAAGAAGCCGTCCTAGCGACTCTTCGTGCGAAGAAAGAAAGTCTTATGAAAGAGGTGTATACTATTATGAGTGCTACATTGGGTGTCCCTCCTTCTGCGGATGAGAAGTTTGTCTGGGATTATTATGATAAGGACGGCAAGGCTGCGAAGTGGGAGGGTACGCCACAGGAGTTCTATCGCAGCGTTGCTACTGATAAATATCCGGTATGTTGTACTTATCAGCTTCTATTTCTCAATCCTGATCTTAAAAATGTTTCTTAGCCTGCGGATTCTTTCTCGCTCATTAATGATCCTCGTAATGAGTACGGCAAGCTCTACACCGTGGACAAGCTTGGTAACCTGTGGGGTGGCCGACCTGTTCTATGTATGTGCAACATGGTTGGAATTTCATTCGGTTGTAGCTGATGAAGATGTATCATATCCTAGATGTGAACACGGAGATTGAACAACTCAAGAATGCAGTCGTCAAGATGATCAAAGCGGGTCTACCCGTCTTCTTCGGATGCGATGTGGGCAAGTTCTCTGATAGGGATGCGGGGATCATGGATCCCGGCTTGTTCGAATATAAGGTACGTTTTATTTCATTTGATATTGTTTTGCAAATTTAGCTCGCGATTACTATTAGAATGCATTCGACATCACTTTCGGACTCACCAAGGCGGATCGATTGCGTGTGAATGAGTCTTCCATGACCCATGCCATGGTCATCACTGCTGTTCATCTCGACTCTTCTAGCAAGCCTGTACGCTACAAGGTGGAGAATTCTTGGGGTGAAACCGCCGGTGAGAAGGGATGGTTCGTTATGACAGATGCGTGGTTCAACGAGTAGGTCTCGACGCTTTCCTAAAAGATTCCGTTTGCTAACCCGGTGATTTAAGGTTCGTATACCAGGTGGTCATTCCGAAGGCTCTCGCACCCAAGGAGCTGGTCAAGGTCTTTGAGAGTAAGGACAAGGTTGTGTTACCCCCTTGGGATCCGATGGTACGTATCTATGCTCTCCTATCTGTATTCATTATTCTGAAGCGATGTGTTACTATGCTAGGGTTCTCTTGCGTGATTTATTGTATATTTACTGTATACTACGCGTCACTTTTATGTGTATGGAGACGTAGGTTTAGGACACGACGGCAATCTAGTAGTTGGTGTATATGCTGAGGGACGACTGACACTGCCGGCTTGGGAGCAACCTGCGGACATCGAAAGATCGACGGTGGAACTAGAGGAATTGCCCAGTTTGGAAAGTGACCGCCCGAATATGGATAGGCGCTAAATAACGCAATGCTCGATGGTGTTCGCCGAGTGCTTGTCAAGAACCGTCAAGTCCTGCGCAGACGATAATTGTCACTTATTCCAGGATTCTATGCCTTTTTTTCGTTGTCGAATACTGAGGATCCAAGGCTTTGGAGGCGATGCCATCCTCAAATTCAATGCCCAAGTATGACTCAAGTACAGCGTGCCATATAACCTAATTTCATTACCAGAGCTTCCCGAACCTTGTTGTTTTCGGCGGATGTTCAGAAGTTTCGTCTTCTGGTACGTAATCATCCTAGGATGGATGTCTTCACCTCAGGCATCTTTTCCTCTGCATTCACCGGCACCTTTGTGAGTCGCGTCTGGTTTGTGCACCAGCCTGCACCTAGGTTATGCAATCATGCTCGGGAGAACGCCTCCAAACACCTCGCGACCAAGTCGTATCACGTCGTTCCAGAGTCCACTCCAGGATCCTCAGACGTATACACCACCGTGTACTCGCGGCACCCGCCGCCATTCCCACTATCCCCTTGTATTGTTCGATGGATCTCCTCTATCATCTCGCCCCGCAGAAGACTTCTTCAGGTCCCATCCATCAACTACAGCCACCCCTGATGTTGTACGAGGGTCTGTAGCGCATGCGTATACATGTTCACCTGCCAGGATGTTGTCTACAGCAGCTCGCCTTGCCGATACACACAATATGTCATCTCACAGTGATTGTAACACATTTCGAGTCACAGGTACTCGCCCACTATTCGCTGCCACACCACTGGTCCTAGAGGATGTGGAAGACTCACAGTTGTTCGAAAACACGCCACCAGTGGTCTTCGGCTCTACCCATGCATCGTTTCCTACAAGCTCTATACCTGTATGTTCTACGTACGTGTATAATATCCCCTCCATGTTGTGCATCATTTTCTACAGTACTCACTCAGTGCAACCTCGACAGTCCTGTTTTGTCCAAGTCGCCTTCCTCACCCTGCTCGTCCCCGACGCCATCTACTCCCTCACAGTCCACATCGCTACCAAGTTTTGACTCGCTCTCTTGTCAAGACCTAGTTAGATTTCATCGCGAGTCTCTTGCATCTCGTATACGCAGCGGCGCCACATCGCCTCTATCACGCTCTCATTCCTATCGACCTATGCCTCCCGATGCGGCTTTCTTTCCATTTGGTCCTAAACGCCTAGGAGAAATGGATAAACAGTTGAACTCCATCAGTATGTTATCTACTCTTTCATTGGTATTTCAGTCACCGTGATCCTGACATCAGATGTAGCCACACCTAGCACTCAACGACTCAGTGATCCATTCACTTCGCCATCTCTATCTGTTTCTGACGGCTCATCATCACCACCCCGGCCATATCAAGCACCTAAATCTGCTCCTCCCATTTCAACATCTGAAAGAAAACTCCGCCGTCAGGGTGTTGATTTCCACTCTCATGTTATGTACGCGAAGGAGTTCAAGTTAGAAGATGCAGCAGATTTCGAACCGGATTACGCGTTCAGGCGCAGTTCTGATCATAACCCCAGTCATTCTTGTCCTGAGGTCCTTGCAGAGGACACTCAACAAGACACAGACTTGGACTCTGCGAGTGACTATTCGTATGAGGCAGAAGACATCGACAATGGTCCTGAAGCGGCATTCGATTGTTTGTTGGGCATTGGCGGGGACGGAATGGCCGCATATAGCAGTGATAGAACAAGGAGTTCCCGCGATCTCAATTCCTCCCCGGGTCTTCCTGAAAGTGATGTCTTTTCGCATCCGGTCGCAAAGGATAAGACTGAGTACCACCATGTTTCTTCGTCGGGCTCACGAACACGGCCAACCCTCCAAATCACCCTCCCTGTGATCCTTGAACCTAGTTTCCCATCTTCTCCTATGGATGGGAACCCCTACGCTTATCACTGTCAGGAGGAAAATGAACTGCAAACGCCCCTTTCCCACGATGGTCTACGAGCCCTGGACACTACCCCTTGGTACGATGACTTCTCACTGTATGAAGAGGATGAACCTCGGTCCGCCTTCGAATCCGATTCCGATAGTTGCAGTAACAACGAGATAAACAACTCTAACATTCGGAATCGCAGTGGACATCGCAAACATCCTGGCAAATTCAAACGAATCAAGGATGCACTCAAAGTGTCGGTGTCCATGCCTAGCATGAGGGTGAAGGCGAAGAACTTGAATGGGTCGCGGGAGGTTACTCCAAGTAGTCTTTTGAGCTCAAGCTCGTACTTCGCATCGGCATCTTCTCAGATGCATACCGATGCGCATACAGGCTCCCAAATCTCTATTCAAAGCTCATTCGGTAGTCCCAATCGGTCTATCCCATCCGTGTCTCCGTTCCTCGCAAATGCGCGTATTCGCACGTCAAGGACTACGTCGGGTGCATCGCTCAGCCCCTATACACCACCTGTCCAGTTGACACCATTGGCATGTTCCCCTCCGATACAACAGGTGGTCTTGGGCGGTGAATTAGAGCAGGGTGCTTCGTGTAAGACCGACACGGATAACCAAATAACTTCTACGCGATCGATTCCTAGGCCACTTCCCCTACCAAAGATCCCACTTCCTCCGCTCCCGTCGATTTCTACTCTATCTCATCTACACACTCTGGGGGGCATCTCTCCAAGTGCTTCGGAAACTCCTGGGATCGAAGCTTGTGACGATAATTCTAGAGGGACTGTAGCATTGCAAGCTCAGGATAGTAGGGTGACCATAATAGACCCGGACGAAAGTATGGTTCTGTTGGAGAAAAGCATAGCGAAGTTGAAGGCGTACCGACCTACGATGTCTCAAACGATGGTATCCTCGGATCGGACGATCGTTCCGCATGAAGAGCAAAGCTGCAAAATGGAGGCGGATTCAATGCGGCGCATTGAGGCTTTGGAAGGAATGGAGAAGCCGACGCTTGACATTCCACCATCGACTTTGCAACGACTGGATTTCTTAAATTTGTCTACTCCAGAACTTACACCTGCAGAAGATGTTCCTTCGAGTCGACCCAGCCCTTCACTCGAGTCAGCGACACTGCAAACGGAACGGAAGGACTACCCGCCGACCGAAACCGACGTTCGCCCTCCGTCATTCTTCATCCCTCCGTTCGATTTCGAGAAACACTATTCTTCATCCTCGACAAGGGACTCAACTTTGAATAGCGAGAAACCAATCGTGGCTCAGCATATACGAAAGTCGTCTTCACTTTTCGATATCAATTGCAGTACTATGTCTGTACGTTCGGATCGACTTTCCGCCGTCTCAAACACGTCTTCTCAAACATCCTGCACCTCCTCCGTTTCGGCATATTCACCAATGTCAGACGAATCATACTTTCAATCGTCGTCATCATCCGCGGCTACATCACCGTTGTATCCAAAGCGAACGTCTAGCCTACGCGCAAAGGACATCTTCGTTGACACGGAATCGATTTCGACCACGAGTGACAAGTCACAGAAAACGACTCCTCGCCCGTTTATCTACCGGCCTGTGAGGCAGGAGTGTCTGTCGAAGTCGAAACCCACTAGCGATGTGTATCTTACAAGACCGACACGAGACCGAGGCCATTCGCGTGGTATGCCTCTTTTACCGGAGGATGAGCAAGCTGTGATCCATGTTTCTGTTCAGCGAAATGAGGATCAGTGTCAGAATGTTCGTGAACGACAGTCGAAAATAAGGAAGTTGTTTGGTAGGGTTGGAAACAAGACCGAGAAAAATGAAAAGAGCGTGAAGGGTTTACGAGGCAGTTCTTCTATTCGCAATTGATTCATTCGGGTCGGTTTCTTTCATTGTTGACTCTCATTGCATTTTTTTTTGTTTCCTCATGGTTTTGTATCATCGTCAACACGATAATCATTGGTCTGTATATCATCTAGTAATTGTAGTAGTAGTACAGCATTTGAATTCAGATGTAGCCGATAATGGTAGCGCGATAGACCAATATTGTTCTTCAAGCGACAGGGTCGAAATACCATTTTTGATTGTGTCCTGGAGTTTGTTTCGGCCACGCGATGATCTGCAAAGGCAGTGAACAGAAAGTCAGCCAAATGACCATGAAACAACATACCGGCGTGTCATTCTCTGGATTATTGTAGTACAAATCCAGGACCAAATTTGGATCCGAGACAAGTTCAATGCTTTCAAAACAAGAATCGCGTATTAATATAAGATTGGGATCCGCGAAATGATGCGGAGTTAAAACCCACTTGTATAGATCATCCCCTGCCTTCTGAATGTGCCATTCAGCCACAAGATTGCCACCAAATGCATGGGTGCCGTGAAAAGGTACGCCGGGTTCGCGGAAGCCAACATACACATCAGGCTTGTTGTAGCTCATGATTCTGCAACCACCATAGACGGCCTGAACTATCCACTGAGGAGAAGAGAGAGGTGTAAAATCGGAAGAATAACAGTGAAATACACTCGACATGCCTTTTGGCCGTCGCCACCATTATACTGATAGTTGACGATCTCCCCAGTGTGAACACTATGTTTAAGAGAAATATGGTCATATTCATCATTGTGTTGGAAACATAGGACGTACTTGAGGTTGAGAGCTTTTCGCGAGGAATAGTTACGAATCACGTAAGTTCCCGGTGCAACATCACCTCGGTAATGCAGCAGCACGTCCTCCAAAATCCATTGCTGATTCAACCCGCCGCCTTCGGGGTAAAAGATGATCTGAGGACGCGGAACATAAGACACCGTGTTCAGAAAGGTGCGGCAAAGCACATACCGGAGTTCCATTCGCTACAAAGGACCCGTAGAGATCAAGCACAAGATTGTTTGGGTCGTTTGCTATGGCGAGCCTGAACAAGAAATAACGCTCAGTCTCCATAGCGGGAAGGAATAGTTGCATCACTGACTCAATTGCTTGTCCTCCAGACACTTCTTTGATTTGCCACTCGATGGCCTGGTCTGCATGAACCTTGTTTCCCGATGCTGGGGCAACGTTGGGAGGTGTACCAAGGTAAGCACCGTTCGTATTTGCATTTCTGATGGTGAAGTTATTGCCGACGGCCTCAAAAATCCACTAGAAATGTCATATGATATGTGATGACCACGTCAGATCGAGTGTCTGGCATACCTTCTGGCTCTCTTGGTCATTCGGCTGGTTGTTGACCACGAGACCACCGCTAGAAAGGCAAGGAAATATTATAGCAAAGGTAGGATTGAAAAGCAGAAGGACCCACTGTATTCCACCAGAGAGGTCAAGCATCATTCCGGACAAGACGTTGCGAATACGAAGGGTTAGAGGAGGGACAGGAGAGATGGCACCTTGATCAACGACGGTATCATTTGCCGTCTGCCGTTTGGCTGCCCTGGCGATGAATCCTACAGGCGTGTCCAAGCCCACAGGAACTTCCCTAGGTCCCCGGAGGACCTACAACGTTCATATGTAAACACGTCGAACTCGTTGGACAACAAAAGACGCACAGGCTTATCCCAATTATTCCTGCAAGCCTGCTCGAAACTGCTGAGCTGCATGTATATAGGTGTCCAGCCAGACCCCAATGTCCTTTTCAGATCGTCAAGGGTGATCATATACTTTGGATCGGTGAGCTTTATAGGTGCTTCACCGATGCTGAGGTGGAAGTCCGAGTCCTTATCCACCTGCTTGCCTTCAAGACGGGATTCATGACCCAAAAGGTGCTTTGTAGCTCCGGATTCGTTCCATGCATTATGAGGTTGATGTTGACCCCAATGCGCTGAAGGGGACCGTTGGCGGCTCGCTTCAATGAAAGGAAGGTCGACGGTAACAAAACTGCTGATTTCACTCTATCAACGAAGGGATGAGGGATGTCTTAAATGAAGATGCGGATAAAACACATACCGCCATCCAGAACAAGCTCAAATCGGCCAGCTCACTATTCGCGTAGCCTCCACCAACGTCTGAGTGGGCGCCGGAAAACCACCGCTGCCGGAGCCAATGATAAGTGGGGTCGCCAAGCAATCATTGTGCGAGGCTCACCTGCTTTAGTATCTGGTTAGGGGCCAATCCTCCTTCAGGAACGGTCCAAAGAGTGCACATGAAAGGCTTCCGGTTTTCCTGCAAAGATACTGCATGCAATGCGACTTCAATGTTGGGAGGCAGCGATGTGTCCTTGATACTGAGTGCATCTATAATGGGACTAAAGGTGCGTGACATGACGGAGCCCACGGTGTCCCAGACACCGACACATCTGAAAATTCAAATTATCGTCGAATTCCTGTTCCATCGGAGTCCGTTTGGGAATGTGGGTGCTTACTTAATAGGAATAGGTGTATCAGGCCAAGGAGGACCTGGTTGCTCGCCGTTGCTCAACTGGAGCCAATAGGTGAAGAACTTAGAGAGTTCCTCCCGGCCAAGTAGACCGATACGATTCTATGAGAACCGATGAACCAACGGCGAGGTGAAAGGGAGGGAGATGGAGCTCACAATCAATCCTGCGACCTTCCTTGCGGTGTAAGCTCCCCTATGGAACGCAAAGTTGACCCCTCAGTTAGTACAATGAAATTATCAGAAATACCTCGAGAATCTGCATGATCGCGGTTAAATTTGTTACGATTATCAAACAGAAATGTAAATACCCAAAGAGGCAAATTTCGTCTCCAGGCGCATAGTTCTGCGCGATAAAGCAATATGCATCGCGGATCTTGCTCGCTGTGACACAAGTAAGGTACCGGACTGATGTGCTGACAGTGAGAGGAAAACTGACCTACTGCAATCCCGTATGCCTCTGTCTCGATATGTCAATAGAGATGTGCGGATGACAACAAGCCAATGTATGCACGAAGAGTTTTATCCTCAGCAATGCCCTGACCATCGAAACCTGCGAGAGATCCTGTGCCACTTTGATAGAACGTGATCTGGGAAATGGTATCGTTGCTAGAAGGATGTCACATAGCCGTAGGAGTGCGACCGGTCTCGACAGTAGCTCACCCGACGACCCTTAACGGCGCGATAGCTCGAGCTAACGTTCGGACAATTAATCACGGTTAACACCAGAGCCAACAAAATGAACACTTACAGAGCCTAGTTACATTAGTAGGTACTTGCTGCGATCCTCCATCGTAGGGTTCATTACTGGGATCTATGACAAAAAATCAGCACGGCTACCGGGAGGACAGTATAACATGCACTGACCGCTGAGGAGACCGTCCATGCCGGTTCCGTCGCAAAATACAAGGAGAGATTTTTTATTAGCCATGATCTGTTACAAGCTCTCGAATAGGCTTGGAAAGACGATGCATGAATGAACAGGTTATATATCCTTCCACACCAAGACGCATGGCCTGCGAATTGGGTAAAATGACATCCAACTTGAGAATCAATGCACCACGCGGGTCGAGGCAGTCAACTGAAGAATGGAATATTTGTGATACCCTGGAATAATGAGACATTCGAGAAGTGAGCTGGCGTCAGTTACCAGATGCACAGTAACTCCTTCTCCAAAAACAACCATCGAGATTATCAGGCGGCGTCTCCTGATCTTGCGACCCAAGAGCCCAGTCCTTTTGGTTCCGAAGAGACTTCGAGATATGTCAATTTACACCACCTGTGCGGTTGCGGCATGTATCTGGTGATGAACCCGATTACCTAGAAATGAATAACCCCAATAATAGTACTGTGCGTGACCGGGGATAGAACATCATGGGACATGTCAGTAGATGGTAATCATAGATGGAGTATGACAAAGTGGAGAGGCTCCTGAAGTGATCTGGAACCTTACGCCAGAAGGTGCAGAAGATCGGAGTATACGTACATTTGAGAGGATGAAAGTGCCATTCCAATCGAGCCTGGTGGCATACTCAACCGCAGCCCCTTCGTCAATATCGTCAATGTGATACGTAATTGCTTCTGCTCTTGTATAATAAGTTCTGAGTATTCACACGCCGCATGGATAGGAATGGAGCTCAACGAAGAAGGTTCGTGTCAGCCTGTCTCTACTCCGAAGGCAACGCCCATTAGAAGCTTTCTATGCATACCGAGTATTACCGACAGCGGACGGTAATGATACCGATAGCATGCACTCCTTGCGTACTAGCAAGTTGAACCATATCAAGCAGAAAATACGGGTTACCAATTGCGGCCACGGTTACCTTTGGTCGATGACAGCCGCAAGTGAGAAAGAGTTGGACCTCTGGAAGGGAGGTTGTAGTCTGTAGCATTTGCAACGATAGCCGTCGGCTATCTAATCTATTGATCACACCAATGAATCTTATAGTGGTTGGGTTGAATTTCCATCATACGAAGTGACCACTAACCATGAGTTGCACTACGAGCGCGACCAGCTTTCCAGCGCCCAACATCCTGCCTGCTGGTGTCTTCATAGGCCCATCAGGTCGACCTATTATAGAGGAACTCTCCAAAGACGCTCGACCCCACCGCACCAAGTCTCCGAAGGTCCAGAATTTTGAGCGAGCCCCATCATGGCCCTCTGTACGAAGTCCCTTTGTGATACTACTCATAGCCAGTCTAACAAGGTGCTTGCAGCGGACTCGCTTTGATGAAGCAATGTTGCATCATCGAGTTAGGACGAGACAGCATCTGCATCTCGCTGAAGTGGTCAGAGATTCCATACGGGCGGAGTGGCACTTTGCGAAGAGACGTTGGATCGCCGCCAAGGCTCAGATGGATATCATCCATACCGAATTACGAGCTCTGGAGAATAAATTGGAAGACGCAGACGTGTATTTTGGCACAGAATGTCGCGCTTTGTTTGCAGAAGGAATAACCATCACATCTCCTTCTGAACAAGAGGAGTCAGTGGCCCGCCGATCGGGGTTCCCAGCAGCATGTTTAGAGGGAGAGGGAAAGGTTGAGCGTGAAACCAATCGGAAAGCTGTGGCGGAGATGCATACGTCTAGTGGAACCCGGGATGTTCGAGTCGATGCATCCCCAGACCACCATGTTCTGGATTCCATCAACATTGAGGAATCTTCTGTGGAGAGTGGTGAATGGAACCCCGTTCGCAAATGGGTTCAGTCTGTTGCACGCTCAGCACCGTTAGGCGTCGAAGGAGAGGTGGGTCATAAAGAGGTAGACAAGAGTCCGGCCCGGGACTTCCGATTGGCTGATGTCTAGCATCGTTGAGTTGGATCAGACAGGATCAGACGCCTTCACTGTGATGCTCACAACGTCCACTTTGAAGTTTGCGCTGCTTTTCCATCACCTGTATGTTACAAAACTAACACTGTCTTCGCTGCGGGTGTCTCGAAATGAAACTGAGAAGATTACATGTTTGAGGGCTTCGAGACCGCCAAAGAGGAAAAGCCTGGCTTGCTTGCTATCATTGAATTTGAGGTTTCGGAAATACTTTGACAGGAATCCAACATTGCAGCAAATCCACTAGGAGGCGGCGGAGGTATGTGCCGGCTATACCATACTCACCATACATGAGTGGTAGCATGTTCTATCGAGGTTCAGTGCTGCTGAATGTGTTGAATATCGTCGTTATTTGGAGAAGGAAGTTTTTTAAACAAGTCATAATTCGGGGAGACATGCTTCAATACGTAGGTTTGCTTTTCGACTTCCCACCTATATCAGCCCAAGATTGACGGCGTACCGTAATTATAGGTCATCCTCAACATAAAGTGACTAGATTGACCACTTTGCTCGTAATCGTTGTTATCCTCGTGGCAGCAGCGTGATTTCCTCGTGCCGTCTTGAACAACTCTCCCATAACTATGTTCGCAACTGTTTCTGTGTTTCATTTCCTCATCACTGCTACGGCTCCCCCTTCGTCAGGTACCGTCTCTCTCACTCCGATGTCTATACTCAATGCTAAGCTTGGAAATCTTTGCAGACAGACATTCCCTTCCCCTTGTTTTGTTCTGTCGGGCAAATCGATGGAAGATGTTCAGGCTTTAAGTCATCTCTTACACTCGTCAACCCTGGATGACCCTTCCATCACCAAGCTACCCAATGAAGTGCTCGAGCAAGTCTTTCTTCACCTCGAAACAGCATCATTCATGCTCAAAATTGATGGACACCTGGGATCAATTCGTGGCTTTCATTATGCCTCGTCCGTCATGATTGATATCAAGTCGCCATCCACTGTCCACATCTCTGGACAGAAATCACATATCTCTCTCGCCGCGTTCCCTCCGATGTCAGTGCAAATTTCATCCTTATCATCGGCGAGATGAAAAGCAGGGAGAAGGAACTCACGATCAATCCTGGATCTTTCTCGCGGCATAGGCACCTCCGTTGAACGGAAGATCATCTCTTAGTTACTGAAATAAAAGGCATTAGAGCTACCTTGAGAATCTGTGTGATCGCGGTGAAGATTTGAAAGAATTGTATAAGAAGGTAAGTCAGTACCCAAAGATGTAAATTTTGTCTCCAGTCGAGTAATCTTGCCCAATAAACAAGACGCATCGCGGATTTTGAGATGCGACTAAGATGCTGGAATGCTGCACGGGGTGACAACTGACCTATTGGAGCCCCGTATGCCTCTACAACACAACTTAATGTGTCAATGGACAGGTACGGGTGCAACAAGCCAGCCTACGCACGAAGAGATTTGTCCTCGACAATTTTCTAATCGTTGAAGCTACTAGTGAGGTTCTCTGTTCCGCTTTGGTAGAAAGTGATCTGGGGAATGACAATATTGCTAGATGGGTGTCATCTAACCACACGGGACGTAAGCCACAATATCGGCTCCTCACCCGACAACCCTGGAGGAGGGAATGGCTCGAGCTGAAATTCAAGGTCTATGAGCCACGCTCGCCAGTAGAACAAGGGTTTTGAATACATACAGAGCCTGTTTACATTTGTAGGTGCTTGTGGCGAACTCCCATCATGGGGCGCATTGTTAGGATCTGCGACAGGACATTAATACAGCGACCAGGAGGATAATATTGAATACACTAACCACCTAGGAGGCTGTCCATGCCGGTTTCATCACAGGACACAAGGAGAGACTTTTTGTTAATCACGATTCGTTGCAAGTTGTCGGATGCGTTTGAAAGGCCACACACGAGCGAACAGGTTATATATAGTTCTGGGTGCATGACCTGTGTGAAATGGGTAAGCAGACATCCAACCTAAGAATCAACGTATCGTGCTGATTAATGTGGTCACCGAGATTCCTCTGTGACATACTAGGACTTCTGATCTGTCTGGTCGACGACAAAAAGGATATGCGAGCATCTTTCATGGAGTCCTCCGGTAGACTCCCGGACTGGTCCAGGAAAGCCAGTGCCCATGTCAGATAGTACATACGTGATCGAAAATCTGATGTTCTCGCTGCAGCAGTGGACTTGTGCGGAGCAATAGAAATCCATTGATTACCAATATTACATATGAACCTTCCATAAAACAATGCCGGAAATGAGAAAAATAGCATGAGGATCCACAAGAGCAAGGCAGCAATTCGGGAGAGCAAAGCGACCAACGAAAGCAACCAGTGTCAAACCCAGAACAGTATAGCAAGCTTTTAGTCACCAAGGTCGACAGCAGGTCCAACAGATATCTTCATCTTCTTGATAGTTCGGGTAGTAGTGTTACCTAAGTCGGACTTGCGTTTCATAGCAGAAGTAGGCTGAGTATTAACAGGCACAGGAAGAATCTGAGTTTCGTCTTGGGTTTGGGTACCATCTTGTTTTCCTGCACTGGAATGAGGGGCTTCGTCCTGAGTCTGATCCATGTTCTCGTCATGGTCATGTTGGCTATTTGATCTAGTGGGCAGAACATCAGCATTGATTGCAGCACGAACCTGAATGCATACGAATCCATGTCTATGTCGATCTCTCTCGCATGCTTGCTATGGCCTTTGCGAGCCGGTTTCTGCTGTGATGTTATGAAGATGAAATGCAATGCTGTGGGCAGAAAACAAACCAAATCAGCGAGGCCAAGAATAGTCCTCTCTACCTCTGGCGTCGGAGTAAAGTAGTCACAGAACTCTTTGTTCTTTTGCATTGAATACTCAAAAACGTATTTGGACCTCTGCATCGTCTTGCCTCTGAGTGCCTTTTTGGGCTTTGCACCCCTTCCTTTGGCGCGTGTCCTTCGCATAGTCGTTTCCATGAAACCTGAATCTTCCTCCTGAACGAACTGCTGCACAATAAAGCCTACGGGACACGTAAAGGTGAGTGAAGTGACGCAACGTTCCACAGCGGTGATATTCACCCTCCGCCTCAAGCCGCTTGAACAATTGTCCAGCGACGATGGATTCACAACCTATACAATTCTAGTCAGACCCTCAACAGCTTGCATGCAAACTCACCGATCAACTTGGAGAAGGCGGAAAGCCCGTTGGGGTTGATTTTCTCATAGACTTTGATTGCTCGCCTGTATGAGTGGTGTGAGCTGCTAAACCATTATTTCCGGCATACAGGCAGATACCTGAACAATGCGAGGTCTCTGAACCTCTCCATCATACGAGGATAAAGATCGTGAACCATGATGAGATCCCAATTCTGGTCTGCGCGTACTCGGCAATCGAAACACACAAAAGTCAACGGCATGTTCTTGTCATGAGCATTGTGGTAACCCATACACCTGGAAGAGAGAGTCAAAAGGTTCTACTCATCGCGAGCTCCGTGTTGCAACGTACCATACGTGAAACCACCTCCTGCATCCGCCATCACAAGATATTGAATCACAATCCTCTGCCTGATAGCATAATCCTGTGAACGATATGCACATGATAGAGCGAAAACCGTTACCGTCACTCCACATTCGCATTCTATGATATCAGAAACTTCACGCTCCATAGCAACATCTCTAGTTGTAGTTGTACCAGTCTGAGTATCGGGATTGATACTGGAGAAAGACTGGAGGGAATCATCCTGAGAGATAGGCAGAGGAACGTCAATCTGTGTCTCCATATCTGTTCACAAAGTCGTTAGGAATTGATGATGCCAACAGTTCGGTAAGTCGCGTACTCAACATCATCTCTTCCGAGTCCTCCAGTCCCCTTCGTCCAATTAAGAGTTCCTTCAAGTCTTGAGTTTCCATGGTTTCCTGGTCCGGATAGCTGGATACGCTTGGGATGGATGCAGCATCGACATCGGATGAAGGCAACGGCGATTCAGGCGTCACCCTGGACCTGGTGGACATTCGATGTCTAGCTGGGCGCGGGGTTGGAGTATGAGGTGGCGAAGGAGAGCGCGAACGATGAGGAGAAGGCGGACGGGCAGCTTCGCTAACCAGCTGCGTTTGTGCGATTTGCTGGGTTTCTGCTAGGCTTCCTGGGGGCGGGACAGAGCTCACCTACAGCACAGGTTCACCAGATATTCCGACATAAATGACAAGCTGACCTACCAGTTCCCCTACACGCGTCGGCACATTCTCTTTGGCGCCAACATAATGCGCGTCTGCTAGGCTCTCCGGAATATTCTTTCCAGAGGTTTTCGCGGGTGCCGGTAATGGAACTATGCTTCCATCGCTGTTGCGCAGGCCCATCGGAATAACCAACTCCAATCCGGCTTTACCCATCCGCCATGTCTCAAGGACCTGGCTTGGACTCCCTGAAAGATATAAGACGAAGTAAATGACCATTCCATCGCGAAGAAGATCAAAAGAGGCTTACCGGAATCATCTGAGTCATCATCGTATTCACCGTCAGCGTCGCCCATGCCATCTTCTGCGTCCCAAACAACTCGTCGTTCATTTGCATCCTTCTTTTGGATTTCTACCTGTTGGGCACGAGTAACAGCCTCCTCCGTCGGGGTCAAGGGTGGAGGTAAAGGTCCGTTGCCGGAAGTCGTTCCCAAGAAAGGTGCATTGTTGTCTTCAAGTGAAGGGAGGTAACCTGAGACGGAAGCGACTCGGACGTCAACGCCATGCCAACCGGTCTGCACCTGCCCTATACTACACTTCTCGGGAACCTCCTGTTGGCCATGCGTCGTGAAGAACCACTTGTCTTTATCCAAATCCCCAGCGCGGAAGTGTGGAGGCTCATAATCGTCAGGCGTGTGATCGTAGTAGAACAACTTGAACGTTGCATAACGGCGCTCTAAGACGTACGACGTCTGTCAGTGAATAAGAAAGATACTGATCGATGCCACACGCACTTGGAAGAGCATCCATTTGAGTAGTTGCTTGGATCAGATTCTTGATTAAGGACTGCAAAGGATCAACAAACGTTTGGGCAAAGTTGCCATGTACATACCTTCAAACTTCTCTTTACCTCGCCCAATGTAGGTATCTTGCCTTTCTTCGAGGCATCCGCTACGGGGTCGGCCTTCTTGCCGGAGAGTGACAGCTTCATGAGATCATCTCCAAGAGACATCACCGGGACGACGCTTGTTGTCCCAGGAATAGCGTGATACTATTACATTCGACCGTAAGGCGAACAGTAGGATTTCTCAAGGTCTAAAGGACTTACATGAAAGTTGAAGGTATATGCCTCAACGATGCTGATGGAGCGCCACGGAGTTGTCGTAAATCAAATACCACAAGGAGAGAGGCATATACGCACTTATTCGGATCATCGCCATCCTACAGAGAGTAGTTTAGTGACACGCGAGGCATTCCAAGCAACCAAACGTACCAGATAGATGGCAAAGATGAAGCTACGTAAGTATTGCTTCTGTAAAGCGTCAAAAATGCCATTCTCCTAATGAGAAGTCAGAAAAATGCTGCCATGTGAGCACATATATGCAGCCTTATGTGGTACATGCCATAAATTCCAATAGTTTGTCGGCTTCCTCAGTGTAACCTCGTGTGACGGTCATGATCTTGAAACCGCTAACACTTCTGCGCCCGCAATCAGATGCAAAAGAGCCAACAGAGCCAGAAGGTTGAGACGATAGCGAATTGGTATTGGCCGAAGTCAGATAACCTAAAGAGCCACGCATATAGTCAGTGTTCTGTGGTTCGGTATGCCCACAAACATACTTTCAGAAAAGTTGTCAGCTGGAAGAAGGTTCCTAGAGAGAATTCAGTTGGTGCTGAAAATGTGAGAAACGTGCAATTACCGAAGGTAAGTGATGCAACCGAGACCGGCCCTCAGCAGCGTTTGGATAGACTGTAAGCTCTGTTGAGCAGTCAAGACATCCTAAGTAATCCATATGTAAGGAGTAGAGTTAGGCGAGTCAACAATCTAAATCACCTGGTTAGTCTCTATTCTCAGTGCCTGTGCTTGCATATTGAAGGTTCGTAGGACGCAAGAAGATGGAACGAGGTCAAGCAGGGTCAAGCATGTCTGGCTTGGATAGCGCTCGATCATGCTGGAGTCCAAGCGGAGATCGTAATTCAACGTGCTGGAGACGCGACGAGACGCGTCGTGTCCACGTGAAAGCCATCCTTGTGGTCGACGAATGTTATGGCTATCTTCGGCCTTTGGGTATGTTGTCTCTGGTTATTTTCTCGAAGTGAACAGCACTTATATAGTACGATAGGTGATTAACAAAGCTGGTGGACTGGTCTATGAACGAAACTTTGGGGGTATGAGGCCTCTTTACTAGCTCATGCATATTCGCAATTACGAGTGTTATTTTAGATGGACTACCTCGTTTGACTTCGAACGAGTATTTGGTTCTCGCAGGAACATTGCATGGTATCCATGCAATTACCAGCCGACTGTCTCCTATAGGCCCTAGCTCCGGTGCGCAGGTCATCGAAGGAGAGACGTTCAAGATGACCATCCTTCTCACAGCAACAGGTAACCCACTTAACATTGTTTGCTGCAATCCTCCTTTGACCGTGTAATAGGAACGAAGTTTGTCCTTCTGACGTCGCTGGCCGAGTCTACAGCCGATGTTGTTCTGCAGAAGGTGTACGAAGTATATGCGGATGCTGTCATGAAGAACCCATTTCATACGCCAGAGATGCCCATCCGTAGCGAGGGATTCGACAGACGTATCACAGCTCTACTTGGTTGACAATGCAAACTCATTATGCAAATATTAGATCTCAATTGCATGCCGTCGCAAGACGATGTTATTTATGTTTGTCTGTTGGCAACGTCCCATAATATGTAGAATAAGTTATGATACAAATGTACCAGTGTCAAATTTCCGAACTCGCATTTCCACTCTACTAGGCACTGTCATTAGTTCAAGCGCCCTATGGATAAAACTAACCAACTTACAAGTTCTGCGCTGGATCGTTGAAAGGCTGGCGCATCCCGCGTCGAATGCGCCACGTCAGGCAGCAATCCCAAGTATTCCGACATGAATATTCGAAGTATCAGATTCCATCGACGCATTGTCGGTATATCCAACGCGGTAGCGTCATCCTGAGTAAGGAATGAGATCAGGGAAAGTAGTTTAGCATAGACAAGGAGAATGAGTACCTTAAGTGTATGCCAAACTCTAGGGAAAGGGTTCGATATAACATGCAATACGCTCACGCCTAACTTAAGGAATGGTACATGGTCATCTCCAATGCCACCGTAGTTATGTTCATTCGCCGCCCGCGGGAGAAAGAAACTAGACCAATGGTCTTTAGTAGTTGCCTGATCTCCGTCGTAGGTGAGTGCACCCGACTCCACCAGACGACGTTCGGCAGAGGCCATGGCGTCAAACAGCCATGCTGTGTCGAGAAATGAGGATCGAATTAACGGATGTGGGGCGCCTAGGAGGTCAAGAAGGATGAGGTGCTCTATGGTTGCGATCTCCGTCGCGTGAGAGGTCAGAAGTAGTCTACGTTTGGCGTTTGGAGGAATGTACGTCGACGCCCATTTCTGTGCAAGATGTCTGTATGTATATCTAGTCTCAGTAACCGAAATATAGATTAAGCCACTTACCGTGCGCCATAAATTGAGTCAGTATTCGTCCAATCCTTGAAGGCTTCCTCTCCATCAAAGAATACAAGCTGCAGAGTTGTCTCAGCAACGTCTTCATCATCCTCTTCGCCGTCCTCTAATCGCTGCTTCCGCTTATCTAACAGAGGGTTCAAAGTCTCCGCAAGATCGAGCAGAAAAGCACATGGTGCAGCAGAGTCTGTTGCTCCTACAAACTACTGCCCTTAACATTCTGAAGCAATACAGTCAAAATGCATAAAACGCATACCTGATTCTCAGGATAACTTGAGAAATATTTACTGTCAAAGTGTGCGGAAAGTATAACACGACGCGGAGCAGTCGGATCCTTGGTTGCAATCACATTCGTGAAACGTTTTGTACCGTATGGAGTGGTGTCATTGAAAGCGTCCTCCTCAATATACCAGTCAAGCTTCTTGAGAGTAGAAATGATATATTGTCGAACAAGGGTATTGTTTTCCGTATCAGCAGGCCGAGGTATCAGTACCTTCGAGAGGTGTGATGATGGATTATTGGGGTCTATATTTCGTACGGGGTCTGGATGATTGACAAGAGATGCAATGGCATCAGAAGAAAGCGCCTTGAATTCCCTCTTCCCGAGCGTCGACGCTGAGAGACAGGTCCAAGAAAGGTTAAGAATAAAGCAAATCAGAAGTATTGGCACAGCGGGTCCATATGTTCGTTGTCGTCCCTGCCATGGTAGCCAAACCGGCAGTGAACTCGACATCGTGTCGGTAGACGAGGAGGGAGGCGCTCGTGCATCGGACGTGTTATGCCACGTGGAACCTGATCGCGGCGATCGAGTGATCGAGAGAATGGGAACGTTTTGATTTGTCACAGACTCACAGCTCCCAAGAGTCACTTTCGCAGTTTCTCCCTTGCTATGGCTTTCTCGGGGGCTCTTGTACGTTGTTTCTGTATAGCAATTCTGTTTTGAGAACTCATAGTGGACTCCAGACGTTGACGGACTTGAACGACTTCATTACCCCTTCTCAAGCATGTATAAAGCCTGTGGATCAGACCAACAAGGCGGAACCTAAGGATCCTGGCGCAGCCTCTGTAAGTTCTGCTCTCAATGTCCGCCATCTATTCAATTCTGAATATCGAGCTCTACCAGACTGAAATTCTGGTCGACTCGGCGGGGTCCTACTATGAAGTATCCGCCGACAGTTTGAAGACGAATACCGCCTCTCAGAAGAAACTGGAGACCGCTGAAGTCAGTCTGAACGATTGTTTGGCTTGTAGGCAAGTTAATTGGGGTTCTGTTCAATGATATCATCTGACACGTCATATATAGCGGTTGCATTACATCCGCAGAATCAGTCTTGATTACTCTTCAGTCACACACTGAAGTACTCAACTTCCTCGCTCAGAACCCATCTCGACCCGATCCCTCACACAAGATACCCATTGTGTCCGTCGCGCCTCAATCGCTTGCTTCTCTCGCGGCCTCGATATCCTCAACAAGTACTGCTACTCCTGTGACATTGCACCAAGTACTCCGGCGGGTGCAGGCATTCTGTGAGACTGTGCTCGGCTTCGAGCACGTATTCGATACGACATTCGCTCGACATATTGCGCTACTTGAACATGCACGCGAGTTCCAAGAACGCAAGAAAGGAGAGGGCGCATTACCTATGCTCTCAAGCGCATGTCCGGGTTGGGTCTGTTACGCAGAAAAGACTCACGCCGAAATGCTTCCTTTCATAAGCCGTACGAAAAGCCCTCAACAGGTCATGGGAACTCTAGTAAAACAATGGTTACGTCGCAAATGGGGAAAACGGTATGTCTTCGGCTTATTTTATCCGCTCCAACGAATCTGATTAATTTGTATTGGTAGTCCTAATCAGATATATCACGTCTCGGTCATGCCGTGCTACGACAAGAAACTTGAAGCCTCAAGGCACGATTTCTACAACGAGGCATATAGTACTAGAGACGTCGACTGCGTCATAACTACCGGGGAGCTTGAACGTATGATGCGCGAGAAAGGATGGAACTTATCGATCCCCGTGACAGGTGAGGACGACCTTGGTATCCGTACGAACGGCACGGGTTCCTCCCCTTCGCTATCTTCCCTTACACTGGAGGAATGCGATCAGAACCTCGATACTATAATCCCGGAATTGATAACACACCCGGGTACAAGTTCCGGATCTTATCTTCACTCGTTGATCGTCATGCTCATGGGCACCTCGGACGATCTTGAGTTGAATGTCCGAAACATTCGTTCCGCAGATTACGAGGAATACACCCTCACCCACCGTCTTTCGAGAGAAATCGTTTTTCGAGGAGCCAAATGCTATGGCTTCCGAAACCTTCAGAACGTCGTGAGAAAAGTCGGTCGGGACGCTGGCGTTCAAGTCGGAAGAGGCGCAGCGGGCAGGCTTGGGGGTCTTCGAGGAAAGGGTGTCAGGACTCGTAAGAATGCAGGCGGCGATGCAGCTGGTACGCCAGAAAAGGGTTATGATTACGTCGAAGTGATGGCTTGCCCCGGTGGATGTGCGAATGGTGGAGGACAAATTCGACCGCCTGTCCGTTCAAATGTTGACGAAGAAGGTTACAAGCGAGACTGGGAGTCGAGCGGCGTCGCGATGGATGTAGACTTGCCGATCCAAGGACAAAGTGCTAAGTGGGGCGACCGAGAATGGACGAAGAAAGTAGAAGAGATGTATTGGCATGGTCTTCCGACTCCCCCTCCATCTCCTACCTTAGACCATGGCAACTTGCGGATAGGTACCGATGCCAAACGACATTTCGCGGATTTACTTGCACTGGAGGTCCTCAAGGAGACGTGCAACCCAGCGGTTTCCATTGATGATATGGTATGGACTTCGTCTATGAACGAAGAAGCAGAGGCAAAGCGAAGGACGCTTTTTAGGACTCAGTATAGAGCTGTAGAGAGCGAGGTTGTTGGTCTCGCGGTAAAATGGTAAATATGATATGTGGAAAGTTCATCCATGTATCGGTAGCAGATATATAGACATAATACAGTTGAATTATTTGTGCAACTATTACGGCCGACGCATGGATTTTATACTCTATTATTGGATTCAAACATGAGCTAGCATGTGGAGAAGAGCATCAGATGTGTCAAAAGCAGCAATAAGCAAGAGCGAGTTCAACACAGCAAATAAAAAGACGACGATGCGATGGTGTAGAAGTACAGACGGAATTCTTGAGAGGATTAGATATAAATAATGAGTTATGAGCAGTCGAGAAAGAGAAACCGTGATGTGATGCGAATGACGATGTTACCGTCCGCGACCACGACCAGCTCCGACTTTCCAATAAGCATGACATTCATCGCAGAACTCGCTCGTCCTAGCGGTTATCGTTTCAGAAGCATCCGGGCCGTAATACTAAAACAAGATGCCCTCCGTTCAGATGGCTAAATATGTGCGGAAAGAGAAGTTGACTTACATGATCGTGCATGCAGCCATGACAGGGATTACGATGCGCTCGCGAGAGGGCGCAATATGGATTGTTGCAGTCAATTTTAGAGACTTTTCTGGTCTAATGGGAAGGGTCAGCAAGCTTGTAAATGACTCGAAAGACCATCTTGGAGCATACAATAACATAGTGCTGAAACAGAGAAAATGACGTCAGAATCAAGAATCCGTGTTTTGAGGTGGAAAGAATCTGCTTACACCGCATCCGTATTTGGTCCCCTCACTGACAAACAACATCAACCTCGGGACTTCGTGAGAGGATAACGTAACTCACGTATGAAGGTTGCACATGGCTGATGAAAAGTCTAAAAGGTAAACGGAGACGATCAGTCTTTAGTAGTCGGAATGGAAGAAATTGGATATAGACATACGACAGAAGGCTGAATACAAAGGTGAGGATAGGTTGTGGGTGCCAGGAGGTGCGGCGCGGTGCGCCCCGACAAGGTCAAATGACAGATGCGGGAGCAGAAAGTTGGAAACACAGGGGTTGGTACGATCTTATTAAAAGAGGGACGCCTTTATATACTAGCAATCGGTTGGAGAATACTAGAATGGATGACGAGGATGATGCAGGATGTCGATGAGGCCTTGAGGCTTGGATGAAAGGCAGGGAGTCACAGGACTTGCAGGATACGAACGTGCCGATCCGGGATGCGATAGATAACAATCAGCGCAAGGGGGATGAAGTTGAAGCAGTTCGCAGATGGTAAAGAGATGATGACGCAAAATCCGGTTGGCAAGGGGAGGACGGAGTGAAAGATTGAAGCGATAGGTAAGAGCGTCCCGAGGCCAATTAGAGTGCTTTATTTTGAATGGATTGTGGTTAGCTTGGCTTCGTGCCGTGCATGAGGTCGGATGAAGAGAATGCGTTGTTCGTGGTAAGTCCGAAAGAGAACCTTTCACATGGGGACTGCAGTGGCACAGCACAGGGGGTTCGGGCGATCAGCTTCACAGCCTCGGAGAGTGTTCCACTAGTCCCGAATGTCGTACAGTCTGAAAATCGTATCATGACCGCATGTCGAGAACAATAAAAACAAGGTCATTGCTACCAGCAACGGCCAACGTAATAGCACCGCGCGCAGTCGTATTTTCCAACAAACGAGTGCATCTGTATCATAGAACAGAGAACAGCTGAGGATGCCTACGGAGCGCCCAACGACGGAACCCATGTGCCAGCATTGTCTCTTGTTTGGCTCGAGGGTTGTCGGCATTCACCGGCATGCTACTCACCGCCAGGGCTGGCGGCGGCGGCGGCAAATGGCTTCTTCCTCGTCGAGCTCGTCGTCGCCAACAACACGCTCAAGGACCCTTCTCTACATATCCTACAGGGACTCCCGCGCAAGTTCATCCCGCTTTCGACGTCGCACACGGCTGTTGGCTAGCTATGATGACTCAACCCATGATGGAGACGAGCAGGACCGTCTCATTGATTCCGACGCCGGGCACATATCTATTGACGCAGACCTACCACCTAAATGGTGCATACAACGTGTCTCGCTTGGTCATATTATGCTGATAGTAATGTTCATAGGGTTGACATCGCCGAAGAGATTGAAGAAATACTAGGTGGTGTCCAGACGAAAAGTAGGTTCGGCGCGTCCGCTCAAGATTTTCCCTGTTGCTGGAATTCAACTCATGAAAGCATTTTTTCTCTCATTCAGTTGCTACGCTTGACAAATTGCATGCGAAGCATGTTTTACCCGGATTCTCGGACCGGAGCGCTGAAGAGCGGGAAATTGAAGCCTCTACGACTGACATAACGAAGGTATGTTCCATCCTGACGCTTTGCTATCTCGCGCGCGATCACCGTGGCGGTATGTCACTTCTTATGAACAAACGTTCTCTATTGTTTAGGACTTCCGACGATGTCATTCGTTGATTCAGCGGATCCAAGTTACGCCTGACCATTCATTTCCTCCGACCAATGAATCCCGCAATGAGGCATTGGCTGCCAAGAATGTGCAACGAGGACTTGCAGCCAAGGTTCAGGAACTTTCAGCCACTTTCAGAAAGAAGCAACGAATATACATGGAAAGTAAGTTGAATCGTCTACCTTGTTCGTCCAATCCAGCCTGGTGCCTGTTTGGATGGTGTCAATTGATCGTCAATGATTTACTCACGTTCCACTCTTTCTGCGTAAAGAACTCCAGGGACATGCGATCAAGAATCAGGACTTGCTCATAGCCTCGGGCACTATATCTTTGAAAGGGTCAGATGGACTGTCTGCAGTGGATGAAGATGTGGAAGCAGCACATGCTGTGAGTAGTCACACCAATCGGCGGAGTCTATTCAGGATCGTCTCATGCTCAAATTTGCTTACGTCGAATACCTCTGTCTTTAGTCACGCAGCCAGGCCATCTCTCAAGATCTCTTGGTGCCTGATCAGGACCTCCGTGCGCGGGATCGCGAGTTGACGGAAATCGCGAAGTCTATCGCCTCCTTAGCAGAACTCTTTAAGGACCTTTCTGTAATGGTCATCGACCAAGGGACTCTACTCGACAGTGTAGAGTACAACATTGAGCAGACGGCTGTGCAGGTCCAAGACGCAGTGAAAGAACTAGACATGGCAACTCAGTGCGTCCTTTACACCTTCCCTCATGTCACAATCCCTTCTTATCAATTCTGATCTCTCCTTTCTCCTTTCTTCCGTGTTTCTAGATATCAGAAGAATACTGGAAGACGGAAGTGTATCTTCCTACTCCTGCTGATCATCTTCGGTCTCATTCTAGTACTCATTTTCAAACCTCGACGACATCACACTTCCTCCCCTTCTGCACCTTCTGTGGGGTCCTCAGATTCTATGACTTCAGCTCTGATGTCATCTTCAGCATCTGTTTCTGCCGATTCGGCAGCGATGGTACGGCGTATTCTGCGTAGACAGCCCTCTGGATGAGAGCATTCTTATAGGAAATCATATATATACCCAATTGTATCTCGTTGGATAATACTATTCTAGACATCTCTATGTTTTGCCACAAGCATGCTACTCGACGATCAGCGCTCAACCAGGATTCTCGTCGTGTCTGCCAGAGGCGGGCCCTGTGTGGCACAGTCCTTCGGCTGCAGGCTATCGCCGGAATCCTCTTTATTGCCTCTCGGAACGAGAGCGACTGTCAAGGTCCTCACATGGGTCAGACAACGTGTTCACTAAGTTGACATACTTGATGAAGCAGTCACTTGGCAGAACGGACCTTCCTGCAAGCAGATTCAGATTCGATGATCATTTCCCAGTGGAAATCGTAGCTTGCAATGCTTAATGTTACGGAACGTAACGGTTAAACAGATACATCGACAATGATGGTCGGACTTTTAGCTATAGAAAATACATTACTTGGTGAAACGCAATAGTTGAGCGATTCTAGGGATAAACAACAAGGGTATCATGGAATGCCACACTTAGTAGTGAGGCGTTGAGTAATATAAGTGGGCCCCAATGCTGGTTACAAGGACTTAAACATGAGATGGCAAGCCTGCAGGGCGGGAAAAAAAACAGGAGGGAAGGGTATCATCGGCGCTGTTGATTGCTTGTGAGGCAGTACCTTAATCAAAGGAGGAGGCGAATGGGCTTACCTGTTTTTTCGTGACGAAATTGTCAGAAGGTGGCGCGTCATCCATCGCAGGGCGGGTTCTCTTCCTCGATCCACCTGTAACGGCAACAACCAGTGTGGCCGTTGGCCCATCTGAGGGAGCGTTTTCTTTCTCATTTGGAGATGGCTTAGACTCTACATCAATCTTTGGCAAGATTTTGATTTGAGCGTTCCAGGAAACGTCCTGAAGCAGTTTTGGAGGAACATAGATGAGTCCTCGTGGGGCACCCTTAATGCCGTAAATCGACTTCATATGTCGAAGGGTTATCGGTTTCCTAAGCTTATACACGCTCCTTATGCGATAGGCATAGTCGTATCCCTTCCAGTCAGGATGTCTCTACCGTACATCAGACATTTGGACATGAGTGCGGGATCGATAACAGAAACACACATTATTAAATTCGGCATTGCCTAATCCATTTTCAATAAGCTTATCGTCTCCTTTATTTCTTGTCCTCGCAGAGTCGATCTCACACACGTAGGCGATATGGGAGAGGGGGGCGTTCAGATAGAACCACACTCGGCAGACCGTCGACGCGATGCGGTACCGGCGAAACTCGTAGTTCTTTTCTCCCCGCACGATCTGCTGCATGTAGTCATTTGTCATAGGAAGAACGGCATCGGTGCGAGGACTCGATAAAGTAGACATAGTGGGAAGCGAAAATCTCGATATCTTGTTCTCCAGTCACTGAATACTATAGTCGAACAGCAAGACGGGGGCGATTGATCGTTGGCTTCCGAATTGGGACATGCTGTCTATATATAGCAACGACCTCTTAAGTGGCGCATTCTTGAACGTCGCCAACGACTCGGACATCTGGCAATTGTCAGACTACGCTGGTGCTAAACTGATAGGACCACCCCTCAGACGCATCAAGCGGTAGATATTTCCCATATCTTAGTAAATTACGTGCAATGGTGACCCTTGAAAATTTCCTCATTGGCACCTTGTATGCCTACGTGACTCGCAATGGTCAAATTTCGTGTAGGTGCTGTGGTCTCGGCACCTCGAAGGCAGCCCTCGCTCTTTATTCCGTGTGCTTGTCCTATGCTCATAACCTCCTTGTCAAATGCTGACTGATCGCACAGTTAGCATGTCCCAAGGACGAAGGTGCATATGCATATTTGTGTCCTTCTGCCAACTTACACATCCTTCTTCCAAGGATGCGTGCGTTTATCTAATGAAGATATACTTGTATCAAAGAGCCTATTCCCCCTATATAAGTAACTATGGATTTGATGTCCTCTCCAGCATAGTAGCTGGAGTTCATATCCTTCTGCAGAAATAATTTTAACCAAGGCTCGTTGTCCTTACTACATACCACTCAATGAATATAGCTAATTAATTTTATCCATTGTAGCTCATGCGCTACTTTGCTAAGCGAGCTTCTCAGGTCAGCACCATTCTGTCCACCCCCCAGTGTGCATATGAATTGCCAAAGGCTTCTCTTGGCGCCATATCTCACCAATCGTGTCCTAAATCATACAACAGGTGAACATTCTCATGATGCCCTATGACCGTGTCTCATCACGGCCTCGGCAGAGGTTCCCGTTCAAAGATGATCATCCTCAATATGCGAAACTGCTCAAAGGCGGTCAAGGTTTGAAAGTGATCACATTATCTGGCCCAACAGCTCCCTGCATTTCGGCACGCTCTTCTCCACGGCCATGACTTCTCGTTTGCCTCATCATCCGGCGAAAGAGGGACCGCGGCGATACGTGAAGCATTCCGTCCCCTTTCTAGCATATAGCGCAAACATGAAATCAAGTTAGGTGCAATTCATCTTACTTCCAGGCTCAACAAGTTGTGAATGTAACCCATATGTAAAAGGTGGTTTGCACAATTCTAGGTCCTCGTAACGTAAACTCTATGCATAACGCTTCTGTAAAAATTCGTGTATTTTGCGTTCCATATTTGCGTTTGTCGGTGTCGCGTATGTTTTCAACTTACTGTACATACAGTGATCATCATGCATGGTTATCGTCACGTCCAGAACGCCGGCATATAATTCTCCCGCTTGTTTCCCGCACCGTAGTAATGAGCGCTCAATGTCGAGAAAACGGTTAAGCTCGGTTCAGTTACTGGATTTCCTGAACAAGACTGGCTGTCTCTACTGTTCCTCTTTCCCTCCATCCCGCACAGACTATCCCTCCTCACGGGTTGAGCCAGTCTATTCCAAGCAAATGCTGATTATCTGTTAGGTTTGCTCTCATTCTGTGTGGTTGCTTCTCAGCACCGGTACCAGTCCACTCGTTTTTCGCAACCCAAATCGGCTCAGAACATCTGAAACTACGCCGCACGTCAACAGCAGGGGATAGCGGCACGCGTTCAGATTCGTGATGTCGTATCCAACCTTTCCTGAAGATGTCACTTCTCAACACGGCCACGGGGATTCCTTTTCTTTGCACTCAGCTTCCCCACTTCGCCGTAATCAGAACCCTTCCTCATATCCACCACTACCTTCACAATCGCCTAGTTCTGGAAGTCAAGAACACTTTGTAAGGCACGTTGCAATGCCAGACGAAGATGCACCGCGGTCGTTCGATAGCTATGATACTGAACGCGCTGAGGCAAAGATCTACGCTGGTGGAGCTGGAATGCCACAACCCATGAGCCATGGTTCTCACAGACAGTCTCATTTACACCATCCTTCTGGCAGCAGGACTGGTAGCTGGGACCTTCTTGCTGGTATCAGGAAGTTTGAACATTCGTATGAAGAGTTCGATTCGAGGAACGCGAGTGAATCTCATCTAACTTTCGCCGATGGAGATATGCCTCGAAATAAGGTATGGAATACTGACCGTAGTATGTCATTTATCAACCTGATGATATTTTCAACGTATAGTTCTCTCGGTTCTATCACTATCTGCTGAATGTATCGATCGTAACACGCTGGTTCTTGTTCATCGTACCTGTATTGGCCATTCTTTGGATTCCCGGTATTCTTGGATTGACTACGTTCCCTAAAACTACGGTATGTCAGCTCGACCTACAGACAAGTTCCATCACGTCAATTGCTTCTTCAGATCTGGGGTGTTAGATTGCTGTTTTGGAGTATCTGGCTCAGTGTTGCCTGGGTCGGTTGGTGGGCTTCTCTTGCCACGGCGTAAGTGCCCTCTCGGCGAGGCAGTGATAATCTATTGATTACCACTACAGGATGATGTTACCTCGGCTTGCCCGGTATACACTTGGCGTTGTTGCCGTTGCATCCAGACGATACATCGACTGGTTGGACGTCCTTCACAGGCAAGTATCCTTAGAATTGTGCAGCTGAGTGCTAAACTGATTCATCATAGATATGTTGCACTTTTAGGTTGGACGTTCACTATTTGGGTTTCCTTTCAGCCGGTCATCAATACTCGTCAGGAGGCCAACGCCAGTGATAGTAGTGTTTCAATCATCAACACTATCGCCAAGTTGCTGTTCGCGTTCTTCCTCTGTGCTGCTGTGCTTGCATTCGAGAAGTTTTCTATTCAGTGGATTGCTGGCAAATTCCATGAGCGCTCCTATGCTGGTACGTCGACCCCACATGAAAATACTACTAAGAACATTTTATCGACATGGTACGCAGAACGTATACAGGCACAGAAATTCGCTGTAGGAGTGCTCGTCACACTTTATCGTCACTCCAATGACATCCCCGGTCGATCCGATACGCTCAAGGATGGGAGTGCGGACAAGCGGATGACGATGAACCCGAAGAAATTCCTCAAGAAAGCACTGAAGGGTGTTCGGAAGGCTGCCACCACCACTACGACGGCCCTTGGAAATGTCGCCTCGGAGATTGCTGGAAGTTCGGTTCTTCAGCCCAACTCTCCACAGGCTATGGTACAAACGGCTTTGGGATCTGCGAATAAGTCTCGTCTGGTTTGTGATTTCTTTGTCCTAATCATGACATTTGACTTCTCGTCTAATGCGGGTGATGGCGTAGCTGGCTCGGCGATTATTCTACTCTTTTGTCCGGCCTGGATCTGAATATCTCATTGTTGAAGATATCGCCCGGTTCTTCCCAACGCCCGATGATACCGACGCAGCCTTCGCCATCTTCGACAAGGACTCTAATGGTGACATTACCCGAGATGAGATTGAGATGTCCTGCATGTACGTTTCGAATTTTGTCTTCACTGGCCAATGCACGTTCATGTTGTACGAACGCAGGGATTTCCACCGCGAGCAGCTTTCGATCGAGCATTCAATGCGAGATCTTGATAGTGCTGTAGGACGTCTGGACAACATTCTGATGAGCGTATATTTCATTGTGGCTATTCTGATCATTGCGGTTGCTCTGGTGAGCTCAGTCGAACTCTAAAGATTAGTTGGTGGCTCACGTCTGTACAGGAAGCTCAACTCGTCACCCTGATCACCGGAGCTGGGACACTGATACTTGGTCTTAGTTGGCTCATTGGCTCATCTCTCGCCGAAGTCCTCACGTCGATTATCTTCCTCTTCATCAAGCATCCATATGATGTCGGTGATCGCGTCACCGTAGAGAAAAATACCTACACCGTGAAGGAAATTCGGCTTCTGAGCACCATCTTCATCGATGAAAATGCGTGTTCGGTGCAGGCTCCAAATACGGTATTGAACGAGAAGGTATGTACATCGTTTGCCCTCTCAGTGTGGATGGTCATATTCATCGTTGGTCGCAGTTCATCCAAAATATTCGTCGGAGTCCTCAGGTACTGCCTTTCCTCTTGTCGGAAGTGAACCTTGCTGACTCTCCGCTAGATGTCTGAGCCTTTCACTTTCGATGTGGTAGGTGTTTTGAATTGCAACGATTCGATTCATGCCTGAATGATCCGGAAAACAGGCCTACACTACGACCTTCGAGCAGATCGAACGACTCCGCGAGTTGATGGTTGCTTTCCTCCAGTCTGAGAGACGGGATTATCAGCCGGTGTTTGATGTGCTCGTGGTTGGTATGTGAATTTGTTGCCCTACAAGTGTTATTTGCTTGAGCTCTCTCGTATTTCGTAGACATTCCGGAGCAGGAGAAGATGACCTTGCGTGCGGATATCAAGTACAAGAGCAATTGGCAGCAGGGTGCCTTGAAAGGTAAGTCCGTAATCACTGAGGCTATGTATTGTGTACTAAGATGACCTTTGCTCGCCAAGCCAAACGACGAAACAAGTGGATCTGCGCTCTCAAATCGTCACTTTCGAAGGTTCGAATGTTCGGTCCCGCAGGAGATCCGGATGCGATACCTTCCCCGACGCCATACACGCTTGTACCATGGGAGAAAGTCAAGGAGGAGCAAGAAAAGGCCGAGCCAACCACTCCGAGGGGTCATATGCGTGAACCAACCATTCCCATGGCGTACACCTTTACAGATCAGAACGCTGTGATTGGTGAGTCCTCTAGTTATTTTGAGTTGATTTGATCTTGTACTCACGATCTTTCCGCAGGAGATCCTTCGGCGGATGTATTTGGTGAAGCTGAGGAGGTAAGATGTTCCGTTCCATTCCCCCGGGAGCTTTTCACTGAGGTCTTTTCCTAGCTGCAAATGACAAACCCTCGACGCCAAGGCACAGATCGACCTGGATTGCGTCTGAGACCTAATGCGCCCGCCATGCCTTCCGCTCTCTCAATGCCAACATCGCAGTCTCGTGATATGGAAGAGATAGAATTGACGACTCCTACGGCGGGACCAGGAGGATCATTCCCTCCACTCTAACGACAACGAAACGCATTTCATGAGTGCTAGTGTGGTATAGTGGGTTTTATATACATCGGACATTTACTGATTCTGCTATCGTATCATATCTCTCCATGTTATCCTTCTAGCTAACCAGTATGCTTTCAACTCATTTGTTGCTTGAAAATGCATCATCGGTTGCAGGAAAGCTCTGTGAGTATCCGCAGCCATTCATGCGGTAAATCTCGTACAATTACGCTACTGTAGAATACATATGGTCTCGATGACCTATAGACATTACAATACAACAATCCAAAAGAATCTATTACACGTTCCAACCTGCTTGCTGTGGCGAGGAGCCACCCCATCCTGCTGACCCCGGTGGTCTGGGACTCCACCCTGAGCCAGCTGGAGCAGGGCTGGTTCCCCATCCTGTCGGTGCAGCTGGCGGCGCACTCCAGTTGGAAGTGCCAGGACTGCCACCCCATGCCCCAGCCGCGACCGGACTACCCCATCCTGCACCCGCACCTGTGCCATTTGGGCTAGTTTGTCCCCAACCTCCTGCACCTGCAGCGGGAGCACCCCAGCCAGCAGTAGGATGTCCATTGGTTTGAGGTAACGATTGATCAGCACCAGTAGCCATCTCAGCTTCGGGTTCTTGCTTCAACCCGAGCACAAGATTAGCAAGCTTGGTCTGGAGTTCTTGTAAACCCTATAAATGGCTCTCGTTAGGTATTGCCAATAAGGACGGATATGTTTATATTCACTTTTAGGACAACCTCCTGAGGACCAAGGCTACCATCTGTTTCAACATCCATATAGAATCTCGTGGGTTTGGCATTGTAATCAAAAGGTTCGTCTTCTTTGACGGGCTCTTCCAATTGAGCATTGTCGCTCAATGGCCATTCAGCCCTTTCGTCCGATTCAAACCAATATGTCGTATGTCGCAGTCGATTATGGGGGTCATATTCAAAGCCGACCGCCGAACAAGGCGACCATTTTGCGTGCTCTTTAGCAATTCCCTGAGGTAAGATGTCAGACAGCATATTATAAACCCATATTATCGAGACGTGCCTTTTTGGCGACACATCGCACTTTTAACTCCATCCCCTTACGAATCTTGGTTATAAGTATTGGCTCAACGCCAATCTCATCTGAAATGAAATGAGTTTAAGGCTCTTGTAACATAAAGATGAAGTTATGATACCTTTTCCAACTGGTTGTCCGAAGTTATCAGGCCTTTTCGAGAGTTCGTCTCCAGCAGTGATCATACTTTGGTCAACTTCTTCACCCCACAGAGCAACCTCCAGGTGATTACTAGTAATCATCATGGTCTTCCCTTCTTCATTACAAGCCACGTTCAGATTGAGTATGACAGTGCAATATTTACAGCCATCCATGCATGTACAATCCTTTCAAATGGACAGTAAGAGCGATGTAAAACTGCGATTGAAACGCGACGTACTCTGGTATACCGAATAGCTTCATCACAGTTCGTACTCACTAGGGGGATTTGTCCCAACCTATGCGCAATAAATTCATCAGGTAAGACCGTTGTGTTGCTTTCAATTTCTACCATGTCGATAGCTAAACAGACAGTTCAGTACCTACCATACGGGAATGTAGACACGTGAAATACTCACCAATGGTAGGAATATCAGCCATCATGACACGACGTATAGAGTTTGCGAGTCTAGGAAAGGTGACAGATGTTCAATAACACCAACAGCCTCATTAAAGAATGGCGCGTACGCGAGATCCACATTCTCGAGTACAAACTTGACTTTGTCTTTCTTCAGCTCCTGTATACGAACATGCGGGTCTTTTTCCTGTGACATGCTAACAGGGTATGTGTGTCGACGGCAACCAGATATGCAAGGTTTAAATAAAGCCGAGGGTGGTCGGTGTTGCAGTTCTGAGCTGAGTGAGGCTCTAAACTTGGGTGAAGTTGATCGAAATAAAATAATGAATAATGTTTTTGTTTTGTAAATTTAATATATTTAATATTCAAAATTTCATTACACCGATGGTGAAGCGGTTATCATGCTTGCCTTCCAAGCAAGCGGCAGGGGTTCGACTCCCCTTCGGTGTAATCATTTTAGTTCCAGACTTCCTTTCACAACTAGCGCTCAGCATTATTCCACACATTTTCTCGACCACTTCCTTGTGCACGATATTCAAATATTCAATGTGAAGGGACATTCCAACACTTTGTCAACATACACACGCCAGCTCAATTCATACCGTACTCGATGCACACGCTGTCAATATCGCAAACTCATCATTCTTTCCGGAACACATTCCTGTCCCCGATTTATTGGATTATACATGCTTGAATGGGTAAGTTGACCAAGATATTGAGCTATTTCTGGTAGCTGCAGAATTGCCGTGTAATTGTTGCAGAGAACCGAATCTATAAGATATGGCTGCTGATATCTCAGGACCTGGATGTATACAAATCCATCACCTGCGCGGTCTAGCTGCAAGGAACCGAGGCTTGCTCATTGCGGCTCGCGCCGTTCATTCCCCAGAGGACGACTCAGCTTATGCGAGCACACATGACTTACGTGTTCTGTCTTTCGTTCAGGGTATCGAAATCATTGTTGAATCAGTTAACCTTGCTGAGAGGTTTATGACCAACGCGCCATTAAAATCATATTCATTAAACGGACGGTGTGAACCAGATGTTCTAATGATAGCTCCTGTCTCTCAAGGCAGTTTTATGGATCGTGTGTACTTTGGCCTAGGTATGTCAATCATTTTCATTCTCACATCCTTTGCAGCAGCGATTGACATTAGTGAGATATGTCTCTCCGCTCGTGAGTTTTTCATTGCATTCAGTTCCTTCGCATGCACTGTGAGTTCCCCCCGTGTGCATAAAAAAGCATGATAAATTCTCGACCTACGTCCGGTAAGCCAAATGTTGTCTCCGTCATCATGACCATGTACCTACGCGGTGTTCGCGGCGATATTGGCTTACACTTAATCTGGCCCTTCACACATCCTCTCATTGACTGCGATCTCCCACCGTACCTCCGACTGTCAGGAGTGCTGCATCTCACGAAGCTCCACAGAACAGGACGCGGGCCTTGACGTGGTGGGATCAGTAGCTTGTTTTGTTCTTCTATCCTCAGCCAGTACAGGTCAACCATTGTTTCGTTGCGGATCCACTCCCAAGGCCGTGGCCCTCAACCCCGTCCGCTGGAACCGCGGTTGCGAGTTCGTGGTAACAGCTCACATTTCATTGGTTCTCTGTCTACGCAGGCGTTTCGACGCGTCTTGACAATATTCCAAAACTGCTCTAAAACCTGCATAAATGCTCAAGGAAAGTGAGTCTAAAGGGCTATAAAAGACTGTCGTGCACACCTTTCAGTCTGCAGGACATTCCAGTCTTCTACATTGGACATCTTTCCGACTATGGCCTTCAAAGCTCTCGCCACTCTTCTCTCCGTCGTTGTCACAATTCAGGTCGCGAACGGTATGTTATAGTCCTCTTTCGCCTATACAGTCTTGATAAAAGGACACCTTCAGCTGCCTTGACCAGGCGCGTTGCTTGCGCCGACGGTGTCAACACAGCGACAAACGCTGCTTGTTGCGCTTTATTCGCCATTCGAGATGACATCCAGGAGAACCTCTTCGACGGTGGCGAATGTGGAGAGGAGGTCCACGAATCCCTCCGGCTCACATTTCACGACGCCATCGGCATTGGTTCCACTGGGTATGCCAATTTTTGTCCTCTGCTTTCCGCCGGTTGACACCCTGTTTCTAGTGGTGGAGGTGCTGACGGCTCAATGATTATCTTCGATGAAATCGAGACAAACTTCCATGCCAACAACGGAGTCGACGAGATCGTCGACGCTCAGAAGCCCTTCATTGCTAAACACAACATTACTGCTGGTGATTTGTGCGTAACATTGTCTTTCCTTCAGCAGCCCTTTGCTGACCGATCCTACTCACCCTAGCATTCAGTTTGCTGGTGCCATTGGTGTATCCAACTGTCCGGGTGCGCCTCGTCTCGAATTCTTCTTGGGTGAGTCGTGTTTTTTGAGTTCTTGCCGAGACCGTGCTGATGGGCACCTGCCAGGACGGCCCTCTGGTAACATAATTTTTTTCGGAGCTTTCTTCGGACGCTGATAGCTATGTATAGCGATTGCTCCGGCTCCAGACTTGACTGTACCGGAGCCTTTCGGTGAGACTTTTGCACCCGTTCCAAGGAACGCAAACTGTATCTGATCTCTTCTCTTCAGATACCGTTGACAGCATCCTGGCTCGGTTCGCCGATGCCGGTAACTTCAGCCCTGCCGAGGTTGTCGCTCTTCTTTCTTCGTAAGCCAAGCCATTCCCATACGTCGAATGCGCCGAACCCAAACCTTCTGTTTCAGACACACGATCGCTGCTGCCGATCATGTTGACGAGTCTATTCCGGGAACGCCATTCGATTCCACACCCGAGACCTTCGACACCCAGTTCTTTGTCGAGACCCAACTGAGGGGTACCCTCTTCCCTGGAACCGGCGGTAACCAAGGAGAAGTCGAGTCTCCCTTGCGTGGGGAAATCCGTCTACAATCTGATTCTGAGCTGGCTCGTGACTCGAGGACCGCTTGCGAGTGGCAGTCGTTCGTCAGTGAGTACGATTTGCTGCTAGACATATTTATTCAGGGCTGACATTGGTCCCTACAGACAACCAGGCGAAGATGCAGAACGCATTCAAAGCCGCCATGCTTAAGCTGTCCATCCTCGGACACGATATTAACAACATGGTTGACTGCTCTGAGGTGATTCCCGAGCCACCAACCTTCACCGGATCTGCTACCTTCCCTGCCGGCCTATCTCACAATGATGTCGAGCAAGCGGTGCGTAATGCTACTTGTCAATTGTCATCACTCGCATTCTCACCTTTGATAACAGTGCGCTACTACTCCCTTCCCCACTCTTGCCTCCGACCCAGGCCCGGCGACTTCGGTTGCACCTGTGTAAGCATTTCATTTGCTTTCAAAACCCTGCTGAATGCTAAACCGTTCCTCAGTCCCCCATCTTAAATGGGTTACCACCTCTCTTCATTGTATCTCGTATTTAGTTGTGTATAGGTATAGGTGTATGTGTATTCCACATCATGTATTTAGTGTCACTGAATTCTTGTACGGAGGTTTAAGGGAGATTCCGATTTTTTCACCGGTTCTGCTTTCTGCAAGTTATTAATAGTTGTCGAGATTCTATTCCTCAAGGCACAGCAAGTACCCATAATGCATTTTCCAATGCCCCCATTACACTAAGATTGAATTTGAGGGCTATGCGGGGTCTGGGCTGACTAAACTGTATCATATGAAGCAAATTCACAAACAGGAACTTCTGCGGGCGCATGGCACTGCCATAAGACACGATACTGAAACAGAGATGAAAACTAGCATTGAAGTCGACATTTGAGACAAGAAGATGACAGTTGTATGTCCACCTGGTATAGATCTGCCACTGCTCAACCTTCAAGTTCCTGAGAATTGCTTTTATCTCAGTCAAGGCTGTGGACGATCGAAGAATGTAACTTCAATGCCCTCATGTAGTGCCGACAGTGTTGTCAGTGTTAAGAGGTATTACAGTATATCGGGTTTCAGGTGCAGTGGACTACATTACACTCTCATACTGTATTCTTGTTCAGTCTACTTAATCGGAACCCATTCACACCAAGTTCCCGTTTAGGCAACCCTTTTGAGCAGGTTGTGAGACACATTGCTGCACTCATCAGAAGTTGGGTTGACAGAACCTTGTGTGCTGCTACTCTATTGGCTGCATCCTAAAAGCATCAGAGGAACATACATGGGCTTTAATACTTACCAGGAAACGATACCAGCACATTCAGTAAATAGCCAGATAGTAAGCGCAGGGTTATAGCGAGAGAAAGTTAGATTTCCTGGTACCGATGTATGCATAGCGAATGATCATGGGTAGATAAAGGTGCAGTCCATATGCTCGTCAGTACAGAATCCGGTGTTCAAGGCTATGGCGACTTCAACGACTCAAACCAACGATCCTACTCCTACACCAAACCGACCATACACTCGACTACGAGCCCGCGCTCACATGACAGTGAACAAACTGCATTCGTCTAAGCTCCCAAAGACCTGTTACCACCAGAGGCGGCTTGGCACTAATCAAGAGTTGCGGCGTTAGATAATACTCTTACGTCTTGAGACAAAGGTTCATAACTCACCGCTCTGAGCTGTTCGAGGAAAAAGCTGCATAAACTAGGCGTAGCTATTTCGAGACAATGCGTGAGGTCTGCACCAAAAACTTGATCAGCGACACGGACTTGCTTACTCATCTCAAAACGGACACGTACCTATGGCCTGAGCCTCACAACTACCGCCAGGTTCCTGTCTCTTCGTCCATCCCTTGACGGACGCACCATTGCCTGCGTCGATGGTGACGGCGCTAGGGAATGACACGGCGGAGGATACAGCTTCGCCCGCGCTGGAAGAAAAGACGACAGAGGGGTAGGCGGATCCAATGCTCGTCAAGACTTGAGGACTAATGTTGATATAAGGTTACACTTTGAAAAGACCGTCAATGAAGAGAAAGACTTACGCAGGGACGGCAGCAGCAGCCTTGACGAGCATGGCAAGTGCGGCGAAAGCAATGGTGAACTGCATTGTGAATGACAGTAAGGTCTGTTGTGTTATAAGAGGAAGGCGTAAGAGAGAACTTGTTCTGACGCTACAGCAACGTTAAAGTGCATCCTTTATATACGTTATAGTGTCTCAAACAATGGCGTTGATACTTCCCGCAAGTTACGTAGAGCAATGCTGCTAAGCACACATGATTCCTGCCAAGCTTTTGCGATGGTAATAGCATGTAACACACCTGCTGCTGACAACAAGGGTCTTGACATTGCCTATCAGCTGACCACCAACGTTCTTTACTGACTTTTAAGTCTGCAGAGTCCACGTTGGCGAGATCTGGGAAGGGTTCACTGGTACATCAAGAATCCATGCATCCTTGTCTTGGTCATAAAGAAAGGTCCGGAAGTATGCCCCTAGGTCAATATTGTCGAAGGTAAACAATCGTAGTCATCCGCTAAAGTCATTCGTAGATTACAACTCCTCCGCCGAATCCCTAGCGTTCGTTTTGAGTGACCAAGCAATAGCGTTGATAGCGGAAGATATTGCGCAGAACAGCTTATGGGGATAGCAGGTATCCAATGCTTGGACAACTAGCAGAGGCCAAATTTCTCACGTTCTAACGTTACACAAGCTGTATAGCGGTATACCACCTCCGTGTTGAGCTTGAGGGTCGTATAATAAGTACGTAGCGCCGCCGAGCGGGATGACCCAGTGCCACTCAGTCGTCCCTCCTCCTCTCCAATAGACTCGTATTAACGGCTGCCTGCGGGAGCCTAGTGCCACTCCCGGTGTATCGAAGTTAGGACAGCGGGTGAGTATGACAACCGTGTTGATTGATAGCCACACCAACCTTCCGAGGACGGTTTCGTGGCCTTTTTTCGACGCTCTTCCCTTTTGTGATGTGTCCATCCACGCATACGGCCGCTGATCTGAAACAGGTGGCAACTGTGCGAGATCGCCAGCGAAGATAATATTGATGCCTCCAAAAGCGGAAGTATTTCCCTTTGTATTTGATAGTGTCTCGCTGATTCGTGCAAGTAGATTGCAACCGATGATAGATACTTTGTCAATGAACAATCCGACATTGCCATCAAGTCCCGCCGCGTCTTGGATCCTGGCTTTCTTGACTTAGACTACGACCAAAAAAATCTTTCAACACATTAACCACTCGAGATTTCCCAGTTCCGCTAGGTTCCGACTCATGGACATTTTTTTCGAGGTTTCGCCTGGTTTTGCTGATGGGCATGGGCGTGGCCACTAATACCATGTAGTACGCGTTTGGCTATGTTGAGACGGCGTAGGGAGCAGACGGTCTCCAACGAGATGTCACTATAACAGTTCAACGTTCAGCAGGCAGCGAACCTCGTTGACCTTCCGACACTTTGAAACACATTTCGGTTCCCATCCGCCTTTACTTTTCTGACTAGCTTTGACTTGTAAGTATCTCGCTGTGCGTCCCGCTTACCCATCCGCTTACCGTCACATCAGTGAGTGCCCTGTGCCTAACTCATTATACAGCGTCGACTCACCTGCGCATATACTATGTGTCGGGTACTGTCATGAACTAGGTCGCTGCTTGCAGCGTTCATTAGGGTCGCCTCGCCTGCTTGGCTGTTGCATCAACATTCTGTACGGAGCAGTTATCGAGCAGTTAATGTCCATAAGTAGAAGAAAAGAGGTATACAATACATCATACAGCCATTGTACAAATGTTTGTCGTAACAAAGAAGATAATCCAAGCTATGTAGCGGTCCAGAGTCCAACAGCAAAAGAGGGGAAATGCATACACGTAATCTAGAGGAGACCAGCCCCGAAAAGTAAAATGCATCCAACACCCAGCGAGAACGCCATAATCGACTTGAGCTCCAGGCGGACAGCCGTGAGCGAGGCCGCGCTGATTTTCTCACCAGTGAGGTTCGATGGTGTAGAGCTACCCCAAAGTTCGAAATCACGGAAGTAACTGTGAACAGTCTGCGGCGATGCCCATGAATCATCGTTACCTCCGAAGAAGGTCCTACAGCTACATTCAGAACGATAGGCCCCTCCAAAAAAATCACTCATCGTAACCGAGGTCTAATTTACACAGCTTAGCAGGTGCCGAGCTCAGGCGAAGCTTGTGACCATTTTGTGACCGGAGACCAGTCGGGCCTATTCCTGGACATTTCTAGTCACAGTCGCGCCACGACAACGACGAGAATAACATGACCGATCCATTTGGGACATAGAGTAATTGCATGTACAGTACTGTAGTTTGTCAGATAATGGCAAGAGTCAGGCTACCTACGTTGACCTCAAGTGCGTCAAGAAGACACAGACGGCCGCTACAGATTGGAGGCCTTTCAACCTCTCCCGTTTCGCGGTGGTTCTTCATTAAGCACCTTATTGCATGCACGTTTATGCCGGTATATATACTGACCATCTTGTACTTGAGACTAAGTATGCTCAAGGACCATGCTGCGAGCGATCTCCTTGTATTGCTTCGGTATATGTTGCCTCATCCTCAGGCAAGTACCAGGGAGCACAATGAAAAGGTACAGATGGGAGTTACTCAGGTGCTATTACTACAGAAGTGTTGTACAAGACGGCAGTGTCTAGATAGTGGCCGCGAGGCTTGCATGGAAGAAATACGGCGTGACGGGGAGTGACAGAATGCCAGAGCGTCAGGTGGGTCTGCCGTCGAACCGGCATTGCTTCGCGTAGCGCAAGCGACTGAATGATTTTTTTGGAGGGGCCTATCGTTCTGAATGCAGCTGTAAATCGCCGTCAGAGTGGAAGACGATACAGCGAATATATCATAAACATACGAAAGGTAGAGTCCGCCAATGTTAATGACGTCGTCGCGACGGTACACGAGGCTCTCTTCATCTATCGCATCTACATTGTTGTACCTGGGCGAGATCAAGAGGCGTGAGTAATTACGTCGCGATAAGGTGGGCATCTAGACGTACCACATGGACACTTGACCGTTCGCAATGTCTGTGGGTTCATTTAATCTAACAAGCATTGTGATACGATTCCATCTGTCGTGGAGGTGATATTCATCCAGATTGAATGCTTAACCGTCGAGAACACGTACTGTCCTGGTACAAAACTGAAAGCACCGCGCTTGATACTTGTACCAAACCCATCGGAATTGCAGTGGAAGTCCGAGTTGTCGCAGATATCATTGGGAGTCGGAATATAAGTGTACACTTCGTGTGAAGGAATTAGATGAAGACGTTAAACGTTCGAATCAATAACACACCTTCGCCTTCGCCCTCTTTTCTCCACATGAGTCGAGTGCTGAAGCAATTGCTACCGTTGGCGGCGGACCCACCCGAACAGCCATCAGGCTCGGGACCACCTCTCAGTCCTGGCAGCTTTCCACCCTTCACAAACTGAAAGTTGGTATCGAAGGCGACCTCATAAGTGAGGAGCACAGAGTGGAACTGCGATCCATCTGAGGTATTCCACAGCGAATAAAGCTGGGCGCCTCCTGTTGAAGAGGAGAACGTTCCAGCAGGGTATGTAACCTGCAACACTGGTCCACTGGACGAAGTGTCGCTAGACCCGGGCACTGATGCATTTGGGAATGGGTCCTGCACGAAGGCGAGATTCCCTGAGCCGTCTTGTATCTTTCCCTTGCTAAGCGACCATTGCGAAACAATGAAGGACTGAGCATCTGTGTTAGAGAGAGTGGCTGTTGGAAAGGGTATACTGGTGCTGGTTGTCAAAGAGTATTGCGACGCGAGTGACTCTGCTGTTGCAAAGGCACATAGCGTTGGCTGCGCGTATACGAGCGCGTACGCGATGAGTGCGATGGCAAGCATTGTGTTGCTCCGTCCTGTATTGTCCAACGGAGTATTAATGCAAGAACTTTTCTAGCCCAGCCGCAGCAGTGGCTCCTGGTGGATAAATGACAAGAAATTGGGCAAACAGCCTCGTTGTAACTACGACCGACCACAAGACAGCCAAGTCAAGGCTGAGCGCTGGGGTTAGGGTCAACACTACCCGTCGACGGCGTGTCACTCAGAAACCACCAGCTCGCCTCCAGTAAGCACACCGGCTTGGCTTTCGTTCTGAACATATTGCTGACCGAATGAGTAGCTCAAGGGTCCCATACTATGCTGGGGAGAATAAACCGTCAGCGGGAAACAGATGATTCCGACGGAGCTGCACGCCAACCTCTGCTTAACAGCTCCCAGGAGAACCTCAGCACAAATGACACAACAGACGATGTGCTATTTGCTGTGGACGATCAGGATGACTTTCATGAGAGCTCTGCCTTAGCCGACCAATCTACGAAGCCAAGCGTCCGCTTTCAAGAGGAAGTCCAGGTCATAAGTCTGCCACTGCGTTCGACGACAGAGAGCCGCGAAACTGGTGCGTAAGTTACAGTCCTTCCATAAAGCGTATCCTATACTTAACATTGCTTCTAGAATATGAACTTGACTCCGACGACTTGGATGATGTGGCATTGGCCCAGCTTGAATCAGAACAAACCACACCTCGATCGAGTAGACGTCGCGAGCAGTCCATGCCATTGTTAGTCGGTCTTCTGGATTCTGCTACAGCACGACGCAGTTTGGATGGTACTCTTCAACTTCAGCCTCGAGACGGAGAGAACGGAGGCTACCAAACTGAAGAGTTTGACTTGGAAGAGCTGGCAGCGAAGAAGTCCGCCGGCGGTGGATTGCTAGACTCCATCGCCAATATGGCGAATAGCATCTTAGGAGCAGGTACCGTTGTTATTCGACTGCATCGTACAAATGCCAGCTCGAAACTCATGTCGCACTCTAGGCATCATTGGTAGGCGATCCTTTGTATCGTGAAGAAATGCTTTTCATACTGATGTTGTTACAGGCCTACCCTATGCAGTTAGACAAGCAGGGTTCTTCACTGGGCTGGTTCTGCTAGTCGTCCTATGTGGGGTAACTGATTGGACAATACGTTTGATCGTGCTTAACGCGAAACTGAGTGGCCGGAATTCATACATTGAGATTATGAATCATTGCTTCGGAAGTAGCGGTCGTGCAGCGGTCTCATTTTTCCAATTCGCATTCGCATTTGGAGGTAAGCTCTCAGTTCGTTATCCCGGTTCGTCTTTTCATGATATCCCATTTAGGCATGTGTGCTTTCGGAATAATCATTGGTGAGTTATACCTGGTCGTTTCTCTTGCCTTCTGGTACTTGATGCGAAGCAGGTGATACAATACCTCATGTTATCCGTTCAATCTTCCCAAACCTCCACACCGTCCCCGTCCTCTTCCTGTTTACCAAACGACAATTCATCATTGCCCTGTGTACTCTCTGTGTTTCGTACCCGCTTTCCCTATATCGAGACATCCACAAATTGTCACGAGCATCCGGTCTCGCCCTGATTGGCATGCTCATCATCGTCACGTCCGTGCTGGTTGAAGGCCCTCAGGTCACTCCAGACCTCAAGGGTGACCCAGACAAGAGGTTTTCTGTTTTGGGACCTGGCGTCTTCCAAGCGATTGGGGTTATCAGCTTTGCCTTTGTCTGCCATCATAACTCGTTGCTCATCTACGGTAGCTTGAGGACGCCAACCTTGGATAGGTTTGCAAAAGTCACACATGTATCAACGCTGATCTCCTTGGTGGCCTGTTGTACTCTGGCTATATCGGCGTATTTGGTATTTACGGACAAGACACAGGGAAACATTCTAAATAATTTTGCACCGGTATGTTGTGATTTCATTCTTCTGCCTTAGATCGTACTGAGGGGGAATGTAGAATGACACTTTGATTAACGTCGCCAGGTTTTGCTTTGGCCTGAACATGTTCACCACACTTCCGCTCGAGCTGTTCGTGTGTAGGGAGGTACGATTGATTGAATCCATGATACAATACGCTGCCTCATAATTCTTCCAGGTCATCGAACAGTATTTCTTCCCTCACGAGCCATTTAGTATGAACCGTCACGTCTTCTTCACCACGTCGATCCTCTGCGCCGCTATGCTCCGTATGTGCTCTTCAGACCTTCATGATAACCTATCTCACTATCTCACCTTTAGTTTCACTCATCACCTGCGACCTCGGCGTAATGCTCGAAATCACTGGCGGAGCCTCCGCCACAGCTCTAGCATTCATCTTCCCAGCGGCATGCTATATCAAACTCACCGATGCTGGCGTGCCATGGTACTCACGGACGAAACTGCCAGCGTTCGTGTGTGCTGGATTCGGTTTGATCGTCATGTTCATATCACTGTTCCTTGCGTTGGGCAAGGTATGGACACCTGAAGGCGAAGCGAGGATCTGCATGTGAACTTTTATCTGCGCTTTAGAGCATTTGCATTTTGTATAATCTATTTGCACACTCATTCTCGGACTTTGCACCTTGCTGTCGTTCATGTCTAATTTATAGGAGACTTTTATACCATTCGGATGATTTCCACTCGGACGTGATTTGTTTTGAACGCTGACCGCGGGGACATCGACACCTGCTTCGTATAAAATTCTGCAGTTGTTGTAAAACGTACATGACTGTTCATCTCGTGGAAACGAGTGCCTAACTGAGCGTTCGAATTCAATCCTAATGTTACATGCAGTCGGTTCTTCAATAAATTTGCTAGTTCAATAAACAGTTTTGCTGTATTCAACCTCTAGCGATCTCAAGGTCGGAACGGTGCAGGGAGGGGATCCGGTTCATACCAAATGGTCCCCCTAACGTTCTCGTTAGGCACAGTTCCATCGCCCTAGAATCACAAACCAGAAATTAGTTGTGGTAACCAGGCCTATGAATCAAACATACCAAGAGATTGTGAGGGAAACCCGAGTCCCAAGACAGGACGCTTTCGATTTCCGAGATATGTTCAGAGGAAAGCGCGATGTTCAGAGCATCGACATTTGCCTCTAACTGCTCGACAGTCTTGATACCAAGAATGGGGAAGACGTGCGTAGTCTTTTGCATGACATATGCAATGGCGACTGTTCGTAACGCAATGGACGTTAGTCAACCCGCGAAACGCTCGATACAAAACAAACAGCAGAGGACAAATGACACACCTGAACGAAGGTTTTTCGCTCCTACCTCACTCGCAATCTTCTCCAACACCTTACACATCTTCTTTTCATCCTCATTTCTCTCCCAATCCGCGGACAAACCCGTTCTGCCCTTCATGCCAGACTTCCTCCTTTCTTCTTCCTCCTCGTCAGTCCGAACTTTACCGTGAACGAGCACGTCCCAAGGTGCGATAGCCATGCCGTGCGCGCGGCACATTGGAATAATGTCTCGTTCGAGGTCACGGAGGGTAACATTCCACCTGCCTTGGTAGATAACGAAAGGTGTTTTGCCGTGATCCTTGGCGTAGCGATTCGCTTCTGAGACTACCCATGCAGGTGCGTCAGAAATACCCTGCAGCGCAAGACCCGGTCAGAGAAGTCTCCTTGATTACGGTAGGCTGGTAATTTGCGACTCACAAGATAAAGGACTTTCCCCAGGCCTACAAGGGTATGCAGCCCATTCATCACCTCCTCGATCGAGGAGGTATAATCCCAGAAGTGCACGTAAAGGATGTCCACATAACTGGTGCGGAGCTTTTTCAAACTCGCCTCGAGACTAGCATACATAGACTTGTAGCTATTGCCCACAAATGCCGCTTGAGATTTGACAGCCTTATTGTGTGTTTGCCATTGCCCAGTATACTATAACAATTGCAGAAGAATTTAGTACGAGGTCATCACCGGGTAAGAATATATGCTTGCCTTTGTAGCAATGACTATTTCATCACGGTTCTGGCGAGCCTCCATCCATTCGCCAATCAGTTCTTCTGAACGTCCGTCCTGACTACGATTATAGTATAATCAACATGATCGTATACGCTGATTCAGAGGGTTACTTACTACATGTTGGCTGTATCAATAAAGTTGCCACCAGCGTTGGCGTATGCGTCGAGGAGCTTGAACGACTCCTCCCGTCCGCCCGCACCGATAGTAGGCCATTTATCACCAATGCTCATACCACCCAACTGAATTGGAGAGACGAACACTCCAGCTGAAGGAGCCAGTCTGCGGTAACGAGCCAGACGAGAGGGAGGGTCGGGTACTGGTTGGAACATCGGAAGTGTTAGGGTAAGGTATGCTACGGGGAGTTATTAAGGTGCTCTTCGGAAGCAACTTGGAGCTTGAAGTGCATTCTGCTTCTTATATACCATTATAGGATGCCCATGTCAGCTGTCAACTTGGTCTCATCGGTACCGTACCAATATGGTGAGTCAATGGGAACTTGGGAACTTCTGGCAAGCCTGCCGGTGCGTTTACGCAGGCAGTCGGCAAGAACGTTTCCTGGTGTCGGTACGACTTTGCGTAGTAATCAAGTCCTTGGCACAGTAGACAATGTACACGGTGACTAAATTTAGCCTGGCTCATACGTCAATGATCGCTAAGTATACATGCACAGAAATCTAGAATCTATAAATAAGACACTTAGGACGACTCATGGTATACATTCTTTCAGACTTGCCACAACATTAAACAATCCCTGCTCTATGATGATCCATTAACAGCATCCTGCAGACCGGGTATAGCATTCAAGTCTTCAACACGAGCACCTTTCTCTTTGCTCTCTGACGCGAGAAGCGGCGACACGTCAAGACCTTTCCAAGAAGACCACACACCCTGGACACGAGTAGATGGTAGCTCCTCGATGGGACAATCAGCGGGGTCGAAGACCAGCAGCCAGATGGCATCGTAACCTCCAGCTAGCACAGCAGTGTTAGCATCTAAGAGGACACTGTAGAGGGGATTTGAAACATACCTCCTGGCACACCACCACCAATCACACCTGCGACGGATGTGCAAGCGTCAAGGAGTTCAGTCTGCTCTGGTGGCTCGATTGGAACCCCCGAGAGATTGCCCATTTCCCGCATATTATTACGAATATCCTGAAGACAGGTTCTCTGGTCAATACTCGCAGTGTCAAAGTGTCGTAATCTTATCTTACCTCAGCCGCTTGTCTTGCTCGAGAGAACGCCTCGACAATAGTCTGTTCCTCTGAAGGGAGACTTGGGTTTGACAGCCACTATCCAAACGTATCAGTTTTACAGCAAGGAAGATTACGAGTCACCCGAAAGTAATGGTACCTGGACAGACTGCAGGGTAGAGAGGTATTTAATCATCTTCTGATACGGTCCAGGATGACTTGATCCCAGTTGTGAGAGGGAAAGTAAGGTCTTGCTGAGTTTCTGATTGTGGCCATCGATGGTGTCCCATGTTTTCTTAGCTATACAACTCAATTGTTAAGCTTGCAGGTGGATGATGACTGACAAAATAAAAGTACGAACACGCCGCGCTATTCTCTTGTCTCCACTTCAACACTTTGCCGACAAGTGACGGCGTGTCACTGCCAGCATCTACGTCTGCTAACATCAGACGAACATACGGGGGAAGCTGGAACGGCTCCGCTTTGAAATTCCACGCCGAATTCGATGGTGTCAGAACCTTATGCAGAGAGCCAGGCGGCTGATAACAAGGAGCAATCAGTAAAGGTCAGCCATTCAGCCACCAACGAGTACACACCACTTGACCACTCATCAGAGGTTGTAGCACGGCGGGCTCAAACCGTGTATAAAGCTGACTTCCGAAGACAGCTGCAGACACATCAAACCCGCTCCCGACCTTGCCCTGAGCAAGACAGTGAACGTATTGAGCTAGGTTATGTGCCAGTAGTCTACCTTCACTGGCGGACTCCGAACCGCCCTGAGTGCTGAATGAATCCGAGGGAATGACATTCAGGTGGAGGAGTAGGGAGGACACCAATGATGTGATGAGTGCAGCGGAGGAACCGAGGCCTGTCTTATGCACTTCTGAGATTACTACACCAGTTGGAAGGAACGATGGAAGTTTTGACAGTGATTCTAAAGTCGGTGGGAGGTTGCGAGAGGCCAGCTATACATTCGAATTGAATAATGATGTCCATCATCAAGCCTCAAAATGTAAGCTGACCTGAGCTCGTTGAGAATAGAAATCATTGTCGCCGACAATTGTGATAGCAAGGTCGTTCGAGAGGTTCTCTTGCAAAGCCTGCAAGCCTTTCAACTCCAGAGCCAACGCAAGAGTTCGTTCTAGAGCCAGATGGACGAACTTGTTCTTTGAGTGGCTGTGTACGAGAGCATGTCATGTCAATGACATCCATCCTACAACTGACTTACGGACAACAATAACACTCACTTCTTTGCGATCGGGTCTACGCGAACACTTTCCCGGTCAACGTTGACGGTATACGTCCAAGTTGCATCGACGAATTGGGGTGATCGAACGCGAATCTGAATTGGGCGTCCGACATCCTGAGCTAATCCCGAATCCTGCACCACTGTATAGAACCGAGAGCTCGTCGATACCACCACTCCAGAATATGCAGGATCCAATACAAGGTATCCTCCAGCTAGGAGGACCTTACCGGGGGCGGAAACAACGGTAGTAGAAACCATGGCTATGGTACGAGTGCAAGAGTAGATTGGCTGACTTCATTTCGAATGCAGAATCGTCTCATTCATAAAAGTAAGCGTCAAACTTACGATCCTTTTCAGTCGTCTTCTTCTGCGCGTATGCAGGAGTATCATTTTTGCGATATGCCGGTCAAGAAGAAGTCAGAGAATCCGTTGCCTCTGCATAAGGCACAAACGTTGCTCGAAGGGGTTCGTTCAACTGGCTCAAATAGGAACCACGATCACTTTATCATACCTTTGGTCAATAAGATCGCAGACTGTCCGAAAAGTACGGCTGCAAAGACATAGGAAAGCATCGCAGGAAAGCAAGTGTATATGTCATAACGATACATCCAGAGAAGTGAAAAGAGAGCAAAACACAATAGAATATCATCGTCCGCCCCGCGCAAACCAAGTCTTCTGTTGTCCACATGTCACATTTGTACATCCCGGACACCTAAGTCCCATCTGTATACTCGCGGGTCCGATCGTCCCCGCGGAGTAATCACGCAGGTGAGTCGCTGCCAGATCCGCCAATGCACGAATGAACACTGGCGAGTCATTCAACGATTCAGCACGTTGTATGTCCATGCCGAGCTGACATGTCACATCTGTAAGTATATCCGTTGCATCAATCGTTTAAAAATCAGCTGCCATACCTCTTCTCCTTCCTTGACGTATTCTAAATCCATCTCGTAAAGGGTTTCGATATGGTCACTTGTGAACGCAATAGGCACGAGGACGACCTTTTTCCGACCTAATCGCGCCAGACCTTTTATGGCTTCACCGGTTTGCATTCCCAACCATGCTGAGGGACCGACTTGTGATTGCCATACTAAGCGAAAGGGATTCGACTGCTTCAGTCGGTCCATGACAGCAGAGACAGTGGCGGAAACTTCAAGTACGTATGGGTCGCCGCGGTTAACGACGGACATTGGCAGTGAATGAGCAGAGAATAGCAGAACGACGCCAGAACGATCTTGCTCGTCGAACTTCGCTAATGAACGTTCAATATTTTGTGCTACTGCCTGTGGGAAATAATTCAGCTTCTAGTAAGGGACGTGTAAGTTCTGGTAGCGTACCTCAATGAAACCAGGATGTGTTCCCCATCGGTCAATAACACTCCATTCAACACCTTCTCCTAGAGCACCCGCCCGACCCCGCCGATAAAGTTCATTGAGGCTACTTCCAGTTGTACTGCAGCTATATTGAGGATACTGAGTAAACGCCACTGCTCGCTTCACACCATCCCTCTTCATCTCCGCCGCCGCTTCGTCGGTCAAAGGTTTAGCGTATCGGAAAGCGACATAAGCTTTATGCGGCGCGGTAGCAGGATGAAGTTCATCCAACAGCGCTGCCATACGATCACCCTGTAGTCGAGTGTATTTTAGAATGGGAGAACCGCCGCCTATGTCTTGGTATTGTTTCTCGATCTGAGGTGTTCGACGTTTGGCTATCCATGGTGCGGCAAACGATTGGAATGGAAGGGGAATAAGGTCGCCGTCTGAGAAGAGGTTCTTGAGGAAGTCGTAGGTTTCTGGCACCTGAAAAGCAATGAATTCAAATGATGATATGACAAGCAGACATTAGAACGTACAGTAGATGGTCCACCCATATTTAGCATCACTATGGCTGTTGCGTAGAGTTGTCAGAATATGCAACTGCACGCCCAGGCAGTACATCCCACCTGTTGGACTACATTATATCGTCAGTAATAGCCGTGGTGTATACTAATGAGACCGTACCTTTTGCCTGAAGGAGGTGCATGGTGTAAGGTCGCCAACGATCGTGCAAACTTGCGCGCCGGTGCACTCACTCGTTTCACGTTCAGCATGGTTGTAGGACGTGCTCGTTGTAGTGAAAAGAGTGAGATCTAAGGCTATGAATAAATACTGAACTGAAGGAGACGCGAGGGGAGCGAGGATCGTGGTCCAATGGGGGAGAAGACATGACGCCGTGCGACTTTGTACCACGCTCGATTCCCGGCTTGTCTCTCGACCTCCATCTCCCGGCATCGACAGGCATCGACGCCTCTGTTCAATGCTGTTCAATGACATTCTCGTTCCACTTTCTCACGATCACAACCTTTTCTCACTGTTTTTGACCTGTTCTCTAGCATTCATTAAGTGTGCTATGAGAAAACGTGGTCCTATTAATTCAGGACGATTCACAATGACATCAGGGTCCAGTACCTATTAAAGTCTCAAATACTCGGAGACACACATAAATGTCCTGACACTACCTTTTGAGCGAGTGCGTTTTCATTGGTCACTTGTCTCATTCCGTTTCGCTTTCAAATGGCATCGTGCATGTAGGCGTCCATTCGATTGAGAAACGGAACTCGGCGTGTCCTGGACTACTGCTTTTCGTATTCGTTCTGTTAAGTTGACCTCATGCTTGTATACCCGCCTTCTAACATATATGCTGTTCATGTCTAAGTATAGTTGCTGGATAACGTCATGGACAAGTGAGCTCGTCCTCTACGTTGTGGGTGCACTCTGTCACCAAAAATTGCCCGCGTTGGAAGACAGCGCAATGCGTCGGACGTTGACAGTTTCTTGCTGTATTCTGCTTCTCTCTATCTTTTGGTACACGCCTCCGGTATCACATTCCCATCTTATCGCTCACCAATTTTTAGAGCTTTCGAAGTTCTCCAATCTTTTATTTAGTTACAAGTCCACAATCGGGCCGCTGGTATGCCTGAGATCATCCATCCTCTCGCCGCCACAATATGCGATAGAATTCATATTGAACGTCCCCATCTCTTCGTCACGTATATCCTGACATCATGAACTTCCGCGAGGCATGCTTATCCCCACGCTGTCTATCAGGTACTGACGGTGGCCTCCGCAACAGGGCTTCGAAACGAGGACTTACCCTTGGGACTTGCGTTCCTGAGAAGGTAGAATACCGCTTCTCGCCGCAGATATTCCATTATAAACTTGTCAAACTGATATTACTCCAGCAGCAAAATATCCCGTTTCTCTCCATTTACTTGATCAGATATGTCTGCTAATGGTGTCGAATCTCACACCTCTCAAGGTGTTCCCTTCAAGGAGCTCTTCCCTGAGGAGCGATTGGGATGGCGAGGGTGAGCATGATAGTCCTTCCGGTGCTTCTCTCAGCCTAAATGCTATTGAACAGATTTGTTGAATGAGAAGACAAACCGGAAAGGAAGAAACTCGCAGTGGAGCTTCTCAAGACGAAGACCTTCACAACCATCCCTGGTATGTCTTGCACATGGGCTCCTTTTTTCTCTCTCTTTTCCATTCACCTTGAAAGACACACATTTCGCCACACCTGTTTCTTTACTTCCGAACCGCAGATTTTCGTATTGATCCTCTCCCCAAGACGAACCCCGTCCTCATCGGACGTCGCTGGAAAGAGTATCATGAGGCGCTAGGCTTGAAGTCTATCGTCGACTTTAGCTGGGAGATGGTGCAGAAAGAGAAGGAAGATATGCTTCACGTTCTTGACTTCCCTTACAATGGCGAGACTAAGTTCAACCACATCATGGACATGGAAGGCAAAATCATGGACAACAAGTATCACTTGTACGTGTAAAGCTTTCTCGTCTCGCTTGTCATCCAGCTTAACCGTCAAAGCATCCGAAATCATGGTGGTGTACCCGATATCGATGAGGACGCATTCTACTTCGATATTGGGGGCTTAGTCAATAATCCCACGAGGATTTACCTCGAGGACCTCAAAGATCCAGAGAAATTCCCGTAAACGCGGCATGTTTCATCCACTTGTTTTATCTCACTATTCTCCAGTCAGGAGGAGGTTACTGTCACCGTTCAATGCAGCGGTACCAGGCCAGTGGAGCAAATCGCACTGTATCCTGGAGACGGCGACGAGCGTATGTGAACATCTATCTCTGTATGTTCAGGTGCTTAGATATTTGTCAGTCATCAACGCTCCATGGGGACAAGTTGCAATGTTCGTATCGCTTGCTGACTCTAACATCGCTATTACTTACTTAAAAACTGTTATGAACGATATTTGCAGAGGTACTGCCGTATACCGAGGCGTCCAGAAAGTTCTCAAGAAGGCCTGCGGTGGTGTTCTTCCTGGATGTCAACACCTTGAGTTCATCGGCGCCGACACTTACTTCAAGTTTGTATTATTCTGTTATGTATCTCGTTCGACTGAGTGCGATGCTTCATCAGGAAGTTGGAGGTGTGCAACTATGCCGTGTCGGTCCCGTACCGCAAGGTCCGCCAGAATGAGGAAGTTTTACTCGCTTGGGAGATGAACGGCCAGCCATTGCCTAGGATTCACGGAAGACCCTTGCGTCTGGTCGTCACTGGTTACATTGGTGCGCGTAGCTGCAAATGGGTGTATAGGATCAATGCGCTCCCGGTACCTAGCTACGGGCCAGTTCAGCGCCAGGAGTACCTCTTACAGCCAGCAGGTTTGTATCCTGGGGTCTTCTGGTGTCATGCTACTCAATATACACATTTGTCATAGATTGGCAAGCAGAACATCCTCGTCGGTAATGGCATCTCCATCCAACAAATGCCAGTTTCGTCAGTAATACTTTTGCCTCATGTTTTCCTGTCATAACCCAATAATTACAATAACCGTATACAGGAGCGCGATCATGGCTCCCCGAGATAGGGTCGTCATTACCCACGATGGATCCATCAAGCTCCAGGGCTGATCTTCCAGCGGTGGAGGTAATTGGCCCGAAAGAGTCGAAGTTTCTCCCGACGGGTACAGCGTGAACTTAATCTTGATGCTGGTTATCAAACATACCTTTCAGTGTTCCTGCTAGCGGTCACGTGTGGTATGCATGCAAGCCAGAGGATATGACAGAGAAGGTACTCGACATTGATATACTCTTGCTCTGTGAAACATACTGAGATAACGTTCTTATAGCATTATCGCGCATGGCGTTTGTGGAAGATCGAAGTCCCTGTCGATGCCGAGGGCTGGCTCGAGTTCGTCGTGCGAACTTGGGACTCCTCTAACAATACGGAACCCACCTATGTCCGTTCTGTATGGAAGGACGGCGCCGCCATCGTTTCTCTGATTTGTGATGTCTGACCGTGTTATCGTAGCTGGGACCTCCATGTCACATCGTCCGCCCATCGCATTAAGGTATGATGCTTTTCCATCTGACAATTGACTGCACCCCTGATCACTTATTTATTCACCTATTGTAGCTGTATAGCGTCAATCGTACGAAACCTCTTACAGCGAGACATCTCAAGCAATTGGAGGATATGGGCGAATCGTTCCTTCGACTATTGAAGCTTTGGAGTTCCCTATCGAGGGCAGAGAGGACTATGGTGCCGCTTGGGTGAAGAATCCTCGTGAACCACTAAACTAGGCGGAGTATACAAGCTCAGCAATTCATATGATATCTTTGAGAATGTGTGACATGCTCGCTTGTTGCTTCTGTATCCATCCATCCCTTCCAGTAAGATATAGTCGATAGCGCATTCTAAAAAAAGGTACACAATCATGCATAAATACCGCGCTGCGGGTAATTTTGTCCTCGGCAATAAGACGAGGGGGTATTTCCCTGACCAATGGTATTCAACAGAGCGGCCGCTAAGTTCAAATACGCCTGTCGGTTGTGAAGGTTTTGGGCCGGTCACTTTGTGGCAACGAGTTCAAGAGTTTGGTCTTGCGTCCTGATTTCGACTCCATGATCTTCCATACAGTTCCTGCAAATCCTCCAAAATCTACGTGGGCCTTCTGTAGACATGGAATTGCTTGAGAGAGCTTCCTGACGAAATCTTTTGGCCGAAACTGAACGTCAAACCAGTCTTGGACATCCTCTAGGGCGTCCTCCCCGTAATCAAAGTCGACTTCAATGTATTGAAGGTGCAACTCTTTTATCATATCCAAGAAGCGATCCTGGAAGTAAGCATAGTATGAGCTTTACATTTTTGAAGAGCCAAAAGTACACCCACCATGAAGTCTTCAATCTCATCGGAGTCTTCGAATGCAGAGGCCTGAATCTCGAATCGAGTTTCAGTCCAAGCAGGAGGCTTAGAGAAGTATTCCTCGAAATACTCTAACTGATCGTCATCAGCTGGGAAAATCAGCAAAAGCATGGTGGTGGGGGTGTGCGTAACGTCCAAATCCTCAAACATCTCATACTCCATGCCCACTCCGTACCAAGTGACAGCCAGGGAACGGATGGGGCACTTCAGTGCCAACGTCCAAATGTATTCCACTTGACCCTCAGCCAGTTCCAATCTGGGCCAAGGTGAGGACGGTGGCTCTGCTGCGTTCCGTTCGCGATAGTCGGGCGAGACAGTCTCCGGGATTCGCCCGTCACCATCTAAACCAAGGATAGCCAAGTTTGGGAAGGCATGCACGAGCTTATGAGCCGATATGAACTCGGAAGGCAGACCGGTGAGGTAAAGGACGCGAAGTCTAGGGCATTGGAAATCCAAGTCATGTAAAGTAACGCGTTTGACCCGGAGAACCTCGAGCGACGAGGTGAAATTGCGAATGAGCGTAGACAGCTCGGTGCGATGACTAAGTTCTGAGCGTGCGGACACGACAACTAGTTCAACTAAAGGAGATTTGATTAACTTCACGGCGGCGAGTAATGGTTCATCCGGATTCAGTAGTTGTAATTCTCGAAGATTTTGGAGATTCGACATGGACTCAGCGAACTCTGGGACCATGAAGGTATGTTGGATCCCGACGTTGAGGTGCTCCAAGTATTTTGCATGCCTCAGTATCTCTGCAATTTTCCGAATTTGCTCTTCAGAAACACTGTACTCCTTGATATCGAGATGCCGCAAATGAGCGCAGTAGTTTTTTGTCTGCGTGATGATGGAGTTATGGATGGTTTCCAGGTTGTCTGCGTCGATGGTTATTGGAAAACTAAGTAGCTTTCTCCGACCAGCTTCTTCTAGAGCGTGACAAGCCTTCATCACCCTGACAACGTCGCGTTTATTTTCCAACGCCGCAATGACAAGTGTCAAGATATCATGATTGAGGGATTTCGCCGAGTTCCTGGCAGCCACAAGTGAGAATAGGATAGAAAATGAATAAAATTTCGTTCTCTTACATCGAGAAGAAGAGTTTCTGCTGGTGTCCCTCGCGACGTCGGTGTCTTTCAGGAATTTCAAGGCCCACAAGACAATCTCTGCAGCGTTGTGGTAACTGGCAACCAAGCTCCGGTATATGCCGCATAATATTACCGTACGTTTATGGATAACATCCTCCTATTATGGAAATGTCACTTCCAAATTTGGCTCGAGCCAACCTTGAGCGTAAAGTGACCCCAAAGTTTACGCGCAAACTCGGGTATGATTGAAGATAAACACTAGCGTCAAGACTCAAGATCATTGACATTGCCTCGTAAAAAAAAACTTACGTACAGATAATACTAATACAGTACGGTGTCATAACGGCGAGCAGCTAAGTCATACAGGGAATGAAAGAAACCAAGGAAAGTCCAAGAAGCTGGTCAAGAAAAAAGCAGAATGAAAAGAGCAAGGAATGTGTACATGAGGTGGAATATCTGATACCGCTACGAAGGCGGGTCCTGTGGAGAATTAGAGTCCGTCCGATCATTGCTTCGCCGCTTCTTCTTCCCAGAAGGCTTTGGTATCTCGACTGGTCGTTGACAAACCGGACAACGACCTGACACGTCAGTGAGCCATGGATCCAAACATGTTTTCTACAGAGCAGATCAGAACAACGCAAGAGATATCGAAAACGAACGACCACTTACATGGAACACATGCCCGCATGCCAGTAGTCGCAGCGGCTGCGGACCGTCTCCAGCATGGTCCAGTCGGAGACGATCCACATCCTCCTGCGTAATTTCCTCCACCTGGACTTCTTGAATAGCACCGGAGTCGCCACCCTCCGCAACGGCATCCTGCGGCCTTTCGTCTTTTGCTTCATCACCTCCATGTTTCCTTTTAGGTTCCTCGAAATCCATCAGGCAAATAGCACAAGCAGCTCGGTTTCCTTCAAGCCTGACAAACGGATATTCCCCTGGTTCCCAATGATCTTCCCATGTCTTTGGCTGGTCGTCACTGGCAGGCGCTTTGCTCTTTCCCTTGTCCATCTTGGTGCCATTCGTGCCTTCCTTTGTCGATTCACCTGTCGTATCCTTCTTTGACCGCCTCAAGAAGGCAAAGCGTCGCTTGCGAGGCACAGTAGGTGCGGGCGGCTTTGGTGGATAAGAATAAGCTGCCGGGGGGAAAGCAATGGATTTCTTATCCGGGCTTGGTTCCTGGTCTTCCGGAGGATGAGGGATATAGAGTACCAAGGGTATCTGGTCGACCACTGATTTTGGAAGTTTGCCTATTTCTGGCTTGATATAATGAGGGTTTTGCAGCGGGTGTCGACCGAGGCAGAGCAATATGAGGTTCCACGCCAGCTGTCATATATTGTGAGCGGAGCGGATATGTATGCGATATACGCCACGGATAAAACGCACGTAAACGACCGGCCCAAGAATGAACACAAGAAGGCCCAAGATAAAGATCTCGAGAACCATCAGATAGAGGATGCATAGGATCCCCAAGGTGAGGTACCAGATATGTGGCGAAGAGCGTCGACAGGTATTGACAGATGTATATGCCAATATATGCGCGGTGAGGAACCAGACCATCGAAAGTAAAGATGTAGTTACAGACAATCTAAAGAAATTTGAAAGCCTGGACAGATTCGCCAAAGTAATACGACGTACCGATTATACAACGACGAGTATGGGAGTTGGTTCACAGACTCGATATGAGTAAGTCTGACGTCTTGAGTAGTACCGTACCTGTTGTTAGTAAAAGATGGACTCGTGCGAGGTGAATTACCGAAGTTCACAGGACGTAGGGTGTCAGGACGCCCCGGGTCTGCTTCATGATCTCTTTGTTCCTGACTGTATCCCGCCCAAAAGGTGTCAGATCAGCTCTCAATAGCAATAGCGGATTGTATACATACGCAAGGCGAACTATACGGTCACGCTGCCAGCTCCAGTACGCCACAGTGGCGCCAAAGGTGACCCGAACAACCCAAATGGCGTTCCACGCGCCCAATGGTTTGTCACAAGCATCCCATTCTGTCAAATCAGGTTCGGTGGGACTCCGATGGTGTGATGAGTACGCCAGAAGAGTGACGACGACGACAAACTAAAATACTATGAGCGAAAGAGAGAAAAGGAGAAGATTAGTTATGATACCTGGGCTAGATTGAAAAAGAGACTCCAGATAAGGCTCAATAGCTCCCTTCGTGCTCTAGCGTTGGGTCCCGCATATCCTAGGAAACTCATGAGAATGCCCACCCATCCAGTATGCTCGGCCTGAGGTCTTGGAGGAACTACACTTGGTCTTGGTTCAACGGGAACTGTAGGTTGAGGCATAGCATTCCAAGTTAAAGGATGATCATGGCCGCCAAGATCAGGACGATCTAGAGCAGGTAATGGAGCAGAGCGACGGCCTGAAGGTGCATACAGCTGTTCTCGAGTATAAGCTGCAGTCCTTGGAGATTGACCTTCGGAACGACGTTGAGTTGGTGCCATTCGGCTGCGAGGCGGGCGCGTAGGCATATCGGTATCGCCTGGAATGTCTCCTGTGGATCGTACCCTTCGAACGGCGAGTTCGTCTGGGGCAAAAGAGACAGTCTCCATTGTAGTCAGATCCTAAGGGCTTAAATACGTGGTTGACAAAAAGACTTTGGTATCGATGGCTGCAACTGACAAGCGGGCACAATAGCAGTCGGCGCGAAGCCTGACGCAAGCCCTGAACTGTATAGCGTTGGCGTCAAAGCCAAACGACAATTCGCACAGCCGAGAGAGACTTTTGAGGGGAAATCTGTTATTGAAAACAAGCAGAATTATCCTGCCAGCAAGGGAGGAAGCTCAGGACATGCCTAGGTGCCTGAGGGTGCTACACAATAGTTCACGTTGCTGCAACGCGGTTTACTGGACTAGTGACTAAGTGCCCATTGTGCAATTGCCTAATCGAGCCGCCTATTTAGGTAACCACCCGACTAGAGATTGAATTGGAACTTGGCTAGGGTCTGCATTTACTGAAAAAGACGTAGAAAAGGTTGGAAACTTCAAAGTCGTTTTAATACATGCTGTGGACAATGGGCCAAATTTGAAAATGAACCTATCTACCTGATATACCACTACCGCTATCGATCACCAGTCTAAGGCAGTGCTACCACAGAGAGGCTTCGCGCATGCGGCCGACGTCTCTTCTTCCGCGGGTCCAACAATCTCAATCGCATCGCCACCTCTTTGTCTGGATTCTGCAGTAGCTTGTCGTACCATCCATTTGCTTGTACCGATCACAGCATCCAGGGCAGACGCATCCGGAAGCAGCAGTAGAATGTCATCAGCTTCCGCTCTGACCTCGAAGGCGAGAATGCTATAGTTATCGTCGTTCAAGCATGTACCTGAATCAAGAGCGTAGTTCCGTTTGTGCATAGGACCTGAAATTCAACCAGTGAATATATGTGGACCGTTGAGGACGAAAATACTCACAAGAAACGTAGACATTGCCCGTGCTAGGATCATCCCCGACAAGCCCGTGCTCGAGGACAAAAGCTCTCTTGTGCGGACACATCTACAGTGACATATCAAGAATTAGTGCATGTTGATATTAGTACCACAAAGGAATTTGTATTTCACTTGTTGAGTTGCAAAGTACCCTCGGCGGGGTACGTGGAAGATGGCTATCTGGCTATCCCCGTATTTTACAGCTGCAGACCTGAAAAAAAAATCAATGAGAGCAGACCCCTCTAGGACTTCGATTCCACTCACGTTGTACCAGCTTCAGATGGCCTAAGGTCTTGGACTCGAGCTAATTTTCGCCACTTCCAGTTCTCCTTAGCTTCAAGAATATCGCTGGAACTAAGTCGAACGGATTGTTCTTTCTTATCCCAATTGGCTGGCCGGAACTGACCACGTTCTACGATAGACTCTGTTTGGGGCTTTCTTTCGTCCTGTTACCAGAGTTGGGTTAGAAAAAGGATTTACCGCAGAACCCAAGCCTACCGTATTGACAAATTGCCGGAACTGCTTCTGCCTTTCAGGATCATCCACAACCGCTTTCCACTCGTCATAGTACGTTCCCACTAGTTCGTCCATTTCACGATCGAGGTCTTCACAGATACCAAGTTCGTCTTCCAAAATGACCTTCCGCAATTTCTGTGCCGACGTTAGCGAATGCATAATTCGATGAGTCCGTCAAACACACTTCAATGCCGCCATCCATGCTTTCTACCCAACGAGCCGTACGCATGAGTTTGTCTGCAGTTCGGATGTAGTACATCAGGAAACGGTCGATGACCCTGATCACCTGGGACGGTGGTACGTCTTGAGCAAAAAGCGTTGCATGCCGAGGATTAGCACCTGCAAGGGGTTCGATTTCTATCAGCATGAAAAGGAAAAACTCAAGGTGTACCCCCATTTCCGCCGATAAATACTAAATCCCGCAGCGGTCAATAATACGCTCACACTAGCAGATGGCGAACGAGCGTACCATTCCATCCTTTGTCAGTGGCAATCAAACCGAAATCTTTGCTTTGGGCCTCGGCACATTCACGAACACATCCGCTGACGCCACCTTTGAGCTTATGTGGCGATCGAATGCCTTTGTATCGTTCCTCCAACTGAATGGCCACTAGTGAGAGCGGCGTGAACGGACAATTCGGATATAATCACTTAGATCAGACATACTGCCTACAGAGTCGCCGATGCCATACCGACACCAGGAAGTCCCGACGCAGGATTTGACTGTTCGGAGCGCTTTACCTGCAGCAGAGTATGAATGATTGTCATCGCTTGATCAATTTAGAACACAGAAAGACCTGCCATATCCGTGGCCACTCTCGAATCCAGCATCGATCAATTCCTTCCAAATTGCAGGAAGGTCAGCTTTCTGAGCACCGAAAAGATCCACACGTTGTCCGCCTGTGATCTTTGTATACAAGCCATCTGCAATTCATCGAGTCAATTGTGGGAAAACATGTAGTCGGAATGATAAAGTACATTTCTTGCCGACCTCGCCGAGTACGATGAGCTTGTCAGGTGTGATCTAAGAGAGCGTTGGCATATCATTTGGGACAAGAAACGTTTCAGGACCTACTTCTCCTGCAGCGATACGAGGAATAACGGAGAAACTTCCTAGATGATGATTTCCGAAATTATTTTTGTCCTCATGTAGTATCGGACGACATACCATTCCGTTGTATATTGGCCAAAAACCTAAAGCACTTTTAGCCGCCCGTTTGCAGCGATCGTGTATGTAGTAACTTACCTATCGTTCGTATCTTGGTTGCTGGCATAGTACTCTTGAGTGCGGTAATCAATGTGATGGCAATGTGGAACACATACCAATGATGAACAATATCCATCACATGTTCGTTATACAGCGATGATAGAATACTGCCGATGGCCGGTTTGCATGTCTCGCAACCTAGAGAGTCGGGCTTCACGCCAATGGCTGCCATTATATCTGGGAAAGTCTTCAGCTTCTTGATTCTGTCATCACGTGCGTTGAGCGGTGAGTGACCGTAGACATGTTACAGGTACGTACTTGACGACGTTGAAGATATCAGCTCGTGGCATTGCGAAGTGAGGACAGAGATTGTTGGATACTGCATTACCCGCCTTCTTCATCTCCGCCTATCTAGGCGATTAACAAGATTTGCTTCATGCGTGATTGAAATACCACCTACTTTGAATATGTTGGTAAGAAGTGGTATACCTGCAGTCTTTGTTAACGAAGGGATAGTTAAGAGGTAACGTACAACTCACAACCACCACAACCAGTCCCAGCTTTCGTCTTTGCCTTGATACCGTTGATCGTATCAATACCTTCTTTGACACACTCAACGATCCTTCCTTTTGTGACGTTCTGCCGGAAGTAAATCTTATGGTCACGGAGAGTAAAGCTATTGGCACTTACATGACAGCTACATATTTGGGTATCATCGTCTAAATCGGCCCCACTATCATCTCTACTCGTGTTACTCAGAATAAACTGAGATGGCGGAACTTCCAGAGCTTTCTGCAATAGACATCAATATTCAAGCGTTCTTTTAGCCATAAACAGCTCGGACTAACCCTTTTCTTGACTAATGCAATGAGCTTGATATAATCCGATGTATCTCCAACCATCATGCCGCCAATGAGGTATTTTCCATCCGAACTAAAAATGTACCTATAGGAGGAAGACATTTCAGGGTCCAAATCTATATTGTAAGCAGGACAAACGATGCATACTTTTTGTATACTCCCGCAAATGGATCTCGGTATGTCAAAGTTTCCATGGGGCCCTCCGCGGCTGCACTAGCACCATGTCGCTTTCTAGGGGAAGAAGCATCTCTGGGTTTCGTTGATGCCGCACTAGGCTGAGGGTTCTCGATAGTCTGCACGGGTCGCTTCTGGCTTGTGCGCCGCCTCTCTGCAAAGAAATCGCCGAATGAAGCTACGTCCACTCCCATCAGTTTAAGCTTGGTGGACAGATCCGGGATGTTCTATTACATATGAATAATCAGAAGTCTCCGTATACTCCGCAGAAGGTGGGACATTTACCATCTTCCGCGGTTCGAAGCTGCCCACTTCAGTTTGGGTTTGAGTCAAATTGAAGGCAAGAATATCAGCCATTTCAATCCCAGGAGCAATCAGACCGTACGTATTGCCTTTCCATCTTGCGCATTCCCCAATAGCGAATACATCCGAAGCACTGGTTCGCAGTTGGTCATCCACTATGACACCATGATTCTCGTCGCAACGAATCCCGGATGTTTGAGCAAGGTCGTCTCGTGCGGTGATGCCAACAGAGAAGATGACAATCTGACAATCCACTGTCGAGCCGTCCTCCATCTCGAGACCAGTGAGAACATTATTCTCAGTGAGTAAACGCTTCACAGACGCGTTTGTCAGGACTTGAACACCCATGGCTTCGATTCGACGAAGGACGATCTCGCCTCCCAGATCATCTAACTGACGTGAGAGAGGATAAGCCTTGCGATTGACGATAGTCACATCTTTCACAGTGTCGAGGTCATAGACGGCCTTGGCAGCTTCCAAGCCAATGAGACCTCCGCCTATTACGGCAGCCTGCAAGGAATCAAATGATGTGAACAGCTGATGCTGCAGCAATTTCAAAGTGCTTACTCTTCCACCTTTGGCTTGGTCGCTACTGGCGTACGCCAGCAGCTGATCCAGGTCGGAAATGTTGCGGTAGACGAAGACACCATGTAGACTGGTATCAACATAATCCGGTAACGTAGCTTGGGAGCCTGTTGCAATGATGCAATAATCGTACGGGACAACGCGTCCCTTGTCCGTGGTAACGTTCTTTGCACTGGTGTTAATGGTTGTCACAGCCTCACCGACGTAGAAGAGAAAACGATCAGGGTCTTGCTGTGTATACCAGTCGGCTGTGCCACTAAATGGATATCTAAGTGCCTCCCGTATAGAGGAAGTGTCTATTACCTTGGTTCAGATACAATTTCTCGACATTGCGATGTTGAAAGTACTCAGTCAGCGCAACACGGTTATACGCAACTGACAGATGAGTTAAATACGATACAGAAAAGACACTGAACATTCATTAGACTCACGATATATTTCTTCACCACATGTCACAACACGATATTTACCACTTTGGTCGAAGTTCAACAGCTTCTCAATGAAAGCTTATGATTATATGTTGGCTTAGCAAGGTTCATGAATGAAATACGAAGCCTTCAACATACCTATTCCGACCATGCCAAGGCCTACTACGAAAACGGTCTTGCGAGCCATGATGGAGGGTACTCAACCAACGTCGAAAATCCTCGCTCGATGGGCCTTCAGCAGGCCAGCTCTATAAGCAACTTGGCTTCAGGAAGGCGCACACCAGCCGTATCAGGCCGAAAGCTTCGATATGAATTGTATGCTTTCCTTGCCCCGACAGGAGCACGTTATCCGGGATCTGCCATGCCTGTGGGACACGTCTGGATGGGCGCGCAAGAAAACAAAAGGGACCGAGCTATCTCGTAGACATTCTACCTTGCAGATAAGGCGGGGAACGTGAAAGCAGGGGTTTGTTTGAGTTCCTGAGTGTTTTAGGTTGATGTGATCGAGTTTGCACAACTAAAGATAAGTAGTCGACGACCTCCAGGTTATGCGAATGTTGGTTGAAATAGGGCGCTAGCAACCCACTGTGCGTACCAAACGCCCTGGATCCTGGGATCTGCGAGGTCGAATGATCGGTACTGAGAGTTTTCTTGCGCTTAGGGACCTAAGTACCGAAGGTTAACTGTTTGTTCGCAATCTCGACGAAACAGAATCATTGCCCTGAGAGAGGACTGTTTGTGCGCTAAGCGCGCCCAGACCTAAAAAAGGTAAGTTCTGTAAATAAGAATATGCTCTTTGTCTGGCTTACAGTAAAATACATTGGTGCTGAATGCTAGATGGTACTGAGGCTCGAAAAGTACAGACACTCAATTGCGATCTAGAATGAATACAGGACGCCACGGTCAATCGTGACGACGCGGAATGGGTCATACAGTCGTAATCATTGTCATCCAGTCAGATGGCTTATGTGCGTCTTGTCGAACAGACGCACGAAGATCAACAGTCAGCCTGACAAATGTGGTGGTCCCGAGAACTACCGGCCAGGGCTGCTGACCCCAACGTCCTATCGCTGTTTCGCTATTAGCTAACCACTTCTCCCCACAAGCGGTCTGAGTAGTTCTTTTGGTCCTGCTCCTCCTGCAGAGGGGGAAGGGGCATCTGTCGTCAAGAGGACCACCTGACAAAGTATCCATTTATCTCTCGTCATCGTCTTACACACTCAAAGCAACTTGGTGATCACGCCCAGACCCTACAAAATGCGTCTGAGTAACGATCAGACGTAACGGGAGATTGATAGTTCACCTTCGTCTTGCCCTCTCTAAACAAGAGCTTCATTCCCTCCTTGATGTATTCGGGATGCGAGATAAACTCAAACGTCACGGTGGCACGGTCGCCGGTACGCAGCACGCCCTGAGGATGGTCCATCGCGACGATCCGCACTGTTTGACGAATAGCCTAGAAATTGGTGGATATAAATGGGAACAACATGGATACCATGAAGTGGTGCTTACCCCACAATGCAACATAGCCTGATAGTTTCTCTGCAAGGTGGTATTGTGACTAGGAAAAGGTGAGCATGAAGCACCGCGAAAGATACAGGCAGAACTCACTAGAGAATCAAGACCTGGCCCTCGAAACGACGAACAGCTAAAATGTTGAAATATGATTGGATGCATTGAAGCGAGCGATGATCATCCGAACCCACCTCGCGGAGGAGTCTCAGTTTTATGGACTATCACCATGCCTTTGCGGACTGCCGCTCTTCTCATTCGCTTCAACGCAAAAGACACACACTGGCCGGCTTCGGCGCTGTTTACAGGAGCCCTGCACCATTCAGGTTATCAGCTACATGAAGTCTCATAGATTCCAAATTCCAAGGGGCGAGCCTCACCGTTTCCGCTGAATAGACTTGATCACTGTGTTCTGGAAGTTACCATTCGAGTCTGGCCCGATCATGACTGCATCGCCGGCTTTCACTCTCCCTGCATTCAAGATGCCATCCACGACGGTGCCGACGTATGGTACGGACCTAATGAGCGCTGAATGAAATTGGAGAAGCGGGAAGATACTAGTCAACGTACCAGACTTCGGTCACACAATACTATGAAGATGAGAATTCAATCAGCACCAGGCACAAAAAGACATGATAACAAACCTCGAGAGGCTGATCAACCAAGAACTTCTCGGTGTCACCCTCGCTAGCAGGTAACAAATTCAAGAACGTGCGCAGCTGCACAAACATTTAACTCAAGAACCTGGTTTAGCGATGCATTAGACTCACATAGTCCAAACCTTCCCCAGTAACATTGGATAACTGGAATATAGGACATAGCCTGTGAGGTCACATTGGTGACATGTTCTCCGATTCAGATGAGATGCCTGTTATACATACCGGTCTTTGGCAAAGACTTGAGACACCTCCACAGAGGTCTCCTCTGACTTGACGAATATTGGCGTTTTCCGGCATCCAGGGCTCTTCAAGATCTTGGTCACCTGTTTGATAGTCTCTTCCAGCTTAGGCCGAGGAGTCATATCGATCTACAGGTACGTCAGCAATGAGATCGCACACAGGCAAGCCGACGGGATTCACCTTGGTGATGCACACCACTACAGGGACGCTTAATGCAAGAGCAATTGCTAGATGCTCTTTAGACATGCCAATCAATCCAGCGTTTCCTCCGACTATTAGGATGACGCAAGATGGTGCGCCGGAGGTCAAACCGTATAATGTAGTCTTTAGGTATCTCTCGTGACCAGCCAAATCTGCGTTGAGGTCGTCAAATTTTTAGCATTACGGGGGAACAGGGGCCTTACCAATGAAAGATATGATTTTCGAAGCTTGTATTGAGATATCCTCCCAGCTCATTTTCTCGCGGCGAATGACCTCCAATTCGGTCGAATGAGATGTTGGAGGTAATATTGGTTTACCCGTAGGTCCAAATCCAAGGATCTGTGGAGCGTGAACATGCCATTAACGCTTTCATAAGAGCACTACCTACCTCCATTCCCACACTGGAGGTACGACCACTCTCAACCTCATGTTTATGTCGGAACAAGCTCACTCGAGCACGTCCTCTACCATCATCTAATGCACCTCGAGTGAGTACTCCTAGGGTTGTGGACTTCCCACTGTCCACATTACCCACCACCGCACAGCGGACTTCGGGAGTCAACGCCACACTTGGAGGAGGTAATCTCAGAAGCAGAGCAATTCGCAAAGGGGCAACTGTCGACTCATATAGTACTGATACCTGAAGATTCTGTCAGAGAAAAAATGTGCGAGGAGGATAGTAAAACCTACCTTCCCGCCCACTTCATCAACAATATTTGTTATGCCCTCGTGTAATGAGCACAACTCCTGAGCAGTTCGAGGTGTTCCATGCGCGTCATTGGCTGTTATTGGCTCGTACGCGAACAGCGAGGCGTGCGGTGGAAATGAACCTATTCGGAAGATATACTCGCCCCTCCCTCTGGTAAGGACAGAAGCTAACACGTCCCGAGCGCGATCACGGTTCTCGGCCTTTCCGGATAATAACAAGTCCTGATAGCATTGATGGTGAGTGTGTAGGAATGTGAAGGGTTCCAGTCTCACACACCTGAACCTGCTCATCGATATCGGGTACCTCGTCCTCATCTACTTTACTGGGATCCGGAGGTGACTGAGCCGTAGACGAAGGGTCTACTGCTCGTTTACGATGCGATATTTCATCGATCTCGTTCTGGAATGTCCGTAGACTAGTCATGTTGAAAGGGTGGTTATGCTATGAATCTGTAAAGTATGCTTTGTTTGAAGCTACTTTATATGCAGACCCAAAAGCGAGTCAATATGGGAGTCACAATGGCAGTAAAGGCGGTCCACTGGATGACTCGGTGCTAAGTTCCACAACAACTAGTCCCTAGATACTCGAGAGACCAGCTTTCAAAAGCAACGAGCATCTATCGAAGTGATGTTTTCGTTGAAGGGTCGGTTTGCCTCTAGAACTCGGAAAGACCCAAGAAAGACCAGAGGAAAGCTACGCCGAGTCAGGCTCGATCCCTCACCGATCGGTCGCCTTACGTAATCGACGTTACAGCCGACTCTGCCACTGAAAGGGCCATGTCAACTTCAACCTCCAAAGGTCCATAAACTTATCCTGCTTTAACAACGCCAGGCGACACACATTAAAGACGGCGGGGGCCTGGTCTTTATCTTGGACCTTGTCAAAAGCCGGGCGCGACGTTACTCCCGTTACCCCTTGGAATTTGGAAGTAGTCACATCCCTTCAACTTGTTCAAAATGGATGGGCAATCATCTAGCCAAGCTGGTCCCAGCACCGCGCCAGAAACTTCATCTACACGGACACCTCTTGGTATCTCAGGGTGTGAGGTTGGCGTGTTAGATCCTAGTCAACGTGACCGTCTTCTCAGCACACCGGACGCGAAGCTTTCATTCGCCACCTTCCATCCCCGCACTGCGGCTGCTTTTCAATCTGGACAGCCACATAAACTTTCTACTCAGGACGAGCTATGTAACTCGAAGCGGATTGTAATTGAAACCGTTCCAGGTGGCGAAAGCTTTTGGCGTTGGGTGCCCAGAGCCCGTGGCGTCCAGAGCGTCGAAGAAGAGGGCCACTTTCCAAGGGTGATCGAGATTTGTGGGTGAGCAAGCCACCCGTTATGTATGTCCTGTCATTCCTTCTGACACGACATACAACGTTTTGAACGCGCTCTTCTCCCACAGTGAACTCGTACATTGCACTCAAGAACAATGGGATATCTATAAACTAGATCCTGCCTATGACTGCTTGATCCAGCCACCACCAAAGTTGACCGTCATATCGCGGAAAGGCAAGAAACGTGCCTCTGAAGCCCCGTCCGAAGGTGCAACTAGGAAAGCCGGTGCCGGTTTACCAGATGAAGAGCCTTCAAAGAAGAAAGCTCGACACGTCCACGTCGAAACGGTTCCCGAGTCGGACTCAGATGATGAAGACGAAGTGATCGAAATGATCATCGACGAGAGCCAGAAACCACGCATACCAAGTAGATTGAAAGAGCTCCACCAAGAGCGAGCTCGACAACGCCACCGGCAGAGAGTGTCCAGCGGTCGTACTCGGCCTGCGGCTCCCCCAATGGGCGACCAGGAAATCCAAGAACTGAGCATGATTGATCTCACGCTTGAGGATGAATCACCGCCTGCCGCTTCCCCTCAAGCTGCTGATGCCTTCACGTTCAAACGAACATACGACGAGCAGAGTGGGCGGCCAAGTAAGCGCGTACGAACCCGTCCCCCCAGTCAAGAAAAACATGGACCTCGACATCCTCCTCAAAAGGCACGAGAGAAATTGGAGGAGAGGATCAAGATAAGTCGGATGCAACGTGAACAGGCTTTCGTCCAGAGCTTGTTTGCGGCTGCAGCTGAAGCCAATCAAACCGGTATGTTTCGGAGATCTGACTGCGATATCTTTGTTCATTTTACTCTTTAGGCACAAATGGAGCATATACCACGTATGATACCCGGTATACAAATGGCAGTCCGGATCTGGTCAGCCTTGAAGAGAAGATTCGGCGTGTGGCTGAAATCAACGAATATGAACAAGCTCGCGCAGCCGAGAGGGCTCGAAAAGAACGAGAGGCTCAGGAAGCAGCCGAACGCAGACGCAGAGCTGAAGAACTGCGTGCTCGATTGGAGCAAGAGAGGATAGAGCAAGAACGACGATGGGCACGAGAACAAGAGCGAAGACGCAGACAAAAGGAGCAGGAGCGATGGCTATACGGGCCTTGGACAAGCCAGCGTGCATTGGAGCGTTATAGGATGCTATCTGACGTCTTCGACGTGGCTAAGTTCTCGCCTGAGAAACCGATAGGTTTCCTTGATATCCCATGGCCAGTCTTAGCTCGACCGACAACCTACGGGCCGCAGGACATCGACTGGACTGCTGTGGAACACTTCTTCAAGACCGTGCGGACGCATATGCGCTCACAGGATTACAAATTGTTTGTGGAGAAGAGCCATAAAAGATTCCATCCGGATCGCTGGAAAGCCAGACGGGTGCTACAGAGTGTAGAAGATGAGGAGGAGAGATCTTTAATGGAGGTTGCAGCGAATACCGTCGCGCAGGCGATTACGCCACTTTGGAGAGAAGTGAAAGGTTAATATCTTCCGTCAGCGACACCTCGTCACCTTGTTCAAGGGTGAACGCGTTTTTGTATGTATGGCTGGGGTCGAAAGGATCACTATTTTGTAGCTTTATCAATCAGACATCTGTCTCATACCCAGTAGCGTCGGGCTCGTCGGACAGGATCTACGGTGAGTGGAACATTCATGTATGAATACGGAGGTATTTGATTTACTTAATACATTGTAAGTGTGGGTCACACTCTAGCTTTGCGCAACTGAGCTATGGCCTTCTCTCAAGTGCACGAGATATCCTGGGAGTGATCTTCGAGAACTACAAAGGTGGGGTCATAAATTTTGACCGTCCAAACGATGCCTTGTAGACCGGCCCAGTCTGTGTGTGTTGGCCTCTTGTTCTTGGCGAGTGGTGCCGAAATAACTGAGTCGGAGGCTGTAATCGTCTTCGGCGCATTGCACTCGACTTCGGAAGTTCATAGTTGGTTCATAGACGCAACCAGCATCAATTTAGGACATGTCATGTGTGCGCCGACGAATTGAATCATTGCAGCAGGTCTGTGTCAATTCGCTTTAATTGGAAGAACTTCGCGAGGAACAAGGCCTTTTGACTTTCAACTATACCGACGTAACCCCAGAAGTTTCCCCGTCATAACCTTTATAGCCCTTCGCTCGACCAACGTTATGGACTCTCATTCATGCAACGTTAGAGCATCAACCTCGACATGCGCACGCTTGCTTTTATCACCGTGTTTGCATGCTTAGTTTTCAAGGTTACGGCCCAGTCCTCTGCTTGGGGTCAATGCGGCGGAATTGGATGGTATGTGAACCATCATCGCACTCACAATGTTCCTTAGCATTTTGTTTCTAGGTCCGGCGCCACGACATGTGTTTCTGGGTACACATGTACTAAGTTGAACGACTGTAAGATTGGTGTGATCGTGATTCACTTGAACCAAAGTAAATAACCAGCCTTGTTATTCAGACTACTCTCAATGCGTTCCTGGGGCTGCACCACCGGCCACGACAGTCACTTCTGCTACTCCACCACCCCCTTCCTCTACACCCACATCTTCCCCGACCACCCCTACGCCTCCGACAACTACCACTACACCTCCGACAACCACTGTGACTGGTCCAGCACCCACAGGCTCTCAAATTCGAGCTGTGCAAGATCCTGTTTTCCATCTTTATCTTCAAAACAAAGGTACATATCTCCCCGCTAATCTTGATAGTTCTATCATGCTCATCATCGCTACTGATTAAGGCGGTAAGCCTATGCTGGGACCTGAAGCGTCCTCCGGCTACTTCACGATCAGCGGGACTATCTCGCTCAACAACGCTGACGGTTCCAAACTGTATCTGAACGCGGATGAGAGTGTCACAACTTCATACAAACCGTTGACACTTGATGCCACCTCCAAAACGACGGATTGGGGTCTCGAAGGGGACACGATCATCACCACCTCTCCCCGACAGCTCAACTTTTTGGCTTGCTCTTCAAGTACTTCTGGATTTTACGACGTGTATTTGCAGGAGGGAAATGATGCGCCTTCTGGAACATCTTGCACGTTGATTACACTACATCTACCTTGTCTGTGTTAGCGAGTCTGAGGCAAATATCTGCAGGTCCGCATCTCGTTCGCTAATATCTGACATAGTGTACATCGCTACAACAGATAAAAAACTTGGATTCCAAAAAGAAAAAAAAAAAATCTGCATGATTATGACAGAGCAAAGTTATCCCGGTTACAGCTCGATCCTGTCTCATAGCTGCATGTAAAAACTGGTAATAAAACACTGCATACCGGCTATCCATTCTCGTTCCTACTTTCTAATATTCTACGCGAAATGAACGCGTCTGCCGAGCACGATCATGTGCCAAGAGCGCTACGAAACCAAATGCGGTCATGGACCGCAGTGACTGCGACTTGCTTCAATGACTTCAGGGCAGTACGAGCCAGTGCCCACAGACTCAAATCTACACATAGACGATACAAATACTGTTCCCCCCGAAAGAGTGCATCCTCATTTCGTTTCCATTCGCAGACTGCTTTTATTCTCCCTAGCTTTCGTTCTCGTCGCCCTTGCTTCGTACAAGGCCGGACAGTGGTCTTTATTACACCACGCTCCAGTTTCCTCAGACAAGGAAGCTCAAGTACCCATAGAGTCAGGTAAAGAAGAAGTCTCAGTACCCCCATCGACTTCTCCACATACGAACGATACAGACATGTCGGAAGGGAAGTACAGTGTCGGCTAGTATGTTAAGTATCCACATCACTCTTTCAGCTATTGATCTGGTGCACATAGCTTTGTGAACTGGTAGGCCTTTGTGTGTGCATTTATTGAATAACATGTAGACTCAATGGGATCTCAGGGGAATCTATGGACGGAAATTCCCTCCATCCCTGATTCCAGTCCAAGACCTCACGTTAGTCTCATATCATGCTATGACAGGAACGTAATCTGAAAGGTCAATAGGCATATCCTGTACGCTTTTGCCAATCTCAAAGCAGACACCGGAGAAGTCTTCCTGTCCGACACTTGGGCTGATCAAGATATCCACTATCCCGGCGATTCATGGAATGATAGTGGGAAGAATCTGTACGGCAACTTCAAGGCTATCTATAAGTTGAAGAAGCAAAATCGCCATTTGAAAGTCCTTCTTTCTATTGGCGGCTGGACCTACTCTCCCACTTTTCATCCTATTGTCGTTTCGCCGGTTCTCAGGTCGAAGTTCGTCGCATCCGCTATCCGTCTTTTGGAAGACAATGGCTTGGATGGTTTGGACATAGACTATGAATACCCTTCGAATGATGCCCAAGCCCGAGGCTATGTGGATCTTCTTCGCGAGCTCAGACATGGGTTGGATGAGCACGCACGAAGAAAAGGAGCTAACTACAAGTTCTTGCTCACCGTAAGTTATGCTATCATGATTGATGAGGTTGCTAAGCCTGACACCGCCATAGATCGCGGCACCCTGCGGTCCTGACAACTATAAGAAACTACACGTTGCCGAGATGGATCGACACCTCGATTTCTGGAACATGATGGCCTATGACTTCGGTAGGTCCTCCATTTCGCTTATTTTTACACTCAGAGTTTCATTAGAATCTCCATTAGCCGGGTCTTGGGACAGCGTCGCGGGCCACCAAGCTAGTCTCTTCGGGGGACCGATCAGCGCGTCAGAAGCCATCCACTGGTATGTTTCTAAGGGTGTTGCTCGGGACAAGGTCGTCGTGGGTATACCGCTCTATGGCCGATCGTTCATGAATACCGAGGGTCCGGGCAAGCCTTTCCAAGGTATTGGTCAGGGCAGTTGGGAGAAAGGTGTCTACGATTATCGGGCACTGCCACTTCCCGGTACCTACGTATTCCACGATGATCGGGCGGTTGCTAGTTGGACGTACAACTATCAGACAAAGGAGATGGTCAGTTTTGACACAGAAAGGGTGGGGCATTTGAAGGGTGAATGGATAAAGAAGGAGGGTCTGAGAGGCAGCATGTTCTGGGAGCTGAGTGGAGATAAGGGAAGTCCGAGGGATGGCATGGAGGGAGGTCCCGGGAAGGAAGCACAACCAGGGCGTAGTTTGGTTAGCGTGGTGAAGGAGGCAATGGGGAGACTGGACAGCTCGCCCAACTGGCTGCGGTATGAAGGTAGCCAATTTGAAAACATGAGAAAAGGCATGGACCAAGCCGATTAACATACGCCTGTATACGTCGTAGTGTAACATAGCCTAGCATAGATGGGGATTTCTAGTTCAAATTACAGCATTACACACGGCATCACCTTGCGTCTTGAACTATTTCATTCTGATGTGAGTATGGTGCTGTTTTCGTACACCATACGAAAATATATGACAGCGGCGCAACAGCTCAAATTATTTCCCGCTTTTTAGGATGATGCGCGTGGTCGCGGTCAACTTCGGCTTCTGTAGTGATGAGCGCTAAATCTTAACTTCAACTCCTAAAACCAACTTCCCAGCATCCCGACAAGCTGCATATAGGCACTTCCCTCAACAGCCGGCGGGGTATAGTTGAGGCAGTCTTCCGCGAAGCTGTTCGGTTTCGAGACTTAGCTCCGTGGCAGTTGAGTCTCAGCCTGCCTCAGTGCCAAGGACTGACTACAACACTTGCCATTTATAGGCACAACATGGCCTTAGGCGCCCCCTCTCACCGACTGTCTTGTGTTGACAATCATACAGTACATGCTTAGCTTCCGCCAAACACAGAAGAATGCTTGATCTGCAATAAGCGAATAGAATGTACAACTCGTGCTGTACTTTCGTTTCTTGCCCATATGTGTACGTTAAAGATAGACAGAGCTCTCATTTATAAGCGTCTACTGTTGACAGCCAACTGCACGAAATGGTCATGCATGTCAACTTCAACAAAGTTCAAGGTTGTTACTACTACTTCCCTTACACGCGTAACAGGCCCTCCAGCAGAGATAAACTAGATACTAAAGATAGCGTCGGTGTCGAATGGTGGCACCACATTCAAAGCAGTGCGGGGTCATTCACCACGTTTCCTTGTAATGCCAACTCATGCCTGTCAGCAAGGCATGCGAGCAACACATGGTTGCTTCTCAGGCAATAAATTCCCATCCAATCGTGTCCATCAGCATCCGAGAAGTTCGTAGTCTTGCGGATCGATCCCCAGGGTCTTAGTACTCCTGGTCCCTTGATATACACGCTGCGGTTTTGAGTTAAAATTGTCTCTGGACCCGCAGGATCGTGTCTTCGATGCATTGAGTACATTTTGCGAATTGAAGCAGGAGATCGCCGAATATGTAAGTTTACATATATATGGCGTTTATAGAGTGCATGGAATGGGCAATAGCGAGATTTCGAAATTCTTTCGGTGAGTGGACTACCAGTACAAGAACGAATCTGTTGGAATATTACAAGTTGAACGTCATGAAGTCAGGGGAAGAAATCTGAGAAGGGCTCTGAATATGATATGAGTACAGCAATGACAAGAGAAACATATCAAAAAGCAGTCGTCACCGACGGATCGCGATAGAGGGTATTCGAGTCACAATGTCCGAACTCATGGCATCAAGTCGTGTAGAACGCGTTCATGATAATGTCGTTACTCCTCCTCACTCAAACCGAGATAGCTCGTCCTTGCCCGGTATCGTGGCTATTACGGAAGGTAGAGCGGCCTCGCTCTGGCTCTTCGTGTCCATATGTGTCGGGTTCTGGGTCAAATGCTTTGTCCGCCCTAACGTAGCTGACAACGCGCGGACTCTTGTGTGTGAAACCGGCGAATGCCAAAGCCTTGCGTACTTCAAGAATTTCATTGCCATGAATCTTATCTCGCAGTAAGGGGTCTCGGGTTGCATCTGCGGCCGCCCCGTTAGCGGGTGCGAGAGGCTGAAACGAAAGGTTGTCATCGCATCATGTCTCCACATACACGCTTGAGAAAGACTAACTTCTGCTGGAATGTCATCGTCAAAATGACGTGTATCCTCCGGGTGCCTCAGATCAGGGCGGTAAGGTGCGGAATACCGATGGATGTTCTCCCAGTCGATGCCACGGAACCAAGGATGGGCCTAGTATGGCAAAGAGCGAGGTCGATATCTAATTTCACCATCCCTAGAAAAAAGTATTGGCGACTCACCTTGATCAAATGTGCTCCATCCACGCTGCCCGAGTTACCAGTCGGAACAACGAAGCCGCTTCGCCTTGCCTGCACAATCATGGAGTTTGGCCTGCTCACGGAAGAGGACGCTTGAGAGCCGAGTCTGTCTTCCGCTTCGCATAGAAGTTGCTCCATCAAGTTGATGCCTTCGTGTGAGACGCGAGGTCGTGCAGGAAATCGCAACGCCTGCCGCCAGTTCAGAATTTTCTGGCGAGTGACGTGGCGCTATTGGAAAAGAAATGTCAGCCCTCGCGAAAATCCGCGAGTTGAAAAAGATAGAGCAAGGCATGCATACCGAGTCGCTGACAAATGGGGGGAATCTAGCAAAGGCTCTGAGAGGGCAATTCGTGGCGAGGCCGAACAACGTACTCACCCATATAGACACTCAAACATTATCACCCCAAGACTCCACCAATCGCATGAGTATGAGTAGCCATGACCACGAATGACTTCGGGGGACACTAAGGGGAAGGATGAGATTCGTAATGAATTGGCTCATGGCCTGAACACCCACTGTACGAGTTCGTGCCGCAGCTGCGGTGGCGGAGGCAGTGAACATGAGAGCAGAGATCATGAGAAGATGGTAGAACACTTACACAGAGTAGGCCAACTGCCAGCAAAGGTGTGAAGAGAAAGATGAGATGAGACTTGTGACAGTGAGGTATTGGAGACGACAAACCTTGCGGCTATTCTTCTCCCGCCATGTGAAGATACCTCCTTGCCCATCGCCTCCTCCCATCAATCGCTCGACTTCCTTGCGGTCAAGGCGTCTGGTCTTCGTTCCGTCGGCCAGTGAATTTCCACGAGTAGATTCCAAGTCGATTCCGTGCTTGTGCAGCAAGTGAAGGCGTTGTTGCTCGTAATCTGTGGGTAGGCAATACGACACATTGAGAGGAGGCTGAACAGATAGCTAGAGCGCGATGCCACGTACAAGATGTATCATGCGCCCAATGAAGATCCGTCCTGGGTAAATGAGTTGTAATCCAAGTCAACAAAGAGCGAAATGATAGGCATTTCTCAGGGGAATCGAGGGAGGAATAGCCGTACTCACGCGAGGCCGAAGTCGGAGAGTTTGATATGCCCTTGAGGATCGAAGAGGAAATTCTGAGTGTGAAAACAGCAGAGATAGCAACAGATAGTCATGTGAATGAAGTATCGAATTAATGAACCGCCAGAAAGATTTCGAAGTATGCCGAGAATGTACTCACATCCGGCTTGATATCACGATGAATGAAACCTAGCTTGTGACAGGACTCAATAGCAAGGACCATCTGCGGCATTGCGGAACCATGTGCCGTCAAGACGGTAGGCAACAAGGATAGCAAGATCAGCCCGAACCAACATAATGAGAATGACAATAACACGCACCTCCGCAACATAGAACCGAGTGAAATCCTCCTCAAACACGTCCCGCTCGATAAGGAGATTCAGGAGGTCTCCACCACCCATGTATTCCAGGACCTATCATGATATGAAATCGGAATGAAATCAGTAATGCCAGTTGCATCAGAAGGGTCGGACATATGTCAGCAGGAACTCAAAAGACTAACCAAGTACAAATGTTCCCGGTCTTGGAAACTGTAGTAGAGCCTCACAATCCACTCTGCACCGTTAGGAGAGCCGACCAGAGACGCAGATTTCAAGACATCTCGTTCAGCACGTACATGGCCCTCTTGGCCCTTGCGTAACATATCGGTCTTTCGGAGCTATGGGAATCAATGAAGCGCAAATGAGCGGCAGAAAAAGGGGAAATGAACTTCCAAACATGGGCAAGGAAAATTATTCATCACCTGCTTCATCGCAAATAGCTGAGCCGACGAACGATCACGAACGAGAGAAACAACCCCAAACGCCCCTGCAATACACGACAAGAAGAATGGTCACGCATGGCAGAGGAACAAAGAAGATAGAAGGATTACCATGACCGATGGTCTTCAGCTTGACGAATGCAGTAACGTCGACCTTGCGCCGCTGTTCCCGAAGATAGTCTGTTTCATTCTGGCGCCATCGACTGCGAAGATAATCCTTCTGGGCCTCACTCAATTGCATATTGATCATATCCTTCTCCATTGCGAGTCTTCGTTGCTCCCGCGAAGGCGTCTGCTTGAGGAGAGGGAAGTACAAGTTCTCGAAGAAGATCCGAGCGGCAACAGCTTTCTCCAGGGTAGCCAGAGAGGGTGTGATTGGTTTCCGAGGAGATGGAATCTCCGGCAAGTTCCTCTCCATGAAGGCTGCATCATTCTCGTGCTCATGTTCAGGATGGGCAGTGAGTCCAGCTGTCCATCGAATTGTGGAGTTTCCAGCCTGACCAATCGGGGTAAGAACCGGAGAGGGTATCGAGGGAATGCTCGGGGAGAGCTGGACATTCTCCCGAGCAGCTGTAGTAAGGGTAGAGGAAGTTGTTGTACTAATGCCATTCATAACCCTGAGAGGCGGGAGCTGTGCATCCGGGCGACTCAGAGAACTTTGGGTAGGCTTCAATCCACTGACGACCTCGTTGACGGCCTTCGCCTGGACATTTTCTCTGATGAGATTCTTTATAGGATCAGCCCAGCGAGGATCTATGATGTTAATAGATCTCAGTTGTTAGCTCAACGGAAACCCTAGCAACGAATCGAACCTCCTAATTTGCCTTGCCCCTCAGGACCCCATCGAGTGAGGAGGGCCTCAGCTTGGTCGGCATCAGATGCGTGAACTAGGTGCCTGATGAAGCAAGTGAGGAGATCAAATTAATTGTGTGCTTGTCATACATTTGCTAACATACACGAATCCAGTAGGTTTAGAAACCATATCTTTACTGATGCGCCTTGCCTTCAGGTTCCTTGGCGGCGAGGCTGGGCTAACAGGGGGCGACGCAATGGGCGGATCTACTGGCTTCTGCGCTGGTGAATTAGCAGGTGGTATCTCCTCATAACGGGGACCAGCGATAGGTTCCGCGTTTTGAGGAGTACGCCAGAAGAGACGCGACGGAGACGGCGTGCTAGGTATCAGAGCTAGCAGATCATAGAAACCCTTATGAAGAAGGGTTCCCCCGCGTAATGTGCTGCTTGGTGGTTCTTCAAAAGTCATCGGAGGCTGAGCGTTATATAGAGGATCGTAAAGATACGGCAAGCCGTAGGGAGACCTGGGGTAAAGACCAGGTAAGCCGCTTGGGTATACCTCCTCATTACCGTAAATATTCTGATGTGCTACCGGAGGCGTAGGCAATGGCCTACGCGGTGGGGCGGCCATCGAGCTCGTCGTTCACCGCGACGAGGAGCTTGGGACACTGAGCCCAACCGTGACGCATTTGGATTCTTTACCGTACTGGCGCGCACTAAATGATAAGCGCCCTATCGGCAAGGTCCGAGGAATCTGAGTCGGAGCACGGAACGGAGGTGGTTTATGTTTTTGTGACAGCTTGTTGTTCCTTGTCCCATACCCGTACATTGTATTCGATACAAAACACTTCTTCTGCATAACGCACAGCTAAAATACTCTCTTGTATGGAGCGTTTCAGCGTAAGGACCTGTTTCGCTGAAGTGAACCGGTTCGTGTGCCTAAAGAATCACTCAATATCCACTGGTACTTCTCACCTGAACGCCGTCCCGAATTCCCTGGATTTTCTTTGGAAATGCGCGGCATCTTCTAGGCAAAGATCCATGACCATTTGCCTAGGTTCCGTCGCCAATCTGAGGCGTACCAAGTACTCGGAGCCTTTTCAACACTAGCTTCTTGTTCTCACCTGTTCTATTCCTTTTGTGCTCAAGGACATGTCCAGCGCTCGCTCGATATTGTGCTTCTCCTTGATTAGGCCACGAATATCCTTTGTTTCAAGACGCTCGAGATGTCTTCTCGTAGAAGTGGACGATATCGGAAGGATAGGTCTGTGAGTCCGGACTTCGGCGGTGCTGCGTTGTTGACTGACGAGGACACGAGGCGAGTTGGAGTGACTTCAACCCGCATGTTTCGCTGCATAGCATAAAAACGCGATCACGTCGTTCTTCCAATTGTTACTTGTCATATCAGATATCACTATAACAGTTCAGCGGGCAGCAAACCTCGTTGGCATTCCGACGCTTTGAAAACACATTTCGGTTCCCCGTCCGCCTTTGTCCCAGCAATTACCCCCAGCTTCACTTTCCCGACTTTGACTTGCAAATAACTCGCTGTGCCTCCTGCCCACCCACCCGCTTACCTGCCACATTGAATACCCTGTGCCCATCTCCTCGTGCTGCGTCGACTCACCTGGTCGTGCAGCGCATGTATATGTTGCGTACTGTCGTGAACTAGATCGCTGCTTGCACCGTTCATTGGGGTCGCCTCGCCTACTCTCGGCTGTTGTTGCACTGGTGTCATGATACATAGGCATACTTCGCCCAGGGTATTAATTGCGGAGAGCCCCAGCCGGTCTTTTGACGATCATATTGTACTTTCACTTAAACTCACCATGTCGCACTCTGACGATCACTTTCATTATGGATGTTTTCCCCGACCTGCACGTAGAAATAGCCCCGCCACGGGTAACAACAATCCCAACAGTAACCCAGGCAGCGTCCGCTCAAGGGGTCTTTTTGGGCTCGGCCATGGTGGGCGGACCGTGCTTCCTCCTCTCTTTCGTTCCTCACGTTCTCCAGGTGTGTATTTCTTACCATGCAGCCTACACGAACAGTCAAGTTGATGGCATGCAATCCTTTAGCTCCCGACATGTTCCCTGCAAATCAGTACGCTCAACAGGAACCAACGCAGGGACGTACCGATTACAATCTACCTACATCATCATACGGTCATTCGCAATGGCCTAGTAATACCGGTAAGCATAATATGAGTCGGCTTCTTTGTGAATCATTAACCGATCGTGCGTCTCGTTGTATGAAATCTAGTTCAAGCAACTCATCAGTCCACGTCATATCCAGCCGATCCTCGATATTCTATTCCTCAAGACCAATATTCATCGTCGTACCCCGCTCGAGGAAACACATCCATCTCTATGGATCCGCACGACGCTCGCGCCCTGCCTCCTATCGGCTCTCAACCACAAGGACAGTACTACAACACTTCCTCTAACCATCCTATGGCATCGGCCTCTCACGCTCCTTCTAGTCGCTCACCTATCGATCAGTTCCCCGGGCAATTTACGTACAATAACCCTTCTGCGGCTTATTACCCGCCTGACCCGAGAACCTTACCCCCACCTGTCCCTTCTGGTTCTTTTAACCAAATACCAGGTGCCGCCATACCACGTCGATCGTCTATGAGCGTCGACCGCACCATTCCTTCGAGAGCGTCCATTCATGGACAGGTGCCGTACGCTCGCGATCCGCACCAACTAGGACCGTCCTACTCGCATGATCGTAATGAACCCCTTATCAAACCAAAGCGAAAGCGAGCGACGGCAGACCAATTAAAGGTCTTGAATCAGATGTATGATCGTACTGCATTTCCATCTACAGAAGAAAGGGTCGCCCTGGCGAAGCAGCTTGGCATGTCCCCGAGAAGCGTACAAATATGGTACGTCTTAGTCAACGATGTATACCCTGCGGCTTTAGACTGACTCACTGCGTCTCTGGGTAGGTTCCAAAATAAGCGTCAAGCTCAGAGGACTCTGAACAGACAGCAAGAAATGTCTTCAAGCGCGCCTCCACCTCCGCCGCAGCCTTCAAATCCGTACCAATCGAGTTCTTTATACGGCGCGGTCCCTCCCGGTGTCTATCAGCCTCAACCCAGGCCCTCCACAGCCCAAGGCCATCACATGTCTGGTTCACCAGGCTACGATCCGTCCCCATCGCCATCGTCGCATTCCAGAGGACGAAGCCGTGATGCCGATCGTAATAACCGTCGTTCTCCCAGCCGACCCCGTTGATCGTCGATACGTGACATCAGCACGTCGCCGCTGGCCAGGGCGTTGCTGGTGGCTTCGACCGGACCTACTCTATCTCGGCCATGAACCATTCAGCTATGCTATCTCGCTCCCTAATTCTCATTATTTCTTTATTATCGCCGTCCGCATGCGCATCCACATAAAGACATTCCACATACACACTCACGGACTGGTATTTGCTATTTACTCACTATTTCCTGTGTTATTGCTATTTCAAGTCCAAACTATATCGCTCACTCACTCACGCATCATAGGCTGTATCATTTATCGTATTTAGCTTCCCCGCATTGCACTCATTACATGCTAGATTATCTTATGCTATCATAGTTTGCTTCCAGAATAATTCTTTACTACGTAGTTGCTTTGTACTTGCTCTTCTATGATGCTTTCTTCGCTATACCACATGCTTTTTTGACATTATCTTTGTCCATCTGCATTGTCATTCGTCATTGCTTTGACTTTCAAACCTTCCTGACCTTCTCAACGAACCTGCTGATTTCTCCTACTACGTACTTAGTACGTATTCTATTCAGCGGCATTCATAATCGAGATTATCACTCAAAACTTAAAATGCCATGAACGCCAGGAACATGCTTCAAACAGTATGCAGAAAGAGTGGACAAAGAGCGTATATTCCGAGACATCGTGAGATGACATAGCTATAGCTTCGTGATAAGTTACATAAAAGCAAGTGCACGTTAGCGAGGACTCAGTCCTCGGAGAGCAATGAAAACCCAGCGGGGTCTTGCAGACGGTTATGGGATCTACCCAAACAAAGAGATCATAATACACCAGTGCTTCCCGAAGCAGATCTCGATCTCAAAACCCCGGTCAAGATATAAACTACAAAAGCAATGCATAAGCCTCAAGTAGAACGAATTAGCGACGGCCAAACTTACCAAAGATCAGAAGCGTCAGATTAGTGGTGACGCTTTGCGAAAGAAGCGTGTCGGCTGTGGCGTTTGGTGTTCGTCCGGCATCTGCCTGTGGAAGAGGGAGAAGAAGCACGTGTGGATGAACTTTGCGGGGACGATGCAGGAGCGGCGGATGTCGCGGGCGTGCTTGATGGCTCTGCGTCGGGAGAGGATGAGGGTGAGGAGGAAGCTTTCGTGCTGCTGGGGGAAGGAGCAGCGGAGCTGGATGCAGCAGCAGCTGAGGAAGAAGCATTATCATCGCTGGAGGAGCCGCCAGTGCTGATAAAGACAGCTGGACCAGGGGTCTTGAACGAGTTGAAACCATCGGACCAGATATCCGGCCACTGAACAGAGTCGTAGAGACCTGGGATCGAAACGAGCTCAGACCCAGATGGTGATTTGTTTCCACCACCGGTAACCTTGACTTGACTTAAGGAGGATTCAGCGACCAGATTTTACTATAAGACACGGACAATACTTACGCGCACATCGGGTAGAACTGAGGTTGACCGACGGAATGAAGAGCGATGATCTCGTGACGCAAGAGCTAAATAAAATAAAAACAATTGAGTGGGATGTAGAATATGCCAAATAGATGAGACTGACATAATCTCCAGCAGCTAGGGAAGACGGAATCGTACTCGTCCAGGAGGCACCATCTGGACAATTACGGTCAAAAGCAATCAGGTACAATAAGACAATTGCGCTTACCTGCAACCAACTTGGCGGAGGCCCATTGCTTGCTGCTCGAATCGTAACCGGCGGCGTCAATCTTGAACCATTTGGCACCGGAGGGATTGAACTTGGTGCAATCACCGTTGCAAGAAGCCATGTATGTTGATACAGGTCCCAAGTGATCTACAAAAAGAACTTAGAGACTACTTCGAAAAGACAATGATCTACCTTACCACTAGGCCACTATTATTATTATTCTCGTAGTCAGTAAACTAATGATCGATCATATGAAGCAAGACGCACGTTTTGCCAGTTGAAGGTAACCTTGCTGCCTGCGGCAGCATCCGCTACGAGTTTGGCGGGCTTCTCGCCACCAACGTTGCAAGCCAGACTGGCGTCACCAACGTTAGTAACTATAAGGTGCTCTATTAGTGAAAAGATCGTAGTTTAGCACCAACAAAACACATACCGGGGCCATCATTCGGGATGGGGCGGACAATCCTGCTGACCCCAGACTCGTAGAGATCGGTGAAAGGAGCAAAGCCAGGGAATGACTTGCCACCGACGGTGATTTCGTGCACGTAACCATGACCATTTACTACACCGGCCACGGACAGGGCAACAGCAACGACAGGGAGGAGAGAAAACATGTCTGTTTCTTGGAAGGAGTGAGGGGTCGGAAGGAGTGGCGAGGTTGTAAAGATAGAACTAGTCAGAAATGAGGCCTGACTTGTAGAGAAATACGACGCCTCGAGATGAACGTGAAGGGGGAAGGAGCGTGAAGAAGGTCAAGACGAAGTCGACGGTAACAGACCTCGTTGAAAACGGGGAACCGAAGAATGGACGATATCAACGTTTCGACTCTTATATAGCAACGCCGCTTCCGTTTCAACTTGATTGTCCCATTATTTTCACTGCCTCTCATTGTTCTGCCCAGCGTTGTTGCGCCGTCCTATTGTGTTCACCCTGACAGGATTCATTCCGGTCTCTACCTAGTGCTGTCAAGACAGAATCCAGATACTGTTTTATTCCTCGGAAAAGGGCAGTTATGTTTGTTTTTTTTCGCTGCAGTTGACGGCCTAAGATTGATGCACGATCGAACACGCAAAATCCATTCATCCAAACGCAATTTGAACGTGCTGAACGGGGGCCTTTTCAATTCTTAGGGTCCGGTTTGCAGCCCTCCCCCGAACCTTCGGGAACGGAAGAAAACTTATCATGCGACCGATGGGATGGAGATGAAGCTCTTCGTTGAGGCATTAATTTTGACGCCGCGTTGAGTGCGAGTCATCGCGAGCATGCTTGACGTTATGAAGATATTCGTGTTTGGGACGTACTTTCATGATAAGTGTATTGCCTGTAGATTAAATAACACACCCAGGGATATGTTCAATGTGTTCATGCAACTCTAGGGAAGTACATGGCGGTATGGTACATCGGACAACTTACTACTTATTATCCTAGGGGATCAGAAGGGCTAGTTTTGTTCTATTGCTACAAACCTTACCGTCCGTCCAAATACAAAGGCGTGTATAATATGCCAGAAACTATCCAGTACATTAAGAAAACATCTAATAGAGCGAATCAACGAGTTTGAATACAGTAACTTTGTAAGTCAACTATCATTGTGAAGACGTGAATCGTGATTGACATGCAAAGGAAGTCCAAGCAATGATGCGGATAAGTTGCACGATGTTCACGAGGATTCACGTAACCATCGTAAGATTTCTTTGAGGCCTTCGCCACCGGTAAGGAGTGCCTGTCCGTGTCGACCATCGGGATCGAACCATAGACCTTTGCGAATGCCATGTGATGTGAGATAGCGTTTGACACGCTATCCGAGGTCAGCATTGAGTACACTTTCCACAAAGAAGGTTTGATCACAACACCTACCTCGGCGTCGACCACAGAATCCTTTCCGCCGAGGAAAAACTTCGTCTTGGACGGATCATATGCATTGGGTATATCTTGTAGCCATAACGAGTTTGCGTGCCAGTCGAAATGACGTTGAAGGAAGTTGGCTACACCTAATTCCATTCCAACGAAGTACTTCATGAGGAGCTCGAGGCCCTGTATATAAGCGAGTAAGTCAGTGGATCCGGCACGAGGCAAGGACTATCCAGCGAAAACGAACATTTACGGAACGTCTATAAATAAAGTTATAGCAAAGGTCTACATTTCATGAATGGTGCATTGATACTGGTTCAGTAATCCTGCCAGTTGGTAAGCGTACCTCCTTCCCAAGAGCAGAATGTCACGGGGTCGACAAAGCAAGAACGCCGGATCATCTCAGGGTACGCCTTCAACATCCAAGCGTGCGTGAAGGAACCACTAAACACAACGTTAGTTTCATCACTATAATCAACATTGAAGGCACGCACCTCGAATGACTGATCACAGTAACGCCACTTGGCCGGTGAGCTTGCGTCTCTTGTTTCTCGGACTTTTCCTCATTCTCAGCACTGCATTGTTCTACCCAGCCAAGCTCGCGCAATAAGCCCGCGAGACATTCAGCAGACTCGTGTCTGTTCATGGGCTTCAGGAAACGACGATTGAATATGTCCTGACTGACGTGAGGATGCAGGAGTATCAAGACGGGACGGTCAGGGACTGCACGCAGCAGTTGCGTGAGGAACACAATATACTGTAGAAGCCCAAGGCCGAGTCCGTGGATGAAAACAATCGGACGAGGGCCTGTTTCTGGAGACCACGAACGGGGCATATGGAGAAGATACCTAGCGCGAGATTAAAATGAGGTTCTCGCAATGGAACTGCGCAAAAATGGTATAAACTGACTGTAAGCCATTATAACTATCGGACTTAACGTTCCACTTCATTTGTAAATCTCGGCGAATGATGTGGTTGCTAATCGCCACAAAGGCATACCACACGAGAGGTCTCCAAGCGACGTTGATTGGATCCAAAGTGAGAAGAAGAGGGCTGCTGTCCAGGTTTGAACCCTCCGAAATGGACGTTCCGGCACGTTTCTCTATCAATGACAGAGCATCTTGTAGGATGGTTTTCTCAGCGTCTGAAAGTGACTCCAAAGAGGTAAAAGGTGCATTGTAGATGTACCAATAGAGCCACGCATACATCTCATGCCTACGGATTGATGACCAAGGAACCTTGCCAAACCTTAATAAGAGACTGCGGTTAAGACTGCGTACGCGTGGGGTTATATGGCCAGGGACGCACCATGTGCGCATATAGTTACGAAAATCGACCGCACGAGGATCGTCGAACTCCAGAGCTACGATATCCTCTGTGGGACTACTTGGCCTCCCGCCATCTTCCTCTTCTGAGCCTTCTTTTGGTAACGATGCTAAACCAGCCTGAAGAGAGCGTTTAAAAGCGCACTGCAACTCGGTAAGGCTTATAGGACCATGGGAATGGGGCCTTGATACAAGGCGTGCAAGACCATACAGGTAAACGCTAAAGATGACCTAGATAGAGAACAGCTGGAATGGAACAGGAAGAGATGAGGGACCTATGTCTCACCTCACAGAGCGCCCACGCAAACAGCAGTTTGCCATACCAGGCAAATGTCCAAATCGAACAAGAAAAAAGGCAATAGGCAACGAAGCCCCAGGAGATAGGGATCACAGACCAGATAGGTAGTACAGCGAATAGAAGGACAAGATGAAAAGACAGGTTCTTGCGAGGAGGAAGGTGGAGGAGTTCTGCGATATCTTTGGTGAGTTCTGAGTCCATTGTCGTCAATTACTGTAGCGACAATAAGATAAAAAGAGGAGAAGAAAGCGAGACAGAACTGCTCTGACTCCTCTTAGATGAGTGGACGATGGACTCGGAGCCCCTAGACAGCAGCAGACTCACCCGATAGACTAGGCAGTACGAAAGGAACAAGCGCCTTTGATCGACGGTATGTATGATCGGCCGCTGTCGCGCGTCGCAGCTCGCAACTTTTCACCGACGAAGTTGCATAATGCAAGGTTGAACCCTACTTAAATGCCTGAATACAACTCAAAAGAAAGCCACACGCCAGATTGATGAAACGTAAAGTAGTGTGTAGTTCTCAACAACGTCACGTCGCATCAAGTTGTATCGTGATAAACTAGTCAAAGATCTCAAGCGTGCCCGTGTTTGTGACCCATTATAGCGGGCGCTTCAACGGCACTTGTAGGAGGCGTGGACGTGCCTACCCAGATGCTTCGCTGCAGTGATTGACATGCGAGAAGAGTGCCAGTCGCTGGGTAAAAGACCACTCGCGATTCACCGCGACATTCAAAGCCAAAAAAAAGTCTAATGTCATTATCGTAAAGATATAGATACGGAGGCAATAATTTCGCTCAGTCATCGCTGTCCGTGTCCTCGGGCTTCGGACCACCAAATGTCAACCAGTTCAGCTTTCTGGCCTTCCTACGCTCCTCTTGAGCCTTGAGCTGGTTACGTGTCATCTTCTTCTTCTTCCTGAGAGGAGGCGTGCCCGCGGAAGCCTCGCCTTCTGCTCCACTTCCTGCTGGAGTGGCGTGTGCCGAAACAGCAGGCGACTGAAGGCGTGAACGTGCGGGCGTATTCGCGCCACTACCTTTAGGGGTTTTACCATCTGCGAACGCATCTTCGACAACAGCAGCCTTGCCCTTGAACGTCATGCGTCCGGCATCAACGTTCCATATTTCGGGGCCTGTAAGGCACAACGAGGAACAAGTCAGTCCGAGGCTTAACTGTGCCACAGCGAATGGTGCTTACAGAGCGCGGTCACAAACTCTTCGTTGTGAGAAATAATGACCTGCAAAGGTAATCAGTTCTCCATTCCGACTTGCAACCAACGTGTAACAGGACACTCACCACTGCGCCAGCCCAATCACGGATGGCGACGGCTAGCCCACCCAATGCCTCGCGATCCAAGAAGTTACTAGGTTCATCAAGGACGCAAATCTATATGGAGTGTCAGTTAAGCTTTACATGCCAGCATGTCGTGTCCGTACCTGAGGATTGTTCCACAGACATGCAGCAATTACAAGCTTGATCTTTTGTCCTGGAATTTCTGTGAGCAAGGAGAAAAAAGGTAGCACCACAGCTAGTACACATACCTCCTGAAAGGCCAGAAATCTCATTGTATTGCGCGATGTCGCCATCCAAACCGATATCTTCCAGATGCTTTCGGACGACATGAGCGGAAGTATCACGCTGACCAGCACCTTCACGGGAGGATTCGAGATCATCGAACTGTTGCACGACTTTCGTGAAGCCTTTCTGCAACAGTTCATCACGAGGAATCCAAGTGTTGAACTTGTGGTCAAATCCTTTCATGCAACATCGTTAACAGGCTGTGCAATCGTTGCTTGTAACTACTCACCTCGCCACTTCACTTCATATTGCAACGACTTCTTCAACTTCTGGCGACCCATGATCATCTAGGCATGAGAAGAATGTAAGTTCCGCGGTGCATCCGAACGATACCCATATGCATACCTCCAACTTGCGTCGCTGGCCATTTTTACCAACAAACTCAACTTCGAGTTGGGCCTTCTCGGCATCAGTAAGAATACGAGTGGTCTTTTCAAGAATTTCGCCTAAAATAACAATCAGTGCCCCTGCTCTATGTTTACCAGACTAAGTACACACGATCATGTCCGTCTTGGAAACGCCATTGAATGTACTGGATGGGAGTCTTCTCGAGATGCCGTTCTACGATGGATTAGATAAAACCAAAGAAGACAAACTATTTTGAGACTTACCGATATGGTGAGTAGCATGTTGGGAAACATATCCAATACGAAGAGCCGGATGCTTATAGACAGTGCCTTCCTGAGGCTCCGTCTCACCCTGTTCACAAGGTCAGCATATGAAATCGCCCGAACTCAAACAGTGATGCACATACAGTGAGCAACTTGACCAGAGTTGATTTGCCAGCACCATTAGGACCAATGATACCAACTCGGCTGCATGGAGAAATAATCAGCATCAGACGAGAGCACAACATGGATTAATCATACCTTGACAGTGACAATGCGCAGCTAGCATTATACAAACTGGGTGTCGACCTCCCAGGATAGGTAAAAGTACAGTTTGTCATCTTGAGGATAGCACGAGTGTTGCTACGAACGCCCATGAGAGACCCAGGAGGAGGGAAGGAGAATTTGACCGATGTTGCGGCCAGGGTATAGTACGACTTCGCCTCAGGATGTTTCTCCACAAAGGTTGAAAGGTTGCCGGGGTAATGAACGAGCTTCTTGCTCTCGTAATGTATGATGTCTGTTGTTATATTATCTAGGAAGCTTGAATCATTGTGAGTATAGTACAACCGAGTTCAAGGACAGAAACGTACCCAGAGTCATGAGAAATAATTAGGCATGTAACGCGCTTCTGCGCCATAAGATACTTTTCGAGCCACTTCACGGACGCACGATCCAACTGCAAAAAGAAAGAAAAAATCATCAGCATCGTGATCCTCCAGAAGAATTCGTGAGATCGTACATGGTTAGTGGGCTCATCAAGGAGAAGGAGATCGGCATGATACAACATCGCCCGAGCCAACTCAAGCTTCATCTTCCATCCACCAGACAAACCACCGACAAGCTCGGATTGTCTGGCGTCATCAAAGCCAACTTCAAGCAACTGGCTTCGGATCTTCTCCCGAGGAACATCAGCCAATGCTTTGTCTAGAACATCAAATTCAATTTAAAATCTTCATGTCTAACAACCAATGATAAACTTACCGGAAGCAATAAAATCAATCACGGACAAGGAAGTATCCTCACCCTGGAGTGAGTGCTCTACCATCACGCAGCGTAATTCACTTTGCGGGGGAAAGTTTTCGACCTTCCCATCGCGGAGCTGCCTCATCAAGGTAGATTTGCCGGAACCGTTGGTTCCGAGGATACCGTATCGTCGTCCACGTATGAGACGCAGCCTGGTGTGCGAGAGCAGGAGGAGGGCTCCATAGGCAAGGGAGAATAGGGTGTCGCACAGAACTTCACCCTCTTCACTATCACCAGTCAAAGCGGAAGCATGATTGGCCTTGTCGATCGCAAGGAAGTGCTGACGGACTTGCTCAGCGACTTTCGCGCCTTCTTCAGCGCCGCCCGAAAGCCAAGGAGCGACATATACACCAAGGCAACGATTCCAAAGCTCAACATCTGAGAAACGCCTGCGATAGACAAGATCGGCAATGAGTGACGAACTGAATTCAAGCGTCCGGTTGAGAAGAGGGTGTTTAGGTGTATGTGGTCCATTGGGTTTGGATGCAGAAACCACGACGAGTTCGGTGGGGAGGAGGGTTAACAGGGCGACCATGACATCTCGAGTTTCCGCTTCAAGATCGCGATGAGGAGGAGGGGGGCCATCTTTTGATGCACCCGCCTTGAGGAGGGTATTCAAAGCTGCTTCCGCGAAGGCACGAACCTAGAATAAATTGAACATTCAATATCTGATCGTATTAGTCATAACTTCATTTCGTCTTACCTCTGGGAACGCAGCACCCTTAGCGATCTTCTCGACGCCCTCGACCAAAGAGTTGAGGTAAGTGGCTGCGATGCTGGGGTCGCGCACCAATTTCACAAGGTTATCAACGACAACCACTGTTCGGCGTTGAACCTCCATACTACGATCGTTCAAAGCACGGATGAGAAGAGGGACAAGGACGGCAAGAGCGGGAGCGGTAACTTCAGCCACAAAAGTAGTCGAAGAAAGTGCTTTAATACAGCCGGGGACGGAATCGGGGTTCGCCATACACTTGACCAGGGTAGGAATGTGAGGGCTGAGATCGGCATTGGCGAGGGTCGTGCATAACGCGGTAGCACATTTGACTGCAGCGGAAGAAACCTCTGCCTTGGTGTCATGCATAGCCGCTTCGACCTTTGGCAGAGTCGTGGCGAGCTCATTGGCGACGGCATCGCGGGCAGAGTTGACGAAACTCTTCATGGCGTCAAGCGCACCGACTTTTGTGCGCCATTTTCCCTTGTCAATGATATCCTCGAGTGTACGGAATACGATGCGAGCAGATTCGGGAGGGAAAAGTTTCAGTATCGCCTTGGTAGCCGCAGCTGCAGCATTGCGGACAACGTCGCCTTTGTCCATATAAAGATCGAACAGAACAGGAAGAGACGGTAGAAGGATGGGGCCAACAGATGGACCAAGTGCTCCTGCAATCGATTGGAAAGCCAAGGCGGCGGATTCGCGTTCATACCCGGATTTCTTGTTATTGGCGAAACCATGAAGACTGGACAAAATGGTTGAATCTCTGTTTCAAAAGGTCAGGACTCCCTGAAGGTCAAATGAATGCGCATATACGCACTCAAAGTTTTCGTAACCAGCTTTAGCTACCTGCCGGGCAAGGCGGTCAGCAGCGGCTTTGGCATCTGTTTGACAAGTCAGCAGGATTCCTATCATGTCGCACTGCCTCGTACTCACCTGGTGCTGTGGGCGCCGTACGCAGCGCATCTAAGAGAGAACCAAACTGAGAATCTGAAGCTACAGGCATTGAGACAGGAGACATCGATGTGGATACAAAGAGTGAAAGAGTGAAAATAAATGATCTATCCGATTAGACTTTGCTGTGTGGTACTGGCGTGGCTTTGGTATGGATGCAAGCAAGTAGAACGAAAGACACCGAGGAGTCCAAAAGTCAAAAAGAATATGCTGAGGAGTTCTATGTGTATATCCCGGATGAGTCCAAGGGGAAAGAGGAAGTAAAGTGCTGAAGCAGGACTGGGGCCTGCAGAGAACCTGGAGGTCGTTGCTCAGCCCGAAAATGTTACGGAGCAGAAAATACCTCTCGCCACGTGCGTCTCGGCTATACCCGCACGCACTCTCAAATCGGAGCTCCTGGATTGCTTTTCCTACAACGTCGATCATGTACAGTGAGTATAATTCAGATTTCAACGTTCAACGTTCTGCATACTAAATGTACCCGGCTGCTCAGATGAATGGAAGGATGTCTTCCAAGCACAACTTCGTTGTTGCGCTTGTTATCCAATGTTAATCTGGGTTTCGCAAATTTGACGTTCACCAGGGAAGTGCCAGGCACAATGCCTATCTGCTGTTTTGCCGGTCATGACCTATGAAACTCTGCATTCCATCATGCGAGCTCGTGTCATAACACCGTCTGCTATCGTTGTGTCTCTGTTACGGTGTTACAACGATGGCGGAGACTACAGGCTCACAAGGACTCATGGTACACTCCCTAACATAGACTGGTATCATGAACGTACACGCGCATCGTATGTACATATCTACATCATCGTTCAACTCATGATATATCTCGTCAGTTGTACTTTGTTGTGTGTGGGTACAGCACTGCCACTCGTGTTACTTCGCAGCTAAGACGGGAAACAACAGATGGTAAGCCCATTCTCCCGCTAGTATCATGCGAAGTGCCATGAAATCATCCTTGTCTTCTGCATCTATCATAGCTCACTTCTCCGGTGTGTTCTGATAGGTGATGCATCCGTATATGAGCCGCAGTGTTCATCCATGAACTTAAGCACCTCCTTTTCTCTTCTGTAAGCTCACTTTCGTAGAAGACTCATTGCAGCGCTAGATGCTGGGATGGCGCCGCCTCACTCACGCGTCAGTATTCTCATCGTTTTTTTGACCCACCATTACACTACTTACCTTCGGTACAGACACTGACTAAGCGCAATCTGAATCTGGATGAGCCAGTCATTGCTGCCATTGCCGCCGTTGTCTTTGCACTCAACATTGTGCTACTTCTGACGTGGTGTGTGCTGAGGAGGCCGCAGACCAAGCGGCCTCGACGCAAGCTCTCCGCGCTGCGCACTCCATGGCCATTAGAAGTTAGCAAATACGACAAGGATCGTATCTGTGCCATCAATGCTCAGCCCCTGTTTCCAATCTCTCTTCAATCCGGCCTCCGGCTCGCATCTATCGATCTTCGTCGCACTCCAAGACGCAAGATCTTCGCGGGAGCAGAGAATCAGGTGATGCTCTTAACGCCACCGTGAATCAGTCGGATCGTCGTTGTGCACAAGGTCTGAATTGCGAGACCACCGAGCCGCTTACAGCTTTCGATCCAAGATCTTTGGAGACCGAGCCAGCGAGCATTTATTCCGCTGCATCTGCCCCTCACAACTATCATGACTATTACTTCTACCGTCAATCGTTCAGATTGGAGAGCACTGCTCCGTCAAGTGACCGCCGTGTGCCTATCACTTTCCCGTCATATCCCCTTAGCCTTACACCGACGATGCCGTCTCTCCGTCCTTCGTCCTTGGCCGCCTCCCAAGACCACCCGTCTACCGGCAATCTGACACTTCTGTTGTCGCACGTTGAAGGAGCTCGTCACCTATCGTCAATATCGTTGTCAGGCCAGTCACTTTCCGACCCTGCCCAGGCGGGTTCTCAGCCTCCCTCTTTTCCAACTTCATCGCCTCTGACCAATACGCTAAACATGCCGAATTTGCCTATGTGTCAGTTTTCATTCCAAGTCACAGCACCACTTAACATTCGTCCTCGGGGGGAAAAGAATCGACCGCACTTCGCGTCCGGGCCCTTCGTACCTTCCCACACTGTCGCCGCTGAACAGCCTCGGCGCCCTCATGATCGACTAATACGACCCCCGTCTCATGTTGTGTGGAAGACAAGCCAAAAGATCGAGTCTGACATCTGATGGGATGATGTGGGACAATCTAAAGATTGGCGTTGGTAGTAACTGTATGATCGTCATTGATGTCGAACCTATGAACCTATGACAAAAGATATCGGTGGGCTACTCTAGTTCAATTTGCATCCACTAAGACCTCAGATTTGAGATATAGTTCTCTTCGTTGGCTTATGTGTGCACCTCGCATGATAAACATTTTCTGTCTCTTGCAACTCGGCGGAAGTCGACTATGGTTCACTGTTTGAATTATCGTGATCTACAAGCTAATCAATGGATACCGGACGCCGTGCATGTACGCGGCTATTCGTCGACTAGACAACTCCAACAGCGTGTATGATGAGTATGATATGTTTTACATTCCGGAATAGTACTACTCCATTGGTTATATACTTTAATGTAACAGCGATCTGAACTACTATATGGCGACGAACGGCTAACTAGTTGTCTATGCGCTCTCCGAGTGGTGGAACTGCCGCGCTAGGCGAACAATAAGAAGGGAGACCAATAAAATAGAGTCGAAACCGGAATTCAATGGGCCCCACGATAAATAACATGCTCGAAAGCCACCTGTGCTGGAAAGGGAAGATAAATAGGCAATACGCCCACTGGAGAATAAATAATGCGAGTGATTGAACGAGTGATTGTGGCGAGACTACAATGAATGAATGTGCTATAATTCATCGACATCAACAAAATGCATACGCGAGCAGATCTCTTGGGCGTACCTTGGATCACGATGTAATGAGGCAATATACATGGATACGTATACATCTATACCTTTCAAATGCTCTTTGATACCGGAAAAAATTAAGTAAAATATTGTGTGGGATCGTGATGAGCCCTATCGTAAGGATCGACTGCCTTGACTGCTGGAACTGCCGCGATATTCAGGTTCCGGTTCCTCTTCACTTTCCTCCTCCGGATCGGCTTGCGAATCCGCGTTACGCGTGTGAACACGGGCGTGTCTACGCATGTTACTTTGGACGCTGAAACTCCTTCCACAACCTTCGAATGGGCATGTATACGCTGAGTGCCGGTATAAGAACAATGAGTTCCATAAAGAGTCCGGGCGAGGATCGAACAAAGGGGAAACTTACGCTTTTCTCCGGTGTGGGTGTTGATATGAATCTAGGTATTTTCCGAGATGAGTCAGTGGCTAGAGGGCATGTGTGAGAGGGCCTCACCTTCAAACTACTGGGCCGAGTGAAGCCTTTACCACAGTAGCTACATTCATATCGGTGTCCCGAAGCCATCCGCTCTGGTTCTTGCGGATAGTGTGACGATGAGCTAGAACCTGCCGGCATAGGCAATGAAGGATGGCGAGAAACCGGCGGAAGAGATGCGGAGTAAGGATAAGCATTACTCGGCATTGCGCCCGTCTGCCGAGAGGACATTGGGGGAACCTGGCCGTACGCCTGATATTGAGAGGACGACGCGTGCCTTGGATCCGTGGACGATCTACCCAGAACATATTGGGGATTAGCCCGGGGATCCTGTGGGTACGCGGGGTAAGTGCGAGGTGTAGGGGTCATGCTCCGGGACGTGCCCGGCGGGTAACGAGGATCATCAGATATGTGGAGGTTGTTGAATGGAATTTGGGGTGAAGAAGACGGATGTCGTGAATGGGACGTCCCGGGCACGGTTTGTGACAATTCCGCTGGAGTCAAACGAAATCAGCCTGCGCCACATCCCCGACCAAGACGCACTTACGACCAAAGAGAACACGGATGGAAGGGAGTGTCGGTCTATCCTCGTTGGGGTCTGAGTATTGGGAAGGTTGACGAGAAGACATCTGAACACGACGAGGGAAGAGTGAGGGACAAAGAGGGAAGTGGGTGAGAACCTAAAGTGCGGTTAATCAGCCGATCGAGGAGGCATATATACTTCGGAGAGCAGTGCAATGACCAAAAGGACAGCTGCCACGAGATACATCCTGCGATACTGCGATTCGCGCGGTTAATGCATCTCCGTAAAGAGTCTAAGATCAGAGGCGAGGAACTGCATTTACGGCGGGTTGTTTCCAGATCGTCAAGCCGCTGGACGACGACGCTGATGCATGTTGTATACAAGACAGCCCGGCTGGTAAACTGACGTGGCAACGAGACACAGACAGGCAAAAGATTTTGGGTCTGGCCACAGAGCCAGAGGACACGGGCATGGCTCACATTGGAGTACGAGATGAGATGGGGTGAAAAGGAGTGGCTGTAGGTGGATTCCGTTAATTAAAACTTGCGACCGTCTGGGGTCGAAGCCGTGCATTCAATTATCAGAACACAAAAATGATCGACCGTGAGCCGTCGGCAACCTCCTTTATGGCAACACTTACTCGGTACGATCATGATCAGTGGCTATGCACAGTCACCTGATGCGACTGTCTCGCGTTGCTTTTTGCCCGTCCGCCGCCAATCCAGACAATTTTCTCTAATTAAAGGCACCAGGAGTGCAAAGTCTGTCAGAGTGTAGACAGTGGTCTCCACTAGAATCGCATTGTGGACCCACTCCCACCAGTATGCTGCCGGCGAGATCTTAGCGAACAGGGCGTCACAGATGGTGCAACTCACAAGTGCAATTTCTACGCAGCCTAGGTGCTGTTCATCCGCAGGTAGAGATTATCGAGATATCACCCACGACAGATGCAACACATGAGAGGCGAGGCCCATCCCATCGACTCAAAACAAGGTCAAGACACCGAGGAATGTAATGGTGCCGATATCTACTTCGCACGACCATTTCGCAGTCGCTGACAGACTGTGAGGCTGTGAAGGCTTATTGAGGTAGAAAGGCAATTGAAGAGTCCTATATTTCATTAGAAAACATATGCATGGTTACGATGCAATGCAGCTGGCGAAGCTAATACGCGTCTGTGTCCTGTCTCCAGGCTATTGAAATTATTCGAGTCATTGATTTTGAACTTCATCTGGGGTCTTAGTCTTCAGAGATAGAGCATGTAAACCTTGGGACAATTCATCCGAGAGGGCCGCATAGATCATACGATGGCGCTGCATCGTGGTCTATTGCAATCCAGACGTCAACTTTGTTATGTACAGGATGCTATCTCGGAATCGCCCACCTTGCCTTTGAACTCCTCAGATACGATATTAATTGAGAAATCTGGTTCAGATGTAGAATCGCGATGCTTGAGCGTATCACGACCGACAATGCAAAAGAGCGACATACGAGTTTCTCCGCTTCCACCTCCTTGCGCGCGCATAGCGGTATGATGTCGATGTTGCCAAGAGTCATTCGTAATGGAAAATGCAGTAGGATTCAAACGCGCTGTAAGCTATACGGTTTCGCACAAGCAGTTCGTTCTTAGCGGCCAGCATGTGTAAAGCGCTATCAAGTTGTTCCGCACCTTGTGTCGTATGGATGATTCAACGGGACCAACTGTAACAGTTTTAGGGGGACCTTGAGGGTCAGCGCAGGAAGTCGACATAGAGAGTTTCAAGGGAAGTCGGTATCCAACTGAAACAATGGGAGTACGTCGGAGGAGCCTGAGGACTAACATGTACTATGCAAGGCTGCTGCAGTCTGTGCAGACAATCAGTAGTCTGGCAGCGTGTTGTCGACGATTTCGTAATGCGCTGTGGATCCGAATATCAGAACAAATGTTTCGAGTACACGAGCAAGCCGAATCGGAGAAAACATACATACACGCGTTCTGAGAGGTTGCTAGATCTACCGGGTTCAAGAAGAAGCCCGACTACTACAGGCGTCTATTCCATTTACAGTACATCCGGCGCCATGAGAGGCTGCCGCCCCTGGATCAACCCCCTTCCTCTCTTTCCCTCCTTCAAGTCTCTTTCTCTTTGTAGGCCAACAAGTCTAGCTCCTGCGTATCTCTGCTGAGCAAATTCTCAACCTCTGTTGTTGACCAGTATCTGGACCTTTGCTCGCCGGATACATTCGTCGATCTCTTACTTCAAGGCCTAGGCGTACTATGCCTTCAGACCTCTTCTCTTCTTCCAGAACTTCCTCGAGGGCCCTGTGTGCGGTTGTATCCATCTACGAGACATTCCTTTCCAGGGGCTGATCTGGGTGTGGCCTGATATGAGACGCGATCAGGTGCTCGGATGACTAAGCCTCGCGACCTTTGCACAATGTGACTCTTTGTGCTTTCATTCTTCTCTTTTCCCATTTCCACCATTACATCTCTATGTCTCTTAACACTATCCTCGAAACTCCACACTACGTGGCTTATCAGAGAGCGACCGATAGGTCCATCGCAATCGAGCTTAGGGAGGACGCAACAGATGTGGCCTCAGATCGACGCCCTTCAATGACCGTGAAGCATGTAGAAGAAGACGGCACTGTGAATTATTATGAGGAAGCCACTTCAGAGACGCAAAACAAATGGAAACGGGCTCTTGGTCCTCTATTAGCAAAGTTCGTTGTAAAGCCGGCAGTACAGCTCGAAGGCAATAAATGTGAGTGTCTACTAATTGTTCTCGTCAACTGCATTCCTTGCTCATGCCGTCCATACCAGTCACCGGAAATGTGACTTCTTCCGCGTTATTCGAATTTCCTCGTGGTTATAAGCTGTACACCCATAAGAAAGGCGACCATTACGACCCTCGCAAAGATAACTACCTCATAGGTGAGTAGCTTACGCGTTTCTTGATGCCTAGACTTGATGAATGATCTCTTTGTAGGCTCTCAACATGTAAGGGCTTTTCGCTCTCCTCAAGAATTCTTTTTGCATGCCAAGTGGCTCATGGAGGGGCAAGCCTACAACTCCGATGGAACCAGAGCCTGTGGTTGCTGCTACTGTAACCCAGCAGTAACCCAGTCTGACATCGCTAGACAGTATGGCACTGGTCATATCTCTGACAAGCCCAGGAGACAACGTACTTCTCGCCCGAGACCGGCGACATCTGGGGTAATCCAGGCAAAGGATTACACGAAATTCAATGTGTCTTCCAAGTCCTCCTAGTTTTGCTCTTTGTCCTGCTTTATTTTGTTTATACCCTGTCTACAGTTGCCACCGATTACGGTGTAGTTCTCGTTGGATTTGTATTGTCCATTGTATAGCGTTCTCTAGGCTAATTCTAACACACGGTATATATTTATTGAATACTTTCGCGTCTATCATTCGTCGATCGCGTCGTGTACGCGTTGCGTCTTGCGCGCCAAGCACTTATCTACCGCTAATAGCTATCGTCTGTCTTCCTCATTCACGTTCAAATATTGCTCTAAAATACAAAATCTCTGTCTTTGAACCACGATGGCCATCGTCAAAGATGGTTTAGACTCTGTCGTCGAATGGGAAATGACCGTGAACCAGCGAGGGTTTGTAGACAACTGTTTCGAAGAGGGACAACACGAAACTGGAATTGCGTTGCTAGATAGCCTGCGCAGTCCTACACTTAAACCCTTTCCGTGAGTAGCAGACACTGAGTAGCAGGAACACCCATCTAATTGCGTGTATAAATCGACATATATCAGACCTTACATCCGCCAATTGCTATATCTCGCGCTATATCCTCCCTTCACGCCCTCGCCAGAGACAGAAGAATCCAAGCATAACTTTGATCTCGGCGTACCTTCATCACCAAGCAAACTTGCTGCCAGACAGCACAGATCCATCCTCAGTCCCACTCCAGCCGTGTCCGAGGCTGCTCAAGACATCTTGATGGCATTCGCGCAAACTAACTCTCCAGAGTCACTATTCCGTGCACTCCCTAGTTACGTACTTTCAGACATAGAATCTGGAGCAAATAATAGTGTACACGCTGTTCTTGATGATGACGAAGAAGACGACGATTCACCTCTTGCACGGCAATCCACGCGAATGAAGGAAGTCAAGAATTGTTGGGAGATCCTCAAAGAAGGTTTCATACAGCCCAGGATTGACGTTCCTGTCAGCCCTCGGGTGAGAAGTCGAAGTAGAAGACATCATGCGGACGATGATGATGACGACGACTTCTCTACGACGCCGCCGGACCTTCATGTTGTTGGACCTCATGCGTGGCCTGTTCTGGAGTGGATGATTGTCGTTTTTGAGAAAGATGAATTCACGAGGGAACGTAATCACCACTGTGAGTGTCAAAATTCCGATGTCCTGGATGGTATTGATATTCCATCTAGCTCGATACTCCCCATTATTGCTAGCCCGAATACCTCCCTCGAGGACCACTGGTGGAGGTCGATGGGAAGTTGCAACTCCTCTTGATATCGTCCTCCACTGCCTCCGACAAGAGGAAGAAGAACATAGACTATTGGGCGTCCGGTTAATGACTTTGGTGCGTCCGGCCCACCTCCTTCTCGTTCACCACTTTGACTCAACAAGCTTGTTTTAGCTCATTAACCTTACTAATAGCGAAGATCTCAATATCAATATGTTCCTGACAGCCGCATCTAGCAGACTCTCTTCATTCGACTCAGAACAGATCTCATTTCTGTTCACGCGGCTGCCCTGGAAGTCCCTGACTGTCATGGAATGCAAGCTTGTACTGTGCCGTGGTCTCCTCATGGATCCAACCTCTGGTGTGACCTCGAACTCAAGCACCAGACCAAAACCAACTTTCAGAGCTCAACCGCGATCTCTTGCATCACGTAGGAAAAGGTCGGATTCCGTGGCAGAGAACGGTGCGACCGCAGCTGGTAACAACGCATCGGATCCCAAGGCTGTCTCAACCAGCACCAGGAAGTTTCCTCTCACGACGTCCTCTGATATCCTACGGCTACTGGCAAGCTCGCATATGGCCTCATCTGATTTGCTTCTATCCCTTTGGATCAAGGACGAGCTGGTCCGCAACTTCGTGATCATACAACTTTGGAGTGCAGAGAGTAATAGAGACCCTGGCTGGACTCACGTGTTAGAGAGTGGGCAGTTGATTCAGGCGGTACAGCAGTCGTTCGCAACACGTTCACGCAGTCAGGAGTTGACACAGCAAGTCGAAGATTTGAAGGTATCTCTCTTGAGTTTCGTTGAAACGGCCGCATACCAACAAGCGAATAAATTCGGTCTGTCGTTACACGAATAATATTGAGGACGGCCATTGATCGTATTGATCCACAGCAGTCCATGAATAATGCCTATTATGAAAGGACTGTTTCACATACCAAGCTTTCACAAGTGCAGATGGGCTCCTGTCACGACCTTTTCGAGTCCATCTCGACCTTGTTGCTCATCTTGTGATATTCCCCATGGACCACCATATACTACAGCTTACTAGTACGTATCACATGTACATCTATAACCTAAATGGATTGCAAGTAATCGTCACCGCCTTGCACCATAATGCGTCCGGCGACTTGTAAGCTTGCCGTGTCTTGCGCTGGAGTCGCACTCTGATATAGTTCCAGAGGGACATAACCAATATAATGTCTATCTCCAAAACCCCCAACAAAATAGATCGTCTACGAGGCCGACGTTGGGTGAGTTTGCTGTGCCAATATCAATAAATTACAACGTACATGGGGATCGAATCGCGCCCAATACGCCTGTAAAACATGCTCAGCTTGACAAAGGGAAGACTAGAAAGCAACTGACTACATGGGGCTCTCTTGGGCCAGGCAACCACCATTTGGCATCGGGATGTTTGGCAATATAACAGGATTCGATTTCACCTCTGTTGGGTGTTTCATCCAGCTTGTTAAACACGGTCACATTTCCGATCAGTGAAACTCGGGGACGACTCGCAGTAGGATGTTCACTCCCGATTGATATGGATGCCGAATGAGTCGGGGAATGAATAATGTTCTGACTATGGCGGGAGATGGGCAGGAATAATAGGGTGAGAGAGCCATTTGAGTGACAGCTGTGGAAAATGTTTTGAATGACATGCGCTTGACGCAATGAATGGCGTTGTACCTTGCATAGTACTCCTGCAACGAAAATGGTTGACCTGAGAACAATGTCATGACAATGTAGATCCGATGTCATGTGAATCACTGCGAAGAATACTTGCCTGCCAAAGTCGGGTGGTCAGCCGGATAGACAGTAGCCATGATGCCAACCGCCTCGGTCGCATGGTCAACCAGCTTTCTAGTCAGTTTGGCTATGAAGATCCACAGCATTAGATTGTTTCTTGAGATGGTTCAGGTTGACACGCAACCTGCATCTTCAACTGTTTCCTTAGCCATTACATACTGGCTAAGGAGCGAGTATAGTATGATACACCTGCATAACTTCAAGACGAACATTTCCTACCACCATTGTATTCATAATATAAGTATATGGCAGCACTAATACCGAAGTACACTCACAAATTTCCCTCAAAGGTGGCGGATACTTGACTAAATCACTGCAAACTTGAGCTACAATCGAAAGGCAGCTACAAGCAGCAAGTCAGTGCGATCCTCCTATGGATCGGGCAGTCGGGAGGCAAGGGGATCAGGTCCGCCCGGACACCGCCGTCTGGATAGGCAGCTAACCCGTATTTGGAAAGTCTTATGATGTGAAGAGCCCAAAGAACGGTTCCTGTTGTCGAAATTGCGAACAATCAAAGGTGAACAACTATAAGATGATAAATACTGAATCTGTAGCAAAGCTAAAAGAAATGGCTGTACTTTGGACAGCACTGATAATTATCGTCGAGGAATGGACGGTTTCCCACCATCAAGCCCTTAGTCTCCAGACGACTCTTCCTCTATATCGGTATCTCCAATGACATCAACAAGCTCCCCTTCATCAACACCGCCCAGATCCTTACCCTGCCCCTGCTGGCTCTCCCACATCCGTGCTAGAAACTGAGGTGTACTAGCATCTTCCAATCCTTTGTCTTCCCGCTCTTTGATAAATCTAGGGAATCGCAAACTGAGCCCTCTCGTCTTCGAGACCAGTCCGTAAGCAGCCATGGATACTGGGCTAATTGTAACACTATAGATGACATTTCTCAGCGGGGACAGTGTAGCCAAGACAGCGAAAGACCCACTCGGCACCACGAATTTCCCAAACTTCCTGGGGCTTGAAGTAAAATTCCGGCTTGAGACCTGCGCGCACATTCAATCCAGCGTTTATATTAGATCATCGCTGTTAGGTCTTACCACCAGTGTCACATTCTGGATCCCAGCGCGGTTCTCGCGCACAGGTTTCAGAATCGGGAGGATACCGTTCTTTCAATGCCTGCAGCATATCAGATGTGACTGAAACAGTAGATCGAATTGATATTCAAACCTTGTAGAAGGTATCAGTGAACCCTATTGAATGTTGTTAGGACGGCTGTACACCTGAACCTTATGCATAATTCATACCTGACATGCATTTACAGACCGCAACAAGCTTTCCAGCATCTGGGTCCCAAACAGCCAAAAGAATAGGACTCCACCAACTAAATAAAGACAAAAATAAACTGCCTTCAGGATGTTTATTGGGATAAAGGGAGAACGAGTCACCCACTTCGCCTTTCGTCCATTGCCATGCCATGCACCGATGGGGACGAGATCGAGGCTGTCGCCTAAACCAATGACATAGTCCTTCTTCAGCTTTAGCCATGCAGATGTACGTTTATCTATCCAATACGTCAAGACATTTGAGCAATATCTATCGAAGACAGCCATACCCGGTTCATAGGTTGCAGGGAGAGGTTTCCTCCGAACCTTATCCTTTTTTGCAGTAGGCTCCTGCAGAATCTCCCCGCTGTCCAGGAGCTATTTATAACCGTTAACTTGTGCTCAAAGACCCCATATCAGGCTGACCTTTATCATCAGCCCCTCGCTTCGACTGTTCACCGCTGTCTGCCAGAATTCTTCCACAGCCTCCCGCCCGTCCTCACTTTCGCAGCTCCGGACATGATCAAAGCGGGCAGCGCTTTTGTGCTGCGGGATAATGGGAGGAAATTGAGACCGCAGAAGTGATCGCCTCTCGCGAAAGGGCTTCCCCAACAAGATCTAGGAACACCGGGGTATATCATATTAAATTTAGATCCAGTGCTCGGAGGCAATGCAGATATAAAGTACGTACTTCTCCATTGAGGTACATTATATCAAATGCGAAAACGCATACCGTAACCTTCACATCGTCCAATTGTACATCTTTACGGGCTCTGTTGGAGAGTTCTTGGAATGTCTTGAGGCTACCGTCTACTGGATCCACGGCGACAATTTCGGCGTCCAGTATGAACGACTGAATATTTGGGGATTGCGCGAAGATAGTCTCCACCAATGTACAAACGTCTGGGTACTGCCGGTGTATAAGGTTAAGTGATCAGACGTTCTAATGGTTTCATCGTACAGACTCACTTTGTCCGTCATGTCTTCTAGATGTCGGGAAAACAATTTAATTTGTGATGAAGACCCATCTTCTCGAGCTGCATGAACTTGAGCGCGTTGCCCGTCATACTTGAACTCTGCCGTGAAGGGGAGGAAACCGAGCCGATCGTATATTTCGTCCAAAGAGCGAGTGGGCGACCCAAGGGTGGGCAAGAGGGGGATGCCTGTGAAAGTTGAGCATACGTTCCTTGATATCGGGCAAGTCAGACCATACCGACTGTCAGTGGGAGACGTTCAGTAAGCCCATCCAATCCGGCCTCAAGGAGCGCTTTAGCCAAATGGTCATAATTTGGATGTTGCACATAGACTTTCTTGACCAAAGCCTCTGCCTGGGCAAATTTTTCGTTAAGTTCATCCCGGGCGGGATCGGAAACTTTCTTTTTTGCATTTGAAGGCAGGGGCTTGACTGCTGAAAGAAGATCCGCAGCGTGGAAAGGAGAATCCGTCGGGACGCTCACTTCTAGTTGGGAAGGCGGGGTCAGTACCATGGCCCTTGCTAGAGCGGTAAGCATTGATGTTCTGACAGCGCCAACACGGAGGTTTTGAGCTAATGTGCGGACAAGATACCGAATTTCTTCTCCGCGTGCTGCAACAAGCAGCTTCTCCACTACTGCCTGCTTCTGCTTGGCAGCACCTTGCCCACGAGAAAAGGCAATCTTGAGGAGGGATTCGTAGACACCTGTGATGAGCAAGGGTGGATGAGGTATGAGAGTGCGAACATTGCTCTTAGCCTCGTATGCAAGATCCCCTGAGATTATTTAGTGGAAGCTCATTGATGACGAACGATAGACTGTACATGTCATACCTGGGTCTCCAGTAACGGTATATAGACGTTTCAGAGCAGCAGATGTCAAACCGGACAGCTGCTGTATCGCCTTCAAAATGATGGAGTATCCGAGTCCTAATTCAAGAGGAGAATATGGCGGTGAGAGGGAGTTAGACAAAAGATACAAGGCCGGGAGAAGAGACGGCGGGTGGTATCTGGAAATACAACGAAGACAATTGGTCAAGATATTCAAAATTGCTATCCGCGACTTGGTTGCTGATAGGGTGGACAGGGTATGGGCTAAGAACGAATATGGTATAGGCGAATTCGGGGACCAATCTAGAGAGCCTGGATCAAAGGCAGTCGGGTCTATGCAAAGGGATTCGTAAGTCGGAAGAATGTTCGGGCTGTCGCTGCTGAATGCAGGCTTAGTGGATTTGTAGGGCTGAGAAGATGCGGGTGGCGACTCAATGCGATGATCAGCAATTGACTTTTCGATGGCCCGGTTTGAGGGTCCCGCAACAGGCTGTTCATCGTCATCAAGCATGTCTACATCTATCACTTCGGGTTTCCCGTTTGTCGTGGGTAAAGGGGATTTGTGAGATGCTTCTGCTTCTAACCTCAAGAGAACGTCAAGCGTTAAGCCGTCCTCGTCAGCAAGCAGCCTAGCATAGGCCTCGTCCCTTGCTATGGCTGTGAGTGGGAACGCATCGTCCGTCACGGCGGCCGTTGTGCCAGAAGACGCTGCAGCTTCGCCCTTGTTCGAAGGACCACTAGACGATCTTTGGCGAGAATTATTGAAGAAACTATCAAGCCTCGATTGTTGGTGTGTCTCAAGCTTCGTCTTTTTCTTTCGTGGAACCGACGACCTTGAAGCTAGAGAACGCTTAGACATTGTATACACATTAATGTGTCATACGGCTGAGGAGAGAGTGATCATTTAAGTGATTGCCTTATGTTCAGGTAGCCGATTCGCACCAGATACTGGAACAAACGAACTCCAGCAAGAAACTTGGCAATTGCAATAGAAATAATTACGGAGGGCCAGAAGGAAACGTTGATATCGTAAGCAGTGCGCTTGTACTCGTCCCTAAATGTAAGTCCGCTCAGCGCCACGATGGTTGGTGGCGACGTCGTGGCGAATCTGGGACCGAATCCTTGTTCGATTCCGGGTGAACGTACTTCTCGCATCGATCTTTATATTGCTCGCGATTGCTACTTCTGAAACAGGGCATCTCGTCGGAACAGGAAGGTGAGTATGATGGGGGACAGTCTAGGAATATTGTCGATAAGCTAGCTACTCCTTCAATCACAATCGTCAATTCTCTTGGCTTATTTTACACCAGACATAGCCAGGCGGACCGGGTCGCGCAGTCATTTTCCCCTCCATATTCCTGAGATCCTCATAGGCTCGATGCCCAAGGAGGTTCCTGTCAAACTCGGTCTGAAGGCCCTGCACAAATTGATCAATACAGGTACATCGACAAAAAGCTAGGCGCTACCCTGGCGCCTTTACGTGCACTTGTTTGTGGCCTTCAGTAGCATGAGAAAAGGAGAGATCAGACTACATGTCAGCTGATAAAATCACTCTCACAATCCGAGATGGGAATTGCACTAAAGGTATGCAGATGAGCCCGGATCATTCGCAATCGTAGGCAGGTACACTAAATTGCGACGTCTTGTAGTACATAGAGCTAGTAAGCCCCAACAAGGCAATTTCGAATACACAGAGGTCAAGTCGGACGACCGTGTCCAGGCGACCCTCGCGCGACACTTTGAGTTCAATGTCATGGTGCCGCAGCTCCGTCTTCTTGTTGCACGTCCCTGTTGCTAGCCGATGACAATGGAAAGTTTGTTCGCATCCCGTTCCTTTTGGCCATTCTATTTCGCGTAAGGTCTACGATGCGTTGTAGGTGCGCTGTACGTACTCGGTACGCTGTAATGCATACAGATCAATGGGACAGGGGTGCAAAGATGCAACTGCGTCATTTGCCATGCCGTTATCAATCTGAGTAGGGCCAAGTCCAGTAAACCCAGAGCTCGACCCCTCGGAGCCGGAGGTTCCTTGTTCCCCTGAGCGATCGGAGCCCCTATGTGGACGATTCTGGATATAGCCTGGTGTCTGCTTGGGTCGATGCAGAACCTTTGCAACATACAGTCGACCTCGTTTCTCGATATCTATCTACCCGTTCACATCAAACTTTGGTCGCTGGGGTCGAAGGGGCCCGTCGATGGATCCGAACAGCCAGTTTGGGAGATCATGACATCAAACCATGCGAGATCTGGCGCTTTTCATTTTCTAACAAGGTCCAAAGCTTGTTACTTGCCGAAGACCTAAATAGTCATATTGAGGGCTGAAGAAAGGATGTGATAAGTTTCATATAGCGCCGTAAATTGCTCAAGCCTCCGCTCGATTGTTTCTCCTCAACAGGAACACCATACTTCCTGCAGCGCTGCCTCTGTTCTAACTCCTTATAGGTTCAGAACAGCATCATTCATTCAATTGACAGATCAAACCGGGGGGACCATACTCATTTTGTTTCGCTTTCCGGCAAGCCCAATGCACCGCGTTTGCCGTTCCAGACGTTTTACGTTGGTCCCTCTATGATATTTTCTATTGGCCTTTGTGGCAGTGAGGCGTGCCTGAAGGGAGCCCATTGGCCGCACTAGCGTTTGCCGGAAGTACATATGAAACGACTCGTCTGGTTTTTGACTCAATACCCTCCTCCCGCTAATTCCAGCTATGTCGGACAGACGCTCTCAGACTATACCTCCCAATCCCAATGCCTACACCCTGGCACAGTGGAACGGAGACCCTCAATATCCGTCACCTTATTCGAATTCAGCGAGTCAGTACCCCGCGCCTTCTAACCCTCATCCTTCTCTCCGGAACCACCATATAATGGCCCAGCAGTCTACGTCGTATGACTCCCTAATCGCGGCGCAGACAATGGAATACCACACCTTGGATAGAACACACCCCTATTCCCATGACCGGCAGTCATCCATGTCGATACCGCAGCATCCGTACGCAGCGATCGACCGCCATGGAGCCCCGATTCAGCAGCCTTCAGCAGCAAATATGCACCCAAATTCGTCACATCCGTACACCACTCCTCGGACGCATGCTATACCTCATTCGTACGCAACTCAACAGCCCTACGGGACGTCTCAGACGATTCCACATCAGACCGCCATGCCCATGTCTCAGTATCCCCCTCAGGTAGCATTTTCTCCATCGCTCGAAGATCTATCGCAGTATCCTGCTTCCCCACAACGACCTTTCTCGTGCGATATGTGTGCACTGTCGTTCAATCGACAGCACGACCTGAAACGGCATCGAGATACGCACACGGGAGAAAAACCTTTCTTATGCAGTGGGGGCTGCGGAAAGACATTTACGAGAAAGGACGCACTGAAGAGGCATCAGGTTCGTGAACGCCCTGCTCAAACACTGTATTCGCCCCCGCTAACTGTGGGGATCAGCTCGTAAAGCGCTGTGGTATCGACGAAGGGGCATAATGAGGATCTAACTGGAGATCAACTTGTAAGTCAGTACCGTATCCTTCGTTTCTTGAAATAGCTAATGTTGTTGATAGAAGATACATACCCGCTAATGCGCAGACTTCCCCGTAGCATACTACACAAATCTAGACACATCAAACGACACCCGGACTCCGAGTCGCAAGAGACACACGCTGTATTATATCTGTACAATAGAACGGACAGTGTGCTCGCTATAGTAAACATTATATCAGGCTATGTATACAACATATGTATGGATGTAGATTCTCTCACCTTGAAATAATATACCTCACTTATTCTCCTCCGTATGATCGGCCAAACTTCTTTCCAATATCCATGCATCATGGGGCACCAGCTTCTTGTAGTAGTTTTCGTGCACCGCAACTTCTTTGAACCCGTGTCGTTCGTAGAAACCCTTGGCTGCCGCGTTGGAGACCTGGACATGGAGGTATATGGAATCGATCTTCGGCTTTGTGTGGGTCAAAGCGGCGGTGATAACATGTTCAAGGCTCTTAGAGCCCAGTCCTCTTGACCGGTATGGCTAGTTGCGCAGTCGGTTAGCAACGGCTTCTTTCTCAGCATAGCAAACATGATAAGCATGGGACTCACAGCGAGAACGCCCATTGTCATGAGGTATAGCTTGGTAGTCTCGCCGGCTGTCTCAAACCTACAGCATATCGTGCCCACGGGAACATCATTGAAGTACACTAAAAGATGTATGAGTGAGAAGTAGCCAAGGTGGGAGCTGTTGTAACCAAAGTACGGACCGAGCTTGCAAAAGTCTTCTACTTCGGGTAGAAGGACATCTTGGTAGAATTTTTCGCTGTACTTGATGGGAAAGAGTACAGAGTTGAGTTTTCGGACAGTTCCTGGTGTAATGTAAGTATCCTCATGCATGAATTCAACGTGAACATACCGAGGTTGTTGGGGGTCAAGGAGGCGAAAGATACTCGCGACTGTGACCGCGAGGTGGAGGACATGGAGGCGTGGGAGCTTTTGCCGCTTCGCCGACTTGTTCACTGACAGTGATGATCGGGCACAAAAGACTGGCAACCACCGAAATATCTTCTCAGCTCTGCTTGTTACTTACTCGCAGAATCAGTTTGCTTGCGCAAGGAGATTCTAAGTCGCCGAAGTTCGACCAACACTTAGCCGCATGTTGATCGATCTATTCTCGTTTCGAGAACGCTCGCTTATGACTTCATCCAGAACAATTCCAACTTAAGATTGTTTTACTTGTAGTTCAAGTAGAGCTGGCAGACACTGTTGCTACATCAGAATGGCGGGTTGCACGCCGTTCTCAGAATCGATTCTGGTTCATTGGACCCGAAACTTGGCTCACCGTATGCTCACAACGCCCGTTGCGTCACCGTGAGCTTCTCGGCCTATATGTGAGTGAGGCTCTGCATTATTTCATATTGATACCATCCCAATCACGTTTGGTTTATATATCTCAGGTAGATATTAACAGGAATAGGGTTCTGCATTCATTTTGAACAGGTGGCCGCCTGATTCGTGCAGGTCAGGCAATATACTAAAGCTTTTCTTCCATCTGCGGATCTCGTAAGACTGTGATAAGGATCTCAAGGGGTGTTGCTTTGTGGCTAACGACACAAGGGCGGCGCTAGGCGTAACGCTTGCCCTGCTGCTCCGTATCTGGACCATATCTCGTACTCGATTCTCGAGCATTCTCGCGAAGCATCCCACTTATTCATTGGCCAGGCATGAGTGTGGCTGGGTTTCATGGGTGTTGGAAATACCTCCGCCTAGCTCTATAAAGCTGCAAACTCAATCTGGTCCCGATATGCCTCTTGAAGGATAAACAGGATCTTCCATCATCCATCGTAGAAGTTGTTGGACCTCAAACCCAACCGTTCCCTTGGTACCATATGAAATCCACGATATTCTCGTTGGAATCCGTTTGTCACAGCTGTCAGGTGAGTTTCGACGTCTCTTGTTCATGGAACGTGACTGAATGACTGTATTTGTGCAACGAAGCACGACCCTCGCTAATGACTAAGACAAGGTCTTTGAGACATTGAGCGCCATGTCTGAGTAATCCTCGGTGCGGCGTACCACTTTCGCTCTCACCAGGAGAATTCCGTTGCCCTTCCTCCATTCATTCAATAGCATCCCCTTCGAGATATATGGTTTCACGCCAGGTTCTACCGCTCACAGATGTACGCCTTAGTTCCCTTCCATGCACCATGTATGCACAACTTACAGTACGTGATATGCCATACCGGCGGCTGCTTAAGTCCTTCGTTACTACGATCGCACCACAGCGTCCCGCTGCTCGATCTCAAAGCTTGTTGAACAGATATCTGCTGCACATTCCCCAAGCAGCCGACGAAAGGGGAATCGACCAGGTCCTAGTCTACTCCTGTGCCTTGGAGAATTGTCATGGGTATTCCCAATCATCTTCGGGATCATCATGGGATTGGTTCATCAATCTGTCGTGCTCATGATGCCGAAGGGCTATTGGTTCATTGCTATTCGCGAACGAATTGCATCGAACAGAAATCTATAGTAATACCCTCCGAATAATGCATATGCTGCTGTCAAACCAATAGGACCGTTCCTATCACTGGCATGCCGGATGTGCGGTACGCCCAAGAAATTGCCTTTTCACTCTGGCACGTCTTATGGTGACTTGTACAAACTTGACATATGGATGATAGCTTTACTCTTGTTGGATGCTTTGGTGCACGCTCGGCCCCGCCCTATCGTGCGACATGACGAACGCTATCTCCTAGGCTGCGAGCTTCATTTCCGATGCTCAAACCTCCATGACACAACTATGTCACTGATATGTACTTATTCCTGCTCCCTGTACGAAATCTGCGATACATGAATGATCGGTATCTTCTTCATTCAACGAAGGACGGCGGCCTGGTCCAGGTCAGGCAATTCTTGCATCTTGTTACGCTTGCTTCGATTTCTGATGTCGATGCTTTTTCCCCGCTCGGTATTTGCAACCTTGACGGGTTGGAGCGGCAAGTTTAGTCCTAACCTTTGACATGGTATCACTGTATACCTATCTGCGAATGAATGTCCATCAAACATTGACTTCTCTGTCATGGTGTCGTCAAAGATACCTGAGCGGATGTCCATATTGAGGTAAATTACAAACTTGGAGGTCGAAACATGTGGACATTTTACGTTGGAATACATGAGTACGGCAGCTATAGAAATGACGAGAACGAAGTGGCATAAGGGTGGTATGACGAAAGATGACGGCTACATCAATGGGAATCGTGATAGATTGCTACGAGATACAGTCTGTTGTTCGTACAAGGAGACAAAAATACACGAGATATAGCGGCTTGCTAGATGGTCCAAGATGCAAATAGGAATGAACGAACGAAAGGAGAAATGTCCAAGGCGCTAGGGCGGGAGGGGATTGGGATATGATGATACTAGAACCTAAACGTGAGTGATCGAGGGTATCCGGCAGCATATGTAGAAGCCTGACCCCAAACAAGGAGCTCCGTCGCTCTATCAATTCCTCCTCCCGTTCCACCTCTTTTTCTGCGGCGACTTCTGAGGTGACCGTTCAACACGTTGAAGATAAACATCATCAAAACTTCTGAAGACGCATCTACCCATTGCGTCGAACTCGGCCAATGTAGCCCACATGCAATGCCACCTTCCCTCCTCCTTGAACTTGAAGGCAACCGCACTGTGTACTTGTTTCCACTCTGCATCTGGTCTACCTTGCTTTCCGGCTTGGAACGCTCGGTCAGTCAAGGTGGTCAGAGTGGCCTCAGATACGGTGTATACCATATCACTGTTATTCTCCAACTCATTGAGGATAGGCTCGAGTTCTGGATCGGTTTCGATTGCTTTTGGAAGTCCAGGATGACCGGGATTGTATCCGTCTATCCGGACTTGGTATGACGTCTCGTCGGCGAAGTACAGAGTGACGACAGGATGAGTGGCAGAACGTGTTACGCGAATGAGCCTCTTCCCCACCATCTCGTGAGGGAGAATCCCCAGTGTATCAATACGAAGGGATTCAGGCTTCTTAGACTTGAATGTCCCTGCTTGTTCCATGACATCAGCATAGTCAGGCGGAGTGACGGGGTGTGGCTCAGATATGTCTGAGTTAGAGAGAGTAGGTGACCTAGACATTGCTTGAAAGGAGCGTTGAAAGTGTTACTACGGTCTGTGTTAGCAGGAAGGGAGGCATAAACTTCGAGAGAGTGACGAGATGGATGTGGCCAGAAGCCAGAAGCATGAGAGGTCAAAGAAGTCTTCTGGGTTCTCCCTTGGAAACCAATAACGCCCACAGGTCAAAACATGCACAAACGACCTTCACGTGAGGACAATGGCAGTCGGCTATTACCGCTACTTCAGAATGTATTGTCTTTTCATCGCAGGGTGTCTGTGAAATGCTCGTCTCCCATAGCAAGATGCATCCCCACCAAACGGGAAGGCGCGGGGAGATGCAAAGAGCAGACAGTTCAAATTCTTGTTTATGGCTCTCAACGTTAATGTACAACACATGGTACTTATAAGAATACTAGAGACGTATCAGAATCAGCGAAAATACCAAGGGTAGATGTGATAACTCACCATTCGGAGCAAATCCCATACGCTGACCACCGATATCCCAAACGCTATAATAGTGCTTTAACAAACTTCCCCCAATGATCGTGAAATCGTCGTCCGCGTTGATGAGAGTCTGGCACAACGAAGGATTAGACCTGAAAGATCCAACACTCAACTCGCTGCTCGGAATGGTGAGATTAAATGGTTGGCCTTCTTGCGAAGTGAAAACAAACGAAATCTCCGCTGGCAACGAAGCAATGCGATTGCATGCAATACCAAACGTTCCTGGCTCGGCAGGATTAGGTTGAATGTCCGCGGAGATCAAGGAGTAGATGGCCTGCAAGATTACATTAATAGCAGAACTAACTGTCAGAAATGACTACTGAATGTACCTGAGCATCAGTCTGTGACAACACAATGTTGCTAGTTCCACTGTCGAAGATGATATTGCGGGACCTTTGGAGTGTGCTGCTGGTTTGGCCATTCACGAAGATTTGGATCGAACGTAGCTGCCAAAAGCTAGTCGATTCAATAGAAGCAAAGGTGAGACCACCTGAATGCATATCTTAATACACTTTGACAACGGATACGAAGTCTTTTTGCTCACCGGTAGTCTTGCTGGTATCGATTCCGCCGATGGTAAGCTCCGCACTTCCAACATTGCTGGGTGTGAGGAACATGCTGAACAGGGATGGCAAACCCTGAGCTGCGAGAGCGGCAAAGAAACCAGTGAGACGAGGAGACATTCCTGAGTTCCTATCAACATCATGCCAAAAAAAAAAGTTCATGAGAAAACATTGGCACTGCACCTTGAATACCGTCAAACGGATCGGGAGCAAAAGTCGGTGTCTGGTTGGTAATGAGGAACAAGCTAACGGATCCAGCATTCAGGCCACCGATAGACACGACATCTGTGGCACTACGAAGTTGAAGTTGCCAGTTATTGCCGATGACGGGGTCTACACCAACGCCGGTGCCGAAGGTGATCGTTGAGGTACGACCGCCGTCCCTGAATGTTGAACTCCTAGTTGGGTCGAATTGCTTCTGGTTAGCACATGCGGCGCCGCACTGTGTACCTGTTACGCACGGAACTTTGGTCAGCATCTGTCGCAAGGGAATAAGGCTATGTAGTAGTCGGTGAGACTCACTGGCAAATTCCAAGCTGCTACTTCCGGTGTCAAAGACAACACTGAGCACCTGGGGCGGCGTACCAACTATTATTCGATAATTACCATTGCAAGGAGATGTACTCAGACAACAGAACTAACTAGAAATGTTGCCGAACCACCTGGAACGAGAACTAAGATCAGCAACGATGAACAGAGAGTCGAGATGTGAGCGTACTGAAGGTCTGTGCCACTGAAAAAGTCCTTTAAGGGGATATTGGAAGCAGGGAGAGCCCGACGTCGGAGACTCTGTCCTGTGGTGACCTTCCTAGAGGAAAGGTTGATCGTCACAGGACTAGGACGAGTCAGCTCCGCAGTAGCAGCATTGGCGTATAGCGCCAGAAGGACACAGGAAAGAAGAGAGAGTACCATCATCTTCACAGGTCAAGGAAAGGCCTTCGAGGACGTTGACCCATCGCAATATCGAGCTTTATGCTGGATCGAAAGTCGATTACGCACATACAATCCGAGACAAGAATCAACAATAGCCTCGGATATGGTCATGCGGGACGATTGCTGCTGTGCAGATCGGTCGTCGAAGCACTCGAGAAGACTTCTCTCCGCATGGATGGACGGGAGTATAACCCAAATAACGCGCGAAGGTGCATGGCGACATGGGAAGTTAGCCCGCTATAGCTCTCACTACCATGTGCGATGATTGTGCTTCCAGTTGCTTTGAATGAGCCTGTCTACGATATGGATGGGGGCGGAAGTCAACAATCCGAGAGCGTGTGGAACGGCGATGCTGCTCATGCTTATTGTTCGCTTGAGCCCTCAGCTGGCCTTGACATCCAACTTCGAACGACCACAATCGTGTCAAACCACAAAGTGTCCTCGGATCCCGTTGCTTGTGTGGATTGTTTTGCAATCGCCATGAAAGCTTTTGAACGGTGCGGTTGGCCGCATGCAGCCTGGAAGCTTGTGGAAGGAGCTGAGACCATCACGATATTGTGACGTCGATGAAATAAGATCGATATATGATCTCGTCTGCGGGGCCAAGACTAGACATATACTTCCACACATTACACTCAACCCACCTCTCAACCCACCTTAACCTTACGAAAATGGGTGAGTTCGGACTCCTTCTCTCAATGCGTTATGCAACTGACCAAGTTTCTGGCTACAGCTACTTCAGAGATCGTCAACTTTAACGACCCGCACCCACCTACGATCAAAGGCATTGAAGCCTTCAAGCACGTAGAGAAGGATATCAAGACCGGTATCATCAAGTCCCGTCACCACTGGGACAAACATGAACCCAAGATGTGGTCTCGCGCTGATGGGTTGAGCGACCATGACCTTGTCCATTTCGACTTGGAGAAGGATTTGGTGGAAATCCGAAGTGCTCCTGTCAGTTATGGCACGATCATCTTAGGGAAGCTTCGTCTTCCTGCGGTTAATGATGAAGAAGGCGAGGGATTCGTACATGTCAGGTCTGTCTGTTTTCGTTGGAGTTCATATCATTTGGGTCTTATGGCTCACTGTCGTCATCGGTCAGGGTTCATGACCCTCCTAACAGAGTGCGTTCTATTCTTCATCCATGCACACCGATCTCTTTGCTAACCATGTTCCTATAGGGTACCGAAGACGTGACATTCCACTCCCTCTTCACCAACGAAGGTGACCATGATGCCGATGGCCATCCTCACAGCTGGAAGGCCGTCCAGACTCGAGACACCCCTCTCGAATTCTTCAACGAGTAAACATCTGCAAGGCCGTCAAGCATCAAGGCCCAATTTGACATTGTAGTGAAGGCTTGCTGTGTTATCATGAACGGGACAGACTGACAGACGGGACATTGTAACTTGAACAATCGGACGGAGTATGCATATATGCGCAGTAACCTATACCTTGTATGATAATCAATGCCATTACGTGACGATTTGGATACCCAGTGTCGATGTCAAAAACGATCTCGTTGGCCGATGTCGAGCTCACACATTCAGGTCGAGAGGCCGACGGCAGTCGTTGGTATCAGCAAGTTGATACCCTCGACGACGTCGCTCCGATGTCGCGTCAGGTCAAGTCTGCTTAACCGTCAACGCCATTTTCAGTTCAGTCGAAATCTTACGGCAAAGAGCTTATACGAAACGTCAGACCTTGGTAACATCTTTCAAGACATCGGTTACACTCAAGCAGTCAATCAAGCACACAACTAGATTCGAGAAAGAAAAAAAAATGCAGATATGTTTCCATACCCGTCCCGACATCGCAGACTGGACCCCAATGAGAGAGAGCACTGAAGAGTCTATGGAGGAATACAAGGGCAGTAGTACACAGAGGAGTGAGCATAAAGACGAGGAGAGTCGAGACACACGTTAACTGACAAAGAAAGAGGAGGGAAAACACACATACAGATGTCACATGGGGCATAATAAGCAGTAGAAAAGCAAACAAGGAAAAGAGATGATAGACAATTGAGGAGGGGGCTATATATGTACAGTGAAGTGAAGTGGGAGATATGTACAAAGAAAAGTAAAAGTACGCACGCCGAAAAGAGGAGTGTGAAGAAAAAAGAAAAGAAGGAAGGAAAAATCTGAATGAAGTATCCGTGTATCGTGAGTAAAGACACCACAACCACCATCTATTAATCAGAGCCAAACACAACTCCCCGTGCTAGGGAGGTGAGGGTCCAGGTCCCAAAGTCCAATAATTAGCTGTAGGGAACATGCCGACCGAAACGGGATGCGCAAAATCAAGATTGTAGCTACTTGGAGGATCGACAACCATAGGCACAGACACTGGCACCTGAAGGTGATTCGAATGCTGCGATAACAGTCCACTTGCGCCAAAATCCATCTTCATCCCCATCGGCATTGTCGTTGTCGCTGTATGATCCGGAGCATTCAGAGCATAAGGATATCCTTGGCCTTGAACTTCCATGCCGCTCCAACTTGTTTCCATGGTGGACTTCGTGTTCATCGCGTTGGTAGCGAGATCAAACTTAGCCATTGAGGAAACAGGAAGGGGCGTCGGGAGGTCCATGAAACAACTTGACATCTGTATGGTCCGTTCTCCGTCTTCAGATGAAGACGTAGAGGCAGTCGACATGGGGGAATAAGACAGTCCCGGCGTTGACAGCGAGGGAGAGGAGTCGTCCGTGACCGTGAAGAAATGCGAGATCGAGGCAAACGATTGCGGATGATGAAGGGGTGCAGGTATATACGATCCCGGTGAAGATGCCGGAGGTGGTGTGACGAACATTGTGGGAGGGGAGACAAACATCGCCGCCGGGGATTCGGCTTGGCACGTATCCGAAAGTATGTTTTCTGGCTCTTCCACTGGCCTTGAGTTCAAGAACATCGAGTGTTGCACAAACCGATCCTGGACAGGAGCCGAGTTCGAACCCAAGGTCGGCACGGTGGCATGTCGTCGAAGCCCAGAAACCTTGCTGATATTTGACGCAGATGGCGGCGATACCGACATGGTCGCAGAATCACTGACACTGAAGGAGAGATCGTTCTCACTTCGGCACCTCGTAACAGGACGAAGTCCACTGGCAGATGAAGCCGCGTTGGCAGGAGATTTGCCAACCCAAAGACGCCATTGGAGTGCTTCACCGAGAGCTCGTTCGCAACGACCGATTTCGCGAGGGGGAAGCCCAGCGAGTTTCGCCCAAGCACGATTGGAATAGGAACGATCTTGCATGAATTTTGAAGCAAGGATGAGACAAGCGAGGAAAGTTCTTCGAGGGCAAAGAAGCGGGGACGGAAGCGGCGGCATCGGGGGAAGCGGCATGGACGGCGTCTTAGAGTTGACAGTAATGGTCGGCATGGAAGACGGCGACATCGAGGGCAGGACTAGGGTCGGCGGGGCCGTCAACGGCGCCGGGTCGTTCTCGTCGATCCGAATGGTGTCCACGATGTCACATTTTGCAGCCATAATCGTGTTGCTGTCACAGGCATCTGTCAAGGAGCGAAGTTCTTCTTCGACTTCGCCGATGATAATACGGCTCTCGGCCTCTTCCTCTGGTGTCGGCTCGGTGCTATCGGCCTTGGACTTCTCCTTCCGGAGTATCTCAGGTACTTTACCACGGATGGCCTCCAGATAGCACAGCGCCGTCTGCAGTACACCAGTAGACGTACGAGATCGTCGCAAGACCTCGTGCACAAATCCTTTGATGGGTAAATGCTGGCTCCCACGGGGAGATTCTGACGAACTTGTTTCGTCGATGGCTATTACGGAAGATGTAGATGGAATGGGTGGAGGAGAATATGGTGAGGGCTGAGTGGATGGGGAGATCGGGGACGGAAGTTGCGTGTTGCGATGATGGGAATATTGGAGAACGACGTTAGGAGGCGCATCTCGTTGGAGGGCGGCGGTATCGCAAGGGAGAGAGGCTGAAAACGCAGTGCGCGAGGAAGTACGAAAGACGATGGGAATGTCGTCCGGATGCCATATATCGCACAGAGAATTTACAGCCTGATCTGGAGATCAAACGCATACAGTCAGTATCCTACTTCGAGAAGGGGCACCTCGCAGACCCAAGTAACGGCTGTAGCTATGCGATTCCTTGAAATAAAACCTGACGTACCGACCAACCGAGTGACATATCTGTTTTTCAGCGCTTCCCGTATCTGAACGCTCTGCGAAGAATTCGGAAGCAATTTCCTAGAACGGTCGGTATGGCATGTTTGGACTGGGTTCAGGCAAGACGTAGATGGTGGTGATGGTGTTACAGATGATGCGGGGGTATTCAGATAATTGTTAGGAGATGAGCGGAGAGAGGGTGCAGGCGTTGAAGTGATGGAGGAATAAGGTTGCCAACGGGGCCTAGCGCGGGAGGCGCCAGGCCCTCTGTGGGCCAATGAATGAGAAACAGCATGCATAGTAGTTGAGAGATCGAGAGAAAACAAGACTGAGTAGGGGTTGAGTAGGCCGGGACACAAAACAGAACGGAATTAAAAGGCAGATTTAAATAGCATGGACAAGCTCTCCGCTGGGGACGTTAAAAAGAATAGAGTTGGATTCAGAACCGGAAACGAAGACGATGGAGGCTTTGCTTGGGGACGGCGATGGGGCGGGGTATCTTGATATGCGAATGGAGTACATCTCGACTAGAGTGAGATGTGTGGATGTCTCTAAGTCTCTTGACTTAAGACGATCCGGTTGTAGATTGACCTTCTCCTTGTAGAGGAAGGGGTAAACGCGCTTGGGCTTGTAGGTCGCTGTTGAGCACGATGAGCGAGAGTGTCGGGCAGTTGTTGAGAGATAGACAGGAGAGCACCTGCCCGCCTATAAGGCCCGGGCGAGTCAGTCCTCTCCCGGGAGTCAAACACCCACGTTTGGTAGCTGGACCTAAATACGTACAAACACCTCTGGAGTCAGTCTCTGACCGGCGGCATAACCAGACGCGGCGCATTGGTGGGCCTACTGAAGAGCCACACGGAGCCTGCCGGATACCGTACCCTCGACCACAGCCTGCCAGCACCGTCTCTCTGTGACCTGCTCTCCTGTTCTCTCTTCATCGTTCCGCAGGCTCTGAACAGCTTCAGGCGGAACTCTGCCGCTCATCTTCGTAGACAATGGACTTGCGAATGGAGAGGCGCAATACAGCTATCATCACACCACCCTCACCTGTTGTACATTCTAGTGACATCGCGGATCCGATGACTCACTTCTCGTTGTTTTTTTGTCTCCTCGGTTGATGTATCGTATAGCCAGACGCTCCTCTTCTTATGGTTACTTGACTAGTGCTGAGCCTCTCCATGACTTGATCTTGCTGTATCACGAATCTTCTACCATCCTGGCTATGTCTGAACAATGAAAATCAGATTTCATACCCACGTAGTGTCTTGGCAAAGCAAAGCAAATTGCAAGTTGTCGTAGGAAGTGAGCAATGCATTGCACTGCATGACCCTGCTTCATTCGCCTGCGGACGGTGCCCTTTAGCCTTCCCTCGCCTACATGAGAGTTCTCTGCAAAAGCCCTTGACAAGCTCGTATTCTCACGCAGTCCTGGTTAAGCCCTATCACTCAATTCAGATTCTTTCTCATCGCCTCGTATTGCGTGCTTGGCCGGTTCACGGTCCACCGATCTCCCCTGCGCCACGGTGCTTCTTGATGACGATTCAATCACTCGATATGGTATCTTAGCTTGAGGAAGCACACCTGTTCTTACTCGGCTAGCCGTGCTTTGCTTGACAGTGTATACTGCTAAGTTAAATGCTTCTCTTCGCTCTGAGAAGCATACAATGTGTTCGGAGCATCGAAACACGTATGTCGCCCAAAGATCCTCGCATCCCTTACATTGGCTTGACTAGTCTTTTCTTTTTTTTCTTCTTTTTCGGCACACATCTCGCAGTTTTAGGCTTGATGACTCATAGGAAGTTTATTCATATACTCACACCTCGTCACCCTGTTCCCGCTTGCCCATCTTCTCCCCGCTTTGGCCGTCTGTATGTCAGTCGTTGTCATTCCAAATTCACACATCGCCAAAGCGCAGCAGTCACAAACGCTTTTTTTGCCACTATTTGCGCGGCGAACATGATATATCTAATAGGCTGTGCCCCTAGCTGCTTCGTAAAATGCGGCTGCCGGAGAAGACGTACAGACTGTCATCAGCTGTCGCCATTCAGCTCTCCAGATCATATACATCGACGCCCTGGAAGCTTATAATTCGATTCACAATCGTCTTTCAGACCAACATATGCCCCGTCATTACGGAACTGTCAAATCCGTGGAAGCCTGTAGGCTGTATCCTACAAGGCAGCTCCAGCGTTCACGTTTCGCGTCTAGTCGTGGGTTCCTTTGGCCTTTCACTATTGAACATTGGCTACGAATTGCCTGTGGATTCGATCGTCGCCTCTTCTGCATTCTGTCCTTCTGGAGATTGAAAGTCACCGGGCCTCCTTCGGATCATATCTTCTACAGAGTACGAGATCTACCGTCTCTGGCAATCGTCAGGCGACCTGCTCGTTCTTCGGTGCCGTCTTGCATACTGACTCATATGTGATGCAGTGACTGACTGACCAACCACCTTTCCCGCTACCGCAGCACCTATCCTGCTTTTGTCGAGTCGATGAAAGATTGGACCATGGTCCCATGTATTTCTCGGGCGGGAGAAATACAATCTTGGACTATTAAAACGACCCGGATTTGTTTTTGTTAGGTCACTTTTGTCCTTTTTTTTGACACCGTCTCGGTTCCGGCTTGGATGCACGGTCGTCGTGGTGAACCGAATATGGGTCACTGCGATCTCGTCCTTTATTCGTCGTGAGTGAAGAGGCTTTATTCAATCAGACAGGGCAATGTTTCCAATCGGCCGGCAAGTGTGCGCGCGGACGGCAAACTTATTCTGGGTATTTCTCCTGTCAAATGTTCTCGTCTGATCCATTCTCGTCAGCTCTGGGCCATCTGTCAGATTTCCAGCCAGGCTCCCACTGTGAACAAGTTCTGAAACGGTCAGACCTGGAGAGCGCGGTTGTAATTCTGATGTTCCTTTTTCCTTGCTGTCGTGCGATGCTCATTCGAGTTCGTCACTTTCTAGTATCAACTCTTCAATGACCATAATCCAGTCTCCCCAGCCTACTGACTGCTCGTTCTCTCTACCTCAAGTCCCGCCTACACCCGTCGTTAGTAACTTCACGACCTGGTCATGCTTCATACATCCACCGCTGCTATGGGATATCCCCATCACGCCAGTTTTGATCAGTCCTTGGTTTGGTCCGCCCGTTGGAAGGGCATAGTATGTCCTACTATCGTGCCCGTCGGTTCATGTGTCTTCGAGCTTTGGTTTTCAAGTTCTCGTATTCCCTGCAAATCTCTCGACTCTGAATGTTTCAAGTGCACACTTACTCGGACGTGGTACAGCTTGGCTTCCACAGCTTCAGGTTATGATATCTGACCGCAGCCGTCGACTTCATGTACAACTCTGTAGTGCCTTATAATGGCGTGAGGGACGACGCGACCAGTCGCGAGAGATTTTAGTTCGGTTTTCTCCGGGGTTATCTCCAGACGTTGTCTGGAGATAATTCTGTCGATGCATGGTTCAAATCAAAATGCTCTATTTTTGTGGATGGATGGAAAAGAAGGCCACTCCTATGTTCTGCCCTTTACGTATTTGTATTGCTCTCGTCTGCTTTTCCCACTCACATTCACAGTCAGTCACGAATTCCAACATTCATTTAACACGTCGCCCGTAGGCTACGGGGCTGCTGGCGGCATAATCAACTTCTCTTGTTACTGTTCATGGAAAGATGGCCTGAGTCAATTCTGCCCTTCCGCCCGTTTGCTCTTCCAGAATATACTCAGCGGCATACCCACTGGTACTAAATGTCGATGATGAAGCTGTAAGATAACGTTGCTGCGAGAGGTTAAGGGGCGGTCGCAGTCGGTATAAGGAAACTTATGGTGGTCGGGCCCAGAAGGCAGACGCTAGCCCATTATGCATTAGGTTTTACCGAATGACACAAGTGAGGGTGAACGGTTTGTGCATCGACGCAATGTGGATAATAAGGATGAATAGACTTGCAAGACGACATTGGGTCAAGCGCCGAAGCGCGTTTGATGGGAATGCGATACGCGAGCCGAAGCTGGGCTGGAACGGTAAACTCAAATTGCTATCGCCATGTTCAACTTCTCGTCCTCGCTAGTAAGCACAGATCGTGCAGAAGTTTTTCGACAGGTCGTCCATTAAGTTCAAGCGGAAAGTGGCTAGGCCGGTACCTATACCTCTTTGAAGCCTATATTTACTTTCAAGGAGTTCAGAAGCGTTCTGGGCAATACATTGAACAGGATACATGGTTCGCTGATTTCAGTCTTGGTTTAAAATTGACCAGGTACTCTGACAACACGGGGCCTTATTCATTCTTAGCGGAGGTTCTCCAGGTTATGTCGCAATCGGTCAGATAGGACCTAATAGCGGTATGTTCTGTAGTAGAGGTAGCAAAAGTTCGTGATACTATTGAATGGAATGAAACTTTGTCTAGACTTACCCACCCCTGGTAAGTAGCCGAAATCCAAGGGTAGAGAATTCTGCTGCTGTACCTAAGAAAACAGGTACGAGGGATCACAACCTTTGAACGATTCATACCTCGTCTCATATTCATTCTAGACGACTTCAGGACCATCTGCCTCTGCGCCGCTATGATTCCGAACGCAATATGACGAATCCTTGGCAGCTTCGAGGACAAGCTTCCGTCTCAGGTCTTCTAATAGGTCTGGACTCCGACTCACTCCCGCCAATGGATCTTAGCCTGTCTTAGCGGAGATCTCGCTTCATTGGGCAATGTACCGGGGCCTGTTGTTCTTATTATAAACCGGACTCTATTACGCTGCCTGCTATGCCTTGATTTCCGCTAGTTGTTCCATGCGTCGTGGCTCATTTAGTACGATGAACATATCTCTGTTTGTTCGCCACTTGAGGCCCTTCTGTGACGTCGTGAGGAAGTTTGTGCCAAACGGATCACTCTCAACACGATATCACGCTGCGTCTTTTCTTCTTCTCCGGTGCGACAACGCCATGGATCTTTATTGACGCACAGCTACTGTCCTTCACCTGAAGCTATCTTAGGCTAATGGATCAACCGAAAGACTCCGGCCTTTGTACCACAGAGGGTTTGCCGCATACTCTTTGTGACCTGAGTTTCCTTGCTCAGTTTCAGGATGACAGGTACAGATTATGAAACCTTACGGTCACCGCTATGGAAAATCTGTTTCCAGACGTACGTCTTTGTCTGTGCGCTTTCATTTTCTATGCTCAATTTGACTAGCACATTGCGCTTGATTGTCATCGTCAATTTCATTCCCGTTTCACGTCATAGGTATTTTGCTATTCCCCAGTCGTATGGAGAAGGTTCAATCATTCGCCCGTCTGTAGGAGGTAAGAGACCTGCCCTGTTTCACTTCGACGAGGTCAATCATACAACTGCGGAAGCAAAGATCTGGTGCAACCATGCTGCGTCTAGATCCTTCGGGTCTTAGACATAAGGCATTGCTACAAACTTCGCCGATGCCACGGATAGAAGACACAAGTAGCGAACAAGCCATCTCGCCATCGTGGAGTCCTGTTGACGTCGTTATTCATGCTGATTCAGTTTCCCAGTCGACCAATTTGGTGACACCGCAATCTCGTGGATTCTGGTCCTTGCCGGGATCGATCGTGGCCGACCTTCTTAGACACGATGTCTTCCTCGACCATGCGTACTGCTGTCGCGCTCGTACTCCCGCCAGCTCTTTGGCTAGATTTGGCCAGCAGCTTGCTGTCACTGGACCTATCGGCCGTACTTATGCAATATGCCGCCTGCTCTCACAAGATATGTATCACCGTTTTTTATTATGTAGGACGTTCGGCGGCCTGCTATGATTGACCGGTACCATGGCAGATATCTCTGACTCTGATTCTTCTGTAAGTTTTCAGATGTATTACATGTACATCAAGCGAGATGCAATCTTCTCACTTGTACCAATTTGTATGAACTACTATGATCATCGAAGTACCTGATAGTACTGAAGGTGCTCTTCCAGGCATAACTCATAACCTTGACAAGGGATTCCCTAACTGATTTGGTGATAACATGACTGGGTGTTTGTAAGTGTCCCCCCCGTGTCTACGGCCCCAAAATGAGGCGATACACTTTCAGGGTCACGGTCATATGTGGGACCATCAAGCAAGGTCATTGCCCTGTACATAGAGCGCTATGACAGATGGAGAAGGTTTTCTGTCATTGGATCATGAATATCCAAAGGTATGTTGCTTAACTTTTTGTCCGTCACGACGAAAGTATTATATTGATCAATTGTTGTGCCATGGTCACCGATCCCGCTTGTTGCCATCCACACATTTGGATGAGAAGATCGCGGCGAACTTGGTTCGATAGAAGTCTCTGGTCCGACACAAGGTTTATACCATATGTCGCGCTATCAACTTTGTTTTATTTTCTGCCGGCTTCCCGCTGCCAGTATGTACCTCACCGTTCGTTCTCTCAACAGACTCTGATATCATGCCAGCCTATCCCTTATTCTCGAGCATAATCACACGACCGTGGTAATGAATGTGTGAGTTAACACCATCCCTTGATAGAATTAGAGCTAACACTAACCACGACATCAGGACCAACACACGGGTACTATCCCTTGGTGAAGCTCTCAATTCTCGGCCACAGAAATGACAAAAGATATTTCAGTCCTTGAAAAAAATACTCAAAGTTTGCAGTTGACGTATTCTTCCTGGAATGCAGATAGGAGCGCCAATCTCTGTATGTTTTCTCCGCCTTACCCGCTATGAGTGAATGAGCGGCAATCGAGATTGTCTCAATTCTCTTACCCCAAGGACATTTCAGCTCACTTTCTGTCAGCTTTGGATTCTTGGTTGACTAGGTGTATTACATCAATTGGGCTTTTGAATGCTGCAATGCTTCAGATAGAGTCATTCCTCTATATTTTCTAGTAACTACATGTGAAGCTTAGGTTTGCTTACGTTCACGGAGTCAAGCTTTACAATGGTAACTTTGCATCTTTTTTTATTGCACTCGGAAGCGGTCTCGTACTGACCTTTCTAAGAATATGTAGCCTAGGCCGGTCAAATCATCACGGTCTCTTTGGCATAATTCCCGGATTCTGACTATTTCCAATTTAAAGTTTCCAGAACCCCGTTTCGTTCCCCTCGTGTGCAGACGAGTCATATCGAGTACGCGAAACAGCATACTTTTCTTCCTATTTCTGCGGATACACACGATTGCGACGTGTTGTTTGACCACTTGCCGGTCGATCAGGGTCCAAGTTCAACCCAGTCACAAAGCAGTCTGCTGCCAGTGTCCGTTTACCTCGTCCCCGACAAATAATAGGGTTACGTCTAAAGCTTGTCCAGTTCATTATGGCTGTCTCGCTAGACGCGAATTCGGCGGAATGTTCGCCGCGCATTCGCAACTTAGGCCTTAGGTTCGATATACGTTGTCTAACTCACACACGATTGTCAAGAATTCTGATCGGCGTAAGGGCCCAAGTCAACTCTCGTCCTAATCTTAGCCTCGTAGCTGAATGAGCGGTACTGGTCCGTCATCGCTGACGTTCCACGTTGCAACTTGCAGCTGGTCAAACGTATACTCTGTCTTCTAACACAACAGGCCGTCCTCAACGACAAGTAACGAAGCGATTTTCTGGACAGGGGACCATATCAGTGATGCGTGCATTGACAGATGACATCTGGCATTGCAGTCTAATGTACTGGTGCTGTAGGTTACTTGATGTGGTAGGCGGTCCGATTGTCCTGGTAAAAACCACCGTAGACGTCGAAGGCGTCTCAGATCGTATTGAATTTCAAGTAGATTCGGCATCTCTATCATCCATGTGCGCATTTATACCTGAGCGAGCACAGGGCATGTTGTGTCTGATAAGTCGTTCACACATCACTCTTTTGACTCCATGAAGTAGCACATGCCATAAAGCCTGTCAACTTATAGATGTCCCCTTAATTCATAACCCTGGCAAGGGTTTTAAGCAGTAGCAGAGTCTGGTTGAGCCTGGGAAATACGTAAAATAGCATGATGGCGGGGAATTCAGACTGGCAAACTGGTTACAGTGCGAAGGCACGCCTTTTCTTCGCCAGGCACAGAGCGAGGATTCTCCGCCGCCGATGCAGTTAGGTGCTAAAGTAATAACTCTCGTTGTTGAGCTGTAGTCTTTAGTTGTGTTCCAACACCCTACTCAAAATCCACCGCACGAAGGAAGAGCCAAGTACTTGTGGATGGGATTAAGGTTTGCAGCAATGTCTCAGATTGAAACAGGGCTATGTCGTGTCGGTAGCACTCCGATACTCATGGGTATCACCAAGGTGTTTCAACAATGCTACTGAGCTCGGGAGGCACCCATGTAGGATATAAATCACAATCCATTAGTATTATTAGGCAAAATCATTACAAGTCGTCGTCAGTATCTAACGTGGTTGTGGTGAGAGGCAGGCCCCACCATGCCCCGCTCTTGGGCAGAGGTATACTATCCGAAGCCATTCGATTAGACGTCATCCTCCTCGCGGTAAAGAGGAGTCCTCACATATTGATCCAAAGGTTCGACATGAGTCATCATAGACTGTGAGGACCATTGGCCAGGGTGAGTGGAAGTGTCCGGTGACCGAAGCGAAGTTGGGTGCTCATGTTGAGGGCTGACTCGTGGAAGAACCAAGGACTGTTGAGCATACTGCGAAGGATGATAGTGTTGCTGTTGATACGATGAGTGAGTAGGGTATTGTGAAGACATTTCGGGTATAGCTGGCAGAACGTGGGTATTCGAATTGGAATGCATAGGGTATCCGTGTGGTGTGCTAGGCGATAGACTGCATGAAATGAGTGATATGCAATAATCAATCACAGTAACGAAGCTCACTGTTGACGTCGACTCCCTTCTATATCTCCGACACTGGAAAGATGCACATCGCTATCAACGGAATTAATGGCAGTCCGAAATGGTAGGAGATCTAGTATTACATACCCGGCACGGCGAGAAATGAGTGGAGGCAAATGTGCTTCGGAAGGTTCACGCTTGGGAGGCGTAGGGTTCCGGGTGGGTGGGGTTGACGTTGAGGCCTCGGATATAGTCGCAGAACCTGCTGTAGAGGGTCGTGTGTCGGTGAGGGGAGAGTCTAACGCGCTTGGTGAGTGTTGAGATTGCTCTTGTTGGGGGTTCTTTCGCGACGACGACTTCTTGCGCGCAGGAACGCCTTCCGGCCACGTACACTGGACGACACGGTCAAACGCAGCTGATATGAGAATGATTGACGCGTACCTCTCGCTGCCCATGGGTACAGCGCATGCAGTTGGGCTTCGTCTCATCACACTACACGTAAACCGAGAACAATGTTAACTCAACGCGTAGACCGTAGGAGACGATCTTACCTTGATTTTTTTCGCCCTGCACGTCAAACAGCCTGTCTTGCTCCGGGTATATTTCGGGCGCTTTCGTTGGGTGGCTTCCGGTCTCGGCGTAGGCGGGACAAGTTGTTGGAGATGTCCTGACGCGGCATGAGCGCCATATGCTCCATAGCCAGCGGTTGGAGGCAAGTACTGGCCATGAGTATGACTGGCGGGAGGACTGTAGTAGGAGTAAGACATGCTAGAATAAGTGGCAGACATTGCGGGGAAATGTGGAAACACATACTAGTGGATGTGGTCGGCCATTATATTGGAAGAAGTGACAGAGGGAGAACCTTGGGGATGTCGCATGTCTGTCAGCGGTCCCTTTTGAGGCGACAGCGCTAGGCGAAGTCGTGGAGAACGAACGAGGCATGAGATGCTTGTTGCTGGCGGATCACCGCATATCGGGTTGGATCGCCGGCTCAGATCTGAAGGTTTCCTGTTTGTTGGGTTACAAGGGAAATTCCGAGCGGAATATCTGTTTATTATCAGACCTTTTTTCCAGGAATTCTTTTTTCTACCCCCCATTGTAGGCATGAATGGTTGCAGCACAGTGTACACGTTTTGCTTCCGTGAGAGCCAAGTATGACCCTTTTGTTAGTCACACAGGGAAGTTGAATGTCAGTAAGCCACTCTGCCGGTGGTCAGCGGGAGTGATCGACCTGAAAGGCCCCAGCGTCAGCACATACAATCGTATTCGAGATAGAGAATTTCATGCTAGATTCATTGAGCCATATTGCACAACAATGTGTGTTCGAACGTATTGCGACGGCGTGTCCTCGTTCTTGACTGTTGAGATCATCACTTCCCTGGGTACCAGACGAGTTTAGCTTCATTTGGTCATATGCTACTAATGTAGACAAACACTATGAGAAGCCCAGGGCCCTTACGAGGACCAACCCCTTGATGATCAAGCCGTCGTTCCGCAGACGCCGTGCGCAATAACGAGTCCTGGTAAGATAGGCTTCATTCTTTGTCACGGCCTCGAAAACTTTCAATTGTGTTTATGAGTTTGCCGCAACTTCCCGACGGAGCAGAACCAGAAGCACTTGTAAGTGCAAACTTCACTGTTGCAACGAGGTTTCCTTGATCATAATTGGGAGCACAGACACCTCCATGGCTTTTCCGGGATATCGACACTCCCCTTACATACATTCATCAAGACGAAACTCCCGTCACACCTCAGTGAACGGCATGGCACCTGTGGGGACCCCAAAGGAGATGTGAATATCTCCACCGCCGTGAACGGAATGATTTACGAGACGAGGACGTCTTTGCATGACGACACATTGGAAGACATCAATCCTCTGCCAATTGTCATATGAGAACGGATATCCAGAAGCAGCACCAGCTTCCATATAGAACCCCATCACGGTTGTCTCCATACGTATGAGACGCTCAAATTTTCTATCAGTGCGCACTGCATACGTCTGCATACGTTCACCAAAGGCAAAACATGACATTGTCATGATGCGCGCTGTTGAATGGCTGAGAAATACGTCGAAAGAACTCCCAAGTCCTCACCGACATGCCACTCGCCTGATACCTTCTAATCAGATCTAATGCTTCTCATTGCCATGCACATCCCTTGCGGCATGGGTCCATATGGATTCCCAGCTGTGGGTCCTCTGATGACAAACATAGATGCGTTGTATAGCCCATGGCGGAAGCAAAAATTCGCTTGCTGGCAGGGAACAAAGATCCTGCCACCGTAACATGTGCTCTGCACGATACGAAAGAAAAGTCCGCCTGGATATTGAACATTCAACCCCCTGCATGAGGTGGATAGATAACCCCAAGCCCATGGTACTCCGGCAAGCCAGGCGATTTTGACACGGGTGGAAATCGAGAAAAGAACATTGTTGATCGACGACCGATCACCTTGAGAAAATAACCATTAACTTAGACGTCGCCTGGCCGCATGATCGCCGTATGTCTGACCGGATGTCAGAGTCGTGGTCACCGTCGCCAGGGATGAAAGAGACACTTTGTCAAAACGCCTGGATCTCGACATTGGCTCGTGGCAGCACGCTGTAGAAATCGGACAGGGAAAGGGGCGATATCGCCGAAGAAGGCTATTTTCAGAAGGACGGCTAGATGCCATCTGTTCATTGGTACTATTATTGTATTCATTACGACCAATAGATACGTATACGCACCTTTTGCGGGACCATTCCCAAGTGATGGACACCAAAACGTGTCTTAATAGCTATCAGCCTCGCGACAGTACATGAGCAATGAGGAGATCATGTGGTTCATTCTGTACAAGAGTGAAATAAGAATGCTTCATCAATCATCATAGCATAGTAAGGACGCGAGATCGGTCGAGAGTGTCCTCACGTACGACTGACCTCTACAATTCATGCACATTCCAACGAACGAGGCTGATGGACGAGCGTGACGCTTCGCGGGAGACCAGCGATTGATAGCAGCGCCGCGGCAAAGACCTATGAAGAAAAGAGATAGCCGACACTTCTCGAGGGCGAACATGATCGAATCGAAAGAAGAATCAGTGCGACGCCCCGTAAGAATCGGGGAAGTGATTCTCCCCGTTCTTCCAATCATTTTGTAAAGGAATCTTTGTGGAAAAGAACAAGCCTATATGAAACGACAAGCCCATTGAGAGAATTGAGTGTACATAGAGAGAGAAGGAAGGTGGGAGCAACAACTGTCGACTATCGAGCGGATCAACTTGTCTTGAAGCGGAGATCACACTCACAGGCGCCCGCATGGTGGCGTTAGACGCCAATCGCCGATCGTCCAACAGTAAGTACAGTACTACGTCCGAAACAATTGCCTATACAGTAGGTTCCGCTGGTGTGAAATTCGCACAGGCGCATGAAACTTATCGAAAAAACTTACGCGAGTAGGTTGTGCTAAGAATCCATTGTTGAACGATTGTGAATCACGAAACAATAGGAGCTACTACTTATTTGAGGAGAGAAAGGCATCAGTTCTTCCATGTATAGTACAACGGTGAGTGGCTGACCGGATCAAGCACTGAAATGGTGCAATGCCGAAAACAGTACTGCTGGCAGGGCCAGGAAAGACCGCTGAGTGTCATCATTCCCGAAGCATCAAAGAATGGAACTTAGGGAAGCCACTACACCCATACGTTAACTTACAGATGTCCACGCGCCGCCGATACGTCTCCGACCAGTAATAAGTGACATACAAGAGATGCCTAATGAGCCTACGCTCTGCCAGGATGAGCAGCGACGATACGAGGTGGATATGCCATCTTCCAGTCGAAATCTACGCCATTCGGAATCTGCCACAGGTGATGGAACCGCTGGCACATCTGATATTGAGTGGGATACGTAGACGTTCTGATACACGCACGGCATAGCTAAGGAGTATGCCTGTTAGCATTCAATCCAAGGCCGAGAAACTCGCAACATTACCACACGGTTCAGACGATCTGCTCTGAAATCTTGCCACCCTATGCGCCTAGAGCTCAAAGAATATTACGTCTCATAGAGACCTTCTGAGGAAGTGAGCTGGATACGACATCATTGCATAGCTCGGAGCCTGCCGCAATCATGGCACAACCTCATCCGTTTGTTATTGCGACATTATATTCCGCATGGACCATGAGAACCTCGTCATGATGCAACGCGGGATGTACAAACCTCCTGTGCATTTCGACCTAGACAGACCACACACCAGACTCATCTCAGATGTACCCGTGAAGTGGTCTTCAGGTGCTTCACCGGCATGATATCTCTGAGCGGTGCAGATTTGTTCCGAAGTCAGTGACAAATCGGACGTTCATTTAGGCATTTACCTGATTTGTCGCTTTCCATCCTTCGCCCCAACCCTCCAACTTTAGCTGAATTGCCTGGCGCATCAATACGTTCTCATGATCTATGCACTGCCGTGGAACAGACTAACCAACGCAGCATCCCATTCTATTAGTTCAAGACATGCCGAGTAATGTCATCAACTTACTCGCACCTGGAGATTTAGGTTCTAGCATTTCATGTTCTGCAAATGGGTCAGAGGTGTAGGGCGCACGGCCCACTAGAACCAAAGACCGGAGGGGCAGCGCCTGGTATGCTTCAGAGGCACAGCACAACAGATGACCGGTGGGTATATACGAATGATTCCTAACAATGGAGCTCGACAGATTTAGCTTGCGTAACCAAGCCAGACGATGAACCTAATCATAGCGACGATGTCTCCAGAGTCATTGCCAACAATGCTAGGGTACCATGGATAGAATGACTACATGTCATTTGAACCTTTTACGGTACAATGTTGGTGGTGATACATGCATGATTCCTTATTCGTCCACATAGCCTTAAGCCTTCACGAAAAGATCCGTGAACTGACTGACAGGAAGCTTGGGCAGAGACTTAGCATCGTTCACGGTATCCAAGATCCTGCAACAGAAGAAATCCATCAGCAAACCGGCCATCAGACCTGCGAAACAGCGATTGAAGATGCTTACTTCTTTTGACGAGCCCCATCGAAGTGAGGTGCAATATGTTTCTTGAACTTGGCCAGCAACAAAGGTGTTCCTTCTTGACGCCGGCGCTTATGACCAACGGGGTATTGCACTTCGACTTCGTCAAGCACTGTTCCATCGTTCAACTCAACGAGAAGCGCGTTGGAGATAGAGCGCTTAGAAGGTTCATGGTAGTCGACGCTGTACGACTTCTCCTCGACGCAAGTAATCTTAGCACGGAGAGCATCAATTCGAGGGTCGGCTGCGGCTTTGTCCGTGTACGATTCGGAAGTCAATTCACCGAAAATGAGGGGGAAGGCCACCATATAGTTGATGTCGTGACTAAAGCACTCGAATGAGCCACACGAACGGTTCTATGAGGTAAAAGGTGACACATACTCCCTGTCGGCGAAATTATCTAGGGGTCCCTTCTTGTTGATAATCCGCATTGCTGCCTCCTGGGTCCTGATACGAATAGATTTGATGTCATCACTGGTCTTTCCCAGGTCCTTCAGCTTTGCGTGGATAATGTGGGCAGCTTCCACAGCAGTCTGTGCATGGAATTCTGCAGGATAAGAAATCTTGAACAACACGTTCTCCATGATGTATGAAGAGTACGGCATCTGGAACTCGAATGGTCGGCTCTATAATAGCAGCGAGATATGAATCAACGATCATCCCGATAAATCTAAAATAAAAGAACCTTACCTTGAACAGGACATCATAGAATCCCCATGTCTTCGCGGTCAACACCGAAGGCATGCCTCTTTCGCCCTTCTTCACGAGGTACGCAAGGTTTACAGCGCGGGAACAGGCGTCACCAGCAGCCCAGGACTTGCGGGACCCAGTATTGGGTGCATGACGGTAAGTGCGAAGAGATTGGCCATCTACCCACGCCTGTGAGATAGCGTCAATGGTCTGAGCACGATCAAGGCCACTAGGTAACAACGCGGCAAATCGACGTCAGAATGGCCGATAAGTAAAAACTTTAACGGGATCGATACGGACAGTAATTTAGACACGACCGCAGTGCTTGCGACCTTGACCAAAACGACATGATCTAATCCCACACGGTTGAATGAATTGAGTAAGGCCAGACCACCTTGAATCTCGTGCGCCTTAATCATGCCTTCCAGGATATCATGGACAGTCAGAGGCTGGCCTTGGCGAGAGAGGTGATCAGCCACGGCTAGAATAGCACCAAGATTGTCCGATGGATGTCCCCACTCAGCAGCAAGGAAACAATCATTGAAATCGAGCCAACGGATCTGCGTCCCGATATTGAAAGCACCACGAATGGGGTCAAGCTGGTAATTTGTGCCGGGAACTCGAGTGCCTGCAATAGAACGTTAGGATAATGATAACTCAAGGCAATGTCATCATACCGTTCGGGACGACAGTGCCTTCAACAACAGGGCCTAGCAAACGTGCACAAGCTTCGAATCTCAAGCCTTCCAGACCACATCCAATGGTATCAATAAGGCAGAGGCGTGCAGTCTCGAATGCCAACTCAGAATCAATCTTGAAGTTGTGGACGTAATCTGCAATGTCCTGGAGAACCTGATCAGGCTCCGGACGCACTGCACTCTCTGCATGGCTCGACATGTTACGAGAGTGGGTAACAGGGGACTTGAAGGCAACTGCTGTTTTGGGAAGTGATTGTCGCTGGTAGAGGGGAGATTGTGACACAGCAAGCTTAGAGGCAGTATGGAGAGATGAACTGAGTGTGCCTCTGCAACGCAAAGTTCGAGGGAGTGAGGTGCGTGCCGTCGACAACATTTGCTAACCTACAACGAGCAATAACGACCTCGAGGATGCCGGTGAACGTGGAGAGGAGATGGGGATGAGACGTTCCCCGCACTTTATGCACCGGCTTAACTTCCGGCTCTGGGTTCGTACTTGCCGGCGCCAAGCTATTCTTCCTTCGTTTCTTCAGTTCATCTTCGGGTTCGAAAACTTCGTACACTATACAGGTAAGCAGATTTGTTACATACAGGAAGAAGAGACATGGACCAGCTCTCTACAGCCCCAGTGCTACAGGTAATGGCATTGAATGTGAACTCAGGACAGTCGCATGAAGCACAGTTCGGTCCACCATCTGCCCCCATCAACATCGCACAGTTCCTACAGACCGCCCTCAAGTTTGAGCAAGGGTCAGACGATCACTCGCCATGCAGCGTGTTTTCTCACTCTGTTGGCAACGGAAAGGCCCAGGAATGGTTGACGCTCAACCAGACGCAGCATGAAGCAATTGAAACAGAATGTAGGTTCGTCCGTTTTCGGCCGACATCTTCGCTTTCACATGAGATAGTTTGCGTAATGTACAACTCACATTATTCTACAGTGTTGGAGATATACAAGAATCCTTGAATGAAGTAGTATCCAACCCCAGGCTCTTCTCTCATGTTATCAAGACACACGAAGCTGCTGTACAGTCAATCTATGAAACGGCAGAATCGTCGAGTCGTCGGAAACGAAAGCGAGTCACTGTCACCGAGCCAGCGGATGAGCATGCAGGTGTCGCCTCGCTGAGGTCAAAACTAGATGCCGTACAATTAACCAGTTGGCCGTAAGTGCTAGCTCGTCCATTTATAGGACACGTTGCCGATGCTGATCGGTTGTGTTAAGACTTACTCTTAATTCTGCGTTGTTTATACGCACACCAAGACATGCAGACCACAACACACTAGTGGAAACGGTCAGTCGGTATCGGTTGCCGTTCCGCAAGAGCTCATGTACTTTGGCAGAAACGATTGAATCTTTCATCCGATGTGAATAATATACACCAGGCACTTATCTTTGTGACTGTTCATAGTCCTCTGTCTTGGGGCCATAAACTACTGGCACGTAGCTCGCAGCACGTTTTGCTGTCATCCCAAACTCTCGGTGATCTCTATGATGTGATACCTTGTCCATCTAATGAGATCCCCGAGGAGGTTGAGAACGATGATGGAATGACCAATTGGCATTTCACACAGCCGGGTTGCGGCAGCACTGGCGCCGTTATCTGTATTGAAGAGACCATGTATGGAGATGCACAGACCGAGCGTGACTACAGCGAGTGCGTACGGAATCTTCAGGAAATGTTTTGATACTAACGAACTTGAAACAGTAAACTTCAAGACTTGATTCAACGCATTCCTGAAAAAAGACGGCCGACGTTGAGCAAGGGACCTCCCATGCATGAGACGAACTTCGATTCCCTGGTCATTCGACTGCATACCCCTTATTGGTTATTGCATGCAGGCAACTGCGAACACTTCCTCGTGTTTGAGCACATACGGTTCGTGCTACTGATTACTCTCACTCGTGTCAATGACTAATTATTTCGGCAGTCTAATTCATCCATCGGATCCACCGCTATCATCATATCCTCTCACCACGCAAATTACCCCGCCTCTTCTGGACAACTGCAGGATATGTAACAAAGTTCCTGCCGTATATTCTGTTGTCGGTGATATCAGGCTCGGGGAAAGTCCCTTCGTGGTTTGTGCACCGTGTTGGAGATGGATGGGAATGCCGAAAGGGGAGGGAGCTAAGAATGTGACGGTTGTACCCTTACCAAAGCATGAATTTGGTTGGAATGCATGAAATGTAATCTACTTGTCATGTGCTACCTAGGAATCATTTTTTTAAGCTATTAGGATGACATGATGTCTACTGCTTTCCTAGTCTTCGTGTCTGGATGTGTACATACGGGTCCCGTGTTTGGTCTACGGGATAATGAATAGCATACGTGGGCGCTAATTTCGTGACGCGTCAAACACCGATCGCGTTTGATTCAAGTCTTAGTCCTCGACCACAACCTGACTGGGACTTCTCCACCGTTGGTTACCAGAACGGATGTTTTAAAATTATGGACAAACCGTCCCACCTGAGTGTGGTTGTTGACCTCTCACCAAGCCAGTGGCACCTTTGTGGACAGTCGAGCAATTCACACCCATTGCCACTTTCTGCTTTCCTATCTCAGCTTCTGGCTTTTCTGAATGCTCACATAGCCTGCAATGACGAGAACACACTTTCTGTATATGGCGCGCTACCTGGGAAGAGGTGGGCGTAATATCTGTTCGTGAGTGATGTATGCTGAACAGGATCATAGCATTCTCTTGTACTCCTCAGCAACTGCTGTCCCGGAAGAATTCACGGGGCCAGCGGACCCGAATACATATAGACCTTTTGAGGTGCTAGATTCCACGATGATGAATTCAATCTCAGACCGGGTTGAAGCTCTAACGGATTTGGAGCAGGAGCGTAAGCGTGGTTCACTACACAGATGGCTTCTACAAGCTCACCCTTACTGCTCTAGCGCCAATAGGGCTAGTCGGTGCTTTGACCAAGTCTCTATGTTGTGAGTGCTGTGATTTCATCTCGGTTCTTCCGCTAAGTTCAATGTTAGATATCAACCGTATGAGCAACGCTTCATCCACGTCAACAGCAGCGGGAGGCGTGCAAGGGCCTGTCGTCCTCCCGGACCCACGAATCCTGGTTGTATCCGTGTCTCCTGATGAATCGTCATCGTATATTCCAATTATGAACTCAATATTTTCGGCTCAGAAACTAGTACGTTCCCCGACTTGGCTGTAATGATGTTGTCTCAGCTGAAATGGTAACTAGAAAGTAACCATAGATGTATGCAAGCTCTACGGACCCGAGAGCGTATTCCTACAGCAAGCGGCGCATCTTACGGGAGGGTCATACATCTACCTTGAGCGGCCTGACGCTCTCTTGCAGTACCTGACTGTCAGTCTCTTGACAAATCGTACGAAAACATGGCGTACCAGCAGTTACTCATGCTATGTGATTTTCAGATGGCTTTCCTCCCGCCTCCCGCTGTTCGACAGTTACTGTCAGTGCCTACACAAGATAAGGTAGATTTCCGTGCGGCATGTTTCTGCCATAAGAATATCGTGGATATCGGATTCGTTTGCTCGGTCTGCTTGTCAAGTAAGCCTTTGCCTCTCCCTCAAGGGACCGCATTGTCTCACATGCAATTCAGTTTTCTGCCAGCCTGTGCCCGTTTGCTCCACTTGCCGGTTAGTAGCTTTTCAAATGTTCGTCATAAGCCGCTGATTGACCCAACGTCCTCTGCAGGACGAAATTTCCGATCAAGACGTTGCAGCGTCTCAACGCTTCGAAACCCGCCGCTCCTGCTCCTCGGACACCTGCACCTACCCCGCCGGCTACGAGTCTTCCTCGGTCACAGTCAATCGGGACACCGCGCTCGAGCATGGGGAATGGACTCGTGGCACCATCGCCAAGTCGTAATGGTACCTCATTACCGCCAAGATGAGCTTTCGGATGAAGGCATATTCCATTCTTGGTGGATACTACTCTACACTTTATTGCATCTAATGTATAATGCTGTGACGAGGAGCCTACAGTTGTCCGACATCAGGATGTTCAAATCTATCAGTCACTTTGTATCATCCCGCTGTTAAAGGTAGGGTCGTGATATACATCGAATGTCTATCAACAGATGCGGGTTGTGAGGGTCTACGTATGATCACAGCCTAATCAGACAACAAATTAGCGGAGAAATCCAAGCACATATGCGTCTGATGTGTGTGGGATGTACTGACTTTAGGTTGAGGGTTCAAGGAAGATGCATAACCTACCGCCATGTTTTCCGTTGTGAAAGCGCACCACAGTCGAGCTGCAAGAGTTGAATGGGGATACGGTAATTTGCATATCAACCGTCGATGAAAACGTACCGTTCACTGTGCCTGCCTCATCGCGCTCTTTGACTAACAAGAGCACTCCTGCATGAGCTTCATTGTCACCAAGACTACGACAGACAACTACATGTACCGTAGGTTCAATAATTCATGGGCAAGTAACTTGCACCCAGTCATGCAACACACGTACCATGAAAGTTTTCTAGCACTTCATGAAGAACATCATGCGTGTCTTCTCCACGGCCTGAGAGCAGTTTCTCGCCTATAGTCTTGGCTAACACACATCGCATGATATATTCACCGGTACCTGAATGCCAACGTCGTTGGAAAGATAGCGAAAAGATGGAAATCAATGATAACGTACCGGACACACTACAGGCCACTCCGCCGAAGGAACAAGACACATCGTTGGACGCCAACTGATGAGCCCAGCACCCAGCTCCAAACGTCGCTGCCTATAGCTGGCCAGCATCGATACGCTAAATCTCAGATGCAAAGCCAGAAAATCATACCTCGCCGATTCGTCCCGAATGCTTCAACAAGAGACCTCCGCTGTTCACATGCTCAGAAAGAGGCGCTAGAAAATACAACGTTCATACCTTGAGACACCAGCAGCTAAGCCTCCGTCAGGGTCCCAAGCAATGGCGCCCACGGTATCCTGAATATCACGCAAACCCGAGGACCGAGGAAAATTATCTTCAGGTACATCAATACCAGCACAGACGGAATCGAGACGAGTCTTCCATCTTTCCCAGTCAGCTTGCGCTCGTGGAGAGATCATCAATTCTGGAGAAACACAAGGCAAGCCCTGATTTTGAGCAAATGTCTCCGCACCACGAGACACCATTAGTCTGGAAAGAGGACGCTGGATCATTTCAGACATACCACGATTGTCGGACAAAAGGGACGTACAGCGGAGGTATTCGTCCTAGTGGGTCGGAGATGAAGGCATGTCGGAGGACAGTTCGTGCTGCGCAGATTGGGTTTTTGACACCGCTAATGGCCCCGACGCTGCCATAATTTCCCGTCGCACCATCCATGAGAGCGGCATCACATTCGACGGTGCCTTCCAGCGTCAAATTCGAACCATAGCCTTTGTAAAATACTCACTTTCTTGAGTGTACAAGACGACGGAAATGTATCGGGTAAAACGCACCAGCATTCAATGAAGGATCATCTTCGAGGACCGTGATGGCACTTTCGGTCGCATCTAGGGCTGTTCTGTTCTGAACTAGACGAGCCAGAGCGGACTCACAAGCTCTGTAAAATTTTGAGGTATTCAGTCTGATCCCCTCTGTGGCCGATATGAGAAGTTAGAAACATACGATATAAGAGCGTGCTTGACTTCCATCGTGTAGGTTTTTGACCGGCTATGTGAGCCTGCACCTCCATGTACGGCAACTACGTAGAAGGGGTTAGTATTCATATCAGCCCAAGCCGTATTATATCGATCGCGAGTGCGAAGGTTGCTAGCGGCTGAAGAGACATGAAAATGGTATTGTGAATGTATTGTATGTGCCATCTCAACGAGACTGAAGCTGCAGAAGAGCTGAAGCCACATGGCAAAACAGGTCCAAATAACGCGGCCGCGTTCAGCCACCGACGCGAATGTGACGGTCGCTTCGTACCTCATACTAGTCATAGTACAAGTTCTTCACCACACTCTTAGCCATGGATATGAATGTCGGAGTTCTACCACGAGGTACACCTGCTGTAATACACATGAATAATTTACCACTAACTCAAACGCAGATGTCCTTGACACACTCTTGATGAAATTGGATGGGGATGTGGAGGCCAGTTCTCTACGATTTCTGCGTCTGCCCCATCCCCGCACAGGTACTTATTCGCTTAGTTCATTTATCTTTATGCTGCTTATCTGTTGAGAATAGGAATTCCCTCCCTGTTCTTGCCATACAAGTCTTCAAGCAGACAGACAACTACAATTCTCGAGGTGCAGGCAATCGTCCCTCCAAATGAGCGGTCGTGGATAATGTCGGAAGGAACTATCATAGGCGGTGGGTGCACTCGTATAGAATCATGTACTTTATGGCTCACCTGATTCTAGATGGGAAATTACTTCTCATGACTCCCGTTGACCCAGCGTTCCTCCTTATCCCTATTCTGAGGAGCATCTACCTGGTATGTCATGACATTCAAGTTTGTTGTATTTGGTTGGCGAATTGCATTCCAGGTGGACGGCAGCTATGGTACCTTCCGTCCAGCCGATGATATCTTAGAGGACGCAATGAAGACTTATTTTGCAAGCCTTGGTGGAACTTGCGCAATCAAAGGGGACCCGTCCAGCCAGCTCTCCCAGTCTGATCTAGCGAATCTCTGCTCGCTGGATTGTGTGCATACTGCTATGAAACGCATTTGCGAAGTGAAAGGTATGTCGAAAAATGCGTTCCATATGATAGTTACCAATTTCCGGTGTCAGAAATCACTCCAGAAATCATTGTATTTCGCTATTCGCCTGAGTGTGTACTCGAATACCTGCGAGGGAAAGTCACAAAACTATGGAAGCCCGCGATTCTTGAGAGCTCGAGGACTGTTGTACGGGGTCTGGCCAAGGACGGGCTCATGGAGGAAGGAAACGAGGCGTTGCTGAATTGTGAGTGTATCCCACTAAATGATGTTCGGCCAGTTCTTTGATGAGTCTTGTGTAACCTTTCAGCTGGGCACCTTAAAGCTGCTTGTGATCTTGTATCACAATACATACCGCAAGACCTGCATGACGAACTGCAGGCATTTTATGAGTATGTGACTGTATCTTTCGTCATGTGCTTCATCGGTTGAATCTTCGTTTGTTAGCTTTGCCGCTCTCAATGCCCATTTGGATGCGAATCAAAAGGAGCTTTCAGCCCTGGCCGCGTCAAAAATGAGTAACATTGAAGCAAGGGAAAGTGGGAAAGCAGTAAAAGCCGACGGCAAAAAGCGCAAAGGTCCAACAAAGGGCTCACATGGGGTTGAAAAGCTGAAGAAGGTGAATACGAAGGGAATGGCCAAACTATCAAGTTTTTTCCAAAAAACTGCTTAGAGAATGCGCTGCAACTTTTTCTAGACACTTTGGTTTCTTGTACAAGGAATATACCCGATCGCAGACGATACGCGTTGGGCGTGTTGCGACTTTTCGATCTCCGCTTGACCTCAGACTTGCTTCTCACCACGATCCATGTCTCCCTCAAGTGCAACTTGTTTTCGCTTCGTCTTCATCTTTCCCTTTCTCCCCTCACCCGCCCGTCCAATTGACCGTCCGACATGATGGCGACAGAGGACAAGTGCGTCGGCGTTGACAAAACCTACGTGGAGCGTAGCGTGCAGACCGAGAACACTCAACTGGCTTTCGTTGGAACACAGATCCCACTGACTCTAGTTGGCGACAACGTTTCGAACTCTGGCATGCCGGAACCTTCCATATCTTCAACTACTGACGTTCCTGTCGTCGGGGAAGTTATCGAATGTTCAGGCGCATGCACTCACACCTTTCGCCCTGACGACACCGACAGCGTGCAGGATGCATCAGATCAAGTAGAGTCAGACTCTATGACAAGTTCTCTGCGTGTCTACAAGCAACAGTCAAGAGAAAATCAAAGTCAACGTTTGCCTTCATGTCGTACCCTGAAATCTGCTTCTGCGCGTGTAGTCTCTCTCCCCGAAACGTCTCCGCTGTACTCTGTCAAGAAGTCGGCCGATATAGCCAAAAAGCGAGTAGTGTCACTCCCAGAGCGGATGCTGTTGAACGATCCTAGTGACAACTACGACTTGTGCACTGATGCCTACCTCCTTCGCTCTCGCGTTCGCATTGAATCCCATGGTACCGATATACCATACACACCATCTCCGCCTTCGTCACCAGAATCGGTAATAATCATTGCAGATAAGCCGCATATTTCTAGAGGCTTCTTGCAGAGGCATATACCCATCGAAGAGGCCACTGACGATGTTAACGATGACGGTAGGAGATAGTTTCTGTGCTGTAGCGCCTTTCCTTATATGTCTATTCGTAGGATGGATTACTTGGGCAAGGTCTCCGCCTAGGCCGATACCTGCCCTCCATGGTCCCTTGTCATTACCGTATGCTCGATGCCCCTCGTACGTATTTTACCCTCGCATGCTGGTGAATGTCTCCCTTATACACACAATAGGGGTGCAGAGGGTACTATCATTGACGAACAGGATAATTTGCCCCGCATGATATGGGGTCTCGAGGGCGAGAATGTTCGGTCCGCAGCTGAGAATATCCTTCGTCCGACCGTTCCAAGTCAACCTACCCCTCGCAAGCCTGCCACTCGTCCCGGTCCCTCCGCTGTACCCCCACGGTTCTCCAGACAAAAGGACGAGGTTATTCGCCATCGTCCTCTGCCTGTGCCTCCAACAGCTTTCTACAAACCAGACACGTTGCTCACCCCGCCAGACCTACCTCACATCTCTGTACCTCAACAATCGTTTAACTACGAACAACCTGAGCTGGAACGCGCTTTATCTGGTCACGGACCTATCGATCTCAGCAGTGTTCTGCGTCCCCGCGCCGAAATCATTCAAGGATATGACTCCCGACTGGACCTACAAAATAATGCGATCTACGACTCTCTTGGCCGCGATCTACGTAGCTATGGTCTTGGTAACGAACTTGGTTTGGATTGGAAGTCTATGTTCCTGCATCAGGATTCAATGAAGAGGCACCCTGTCCACCCCGACGGCGCGACAACGATCCTGGACGACGATTCCACTGAGTACTTTAAACCCTCTCTATCGGCCTCTGTTTCTCTCGCTTCTCTTTCATCGTTAGCTTCTTCCCGCTCGCTGGTATCTGTTGACTCTCCGAACATGGACTCGCGATCTCTCGCAGGTCAAGCAAGTCTGTACAATTCTCCTCATCGGTTGACAGCCTTGGAAATCGCACAAAATTACCGCCAGAAACAGCTGCACCAACAGGGACAGTATCACCAGAAGGGCATGTTACCCACTCCGCCGAACTCCTCGTCTCCAATTTGGGCTTCTCGGGTGTCTCCACATCAAGGTTCTCTTATCTCGCCATACTCTGATTCTGTAATTTCTCCCAATTTGTTGACTCCCTCGGGCGTCCCTGCAATTATCAACCAGTTGAATCAAGCCAGCCTGCAGCAATATCAACACTTTTTGCAACAAACAGAGAGGTCTTCGAACCTTCGGACCACGACATATGAAGAAGTCCCGGTGGCTGGTTTCAATGGTCGAAAGATCAAACTAAGTGTCTCTGGATTGGCTCCGGCAGCAAAGATCCAAGCACCTGTCACAGGCATCGAAGACTTACAATCATCATTGTATTCGCCGGACATGGTCTCGTTGGATCATATCACCAGATTTCTCCAAGCCCAGAGTCTATCAAATGTCCTGGAACGCCGTTCGCCTATGTCAAATGTCCAACAGTCCCCTTTAATTCCTAGACCCCCTCCTAATTCCCCCTTCGTTGCTCTTCCACTAGCTCGTGGTTCCAGGTCCCAGAACTCTAGACATTCAGTTAGCCTTTCTTCACCTCTTGTTGAAGCGCCTCCTTCTCCAACTTCACCTGAGTTGAGAGCTCGTCCTCGAAGTCTCTCTCATCAGCACCCGCGTTCCATTCCTCTCACCCAGTTGATCCAGCGTCGCCTCTCCTCGGTCCCAGAAGAGGATTCGGGCATTCTACTGGAATCGTATTCTTCAGTTTCTTCACCACGACAGAGGTCTAGAAGTTATTCTACTGGGGAAACCCCCACCTCTGCCAGGAAGCTTAAGGTCTCCCTCAACAGACAAGCTAATCTTGCTCCGATGAACCCACCAGTGACGACAAAACGAACGCCTAGTCCCTCCCAGGCTAACGCTTATCATCATCGTACTAATGGGCCTACAAGGACCAGTACTGCTGTTCCTCAAAGGTCCCAGCATACTTCCAATCCCTCTAGAAGCAGAGGAAGGGAACACCATGAGGTAGCGAATGCCCGTGGGCGGGATGACCATGGTAGATCGTTGGATAGCAACGTTAACAAGGATTACCCCACAAGAGGTACTAGAGGTGGCCGAGGGCGAGGGTCAGCCAGAGGCAGAAGAGATCGAGGGGGTTCTTGGCCCATACGCGGACCAGAGAGAGTCGACGGCGGTATGACTGTAAGATGTTGAATGGTGAGCATATCTCATTTATTGAACCTTCTCTTTACCTTATGTCTTCTGACTTCTGTGGTCGACCCATCTTAGGTTCCATGCCCTACTGTTCTCGTTTCATACATGTTGTCCATGTGCATTCGTCGCTCTGGTTATTCTAGTTATGGCTATCTTTATTGTCTTTGCAACCGAGTTCGGATTTCTGCCTCGACGCTCCTCGTCTAGCTTTTTTATTCTCATGGGACAGTTATTTATTGGTTCCGAGGCTCTGTTGGAAGCTGTTGTACTTTATGTGACTACATATAATTCCCGCCGGTATACAATCGGTTACGTTCGAACTCGAAGGTTCATCGGTAATCACTCCTGTCAGACGGAATCCAGAGAAAGTCTAAGGCACATGAACTTCGGGATCGACCTTGGATCAGAAAGTCTATGATACAATATTTGCGACCTCGGTTGGGTTGATTCCGTTAAAACCGTTGGAACATTCTCATTTTCCTCGTCAAATTGGACGCCTACATGCCATGTGCTCGGTTCCGTGTCGCTGAGGAGGGCGGGCCTCAGAGAACGTTCATCGAGCAATGGACTGGACGAAATCAATTCGATTGCAGTGATATCAATTAGTACTTGTGTGGGTAATTGGAGAACCATTGTGTGAAGCAAGAAGTAGAGAAAACGACTAGAAGAAGGAAAAAAGCAAAAGAAGAGTCGAAACAAATGTAGCCTAGGAGAAACGCGACAGGTATGAGACAATAGGGTACGAGGGGAACGCTACCTACAGGGATTCGGAACATGGTGGAAAGGTAGTAGCACAAGAGTGAGGGAGTAACGAAACAAACTGGACTGTATGGATGGCAGCGGGATTAAAACATTTATTTGGGAAACACAGCGAGAGGTCGCGCAGAAGAAACAAGAAGAGTGGAAATAAGAGACATGGAGTGGACGAGACGATGTTGTATTGTGTTGATTGGTTGGTTGGTTGTGATTGCGAGGATGAAGCAGAATGAAGGGGGAGAAAGAGAGACAAACGTACACGAGACGCTGGAAGAAGATTACAGGTGGTTTGCATCGAAAGCGAAAAAAGAAAGACTAAGTGTCCCGGATTTCCAGTGATACAAGATGCAACAAAGAACGGTTATAAATGCAATGCATGACTTTTTCCTAACGCTAGTGTGACTTTCCGGGGGTAATATTTCCGTGTTTCTTGGGGGTATTTAGGTATCTAAGTCGGTGGGGAATCATTTGAGCTGAGCCGAAGCCCTGCCATCGCGGCATCTAGCGATCCTGAGGAATCGCCTCTGCTAGAACCAGGTCGGGATGAACTACTGAGAGTGTGTCAGTTGAAGGATCATATCGTTACGGGGACAGGGAGCAGTGGGAAAATAGAAGGCATAAGAAGGCATAGACACCACTGCATATGATATAGAATGATAGACAGGGACAGCGAAGGCAAGAAAAGAAGATGAAGATGTACGCACGTATCGCCGGATCGCCTTGTATTCGGCCATCCCCATACTTGTCTGATCCAAGAAGCCATGTTGACATGTCTCTGCATGACGTTAACGATCCAAGGATGTGAGAGGAGTTCTTTGGGGGTTGGTCGCAGGTTGGGGTCCCGAGTGAGTCTGGGTATAGTGTGAATGTCAGTAGAACTCAAAGTGTATTATAAGAACTTACGCGACTTTGATGAAATCTTTCATCTCAGGACTGTAATGGATGTCTTCTGCTACTTCATCTTCTAGTTCAGGAGGCTAGGATGTGAAACGGAGGTCAGCGACAATGAATGTGGGAAAAGAGGATTACTAACCTCGTTTTGTGTGATGTACATCATCAACTCTATGTCTGCAAGATCATTAGGGAAGGGGAACCGGTTTTGTACAAGTTCGAGCAATGAGATGCCTGTCGACCAGACATCAGATCGGATGCTATAGTTTAGACCTGATAATCGCTCGGGCTGTCCATCGACCGTGAGTAAAAAAGAAGACCCAGAATCGAAGATGGGACATACCGCCATGTAGAGACTGGTTCCCGTGAAGGTTCCGGCATTGGAATTGACAAGCTCTCCAGAGACACCAAAGTCACAGAGCTTGACAACACCCTCACGGGTAAGGAGTATATTCGGAGGCTTGATGTCGCGGTGGATGGTCTTCTTTGAATGCAAATACGCTAACCCTTGAAGAACCTAAGAGACATTGTCAGATGCATGATGCGCAAATCAATGATGGATTCGCGGAAGGACCTGAGATCTGGAGATAGGAACTTACTCCTTCTGCAAGACGACCGGCAACTTTCTCACTGACACGGGCTCCAATCTGCCTCATCCGTTTACCGACCGATTCGAGACTTCCTCCCTCACAAAAGTCCATGAGTACTTTGACCTCGCTGGACGAGGGAGAGATGTATGCCCCAAAGAAGTGAATGATATTCACATGCTCTGTGCTAGAGATGATTTTGATTTCTCGTAGGAGCTGCTTCAAGGGCGCCTCATGAGTAGTGATCGACTTGCGAGCCATGATGGTGCCGGTGCGTTTGTCGCGAACTTTGTATACGGCGCCGCCTGCGCCCTCGCCGAGCCTGGAGAGTTCTTCCAGTACATCGTCGGACCATTGATCAAATTCTTCCACCGTCTGACGGATGTTCTCCATCGAGACAACCGGTGGCGGGCGGGGTTGCGGGGAAATAGTCAATTGAGGCTTGATGGTCGCCTCGCCGGGACCCTCTGTGTGATTAGCAGACATGAGATGAGGAGAACCATTGGCATTATTGGGTCCTCCCGCATATCCTCCAGCAAAAGGTCCTTCCATGGTAGAATTGAAATCGATCTTTGGAAGCTTCAGTTTAGGTCGCGAAGACGGTGTCGCGCCAGGAATTTGTAACCTGGTCGGGGTCGGTGATCGAGAGCGACCGGGAGTGACATCCGATGGGGCAGAAAGAAGAGAGGATGGTGGAGTGCCATTTCCATTGAGAGTGGGTCGAACACCGTTGGTAGTCGAGCTGGACGGTCTGCGAATATTCAAGGGCTGTATCTCGGGTAGATGAAGAGGAGGAGCTGGAGACGCGTTACGTTGTCGGGGGCCCATAGGGCGGCCTGGGGAAGGATGAAATGGATGCATCGTTCTGGACGATGCGTAGGATGGAGGAGAAGAGAAAGAACGTGTGGCAAGAACTTTTGGACAAGCCCAAGGTAGACAATCGCAGCTCCTCCAATCAATCCTGCCAAACAGCCCAAAGTCCAGGCCAAGAAACAAATATGCAATGGTTTTTATCTATTGAACTTTGCAGGCAGTGTAGCCAAGTGGTTACGGCGTCACGTTTAGGTTTGCTCAGTCAGCTACTCCGTGATGGGTTTCCCGCGCGAGTTCGAATCTCGTCACTGTCATCTTATCTTTTTGCCTTTATAAAGCATGGCGCCTACAACACTTGCTTTCCACATCCGACCATTCTTGCAACTCTCATTCTACCATGGCCTCTGCTTCAGGTGAGTACAGAAACATGGTCGCTTTGGCATCTGACATCGCTAACTATGTGCTAGCAACCGGAAAGTTATCGCGAGAAGAGTTCCGTCGACAAAAGGACCTCGATGCTGCTCGTAAGGCTGGTACCGCTCCTGCCGCTATAGATGCGGAGGGCAAAGCCATAAATCCTCACATTCCTCGTACGTTCAATCTTTCACTCTACTATTCACTTATACTCACTATCTTTCTCCCTCTGCAGAGTACATCGCGCAGGCTCCGTGGTATCTCGACACAGGCGCACCTTCATTAAGCCATCAACGGATTCCAGAATATGACCGTGGTGCTGACAAACTCGACAATTGGTACGACCGTGGTGCCAAAGCTGGTCCAGCAGCGAAGAAGTATCGCAAAGGAGCGTGCGAGAACTGCGGCGCCATAACACACAAACGAGCCGATTGTTTGGAGCGACCTCGAAAACGAGGTGCAAAGTTCACGAACAAGGACATTGCGCCGGATGAAGTGATCCAAGAGGTCGCAAGTGGATACGACGCAAAGCGTGATCGGTGGAATGGTTATGATCCTGCGGAGCATAAGAGAGTGTACGAGGAGTATGCTGCTGTGGAGGCTGAGAGACAGAGACAGAGGGAGGAAGAGATTGATAAGCAGACGACGACGGACTTAGCTGCTGTGAGGAAAGTGGCGAAAGCTGGTAAGGGCGAAGGAGGCCAGGACGACGACTTCGGGAGCAGTGAAGATGAAGATGAGGACACGGACAAGTACGCTGAGGCTGCGGATGCTGTTGGCCAGAAGTTGGACACCAAAACCCGTATCACTGTCCGAAACCTGCGTATTCGAGAGGATACGGCGAAGTACCTTATCAACTTGGATCCCTCCAGTGCTTACTACGATCCGAAAACACGTTCGATGCGTGACAATCCTATGAAGAACGTAACTCCGGAAGAGGTAAGCATGTTCAGCTCTTTATAATAACCGCCATTGCTGACTTGTATCTATAGGCAGTCTTCGCAGGAGACAACTTCTATCGGTTTTCAGGTGAAGCTCCTGCAGTTCAGAAACTTCAACTCTTTGCCTGGAATGCCGCAGCTCGTGGTAATGATGTCCACATGAACGCCAACCCGACACAAGGCCAACTGCTTCACCATCAGTACCAGAAGAAGAAAGAGGAGCTTAAGGATACGACGAAAGTCAGTATCTTGGCCAAGTACGGCGGTGAAGAGTATCTTCAGAAAGCGCCGAAGGAGCTACTGCAAGGTCAGACGGAGGAGTATGTCGAATTCTCAAGAACCGGTCAGGTTATCAGAGGGAAAGAAAAAGCGAAAGTCCGCTCAAAGTATCCCGAGGATGGTAAGTAACAGCTCACATCTTGATATCACACTGAAGCTAACGATTCATTGCAGTCTATATCAATAACCATACTGAGGTATGGGGTTCATGGTACGACATGTCGACTGGCCACTGGGGATTCGCCTGTTGCCATTCGTTAACACATCTCTCCTACTGTACGGGCGAGGCAGGCATCGAAGCGGCTCAAGCTTCATCAGCGAAGAACTTGCTGGCCTCATCTGCCTCCGTACTTGCCGCCGCTCCTATTCAACCAGAAACTCCTACATCACCTCCACCACCCGTTCGACGAGAATCTACAGATGATCGGAAAAAGAAAGCTGAAGAACTTTTCTCGAAACGACGGTTGGGTGAAGGTGAACTTAATCTGGATGAGTCGAGGTTGGTAGATGCAATTAGGGAGGAGAAGGATAAGAAACGGAAAGGAAGAGCTGATGAGGAAGAGGATCCTTGGGCGAAGAAGAAGAAAAAGCATGCATCTGAAGTTACTGAGGAGGAGTTAGGTGAGTTATATCTTTCATATCCGCTTGTTATTGAACTGAAACTGACTGTATGTTGCAGAGGCATACCGAATGAATCGACGAATGACGGAGGATCCTATGGCGAACTACGTCGATCCGGACGATGTGTGATCCTTGTTTTTCTCACTTTATATATACCATTTTCATTGTATTGTACTCATCTACTTGTACTACTATTTCCCTACGATCGAAGTCATAACTTTTCATGGACAATGAACTGACAAATGTACCTAATGAGGCGCGCCCACGTGAGTGATGGAGGAGTTGAACATAGCACACGAGGAGGACGCGAGCTTCAGCCTCCTCCACGCTGCTAGCCAGTCGCTAGCAAACATTTCTCCCTCCATACTTCCCATTCTCTAATGCCTCTGCGACCCCTCCACCCTCCCGCCTCTGAATGCAATTGACCATCGGACCCCCTCTCCTTTTCGCCCTCGGAATTCGTATTCTACTAAACTTTCTCAATCCAGAACATACCCAATCTACAGCAGACGAGCTCTTGCAGGGCCTCTGGCAAGGCGTCCTGCTCTATCATACCCTCATCCACCTCTCCGAGTTGGTCTTCGTTGTCGCTATCGCTATCGTTGGCTTTACTCTGTTTGAAGTCCTCCGGAATGGCTTCGATGCTACCAAGTGTGCTTGTACATTGCTTGGGGTTGCCGTTGGTGTCCTCATTACAAGTGTCCTTTCTCAAGTAATTGAGGACACGAGTCATTCAGACGTATCCAGCAAGGATAAGAAACCCTCCAACTCTGGGCACGCGAACACTATCCCTGTGAATGACCCCATATCTCGACGTACACGACTTGTCTCATTTGGTCGGAGCAGTGCAGACCGTCATCGACAAGTTCATATGCATAGACATACTCGTGAACGTGAACCTGATCAACGTCCTCGTCATTCTCATACCACTCAACCTCGACCAGCTCATACGCCACACCAACATCCACATCCACATCCACACCGCCCACCATCAGGATATGATCCTGCCTTGCGGGACCTCACATCCCCTACACCAACCCTCGCCTACAGCGTTGACACCGCACCCTCCATCTCCATCGACTCCGTTTCCTCTTCCATTGATCCCAAAGGTCTACTTTCACCACGTGAACGTGAGGTAGCTATCCTCCGCGCGAGGGCTTCATTAGCAGACTCCGAACGACGACGATTCAAAGAGGAAAGGAAATGGGCGTTGAGTATGGGTAATAAAGCGAGAGCGAATCAGTTGGCGTGGCAAGTGAAGAGGTATGCTGCGTTGATGGAGAGTTATCATAGAGAGGCGGATGCCAAGGTCGTCGAAGGTTCGTCTTTTGCTCTGTTCCGTAGCTAGCTAAACTTATCTTCCAACACATTATATTGAATGATCTGCTTTTGCAGCCGCGCGGGTAGCGGTTCCTCACCAGCAATCACATCCACAACAACGCCAGCAACCTTTTCCTAGCACTTTGCCTTCAAATGGACAGTCAACCCAACGTCGAGGGTCAGTATCCCAACCTCATAACTATTCCACGCCTGTACAGCAAGTTGAACGAGATCGTGCGCCATTGGTAAGTGTTACGGTTGGCGCCACGTCTGCAGGACGTGTTCGAAAACGTAGCGGTGGCCATGGCGGAGGCCCTCCTGTTACTCTGAAGCCTGCTATGTATGTTCCAGGACGAGAGTACGTATCCTGCGATAAATATAATATCTGCAGAGCACCTTGTTAACGTTGTGTCGCATAGGACGATTACAGTGAAGCGATGACACCAGTCTTGAAGAAGACTATGTGGAAAAGTGTATTTCTGTTTACGAACGTCCGGTCTCATTCACGACGTTCCATTTTTTAAAATGGCTTGATGACTAGAAGACGTGACCTTCGTGGCAATATAACCACACGTTGCATTGGAAGGATATTTGGATTCCTGCACCGTTGTATGTACTAGCTGCTTCCTTTTGTCTTTTGGGTGATACCGTCTTGTGCTTAGCGCAAGTTATACGAATACAAGTTTCTTGGGATATCATTGTACATGACGCAAATTGCGCAGAATAAAGTCCTTGACAATGAACCCAGGACAGCTGTGCCTTTGTCTTCATCTAATGTCTATTCTACTGATTGACCTCTTCTTCTCTTAGGGCACTAGTAGAGTCCATTATGTCTTCTCCCTTTCAGAACATGCTTCGACTTGATCGAAACACGCAACAAAAACGTCGATGTACAATCCGTATTGTATGTAATGTCGGAACGCGGTAATGCTATAACATAACTTGGATGACCAAAGTCGATGTGTGTAGAAATGGAGTGTGCGAAAAGCATCGGAAAAAGCATGCAAGATTGTAAGAAAGACTTGGATGAGCAATGAGGTACGGGAAGGGACTAGACTAGGACTACGATAGCGTTGACATACAACGAGGAAAGGCACAAAAAAAACTTGGAACACCCATGAAATGTCCGGGCGAGCAGGGAACAACAACGATACAATATGGGGGTCCTAGAAAACAAGATATCGGCTGGAAGCGATATCGACGACAGCAAAAAGCAAGACTAAGATGCAGAGTGGAGGAAGAGGCATAGATAACTAGCAATATAACAAGGTCACCGGTATCTGCCGTTGGTATGTGATGAACTTGTGGAAGCGGAAGGTAAGGAGCCGTTGCTGCGACCCGATACGACGACGGACGGCATAGTCGGTACAGTGGTGCTCAGGCGGGGTTTCTTGGGAGCACTGGAATGCGCTTCGGTTGGCGTAGATCGTGGAACACTTTCTTTCATCACCATCTTCGCATGGATCTCCTCCAACTTCGCAGCTTTGACCTTCTTGGGCCAGAATAAGGTAACAAAACTGAAGAAAACAATCAGGCGACATAGAGTGATGAAGAGTAAGAAACCACGTACGTCCAGAGATGTCGTCGCCAACGATCACGGTTTTCCCCAGCAGCTTCCTTCTGATTGAGCACCAATTCTATCCTCTTGCCGATCGCAGACAATGATTCTTTCAGCATTGCAACCTTCTCATCTCTAGGCATTTCATTCCCAGAAAGTTTCAGATTTTTCTGTTATTTGACTATGAGATGAAGTTTGAAGTGAAGAGCATGACTACTCACGAGATGTTTCTTGACCGGTCGCAGCTCTTCCTTGGTGGCGACTTCGTCCATGGAGGGACTACAAATTAGTCAACCATCAGCACAGGAATCCCCTACGATAGAAGAATGAACGCATACCATTCGTCAGAAGATGAAGAATCAGTGAAAGTCGGCGTCGGTCTTCGCTTTCTCTTCTTGGTACTGCCCTCGTCGACAGAGGCAATCGCCTCACTCTCAGCTCTCCGCTTGATGCTCGCACTATATGAGGTGGATGCGATAGGTGGCGGCGGCGAGATGGACGTCTTGGTGCTGTGACCCTTCCGCTGCAGTGTACTCTCGATAGCTCGAAGCTTCTCGTCGTGCTCACGGAGGATACTCAGAAGGAAATCACCGCGTCGTACAAGATGAATGGCGTTTGGAATGGGTTTGGAGGCAGATTCCTCGCCTTTCTTGCCTTCTTCCAAGAAGAACTTGCCTTCCAGACCAAGCCGAGTATCCTTGGCCATAACCTCCCAGTTTCCGAAACCATAGAGATAAGCACCAACGAGTAGCATAGCGTCTTCCTGAGGGCCCCAACGTCCCGACCAGTTGAGCGTCGGCCGGATGTTGTCAATGGGTATTCGCCAGTTGTAGATGTCATCTCCAAGATCTCCGAGGTATTTGAAGAGGATCTGAAGGTCACGATGTCGCGAAAGAACAGTTTCGGCGTTGATATTACCTACATTCCGGTAGGTCACCAAGACGGCTTTGCTCTTCTGCGCATTGGTGAGGGTTTCACCAGCAGCAACCCGAGCACGTTTCTGTGCTTCGTTGTCATCGACAGAATGAGCGCATAGTTCGACGATCTCATCGGCGGTGTCGATAATCATGCCCTTGTTCTTGTCCTGAAGCTTGGCCTCAGTGACCTGCGGTGATTGAGATCGTGAGTGAGAAACTGAAGCAGATAACATAGGACAGAGACTTACAATGATATCGTATCGCTGACGAATGTCGCCCCATCGTTGTAGACTACGAATAAGCACTCGGACGTCTCGCTCTTTGAGCTCCATAGCCTTTTGACTAGCTGTCTTCCTCTGAGGTGCAGGATTCTTGGGCTTCTTCGGCGGAGCAGACGTTGTCGGGTGTTCGACGTCCATGCCTTCGTACGAGACAGGCGCGTGGGACCGTTTCCTATCCTTGGCCTCCTGCGCAACCATCTCTTCTGCCTTCCGGTGCACCTCATCCTGCTCGAACTTCTGGCGCTCCTCTAAAGGAATGATATCCTCCCAGTTCATGTCGTTCTTGACATCACTGACGTTCGCAAACTGAGCGAGGAAACCTTCACCACCGAGGGAGGCGCCTTCACCAGAGGTCGCCATAGTTTCGTGGTGTTCAGCACGGTTGAGAATGTCGTCGAGATCCATCTCGTCCAGTTTCTGGTTTTGATCACTGTCATCCTTGTCGAAGCTGCAAAGAACAACAAATTCGCGGTCAGGGGATGGTTGCACGGCCTCATGCTTGGCATAAAAGGAAGACGCACATCTTCTGCGCGCCGTATTTCAAGACAGCATGCAGTTCATCCTTGCTCAGGTCGTTGGGCTTGGCCTGGTCCCTGGTCGAAGATCCACCCTTCGAGCTAAGGTGTGCTTGAGACGTGTCCATCTGGTTAATAACTGCATGGAAGGGGTGTGTAATGCGTTGAGCGCTGATTCGGGCAACGGAAACGATAGCCTCATTGTAGGCGGCACTCACTAGCATATTCAAGGACCATCTTCTTTTTCGCGCGCTCGAGAACATCCTCCTCCATCGTGTCTTTACTCACAAAGCGATACACGCTGACATGCGACTTCTGTCCGATGCGATGCGCACGTGCCATGGCTTGCAAGTCATTTTGTGGGTTCCAGTCGCTCTGCATAACCCCGAAGCAATGGGGACAAGGGAAAAAGAGGTATGTTCAGTAATGCAGTTCACGTATTTCACTACGTTGCGCCTGAGCGGCGCTCCGTGTCGAGGATCATTCACTCACGTCGAAGATGATAACGGTGTCCGCAGTCTCCAGGTTGATACCCAGCCCCCCAGCGCGTGTAGAGAGCAAGAAAGCGAAATCGGGAGATCCGGGTGCATTGAAATGGGCAATGGACTTCTTGCGCTGGTCCGATGACACCATGCCGTCTAGTCGTTGATGTTGGAACCCACGAAGAGACATGTAATCGCTCAAGATGTCCAACATCCGAACCATTTGACTGAAGATGAGTACTCGGTGGCCATCCTGGCGGAGGCGAGCCAAGAGCTTGTCCAAAAGTACCATCTTACCGCTGCTCATCACCAGGCCTTTGAGCGTTTCTTCTGTGTTGTCCGTTCTGACCTCAGCACCATCGAAGAGGTAAGGGTGATTAGCGGCCTTCTTTAACTCCATCGCTAGAAAAGGTAAGTTAGCACGACTTCCTTGGAGTCGGAAATACACATACCAATGTTGAGCAAGCTGATGTTATTATTGCCGTTCGCGCTCTTCACAAGCCCTGAGAAGTTCTGAACCTCGAATGTTAGGCACATCTTACGAAGGACGGAGGATCACGATCTCACCTTGGTCAAGATGTTCTTGTAGAAGTGCGTCTGAAGAGCGGACATTTCCACCCGCAGTATACGCTCACTCTTTGTCGGCAAGGATGTCAGAACGTCGCGTTTCAAACGGCGCAACATCAGCGATTCGAGTTGTTTGTGCAGCTCCTTGATCTTTTCCTCATGATCAACATCAGTCAAGTCGAACTCGTTTGTCAGTTGGACTGTCGGGGAGCGCAACCGCGGGAAATTAGTACATGGAAAGGGGCATTTCAGCGAAAAGAACGGAGTGAACTCACACTTCTCGGGCATGAGGAAATGCATTAGTGACAGAAGCTCTGTAATTGAGCGCGGTGAATACACGGCCCATACTACCAAATCAAGTGAACCAGGGCACACCTTTAACGTTGTTTTGCAGTGGCGTGCCCGTGATGAGCAGCTTTGATGCCGCCGAGAACGAGCTCAGCGCCTCATAGAGCTGGCTTTCAGAGTTCTTCAGTCGGTGAGCCTACATCGCCGACACGAAACGCGTCAATTCGATCTAAAGGCACATCAAATCGGCCAACGACTCACCTCGTCCACGGCCAGAAGCTGCCATTTGATGTCCCCAAGCTCTTTGGCGTCCCGCAATGTGATTTCGTACGTGGTGAGGAGCACGTTCAACTTGAGTCTCTTATTCGAGGGACCAAATTCGTAATTGCGGATGTTCTCTCGGGCTGCTGCCGTGCCGATGTAGGTGATGACGTTGATGTCCGGAGCCCAGGACGCAAATTGGGACTGCCACGCTGTGATAGTTGAGAGCGGAACGATGACCAAGAATGGACCATACTGTCGCATCTCGTGGAAGAGCCAGGATATGAACGAAACGCTTTGGACAGTCTACGCAGGATATTTTATGAACATTAGGCTATGGAAATGGAAAATAGCACTCACTTTTCCAAGACCCATTTCGTCCGCGAGAATTCCATTCTCTCCCTCGCACCAAAGGTACGTAAGCCAATTGAGTCCAGTCAACTGGAATTCCTTGAGCTCTCCGCCCGTCGCGACTAGATAGGGAGGATCCTCCTCCAGCTTCCTAAAGGCTGGTCGCGAGTGTCTGGCGTAGACCGCGCTCTTGTACGGGAATTTTGCCTCTGCTTCTCTCTGTCTAAACGCTTCGATACGTGGCTTCTCCTTCTGCTCGATGAGCTTGTCGTGCGTTTCCCAAGTACAATGTTCATAGTTGAGTCCGTTCCACTTGCAAAAGTACTCGATATGGCTGGTACCCTTTTCTGAATCGGTGACCTCCCGCTGGGATATGATACGTTCGATAGTCTTGTAACTCTCGAGTTCCTCCTTTTCGCGTTCCTTCTCAAGAAGTAACGTTTCGCGATCTTCGCTCGAGAGGTCTGGCGCAGACAACCGCTCCGCATAGAGTTTGTACGCTTTGATGTAGTTGTCCACACGCTTGAGACCTTTGTATCGTTTGAGGAATTCGTATGTCTCTTCGGTATTGTGCAAGTGGGACCAGCCCTTCCATTTAATTTGGAATCGCTGCGACATCTCCTTCAGTCAGACGAATATGCAACATAACAACAAACGTTCCACTCACAATGTTGGAATACCAATCATCTTCACCATCATCTCCTACTTCTTCATCTCGAAGGTGACCTAAAACTGCCTCGATCTCTTCCTCCTCGACAACTGCCGCTTGTGAATAATTGCCCGCTGGGAGGACCTCGTCCTCGTCGAACTGTTCAAAGTCCTGGACATCATCTACATAGTTTGGGATTCGGCCTCCCCGACTTGATACACGGACTTCGTCGGCAGAGACGCGAACTCTCTTCTTCTTCTTGGATCGTGAGCCATAATCTGAATCTGAGTCCGACGCCACTGAATGGCGCGCGACGACTGAAGACGCCACAGTGAGCACTGAGAGTAGGGAGTAGAAAAGGGAAGAGACACACCTCTAGGCTTGGAGGGCTGCTTCTTCTTCTTCGGAGCCTTCTTCTTTACACCATACTCCTCGTCGGCATAAGACGCATCTTCTTCTTCTGAAGGGTCCTGAAAGTGATCCTCGTAGCCCTGCTAGCCACAACATTAGCCACAAATGCCGCCCCCAAAATAAGCGCCAACGTACTGAGTCCTCGTCTTCGTCTTTGATCTGCGCAAGGAGGTGAATACTAAAAACAAAAGCAATATCATTCATACGCACTGTTCTCTTTGCCGTGTGCGACGATGAAGAGGCGGGGGCGGGGGCGGGTATGACGGCGGGCTCAATGTCAACATCGTCATCGTCTTCACCATCTGCATCTGCGTCCGGGAGTTTGTGAATGTCGACGTCAGAGTCGATCTGCATGTTGGTGTCGTCGCTGTCGTCGCTTGCACTGAGGGGCCCAATGGGAGACGGATCGGTGGACAGCATGTGGTGGTCGCGGTCACCGTTGAGCGACATGGGAGGACGTCGTGGTGGGTGGGGAAGAAGGGGCTGTTGTCGTTGTCAGGCGTTGAGAAGGGTGTGGGTTGAGCGTCAGAGCCGACCACCAAAGGGGGGACATTGGTGTTCGCACGCGTGGCGAGGCGACGCCGGGGCATGGGCCTGCACTGGGGTCCATCGGGACGGCCGGCGTTTGCAGCGAGGCCGAGGAAACTGCTCACCGCCCACACTGGCGAACTCCGGTGCATTCACTGGGTCGATCAACATTATCTCAGCCAGGCTCAGCCTTATCTCCCACTCACTCCCAGCTTCTCCCTCCTCTCTCGCACTCTCGACGTCAAGCATCGCCATTCCATCGGCCCACCCGTGGCACCAGTCTAGCCATTGAAGGCTGCACGGCTTGTCATCCCAACTTGGGTGATCCTTGGCGTCTCCCCATTATTGCGGCCCGTCGCCGAGCATCATCTCCTCGCCATCGCCGGCAACGAGCAGACACTGCCGTCACATACGTCACACGGTCACACTCCCGCCCATTGTTCTCCGTCACACGTCGTCGCCAATGATGACCACTCCTCAATTTTTCGCTTTCCTCCGCTGTTCCTCCGCATCTTCGCAGAGACTCCTGGCACCTGCTCGTTGCCGACAACGACGCCGTCCGCTTCCTTCACACGACGTCACTCTGGGGCACCCATCCCGCACGGCCAGTCAGCGGGCCCCAGGTCTCGACGCGGATGCAACAACCAAGGTGGGTATTCAGATAATTGTATACAAAATGTACTTAGCATCAAGCATAAATACGATGCGACAAAGTCCCTTTTCATGTAAGCAAGGTAGATAGATGCGTGTGAAGATTATGGAACAGATAGCGTCCGTGATCAACCAAAGAGCGACAACCAAAAGCAAGGAGAGGTAAGTACAGTATACAGTGATACAAGGTTAGTAGCGCCGAGCAGGTTGGTAGCTCGCAAACGGTGGTTCCTGCGAATGATGAAGTCCAGCAGGTGCCGGGTCATGCAGACGTCGGTAGCGCTTTTGTCTGCTACTGCGAATGCAGAAGAAGATGCCAATGAGCAGTAGCAAGCCAAGTACGGCGCTGCCCGCGATGATGTATGGGAGGTATGGCTTGATTTTCTCCGATAGTGACTCGTTGTCGTCTGGATCCTGGTCTACAACAGGCAGGACACTGGCAGGCAAAAGATGAAAATTGTCGGTGTCGTCCACGCCATCTAGACGGTTAACGACGAAGTCGGTGTGTGCTTCAGCCAAATCAGTCCTAGAGAGGAGCTGAATGTAGGGATCATTTGTCTTGCCATCCTTTCCGTCGACGAAATCTCCAAAGTTGATGAGGAGATAGACGTTACGCACTGCAATGACATGCAGTCAGTCATGTCTCGAACTGGATCATCCAAAGACTACTATCACACTCACAGAAAGTCATACCAAGAATTATGTCATAGGTATCTGACTCCGCAGAATCCTGGATCGGTTGGAAACCCCCAAGACAAATCTGATTGCCCAACGGATCCGTTCGACCCAGATCGTCTGAACTGGTGTCCAGGGGGTGAACAGGGATACTGACATTGCCAAACTTGAATGTAACGTTCAGCTCCGCATTGCATGGCACAGTGTAGATCTCCCCGACACCGGTAATGTTCTCCAACTTGGCATCCGGAACACGCAAGTAGAAAGCATCTGCAACAGCTCTGTACCACACCACCAAAGTCAGAATACATCGTATACCATAATACAAGGACGGAAACGTACTGCGGAACCTGAGACATCGTGAAACCGGTATCAAAGATAGCATTCAGCCTGTTCTTGCTGCCACCCTTTACACGCGAAGTGACGTTCACAGGTTGTCCGTCAGGGCCCAGGATTCCCTTCGCGTCAATGAGTGTCTGCCAATGCTGGCCCCCATTCGCTTTCACGTCAAACACCTCCAACTTCGGCTGCGAGGTGATGTTCTCATACCCATCAATGATTTCACCGATAGTCAAGTCTCCAGGGTATTTGTCGTCAGGATCATCACTTCGTCCCAATATGATAGAAATGAAGTTGGGAGTAGAGGAATTGAGTTTGAATATGTGGTCGACTACAGGATTGCCCGCAGCACTGTTGAGCACTTGGCGGATTTTACTGTTCGAGCTGGGCCCCAGACCGATAATGCCTTGGTCTTCCCCTTGCACTCCACTGGTGTCCAAAACGAATGCTTGGTCTGGTATCGTATAGCCTTCATACCCCACTTCGACTAGCTTAATGGGACCTGAGGGTCTTAGATGTTCATTGATGCTGCGGAATGAAGGTGCCGTAGGAACGCACCTTTCGCCGAACCGATGGCATAGCTTAGCTCTGTCGTCTTTCCAGTGTCTTTTGTGTTAGGTATATCTCCTGCGACAGTCAAGTCGGAGCTAAGTGGTGGTAAACAATAAATTCATGAGCGCTGAGTCCTGACAATACAACGGAGGGATCCAAGCATCGACTTTGAACGCACCTTCCAGTGTCGAGCAGTAGAGACACGGACTTGCCACCCATGGTGACGTTCGTCCAGTACTTGACATCCCCACTATTCTTCAGGTCACCACTCATAGCGACCCTCCTCCCCAATCCCGAACGTGGGGGTGGTCTGATACCATGGAGGCGAAGGGCGTTGACGGCAGACAGATCATCTAAAAGAAAGGTAATGTAAACGAGTAGTGAGGAAGCCAATGAGAGTTTCATGGCAAGAGCACTGAGCAGCAAGAAAGCCTGAAGAACGTTGACACCAGAACTTTAGAAGTACTGGCACCCACAGAGAACGAGGATGGTGTAAAGGAGAAGAAGAAAAAACAGAGTACAATAGAAATGAAATGGGAGTAAGAACGCTTACCATGCGTTGTAACGGCCTTTTGTTTGGCTGCGTGGCGACTTGATGGACAAGGCGGAGACTGTGACACTGCATACAAATCGAATATTGTGTTCGCATAGCCTCGTTTCGTGAGCGCTGCCTTGTAATTAGGCACAGACACGGCTTTCAGTCTCCATACTTAGGCTCGCACATCTCGGAAACAAGTGTTTAACGCAAGTCCTAAAACCTTTCTAGAATCTAATTTGTAGGAGGTATACAAGAGACTCTATCGCGAATTGTAGTCACAAATGGTTTCGAGGAAGAGATGGATAGCACATAGTTAAAATCAGATGCAGGAACGTCTACTCGAAATTCGAAAATAGTAAGCGCATCTTGGTCTCTTTGCCAAGAGGACGAACACAGGAAATTGCAAATCTACAGCAGCGAGTTGGTTTCAAGCAGCAAAACAATGCCTGTGTCAAAAGAATGTTGAGCTCCTCGCGACCGGTAAGTACAAAAAACTCAGAACTCACTGTGGACGATCTCCGGAACGCTTTGAGTAGTAACGTCGGCTATCAAGTCCGCCTTCTCAGGTACTTCATAAGGTTCATCGACTCCCGGGACACCCTTCAACTCTCCTGCACGAGCCCTAGAATAAATGCCCTTGCGGTCGTTGCTCTCACAATGCTCAAGAGGCGTTGCGACATGGATAGTGAAGAAGTTGCCTCCGGCACCAGCAGAATGAACGACAGTATCCTTGATAGCATCGCGGGATGCTTTGGAGGGTGCGATGGGTGCTGCAATAACAGCGGCACCAGCACGAGCAAGTTCTGCAGCGACGAACCCTAGATGTTGTAGGTTTTTTGAGCGCTCATCCGCAGTAATGCCGAATGCTGCGAGAAAGCGTGATAAATTGAGATGACCGGGAAAATCACAGAAGCGAATCGCAATACTCACATGGATCAAGGTCTGGCCGGATACCTTCGCCTAGGAGGAGGGACACACTTCGGCCTCCTTGTTCATTCAGAATAACTTGAAGTGCCTTGGCAATAGTATCCTTGCCGGAGTTATGGAGGCCAGTCAAGAACAACACGAAACCTTGCTTCAAGCGAGGAGGGTAGCTCTCTCGAAGAGTTTTAACAACGGCACTATCGTTGAAATCAGCCAAGAATCAGAAATGCGTTAGTGATGATGACTCACTCATAGCTGAACCAGTCAGGAATGGGAGCCCCGGTCTTGAGACGCCTTCGAAGCTCGGTACCAGAGATGTCGAGGGTCTGGACACCCGCTGGAACTTCATCGGCAGGCTGGTATTCATCCGTTGAAGGAAGGTATGTCATCTGCTGGAAGGGTACCATCTCGATCTCTAACTCGTCATGGTATTTCGCCACAAGATCCTGTGCATCATAGGGACCATAAAAGTCCTTTCCTTGAGAGTTCTTCCCTGGGCCAGCGTGATCACGTCCTACAATAAAGTGCGTAACACCGTAGTTCTTGCGAATGATCGCATGCCAAACAGCCTCCCGAGGACCGGCCATACGCATAGCTAGAGGAAGAAGAGCGAGATGACCCATGCCGTTGGGGTACTTGGCCATGATGGCTTCGTAGACACGGACACGGGTATAATGGTCTACATCACCAGGTTTCGTCAATCCGACGACGGGGTGGATGAGAACGTTGGCTTGGCGGAGACGAGCAGCACGGACGGTAAGTTCACGATGTGCCCGGTGCATAGGGTTGCGAGTTTGGAAACCGACAACTTTTCTCCACGAGAGCTTTTTGAAGTGGGCCCTTAGTTCAGCAGGGGTGTCTAAACGTCGGTGTAAACTATATGTACAAATCGAGAATATGCAGAGTACTCACATCGCAGAGCGACATAGTCGAAATGCGTAGGTGGTTGGATTGCTTGGACTTTACCACCAACATAAAAGTCTTTCACTCGCTTGTGAAGGTACGCGACGGATGGATGTGCTGGGTCATTAGCTCCAAAGACTTCCACCGCTTCCTTTACAAAATCGGGTTTATAGATGTCATCGACTAGAAACCAAGGTTCGGTATTCCTGTAACAGTGCAGCAATCTGGTAACGTACCGGTTATAATCGCAAGGGCTTCGTCATCCCGAGGATCTCGGAGAGCAATCCGTAGTCCAGGCTTAATGGAAAGTCGGTCGATGTCCTGTCGAGAAACATCGAGTGTGACAGGAATAGGGAATAAAACGCCATCGGCAAGACGCAAAGAAGAGACGACGCTGTAGAGAATGAACTTGAATATTTGGATGACATCTTAACTAGATCGGACACACTTCGTGTAATCAGCCTCATTCATAAAGCCCTCCAAAGGACTGAACCCTCCATTGGTAATGAGTTCAAGATCACATAATTGTCGCTAAATAGCATCAGATCAGATCGGTGGTGGGATACGTATGGTTCCAACACATGACGCACTTCTGTAAGAACGATGTCCGGTAATGTCTTCGCTTCAGCCTTTAGAGTTTCTCGTAGTGGCTCGTCTCTCGCTACAAGATCCTAGATGAATGGCGTTCAATGACGTGCTTGATCGTCTGTACACTGAGTGGAGGACGTACTTTCAGAATACCGCCATGCGGAGTGTTCGCCATGCTTCTAGAGTGGAGATCCAAGGAAGTTCAAAAGTACGAGTCGTCTATGGCACGACGAGATCTGCGGAATAGGCCCTTCGCGAGGGACGTTTGTGGGTTAAAAGAGGGGGTATCGATAACGTATGCCTTTTTGACATTCTCCTGCTTTGACTCTGGTAATTTTATATGGGTGTACGATGATGAGTAGATCACGCAATCGAGTTGTTGTGACTGACACATACCTTCTGCCATATGCCGTTTCTCCCTTCCAAGCCTCCCAAGTACATTTTGCATTCTATGCTAGATTGAGATCAAGGTCTTTATGACGTTGAACAGTTGGTAGTTGCAAATCGAATCAACGCTTCGCCTACTCGATGGACCTGCCAAGGCGGTGTAGTCCAGGGCGCTTTGGTGGCCGATCATTCAGATCGAGTTCAAATGAGGCGAGTTTGAACAAATTCATAGAGGAGCACTGGACAAGAGATGCAGACATATTAGAGTATTGTATACTATTGGGAAGCCAGTGCACTAAGTAAACTCTGCATGATAAGTCTTGCGATGAAGCTGCATTATGCTTCTGAGCTCAACAACACCTAGACAACACCTTTCGATCGACAGTCGAAACGTTTCATGCATGACGGTCAACGGACCGTGCTGAGCGCCGCGGATATCAATGAGGAATTTTTGAGAAATTTGAATTCAAAGTACTCGAGGCGTGCACACTCAACTGCATGTGCAGACGAGACCGAGGGCATCGTGGAAACACACAACATACGAGGAACAACTTATTCATCAAAAGAAGTTTCGCCATTGTTGGCGAAGGGAACAAATAGTAGTGATTCGAGATTCGTCTTCAAGATGAGTCTGACAAGCTGAGGGCGTCCGCGTGATGTTAGCAGGGATACTATCGTGTAAAATTAAAAAACTGCGAGGATACGACGAGCCAGCGACTACGGAAGATACAGAGTTTTCGCTCGGAGTTCTGAATCGACATCATAATGCCTAAGGGACAGCAGAAAGGCGAGATCTTCCGAATCTTCGGTGGAACGTGGAGAGCTGTCGGTGAAGGAAGGAATGTACGCCTCCGCCGATGAAGCATTGAGCGCGCCGCACATCCTGAGATACGTTTTGTGTTGAATATTGCTGCGTTGAGTATATAGGGCCTACGGGTAGATACGGGTAAGGGAAATTTTGCACTGAGACAAAGGTTTTCTGGTCTTTCGGGGGTAGCACTTCAGGACCCCTGCTAATCCCCCTCAAGGTCTTAGGCTGGCACGCCCGAATTTTGCGACTTTGGTGAGGGGTCTCTCAGGCCGGATGCCCGAAATTTCGTCACTTTGACCTCCGATCCTATGTGCCATTGATGCCCGAAACGTGAAGGTTCTGTGGTAAACTTTGAGGCGGGATGCCCGAATTTCGAGGGTTTCTGATGCTCTTCGTGACGTCGTGGGCTATGATTGGGTATCGAAGGGAAAAAATGATGGGGATCCTCCTGGAAATGCCAAAACTATGCAGGAAAAGTGGTTTTGGTTGGCATAACCGCCGAAAATGGGCAGCAGAATGGAGAGCACCTGTTAAGCGCCTAGAATGTCTCATGCGCGGCAGGCCCGAAAACTGACAACATTTGGAAACCCTACAGGCCGGATGCCCGAAAAGTGGTCAAAACGGCCCAAACCCCCATGCCCGAAATTGACCACTCTCGGCATAAGACCTTTGGGGGCATTAGCAGGGGTCCTAGCACTTCCATTGCAAGTACGGAAGAACCTGGAAGAACCAACGACGGATGCCCAAGTAGGCAAGCGAGTGTCAGCGCTTCAATGCTTCGGCAGTCAAATGAGGCCCGTACTGCGGCGGCGATGGCCAAGTATGCGCAGACGTAGACTGGAAATTCTGAAATTCTACAATGCTGATAGTACACCCGACTCTGTTCTCGACGACGATGAACGATTTTGACTGGTGGCGGTATGCTGTGAAGATGGACGGTGGAACACGATCGGCGGGAACGGCATGTGCGGAAGTTTGCGGTGGGAAGGGTTTGCCGTGTAGGGAGGTCACCGTCGGTCTCGACTGGCCTCACACCTCCTCAGCTCCCTCTCTAACACATTTCCTGTATGCACTGAACAGTCGAGTTCAGTGGCTGCCCATAGGCCATGATCATCCTTGACAACGATGCCGAGCAGCTCCCGAAACTTGCAAGTCCAACCCCAGCTTATTCCCCTCCTGTCAACCGTTGCTCCACCCCCACTTCCTCTCTTCCTGACTACGACGCTTCCGAGGCGTTGCACCACGAAATCGTAAAACCTCGTCGGAAACATATCTCGCGGTGTTGGAGGGTTGTCATATGCATCGTTTTTGTGTATTGCTTTTTAACACTTGCGATTGGTGTACCCCTGTTGGTTGTTGTGAGTATATCCTTTCATTGGTATCATAACATTCTTTCAACTTTTTTTCAGAAATTGAAGTCTCGCGATCCGGAACCTGCACCCCCACCTTCAGTGTGGAGTCCTCAACAAGCCAACGTGATTGCTATTCCGGGCCAAGAGCTCGCTGATAATCCCCCTGCCTTTGAAGATGAGGACGATTGTGATAGATGGACGGTCATGGATCGTATGCATGGAAAGATGGTATATTCATGGTGAGTGTTATAATCTTTGTTTATTCTTTCTGCACACGCTAATTGCTCCATTCAGTTTGAACTATAGCATTCCCTTGAGCGGTGATATTTTCATTGGCTCAAACGGCTCTTTCAAGGCGGATGGGCCCTACTCCTCAATATCCGGTACTTTATACGTCGATATCAATGAAGACCCTTCTGTGGACGACATGCACTTCACCCTCTCAATGATATACACGCATACCCTTATTCGGGAGAGGACACATGTGTGTCGAACAAACACTATGGATAACAGCGGCGTGTACATCTATGTGAGTCCTATCGACGCATACCCTGAGATCTGTATCCTTACCCTCACACGCTAGGTACCGGATGACCTTGATTCCGATGACGGTCTTGATTTCGATGTTACATTGAAACTTCCCCAACCCCGTGCTGGGTTGAATTACACTAGCTTCGCAACAATGCTACCCCTTTTCTATCAGCATTATGCTGATATTTCCCCTCGAATAAAGTTTAAGCAAGTATTCCTTGGAGGTCCCAAGTCAACTGTGTTTGCCGACGTGAGTAGTTGTTACATGCACGACTCACTATCTTACTGATTTCATGTATGCAGTCATTTGCTGCTGATAATCTTGCTGTAATGACTTCACCTGGAAATATCAGTGGTTCATTCCAAGCGTCATACCAGTTGATTATGGAAACAATGTCGGCGTAAGCGTCTGATATTTTCTTGTACTCCTCTGTCCAGTTCTCATTGTTCTCTTCATGCACAGCCCGATATCAGTAAACGTCACCATGAGCACAAGTGGTGACTGGGCTCAACCAATAGTTCGGCTCAACACGGGCGACAGGTAAAATCGGGCGCTTCATGATGTCACAAAAATACTCACTCCAATTCTCAGCCCGTTAAGTGCGCATGTAACCCTCGTTCCCCGAAAAGGCCGCAAGAATCAAAAATTCCCGACATACTACCTGGACGTCAACACATTTAGCTCACCTCTATACCTGTCAGTATCGCAGTCACCACCCTCATCGGAGGCTCTCCCAGTCTTCGTCCATGCCGGCAACAACCTAGGAGAAGTCACCGTGAAGATGGATAACCACTACCAGGGCACGTTCATCGCACAAACGGAATACGCCAGAACGGTAGTTCTCGATACTTGTTCCAACTGCGACACAGAAGACATGAGCTCCAATTCGACTTTCGTGAAGACCTTGCCGGACTCGATAGAGGATGGTTTCGGACGGACGTTGTACTACGATTCTCTTGCTGATTCTTCTGTGAGTGGATGGGTAGGCAAGGGTAGTAGACCAAGTACGATTACTACTTCTGGCTCCCCTGGATGTATCGAGGTGATGTCCGTACTCAGTCCTGTAACATTGGAACTTGGACAGTCATCGTCATAACCTTCATACCCCCCATTTTGCCTCTTCCCTTGACGGCTTGATGTATTGCATGTAATATTTTGTTTTGGAGTGCTTTTGCTTACGCATTCCTTTCCATCTTACTCATGGGACGTTCATATCATTATGTATCGGTATCTTACTGTAGTTTTAGATTACACTCTTTCGGAATCGCTATCGAATCATGCAAGGTCCGTTGGACTTCTATCATTTGGATGAAAGCGAGGGTGTTTAAGATTCATTCGGGTAAGACATTACAACGCACTGGACAAGATGACTTTGAATGTAAAGTATCCAAACACTTACAGTACGATAGTGTTTATTGACAAATCCTGTTATAGCCTATTATTCATCTCCGAGTATACTGCTCAGTGCTTTGAGTCTCTAAGAGCGCGAATCACTGTGCGATTGATCATAGCACTAGATTCTGTGCGTATATATCCGGATCTGTGCCCGAGGCTTTACAACAATTAGGCGGTCATTCCGAAATCTGGCAACGTAACCTCCTCGGGCAAGTGTCGGTATCCCTTGTCGCTGCTACTGGAGATGCCAGAGGTGCGCTAAGGTAAACGCAGTGGTCGGGAAGTTACTATAAATCCATCGCAGCATGCAAATCTGGCACTTATTGGTTCTCTACACCTTACCAAGCTACCAGCAATTATCCTTCTCTATTTGCTGATTTCGCCTACCAATGTCGAAGCAAATTGCAGTCGTTTGGCCGGCACATTATGAGGACGCAAGGGTTTACCTTTGGGGTTTTGGACTATATGCTGCTGGTACCGCTGCGCTTGGCATCATCCAACCTCAAACTGTCTTGAAGATGCTGGGGCCCGCTTTATACGCTGCCGAGAAGTACCTTGGTGTCGTAAGTGAAAGCCTTTCTCATCTATACCATTTTGCCTGACCCAGATAAGCCTCCCACTCATGCTCCCATCACCGTGGAAGAGTGGAAAGCCAACGCTTTTGCATATGCGTTTACCATTGCAATAGGTGCAATCTATACTATCCTCGGAGGGCCGTTCTGGAACCGAGGTGGGAAGGTATTCCTGGAAGCTGGGTGAGTTCGCCATTATTTAAACTAGGATCTATTTGCTAATGCCTACGAAAATAAGGCTCTTTACTCGTATCATCTTCATATCCGTCGTGTACACGCTCTGCTTTCTCACACCGTACGGCTCGTCTCTCGGGTTTGTCATTGCAACGAACGATTTGATCGCGGTGTTCCTCACAAAGAGAGCTCTCAAGGCCAGTTGGGGTGATTTGGTACATGGTCGCAAAGTCAAGCAGGTGGTTATTGATGGTTCTGCAGAATAATGGATGCTGTACCAATTGAGGCTACTGTACCTAGTGACTTGCCTGTAATGGATGTGGACCGAAGCGATCGAGTGGATAATCTAATCTAATCGCCAAAGATCTTTCCTGAGTCAAGGAAGAGCATCCTGCACTATTTCTGAGTCTTGCTGAGATTCCATCGCGAGTCAATTCAACTCTTGTCAACGCCCAAGGGCTGGCATAAAAGCCTGCGCACTTGTTTCTTGCGCATCATCAGCTTGCCCTAATGCCTTTTCCTGCACACGACCGTAAGTGCAATGGTATTATCGAGGTAGAGACCTTGGATTGATCTTTCATCTGAAGTGTCTGCTCCCTTCAACTTCGCTCAAGAGGAAGAAAAAGTCATCCAATACTGGAGAGAGATCGATGCTTTCAAGACCAGCTTGAAACTCTCTGAAGGCCGTCCAGAGTATACATTCTACGATGGTCCTCCCTTCGCTACTGGTTTGCCTCACTATGGTCACTTGCTTGCTGGAACGATCAAGGTATGAAGCATTTCGCGATCATCAAGTGACCCACACCGATTCGTTTCTGCTAGGACATCGTAACGAGGCACGCGCACGTTAGTGGATACCATGTCACAAGACGATTCGGTTGGGATACCCATGGTCTGCCTGTAGAGCATGAGATCGACAAGAAGCTCGGCATTACTGGCCGGGACGACGTGATGAAAATGGGCATAGACAAGTACAATGAAGAGTGTCGAGCCATCGTCATGCGCTATGCCTCCGAATGGAGAGCAACCGTTGAACGAATGGGTCGTTGGATCGACTTCGATAACGATTATAAGACGCTCAACCTCTCATTCATGGAAAGTGTTTGGTGGGCATTTGGCGAACTGTTCAAGAAGGGCCTCGTGTATCGAGGACTCAAAGTTATGCCATATTCCACGGGTTGCTTCTCCCCAATCTCAAACTTCGAAGCTGGTCTGAATTACAAGGATGTCAACGATCCTGCAGGTATGCCATCGTTACCGTCGTTCAATCTAGGCGTATTCACCGCTGCATTATATAAGTTACGGTCGCGTTCCCTCTCGTCGATGACAGAACAACATCTCTGCTTGCATGGACAACTACGCCATGGACCTTGCCTTCTAATCTTGCGCTTTGTGTTCACCCCGAGTACACTTACATCAAAATCTACGACCAGGAACGGGATCAAAATTTCATCCTTCATGAGGGTCTCCTTAGGACACTCTACAAGGACCCGAAGAAGGCCAAGGTCAAGAAGATTGGAACCTTCAAAGGTTCTGACATGAAGGGTTGGAGATATGTTCCTCTTTTCGAGTACTTCACTGAACGGGTATGTTTGTTCGAGTTGCAATGTGTCCATTGATTGATTTTCTATCCGTTATGATTCGTAGTTTGAGGACAAGGCATTCCGCGTTGTGACTGATTCGTACGTCACTGATGCTGATGGTACTGGTATCGTCCACCAGGCCCCCGCATTCGGTGAAGACGATCACCGTATTGCCATCGCAAACGGGATACTCACACCTGAAGAGATGCCACCATGCCCTATCGATGATGCCGGTAGATTCACATCCGAAGTCCCTGACTTTGCTGGACAATACGTCAAAGTAAGCTTCCTCACCTCTTCTCCAAGTAACTCGCGTATTTAATTTTGTCCAGGATGCAGACAAGGGTATCCAGAAGGCGCTGAAGGCAAAGGGTCGATTGGTTGTTCAGTCCACTCTGAACCATTCGTATCCATTCTGCTGGAGGTGAGTATCTTTTCGCATCAGGTCTGTCCATAGCTCAATTGCATGTCCGAAAAGATCGGGAACTCCCTTGATCTACCGTGCCATTCCAGTGTGGTTCGTTCGTGTCAGTCCTGTCGTTGACCAACTTGTCGCCAATAACAAAGAAACAAGATGGTACGTGTTTCAAATGGTACAGTGCGTGAGGAGGGATCTGACAGATTCTCATAGGGTTCCTCAGAATATTGGTGACGGACGATTCGGCAACTGGTTGATCAATGCTCGTGATTGGAATATTTCGAGGAATCGTTTCTGGGGAACTCCCATCCCCTTGTGGGCAAGTGAGGACATGGAGGAGGTACGACTATTTTTCTTCCTTCATCCAACGATTTCTGATTGTCCTTGAATAGATTGTCTGTATCGGCTCTGTGGAAGAGCTTGAGAGACTATCAGGCGCTACTGGTATCACTGACCTCCACCGTGACAAAATTGACCATATCACCATTCCTTCACAACAAGGTAAAGGTCAGCTGAAGCGTATTGAAGAGGTCTTCGATTGTTGGTTTGAGTCCGGAAGGTATGTGTGCCTTTCTCTGGCTGACGAGGTTGGCAATGACTGAGCCTTATTGTAGCATGCCATACGCTCAACAACACTATCCTTTCGAGAATAAAGAGCTCTTTGAGCAGACATTCCCGGCCGACTTCGTCTCCGAGGGTATCGACCAAACTCGTGGATGGTTCTACACTTTGCTCGTTCTCTCTACCCACCTCTTCGGTAGGGCCCCATGGAAGAACTTGATCGTTACTGGCCTCGTCCTTGCCGCGTAAGTTCTACTTGTGAATTGCAATTATCATGAAACTGAGCGATTCGGTTAGTGACGGTAAGAAGATGAGCAAGAGTCTCCGCAATTACCCCGACCCCAATATCATCATCAACACTTATGGTGCAGACGCAACGCGGTTTGTGTTACTCACTCACAGCAAAGACATCCGCTCATATCTTATAATTCAGAATGTTCTTGGTCAACTCACCCATCGTGCGTGGTGACAACCTCCGCTTCCGTGAAGAGGGTGTCCGTGAAGTCGTTTCCCGTGTCCTCTTACCATGGCTCAATGCCTTCCGTTTCTTCCTCGCTCAAGTTGCCCTTCATCGGAAGACTGGCGACTTTGACTTCCGTTACAACCCTCACGCGCCTGTGTCGAATAACGTCATGGACAGATGGATCCTCGCCCGTTGCCAATCCCTCATCAAGCTCGTGCGAGAGGAGATGGATGCTTACCGCTTGTACACCATCATTCCACGTCTGCTTGACCTTGTGGACGAGCTCACGAACTGGTACATCCGCTTCAACCGAGCACGACTGAAAGGTTCAGATGGAAGGGAGGACACCATTGAAGCTTTGAACACGCTCTTCGAGACTCTGCTCACCTTGTGTCGTACGATGGTACGTGTGTTTATTGCTCAACCAAGACACGTTTACTGATACAAACCCGACAGTCATCATACACGCCATTTTTGACGGAGAACATCTACCAATCGCTTCGAGAGTTCATTCCAGAAGATGCTGTTGCAGGTGACACACGGTCTATTCACTTCTTGCTCTTCCCTGAGGTCAAGGAGGAATATTTTGATGCCGTCATTGAACGTCAAGTCAGGCGTATGCAGACAGTTATCGAGCTCACTCGTAACATTCGAGAACGTCACAATCTCTCTTTGAAGGTACGTAAGATGCATGAAATTCTTCGTACATGCTAACTACTGCTCTATTTACAGACACCTCTTCGTGAGCTTCTAGTATACCACAAAGACGAGGAGTGGCTCGAAGATGCAAAGTCGCTTCAACGATACATTCAATCAGAGTTGAATGTTCGTGACATCATCTTCACTTCCGACGAGCAGCTTGCAGGTGTCCGTTACCGTGCCGTTGCCGACTGGGGCGTCTTGGGCCGCAAACTGCGAAAGGATCTTGCTCGCGTCAAGAATGCTCTTCCCAATCTTTCTAGTGATGAGGTCAAGAATTATATCGAGACCGGCAAGATCACTGTTGACGGTATCCCACTCGTCGAGGGCGACCTGACCGTCCAACGATACATCGAACTGCCTGAATCCCACGAAGGCCAGTACGCTACCCACACCGACAACGATGTCGTTGTCCGGCTCGACATTCAAGTTCATCAAGAGCTGATGGGTGAATGGATCACTCGAGAACTCATCCAACGTGTGCAGAAGTTGCGTAAGAAGGCTGGGTTGCAAGCGACGGACGATGTGCTTGTTCTCCACGAATTCGAAAGCGGTGACGGAGAGGAACTTCTTTTCGCTATAGAGGAGCACAAGGAGACTATCAGGAGGAGTCTTCGTACTGTGCCTGTGGATGCAAGCCAGAAAGAGGGGCACCAGATTGTGATTATCGAAGAGGAGGTCGAGGTTGCAGAAACGAGGTTCATGCTGTCGTTGGCAAAGCTATGACATTAGATATGTAGAAATACAACAACAAAGAACAAATGTATTACAGTATATCAGTAGTCCGGTCTTGTAGAGTATAATCCAAGTGCATTGTTCTTCAAACATGAGACGTTTATTTCTTCGATGTGCCAAAACCAGTGAAACCCATCATTGTTATCATGGTATCGTCGTGTACCATTGTGACGTCTTTCACAAGCTCAACTCGATACTTTTCCCTTTCTGCCTTCTTCTGAGCTTTCTTCTCTGCGCGCAACGCAGCTTCTTTGGCTTTAACCTCTGCCAGCCGCTGCTCGAAATCGAATGTCTTTGCACTCGAGGCTTCCTTCGTCTTCTCCCGAAGATACGCTATTCGTTCACGGACTTGCTCGACCGTAGAACGGGCAATCCGGGTTGTTTGGCCAAGGGCTCGCAGATCTGAATAAGCAGGTCAGTGGTCAGTTTCCGATCAAGACGGGTGTGTACGCACGAGCTCGACCGTTGATATGGTCCAGATAGCCTACGCTGTCTTTATAAGTGCGATTACACGCTTCGCAATAGAATCCCGGAACGCCAGGACCTCGTCCACTTGTGCTTTGTACGACCATTGTTTTTCCAAGGTTCTTCTCGAGCTCCAGCGGAGCCTCTCTCTGCTTCATGAGTTCCGTAGGTTTAGGAAGATCTTCGCGTTTCCCCTTCCTTGGTTTCTTCCCTATAAGACTTGGTGAGTTCTTTGAAAAAAGACAGTGATTGGGTTACCATACCTTGCTTCAGTCGCTCCTCATTCTCCTGCATCCTCTCTCGCTCCTCCAGATCCTTCTGCTTTGCGCGTTCTGCATATTGCTCCTTGTCCCACTTCTTCCTGAAATCCGTATCTTTTGCCTTCGTGGCATACGCGCCTCCAGTTCCAGACATGTTGTCGTAAGTTTCCGCAAGTGTTACTGCAGATGACTAAGAACACAAAGATCGAACGTTAAGTAGTACTAGAGTCTTCGCTCAACACAACCTAGTAGTGCACAGTTAGTGGAGGGTGTGGACTATTGTGAGCAGAAGCGATCCTTCGGTAGAGACGGAGGGAATCAAGCACAACAATTTCGAGGGTATTGGACAGAGGGTTGCAGCAACGTAGAGCGAGAGTGGTGGTCGATCAAAGGCGTGAAGGGTGACTGTACAGCGTGAAGTACTTAAATGGGCGCTAACTTATATACTCATGAGCGACGAAATGCCTAAAGTGGTAACTTACAAGTAATGTATACATGCGTTTGTAACGCAAACATATAGGATGTACAGCGATTTGTACTCAGTTCGTAAGCAATCGTTCTGTTCACTTCCGTTGAGAACTAAAGCTTGCGGTCGAACAAATATCATGAAGCTAAAGTGACCGGGGAACGGAAGATACAACTAGCCATTGAACTGTACGGTCGGGGCGAGCGATCTACAAATCAAATTCAAGATCGTGTGACCAAGACCCATACTTCGCCACGATCTCCTTCAAATGTTCAATACGTCCTTCAACAGTGCTGACCGCATCCTTCCCCAGAGGAAGCCTCAAAGGAGGCTCTGGGAGGTGAGCCAAATGGTAGAGTTTCTCTGCTGCCTTAGCGGGATCAGCACCTTGATGCACCATCTGATTGACGAATGCGCGAAATTGGGCAGAAGCAAGGCTAGCTTTGGCATAAGCTGAATGGACCGGGGTCTTCACCAGACCTGTACTAGAAAGACTAGTCCTAAATGCTCCAGGTTCGATGATGGTGATCTATATATATATATGTGGTGCTGCCGTGAGTCTTTTGGGCATATGTACTGCATGATTCGGCTTACCTTGATGTTCCATTCAGGATCTAGTTCTTGAGCCAAAGACTCTGATAGGCCCTCGATAGCTGGAAAGTGGGGTGATCAATGACGTTCAGAATATCGGGGAACATAACCTACCATGTTTAGAGGCACTGTAATATCCAACGCCAGCCCAGCCTTGGATGCCAGACATGGAATTGACATTCAAGAGCCTTCCACCGACACCTGGTGTATTCACCTCCCTGAAAAACTTGATAGCTTCCTGACTGACAACACTCGTACCCCAGAAATTCGTCTCAAATAATGCATGAGCGATATCGGGTGACGTTCCCTCGACTTCTCCGACAATCAGGTATCCAGCGTTGTTATAGACTACGTCAAGTCTTCCAAAATCCTTTTTGACCCTTGCGAAGACATGCGAGATCTGGTCGTGTTTGGTAACGTCGAGGTTCAGGACCAGCAGATGGCTCGAGGGATACTTCGCGGTGAGATCATTTAGACCTTCCGGGCTGCGATCAGTAGCAATGACGACGTCGCCCTTGTGGAGGACAAGTTCTGTGACGGCGCGTCCAAAGCCAGAAGCAGCGCCAGTGACTGGGAACGACTGAATGGCGAACTTTTGAGTAAGAACCCACGTACTTACTGAGCCATATTTGCTGGGGAGCCATGCCCTTGCAGTCGAGGGGGGATATCACCAGCCTTTAGGTATCACGCAGGGTTTTGATCTTCTCCTCGCTTTGCCAAGCGTTTGTGGGTGGCCTTGACGGGCAATGCTTTCCCCTGGAATACCAAACAACTAACTAAAGGGCACATGAGTTTCCTTGCGATTCTGTGACAGCTTGCCAGTGATTCGGCGCGTAGCACCAGGCCTGTGTGCCGCCCTCGATGCGGCTCGACATTTCCTACAACAACCATGGCCTCTAAATCGACAAAGGCATGTTGAAAATATTGAAATGTTCACGATATGTCAGCTGCCTGAGGTAAAGTGCGACAACCCTGCTATGAAGACTTGAACACCGTCCTCGATAGTGGTGTCAGGACCGAGGAGAAGCAATATGGCAGGGAACTTCTTGAGTGAAAGAAGCAATTTAGAGGACTATTTCCAAGAGCACCAGGTACGACAATCTGCCAGAGAACTCGGAACGTGTACACGGATGGTGCCGGGATGACGAGAAATGACCACGAGCACACCTATCTGGTAAACCTACAAGGAACGAACGGGAGACAACAAAACAGCCACTGGATTGCCATCATCGACTCCTTTATTACCTATGTGCCATCTTCCCATGAAGCAGGAGGGAATGAGAGTCACTTTCGGAGACCAAAAATGGATACTTACTAAATGCATGTTGCGGAGCACAAGCACATAGTTGCACACAGATTCGTAGAACTGCCCTCACCGCCTTTTGCGTACGGCTTTCTGTGTATAGCAATCAAAGAACATATCCCCATAGTTATGCCTTTCTGAATCCTAAGGTAGATCGACAATCAGAGCATGGGAATATGGACGTGCGATCTGCTAGTGGTGATATCGTTGAGCAGGCAAGTCTAGAAGCAATTTTATACCATATGTCCCAGCACATTTGCTCAAGTAACGGCGATCAGTTCCTACACCGCAGAGGTTCAGCAGCATACACACAATTAAAACGAAGAACGAGAAAGACTCTTGACGCATGAAGGTAGAATATTGCACAGGAGGAGCTCAGTGATTCAGAACCATGGCGCCATAGATGGTCGCATGCCATAATGTATAATGAAAACGTACAATGCAAATAAACATGAAGCGATCCGTCCATCTACTCCTCTGGCACCTCAATCTCCCCCGAGTTGATCTGGTCAATAATATCATGTGGGGGTTGGCCGTCGATGGTGCAGCCGACAGATTGGGCAGTACCCAGGATCTCCTTCGCGCCACTTGCGAGAGTCTTGGCAAGGGATTTTGATCGCATTGTACGTGCGATCTCGACGATCTCGTCGAACGTGATGTTACCACTGTGCTTAATGTTCTTCTCCTTCTTGCGGTCGCGTGGGGGTTCTGTGAAAGACGCATAAAGTGTCAAAAGTCGTTGCAAGCGTGTCTTTGAGAGATACGGACCCTTGAGAGCTTTGATGACGAGGGAGGATGCGGAGGGAACGACGTCAACCTTAGCTTGTCGGTTTTGGATGGTGAGTTGAACGGTAACACGAAGACCCTTCCATGCGCCGGTTGCTTTTGCGATATCTTCACCGACCTTCTTCGGTGACTGTTCATATTACACAATGAGCCATAGTCTCGTGGTAGGAACAAGATAGAGCAATGTACCAGACCCAAAGGACCGATCTTGGGAGCCAATGCAGAGGAGGCACCGACCTCACCTCCCGTCGCCCGGAGGTAGATGATCTTGATTTCGTTAGGGTCCTAGAAAAGCGACGTTAGCGAAGAGAGCGACGAGCACAGCGACGGTAGGATATTCACGATTTTGGGGGCCATGGCGAATACTGTGGACGACGAGCAGGAGGGTCAGAATGTATTGATTAGGCGTGTACATTATGTCAGCACGTGGCGAGAGGCTGAAAATAAGGTTCAAGCGCCGCCTGTTGACTGTACAGGGCGATTCGGGGACTACCGAGGGGTCGTGGTAGGAGGCTGGGTAGGAGTGACGCAGGAAGCAAGCAACCAGACGCGCTGAGCTCTGGCAGAGTCGGTCAAACTCAGAGGGAATTGAGAGACTCCGTCGTATCGAGCTCATCGTCGTCTGCAGCCATCTTCAACAGGGTCCACACACTCCTCTGCGATGGGTGAATGGAACCTTCAGACAGAGTACAGCTGCCGGCAGGCTTTGAGAATGTCGACAAGAATATCCTCGCTGAACTGATAGGTGCGTTTTTGTCACTTTTGAGCCGGAATGCCATTCTAGACACGGTCGTATTTCAGCTGATATGATGGACCGTTTGTTGGCTCACAACGACCAAATACCTCTATCTCCGTGCGCAAACTCCAGGCTAGCTGCACGGGATCTATCACCGATGAAAGAATTTGTAGTGAAAGTCTCACTCGTTTCCATTCACGATCCGCCCCAAGCATTTCTGTTTTACAGTACCTGGAACGTATAGTAAAGTTCACTAATGTCGAGGTGCGATTCCGTTGCATTCTGATCAAGCACGCGAACAACGACTCACCCTTTTACAGAATGCGTGCCTCTTAATCACACTTCATTACATTGACCAGATATGCGCAAGGATACCTACATTTACAGTTTCTTCGCTTACTTGCCATCGTTTCTTGATCACATCCGTGGCACTATCTAGCAAGGCTCTATCCGACATTATGTGTCAGAACAAGACATACGCCAAGGTCGGCGGTATACCTATGGAAGAACTAAACATGCTCGAACGCGAGTTCTTGCGCATGATCGATTGGAGACTAATAGTCAGTATCTTCTCACTGTCACCCTTTGGTCGCCATCTTCCCATCTGGGTAACTCACGCTCTTCCGCTTGTTCCTCTAGACCACGCGCGAAGTCCTCCAGGAATATTACGTTAATCTTGTCAGGACCCACAGCAAGGGAAAGTACATCATCGTCGGTGCCCAATCCTCAAGCAGCGTCTCATCAGACAGCGACATGGACTACGAGTCCTCGAGGCCTGCTTCTCCCTCAAGCTCGCTAACCGCGGTGGGAACGAATGTTCATAACCAGGACTGGGCACCGCATGAGTTGTCTAGCATTCTTATCAATACCACCACGCTGTCCCCAGAACCTCTTCACCCTCCCACAGTCGAACAAAACATGGCATTCCAAGCCTTTCAGCAATCCAGTGGTATGGGTTGATATCCCTTCGCCGGCGGTCTCAGTGGGAGTGTCGACGGAGAGAAAGGAGACTTGCAGGGTGCTTTCGCTCTCACCCCTCATTACGGGAGCACCGTACCTTTGGTTTTGGTTTTCAGGGCTTGTTGTGTTATTTTTGACTATCTTCCCTTCTCTTCCGGACCTCATCGTACCCATCACCGCCCGCCATTAAACCATGATCACAACTCATTCCGTCTCGCGCTTGGACTTCTAGTCAGAGAGTAGTAAATAAAAAGTCCACACAACGGTCATCGCAGTACTTCACAAACATTACCTTCGCAGTAGCAATTATTTATAGTTAACGTCCATCCAATGTATTCACAGGTGTATATAATCATACAAACGAACCCGCTCATCGGAAGGAAGTCAAACAAAAAAAAAGATGTGAACATACGCTATTGGAGGGGTGATCAGCGGACTAACTAAAAGGTCATCGAGGTCTATCAGAGAGGAATAAACAGTCCATGCCAGTGTGGGGTGGGTGGTAAGTGAGACTTCAGAATATGAGCACAAAGACGCAACCGGGGGTCCAAGCTACCAGAGAGAAAAGAAAGGAATGGAAGGAAGAAGAGAAGAAAAATGCGTGCATGCAAAGCGTGGATATTGAGTGAGGAAATGATAAAGGGCCTAGGTTCCTTCCCCGGGATGCAGCGGTGTTGTAGACGATGAAAAGAGAAACCGGTAAGGAGTGTGTGGTTGTGTTAGAGGAGACAGAAGAAATATTGAAAAACATGAGGGGAATTGGATTGGATTGCGATAGAGGGTGGGTGGTGAAACAATAATTGGCTTTTCTTCCTTTTTCTCTGTATGGTACAAGAAATCCAGAAGCGCAAAAGCGCAAAAGAGACGAAAGGCCAAAAAAAAAAAACAAGCGAGACTTCGATGAGACACCGTCTGAGCTGCGCGGGTTGTGCATACGAGAGAGACGGGCAAAAGAAGAACGTTGCGTTGTGCTGAAGCGTGAAGCGGAAAGTGGGGCGGGGTAAAGTGGAATGGGGTAAATGGGATGATATTGAAAAGAAAGGGAAGGGGAGGAGGGTGTAAAAAAGGCGGTCACAAACGAGAGATGAATGTCATACACAAACATCACCAGAAGAATAAAACCGATGGAGTAGTTCGCGCTCATCTGCATATAAACCGGTATTTGCCATCACACGACGAGTCGTCACGAGCCAACGACTTGCCACTACCACTATCACCACCACCACCGTTATCATCATCATCATCGACTTCTTCTTCCAAGCCCATCCGAACCTATATCCACGTGGGGTCACACTTCACCTCCGCAGAGCCGAAAGCATCTTCGCCAACGCATTGATCTGACCTTTCTGAACCTTCCTCGGAGAAGACGCATCACCACCAGGCCCATCGCCCTCCCTCGAAGAACCGTTACTAAGCTCTCGTTCACGACCAAGATCAGTCGTGCTCGTCGCAGCATCTTGTCTCTGTGCCAACGACGACGACGGAACAGCAGCAGCAGTGGTAGCAGCAGCAGCAGTTGTAGTAATAGTGGTCTTCTGATTAGGAGGCCACTCGTCGATCGTTCCCAACTGCCCAAGCTTCGAAGATGTCGAATCCTTCTTCGGCGCCCGTCGTTTGGGAGGCGGCGGTGCCCCAAAGCGTGCTTCATCAGGGTTGATGTACATCTGACGAGGAAGTTGATCGAGTTCCCAAGGAGTCCCAGTCATCACTGTAAGTAATCCACAAAAAAAAACCAAAAACGAAAAAAAAGAGAATAGAGAATAAGTTAATGAATTACATAGTGAGTAGACCAGTAAGACGTACGCTTGACGTTAGGCGGTAACTGTCCCGGAGTGTCGTACGGATACTTGCTCCCACCACTACGCCAACTACTAGCAGAGCTCACGCTAGTAGCAGCAGTGCTCACACTCCTCGTACTCCCATTGCTATACCTAGTAAACGCACTCGAGCTGCTCGACGCACCCGTACTGCTCATCGAGCTTCTCCAATTACTCGAAGCCATCGAACTCGCGCTCGAAGCCAACGGTTTTCCGCTCTTCGTACTCGAAGGCGAAACCGCACGCCGATCGCGTTCGTTGACTGACATCGAAGACGTCGAACCAGCTTGATGATGTCCATTGGGATTGATCGCTTGATTGGATGATGATGTCCAGCTAACCGTGCTCGAGTTGTTCTGCGAATGCTGATACGGTCCTGTAGCGCCAAACGCAGACGAGGTTTGTGACGGTCCCCAAGTAGCTGCAGCCTTGCCCGCACGTCGTCCACGACTCCACGCGGGGTTCTCTTCCAACGACGTCTGAGACTTATTCGAAGGAGGTTGTTGAGTTCGCTTGGGATAATGAGACGTAGTCGACGGTGGAGGCGCGTTGAGTCCCATAAGGAGATTAGTCACATTGCTCGCCGTAGTAGACATGCTCTGTCCACCATTCGAAAGGTTCTCCGATTGAGACGAAGGCAATGGAGGCGGCGGCGGGTTAGAATGCGACTGACTTCCCTTTCCGAAGCCAAGTTTCCATTTGCTCGGTTTCTTGGAAATGGACGTTGGCGTGGTGGGAGTCGTGACAGCAGCGGAGGCATTAGCAGAAGAAGTATTGAGGATAGGAGGACGACGAGAGTTGGATGACTTGCCAGACGCAGAGAGCTGCATTCCGGACAAGGAGGCAGTAGAAGATGAGGGTATTTGTACAGAAGATGACGATGTTTGCGATGTTTGGCTTGGAAGAGTGGGAAGTACTGATACAGAATGAGCTGGGGAATTGGAAGACATGGACATGGACAACGAAAGCGCAGAGATAGACGATGGTGGAATATGTGGTGGAACGACATGATGAGGATGTTGCGAATCAAGCGGTTGACCAGAGGACCTCGAAGTCCTGCTGATCTCTCTAGCCAACGCTTGAGAGGCTTCGGCGAGCACGTTGAGGGTGTCGTCAACAGCGGAAGCGGTGGCAGCATTCTTGCCTTTGCGTGCACCGCGCTTCCTCCGTTTCTGAGTCGACGCACTGCGAGACTGCGGCTCGGTTTCAACTTCACCCTCTAGCTCCTGCTCCTGTTCAGGCTCTTCGACAAGGAGTTGATCAACGTCGAGGAGAGGCGGCAGCATAGATCCAGCCGCCATCTCCATGGAAGTCTCTTCGACTGCAACGGAAAGCGATGACCCACCGGCACCAACGAAAGACGGCTGTCTCGACATGGCCCACGAAGCTCTCTGGGAAGGAGCTCTCGAGGACCCACCCAATGCCCAACTGGTTCTGTCCCCTGAATACGGAGCATGCCGAAGGGATGGCCGCCTGCTCTGCGGAACCGAAGCAAGGGTGTATCCAACAGTGCTGGAGATGGAGACGTTGCGTTTGTGACCAGCGTGACCATGAGATGAAGCGTTGAACAGGACCGGGAGGTCCCTTGCCCATCGCCCGAACTCCTTTGCAGCGACTCGAGCAGAGTCGTCTTTGGGGTCTTCGAGGATACAGAAGACCTTCTTCGTCAGGAATTCGGCGACAGGGAGAGTCATGCCTGTGAAGCGAGTCATGAAGAAGTTGACGGGATCACGAAGGTACAGTTCGAACGATGGGCAGATGCCTTCCGTTGTGTCTGACCAGGGATTGTAATGGTACAACCTGAAGAAAACCAGTTGGTTACAACGATATTTACAGAATAGAACGGATACGAACATATTGATAAGCACGATACCAAGTGACCAGACATCGGCCGCGCGAGGTGAATAAGTAGGGTGTATGTTATTTCGACATTCTACAGATGCGACATCAGTCACCAGAGTATCACATCACAAAAACGAAAGACTCACCAAAACTCATGTATGGAGCACTCCCGCAATCCATATCAGCACTCTCCTCATCCATAGTGCCCAACCCGAAGTCCGTCAACTTGACGACAACCTTCCTCTCTTTCCTAACCTCACCCTCCCGCGCACCAGGTTTCTCCACCCACGCATCTGTCACAATAAAGTTCTCAGGCTTGATATCTCGATGGAAGACCTTCTGCTCGTGACATGCTGCCACCGCGTCACACATCTGGGAAAACATGCTAGCGATGAGGCGCAGACGCGTGTGTGAGAGGAGGTGTGAAGGATGCAGAGATGATAGCAAAGAAGGCGTTGGCGGGGTATGCGTGGAAGACCCCGAGGATGGTGAGCCTGGCGAGCCTGGAGAGCTGCTAGTGGGAGAAGTGGACGACTCGAGAGGCGTAGGAGAATAATGGTCTCTAGACTGTTCCAGAAAGTAGAACAAGTCTTCACCTGGTACGAACTCCAGGAGAAGCAACAGGAACGAGGCCGTCTCCAACGTGCGATGAAGCGTGACGATGTTTGCATGTGGCCGAAGCGACTGATGCAAAGTAGCCTTTACAACATGAAGATGAGATGACAATGACGATTGCAAATGAATTTAATCGCGTACCTCGAACAATTGAGCTTCCAAAGCATCCTCGTCCAAGTTAGCCTTGCTCAACACTTTGACAGCGTATTCGCGGCCGTAAATCCTCTCTTCTTTCTCCTTCCTGATGAACCCATGCCCGTCCTCACTCTCCGAATCAAAATCCATCCTACCAACAGCTGCAATATGACCATCGACCGAACTCGACGGAGATCCCGATACAATCGTACGGCCGAGCACCTCCCGAACAAGGTACACTACCGCATACGATCCAGTTCCCAGCTTCCTCACCACCTCAAACTCAGGAGCAGGGTCCTCGTTCGCACAGTCAGAATGAGGTGCGGGGATCGGCACTTTGCGAACGATCTCTCCTTGCAATGAAAGACCCTCGCCGACCAGTTCGCCAGCCGAAAGGACGTCAGCGAGTGTGGATGATAACGATGACGAACGGGAGCGCGACTGAGAGCGGGTAGAGAAGTATCCGGAGTTGTCAAACCCGGGCGTCGTGTCTGGTCGGGTACCTGTACTTGGCCGAGAGGTGGTCCCCGTTCCTGGACGCGAACCATTGAGCGATGGAAGGTTCGCCTTGAGCGGATGAGGAGACCGCGTGGACGTTCCGGTGACGGATGAGAGCTGACGATGAGTTGGGACGGGACTGGGGGAAGCGAGCTGTCGGGGAGAGGTAACAGGGGAAGAAAGCTGTTGACGAGAAGAGGATACGAGTGGGGAACGAAGCATGGGTTTGGCTGAATGCAAGGAAGGCGACGCCGAACCCGAGGAAGACGAAGCAGGGCCGGATGAGAGAGGAGAGGTGGAAGTAGCAGTCGAAGTAGAGATAGCAAGAGGAACGGCATGATGAGAAACAGAAGAGTAGGCAGCAGGACGAGCAGGAACGAGCTTGTCGTATGCGAGGGGCCCACGCTTAGAGTTGAAGGAATTAGCTATAGCTGGAGTCGTAGAAGAAGCATTATGGGGAAGCGTGCTGGTACTTGAAGTTGGACGGGGTTGGTCATCGAAAATAAGGTCTCTACTGGAGGACTTGGGAGCAGACTTGGACGGCTTTGAGTGCTTTGAGGAGGAGAGGGAGAGTGGGGGAAGCTGTACGGTATACTGCAACATGAAGCGCACCAGAGGATGGCGATATCCGTTGGCGGTTGTCTGATCTCTCTGGAACGCGGGAGAGGAGGAGACAGGAGAAGCTAGGGAAAGCAGATCGTAGAAAGAGTAGAAAAGCAACTAGGAAAGGTCTGTCGTGAAGAGGATATGCATGCAGAGGAACCGGATGACAGCTATATGAGGAGGAAGGGTCGGTGGGAGTGGGAGCTGGCCTATGGTGCCCTGTTAGTCGTTGCCGATGGTGTGGCCGCTATAGAGGACGTCGTGGACGTTAAGCGACTGCGACAGGACGACACTGGCTCTTGGGAGGAAAGAGGCAAGGACGGATAGGCGGTGACTGCAAGAGGCAAGCTACAATCGGAGTGCGAAAGAGACGCGCGAGATATCAGCTCGAGTCAGTGCACAGGCCTATGGCTGGTGGTGGCTACTCACGCTGGAGAGCTTGCTCAAGGCTTGCAACGCAGATGGTAGCTCGTGAAGGTGGGAGGAGAGAACAAACAGCGTAGAGTCGGCCGAGAAGAAAAGGCAGGGCGACGGTGTTCATCTCACTGGCATCTCACTGGCATCTCACTGGCGCTGAATCCGTGTGGGCAGGCGTGGCAGCAGATGGCATCCTTGTCCTGCGCACATGCTTCCCCTCCTCACACATGTCCTCCAGTCCCACACCCCCTAGCTTTAGCCCTGGCCCTCCCGTTAGCCTTTCCTACCGCCTCTGATACCAGCGCACATGTCCTTCACCGCCTCGGCCCCCAAGTCATTCCCTAGCAACTCTCCCGCCGGCCTCCCCAAAACAATCGCTCCCTAACATAGCCAACCCGTTCCCCATCTTCGTATCTGTCAATCAATAGCCTCTTCTCTTTTCGCTCGACGTCCTCGTATTGTCCGCTTTTGCTCTCAAAACTCAATTTCGCTTACCCATCACTGCACTCTCTTTTCTCTACGTAACACGCCTGCCAGAACAACACCCCATACGCTACCCGGCCTCAAATCCCATATGCTACCTGCAACGCCCATTCAGCGTTCAACACATCCTGTTTCACATCAGCCCGGATCTCTCGCACTTGTCAAGCCCCATGCATCTCTTTTGTCCGTTCCACTCCCGGAGAATTCACTCTTCCAGCACCTTCGAGAGGTCAGAACCCTCGCTAACCTCCAACTTTATTTTCAATTCAAATCGCGCCTCCCTCGTGTGTATCATGACATGCCGTGACACGCGATCTGATTTGTTATGCTGGACTGTTTTCAAGCCGCCGGCTCGAGGATCTTTCAACATGCATACCATATCAAGCATCCTCGTCCATGGTTCATGGATCTGACAATGCCTGACATACTCTATATCATATTTTGTCCAAAGTCGGTTCCGAGGATACGTCGACATCGTAGATGTCACGATGTGCATTTGCACGCTATCGAACAGCCGGTCAAATTTCTTTACATCCACCTCGAACAGCATACGTACTAGGAATAGCCTCCGCCTTCGAAGTTCCAACAAGTGCACGTTCGTCCACTGATGGAATGGACCCTGACCCTGAACTCATGGCTGATCATCTCGTAGGGTCTTTTGAACGCTTTCCAAGTATGATCCCATCTTTCTTATTCCAGCGTTTCCACACGCATACACCCAGCTAGCGGACTTGGCCCATGTAAGGTAGCCGGGACTATGGATCCATGCCTACATGTATGAACTAACTAGTACTCGTACTTGCAACTAATCCCTTTGGTCAATGTGCCAGTGCCTAACACATACGCGCACTACCAGCTATCCTGGCGAAGTCTTTGCCGGCATCGCATGCAACCCAAAAAAACTGCGGAGGTGTCCTGTCTACTGCGTGCGGACGGTGCGGCCTTTCACTGCCCGCGTCTCGACCAAAGCTTTCACCCCGGAATCACCCAAAATCGTGACCCTTCTCCTTTCATGGTCTCTTCGCAGTGCGCACTCCGAAGCCCCACACAAAAAGATCTCAATACCCGAAGGAAAGTAGAAACCTCGGCCGGATACAGATACAACTCATACGTCTATCCGTCCTCCATTCGTGGCACTTGCGATTCCCGAACAAGTGGTAACTATTACTACTACTACATACTATCTGATTCTTAGCCGGAGAGAGACTCCAGAGAGAAGAACGCAAAAAGAGAGTTTGTATCCGATGCAGTCCGTTATGTGTTATCCGACCTTCCGAAAGCCCTGGTTCTTAACGGATGTGTCGGGACGTTTTGAATGCAGGGTGTTTTGGAACGGTTGGTTCCGGTTTAATGACAATACTGCAAGACCACTACCCAGTTGGATCTGATCGTTCTTGAGTAGTGATTCTGGAAAGGTTAACATACAGTTACTTGCTTGCTTGGTCGGCTTGCTGGATCATCTCGATACAGACGTCGACACTTCCATATCATTCACCCTTCCCATCATTCATCCACCATCACCTTCTTGTCCTGGTGTTTACATTTCTTATCATCCTCCGCTTGCAGGCTCTCTACATAGGATACCCAAATCAGGTCCCGACTTAACAAGAAAGCCAAAGCCATGTCCCTCTCCTGCGTCCTCACTAGTGCTATCATTCCTCGGTCGTTCCCCACTTATTAACATTGTTCACGCACAACAGATCCTCTGCAACGTTACAATCAATTCCATGTGCAACACCGAAGCCACAGGCACACACATTCCCCGCGCCCACTTTGACACTTTCGTCCTTTCATCATTTCAGGACTTGCTTGGCAATCTCGAGGAATTCAAACATGCAGGTTCCTCGGTCCTGTTGCTGCTCCTACCGATGCCAGTGCCAGTGCCAGTGCCAGTGCCAGCGCCAGTTCGTTGCGCGGACCTTCCAAGAGCACTGCATTCAGATGTGCTGCGAAAGTGCTACCTATCGGACCCATCCTACTTCGGCCCCGACTGCGACGACTGCGAATTCGAAGTTCTCTGCATACTTACAGTATTTCACCTCCGACCGTCCGAATGGTATCCTGACAACGAACCTTGAAACGCACATATGACGATTAATTACTTACTGCGCATGGACGTCGACCGTCGTGTTATTTTATTTAGAGCTCTACGATACGATACAGTAACTTATGTGGCACCACTGCCGTTATTATACGTGTCGTTGTACGTGTCTACTTGTTGTCGTATTATACTATTAGGCATTAAACGTTATACCAGCCTTTGAAGCCGCGGCCGACGCTGCCTAAACCCCGAACCATGTACAATAGTAGCCTGTACCATTCCGAACGCGTGCAGAAAGAGTGTTAATCAACTGGAAATTCACTACACCAGACTACACCGGTACCGCATGGTGGCGCAATTGTTATTTGTCGAAACTTGAAACTAGGCTCATACTGCGGATTTTTTACACCTGATGCGTGATGATCTATTAGAGCTGCTGGCACTGGGTAGAGCATGAGGATACGTGTCGACATGAATGACGGGCGAGGTATGACTATATGCGTCTGACGTCGATGAGGTTGAGGAATGTTCGGAGGCCGGGGTCATTAGGCATTATATGGTCAGTGACGAGTGACCGAACTTCACGATGGTTGTATTGATGAGAATCAACCGGTGACCTTTTAAACACTTTGGCAACGGAAGTGCTGACACGCGAAGGGGTACATATGCATGCATTCAAGTCCCGATGGCTAACCTTCACATTAATTATGAAGACGCACTAACATCTACGTCTATAGCGACATCATCCTTCTCTACCTGCTCATCTTCATCTTCTTGTCCGCCAGAAGAACATTTATCCAATACCTTCCGCCAGCTTGTCTCAAACTCGACTCTTTCCCCACCTTCCAATGCCTTCAGCGCGCCTTTAATCACCTCCACGCTCTCCTTAGCTCGATCGTTCTGCAAAAGCCAAGTCGCATAGGTAAGACTCGAAGAAGAAATGTCGAGCGCGTGCCAATTGGCGCGAATGAGCTGCAGGAGGGGGTACACGGCGTTGGTGTCAGTGGAGGAGGCGAGGGAAGATGTGAGAGAGAACATATGTTCCCAAACGCGTGATGTCGGAATGTACGATAACTTGATGCGTTGGATGAATTGCGAGAGTTGTTTTGGCACTTGTGATCCCTCAGAAGAGGAGTCAAGTGTGTTTTTAATCACGAGGGAGGCATAGTGCTCCAAAAGCTTTTCGTGTACGGTCTTCCATGAGGATGAGTCCTGCATCCGGAGACTTTCCCCGAGTAAAGACTATAAAATAAAAAAAGAGTCAACGAACGTGTTTTTTTTGTTGGACGAACGTGAAACGGATAATACCTCGAGAACTTTCACACTTTCCTCCACCTCTCCATGCTTATTCGCGTCTTCACCAGTCACATTCACACCCCATATCCAAACTTCAATCACACCTTCTCCACTCACATTCGCTCTCGCCTCTTTCCACGTCTTCTCGACTTCTCCGTCCTTCCCACCCACGGGGCCAAGTAACCGCTTCTCGGCTTCCAACCGTGCTAGCCAAATGTGGTAGGAACTCCGCACTGCAGGAAGTGAAGTATACTTGCGTGCGAGTTTCACGATCTTCGTCGGCGAAGGAAGAAGTGGGACATCACCACTCGATATGAAAGTGGAGAAGTATGTGAGAAGAGCGAGATGTGTCGAGAGAAGAGATGATAGTGGGATTTCAGAATCAATGCTGAATTGAATTAGGCTGTGGAGCGAGCCAAGAAGGTAGGCTTTCTGAGAAACACGAAGGTTCTTCAATATCATGTGTGAGAATGGGATAAACAGCCTGTGGACTTACCAAACTAGGATCTAGTTCATCTTTGCGACACCATTCGTTGATGAACTCTCCGTACACTTGAGCCAAAGCGTCCAATGCTTCTCGTTCTTCTCGGGTCTCTCTACGTCCGTTAGAGATAGCGTCCTTCACGGCCCTGGAAAGGGTTTCATTTGCCTCCTTGAGTCTGTCTACCAATTCTGCACCTTCTACTTCAGGCGTGAGGAAGCGAGTGGCTGTAAGTTTGATTGCTTGAGCGTCATGTGGGAGGATTTGTTGCAAAAGGTCGTGCAGATGGTCTAGAAGTGATGTTCGCAGAGAGAGGGGTGATGGATATTTTGAAATGACATTATGCAATGACATGAATAGCTCGGGTTTTGGTAGTGCTATAGATTAAAATAGGCTTGAGCTGCACGTCACTGATTGTGATTGAAGATAGTAGACTTACCTTTCGCAGCGCTGGAGATAACGGATTTCACAATAGCACCACTTAGAATCTCCCTCCTGGCTGCCTCGCTTTCGTCTCCTTCCGGCTCCGCCGCGTCTACCTCCATCTGCTCTACTTCCTCTTCGTCAAGGGAAGTTCGTTCCCTCTCTTTACCCTTACCCTTATCCTCAACGATGATACCTAGGACATTCCACCGTCTTCGCATGCTCTCGACGAAGCCCATTTCCATCTTTACATATTCTCTCCACATTTCTACGCTTTCAGCATTCAACCTGATTCCGCGCTGAAGCAGAGTTCGAGCAGCCGAGGGCGAGAGGTACTCGAGCTCGTGTGAGGCGGCGAGGATGTAAAAGGCTGGTACATTTGGGAACAGCTGTAACGCACTGTGTGAAATGTTTTCAGTCAATGAAAGAAAGAAAAATATAACAGTTGGACGCACCGGGCAGTAATACGTCCGACGAGAGATCGTGCGCCCTCTTTCTTCGCCACTTGAATATACTGTATCCACAATCCGATGTCGGACTTGAACTTTTTGAGTGCACGCTCAAAGATGTGAAACTGCCTCCGGACAAGAGCATAGTCGGATATTGTAGGCGGGCCTTTCGGTATCTCTAGAGTGATATTTCATGTTAGACCCACAAGCACCAAATAACGAGACGCGGACATGCTCACGCACTGATACGTTCAACACGCTTTCGCCGCAATGCTTCAAGTCCCATTTCGTAGGCAGCGTAACGAAGGAAATCATTCTTCTTTGCTACGCGACGTACGAGTGCAGTTTCGTATGCGGTGCGCTTCTTCATGATCTGCTTAATCTCATTCTGTGCAAATGTTATCGACAACCTCCCTTGAGAGATGACTCCAAGACTTACTTGTGTGAAAAGACCTTTCTGAACAAGGTCCTTCAGCTCAGCGAGCATCTTTTACTATAGTTCAGTTTCATTTTTCCACAATACCACAATGGTCACGTACCTGCTCCTGTTGGAACTGCACTCGCTCCATGATGAATGCTGCCTACACAATTACCGAGCTTGTTTCTTCGTTTAGTGTCACACTTAAGCACAAACTTGCTTTGAGCAAGAACGGAAAACTACTAAGTAGGTCCACGTGGAGGTCTTAGTGCGGTCCGGATTAGGTAAGCTTCTAGTTCGATATTCTAAGAAATGTCTTCACAATCACCTCCCGTATGTCTGACGATGGCTTTTGATTACCTGGATAGTTGGAAAGGCGAAGTATGTTTGCATTCTAGCTGAACTTGAAGCAAGAAAGCGCAGTGCAAGGGGGCCATTGGTAAGACGTAGGATCCGGTTGGCCACAGCCGCCTTTCCCGATTTGGTTCAGTACGGCCCTCGGTTGCGGGCACTTTCCTCGTCGTCTTTCCTATCTTTTTACTGAACAGCCATGCCAGCCAAAGCCCACCATCGTACAGGAGGCGGTCTTGTCCGCACGCATTCACGAACGTCTTCAGGGAGTTCAAATAAGGCTAATCTCGGCCTTCAATTGACTCAGAAGGAGCCAGCTCCTACCAGATACGCAGATAAACAACCCAAGAGGAATGGTCATCTTTATCACGAGGTTCGTTTTCTTCCTTGATTTTTCCTGCTTTACCTACTTGATGTAAGGCTCTGAACGAGTGGCTGATTTTCTCTGTGTTCCCAGGCGACCTCCCGGAACACGTCACCCGTGCCGAGAAATAATAGCAGAATCCGTGTTCAGTCCAAGGAGCAATTGCAGGCTCATGCGAACCGCCCCGCCCCGCTCGCTAGCAATAATAAAGCCTCGACATCCAAGCAAAAGGTTGGATTCACCATCGCCAGTCCCTCGGAGGGTGACGATGATGAATGGGTTTCAAGCGAGAGCGGCGCTGCTACGCCCCTACAGAATGATTCTGATGCCGAGCAGGTAACAACGCCTATCGAGCCACCGAAACCCTCTATTCAGCTATCGACGTCACGAGTCAACGGATTCGCGATAGATGAGCAACCTACACCGCGTGCGCGTACGCCATCTCTACCACGCGTGGACACCGCCCGTCCGCCATCTCCTCAGCGTCGAGATTATGCATCTCCAGCGCTACAAACATCCCACCTTGCCATATCTCTGGTGCATGATACTCCTCCGCAACAAATCCATCATTCCCCACCTCCTCAAGTTGCACCCCCTGTACCTAAAGCCCGCTCAGAGACACACTCACCACCTCGTCGCTCACCCGATCATGTTCACTGGCAGTCGCGAACTCGACCCCCCTCCACACACTCAGTCGCAGGAAGGGCAGACTCCCTCCGTCCTCATCCTCTCATACGAGGTCATTCGTATGGACAAGGCATACTCGGGCCGGCCAAACCTGCACCTTTAGCTCCTCTGACCACCGTTTTAGCAGAGAATGCCCCAGCCCAGATGTCAACGTCGACCTCACCTACTGCTGTTTCGCCTGCGCTGAGTTCGAAGACGTCATCAACGTCTCCAGCGTTGTCACGTATTTCTCCGACGATGTCCGAGGCATCGAGGCAGCTACGACGGACCTCGACGTCATCTGTGCGGTCAACAGCCACGATGCCTGTGATTCCGTCCGCCAGTCAAGTACAATTGACCAAGGCACATCATGATCGTCAACGAACATTATCCACTTCATCCACTTTCGCTGCGCTCTCGGGTTTTGGTTACCGATCGACGCCGTCCCCTCCACGTACACCGATGCAACAGATAACTGTCACCTTTCCTCTTCCTGATCATTCCCAAGAACCTGTTCATCCGCTACTCCCACCTCCTTACCTCAGCGCCCATTTGACGATGCTTACATATCGGAACCCACTAGCAGAGTCGTATGAGAGAGTGATGCGGGCAAAGCAGGCGTTATAAGTTATACTCTTGCTGTTGTATAGTATCATGTTGGATATGAAGGGAGGATGTCGTGCTGCTGAATATGTGAGTTCGATCAATTGCTTTTATCCGCTATTTCCGAGCTAATATCTACACCCAGACCCAAGGTTTGCTTATCATTATGAAACACAGACTATCGTTTCCTCTCAATTTCCCGCCAGTCACCACTTGTACAATATACCAGCCAACCACGTTCGCTCTGCGCTTGCGCCTTATTTGTGTTGTAGTTATCATACGCGTCTCCGCTATCATTTCAAGCAACTCGTAAATTCTTTCACGTCACTCCGTGCCATGTAATCTCCGACTCTCACCTCACATTGCGAAATCTACCTACCAGCTGAACCCATGACAGCAAAGCACGCCACCGTCGAAGTATCGCGCTCGCGGACTTGCTCGTCAATCACCTCAAGTCTCCGCAATATGCAAGTCAAGTAACTCTTTCAATGACCACACCATCTAAGTTATCTGCTCGCCATATTCTCCTTATCGTCGGTGCTTTCACTTCTCCCGCCGGCCGAAAGCATTATCATCTGTTATCGCCAGCTTCGCCAGCACGTTCATCACTTCTGCCGGCGGAATATAGTGAATCTCATGACAACGAATTCTACCGCCGGTGTTGCTTCGTGGCAATGTGATATCCCTCCTCAGCTTCTTGAGTTCTCTTTCGACAGTCTCCAATGGCATCCTTGTTGTTCTGGCAAATGTAGAACATTCTCCTGCCGATTGATCGCACCATGTTGTTCGAGCATGATCAAGGTGTGCTGAGCATGTTTCGATGTTCACGTGTACCCTCTCAACAAAAAAGAATGATTTAAATGCTGAAGGTTGATGTCTATCGACGAAGGATTCGCTTCAACGTCGGAAGATTCGGAACGGTCATCCATTGTCGTGTTCTCTCTCGTATCCTGAGCTTGCACACTTCGTCGTGATTCTCTGGTGCCACTTTTATGCCGCCTGTCCACACTTCTTCGGTTCTTCAACGTATTGGCGAGTTCAGCAGACTGATTTTAGACCGAGAAGTACTCAGTCATGAGCATTGAGCCTGCTTCTATCGTAGAGCATTTGCGTGGTTGTGGTGTCATGCCACCATAATCCCAACATCCGTGCGGAGGCACTGTTGATTATCATCTATCGCGTGCGAGAAGCAAGCTCATGTTGCTACTTGATAGCTTACCCATCTCGTGAAGATGCGCTGGGATGTTGCAAAGAAATCAAGTAATGAGTATGTTATGGTTGGGTATTTGCCAATTGCTTACTGTAGTGTTACAGGGTCATGCGTGCTGATCACCTCATCGAGTAAGTCAAACGCCATTGACTTTGATACATGATCCAAATGATGCATCCCATATGTTACACCTCACTTATTTGTTATCGTGGATCTCACTTGATCTTCTGACCAGAGAGTTCACTCACTTTGGTATCTGGGAGGGTACTCAAGTTTGGAATGCTTATCTGTGCGTGCGCAAATATGACAGGTCGATTTGATAGTTCCATCCGCGCGACAACCATTTTACTTCGGAAGATTATGAGGACCTTTTGCACATCGTCAAACCTCTTTTTATCTCATCGATGGGCTAACTCTGCTCGCAATGGACACCAGATAACGCACCAAGTACGTGTGTCATAATCAAGCAACGTTGCTTGAGCAACATTTGGATCAGATTATTTTATGCTTGATCAGACTTAATCGTATTTCAAGCTTAAAAATAGTTTACCTACTGTAAACCACAACGTGCAACGACTCGGCACTGCAAGATTTTTATTCACGTCTTCTTCTGACCGACGTCTAGCGCAACTACGATGCTTTCCCAATTTGGACAGGAGTCATTAGGGCGAACGTTTCATATTTTCGGCTATCACCATTTCGCTCAAAAATGGTTAAATCTGAGCTTCTGGCGCCGCATGTGGTGTCCACAAAACAAACAGCTTACGGGCTCTGATGAGTTTCTGGAGTCACAAGAGCCCGCGTTCAAGCCTTACGCTGCGGGTGGAATGCAGGTCAACCATATTCACCGTGACGTAAACTGTGGAGGGCAAGGATGTGCAAAGGCTGAACGGAAACATGTTTTACCCTCTTGGTAGTCTGCAGCGTGCACAGGGGTGGCTGATCGGTGGCTAAATCTTGAACACGCTGCAGCCAGCGGAAGCAAGTCGCCGTTCAGTCGGGTGTCTGCCGATCTCGACGCCGCCAGCTGGGCCGATATGCAGAACTCGGAGGCAAACAGTGTCGACGTTAACAAGGGGCCAAGCCGGAGCGTCGTTGAACTATTCTTTTATAGGACGGGAATCCCAGAACAGGGTGGACCTTTAGCCAGGATCGATGTCGGAGACCAATAATCGTGGCGTTGGTTGTCTCGGAGTGGCTCACTCTAAGGTTTTATGTCCCAGTAATCTTGATGCGACGCTAGGATCATCTTGAACACGCTCCGACGCCTCCTTTCAACCGACCGTGCAATACTGCGGGAAGGATTTCCACATTTTTGCACCTTATCACTCCTTCATCTCACGAGTCACGAAACATACGGTACCAGTGGGACGAATGGTCAACGATGTCAGCGATTGGCCAAATGTATCGATAGAAGACACGGAAGAACAAAGAGCACAGGCGAAGAAAATCAGGTGCGTCCATGGACATATATCATGCCTTTTACCGACTAACACTGTGCCAAGTGACGAAATAGACGATGCTATTCAACGCGAACGGCGGGCCAAAGAGGAGAAACGCCCACCAAGGAAGGTCCTACTTCTAGGTACGTGGGAGGGAACCACACGGAACGCATCTGAGGTCAACGAACCCCCCTTTGCAGGTCCTTCGCAATCGGGGAAGTCGACTTTGTTGAAGAATTTCCATTTACTATTTGCCCCAAAGTCATTTCACGCAGAGGCCGAGGCATGGAGAGCCGTGATTCACCTGAACTTGGCTCAATCGGTAAACTTCATCCTGGACAATCTATCAACACCTAACACAATCTCTCCCGGAAACAAACTATTCTTGCGACAAGATGCTGGTCCCGACGTAGGACAACTACGTATAAGGCTGTCCCCCTTGCGACAAGTAGAGATTAGCTTGAACCAATGTCTTACCGTTGAGCACGAGGCGACACCTCGAAGACCAATATCCCTTTATAATAATATCTTGCGGACCGAAGGCACATCCAAGTCCTCCATTCGCGGCGGGTCCGCTTGGAAAGCATTGGCGAAAAGTCAGACGCTCCATAGCTCGATCAAAAGTGAACTGCAAAAGACGCGGTCCATTCTGGATGCGTGCCGTGATGACATTGTTTCACTGTGGTCGGATCCCGCTGTTCGTGAACAATTGAAGAAGCAAGGTACTACTCTCGAGGATTCATCTGTTTTGTTAGCCTCTGTTACCTTGTCCTTCGAATCGATTTGATGCTGAGCAGACCAATATCTAGCTTCCTGGACAATGCCTTTCGTGTTGCAGCAAGAGACTATATTCCTACGGCTGATGATATCTTGCGCGCACGGTTAGAGACAATCGGCGTTGAAGAACACCGTATCGTTATGGAAACCGGTGAGTTATTCCTCGTACGTAATGCTACATCTCTGAGCAGATTCTCCAGCGGATGCTGGAGAGGAGTGGATTTTCTATGACATAGAGGGATCTCGAGGGCAGCGAGGTGAGTACCGTATCCTATTTTATTGGTCTGTGGCTAATTGGCTAGTAGCATCGTGGGTGCCTTACTTCGACGATGGTGCGTCATCTTTCCTCATGTAGTTTTATGCTGTTCAACTTTGTCGTACTTCATTCAGTACATGCCATCATATTCCTTGTGTCCATGGCCGACTTCGACCAGTCATTACCTGACGATCCACAGGTGAACCGCTTCGTACGTCTCTTCTGATCTGTAATTACATACATAGGAAGATAACCCTTCTGGTAGGCGGATTCTTTCACCCTTTGGAAGACGGTGTGCGAGAATAAACTCATTGCACAAACGCCTGTAATGCTCCTTCTGAACAAGGCTGATCTGCTTCAAGAGAAACTTTCGGCTGGTATACAACATTTGTAGACGAATCCTGCATATTTTTCAATGTTTGATTTGTAGGGATTTTCTTTGCTCAGTTTGTGAAAGAATTTGGAGATCAGCCTAATGATCTGAAATCTGTCTCAAAATGTAAGTTCATCACTGCGACCATGGTTTCGTCACTGACCTGGACGATATCAGACTTCAAAACCCTCTTCATGGCCGCTCACGATATACACTCACCTAAGGAGAGAAGGCTTTTCGTGCAGACTACTTGTGCCATCGTGAGTCCGTTTCATTCAGCCGCCAAGTTCATTACGCTTACGTTTATCCAGGATACACAGGCCATGTCTTTAGTTCTTAGAGAGGGTAGGGCTTTCAGCATCTTCAGAAATCACAATGGCTGACGCATAGTTAATATAGTAAAGGAAGTCATCCTTGTGGCCATGTTGAAAGGCAACATGATATAAAGTTCGGATCATCTGCTTCACTTATTATCTCATATTTAACTCATCTTACTGTGCTGTTATAATTGACATCTCCTCGTCTCACGTACACGACAACTAAGTATGTACTATCCCCACATTCTGGCTCCTGCCTTTGTAATTGTACATAGACGAAACCATCTGTATTCTCCCCACCGTGCATCCCACCTCACGAACAACGCCTATCATCCGTAGACCTCGAGACCGGTCTCGACAACGATTCTTCGCGCTACCGTCGGCCCCGAGACGAGGTATGTGCATCAGCATGACTCTGGGAGCTACTGAGTCTTCCACCGAATCATTGAACAGGGACGCCGGTGATTATATTTTTTCATGCCGTCGGCGCTCAAACATTCCTCAAAAGGTCAGTGATGCAGACGTCGTTTCCCCGGTCGGAAAATGGTAACAACTTGAGATAGCGGTCTTTCATTGCTCTCTCATGGGATACCATACTTTTATGACATGGTCTCACACTAGCATGCTCAAGTACTCATACTGCGATCGGTAAATGCTATCATTAGCATCAGGAACGACTGCCAGTGCACCTCCGATTTGAAAGCATTGTGTGTATGAAGAAATCGAAGCTTGACCGCGCCTGTCGATTGACAGACCCCATGTTCTTATTGATATGGGGGCGTTTTCTCAAATTCATATATAAAGGACCGTCGACGTCGACCCCAAGACCCCCAACCTCTCATTCATCGTCTCGCACATCATCTAACAATGCCAGAGCTCGGTACAAAGGTAATCATCGTAGGCTGTGCAATCGCGGGCCCCGTGTTGGCCATGTTCCTTTTGGGACAAGGCTACGTCCCCGTCGTTTACGAACGTCTAGATGCATTGACAGAAGGGGGTGTGAGCCTGATGTACGTTCTCCTTGCATCCAACTGAGATGCTACTAGCATGCTTGATACTGATATAACCTCCGACGCAGGTTGCAACCTAATGGCCTTCGGGTACTAGCCCAGATTCCAGGTCTGGAGGAGTCCCTCGAAGGAGGAGCTATTGCTAGGATCCTTTTCGAGTCTGTTGTCCCCGAGGATAAAGGTGTTCTTAGCGAAAGCTATGTTCTAGGCAAGCTGAAAGAAGAGCTTGGCTTTGGCTTGCTTGGCGTAGCGAGGTCTTCTTTCCATCGCAAGCTTGTTGAAGCAGCAGAGCAACGCGGCATCAAGATTATCTGGGGTCACCAGCTCATTGACCTGGAACAACATGAGGATCATGTCACTGTCACCTTCCAGAATGGTAATACCGACACTGCAAGTTTCGTAGTGGGTTGCGACGGACTTCATAGCAACACTAGGATTTGTTTGTTCGGAAAGGAACAAGCTGATTTTACCGGTTTGGTTCAGGTGAGAGAGATCCTTTTTCCGTTCGCATTTATTTCTTACTGCAAGAAACATATGACAGATTGGAGGCGCCTCTCCCGCTCCTCCTGGCCGTCCATTTGAGCTGCCCACCATGCTGAGCGTTTTTGGCAATGGTGAACATTTCATCGCATATGCTGTTAGCGATAACCGTTATTCATGGGCGTAAGTCTTAATTTTGTATGTTATACATTACAAGATTACAGCGTAACATTGCTTCACAGGGGCACCCGTCGGGAGCCTGAAGCAAAGGAAACGTGGAAGGCTATGGACAAGGATGCCCAAGAAGACTTCAAAAAGAATTCGAGTTATTCCTCCTGGGGTGCCGGCGTCGGGGATCTTGTCCGCAATGCTGATAAGGTTGTGAAGGTGAGAACGTTCTTCCAGATGGTGGTGTCCTGTTTCCTGACGTTTAGCGTTAGTACGGTTTGTACGATCGCCCCGAACTCACGACATGGCATTCCGGAAGAGTCATTCTGATCGGGGATGCTGCGCATCCGACTAGTCCGGTATGTTACTAACTGCAAATTGACGGTGCGCCTATTCTAACAATCTTCCTGGTAGCATCTTGGACAAGGGGCCAACCAAGCATTTGAGGATGTGGCGCTTCTGAGCAAACTGCTGAAGGAGCATAACCCTCACGCCAATCCACCGTCGACGGAGACTCTTAGCAAAGTATTCACAGAGCTCGAGAAAGTACGCATTCCTCGGTCAGCTGCTCTTGTCGCGGGCGCGCGCAAATCGGGGGAGACTAGAGTTGTTGCCGGCGTTGAAGAATGTAAGAAACGGAATGATTACTATCGCGAGAGTTGGAAGGATGATGAAACGATCATGAGGAACCACCGCGCCGTGTACGCTGCCCAGTAGAATGCCGTAGATTGGCATGGGATGACTTCGAGCGCAACATTCATGCCGTAGTTAACTAGATACTATTGATGGAAGCGTACTGTAATAAAATTTGCGAGCTCAAGTGTACGATTGCTAGACAAATGAACATATGCAAGCGACTCACTCGGAGTGTTCGGAATCCCTTCTCCAGGTCCGCAGTACTCTGCAGGAGACAAATGCCCTTTGGGGGGGATTGCAACTGTCAAATTGAAGCAGGGCGTTGAAGATATGAATAGACAATACGATTTGCTCACCTAGCATCTGCCACCTCTCACATCGAACTCGCCACAATGTCATATAAGCAAAATTGGCGTAGTTTGCCATTCCCCCGTGGAGCACCCGGGTTTAGCCACCTGAACGCTCGATGCCCTGACGGCAAATTGCCTGTGCTCAAACTCGACGTCAGAAAATCAAGACGAAATGGCCGCGGCGTTTTCCAGCACCAAGAGTACTTTCATGATCAGAGGGCTGGACATTTTTTCAAGATCATGGGAAAACCGGAAGGAATAGCTGTGGATGTTGCCTGCGTCATGTTTGAAACCAACTCTGGGTTGTTACTGAGGTCATCCTGAATTCTGCCAAGTTCTTCCGAGGGGTGGATAGCCTCGAAGTCGCTGGAATCATAGTTGCTGTGGGCTGACATTTATGGTATACCCGGGATTGAATGTTATGTTGCGTCGAGACAAAGTATGCCAGGACATTCATAGCATTTCGTTTTCTGTTCAACTTTTCGTATCGTAGCTCTGGAAGGCCTCTATAGATCCCTCGCTGAAGAAGTCGACCCCGACTGGAATATAAAGATAACTGCACGTATGGAAATATCAATAAATCGTCAATGCTGATTCCATTTGCTCGGATAACTATCACGCAGCCAGGGTGATTCCGCACCAGGATAGCATCAAAAAAAATGAAGAAATAGCCACGGCACCCAGCCTATAAGGAGTCCATGGGAACGGCCATGATTCGTGCTTGGGAAGCCGTCGCCCAATCGTGTGGTTCGGACCGTGACAAAGCGGCGGAAAGATTTTGAGATTACACACATAAACAAACCAACGTACTACTTGCGAAAACGGCGATTGAGATGGCCAAGGTAAACGTCAAGGCGATGTTGCGCGATTCGAGTCTTCGTCAGAAGGATTAGGTTTCAAACCTTGAACTGCAGATGTTTGCTTCCTTACACGTCTGGAAACGAGAAATTCCTTTGAACCAAAAGTGTGGTGTTGTCAGCATTTTATGAGAACATTCATTGCTTCACTGAGGGAGCGGGTCAGCGTGGAAATTATTTTCGTGCAGTTTGAGAAATTTCCATTGCAACTTGAACCACCCGATTCATAGGGATTCATGCACGTAGGATCCAGCAAAGAATTACTTGATTTGGGTGAACATTACCAGAAAAGGCAACGACCTTTGGAGCTGCAATCGCCTTCATTGCAGGCCAATATTCGAGTAGACGAAGATAATGTTGATGAGAAGCCGAATTCCCTAATGTTTGAATTAAAATCTAGTCAGTCCGTCATCCTGTAATCAGTTGATTGCTGGTGCATAGAGAATACATAGACGGGTAACATGAAGCCTGCATGCATTGATGAGACAATCAACGAAGATGATCTAACATACGCTGGACAAACCCGAAATCAAACAAGATGCATGGCAAAGTTGGGTGACATGGATGGGAGGTGGATGAGAAAAATGATGAGGAGATAGCCCTACCGGTTGGCAAACCTTGTTGATGACTGCAAGGTCAGGACCAGAGCCCCAGCATAGTGAGTAGGCCGTTTGCTAGCCTTTCAATATGGTTCTTCGCCGTGATGCTGTTCACCAAGCCATAAATAAAAGCAGCAGCCCAATCTCATACAACAGATGTTCGTGAACCCGCTATACGGTCTGCTACCTATAACGTACAGAAGCCGTCAATACATGGCTTGGCAGCAAGGAGGAAGAACGACAGCATTGACTTACGTCTCGAATATACGGGAGATTGAGCAAGCTCCCCACAAAAGGCACTTGTCTCAGGAATGTGAGAATTACGGGGAAGAAGTCTCTGTAGAATTTCAAAGTGTGTTCGTTAACTTAACATTGGTCAGGTCAGGAATATGTTTGAGGGACGCACCCAAAGAGATTCAAGAACCCGATGGTCTCTATAACGACACCAATGAACGGCCACTTCAAGAAAACCAAAATAATCCCTCCAATAAAGCATACGGTCCCTCGCAGCTTCTGTTTTCGTGCAAAGAAGTAGAACGTCTTCTGTGGACCGATGATGAGCGTGAGACCGGATAGGAAGAGCAACTACGGTTGGCGCGAAACACATTATCAGAAGTACACCCTAAGGAGGATTGAAACGTTGCATACGTTGCCGAGTGCAAGAAGAGCACCATCAAAGAAGAGCATGACACCCAAGAGCATGAAGAGCCCTCCGAATGTCGTGAGAGCCACGCCGATCTCTATAAAACATCGTCAACTACCATCATGCATAGTGCATGCTCGTGAATTTGTTACTTTGCGCGTCCGTAAGCCACATTTTGACAAGAAGTAGTGGGTCGTGGGGGGTTCAAGCAGGGTATGAAGCCGCCAGCAGCCGTGTTCACTGCGAAGTTGACAGCCACGCTCAGCTGGGCGCGTCATTTTGATACGTGTCATGAGCGTTTCCGAATATAAAACTGGTATACTCAGTGTGCACTTTAAGGTCAAATAAGAGATGCTGGGACTGGGGTCAACGATGTTGATGCATGATATCGAAACCAAGTATAAGTGATGCGAAATGATACAAAGATATCGCGAAATAAGTTAGGCCTTGGAACGAGAGGCTTTCCAACCGCCATCTAGTCTGTCTAACAAACTCTGCACCTCGCGCACGGCACCCTTCCTTTCTTTCCTCGCATCCTCCCATTCACCCTCTGCATTAATAGCATCTAATCGCAGTAATGACTGGAGCAACAACTCCCCAAGTCTAGCATGCTCCTGCTCCATCTCTTTAGGCTTCTTTCCCGAGATTGCATTGCCAACATGTGCAGGTTGTGGAGAATCAGTAGTTGTCGGTGACGTAGGCGCGGCTTGTGGAGGTTTGAGTGTGGAAAGGAAGCTGTCTACATCAGGTTGAAGGTTCTGTCGGACCTTATCGAGCTCGGTGCGGATTTGCGAAATAGTAGTCTCTTCGGTTCGTCGTTGTGCGGTCTTAGTACTAATGGGTATCTTGGCCTTGAATTCTTCAACGCCGTGTTCTCCACCGCCGATTATGGCGAGTGTTGAGTTCTCCTTGATTCCATATGCAGATACTAAGATGGCACGATTTAGTGTTTGTGTAAGATTCATGTGCGAAATAGTATGCAAGTGCAGCATCCGACGGTGATCGGAAAGATAAGAGCCTACGAGGCATCTGAAGAGAACGACGTACTCGGAGCGTTGTCATCTTTCATGACCGCGCCAGCATGGACGAGTTTGAAAGAATTCTCCGGTAATTGTGTATACTCCGCTATTTGCTTTCGGATTGCAGCGAGTTTGGCATTCGGAGGAGGGAGAGGGAAGTGCAGTCTTTGATATCATTTGCGAGTTTTGCGTAAACATGTGTCATGGTAAAGTCAGTTGACAGAGTCAGAAAAGCAGAAGAGTGACACGAGAAAGCGCACGAGTGACTCGTCAGCACGGCGAATCAAACATGAGCGTGAAGTTAGCCTCACCTTTCCCTCCCCCACTTGACGACATAGCTCATGGATTTGATCTTCGAACTGCGGGAACCTATGAGGCGTTTCGCTTGGGAATAGACTACACGAAGCAGGATGAGCAAGATGGGAATAACTGTAGGAGTGGAGCCATGAATCAGTGATGATGCACGAGTAACCACAGGTGTGCCTATCGATGAGCGTACCAAGGTAGACGGGGGAGAACAGGTTGAACGGGTACGCCAGTGCGACGAAAGTCTTGAAGACGTGCCGTTGAGGTGCAAACGCGTTGTGAAGCCACTGAGCCACCGTGAAAGCAAGAAAAGAGGAGCAGTGAAAGTCCGTGCCGCTCTGCCGGGGGGTGCTTATCAGGATTGTATCCAGGCTACAACCAGGCTATAGCCCAAGCTGTAGGCTCATTTGTTATCAGACTAGTGTCAATTATTACCAAGCTTATTACGCACTACAAATCTTTCTAGTGCGCTGCGGGACGGGGCAGGGCTTGATGTCATTGGCTTAAGAAGCGAGCTTGAGCCTGTGCTTGCCTGCCTTTGCCTTTCCTCCTCCATCCTCGGGCCCTCTCCTTCCACAATGTCCGACTCGTCCTCCTCGACAAATGGCGGCCTCGCTCGTTCATCCCCCGTCTCTGTCGCCTCCAGAGCCACTCAACCCCCAAATCGTTCCGTCGCTGGACTCCTAGCAAGTCGCAGCAGGCCACTCGCTCAGACACCCATGCCACCGTCCTTACAGGCAAAATTAGCTTCTGTAAGTTTTTCGTATCTTTCTTGTTTTCTCATGATCGCCACCAATGGCACCCCTGTATATCGTGAAAGCTCATCGTTCATATTTAGATGGCCAATCGGGGGCAGTCATCCAACTCGGTCGAGGTTGCCACTGTTGCGATGAAGAACGTCTCTCTGGCGGAAAAACCTCTTCATCCTTCACTTCGCTCCTCAATATCCGATCCATCAGGTCGGCCTGGTGGAGGTCCTGGTGGGGGTCCGCCAGGAGGCCTCGCTGCTAGGAGACTTAGAATGAATGCTCCGAAGTTGAACGTCAACGACCTTGCTGAAGGGATCTTTCCAACTGGTGGTGGACCTAGCGGTGCTGGGTTGGGCGGAGGTAGGCCATTGATGGACGATGCACCCCGTAGATCGCCTGCGGCCAACATCGGAACGCCCTTTGCCAATTTCCGCAAGATTGTGTAAGTGAGCTTCTTCTATCTCGGACATAACTGGTCTTATTACGGATCTCTTTCCTGTAGCGATCCATCGGGAGCTCTAAATTTCAATGGCAAAGCTATCTTGCACGCTTCTGGCGTTGATTTCTCCAATGGTGCTTCATTCAAGATCAATATGACGCAGCTCCAGCTGGAAGAGGAACTCGGGAAGGGCAACTATGGGACGGTCAAGAAAGTCCTACATAAGCCAACGAATGTGTACATGGCCATGAAGGTTCGATTCCTTCCCAACATTCCCAATACCATCGCTCGACTAACACTTGTCGCGATAAGGAAATCCGCCTAGAACTAGACGAAGCGAAACTGAACGCAATCATCATGGAACTCGATATCCTACATCGGGCAGCTGCACCGGAAATTGTAGATTTCTATGGCGCTTTCTTCATTGAATCGTAAGTGCACATCCTTAGAACAAGTGCAATCATGATATTTGACATCGACGCGATTTAGATGTGTATACTATTGTATGGAGTATATGGACGCTGGCTCTCTGGACAAGTTGGAAGGCGAAGGTATCCCGGAAGATGTCCTCGGGCGAATAACGGGTGCCATGGTTCGCGGCTTGAAGTTTTTGAAAGATGAGATGCAAATCATCCATCGAGGTATGTACACGTGGCATCGTATTATCGACTGGAATGCTATATTCACCATTTTTCATTTGGGCAGACGTTAAGCCGACGAACGTGCTTGTCAATCGAAGGGGCGAAGTAAAGCTGTGCGACTTCGGTGTCTCTGGTCAGCTGGAGAAGTCACTCGCAAAGACAAATATTGGATGTCAGAGTTATATGGCGGTATGTGCCTAATCGTGACACCCTAAGAAATGATTCTAATCTTATTTCCTCTTAGCCCGAGCGTATCAAGGGCGAATCCCAAGGGAATCTTGGCACTTACACCGTCTCATCTGATGTGTGGTCCCTAGGTCTCGCTATGATAGAGATGGGTCTTGGTCACTATCCATACCCGCCAGAAACATATGCGAATGTTTTCGCGCAACTTCAGGCGATTGTGCATGGCGATCCACCAGAATTGCCGGATGACAGGTTTTCCGAACACGCTAGAGACTTTGTATTGCGGTGTCTACACAAAGTGCCAGACAGGCGTGCAACGTATGCGGAACTTCTGGTGAGCTTATGAAATCAATTCACAAAACGAACAGAAGGATATTGACAGAATTTACTCTCAGGCTCATCCGTTCCTAGTACATGATCGAAATCGCGAAGTCGATATGGTAGGGTGGGTAGCGCGGGCAATAGAGTACCGAGACAGGAAACAGGCGCAGCAACAGCAGCAACGAAACCAGCAGACGTTGGAGCAACAACAACAACAGCATCAGCCTTAATCGTCACTCTGAAGTATCATCACTCCAACGATGTTTCGAGACATGACGCTCTGGCCTCATTGTTACTCCTCATTGTCACCTCTATCTATCAGGTTATCCTGATACAGGGTGACAATCCCTGATTTCGGCACGCTAGCGGTCCTCACTGGATGCTACCGATAATATCTCGCTCATTTCCCCTCACTCTCCCTCGCATTGCCTCATTGTTTCATGCCGTGCACCCAACTTGAGGTCGTCCTGTCACTGCTTACTCTTCCGACCCTCTACTCACTTCATCGCCTGCCAAAATTCGGGATGGTTACAAACATCCTTCCGACAAGCGTGACGTTACTTTCAAGACGGTGGTCGTTGTCATACGGAAAGAAGTCCTTTCCTTGCTCAATCCGATCACCTCGTTCACGGTGCTAGTCATCGAACCACGCACTCCGAGGGAGAAAGACGTCTCGTGAGTATGCGTCACTGGATGAGAAGCGTGGGCTGGTAACGAAGAGGAGGGATAGGAGAGGAACCGTGCATCAATTATAAACGCTCTAGTACCCTATAGGTGTATATAGCGAGTACTCCCCTTACCACTGGTTGGTCGTGGAGTGACGTACCGCTGGCACCAGCATTTTTTTTCAATCAAACTTTCTTTGTTGTTACCATCCATCATTCATGGTTTTTTCTTTCTTTCATTGTTTGGCATACATGTCTTCATGTCTTGATTCTCCGGTGCATTTGGTTTGTAGCATTCTCGGTTAAACACTGCTCCACTTAGAACTTTGTCAGTTGTTTTGCGAAATTGTTTTTAAGTGGACGAATTAATCGAAGGGAGGTACTACAAGTGAGAAAGCCAGTTCTGGGTGTAATGTCATTGTCCTCATACTACAGTAATGGCACTGATTCGATCAAGGTGGGTGCTCTTCAGAGATAGCTGAGACTGCTTGACGTTCATGCATGCACATGTATGGACGTTCTGCGTCTCTCGCTACAGATGTCTTGAACGATGTCACTGTCAACGCACCGCCTCTCCTCGATCTGCTCCCGCGTAGTATACCTGCACATCTGTTCATCAGTCGGTTGAGAATACAAGCTTACCTTATCTGCATATATCGAGAGCACAATGGAGGATCGGAATGAACACAATATAAACGGGAGAACCGTGAATATGCGAGAAATAAGTTAATGATTTATGCGAGTTGGCCGATGCTGTCAAGGCGACTGGATGTAGGCGGATATGAACTTGTATAGCCAACACCAGTCCAAAAAGTTCAACAACGTCGCAATTCGCAGGATGTTTTGTGGCAAGAAATTAGCCAACAGGAAATGTTAGTCATAGGGAAGTGCAAGTGAAGAACGGAGAGTCGGACGCAACGACGCGAGCTGGCGATCAATCGCGACCACGCGAATGAAACACGGTCACGTGATCTTGTTGAATTGGTTTCACACGCCGCGAAAAGCTTCCGCGAATATGGGCCAAATACTCGCTTATTGAACCCAACCTTCGCCTCCAACCGATTCCCCCCTTCTTCTCTTCTTCCCTCGTCGTCGGCTCTGGCGACCACAACGACCCTAAAGACGATACCCACGACCGCTACGATCTGACGGCTTGCCTTGGACACGTTTTTGGCCACTCAACAATAACCATTGTCCAATCGACTCATTTACCAGGTTTGGACCTTCAGCCACGAGTTCAAATACGCAGTGCCGCTCGCAGCGCTACCCCACCTTCTTTTGTCTACCAACTACCATGCTTGCTACCACTCCAACCTCGGAATATGTCCGAAAATCCAGACGGGATATCAACATTAGCACTCCCCCGAGATATTCAGGCCCTTCGTCCTATCGCTCACCCCTGCTTACCCCTTCACCTCTGAAAAGACACACAGCACCAATGGATGAAGACGACCTATTTTCGTCGCCTCTGCCTTCGGCGTACAACTCTCGACGAGAGCATCCAGCGCGAAGGCCTAGGGACGATGATGACGAAGACGACGACGGGTTATTTGCTATACCACAGTCCCGTGCACTCTTTCCTCCTTCCTCTTCTCCGGTGCCGTTGCGGACACCAATAAGGCATTCTGGTCGTGTTCTGTCGCCGGAGCGTCCAGCGTTGTCTGTCAAACATCTGAACTCGCCATCGACGACTACCCAAGGTACCAAACGGAAGCCCACGCCAGCGTCCACAACGCCTGTTCGTAGGCGTACCCTCACTCCGCTAAACACTACCTCAAACCTAGCGGTGGATGATGGGGAATCTGTTTTGGGGTTTGATCGCCTTGCGCCTCTACCAGCGCCGCGATTCAACTTACGTACACCTCAAAACAAGACAGACACCGAGACTACTCTCAAACGTCAGGCTGATTCCATGACGAGATTGCGAATTAATGACATGGGACAATCCGGAGACGAGAGTGGGTATGACTCCGGTGGTGACTTCCCTGACGCGGGTAAGACGTTGTTTCCTAGCAGTGCCGCTAAGGGACGGGCAAAGCAGAGACCACCTCCGCTTCAATCACCTCGTGTGCAACTTCTGATGAAAGAGGGGCAGTCGAAAGAAGGCGAGGTTGTCGAAGCGATGTCTCCTGGCGGTCATATAACTAAACGCCGTGCCCGCTCGAGGCCAGTGTCTGCAGAACTTCTCTTAAGCATTCAAACAACACCGGAAGAACAAAAGGTATGCATATAATCATTCAAAATGAGTGCATACAAGTGTCATACTGACGTTTCTATGGTATGGAATCCCAGGCAAAATCGAGGGTACAAAGTCCGAGTACGATTGCATTTCCCCCGCGAAGTGCATTGCGCTCCCGTCAATTATCCTACTCGTCGACCACTTCATCTGACGTCGGTTCACCCCCACGCTTTCGACCAACGACAGCCACATTACCTCGATTACAGACAGAGACTGCCTTTGCACCACCCCGCACCGCGCTAAATCGACTTGACAGTGTTAGCTCAGCCACGCTGTTCTTCGGACCTGCTATTCCCCAGCCGAACAAACCAAACACAGCTTCCAAGGATGTCCCTATGAACGTTGATGTCCCTGCTCGACGTAGCCTGGACAACAACAGAAATAGCGATGAAAAGTCTGGCGGTGCAACACCCTGGTTGTTCAGTGGGGCCGCGTCGCCACAAACTCGCACGTTGTTACAAGTCGATAGCGACGAGGAAGCTGACTTCTTCTTCAGTAGCAGCAGTGGCCCTGCCGATTCTTCGTTTACGTTCAGTCTGACTGGGGAAACACCAAGCCCTAAGAAGAAGCGGCGAACTGAGTCAGTGGAGTTACTGCCAAAGAAATTTCGACCGAGAGATTCTGGAGTTGTTCTGGACGAGAGTGACGATGGCAGTTATGAGGGGTTGCCGAGAGCTTCCACCTCCGTGAGTACAATGAACTCGGAGAGTGACGGGGAAGCATTGGTCACGCCTGGCTTTGGCCCTAGCGCTGGGTCTGGGTGGCCCAACGTTGGGATCTACAACCTGGATGAAGATGAGGATGGTCATTTTGGTGGAGCATTGGGAGGGGAGAGGAGCGTGGATGCATTCATCATGCGTACGCTTACCGCTGGCGCAAAATTGTCGAAGGGCGAGGCGGCCAAACGACCTCCGGGTACACCTGTCAAGAGGGTCAAAACATCTCATATCATCGACAGGCCGTGGCAAAGTGCAGTCGCCTCCAAGATCGGGTTCCCTGACTTCGACGACCCGCACAGTGCTGGAGTTAAGGCAGCAAAGAAAGGAAAGCCGAGAAAGAGTCTTCCTGCGGCTTTCCCTGTCACGACGAAACCCGCGAGGACCGAGCGTCAGCGGCGAGACGCGTTGAACTTCGGTTCAACTGGTCTCAATATGGAAGTGGATGCGGATGGAGATGAGGAGGAGGCGAGTCCGACCATGCGGCGGGATGCGAGATATGAAGGCTTGGGCTTAGGCAGACCTGCGGTCCATCCGCTGGCGCGTCCTGGAACGGATGTCAAAGGTGGCCGGACGTCCTGGCTCATGCGTAGGAGCAGCAGTGGTGCTTTCTCTAGCGGAAGCGAGACTTCCACAGCTGCCACACCGACCAGGCTGACATACAAAGGCGAGTAGATTTTATTTGGTTATATGCACAATATGCTCACGCATGCCCTTTCATAGATTGGACATTGAAGTTGCCTATGCTATCAGCTGGAAGTGCTTCCACTTCGACCTCGACTTCGGCTACAGAGTCTCCCACAGCGGATGCAATGACACGACATCTTTCTGGTGTGTCACCAAAGAAAGGCGCCTTTGCCGTTCCCGCTCAGCCTCGATCATCTAATCCATTCGGCCCATTCCTGCGCACGCGTCGTTCTATGGCGTTTGGTGAAGAGCAATTGGGGAGATTCGAGCGTGACTTTGTGGAGATTGATGAACTAGGAAGGGGCGAGTTCGGCCGGGTGATGAAGGCGAGATATAAGCAAGGCTCGCAGGAGGTGTTTGCTGTGAAGAAGTCTAAGCGGTTTGAAGGAGTGAAGCATCGGTAAGTCAAGTTCTATATGTGTCTTTCTGCTTCTGCTCTCGCGGCGCGCCAGAAGTCGTTTACATCATTGTGACGCTGTTGCCGTGGGTACAAAGCGGGATCAGTGACGTTGAATACTTCTGGAAAAAATCGAACGTCGCGCTGATCATCTTCTTTTGGTTGCCTTTATAGACTTCGGCTTCGAGAAGAGGTCGAGATCCTCAAGCATTTATCTCAGTTTGCTGGTGCCCAAGGTCATGGTACGCAAGTACAGACCCGTTCTCAGGCGCACCCAGCGGCTTTGGGACGTCATCCCAACGTGCTCGGATATATCGATAGCTGGGAAGAAGACGAGACGTTGTTCATTCAGACAGAGTTGTGTGAATTGGGCAACTTTGCGAACTTCCTGTGGGAGTATGGCAAGATGTTTCCGAAGTTGGACGAGGAGCGGGTTTGGAAGATTCTCGCAGACCTCAGCGATGTACGTTGGCCATTCGAATTATTACATGTCTTTCCTTCTCACTATGGTTTGTTGTTAGGGTCTAAGCTTTATACATGACGCAGGCGTCATCCACCTCGACCTCAAGCCAGCCAACATCTTCATTTCAGGCGAGGGCCGATTCAAGATCGGAGATTTTGGCATGGCCTCTATTTGGCCACGTCCTCCGACACAGACGATCGGAAGCAATGGCACTCCTATGCCCTCCGGTTCTGGCCAATCTGAATCTTTTGAACGCGAGGGCGACAAACTGTACCTTGCTCCGGAAGTGTTGCAGGGGAAATATGGCAAGGCGGCCGATATTTTCAGGTACGAACTTTCTCTTGATTGCTGCGCACTTCCAGAGGTGGCGCGGTGATCATTTCGCTTATTGGTCAACAATGCTGATGAAGCTGTGAACAGCCTGGGCATGACGATGCTAGAGACTGCAACGAACATCGTGGTACCTGATCAGTGAGTAGTACACTTTTAACATTTGCTCTGCCTCTTTGATATTATATGTCTCGCCTTGCGTCTATCACACAAAATCGCTAATCATGACATTTTTGTTTTACCTAACAACAGGGGAGAATCTTGGCATCGCCTTCGTCACGAGGACTTTGCGCAGGTCGACTTTACTGGCGTGTCAAGAGAGCTTGTTGAGTTGATCAAACATATGATGCGGAGCGATCCTGCACTGCGTATTGAAGCTGGGCTCGTTGCTGCTCATCCTATCGTGATAAGGGCTCGTTCGCATATGGAGGCGCTAAGGGAGGAAAGAGGACCGGTCTTTGGTGCCTCGCCGCTTTCGAGTGTGGGCGAAGGTTGGCTGGAAGACTTGGTTGATCGGGATGTGGAGCGTATGGATATTGGTTTCTAGGTGTCCGCTTGAAACTAGTTCGGAGAGCCGGTCAGACGATGGGTCTCTCCATGTTCCGTTCAGTCCTGCCGCCCCCGTTGCGCTCCGTTCGCTGGTCGCTCAAGACTTACCGCCCCGCTGTGCTCCTTTTGGTTTGGTTGTTATTTGGGATTTCTGTTGATTTTGGTTTTTGGACTGTCCATGATTCCGCTTTCTTGTGCTTATGTCAAATTGGGTATGTCTTGTATGTTTTTCTTGCTTTCCTTTTTGCCTTTGATCTTACGTTGAACTTTTATGTCCCATTTTTGCAATTCTTGTCTACCCCATTCCAGATCCACCTATTCTTGCATGCACCAACCATTTCAATCCATACTTCACAAGATCATCGCACCCACGTCCGACGCTCAATAATATATTCACCTCTCATCACTTCTTATCCCCTTTTCCTGTATCATACACTCTCCCCAGTTGTCGCACGTTTTACCCCAGCTTGTCCTTTGATTCCCCTTGCACTCGTGCATAATCTTCATCCTTCCTTGCTCGTCCTATCTCATCTCTGTCGTCTTTATCTTCATCTCCACGCCCAACACCCATACCATACGCATCGACTCATCGACCTTCATCTAAACCTCGCCGCATTCATTCATGATATGCATACCCACCCATCTTCTGCCTACTCTACATTGGATCTCTTTTTCCTTTTTACCCATTCCATATTGTCGAATCGTCGCCGTCGCTCATCGCAAAACCTCATCCGCAATCGTCGTCCTACAAATGATTTCCGCGCAAAACTCGAACGCAAAACGTTATTTAAACCTATATCCTCTTTCCTTCCGTCGTCGCTGTGCCTTTACCTTCCCTTACGTGTTTTTGCATACATTCTTGCATCCTCATTCACAAACAGTCTATGATCATGATTGCGCTCTATACTTTCATTTCCGATATTTTTGACTTGCATTCTTTCTTGCGCCTATCATACTTTTCTTATGTCACCGGAGTTGCTGAAGAACAAAAAGGGAGGACAAAAAGGGCACGTTTCTTGTGTTTGATTTGTCTACTCTTTCGGTTTGTGTCCAGACTTGGTTTTCCTTTTCTTCTTGCATGGTTTGTCGCACAGTGTGTTTACGGATAGTATATACAGTAGTACATATGCCCCTTTTTACGTAGTTAGAATACATAAATTGACATGACCTTCCTGTATGCCCCCAGCTTGTACAATCGGAATGAAAACCGAGTAGTTGGCGTGCAAGGGACCGCGGTGATGAGACTAGTCAAATGCTTATCTCGGTGTACATGTGCATTGGAGGGGACAGTTGTTGGTCCGACCGTTGCAGGAAATAGGTTCGGTTGATCGAAGCGCTAACGCCGAGGTTAGAGGCGGGTCAGATAAGATGAAAAGCAGAATTCTGATTGGACGCGCCGGGTTGCGATTTTCGCGGGGAAGGCAGGATGATCAGTTGATCGCGTCGCTTGGGGACGGCTCAAAAATATGCATAGCTAGGCATAGCTCTTCCGCAAGCTGGGCAAGGTACCCATCCATCCAAAGCGTCGGCCACCGATGTTCTCGGCGGTCGTTGGATGTCGTGCTGCTCGACGTCGGGAGGGTCCTCGGGGATGGGCTTGGATGCAGATGGGCAGATCCAGGTTATTGACAGGGAAGTGATGGGATGGTTGTCAGTGTTGTACAGTCCGAGGAGTACTGGCAGTAGACGAGACGTCGAGATGTATGCAGTTGGGGCGATGGTATGCAGAGAATGGAACGCTGCGTTGGCGACAGTTGGGAGGGTTAGCAGAAGATTTGGAGACAGCGGGAGCAGTAGTAGAGAGTAGTCCAGTGACCTGGTCTGTGAGAGGGCAGTTCATGAGCGTTTCTACCAAGTGATCCTCCCCTGTCTGCACTTGTTCTTCTCCCCCTCGTCGCTCTTCTCTCCCTCCTCCCTCCCTCCTTGTTCGTCGTCGACTACCCTGCCCGACGGCGCTCTAAGTTGTGGCTTGATACTCGTCCTCTCTCGCAATCACTGCAATTCGCGCTAGCCATAAAAGGATCTTGCCCTTTCTCTTCCGCTTGCTTGGCCAGCAGCTGCTTTGCCCTCTCACTCGCTCGCTCTTCCCATTCGCCCGTCATCCCTCCTTTCCTCTCTGCCCAATCCACTCTTTCTTTTACCACCACCATATAAACAGGCAGATTCTGTCGTGCTCACCATCTTGCCAGTCCGTCACCAGTCCAATTTATCGGACTCGACACTTGGAATAGCCGACGTTTCTCCCAAAGACACATCGCATCATTCCGAGGCAAGCTTTCTCTCAATCCTCTAATCCACTCATGCTCATTTCCTACCTGTCCTTGCTTTGACATTTGACATTTTGTCTTTCGCTTACCCTCCTTGTAGCTTCGAGTGCAGGCCTGCTCGTCCCGCTCCTCTTTATCGCCTATCCATCCACACTAATCGCCTTTCTCTAGACCCTGTTCCATGGATCTACACGGTGTCAATGGCAACGGTATGGACTCCCTCCACACCCACCACTCTCACACTCCTTCCCTCAACGGTTTAGGACCTGTTGGGGACCAGCAACACGCTCATTCCGCCCTCTATCACGTTCCCCCGTCCCTCGCTGCTGTCCAACACCATCAACATCCTCTAGACTTACCACATCACCATCATCCCTACTCACAACAGCTCGCTCCCTACGACTTCCCCTCCAATAATTCTGGCTATTCGGGTGATTTGAACGTCGACCCGCTTCATCACCCTCTTGACAGACGTGTCCCTCATATTGCCCGTGAGCTTCGGCACCCGTCATCACTTGCCCACCCGAGTGGACTGTCTTTACCTCATCCAGGACACCTTCATTCGCATCGGTCGCAGACGTGCATTCCTTCTCTGATTCCTCCCGGTATGGATCCCGCACAGGTCGATATGCGTACATTCTACCCATACCAGCCCAACGAGGTCAAGCACCGGAAACGGACAACGCGTAGTCAATTGAAGGTTTTGGAAGACGTATACAAGTACGACACGAAACCAAACGCAGGATTAAGGAAAAAGCTGGCGGATGAGTTGGGCATGACACCACGCGGGGTTCAGGTCTGGTTCCAGAATAGGTTGGTGATTTGATACTTCTAAAGGTCTTTTCTTGATGTTGTTCCCCGCAGACGCGCAAAGACGAAGTCGCAGGCAAGGAAAGCGGAAGCTATTGGCAAAAAGGACGGTGAGGAAGTTCCACCAGGCAATGCGGGAGGACCGAGTGATAACGGTACTGGTTCAACCAATACTTCTGCATCGTCTCCTGCGTCGTCTTCCTCCCCCGCGTCTTCGTCGTCTCTGCACCGTGCCTCGATATCATCCGCGTCCTCTTTGGAGGGAGAATGCTCTGTTTCACCCATCGACCACTTGACTGCAGCCGATGACGCGCAAAGCGTGTCTTCAGGCTCGCATACGGTACGAGACAATTCTGGCGCTTCTGCTTCTCCGCCGTCTACTTCTCGAAGAGACTCTGCATCGGCTACCGTAAACGGCAGCTCAGAATCGACATCGGACATGAACACGTCAATCTGGACGCAACCTTATCCATTCGGCCAACCTCCCTCGGAGAACGCGGTACCTGCGCTTGACAGCGTCGCGCCAGATTTCGTGGACGAGAATAGTAGTGGAGCGGGCGAAAGCGAAGATACCACCGGTGGGTATCTTCGTGTACCGGAACATTTGAGGGACAGGCGGAGAACGTCGTTGCCAATTATTGTGTCTCCACCTAATGCTTCATCTCACCAATCTGGGTATATTCCTCCGTCACATTCGCAAAGAAGCGCGAGGGGTATTGGGGGTACACCTCAAGGATTCGATCCTGCTACTCGTCGTCGGTCCGTGGACACCAACATGTTGCGTTTGAGTGCGCACCCATATGCGTACCTCGCGCAAAACGTCAATGCTGGTCTTTATGGTGGTGGACAGCGCTCAGTCTCACAGGGCTCGCACTCTCAGCAACCTCGTTTGGTACCAAGACATGGCTCGATGCCTCATGTGTTCGGAGAAGACCAGCCTCGGCACGTTGATGGGCAAGGTACTAATGGGTACTTGAGTCCACCTGCGCCGAGGAGACCGATGGTTTCTCAGAGGATGAGTATGCCTGCGAGTATGTTGCAGAGATATCAGCAGCAGTATCAGCAGCATACCCAGAATCAGAACGCTGCTGGACCGTCGGCGGCGTCGTCGTCGTCGTTTGCTGGTGCTCACCAACAGAGTCGAAATGGCATGTATGCGATCTCTGCGAGGGAGGTTCCGGCCCCGATACCAGGTCCACTGCCTTCCCCGAACTTCAGCTTCGGTGCTCCAAGTTCGACTTCGCCTAATATGACCTCGGAGTCGCCGAACCTTCCATCTACAAACATCTCTTCTTCTTCTTCGGCTGCGTTCTCGCCTTCGCATTCTATGTATCTGCACACCAGACGATCTATTAGCGGTGCTGCTGGTGCTGGGGGCGAGGATCCGGATACAGAGGATGACGGTAGTGCGGTGTCTAGTACGTATGATGCGTTCTCGAGGTTTGGAAGTTTGGCGAGCGTGGCGGGGAGTGAGACCAGTTTGACGAGTGCGTATTATAGTGAGGCTGGGAGTGCGAGTCATGCTACACAGCAGCAACAGCAACAGCAGGGGCAGGGTCAAGGTCAGTCTGGGTGTGGGGAGTTGGAGATGGAGGGTCAGCAAGCTCGGGCTCCGGAAGGGTTTGATCCTGATTTGAGGAGGGTGAGCTGGTGAGTCGGTTTTTACTTTTGTCTTGACTGTCTTGTGCTTTGTGGTGCTTTTTGTGTACCGGGATTTCCGCTCTTCCCGGTCGTTCGGTCTTTTCTTCCTTTGGAGGGTCTTTATTGTGCTCGGCGTTGTCTCACTCTCACCTTTTTCTTGCTCTTCCATGCACGCATGCGAGACCACGGTCTTGCACCCCTTCTACATATTACTTTATTCGTTAATATCTTCCCTTCTTGTCTTTCATTAATGTTGTAAATTCTCACATGCGCTTTGCCTCAATCGGACATGGGTTGGGGCTCGCGACTCGGCGTTGTTTCAGTCTGAACCTCTACCCATTTTTAATATGGCGATGGGTAAAGACGGCTCAGACGCGCCCCCCCTCTTCTCCTCATGGCCGTACCTCTGCGGCGTCGTTCATAATGTTACGTTAGGCAGTTATGATCGCGTGGCGTCGTGCTACGCCTGTTTTTTTTTGCCTTCATTTATCCGCTTTTGTCCTTGGTTTCATATATATTGCATTTCTCGTGGACTGACTCTAACCTTTTTTTGAATAGCACGTCCGGACATTTTCTGGAAATGTTTAATGACCTGGATGTCAATGCGAGCAATACCCCCCAGCCTCAGTCTCATTCCCTTTCTACAAATGGTCAATCGCTGAATGATGACGGAGAGATGAAGAGCGAACTTGTCTCTCCTTCTGATACCATTGGGGAAGCAAGTACCACGGATAGGTCACATCATGAAAGTTCGTTGGACTACGCCTTGGGCGGAATCGAGGTAAGATTTAAAGACAGCTTTACGCTACAAATTTGCCTAATCCTGTTTCACACAGAACGTTCAACATGTAGATGACAGATCCCAAATCATCTATCCACCCGAATACCCCGAAGATTCGCTCACAAAGGGTGTCGTCCATGACTATCCCGCTTCGTATCATGTCAGCGACACGGATGCATTCTCACAACAGGGTACATATGTCGACCAATCGCCTTCGCATACCGATCCCACTGCGTACGCAGGCTATGGGTTTCATAGCATGATCGATGCTAATGGCAATCCGGTGTATGACACTGGTGCGATCGAGTTGTCGCATATGTGTGTCCCTTCCTCGATGGCGATGGAAAACTTCAACTTGGTGGATCCGTATACCCAATTTTCTTAGCATTGGACCAATATGCTATCGATATCCGTCTCATAGCCCCAACCAACCCCGCCCCCACAATCCCAACCCCGCAAGGCTCGCGACTCTGTTCTGGTCATCAATGCTATTGTTGCATCCCCGTATATTATTATGTTTGTGATATCCCTTCGTTGGGGTGTACTAATATCTCTGTCTGCCCGCTGTCACTTCGTTTGCCCTTTTCGATGGTCAGGGCCGTTGTACCACCAAAATTCTCGCACCCAGCGAAATCGTTCTCCCATATCCCCCTCCCCCCGGTTTTATATGGATTGGTTGATGTGTTTTGTCTGCTCAAGACGCCGCGCAATTCCTCATTTGGCTCTCCCTTCCCAATTCTCAGGTCCTTACAGACTCTCTCTCCTTTCGCCCTCTCTTCATTATCACATCTTGGTGTTTTATTGTGCGTGCAAGACGTCTTGCCGCTCTCTGTCCGCTTTTACCCAACTACTTTCGATCTAAATTTGGTTCCTGGTATGTGTGACATTATTCTAGACGCTTTATAGTGGTTCCCTGCTTGCTTGTCGGTTTTCGTCGATCGATACTTGTTCAATGCATATAGCTTACAACTTCGCTTGTTCCTACCGATGTTCCTACGTTTCTCCATTCCTATCCACTCCCTGTTGTGTGTGTGCTTTTTTTTTTGTTTCTCCGTGTTGTGTGTTTTTATCTATATATTGTATGTTCATCGGTTGGACTTTTTTTTTTCTTTTCCCCTTTATTACTTTGGACTCTCACATTCGCTATATTCATTCATTCGTTTTTCCTTTAAACTCCTCCCCTCCCTCCCTCTTTTCTGCATTGCTGTTTATATCTTATATTTACTTTCATGTTTTTTATTCTATCTGATGTAAATCCAAGTTCCCAGAACAAAGAGAAATTGTATATACTACACGGATGAGGCATGATGCATGATGCGTGAGTGGCTGAAACCTAAGCATACAAACTTGCGTCGAAGCCCTGGAGGGCAAATGAAACCTGACCGTCAAACCTATCCAAGTATCGTACACTGGACCTCACATCCCCAACATCCTCAACCCAGACGTCATCGAGCCAACAATGTCGGTCAACTGTCTCTGGAACTTCTTCACTCCACAACTCCCACTCTCAACATGCTGGAACAACGCACTGAGCGTCCTGAACTCTGCATTACACCCATTCCAAGCAGACGGACATTTATACATCTTGTCCTGGTGAGCAGGACTCTTCAGATGCGCATTCAAAGCGCCAAGAGATCTGAACTCTTTGTGACAAAGAATACACTCGTATGCGTATCCATTCCATGAATCCTCAGTCGCCCATATATCCATGACAGTACGAGACGACGACGAGGGAGAGTATCCGATGAGTCTGGAAGGGTTCGTGATGACGTTGCCACGGTCGATCTTGGCTACGACGCGGTTGACCATGTCACGGGTAACACCAGATGGACATCTGCCCGATTCGCAGTGTAGGATAAGAGCGGCGGTGGAGACGAATGCGCCTCTGCATCCGGGGCAGGGAACGGTTCGACCTTGATGGACGGAAGACCTCATATGGGCATCGAGGTTGCTTCGGGTTTGAAACACGCGTTTGCATGAAATGCAATATGGATGTACCTGGCGGTTATGCTCGTGAAGACCGACTTGAAAGTCGAAAACCTAGATTCAACGTCACGGTTGAGTGTAGAACGATGGTGAGAGGTAGACTCGGGACTGACCTTTGAACATATGCGACAGTAATAATGGTACTCCTCATAGTGCTCCTCCAACTCATCCATATCATTATAATGATTGTTACACCGTTGACAGTAGAAATGCCTGGGACTCTGGACGAGGTGCTCTTTCAACCATAGTTTGGTGGAGAAATCCAAGCCGCAATCATAACATATGTTATGTCGACTGGAGTCCCGCTCATGTAACCATAAACCATGTTCAGAGTTGAACCACCGGTCGCAGCGATCGCAAGCTGGCATACTTCGCAAGTCTTAATGACCTGCATATACGATGAGTATATTACATCTACGCGGACATGAATCCGCAAGGACAGATCGCTTACCTTTGTGGAGGAGGGTGAAGACAAACACGCTTGGGCTGGAAGGATGGGAACTAGGCCTATATATGCGGAATGAAGCACAATTGGCGTGTAGCCAACGCGGATCCAATGCTTGAATAGCGACCCTTTGGGTCAGTTATGATAGAAACGCAGCAACCGCATTTACTTCCGCGATGTGACGGTCTAGAAGTCGGACGACGAACGGAAGGAAGAAGCCGCACATCGCTTAGCTTACAGAGATAACAGGAGATAACCTGGACTCTATCGTTGCAATAGCGTAATCCGCATAATGTACAACCCTTGAATACCACATTGAAATCTATGAAATGCATAGCAGATGGTGAATTGTCCTACCCCTCATAACTTCGTGACAGGACCTGGAGATACACTAGAATGGGGAAAGCGAGGGATTGGGAACGGCGGGATCCATGGTCCATCTCTAGGATCGTTTATTTCAGGCCCGGAAGCTTGCCCCTCCCCGCCAGGTCTCCCAGCCATTTGAGCATTCCGATCCATCATGATAGAGTGTACCTGCATCCGGAGCCCGTGCAGAACTGTTCTCAGACTTCTCAGTTCCTCCGTATTCCGCATAGCTTCAGTGGCGATGTGAACTTCATGCTGACGAGCGAGTGAGTCGACAGAAGACGATAATGTTGTGAGTGAATTGTGTAACGATGTGAGCGCGCCAAAAAGATTTCCGGAAAGGTTGAGAGGTGCGATAGGAGATGTTGGTGTGATTGCTGAAGGAGGCGGCCCTGGGGCTAGGGTTGGTGTTGAAGTGGAAGTGGAAGTGGTGATGGTCGCAGTCGGGAGGGGAAGAAGAGACGGGTGAGAAGGGGGTTGAGGTTGATGAGAGGACGACGGGCCAGAGTGTGGTACGTGGTATGCAGATTGAGGATGTAAAGAACGAGGCAAATATAGAACCGGTGGTTGTATGCGGCGGTCTAGCTGATAATCAGTTGACGTTTGCGGTGAAGCATATTGTTCGTCTTCCTCCAACCGAGGAAAGTATGAGGCCAGGGAGTCCATTTGGTCTGGATATTCTACATCGAAAGGGGATGCTTGATCGGGGTATCGAGCGTTTGCAGGCGTAGTAGAGGTCGCGTATCCTGCATTCGGTCGAAGTATTTGGTCATTATATGATTGAAAGCTGGAAGATGGCACCGAGCCCGAAGATCCAGCTCGATACCAAGGCCCAAGGGCCTCCTTCAGGATCCCAGATTCTCTAGTGAGCACCCTCACCAGTCCCTCCAGCTGCTCGACTTTGTGTTTCAACACATCATTCTCAGCCTTGAGACTACTAACTTTCTGTTCGTGAATTGCGAAGAAGCCCTTGATGGATTCGTAGGGACATGAGGGTATGTGTGTACCTGAAAGATCTGATCGACGGCCTTCCCACGAACAGCCGTTTGAGGCGTGTGTACACGACACGACAGTGTCTTGACAGGCAGGGATATGCGAAGATAGGGAAGAGCGAGGGACTCTCTCTTGACACAATGAGCAGCGTACTGCGCTTGACTCGGCAGACGGTTGCTGGTTTATAATGTTCAGTATGTTATGACTGATGAAAAAGACCGCATTTACCCCTTCATCCAGGTGCGCTTCAAGAGTCTCCTTAGACACAACATTCGATCCAACATCCTCTGTAGTATCTTCAGCCTTCATGTACTCGCAGGAACCTCGCAAATGCGCATCGAGCAACTGTCTTTGAGGTGTATCTCGGCAACCTGCAGCTTTGTTTGGACACTCGACCAGGAGCTCATTCACGAGCTAGACGTATATCATAAGATTCGTATGAAGAAATCAAGAGAATGTAAACACACATTTCGTACGACAGGGTCTGCTAGGATGAGGTCTTCTACCGTCAAAGGAGAGCGATCGACAGGACATGTTGGCGATACTGAGAGTGCAGTCGTTATGCATTCTCGACAGAAAGTGTGACTGCATGTTCGAGTTGTACATGGGTCAATGAATGTTGCCCTACAATGAGACAAACACAGTTTCCAGTCAGTCGTGAATGTATTGACAGATAAGCTGTCGGACTTCGTACCTACAGATACAACAAATCTGACTCGCTTTGAGAACGAAGATAACCAAATAGTGGCTATATACTTACCAAGTTGTCGTTGATGGACCCGACGTATGTGAATGACATGACGGCTCAGCACAGGAGGTGAAGATCATTGATTGTAGAGAAAAAAATATTGAGACAGTCACACGTGTTATAGGCTCTATATTATTCAATAACATCATGACTTTAACTTCACTCTAAGGGATCAAATTAATTGATTAATAATTAATAAAGATAAATTGAATCGGTTTCTTTCTTAGGAAGACCTCGTCGTCCCCTTGAGGGATTAAACTTAAGCAACACCGGGCATTTAGATAAGTTTCCCCTGATAGTATCCTCGGTTTGTCATGAAGGTGTGTGCTCTCTAAGATGCCCCATCAAACTTCTTCGATAGAGAGTCAGCTGTCTCTGCACGTTGAGCCGGAGACGCGATCGGTCCTGTCGTGCGCTATAGGCCATATAAGTACGGGTGTTCCATGACGTTATATTCATGACAAGATTAGGAGGAATTATATAATGGATACTAAGATACCTTTGCAACAATTCTATGAAATGTCTTTCATCAGTGGAACGCAAAGCGAGACTTGGCCCGTATCTGGGCCCCAAACTTCTCGAAGACAAATCTACAGCCACGATGCATCAGAGTTTAGAACACGAACTTACCAGAAATCAGTACTCACGGCAGTGGAGCCATCACAGTGGTCAAACCGGCTAAAAGTGCAGTCGCACCCACTGTACCGAGTCTATGGTACATGGCACCGGCAAACAATGGGAAACAACCTGCCAAGACCGCACGCATAATGGCACTGCCTGACATAACCGCAGAAGCCATAGGTCGATAGGCAGTGGCAAAGTAGGTTAAAGTGGAAGTGTAGACGTAGCATATGCCGATACCGAAAGGTATGGAGCCAATAATCGGAGCAATCCAGTGGACATGCCTAAAAGTTGTGAAGGCCATTATGTACAGTCCTAGCAACGAACGAATATTATTTCGTATTACAAGCTCAAGTCGAGGGGATGCACTTACCGAGGGGTGTCAATATTCCGCCGACTTGTCCCATTTTTAACCACATCTCGGGGGGTGGATTGAAATTATACTGGGCTGCAAGTTTTGCTTGATAGCTAAGGATATAGGGTCACCATCAAAAAAAAGTTTCTATCAAGGAAATGCATATACCGGTTCCAAAGGGGTTGGGTGGCAAGAGCAATGAGGAATCCCACATCGAATCCGATGAATGTAAGACCGAGCTGTCCGGGAGTAAAGCCACGATTCTCTGTGAATATGATCGGGAAGGCTTGAGATGCAAGGTAGACTATAGCTAGGAGTAATGAAAGCCTTCACAATGTTGCAGCGTCAGCGTGCATTTCTATGGGCATGTCAAGTCAATTGCACGCGTACCAAATGTCCAGCAAGAGCGCCATTCGGTCATATAAGAGTACTTCTGCAGGGATCGCTCGTTCAGATTTATCAGGCGTGCACAAACTATACAACTTACTAATAATATTCCACAATCCAACCCCGGTCTCGTGGAGGATATTAGATCTTGAAGTTTCACTTTCACCGGGAGCGTGGTATCGATTGTCGCCGGTAGATGCCCTCAGCCTACCAAGCATGATCAGTAGTGACTCCTTACACAATTGCTGTGAACCGCACCGTTTCGCCTTTCTCTTTAGGAGCACTGGTGTATACGTTTCCGGTATAACGAGCAAGGCTATGCCTTGTATGAATTCCCAGATAATTAGGACGTGGTATATCCATCGCCACCCTGCATACTTCAGAGACATGAATTTAGAGAAGAGTGAAAGGTATTATTGAGGAGGAGATATACCTGGACAACATAACTGAATTTTGATTGCGAGTCAGCTCAATCCTTGGACATAACAATGATTTCTTACCCCGTGAATATCGGTCCGAAGTTGGGCGCAATGAAGGTAGAGACGACGTATGATGCCATCGGGCTAAGTGGGTCACCGGTGAGCCTCGGTAAGGACATAGCACTAATGAAATGAAGACTCACGTCGCAACCGTGGCATCATCGAACAGATCACTGATCGTTCCACCTCCAATACTCAAGAATGCAGAACCCGCTACGCCTCCCAAAAACCGAAAAATCATGTAGACAGCTGGCGTGCGAGTCACCGCACTGCAACTGTGAAAGAATCAATACGACATACCAGCGTTATGAGCAAAGGCAACAGGCCACGTGAAGACCCAGAGGAGAAAGTACGATCCAAGGTATATAGGTCTCTGGCCTACAAGTTCCGCTATTGCACCCACTAGGAAAGGTCCCATACCGAGGCCTATGGTGAACAAGCTGACACCGAGCACTGTCACTTCCTCGGATATACGAAATTCTTGAGCAATTGCTGGTTGGGCGAAAGCCGCCTGTTATGATAAAGTGTAAGCAGAGAAGTCCAACATAATCTCGTTGCAAAACTACCATTGAAGAAGAGCTAGATACGCAAATGGCACCAGCATTGATTACAAGGACGGCGAGCCATTTTCTCCAGAGAGGGATATTCTTGGGGTCAATCTCCGCATCCAAGGAGACCTCAAACGTATCATGGGCGGGATCATGTTTATCGAAAGCAGCTGTTGAGTTTGGCACCGACACTGTTTTCTCGACGTCGAGCTGGTCAGGCTCGCTTGGTTTGCTGGTTTGCATACTTAAGTGAGCAAGAAACGCAGAAGGGGGGAGGGGGGGTACAATCGCACCTTGGAGGACTTGGCGGGTCTACTTATGCTGATTGTTTTCGACCGACCTACGCGTATGGCTGGACCTCGAATTGCAACAAGACCCACAAACGTGAAGCGATCCGTATTATTCATCCAGCAGCTTGTCTGCCGTATGTCGCGGTCATCGATGGGTATTGGTGCGACGAAATGACCGTTTTCGGTTAGCGCCAGGTCGAAATGACCTGTCACGGAGAAGAGTCGGCAACCAAGAGAAAAACATTCCAAAGAGGCCTGCCATGGACAGTTGTTGTGTTTCCGTTTCTACTCATTTTCATCTGCATCCCCTACCGGGAAAAGAATCTTCATGGTCCAACAGCCGACGCGCTATTTGACTCAGCTTAGATCATCATGCTATTTTCCTTATAGGACCTCAAGACTTCGAACCAAGCAAAGAACTATATAGCAATAAGCTGATCAGCAAGAATAGACAGCAGAGCGACTAATCTATAATGTAAGGCATAACAAACGACATCAGCGAGTGACAAGACATTCCGTCCGAGTCTGGAACGTCGGGGAGTTTTAGAGCGGAGGTAAATCGCTTTTAGTTGATCTTCACCAACTTGACATCTGCAAGCACATTAGCGCCAAAAAAAACGGTGAAAACAGAAAGGTACCAACCAAAGATAAGGGTCGCGTTGGGAGGAATAGGGTCGCTTCCCTTCTTGCCGTAACCCAAGCTGGCAGGAATAGTGAGTCGTCGCTCACCGCCGACTTGCATACCAGCGATACCCTCGTCCCAACCTTTGATCACTTCACCGCGGCCAAGACGGAAAATAAACTGTGAAATGACCAGTCAACGAGAAGGATCACGGCCTGCTAAGAATGGTACGACTTACGGGTTTGCCACTAACGTTCTTGTCAAACTCCTTGCCGTTCGTCAACTTGCCAATATAGCGCAAGGACACCTTGTCGCCTTTCTTCGCCTGAGGGCCGGTCCCAACCTTGTGGTCCTCGATCTTGAGCCCGTCCTTCCTCTCCTCAACCTTCACTGGCTTCTTGGTGTCCTCCTCTTTTTCCTTCTTTTCCTTCTTTTCTTTTTTGTCCTTCTTCTCCTTTTTGGCCTCGGTGGCGGGTGGAGCGGACTCCTCACCGGTGGGGACAGCGTTTCCACCCTCGGCCTTGAGCTTCTTGTTCAGCTTCTTTTGCTGAGACTTCGAAAGTTTTGGCTCTTCGGTCTCCATGGCATCAGGCTCGCGAGGACGCTTCTTCGAATCTTTGCTTGTTTTAGCCGCGGTCGACTCCTCATTCACCTCTTCGAAACGACTATCACGAGTATAAGATGTCTGCGGATCAACATAATTAATATGGTTATGCGTACCCCTCCTCACTGAGCAACTCGATCTCATCCGCGTCGACCTCAACGTCGGACGGAATATCTTGCAGGTCGTAGTCATCTTCATCAGGATCGTAGTCGTAATTAGATTCATCGTCACTATCATTTCCACCCTGGTCTAAACGCATAATGAAGCAAATCAGACTCAAAGTCAAAAGGTTCAAAACATAATATTCTACTCACCGATGTAGTTTCCAGTGACGTAGACGACGCTAGAGGCCTATCAGTTACACGAAGCAACAAATCTCGAACATAGTACGCTTACTTCTTTCCGACCGCCTCGAGAAGTATCTCCTCATCTTTCCCGAGAGTGATGTCAACCATGCATTGCTCAACCTATATGCAAGAAATTTTAATATAAACGCAAACACTAATGAACGTCCTACATACCTTTCCTGGTGTCACGGAGCCGAGGAAAGTCTGAACAGGCTCGAGTTTGGAGTCTTCGTCGTCCTCGTCCTCATCTTTTTCTTCCTCATCATCTTCATCGTCACTGTCCTCAGGAGGAGCAGGGTTCATGTATACAAGTCTCACAGAGGTACGAGCATTCTCTTCTGCGACTTCGTCACCAAGCGCAATGTTCGTGATCCTGAGATCTGCAGGCGGAGTGATAGCCTCGGGCTCTCCCGGGGTGAGCTTAGCACTCCTGCAAAGGATGGACTAGAATTAGAGCTATTAATGACACGTCGCAAAACGAAAACATACCAGATAGCAAAAGAAAGAGGCATGATTTTTTAGATTTCGAGTGAGACGAAGCACAGTTTGCGAAGAACTGAGCGCTAGACGCGTCCACCAAATTTGAGAGGTAGGATTCAAACTCCGGTTGAATTACACGCTCTCTCCTCCGTTCACGATCGTCCATCATGGTACGCATACGCCGGTGGTAACGACGAGCTTGTTTACATTGAACTAATAAATGACTTGATTATTATCGCAGTCCAATGTTCTGCGACCATACCTTGCTGCTGTGCGGTCTACGCTGACGGCGGCATTGACTCTGGAAGACTTCGCATCACAGGTATATGCACTTCATGAGTGTGCTTCAATCGGTCCTGATGTTTTGAAAGATTGTAGAACGACACAATAAGCCCGAGGTGGAAGTAGGGTAAGAGATGCGCTTCAGACGTAACCGACCTTAGTTGAATGCTTTAACTTGATAGGTGCTCGAAGGAAGTGCTCTTGAACCCACTCATAATCTCCAGGAATGAGAACGAGAGAGTTCTGATCGAGCCTTCAATCAACTCTATCCGATTGAGTATCAAGATCAAGCAGGCTGACGAAATCGAGCGGATATTGTGTCACAAGTTCACTCGGTTCATGATGCAGAGAGCAGAGAGCTTCATTGTACTACGGAGGAAACCAGTCAAGGTGCGTGGACAGCGAAGTATCGCTCTGCTGCTATGTATTACTGAAACTTGATTCAATATGCAGGGATATGATATCTCGTTCTTGATCACCAACAACCACACGGACACTATGCTGAAGCACAAGATCGTGGACTTCATCATTCAGTTGCGTTACTCATCCTTCACGTCTCCGGTCATCTTCTTACGATGTATTATCAGATTTATGGAGGAAGTAGACAAGGAGATTAGTGAGATGAAGCTTAGTCTCAATGCAAGGGCCCGTGTGGTCGCAGAGTCTTATCTCCTCGCAGTGCGTTGTCATTTATGCTCTCGTAGGAGCGCCTCTAATGCGCATATTCAATGTTCAGTTCAACTCATGAGTTGGTTATGAGCAATCATGCTTATGTAGATGGAGGGTCAGCCGTTGGCGCGGCATTACACACCTGCAGCGACTCGGACTCTGACTTAGACGGAAGGAACAGCAGTGTATTTCTTACGACATCTGGTATCAAACAGGACTTTCAATACTTCTGACTCCTGAGTGAATCTTGTTCAACTTCCACGAATCAAACGAGGGTTTACTCTCTGAGCATTCACCTGTACCTTTCAGGTCAGTTGGTTGTGTTTCGTCCTATACTAATGGAAGTTGCCATCTCAGCAGACGTGTGGACGCTTGATGTATATGCTTTCTCGGCAAGACAAGTGTGGTACGCAGTATCCTCGATCACCTGCAACATAGGCACAAATTTCCCATCCCACGATGAAGTTGAGTATCCTCTGATCTCAATTACAGAGCAATAGTCCGTTACTCGGGTTCACCAGCTGAGTAGATGGTTTATTAAGAGCAGGTTCGTGTCAACGACCGTATGTAATGTCTATTCACACGCTGATGTCTCCACAGGACTATAAGTACGCATGGAGTCGTGGGTCCACTTCCATCACCAACTCTATCACGTTCTTAGCTTGTATCTTCCATCATGTCTAACGCATCTCAGGCAAACGAAATCGCACAGAAGTGGCTGTCAGACTTCTCCAACGCCGTGACCTCGGGGGACGTTGAAGCCGTAGCCCAAACCTTCCTTCCACAAGGTTGGCTTCGCGACGTCCTGACGTTCACTTGGGACATTCGCGCTCTTGAGGGACGAGAGAAGATCAAATCATACCTCTCCAATACCCTGGTTCCAGCTCAGATCTCCAATATCAAATTAGATAATACGCCACACTTCTTGCCAACTTTCTCCGTATTCTCTCCGAAGGACGGTCCAGGCATCGAGGCGGCTTTCACCTTCGAGACTCCAATCGCTCAAGGTAGAGGATACTTTCGTTTGTTGAAAGATACAGACGCGAAGTGGAAATCCTGGGCGACGTGTTTGATACTCGACGAGTTAAAGGGTCATGAAGAAGCTGGATTCGAATCGGGCATTTACGAAGGACATACAGCTGCTTGGGGTGATATCCTTGCTGATCGTAGAGCCAAAATCGAGAAAGATCCATATGTGTTGATTGGTGAGGAGCTCTCTCTGCCTTCTGTGACGGGAACACTTCGAGCTAATGTTTGCTATAATGGATTATAGTTGGTGCAGGCCAGACGGGTTTGATCCTGGCTGCGCGCTTCAAGCAAATGGGTATTCCTGCACTGGTGATCGACAGGAATGCGCGTGTAGGTGACAATTGGCGAAAACGGTATCCTACGCTGGCGCTCCATACGCCCAAGATTCATCATTCAAGTGAGTCTATATCCTCGTGCCGAGATATGTTTGGAATGAAAGTCACTCAACAATGCAACACTTTGTAGTGCTCTATCAACCGTATCCTTCGAATTGGCCATTATACACTCCTCGAGACAAGATCGCAGATTGGCTTGAAACGTATGCGCTTAACCAGGACCTTGTCGTTTGGACGAATTCTCAGATTCAGGGTCGTCCGAAGTACAATGAGGATACAGGGAAGTGGGAAATCGTCATTGATCATGACAATACAGTGCGAACTATCTATCCAAGTCACGTTGTCGTCGCTACGGGTACCCTCGGTGCGCCTCTTATGCCCACTTTGAAAGACCAAGACAAATTCCAAGGCTTCGTTTTCCACGGATCCGAATACCAAGGTGCTAAACCTTTCGTTGGGAAGAAAGTCGTAGTCGTCGGCGCAGGGAACACGTCTATCGATATTTGCCAAGACCTTTGCACACACAAAGCCGCATCAATCACTATGATTCAACGGTCTTCAAGTGTTGTCGTTTCGTCTCCCAACGTCACCAAACATATTTTTGAAGATTGGGCTCCGGGCGTTCCCGTCGAAGTGGGCGATTTCAAATTCGGAACGGTGCCGTTTGGGTTGAGGAAGAAGGTGATGCAGGGCTTACAGGCGGAGATGTGGAAGGAGGAAGAAGAGTTACATGCGAAGTTGGGGGAGAAGGGTGTGAGTTTGTGGATGGGACCTGAGGGGGAAGGGCAGTTTATTATGGTGTATGGGCGTGGAGGAGGTGAGTCTTCGCTTTTGTCGCTGTTTCTGAGATGTGAGTAAGTGAGATACTGATGTTTATGGTGGGAATTCTTTAGGATACTGTAAGTACGATGACGATGTAGGATTCGCTGAGGAGCTCACCTTTCGTTCTAGGGCTCGACGTCGGCGGCGCGGACTTGATAGCTTCAGGCGACATCAAAGTCAAGCAAGGCGTAGAACCTGTAGCCTTCAAGGAGAAAACTCTCGTCTTCTCAGATGGTTCGGAATTGGAAGCTGATGTGGTCATCATGGCGTAAGTCAAACCTTCTTCCACCTTCTTCCAAATAAGCCTTCTGAGTTGACGACATTCACGTAGAACTGGATATCGCAAGATGCGCGAAGTGAATACAGACCTATTCGGTGAAGACGTTATCAATCGGACGAGTCAAGTCGCTGGGTATGATGAGGAAGGCGAGTTGCGAGGGGCTTATAGACCGAGTGGACATCCTGGGGTACGTATTTCCCGATCCATAATCAGCGTTGTCCCGGCGATACGACGAAAGACTCACCGTTGAAAATTTTGTAGTTGTGGTTCGCCGTTGCGGACTTTTGGACGACGCGAATGTATTCGAAGCATTTGGTACGTACTATCCACGCTTTTGTTCGGGTTTATTGAAGGTGATGTTAATCGGATCGCCTTTCTTATAGGCCATTCAGCTGAAAGCTATCGAGCTTGGATTGAGGAAGGGCCCGCAATGAGGAAAGGTTTCTGTGACGTCGAGTCCTCCACAGCACTGTCTGGAGAATATTGTATCTGTCCAATGATCATGTCATGTCAAATATTGATGTGAGAAAGTCACGACGTAGAGGGAATGAAATGGTATCATTAGATGTAACATTACAAGATGCGGTATTATGCAGGGCGTTGAGAGCAAAACAGGTAAACTATGCGTACTGAATATCGAGATTATTAGTGATGTCATTCGCAAAGCATGAAAACGAAATTACTGCGTGACACATACATAAGAACGGAGAAGAATAGTTACTTGACTAATGGTCTAACGCCGCTGCCGTCATCCTTAAGGCCGCGACCACCACCAGCGTAATTCTTGACCTCTTTCTCATATTGAGCTGGAAAACATCAGTGGGGTCAAATGCTACCCGGCATGATGGCGAGAGATGTGCTTACTTAAGGGAGTGTCAGCTTTGGACTTCTTGGATGGAGGCTCTGTACTAGAATTTGAGTCGGAAGTAGCAGGAGGAGGACGCTTGCCCCGGGCTTTCTACAAATAACGCAGAGGTGAGAAGGGAACGTTAAGACCTGTTACACAGTCGACTTACGAAGCGATTATCAAATTGTCGCTTCCTGCAAAACAAGCAACAACGGGCACAGAATAAGAAACATATCGCATATATAAAATGAGGGCGACATACTTGGCGAGGATGTCTTCTTGTTTCTTCTTTTCTTCCTCATCCTGAGCGACAGTATCATTATCGTCGGTCCCGTGGCGCGATACTTCATCGTCGTAGAACTCACCTTCTTCAGTTGCTGGAAACGCTCCAAGAAAGAACCATCATTAGAGAACACATTGACAGGCTTCACTTTAGGTTTGGGGGTGGAAGACTTGGATGTAGATGAGTAGAAGGACGAAGCTGGGGAGGCATACCCGGCGGATGCAACACTAGAAATGGTTGTTGAGGTACTGGCGACGGCAGACATGGTTGAGCAGATATTTGGGAAGGCAGCCAAGGAGGTAAGTGCAAATAGAAAGCGCAGAGGATGCTTGGACTCGAGCTTGAACTTGCTTGAGGAAACCCAAGCAGTCGGCCGAACCTTTCGCGAATGCAGTCGAAGCTGTCCGGCAGATCCCGGTTGCCCTTCTCATGGGACTGTTTTCGGCAGGTCCTGCCTCTTTTGGTCCATCAATATGTGTCCACAATGGGTTACGTCATGGGTACTGCAGGCAGCGGGCTGAGGAGAGTTGGCTGCTCTGTTATTGACGACGACGTCCACGACTGCGACGACGACGACAATGCCTCCCTCCTTTTCAAAGACGGTCCTTGCCGTGCTCACTACCGTCATAGTCTATGGCACAATCCACTCCGTTCTAAACGATACTTATCTCGATACCTCTAACCCTCTCCTCACTCACCTTCCCCATCCTCTCCATGCCACACATTATTTCGCCAACAAGAAGAATATTCTCAATATCTACTTCATAAAACAAGTATGGGCTTGGACAACGGCAGCGTTCTTCTTCCTCTTTGCCACAAGCCCACGTACGACACGCACCTACCATCGCGTTGCCCAATACTTCGTGGAGACCGGGGTTTGGCTAGTGTTCACGAGTTGGTTCTTTGGTCCCTCTCTGCTGGATCGCTTTGTGACGTCCACCGGTGGTGAATGTGTCCTAGTCCTGCCATCCGGTGGCATTCTTGGCGTTCCACACGAGTTCTGTTACACCCAGTCCACTCTTTCCCCTACAACGCACCCTGCGCTTTTTGGCGCACCTTTCACCCTCCCTGACCCAACATGGTTTGGGAGACCCAGACTACGCAAGGGTCATGACGTCTCTGGTCATATGTTCCTTCTCACCATGTCCCTACTCTTCCTTGCCGATCAACTGCGCTATTCGTTCGCGCGCATCCGGTCACCGTCTGGGAAGGAAGAGTCTGTCCAGTGGTCCCGTCTGCACCGATATGCAGTATTCACCAATATTGTTGTGTTATCCGTGTTGTTGTTTTCCGTCTACACCACGAGTGTTTACTTCCATACTCCATTTGAGAAAATGACCGGCTTTTGTGAGTATCCTCGTTTACTTCTCTGTGGTTTTATATTTATATATCCTGTGCAGTGCTTGGGCTAGCGGGATACGCCTTGACACAATTGCCGTTCTTCCAGCCGACCGTGGTTCATACCCCGGTACCTATCGCGGCTGAACGTGTACAAAAGTTGTAATGATCATTGCTCGCAATGACGTATGGACATGGTTCGTCCTTTGGTGATTACACGCGAATGTTCATTCTAATAATCATGTAGATCGATGCTATCGTCTAGTTTAATCTTTAATGCAAACCATGTACTAATAACAATATTTAATGTTCAAACATCGCTCAGTTCAGACGATCTGAACAGTATGCGAAAGCATGGCTGTATCGCCATTCTACGCATTCGACAATGCAAACGTGTTTCTCCTAACATTCATCATCGTTCAACTGATGTAGCGATCCCTGTCGCCGTCTCTTATCTCAAGAGGATCCAAACATATGCAGTACGTTCGCTATGGTAGGAGAAACTTAAATGCCAGAGTGCTGCTTAACGTGCATGCACTACAATAAATGATTGCATCAGCTTCTAAGTTCCGAATGAGCACTGAAAGGAGGTCAATTGCGATCCTATAAATATATAAATACACCGATTTTGACTGGATGATCCCGTTTCTGCATCTATTCATCTAACCAATCCAAGAATTGGGGGGTGAAGTAGGTGAGAATGAGTGTGCACCCTAGATAAACAGCGAACCAATTAGCAAATCATATCTAACACAGGAGCATCAAACTTCAGAGGACCACGTACCAGCTCGAATGATACCCTCGATACTTTCAAATGCCATTGTTTTCAAGTCATATACACCGGCCCTTGCACCAGCGACTATCATCGCGTACTCTCCGCTGACTTGGTAGGCCGCCAGAGGGTAGTCAGGTGCAAGTTGGGCTGCATCGGCTATTATATCGAGATATGGCATTGCGGGTTTGACCATGATGATGTCTGCACCTTCGCCTACATCTCGTTGCTATTCGAGTTAAACTTGAGTATAGACGTTGGATGACGGACGTGAGGGTGAAGAACACTTACGATAGCTCGTCGTGCGAGACCCTTTGCATTCGGAGGAAGTTGGTAACATTTACGGTCGCCGAAGGATGGAGCACTGCCTGCCGCATCCCTATAATAAAAGCATAACGTCAGTACCCTATAACAGACACATATTCATCTTTGCAACGTCGTATATACTCACCTGAAAGGCCCATACAACGAACTAGCAAACTTTGCCGAATAGCTCATCAACGTACACTTGTTCCCAAACCCGTTATCAATCAACGCTCTCTTGATAGCTTTGATTCGTCCGTCCATCATATCACTCGGAGCAACACAATGAGCTCCTGCTTTGGCATAGGATAAAGCGACTTCGGCTATACGTGCGGCTGATGGGGTAGAGTTGATGGTGCCGTCTTCGTGAAGAATACCACAGTGTCCGTGAGAGGTGTATTCACAGAGACACACGTCCGTGGCGATGTAGATATCGGGGAATAGTTTACGGATGAGCTTTATGGCGAGGATGACGGGACCTTGGGGATCATCTGCTGGGGTACCTCTTGGGTCCTGTGTTGAACATTATCACACGTAGTTCGATATCGTTCAATTGATAAGTTGAGCCAAACACACCTTCTCGCATGTCAAAGGCACACCGAACAAGATAACACTCTTCAAGCCTTTCTTAACCAAAGGCCCAAGGAATCCCTCGATCTTATTGACACCCCATCGACTCTGACCTGGCAGACTGGGAATGTCGACTTGTGCATCAGGGTCATCGGTTATGAAGATGGGATACATGAGCATCTCCTTGGTGAGACTACGCTTGGCTTGCCATTTTCGCGAGAGAGGGTGTTGGTAGCCACCTTGGAGGACAGATCTTAATGTGTAATATCGTATTTTGGGAAGTTAGTTCAGTAAATAGGACACTGAGGATATGTTAATACTGACGAGATATCCATTTCTCTGGGTAATGAATAATGAGGTTGAGGGTAAGAGGGAAGTAGCCAAGAGTGATAAACGGTGCAAGAAATGGGCCGACTTGAGCGACGATCGGGCAGGAAATATTGTGACTCGGGGAAGACGCGCTTTGCTTCACACCACGACGAACGCCCTCTAGCAAACTCTTATACCGCCTCTCATCTTCATTTCTCTCGGTCTAAACGCTGTCTACGTGTCTCCTTGGTTATTTGTAGTAGATGCGATGCTGGTGAGAGTCGCCAACAATAACCATGGGCACTAGGAATATGCTTTACACACTCAAATACATGATGTGCAAGGGCGCGGGCTCAGTGTCCACGGTTATGTAGGCTCCCTTGACCGTCATTCCCACGATGTCCATGAAATTACACCTGTTATGGTGAGCTCGAGGATTTGTTGTGAGGCCTGTGAAGATGCAGTGGGAATTATATCGTATTGATTCAGGATTGACGTGAGTACGAAGACCACATTAAGCGAGACACGCGATTAACCAGCCTTCTCATATAGATTCTAATAGATAGGGTTTAATACGTATTGTGGAGCTGGGAGTCCGTTCATTTCCAATAAATAGAAGCTCAAGCGAATTACACAGCTAAGTAGAAACACACCTAGTATATGCCTGAGTCAAGGAGATATCCTTCGCATTTCTATATGTTTATCTCACTTTTGGAGAGCTCTTACCAGGTCTTTATGAATGTTTTGTTGAACAGGGAAGCGAAACAGAACCATTCCTTTGTTAACCTGAAATTGGTAGACTCGACCCATGTCTCTCCCCGCACGCGCTCCGAAGACAAATCCTCGAGGCTACATGTAGGCAATACGTACTACTACAAACCGGAGATCTTCGTATGGCGGTCTGGCCAAGGTGCGAAGAATGTAATTATACCCCGTATGGTGTTTTCTGAGCCTTGTCTAATCAGGCGACCCCTTGCCTCATGCATCAACACATAAACGCAGAAGTTCGTCCTCTCATTCTAGCTCAATTGGCTATCTTTCCACTGGATCTTGTCCCGGGGAAGACTCGGCATCTATGAGTCTCGAGGGTTCGATATGCTTTTTTAAATCTTTATTTTCAAGGGCAGAGCCAATTGGCATTGTCGTAGCTTTTCTCCTCGACACTGGTTCTAACATGGCAACATGACTGGAAGACTCGCTCCGGATCCCTCTGTGCTATGCAAGACATTGCCTTTGCCACTCTTCTGTCGCTTATAATAGTCTGCCGCTGAAGGTCTTTCTTGAGCGTTCTCAAACATCGGCATGAGGGCCACTCTGCCCGTCTCTGAGCAGTTTTGGAGAGATCATTGGCTTTGGTTGAAAGAACGAGGGTATACTTTGCGGCCACGGTATGGGCCTGATTGGGTTCCAAGTTGGGAGCGTGACAAGCGGAAACGCCAATGTAACTGTGAAGACGATGTGGTGCCTTCAGTAAGTCATGCTTTGTTCTCTAATGGGCACGTTTATATTGATGCAGCGGTCTTCTCAGTCCCAGCATATTCTTGATGCACGAAATTCAAAGGGCGATCTTGTCGCGTTGAAACGCATTAATTTGGCGACTCATCCGTCCGAGGGTGTGATCGCACGATATTTCTCTTCCAACAATCGCAAGGACAATCAGAACAACCATTGTGTTCCGTTGTTGGATGTTTTACATGTACCGGAAGATGACAAACAGGACGATACGCCGATCATCCTAGTGATGCCGTTCTTACGATCGTACAAAGATCCGAATTTTGTGACTGTCGGGGAAGCTGTCGACTTTCTGCGTCAGGTTATCCAGGTAGTTATCTTTGTCGCTGCGTCTCGACTTTTGCTGAAGATGAGCCTGTTCCAGGGTCTACATTATATGCATCACAATCGTGTAGCCCATCGGTGCGTATTTTGTATGTTCTTGATCGCAGTCCCTGAAGCCATTTTCAGACATGTTGTATCAAAGAACTTTATGATGGATCCCAAACCGCTCTACCTCGACATGTTCCACCCGATGGATCCCTCAAAAACGTACGATTTCACACATCAGGTTAAACACCGTTCACGTACTGCACATCCAACCAAGTACTATATCGTGGACCTTGGGGATGCTCGTGAATATTCTGCCAACTCGGACAAGCTATGCGAGACCGCCCTCCCGAGGGAGAAGTCATCTGCCCCAGAGCACCACGTTCCTGAGCAAACCCCATACGATCCCTTTGCTACGGATGTCTATGATCTCGGAGATATGTTCCGTTCGGATTTCCTAGATGTGAGTTGGCGTACTCTTCCTGTCCTCATTGATCACTCTTAGCTATTTTTGCTATAGCAATCAAGTAGTTTCGAGTTCTTGCGGCCTTTGATATCTGACATGACAAAAGCAAATGCTTCAGAGCGCCCTGTCATGAGCGAAGTCGATAGACGTTTCGAAATCTTACAACGGCATCTCTCAGCGGACGAACTTCGATCAAGAGTCACAAGAAGAAACGAATCGATATTTAGCTCCGTGTGCAGAGGTATTCGGCATCTTTATCGAAGGATGAAGTTGGCAGGACTGCAACCTGTGCCCACACTTCCTGCACCCTCTTCTCAGATTCGCAATGGTTTCAGACCAGATCATTCGGACTCCCTTCCGTCGTCGCCGACTTAGATTTCTCCTGCCACAGATTATTTTCCTGTTTGATACCCACACCATAGAGTTCTAGTTATGGATTCGTTCCAAGATTTGCAAGATTTCCATGTTTGGTGTTATCGAAATGATTGCTCATGATAAACAGTACTTGTTTCGAAACGCTTCCTTTATGAGCGTACATCAATACTAACTACTAACATTTGCAGCTTCGTCCTTTATTATTACAGATCTTTTCTTGTTATGTTCACCACCTTCGCCCCGCCATGGAACAAATTTGCCCAAGTCAGTCCCACAGCCCATTTCAACAAGAAAATGGATACGAAGTCGATGGCTGCGATGGAGAATAACAGAGATGACCCGTATGGCGTTAGGAAACAGAATGCGAGAGATGCCAGAATGTACATGAATCTTGTCCAGAACCTGTAACCTTGTCAGGTACATTCTTATGACCGCTCGGGGAAGTTACTCACGAGCCTTCCACTAGGACTTTACCGCCATGATTCCACCATGGACCACCATACAATAAGTAAATTGAACCGATGCCAACACTGAATGCCGAAGCATACACCAACAACTGTTGCTGCTCGGGAGTTTCAATCGGTACGCGCGGCTGTGAACTTCAGTATCAGCTCAGAGCATGGTCAGACTGAATGCTAATGCATACCAGGCCTGTGTACTCCTCGATCAATGCCAGTAACGACTCATTCATTTTCATTACAATGTCTGGATGGAGTGCTCCGATCGTACTTGCTGCGATGCTGTACACTGCATGAAGAAGGATCCATTTCCGACCGGCGTCGTATTTCTTGGGCCAAACAACAGCTGTTGAGGACATAGTGATGATGAGAGAGCAGCTGAAAGCTTATGTCTCGTCCTAGGCTTTATTCTCAGGCGACTCGTGGCGCCTCTCGCCATGCCGGAACACACCCCAAGCCCTCGTATAATGTGGGGTTGAGCGTTTGATACGAAGCTTGCATTAAACGCCAATGGCGTTCCCGTTCATAAAAGCCGGTAAGTAGTACCAATGCGCTTGCAGTGTGCTAATGAGTTGAAATATCTCTTACAGTCGATTGTTCATTCTGCTTAGTCTGTCGTTCATCCCTCTCTGCGCAGAGCATAGCGATCGAAGATGGCTACATGAGTGATTAGGGCGTGTGTAAAAAGCCGGACTTAATATGGTACTCGGCAGTTTAGCATTACCCCATATAGCGGACGAGGTCCAATATCCCTTAGGGGCTGCTGGGGATGCCAAAATGTTAAGTAAGGTGACCAGGAGGTGATATGTATCCACCATAACACAAGACGTCTGTCGCGAACGTCCCCCTGCATTCTATCAGGTCACAAAGCCCAAACTTGAAGTTACTTTTATTTCTCACTGATTGTCACTCCCGATGTCGAAGCAAGTGGCAGTTGCTTGGCCAGCACATTACGAGGATGCAAGGATTTACATTTGGGGCTTTGGAGTCTACGCCAGTGGTACAGCTGCACTTGCCATTTGCAAGCCTCACATCGTTTTTAAGTTGGTGGAACCTCCGTTATACGTTGCTGACAAGTACCTTGGTATAGTAAGTTGGTTCCTTTGTCACTGTGCAACCATGCCTAATCCAGTCCTTAAAAGGCCCCCGTCCATCCTCCCGTCACTATTGAGGAGTTTCGCGCTAATGCTTTTGCGTGGGCTTTCGTTTTTGCCATCGGCGGAATCTATCTTGTCTTTGGTGGGCCATTTTGGAACAGGGGTGGCAAGATGCTTCTCGAAGCAGGGTCAGTTGAATTAATCCCGAGACGTCTTCTGTCTGTGCTCATGCCTTCACGTCCAGGCTTTTCACTCGTCTCATATACGTTGTGACAGTATACGCTCTCTGCTTTTTCACCGAATACGGCACAAATCTTGCGTTTGTTGTTGCAACAAGCGATTTGTTGTCAGTGCTCCTTACCAAAAGAGCCCTCAAGGCGAGCTGGGTTGATTTGATCTTCGGTCGAAAAGTGAAGCAGGTCCCTGTTGGTAATTCTTCGCGATAACGTACACCGTACTGTCTTGCTGCCATCACACACAATTCTATGTTCCTGATCTCACAAGATGAGAGCGGGGGATCTAATCTAATCTCCAACGATCTTCGCCTAAACGCATGCATTCTATCCAGGGATTTCAGCTTTTGTCTATTCTCTTTATGATCTATTTACAGGAGAGGCTTCGAGATGTATTTTGAACATGTGAGTTCACGTTATGTGTTTTTCTCGTTGTCTTGTTCCTTTTGGGGGGGTTTGGAGCAGTTAAATAGCTTCCGAGCCGAGTTCTTGTCATGCGTGCGTCCCGTTGATCCACATCATCTACGACATGCCTCCGTTACGCTACGATAGCGTTACATATTATAATACTACCATAGAGTCGGCGCCGCTGCTGCTTCCACAATTTGATCTCAAACATTCTATGTCTCTAGAAGTAACGTGCCATGTCCACAGATCCTTTCAGTCTTTACGATTCAGGACGATAGTCTTGAGGACATCCTTCTCCACGGAGTGTCCCGATTCGAATGAACCCTCGGGTTCGTCTCCGCCAAAACGAGTTTAACAGCGGTCAAATGGAAGCGCATTTCAACACCGGACCTGTCTTGAGGATACTGCATGGTTTCACACACAGAGAACAGTTCTCCCATTGAATGTCCATGCTTCTTCAGAGTCGAGTGTCCTCAAGCAGAAGACGTGAACGCCGGAGGCCCGATGTGTGACATACCATACTGCATGTCGTAATGCTGCACGTAATTATTTCAAACCTTCAATGTTGCGGCATTTAGAGTTTCATACCTTCTAATTTATGGATCGGGATCATAATGAGCGATCTTCACGTTGTGCAAGTATTTGAAGGAGATCCCGTTTCATCATGTTGCTTCTCTGCCATAACTCGATCCAAGCATGAGTCTGCGTCGACGGAAAGAATGAATTCTTCGGATCGCATTGTGTAGTGGAATTTCTGGAGGAGCCGTCCGCGAACAGGTCCAGCAGCAGGTCTGGATGCTTGCGATTACTTAACATTGGATCTGGCGTTAAGTGTCTTGAGAGGCATCGTCACTCTTCCAGGATTCATACTATACGAGCTAGAAACTTAATGTAGACATGCTCTGAAGGGGTGGACGACAACGTTTAGAAAACGCGCGCAGGAGAGCTGTTGGCCAGGAGACCCTTCATCGAGAAGATGCATGCTCGGGTCTAGGAAGACACGATGATACTGGACCGTCAATAAAGAAGTTGACCAGAATGAGAGGTAGCATATCACTGCGTCACAAGATATGAGCGGTTTGTGGTCCCAAGCACGGAATAGAAAATACGCAAAGACAGACCATTTCTCCAGCGGTTTGCGAGCAACTAATGGTCTTATGAATAACGTCTACTTCAACCAACGCAAGGTGCATTCTAATTTCTTGACGCCCTTATGAACTTCGCACCACTGGACAGAAACCAGAGCGAGGTAAGTAAGATGAAAAAGAAATAGTACCACTGTCATTCTAGAGTAAGGTTCCGGGGGCTTCTGTTGGAGCGTTGATGACGCAAGGGAACCTGGCCGAGGTCCACCATCCGAAATATACGCATTGTGCTCGCGAATTCAGGGTTGCAACCTTAATCACCATTGTCTATGTATCCAACCTCAAACTCCTTTGAATTGAAGCCGATGCATATAGCCATACCTCCTGGACAGACCCAAGTTTCAAACCGTTTAGAATGATCGAACGACTAAGTATATATATGCCTTGTGTGCATGACGCTTCTGCGCAATGTAAAGCCGTTTCCGAAAAACAGAGACAGAAGATGGTAAGAGCTGAAGGCCACGATGCAATAGCATTAATGTTATATCTTGTTTGCGTTACGTACGACAGCCTGTGTATCAAAATCAGGATTGCGGGCTTATGCTCATGCATGCCTGCCTTAAGGACTGGGCCGACCGAGGTCGACCGTCATCGTCATGTCTTTTGGTCTTCCGCCGTAGCTCCGCTCAATATTTCGCGAAAAGAGTGCGGAGCGAACACGTCGGGCATGTGATTGCGATAGAAAGCAACTGGGCAATGCGGAAGTCATTCTTGGGCACATTTCGTACCGCCTGCTTGGGCGTGAGCTTTGCGGTATGGGGCACCAGGCATTCATTCCGGCAGCGCGAACTGAAACAGGAAGACCGCAGTTTGACTCTGGCGGAGAGCATGCTCAGATGGTATCCCACATGCCGAGAATCGTGCTACCTGACGCAAAAGGCATGCCAGAAACCGGAACAGCATAGAATATACCTCTTCTAGTTTGTTGTCGATAGTTCACGTCCCATCGATCGTCCCTGGAGTGCGGTGGCTGGCATCACGCTGCCGTTTGCTGCTGGAGACGCGGGGACAAACTCCTAGTAAGAGGCAGGTGTCAAATTCTTGCAGGCAATCGGCCCTGTAACTCATCCTAGGTGATAGAGGTTGCGGGGTAGGCTTACTGTGCGCACATACCAGCCATAAATCCGGTGAAGTCCGAATGGATGATCTATGTTTTGATCGGTTCAACTGTGAAGGCAGGCAGTGTGATGGAGTATCGTGGAGTGGATGCGATAATTAAAAAAAATGCACAAGGTTTAGGGCGAAACAATCGCTAGAGATCCTATTCCCGTACAGAGTGTCAGAAATAAAGTTCCGTCAAGAGGTTAAGAACTTCCCTTTACTTTCTACTGAACTTTGCTCAGATAGAAGCAAGCGATTGTCAAACAATCCGATGTTCAACAAGCTGTACTCGTTCTCGTAGGAAGTAGTGGACCGCGAATCGGGTGCATAAGGCCAGGTGATAAAAGCCTCTCTATCTGTGCATGCCACGAGCATTCATTTGCGTTTATGAGCCGAAAGCAACGTGCCATAACACCGAGAGGAGAACGCTGAGAGAAGACGTTTATGAGAGGAGAGTGCCGTTCGGTATATCATGAGGTCCATGGAGCAGGCACTTCGAGAAATTCAACAGGTAATACCTTGTACGTGCGATGCAGCGCAAAGGTGCGTCAAAGATCGTCATGTTCTCTCCGCTGATAGAGACCCCGTATATCTTGCCGCCGTCTGTCCTCGCCTGCACCACGACCTAGAGTTTCGTACACTATGTCGCATTCGCGGAACATGTAATACATTTCCTCTCTTCCATGTCCGGCTAGTCCGTCAATGAGTGTTTGACGGAGGAAATAACCCCGAACGGACAAGGGCCAGTAGTTGCCTGCAGTTGTCGATCGATGAGAACAATGCGGTGAAACTATGGACTTGAGGAGGAGTGACCGGCATTCGAGGGAAATTTGGCTATAAGCATCCCAAGAGTATAGATCCACGATCCCTCGCCTCAGCCACGAGCATGAGAGACACATGCGTCCATCCGTCTTCGTCTGAACATCGATCAGGCAAGACCCTGCTAGGATCTGCGAAACCCATTCAGACGACCCAATGCCAGATATTGAGCATTCTAGCATCATATCCAACAGTACCCAGAAGGCTGAAGGGTCGATGGGGTGGCAATATTGTGGGAAACCGTCTTGAACGACAACAGGATTAGCCATCCGGCTGTAACTGTGCGTGAAGGACAGTATGATTATCAACTACCATCCGGATATATTACGCATGCGTTGAAAACCTCGCGCAACGCAAACTAGTTTGGATCTCACCTGTTAGCTCACAGTCATTTTTTTTTCGTCCACGCAACTTGTCCCCCACGCTGTACATCTTGAGGTTCGTGGCAGTCCAAAGGTTTGTTGCTGAGCAGCGTGAACATGAGGTTTGCAGTCAACCTCAACCGGCCTCGGGAACAGGGGTGGCACCCGTTTCGTGAGATCCTCAGTATTAATGAAAAAACCAACGAGGTGGGCAAAGATGTCGATGAGAGTTCAAGAACTAGGTTGAGAAACTGTGACGCTGCCCATGTGCAACGAATCAGATCTTCAGACCGGAGGCGGGGATAGAATACGGGCGGAACGTCAAAAATCGGAAGTGCCAATCTCAGACCTCCTCCGCAGTTACTGGTCAAGTCTGGCCGGTTTTGGAATGAAGGAATGAAGGAGCTTCGGTACACCTGCACTGATCCTTGAGGCATCTCTTCATGAAGGCAGGAAGATTACTCAGTGGCACGTTTTTTGGCGACAGCAATGACGGAACGGCGAAACCATTTGCTGCGATAGAGTATCAACGAAAACTCCGCCTAGCCTCCTGATCCGATGAATTTTATCCTGGCCCTGGTATAAAAGTCCATCAAGCCCATGGTTGGGGAATGGCAAGAGGATATCTTGTCCTGGGTACTCCCCGGTCCCGACTGTAATGTACGAACGATCTCGACGTTCATCTTCACGATGCTCGCGGAGACCAGGCTGTTAAACACTGCAGGTAATGTCTTTCGCAATGTTTGACTTGTCACCGTGAATAATGAACTCTCACCAACCATCTAACAGCAGGAAACGGATTGATGCGCTCCCGGAAGCCGCAGATGTCGGAAGCTCGCAGTGCTCTAATTCAAGTTCATCCTGATATTCGACATAAGCCCATTGCACATTGAGTGATATTGTTGCTCCAAATTAGCCTTTGACATTGAAGATTTGTTCCGCTGTGGATCGGGAATATTTCGCTTTGCCATCGGGCTATCAGGTGCATATTGTATGTGAGTAGGCCTGTCATATTAGCCCGCAGTCCTTTTCCTCACGGTATGCTTTCCAGCTCTCGCCTGACATGCAGGCGAGGGCTGCAAAACCTACCATGAGGATGAAAGGGTTGTAGGCTGTGTTTCAGCAGCTTACAACCTCAAACCCATGGATCTATGCCTAGGAATTCAAAAAATGGGGAGAAAATGACAGGTTGAGTCTGTCTAGCATAGCTTAGCAATGGTAAATTGACTTACTGTCAGAAGATTGTCCAGCAGTCCCTACCCACAGATGATATCTATTTGCCGCTTCAACAGAATTTTGACACAATACAATAGTTATAGAGATGCAACGATGACCTGGTTCTGCAAAAGAAACCATAACATAATTAGCTAGCACATCTGAACTGTAAGTCTTCCTAGATTCGAGGATGATAATGATTAGAATCACTCACAATTGGGTCAGAAGCATACCGGCAGGCAACCGCGATCCCGAGTGCACCCATTTACGCATACGTAAAATTCCTGCACACGACCCCCATCCTCTCGTCTTTGTCCATTTTGCAATTGCTGGCGTATCGTCTTGCGGAACTGGACGACAAAGTTTTGGACTTTCTGACGGTTGCTTCACGGCGTCGGCGTCTCAATTCTTCTTTCATTCCGTAAGTCAAAGTCTATTTGACATATTCCATATCTCTGTCTGATTGCCCTGCATGTCTATATGCCCACTCGTGCCCCTACCATTCGTCAGACCTCTGTTAATGTCTCGAGAGACATCCGACTTCGCTATCGCTTGTGCCCGTCGTATCCAACCAAATGTGTCTCGAATTTCCTTCCCTTGGTTCTGTTGAGACCCAATGGCAAACCGATGACCATGCCGTCATCACCCTCAAAATGTGATGGAGGTCAAGACGTACAAGCTCTTTGACTGAATAGGGAGACGAGAGCACGAGCTTTCGTATCTGCTGAACGTACTGGTATAGCTCGTAAGTCGTCTCATTCATCACATAACTTCATTCAATCATTTCAAGCGGTACTTGTTGAAAAGAATAGCATGTACATGGTCCCTTGGACTCACTTTTGGTATCTCATCGGACTTTCACCAATAAAATGAATCTTATTCTCTGCCTTTGAATGTGCTAATTATGCTTTCGAAAGTTCATCGTCCGACGGATCTTCTTGTGATGACAGGCTGCAGATCATATATCCGATTTCCATTCGCCGTCCAGATACAGGGAGACGCAACTGTATACGTCATGCTAGCGGTCTTCTTTCGAAATATATAACATTCCACCCAACAGGCTTGGTTCCCAGCAAACATCATTTATCTGATACTGATACAAAGATACACGAGCAACACACACACCCAACTGTCAAACAATATCACCAGTTCGTCGATATGAACTCAATCATGCCCAACGCCCAGGCATGAATGGCAGAGTGCTTGTCAACCCGCCGTCAACAGCCCAGTTCTGCCCATTGACGTAACTGGAGTCATCTATGCCCAGAGACTTAGACCGAGGAAAACACGTTTAAAAGGCAGCTATTCAATCGGGAGACTCACCAGATGCGAGGAATAAGGCAACGTTGGCAATTTCTTCGAGACAGACATAGAATTAGTGATCGTATATACGTCATGACGACCGGTCTACACACCCTCTGGAACGGCGTAACGACCCATGGGGTTCAGTTGGCCTAGCTTGCCTGCAGTACCGCGTGCCCGTGCGTAGTCGAATGTATTGGAAGTCATTCCTGTCTCAATCAAACCAGGACAGACGGAATTGACACGGATGTCTGTCTTCGTCAGTTGGTTTGGTGCAACTTGGGCTAAGCTATTCACACTACAGTCCAGAGTCAGTCAGTACGCGCAAAAGTCGACAGTAGGTCTCCCCAACTCACGCAGCTTTGCTAGCGCTATCTGTAAAGGACAAGTGATAAACAAAGAAATATTCTTTATCGAAGAATGGGTAACCTACAGTCCACGGATCCAGCCCCCGAACGTATTCCGGCAACTGTTAGGTCATGATCAGAGACACGACGAGCGTATGAATGTCCGCAGTTGAAACATACCTGATGCGGTCAGAATGATGCTTCCACCGCTATACTCCTTCCCGCGCGATGGGTTGGTTTTGGCCATGGCCGCAGAGCCGTACTTGACGGCCAAGAAACATCTACGTACCACGTAGATCAGACATACAGCCAAATTACAGCACGTGAATGTGCATACGACAAAGTGTTTATCCTCAGAGTATTCATGAACGCCTCTGGGGTCACTGAATCGATGGGTAAAGCCGTAGCAATTCCAGCCTGTATAGTGATCAGCTATAACCATTACACGAAGAGTAACCTTACGTTTGCGAAGAAGACATCGAGGCGTCCCTCTTCCTGTAAAGCCTGTTTGCACACGCCCACGATGGCTGCTTCATCTGAGGCGTCGGCTTGCAGTGCAGTAACCTAGGACAGTATAAACATGAGGATTAGCTGTAATTAATAAAGGGCTATTTACCTTAACATCCGGGTATTTGCCCTCGATAGTTGACTTCAAATTCGGCAGATTCGTTTCGTCAAAATCAATCAAGTACAGATGCTGAGCACCTGAATGGATGTGGTCAATTCAGCCACGGCAACATACTGTGCCATGTGTGGCGAACCTTCATGAGCGAACAACAGCGCTGAAGCTCTCCTATATGAAGAATTAGTCCCAGCTTTTATTTGAAACATCAAGATGTAAGTAACGTACCCAATGCCCTTCAACGAACCAACGCCAGTGATTATACACACTTTCCCCTTCAATCGAGAGCCACGGGGCGCAGACTCAAGATGGGACTGGAGCTTCTGCAACCGCGATACAGTCCTGTTATAAAATTCCTCACTGCTCTCAGTATTCTTCGCACGAGCAGTATTGTAGGAAAGGGCTGGAATGGTAGCTGGCTTGGGCATTTTGTTTCTGCGATCGATGATACTACTGTCCCAAGTAACCTTAGTGTAGAGGGAATGGTTTAAGACAAGCGGGACTAGTACACCCCAAAATCCCCGCAAGGAGATGTTGCCGGACGCTGCATAATCCCGGTGTTTTAGTGATGCTTCACACCGAAGTGTTTGATCAAGTGTGGGGAAGGCCTGGCCATATGATAATCGAACTTGACGCTCAATGTAGGCTATTTCGAGCAACGGTGAAGAGATGGACTGTTCATCTTTCCTAGCATAAGACGACAATTCTGCACGGGCATTGACAGAGGTCGGATTAAATATGTTCTATGTACTCTATTTGACCTAAAGATATCCCAAGAAATGAAACCAACCGCGTTGTCGCGAGCCCTAGCGGTGAAAAACTATTCGAAAACTAAGAGACACTACTATGCCGAGTACAGTCCATATATATGCAAGAAAGTCCGTGTATGTGGATTATATCTATGCCTAAAGTAGGCTCATAATTCCTAGGAGGGCCGATGTCAGAAGTTGACTCCAATATAGACGTCATAGGGTACTTACCGTCATGGTCAAGTTACCAGACAGAAGTCTGTTCTCCAAGACACATCCGTCGGGTATATCAATGCGCTGACCTTCATTGGCAACGACTGCAGAGGGTATATCGCATTAGCTGCTTGTCTTCATGACCTTCAACCGGCACTCACCAATAACAGTCCCCCTCAACGTCACATTGCGGCCGAAGTAGACGTCACCAGTGACGGTCAAATGGTCCAACTCGATGATCTTGGGTATCTTCTTGAATCGCTTCTGGAATTGTGCAATCTACGATACGTAGAATATCTCAGAGACCGAATAGAATGTCAAAAAGAGGACGACGAACCTTCTTGAAGTGGTCGCCAAGTTTGATGACGGGTGTAGTACCGAACAGTCGATTCTCATTGATAACGAGCTCTCCATGCGCAAGGGAGTAGATGTCGCTCTTGATCAAAAGCAGGTCCGAACAACTCTTCACCGGTAAGAAACGGCTACGAGGGACGTTGATACCGTGCGCGGATTTGAAGTGCTTGATAGCGGCACCAGCCGCTGTCTCGAGCTATGATCGTACTCGGTCAATACGACATGCTAGAATGAGATGAAGGCCGTGTGGATCACCTGAATGACTTGCTGTCCATCATCAGTGACCTTGGGGTTCACAATTATTTCGAGTTCCATGCCATCACTCTCCATGATACGCTTGAGGGCTATATCGGTAACAACCGTCAGAGCTATTGCACAGGAAAAGAATGAATCTGAAGCAAACCCTTGAGGTTGATCCACAAGTTGTTCGTGTTGAAGATCTTGAACTTGCGGACAGACTTGAAATCTTCTACATGCTCTGATGGCACTTGAGCGATTTCCAGCAGTTGAATGCTGCCGTCGTAGTCGATCAACGTTCCACCCTATCCGGCGTGTTAGGATCAGGCCATATCTTAGAAACGAATGACGGCGACGAACCTTCACATCTGCCTTGGTCTTGTCAGTAACTTCCATGATGAACTCAGCTCCTGAGGTGACCATGTGATGAAGAATCTTATGATCGACACTGACATCAAGGTCTAATGAGTGAGTTACCAGAAGATGGACATTGGAATGACCTACACAGCACCCAAGTTGTCAGAATTGGATACGAAAAGGTATTCCTTCCCCTCTGCGAGGAGTTGGTCTAGAACGCCCGAATGCACAAGTGCATTATACAGATCACCGTGACCGGGAGGATACCATTTGCCCTTGTCGTCCTCAGCAGTCTTTGGACACGGAAGGAGGGTCTCCTTGTTGATACGAGGATAACGGGACTGGTTAAAGGTGGTGATACGGACTTGCTGGTTAGCATACTTCTTGATAATGCGGAGGGTATCTTCATGGGTATTGAAAGAAGTCATCAGGATAAGAGGGACATCGACACGGTGGGTTGTGTTCAGATGTTCGATCTGGCGCACAGTAAGGTCAAGGAAGGTCATGTCATTCTTCACTTCAAGAGCACTCTTGGCTCCCGTCATACCTGCACAAACCCTTTGGTAAGTTCGGGAAAAGGTGAAGGTGGAGAAACGTACCCATGGAGGTGCCCAAACCACCATTCACTTTCAGAACGGCTAGCTTGTTCAATGACTTGGGGTCTGTAATATCTGGCAATTGATCATAAGGGACGACCTTGTCTGCGGATGGTGACTTGATCCGATCCCAATCACTGAATCACCCATGATTAGTGCGCTCAACCTCGATTTCAATGTGTACATACAGCTCATGGCTCTGAGCCCTCTCGGCCAGATAGCGCGTGAAGAGATAGAAGAACGACTGCATCTCTGTATCGAAAGCCTACAAGCCTAACGTCTCAGCTTACCCTCTTCTGGAGCAGATGATCACAATGAGCACACCTTCTTCGTTGCCGAATCTGACACAGTGTTCACTAGCCTGTTGAGTTCATTGCGCATAGTCTTGGTTGCTACGCCAGTAGTCGCACTTTTAAAATGCTGTTTGCGGCGTAGATTGAGAATAGTAGACAGATGGACCATGATGAGATGAAAGAAACACATTGAGAGCTCTGGGTCATCGAGAGCAAGAATTCATTCGACATACCATGGCAGACACGCCTCTTGTGCGAGGAGTCCTCCCTCCAACCGACTGCGGGATCGTGAGGTTAGACATACGGGATATTTAGGATGTTTTAAAGGCAACCCAGCGACACGTCAAGTTTGAGTTCGAGGAAAGGATAACGTTTGCGACGGGTAATCGGAGGGAACGCTTTCTCACTTATAAGTGAGCGGCGCAACCTAGCCGAAGAAGGTCCAGAACCCATGCGCGCCCGAGATCAGCACATCCAAATCGATTCATGGAATCAGAAGTAATATTCGCAGGTTGGGCAAGGGACCGATGAACAGCATAGGACAAGTGACAGCGCTGTCGCAGTGTCGCCGTTTCGCCGTTACGCTTCGGACAGATGGCATTATAAGGAACGGTAGTAGATTCACACAGTTACAAGTAGGCACAAACGCGTCAGACTACTCGTCACGGAACCCGTAGTTATTATACACGTCTAGGTGTCTATTGTCAAGCAAGCCCCCTTACAATGCTAAAGAACTCACGTTGTCGAAGATTGGATGTCCACTTTGAAATACAATTTGATTGGAAGCTTGATTGGAAAGCACAAACCAGAAAGCATTCGTAATTAGACAGTAGGAACAAACACACACCGGTATTAAACGTTAGACGGTCCAGCTTCATTGCGAAAGGATCAACCAAGGCACACATAAAAGGTCGTCAAGCAGCTAGTCTGCACTACAGATGTTTTATCGACGTTTAACCACGCAGACAGAGCGTAAGGACTACCAGGAGAGGTACCGTTAAACATAGGTCCGGAATAGAATGAAATAGAGTCGGACGATTGCAAGACAACACCGGGAGGAAATTCAGAGAGTGCAAGACGTTTGAGTCATCAGCAAGCCAACCAAGAGGGTATTGATGTCTTAAGATAAAATCCGACGAACATGCCAGAATGCAATACTATGCCAATGACGTCGAAGGCTAGAACGTATGGGTATGCCTACCTAAGAATGTTATTCCTGACAAGTAGCATTGTAGTAGTCTGATATTGGAGAAATGAGTAAGCCTTAGACAAATATTAATAACAGCAGAGGACCTTTGAGAAGACCACTGGTAGCTGGTAGCGCCCAAGCTGTGGCTGAAGTGGCTGATATTGAAACGCAGACAGTCGGAACTTGAACGGCACCGAACCTTATTCTCTAAACTGTAATCGCCGTATCCACCAAGACAAAGTAGGAACCGTCCCATCCTCAAGCTTCAAGACTCTACGACATGGGTTAGTGCTGCCCGTCCGTTCAGCCTCTTTTCTTGTACTTATGCTGATGGCTACGTTTTCCCTTTCTTGCGATACCGAAACTATGCGATTTGGTGGTGATATGACCTGTAGGTATCTCCCGTTCGTCCCGGCACAAGCGTTCGCACACGGGTGCACAACGCCCTCACTACCGCAAGAAGCGAAAGTTCGAGCTCGGCCGTCAGCCAGCCAGCACCAAGCTTGGTCCCAAGAGGATCCACACTGTCCGTGTCCGTGGTGGTAACCTCAAGTACCGTGCCCTCCGGCTTGACTCCGGTAACTTCGCCTGGGCTAGCGAACACGTTACAAGGAAGACCCGTATCATCGGTGTCGTGAGTGGAATGTGCATTTTCATTATGTAGAGCGACGTTTTTAAGGCTATGTTTAGGTCTACAATGCATCAAACAACGAGCTCGTCCGAACGAACACTCTAGTGAAGAGCGCAATCATCCAGATCGATGCTACGCCCTTCCGCCAGTGGTATGAAGCTCACGTACGGTATTTTTTCTATGCACGGACTTCACAATGGCTCACGTCGCATCGCATCTCCAGTACGCTCAACCTATAACCAAGCGTGGAAAGAAAGATGTTACGGCTGAGGTTACTGAGGAGAAAAAGCTGTCACACCACGCACAGCGTAACTTGGATGAGAGGAAGAAGGGTATGTTCTATGTTTGTCTCTATTGTCGAGTATGGATCCCGACGAACTTGCGTGATATAGATGCCAAAATTGACCCCCTTCTTGAATCTCAATTTGCTGCTGGACGTTTGTATGCTGCTATCAGCAGCCGGCCAGGACAGTCGGGCCGTGCTGACGGTTACGTCCTTGAGGGCAAGGAACTCGAAGTAAGTTGCCTTTTATGTAGGCATGAGGTGCGGTAGCAGGAGCTGACGTTCGCATGTAGTTCTACCTCAGGAAGATTAGGACTGGCAAGGCGAAGCACGCACACGCGGCATAAGCGTGCGCGTGTACTTCTTTTGCTTTTTCTTCGATCACGGGTTACGTCGCTCGGGAGCCAGGTGAGATGGACTTTGGTGAAGCAGGCGAAGCATCCATGAGTGTATCAAAACGGCGGCTACGACTTCGATCTTTTCTCCTCCTGCACATACTGTATGAAATTATGTTCCATATGCTCTTTTGCAATGCATGCTTTCGCCTTCGCCTGATCTTTGGGATGCTCCGTTATGATTGCAAAACGGAGATGTCCTGGCACTCTCCGATCGGTGTCATCTGTCGCCGTCTGACGCTGCAAATTTTTGAGAGTTGCGATGAACCGGGCAGTAAAGATTGCACAGATTGAGGTCCCATTGAGAGCTTCCCAGACATATGTGAGGGTGTGAGAGAGGGTATATAACGCGGGGTACCTGTCCGCACGCGATTCCCTTTGTTGTCGTGACCGAATTTTGGCGCCTGCGCCTGTTGTGCACCCACCGCGTTTACACTGCTTGCCACTTTCTCTTGTCCCTTGCTGTCGTCCTCGCCACTGTTTCTTTTTCTCAATCTCATCTTTATCTCTAATTATCTTAATTCCCCTCGATGCCTCATGGCGTGGCGGGCTCCAGCTCGTCGAAATTCAAGAAATCCAAGTCTCGGGCGAAGCATGACGGCATGTGGAAGGTGGTGACAATGATGAACATGCGGGACCTCTCGCGCGACGACGACTTCCTCAGCCATTTACTTGTAGAGAAATTGGGTACTGGGATGGTCCCCCTTGTAGTGCACAAAATGGACCCTACACGAAGGCTTCCCAAGACGGACGCAGATCAACTGTTGCAGATCGTTCGACGCGTGCGTTTTTAACACATTTCCCTCTCGCATGACCTCATTGTTAAAGGCTCTGATTTTGCCATTCCATTCAATCATGTAGCTCATTGCTTTTAGAGGTCCTCCAAAAGCTGCACTCAATCGTGCCGTGGAAGAGCTTTTGAGGTACGCCCCTGTCTCTGGTTTTGACATGCCTTGTTAATTGTGCATCTATAGCCTGTCCGCTGTACGGTATTATCTCAGCCAGTATCGAGAAATGAGACAGGTCAACGCCTTCGCCACGTTTGTTCCCTTGTTGAGATACTTTGTTCCACCCTGTCTGACGTCTGCTTTTCAGTCACGCCTCGCGTTATTTTGAGCTTTATTTGCCTTCTGGTTCCATTGAGATTGCTCACACGTCACGTTATTCACATCGTACGGGGAAGTCTGAACTTTGTATACTGGCAACGCGCCCCCTGGCGAAGGATCAAGTCATAACCGAACTCAAAGGTTCCATGGCAGATTTGTCGCCTGAAGAAGATCAAGAGTTGAAACAGACAAATGAGACGCATGCTGACGGCGTCAGCGTCCGTCGCGACTTCAGCGTCATTCACTCTAAACAACTCAAGAAGAATCATCTTTTCTTGGGGCCCGCGCGTTTTGTGAATGTGAGTGATCGTTTCAGCTCGAGTCATGCAGGCTTTGGCACTGTCTGATATAGAGGTCCCACAGCATGATTGCAATCACAATGTTGAACTCTTTCGCACTGGCCGGTACATCACATTTCGTGTACGGAGGCCGATCGCTGTCGGAGAGGAGGTCACCGCTAACTATGGCGATGGATATTGTGAGGCTTCTCCTCCCAACTTCTATTTACAATCATCTAACGCCACGCAGTTGGGCGCAATAATCGACACTGTCTCTGTGCAAGCTGTGAGGCGCAAGGAAAAGGCGGTTATCGTCCACAGACGTCATCGGACGAAGAAGACTTGACGGACTCAGGACCTGAGGTCGACGAAAGAGGAAGTATTTCTGGAAGATCGTCCTCGAGTAGTGATGACAGCGATATGGACGATGGCGAATCCGTCAATGTGAACGAACGCCGTACACGCCGGGGTGTTTACGCAGTTTTGCCCGAAGAACAACCGGACTCACCCATGGTCCTGGATGCGGATGCAGAAGTTGATGAGGAGCCTGAGAGAACCCCAGGTTCGACTTCTCAGGATGCCAGCTCTCCAAGACGGTCTACTCGCATCAGGAAGGAAACTGGACTACTAACGCCTAGTTCGGAACCGTCTTCGCGAGGAAGGACAAGGGGTCGCTCAGTGACCAATGAGTCGTTAACTTCGTCCCCTAAGAGGAAAACAACCGTTAGCGAGAGTCCCGCTCCCTTTCGGTCTGTAATTTCGACCCGAGCTCAGAAGGCTAGGGAGGCATCTGTCGAAGCATCCGTCAGTACCAGTCGAACCCGAGGGAAGAAATCTGGCAGTACTGCGCCTGCCCGCCCTGTTTCTACGAATAGACAATTGGTCACGCCACCTCTCACTGCAAATAACAGCTCTAGCTCTGCTCCGAACAGTGTTCGATCTTCATCTAGGCTAAGGACTCGACGCGATGCCTCCGTTGTCGAGCGAGAGACAAGATCATCGCAATCTATTTCTTCTAAAGATAAAGGCAAAGGCAAGGCGGCTGCATCTTCAGTCTCGGATACTCTGGATCTGGTCAAAGATGAGCCCGAAACACGTAGCCTTCGACCTCGTGCTCCTGTCGTGACTACTGTGGCAGAGGGCGAGCTGGCGAAGAAAATGAAAGAGGGTCCCAGAGGCTTGGACGGAAAGCCTTTGCCGACCTGCATCACTTGTCGAAATGTGCTCCCAGTCATTTCAGTTGATTCACAGGTCGTTTGGGGCTTGTCCGTTGGTCGTACCGGTAAGCGAGGCAGACCGCGGAAGAATATTGAAGTGGATTGTCCTCGGTAAGTTCATGATATCGTACATGGTACTGAGGTCATTTCAACTGACCTCTTGCGTAGTTGTATCCGTCACTTTGCTATTTACAATGTCAAGTGGCCCGAGCGTAAACCAGTTGACGGAACTACGGCCTTCGATCCACCACCTGCCCATCGAAGTGGTACTTTCACGCCGATTGAATTGGCAGTGCCCAACAAGTTGACCAACAGTGCCTTGGCTGCTCTCGAGCGTAGTATGGTGCCGTCCATATCTGAGTCAATTTCTGCAGGCGGTGCTTTGAAACGTCCTCGTGAAGCTGAGCCCGAGACGCGCCCGGCGAAGAAGCAAAAGCAACCTACAGGTCGACCTCGCGGCCGTCCCCCGAAGAATAAAGTTGGCATGTCAGCGAAGGCGAAAGCTATCCTAGGAACTGTGGCCCCCGCAAACGATGAGCGACGAAGTGGAAGAGCCAGGATACCTAGCATGAAGATTCGCGAGAGCGAGCCGCCAGTGTCACCCGTTTCTCCTGTGTTGAAATCTCCGGTACTGAGATTACGCATTTCTCCACGCAAAAACCCACCTACGCCAACTACTTCACCCCTCTCCGCGCCACCAAGTAGTGACAGGATGCCTGTAGATGTCACTTTTCCTCTTTCCGGGCGTCCTATGACGCCTCCTCCCAGCGGTTCAAGTCAAGAAGGAGTTATCAAAACACCGAAGTCCATGGCTGTTGCTTCACAGCCTCGGGAAGCTAACGGACGCTTTGGCAAGAAAAGCAATACCAATGGTCGGTACATGCGCAAGCAGTATATGATGGGCGGCAGGCTCGCCCGTCCAGGTTGTCGCAGTGTTCGCCTCATTTTGAACCGACACAAGCCTCCGGGGGAGGGTGCTGAGGCGGATCGAATCAGGTCGGATGACGAAGTCGATTCTGATGGACAGTCCACGCTATCTCATGAGGATGTAGAGGAGTCGCTGATCTTCGGTTCTCAACCTCTGCACAACATGCTAGGGAAGAGATCTAGGGATGATCAGGATACGCATGGGAGGGATGAGCATGCATTTGAACGTCGTCTTTTAGAGGCTGAAGATGGCAGAATGGCCTCTGGAAGATTTCACCGTTTCGACGCCGACTACGATGACGCATATGATGAGGACGATGAGGACGAGCCTGATGAAAATGATATGGAGAAGGTGACGTACTCATGCGAGCACTCTCCTGTCACAAGTCGGGTCGGCATGAGTTTACTCTCTCGGCCGAATCCTATGAGCTTTGCCCGCCGGAAGTGGGCTCCTGCAGACGAAGATGCAGCCTCTGACAATGATGTTGATCTGTCCATCACACGAGAGGATGACATTGAGCTTCGTGCGGCTGGCGCACTCTCTGCGGATGAGGATTGCGATGAAGACATCGATGACGATGGACTATTCAGCTTGTCGTCTCGTCTCATCCCTCGTGGGCCTTACGTTGGCCAGATGACTCTGAAACCCTCCCCTCTTAATTTGGCCAGACGAAGATGGGCACCTCCGCCACCAAAGTTCAAACAGACGATTGGTAGCCGCAGCACTTCGAAGTCGTTTGCTACACCAGTCACGCGTTCACCTTCACCAATCCAGTCGTCTCCAGATGTACCAATCGAGACTGCTATAGAGGTTGATGTCGAAAGGCTACCTCCGCCTCAGAAACGCGAGGATTCGCCTGAAGTTGCGTTTGATCCTGAACACTCTGACGATATTCCATGGTGGCAAAGGGAGGCTTCAGAAGACGAAGTGCGTATATAACAGCATTCAATAAAACCGTTTACTGATGACTCTCCCTGTAGGACTCTTACGAGATCGATCGTGATCTCAAATTGGAGTATCCTGAATCTGAGTATTTACTAGATGCAGGCGCTTCTCCGAACTTTGGTGTTGATTCTACCGACGACTCCGAGCGAATCGTAGAGCGACTCGTAGCGATGTCCGGGTCTCGAACTCCTTCTTCTCTTGGAGACAACCACGATTCACGTGCACAATCTCCACACCTTCAATCTTCTCCTTCTCCTTCTCCCGATTATTCACCTGGCTTAGCATGGAAGCGGACGGTCTTACTCCCCACAGATGAACCTTGTAGTATTCCCAAAGTTGTCAAACCTCCTGTTGCGATACCCCCGTTTCCTCCGGCATCACCAACCAAACTCATTTATGCCGGATGGGATACATCGTCGTCGGACCTTGACCCTTACTAACAGACACTGGTTTCCCAATACACACCTGTATTCGAATTGCTATCGCTTGCGTATCATTATTGACTTCATGACTGACTTTTCCTGCTCGCATCCTCCCCTGTTTGCTGTTTGTTATTCTCATCCAAAGTACTTTCTAGCTTAGGTACTTTTGTAAGTGTATGCATATGTAGCTCGTCCAGTAGACGTCTAATGTTTTGTCTTGACCTTACGACATCGATATCGTTCACTGCGACTCCATTTATTCCCCATTCAAGGTCGTCTGATAGACTTGCGCAAGTTGTGCCTGTGTGTGCCGTCGGTCTGTAAGGTCTCATTTCTACGTCCTCGTGATAGATCCTGGCTTTTTCCTTTCTTTTTTTTTTGTTTTTGCAAACGTGTCAATGCCAATAAAATGCTGGACCTAGTTAGTGGCATTTCAATCGGAAACATTGTAAACCCAGTGGGAGAAAGGATGTCAGTAGAATATCGGCCAACTTGAAGTAGGCTAACTCCGGAGGTTCACGATCGTGTGCTCGACTTTGGGGCCGGGGAATATGTTCGCATGTTGTTGAGAGTGCTCATGAGTCTGTCGGTCATGATTACGCAGGGTTCACATACGCCTCCATGGTGAAACTAGTATTTCTATCTCTCTGCAGCTGAAGCGTCTGAGCACCGGATTATAGAGAACATTAAAGACTATTCATTCAAATTTCGTATCATACGTCTATGGTTAGATTTTCCGACCACGATTCATACTGCCGCAAAGTTGTGGATATCTTCTCTATTTCATCTTTGATACCCGCGACAGCTTCTTTACCCAGCGCGAGCCTCAATGGCGGCTCAGGCAAAGTGGAAAGCCTGTACAATACCCCAGCAGCTTTGGCAGGGTCGTTGGGAAAGAAGGCCGGATTTGCCGCTACTGCACGAATAGCAGATGAAGGAAGAGCAGGGTTGTCATATGCGGGATGGGTTGGGTACACCACGGCTGCGGCGATACCCCCCGTACGAAACATCGCCGGTTCTACCAGCGTAATCTTTTCAGAACTGTGTGAGCGAACCAGTAAATGTAATGAAGTCAAAATAGTTCGCATACCTTTATATCCCATGCCGGATCCAGCTCTGATGCTAACGCCACAGAGAATCCTTCAAGGGCTATGAAGAAAGAAGGAATGAATGAATCAGCATACCTCGTAATATGTATAGAACTGAGCTTACCGTGTTTCGCTGCAGAATAATATCCAGCAATCGGACTGCTTACCACACCCATCATCGAACTCGTGGTAATCAGCCTTCCTCCGTTGGCTTCACGGAACGTTTTGACTGCCTCGAGACTGACTTGGGCCGCTCCCCAGAAGAGCACGTCAAAGAACTTTCGCGCGTCGTCAAACGGGATACTCTCAATCTCGCCCACCAGAGTGTACCCTGCATTATTGAAGACGATGTCTACCCTGCCAAACTTGACAATCGCTTCTGCAAAGGCATCCTTGATTTCCTTCTCCTTGCTGACGTCTAGTTTGCGCACAAGAAGTTCCTTCACGTATTTCTCCTTCAGGATGTCGAGACCCTGGGGCTTAATATCCGTCGCAACGACAGATTCGCCTTTGGAGAGTACATGTTCTGTCAGTGCCCTGCCAAAACCTGACGCGGCTCCAGTGACTGGCGACGGGCTTCAGAATAAACACGACGAATCATTTCAAACCAGCAACATACCAAACCAAACTCTGCCGTCTTTGAAAGTCATGACGATGAGAAGGTGTGGTCTGAGATGCGTAGTGACTAAGGGAAGGTTCAAGGGGCACAGTACTTCACCTTCAGAAAATCTGTTGTAATATTGTGTAGTGTCTGAATATTTGGGATTGTGGCTTGGATTCTGATGTTTACGTATATTTCTTGTGGCTTTGTGTCTCTTGCAATATATCGTATCTGTTTATCAGCCTCGTTGTCGCAGGAATAAGGTGGACCAAGGACTCACTATGCTCAATGTAGCAGTCCAAAAAAACACGCTCCTGTGCATATTAGTTCTTGCGAATGCGTTGCGCTGGAAAAGTATCTCAGAAGGACAAAAAGAGCTTTCTGTACATAACGAACACGTAACATCACAACATGTGTATGCACGATTGAACGTTATTCTCTTGATCATTATCCATCCGATGGAAGGTCACACTTGTATCCAGCATCGATTGACCAATGACACCAACAAATGGGGATACACTATGTAAGGTCATCCGACCACGGTCGCGACGCCTCCACTGCCTCGGATAATTTAGACAAATGAGCTTGTAAAGCACTCAGAGCATCCTGACCGAGGAAAAGGATCGCAGGTGGCTCAGCCAAATCTGAGAGCTTCACTATCTTCTGTGCGGCCTTCAACGCGTCAGATCCTATATCTGGGTTGGTGATAAGGGTTCGCACGACGGAGGAAGGAAGATTGGGTTTGGTATAAGCCGGATGGTGTGGAAATACCACCGTTTTACCGACCGCTGCCGTACGGAATACGCCAGGGACCAAGATTGTAATCTTTGACGCGAAAATAAGATCAGAAGTCATCAACGAGTTCTAGTTCCCTCACCTTCACATTCCATCCTGGATCCAGCTCGGACGCGAGGGTCTCATGAAATCCTTGCAGCGCTAAAATTCACACTGAGAACTATTATAATGTATTATTGACTGAGTTTCGGTGGCTTACCGTGTTTTGCAGCTGAATAATATCCGACAGCAGGCATTGTAATAACGCCTGTTAACGAGCCAGTGACCAGAAGTCTGCCACCAACTCCGGGAGCATTGACCTCTCGGAAAAATTTGACGGCTTCCAGACTGACTTGGGCCGACCCCCAGAAATCCACGTCAAAGACTTCCCGAGCTGCAGGAATCGGTATACATTCAAGTTCACCCGCTATTGCATAACCCGCATTATTAAATACCACATCGATGCGACCAAATTTCTCCCGCGCAGCTGCGAAACCATCCTGGATCTCCTGGGTACGACTAACGTCCAGACGGATAGTTAAGAGTTGATCGCTGGGAAATTTGGATTGCAATTCGACGAGGCTCTCAGAGGTGCGAGACGTCGCGACTACATGATCTCCGTGTTGCAGGGCTAATTCGGCCACCAGCTTGCCAAAACCAGAACCCGCGCCAGTAACTGCAAATAATGAGTCAAGATACAATAACTGACATTGCACTCACTGAACCACACTCGAGCGGCTGCCATTGTCAGGAATGTCCTATTCACAGTCACTCGTAGCTGGCGGTTGGGGGTAAAAGATGGAGAGACGTTTGATGATAAGTCCTGTTAAGGTGAGAGTTTATAGCTGGGAAAAGGCTGCCCCTGACAAGCTTTGAAGTTTGAAGACCTAGATTTTGAGGGGATCAGGTAAGATCATAGCGTCATGTGGGACACTACATCAGCAAGTCGTGCTAGCGAGTTAGGTGAAATTTCTCATATCATATGTTAGCCGCTATATGCCGTCGTTTACACTGTCTTGGATAGAACCTCCATCCACAGGAAGACCGTCGTGGACAATGTTTCACCTAAGATACCTGAAACCAAGAAAGATTGCATTTGGTCCAACGAGGTGCATGCGTAAAGTGAGCCGGGTGTTTTGCCCTGACTGAATTCTACTAAAGAATTGGATCGCATTAGCTAAATGGAGCAAAGCAAACAAACGCTTCGTACAAGAAAGGTACTTCAGGACTCCCAAGACGCGGGGCGGCAAGCGACCTGCGGCAATATTTGCTTTGTACTACGTTCAAAGAGGTAAGTAGAAACTCATCAGTGATGGGAAGAACCCGGAGCAACCATCATTTCTTTTATCGAAGGTGAAGCAGCGCTCACCTCTAGGATAGAACTCCTCCGATAGGGTTAATACTACTTGTGTTCTACGGCGATCGTTTATAATTTGCATACATGGCACTCGCACGGTCACTCGTATCACTTTCAATGATAAAGAGAAAATTTCCGCGCGCACATAGACTTAACTTGGGAGGGCTTCGAGATGTGTGTTATCGGGTTTGGCACGACCTACCATTGCACAAGTAGACCAGGCAGAGTATACGGCGGTCGCGACGAACAGTCAAGAGCGGTAATGTAGATTCTCGTTACGTCGCTATTAATACTTACTGCTGCCCATCGGGTTTGAGAGAACTACGACCTGCACGAAGAATCTCATCTGTAGATAACAGGTTGACAGCAATCACGGAGCTGGGAAAAAATAAGTATATTGCGTCGGCGTAATCAAAATAATACTCACCATGAATGAAGCATTTGACGCTTTACGCGGTAGTTATCCCAGATACCCTCGACAGTTGGGTCGAAGGGTTCGCCGGTTTGAAGGTCAATACCAACGGTATTACCTTCAGCCTGCTCCTCCTGCAAAATGAAAAGGAAATCAAACAACAATCCACATTCACTATCCACGTCACCAACCTGAAGCTTAACGACAGCGTCTTGAACATCAAATCCACCGTTGGCCGCTAGAGTTTTCGGGATGATAAGAAGAGCCTCCGCAAACGCCTGAACGCCCATCTTTGTGCGGCCCTTGGCGTTCTTCTTCACAGGGCCGGAGAGATGAGCGGCGCAAGCCACCTCGAACGCACCAGCACCAGGAATAAGCGCATTGTCTTCGATCGCATTCTTTACCGCCCGCAGGCCATCACGCAATGCGTCCTGTGTCTGCTGAATCGTATGAGGGTTGGGACCCTTGATAAGGAGAGTGACACTCTTCGGTTCCTTAACATCCTCAATGAAGGTGAACTTCTCCTCGCCCAAAGTGTGCTCGTACACCAAACCGGCCCAACCGAGAATATCAGGAGTCAGGTCATCGACGGAATTTGAAGCGGTACCACCACAGACAAGTTGTAATCTGCATGATACGTAAGTTCATCGGATTGCTATAACTTAGCGATACCATGTTACGCACCGTTCCATGTTTCGTCGTTTCGCTCGACGAAGAGCCAGAATGCCATTCTTGGCAAAGATGTCCAAGCTGAGCGGATCAATACCCTTCTGGTTGATTATGACGAAGTTCTTTGGCTTTTCATTGGAGTCGACGGCCTGGTCGCATACGAGTCTCTTCAGTTCAACGATTTTTCTGCACTTCTCATCCGTGAAACGCCTTTCTGACTCTACGAGCTTTTCTCGTTGTTCAGCTGATGAATAGAAGAACCCTGAGTTGACCTCCCTATAATACGACTATTGAGCGAAAGGGGATAGAGCAAAAGAATGTGTATGACGCACGTCTTTTCGTACTCCAGACTGACATTCAGAGTCAGGATGTACGCATTTTCCACGCGTCTGGGCATATCAGGATGCCTTGCACCGTGGTCCAAGACAAGACCTCGGACGAGCTGCGTTTCAGCTGCTGTCCTATGTTGCATCTTCATGATTTCAACCATATGGAGATCAATAGGTTCTTGGTACTGATCCTTCGCATCTGTTGGGTTCGTTAGGATGTGAAGACAACAACAGAACTGAAACGCGAACCTTTCGGTGGAGGTGGTGGGCGAATAGTGAGAACAGCATCGACTACATCGGCAGCAAGCTTCTTTGCAAGGGCATTGTTAATTTTGGTAGCAAGAGAGGTATAGGCGACATTGATGAGTGTAGGGCGATCCAAAGTGACTGATCGCTTGAAGCTTTCCAAGAACTTCAGGGTGTCAATATTTGCGCTGTTAGGCACGTGTATGAGATATGGTTACTCACAGCCAAAGCCTCTTTCTTAGCCACATCAAAACCTTCACCGATTACTGTCGGGTGTACACCTTCAGAAATGTAACGATCGGCCTGTTTCAACAGCTCTCCGACCAATAGAACAACGGATGTCGTCCCATCTCCAACCTGTTCATCCTGGGCAACAGCAGTTCTAGCAATCATAGCGGCGGTCGGGTTTTGGATCTGCATCTCTGAGAGCAAGACCTTGCCATCCTTCGTCATTTTGATTTGCCCAGCACCGTCTACAAGCATTTTGAGGGTTCCTCTTGGTCCTGATGTAAAGTCCGGTGTTAGACAAAGTTATAAGTCAGAGCTACGCGGCATACCCAAATTGCTCTTCACGACACTCGCGAGACCCATCGCTCCGGTCGTGTTGACCTGATTGCCAGTCAATAAGATATATACATTGCAGGATCCGCTTCAAGCAACATACCTGGAGCGCTGCGGCTCTCCTCACGCTCTCCGCCTTAGGATTAATAAGTTCGATACTGGAGGACATATTGGTCGAGCTGCAGAATGATGTTCACAGAAAGAAAGGGTTGATCATTGAAGGTACGACGCGCGTTACGTAATGGCTACTTGTATAGGGTTTAGTTAAGACGTAAGTAAATTCGTACTCTTCAATAGAAAGCTTTCTTATCACCCTACCAATATCAATCACAAGTTTGTAGACCGTTCTAGCACTCTATTGCATAGGTTTGTTAGGTAGCCTCTAGTGCTCTAGATGTCAATCTGGAAGGGTTTCTCGACTTACTGTATGTCTTCGGTGTTGTCATCTCTCATTAGACTCAGACCACGACCTACAAATCTTCTTCGTTTGCTCTGGTGCTTGCTACTCGTCTGGTACGAGATCGGCACATTCTACCACCATGTCTCCCAGTGTACATGGCCTGACTCTCGGCTGGACTCGTTAGATGTCGTACGTCGCTCTCATACTCTGAACTACTATTATTTAAAATCTCGTAGCCGGAAGCTTCGAATGTGACCGAGCCTACTCATGTCTTGTTGGTGGCAGATCCCCAGATTCTTGACCAACGATCGTACCCAGGTCGTGACCCAGCTCTCATGTGGCTTACACAAAGAATCGTGGATATGAATATGAGGAGAAGCTGGCGAGCTACCCAAACTCTCCACCCGGACGTTGTTGTGTTTCTCGGTGACATGATGGACGGAGGACGTTTCGCTATGTCCGATCCTGAGTGCGTGCGCACTGTCATTCTCGAAAGCTGTATCATAACACTAACGTTGACTTGGCATGTCAGATATGAGTCTTACTACAACAGGTTCAAGGACATATTCTTTATGAAAAAGGATATACCCGTGTTTTATATACCCGGGAACCATGACATTGGGTAAGAAGCCACTATGTCCTTCTGTCTCGGTTTCTCTGATTATGCAAGGTGAAGTTTAGGCAACTCAGGTGCATTTTCTTCCAATGCATATGATCGCTACCAGAAGCATTTCGGCCCTCTCAATCAAAACGTAGAGATTGCGAATCACTCTTTCGTAATGGTCAATGCACCGGGACTTGTTGATGAAGATAATGATCGAGCCATGAAAGGTGTTTCCTATGCACGATGGGCAGCGGCTATGCCTGGCGGACCAATTGAGTTCGTGTACTCCACAGGTGGACGTATGTTATATGCTCTTATTGTGATATCTCTCATTGACGCAAGGTCAAAAGACGCAGGCCATTCTGAGACTCCAACAATTCTATTGACTCATATCCCCCTTGCTCGTCCCGAAGGTTCAGATTGTGGTCCCTTGCGAGAGAAATGGACCATCCACCAGGGTGTGGGATTCGGCTACCAAAACACTCTCAGCGACGAAGCATCCGAGTTTGTGCTTCAGGCTCTAAAGCCCTCTGCCATCTTCAGGTAAGTTCTCTTTCTGGAGTTACTTCTCAGTCTTGAACAGGACTGAAGAAGCCTTCAGCGGAGATGACCATGATTACTGTGGATATTGGCACACTTTACCGGGGTCTAACGGACGTACAGTCAAGGAAGTCTCTGTGAAATCATTTTCCATGGCCATGGGTGTGAAAGTTCCAGGCTTTCAACTCCTCTCGTTATTCCCCGCTTCGTATTCGGGCAAAGAATCCTTCCAAGACATACCATGTTTTCTGCCCAACCAGAATAGGATTTACCTTAGCATCTACGTGCCGCTGGTGTTCTTCAGCTTGCTGTCGTTATTAGTGTCAAACTTCCATCGTGTGAAGGCTCTCGACAACTCGCAGACGTACTGGAACTCATCTGGCACAGATGCGATGGAATCATGGGCTGAAGGAAGGGCATATCTGGACGCGGGAGCATGGCGTGCTACGACACCTACGTCTATTGACGAGCAGGTGCCTTTGCGAAAAGTCAGCGAGGCACCAAACGAGGATGAAGATGACGAAGCCTACTCCCTTCCAGTTCCTGGGTCCAGCGCACGTCGTGCCTTTGCGCGTTCACGTACCTGTTCCAAATCGTGGTCATTCATTCTCTGGGGTCGACGTCGGCATATGACACTCGATAGTTCGTGCCTGTCATCAGTCCTTTCACCATTCTTCTACCAGGACGGACGAAACCCAATGGACTATAGGCGGAGTCGAGCAGGCTTCTTTCGTGGGGTATTCAGGGACGTTTTCGATGTTGCTTGGCCAGCTCTTGTACTATTTGTGTTACTTGCGTGGTGGACGTTCCTGTAGGGAAGTATGGACATTGTACTTATTCAGCCTTCAAGGGGATTGTAGGTCTATTTATTGAGGTTTCGGATCAGGATCATCTTTTTACTTTGACACGATGATCGACACCGTGTGCTTGAATCAGAGGCACAGGCACTGACGTTTTTAGTGGTGAAGCATCAACAGGAGTACAAGTCCGACAGGTTCTTCAAGGTTTTGCTCCACTCATATCGTGGATTAGGTCTGGACTGTTCTGCTCCAAACAGCGTCCGAACAGAAAAGCCCTATCATAGACTTTCAGAAACAAAAATGCCGTATTCAGTGGCTGAACAGCGCTTTAGAAGAACAGTATGGCATTGGTAAGGCAATAAGGAGGCTCTATCGGCGGCATTGATGCAGGAGCACACGTTCCGCTATGCACGAGTCAGCCTCACTCTAAGAGTTTCGGCGGTCTACAGAAGTCAAAACCTGACAGACAACGGAGAAAGCTCGCCTATTGGACCGGTACGTATGGGGCGGAGTTCGGCGCAAGCACGAAGTGAAGTGCTTCCTTATCGAGCTTGGAAGTAGGATTTCTTAGGCAACGTTATCGAGAAGGGGACGTCTTGGAAAGCGAGTTGAAGCAAAAGGATGAGGATAACGGCAGCATCACCGAGGGTGATAAGTGAGACGGAAGGTTTGACGGGCGGTGTTGCATATAGCACTGTATCAACGCGCGTGCCTAGACCAACAGAAGGGTTCTGCACGCCGGAGCCGGTATATTAGAGGAGTGTTGGGTCGGATGGAATAACTACATAAGGAGAGGAAGCTGGGGACCCCCCGTACATACAGTATATCTGCAGGGCAACCTGGCCCGTTCGTCGGTGAATGCACGCACGTTTATCGACGTGCCCTACCACATCAACTCCGTCGTCGTCGCCTATCGCACGACTTTCGTTTGCAGTCGACGGACCAATAAACGGAAGAGAGGCCATTGGAAACGGATCGCTTCTGAGCGGAGGATTGTTCGCCCAGCGGAAATCGATCTGCGAACCCATCTACGAGGAGCCATCGACCACCTCGGACTTGGCCGCCGTCGACAATCTCGAAGTATATAAACGTCAACATCGTCCTCGCCCCAAAGTCTCAAGGACCCAGTCCGCTCCCCAGCTCATCTCCACCAACACCACTTTGCCCGTCTACATCAACCACTCCAGGCATGTCTCTCTTTGCCTTTCGACCGCATCCTACTCATCGTCCTGCAGCATGTCCGAATCACTGATGCCCAAGAGCGACTCCTTCAGTGCTCGTGTACGTGGCAGCAGCCACATCGACTTCAAGACTGCAACTACTGGCGTTGCTGCAAAGGCCATGCGCAATGAGCTCAGCAACCTTGTCAACACCGTCAAGGAACCCGAGACGAAGAAGGTGCGTCCTACACATCGCATATACTCAAGATCGCGCACTGATTTCGCTTCTGCTAGGCTTTCGACACTGAAATGCAATCCTTTTTCTATCTTTTCACTCGTTATCTTTCGGAACGTGCAAAGAGCCAGGACCTGTACGTCTCGCTTCTGATATGTTTTGTCACCATCGCGTAACCATTTTCTCCAGAAACTGGGACCACATCAAGTCCCCTTCAGAAGACAAGATTGTTCCTTACAGCAAACTTCCTTCGGGTGAGACCAAGAACCTCAACAAGCTTGCAGTTCTTAAGGTCAATGGTGGTCTTGGAACATCAATGGGTAGGCTTCTTCCGTCATCTTTCTGTCTACTCGATTCTTAATGCGCATATAGGCATGACTGGTGCAAAGTCTGCGTTGGAGGTCAAGGATGACATGACGTTCCTCGACCTTACTGTCCGTCAAATCGAGCACCTCAACACCACTAACCGCGTTGATGTCCCCCTGATCTTGATGACATCATTCAATACACACGACGATACCCTCCGTATCATCAAGAAATATGCCAACCAGCAACTTCGCATCACCACCTTCAACCAGTCGCGTTATCCTCGTATCTTTAAGGAGACGCTCTTGCCATGCCCGAAGAGTGCTGATGATGACAAGAAGAACTGGTACCCACCCGGTCACGGTGACTTGTACAACGCGCTCTATCAATCCGGTGTTCTCGACCAGCTTTTAGCGGAAGGCAAGGAATACCTGTTTGCGTCAAACTCTGACAACTTGGGCGCTGTGTAAGTCGCTTATTTGATTTGATTTATTTCCCTCCACTCACCTTGTCGAAGTGTCGATGACAAGATCCTCCAACATATGATCGACTCCAGGTCAGAGTTCATCATGGAGGTTACGGACAAGACCAAGGCTGATATCAAAGTATGCATTTGTAAAGTGTTATTTACGATAATAGTCTGATGGCATTCGTTTTAGGGTGGTACTCTTATCGAGTACGATGACACCATTCGTCTTCTGGAAGTTGCCCAAGTTGCTTCAGAACATATCGAGGACTTCAAGTCTATCCGCAAGTTCAAGATCTTTAACACTAACAACTTGTGGATCAACTTGAAAGGTTTGCCTTTTGATCGTTTCGCGGCTCGATTGCCTTCTGATGTCTTTCTGCAGCACTCAAACGCATCATGGAGCTGGGTGAGATGGAGCTTGACATCATTCTCAACCCCAAGACGACCGATGACGGCCAAGCTGTCATTCAGGTAAGTTGCTTCACTATCATCGTTTTGATCAGCTTTCACTCACCATCATGCTTAGCTCGAGACTGCGGCTGGTGCTGCCATCAAGCACTTCAACAACGCTCATGGTGTGAACGTTCCCCGAAGCCGTTTCCTGCCTGTGAAGAGTTGTTCCGACCTGCTCCTGATCAAGAGTGACATCTACTCGCTACAACATGGTCAGCTTGTCATCAACGAGCAACGGATGTTCGAGACAACTCCCGTTATCAAACTCGGCGACCATTTCAAGAAGATCGCGCAATTCCAGAAACGGTTCAAGAAGATCCCCAAGATTCTCGAGTTGGATCATTTGACTGTTACTGGCGACGTATATTTCGGCAGGAATGTCACCCTGCGTGGTACCGTCATCGGTATGTGTGATTCCCTGTGGTGTCCCCCATTACCGCCTAACCTCGTCTTTGTAGTTGTCGCCAACGAGGGTCAACGAATCGATATCCCCGATGGCTGTATTCTAGAGAACAGTAAGTTCGTCTGGTTTCGTACTTCGACCAGCTCTCACAATCTTTCGATCTTGCAGGGCTGCTCTCTGGAAACCTGAATATGATTGAACTATAAACTATAGTAATACTTTATAATACTTGGTCTGGCCATTTGTAGCCTGAAAATCTTGGAATTCGGATGGACTCTATGCTTTTCTATGTTACTTCTCTGGCGTCTCGCATTTCGTCGACGGCTCTATTACGATCTTGGGTTTTCCTTAGATAGACTACTGGAGAGAATATGATACAATCACCCACTAAATGTTCGCGCTGCTGTAGCATTCATTTGTCTACATCGTGCGCAAAGTTAGAATTCGTTACTTATGACACACTGTCAGGCAGAGATGTCCTGAGGCACGAAGATTGCGTCTAGAGACAAAGTAGGTTGTGAACTGGACCACCATTCGCTGGCCAGTAAACGTTTTTGAGACTCCTTAGCGTGGTTCCGCCTTAATTGACGGGGCAGTTTCTCATCGACTCAAATTTACGAGCCAAGGATGCATCTGTCCCAGTGGAGGGTGCGCGCCCCGTCGATCTCGAAGGCCTGCGCCTTTAATTGGACCTGTTGACGTGACGGCGGGATTTCCTCATTGAGGTAACCCGCTCTCTGTAGACGCCCATTGTTAACCTTCTCAGTTGACCGTGACTTCAACGATCCTGTATCGTTAATTAGCGCAGTATGGCGTCCTCGCATATCCTGGGGGTAAGCAAGACTGATTCTTTGGACCATATGAATAGGTAATTGACTTAGATTCATCATCCAGTATAGTAAAAGTAGTCGTGCTGCTTGCCATGGACCCCCGCCTTGTAAAGGGAGCACCATTAAGGCTGGAGTAATTAGGTATGGTTATGTCAATCAAGGACCGTACGCACAGACAGTAGAATGGCGCCATTGGTATGCAAGGCTTCTTAGACAGCGTGTGAACTCAATTCTCATGCTCTTTATTTGAAGGGGTTGTGTGACGCCAGACATACTAAACAGACTCGCGCATATTCAACTTGAAGAAGTTCGAGGCTTCGAAGACTTGTCGTATGTGTTTAATGACGCGTCATGGCTCGCGTTCCCTCACCTTTTCAATTAGGACACAAGACCAGAATAAGATCAAGATTGCAGTAGGTCTTCGTAGGGTGGATCCTGCGGATGTACCAGCTAGTGCCAAACCCGAGCCCGCTCCTCAAGCCCAGGCTGCAAAACAAGCAAATGGCGCTTCTACAAGTGCTGGTCCAAGTCAAAAGAAACGCAAGGCAACATTCGAAACTCAATCCGGACCTTCCTCGTCTCAGCCGTCTTCGTCTCAACCCTCGGCTTCTCAGAGCAGGTCTCCTGTTTCTCGTGGGCTCCGTCGGATAACTGTACCGACTGCTACCCAACTTGCTGAAGATGAGATTATTGAGGATACGGGACCGGAGGAAGTCATTGACGAGTTGTACTGTTCTTTGAAGACCAGTATCGTTGGAGTTCAATATTACAAAGGTGTGTAATCTCTGTATGCTGTTTTTCTCACTGCTATAACTGCGTTCGTAGGTCTCGTCGGCTCCGGCGAAGAGGTTAGGCTTGTACGCGAGCCGCACAATAAATACGACCGCAATGCTATCAAGGTCGAGAACATTGGCGGGACACAAGTGGGACATGTTCCACGCAACGTTGCTGCCAAACTTGCACCCTTAATGGACCAAGGCATGGTCACAGTAGAAGGCATGATGCATGAAGGCAACTGTATGCTGTTCAAATTTGCTGTCGAACTGGAGTGCTCCAGCTTATATTCTTCTTACAGTGCAAGGATTCAGCTATAGTCTGTCAATGTAAGTGTCACCTCTCGCAATCACTTTAATAGATGGACGTCCATTGATGATCATGATGTAGGACCATCAAGATATATGGCGCAGCTGACAAAAGACATATCTTGGAACCCAAGCTCGTATGGGCGACACCCGGTCAACGCGGATTTACCTCCACTCGTGATGGTGCATCGTCGTCGAAAGTCGCGCGTCGAGGCGCGTCGAGCGCATCTGCGGGCCCTTCTGCAGGCCCGTCTGCAGCTTCCATTGTGGCTGGCCCTTTGTATGCATCTTCTTCACAGTCATACGCATCTGCAGTTGCACGTCCCGTCGTTGCCCAGTCAGCTGCTCAACTGGAGGCTGCTCAAAAGCAAGCTGAGGCCCTGGCCAGAGCAGCTGAATTGCGCGATATACTGAATAATCTCGAGAAAGTAGATGATGAGGGTAGACGGAGTGGCCTATTGGATACTTTGTGCTCCACAGGCGACGTTTTGAACTTACCGCAGCACGAAAACCCTCCGGGTCTCGCGACTGGTGATCTTAAAGTCAATTTGCTGAAGCATCAGGTAACATGGTTGCGGACTTGTATGAAGACCGATAGTCTGATGACCTTCCTATAGAGTCAAGCCTTAAAGTGGTGTATCGAGCATGAATACCCCGTTCTACCTCAACTGGAGTCGGACAAACCGGTACAGTTCTGGCAACTGAGGAAAGCTGGTGGCAAGGTGTGTTCCTTCTGGATGTGGAAATGCTATATTCACTAACTTTAACTCATCAGACCTTCTACTTCAATTGTGAGTCATACGTTTGTGACAGTCATTGTGCCTTCTCGTGGTCTTATACCTTTCCCAGTGGCTACGAAGACTCCTCAAATGGCGCCTCCGCCTTTGGGTAGAGGAGCTCTGTGTGCGGACAGCATGGGTCTGGTTAGTATCTTTCACACCCATAATCTGTGTTCGCCTTTTGACCGTCTTATCCAATAATATAGGGTAAAACCTTGACTATGCTTTCGTTGATTCTCGCAACCAAAGCGGACGTCCCGAAGGTTTTCTCTCGATGTAGCTTGATCGTTGTGCCCCTTTCTGTCCTATCCAACTGGGAAAAGCAAATTGAGGACCACGTTCAGCCGAATGCCTTGACTTACTGCGTCTACTATGGCACTGGACGGAATCTTACTGACAAGGAGCTCCAACAGTATGACGTCGTAATTACAACCTACCAAACCGTCGTTGGAGAGCATGCGCCTGGTGTTGGCAAGGGCAATGGCGAAGGTCCAAGCAAGAAGAAGCAGAAAGTGCAGAGAACTTTGTTCGATATGAAATGGAAGGTACGGTCTGCGACTTGGTTATGTTGACTATCAGCCGTTCATATTAGCTATGATCGCAGAGAATCATTCTTGATGAAGGTCATAATATCCGGAATCCAAAGACCAAGATGGCGAAGGCTGTCAACGGTCTAGAAGCTGAACGCCGATGGGTGTTGACTGGTACTCCAATTGTAAGTGACTTCTATTGGAATAGTGGCCTGACTGCTCATCACCTTCTAGATCAATGCACCTCAGGTATCGTATTCTATGAGTTTTCAGTATAGCATTAATCTTACATGTCTTAGGACCTTGGCTCGATTCTTACATTCCTCCGCATTTGTCGCCCTTTGGATAACGAGGTGAGCGTGCACACTAAAGAATCAAAGGCTTGTATTAAGACCCAGTTAGGACTTCTTCAAACGCATGGTACTCCGTCCGCTCAAGAATGGAGACCCCAACGGCGCCGAACTGCTTCGGGTATGTTTCGAAACAAATGCTGTTCCTTGGCAATCCACTAATTACTTCGCCTTAGGCTCTTATGAGTCATGTTTGCATTCGCAGGACTAAAGAGGTGCGACTTTATTCCACTTTTGATTCTCGTATGAACGTTACTCACAGTGATCATTAGATGCAAGACAGCGACGGGAATCATCTCGTTCCTCTGCCTCCTGTAAGTCTTGAAATTTTTCAAGGTCTTGTAATTGTTCAATTTCTTTTGAACATAGGTCGAGATGACCGTGGTACCCGTAGCGTTGGAGGGACAAGCAAGGGTAAGCTTCAACCTGTGCAGACAACTTTTTTGCACTCACATCTTTGACAGGAAATGTATGATGCTATTCAAGAGCTTTCCACAGAACGTTTCAACAACCTGCTTCTAAAGCATGGTAGCGTTGGCTCTGCCGCGGTATGCTGCATTTGGCCTAACTTTACGCATTATAGGACCAGCTTAACTTGTTCCATATGCAGGTGCAGTCGAATGTCCTCAGTATGCTCACCCGGATGCGACAACTGGCGCTTCATCCTGGACTTCTTCCGGCCAACTACCTTGAACAACTTCGTGCTGCCAACGAGCTCGAGGATGAGATTTCTGCCCCTGTCATTAACCTGAAGCCCGAGGATAGAATTCGCTTGCAAGCCATACTTGCTCAGGCTATTGAAGATAACGAGGAATGCCCAATCTGCTTCAGTATCTTAATTGATCCTAGGATCACTACTTGCGCACATATGTTCTGTTTGGCCTGGTCAGCATGATGTCATCCCCTTCCAGTTCTTGCCGCTGATCTCATAATTCAGTATCTCTGAGGTCATCTTTCGTGACCCCAAATGCCCAATGGTCAGTATATTATTTCACACCGTCGTGATTTTTTTCTCACTCCGCGTGAATCTCCCAGGATCGACGGCCAATCACTACTGGAGATTTGGTTGAACCAGCACCGCCCACTGACCTCACACAAACCCCTGTTCTTCCATCGGATACAGAGGAAGAGGATTTGGACGGACTACGGTCAGGCTCTTCAGCCAAAATAGATCAGCTTGTCCATTTGCTGAAGTTGACGCCGCTGACCGAAAAGTCTCTTGTTTTCTCTCAATTCACTGGTTTCCTCGACAAGGTATGTCATCTTCTCATTAATTTAGGCTAGCATTGAAACCTTCCTAAGATCGCTGAAGTCCTTGAAAAAGAGGGGTACGTCCATCTTTGTGCTATCAATCCCAGCTATATCTGACCTCTTCCCTTCAGGATATCCTACGTGCGCTTTGATGGCAAGATGTCCGCTAGGTCGCGCCAGGAAACTCTAGCAAAATTCTCTATCCCAATCACCGACGAAGACGTCGCATCCATCCCAGCCACACAACCCTCGTCTGGTCGTCCGTCAAGGCAACGAATGCAATCCAGTCAGGCTGTTATCGACGTGGGCGCGGATGACACTAACGACGCCGACTTCGTCATGGCGGATGGCAGAGGTGATAGCGATTTTATTGATGACGAAGATGATGCTCCTTCTCCCGCTAAGAAACGCAAAGGCAAGAAGAAGGCAACTGTTAAGACTCGGTCATCCGGCACTCGAGTCTTGGATGGTTCGGCCTTCGAGGGAGAAAACCCACGGGTCATGTTGTTATCGCTGAAGGCTGGTGCTCTTGGTCTCAACTTAACAGTTGCCAATAACGTCTATCTGTGAGTATCATTGCAGTCAATTACGTTACGATCATTGCTCACATAACACTGTAGGATGGATCCGTACGTCTGACGGCTTACTGAGACATGCATTTTCAAAAGTCTGATTCCGCTATTTTATCAATCAGCTGGTGGCAGGAGGGTATCGAATCTCAAGCTATTGACCGATGCAATAGGTGTGCTGTACGCTGACGACCGATAGAGTATTGACTAACAATGTTATGTATTCTGTATAGGATTGGCCAGACGAAGCCTGTGCGGGTCTACCAACTCATCGCAGAGAATACTGTCGAGTCCAAAGTAGGTGCTTTCGAACTCGTAGCTGTGTGCTTCTTTAAGACTGGTACTTGGCTACAGGTCATCGATATTCAAGAGAAGAAAAAGCAGTTGATCAAACACGTTCGTCGTATCTCTCGTCGTTTCACTATGCTACGTCTGACGTGTCATTACAGGCTTTCTCTGGCATCAAAAGTCGAGAGACCCAACGTCAGAAGAAGGAGGCCAGACTCCAAGGTCAGTCACATATGCTTTGATGGTATATTTTGTTTGTACTGACTTCGTCCTAATCCAGAATTAATTGAGCTCTTCGGAGCACGACAAACTACCACTCAAGGTGCTGCCAATGATCAAGCAACGTTAGATGGCTGGCATGCAACCTAGAATGCTACTCAGGCTTATATTCCTTGATATTGCTTCTGCTTCATTTTCTTTGCAAATCGTGTTTTATCGGACAGATGTTATTGACATTCCTAGAATCCCCATGTAGAATGTTAGTACGGTCACCTACATTACAGGGCTGTGTCGTCCAGATATATCCGGATCGTTGTTGTATTATACTGTACATACCACATGTATTGAAACACAATATGCTATGCATGGTGCAATGGTCTCTGAAGTTCGAAAACAAAAAGGCATTGAAAGAGTACAATCAAGTCTCAACAAGGAGAGTACAAGCAGTTGTCCTAAAATACGTCCATGTCACCGTTCGACCTAACGTCACCGAAGTGTCCACAAAGTGAGAACTGTCCATAACAAGAAAGGAGGTAAGGCTACACTAATAATATCCGTCAGAAGAATTTTGACAAAGAGCGATTGACTAGATCGTCTTCCGACCACATCATGAGACGGAATCCAAAAGGTAAGGAGACGCCAGATAGCCGGAATTGTGATAGTCATGCGTCTGCGACGTCCTCGGAAAACAAATGTCCAAGAACGAGACCATTTCCACCAAGGCATTTTCATGCTTTGTCTCCCCGAAGATGATGCTTTGTTTAGTGGGTAAGGTGAAGGAATGTGCAGCGGTGACTCGTTCGGTGAGTTTATCATCTGGAACGAAGGCCCGGAAGATAGCAAATGCTCATCAAAATGTGTGTCTGTCGGGGAGGAGATGAAAGAAGAATCGATCGGCGACGAGGCATAAAGCGAAGCTCGCAACGATGGTGTTGTTGAAGTTGGCCTGAAATTGCCATGAGATGAGCTAGCGCTGACAGTTGGTGTCCGTAAAGGTGGAAGGAATGGGTCGTGAGGACTGGTCGGAAAGGTACTGTTACTTGTGGCAAAGTAAGGAGGTAGATTTTCCACTATGTCCCCATCCAAAGGAGGCCACTGATACGGTCCTTTATCTAGAAGGGCATCAGCGCTGTGGGAAGGCAGCGACGAACGGTGTTTAGGATATCTTCGTTGCCGATAGCTCGATATGAGCAGGATGAAGACTGTCAGAACGGCCAGAGGGAGATACCGGTCCCAGTAAACATGCACATGGTCGGGAAACAAACATGGTTTGTCATCAAACGACCGGACATGAGGTGGCACTGCGGAAGGATAGGCCACAGAAAGGAGGTGGAAGCCCGGATATCGTATGTGTTTTGTTGGCGAGAAGGATTTTACGGTGACTTCACGAACATGTGCACGATCGTTTGCACCTGGAAACGCAAGGGGATGCTCGTATTCACAGTAGTCTCGATCATCGCCGCTACGGATCAAAACATTCGTCTGATTAAGCACATAAACACTGTAACCCATACGAGTACAAACCTGAATATGAGGGATGGTTTAATTTCCCTGAGAAGAAACTCAGTCGTCTTCTTGCCAAAGGTGTTCTGGTAATTGGTCCCAACACCACGATGAATTGTACCTTTCTCGCGCAAAGGCCCGCAAGAAGCGAGTTCAGGCCGCGATAAGGGTATATGGGTGAACAGGATAACAGGGTCGTTCCCTTCGTCACCAGCTGGCGTACATCATCAGCTACTCTGAAAAAAAAATGGGAAGGGAGATCTCACCCTGTATATGGGCAATTGATTTCAGGAACTCGATAACTCCGTCAGGTTTCGGTTCCCACTCCTCGTATTCCAGAACCTTATCTGCCCTTTGGTAGTCTTCTTCAACTAGGCCAGGGGCGTCAAGTATTACGAAAGTGTGATTTGCGACAGTCACCCATCCGTTCATTGGGCCAAAGTGTTTAACATAATGATTGCGAGCAGTCCTCGCAGTTTTCCACTCTGTGCGAAGACTGACAACCATGAGTAAAGCGACAGTTGTGGAAGTAGAAATCAAACACACCCAACATCATCATTTCCAGGAGCGAAATATGCTTCCGCTGATTTCCCTATTTTGAAGACTCCTTTAAATCTTTGGATGTAGTTGGTATAACTGGGATTGCAAGTGAGACGAATACATCTAATCGAGGTTCAGAACACATACTTTTCATCCTCATGGACTCGATATCCAGAGGCCAGCATGTCACCTAAGAAGACAATTACGTTGGGTCGCATACTTGAAGCGAAACTCCAGTTTCTTCTCAAGGTCAGATCATACAGTCTATACCGGACACTGTCCAGAAACCTATGAGTAGTAGGCCTGAGCCGCACTTGAGCATCATCTATGATTAACACATGAGTAGGACGAGCTTCCTAATAGGAATTGACACAATCAGTTGAAGAGCAACGAGAATTTGAGGAGTTGTGACGACAAGGCCTTACCCGCGTAAATGAAGCATCCGGCCAGCGGCAGTCCCATAGACTATAGTAGAAGCTCCCGTACTCGAACCATAATACAAATAAGTACCAGGCAATTCGTAATTCTCTGACGAGGGACATCGAACGAATGATTTGCCGTTGTTTAAGCATTACACCCATTGCGAATGAAGATCCAAATGTGAAGCGCCAAGATCCTTCATGTAATCTGCGCAGGCCAGCAGCTGGTTGCCAGCGAGTCCTCGCAGTAGATCGTGGACGTTGAACGGAGACGAGCAGACCTCGTTTTCCCTGACTCGGTGATCTAAGTTCTGGACTAGCAGCCTTTTTATCATTTCGAAATTCGTCAGTGAGATTGACGCGCATTCTTTCCAGCGAACGTATAACTGGATTTGACATGAAGAGACATCCTAAACCGTCCACAAAAAATACTTGTTCTTTCAGAATGAAAGAAATGAAAAGCGACAATAAAACGGAACGCTGGAAGCAGGATTTGAACCTACGCGGGCAATGCCCAAGTGATAAATGAGAAATTCAAATCACTCGCCTTAACGACTCGGCCATTCCAGCTTGCAAAAGTCTCTCTAATTAAAATTAGAAAATAATAATTTAACTTGCTCCATGATGCCATCAGTGTATTCAGTTCTAACTTCTAAGTACGTAACTGTAAGTACGCACGCCGCACAGTAAAGTATTCAATGCGACGCTTGCACACTGCCCAGTGTAATATGGCCATCAATCAATTGGAAGTAACAAGAAATTGTATGAAATGACATGATTATGAATAAGTAGACGTTAGAAGGCAAGAAAAGCGACTCCTGAGTCAAGAGCCTACTATGGTTCCTTCTGACATGTTCAGGTGCCCGTACTATAATATTGCCACATCACGCCTGAAGAGAGTCAAACCATGATGCGTCGACCCACTTGACTTCTCCCATCCTTGATGCCGTCTGCGCGCGAAGGAAACGATGGGGGTTAAGGTCTAAACCTTTCCTAATGAAATAGACCGGTTTGACGCGATCATATTGCCGCGGATCGTAATACATGTCTAGTTCAGTGGGATTGTCGATGTCATGCCTATAAGACGACGAATTAGGGCACAAGAGTACTAGACCGTCAGGGATACTTACTCTTTTCTAAGATGCTCTACCAGGGAACTTCTGGTGCGCTTAGCATAGGAATACCATTTGAAGTTGAAAGTGCGCGGACAATGTGAACAGAACCAATGTTCAATAAAGTCCATTCTACGAGCTTCTCGATTCAATCTTGCAATTTCTTCCAGAGTAGCGACGTCAGCAAGGTATTCCAAAGGGACTTTCTCCCAGGAAGGTTGGCCAGTGCCACACTCGTAGCCACATATAGTATGTTCAATCTGTTGCGCTTTATGTGAAACTGCCTACAGCGAGTTGAAGAGTGACTCACAGCAGCACACCATGTATAAACTGTATAGACACCATCTTCTTGGCAGCTCCCGGTGCATCGAAGGCGTATATCCAAAGCATCCATTTCGTCGACAGTAACTCGCGCTGGATCCTGGTCACAAGCTTCAATGACTGGTCGAGCTTTATCCGCTAAGCTTTGTAACGTATCGAGAGTACGTGGAACACCACCTTCCAAGCGGGCTATGATGCCCTCGTAGGTATCCTCGGGAGCGGGGAATGAACGTGACTCCCACAAGCATCGATGGACCAGAATATTAGGGTAGGTAGCAGCATCCGAGTCGTAGCCGTACCTTACTTTCGCACAGCGGACACAATAAAAGTACTGAGATACTGCCAAGGAGAACACGTCGACGTCGGAAGGCAAGGCAATTTTGGAGCGGACCATCTGTGAAAGCTTGGAGCATCCGCGATTCCGCCATTGGCTTGAGAAATTGTAAAAACCTTTTTCTAGCGTCGAGAAATCTTCTTCAGTCGGTTCTGAAGTTGTGGGAGCGTCAATTAAAGAGGAGACTTCTGGCATGAGAAGGAGTTCCTGGGTGTAAGGGGTGATTGGACCAACAGTCCGTCGCCATGGAACAAGGGCTTCCCCAAGCTTTTTAATTCGGCGCGTGATTGCGGCCAACCGTTCTTTCTGCAGACGAGTTGCTCTTATGCCATCCATTACGCCGAGAACCTCGGCTTCCATGTTCTTCCAACCTAGTCGACAGTGTCCGAATTCCTGATTAATAAGTATTAAAAAAAGATGCCAAAACCACGCACCACGAGTGGTCAAAGGTCTAGCCTGCACCACCCTGGGTATCTTCAATAATGGATGGATGCCAGACCGATACAGGCGACAGGCATAGTCGAGGTCTTCTCCATAACCAAGATCGCGAAGGCGCTGTTCTACGCTATATTCCATTTGATGAGGTTCGGAAAAGTCCTTCAGCGACAACGGTAAATACTAAGGACTCGCCTGTTGAATCTATCCTGCCTTGTTTCTTCAATCTCTTTGCTACGAGCTTTCTTACGCATCTCGAACCACTTCTCATAGTCTGACGCAAACTTACGATAGCCATCACTGAGTAGTCTGTCTGCACTGTAGAATCGATTGAATAAACTTACGGCTAGAAGCTGTTTTCTGCGAGCAGTGTACTCAATTCTAAATTCTGCGCGATTCTCCGCAGGGGTTTGCCTCCATGCTTCCATTATTGCCTTGACGGATAGTTTGTGTCGGCGAATAGAATATGGAACATCCCCTGCAGTGAATATCAGCCCCTCCTCTCTGAATACTAATTCGTAAAAGATACGCACACCCCAGAAGATTGTCAGGGTCAGGTAGGGGGTTATCTCCGTATGCGTCAATACTTTCAGGAGAGACAAAGCAATAATACCTATGCATAACAAGCTCGCGAGTATGTGTATGTGAATGAATTGAGAATAATGTACGTGCACTTCGTTCATACAGGGCTGGCAATACCTTGCCTTTACTTCCCAATGTACAGTTTGAATATTCGGCTTCAGGCAGTTCTGGAATTTCGATGAGTATACCGTAACTTCGGATAATTTGCCATGACACACATGGCAATGGGCGTCGAAACACAGATTGGCATACGCGGGTTCACTGAGGAACGAAGGACAATCAGGTAGACCTTTTATATTCTCACGTGCGGCCCTCCAAAAACGAGCCGCAGTACGATCCACGAGGAGCTGTTTAAAAGGTTTCGAAGTCCTTGCGAGATTCAGTAAGTCCATGGGTTCTAAATATACAAAGACCTGAACAGAATGTCAGCGGCCACATACATAACAAGGTGGATTTGGTACCTCGAACAGAATATCTAGGGGCATTGCGGGCATGTCTCGAAGACTACCCCTCCGGCCACGCAAGTGGCGGGGTTGAATTAGCGGTTGGGCATCCTTATTGGTCTTGACTTTCGAGACATTATTGGCTGTCACCTTTATTCTTTTAGCCGAACGGCTACCTACTGCTTTCGTTCGTTTGTTGGCCATTGGGATGAGATGTAGCAAGTTGAATTCTGACTCGGAGGCCTGAACTCCAAATAAACGAACAATTGATCACGCGTGAGTTGCGCGTGAGCAACCACAAAGAACGCGATCAGGTGACGGATCAACGTCGCATGCATAAGGATAGAACAATAGGGCACCTGTGATACAACTATAATCTACAGACTAGTGATACTGTACTGTAAGTTGAAAGTTCAGAAAGAAACTGAGTTCCCCAGGAAACTTCAATTATTCGCACCTCCATAACATTTAGATTTTAAGAAGAAAATGTTGATATGGGCATGTGGTGTAGTTGGTTATCACGCTCGCTTAGCATGCGAGAGGGGTCCGGTTCAATCCCGGACATGTCCATCGTACTCAGGCATGTAACTAAACATGTATGTTTTTCTCTTTTGCTCGGGGAATTTTAGAATTTTACCACAAAAGATGTTCCTCGCAACAGATTGCGTGCAGCGCTGGGCCCAAGTGGCAGGTAAATCACTGTCGAGGTGCTGCGATATACTGTACTCACTCCAAAGGTGCAAACAAGACCATCGTACACAAGACATCTACTAGTTCATTCCCAATCACTATCTGCATCATCTTCCCGCGATCCCTTATCTTTTTCGGTCCGTTCAACTTTGGTTTCACCATTGGTGCTAACTTGAGAAGATACGACATCGTAGCTGTCTTCGCTGCTCTGCCGCCTTGAATCCTGCAAGTCAGGCGAGAGCAAATGATCGTCTGGCTTGTCCGATGTTGCCTTCAGCGTTGACAGACTTCCAGCCAAGTCAGAGCTACGCTCGATACCCTCGGCCTTGACATCCTGCAACTTTGGCTTGGCAGTTGTCGGGGACGTTGCTTCGTCCTCGTCATCTTCCCAACTGAAATCCTCCTCATTCTCGATCGTGCCTAAGGAAGAGATACATCAGTTCAAGATAAGAGCTTTGACTATGAATGTCAGTTACCTTGGATCAAGGCCTTTCTTCTTTCTTCCTCTTGTTCAACCTGGTGAACTCGGAAGAAATACCGCGTCCAGAACTCTTGCTCGGAGATATCTGAAGGTACTGGGGAACGGGAATTTTAAGCGAGCAGTTTTGGGGGAGAGCCCACTTTAGACGAACCTAGCGTATCTATCGTAGCCTTCAATGCCTCCCTATCGGCAGCGTCATCCAAAGCCGCCTGAATGGCGGTTTGCCATTCGTTCCCAGCTATCCCGCCTTCCTTTGTAGCCACCTTACCCTGTTTCCATGCCTCGAATAACTTGCTTGCCTTCTCATCCGCAGAGGGATCGACTCTGAGCACTTCAGGGTCATGCTTGAGCTGCTTTAGCAGCGCTTCCGCCCTAGTAGCAACGGCTCTGAGACCATCTATCGACGGTCTTCCGGAAGATGTGGAAGTGCGCTCTCGCTCCTTCCCTTTGCCCTTCGAAGTAGTGGATGACAGCCCCATTTCTGGCAACATCCAGATATCTGTGCCATCCCAGAGTGCACCAGCGGGAGCAACGGAACCGCCTTCCTCTGGTGGGACCACTTTAACAGCCTCCTTCAGGAATTCTCCAGCCTCACGTAGTAGGCTCTCGCTCTTATGTACATATTCCTCGGCCTGAGATCGTGTGACGCCTTGGACTCTTTGGAATTCCGAGGTAAGGGTGGTTCGCAACTGTGTAAAATCGATGGATGCTGGTTGCTTCAGCGCCTCGGGAAGCTGACTCTGAATGGTGGAAACTAGAGTCGGGGGTAGAGAAGCTTGTAGTCGTGAGAATAGATTCTGTGACTCTGAGCGAGTATGTCCGCTCTGTGAAGGACCTGCACTAGTAGAAGTATCCTGTTCGGGTGTAACTGTGTCATCTACAGACTCCTCCTGCGAGGTTTCCGGGATATGCTCCCCTGTTGATGTTTCATCTGTGTGACGAGGGGTGACTTCGGACGTTGATGTGGACGTAGGTATTTCCGAGGTGAGCTTAGTGATTTCGCTCTGCGCCTGAGATACAACCTCTGTCAGGTCTTTCTTGGCAGCCTCAAATGCAGCTTGACTCTGCGACAGATCGTTCATGTCACGTCGGCGGCGAATAGCTCTAACTAGTACCCACTTGTTTCCGGAAACCACCCCAGAATCTGCTCAGTTGGCCCACTACTTGGGTCACTTCCTCATTCAAGCTCTGCTCCGCCTGCTGTGTCTCAGCAGGAGGTGTAGTTGGAGTTGAGATGTCGTATGTGTCTAAGAAGTTCATCGGGTGTGATAGTGATTTGCGTCAAAGTGACCGTGCGGAGACGAAGACAACCAGTACTACTGCGCGCTTGGAGCAGTGATCGATCGCCGTCGTGCACGGCCAAAAATGTAAAGGGGGATAAGAACAGGAGGACTGTCTTTGGCAAATGATTATTCTACACGATATAGCTACGCATTAAGATGTATGGGTGGAAGGAAGCAGAATATACAGCCCAATCGGCTAAGTCATGGTGAGGCGACGTTACAGGATGCCACGATTCTGCATCTCTCCATTCAGAATCGAAGCTTGCGACGCTACAAGATACGATTGAAGAAATCAAGACCTGCTATATAATGGGACGGGCAGAAAGAGACGTACTCATCAAAGGACAGACAGGTGTAAACTTTCTCAAGGCGTTCAGGATTCTCACTAGTGAGTGGACCAAGGCCTGCCGTTGGTCAACAAATGCATCCCCGCCGAGTTGCGTGATGGATTCTAAGTGCACACATCAGCCTTGGTATCCACGATTATAGAGTATGGCTCACCAATTAGTGCCTGCCCTACTACCGTCCACAACATCTGCAGATAGGTCAGTCAGTATGGCCATAATGATCGAAACCACAAATAGGTAAAGAGCTTACGGCCATTATAGGGTCAAGGAATGAAAGATCTGCCAGGTTCACACAATCAAGGACGGCCACCGCGGCTCGAGCTGCAGATAAGTCTCGCCTGTCTAATATGCTATCGGCGATCTCGAACCTAGTATGAAGGCGTATAGCAGCAGCATGTGCGTAAGTATGGGTCACCAGGAGATCCATCGCTGTTTCAGGTGCCACTGGCGCTTCGAGGCTGTTAAGAGGCAAGAGCGTCTCTATGAAGTGACGAATTAAGTTATCAAGGCGCAAGACGTCCAAATAGAACGCATCGAAATTATGCATCGCTATTGAAAAAATCCGAGACCCCGATCAGCATGAGAGATTAAGGTACAACAGATATAAGACATACTTGGAGACCACTGGGATGCGAGTCGAGTCGCCTGTTCAAACAAAGCAGCAGATTTAGCACGGAGTGCTAGGGATGAGAGACCGTCACCGGAGAACTGAGGAGATGGATCGTTGAAGAACATGAATAAGGTGTTAGATCCTCGAAAATCAGCAGGTAGGCCGCGCTGTGATACTACTGTCAGACCTCGCAGAGCATGGAGGAACACCGAAGTGTGCGTACCTCTTCGTAAACAGACATTTCTACAGGCCATGGGGTATCGACCTGTACTCCGCCGAATACATCATTAGCCACGGCGCCCTGAGCAACCGACCAACTCCTGTCAAGTGTGTACACCGACCAGAAAGCGCAGATCCTCTCGCCTTCTTCTACAGCGTCTACGGGTGGAGGGAGATTGAAGCTTGTAGGTCGTGCAGTGTCGGCGCTTTCCACATCGGCTGTAGAACTTCGAATGCGATTCACTTTGCAGCTCATGGCGAGAGCAACGGCTGCACTGCAATGGTAAGTTCCTTCTAGATATCGGTTTTGACAGAAGAAATAGTTGGAAAGTAGGACCTCTGCTTGTATGATGTGAACTGCATTATGTTGAAGAGATGCAACCTGGGGGAGGGCATCGGAAATTGATTGAACTGCCCGGGCCAGTAACTTTGTTTCATAGGCTCTAATTGACGCATTCGTAGATAGACGTGATCCCCATAGCAGTGCCGCATCAAGCAGGCAAGGGGATAGTCGAGACCTACGCAGGGCAGCATCGGCCATGTATACTGCATCCAGGAAACGGGGTACATTTAGAAAGAATCCCAACTGAGATGCAAGGGGTACAAAGATGCTGACGCTGCGCACAATGTCAGAAATGATCATGGAATTCTCACAGTCATGCTCACAGTAACCGTATAACTGCTGGGTGAGGGTCCAATGCCCGATTGCTTGGTACCGCGATGTCTGAAGGATCAGATATGCTAGCACTTTCTCGCTCCCGAATCGGAGAACTTTGGGATTCAGAACCTTATATGGGACCAGGAAATCAGTATGTTATAACAAGACAAAAAAGTGCAGACATACCTCCAGAGGCTCCAGAAAGACGTGATGGTCTGGCAGACGTACTAGCAGTTGGAGGTGCCGCTTCTATTTGCCGTATGCGAGCCTCCAGCTGCGAAATATTGCGCTCAAGCACCTGGGTAGGGCTCAAGTTAGGCCCATCAGTGTACTCGCAATCCTATAGGAATGTATACTTGAGTAAAACGGGAAAAAGCAATCATGGGGAGAGGTACCAACATATTCTCGTTCCATATGGATACACTGTCCACAGACAGGCTTCACGCCATCGCACCTCTGCAAATTATCATAAGTACTATGAAGGATATAAGCGTCAGGCGAAAGCTCACCATCTTACGACGACGGCAGCTAAGGCATGCGCTTCCTCGGGGGACTCGGGTAGGAGCATCGCCAGCCCTGAACTGATGAGAAGACATTTCGTCAATGAAGTGAAATCTATGAGACGTTAAGAGAAGGGTATTTGTTGTGACAAGGGTGGGTATCTGCACTAAAGGACATCGCGCCTCCAAGAAGACTTATATGCGACCAGCGCTGTAAAACTTTTTGTCATTCCGCTCAGTGGATTACCGGAGTCATCCAACTGAGAGCTTAGGATATAGATCATAGTCCAAGATACCCCGAGTCCCACATTCGAGCGTGTAGTGTCTGAAACAACGACGACTTTGCTAGTCGCATCCCGAATTCAAGGGTGGCACTATGGTGGCTGGGCAAAGTCGGAGAACGAGCCTCCCGAAAACGTCAGCTTACCTAAGACGCGCATGCGGTGGGCCCTCTCGAGCGCCTGTCTCTCCGAGGATGTCTTCGGGTCGATAGACGGTGGGTTGGTCCCTACGTGATTCGCCTCTAGCCGCAACAAAGAAGTTAGAACGACCATACGAACCGCGCATCGGGGTAGAGACTCCGAGAAACCAATAATGGTCTTCTTTGACACCGCGAGATACTGCGTAATCGAGTTTGTGAATAAGCCTGTTAATTTGAGCCAGTCAATGCACCCTTGATCATCAATACACTGAAGGACTGATGGCAGGACGCCTTCTCGGAAGCCCTTACTATGGCTCGGGCAAAAATGAGCGGATGTGTTGATCAGCAAGTGTTATGTTTGTCTCATCCATGACGAGTCTTGTAATCGTATACCATCACTCTGCCGTTTGTGCAAAGGCAGCCTCATAGATAGACATTGTTATCTTCTCCGCGCAAGAGATAAGCAACGATGGGGAGTCAGAGCGTTTGTATCACAAGAAAGAAGCGGCGACACCAGTCCAAGCTAGAGGAATTAGCCTAAGACAGCTTGCGGTGAGCTAGAAAGATTCTGAAAAGATGATACAGTGAAGATCATATCTATGAGCTCACATAACGGCTTAAGTGTGCAGAGAGGCAGCATTAATGTCCACCACAACCTACGGACACGTTGGTCATGCAGAGCAATACGCAACAGAAGCGCACAGCCTCATGTTGCTTTGCTTGGTCCTATTTGGCAACAACCTCCAGGCTGATTCCATTTTGAAAATCTACGTCATTTAGCGTTAACCAATGGAGATGTAATAATAGAATGACTCCGGATGCCTCCGAGTGTTTTCCGGGACAGCGCGAGTCAGACGCATCATGAGCGTCGTGAGAGAGAAAATGTCAACGTGAACATTTAGTTGAGTCAGTAAGTTTGTATTGTATAGAAAAGAAGTTTGGCGATATTCGGACTAGACAAACGCCGAAGGATTCGGAGGCATGCGACAAATAGATTCATAGTCTTACATCGCATCCGAATCATTGCGAATCGAGAAGATTGCATGCCAAAGCATATGTAATGCTTTCCTATTTTCTTCGTAGGGATTTCGTCAGCAAGCATCCTGAGTAACGGAATTCGGAATTCGTACTATGGGTGTGACGTTCCCTGACGTCCGCGCAGATTCTAGAACAGTCCTACTACCTTGTACCATATTTAGGCAAAGTTTATATCTGACCATACTCGGCCCTCTCGAAGAGTAGCAATTCTCTAAGATTCTAGAAAATGAAAACACATCGCATCCAGTAACAAGATTCGCAGCGGCGGTTAGGGTGCAAGAGGAGTGACTGGGCATGAGACTACCTATACGCCGTCGGAGAAGCTGAGCGAATTGAAACTGCACGTCCGAGGACTTCGGAAAGAAGTTTCGATCCAGGCGAACAGTGAGAAGATCTTTCTTTCCGGCAACTCCATTTGTAATGCCTGTAGTAAAGTGGCAAACTATTCAGAGCATCAATGCCTGTTCCTCAAGACCGACAGGCATCACATATTAGCATGTACTGTGTTCAAGTTGTTCTGGTGAAGCGTATCTTGGGGGGGGGGGAGGATGGATGAAAGTGGGCTGTAATGACGATGTTGCCTGCGCAGAGCAGGGTTGTATCCTCTGGCGATATTGCTAACGGACGTATGAACATGTAGGTGCGGTCAAGTGGATATGAGTAAGCGAGCACCGATTTCTGACCAACTATCCCTTCATCGAAACGGGTCTACCTAACCTTATAACCACAACTGGGAAGAGAAAGTGACGGTCGGCCTCAACTTGGGTTAGCGCTTCAAGCTTCACTGAGAGTGGTCGCCTATCACCATGATCGATAGTTGCAATAGCAGATGGCAGCTTAACCACGAACCACGCAGTCAGTCGAGTGGTAAAGTGTGCGTCAGTACGCTCAACCGATACAACTAGCCCATCCACGTACTGAACACATTACTTGTAGATCTAGGCCCAACTAATATTGTCCATAGCTATTGAGGAACCCAGGAACGTGCCTGCGAGTGCGATGGATACGAAACTGCCGCAGGAATTGATAGATTACATCATCGACTATCTCCATGGCGAGAAAACCTCTCTTCTGTGGTGCTCTCTTGTTGGCAAGGCATGGACTGCTTCGTCCCACTACCACCTTTTCCATACAATTTCCTTTGACTACCCTATGACGAATTTGCCTGGCCAGTGCTCGGCTTTCGCAGCCCTCCTCGTTCATACTCTCGATGCCTTCCTCACGTCACACTTGACCAAACGTATTCGTCATTACGTTCGAGAGTTACATCTGAAAGCCAGGGAATATACATTCGAAGTTGGTCCGGCTCTTAGAGCCCTCCCGTTGTCGGTCTTGCAATCCGTTTTTGATCAACTTCCTTCCATGCACACACTCGAGTTGGACGGCATCAATCCTCCAAATCCCTCCGAGTACCTTGGTCAACAACACACTAGACCAAAACTTCGCACCCTTCGATTGCTCGACCAAAGCTATCAACCCCACTTCACGTCCCTCCTGAGCTTTATCGAGCAAATAGATCTTCTGAAGGTGTCCGCAGCTGTGTGGCTCATGCGTCAAGGTCCTGCCACATTTGAAAATTGGTTCCTCGGACCTCGTCCGCACATAATAGGTCTGCACATAATTGGTTGGGAAGTTGAATAGTTATACACATACCTAGAACCTTCCTGTCAAGCGCTCAGAGTCTTCGAAGTGTCTGCCGCGTTTCTCAATGAAGATGAAATGAATGCTATAGGGTCATTCATCAGCGCTTCCAGAGATACACTTGAGCATTTGTGCATCTCGCTGATCGCAATTACACTTCCAGACAGTACGTGCTTCCGAGTATATTGATATTCATCATCAAATGCAGATATTAACATCCGAACGGTTCCAGCGTTGTCAGACCTCTCGTCAATGTCCAGATACAACATATCCTCTTGCACCAAGCTTATCGAATTCAACGTTATTCTTGGTATTGCTGTGTTTCCCGCAGCATTCTCTGCATCGAGTACAGCATGGAAATGCACTACCGAGTTATTTTTGAAACTCACTCCTCATATACGTCGAATAACCGTCAAACTTTCTGGATTCAGACATCGATACTCATATTCTCCGGATCCCATCGGAATCATGGAGGCGTGCGATTGGCAGTGCTGGGATCAGCTCTTCAGGACTTTTGAAGAGTTGGAGATGATCACTTTCTCAGATGTAGAGAACGGACACCGGCTCCCAGATGACATCAGGCACTTTGTCATAGCCCATTTGCCAGTGACACATGCTGCTGGACAGTTACGAATATGATGCATTCTTGTTCCTCTTATGGTAAGCACGAAGCCCTTGATGTGTCGATGTTGATGGTATTATTAATTTCAGAGACATTGTTCCTCTATACTTGCCTTCATGAGGCGCGGTAGTGTTAGGCCATACAATTCGTCTGTATCTTTAGACAACCTAGAACGCAAGTTATCGTACACTTATCAATCACAAATTGTACATTGTTATCATGCTGTTCCATCCCTAGGCGTATTGCACTCATGCTCAACCAGATTTCAGGTCCTTCGCCCATACAAGTCAATTTAGTGGCCCAGGACAGGAGAAGGCTTGTATGCTTCCTCCAAGAACTTGATCTCGTCCTCTGAAAGTGTAATATGGACAGCACCTGGCGACCATACATGTTAAACGACCCAAGTCAGATGCATCAGTATTACGCACCGATGAGATCCTCCAAGTTCTTCAAGCTGGTGGTCCCTACAATCGGAGCGGTCACCCCTACGAACAGCAAATTCAGCCAAAGCCACAGCCTGAGGGATAGAAATGAAAGACATACCGTCTTTGGCCAAAACCCAGGCAGTAGCAATCTGCGCCATACTGACACCCTTTTTCTTGGATAATTCCTCGACACTGCAAATGAAAAGTTCGAATAGGACAAGAAGATCAGTTATAGAGAACACTGACCTGTTCACGACACCCTCGCCTCCGGGGCTACTCTTGTACAGGTTGAACCACCTAACAAAATGTGGTTCATTATGAATGAAACGAAAGTATGATTGCTCTGAGACGTACACGTCGCTTTCGGATCGTTTGGTTGAGACACTGAGGGGGCGAGTGAGGAACCCGCGAGCGAGCGGAGACCAGGGAATTGAGCCAACGCCGAACATCTGCATCCCAAAAAACGTCGGTCATAGACCAAAGAACTAACCCTGTTGAAAACGGACCTTCAGAGTGGGGAACATCTCACGTTCCTCTTCACGATAAGCCAGGTTATAGTGGTTCTGCATGGATATGAAAGGTGTGAGATTGTGAGAGATGGCGTAGTCTGCAGGGAAATCATGAGTCATTATTCTCTGGACTGTAATTGGGAAACTTGAGATACGTACTTTGCATAGCATGGACTGTAGACCAGAAGAGATGCGCGTTGAATGAAGGATTATTGGGGTGGAGGGAAGGACAGGAACATACATTGATAGGCGTAGCAAGAACTCATTCCAATGTACCGAACCCATCCAGCCTGAACGACATCGTGAAGAGCTTGCATGGTCTCTTCGATTGGTGTGTTCGGGTCGAACCTATGGCCTATTAAACAAAGAATTCACAAAATGAAACTGCTAATCAGACTTCGAGTGATCGTATACTTGCTTACATTGAAGAACGTCAATATAGTCAAGCTGAAGGCGTTCCAAACTGTGTTTGACGGAGTCAAAGATATGCTATAAATGATCGCATAAGCATGAACCAATGGCGATGAAGGACTAAAGGTTGCGAAACGACCAACCTTGCGGCTCAAGCCGTGTTGGTTGACCAGTCCAATTTCGTCAGGGTTCAAGCCGAAGGTGTTTCTTTTGGCATTGCCTACGGGGAAGAAAACCTAATTGAACGCATGTACCCCAAGTCAACGGAGTTACAGTCTCCATATACCGTAGCTCTAGGAATCAAACCTTGGTCATAATCACGAGCTCGTCCCGAGGAAGTTTGAGTTCTTTGATAGCCTTGCCTAGGAGAACCTCAGATTGTCCATTTGAGTATACCTAGAGACACGTATTCTTAGTAATGACGACGTGGGGAAAATGCAGACGGGCGTACATTCGCGGTATCGAAAGTCTGGATTCCGTGGTCGTATGCAAACTTAATGTGTTTGAAGACCTCTTGCTCGTCTTCAATGACCCAATCAGCCCACTCAGAGGAGCCGTAGGACATGCAGCCCAATATGATCTTGGATACTTTCAAACCAGATTTGCCCAGACGGACTAAGCGTATATAAGCAGATTAGTTTTGGCACACAGACACCACGATGATCAAAACAGACTCACCATAAGGGACCTTCTTAGTTTCTGACGACATGGTGATGGACTTTTGAGTCGCGAATGTGATTGAGGAAGAGAATGTTGGGAAGGTTGGTGGGAGACTCAGGCTCTTATATATATTCCCAAGGCGCGACTTCGCGTTCTTTCTCAGGACCTATATATATTCTGAATATATGCATTCGGTCATCGCAACAACTCAATGTCAGTCATGGTCCGATCTAAGTGATTCGCCGCACTAAACATCGAAGATATGTTAGTCAGAGCATGGGAATGGAACGTTGATAAGAATAACTGTTGCGGCACGGGGGATGTGCGTAGACCTGCGGCGGGGGGCCTAGCAAAGCTTGCGTATACCTGCGGCAGGTATATCAGCAGACCCGATATGCTCGGCAGCTAGCTGTTCTTATTCATGACCAGTTGCTTCATTGGTGGAGCGGTCCACGAGGCTGTGGCAAGTTTTGATTACTGGCGAACATGTACCTGTAATCTAGACTGTACTAGTACTTGTTGGAATATAGGATGAAGCGGCGAGCGTCGCTGTGTGCAAGGAATGAGAGGAGCGGGACGGAGTCCCGCGTGCTTGGCAATTCTTCGTATAAAAGTAGTTACTTACTTTGTATGTACCCCATCCGTTTGCCTCAGAGCTCAACGAGGTCAAACGTACCGACTCGCTTTCCTCCCGCGCGACGTGTATTTCAATAGTACTCGATCGATTGCCAGTAATTGCACAGCTCATTTACTGTACAACAGTGCGTATTCAACGACATTGACTCAGTGTTCTCCACAATCCACAAGTATGAAAGCAGGCGTCGTGCAAGTAGTAGCCCACAAAGCTCGCCATCTGGGATGTGAGCAACGGTGTTTCGTTTCGCCTTGGTGCCGCTGTGTTCGACCAAACTGTTCATTTTGTCCATCTGGAAGCTCCCCAGTGGACGGATGCCCCCCACTCTTCTAGTTGTCAAAACATGGCGTTTCATCCAACTACCACAAGCGTTACCTTTTGGTTATATTTGAGGTACATTCAAAGCTTACCTCAAGACTTACGAATGAGTCGAAATGAAAGTCAGGGTGGACGTGGCCCTGTACAGAGCTGGAAATGAAATGGCCATCACCGGGAGTCGAGCTGGCAGCAAGAATGCATCAAGCCAAACCCTCAACCGCCCAAGCACAATTCATTTTTCCTTTCTACACTTTCTGGATCGGACGGCAAAAAGAGAAAAACCACGTCGTACTGAACTTTGAAGACGTCGAGGAGCGAGAGGGTAGGCTTCGAGTGTTGTAAATATATATCAACTTCTAAGCTCAAACATTGCAGAGGCGTCCGTATGTCATGGGATGTGTGGTGATCTTCGAAGATAAAAACCACGAGAACATTTCTACCGGTATCCACTGTGCGCACCCTTCTAGGTGTGACCAAGAACAGCAGAAGGCTTGTATGCTTCTTCCAAGAACTTGTCCTCGGAAAGCGAAATATGAACAGCAGCTATTGAACAGAGCCCGTGGTCAGTACACCTCATTCCAAAGATGATATCATTCGATAGATGATTCACTACTTACCGACCAGATCCTCCAAGTTCTTTAAATTGGTTGAGCCGACTATTGGAGCGGTCACACCTAGGTTGTATAGATAACTTGAGGCCTGCGAATGATGAGCAGGAAGGCGAACAAACTTACCGTCTTTCGCCAAAATCCAGGCGGTACCGATCTGGGCCATGGTGACGCCTTTCTTCTTTGCCAATTCCTCAACCCTACAAGAAAACATAAGACATTCAATGAGGACTCATTCCTGAGAAGGTACCCACCTGTTTACAATGTCCTGAGTATCCACGCTGGGACCGTCAAGATCTCTAATTGTAGACAACTGCTGTGCGTACTTATCAGTTTCAGATCGTTTCGTGGATACGCTCAAAGGACGAGTGAGGAATCCACGTGCGAGAGGCGACCAAGGAATGGCGCCGACGCCAAACAGCTACCAAACCGTAACTGTCAGTAAAAATGCGAGGTATTATACAGGACGAGATGTGGTGGACCTTGAGCGTTGGGAACATCTCACGCTCTTCCTCGCGGTATACCAGATTATAATGGTTCTGCATTGAGATAAAAGGTGTCAGATTGTGCGAGATGGCATAATCTGCGAGGAACGTTTGTGATAAGTATCCTTTCGATGTTTAAGTCAGCCCTGGAGAACATACTCTGCATGGCGTGAACTGCAGATCAAAAAAGTAACTTCAGCGGACGACTGGATTCGTTAAAAGGAGGGAAACGTACATTGGTACGCATAGCAAGAACTCATGCCGATGTAGCGAGCATACCCAGTTTTGACGACATCATGAAGAGCTTGCATCGTCTCCTCAATAGGAGTATTAAGGTCAAACCTGTGGCCTGTATTTTAAGGGTAACTCAAATTGGCTAGGAAGGTCGCAGTACACGAGGGTCTGCAGACTTCCACTGCAGAACTTCGACATAATCCAGTTGAAGACGTTCCAGACTGTGTTTGACGGCATCAAGAATATGCAACAAATAGCCACATAAGTGTAAGATGACGGCAACAAGGACGAAACTGAGAAGCAGCGGACCTTGCGGCTCAAGCCATATTGGTTTACCAAGCCGATTTCGTCCGGGTTCAAGCCAGTAGTGTGATTCTTACCAACGGGGAAGAACACCTGAACGACCACACGTCCGTGGGTCAGTGGGCGCTCGACCGCTCCTCTACTGAAAATCGTACTTTCGTCATGATAACGAGCTCATCTCGAGGGAGCTGGAGCTCTCTGATAGCTTTTCCGAGTATGATCTCGGACTGACCGTTTGAATACATCTTTGAAACAGAATCATTAGACCGGTGGTTAAGGTTTCAAGAATCGTTTTAGGATCTTTGGATCGTGATACTCACATCCGCGGTATCGAAGGTTTGGATTCCGTGGTCGTACGCGAACTTGATATGCTTGAATGCTTCCTGCTCATCCTCGATGACCCAGTCAGCCCATTGTGAAGATCCATACGACCCGCAGCCCAAGATAATCTTGGAGACTTTCAGGCCGGACTTCCCCAGCTGAACTACATGGTCATAGAATCAGGTTAACTAGAACACGACGGAACGGGACTGCGCCTCACCATAAGGCATCTTCTTGATTGGTGTCGACATGATGATACGCTAGAGGTGTCCAAGTGCTGCGAGCTGAGAATGAGGCGAATCTCATCAGGACCATCTTATATATTTCCCCAAGGACCTTCTCCGAGCTCGTCCCCGTGACCCTATTCCAACTGCTTACGCAGCAGTTGGGACTCGTTCGTTACAAGCCTACTCGACCATCGCGCATTGAACGTCCACTATCTGAGTCAGAATATCAAGGATGGATAGAATGCCGGCGTTCCGGCTCTAAAAATGGAGTGGGCAAGACGTTGTAATGGGGATTTTGTATCCTCATGGTAAGGTCTCATGTGCTCTATGGACGATGAGACCACCGAAACTCTGACAAAGCCGACAGAGTAGAGCTCACTGCGCGCTAGGGCATGAGTAATTCGTACAGCGAGTCCTTCGGGTATCCCTCGGGCCATCAACAAAGAGGTTGTAAAAGCAAGCCGTGGATCTCCAGAGATATTTCGATAACAGATTGCGAACACCCAACGACTTAGAGAGAATACTACTGTGAAGTTCGTACAAAACGAAGTACAGTAGATCTTCCCATTCAAGCAGATGAACATTGATCCGTATCGGTGATCGATCGTCAGCCCGTTCAGGCAGTCGCGACGCGTCCGACGCGTTTTCCCTCGATGAGAACCTTCAACAACTTCCTTTTGATCTATGTTACCATTCTCAATATCCTAACGACCATTTAAAGAAATATATGGTTATGCCTCACAAGTTGGGCTACCAAGAGTCCCGAGACGACATGATTCAGTGAAACACCGCTCAGGCTATGTTTGAGCCACCCGGGAGTATTTCTCACAAGTGGCTCAAAGTTTAACGTGAACGCGAAATGCCACAGTATAAGGTCCATAGGTTCTGCCCCACCTCTATGCTTCTACATTTTCGTGCAGAGACATCATGTCGACTTCCAATAGCTCCGTTCAATTGATACATGTTCTACCACGACTCCCGAACGCGACAGAATCTCCACTCATCAAACGGCTTCAAGCTTCTTTTACAGGCAAGATAGCTAGCAACCATCCGAATGCAAAGGTATGTCACGTATTCGATTCCTAGCATTAAAGCATTCGCCTGAATGTTCACGGCAGATCCAACATCGCAAGCTACATTTTGGTGGGACATTCAACGCAACATATGAAAGATGGCAGAACACCGAAGCTCTATTAAACATGTGTCTTCACCTCACCGTCTGGGTAGGTTCCAAATTCAGGTTGCCAGACTCCCCAAATTGCGCATTGATTGAGTTGTCGAAATCCATAGTCCGCTCATCTTGCGGTATTCGAACATAAACCTGCTTCAGTTGCGACTTACGCCGTGTTCTGGCTCTGCGAAGAAGCCTCTCTCGAAGGTGCAATCGAACCCGGGCGCCCAAATTATCCCATCGCGCCACCTTGGGAAGACCTAGCAGAGGATTCTACCGCAGTAAGTATCATCCTTCTCTCATGGTGCACCGAGGTATTCATGGTTCGTTCGAAGAGAAAGATAAATATGACAATATACGTCGTGACGACTGAGGGACGCGAAGTTCCACCTGAAGTGCTTCGACGTGTATGTCAACCACTACTAGGGTCATCATGTGCGATAATGACATCTAATTCTACCTAACAATCTTTGAACTCACAGTGCTCTCCTATCCCACTTGAGACGATTTTATCTCTACCATTATTGCCAAGCTACGAATTCGAAGCAGGGCCAAGCACTCAGGCGGGTGTGCAAGTGCTCAACCTGCATGATACGAAACTCCTTTCGTACGAATTCGGACCTCTAGGGTCATCCAAATACCAAATCGCATGTATGTCTATCTCCTATGACATTCTACGGTCGTCCGTTATTGATCTAGATGCTCCATGTGCAGTTGGGTTGTGGGAGCCATTCATTGGAGACGACCTCGTCGTTCGCTCTGACTTGGCGTGCGGTCCTGAATGAAACGCAGTGACTACCTTGTTCTGAGATTCGGTTGTTTCTTCGTATCATCCGAGATGCACCATGTTTAAACTTGGCTTAGGATTGATTCTGAATCTCAGGATGCTTTGGCTTGTTGGCCTACGCCACTTTCGAACAATTGGCCGATTTCTTAGACACTGTACTGTAGTACTTCTCTGCAATGTCTGCCTAAGACTCAATTCGCACAAATGAGAGGGAACGCGAGAGACAATTGCAATCGATACAGAAAATATTCTCCACTAGATACAAGAACAAAAACCAATGCGCGAGACGACGAGATAGGATGGGGATGTGATGAGCTAACCAGACGATGGATGATGGCGGGAAGAATGTGAGAGGGGAGTAATGGGTGAGAAGGTATAAGAGGATTGGAGGATGGGGGATGGAAGGGGATATATCGTACAATGCGCTGGTATAATAATACGAGTACAGGTATACAAGACCAATCAACCAAGAAAAAAAGAAAAAAATCCAAACGGCGAGGACGAGGAGGATAATCCACGGTTTGGCCGAGGATACTCAGATCGGGGAGTGGGGGAATAGAGATGAGGGGATTAGAGTCCGATACATGTGACACTAGTAATGCAACAAACAAACCGAATCAAAAAAAGAGAAAGAAATAGAAAAGAATAATTGATGATGATAGGATAGAGATAGAATCTCGAGCCCTGATAGACACGATGTGAAACGGAATACGGAGGATAGAGGGAGACTGCTTGAAGAGAGGACGTCAAATTAGAAATGCCGTCTATTGTGGAGGAGTGAGGAGAGCGCGTGCGAGCAGCCGATGGGTAGAGAGGACGAAGCGAGCTGGGGAAAGGAGGCACGAGGATCGACTAAGACTTCACGACGAGATAGCAGTCTTCCTGCCACTAGTGGACCGGCCCTTCGCCACAGTCTTAGCTTTCTTCGCAGGAGGAGCTTTGCCAACCTTGTCAGCCTTGTCTTGTGCCTTCTTCTCTTGTGGCTTATTCTCCTGCTTAGTCTCGGTAGCACGAGCAGTAGCACGAGCAGTAGTCTTTCTCGCTCTCGTCGATGCTCTCGTCGGCTTCTCCTGATGTTCTCGCCCTTCTTCCCGTCCTTGTTGTTCCTGCTCCTCCTCATCACCGCGTTTCCGTTTCGTACCTCTCGTAGTCGTGTTCGCAGTCGGGCTGGCCTTCTCTTTAGCTTTTCCTTTCCCTTTGGCCTTAACATCGGCCTTGACGACAGTCATCTCCACATCTCCATCCACATCCAACTCCAATCCTAATCCTTTCAACTTGACCAACTCAACCGCGGGAGAACTTTCCACAGCTGTGCTCCCATCACTGACCAAAGTGCTCGTACCAGACGTAGCACTCGAGTTTGATCGAGAGCGTTTATGTGCAGGTCTCTCTCCGCTCCCACCGTCCTCTTCCACAGGTAGTGGGACCGTAAGAGAATCAGATGAAGATGGGCCAGAGGCGGTGGCAGACGCCGATGCAGAGGGGGAAGTATCCGAAGGCAAGGTGGGTGGGGTGGGAGTTGTAGGCAACGCCCCAACAACAGGTGCAGGCGCTGGTCGTTTGTGTGCTTGACGAGCTGAACGACGAGAAGGTACTGGTGCGGGAGTCGTGGAGGTAGTAACACGAGTGCGTTTGATAACGGCTGTGGCGGAAGAGCTGGGCGTAATAGTGAGAGGCGAAAGACCCAATTCTGGCAACTGAGCAAGAGCCTCCCCTGCAGGGGAAGCCATTCGCTCAAGTTTGCCTTCCTTGGTCGCCACCTCAGGCGAGACCACGATCCGAGGCAGAACATTCTGACCCTCGACAACCTCGACAACAGTATTCTCCCCACTGTTTTCAACAGCAGGAACAGGAAAAGCAACCTTCTTCCTCGAACTCTTAGCCCTCTTAGGCTGAGTCCTTGTGGGAGCTGTTGCTTTCTCCTTGCCTTTATTATTACCGCCATTCCTCGTATTATAACGACCGTTTACAGCGGCGACACCGTAGAACTCTGGACGGTAATGCGCTCTCAGCCAACCTTCGTGCGCATCCTTGTCCATCCAAGCCACGGGGGATTGGATAGGGCACGGTTTAAGGTCTGCAAAAAGGGAAAGAGAGATAGCAAATTAGCGGTGTGTAGAGCGACGGAAAGAAGAAGGAAATTCAAGGGATCAAAAACCAGATTAGGAAACCAGATAAAGAGTCATAGAGCGCAGAAAGGCACAATGGGGGCGTTCGCCACACCAGACGAGTGGCGAGCCATTATGGACAGGCGAGAAGAGAAGACAGTCTATACACAAAGTAAGAGACTCACCCATAATCCATTGGATCCTGGAAAGTGTTCGCTGACGAACACCCACGGTCCAGAACGAGAAATGCTTGGGGTGTCTAGCATTGTAATAGACCTTGAGCGCCGCAAGCGCGAAGATGATCTCGTTCTCCAATCCTGTGAGAGGCCGAGGCATGTTGATGAGCTGGTCCACCGGGGGGACTTGGGGTTCAAGCTTTCGGACGCGATCTGGGTCGGGCAGGTACCCCAATGGGTGAATAACGTGGTTCCGTTTGGGCGGAACGGCATTGATATACAAGTCGACGAGAGGGTGATCAGCTGTGATAGTCCCATCTATGTTGACACCCAGGTAGTCTGGATGCGGAGATGGAAGAGGTTTCGCGTACATGGCCCGCTCGCCTCCCGGTGGCGGGGGTTGTGGCGAGTGGCTCGAGACCTCCGGAGAGGTCTGACGGGATGATGAGGGTGTAGAGGGATGATCATCGTACCGTATAGAGGAAGTAGCGTAATGGTATTGAGAGGGATATTGGGACGTATACTCGAGCTCTGGCTCGAATGCGTTACGATCGACGCCCATGTCCATGGCGGACTGTGGCGCGAACGATGAGGATGGAGGGAAGTGTAGTGATGGGTATGAAAGTGCAGGGTATGTTCCTACGTGTTGCGATTGCTCGCAATACATGATATAGAAAGAGATGTAAGTGCCACAAAGGTCAGGACAAGTAGGAGAGCACTGGGGCGCTCCGACAAGGCAGTGTGTACACGGAATGCTCTATAGAGATGAGTACGTTGGGGCTAGCGATGAGCAGAGTGTGCTGGAGAACGGAAAGGAGGGGGGCGGGGACGTAAGTGGTGGTGGGAGGGAAGATGAGAGACGGTTAGCGAGGGCCAGATATAGGTGCCATCGAGGTCAAAGGCGTGCATGCCCAAAGAAGCCGCTGGATCGGATGAGTGCCTCTACGCCGTCGTACATACCCAATCTGGCAGCCCTGGCCCACTCCTCTGGCACCCTCTTTGTTTTGTCTCTCCTGCTCCTGGCCACCGCGACAGCTGCCCACAATCAACGAGCCGCAAAATAAAAAGAAAACATATGCACTCGTCTCTGTCGCCGGTGCCTGCGTCCAAATTACTTCCGCCAGTAGATCGTGCCATCTCATCTTATCTCCCGATCTTCATCCATTTCCCCTCGATCTTCCCGGTCCGGCCAATAATCGGGCGCGCCTCATGCTCTCCGCGTGAATCACTCGAGGTCCCATTCCCAGCGTAAAACCGTCGTAACTCTATGTAACCCGTCGTGCACATCGTCGCAGGCGGCCATGCCTGGCTCACGCACGTCGAGCAACGCATTATCCTCAAATGTCAAGCTGAACAACAAACACCCTTGCTGTTGTCATGCTACTTACTTTGTGACGTCATGCGGCTCAAGCATCACTGATTTGAAACACGACGAGTACAAATGCGGCGGCCTATGCTCTAGCAGCCTAGTTGTTTTGTAGCATTGGAAACCTTCTAGATAGCTTATCCTCCTCTACCGATTCTAAGCGCATCGTCGCTATGAATACAAGGGTTGAAGGCGACAGTAACGGAATGCGAAAGGAAAGTACGCGTGTTTCATATACTCATGATCTGTCTAGGTGGCTCGGGCTTTCAGGTCACAATCTGCACACAACTACGTTTATAGACGATACTGCACAAAGTGGGAAACCTTGCGATCGATGATGATCTGCATCGATCCCAGAGTGTCGCAGGGCACCACCGCTGATCAACTAGTCCTTGTAAGTTGTAATCTTACTCGAGTATAAATACTCATATAACTGACTAGCTTCAGGCCATTAACACGCAACTTGTCCAAAGGGCTGAAAGCACACACTATATCTTACACGATGCCACAATTACAAACTATACAAGATCACCCGCCGCCAAGCATCTTATCCAAGTTCTCCCGCACGTCACGATGATCATGAAATACACCGTGAGTCGTCGATCCAACATGCGCTGGCAACGACAAATTTGAGTTCATTGACTCCAAAGCCCGAAGTATCTGCGGATGCGACGGAATACACTCGTAGCCTTTCGGACCGTTCATAATTGAATTCAGCGCTGAGAACATCCTGCGTTTACAGTGAGTGGCTTCTCTCAGGCAGACTCCGAGCGCACCCGAATTCAACCCAGGCTATCATTGACATGCACACGGGCCCAAAGTCGAATTTGATTCAGTCTGAAAGCTTCATCTCCACATTCTGAAGTAAATGCGACACCACAAAAATAGCATTCGAGGAGTCTGACCGAACGCACCAAACCACTTTTTGCACCTTCACAGCTTCATGATCAAAGTTACCGCCGGCATGTCCGGTGAATTTCCAAAAATAGCCAGGTCAAGATAATCAATTTGAACAATTGAGCGGAATCAAATTCGGACCAAACTGTCGAAACGGGAGGCGGGTCAGTTCAATTGTGCACTATCGTAAAGTAGAGTGCCAGCCGCCGACTCCTCTGTTCGTCACCGATACCGGAGAAGACGAGCTGAAAGGCTATAAAACGAGCTCATCCTTGGAGCCACTGGTGATAGGTATCTCTGCTCTTGACCACGAATTGCTAAACCGGCATCATTCCAGTTTCGTGCCGGTCACAAAACCACCTTTCATTCCTGCTAGACTCATTCACACCTGGTCCATCATCTCTTCCTTCCTCCCTAAACATGGGTTTGTTCACCAAGAAGCGCAGTGCTTCTGGTCCGCTCACCAAACTCGTAAAAGAACCTCCCGGAGAGTCTGCTGTCTCATCCTCTAGAAGCGCAAAAGCACCGCCGGCTGGCCCGTCTATCCCCACGTCCACTTCAGATATATCGATGTCCCACTCTCGTCGTCCAGGCGCACCACGCGGTATCCTTCGAAAACCATCAGCACATTTCCCAACATTCGACGAGACAGACCGGAAACGACAAAAAGACCGTCGAGCATCAGCTCCCATTGCAGGCTCCAGAAAACAATATTCAAGCGATCGTGCCCGATTCGCTTCATTGCCTACGGACAATATCGCTTCAACGAACGATAATCTTCATCCCAAGCTTGCTTCTTCTTCATCTTCTCCAATAAGGAAGCCGCAAGGGGAACATGTGTCGAAAGAACCAGAACATGAACGAAGAGAATCATTCGTCGCGGCTTCTGCCATCGTCCGACCGGAACGAGTCCCATGGAGTTGTTATCAACTCCAAACGCTAGATTTCGAAGTCCTGGCTACGCCTCGTACGGATACGTCCAAACGCGCACGGTACAAAATGGACCATCCAGAAACCCAACCCAAAGTTGGAGTTCATGTTCCGAGGCCTAGTTTAGTCCCTACCGAACAGGATATGACACAGATCGAGCCTTTTCCGTTCCCGGATCTGGAGTTGGTGATGAAGAGTTTGAAGCAGGCGTTGAAGAAGGAGGGAAGGAGAATTGAGGATTTCTTGGAGGTGGATGATATTATCGAGGGAAAGTGTTGGGATACGACTGAAGTGGATGGGTTGAAGGATAATTCGAAGCTTTTGGATCGCAAACATCGCATCCAGACCGCGGAGAGGAGGTGGAGAGAGATGGAGCGGCAATATCGTAAGTTCCAATTTCATGGCGTTCGAGCGAGCACACTGTGGTTGACTTGTGATGTTTTGAACAGATGTTTTCGGATCACCTTTGAAGAACGTATCCAAGCGTGCGTCAACGATGGTCCCGGTTTATGGATATCGCCATCAGGTGCCCTTGATCGTTGTCGCCTGTGTCGAACAACTGTATAACTGCGGTAGGTCAACAACCTAGATACGTCGTTTCCATTTTTTGACATGGTATTCCATAGGTATGAATCACCCCAGACTCCTTCAGACAAGACCAGACCCTGTACACCTGACCGAGCTTATCGGCCAATTCGACCAATTCGATCCTCGTCGCGCCCTTCCGGACTTGACCAGGGAGCCTGTCACAATGGTGGCAGCACTCCTATCCACGTTCCTCTCATCCATCGGGTCACCGCTCCTCCACCGTTCGTACTTTGATGCAATCTGGGCCTGGTGTGTTACACCTACTATCGTGCGCGAGCACGAATATCGCGAGACCCTTCGAATGCGGAGGGCGGAAAGTCATGACGGGGAGATTCAATCTGCCAGCGAGGAAGACGAGGATGATGAGATGGTCATTGGTGCCCACGGTCTCCCATCTTTCAATTCAAGACGTCAGAAAAGGAGACGTGCAGAACGAGAGATCGAACGAGCCAAACGTCGTCAGATTCGTGCTCGGAATCCAGAATTGGCGAGAAAGAATCGAAGTGAAGCTCGCAAGGCCAAAAAGGCTCAGCTGGAACACGAGACCTTCGTGCTTGAGACACCTCAAATTGCCTTCACCCGATTCATCCTCATGTCTCTTTCTCCCCACACGTTCTCCTTTATTCTTTACGTCTTCACGTTCCTCGCATCCCTCCCTGCACATCCAGATAACGACGTACGATATGACATGCTTGCAGAGATGTACGCATGGAAGATGCTTGGTGGTCCTAATCGACATTCGTCGGAGGCCATGATGAGGTGGTTGTTAAGTCGCTGGTGGCGCATCGTAGATGGCTTCAAGAGTGCCGAAGCCAAATTGGAGGGACACTTGTTCCGAGAAAAGCAGCATACGGCTTACTACGAGGGTAAGCCAGAGGTAATGGGAGAACCGCAGCCCATAGAGAGGCCTTCGGACATTGCGCTGTCTGCTGATGGACCCATCCACCCTCAACGAGTACCTCATCATGAGCGCCAACCTTCGGGTTACTTTGCAAGGAACCACCCTCGGGATCCGAAGCTCAAGCTCGAAGAGAAAGTGATAGAATCCAATGACAACACTGCCTTCTCGAAGCCGGACTTCCATGCCAATCCGAACAAACCCTATGCACCCCTCCTTTCACCAACGCGTGAGGTTGATCCTCTGGACACTAGTATGATGGATGCAGATGTTGATATCCCTGTCATCTCGCCATTCAATAATGATGCGATTGAAAGGGATGCGTTGGAGGGAGACGATGTTCAAGATGATGCGCCCGGTGAATCGAGAAGGAAACTCATAGATGCCGTCTCTGTCCACTCTGAATGGGCACCTCCACAGCGAGCCGCATTTGCCGCGATTGAGGACCTCCTTGAGCCTGAAGGTGGAGAGAGCGGTCGAATACCCGGGTCCAATGGTACAAGTGTGTACTCGCAAGGTTAGTTGAATAAGTCTCTGTTTCAGACAAGAAGCCAACTAAATTGGCAATATAGATGTCCCTCCTCCCGACAACGCAGAGGAATTGTCAGTCGAGTCATTAATCGATGCCTATGCCGAGGATGACGATTCGCCTGTGGTGGAGACGAAACCAGTGGAAGCCGTTGAGGACCCTGCGGAGTTGAAGAGACAACTTCAGGTTGCATTGGAACAGAGGGACCGTGCGCAGAAGAGATTGCAAGTGATGCAAAAGACTCTCTGCGACAACGTACTTCGATCATAAAGACCATTGTGCGCTGGTTCGCATGCGTAGACTATGACCATAATGGAAATGTGAACTCACAGCACGTTTGCGTGCCTGTTAGACTTCAGTGGCACTGATGATCAATGCTCGGATGCTGGATTTAATCGCTGTCGTTCTTCAATTGCTTGATACCAGAGTGAAAACTGCAAATCGTTGGCTTCTCGAACTAACAGGGCACGTAGGATGATATCTTTGGTGCTGTCTAGAAGTTGACCTTTCGTGCGAGTCTTGCGTGAGACCTTCTGCATTTGTCACTTACGCATTACATGCATAATACAGCCACAACGAGTACTTACCGGTACTCGCTCCAGATAGCCCACGACCATCACCGGTGCATTAGTTTCTCGAAGCCATGAGTAAGACTTGAAAGGGTCAAGACAGAGAGAAATGTCTATGAGAACACTTTCGTCTTCATCCCTGAGAACCATTGTGGCTGATTTGACGTCGTATGAAGATACACTATTGGCTCTCGGAGTCAATGTCGAGCAATTGGCAAACACCGCTAGGAAACTCACCGTCCTGCTACTCTTACTTTAAGGGGTATATTCTTCTGTGGGATTTCACTCAACTTCGTGGGTAACGCAGGTTCCATTGTAAATGGGCAATGATGAGAGAAGGCTGAGCAGCATGAAAATTCGGACTTGAACTTATTGACCAGAAACGGACGTTAGGGACGTTTCCGCGTCGATTCCCACGCATACGTAGATAAGCGACTGCTACTATAGTCCAACTTCGGACGGTTGGCAACGTTCAAGAACTTCATCCGCAACGTTCGACTACTTATAACCTGAGTAGCTTTATTCTACTAATTTCTATTCATCCTTTGCCTATTCTATTTCCAAGTAAATGCATTTACGACTAAGCTTGAAGGTACTCTTGTTTTCTATTCGCTTTTCCGGTGAGTGAGAGTTGCCAAGTGTTTCCGACGTTTCTCTACAGGTACGCAATGTAAGCATTATGAAGGTACCGTGTATTTTGTTCAAGTTTCGTGTACCTACTTAGTCTGATGGCCATTCTTCGACTTATCTCTCGCCATGCATACTATGTTCAACATGCCACAGCCTCTGTGCACGGCGGCCAGGTTGTTTATTCAATCACACAAGTAATGATCCAGATCATAGCATCACATGTCGAAGCTCGTCATTGTTGTCGTTCATTGGGATCGGTCTTGGTGTGCTTGATGTTCCTCGCGTTTGGACTCGCCGGCCGAATGCTTTCTGTAGGGGTCGCAACTCACGGAAATACTCGGCATTGACGACCCACTGACAAGTTCTGTTCGGGTGCTGTATCTCATTAATTATGCGACAGGGAACCATGCCGGAATAGATGGAAAACTGCAATATGTCCGACTTCTATCGCATCATTGACAGACGAATCGCGATGGACGTCGTAGCAAGCAGTATCACTCCTGCTCAGTCGACCAATGGAGCGAGTAGGGAGACTGTGGAAGGTGACTACATTATCAAGGAGGCACCCCCAAGGCTTCAGGGCTCTTGAGGCCTTCCTCGAATGGCACCCTCTAGTCTGATGACTGAAATCGTCCGGTTCATGCGCATGTTCTCGAGCGGTCTGGTCGAAGCGCTACTCGGCTTCCGTTCATTGTTTAATGAGAACGACAAACCTGACACACTACCACAGGCCCGATTTTATTGCGTACGTATGATGTTAATTTACAGTCGACCAATAGACCGCCCAAGGTTTTCGTATAAAAGCATGTTCTCCACAACTGAGGACGCCAGCCCCCTTCTTCCTGAACTCGTATTCGAATCTCGGTGCTGGTCGGTGAGTACCAATTGTCTCCTTTGCAGTACGCTTTAATGTTTACTTCAATTTCCCTAGCCTTGACTTCTCGTTCCATTCATTTGCACTTCACTCTTACGACCTTGCTTATTTTTCACGAATTTGTTCCTTCTTACGTCCCACTTCTAACGACCAACGGCATCCCTTTATCTAATCTTCTAATCACAAATCATGCGTTTCTCCATTGCTGCCACTCTTGCTGCTGTCGCTGCCTCCTCCGTTCCTGCTTTCTCCGCTCCTCTTGAGTCAGTCCTACTTTCCTCACGTTCTAGCTTTGTATGTCTTACTGATATTTGGTCTTGCAGGGTTCGTGCTTTCCGCCACAAGCTCTCCAAGCCTGGCCACATGAAGGATATTGGCGAACGCCTTCCCAGTCTTGGAGGTAATATTGATGAGTACGTCCAATCGTCTCCATGATAATCATGAACTGGAATGAGTAACTATGTCCACGTCAAGACTTCCTATCAATTCTCGCGATATGTAAGTCCGACCGATTTGCCTCAACTAATACAAGCTGATTTTATCTAACAGGTTTGACCTTGACGCTCGCAACGAGCTCGAACACACCAACGACATCTTCGGTATCCCTGGTGATGTCACTGCCACCGACCTCACAGCGGACGGCCCAGGGGCCATTTACCAACGCCGCGTGTCGATTTTCAAGTACGTACATTGTCTTTTTTAAGATCTCCTCATTTCCTGATTCGATAACACAGCCAGCCGAAATCTTGCGACGGATGTGTTCAAATGCCCACCAACCTGATCACCCAACTGTTGTCCACCAGGTATAGTGACATCTGATGGAGTTACAATGTGGGAGTTTGCTTATACCTCACCTTCATAGATCTGACCTTGAAGCTCGCAAAGTCAGAAATGTTGGTAACAAGCTTGAACATGCCAACAACATCGTGGGTATCACCGATGGGCTTACTGGTATCGCCACTAACATTGCCTAGTGAGGAACGTCTTACCTTCACTACTAATGATCTAATTTTTATCTCTTAGTGCTGCTCAACGACGTCGGGATTTGACATCTCGCCGTGTCAAGCTTGAACAGTTGAATCATGCAGCAGGAATTGCTGACGGTCTGACTAGTATCGCAACCAATATCGCCAGGTACGTGGGGTGGTCGCTAATTTTTATAATTCGTCGTACTCTTCTTACCGCTCTTTTTGAATGCCAGTGCCGCTCTGCAACGTCGTGACTTAGAAGCGCGTAAGGTCACGCATGCTGGTAACAAGCTCGAGCACGTCAACAACATCGTTGGTATTGCTGACGGTCTCACTGGTATTGCGACCAACATCGCTGGAGCCGTCGAGCAGCGTTCGCCGCTTACAAGGTATTTGGTTGATTGACATGATCCATTGGCTCATCTCACCATCGGTCTTCCTAGATCCGACTTAGAATCCCGAAGAATTGGACGCGTTGGCAACAAGCTTGAGCATGCCAACAATATCGTGGGCATCGCAGATGGCCTCACTGGTATCGCTACAAACATTGCTGGGTAAGGCATCGCTGGGACTTTCTTACCTGCGACCCTTGTAACCTGGAATTTGTAGTGCTGCGCAACAACGGCGCGACTTGGACACACGTCGTGTCAAGCTTCAACACGTGGATGACGCTGTTGGAATTGTAGATGGTCTGACGAGCATCGCAACCAACATTGCTGGTGCTGTTCAACAACGCTCATTGTACGTTCTTTCCTTTCAACCGAATGGGGACCTTTACTTACTCCATCTCTAGGGAGGAATTGGATTAAAGTCTTAGCACCTCAGGAGATGCTTTCGTTCTAGAAATTTATGCGCATGTCGTAACTACCATTTATGAAATGCATGGAACCTGGGGGCTCACGTTTTTAGAAGGATCAGTGAACATGCACTACAGCCGAAGCGCTAAGAGAAAGTAAAGCAATGATGACCGTCAGTCACAGTTATTAAGTCGGCATCAACTCCCAGTAAACAGTATTATTTTCGTCGTTGCCCACACTCCGATATTCTCCCTTACAGATGTGGTAGACGGTTTAAACGATCAGGTGCTGCGCTCCCACTTATGCCCGAGGGAAAGTCCATTGTTCCCGTGGGTAGTGGGGGAGAACCGAGTCGGGATATATACCTGTAAATCGGATTTTGACCTGCCTACCGAAGCCTTGCATATGCATGGCTGCGGCAGATAATAGCATCTGTAAAGTTGCTTTATTGTTTCGTTATACAATGTAAGTATAGATCTGCATGATGCCCCATGAATGTCTAAAAGTCCTGACAGCTTCAAGGGATCTCAGGCTCATCAGAGATGACGGCCTTCGAGCGATGAGACACTTCTATTCCCCGGGATCGGTATTTCGAACAGCGAACGCACTCAACGGGCCATTGGCATGTGAACGAGAGGTCCAAAAGGACGCGAAATAGATTTAGATGTTATTCAACACACTCCACTCATATCCATATCCTAACACAAAATGTCTACTCAATCTCGAGTCTGGTTCAGTATGTGTCTCACTTCTCATTGTAGAACTATACTGTAACACTCCGTTCCGTACAGTCACTGGAAGCTCCCAGGCGCTCGGACGTCAGGGATAATTGCAGAAGCGGCAGATGAACTTTCGAGGTGCGTTTGGACAAAGAACCTACGACTTTTGAGAAGCCACGTTTCAATCTTGTGTCAGGTTACCTATTTAATAAGGGGAATAACATCAAATCCTAAGCAAACGAGAACAGCATAACGAGATAATCATATAAACAAGAGCGCAAGTAAAACCAGAGGAATATCCGGGTTACAGAGATTCGGAATTGCGCCCAAGAATCGATAAGATGCCACAACAGCTCAGTTAATCGTGAAGGTTGGGCTTCTATTGCCCGAGTCGCCACAGAAGACTGTGTAAAACATCATAAAATGCAGAATAAATAAATGTGATGAGATTACTTACGGGCAAGGAAGTAGTTGTCTCTGGGTTCAACGTCTGGGACATAGACATCGATGCTACCATCCATAATATCGAAATCGTCCGCGAGCGGATTATCTTGAACAGGTCAATATCAGCCGTCAAATCCAGAGATGAAGGCGTTACATTCAACATACCAAGATCAAAGTGCTCGTCAGTGCCATCTTCCAAGTAGCCTAGTACGATCTTTCCTGTCTGGTTCGTAATCTTTTTCGGGGGGTTGTGCGTTTCCCTACGGAAATCAGGCAGGTACCACTAGGCCTAAGACATTCGCATACCACTTGACCGTAACCTTGGAACGTGTAACCCAAACCGTCTCGCTCTTTGGGTGGGTTATCTTGGGAATGTATACAGTGCGCGATTGAAGTATGTTTTGCAAAGTTGCCAAACCGGTCGTGTTTAGTAGGGAATTGGTCAATGCATTCTCGTTGAGCGAATCCATCGACAAGCCAGTCCCGTGAAGCAGAGCCTCCGACAGGGCAGTTTTATCGACAGTGTCAGTCAAGCCCGCCTCCTTTAGCAGAGAGTCGACCATAGCCAGTTTCTCAGAGAGGGTATGGGTAGGGTCACCAAAGATACTAGAGATAGACGTAGGAGACAATCCGGAGATAATACCATCTCTTTCGGCCAAGATGGAGCCATCTTCAGTCAAAGGTATAAGCCTCGCGAAGACACGAGCGATTCCCACAGAAAGCAAAGCAGAAATGAGGAAGCGGGTGGATTTCGGTAACATCTTCAAGGTAAGAGAGCGAGGTAGTTATCAAATAAAGCAAGATAGTGGCAGAAGTAAATATCAGAAAGAAATGGAGGTGTAGAATTAATATGCAAGAAGAAATAGAGGCTGAACTCGAGGCTGGAGATGTTGGTCGGGTTCAAGATGGAGGACAACGCGATGCGGAGGAAATCACTTTGCGATAAGATAAGATGCTCGTTATCTTTCCATTCGTTTATGGGCGCCTTATCATGTCCACTCTAAACTTCGACATTGCAGTCAAGCAAGATGAAGAATACTTGCGAAAGCTATATCCAAACGCAGAAGATGTTCCAGGATGTATGACTCTGTTTGACACGTTCATTTCTTGTAATGGTGAGTAAGATCATCGCTATATCTTTGGAAAATGTCAAACGTTGGAAAACAGTCATCAGTTCCCAGGTGAAGTCACTCTACCGATATGGACACATGGCAGAATGTGCCCATAAAGCTGAGGATTTCAAGTTCTGCATGTCAAGCAAGTCCTTGCATCCGGAGGAGCGGCGTGATGCTTGGATTCGACGACGTGCCGAATGGTGGGCGCAGAGACGCTTGACCAAGAGCAGTGAAGACATCTGGGATATTCGGACGTATGCTCGTCTTATACTCCTTTTTTGAACCTGATAACGAAATCTATTTAATAGAGAGCCGTTAAGCAACTATCCGCCTCCTCGTTCAGAAGCGGGTGTTGATGCCACTCCAACCATTGACTAAACACCGTTATCTGACGAGACAATGTGAAGTCTTACTCAAACGTTCATCGAAGTCTCACCACACTGGCACTTCTGGCGACTTCCAACTAGCGAGCCGCTGTGCCCACACGCCCGAAATATAGCTCTTTCTCTGGCTTCGTGGCCCTCATCAATACTCGCAAATGTGTTTGAATGCTGCTGCATACTAAGGAACGTTGGACTACATTTGATTAGCACTCGTCTCCGGACTCTGTTGTTGGTGCACACTATCCCACTCACACCACCAATGAGATCGGGTTTTATTTATTGAAATAACACGCTGTTCTCATGACCGGTGTAACAATCGACTCATTCAGCTGGTACGTCCCAACCAGCTCTCTCGGCCGTCCGCTGACTTCGCTTCTTGCAGATATCTGTGACGCTCAATGATAAGACAAGAGTGCGGTCCATGAGTCTTCGCCCATGTTTCTCAGCGTGCCGCTTTCCCGTTTTCTTCGGTGCCGTTTGCTTCATGGGTTGATATCGGTTTCGTATGACTGAATTTATGAAGTATCCTGACCGTCTGTATCCCGTGGAGTCACGTAAACTCTCGTAAATGGTAGGAAGGGGTATGCGCAACCGTTATTGAACCCGAGACATCGTCATTCCAACTGCAGAGAATGAATTAATCATGTTTAGCGGATCGTACTTCGGTTATGATCTACATCACGTATGAACACCTCTGGTGAGCTGTTTGTGGTATGCCTTTTCCTTTCATCTAATCTACCCAATTGTCTCATGCATCCTCTAGACCATCTAATGATTACAACGACTTGGCAGCAGACATGTCAAGATATCGAAACCTTTTATCTGTCCCGTCGCCAAGCCTCGGACCGACGAATGTGGCATGCTTTGTCCGGCGCGTACGGTCCGTCATGCGCGGTCCGGTTCGAAGTATTTCTCCCTCATAAACCCTCGGAAAGGTCACTATATCGTCCATAGACGATCCTATCTGCTCTCCTCTTCTTTGATTTTTGTCATGACTTCAAATAGTCCCAACGGCGCGCCTCAGCCGGGCGAGCCCAATGGTGTTCATGCAGTGATTGGTGCCAATGGCGGCCGACCGTTGAAGCCAGGCATCTATGCACCCATACCAACCTTCTTCTTGGATGACTCAGAGGATCTTGGTATGTATTCCCAATGCATACATACTGATGACGTACAGATCTAAACGTGTCTCAGATTTGCGGTCATTTGCTGAACATATCATCAGACTTGCTCAAGCTGGTGTTCCGCCTCTCATTGCAGGCTCTATGGGCGAAGCTTCGCATCTCACGCACATTGAACGCACCACACTTATCAAGACGGCTCGCGATGCTTTGAATGATGCTGGTTTCCCGGACGTGCCCATCATTGCTGGCACCGGCACCGGAAGCACGCGCGAGACTGTTGAGCTCTGTAGGGAGGCAGCACAAGCTGGCGCCGACTACACAATCGTTATCGCTAGTGGATACTTTGCCGGCGTCTTGGTTAATAACAAGAAGGCATTAAAGGCCTTCTGGACAGAGGTCGCTGCAAAGAGTCCTATACCTGTTATTATCTACAACTGTGAATAGCCTTCGCTCTTTCATTTGTGCTTCTCTTGATTCGATCCTCTATAGACCCTGGCGCTAGCGGAGGCATAGATTTGGATTCTGAAATTATCACGGAGCTCGCACAAGAATGTCCCAACCTTGCTGGCGTGAAACTCACGTACGTTTTTACCACCGATTCATCAGATAATTCTCATTTAAGCATGGTTCAGCTGTGGAAATGTAGGAAAGCTCACCCGCATTTGTGCAACCGTTTGCGACCCGTCATTTTCATCTGTGTACCCTCGCAAGAATCTAAATGCCCCATTCCTGGTTTTGGGTGGTTTCATTGACTTCCTGGTACCTTCTACATTCGCCAATGCGCATGGTGCGATTACTGGCCTTGTAAATGTTGCACCTGTAAGCCTTTTATTTTCCGCAGTCGATTCATGTCTTATGCCATCACTGTGTTTTGTAGTATACTATTGCGAAGCTGTTTGAGCTATCAGCGTCTGCAATGCAAGATCGTTCGCTCCTTCCTGAAGCACAGCGCCTTCAGGGCATTGTCGCTCGCGGAGACTATACTATTGCCAAGGCATCAATTGCAGGAACGAAGGCTTTGCTAGAGAAGTTGTATGGTTACGGCGGCAATCCCCGCAAGCCTTTACCACGGATAGAGCCAGAAGCTGCTGCTTCCTTATGGCAACACCCTGATATGCAGGCACTCGTACAGGTGGAACGCGAGTTGAGTGGGAAAATATAGACTTTTTTTATTGTTTTCGACGCAACAGCGTTGTTCATCGAATACTCATACATTCAATTCACCGCATGTGTATTCTATCGTATGTTCTCATATTCCACTTGTCGTCTTTATGCAGGAGAGTTCACGCTCACATCTCTATCTAAACTTTTGTAGAGTTAAGAATAATTTCATACATGCCTCTGATATTGCGAATTGTTTCGGCATACATCCAAATATCCGATCGCTGAGGGCTAACTCTCAAGTATCACAAGATGTTTCGTATTGGATGGTGATTCTACTCGGGAATCCTTTCACTTAGCTGTCAACACCTCTGACTCTACCAGCCTAGCTGCTCTGCGGTCCAAGCACCCCAGAGACGTCCATCTTTCTTGTCAATAATTTGTGTCAAACGCTCTCCCCTGTCTAGAGAACTGATACGTTTGACGTCCTCAGGATCCAAGGTAGGAAGCTAATCGTCGCACGTTAGCGTTCGCGTCGGGTAGCAATGAGCGCGCGACGTACAGTGATGTTCTGTTTCTGCCTTCCAGCGTTGGTACTCTTTGGCAATGGGATTACACCACGAGCGATATGCCAGGCTAGGACAAGTTGGACAGGCGTGACATTGTACTTGTCAGCGAGTTCCTTGATGAGGGGTAAGTCCAGGACGTTGGAATACCCTACATGCTAGTAAGTGTCCTTCGTTGAATATAGACAATTTATCTAACCCGTCGGAGTGTAGGCTTCAACAATAATACCCTTGCTCCTGCAGTATTGTAAGAGGTCCTCCTGGACTAGAAACGGGTGCATCCTGAATGACTTTCGTCATGAGAATAGAGGAGACTTGACATAACCAGTGTATGACTCACTCGACTTGGTTGACAGCAGGAACGACTTTGGCCGTTTTCAGGAGTTGTTCCAAGCTACGCATAACACTTCAGCGTTGGTAATCCTACTGCTCAACACCACCAGGACGTACGTTTTAATGGAGAAATTGCTCACACCAATTGCTCTGACTTTACCTGTGGCGAGTGCCATTTCCATCATAGCCCAAGTCTCGTTGAAGTTAGGGTGATCGAGCAACTTGGCATTCCCATTCTCGTCTTTCGGAAAGATCTTGTCCATACCGAACCCATCTGATTACTTATGATGTCTGGTTGGTCAAGTATAGTTTCGGGGATTAACTCGCCTCCTTCGTACTTCCAAGTTATCGGAGAATGCATCAAATACTAGTGAGCTAATCATGAGTGGACGATGGCCTCTGACATTGAAGCTGCGAGTGACGAACCAGATCAACGTAGCCTACATTCAATGCCTCCAGTGAGTCATCTAGCGACTTCCAGAAGATGGAAGGGTGAGTCCAGCTAACGTCTCTTTTTTTCAGTGAAATTTCTTTTGGAATAGCTGATAAACTTACTGCAGCTTTGTTGTCACAAAGATCTCTTCGCGGGAAACGCCGGACTCTCTGACGGCTTTCCCAACCACGCTTTCGGTTCCTGAGAACAATAAAGTTAAGGCTTCCCAGAAATCGTGCGTGCCTCGTGCCTCAACTGACCATAAAGTGCCGCAGTATCTAAGAGTCGGTAACCAAGCTGCAAACTGTTTGTCAATATAGTTATCAACCTGCTCTTGGTGAAGTTACAGTGTACTTTGATCGCGCTCAGAACCCAGTTCTTGGTTTCTCGAATACCCTCTGGTGTTAAATCGCTACCACAACCGAGTCCTATCATGCAGGTCAACATTAATTAACGATGAACGGTGGATCCGTGCTCACCAATGCCTGGGATAACGGCCCCGGTGTTCAGCTTGCGAATTGGGATGGCAGACATACTAATGATGAGTAACTGAAGGCTGAGAAGGTTGCTGGGTTCGAGAGTTCCAACAACTGCTTTATATCCTTTAGATTTATCCGTATAGAATCAAATACCGAAGACAATCGGCATATATACAAGCTTTCAAAGCACTTTCGCTCCGATCATAGAGATACGTCCAACGTACAGAGTTGACGTAATCTTAATTCTTACACCTTGGATGTTGGAACAGCTCAGCAAGCGGAGTATGCCAGAATTGTTTTGGCAGATGATCAAAGGTCCAGGTGTTAGCTAGGCCCTGCTGCCATCAACAGATGGTCCAGTACTTTGTTGTAACCATTCGATTGAGCTTATCGAATGGACTAGGGGAAAGGATCGCGACACGACGTGAAGACTGCCATCTATGCAGCTGCACCAGCTTAACTTATAACTGTAGACACAACAACCTCAGTGACTGGCGCAGTCATCAGCATAAGGCCTCTTGATATTCTCTTACCTGCCTGAGGTCATGCCTGCGTCTTGCAGACTGAGACAGATGAAAAAGCTCAAGTCCTGTCAGCCAGCGGGACGTGCAAAAAAGAAAACGTAAAAAATAGGACGTCGGAATAATCGTACAAAAGCAGTGACTAAAACTAGATGCAGTAGTAGATGTGGATTAGTAGAAATCAAGCGCACAAAAGGCCACATACATGCAACGGGTTCATCAAGGCTCACTGTGACTGTTTGCTGGGCACCCGGTACACCTCCCTCCGGACATCCGAACTGCCAGACCCAGTACCCGTACTACCAGCTCCTTGGTTCGCGCCCTCCCCGGTCTCGAGGCCTCGGAGCTCGGTATCTTCATACTTATAGTCTGGTAGATACCAATAAACGGCGGGCAGGGCCACACAGAGCGCACCAACGATGTTGCCGAAAAGCGAGGCAAAAAGAGACCTGGAAAGATGTTATCAAAGACCAACCAATCTGACGTATGGGAGGACATACTTTCGAATGTATTCGCCCACTGTCAACTATAAGAAACCCATTTCAATGAATATTCGGTAATGACAACAGACAAATAACTAACGTCTGCACCAAACAGGATGCCCAGGGGAACTGAGAACATGTTTGCAACAACTGACATGGAATGAGCAATACGTTCTTAGAGTAGACGTTCGGGTGTTGCGATACTTACTGTGATCAAAAGCACACGCTACGAAAACCTACAAGGACTAGTTGAGTGGCTCATGAACATATGAACCCTTCGGATTACACACCCAAATTGGAATCCAAATGGCAAAGATCTTGGAGATCGTCTCCCGTGCTCCTGCCGCTTGCTGCGTCATAGGTTCGTAGACGTCAGAATTTAGCCTTTAGACGCCGAAAATACATGAAACATACCCAGACGGCGACGCAGACTAACCAATTGCAGCCAATTCCTCTCAAGAATATTTGGTGCCATTGAGGATCCTTCGCTTTGCGCCTGTAGCAGATCCGAGTTAACAGGTCATGAGTCCTCAGAGCGGGATAGGGTCCTTACAAGGCGAAAGTCTGCGCAAAGGTGATGTAGGGCTCCGTGGAAATGATACCGCTGTCTGTTCATATCGATGAGTCAGATTTAGGAGGGGACAGTCTCAATAGGACAGTGGCACTTACACTTGGTGATTACAGCCGCGAAGAACAGGCTTCCAGCGAGGTTACCAAAGAAAACTATCGCGTTTCTCAATTTCCTTCGTTCCAAAGTTTCAACCAAAGGAACGAACCTATAATCCAATTCAACGGTAGACTCCACCAAGGAATGGCGCCCTTCAGGACCGCCATTGGATGGATCTGAGCGCCAGAAGAGTTTAGTCACATAGCTTAAGAGATTGCGAAGCCATGAAAGACCACGACTCACCATCATGTTACTCGTGAGCAACTCTTGGCCCTGCAGAACAATCCTGTTGGTGGTGAGAACGCATTATGATGCCGCCCAGTGGTGTATCAAGAAACCTGATGCTTACATCACCAAGCCCACGGGGAAGACAAATCCTCCCAGTATCTTCACTAAGCCTGGATTGTTTGCATTGATACCAGCAGAACCTCCGGAAATGATTTCTGAGAGTAAGCCTCCGAACGATAGCATGACACCCGCAGCAACCTACATCAAGTGTGAGTACATATGAGCATGGTAAACAGAGGCGTTAGTCACTTACGGCCTTGAGGAAGATCTTATCATGCCGCGTCCTATGTTTCGCCACCCCATGCTCGACCATAGAGATAGCAACTTGGGCGGGTTTGAGCGTACTCGGGGGATCGAAGGTACTAGCCATCTTCTCTACGTTTCCAAACCCTGATCTGCTGAAAGGGAGAAGGGAAAGGGCACTTCCAACTCGTCGAAGAGGTTACGTGAGACCTGCCGGGAGAAGTGCGCGCCCTTGCGTATGTCATGCGCAAGGGGTTTTTATATTGTGCGCCAAACGCATGCCGTTATTAGTATCACGGTTGTCTTGAGAATCTGTCGAATCTTAGGCTCCATTGGTCCGGCGTGTGCCCTTCTAGCCAGCCAGGGATTGGGTGTAAAAATAGCCGAGAAGAACACAGCAATTGTTGCAGCTCTCAGCAAGCGATGGGTGGCAGCCTGGGTAGTCATATGGATGCTTTTTCCATCAGAAGAGATAATCATGTCTCTGGACAGAACCTCCTATAGACCCCTTTATGAAGTGCACATCTCCATGTCGAAGTAGCTAGATCCTCCGAGGTTCGGCAGAGGAAACTACAGAACGTTGAGGAGACGGCTGGTAGGTCCGAGTTTGCGAGTTTGAGTTCGGTATCACCCCTGATAAGAAAAGTGTTTTGCACGCACCTTGGTATTACTTTCATTCTATATTCATTAGAATGGGGATGCCCTTGCGCAGCTGTCAGCTGTTGGCAACCCGTGAGGAACTGCTGAAACCTAATCCCTTGACCCTGCTAAACGCTGGGGCTACTGGTAACGTGCGAACCCTTTCCGCCACATAGTCATCATTTCTTGCCTTTTTTCAGCAAACGCGGCACAAAATATGTGACACTACACGTACAGCAGACTTGTTTATCATGACAATTCACGATGCTCATTTCATGGAAGCGAAACTGCGACTGAAGTAATTTTAGCCGGATGTGGGGCAACTTCCCCGCATCATAAAGTCCGTGATAGCCGAAGACTATACAATTGACCTCAAAAAGGCAAGGGAACAGGAACAGACCAAGCGGCGATGTTCAGCGATTTCGACACCGTATAAACTTGAGATATCAAACCTACACATAGAGTGCTACTACTTACTACAGCTTAGGCATTCCCTATAATGCGTTGCATCATCCATCGCCGGGCTGCAATAACGTTCCTCACAATTGTGGGTGTTGTTGTCTCGGACTGACGTTTTCTCTTCCTGTCACCTTCTCGACGACCTAGACAATGAATCAACGGTCAATCAAAGAGCGAAGCCATCATTGAACCAATCACATACCTCGCCTTAAACGTGACCATACACACCCATAGCCTTCTGCAGAGTACCATCGGTCTGGGGAGCCAGAGGGTGAGGCCTAGTGGGAACCATCTCACGAGCCTTCAAGAACGCACGAGCGAGTTTCTACGAAATAGTCAATTTCTAGACTAGGAATGACATTCAACATAACGCATACATCATTGTCCTCTGGGGAGAGCTTCTCGCGGAGGGTAGGATGCCGTGTTGTCTCCTCCTCTTGGCCGTGGGCAAAGAAAGCATTGACAGAGTCTGCCATGATGTCATCATGATGCTCATGGCTGGCAGCGATATGCTCATCCCTAAATATGAGTTTCTTGACTTCAGCGTGGTCTTCTGTGTTAGTAGGTAAGTATACCGTCTAACATAGAGATGAACGGGGCACATACCTTTACTATGCATGGCGGCGTCATGAAGACCGAGCTTCTGGTAGTCGTTGTAAACATATATCTCTTCTGCGTCGCCGTGGATGGATATCTCACGAATGAGAGTGTTAGCGACCAACTTCTCCTCGTACGACACGGGGATCTTGAAAATGCAGATATCTTTCGATCAGCATCGTAATGAATACGTTACGTATGTTATGATATTCATCGCTCATAGAGTTCACGAACATTGTCGTGGTCAATCTTGATTTCCTGTGCAACGTCCATGAGACCTTTCGCCGTTGCCAAACCTCTCAGACCGACAGGTGCGACCATTGTTGGTCGAATTATGATAGCTTGAGAATACTGTCTGAGGGCATTTCGAGTGTTTGAGAGCGTCGTAAACATTATGGTACTGTAACTGAAAGATATGAAGCTTGAGAACAAGCAAAGGAGAAAGCAGATCTTATGTGGTCCTGCCATGCTCCACTTAAACGGTCGCCGACATCACCCAGGCCAGCGAGCTATGATTCCATGTATGATACGGTAGTGGATAGTGGTGGATCCATTGAAAGGTTTTGTCCCCAGTGCAAGACTTGAGTATAGGATACCTTTAAAGGAAGCACGTTCTCACGCAACGCGGTACTTTCAATTTCAATCCTTGATCTTTCCTCCTGAGGCCTGCCCGCCGTCTTGACTCTTCTTCCGATTCTTATGCTCGCTACATTGTCCGTAGTTGAGAAAGACTATGGATATTGCTACTTCTTGAGCAAACATAAAGTTCACGCCGCATGCCAGAGCTGAGCTCCCGCAGGCTGCTCTGTATACGCCTCCAGCATGAGCTTCCAACATGGCCAGAGAAGGACCGCGTCGATCGTGCAAAGTTTCCTGGACGGATTCACTTGCCTTATTATTGTAACAATACGGCTAGGAGAACCATTTTGGATGGCTGGGATCTCTCTCCTGTCCCGGTAAATTTGTCACGACGTGCTAAACGTGAGGATATTATTTCTCGGGTTCCTACAAAGTTTGCTAAAATAGTGCTCGTCAAGGTCGGACTCCTGTTACGAACAAACATAGGTCTGCTGTAACGCAAGACTATGACGCGGAACCAACGAAGTTCACGAGTATGGATGATGTTTTCACATCGGATCGCAAACTCCCGGAGGCTCGCCGCTCAACAGACGAAGACATATGCATTTCCCGTTCACTTCCACTGCTTGAGAATGATTCCGCAGTGGGAACAGGAACCAGCGACAATGTGCAACAGGACAAAAACACATCTGCGACTAGCATTCTCGATTTCAGGGATTCCAGCCCCTTCGCGTCGACTTCAGGTTTGAACGGATCAACGCCAAAATTTTCCGGTATGAATAACATTGAAGCGTCGAAGCCAGCACCATTCGAAAGGCTACATGTCAGAAGAGAGAATGCCTTCACCTCACTAGATATGGCCAAGCGGAAGTCTATGTGTAATGTTCTTGACTTCCGGAAGACATTGTACATGCATCAATATCGAGAAAACAAGTTGTCTCAAGGTCAGCTCCAGGAAGCACATAGAGAGAATGCCCCAAATTCTACCCTGTCATCTGAATGTCTCGAAGAAACAGGTACGTTACGTTTGTCAGATTCTCATCGGAAATCTGGCTATATGCGATTATTCGCAGTGTCGGATCCATCTACGTCATCAAGTTGCATAGGCACACCGTCTATGCGCCAAGTGGACCTTGAACTCAGTGAACTCCATATTGCCACGCCAGACGAACCTCGCAGCAACACTTCTTTAACGCCTTCCGGGTCCGAAAACCCTTCCTCTAATGGTGGCGTGGGATCCCCCTCGACCAGTAACGAAGATGAAGGCGAGTTCCTGTTCGCCATATAACCTCATTCGAATCTCATTTTGATCCTTCATCCCGTACAGAACAGAGCTTTATCGAAAGGAAGAAGCGCAAACGGCTGTCTGATGTACTAACCCCCCACTCAGCTCCTGTTTTGTTATCCAACGCTAAGGATCCGTCACTCGATGCCCCGGATCCTTCACTCGATGCCCCGGATCCTTCAATTAGTGTCAAGTCGCCGCTTAGCGTAGATACCAGGAGACCGAAAAACCTCAGCGAGTTGGCTAACATGCTGGGCGTGGAGAATTACCGCCCCACCAAACGTATCAAGCTGGAGCAGCCGAGCTCACCGTCTCACTCTGGTATGCAAAGTGTACAGAACCGTTTGGGTTATTGAAAGTTGAATACTTGTAGTGACCCGGCCTTCTAGTGCAGCCGGAAAATCCGCACCTTTGGTGAAAACAACCAGTAAGCTGAATAACAGTGTCATATGTAACCCGCTTCTGACTCCCTTTTCAGTTCTTCCTGGACCCGTTGCCGGGTCGGAAATTATTCAAATTGACTCCTCTTCTGATGAAGGGTCTTGACTCCCTGGTACTTTTTTCTCAACCTAATTTATCGATTAAGCGGTCTCTACTGAGTGACCGACATGGACTCAAGCATGTTCTTGGATACATTTCTACTATATTCCCCATTACGTCACTGTATTCCTACTTACATTGTTCTATACAACAGTTCATATACACAGGTATTCCTAGACTCTTCACTACAGACTCAACGCTTCCATGCCGCCTCGAGTCGTTGCAACACATTATCCTTATCCACACCGTCAAAGTTGGTCGAATGCGCAAGTTCCTCCCACTCCGGATTCGATGTATCCTCCATAGTTCTCTTTGCCTTCAACCTTACCATCAACAAGGAGTCAGTGCCTAATTGGATCCTCGTCGGAAGGTCCTTCCGACCTGCAATTTTCCATAACGCTTGGGCTGCTTTGGTCGGATCGCCGATAAAATGTTTGGGGTCGCGGATACGTCTCATGGCTTCGGATGGAGCGTGCTCTTGCTGGTAGACAGGAAGAGAAGGCAGAACCACGAGTGAGGACGCTGCCCATTCAGTGCGGAACCCTCCTGGTTCAACGATGGTGGCTTTGATGTTCCACTCTGGCAGCATTTCGCGGGCGAGGGATTCGGTGAAGCCTTCAAGAGCTACAGATCCAAAGCCCATGCTTAGATGTGTGCTTCGGCGATGCCTGTCAAATGATGCCGAGACGTACCAAACTTTCCGGTGTGGTAGAAGGCCGATCCAGGATGACCGTTATACCCTCCTACCGACGTGATATTAATGATATGTCCTCCATGCCCAGATGGATTCACATCCCTGAAGAACCTGATGGCCTGAATGAACAGATTCAGTCAGTCAGGTCAGTTCCCGTTGTTACATAAATATCATCTTACCTGTTGACAAATATGTACAGGGCCCCACAGTAGCACTTCGACTTGTCTCCTAGCTTCGTCCTCTGGCGTCGTCTCGATTTCACTACTGAGTCCGTAACCGGCATTGTTTACCACGACATCCAGTTGGCCAAAATGTTTCTTCGTCTCTTCGAATGCATTTTTGATTTGCGACTGGTTCGTGACGTCCAGTGGGATGGCGAGGAGCTGCGAGGCAGGGTATTGGTTCTTCAAGGTTTCCAACTGCCCCGGCTTTCGCAACGTTGCTACTGCACGTTCGCCCGCAGCAAGAACGGCGTCGAGCAGGGCTTTGCCTAGTCCCTGAGAGCTGCCTGTAACTGCAAAAGAGAGATTGATATTGTATCTTGCCCATCTTGGCGTGCTACTCACTCAACCAGACTCGAGAATCTGAAAGGGCCATGTATGGGTACTAAAGTGGTATTTGAAGATGCTATTGTCTGCATTCCCTCTTCAATTTATGTGTTCTACTCGATATGCGTGCCGATCCGTGGGCGGTTCGCTCGTATTGAAGAAGTCCCTGCAAGGCGTACGCATACGTTCGGCAAGGCATTCTTATTAGACTGCGTGTTTAAGTAACTATATCCCGATTACCCGACAGGCTGTCGTAATGTCCGATGTTCTCGAGGTATATGGATAGTTTTGAAGTTGGATGACCTCAATATTGTTTGGGACTGTAGCGCATATAATAGTAATATTACTATATACTCAGACTGTAAACGGAATAAACGATTTGCATTGTCACTAACGCGGGTATTGACCGATATTGGACTGCATCTTCTAAGATATTCAATGTATCCTTCAGCTTAACTTCTAAGCTTTCAACGCCGCCGTCAGCTGCTCAACGATCTTAGCCGTGTCCACACCATCAAAGTTAGTCGAGTGCGCCAACGCTTCCCATTCAGCAGTCTTTGCATTCTTGATCGTCTTCTCCGCTTCAGCAACTACCATCATGTGCGCATCCGTCCCGAGCTGGATTCGGAGAGGAAGATCCTTACGTCCCGCGATAGAAAACATTGCGTCTGCAGCTTTCTTAGGGTCAGCAAGCAAGAAACTATCATGCCCCAACATGTTGCGAAGTACGTTGAACGGTGCATGAGGTTGCTCATATGCGGGGAGAGTGCGAACCTTCACTAGCGAGGAGTGACCCCATGATGTACGGAAGCCTCCTGGCTCAACAATGGTTGCCTTGATGATGTTCCACTCTGGAAGCATCTCTTTCGAGAGGGACTCGGTTAATCCCTCCAGGGCTGTACAATAAATATAAGCCTTGAGCGGAGTCAGAGGAAGGTGGGTCAGTATGCTTACCAAATTTGCCTGCGTTGTAGAATGCGATTCCGGGATGGGCTTGATGCCCACCGCTGGAGGAGATGTTGAGGATATGACCGCCTTGACCTGACGGGTTGATGTCTCTCATGAATGGGATAGCCTGATAAACGGTATTGTCGTTATCACATCTCGTACCATCACACACGGACTTACTCGTTTGATGATGTGGACCGGTCCCCAGAAGAGGACCTCAATCTGTTTCCTGGTCTCTTCCTCGGGAGCGACTTCGATCTCTGCAAACAAGCCGTAGCCGGCATTGTTGACCACAATGTCGAGACGACCGAAGTGCTTTTTGGTCTGCTCAAAGGCACGCTCAATGTGTTCAGTCTTCACGACATCTAACTCGACCACGAGAAGCTGAGTGGATGGATATTTGGAGGCAAGGTCAGCGAGATGCTCTGGACGACGCAGGGTGGCGACGACACGCTCGCCGGGGTGCAAGACCTTCTCGACGAGCAGCAACACAACTGCACGGATGCTATTATGTGCCGTAGCCATGAATACGCATGTCTTCGGCAGGCAAGTCGAAATCTGATTCACAGGTGTATATTTCGATTGACTCGGTTCCCGGCATTGAACACAGATCATTCAAAAAATAAACCTGGATGTGTCGTCAAGCAGCTTCATCTCACCACCTCTAAAGAAGTAAGAGACATAAAATAGGCCCGTCGAACGGTAACAAGATAATGATCTTGATAGGATATGTTGTGATACGTGCGTACACGGTCTGTCTCGCACAGTGTCTTGAATGCAGGTGCAACGAGACGTGTGATTAGTGGTTTATATATGTACAAAGGGAAAACAGCAATGACACACCTCAGGCTTGAGCTTGCACAGCGACATTTCGAGGTTCTGTATTCATGCGCGAATTTGTGTTCAGAGTCTCTGGCGCAAAATTTTAAGGTTCAGAAGGGCAAACCTCAGGCCATGGGCACTTAATTACTAGTAGCCTACTTGACACTCGGTACTCATCGTTTAACTCGAGTTGACTTGGAGAAATATGCAAACTGCGTGTTTCTCATCAGCTATAAATAGACAGCGCTTACGCACAACTGAATGATTAGATCGATTATGGGCGATTACAGTGTCATTACATTGAAACCACATCCATCGAAGAATAATCATCATTCAAATATCCAACCAGTACCTCTTCAAACATCGATGGTCAAGGAAAGATGGTCTAAATATGTGGCTCTCTGATCCCATACATGTTGAACGACCTCACACTGGTTGGTGACTTTGCCAGTGGAAGCGCTGGGTTATACTCACGCATAGAAAAGGTACAAGTTACAGCAGGTACATATACGGCTCATTCTCACCGGGCCTGCCGTTTACCTGATGATCAGCCTATTCGACAGATGGAATTAGGATTCCCAAGCGGCAAGGAGAAATGTACAGCCTACGGCATCCAAAGATGTCGTTCTTATCGTTCTGCCCCCAAGACCCACTCCAAACCAACTTCAGCCAGCCAAGCGTCGACCTCGAGTAGATGTACGAGTATCGCCAACAACCATGGAAGACATTATACTTGACCTACCAGACGATTACCACGACGGCCATCAGAGTTCCGATATGGGTCGTACTCTCAATGTTTCGTTCGGGTCGCCCTGTAGAAACGTGGTCATTCAAGAAGACCATGATGACGAAGCTCCTTAAGCACATGATCACAGTTCTCGAGAAGTAAGTCTGAACCTGAATCTACCGTAAACAATCAAGTTGGTAACACGACTGCTTGACTTGTACTTAGAGTTGGCGGGCGCGCACCCGCCCCCAAGCACCTTGCCATTGCAGGCGGTGCAAATGTAAAGGGTAATTGGGTCTATCCGGCTGAGCACCTCATCGTTGGCGATGTAAAGCAATGGGCAGAAGACGCAGGCGTTGGGTGCATCCGTATTCCAGGATATTGGTTTGAGAAGAAGGGCGACAATCGCAAAGCTGGAGAACCAGCCAAGCCTGGCGAGAAAGTTGTTTACGCCCTCCATGGTGGTGGATATGGTGGACAATCCGCTCATCCTAGTGACTTGGCCTCCAACGTACCTCGAGGGATCCTTGAATATGCTAAGACTGTTTCGCGAGCGTTCACACTGGAGTTTCGTCTTTCCACTGGTCCTCCCAATGAGGCGGCGAACTCCTTCCCTGCTGCATTAATCGACGCTGTAGCCGGGTACAATTACCTCGTGAATGAAGTTGGTTTTCTAACCCAGAATATCATCGTGGAGGGTGACTCTGCAGGAGGTAACCTCGCCCTGGCACTCGTTCGTTATCTCATCGAGAACAAAGATGCCGGAATACCTTCCTTCCCAGCTCCTCCCCACGATCTCATTCTTTTGTCACCATGGGCAGACCTCGGCACTTCCCACAAGATCGAGGGGACGTCTGTTTATACCAATGTCAAGACAGACTTTATCGATCTTCTCCACCCTTCGCGACTCGTACCGAACTTTTTAGGTCCGTTCGGTCTAGATATCGCCAATCGCAATCGGTATATTTCTCCTGCATCCACAGCGCCTACGATGGAGAAAGTCTCTTTCAATGGTTTCCCAAGGACATTCATTGTCGCTGGAGGGGCGGAGGTCCTGCGAGACCAGATACGTACCTTAAGAGATAGGATGGTCGTAGACCTGGGAAGCAGTCAGGTGGAATACTATGAACCTGCTGGTGCAGTTCATGACTATTTGATTTTTCTTTGGTTCGAACCAGAGAGAACGGAGACCTTGGAGGCGATTGCGAGGTGGCTTGCTTCTGAGTAATGTTTCTAAAGGTAGTGTTTTGCTCGTAAAGTTTGTGGTCCCGCACCCGCTGCTGTTATTTATGCTGAATCACAGAATTTCCGAATTAAGTCTGCGGGCGGCCTTTACGTGATGGTTCGAACAAGCTGCAGCGGATGACACCTGATAACCACATATTCAGCTAAGTCCTGGCGGATTCACTCTTTGCTCTTGGTGTTTAATTCGAGGCATAACTGACTGCGCAAAGTAAGCATGGTCTAACACTTTATCCATCGCGGCTTCTTTACTTAATGAAAATATGGATCTCGCTGCTAGTGATCGGATTGAAGTCTTCTTTCTTAATGCTAGTTTACCCCATCTTCATTCTATTGAGACAAGGGTTGAGACGGGTTTCAGATCGTTGGCCTCGAAGATTAGTCAAGCGACGTCTGTCCGGTCCTGTCAGACTGTGCAGTGCAACAGAGCGTCGGCTACTATAAGAACAGCTTGTCGTCTCGACTCCGTCATGGCGAAACTGGGTAACACTGAGGAGCACGGATCCAAGCTTCAGTCACCTGCCGCTACGAAATGCCAAATTCGATCGGTTGACCTCAGTTTTCGGACGCATTTTTCAAATGAACTCCGTCGAGGACATGCGCGATCACTTGTCACACTCTACCCAATGCTACCAGTCAATAAAGTCATCATCAACCAGCGATTGTAGCATGCTTCTTCAGACTTCCCTTCACCATGTCAAGACTAAGTATTCATTTACAATTATATACGGCAAACGAGTGGATCATGCTTCGGGTGTGGCATAAGTGACCACAACGGAGAATGCGCGGTAAGCATTTTTCCGTCATCCTAGAGCGGAGATTTGTCCTGATTCGCTTCAGTCCGCTTCAGTCGAGTGTGGGTTTGACTGACCGGATTTACGTTCTTCCATTATGAAAGGTCTCGCCGGGCCTCACGCGTAGATTTACAATATAAGCATTACGGCGTCTCTAATGCTCCAGTCTTTACCCCCGAGTTTTATGTCGACGACTTTGGTCAAGCCTTTCCTCGTTGATGACCACCCAGTCTGAGCATTTCGACCCCGAGAAGCTCTTGGACCAATACCTTACTGCGGTCCGAGATGTGGAACTTTCGAGGCTGGCTGCTTGTGAGTTGTGTCACTCAGTTGACTGTATATTGGGTTGCTAACGTATGTTCCTACTCACAGTCGTTGTGGCCACCGCCGTAATATACGATTATAGTGAGTACATTTTTATCTTGAACGCCGTCGGCTTGTGTTTAACTCTGCTTCTACTCTAGTTGTAACATTCGACCTTGAGGTACGTGCCGTGCATAGTGGTCCGTTGCAGGTAGAGCATGCTCAGGATTGAGTGATCTTGACCTCAGATCGTGTTAATATGGGTAAATCCACGACGTTGTCCGAAGGTCCCATGCTTATATTTTCTCAGGGGAAACGATGGTCTATTATTAAAGCCGTATATTTGTGGGTTAGTGTTCAGTACAACTTTGCAAATGTTCGACACCTACGCCCTTTTCACAGCATCGTTATTTTGGTATTCTATGTGTCATGTGAGGATAACGCGGACTGATCTGAACATAACGATGTCTGACATGTTATGTAGATTTCAGGTAGTAGGTTCGTGACCTTCTACGTTTCTCAAGGTTACGCCAAGTACGAACTAACAGTATTTAGCCCTAACATATAATGGTGTCAATGATGGTGTGAGTGCCTATCCAGTTTCAAAATCTCGTGCTGGCTAACGGAATATTCACTCCTAGTTGTACGTCCCTTCCCTGCTGTCCATGTCGCACATTGATAGAAAGGTGACATTATCAACTTCAGTTGTCAGTTGTCAGTTTTCTTTCTACACAGAGTGTTCGTGACGTTCTTTCAGGTAACTTCTGGATCCACTGGGAGACATGGGGTTATTCTGCCCTCATATTCTCTTCCGAACGTAAGTTGTGGCCCGTACTCCTGTCCGCACAATTTATGCTCTAGCTATGCACGTTTTCTAGTGGTTCTTATCCTATGGATATGGGTAATCTGCAACAGAAGTAGGCTGGTGCTGGTCACTTTACTTGGTTTATTCGCCGCCGAGGTAACCGGAGTGATCGTTGTCCTCGTGATTTCATTTCGCCACACCGTTGGTAGGGCTCTCTCTTGCTGAGAGATTCTGTTTTTGTTCATCTGGTGGTCGTAACAGGTAGTGCACATCTGCTGCCTAACATGACGTATTGCTTCGCAAGGGGTACTGTGCCCTCGTTCAAGTTTCTCTGGGTTCCTGTATTGGGCTTCGATACAATTCTGCTTGCCATCTATCTGTACCAAGGCTACAGAACACGCGGTTTGCACAAGCGTAAAGGCTTCAGCTCGATGCATATGATTTACAAACACTCCTTACTGAATTTCCTCGCGTGAGTCGTTTGCATATCTCCTTGATCGTCGGCGTTCACATCTACTAATGCCTTCAGTATATTCGCCTCTTACTTATCATGCGCCACGATGTGGATAGTTGCAGAGGTTAGTCACAACTTTGGTGTATGCATGCATATTCTTCACATACTGACTTCGTCCACAGCCAGGACTCATTCAGATACCTGCCAGCTTCGCCCTCGCCCTCTCCATCACTAACTGTACACGACTTCTTCTGAATATTCGGCGCGCGTATTATATTGGACCCAGCCACATGCATTTGAGCAATGGATCAGGCTTGGTTATTCACTCAAGTGGCTTCGGTACACCCAACTCGGCTACACCTTTAGCGAGTTTACGGTGGGCCCGGCGCGACAACTCCATGGAATCAATTCGTAGCCAAACCATGCTAGATGAAGACGTTGATAGTTCTGACACTCTTTACAATGGCCTCGGAGGTCCATCAGGTTCGCACTACGAGATGAACGAGATAAAGTCCTCCGCCGGCGAAGCATAGGGTTGAAATTTGAAATTCCCTGTTACACTACCGGACTCGAGTACCATATCGGACATTCGTTCATTCGTGTGTATCCTCCCATTGTTTATTACTACTATAAATCATGGACAGTTGCGCATACCTCAACTTCTGGATTATGGTTCACATCTGGGCGGGAGCCTGTGAACTAGGTACGTACACGACTTTTTTGTGTTTCTATTTCCGGAGTCGCCATGTTCATGGCGCTCATAGGTCCTGCTACAACGCGGACAACATGAGGTCGAAGGACACAAGTTTGTACTAACCTCATCAGGCTTTCTTTCTTGCTCCTCTGTAAAAACTACTTACGAAGGTAGTCACGAAGAGTCCGTTTTCACGTTTGGACGACAGTCCGCAAGAATGGCCATGCACAAGACCTGTGCACGTTGATCCGTCTCATGCAAGAAGCTTCCAACGCATCGGGTTTATGTTTGGCGTATGCCAAGGGTATCTGCCTGTATCTGCGCACTTCCGACACCAGTAATACCCCCGGCGATATTTGAAAGCGGACTGGAATATCCTCGCTGCTTGATTTCTCCTGCCGGACAGACGTTCCAGTTAGACTTTTTACCATTCTGTTTCGATTATTCGGGAGTTCTGTCGAGCTGTATACCATGGAATGTGTCCTTATCATGCGTGTATCATGATTGCGAATGATAGCGTACCTTCGGCTCGAGGCAGCAGTGATATTATGGCGTCCGCGTAAACCAATGGTTGGACTCCAAACATATATTCATTTTGTTCTGACTGTGAGAAGCGTGAAGGGTGGAAAAGGTAGCCGGTCCAAGATAAAGAGCTTGCTTCCATACCACGAGGACGGGCTTGCGCCAGTGGCCGCTCGAACCTTTCTCTCCTTTTTACGACCAACTGCCGGCAACGTCGAGCATAGCGACGACGACGACGATGACCACCGCCATGACCATGGCCATCCCAGGCGTAACGATATCTTCTCTGCCTATCTTCATTCTCAGAGTTCTTTCACCAGCATTCGTACTGCTCTCCACTTTGTCTATCGTACCAGCACGCCCTTCCTCGCCGCCATCGGCTTCTCCCATAACTCCCGTCGTCGTCGCTACTCGTACACCCCGTCGTGCTGTTATTCTTGCTCTACTTTCTCTTTCTGGCCTCACGTATCTTCTCGACGGTTTGACATTTGTCGTTTTTGCCGTCCTCTCCAAGACATGGTCCAACTTTACGGGTATTGAAATTGCCGCTATTGAAGGTCTCGTTGCGTTTCTTGGATTGGCAGCCCTGGGGACATGGAAAGACATCAAAGGGGTTGATGTTTGGTCTTCCAAGAGAGTCAAATTCGCTATAAGTGCAGCCTTGGTGCTCGATATCGCACAAGCCGTATTGTTTGGTTTGCGTTTTCAGAGTAAGTTCTTTGTTCGTTCTGTTGCTGGACATTCACCCTGACCAAAGCCGCTCTTTCAAGAACCTCTGTCTATTAAATGGCTTCTACACCTGTCTTTCACTGCATTCCGAGTGTTGTTACTGGCACCTCTCCTGGTCGCGTTGCTCAACCCTCATGTTGCCTACGAACCCACATCAGCTGCTGACGAGGAGCAACGTTCTGACTCGAGCCTTCTCCTTCCTGCTGCGGAAGGAGCTGCGGCTTCTACTGGACTTTCTCCTCTCGAAAGTGAGGTTAGCAAGTATGGTACATTCCGCTTTTCGCGGTCGTTGTTCCCTGCTGCATCTAGTCCGACTACCCGTACCCCAACACCTGCACCCTCTGCTTCACGCGTCCCCCAGCCCAAGGTAAGCGCAGGAACAGTCGTGTGCCGTATACATAACTTAAGTATAAACCTAGCGCAAGGTAGTTCCTGAAGACCCCAAGGGGGAGATTAACCCAGACCCTTCTTGGAGCGAATTGTATGACCGACTCAAACGTATCACTCCCTACTTGTGGCCATCAAAGAGTCGTGCCCTGCAATTTTTGGCCGTAGGGTTTCTTGATTTGACGTCATTTGCGCAGCTGACGCCCGTCTGGTTATAGTTCTTGTGTATTCTACTCGTTGTTGTCGGTCGTTTTGTCAACTTCCTTACACCTCTCGCGTTTGCCGAAGTTGTGCGCATCTTTGAAGAAGGCTCCATACGCTCCCCTTGGCCGTACCTCTTTGCATATGTTGGATTACGTTTCCTTCAGGCCAATGGAGGTTTGGCTGCCCTTCGTGATGTATGTGATTTTGAATTTTCGACGATGCCGTTCTCACCCTTTGTCTACAGACCCTTTGGATTCCTGTTATGCAATATTCTGACCGGGGTGCGACTTTTCCTTGTTTTGTATCCTTGTGGAATCTTTGCTGACGACTATTCCTCAGAGATGTCGCAACTTTCATTCGACCACCTCCTCAACCTTTCATTCGCCTTCCACACCCACCGTAAGACGGGCGAGATCCTCCGTATTCTGGATCGTGGAGCAGCCATCAACCAAACCTTGGAGATCGTCATGTTCAATATTATACCTACTTTCTTCGATATCTTCATCGCTTTGATTTTCTTCTGCATTTATTTTGAATGGACTCTGGCTCTGGTTATTTTCTTCGTTATGACAGCTTATGGTAAGCATTGTCAATTCTTTAGTTAACCAACCTAATGTTGTTCATTTACAGTCGCCGCTAGTGTCATCTTGACAAGATGGCGTACTAAACTCAGGAGACAGATGAATGAACGCGATGTTGTAAGCGATATATTTTGATACACTCTAAACCGCTATCAATGATTGACGTTCCTTGTAGATCACTCGTGGCATTCACACTGATTGCCTGCTCAATTACGAGACTGTCAAATATTTCGGTGGAGAACAGCATGAAGGCGAGCGTTACCGTGATGCCATTAGGCAATATCAGGCTTTGGAATACCGAGTCATGGTCTCGCTCAACCTGCTCAATTTGGTGCAGAACTTCATCATTGTGAGTCCTTCGAACCATTTCACGGCTCGTCTGAACCGTATCTAAAATCATGGTTCCATGTAGACTCTGGGACTTCTCGTTGGATCTATGATCGTCGGATATCGTGTCACGACAGGCGCATCTAAGCCTCACGAGTTCGTGTTCTTCATCACTTATCTCGCCCAGGTAGGCCCAGAATGCACGACTTCTATTGACGTGATCTGTGCTGACGTTCGTCATGCAGCTTTATGGCCCACTCAACATGCTCGGCTACATCTATCGTTCTGTGAACCAATCCCTTGTTGATACTGAGAAGCTGCTGAAGCTGCTCAGCGAGCCTACAGAGGTTAACGACAAGCCTGGTGCACCAGACCTCATCGTCGAAGATGGAGAGATCGAATTCGGTAAGCTTTTTCCACACCCTTCCAGTAGGCTAATGGCTTAACTCCTTTTGTAGATAATGTGAACTTCTCCTACGATGGGCGCAATACGGCACTAAGGGGCGTCTCCTTCCGTGTTCCGAAACATTCTTCCGTTGCATTGGTCGGCGAGTCTGGTGCTGGGAAGTCCACCATCCTGCGCCTGCTGTACAGGTTCTATGATCTCAAGGAGGGCGAGGGACGGGTTCTTATTGACGGCAAGGACATCCGTGATGTTACTCAGGCCTCTCTGCGCAAGGCTATCGGTGTTGTACCTCAAGACCCCGTTCTCTTCAATGCGAGCATCGCGTACAATATTGCGTAAGTAGCGCTCAGTTAGAGCCGCGGCTGTCCACTAACGTTACTGATCCTTCAGATATGGCAAGTTCGGTGCCTCCAGGGATGAGATCGAAGCCGCTGCAAAAGCCGCTCAACTGCATGATAGGATCATGAGCTTCCCCGAAGGCTATGAGACAAAGGTTGGCGAGCGCGGTATTCGACTAAGTGGTGGAGAGAAACAGCGTGTCGCCATTGCGCGTACCATGCTGAAGAATCCCCCCATCTTGCTGTTGGACGAGGCTACGAGGTGAGTTTTGGCAACGGTATCTGACGGGCCGCTCTTATTGACATATGTCTACAGTGCGCTTGATACTTCAACCGAAAAGGATATTCAGAAGGCGCTCCAGCATTTGCAAGAAGGCCGGTCGTCACTTTCAATTGCCCATCGTCTTTCCGTGAGTTTTTCAATTCTAGGCCCAGCTTCCATTTATCTGACAACGTATATCTAGACTATCGCTGCCGCTGATCTGTACGTATTGATAACGTCGCGTGCTGTCAACCTTGTCTGATTTTGCTTTCCAGAATCCTCGTCCTCAAGGATGGTCAAATTGTGGAACAGGGCACTCACAGCGAATTGCTCGCTCACGACGGCGTTTTCGCCTCGATGTGGGCTGATCAAATTTCATCGTCTGATGCTGCCTCGTCTCACAAGAAGGATATCTCTGGTTATGCCGTCGACCATGACGAGGAGCACGCAACCAAGACTGAGCAAGATACGACTGACTTCGCGCCTTCTGTGGCGGCGCAGGTGACCACTGCTGCGGAAACGGCCGAGGGTGCTGATCAGCAAGTTCAGGCAACCGAAAGTGCTCCCACTGCACCTGAATCAACCCATGGTGAACTCACGGCAGAAGCGTCCGAGGGTGCACATATTGTGAGAAGTGAGGCTGCCTCCACGTCCAGTGTTAGCGCCGCGCCAGTTGCATTCCCTGCCTCATCCATCCACGGGCCGGAGCCAGAGAGGTTCCCAACCTCGGCATCTGCTCCCATATCATTCCCGACTTCTGATAGCCCTCGTGGGACACCTATCGCATTCCCCGGTTCGGAGGGAGATGCATCCTCTCAGCACACGCCTTCATTGGCAGAACGTGCACAAACTCCAGGGGTGACATTCCAGAATGTGGCCACGCCCCCACGAACCGGGACACCTGATGTCGACCAGGACGGAAAGAGACGAAGGACGTTATCGACACAGGGCATGCAGAGACTGGCAAGAAGGATCTCCCTCTCTGGTCGCCGGCAGGGTTCTAGCGGGTCAAATATTTTGACGAGTGCGATTCAGGGATTGAAGCGGGAGAATACGACAGGGTCGAAGGACAATGACAGCACAAAGGACAGCGTCCGTGCATCGAATGACGTGCCGAGGGAGAGCCCGACAGCGAGCGTCCAGAGTGACATTGGCAAGGCAGCAAAGAGTAAGAAGAAGGAGAAGGAGAAGAAACGCAAGAGCACCATAGGCTGATTGCATGCATTCACTTGACGAACTGCTACGACTTTTATGAACATTGATTTCCCCTGTACTCTATTAATGTGCTTGGACAAGCGTATTCGCTGCACCCGTAGTACACGCATTTTCTGGATTAGCATCTTCTTGTACCTAGCTTTCGATTATGAATTATGTTGTTGCAATAATATATCTCCTAGAACAAATGATGTTTCTAAGTACACTGCCAGCATCGGGCGGTCTGTTCAGCTGCCGTGGACATGCCGGGAAGATGGTGTCCCGAACAGAAGAGATCGGGGGTTCTATTCCCACTTTAGGAGGATTTCGAGGCGCGCGGCTGTTAAGGTTCAAGTTCCGGCGGCGGTGCTCGAAAAAGCATATAAGAAGAGAGCCGTCGCGGCCCCCAAGCCAACGCATCTCTTCCTCTCTCTCCCAGCTTGTCCGGTTCCGGTTTTCGTGTTCCAAGTTTCAAGTTCTACAAGGGTCCCGTCTCGGTTCTACTGTATCATTATGTCTGCAAAGGTTTACGTTGGGTCAGTTTCGTCGTACTACCGTGCCCCGATGCATTCGGCCTCCTTTCCCGTTAGGAGGTTTTGATGACTGATAGTGATTATTGTTCCCGCATGTAGCAATTTGAGTTGGAATACAACGGATGAATCTCTCCGCAATGTCAGTTTGATTCTCAACGCGACGGCTTTAGCGGTCGTCGTGTCTGTTTTGTGTTCCGTGTCTGATGTGTTCTTGTGCTCTGCCTCTGCTGTGCACTTTTAGGCTTTCGCGGATTTCGGCCAGATTCTCGATGTACGCTACCCGTTTTCCTGCTGTCGCGTTCGCAATGTTCTCCGCAAAAGACAAAGCGTTCGAGTTCGGCTATCGTTGAGTAATTGTTCTGATATATGATTACCCGGTTTTCTAGTCGATCGTGATGCGTGATCGCGATACTGGTCGCTCTCGTGGCTTTGGCTTCGTGACATACAGCTCTGGCCAAGAGGCCCAGGCTGCTATCGCCGGCCTCAACGAGCAGGAGCTCGATGGTCGTCGCGTGAAAGTTAACCTCGCCAATGCACGTGGCTCTGGTGGAGGTGGAGGTGGCGGCGGAGGTACGTAGATTCTTCAAGCGGTTACGCTTTAAGCGTTTCTGACTCCGATATAGGCTACCAAGGTGGAGGAGGTTACGGTGGTCAGCAAGGTGGCTACCAGGGTGGAGGAGGCTATGGCGGCCAACAGGGCGGCTACCAGCAGCCAGGTTATGGTGGAGGTGGAGGCTACGGTGGCCAGCAAGGTGGCTACGGTGGCTACCAGGGTGGAGGATACTAGTTGTATCTCGTATGTGTCCCGGCACGTCTGAGCAAGATCGTTGAGCTGACTTGTTGTTTCCCTAGCGACGCGTCATCCATGCGTGCCATGCTCGTCTTCCCTGTTGCATCGGTGCTTGCCCAAGCAAACGCATTGCGGATGATATTCTGATTTTTTTTCTCTCTATCTCTTCTCGCTTTCTTGATATGCTTGACCCACTCATCCACGACGTTCCTTATCACTCCCCGTCGTTTTCACTCATAGCACTTGTCGTTTTCGTCCCTGGCTTTCGTCTTTGGTCATCGGTTTTTCACAATCCGGCTTGTACTTGTATGATTATCAGGTCCCTCTCGCTGTCCCTGTTCCCGTATTCCTAGTTGACCCGCATCGCTTGTGGGTGGGTGTGTCGTGTATTATTTTTCTCGTTCTCGCTCTGCCTTGTATCACCATACGTACCGAGGGTTTATGTGATTCCAGTTGTCGTAGTGCCTTACCATGTTTGTGTGTTTCCGAGCATGCGGCAGGCACATGCTTGCACATGCTCCCGAAGTCCGTGCCCGCAATCAGATCTTGAAAATAAGAACGGCAATTGAGTGTCTGGATGGAAAGTCGCCGCACCTCGTTTGCCATTGAAAAAGACATTTCGGGGTTAGATCATGTAGAAGAAATGTCCTATTACAGATGGGAAGGTTTGGAAACCGGCCCCCCCGCGACGCGAGGCGTGACCGCGCACGGACTTTTTGCGAAAGGTATATGAACCGCTAACATCCGCCTTTCCTGCTCTTCCTCCCCCCTGTTTCTTCGAGGCTCCAGTGCTGTTTTCGGTCTGCCCTCGTCCTTTGCCCCTGTTCGGTTCTCAGCTCTCTCGGCTTGTGGTAGTGATTTCGGTCACTTTGTTTGTTTAGTTATGTCGAAGTTGTACATTGGGTGAGCATCGTCTTCATCGCCGTGCACGATTCGTCCGGACAGAAAAAATTGCACTTTTACTAATCACTATTGTTTACGCAGGAACCTGAGTTGGAACACGACCGATGAGACCTTGCGCGATGCGTTTGGTCAGTACGGGAGCGTCACCGATGTACGTCCCCTCTTGTCGCTCGTCTCTCGCTGAGAAATTGAAATTGACTTTTTTTCGTTTTCCCCTGTTTTTCCTTTTTTGCCTATCGCAGTCCATCGTGATGCGCGACCGTGAGACTGGTAGGTCTCGAGGCTTCGGCTTCGTCACCTTCAGCAGCGAGGATGAAGCCAACGCTGCGATCTCCGGTTTGAACGAGGCCGACCTTGATGGTCGCAGGATCAGAGTCAACGTCGCCACTGGCCGTGGCGGAGGTGGTGGAGGTGGAGGCGGAGGTTAGTCGTACTTACCATGTGTTGTTGTTTATGGCTGCTGACGCTTTGGTGCTTTTGCTTTGCAGGCTATAACGGCGGCGGAGGTGGAGGATACCGCGGTGGAGGAGGTGGAGGAGGATACGGTGGTGGAGGAGGTGGAGGATGGTGATCGTATCGCATCCTCGGTTGTATAGTCGTCTTGACCAGTCGCAAGTTTCTTCTTGTCTCCCCTCCTGTTTTCGATCGCTTTACACCATTGTCGTCGTCCGCGTCCTCAGGGGCGACTACCTCCGTCTGTTTGTACATCTTGCCGCGTCCAACTGTTTCCTAGTTACCTGAGCTCCAGTTGTATCGATATACTTCCACTGCATGAGAATTCATATCTGTTCCTCATGAATCTCAACTAACGACAAGCTCTTAGACGAACAGGCACCCCTGTCAGTAACTCTGAATTGAGGGACCGTGCTGAGCATAACCGATGTTGAAATACATGCGTCCCTCCCTCTCAGTGATTCAGCGACAGCTGTGAAGGAACTGAGAAAACTTAGATTTGATTTCGGTCTGTGCTCCTATGTGACCAGTAGCGGAAGAGACTGAGGACCGAGAACCGTCATGATCAGTTGCACGCAGGCAGCGGGTCTAACTGTCAGTGATCCCGAGACGTGAGGCCAAAGGCCTGATCGTTGGAAACAGACTAGGTCAGTAGCAAATTCCTCGGAAAGGACCTACCCCTATCCATGGGAATGATAGAAAGGGTAGGAAAGGTCAAAGAGCCAGACCGTGTGGTATTGGCATATCGTTGGCATCAAGACAGAGTCAAAGAAACACGCGCGTGCCTCAACTAGCCGAACGAGGACTTACGCATTGCAAATCAACATGAGATGCTTGGTGCAGAGATCATCTACTCATGTCTTAGAATGATGATGTGCGAGAGCCATACAGTGGATTGTGAACGGAAAGTACTTTCTCTTTCACTGAGCCTGCACAGTGAGGGTCGAGAGACTCGGGGAGTGAACTATGCCATTTCGGGCGTGCCGACAGGCGCCTATGCCTAATTATCGTTGTGAGTGGTCCACCCATCCCCGACGACGACAACAACGAAGACGACAGCCTCACGGAGGAGACAACGGTCTACAAATGGAGCCTTTTGTGATGTCTGCCAGAAGGTTAGCATCATGGTGTCAAGGATAAGCGAGGAGACGCTCATCTAGCGTCGCCTCGCATAACTGACGACACCTTGAGCCACAGAGGTCAAAGGCGGATGATGCACGAGCTAGAAGCCACAGGATGTGAGTATCTTCTGGATGTCAATGAAGTCTTTGACCCTCATGGAGGTAATAAAGGTATACTGAGGCTGTGGTATTAGGTTCGAGAGCCGGAGCCCAAGATTAGGGTTTCCTATAGCCGAAGTGTGGACCCACAAAGCCAAGCAGCAGTGTTTTGGTCCTCGTATAATTGGAGGCCTTTTATCCCACGTGAACCTCTTCTTCAACCACCTCCTAGTCCACCCCATCGCCGTCCTCATCCTTGTCCTCCACCAGCACTTTCCTCAACATTTTCGCCCACCAACTCTTGCTGCGCTCATCGCACAACTAGTTATGGGTCGTAAGCAATCTCCAGGGCCTCCTGGACCCTCCAACCGTGTATCGTTGGCGGGCAAAGCGAAGAAGGCTAAGATGCAGAAGGCCCCGCGTCCCCCGAATGCCTGGATAATATTCAGATCATCGCGGTCCAAGGAGCTTCGTGTTCAATTTGGTTCTCAATTCTCCCAGGCCCAACTGTCCAAGATGATATCGGCGCAGTGGAAAGAAATCTCCCCTGAACAACTCGCATACTACGAGTCAAGGGCGGAGGATGAGAAACAGAAGCATCGTTTGATGTACCCTGACTATAAGTATGCACCTGTTTCGAAGGCTGAGAAGCTGAGGATTCGAGAGCAGGAGAAGCAGGAGAGGCAGCTGGCCAAGGCCATGAAGAATGAGAAGCCGGCCGCTGAGATCTCTACTCCTCCTCCAATGATGCTTGGCCAGCAGGTTCCTTATCACGTCGCTGCACAGTATGGCTCAATGGGGCCATCGCCACCCTACACCTCTGGCTCGCTCCCCTCCAGCGCGTCAACGCCGTCGTCTTCGGCTGATGCATCTGACCATCATGTTCAGCAGAGCTCGAACGCGTCTTCTTCCTCCCTTAGTCTCCTTTCATCGCCTCCATCGACTTCTTTTCCTCAGTTCACGTTCCCGTCCGACGACCACTCCACCCCATCCACCGTTGTCGCCGCTGGGTCCGCGTCGACTTCGCGAGTTCCTTCATCCTCCACAGTTATCCATCATCCTAGTCCCATTCCATCGACATCATACCATTCGCCATTACAATACGACTGGTCTCCTCAGGATGAGCCGTTCGCTGATCCTCAGGTAGATATGGCCACCGACGCGTTCGGTGGTGATCACGTGTCCTCTGACGCGCCTCAAACGAACCTGACATTTGCTGATGAGCAATTCCAATTTGACAATATTCTCAGTCCTCCTTCGGTTTCGCAATTGGCGGTGCGTCCCTTATTGACTTTTCGTAATGGTTCGTGATATTGACATGTGACATATGTTGCGCCACATTCTAGGAGCAGCTCACCTTGGAACTTCCTACTTTTGTTGCACCTAGTCCATGGAAGAGCGACCTTGATTCATTACAACTCGGCTCCCTGGCGGACCAGTCGTTCAATCAGACCGTCTACACCCTTCCCGATCTCGATGTTCAGAACCTTGAAGCGTCGAACGCGCTTCAAGTTGACATGGACCCCGCACAAGGAGGATTCTCACTTTCAGAGGAAGATGCTGCAAGCCTCGCCGCGTATCTGCAGTCGTTGCAAGCTCCACCAGACACGTCCAACAATGTTGGTTCGTTTGATGATTTCACTCAAGATCAGCAGATGTCTATGGGTGGATCGATGGATATGTTCTCCTTCGCTCCCATGCAGAACGACAACCCGTACATGCAGTACGATCCGATGCAGTACTACCAGCCGCTGATGGAGGAGCCACAGATGCCACAGATGCCGCAACAAGTCGACCCTTCATTATTGATGGGTGGTCCTGGTCTTTCATCGATGCAGCAGTACTCTTATTCGATGGCAGATATGTCTTCTTCATCGTCAAGTGCGTCGAGTTCGTATACACCACCGCCTGGTGCCTCTCGCGTTGGTGCGCGACGTGTGGCTGGAAGCTGGCGACCACCACCGCAGTTCATGGTTCCTACGCCTCCTGCGGGCACCCCTCAATACCTCTCACCTATGCCCTCGGCTTCGTGGAACGGAGTCCCTACAAATTAGAGAACACAACGTTTTACGAACCTGTCACGCTTCGACGTCATCTCAATATCGCATCTCTCAAATATCCTTCGACCTTCAAGTGTAAATGTTATCGTATTCCCCCTTTCTCCTATCTAGCATCGCCGTCGTTCTCATCGCTATGTCATCCCGCTTTCCCCATTTCCCCATCTCCTGAACGCCTTTATCTCGTCTTTTGGGTGACATCGCTGGTTGCTCTCGTCGTCTATGCTATGTATATTCCCCCAATTTTTTCTTCGTCAAACCCTCCCCCCTTTGCTTCGTATTTGCTCTATCTGTTTTCCTTTTTCATCTGCTTGCATCTCCAATCATATCTCGCATATTCACAAAAGCATACCCCTCCACGCTATTCCATTGGCCCATTCGCACCTCGTACCCCTGCTCAATTTCGATGCCTCACAACGCTTCTCGCTGTTCGGTCTTTACTCCGTCCCATCGTCAATACTCCGTTTCGTCGCATCGCCTTTCATATCTGTTACTCTGTTTAAGTCTGCAGTAACTCTTCAAGAAACCACCGCATATTTCGTCAAGTCAACATACGCAATGGACGTTGTGCTAATGGCAAGTACTTCTCAAACCTCTCTTCCATCTGTCTGATACTAATCTCGACTTGTTTTTGTATAGGGCTTACATCAATCGCCTTCTGGATCCTCTTTTTCTCTCCTCTCCGTCTCATCTGCTCTCCACAATCGAAATGTATCCTAGCCCGCCTCCGAGTCTTAGTCACCTTAACGACCATGTACTCATTCCCAGGGACTATTCATTATTCCTAATTCTATGTTCTCCAAGTTTTGTCTCTCTACTCTTTCTCAGTCTGTTTCTAGATCTTCTCAGCTGTCGGTTACGTTGGTTCTGCTGTACCTACAGTACCGCTAGCTATTCCGAGATGAGAAACATTTCTCCAGTCGTCACACTCCTCAGCCTCGACGTTGACCATGTTTGGTGTGTCTTGTATTCCTGAAACGCGAACCTGCGAACATGTGGACCTACATCTCATGATCTCGCGGTTCCGAGCCTGTTCCAGCCTGTGCCTCCTGTATGATCGCAACTGTCCGGGTACGAAGAGTACTCGATTACGTTTTACGGATATTCTATTTCACAGTTTTCAGGGTCTCCTCGTTGCTTCTGGTCTTCTCGCCATTGTCCTCGATGTTCGTGGACGTTTCGGCCGGGCACTTCCCATTGTCCTTTGGGCGTCTGATTTTGGAGGCGCTGCCACTGGCGGCGTTACTGCCAGTGAGTACCTACTTCCAAGTCTAATTCTGGCTCTAATTGTGATGCTATGATAGTTGCGTTCTGTTAGGATCCCAGTATTTGTGTTGATAGAATGTTCTTCATCGTCGATAATCGAAGAGACCATGCAAGGGGGCGAGACCCAACTTCGGAGGTATGATGTGCCGCTGCTCTCACGCAAACTTTCAACAAATTTCTGACGGTGTCCATTGACACTTGCGATCAACTAACTGGTCGGTGTGTTCGGTAGTTTAAGTACCGTATTAGGTTCGACGCATCTCTTTGGATGAGGACATGTATCATCGCTCAATGCTATATACAGGTATAGATACCAAAGTCACCGTCCGAGGAGAGCAATCCTTGAATTTCACACTACATCCCTGAAAGAGCTGACTTTGCCTATCCGCGCCCCGTCAACACCGGCCAACTTCAAACCCGTGTATTTCATGATGTATTCCATATTTTCACTTATGTCTGGAGAGCTCCACCTCCCACCCATCCCGAAACATAACCTACAAGTTGTACCTTCGGTATAACCTCACGGACCTTGTCATTGCTGTGGCCAAATGATAGACTGGAACTCCCCAATAGCACTAAAGCTCAGAGAAGTGACTAGGTCAGTTCACCCTGAACCGTATCGACGTCTTATGATGTTTGTATACAGCCGCGTTCATAAATCTAAATCATGCAACTGCCGGGATATACCTGTTAGTCCAGCCCTTTAACGCACTGCATGAGAAGTATGCTGAATGGTCTTTTCGCGGTCACCAGCTGGGAGGTTGCAGCGTCCTTAGACTTCGAATGGTCTTACTTGACAAGAAAGAGAAAGCTCCGTTTCCAATTGTGTGTTTTACTTTCCGCACCCTATAACCCCGAATAACGTTCTTGAAAGATCGTTTATTTCCTGACTCGTTATCTGGCCTTGGCGAGCACGATTGGAAGGTCAGTACTTCATTGTCGCCATCCTGCGGCTGATGATGTTGATACCTATATGTTTTCTTTTAGTCCGATATCGTTGAATGTCAAGTCGTGAGTTGCTCTTGAGCCATAATTTACTACCTTAAATATGCTAATCTATACTTCAGAGGACTTAACTGTCAGGCATTATATCGATCCATCCAGGTATGAAAGAAAAGAACTGGGTACTCGGCGGGGAACAGAACTAACTTTAGCCTTTAAGGTAGTATCGGGTGGTTCTATTGGCATGGCCACTATCAGCTTTGCTCTGAGAACGTAAGCGCTACATGTTCTTCGTAAAACAAGAAATGGGCTGACCGAGTCCGCTGTAGTTTCCAGCGCAGCCTACGAGTTGAACGTTCCGTTTGAATGTCCATAGTTCATCAACCCACCAGTCCCTTCATATACAGGCATTTTTGCGAGTCATCGCGATCCACCCTTGGATCGGGTATCAGACTACTAGTAGGACGGAAAAAAATCCGCGTGACCTAAGACACATAGTAACATATGTGAGAATATTCAGGGGTCTTGTGTAGACGGGGTCACCGGCCGGAGTTTCCTAATCAGCCAGACCGACTTTCCTTTTCAGCCAATGGTCATCCTCACCGCCTGGATAAACACTACCGGATAGTCAGCTAACAGTTTATATTTGATCTAGCTGAAGTCAAAGTGGGGGTGTAGACAGCGAGACTGACAAGTTAAGCAGAAGAGATGTATGAAAAGATGTCCCTGGCCTTCACAACCTTCGGCTTCTTGTTCGGACCATAAGGAATAAACACTTCGACTGGATCCCAATCATCTGGTTCTCCAAAGTATTTCCATACCAGCTCTGTATCGAACCCAACATGTCCTTGTCCACCCAATAAGACATGGAGAACACCGAAGTAATTATCAAGGTAGTTCAGTTGGCCGGGCAACCATGTCTGTGTCGTCGAAGCCAAGTCAATCAGAATGGCATGGTCAAGTTTGGTTCTTGGGTTCGTGTAGAGCATGATTTGACCCTGGTGCCAATCTCGTTGGCCGACATCGGCAACATCCAGAATGCGTGCTGCATGCCGACAACTTTGGATCTGAAGATTCAGAAACATATCATCACTCGTACATCGTTAGCAACCATACCAATTTAATTTGCCTATCAGCACTCAATTTCTGTGTGAATTCAGATTCAATTGACCAACCCTCGATATATTCCATTAGGAGACCATATAGCACCGTTCCGTCAGGGAGCGTAAACTAGCAAAGACTGTAAGCGAAGCACCCTTATCACGCCAAAGAGATTAGCTCTTACCCGATGCATTCCGTAGAACCAAGGGAGAACCGTCCCTTCTACTACTCGAAGTTTGTCATAAGCGAAAGCTTCGTTGAGGGCATACATCTCAGCGACTACCAGTCGATCGAACCAATGATGAACAGGTTCGTCCAGTCCTTCATCATCTTCATTTGGATTTTTCAAATGCTGAAACCGGTCATCGAACAGCTTGAGACACAGACACGGAGACGAGACTGCTTTATTGTCGATAGAGATTATCTGACAGCGATAAACGGTGCAAATGCTGCGCTTCGAGCCTTCCGAGAGGACATCCTGAATCTTTAGTGTGAAGGACTTGCTCTTTTCGAAGGATTCGGCAATCCCAGCAGCAATGAGAGGTGAATCGCGCTGTACTGACTTGAGATGTGTCATTGTGTCCGACGGGATTTCGGAGACATTGAAGGGATAGATTGGGCGAATGTTTGTAACGATTTGTCCAACCTCGTTTGATACAGCGTTAAGTATGTCATAAGGATGTGCGACGAGTTTGGAGTATTGTCTTTGGACGTGTTCATGCCAACGGAAGAACTGAAGTGCTCTCGCGCGGTCCCGTACCAATGTTGCAATGTCGAAGTCGGAATGGCAGCGATGTGTCGCAAAAACCTTTTCGTCTGATGCCAAAGGTTGGTTGGGATCTTTCGGTGGTCCTTCTGGAAGAATGAGGTTCTCATCAAATTCCAAATCAGGATATGGCTCTTCAATGAACTCTCCGGGAGGGAGCGCATCATGAAGATACGCAGTGGTAATCACTCGCAAGGCCAAACAGGGTTGATTGGTCGATACCCTTTCGAAAGTGTATCCTGCACGCCTTCGAGTAGGCCTTTGAGAAGGAGGCACAAAGACGGCGATGTCCGTAAAGTTCGTCACGATGATGGAGGGGATCGATGGTTTACATCCCAGAGCCTTTGAGAGAGCAGAATGAACGGGTGGAGACACTTCACCCCTGGAATTGAACAAGTCGTCGGGCTAGCATGTAACAGAAATTAGTGATCTGGAACACCAAGAGCGAGGATATCTTTCTGACCAGCAACGCAATAATTGGAGCAGCAAGCATCTGGGGGCCGAAGTCTTCGGCCTCAAAAGTCGCACCGTAGGTGGCTATGGAACTTGAGTCATAAAACTATAACAGTGCAAGATGAACTCACAGTCTCCAAGATCCACACTTATGCACTTCATGGGTGTTTTTAGGACGCTAGGAGAGTGTAATTGGTTGAAGAGGTCTGCTATAGGCCGTAGTATCACGGTCATCAAGTACTCGCTCGGCGAGAAACTGTGGAAGCGACGAATAGCGTGTTTCAGTAGTCGAACAGAACTCTCAAAGAATCTCAGTACTCAGACGGAATGGATTCCTCTGCCGGCCATGTCACCTTTCGCTTGTGAACAGAACGAAGCGTTCTCTGGAGGAACCAAAGCACTCGGGAGAGTGTCCTATCGTCTTCACTGGATTTGGTCCAGTTCAGTTGTGAGACAGTCAAAGATTGCTTTAGTAAGGGCGAAACAGGTCCAGTCCAAGGTGGCAGCGGAGGTGGTGGGGTTGAAAAGATTTGGTCAGGATGTCTGAGAGACGTTGAACCGGTGCTCGACATTCGATATTGTGGGAACAGAAGGACTCTGAAAACTCGGAGTGTGTAGTTAGATCTAAGCATGGTGGAACTACGCCTCTTGAGACAAGCTTCAACGGCCTGTCTCCCAATTGCAGGTCCGGTCGAAAGTCCATCTGCGCGGGACTTTCTGCGTCAAGTGTCCGAGTTCGTTGAACTTAGCCCACAGTCACGACTCTTATCAGTCATATGTATGCCAAGCAGTACAATACAACGCTTATTACAGTTTGCCAATGATATAACAAGAGATGCCATTCCAGGCGTTACAGTCTCCAAGACTGGCATTTGAATGGTATTGTACTGCCATCGTGCCCAGCCCGAAATGTGGAGGGACCATGTGGAAACTTGGACTTATAAGCGCCTACATATGGATGATGGAAACCGATTGAAGAGCAGACGCCATAAAATACAACGTCAAGAACAAGGGCCATTCATGGTCAACCCAAGTGTCTCGCCAAGGTAGGTTCTGTCGACATTTCTGAAGACGACAGCAGAGCTAATCCTGTAATCGAATGCCTTAAGCGTCACGCCCAAGTCTCGTTTGATTTCTCGCCAACGATGGATACACTCCCGACTCTGCTTGACTCTGCTTGCTCCAACGAGGGGTGAATTCAATCCCATCCATAGCAGCCCTTCCTTCGGCGACTTCGTTGCTCTTCCGCAAACTATCACCCTCTCGCCGTAGTCAAATGCCTTTACGTTGTCGAGATTGTCAAGGACAACTGAAGGAGACCATTCACTTCGGTGATATGAATGGCAACTGTAAGTGTTGTCGCCGATGAAAGCACGAGAGTATCAAAGGCAGCTGGGACGAATGGTAAACTTGGAGGGCAAGCTCGTGTTACAAATGCCAGAGCAACATGAAAGGTATGTTGAATAGTTTATTCTTCACTTCTCACAGATCGTTTCTGATTGTCCTCGCGTCATCGGATTCTACAAGGGATCCAGAGATGGCCATCAATCCGTTAAATGACATGCAATAGAGAACTCCAGAAGAAACGCGCCACCGTCATCCTGCACGATGAAGCGTGGAATTCGCTGCCGGAGAGCCTCGAAATGAAGTTGAAAAAAAAAACCGCCGCACTTGCTCGACTATAACTCTGGCTCCAACTAGGTCTGAACGACGAAGATTCGGCAGCTAGTTTGAATGCGCTATGATTGCCAACACACTCATGACTTTCGTTGCTAAACAACTGTTGGGCTGCTACCCGCATTGATATGTTGCCAACAATAATGGCGTCGGAGGATATGACATGGCACCGTGCTCTGGTTTACATGCGATGCGGTCGTTGTTGGTGGAGATCAAGCACTGGGGTTGAGACTGCAGAATGATGGGGTGACCGTCAGAAGATCGAGCGGGTGAATTTCGGGGCGTACTACGGGTTAGGCAACGGTCCCAAGGAGTGTGCCTAATAAATGATGTTGACAGTCAAACAGTGTGTCAAGAGCATGCCACAAAACGCTGTACGGCTGAACATCAGTGAGTTTCTCCACTAGATAGATAAAACTGTAAAGCGTAATCATTCGCGTTCGAATGTACATTCGTCAAGAGGTTAGCCATTATTCTGCCTTAATGCTGAAACGAGATTGCAGTTTGATATAAGCAAGTGCCAGTGAAATCCATAAATACAACAATGTTCCATTACAGGTGTGTAAACACAGAGAAAGTCCTCAGTCAGCAGTGAATGCCACGAGAGTCTTGAGGAGAAGACGTGATGGCGAGAATCTAGTAAGCGAGAGGCAAAATGTATCATCATCGAAGCAGTTTGGCCCAGAGAATAATGCCTATCAGAAGAACGAGGACGACGATGATGGCGGCAGTAACGACGCGCTGTTGGTACATTCTGCGGTGCATTATATCCACCTGTTAGATTGGGGATGAAAGGAGTTAGGCAATTCGAACGTCGCACTGACCTGCGAATCATCTTCTTGAGCGTGCCTGAGGCACGATCGATAGACGTATCGGCTCGAGAAAGCTATTGGGTCAGTTCCATTCAGCAAAAGTGTCTCAGAGAAGGGTGTTCATGCATACCATGTCTCTGGCGTTCTGAATTTGTTCCCTCTGGCCGCGAAGGCTTCGAAGGATATCCGCGCCTTGTTCTTCTGTCTCTAGTGCAATCCTCTGACTGTCCATCAACCCCCTGGAGCCGTCTTCAAGCAAAGCGGTGCCGGCGAGGAGTCTTGTTCGATCACTTGAGGGACCATAAGGATCGTCTGAAGAGGGCAAAGCACCCATTCCGGGACGCGAGACTCTCGTACGGTTGCACCCTTCAAAGTCGTTACCCAAATTGGGAGGTATTCGGGCTTCGCCGACCGACACCCAGAAGAGAAGAAACATCGCGGAGTAACAGCCAGTAGTACACACACCCCTTGTCGGAGCGAGAGACACAGAACTGGACTCCGTTATGCGCTTCGAAACCGCGTGCTCGAGAATCGATGAAGGAGAAAAAAACCACCACCATCCCAATTGCTGCACATGTCTTGCGAGAGATGCGATAGATCACGAAGACGAATGGCCCACCCACACTGCGACCATTTATCAAGCTCGGGAATCCCCAATATCCCTCAGTCTCGAAAAAAAAGGGCGAGTTTGTCGCACTGAGACGTCTTTGGGGTCAACGGCGTGACACCATGAGAGTACACGCTGTTCATGGGGATGACCTAGCCGAACTGCTGCCTGGTCGCCCGTACCTTTTGGAACAGGTGCTAATGCAGATGGACGAATTGGAGAGTTCAGACATAACCAGCTCATGAACGCGAAAGCATATAGCTTTCTCTGTGGTATGAGCTTCGCAGCCTCTGAGTTGTGGTCGTGGGTGGAAGAAAAGCCTCGAGTTCACTGGCAGGCACTATGAAAGGCGTCAAATCCAAGAAAGGCATGCCTCCGTGATCGACAATGCCGCAACACGCCAGTACCACAACTCTGAAGAGGCTATCCAAAGACCATCAGTCGTCATCTACATAGATTTCGTTCGTACTTATCCACAGCATGCAGACAATAAAGCCACTTATATGCATTTAAACTACGATTTCGTATCAATGACTAGCGATGAGGATGCCACCATCAAGCTGGATGCAAGCAAATTAGATTATTGTTGAATATGAACTTCAAGTGAAAGAAATTATTGAACTTACAGTTATTGTAGCTCCAGCGACATAGCTTCCGGCTTTCGAAGCCAAGTAGACGAGCGTCCCAACAATATCGTCTCCAGCACCCAACCGTCCAATAGGCACCTTACTTTGGTTCACGAAACTGTTCGGATCATCGATGCTGTTCAGTTCGGAAGGGATGTTCCCGATAGCAACGGTGTTTACTCGAACACCCAGCTTCGCGAATTTCGAAGCAAGGTTCCGAGAGATACTCTCTGCAGCTGCTTTACTGGCGGAGTACATATGCAAAGGTACAGTCGCAGAAATGTAGAATGCGGAGATAGAGGTGTTGACAACAATGCAACCTCGACCTTCGCGGAAGCCATCGTTGGATTGAGCGGCCTTGGCAAGGTAAGGGAGAAGGGCTGCAGAGAGCCACTGCGAATACGCAGGTGAGTGACCATGACCACGAGCGACGAAGTGGGCCGACACTACTCACCTGCATGGCAGATGAGTTGATAGCAAATTCCTTCGCCCAGTCCTGGTCCGAAGCCCTCAACAGTGCATCCCGAATCCTTTCCGGGCTGGTATTATCGAAGTCCCAGGATCCCTCTCCGACTGCAACACCAGCATTACTGAACAGTAGGTCCAAAGAAAGATCATTTTCTGCAACACCGGCAGTCTTCTCCTTCTCAACAAATGCTGCGGCAATATTTTTACAGCCTTCGATGGTACTAACATCACCAACAATGGGGATGAGGACCTCCGGCGCAGCTTTAGACAGCTCCTCGAGCTTATCAGCACGACGACCGACTATGTAAACACGGGCTGCACCGTGCTCAGCAAGGCCTTTGGCAGCGTAGGATCCAATGCCCGAACTGCCGCCTGAGACGAGCATAACACGACCTGAGATAGAGAAGAGGTTAGATGCCATGGTACTTTCAGTGAGAAGTGTTCACCGGTCGAGTTGAACGAGTTGGATCTTGAGGCTCTGTGTTCAGACGTACCAGTATATAAGTATAGGGTGATGAATCGCTAACTTTCATACGATTATTGTACACCACGTCACCGACGCGGGACGCCTACGATGGACACGCCAATGATACCAATCCAAAGTAGTAAGACCATAGATAATTGCACTGCTAATGGTCGAAGGGGCAGGTCAGTTTCGACATATTCGGAGAACGTGTGGGTTCCAAAGCGGTGACTTACAATACTTTCCCCGAGCATCAAGAGCATTACGGCGCATGCTGAACTATCATGAATGTTGATGGGATCAAGGGCACTCATTGGGACAAGATTGTAAGTGGGTCACTGACAAACGACTAGTCAGCTGGAGGAAAAAGGCGAAGAGATGACGGCACTCACACCTTCTAAGTTTTTGGGTTATCATGTAACTTATGTTAGCGATCAGAGACAGATCTTTATGTCCGCTCGACGCAAACCTTGACATACTATCTGAGAGTTCCAAAGCCCCACTAAAGGGCCGAGTAATACAGAATGGGGCACACAGCCTGAGCATATGCTGAATTGAGTTTGCTCTCATAGAGGACGAACTGCGAAATACACTCAATGGCAGAAGTGATCGAGACCAGTGTGGAGAAATCTCCTCAACAACGTCTTGGTTCCAGAAGACATATCAGAAGATGGGTACGTGATATGCAGATGTAATCGACATTATGAATGAGAGTCGTAGGCAGAATCTGGCAGGCCTAAGCAAGCTAAGCAGTCACAAGCCGAAAACTGCTAGCACCCCATGGTCTGAATTCATTTGCGTCTATGACTCGTGGTTCACTGGAGACCCATGCCTACAGTAACCGCAACGCGAAACATCGCAGCTTCAGAAAGAAAATAACGCAGCGTTTCGGCAGCGTATCATCCTCCAAAGTGATGAGTCCATCTGTAGCTGACATGACCATGATTCTGGAGAGCACGTGAAAGAGATCACAGGATGACGAGAAACTTGCCATTCCTCCACGACGCGTTTCAAGGTTGCACACCATCGACCCTCCCCGCAGATGCTACGGTTCTCTGGGCCATCTTCTTGGTGCTCCAGTTACTGGCACGTCGTTCGAATGAGTTATCATTGAGTACAGCTAGTGCTGATCAAGGGAGGTAAGTAATACTCAGACCTTAACCAGCTCACAAAAGAGGATGCGCGAGGCTGCCTGTACGGCGTGAGCATCGCAGCCTTCGGGCTGTGGTGGTTGGTGAACATGCCTCCGCCACAATATCGACAGTAGTACACCTTGATCCGAAAATGGCAAGTCTTCAAGAACATGGTAACAGCATGATAGAACTGGGAAACGAGTAGCAAGCATGTTTTACTCTTTGTCAAAGAAGACATGTCGGCTCTATATGTGAATCCACAGCAGCGTTAAACCAAGGCAAGTAGAGCAAGGACTTTCAGATTTTAGCTCACGAGCGTGGAAATGAGGAATCTCCGGTATACTATGAACTTCGCAGCCTGCGGAGTGTGGTGTGAAGAGACGATGAATATGTTTATACCATCGCTCGGCACTAGTACCATTCTTCACGGTCGTAGTCGGGAAATTCGGAATATGCGCATGTCATTGAGTGTCGTCTCGGAATTCGCCCTGATGTCTGAATTTGCAAGCGTATACAACGCAACAGATCATGTCCCAAGTGTGTCAATACTTCACTTGCCACTCACAGAGGGGATATGAGCCGCAAAATTAGTTATAAAACATTTGAAGTTAGCCTCTTCGCTAGATTCAAATTTGACCCATCGCACCTAGAGCACCAAGGAGATGAATGACGCATCTTCCAGAGTAACCCCATGCTTCTAGACATTCAAATGCATGGAGCGGCATCCACGTAATTACATAGCAAGCTTGCTGCACTTAGCGACCTGATGGTGTTTTCAAAACCATAACCTTGCATGACGTGTGACTCTAAAAGAGTCGCCGTGCGATATCAGGACGAATATGTTAGTCCTTGATGTACCGCTCTGCAGCGATGCCTCGAATCGAAAGAGGAACAAAATGACCTGTAACGCGTCCTGTCAATTTGCATTTGACAAGGGTGGATGCGCGCAGCGCACAGGATGATTACAGTGAAACCGAAGAGGCCGGTAAAGTAATGTGCGAGAGTGACATTATGAGTATCCCACCCACTCCTACGATACCAATTGTCGTCCGGTAGTATTTGCAGAAATGATAGAATGAAAAGGTAACATCGCAGATGACATACCTCCGTTCGTATTGAAGCGCCTGGTGCATAGGACATGTCCTTCGGGCCCTTGAGTGGGCACATCTGGTTCCCCGCCATCCTGATAATGGTCCCTATGGCGCCCCCACCTAAAGACACGTATCGGTCGAGTGATGGCGGCTCGGGATGTACGTTTATACTTTCACCTGCATGTAATCCGACCGGTTAGCGAAACGCCGTCCTGATCATGATTGTACGCCGGGCACACATGTACCAATCCCGATGTGACGAGCCTCGAACGGTGAAAGAAGGAAGTAACATTTAGGGAGTGCGCCGCCTCAGCTCGAAGCGAAGTCTGGAACATGACCGCTGAAAAGTTTGAAGACTACAGTGAGAAATGGAGAATGTGTAAACATAGCCATGGACTCACCGCTCAGTATGATGGGGTGCATTCGTCCATATGCTCTCTGCATTGCATTTGAGGACCGGAGAAATAGGTGGATAGCGCTTGACGCGGAAGGACTTCAGGTATAAAAGGCATGTTCACCAGTCATTCAGTACTCAGACTCAACCCTTCAGTAATTTCCTCACATACCGTGCGTATCCAACATCTCCAACCGCAAAAAGTGCCTGACTGACCGTTGTATCAATAGAGTGCCCTTCAAGATGTTATTCAACTCCTTGAAATTATACACATTTCTCGCCGCCATCATCCTGACGGTCTCGGCTACACCCTTGGCCAACGAGAATCGGTAAATGACTTGGCGTCCATAGAATGACCGTCGACTTACATCTCTTGTCATATGCAGTGAACTTGCGGAGCGTGAACCAATCTTCCCTCCACCGGGCTGCGGTCCCGCCTGCACCCACAACACTTGAGTCCGTCTGAGTATTAGGGATCACACAAGTGGAGGAAGGGGATGGTTGGCGAGGAGCGGAAGCTTGATACTGGGTTGACGTGATGTATGAAGACGGGCACGATAGCATCGGAGAAATATATGTATTGAATGGAGGTCTATATTGAGGACAAACCGTGAGGATCACGGCACCCTGAGCAATGACAAATTTTCAATGAAAAACAACTCACCGAGGACAAGTATACATGCTTCGACAGAAACACTGCACAATTTCATGAAAAAAAACAAGATAAAGAGGAAAACACGTAGGCAGAAACCACGTATTTCGCAAAGCCACAAAAACCATAGTGAGCTACAAAGTTCACTAAAAGTCAAACGTCCATCTTCATGAATACTCGTATCATGTCTGATTGCCCCGTGTACGTAGGCATGATCGCGCCGGGGAACATGACTTCCTCATAGTTCCCTGGAGCGGCAAAATATGGCAAGATGAAAAGCATAGAAACACAAGTCCACATGTTCCGGCTAACGACAATACATGGAACACAGCTGAAGCATCCTCAGGGCAACGTGTAGAATCCGAGTAGCAAACGACTCTTAGCAAGCAGCGGCGGTAGTTAAGTACAATGATGGGGCGGCGTATTGCGAGGAAGGTGGCAAGAAGAGGCACAATGCGTGACAGACGACGTAGACGACGATGCCAACAGTATAACGAGGCATGGAAAGCTGATGGATGCAAACGTTCGAGTGGTTGTACCGCAGAGCCATCAGAAGTAAATTTCCAAGCGAGACACTATAGAAAACGTGCGCATTTGAGGACTCTCACCACAGTTTGCAAGCCACCATCCACATCCCCGAGGGCGACACTCCGCTCCTGCACCCTTGCTGTCTATTAAAGAAAACGCGCCAGGAACATCGATCATCTACGGTGAACCGAAAAGGGTGGATGAGCTGGCGTATGTCTGGCCAGCCGTTCAGCCTGTAAAGGATGCACACAGTTAGTGCAGATCATAAAATGCATGATATGTGGACCATAGCCCATCTGCGTAGAGGAAGACGTGAAGTCTCCCGTACGGTGTAAGCTTCGCAGCTTTCGAACTATGTCACAGTCAACTACCAAAAGATCCAAGTAAGATCTAGTAAGAACCTCTTGCGCGTCTACTCGCTTTTACGGACCACTGTTTTTGGCAAGTCTGGGCGTTTCTGTTTGCTTTCCACATTCACTCAGTCACACACAGGCCGTGCTGAATCTCTTGAAGTTAACCTATCACTGAACTGCTGGTAAGGACTCTGAACTTATGCTCGTGGGCAGTGAATGATACATGATCCCATGATGGAATCTCTCCTCACATCTGCAGGAGCCATATCTGCTGTACTCTCATCGTGGATCTATTGAACACTAGCACTGGTTCAGTGTTGTTGTCAAAGACATTGTTCAGATATGCCTCTACTTACTCTTGAAGCTTGATTGGCTAGATTCGCAATTGACCTTCCTGGGATGAGATAAATTTGCGGCTTCTTTCCGGCGCCGTCTTTCAAGTATGGTCCACATCTTCTAAGACATAGCTCCTTACCGCTGAGTCTATGTCATGCTTCGTTTCCTGTCTCGAGAACATGGCTATCTACCAGCAAACCTTCCTTCCACCAATGTGATGCCACCATTGCCAAAGCGCTCGGTATAACGCCTATGCTTCGATGGATATCCAATATGTTCCCTGTTCACTCCCACCACTCTTCGACGCCACCTGATATTCTCCTTTGCATGCGTTTCTATGTCAACTATCCGAGGCCGTTCATTCGCTGCTTGTCACCTAGCACTGGTCTCTTTGGAGAGATCGTTTCATATTCTCTGTCGATCACCGTTCTATAGCGACCAATGGGAAGTAGCTGTCGTGTATACTACTTTCATTCGGACCATCATTATACCCTCTATGTACTGTACCATTCTCAACTGAAATTTGTTTCCTCACGTTTGTGAGTCGAGTCCGAAGCTAAGGGGTCATTATTACATCGACGACGCCCATGCCGGTTTCATTCATCAGCATGTACACCGCACCCATCTACCTCCACCATCTTCCCTGAGAGTTCCTATTCGATTCCCATTGGCACGTTCGCATTTCGCTGATGGTCCAATCAAAAAGAGTGCCTTCGCAGTTGTATGCCGACTAACCGTCGAATGCTCATCAAGCACCGTAACCGCTGGATATAAGCAGTCCCGGTCCATCTCCATAGCACATTTTCCTCCACCCACTTCCAACCCGTCGTCTGGGAAACACATACAAATACGAGGACTTCCTGCTCTTCTCTATCTCTAGACCATCTCTAGATCAACATTCTTTGCCTCCGTTGCCCTAGCCAGCACTTCGGAATCTCATAATGCAGGGCATGTTCTCTCCAGATACAGATACTTTCTCAACGCCACCGACCACGCCTACTCTTCCAAACACTGAGATACGACCTTCATTATCTAGACGTACAAGTAGACCATCCAGCCTTCATATTCAACATTCTGCTGTCTCCGACGTTGTTCTCGATCATCAATCATCGCCCGATCCCTTTGGTCACTCCGCACAAGGCAAGAATAGTACGCCTCTAACCGCTACGCTCGAGTCCTACCAGAATAGTTTACAGCACATGAACGGGACATCTTCAAATGGATACCATGCAAATGGGGAGAGCTCGTCGACCCCGTCTTCAGGTAGTCCGGCATCGCACGGACCTAGTCAACAAGTGACGTCGCCCGAGGGGCAACAACAACTGCGATCACCTCGTCCACCGTCCGCCATGACCTCTCCATGCTTCGTTCATTCACAGCTTCAGGGAGCTTCATTCAGCGACTGGCTTAAAGCTAAACAAGCCAAGCAGATACATGATGCCAGAATTACTATCGGGAGAAACCTTTCAGGTGCTCATCCCGACGGGACTGTCTCTGATTATTACGAGGAGGGGGATTTTCATGTCCAATTAGATGACGAGACCTCTGCAGGAAGTTTAACGAAGCAATTAGCAGAGACTGCTGTTGGCGTGCGGGAGATGAGCAAGCAGCTCGGTGAGTTACTATGTTGCCTACCGTTACTCTCGATTGCTAACGCATATACAGGACGAACTCGCGTGCATTCTGTCATCCAATCCATCCTAATTGTTACGAAAGCAAGAGACAACAGGCTTATTAAGCTCACTCGAGAACTTGCGCTATATCTTATGCTGAGACGTCTAAATGGAGGTCGGGGTATGATTGTGTGAGCATCATGGCAATCCCTCACTGCTTGAATGTTGCGACTCATATACCCAAAGATATGTCGATAACCAGCTGAAAACGTCTCGCCGATTTGATGCCGCTGGTATTGAGAGAGACCATCCCGAGCTCTTCGCCCCATTCCCTAGGAGGAGAGACTCTGGTTCATCTGTGTCGTCAACGAGTACACTTGGGGACCCTCCACCTGTTGCTGAAGGTCAACTGCGATATTGGACAGCTGATATGTGCAGTAGGACTCCACATCTTTTCGATTTTGTCGTAACGGTATGTTTCTGGCCCCTACTCTCGATACATTCTAGACTAACGGTGTTTGTAGTTGGGCGGAGATGGCACGGTTCTATTCACATCATGGCTCTTCCAACGCATCGTACCTCCCGTCCTCCCTTTCGCCCTTGGCTCCCTAGGTTTCCTTACCAATTTCGACTTCTCTGACCACCAGGCTGTCATGGACAATGTTATTAACAATGGGATCCGTGTCAACCTTCGCATGCGATTTACATGTACAGTATACCGCTCTGTCGCTCCTGACAAGTGCGCAAAGAGACGTGCAGTAAAGAAAGCCGATACTGGGGAGATTCTGATGAAGAACTTGGAGAAGAGTGGTTGGGAAGCTTTGGAGAACGGGTATTATCCGGTGAAGGAGGGCAAGTTCTCCTCGAAAGACAAGGAGATTACGTGTTACACGACAAGACCGGTTGAGAGCTTCGAGGTCCTCAATGATCTGGTGATCGACCGTGGTCCTAGTCCATATGTCAGCTTACTGGAGTTGTTCGGTGAGCATGAGATCTGATGCTTCAGGATGACAAATGCTGAAAGACTCTGTCCATCTAGCTGATGAACACCATTTGACGACCGTCCAGGCCGATGGTCTTACTGTCGCCACACCCACCGGCTCGACGGCATATTCGGTATGTTGCTCCAAGTTCACATCTCCTTATGCTAACGGCGCATCCCAAACAGCTATCTGCTGGTGGTTCTCTTGTCCATCCGGAGATCCCTGCCATTCTGATTACTCCGATATGCCCACATACACTCTCGTTCCGACCTGTGCTTCTACCCGACAGTATGGAACTGCGTGTATGCGTTCCGTTCAACTCTCGAAGTACAGCTTGGGCGTCCTTCGATGGTCGTGGCCGCGTTGAGCTCAGACGTATGTTCCTTCGAAAATATGCTTCATCCGTCATTGACGAGCGCTTTTTCATATACAGAGGGCGACCATATCAAGGTTACTGCGTCCAAATATCCCTTCCCTACTGTTTGCGCCGATAGCCAGTCCACAGATTGGTTCCATGCCATTTCACGTACTCTCAAATGGAATGAACGTGAACGGCAGAAGTCCTTTGTCGTTGTGGAGGAGGGGCCTGAAAAGCCAAAGGCGAAGAAGAAGCAGAAAGCCAGGGTCTCCGTCTCCGTCGAGGAGCATGTTCGGGCCGAACACAAATTGCAGGAAACCAACGAAGAAGAGGACGAGGTCTCTGACGAGGAATTATCTGAAGAAGAGGAAGAGGAAGAGACCTTTGACATCGACGACCTCTCTTCGAGCGAATCGCCTAAGAGCTCCGAAGGCTCAGACGAGTCTCAAGGTGTGAAAGGTGTGAAAGTTGTACACAAACAGAGTTTCTTGGAAGAAACTATCGGACGGGAGAAAGTGCTAGAGCAGGAATACGGGACGCAATATGGCCCAGGACAAGCTGAAGCTTTGGCAAAGGCCCTCGCAAAGGAATCATTAGTGTCTACGAGGCTACGAGCAAAGCAACGCTCTGCGCGTTCAAGGTCGAGGACGAAGTCGGGTGAGAGTTCTGGTGTGGAGACTCCAGATCGGTTTGCTGGACCTCATCCACATCCCCCACGAGTGTCTCCTCGACATGTTCAGTTCGTTTCACCACTACAGTCCTCGCCACAGGACATACAAACGACACCGATGGTGCGGGATTCCACTATCACTCGGGATACGGTTCTCTCTCCTAGAGACAACTTGAAGACACCTACTTTGCACGAGTCTCATCCGGGGAGGAGGAAAGGGAGGAGTCGGGAGAGAGGGGACAAGAACGTGCCGTCTGATGTTCAACATACGAGGAGGGCGTTTGCGGTGTGGGGTCAGGATGAGAGTGATAGCGCGGCGAGTGATTGTGATCTTTGAGTTGACATTATTTTTTTTTGCTTTCGTCTTCTTGGTGTATGCTTTTCTTCAGGATAGAATGGATGGGTTTTCTTATAGTGGCATGCATGCATTCATGGTTTACGTCTTTTCATACATAAAACAAGCAACCTGTAGAGCATTCATGCACATGATTGTATAATATATATTGGATATCTTTGGCCCTACTGCATTGATCGCGATGTACGTCAACCTTGGAGATATACTATGCGTGTTGTACCAACTTGAACGAAAGAGCATCGACGGCCTTCCTTCAAATCCGATGTAAAGAAGACTAAGATATGATGCATACCCATCCCTAGGCGTCAAGTTTGGATTCGCCATGATATCGTTTCAAAGACCCTGAAGAACTGATCATGATGGTTATTACCAGAAACCCTGAAATCACGAATCTTTGTACCTACTGCATGGGAAGAGAAAGAGAGTGCTATGGCTTATGTTGCGACCGCGCACTGTCCAACCCTTGCAGCATGTCTTCAAGCCTGCTTCTCACATCTTCTACACGGGCACCCTGTGTGTCCACATCCCCTCTGTTCAAGATTTTGAGAGCTGCTCGAGCTTCCTTCACAAACTCATAAGACCGCTGGAGGGTCGCATCCACATCTTTATCGGCGTCAGACGTTTCTTCAGATGCATTGGACGGTGGTAATATGGACGAGAAATCAATATCAGAGGCTCTAAGTAAAGCGAGGTCGCGAAGAGTTTCGTTAAATGGTAGAGGATGGGGTTTCACGTTCGACGTCATGGCGGTTATTGGCTGAGAACCAATGTCGGCGCTACTAAACCTATTCACCTTCCCACAAAGGGTGAGGTTCATTTTCGAAGGATTGGGAACTAAGTTCTCAACGGCAGATAGATCTTTCTCTCACAGCAAGATAGTTTGAGGTGCGCCAAGAATAGAATTACCAATAATAGGACACTTTACAAGAGGGACGAGTGACCAAGCAGATCGTCTAAGCAACAGATGAAACGACGGGCCATACTCGCGAGAAAATAAGATGGACAATCCGTTTAAGATGGGGGACTGTCCATATCGTCAGCATATGTTTGGTGCATTGCAAGAGGCCTCAATGGTACTTACACGGGAGCAACAGAGGTGGCCGGTCCGGGGTCAACTGGGAGAGTGGGGAATGGAGTGGTAGCGCACTATTAGTCAGGTCTAATGAGTATGGCTGCTAGGAGGATGAACAAGAAATACGTACAGCCTGCTCGACGTCGTTTTGAGAAAGGCCTGCGGGGAGGTGGGCGCCGTCGGTGAAGGCTGGTGGCTCAGGGACGACATCAGAGCAGTCGATCAAATCGGCGGCGTTATGGCCCAACACTGTCATCTTAGTGAATGCAGCCTTGAAAGCGTTCTGAATCTTAGCCTGGTTGTCTGAGGTGATGACAATGTAAGACACTGAAGTGATACACGTGGACCAAGCGGTGGCACTTACTGACGAACGACTGCCACTCGCACGCCGTCCTTGAGTCACGAGCAAGTTCGGAGTCGGACTGGAGACGGATCTCTCCTGCAAGGGGAGACTCTACTTCACCCTGGTTTCCACCAGTTCTACCAACGGCATGTCAAACAAGTGTTTCCCTACGTGGTACGAAGCCGAAGAGACTTACCCCGGGAAAAGGGTGCCACGGAGCTGAGTCTCAACGAAGAATTGAGTGTCGAAGATCTCCGGGGTAGAGTCGAAAGGAGTTCCAGGGATAGTAGGGTCGACGTGGTCAGCAGCAGCAATAGTGTGTCTACACTGAGTCAGCTTCAGCGGCTCGAGTGAAAGACAGAAAAATACGTACGAAGCAAGGAGTGCGACAACTTCAGCGGGGCTGAAATTACCTGCGTCGGCGAATCGGGCGAGGATACTGTCGACAGAGTCTGGAGGATAGTGCATGAGATGGAATCCATGATGAAGCCACTTACTATGTACTTACCGAAAGGCTCGGGGACAGTCAAATCGGGAGCGGGCGCGGTAGCTGTGAGATGTACATTAGCCCAGATAACCTTTGGTGTCGGTGTGGAGACGCACCATTAGGACGACCAATGAAGACAGGGAGACGGGGAGCACCAGGGCAGTTGCTTACTCCGATGGCGCCGGCGAATTGAATGCTGAGAACGATCGAGGAGATCAGGCATGGGAATGTAATATGTGAAAAGCTGAACTTACAAGTCGCCGACAGTCATACCAGACCTGGCGACGAATTCCTTCTGCTCATCAATAATCTCATCGACACCATTGTTGGCGTGGAAGTTTGTCTCGATGTCCTCAAAGATGGCAATAGAACCGTCAGCACCTCCGCCACTGTGTGAATGAAAACGAATCAGAACTGGGAGTAGAGATATACGTGAAGATATACTAACCCGAAAGAACCGGTACCGATGGCGTCGTGGAAGGTGAGACGAAGCGATTCGTGGACTTCTTCACCACATTCGCCACCGTCGAACAGGTTCTGCTGGATGTCGTCACGGACGGCGAACAAAGAGCAGCAGGCGGCATTGGCGACCACGTTTCCGTCAGCGCAAGTGGCACGCCTTATCAAGGCGGCTGGGAATAATATTAGGGTGAGCACGGGCAAATGGAGAACGTAATGAATGGCAAGTCGTACCATTCGCAGTTTGGAGTGCGGCAACGGAGAGAAGAGCAGCGAGAGCTTTGAAGGCCATTGTACCGTGTAGAGGATCCTATGTAGAAGACTGGATGTCTTGGAGTTTGTTTGGTGGACAACCTACCTCTTTTATATCGGTCAGGAAATGCGATCAAAACCTATGTCTTGCGTGCGCCGTACCACCAGGATCATGTCTATACCGCTTGCAATAGGTGCATTCACATAATTCTAGCCAATGAAATGCAAGGCATATACGATCGTGTACAGCTTCTTTCCGACATAGTGGCTTCAGCCAACAGTCTTGAGAGACAACGGAATGTAGCAACACAGACCGCAGCCTTAGGAATGGCCTAGTACGAGGACAGAATTCTTTAAAAATAAGACATAGCAAATCAGGACCCTTCGTACCTTGTTGGAGCGGGGCGTCGTGAGATTAGACTTTGTCGGTCCCGATACCTTGGACGACACTGCGGGCGCTAGGCCGCAAGAAAGGCATGCAGATACTCATGTTGGTGAGAGCTATACCGAGTAGCTGGTTGGGCAGCGTTAATAACGGGAATAACGGGAAACGGAATGACAGCTCTTGCATACAGATTTCCGTGGTGAGTGATGGGAGCACATAACCCAGCCATGGCAATATACCAAAGAGTCGGTAGGGATCCTTTACATCATTAGCCTGCTTTGGAAAAGGCGTGAGAATGCTTCAAGTCTCGTTAGTGGCTGTTGGGTATTTCGTATCCTTGCTATCAGACAAACTTTCACACTTGAACTAGTGAACGACGGACCTCAAAATGTCGATCAGGGCGGGAGGAACTCAAATATGAAAATAGACAGGGACAAGAAAGCTGAAGAGGTGTCAGGGAGGAGCAGAAGCGGGAATCTGTAGATACACACGCCTCCGGCAACTCAATAGTGTGTGCGGGATGCGTGTGACGAAGCAGCCTGGAGTCAACGTGCACGGACAAAAATAGGCTGCCGATGCTATATGTGTTTCCAAAGATTAGTACATCTATTCATAGCACAATGTGAACAGACAATGAAATAGCGGATAGCATTCCTCGAGTCAGAAAAGGCATCAGAGTGGTGGTAAAAGACGTACATTTTGAGTTGTTTTGTGAGAACGGGACCGAACAAATATCCATTGCTCCTGCCAAAAATAGCACAACATCAGTGAGGCCGTCCTCAGCACCGTTTCCTGCAGGAACCTGGGAATCCGACCGACAGCCTCAGATCGACCAACCCCGAGGAACAAGACCCTCACTACTTGCACTTCTGTCAAGGTTCCAATACCATGCAACGGCGCAGACAACCTTCCGCACGAACGGATGGCAGCCAAAGCAATAATCATAAAAGAACATACAATTTCGAAAGATTGAAAGAGATACCAGCTTACGCGTGCGCGATACGATATCACAGGTCCTTCCGAGTCGTCCACGGTGGATCTCCTCAACAAATGCTGTTATCACAGGTGGAGCGGGCTCTGTGAATCTGACAGATGAAACGACGGAAGTATTTGAGAAAACAGGTTCCGCATTCCGCATGGGACAAATAGTTTTCGAATAGAGCGAGTCACTTGTGAAAACTGTCTGGCAGAGCTAGAGTCTCGGGACTATAGGCTTCCTGGCAGAGTGACGTGCAGTGATATTCGTGGCGGAGGCGATTTCCGAGACAGCTGGATATATTCAAGATGCGAATACTTCGCAGTGATGACGCATGCGACATGGTTTGTGTAGAGCAGCGGGGACACGCGAAATGTAAGATAAACAACAGACCATGGCCAGGTAGGCGAGCGACCATATTCGGGTTGTCTGCCCTTTCCTTGCGTTTGGACAGCATCGTCTCTGACACCAAGCCATAACACTGGGCAGTATCTCGATTACTATCCAATAATTCAAATCATTTGACTGGACCACACGTTAGGGTCATTTGTATCAAGGCACGTCAACTCAATAGCTTACCATGGTTTGCCTACTACGTCGTTTACGGGTTCTTTACAGGAATCGTAATGCAAGGGGGTACAGTACGTATTGGTGAGAGAGCGTGAGAACGTCTGAGAGCAACAACAAACAACACCAAGCAACGCGTAAATAACGCGCGACGCGTCGACATCGAAACCTTTCTGGCAGAGATTGAAGTCATAGAGCAACAGCTATAAGAGTGGATAACACATATGCGTGAAGCATACATGATTGAGTCATGGCTAGAAACACAGTAACCTAAGCGAGACTGCAGAGAACGCGGGAACTTGGGAAATTCTACATGAAGGTCAGTTTCCCCGTAAAAACGTGGCGAACGTGTTGCAAAATACTTGTGAAAGACCGGTGTGGTGTACGTATTCAGGAATGAAGAAAAGCTTTTGCATTGATCAGACTTCGTAGGAGACGGCTTGACGGACGGCAGACGCGACTGTGGCAGATTTTGGAACTCCGCCTAATTACGGACACGATCGCGACGCGTGCCTTCGAAGCTCCTTGTCTCTTTCCTTCACGTTGTTTCTTCGTCAAAATGGTATGCTTTTCAACTTATGTTGCCCTTGAAATTGATACCCAGTAGTGATGTTCTCCTTGATTTAGTCTACTCCCCAACGCCGAACCAAACGCCGTCGAGATGCATCTCCTGCCATTCCATCATCCTCTCCTCCTCAAAGGCCAACTCCAACTCGACGCGATTCCGACTCCTCGTTACCTCCATCGTCCCCACCACCACCTTTTTCAGATACCGATGACAGTCTGGATGAGCGTGATGCGATTCAGGACGTCGAGGATGAGCCTTCAGACCAGGATGGCGAGGATTTGTTCGGAGAAGAAATGGAAGAGTGAGTTCTCGCTATTTTCTTCGCATCATAATCGTCTTCTGATCACATTTGACCACAAAAAGTGACTATGCAGTTAATCAAACTCTCGATCGATACTCGGATGCCGACATCAATGACGATGAAAACCTGGAAGAGATGACTGTCGCACAACGACGCGCCGCGGAAGCGAAAATGGCGAGACGAGATCGCATGGAGCGCAGGGGCGGAAGACGTGCAGCAAAGAGAAGTCTCTACCCCGGGTTTATGGAGAGCGACGATGAGGACGACCTCAACGTTGGCGGTGACTTGCTGGCAAACATGAAAAGGCGCACGAGAAGGCAATACGACGAGAGAAAGGATCTGGATGATTTGGATGGCGTTGAAGATGTCAGTGATCAGCTGCGTGCCTCGCGTTCCACACTGATTTTAGCGCGTTTCAGGAAATACCCTTGGAGCAGCTGAGCGACATCAAGGCCAAGTCCATTGCTGAATGGATTGCCAATGAACGAGTGCGACGGTCTATCGTGCGGCATTTCAGGCAATTCTTGATGACTTATGTTGATGACCATGGTGCATCAGTCTATGGTCAACGAATTCGTACCCTTGGAGAAAGTATGTAGCTGGTGTCTCCCTTTGAAGGACCGCTAATTGACTCCATCATTCGCAGACAACTCTGAATCTCTCGAGGTATCCTACCTCCATCTAGCCATGTCCAAGCCCATCTTAGCATACTTCCTCACCAACTCGCCTTCGGCAATGCTCACTATCTTCGACGAAGTCGCACTCAATGCCATTCTCGTGTACTATCCCAACTATGAACGAATCCACTCCGAGGTGCACGTCCGAATCACCGACCTTCCTTTGAGCTCTTCGCTCCGGGATCTACGTCGTTCTAACCTAAATAACCTCATTCGTGTCTCGGGCGTTGTCACTCGAAGGACGGGCGTATTCCCGCAACTCAAATACGTCAAATTTGACTGCAGGAAGTGTGGGGCCGTATTGGGCCCTTTCTACCAGGATTCAACGAAGGAAGTGAAGATCAGTTACTGCCCGAATTGTGAAGGCAGGGGTCCGTTCGACATCAACTCCCAGCAAGTTAGTCTCTTGCGGTTTAGAATTTTTGAATGATGGCACTGATGATTCATGTGCAGACCGTGTACCGTAACTACCAGAAGATGACCTTGCAAGAATCGCCTGGCTCAGTACCCCCCGGTCGTTTGCCGAGACACAGGGAGGTGGTCCTGCTCTGGGACTTGATTGACTCTGCCAAGCCCGGTGAAGAAATCGTATGTCTCATTGTGGTATTCACTGTCCCATTGCTCATCGTTTTGTATTTCGTCAGGAAATCACGGGCGTTTATCGTAATAATTTCGATGCCTCACTCAACGCGAAGAACGGGTTCCCCGTGTTTTCGACAATCATCGAAGCTAACCATGTTAACAAGAAAGAGGACCAATTCGCCGCATTCAGACTGACTGAAGAAGATGAGAAGGAAATTCGCATGCTCGCACGGGACGCACGTATCCGCAAACGCATTGTCAAATCTATTGCACCCTCCATCTATGGCCACGAAGATATCAAGACCGCCATTGCACTCTCGCTCTTCGGTGGTGTACCGAAGGACATCAACAGGAAACTTCGCATTCGTGGTGATATCAACATACTTTTGCTTGGTGACCCTGGCACAGCCAAGTCCCAGTTCCTCAAGTACGTCGAGAAGACTGCTCATCGGTCTGTCTTCGCAACTGGCCAAGGAGCTTCTGCTGTCGGCCTCACAGCTAGTGTCCGCAAGGATCCTGTTACGCGTGAGTGGACGCTCGAGGGTGGTGCTTTAGTACTCGCAGACAAAGGCACATGCCTCATCGACGAGTTTGACAAGATGAACGACTCAGACCGAACATCTATTCACGAAGCTATGGAACAACAATCCATCTCCATATCGAAGGCGGGTATCGTGACAACGTTGCAAGCTCGTTGTGCCATCATCGCTGCAGCCAATCCAATTCGTGGACGATACAATCCTACGATTCCCTTCCAGCAGAACGTTGAATTGACAGAACCGATTCTGTCTCGATTTGATGTCCTGTGTGTGGTGAAGGATAATGTGGACCCTGTGCAAGATGAGTTGCTCGCGAAGTTTGTTGTCGGTAGCCATTTGAGGAGCCATCCCAAATTTGATGCGGAGAGGGATGAGATCCAGGTCTCTACTACCCTCGATGAGGATGTAGGTGTAAATTCCCATGCTCTTGCATACTGGTTCTCATCTTCTCGTCACGTATAGATCATTCCTCAAGATATGCTTCGCAAGTACATCATGTACGCTCGCGACAAAATCCGACCAAAACTCTTCGATCTCGATCAGGAGAAATTGTCGAGGCTTTACGCGGACTTGAGACGAGAGTCCCTTGCAACTGGTTCAGTCCCTATCACTGTCCGTCATTTGGAGAGTATGATCCGTATGGCGGAGGCGAGTGCGAAGATGGCGTTGAGGGAGTATGTGAGAGCGGATGATATCGACTTGGCCATTTCCGTGGCTGTGGGTAGCTTCGTCAGTGCTCAGAAGATGTCTATCAAGAGAACGTTGGAGAGAGTAGGTTCACTGTTTGGAATCACCGGTTGAGAAACTTTGAGCTAAATCTCGTTTCTTCTAGGGATTCCGAAAGTATCTCGCTCAGGCACGAGATCACGAGGAGCTCTTGGCTTACCTCCTGGGCCAAATCGTCAAGGAGAAGGCCAGGTTGTACCAACTTCAAAGATACCAACAACCAGAAAAGGTTTCTGTCAAAGTGTCAGAGTTAGACGAACGTGTAAGTTTCCATGGTGCTTTCTCACTGGGGTCTGGCAATACTCATCAGTTGTATGTCACTTTTTAGGCAAAAGAACACGATATCTACGACACTGCACCGTTCTTGCGTTCGAAACTCTTTATTGCTAATGGGTACAAGCTTCAAGACGGCGTTATCGAGAAAACGTTCAGACAGGGCTGAAGTGATTTAGACCGGCGACCAAGCGTAATGGTATGAAGATGGGTTATTTACTTTATGATCTCCTGCTTGAGTTCTGCTTTGTATTGACATACCCCGTGTACTATATTGAAAATGATATCATGCGCCAATGCAAAAATATCGTACATGAGATACTGACAGTCCAGAACACACAGACTTGTCGTAGAACGAAGCGTATTGCTAACAGAAGCGAAAGAGTCTCGTCAGGTAACGGCGCGTGTTCTTGCGACGTTTAGTCAATCGTTGGAGCTGCATCAACACCCGCTTCTGAACGAGGAGGTGGATAGTTGCTTAACGGTTCTCTATTGAAGATGTTTCAATACTATCATTTGAAAATTCGAGTAGAAGACGGCAAGCATACGTTCGAACATCCCAGATATCTTCACTGCTCTTGGTCAAGCGTCTCTGCGCCCACCATTCGGCACGTCGTCGAATCCAAGCATCGCGCCTCTCCTCCGGATGCAAGGATTTGCTTGACATGCAGAACTTGAAATCCTCAGCTTTGTGTGCACATTCTGCCATGTGCCCATATCGATAGAGTGACTTCACTTGGGAACTGATGACTTCTTCTAACGTTAGACATTTTCCAAAGAGATAACAAATGATTTTACTTACCATTGCAAGAGATGAACGTGTCAAATAGAGTCATACATCCTGGAACATCTTCTGCGTTTGGATACAGCTTTCGCAAGTATTCCTCCTCTTGCTTGACTGCAGTGTCGAAGTTTAGAGTGGACATGATAAGGCGCCCGTAGACGAACGGAAAGATAACGAGCATCTTATCTTATCGCAAAGTGATTTCCTCCGCATCGCGTTGTCCTCCTTCTTGAATCCAACCAACATCTCCAGCCTCGAGTTCAGCCTCTATTTCTTCCTGCATATTTATTCTACACCCCCATCTCTTCTCTGATATCTACCTTCACTACTATCTTACTTTGACTTACAGTCATTTCGCTCTCTTGCTTTGAAGATGTTGCCCAAATCCACCCGCTTCCTCATTTCTGCTTTGCTTTCTGTTGGAGTCGCTCGTGTCTTCGCGAGGCTCATACCTTTGACTGAAAATGGCTCCACGTTGGACGAAAGGGGTGGTCTCCTCTCGGAATTGTCTCCTACGTCTATCTCTAGTATCTTTGGTGACCCTACCCATACCCTTTCTGAGAAACTGGCTATGGTCGACTCTCTGCTAAACGAGCCGGGCTTGGCTGACACTGTCGACAAAACTGCCCTATCGGAGGCTCTACTTAGCGGGACTGGCTTGTCGATGGATCCGCTCAACGAGAATACATTAACCAATTCCCTACTAAACACGACCGGTTTGGCAACTTTGCAAAACATACTTCAATCCCGCACTGTATACATTCCCAAGATAACCCACCCAAAGAGCGAGACGGTTTGGGTTAGACATTCTAAGGTTACAGTCAAGTGGTATGCGAACGTCTAAGGCCTGGTGGTATTTGTCTGATGTCTGTAGGGAGACGCACGACCCGCCGAAAGAGATTACGAATCGGAAGGGAAAGATCGTACTAGGCTACGTGGAAGATGGCACTGATGAGCACCTCAATCTTGGTATGTTGGCTGTATGCGTTCTTATCTGAACTGAACGGGTGACATGAACTTGCTCAAGATCATCCACTCGCGGAAGGATTCGATATCATGGATGGTAGCATCGAAGTCCGCGTTCCGGACGTTGAATCCAGGAATGACTACATCGTTGTCCGTGAGTAGTCTTATCACATCTACTTTCCCTGCATTTTATGATCTATTCCACAGTGTTTGGTGACTCAGGCAATAGAAGCCCAACCTTCACCATCAACTAACTGGCTGCGGTATCTGATCGATTCTTGGGCGCAGTTCTGAATCTCTGCAACCTGGATGTTATTCTTGCTTTGGTTGCCGCCTTGTCTATATAATACCTCATTTTGCTCTTCTCGGCTGCTCAGGACTTGATGTTATTCTCTTCGCAAAATAGGTAAGCTTGCAAAAGGTTGAGATGTGGCTGCTCAAAGGTTGTAGACACTTCTGTCAAGATGCGCGAATGCTCATCTATATCTTCTGAAGTTATGCCTGAAGTCCCGATCTCGGTCAGCTTTATCGCCTCTGTAGGCCCGATGACACAGGTGTTAGAGAATGACAGTGCGCGGTACTGCGGTCTTGATGTCTATGTCAAGTAAGGTTGTGACAAACCAATTTCCTCTCTGAAGGCGACATGCGAGCGATATTGTTTGGAGTTATGTAGATGTTTTGTTACACTATGGCTAACCTTACCATCGGGATCACCTTAAAGCATCTCTACGTGCCTTATTTATGGAGTCAAGTGGTCAACCAAGGTGTTTCAAATTCAAGGACGTCCCAGCACTCACGATGCAAAATGGGCGCTGTGTTCTTTCTCATTCTTCATTCGATGTACCTCCGATCTATACCGGGTTCAAGTATACGTGGTCAGATGGCCTGTTGGCTTTTGTGGGATTGCTTGACAATAAGACTCTGCTCCGAGTCGTGACTTTCAAGTTGCGACCTTGAACGGCCCAATCATTTTCGACATCGTAACGACGTTTACGCTATTTTCACACCGAAGAAGATACTTTGTAAGTCGATTGACATCCGTAGATTGTTCTGTCATCAAGATGAAAAACCAATTGCTCCCACAGGCTTTCACAGGCAGTCAAGTGGTCACTGTTTCAAGTCTGCTAACGTAGGAATAAGGGATGATATCGATGCCGGTCGGTACTCACGACGACATCAATGAGGTTATTGAAATGTAAGCATTCAAGGCCGTACTGTCTACGTACGTATCCAGCGGTTTTGTATAAAAGATGACACCGAGAGGTAAGTGTTTCCTACAGACCAATCTGCCTGATCACACTGTTATCATAATTCTCTGACATGTCTGCTTCAGACGCGATCCCTGAACCAACGGCTCATGTTGCTTTTATGGCACTGGAAGCTTGGGGTAAGCCGTTCATTCCAAGGTGCTTCAAGTGTCGTCTAACATATAACTTAGGACACACCAGGTCACTTTGCACTCTGGCATTGAAATTAGTTCAAACGCGCCCACTCTATATTACTTTCTTCACGTCACCCAATATTGCTGAACGTGTCGAATCGGAATTGTCACGTAGTTTTGGTCCCGAACAACAAGCATTGAGGACGCTCGTTAGGTATTGTTCAGAATGACGCCTTAGCCCACTGGATTACCGGTCTGATCGTACACGTTTTCTCCAGGGTGGCCGCAATGGAGGTTGGCAAGGCCACTCCTGTGGACCCTCTGCAATTCCAAAAATTCAATCAATCATTCGCCGAAACATATGAAAAGCTCGTCAATGGAGAGAGTATCACATGTGCATACTCTGGGAAGGAGATCAAGCCCGTCGTGGCTCCAGATGCGATCATCATGGATGTAAGCCATTCACCTGGTATTACTGTAGTCATGATGATGTTGAATGCTCTTCAATTCAGTTCTTCTGTGTCCCTGGGCTCGAAGCCGTCCGCAAGTTCAGCAGGAAACCGGTAAAAGTATTGGCGTGGATGTCAGGCCAAGCCGCCTACATTTTGCATCCCTACGCACCTGTTAGTAGGGGAGGCAGGGGTGATTTTCGTCCGAGAATCATGGAAGAGGTCGCCAAGACGGGAAGACCGATTGAAGAAGTCTCCGAGGAGGTAAAGTCGGACAATCCCACAATGAATCACCATTCTAACTCATCAGTAGATTATGCATGAAGTCACAGGTGCCATCGTGCGTACGCCCGGGTTGCCGCCCATGTATGATTATGAGTTCGCACCACAACAGGTATGTATACTATCGTTATGTTCATTCACTTATATGCGTAATGCCTATCAACAGCGGCCGTTCAAGGGAGTTGGTATCCTTATGATGTTGATGCACAGGTACGATTTCATGCGATTCAGTCTTGTGGCTTGTTGACACTCCTTCACTAGCTTCATTGATCAATGCGATGCTATTGTCTTGTCCACCGCAGAGCCTTACGAAGCTGAAGCTATCGCTGAGATCAAGGCGTGGTTCGCAGAGACCTCTCGCGAGGTGTATACCTTCGGGCCCCTTCTCCCGTTTGGGCAGAAAGCTATTGAAGGCGAACAGCGTCAATCCGAGAAGTCAGCTGAAATCGCTAAGTTCATGCAGACTACTCTAGAGTCGCATGGACCGAAGTCCTTATTATATGTACGTTATTGCGGCGTCCCTCTAGCAGATTTTTCGAACATCTCTTGCTCTGCAGATCTCTTTCGGTTCGGTGTTCTGGTCGGTGCAACCTGAAAAGATTTGGGCCTTTTTAGATGTTGTCATGGAAAAGAAGATTCCGTTCGTGAGTGGACATGTTCACTTGACATTGGCTCTTCTAATGCAGTCATTATAGATCATGAGTAACGCCTCCCCCTTCGGTACTGTTCCCGATGAGGTTGTCGCAAAGGTGAAGGCATACGGTCACGGTCTTCTGTCAAAATGGAGCCCTCAACAGACGATCCTTGCTCATCCGGTATGTTGGTTCATCCCGTGTCTACTTGCTTCGGTTTCTCATCATACGCAGGTTACTGGCTGGTTTGTAACTCATGGTGGCCAAAACAGCATCGTGGAATCCATAACTCTCGGTGTACCGATGTGAGAAGTTCCGGTATTATTTGCTCGTGCGTCTCCTCAGACTACCTTTCTTAGGATTTGCTGGCCCTTCAGCGCCGACCAGCCTGGCAACGCAGCTCGACTTTCCAGTATCCTCGACGTGGCTTATGAACTATTGGAAGTTCGCACTCCACCCCATGGATTCAAACCACTCTACCGTTCCGGCAAGGCTCCCGTTGGTACTGTCGAGGCTGTACGTGAAGAGGCACGTCTTGTCCTTGACAAGGCGTTTGGAGAAGACGGTGCAAAGAAACGTGCAAATATCGAAACACTTCGGAGAGCCGTGCTGAAGACATGGGATGCAGATGGGCCTGCGCGCCATGACTTAGAGAGATTCATAGCAACGTTACCGTCTTAGAATCACAGATTCTATGCCCAAGTTGAACAATTTAGAGTCATAGTTGAATGTACCTATCAGTAGGTGTACGCGTTTATGAAGACCACAACACATTGGATATTGTTTTATTGGACGGAGTGCTCAGGTAGTCTCCCTAAGGCAGGTAGACAGAGACGCAAACCTTCGTGCCTCAGGATATCTCTGTATGCTCAGGCCTCACCGACGGTTTTAGAGTCTGCTCGCATAGTACTGCAGAGATTCCCGTAAAACGTCGGGCTTACAGGGATTCGTGTCTCGTCTTACATGATATAAATTATAGCACCTCACCTTTCATAACTGAAGTTCATGTCGCAATGTTGCCATTGTAAAGATGTGTTTTGTACAGAGCCTCGTAGGATCTAAGCATCTAAGTCGCTATCTGACATGATGCAATATACGTCTAATCGCCATGCAAGTACCTGAGAGCAATGAAAGACGGTCTGGGCCCTTTAAGCTATTCTTTCAGTGGTAGTAATGTTACTACGTTCACCGCTCGTAGTAGTCAGTTCCGCTGCTGGTGTGAATTCCAAGTCGCCATCCCCGTCTCTGATGGCAAAACTGAGAGGGGCACCGATACTCTCCTGCAATCCTGTGGTAAATTGGTCATCGTATCGATCCAGCGGGTCGTTGAGACCCCCCAAGGGAGAGCATGAACCGTGAAAGCATGATGCAATGCAAGCTATGAGGAATGACATTGAGTGTGATGCTGAACTCGGATAGCAGAGAAGTAGCAGTTTCGGCCAATTGAGCGCCCACCTCATGTCTTCTTGACCTTCGTCGACGCACGATGACGGCGAGTGCTATAAAGCAACGCCGGTTGTTCTGTTCTAATGTCAGGCTTCTCGGACTCTGCAGACTAACCTTCGTACAGCCAGGTGGAAGTTTGTCGATGTCTTTGGAGAGCCTAGTCGTCCGCCTACTGTCACATCCTCATAAACGGGTGATGGTGACTCCGTACTATTCAAACATTTCCTATAATTTGATCCCTTTTGCAAACGCGCACACTTTCGCTAACCGACGTTTTCTCCTTGGGCGCGTTCGTCTCGACGTCAACGTTTCGTCCTTCTTCATCCCTTGCCTTATCGCTTCACAGATCGTATAGCTAAGATTCTAAAGCATCCATCGTCCTTATTGGAAGGATTCTGTGAAGATTTGACCTTTTAACACACCAGATACTGACCTCCTTTAGGACTTCATCATTTGCAGAAGGGATTGGACTATAATGTAGTCAAAAGTATGTGCTTTAACTCAAGTCTGACAGCATAACACTTATTCTGACACAGGTTCAAAGGATAATGCCACGGTTGTCGACGTCGACTTATCTGAACTTCGACAGGTACGTTTGATAATTGTGACCGTACGTATGTCTCTCCGAATTCTCACCTACGATAAGGACTTTTAGGCTTCCCACTCAGGTGCGGCGCTAACTCCTGGACGGGGTGGGGCTGGGGTAGGACATCCGGTAGAAATCCACACGGCGACTTGTCCGATCGGTACTAACTTGAAAACCTCTTGGTTCCACAGTACTGACAAAATAATAATAACACTTTGGAAGTATCTCATGTCATTCTCTTGACATTGCAAAATCGAGTGAACAGGGTATGCCCAAATAGCGGAGTTCGGCCGTCGCTTTCGCTGGGAAATAGGTTGGCACTTGGTGAACTTCACACCTGGGACTTCATCGTCTGGTTTTCAGATCTCTCACTTGTAGGTCGAACAGTCCAACTCTGACCAAGCTCACATTTAATTTTTCCTACCATTACTGTTTAGCAGGTGTAAGGGGATCGCCTTAACTCAACGGGCAATTCCGCTCCGAAACCGAGTTTAAGCTTGAGCTTGAGCTTAAGCTTGCGTCTCCTTACATACGGCGCTAAGACTCAGACACTCGTACCGATTTGCGATGGTACACCCTCATGGTGGTCGATGAGTACTATGAACGCGATGGACACTAATGCACCTGTACGTGAGCTGTATGTTGGTATGGTAGACGGAAGCGCCGGCGAAGGGAGTTCTGAGTATCGTTTTCGACCTTCAGCTTATGTCTGATCACTAGCTTCTCTCCGAGAATTATACTTTCCGGATCGCACCAACGTTGCTATTCTGGAAGGTCCAAGGTAGTTTAACCTCTGATGTTCTCGGCGATGGCTCTCGTGGTTCCTCGGCCACGATGACTCAAGGTACTTGATCTGTTTTCGTGCCCCCTAATGATCCATCGAACCATGATCATGCAGAAACTTGAGGTTGTCTAGTACCGCTCGTCCCACACAATACCTCCGCGTGAGCCTATAAAGCAGCGCATCGAGAAGGTTACAGGTTGTACAATACGGATCATTTCGCCGTTGTGTTCTCATACTTTGACTATGAGCACTCCCATTGAGCCCACTACTCACGTTGTTCTCCTTGCTACGGAGGCTTGGGGTGAGTGTCCGTTCAGCTTATGCCAACACTGCGTCATCTAACATAAGTGCAGGACACACCAGGCCTCTCTGTACCTTTGCTGCAAGATTGATTCAGACATGTCCAGTCAATGTCACCTTCTTTACCGCTCCCAACATCGCAGACCGAGTAGAGGCTGAAATCTCACGTAGCTTTGGCCCAGAGGATCAAGCATTGAAAGACCTCATTAGGTTTGTCATGGTGATATCTCTACTTCCAATGTTTCTCATTCAGTACGTTATAGGGTTGCTGGGTTGCACATGGGTGAACCAAAGACAGGAGAAGCTCTCAACTTCACAGCATATAACGAGGCGTTCGCCAGAGCTTATGCTCAACTGGTAAACGAAGAGACTCTCATATGTGCTCATACCGGGCGAGAGATCAAGCCTCTCGCAGCCCCTGACGCTGTTGTCATGGACGTAAGTTTACGCTGGAATTGTCCTACTGTCCCCTCAGTTCTCATCTTTCCTGCCAGTTCTTCTGCGTCCCTGGTTTGGAGGCAGTTCGCAAGCTGAGCAAGAAGCATGTCAAGGTGCTGGCATGGATGGCGTGTCAAGCTTCTTTCCTCTTGTATCCATTTGCACCGGTTAACAGGGGAGGGAGAGGAGACTATCGTCCGAAGGTTATGGCTGAGGTCGCAAGAACAGGACGCAGCATTGAAGAAGTCGCCGATGAGGTGAGTCCCTGCAAATGGGTAATTATTCGCACTTCCGACTAATATATGAACGTATGAACAGGTGCTGTTCCAGTCCACTAAGGATATCATCCGCATTCCAGGGTTGCCCCCAATGTACGATTACGAGCTAGCTCCACAAGAGGTACGTGCAAGTGAAATATCAAAGCCAAGAAACTAATTCGGGACATTCTCATAGATACACCTTAAAGGTTCCGCAGGTGTCATCACTATGATGATGCAAACGTATGTCCTCGTCACTGGCCCCCTTGTAGTAGACTAATCGTGGGCCTCGTAGATTCATCGAAGCGTGCGATGGTATGATTTTGGCTACAGCACAACCATTCGAGCCAGAGGGTGTAGCAGAAGTTAGGGCTTGGTTTGCAGAGACCTCTCGTAAAGCATATGCAGTTGGACCGCTCTTCCCTCTAGGAGAAGGTGCGGCTGCAGGCGAGCGACTTCAATCTGACAAGCCATCAGAAATAGAGCAATTCCTCGAGGCCACCTTGGAATCGCATGGTCCGAAGTCTCTCCTATATGTATGTCATTCAAGTTCGCTCTTCCAGTACGTCAGACTTATCTTTTGCGTCTGTTCGCAGATCGCCTTTGGGTCTCTGTACTGGTCGACGGAACCGGAGAAGATCTGGGCCTTCTTGGATGTGGTGATGGAGAAGAAGATCCCTTTCGTATGTCGGAGCAAATACATTTTATTTAGCCTTTACTGACATGTGTCTCTACAGATCCTAAGTCACGCGTCTCCTTTCGCTCAGGTTCCGGACGAGGTCGCTGCTAAAGTAAAGACGTATGAACAAGGCATCCTCTCGAAATGGACTCCGCAACAGACCATTCTAGCCCACCCTGTATGTCACTCCCGCTTGTCAATTTGACTTCATTGTTGATTTATCTGATTTATCCTCGCAGACAATCGGATGGTTCGTTACCCATGCGGGTTTGAACAGCACCCTGGAGGCCATATCCCTTGGTGTACCAATGTGAGAACAAGTGACTCGTACAGGGCTGCCTCATGCACTGACTATCGTCTAACAGGATCTGTTGGCCTTTCAACGCAGACCAGCCTACTATGGCTGCCCAGCTCTGCGAGACGCACGGCATAGCGTACGAGCTCTTTGAGGTTGGTACCGAACCATGGGGACTCAAAGAGCTTCACCGAACTGGTAAAGCTCCTACTGGCACTCTCGATGCTGTGCGTGAGGAGGCCCGATTTGTCCTCGACAAGGCATTTGGCGAAGACGGTGCGAGTAAGCGAGCAAACATGAAGCCGCTTCAAGATGCTGTTTCGAAGACTTGGGAGCAGGGCGGGCCTGCGAGACGTGACCTAGAGAGACTTGTTGCATCCTTGCAAGTGTAGAATACTTGGTTGCGCGAGCTGTCCTCAGAACTGGACTTATAATATGCATGTTAGATGCGGACACGATTTATATCTTGTCACTGTAACACCACGAGGAAATGTTTGAGCGTTTTCGTAATTTTGATGTCTCGGCCAGATGCAGAAACGGGCTCATTCTCAAGGGCTGGCAACCTGGCGCCGCAACATCGACGACCCTCATCTTCAAACAAATCGTCAAGCATTTGTTACTTGATGCCGTTCCTTTGACTTGAGGATGGTATAGTTTTGGCTTGCTTAGAGCTCTCGGCGCGAAGATACAAGTTTGTTAGTGCTCATAATTCTCATCATCGCCGCTCATGTCAAGGTTGGTGGTGTTGAAACCTTCGATGAACGTGCAACCTAACTCTGAGGCAGCCAAATTAGTTGTGAGTCTTGCATCATGATTCATCATCGCTTCACCGTTCATAGGATGTCTGTTCCTAATCTTAAAGCCTTTGAGCCTGAGCCTGAGCTTCAAGCTTGAGCTTAAGTTTCTGCAAGTCACAAGCTGAACGCTCGTCTTGAAACACTTCTCTTTGGGCCCGGATATTACAGTACTATGCAATAGCAAAAGGCAGGTTGCTTAGAAGGGCGTCCTATCCTGTGCGATATGTTTGGGGTTCCTGCGCACCTCCTATACTAACACCTGGAATGCGTCGCCGGTTGGTTGTTAGTCTTTAGGTCATAGATCCTCCGAATAACCTTCGTGTGTGATTCACACCGAAATACTTCAGTGATCTCCTGTGGCAACGCCGGACCCCTACAACAATAGTCTCGACCGGTCCTGACGCTAACGAGATATCGAACCACGACAATTCAACCAATCACATGGGGTCATTAAAGCTTCCTGCACATATGTTAATCCAACGATTGTATAAAGAGATATCTTCGAGCCCACTTCGTCTTGCCGCAGTAGCATTCTTCTGCTATGGCTATACAAGACCCCGTTCCTGAACCAAAAGTTCACGTCGTTCTCCTCGCTACCGAAGCTTGGGGTAAGTCGTTAAGCTTGCGAGAATATCTTCTCACCTCAGGTTCCGATACTCCGTAGGACACACTAGGCCTCTCTGCACCTTTGCTGCGAGGTTGGCTCAGACTCGCCGCGTCAATGTCACATTGTTCACCGCTCCCAACTTCGCGGAACGCGTTGAGGCTGAGCTATCACGCAGTTTCGGCCCTTCTGACGAAGCGTTGAGAGACCTTATCAGGTCAGTAAATATTGAAACATGCGCTTCTACCTCTTCTACAATGTTTTGGTAGGGTTGCTACACTGGACATGGGTGAGAGGAAGACAGTCGACGCACTTGGTTTTGCTGCATATAACGAGGCATTCGCCCGGGCTTACGCAAAACTGGTCGATGGAGACACTATTATTTGCGCTCACACTCACAAGAAAATCAAGCCCATTTCAGCCCCTGATGCTGTGGTTATGGATGTGAATGTTTCTTCTAGCTTCAGTTCGGGATTGCGTTGATTCTGTCATTTAGTTCTTCTGTGTCTCTGGTCTAGAGGCCGTCCGAAAGTTAAGCAAGAAGCCTGTGAAAGTGTTAGCATGGATGGCATGTCATGCTTCTGTTCTCATCTACCCTTTTGCACCCGAGAGCAGAGGAGGTAGAGGAGACTATCGTCCGAAAGTCATGGCTGAGGCGGCAAGCACTGGACGACCCATAGAGGAAGTCGCTGAGAAGGTGAAGTTGCATTAACTCGGCGTGCTGGCTTCCACTCACCTTTCTACAGGTCATGAATGCGTACACCGGTGCCATCGTACGTGTCCCCGGTCTGCCCCTGATGTATGATTACGAATTGTCGCCCCAAGTGGTAAGAATCACATCAGCTGTGAGGGCATACCGAGAACTTATCCAGTTATAAAGGTACATCTTGAAGGATTTGCAGGTGTCTTCTACATGATGATGCAGACGTAGGCTTCCCGAATACTTGGAGTAGATAAGCGTGGCTAATGCATGACTCTTGGTGTAGGTTTATTGATGCCTGTGATGGCACGATTCTGGTCACCGCAGAGCCACTAGAACCCGAAGGCGTCGCAAAGATTAGGGCTTGGTTTGCAGAAACCTCGAGGAAAACGTACGCCGTTGGACCCTTGTTTCCTCTTGGCGAGAACGCTGTTTCGGGAGAGAAGGCTCAGTCCGACAAGCCGACAGAGATCGACGAGTTCCTAGAGACTACGCTGCAGTCATCTGGCCCAAAGTCGTTGTTATATGTATGTGAACGACCATCGCATTGCTCCTATATGAACTTCATTTTTGCTTTCTTGCAGATTGCCTTCGGCTCTTTGTACTGGCCGACGGAGCCGGAGAAGATCTGGGCGTTCCTCGATGTTGTAATGGAGAAAAAGATCCCATTCGTGAGTAGTAGTGAATGGATACCTTGGGAACGTATCTTATACGTACCAATTTTCTACAGATTCTCAGCCACGCATCCCCATTCGCTGTCGTGCCCGATGAGGTGACTGCTAAGGTGAAAGCCTATGGCTTAGGTATATTGTCAAAATGGACTCCGCAACAAACCATCCTCGCTCATCCGGTACGTATGTCTGACCTTCACCTCATATTCTCATCGCTGAGGCTGCGTAGGCAATTGGTTGGTTTGTTACACATTGCGGTATAAACAGTACCCTCGAAGCCATCGCTCTTGACGTACCAATGTAAGACGCTTGGCATCGATTTCGGGTATGCGCTGAGTGACGTTTTGCAGGATTTGCTGGCCTTTCCATGTGGATCAGCCAACCTTGTCTGCTCAACTTTCTGAGATTCATGATGTTGCGTACGAACTCGTGGAAGTTCGCACTGGGACATCGGGACTTAAGCCGCTTCATCGCACCGGAAAGGCACCTACGGGCACGCTTGAGGCCTTGCGTGAAGAGGCTGGACTTATTCTCGATCAAGCGTACGGTGAAGACGGCGCGAAGAAGCGTGCCAATTTGAAGAAGCTGCAGAAAGCGATCCTGAGCACATGGACCGAGGATGGGTCAGCGCGACGGGACGTAGATAGGCTCGTTGCATCGTTGCAGTCTTAGTAAAGTTGATCCGTCAGATTGTGATAGACTCAAGCATCATGTATAGAGGAAGTCTTAAACAGGATATAATTAACTTTATCTACTACATTGCTTCGACTTTGAGCTTCAATGAGCCAACGTTTAAGTACGAAAGAGGCAGGTCCTTGCCCAGATTGAGAGCGATCAAAGTGCCACGCGAGCGTTACGCACGGACCAGGTCTGGCAGTATATAAGGAGGAACTCCCACATTGTTGCTTCCTTAGAACATACTCAGCTAGGATCTATTTTATAGTTTCTAACTCGAGTCTCGCATGTTTACACATGCCACACCTTTCAAATTCAGTCGATGACAATCGCATTCGCCCGTCATACCGAGAACATGGCTTGCAAACTTGCTTTGTGGGTCTCGAGGACGTTTGGTTTCTTTCTCGCTTGTGCTGCTCTGCAGTCGGTGGAAAACTAACCAGCGGGTTGAATGTTCGTCTGATGGATTCCATTCGTATTATTACTTGCTGTAAAATAATACCTTTTAAATGGATCATATTTCAAACATCTTTGTAGGACTCGTCAATGGAACGAGACTTGATTGCCGTATGACAAGTCGATTGCATTGCTATGTGCCTCAAGATGAGAGGCTGAATGATGTTGTGTTATGCTGCTACATTAGTGGCTAACCTGCAGTGGGCAAGAAAATTAGAACGGCCAAATAGTAAAAAGAAAATGTATTTGCACCGGAACATACAAGAGTAGGATGTCATGAACTCGAAGAGCTTTCACCCACAAGTACCTGCTTGAGCTTTTGCAACACTCGCTCGTAAAGAGCCTTCCCTATCAATGTGACGGCCGATCCATCGCAAATCAAGCCGGTGTCAACAGGGTGAACTGTGCCGATTGTTTTCTGGGACGCGAGGTCTTTCAAAGTCTCTGAAACGAGCTGGGAAAAGTCAGGGATGGGGTGTAAGACTAGAAGACCATTGATGGGTTTTGAGTCTTTTGATTTAGCATCCTCGGCGGCGGGGAAGAGGGAGTGTGAGGCATCCAAGACGAGGACCCGCGAGCCTTTCATCAATCGGAAATCGAGAGCGTGTCTAGATGCAAGGAGTTAGCGAATCTATCCACTTGCTTGCACAAATTGCATACTTGAAGTCGCCATACAACACCCTGAACCACTCTGCGGACTTCGCGAACGTATCAACGTTGTCGTTCGATTGTTCTGCTTTGTCCTGAATTTCTTGCAGAACTAACACGATGGGTAGTGTCTCTCTAAGAAGTGATACAAGACGATGCAGCGATGGCCCTAGAGATCCATGGCGTAATATGTTCCGCATAAAAGGTTCAACTTCTGTATGCGGATTATATCGGCTCTGTTCATTTCCAACGCGGGGTCGAGAGAAATAAAGTTCGTATGGGCCGTCGAGGAAGAGGTGGTTGCCGCAGGTAATCGAGACGCTGTAATCTGGAGCATAGGCGAATTCGACTGTCTGTAAATCAAACGAAAGTAATCGAACGTCGCCCCAATTTTTCTCCGACGCCATTTGAGCAACTGAACGTAGACAATAGTGTCAGGATAGGATTCAAGCTGATCATTGAAAAGGGCGGTGTCACCTTCACGAGCAATGACCACCATCTTGGAAACTTTCGCCCACTCTTCTAGAAATTCATTGACACATTTGTCAACATCTTCCGAAAGGAACGAAACAACAGCCTCATTCGCATCGTAGATGATCCTCTTCGACGGACGAATAACGGAGCTGTTCCCGGCTCTTTTCCCAAGTGGTTGCTGAACGTACTTCAACTTGACGCAAGTCACCACCTGGTACTGCAGATTAGCATACGACAGTCGTCAACAACTGCCAAACGACGTACTTCCATGCGCTGGTCTGCCCACCAGTGCAGCGGGATGATGCGAATGTTAGGCATTGCCGCTTCCACACCTTCAGCACCAGCGAGCAAATCCGATGATTTAACACAAAGTGCAGGGATAGCGTTGATGAGTGACGACTGTAGTCGTCCGAGACCTGGAGGAAGTCCGCCTGCGGCAGCTGGTTTGACATATGACGAAGGAATGCTATGCGATTTCAGCTGATGCTCCACCTTGGTGTAGGCGACGCGGGCACTTCATAGAATATGTTGAGCATGAGCAGCATCAAATACCAAAATGGATCAAGAGCTTACCAGCAATACGCGTATAGTTCACGTAAGACTTGACTCTCCAACTTAAAGCTGAAAATCACGTTAGAGCTGGGCGCGAAATGTGCTCGTCAGACAACTTACCTAGCAGGAGAGCCTGGTTCCGGGATAATTTCTTCATCGTTAGCGTCCTCAGCCTTGCGTTTACGACTTAGGGGCGCTTGATTCAACTCCATCTGAGTCCGCCCGCTACGCATTCGTCGCACGTCGATCCAACCGAGATCCTCGATTCCAAGTGTATCTATGACTTTGCCTTCCTGGCGCTTCACTTCGATGAGAGCGTAGCGAAACTCTAGATCGGTGATCACCAAGACCAGGTAGTTCGCGGAGAACATTGATAATTGGATGAAGAGATACCCTTTTGCGGTAGGGCCGAACCTTTGTAAATCTGCGAGGTACATTACAAGCTTGCAGTCAGCGCAAGGAAAATTAACATAGCATAGAAGACTCGCCCTCTTGTGGGATATTGCGTTGACGATAACATTGTAGGCCAAGGTATTCAGCTTTTTGTTCCGCAAGGTCAGTGATTGTCTAAGTAGAAACATCAGTAAAGAAAATTGAAGTCGTGGACTGGGCACTGAGTACTCACATTCAGCCGCAGCCTGAGCAAGAAATCAGCAAGTAGTGGCGGGTTAATGTTGAGATATTCCGTAATGGTCTGGAAACGTGGAGCACGGCCGGACGCAGCAAGGTCGCCAGTGTCCCGTATTCCAAGTCGACCGGTGCGCATATCTATGGAAACAACGACTACCTCATCTGCACATAAATGCACACGAAGGTGTGTGGACACGTCTAGATCGAGACTATGAGTGATAATCACACGATGGAGCAGGGGAGGAAATGTACCATCCGATATAAGTTTGACAGCAGTTGGATAGGCAAAGGCGATCGTGTGTGTTGCATGTTGTAACTGTTGTTGGTATGTGGAAAGTATCGCAACAGAATGTCGGAAGAGGACCTTGCGCAGTAGCGACTCAACATCAAGGTTATCTGGATCCTTGTGGTGAAAACAAATTCAGCTCGTATAAGTAATACCAGAACGTTTCACTAACCACTCTCAATTCTCCCTCGGGAAGTGTCACTGCTTCGAAAGGAATTGACATCCCAAGCGCAACTCTCTGCGGCTCCCACTTGACTTCGAACCGCAGGTGCTCCACAGTATCGGAGGGTCGTTTGCGTTCGCCTAACTTCGATCGTTCTTGCAACTCAGCTAGGACCTGCGCTTTTGCAGATCTATGTGGAGGATGCGCCTTGGATACCGGCGAGGAAGACGTTTCTGATTTCACGATGGATATTGTCAAGGTGCCCCCTAATCGAGGTATATTTACTCGTTGATTCGAGGGCGGTGGTTTGCGACTAGGATTATCGGTATGATTGCATAATGGAGGCCAAAACATGCGAACTTACATCCAGTACGAGAGCGTGAGTGTCCGTCGGTGGTTAGTCATCTCAACCTTGAGGTAATCGGCCCAGCCGAGGGAACGTAATCTCTCAGCCTGAAAACCATATAGATAGAACAATCAACACCAAGCACTTCAAGACGGAAAGTGGACTCACCTGGAACCAAAGGATTTCAAGTTGATACGACATTGACATCATTTCTGTCAACAACTATTAAATACTTGGAAGGTGCCATCGCAGGCAAAGACATACGTAAGAAGTTAAATACGCGAACTAGAGGCGCGTCGATGACACCCTCAGGTAGCTTTCGCGGAGAAGGAATCTCCACGCCAGGCGGAGGGTTTAGATTTTCAGGAACAGGGAGGTAGAAGGCCAACCGCGCATCCGCTTCGTCGGCTATGTGGCGTTTCACTGGACCCACCGGCTTGCGTGGAAAATCTGGCGAGAGTTTAACAAGCAAGATATTGGAACCCAAAAGCAACCTACCCTGCATACTGGTAACATCGCCGCCGATAGTGAAAAGGAATTCCACGTCAACGAAGAACCAGCCATCATCCTTCTTCGCACCTCGAACGCATAATGATGCCTCGAAGAGATGAGGCGCGGTGAAAAAGGAGCGACCGTCCGCTATGTGCACTCGTCAGTTGATGAGGTGCGAAAGTTGAATACCCTCATACATATACGATATTTGGACATCTCCAGAGGGATGACGTCAATCATACGCAGTCGATAGCGCATGGCGTGTTCCACTTCGGCAAGAGTGTTTGCAACTTCTTCGTCGGTGAGTGGATCAGGCGGTACAATCCATTGCTGAAGAGGACCAGGTTCAGTATGGTTGTACGTCAAGAAATAAATGTCATTAGTGGCATCCGTCCCACTATCTGCCACCTCGTTGTGCAACACAACTGCTCAACATGGATGAGACTGACCTTGATAATGGTAGGTAACCTCCTGTATGATCCAGTTGTAAGGACGTCCAATGATGTTAGTAAATCATGATTTCGCATTCTATTGGATGGCTTCAATATCACATTCCAGTTCGTACAAAGTTCCAAAACGCACCTTGCAGGATCAAGACCATCCTTCGCAGATTTCAAGCGGTTGATGGCCTCCTCAAATTGAGCATTTTGATCCATCAGGAACGCAGTTACGTTCTGCGAGAGACATTAACGTCCTGCACCAGGGAGATTTGACAAAATTCGAGCATAAACAATCAGGCATACCATAGCTTTCTGAACTACACCAGCATCCCGAGCCCATCGCACAACGGCGTAAAGTTTCACCACTTGTTTCTTGGTTTTGACGACCCACTCTGCGAGGGTGCGCTTTCGATTCGCATCTGACATGTTGGGCATTCTGGAGAAATTCATTAGTATCTTTGCAATATACAATATCATTCAAAGGAGACACAAATTGGGATCCCTCAACGAAACCAAGACCCAGCACTCACGTCTCAGCCAATTCCGTCAGCTCGGCATAGATTGTCTGGACTGTGCGAGAGACGAGTTCTCCAAGATGAATTTGCCCATCTCCAACGTAGGGAAGTTCCCTCTCCAATTCTTCTAAAGTAGGTTCATGGACGCCATTCATAACGATTTCTGGGGCAATTCCAGATTTTGAAGTCAGGTTCCCATTGGACGGTCCAGCGACCTGAGAATACGTATCCATCATAGCTTAAGAAGAGTCTATGAACACAAGAGCACCCAGTCGGCGGCGAGTTCAGGTCATGGATTGGACTACAACAAGGGACAAGTCTCGCTAGTGATTGTTCCTGCCAACGTTGGCCTGAGGCGCTTGCTCTGCAACCGACGCGCATGTGGCGTGAGAAACTCCGATCCATTGTAATTTACACGCGTCGCAACACGTTCGAATCCCCCATCGTGATCTTTGGCTTGAAGGATTATATGCATTCTTCTTTAGATACTTTATTCTCGAGAGGTTTGGTGAGAGTATGCCAAGGTTTGTTGTTATTTTATCACCCCCCTGACTTAGCTTGATCCTTTCCTAACACTATTGCAGCGAATAACTGTCTTTGTCTTGCGTAGTAGGTCCCGTAATGCGCCATATGTTGTGCGCGACATAAAGGGACAATCTCCGAGCCTCGGTGGTTTCACTGCAAAATGCCCCTACGCTTTCCATAAATGCTCCCCAAAAATACCCCTTGCGTTTCGAGTTGCTTGCTCTTGCAGATACCATGTTTTAGCTCCTTGGACTATCGGAAATCTTTGCTGCAGCCGGGTACCCGCAACTGTTTCACTCATCCTCTCGAATCCAGGAGAGATATAAAGCTTGAATTTATGCCGAAACGCCCTTTCCAAACCTTTACAACTTGCATGCCATGGCATACGCGTTACGGAAACAACCTTTCCGAGGCATCTATATCACCCTCAGAGTTCTTTTGGACATAGCCCTTCGGGTACCTCTTTGGTGCCTTTATTATATACCAAAACGCAACAGACCCCGACCGGCGTGGAGCTGGTATCATTGTATCGAGATCGATGCCATTCGTGAGGGTAATGATCTAGGCCCTATCGCAGAGAGGTCCGCAGATTTTATATAACATCCTTAAGCTGTTGAAGCTGACAATTGTACATAATAGGGCAGGCCCAATCTTACCGTCCCCTAACCATCTCGCTATTCCTAATGACAAGACGCTGAAGGCAGTCTGGCTTGAACCTGTTCCCAAATTGGTGCATGGGGAAGTCCGACAATGGGCCGCTGCAGCTAACGTCCAGTCTATCAGTATTCCTGGATACTGGTACGACAAAGAGGGTTACGACACTGCTGTCGGTGAACCACCGATGCCTGGCGAGAAGGTCCTCTACTACATTCATGGCGGGGGCTTCATTGCTTACTCTGCCCATCCCTGTGTTCCCGTCTATTCATACATCACTCGACGCCTCATGACGTGTCATTCCTCCGTTCGACGCGCACTTTCGGTAGAATACCGCTTGGTCGTTAACCCATTCGGAGACGAAGTTTATCCTTTCCCTGCTGCACTCCTCGATACATTGGCCGGTTACACTCGCTTGGTCAATGCTGGCTTCAGGCCCGAAGACATTATTTTGGCTGGAGACTCGGCTGGAGCGAACCTAGCACTAGCCCTCGTTCGTTATTTGATTGAATCCAGACGTGATCCTGTAGCCGACAAGGTCGTCCCACACCCTCCTTCTGCCTTAGTGTTGGTCTCACCATGGGCCGACCTTGGAACTTCCCATGATGGTCCAAATTCTTCACTACGTACCAAACTTTCATCCGACTACCTTCGCCCCGTGGATAGCGGACTGCTATACTACGCCCGTCAAAATTATTCGGGACCTTTGGGTTTCCCAGGCGGACCCAATGACAATCCTTATCTCTCACCTGCTTCTGTACATCCCGGAATGCCGAGAGTCTCATTCGAAGGCTTCCCACCTACGATAATAGTGATGGGAGAAGCAGAGACATTTAGTGACCAAATTGAAACCCTGTGGCATAAGATGTCGACTCAGATGGGTGATAGTCAGGTTGCACTCCATGTTGCGAAGGACGCTCCCCATGCTTTCATGATCTTGAGCTCATGGGAAGAGCAGAACAATTTGGCTTACGATGTCGTCGCCAGGTGGTTCGAAAAACTTTCACAATAGCCAGCCTTGACGACGACGTTCGCTTATTCAGTCGTTCGTGCGCCCATTCCGCAGCATGAACATTCTCGATGATGTCATGTATCTCCGTCGTTCATTATTGATATATACATCGCAACGTCGCAGAAAGACATTATACAGTCTTGTAAACTTACCACAACGTGGCCGCTAAGGGCGTCCTAATACGAGTAAGGACGCATTGTAAGGAATTCCTGAAGGTGATCTTGTACTCACCCACATATATAGCAAGATGCCTAAAGTAGTGCTAAGCGAAAGGTAAGAACATGAGCGATAAATGGCGACTGGTGCCTACACTGTTTGATAACTGAATAGATAATCAGTATTCGTGGCGTTTCAGACAACCAAGAAGAAAGACTGACGAACGACAAGGTATACTGGGGAGGCGCAAGCATCGTAATCAACCGGGTACATCCACCGTGTGCAGTACGTAGGGCATCTTGAAGCGATTCTGTTATTGCAGACTCGTCGAAAGGATGCTTCTGAACATCATCGAGGTTTGGAACCGCCTGTTCTGATTTACGGTATTCCTCCTTGACGGTATCCACAGAAGCAGAGATCAGGGCCACAAGTTTATCAAGCTGAGCAAAATTGTCCTCCATAGATACTGGGTCCTGTCGAACAGCATCAGGATTCATGGCGTATTTTATATTCACCAAGACAGTCGCATGTACGGTCGCGATCGTCTGTTATTATAATAGATTGTGAACTGGAATCTATCGGTAGTCAGTTGCTGCGACTGGTATCGTGTCAGTGGGATTCGGAACATCCATTCAGCAATAGGTCTAGTGGTGAACTGTATAGAATTGCAACCCATATGATTAGCATTCCCTACAGAAAAATAAAAGGGTCATATAAAAAGACAGTGCTCCCGAGCTCATCTGAGCTCAATATTCATACGTTCAATCTGATAATCGATATCCACGCTCATCCGTCGTGCATTCCAGCTGCCATTTCAATGATTCAATGACAATATCTTCAACTTGAACAAACGACCCTTACCCGCACTGAATTTACATTTGGCTTTCGACTTTGTGGCACATTTCTGTCCGTGGGGGCATTTGTGGCCATATATGCACCGGTTTCCATGTGGACAAGGTTTTCCTAGGGCGGCGGCGTAAGTGAAACTGAGTTTTCAATATTGGGATAGAGCTACCACTAATTGCGCTTTTGCATGGTATGGCATTTGCCCACTTGCGGAGTTCTTCCAACTGTACTTGTGACAGGACCCAATGGTGACCGAAAGAACATGTCGGATTCCGACAGTCCGCTAGATAGTGTAGATGACAAGGTGATGGCTTCACTATGCAAGTTTTGAGTCACTCTCAATTCCTTCATTTCTGGTAAAAACAATGAACATACGTAAGTGAAGGCCCTGCTGGAGACAGACGGTGAGCAACAGCTGAGACGTTCTAATTCAAAGTACGCACCATGCCAGTTTCAGCATTGCGCCGAAGATAACTTATGTCATGACTCATTGGATTTAGTTGGACGAAACTTAACGGAGGCGTGAGGGACATCATCCAAGGACGCACAGTGCTTGGGCTAGTCGGACTTATAGGCAATGCATCAGGTTTGCACAATGCATCGACCATAAGGCTCGGCAGTCCAAGACTGTTGATGTTCGATGACAGTGGCGCACAAGCGGGGAGCAATACGATCTTGTCAAACCCAGACTGGTTGAGTGACGTGAGGTTGTCCAAGTATTGGTCGTCATGACCAGCTATATAACACGAGGATGAGAACGGCCCGTGATCGATGGTGATCAACATACGAGTGAGGAAGATCTTCCAAACATCGGGAGATCTGACGCATTGCCAGAGTTTGTCTGTCGCGGAGAATAAAGATAGTCAGGACAACAAAGTCACAAAGGTCGAAAGACGTGCCTTTCAATTTCTGAGTAGCCTCATGAGAGGAAGCTGGCCCGACATCCGCCATCAAGAAGTCCCCTCCAGCATGATTGAAACCAGTAATGAACTCCCCAAGCCTGTCCGCAGTTGTTGGCAAGCCAAAGCTTTCAATTGTATTGGCATAATTGTTCTTATCAAGAAGGCACATAAAAGCCAGCTCCACTGAGGATGAAGACTCGCCATATTCTTCAATGAGATAATTCGAGATATGCAGAGACAGTTCGTCCGCCGCTTCCTGTCCACCTCTCCTGCCCTTCTTGATATATCGGGGAGCGATCATGGTAGAATCACCGTCGATCAGACACACGATACGTTTCTGTGGAATTGGTCTATCCGAGTCCTGACGTTGTCATGTCAGGCACTGCATGGAAATGGCGTAGTGGAGTTATTACAGTACCTGGCATAAGACAGTAGCACTTTCTAACGATGCTAGCCTCTCTTCTAGCTCAGCGTTCTTTTGCTCCAAGTCGTATATATGCTCCTTGAATGTCTTCCTCTCTTTCGATAAGTTTTCCTTGTAATCTTGTTTCATAGAGCGGTACCCTCTCCGCTCAATATCGAGTTGATCACGCAGTTCCTCGATCTCGGAAGTACTCTGAGTGTGCCTAGATTGCAAAACTGAGAGTGCATCTGTGGAAATAAGGGTATCTCTCTGGTGGAGGACTGCAAGAAATGGACATTACTCACTCAAGAGCTTTTGGAGATGATGTTCGCTACTCAAGAGGATGATAATGTTGGTTTAGCCTCGCATCCACAGGTGCCAGACTCACACATCATGATCTGCTCTTGGAAGACTCTCCGAGCCTGTCATCGACATGTTCGTAAGTAATGCAAAGTTCGAATTGGTGGCACTGATCCAGAAGCGATAGCCTTTTCTGGCCATGGGCGATTCAGACTTTCCCGCTTTCCCACACCTGTAGTCTCCTGTTTATAGTTGCTGTAGTCCGGCAATTGGATAGTACAATCTTCATGTAAACGTCCGAAACAAATACACATTATCTACCCGGTAGGGGTGTTCACATCACTCGAAGATGCAACCCAAGCTGAAGAGTCTCCAACGCCGAGCCTGAATCCTCAACAGACCCAACTATTAGACCTGAGGGCCAGCTAACCTTACTTTCTCATCGACGTCCTCCTCATACAAAGCGAACGCCTTCTTGAACATACCGGCGAGCTTCCTGACCTCCCTCTCGAATGCTTCCTTGTCGGGCCAAGCCGAACGGGGGTTCAGCAACTCGCGAGGAACACCCTCGAGGGCAATAGGAATCTGCAAACCGAAAGTGCCGAAGGTCTCGAACTCGGCCTTGGCGAGCTCGCCAGAGTGTACGGCGTCGACGATACGACGGGTATACTTGAGTGGGCATCGCTTGCCCGTGCCGTATTTGCCAGCTGTCCATCCAGTGTTGATGAGCCAGCAGTCGACGTTGTGCTTGGCCATGCGCTCTGCGAGCATCTCGGCGTAGCGACCAGGCTAATGAAGGAAAACATCAATCAGCATGACGTCAGCAGAAGCATAGTGAACGAAGGCATACATGGAGAACAATGAAAGGAGCACTATAGCACGTTGAGAAGGTGGGAATAGGCTCGAGAACACCGTCTTCGGTGCCGGGGGTTTTCCTGAAGACCATGTAAATGTTGAACATGTAACACCAATAATATAGACCACTCACGAGGTGTAACCAGCAAGGAAGTGATAGCTGGCTTGTTCAGGGGTGAGCTTTGAAACAGGTGGGAGGACGCCGAAGGCATCGCAAGTCAGCATGATGATGTTGCTCGGTTGCCTGTCGACAACACAAGGAATCTTGGCATTAGGGATGTACTCGATAGGGTAGGCGCAACGAGTGTTCTCCGTGATGCCGATGTCGTCGTAGTCGGGAACTCGGGTAATAGGGTTGTAGACGACGTTCTCAAGGATGCTGCCGAAGCGGACGGCGTTGTAGATCTCGGGCTCCTTCTCAGCAGAGAGGTTGATGCACTTGGCGTAGCATCCACCTTCAATGTTGAAAACACCCGTATCAGACCAGACGTGCTCGTCATCACCGATAAGTTGTCGTCGCGGGTCAGCAGAGAGTGTGGTCTTGCCGGTACCGGAAAGACCGAAGAAGAGGGTTACATCGCCTTTCTCCATGCCGACGTTGGCAGAAGAGTGTAGTGACAGCTGACCGAACTTAACTGGTTGCAAGTAATGCTAAAAAAGACGCGATCAGGACACCATCAGTAACTGGAAAGAGCCCCAAACGGAAATGAAAGCATACCATCACCGAGAAAACACCCTTCTTCATTTCTCCGGCGTACTCCGTTCCGAGGATAACCATCTCCATTCGTTTGAAGTTGATCTCGACGGAAGTTGCCGAAGACATGCCCTTGGTGAAGCGGTTTGCTGGGAACTGACCGGCATTGTAGATGATGAAGTCGGGCTCGCCGAAGTTTGCAAGCTCCTCGTCACTCGGTCGGATAAGCATGTTGTGCTAGACATCGATAACAACGTAAGTTGCATTCTAAAAGAGAGAAACGGGAAGGAACGGAACTGACCATGAAAAGTGCATGATACGCTCGCGCACAGATAACGCGAACTTTGATACGGTATTTGGGATCCCACTGGTAAAGAAAATGAGCTGGGAGACATAAGGAAGTTGAAAAGTGACCTTACCCCTGCATAACCGTCAAAGACATAGACGTTGTCCCTTGTGTTGAGGAAATCAATAGCACGTTCCCGATTAATCTCGAAAGTGTCTATATGCGTATAAATAATGAGATATAGTACCCTTCTAAACAGTGAAAAGACGTACGCTCGTCCATCTTGATGTTTACAGATCCCCACCAGATCTCATCCTTGGAGGTCTCTTCGTAGACGATTCGCTTGTCTTTGGGCGAACGTCCAGTCTTCTTACCGGAGAAGTTGATCAGGGCACCAGATGCTGAGATGACAGCACCCTCATTCCGGATGGCATCTTCATAAAGCTGTGCTACTGGAGCGTTACGCTTGATCTGGATACGCTCCATATCAAAACCGGCTTGAGAAAAATACTCCAAGTCGCGGCCAATCACTGCGAAACAAAATCATAAGACGTACTCCTACCATAAAATGGAAAAAGACACATACAATTGCTTGGCTCCGCATCGTAAGCCTGAGCATAGTGCTTGTGGAGGATATGAGGGGTCACGTAAGGGGTTCCTCCTTGAGTGTAAACCATGGTAGCGGTTGGGTTGGGTTGAAGAGACGGGGAGGTCTACGAAGAGAGAAACAAGTGAGACGAATGTTTAGGGGGTACTGAGACGTCATTTGAACATGGGATTTATAACAGCTCGGGCCTGTTCCGCCCAAGCGGCCGGGTGCATGTGAAGATGGACATACCTTGGATGCGGCAGACGAGGAGCAGCGAGATGGACGGATTGCTCTTCGTAGTAAACGATGAAGAGGATGAGGGAAGGTTGAGAAACGAAATGCCGGCGACGGAGCAGACTTTATAGCACGAGCTTGTAGCAGCCACATCCACTGGCTCCTGCCGAAATAGGGTCCTGGGACGAAGCGCTGGGCGAACTGAGCAATCTTCCTCCGGTCTCGTCCGTAGTCAGGCGTAGTCGGAGCACCGTACGGAGAGGGATTTCTCTTCAACGGGCCCGTACTTGTCAGGTCGATGTTGACGGAGGTCGCTCGGAGGTAAGTAGTGATAGAATAGTGGATAACAACGAGGATCAGGATATCCCGTTCAGCGGGCTGTTTCCACGAAGCTACAGCCCTTCCTCTCGGCACTTTACACACATGATACTCACTACCATATCTGGTCTCCCTCGTCCATCTTAACCTCCTGTTCAATGGGCTGTGCAGGCGGTATGTGCAACTTACAGCGTCGGATGCAAGTAGTACAACAACCACATCTGAACAGGATCCCATCATGAATACTGCTTTAGTAACGACTCAAGTTAACACCCTCGGTCATTGGCAGAATTCTTTATCCGACATCATCTTTGAGAATCCAACGAATCTCGAGACTGCAGATACACGGACCGGCATACTTGCATCCTCTCAAGTTCCGTATATCATGACGGTGTTCCGTGGTCGTGTGATATTATTGTCAGAAACATATGTAGGCCAGACATAGTCGAGGCGAAAGTGTCTAGAATGATGGATTACAATTGTGGCAGTGCGCAGTAGGGATATCGATATAGGTAACGTAGCTGCATCGTGATTGGGTACCTAGCACCGGTACAGAACAAGTAGAACTAAAACGAGCGCAACTCGACGGGACAGCCAAGGATGATTATTTTCGATCCAGGTCTTCTCTCGAGTCGAATGTCACCTCGGGGTCCAGTACGTGTTCCCTCTTTGTGCTAGATTTTCGCTTTTATCCCTTCGCAACACTTTCATCCATACTGGCTATCCTTTCCATCTGTTCAAGCGGCCTTCCGATCAGCGCCAGCCAATCAAACAGGATGCACCATTACATATACTTACTTGCACATGTACGCCTTCCTGGGATTGTCGTTCTCGCGAGGTCGGCAAAGAAAGTAAGTCGCCGGGTCTAGTATTCGGAAGAGCATGAGGGCGGAAGACGATACTTCCGCTGGGAGCGATGCTGCCGGAATAGCTAAGCCAGAATTGGTCAGTTATTGCGGCCAAAAATACCTCTTGATAAGACTGACTAAATATGTGGGCCATCTGCAACGAACTTGGCTAAACTTCGCACAGCTCGAGTCGAGGCGATCTAGAGAGATACTGGTAAGTGCTCAAAAAGCCTTCACTATAGAGCCGGGCTGACCTACCGCGCAGATAACGGTTGAGGGAACGTTAAAGATGATGCTCATGACAGGACTTAAGTTCAAAGTCATAAAGACTGTTGCAACCAAGTTTGCTAGGAAGCTAAGTATTCGTTCATTCGACGCGACATCCACAGAGGACTGCAAGACACTTACGCGCAGACGAAATAAATTAAGCCATCATAGAACAGCACACTGACGAGGCCGTTTTGATGGTTACCTCTCAGGCTCAACAATCTGTAGGCCGTAAGGACAAGCACTATCAAATCGAAGACCATGGAGACAATAAAATTCGCTGTCAAGACCGTAACGTTCGTATGGACGATTACGCAACCCGTTCCTGGCACTTGAGATGCCTCGAGCAGGCCACCTACACGGCCAATAAGAATGCAATTAGGCGATGTAGTCATAGGCGGTGCCATTCAATATGTACCTTGCAGAATGAGTGACCAGTGGCCCATTATGAGCAGAACAACCAAGCCAATAACATATCGATTGCGCTGCCAGATTGCGATTCTGTTGAAGGTAAGTCCCTTATTAAAGTGTAAGAATGTGATCACTGCGCACGTTCTAAGAGCTAAATTGATAGTGGCCATACCACCTGATGCATTTCCCGTCATCTTCGAATTGGAGTCCGAGTCAGTTAAGACTCGGAATGGCCAAATACAACTTTCCTTCTCCTACCTGAAGGAAAATGAAGAATGGCCGACAGTTGAGTCCCCTATTCCGCCATCTGTTAGGCATCTAATTAAGACAATTTATCGAAGAACGTACGACTTGACATCGTAGCCTATAAGACTGTTGCGATCAATGCCACAATGATGAATAAGAATGTCGTTGTTAAAGGCTAAGGACAATTGATTACTGACGCTCCGATCATCGCCGTTAAAGCCAGATATCGCGCCAGGAAGTAAACAGTCTGTCAAGGTGGTTCGGGTGAGGATCAACGTGAAGCATGCAAGCAATCGAAACGCACTATTGGCCAGCGGAACTTCCTTTGCCCTGAGAGGTAGGACCATTCGAAGTCGAGGGACGTCGCGAACTCCCAGCTAACCATTGACAGACATACTCTAGTGATGGTTTGGTCGCGTTCGGCAATACAAAACTCACAAGTATACTCCAGCAAACGAATGAGTGATGTAGATCATGGCAGCTGAATTCAAAGACTGATAAGTGCTCAATTCTGCGGTTAATTCGAAGATGAACAAGTTTACTTGATGCTTTAGCTAGCTCCTCTGGAGAGTTCCAGTCCGGCATTGTCAACAAATCGAACGATGCAAGAGGGGCTTATGGTAGCAATAAGGTGGTCCTAAGGAATGTGGGGGGACGTAAAGCCGGTATGGAACGGGATCCCCTCTTATACTAAGGTGAAAGAAACGCAGACCCCATCAATTGAATCATAAGGCCGAGGAGGAACAAAACGCGCAGGTGTCAAGAAAGCGTCTAGTCTTGAGCGTTATTGTACACAGAAGCACAAAGAAGCATCAAGATGAACAATCAGCAGCGTCACTCCTTCCAGAGATGGAACTGCTCCGGTACAGCTGTATGATGCAGCCTGCTATGGAATGCACACAGGGCGCATAATACCTGATCTAACTGTAAGTAAATGTTGCTGAAGCGCTGTTAATAGCCCATTACAGGAGTTAAGCTTGGGTGAAGTCTGCATGGCTTCTAGGAATATAGAAGGAATGAAAAAGAAATCGAGTATGATGTACTTACCGGAGCTCCCCTTTCGAACCAACAGCCAACAAGATCCAACGATAACTGAAGACAGACATACGACAACATAGCATAGACATACAACATGGGGCATAGCAAGGTTCAACGACAGCACGTAAGAAACTAGTCCGTGAGAAAGCACTATTCCTCGCGTCAATGGAAAGCTAAGGGAGATACTAAATTGCTAGCTTACCTCCTGAGCACACGGCGACACCTTTTACTCCAATTGCATAGTTTTCACGCCGCTCTGCAACTGTTCTTCGTCAACTTAAAAGTCGAAACTCACAACGTTCTTCCTTCCCGTGGATTTCCTAGCGACACGAGCGGGTTCTTCTATGTCCACGAAAGGCGTTATCTAGAAAATATGAACAAGAGACATTAATCCACGAAGTTTAAGACCAACCTGAACGCGAACTGCATCGGCTGTATGGCGCCTCGTGTTCCGAGTGGCGGAAGAGAAGGCGTCGGACTGGTCAGGTGGAACTCGCCACTCGATGTCGCCGGTAGATGACGGAAGGGAAGCATCACTGTAGCTGCAGATCGTAGTTAGCTGCCGTTGAACTAACTGAATGGGTTTCTCGTGGAACACTTGCAAAATATGAGGACCGTCCTGGGTCCATCTTGCCAAGCTTCGAACTGCTCGGGTCGATGCGATCTTGAGAAGTGTTGGTCGATGGTCAGAAGACGGGCGCGCAGTGGAAATATGATGGAAGCTTACAGCACATATCATGGCGGCAGGGATATTGAAGAGAACGTTCATAAGAGGACTGAGGTTGAGGACCATAAGAACCGTCGCAACAAGATTTGCGCAGAATCTAGATAGATTTAAACATGGATACTCCCAGGTTTGTAAAATGGTGGACGTACGAGGAAGCGAAATAAATCAATCCATCTTGAAACAACAACCCCACTAGGCCTTTCCGTTGATTGCTCCTTAATCGCAGCAACTTCCATCCCGTGAGAGCAAGCACGATAAAATCGATGCACATTGAGTAAACGAGGTTGGCCGCTAGGATTTTGTTATTTATGTAAGTGAGGACGCAGCCCTGTCCAGGAGAGTAAACGCCTTCCACAAGAATGCCTAGGTTGGACATGCATGAGAGTACGGATTAACGCCTTTGTGATAGACGAACCGTGTAAGATGAGAGTCCAATGTCCAAGGATGAGGAGTGTTATAAAAACACAGATGTACCACCGTTGGTTCCATACCGCGATGCTACAGATGTTGATTAGTTTAGGAACGAAACCACGTTGAAATATGTTCTCACTTACGCCCTCAGAGCTAGGTTGATGGTGGCCAGACCGCCAACAGCATTACCGGTGAACTGGACGTGAATGAATTCAACTTTACAATAGAAAAGAAAACTTTATTCAGTTACCCGGAAGACTGCAAATACGGCTTTGCAATTCATTTTTCTGTGGCAACCTCAGTCATCTGAGGTCAGTCGTTGTCGCGAAATTGACTCACGTTGTAACATCAAACGCTACGAGGCTGAAGTTGGTGTTAATGAGGGTGTGACATCTCCAAATGGTTTGTACGCACGTTACAATGTTCGATGCAAGGGCGATGTATCGGACCAAGTAATAGAAAACCTGCATTAATGAATTCAAACGTTCTTATCAAGCTGCAGAAACGCGGCACGTACCATCGTCCATTTGAATTTTCTCTTGCCACTCACGAACGACCAGTCAAAGTCCAACGACATTAGGAATTCCCAGCTGCGATAACATCGTCGACATCATGTCCCCACAGCCTGGACGCGGTAATCACTTACAGATACACTCCAATGCATATATGTGTTATGTTGAGGAACACCGCGACGTCTAGCAGCTCAACTTCTTCAGGAATTTTACGGTGGATTTAAAAGTAGGAAAGGACTTGCCTCTAGATTCTGAGGGGGTCAGAGACGGCCCCATGGTTTTATAACCACTGTGAGGTTAGTGTACAAGTGCAGGAGGTACCGTAGCCTGCGGTGACGGGCGAGGAGGAGCAATTGGAGGGAATCTCGGTATATATTGCCAACCACTAGGCGAGGTCAACAAACCGACAGAGTCTGACAACAATGGTGCACATCCCGACAATCCATTTGAATACCATATCTACCCTTACTCGATATTATGCCCCACAAAATGAAGGACATTTGGAGTCCGATCTCTCTCCGTGAACTTGTTATCCCGGCTAGACAACAACGCGTCCATTATGCGATCAGTACCAACAATGAGACTAGCGTGCCTCGGGGTGAAATACAGGAACAAAGCCAACGGCGCAAAGGGCACGACGAAAACGGACCGTCGAAGTTTTTTTTTTCGAAGGCCTGTATTATTGTTCGGTGAAAAATATGGGCCAAGAGCGTCCCAGAACGGTGCAATGATCCGACTCGAAGTCGCATATCAAAAGTCTTAGTATACATTGAGCGGAAGACCATTTATGTACACCAGAGTTCACGCACCCAATGAAGTGACAGATACTGCCACAATACCTGCGTCAAACTTCATAATGAGGACGTTGGACTGGGAGCCTTTTCAGTTTTTGATGTCAGTGCACCCACAAAGCCCGTATATACAATAGCCAACTATCAGACTTACGTACCGACTGTTTGCAATTTTGTGGCCAGTTATAAAATTTAAATATCAATGTCAAAGAAACTTTAACTCAATGATGACAACAGGGCTTACCAGTTCTCTCTGTTTGGAATCAACGTGTCATGATGAGAAGACCTAGAACATGGGTGATCAACGTTCAATAGTCGATGGTTACCAACGGTCGGAGTCACTTTCGTAATTGGAGGCAACCCCGCCTATCTGTCCTGCGCTGCACGTTGAAGGCTAATTGCAGCTGCGAAACCAGGAAGCACCTTTGAATCATGATTCGTGGGACGCATGACCTGTACCGTTCTTCTATTTCTCATACTGAGAAACCCACGTTTATAAGAAAGCTAGCGCAAGCCCCCAGTAGACAAAATCAGGTGTAGACATGAATCAGATGTTGCTCGTGGGGGCGTGCGCTGTTGACCACGCGCTGCACAGAGTTCTGACTACTACACATCAGTACGTCGCCAGTACTAGTTGCATGCGTCGGTTGCATCCATTCTTGCATTCTGATGTACGGCACTGCTATAAATGAGCTTCACCTGCTCAGGCAACGCTGCCGTTCGGTGAACCTTTCCCCCTCCGGCCGCGCATATCCTTATCCGTTTCCATCTGCGATGGCGTTACGTCGATATAACGCTTCACGAATGTCAGGATGGCTATTGATACTGGCCTTCGTTATGACTGTGTCCGCCTCTGTACTTAACATGAAGAGGTGTAGTATTTCTCTTTACCGCACTTACCAGCGTTTGGGTCTGAAATCTTGAACCTGGCAGAGCATCTGTGTGCAACGGACATGCTGAATTGTGCAACCGAAGTTACGGGAACACTACATTTCTTGGAGGTGCATGATTCAACAGAGTACCGAGCCAGATTGAGGAACACTCACGCTGTTGCTATAGCTCACGACTCCTTCGCATTCAGTAGCGACCCCTTCGCTCGTACGTTTTCATACATCGTGGATCAAGCAACAAAGTCGGTGACTGATCAACTCTTGCGCCAGTGGCAAGAGATCAAGAAGTGGATATCCCGACGCAACTTGGCTTGGGCGTTCGTTTGCTCCAAGCTCAAGCACATATGTGAGCGCAATAGCGAGGGCTATCACCTTGAAATGAACCTATATCTGTATCTCGCAGGAAGAACGGCGCCCTCCATTTCTGCCATACTGGTGAGTTTCGCAACCAATAGCCATGACGTATTGATCTGAGACTCGTATTACTAGATTGCGTAAGGATCCCAAGCAGTCGGATTAAGAAAATACACTTACGTTGACATGCAGGTGCTGTTCGATGGGGGTACTGTTCAAGATTATCTCACCACAGTCCACACTTTCCTGCAGGCGAATCCTAATGAAGTTTTGACATTCATCTTCACGAATCCTGAAGGAGTGTCCTTACCAAACGTGTGGGATCCTGCGTTTCAAGCATCCGGAATTGCGCAAATGGCCTATGTACCACCATCAATACCTACGAAGCAAAGCGATGTGAGCTCATGGACCTCACGCAATAGTTTATGATCCGAATTTCACACCCGTGTTCTAGTGGCCGACGTTAGGGGAATTTATCGACAGTGGAAAACGCGTTATAGTGTTCTTGGACGCTGGAGCAGATACAGACCGCAGTGTACCCTATATCTTGCCCGAGTTTCCGATGGTGCGTCGCAAGCCTGATCCAGCGGCTTTCGCTCACACAGTACCATAGATATGGGAGACACCTTTCAGCGTCACAGATGCGTCGTTCCCATGCAGTGTGGATAGGACAGCAGGACCTCTTGCGACTACCGATCATATGTATATGATTAACCACTCCCTCAACAAGGACATCTTCGGGCTAGGGATCATAGTCAGCGATCCATTAGATGCACCAACCACAAACAGCGTTACCTCGTAAGTATCTAAATGAGGCTCACGGACGGACTTCTCACTGACGTTTCGGCCAAAGTATTATGGCAAACGCTGCAGGCTGTGAGCCTCTAGCGGCAGGTCGTGCACCGAACTTTGTACTGCTAGATTTTGTCAACATAGGGCAAGGCTTGCAAGCAGTGAATCAACTCAACGGGCTGGCGTAAATTATAACGAATACCCTTGTATCACTTGCGACGAAATGACACGTACAATTTCATGACAAGCAGCCCCATCGTCGAGATGCCCTTTATGCATGAAGAAGAGCTAGTGACACAAGCGCAAACGTTAAGGACGAAGAGAAAATTCGTTCGCCGAAAGGCTACTGTATCCATAGGATAACACATTAATGGTCGATCCAACCCGCCAATGCTCTCGAGTGATGATTAGTGACTCCATCATCCATGAAACATCGAGAAAGATGTAGCGTTTAGTGATGTCACACATACTGAGATAGACAATGATGCATATACGCGTGATTCGTGAGAAGGCAAGCTACACACAGCCTGTTCAACAGCAAAGTACGTGGTGATGTACCAAGCCAGCTGCAGGAGGCGGTGGTGTATACGGGTCGTCTCTCCATCCCTCAGTAGACTCGTCATTGGTCTGCGTACCGGAGACTAGCGGTGGTGGTAGGGAACAAGAATGAGATCGCAAGGAGCGCTCATCATCAACTTACCATCATCATCGACCACCAACGTCCTCTACTCTATTTCCTACTTCCAGGATACCACGGTCTATGACCATTTACAACACCTTGAACGACCCTTCAACTTAACGCTTATACGTTCTGCACATTTAGCACATTGGAACGGTGATTACACGCCATGGACTATTTGCGGACATTAGGTTCCGCTGCTGTTTCGTCACTGGTACAGAAATCGGGATTGACACTCCCGTTTTCTTTGGGTCCAAAGGTTGTGTCATTCGAGGGAAAGTCTATTTGGACTCTGTACGATGCAACAAAGAGAGTACGTTCTGAATATATCTACACATTCATCGTCGTTCCTTGAACATGGATTACAGGAAGATGGTAGCACTGTATCAGTCTTTGAATTTGATTCCAGCCTACCCAGAAATCGGAACGCAATGCCCCTTGCGAAGAATACACTTCGAAAGTTACGCACCATCCGGCATCCCGATGTCCTCAAGTTCTTGGATGCTGTGGAGACGGATAGCTCAATATGTATCATGACGGAGAGAGTCCGCCCATTAGCTCCAGCTATACAGGAACGGGCATCGAAACCGGCTCAAGAGAAGGAAGACTGGCTATTATGGGGCCTGCATCGAATATCGGTGTGTTGTGGCTTTCTTCTGTCATTACCGTGAATTCATATCAGTGTCCATAGGTTGCACTAGCGTTCGTCAATGACGCGTGTGCTTCAACACATGGCAACGTTCGAATCGATTCAGTGTTCATCTCTCCTTCTGGAGAGTGGAAATTGGGAGGGTTTGAACTCCTTAGCAATCCTAAAGACGAGGCAGCCGTCTTATACGTACGTCGTCATTGCATCATGGTAGCTATTATCATTTCGCTCCAATCATCTTGCATGAATAGACTATGGGAAGTCTGCTGCCTGACTCATCAACATATTCATCACCAGAAGTCAGGAAGAATGGCTGGTCAGTCCTCAAAGAGTGATACCTCCCTGTTCAGGTTGCATGCATCGACTTCGTAATTGACACGAACGTATTCACAGAAACCCCATTCCAGCCGCAGATTCATATGCGCTCGGTCTTTTGATTCATTTCGCTTTTAATCCTTCACATCCACTTCCCGCCACAGCACAACCGCCTCATCCGCCACCAACACCTGCATCGCGAGGATCAATACCGACATCCGTTTTCCCCGCATACAAGAAGTTACTAAATCCGAACCTCAAAGCTCGGTTGACACCGAAGAACTTTCTTGAACTGGGGATGGCTGAAACCGCTGGCGAAGGATCTGGTTTCTTTGCAACCAATCGACTAGTCAAAGTCTGTGCAGGCTTAGATAACTTCAATCTTGGCAGCGAGTCGGAGAAAGCCATTCTCCTTCGGTCAGCGCCCTTTGAATAACCTCTCGTTATATAATTAGCTGATTAGTCGATAGAACATTGAAGGAATCGGCGGCCTCGCTCCCACCCGAATTTGCATCTTATCGTGTACTGCCAGCTCTCGCGTCTGCCCTCGAATTCGGAGGTGCTTCAGCTGCGTCGATCCTTCCTCTCATTCTGCAATTCGGCAAGAATGTCCCACCTGAAGATTATTCGACAGTCATCCTGGTCCATCTAATCAAGCTCTATACTAGTCCAGATCGTGGAACACGTATGGCGCTTCTTGATAGTTTGCCGGAGTATGCAGACAAGTTAGACAAGAAGACTGTTACGGACAAGATCTGGCCTAATCTGGTACGCTAATATTCAATACGGAAGGATGAGTAAATCTGACACGAGATAAAGCAAACAGGCTTTACAGACACCGTTCCCATCATTCGTGAAGCTACCGTGAAGTCTATTATCCTCCTTTCAGACAAGGTATATCGTCTTAAACAATAAGTTTAATACGCCGACTAACGTTTGACCTAGTTCAACGAAAGAATCTTGAACAATGACCTTCTACGACACCTTGCTCGAATGCAAGCAGACCCCGAAGCATCGATACGAACGAATACATGTATTCTCATTGGCCGTCTAGGACCCACACTTGGATACAACGCCAAACGCAAAGTGCTCGTACCTGCATTTGCTAAAGCCTTGAAGGACCCTTTCGTTCATTGCCGAGTTGCTTCACTCATGGCCTTGATGGCTACAATAGACTGCTTCGAGCACGAAGATCTGGCGAGCAAAGTTATACCCAATATGTCTTTTGCTCTGGTCGATAAGGAGAAGTACGGTCGCCCTTGGTTCACCGCCTTATGTAGTATTGACTTGCCTCTAGGCTTGTGAGGGACCAGGCATTCAAGGCGATACAGCTCTTTATCAAGAAGCTCGAGGACTATGCTACTACCCTAGTGAGTGTTCGACGCAATGATCATGATCTAATCTTGGCTGACAGTCAACTAGCCCGACACTGCTGCCAATGAACCAGAGATGCCAGGTTTCGGTCTTCCACCGACGACTCAGGGTCAGAATACTTTGGTTAGTTCTGCCGCAGGCGCTGCTGGTGCACTTGCAGGATGGGCTATCACATCAATTGGCAAGAAAGTCCGTACACGTTGCATTCAATAATATGCCTTCTTGCTACTCATGCTGAATGTATCCTTCTAGCTCGCGGCATCCGATCTCCAGAGTACCATGGGCACCGCTCCTAACGGTGCCGCGATTAGCCGTCCAACTTCCGCACCTCCACCATCATCAACACTGTCGCCCAATGGCGTACCAGCAGCGACTGCGACACTCACCAACCCTTTGCCCTCAGTTGTTTCTTCGTCGGACAAGCTTCCCACTGCTCGCTCGTTCAGCAAAACGAAAGGAATGCACTTGGGTGGGAGCAAGTTAGCATCGAGATCGAGCAATCTAAATAAGCTTGCGGCAGAATGGGCGGAGGAGGCCGCTGCCGAGGCCGAAGCTAATCAGAGTAATCCATGGGGTAGTGACGATCTTATGGATGTAAATGCTGACGAGGACGATTGGAGTGAGTTCTTCGGTTATCCATTGAGAGAAAGGCAACTGTACTAATGCAATGCGCGGGAACAGGTGCATTCGAGACCGCGCCATCTGAGCAGCCTGCAGTTGTAGGGCTCGGATTTACCCATACAGGACCAAGCTTGTCAGTCCAGCCGGCGGGTGAGTGGAATTGACTCAATTGCTCTGAGCTTACTGACGAACAGCGACGCGGCAGATGACGACTGGGGGGATGCCTTTGCTACCGATGCTAATGACCAAGTACCAGGAGGTTGGGAATCGTCTGCCCCTGCGCTAGTGGTGCAGCCGAAGCCCTCCGTCGCTGCCCCAAAACCTCATGTTTTGTCAACACCACGCCCTACATCTGCACAATCTCTTTCAACCTCCGTTCCAAGTCGCGGTGTATCACCGGCTCCGGCAACGCCTACAACCAGCACCTTGGGTATGAGCAAGGAGGAGAAGGCAGCTGAGATGGCGAGGCGAAAGGAGGAGAGAAAACAAGTAAGCTGAGTCTGTGCCCTCCCGAACTACGCTGACCATGATCGCACTTCTCTAGCGCATTGCAGCCTTGAAGGAGCACAAGAAACATGCGGGTGTGAAGGCATGATGGCCTTAGTTGTTATTCGCGCATTTCCTCCTATATTATATACGCGGACTCGGATTGGGTATATATGTTGTACAGCGTGGTTTTCACTCTGAGTTCACGAAGAGTCCTTCTCCGTCGAGGCTTGCAGGTCTTCTATTGGAATGCGGACTAAGCGTTCACCTGAAGAAGCTGTTGAACGCTGCTCCTCGCGTTCCGTGTTTTGCTGCCGCGTCGATACTGACGTGAATGAGTTATCCGTTTCACTTATAAGGTAACAAAGGACATACGAAATAAATCCAGTATCCTGAACATGTTAGGCCATTGCTCGAGCACCTGGCCATGTACTGTGTAGAACACGTAATTGACTTTGAATGCGATCTGTTCACAGTATTACTCACCGGTACCTGCATCCGCAATCACGTCAAAATCATCTCCAAGAGCTTCGATACGCCGAACGAAGTTCGCACTGGCTCTTTCCAAGGCGATAACAGCTTCACATTCTTTCTTCTTCTCTAGCAACTTTGCTTGTGCTGGAGCACTAGGTGCCTGAGGCGGCGCATGTGACTGACGACTCGAAGCCATAGACTGGCGCATGATGATAAGAGAAATAGATATAAAGACTCGTCTGAGAGCGATGAACGAACGCAATCGACGCGTTCTGGTATGACAGTCCGGCAGATGCCGACATGGACGTGTCGAAATCGTGATCATTCCAGCGTGAACGCCGCGAGTTCAACGTTACTCGCAGCAACCCAGATGAAATGGTTGCATTCCGTTTCTTACACTGATACTATCACATATAGCAACTAGGTTGTAGGTACGCCAAGTTGTCAGGACCTCCTTGTCGGGAGGATAATGGGCAGAGGCGACGAAAAGCCTCCTCCCATCTACCAGTCTCACCCGCCGGAATGGCTTCCGAAAGTACATTCCACGTCTGATCTGGGTATGTAAATTGATGTTTCTTACTGTGGGACTGATGCCGACGGTTCAGAACAGGTTATGCTGGGTTCCAGCCTCCCCGAGCAGACCAGGTCGAGGAAGTTCTCACTGAAGCAAACGTAAAGAATGGACTCGTCATCGCAGCGCAGGTGTCGGTAAGTACTATCCGTCCATATTGCACGGCTATTCATATTAATGTCTGCTACAGGCCGAAACTTTAAGTGCTCGAGAGACTGTCCAAGAGCGACTAACGACTGAGAATGCGCTGGAAGATCTGGAAGATCTCATGAACCAAATTTTTGCTCGAAGAGTAGAGACTTCGCCTCCAGTACCGTAAGTTCCGATACATCTCACTTCCCCTGCAGGTTACTTGATATATTCTGCAGTCCTTCCTCTTTTCGTTTGCCGTCTAGAGTTACCCTGAATGACGCAAAACGTCAGGCTTGGTTCGCTGACCTCGCCAATCCTGATGTTCCGTTACATAAGTTAGGAAAGAGTGTGCCGCATGGGGCCAAAGGACACGACCTCTTGGATTTACTACAAACTAACAATGTAGCAATACCCAGGGCTGTGTGGTTTCTGCGTGTCTTCGGCGGGAACGAAACCGTGGGTGATATTTCCTTTCGCAAGTTAATCTACTGTCTGACGCGTGTGTGCAGGCTGGATTGCGTAATAAACCGTCGCTATACAATCCAACCCAATATAGTGTTGACTGGGCGAATGTCATGACCAGTTATTTGAAGAAGCAGCTTACGGATATCGCATTGCCCATGGCGCCGAGGCCGGGTTTTGGTTTGAATATCAAGCAGACATTTAAGGGCGTTCTCTCTGACCCCGAGTCTAGGGAAAGGTGGATTTTCCGCTTTTCATACAGGTACCTTTGTTCATTCACGTTTTAGCATTACATTCATTGACAGCTACAAAGTCTTCAGCTACTCCGAGATTTCTACTCAGAAGGTCTAGTAGACAACCGAACGTTCCTTGCCTGGTTGGTGCAGCAGATGCACACATCAAACTTGGCACAGCTAGGCTTTGTAGTGCGTCTAACGGATGAATACCTGGATGGCATGCTCGCCATCCGTGCCCTCAGCCGGCCGTTAGTAGAGGCTTGCTTGAATCGTATAGCCGAGGTTAGAGCTACTGTTATACGTCCCTTTCAGAGCGCTGATACGAGTTCACATAGATCATTGCAACACCAGGAAGAGAGCTTTTGGTCAACCTGGAAACGATATTGAAGAGCCTACTTATGGTACGCATGCCTTGACTGCACTTGCAGATGTCCTGAATATTATAAACAGAGAGTACTACTAGGATTACCGGACGCTTTCATCAATCCGAAAACGTGGCTGCAGCATTCCGCCTTATTGGGTGACATTGTTGCCGAATACGCTGAAGATGGCACACTGGTTCTATCCGCCGAGCAAAACGTTCCTGCACTTCGACGAATCATTGCCGATACATTTGCACATGTCAAGAGACGGAATGAAGCGATGCTATTCAAGGATTTGCCTACGCGTCCACCTGGCCCATTGTCATCTGCCATCCATGACATCAAGGTAATTAAGAAAATTTCTTAACCACGAAGATGATCGCGGGTTGACAAACATTATCAGCTGCTGAATTCGTTATCTGGGAATACAGACTTAGAATCCGTACTATTTTTCGACACTGCCTCAGACGAATCACCAACTTTTGCCCAGAAGCTAGACATTCTTCTGACGTGGAGTGTAACACCTTTGCAATATGGAGATCACAGACCATACGCCGCGGCGTCCCTTCTGCGCTGCTGGCGTGATCGAGCGGGAGAGCGCGCAATTCGCCGTGACCGTGCATCTCCAGACGAGTTCATTCAAGATCATCTCTTTGATTGGCTCGATGCCTCCGATGCTGCTGCTGAGGAAGGAAATATATCCAGTGTGGCGTTGCTTTTTGGACAACTGGTGAAGCATGGACTGTTCTCATATCCAGTCTATATACAACGTCTGATTGCTCGGGGCGAGCCAGGCTTGTCTTTCGCTGAGGTAGGCAACAGCTAAAACTATTGTATAGAGCAAAGTGTTCACATAACATTCTGCCCTCTAGCCCAATGGTTCAAGGCATCGGAATTTTCTTCGGTGGATTCCTCTCCACAGTTCGTCGTCGGCACTGACGATGCAGCGCAAAGTGACCCTGTATGGAGTTCGGGCCAGGGAAATTCCCGAGAGTACGAACGAGCGCAAGATCAGGAAGGAGATTCGTGCGTTACTACCTGAGCTCTTCAGTGGTGAGTATTAGCCATGGCGCAGTGAGTTGCTAAAAGCTCATGTTGTTTTAGGAGAACCGCTTCCCATCCAGGCATTTATGGATGATCTGGAGACCAGTTGCAGCCTTCTTTACTCAGCTCCGAGATTCGAGCAAGTTCGTGTTGTGCGCGAATGGCTTCTGCCGCTACTGAAGAAGAAGATTCTGAGGTTCGTTGTCTATTTATGTTCCCTTATCAAATTAACGGAAATCACAGTAAATCAGCAATCACGCTAAATGAAGGTGTGAACCGAATCACAAAGGTCTACTGCCTTTCCACTGTACTTATGGCACATTGCAAATGTTATGGCAGTATTCTGGATGTGAGTAGGTCGCATGCTATGCTAGTGTGGACGCTGATCCAACCCCGCAGCTAACGTTATTCGCCCTCGAACATGGCAACAGCCCCGATCTCATAACGATTGTCATCGACACCCTTCGACAGCACACCGAAGTATGGGCATGTATGAACTCTATGGGGATGATTACTGCTTCACTACTTTCAGCTCACCAATACTGGAAGTCACAAGGCGTACAGAACCCGAACCTCTTAAATCTTCTCATCGAATTCGACAATGTGCGATATTTGGACTCCAGTGTTCGTGAGCAAATTCTCGCTGATCGTGGTGCATACGCCTTGGTAGGTTGTTCCTTTTACAGCGCTAGCCCTTTCTGAATATTCTATAGGCTCTCCAACCCGTGCACGCTGAACCCATCAACGTTCCTTCGGCCCTTCCAGAAATCCTGATGCTTGCAGAAGACACGCGTGTCGATGCGCCATCCATGCTAGCGAATAGTCTATGGTACAAGTATCGCACTGCCACCGACTGGGCCTGGAAAGTATGGGATAACACAATTGCCAGCCTTCGCCATATTCCAGTCTTATACCCCGATGTTGAACATCGTAGGATCTGTGCTTTGCGATACGGTGCATTCTTGACCCACGTTGAGCATCATCTCCCTTCTGGTCTTGATTCCCACCTGTTGGGCTGGTTTCTGGGCTCTGGTGCTGCAGAGGTGTCTACCTTCACCGCGGAAACTTGGGATGTTGTCACTGTCGTGCTTCTTCATCTCGTTGTGCAAGGCGCACTATCGACTGTGGCTATCTTGCAAGGTCTCGCGTATCCTTCATGGCGAGCTGGTGCAAGAGCCGATTCACCAACGCACGGGTCCTCTTTGGAGACGCCGTTGATTGCGATATGCGATCTTTGTACACGACTACTCTTGAATACAGGGTGTGCATACGAATACCCTCCTTCAACCTTCTTCGAAGCAAGAGGGCTGCACACGCGCCGAAGAGATGTATATCGTGAACCCCATTTCGCTTCGCTTGTAGAGCATGTTCCAATCCTTGTGCTGCTGGAAGAAAATGTCAATGTGCCAACAGTGGTCAGGCAAGCATATGTAGGTTTTCGGCGTGCGGTCTGCAACACAAATGTGTTCAGGCAGGGGGTGTATCGGGACCTTGAGACCGTGAACCTAGCATTCGAAAGTGTTCTCGAAGACGAGAGTGTTCCCACGGAAGTGCATGAAGCACTCATTCATGCACTGCACCTGGTTCTCAACGATGGAAACTCGGGTAAGTAGATTCTTAATGCTAAAGTGTATGACTAGCTTACAGTTGTCCACTAGTACCAGATGAGAGCGCGATGGACTATACTCTCATGTCGTCAGCAGCTTTAAGCCCATGGAAGCTCGCAGCTACCTTCATGGAAAATCGTTTCTCGATGAAACAGTTGAGCTCTGCTCTGAATCGGGAAGCGACAAGGAAAAGGGCAAATGAGCTGCTGGACCAGATAACAGCTAGGGTTTTCCTTCAGGACATGACATCAGAGCAGAGTGATTTTGTGGCTGAGATGATGAAGGATATCAGTCTGCCTATAGCAAGCAAGGTGCGAAATTTGGTAGTATCAATGCCTTCCGTGCTATATGTTGATATATTCATGTCTCAGTTGCTGTCTGCTGGTCTTCGCCGAATCACTACACTCTTGAAGGATCCTCGCTGCTCCGATGTTAATGATGGTGCTCCTCTGGTTCCGGTGGCTGGCGAAGTGCTTCGCTTGCTTACAAGTATAGTTAAGTCAATGCGCGACAGCGTCCAGAGCCTACCACCCATGGAGAACACTCCAACTCCAAGCAATATGCAGGATGGACTTGTACCCGAGGTTCTCGATAAACTGAAGTCGGCACTGGAAACTCTGTCAGCAGGTCCGCTCGATGGCATCAGCACTATCCACATTGCGCAGAATACAGTGTTCCTGGCCCGACTTCTTCAGTTTGTCCTGATACTTCCTGGGTCGTGGACAGCTCTGGTGAAGGAGCAGTCGGAAGACTTGTATAGAACCCTCCTTCGCCTAGCCTTCGTACGTCGCTAAGGTATTTACCCTTGAAGCATCTAACGAATATCGCAGGTTTTTGGCTCTGGTAATCTCATCAACGAAATCATATTTCCACTTATCGTTGATACCCTATGCTTTGTGTTAGACGGTAAGAAATGCAAACAAATGGACATGCTGTATGCTGATGTGGTCTTAGAGGTTCCAGTAGATCCAAAAGCCACTGTATACAACCCATTCCAGCATTACCCTGAGATCGACATGCAAACACTCCCTTCCGATATGCCCTTGGAATACCGCAGACAGATTCGGACATTGCTACCCTTTGTTCCACCTAATCTCGCCGTGGCCAACCTCGCCTATGTTTCACAGGACGCCACAGGACAAACTACTATGACGCCAGTACAAAATCGACCTTGGGAATGGACGGAATACCTTGGAGAGGCTTCACCAGTGGAGCCGAAATCAGAAGACAAAGACGGAGATGAGCGAATTGTGGTCAAGAATTCTGCATCTATATCCTTGGAGCTCTTCGCAGCGCGGGTCACGGGAGAGCGCGTGATACCTTCCGGGCAGACTGACAGCAGAACAGAGTGTATGGTGAGAACCTTCCAAGATGATCTTGCATCACACACAGTCTTCCAGCGCGATTGGATGGAGACCCGGGCTCTTTCACACATGTTACGCCCTGACAGGACCGAACAGGAAGATGAAGTGGGACCACTACCTACATTCCCCAATACCGCCCAAGGTGGGACAGATCGACGATCGAATTCCAGAAGGCCTTCGCCCGCTTCATCAATCCGTTCCCGAGGTTCAGTAGCCCGTCCTCCCTCCGTTCGTTCGTCCATTCGACAGAGTCCCGCACTCACTCGCTTTTCTGGTTCAACGGCTGGTGAAGTCATTGACGTCGACAGTCTTGACTTCTCGACATCAACCACTCATTCCGGCGCAAAACGGAAATCAATACCCATCGACGATGATATCGAGATTATTGAAGGGCCCGTTGCATCGAGCAAGAGAACGAAGGGCAAGACGGTTGCAAAACCCCGAGGGACAAAGAAACGACAGCACTAGTCCAATTATTCCACGGTAAACTGATCCATACTCCTCTCGTTGGTAAATGAACTGACTGAAGTCTTTTGATACGTCAGAAATGTAATATGACCACCCATATCATTCCTCACCGCTTAACATGACACTTTCATGACCTCCAATGCATCAGTATTTATCGATATTTATTCTTTTCGACAGAGGATGGAACTACTGCTGTACAGACATTTTGTGGTAAATTCGTACATCATTATAACACCATAATCCAAAGTCATGCACAACTGACAGCGACTCAAAATAAGATAGCGATTAAAAGCACATGAAGAAGTACAGCAGATCGAGGTTTCGTTTATCTGATCTAGTTCTACACTGGCTAAAGAGTGTAATTGCATTGTTAGTTACGCTGTTACCATGATAAACAGCAAATAATTCATACCGGCACCCATTTTCTTGGGACACTCTCATACTGACTGGCATCGTCGGTAGCTGATAACGATGTCGTTGTAGTATTGATGTCACCCATAGGACGCTGTCCAATCTTGAGAACTCGTTGCACGCCAGAACCTGTAGGAAGCACGACATCTTCTACCGCAGGTTTATCTTCCGCCGCCCATATGCCTGAAGAGAAGGTGTTACGCCCGACATCGCGCAGGGTGTGCGTTGCACCATTCGGTGAGGAGAGTCCGAGACCAAGTCGAACGATGACAAGGCTGAAGACAATACCAACCATTGGCGAAACCTTAAGTCCGAGGGAAGAGATTAATATGAAAACCTTAACAAAGAGAGACGTAGCACTCACAGCGTCAAGTAGAAGGTACTGTGCCCAAGAACCTGCAAGGTAGGTAGCCAAAAGCGTGATGAGAGTGGCCGAATATATTGCTCCGGACTCAACGACTACAAGAAGAACAGGCATCAGGTTCGTTGCACCAACCCTCGTTGACAATTTGTTAACACGCCAAATTTTGAATGCAAGGAGACCTAACAGGAGTGGAGATTCAGCGATTGAGAGTAAGCACTATGTAGACGGGGCGTACCGGTGCAGATGACGTTAGTAGAGAGTGTTAATGTAAAGAAAGATGTAATCCACTGTTTCAATTCCGCTGCGAAGATTTCGGCATGGGTTGTAATCTTCGCAAAAGAGTACAGTATGCCGATCCCACACACTATATACATTGAAGTTAGCCTTCCCGTAAAACTTTGAAACAGAAAACAAAGTTATGTATACCTGTGCTTCCAAGAAGGAGTAAGCAAGGGAATGCTATAATCCAGAGCTTGCGGTTCCATACCACGGCGGATCGATACAACTGACAGGCGGAGACTTTGTTAAGATCAAACAAAGAGGAAGTGTTTGGACACTCACAACAAATCCGTCTCCGATCAACGTCTGTGCAACATAGATCGTGCTCCCAAAGATGTTGGTGAAGTTAGACAGTTGATTGAAGTACGCGGCAGGCCCGCCAGGTTCATCCTTGAATATGACGAACGCTTTGATGATTCGAGTGAAATTCACCCCAATGTGCTATCAAAAGACTGAGTGAAACCATCCCTACAGAAGAAGCATACATACCATCGTAGCGAGCACCCACATGGTGATTGCTGTCCAGAACATAACCGTGCTCATTCCGCTTTTTGCGGCCATCTTCCGTCGAAGTACCCATATCGAGATGACAAACAGCACAGAGAAGACCCCTGGAGAATACAGTTCAACTCAATTTTATCTTCTCGATCTTCCCAAAATACTTATACCCACCATACAGAAGTGTCTGGACAAAGATAGAAACGAGCTTCGACTACAATGTGTTTGTTAACGAATGTGACTTCAATGGGTTGGACTACAGACTATTTACCTCATCTGCTGGAAAAGTGTCTGCCATGCCGGTTAGAGGACCTAGAAGATGGGGTCTGCGACGAGAGACATCTCCATCCAGGGTGATAGATATCCACCAGTCAGCGTCTCCTCCGAAGCTTCGTATGGCAGGCTGTGGGAAGCTATCATTCATTCACAGCGCCTTCCTTCTCCAGCCGTCTTCGTAGCGCCACAAAGCTTTTCGATAATCTGCACAGCAATGATCATCTCTATCGCTTTCACGGGACGCTCGCATGTCGAAGATCACTTGGGGCGCGAATAGCAGACTCACCACGATGGTCAAGTGTATTATCTACATTTTGCAATTCCATTGGTGAAAAGGCGGTACAAAAAATACTTCCATGAGCGATAGCCAAAGGCTGGAAAAATCACACTACCATATAACACCGCCTTCTTTCATCGGCCACCCAAGCTGCTCATACGTCCACCCAAAACAGATCCCGCCTTTACCATGGAACCCACAGACGCTGCGATGCATACCCTCAGCTTTGTGGATCTCATCAAGAGCAGCGACTTCCTCAGGAGACAAGTGCACGAACTGGTATACCCTGTCAGCTTCACAGGAATGCTTCAAGGGAAGTAGATATGTACCGAAAGGTTCGCTTCAATGCGTTTCTTATCCGCACTCTTAGGGATTGCGACGACACCTTTACTGATGATCCATCCGAGAAGCACTTGGGCTGCGCTGCACCTTCGTCTTGTTACAATGTCTACAACTGCGGGATGCTGAACCAGCATAGGCTTATGCTTTCCGAGGGGTGAATATGCGGTAAGGAGTATTGTCATCTTCCTGCAATACTCCAAAAGTTCGAGCTGAGGCAGTAACGGATGCATCTCCACCTATATAACCACACCTTTACAATCAGAAATAAGATCAATAAACTCTTCGGATTGAACATACCTGGTTCACCGCAGGTACGATGCTCGCATAGGGCAACAAAATTTCCAAGGTCTTCACACTGAAGTTGGAAACACCGATGCTCTTAACCTGCCCTGAAATCCGATAACGGTCAGGGTAAACGTATGCTAAGTTCAGGCTCTGAGTTTTGACCTGTAGCTACCAGTTTCTCCATCTCTCTCCATGTATCGACGAAAGTAGGATTCTCGTCGGGCTGCAGAGCCTCACCTATACTTAGCAGACATTGTCAGCGATCATAGCAACTCCGGCGAAAAGTGGAAAGGAACGAATCATGAGCCTACCGTCAAGGGTTAGAGCTTGAGGCCAATGCATCAAGAATAGATCGATGTAGTCGAGGCCAAGATTATCTAGGCTTTTCTGAAGTCCTTCCTGCACCGCCCCATGATATTCGCCGCTAGAATAGTAGGATCAGTTACCAGTGTTCACGGACATGTTACTCCTGAGGCGTACGCCAATTTTGTCGTTACGAAAAGTTCGTGACGTGGGATATTGGAGTTTCGGATAGCTTGTCCAACTTGCGCCTCATTACCTGGCGTGTACGATTGCAGACCATCGAATGCAGATATGCTTCAGTTACTAACCATAATTGAAAGCCTATTCCGCATACTCTTTTCAATATGGAAGGAAACGCAACATCGAGTAAGGACGCACGGTATCAATGTGGCGGTAGCCAACCTATGATAGCTCGTTAGAGCAACGACACACGAGCGCAGTAAAGATGGGAGTATACAGACTTTCAGCGCATGTTCGACCATCTCGACCACTTCGTTGTTACCACCGACATACCCCATCCAGCATCTCGTATGAGCCAAACACCGTATAAGGTTGTGGCGACACCAATGTTGGACACATGACCTACCCTATACCGATGGCAGGGATTTCTTCACCGTCGTTCAGCCGGAATGCGGGTGTAGTACCAGGCATGGTCTTTAACAGCAGTCAGCCTGTGAGCTTTGCCTTCCAACAAAGAAAAAACTCACTGTGAATATCGGTGATGGTAGGAGAGCAACGTGAGATTGCTGCAAGATTCATCATGCCTTCTATCAAGAAGTCCGGACTGTGCAGATGGAAGTTTGACGGTTATTCTTTTGGACAGACAGATGTGATCGGGACGCCAGCCAAACGCTCGAGCGGAGGAGGGAAGCCTCGCCCCTGTTGAAACTTGAAACACCGTTACGAGGGTGAGCAGCGTGGCACGCGAAGTGTTTTGCTCTATGACTGCGACCTATATATATTTCCACACTGGCCAAGAAAAGATGAACACACCTAATCGCAAGATATGCTGAAAAGGGGGACTTTCATTCGTATGATGATGGCCGAATGCTAGAGTCCATGATAGTGAGATGAGAGAGTTTATCATAGCTGAACTATAAGGATAACGTGCGAAGGTCTGACAATAACCTATGCGATATGCGCGATGACAAGAATACAACATACAGGACCCAAAGGATAGAAATAAAGAAAACGTTACAGTTTAAGCACGGGGAAGAATCCATCCCAAGGGCCGCCTGTATCCCTCGCGCCTCGCGGAGGGTGCGTCTTCTTAGGACTTGTCTCACCCATCGTGTCTGCGATCGTCCGTACGACCTGCTTCAACGAATATACCTCGGTAGGCCTGTCCTTAACTGCAACGCGGCATGTCGGGCACGTATATTTAGGATGATTTATGGAGCGCAACGTCCGCTCAATGAGATCCTCAAGATGCCGACGTTGCTGAGTACCTATTCGTCCCTGTCGGAGGATGAAGTGATATTGCTGAACTTGTGGGGGATTAGCGTTGTATTCGGGATGCTCGGTCATGTGTTTTGCAAGCGTGGTACCGAACCAATCTTGAAGACATGATTGACAGAAGGTGTGACCACAACCAAGGCTATTTACAGAAAGGTGAGGCACACGGCCAGAATCGAAAGAATAGGTGGACGTACGTATAAGGTGTCCACATTCGAAGGGTGCAGATTTCACAGCTTAATTGGTCGTCCAACGCTGTCAGCAGCCTCTGTGAGGGAACATGAGCCACAGGTCAGTAGTAAGCCCAAAGTAAGTCTAATCTTGACGAACCTTCTGTGATTCTGCTGCTTGGACCATCTCCGGCGATACAATCGGCATTACCTGAGCCTGAATGGACTTCGTATGAAGAATATGTGTAGGAGAATCGGTACACACTGTTTGTTTTCTCAGACGTTCATTCTCCTATGTGTTGAAACCGAACATGAGCGCTTAAAGAGATCGTCAGGAACGTCTGATTTTTACCTCTTGTAGAGCCTTTATCTGCAGTTGCAAAGCCGTGACACTGCTGCATGAAGCAACCGGTGGCGTATCATCGTCGGAAGATATCTCTACGACATCGTGTGGTATGGCCATCGGCGTGCGCCCTTTCGACCTTGCGGCTTGTTTCGAATTGGGTCGTATGCGTTTCCTCGGAACGCTTGCAGCCTCGTCGTCAGAGGAAAGGATGATTACTTCCTGATCTATATGTAGGTTGGTATGGGACCTGTTGGCTTGTAAAGGTTGACGAGAGGAAGAACGTGTTCCGGGTGCCATGGATTTCGACGGTTTGCAGAATGTAGAGGGCACCCAAAGGAGAAGATAGACTCTGTGGCTCGAGAACTTGAGGAATGGCAGTAGTTAAGAGCAAAAGACTGTGGCAGTCTGAGGTGAGACCTTGCCTGACGGACACCGGTCACAGCTGAACTTACCCTGACTTTGGCGCGCGTCGATCCGCCAGTCTTTTTTTGGCAATTGAGTTACTTTGTTGGGTTCAGCGTTGGAAAACCACTGCTTGTCAGAAAAATTCTATTCAAACACCGTACATAGCCCTCGCATTCTCTCTAGCAACTCTCATAACTCTCTGAGCATTCCAAGAGTTCCCTTCGCTGTCTTCCTCCGCGAGTGCCTCAGAACTTCCCGACCCACTGCTTGTCCCGCTGGTCTTTCCGTTGATTATTTGTGAAACGAATTCAGCAGTCCATGGTATCATTGCAGTATGACACAATGGGAACCGCTTATTTTTCAATGCGGGATTGATTAGCGATGGTGAGAGGTTAGATGGCGTCATAAATGGTGCATCCGTTTCCAATAGGATTCGAAGTTGCCCATCCAATGCAATAGATGAAGACGCTGGAGGGACCATCTGGCGAACGACACCGGACGTATTGAGGTTTGTCGCGTATGTGATAACGCCTTCGAAAAAGTTCTATTAGCATCTGTTCGCTCCATGAATAAGGGCAATGAGACACTCATACCAGTAACTCCGATGTAGAGGTTAGGAAAGTGCGTCAGCATTCGTGATGCGAATTCAGGTGAGTCTGTAAAGCAATGTACATGTATCTTTGTACTTATTCAGCATCATCAATGAATCCCATAAGCATAAATCGTTGCTTACCCGATGGTCAGCTGGGATTTCTTCCTTCATGATCCTCTCAGTATCGTCCTCAGCTTCCCGGGTATGTATCGTCAGAGGTTTGTTCAGTTTAATAGCATGGCGTAGTTGCCGTCTGAAGACCTCTTGTTGAAGTTCTCGAGGGGAGTTGTCGTAATGATAATCCAATCCGATCTCGCCCCAACCAACACAGCGCGGATGTTGCATGGCTCCGAGGCTACAAACCAAGTTAGTAAAAGAAATTTAACATCCAAGGGTATGACGTACATATCGTTCTCTACTTCATCTGTATAATGTTGTGCTTCGTGTCTGAAGTTTGTCTTCAGACACATTCACATTGCATCAGAAGCAGGGACCGCTCACGTACGGATGTACACCTGAAAAGATGATAACATGAATTAGAATCAGCAAAACATGAGTCTAATGCAGAACGCACCCATAACGAACCAGTATTCTAATCCACACCACAACTCTTTGTTCTCCGAAGAGTCAGCAATTTCCTTCCATGCTTTTAACACTGGCGCTTCGCACCAGACATCTATAATAGCTTCCACATTTCGTCCTTCGTACAAGCCGCGCACAAAGTCCCACACGTTATCATATTTTCCGTTTGGGTATGCTTTCTTGTAGAAATCGAAAGTTGAGTGTAAATGCGTATGTGTGTCTACGATCGCATATGAAGAGGGAGGAGAGGTGAGTTGCAAAGTCTCTTCAGCGATTGGTGTCGACTTTGATTTTTTGCCCATGACTATTGGAGAGGTGTAGAAGGTCCGATGGTATTGAAGTTGAGGTCTAAGTAGTGTGTGTTTCGGCCTGCGAATCAAGGCAGTAGCGGTGAGAAATTTAAAGCCTCCGGTTCCGAGATGTGAGATTCGACTCGGAGAAACCAAACAGCACGCAGGTATAATTGCTTCACGTCGTAGAAAACATGAAGCTAGCGGCATTCGCTAGACGGAGGAGCACAGATGAAGAGGATGACAGAGATCGGTCCCGACTGGAGATGAGTCCCAACAAGGAAGGTGTTCAAGATCAGAAAAGACGGCAATATTGAACCTTTTCCGGTGGCATTCCACTACAGACACTAGCCTTTCCAATGACTCAAACATGAGTTCTGAGATAACCCTTTCGCGAACATGAGCATACTAGTTAACGTAACTTGCCTGGTCTCCTTCGGCCCACTGTGATCACGCCAAGCGTTGCAAGACGTACGTATACACATTGGTGCCCTACGCGTAGACACGCCACCTGACCCTGGGATATTGGGTGAAACTGATAGTATCTCCAGGGAAGGCGACACGGTCACTCTTTCCGCCATCAGCAGCATTTTCTCGAAGCTATAATCTGTTGTTATAGCTCGCGGACCGGAAGAGCAGGCTCAAGCTTAAGTGGGGCTTCCGAAATTATGTCTACGATTGAACGTCATACCACGTAACGTAGGAACCCTTCTTGTAGTATATCTCATTTCTACGATCGCTTTTGACATCGAACGCATCGGTCAACTTGGATACCCTCTGTGAGACGTAAACTTTGTTATCAAGAGAGCTCCATACCAACGCCTTGGGATCCGCACATCACACCTCCTAGAACACAGGCTAGTCAGGTTCTGATGGATCAGGGTATTTTCCCTTCTTAATCAACAAGAACCTCGAAAATAAATAGGCCGGGCTTAATAGCCTCATGAATGGTGGCAAAGTGCAGCTTGACTAATCCTTTCACAACACCAATTAATTTCAATGAGCCGTGGTTAAGCTCGTAGAAACTGTCACGCTTACTAGCAAGTATGTATGAGGCTCAAAGAGTGAGTATCATGTAACCGAACTGCAAGCTGGCTCAGGCTGACTCATTGACAGGCGTGGGAATTTACCTAGCTTTTAATTAAGTGGGTCTTCCGAGAGTCTCGGGACTCTACACTCCTTACCTCTCGAATGTCACTGTATCTTGCTTGGGTCTTACGAAGGGCGAAGGAACCATACGCCGCGATCATCTGAAGAAAACTGCTCCCTGAATTCTGCGACGACGTTTCGCAGGACCTTGTATAGTAAGGCTGATTTCATGCCTTCAAGTTAAGGAGTAGAGTATATGAATCTCCCGCTGATATATTAGCAGGCACGATGATGTCCAACACTAGTTCCCCTGAGGTTACGCCCCCTTCACCAATGCGAACAGATCCTGAAGCCTCGAACGACCCGATAGGTGATAATTACCACCCACTCTTCTCCTCGCCAGACGCGGATATCGCATTGGGCTCCAAAGACGGCATTCTATTCCGCGTACATTCTTATACACTGAGAACCACATCGGGATGGTTCCACGACATGCTCACCTTACCTCAGAAGGAGCCAGGGTCGACCGAGATCATCTATGTCGATGAGGATGCCTCCACCCTAGAGGCGCTCCTCCGTATGATCTGTGGGCTTCCCATTCCTAGCCTTGATTCCGAAGAGGCTGTCGAACCGGTACTATATGCTGCTGAGAAGTACGACATGCCTGGACCTCTATCCGTCATCCGCGCTTGTCTCTTACCAAGACCTCTCTTAACCGATCCTTTGAAGCTGTACGGCTTAACATGTCGGTACGGTTGGGACGTCGAAATGCAGGCGGCGGCGACACAAACTCTGACTCTCAACATCCACTCTCCTGAACATCGCCCAAAGCTTCGCAAACTCACTACCGATGCACTGCTCTCTCTGATAGAACTCCATCATGACCGACGTCATCTTCTTCGAAAGCGGCTAAACGAGCCACCTTTTGTTAGGGACAACGGCACGGGCACTTGTTCCAACTGCCATTCCCTGGTCAATTACAATACTTGGCGGGAACTGAAGTTCGTTATCGATCAGGAGATGGAGATACGCCCGCTGGGTGATACCATCATCAATTCCGGGTTGAATGAATGGCCTGCTGCTCGCGTGTGTTGGGAGGCAAAGTGCCCAGATTGCCATCGCGAGCTATACGACCAGAAGGAAACCATTCGCGCCATAACTCAATGCATAGAACAACTTCCAAAGACTATTAGGTAGGATCCATGCTCATGTCCAGGGTTCATTGCTTATTTCATCTTCTCAGCGTCCCAAATTCTGATACACGACTCTCCATCGCGACCTCTGACTCTTTTTGATTGCCCAGTCTCTTATTCGCTTCGTTGGACATATATCTTTGACCCTGCCAAGATCTCCAGTCTCACATATCCCTATGGCCATACACGCAGTTTCCATATTTCACCCTAAGTCTCGTTCATATAGTTCAGTTTGCATCATGCGGTTCCAGCGGACTTGATAGCCGAACCTGTTGTAAATGTTTCATGCTCTAGTGAGTCAAAGTTCAACATTGTTTGGAAGTAAATCTGACCTCCCCCATTTCCGAGGTGTTGACGGACCCTGCGCGAAAGGGCAACTTGGTAAAACTAGCCCCCTCGGCGAGCCGGAATTACTAATTATATTCAGTTACAGCTTCTGTCTGACTTTGTACTTTCTCTTGTAGTTGACTCGCACTGCACCCCCTGTTTCAGGATAGCAGGCCACATGGAGCAACCAGGCAGGAACGCGTTGCCCTTGCTCCCCCGGCCGACAGAATAATCGTCATAATCGATAATGACAACAGTATTACTTCGTATCGCGGATTCCATCACAACTGAGCTCACGTTCGAAACAGAACGCGAATCTCTGAAATTCCACATACCAACGCCAGCTCCCATTGCTCATACCGATGTCCTATAAAAATCCAATTTTCATCTCTGGTCGTTACGGAAAGGGCGATGAGCTCCAACCTCTTTGCGATTCCAAGTCGAGTTATACTCGTTTCTGGAGGCGGGGCAGGAACAGGCTCCTTCGCCACCAAGGGCCTTGCTGAACATCGTGCCGCACGAGTCTACATCACTGGTCGTCGCGCAGAAAATCTCGAGGCGTGTGCCAAATCAGCACCTGGGACTACCATACCCATCGTTGGCGACATCAGCTCTCGCTAGGGATGCAAGAAGATAGTGGAGGAGTTCGTAGAGAAGGAGAAGGTCGTTGGTGTTGAAGGTGGCGACATCTCGTTGGATTCATTGTCCAACAACGCCGGGATCGGTATTTTTGAAGGTGTCTGGGATTAGCTGAACGCCAGGCCAGAAGAGGCCCGGGATGGATTCCTCACAGTGTCGGATGAAGACTGGACAGACGTGTTCCATGTTAACGCAGTTGGCGTTCAGGGGTGTGTGTACCCTCGTTAGCCTGGATATCTTCCTAACGGCTCACATGCTGAATTGTAGGGGATCTCCGCGGTCTTCCTTCTATACCTCGCTAGGGCGGCGAAGACCAACAATGGTCACACCGGGGGTCGCGGTTCTATCGTAATCAACACCTCAGTATCAGCCTCCCAAATTCATCCTCTGGTCCCCACGCATGCCTAGTATAGTGTCTCGAAAGCGGCCTCAGAACATCTTGCGAGGAATATTGCTTTCAGGTTCATACGATTTATCGTACGTGTAAATACCATGCAGATTGCGAACTTCCCGACAGCGATGAACAGTCCGGATGATCCAAACACCATCCTCAATCGAGTCAAGGTTGTAATTGCTCGAGTCGGGAGGGCAGATGATATTGTTGATGCGATTGTCTACCTGTCTTCTAAATGCGGGCAGTTACGTATCTGGGACAATACTCATGGTGACCATGATCATATACATCTCGTATAGCCAATTCTTACTTCTCAGCAGCTCGATGGGGGACTGTTCATCACAGAGCTGGATCATGCATTTGGCGAGTGACCAAGTTGTGCCTTAGAAGTAGTTACAGAAGTAGTTACAGAGGTAAATCGTAATACCATTGTTACACGTCTTCAGTTATGTCGTAGTGGTTTCTAAGATCAATCCCTGGCTGGTTGCCAGCGAAGCAAACCGACCGTTGGGAAGAGCCAAAAGCTCAGCTGGAGATCCGCTCTCCACGATCACACCATCGTCCACAACAATGATACGGTCAAAGTCGATAATGGTAGCTATGAATTGTCATTGATCAATGTTTCGAAATTGGGTACGTGCTTCCTCACCTATGCGATGCGCCACAGCCAATACGGTGCAGTCCGCTAATTCTGTGCGTACCACCTGTCGCATCTTCTCATCTGTCTCGAAATCCAAACTACAACTAGTGCTTAGCATGTAAACGTAAAAAGGGGTTCGTGATCCACATACCTGCTACTAGCCTCGTCCAGAATGACGATCTTACGTTTTCGCAGCAAGACTCGAGCGAGACAGAGTAACTGGCGCTGTTGATCGTGTTTGATATCGCGTGCGTTTCAAGTTGAAAGTACGTACCTGACCTCTAGACAAAGATGCTTCATCTTCTAGCACTGTGTCCAGTTTTTCTGGGAGTGTCGAGACAGCGTCGTGCATTCCTACACGTTGGAGAGCAGCCCACATATCCTTCTCCAACAAATCACCCTCGGGATTGAGGTTCTCTCTAATGGATGAATACCATAGGAAAGGCTCTTGTGCCACAAGACTAATCGGGGAATGTCAGAACTTCGCGTCTAGATATTGATGATTAATGCCGAACGAACCTTAGGGATTTGCGCAAAGTTCCTAGTGGTAGGGATCGGGTGTCAATACCGTCGATCAGAATCCGACCTACAGTCAAGGATTCGTCCAAAGCCCTGAGCAAGGCAAGAACCAGACTGCTCTTGCCGGAACTGTACGTCCATCTCAGTAGAGGCAATATAGATGTAACACGCCTCTTACCCAGAGCGGCCACATATTCCGATCTTCTGACCTCCCTGAACTTCGAAGAATATCCCACGAAGAGCCGGAGAGAGGTCCGCGCTTAGTGGATTAAGGGAGTTAGTGAAGATGAAGATGTCAAGGAAAGCTGGAGCCTACCGATAACGTAACTGGACATTGTCGAAAACAACAGTTCCTTCTTGTGGCCAGTCTACGGGAGTTATTGCGTCTTTGGCATCATCCGGTTCAGGCGGTAATGTTGCGATCTCATGTATCCGAGACACGGCAACGGTCCCATTTTCAATCAAAGCCAGGCTCTACGGAGTCCGTCAGAGAGGTCATCGCTTCACATAACCAGAGGCATATGATCTACCATCAAAAGTGCGGACAAGTACTGGGAGAGGTTAGTTAGACTCGATAATGCCAGACCGAGGCTGTAGACGTGTCAGACAGTGTCGTCATGATTCAGCAGTGTTGACACGTACAACGAAGGGTCAACTGAACGACGTAGACCAACAGCGAGCGACGCGAGGCTAACAGCCACGATGAAAGCAATCCCCGAAAGCATGGTTCGTCTTGCATAGCATGTAAGCTGATTCATTCAATATCAATGGAATTTATGTGTCACTGCACACACAAGAATATCATGCCACCGAATCGGAAGAAGAAAGGTTTCTAGTAGGTAAAGGATCAATTTGCGTCGGGGTTAGTCCTCAAAACGATGTTCATACCTGGCTTCTATCCAAATATCGATCGTTCTGCTCTTCGAAATGAGATTGAACATGAAGGGCACTGTGCGGACATCAAGATGCATAGTTTCATAAGGAACGGAGAGCTCACCGTATACATTCAAGCCCCGATAGAGTGGTGGAGAACACCGTGTACAATGGAGATTTACTCGCAGCTTCGAGATGCTGGAGCTGCTTCGACGTGCGCTACTGACAATCAATGCACACTGAGGAAGTGACATGTGTCATAGAACGTACCACATAGAATCTCAGAGTAATGTAGTATGCCACGGCGAGTGGTAAGAGCATGAGAATCAACCATGGGGCCTACGATAATGTGGTCTCATGTTTCTGCTGTAGCTAGAGGAGAAGACAGCGCACCGGAATCACTATTAATATTAGTATACCAACTGCAGTAATTATCGTTAATTATGGTTGAAGGGAAGTTCAACCAGTGAGCTACCCACTAAGGATTCCAAACGTTGACAGTCCGTTCACCAATGCGATCGGAAACTCAAAATCTACAAGGAAGATGTCCTGTCATTAACGATGAGTAAATTCCTTGTTCATAATGCAAGTAATAGGCACCTGGGAGAGTCTGTTAATAATACGGCCGAGGGGCGTTGTCATGAAGTAAGAGGGAGCAGTACCAAAGAGCCCTTTCACTTCTGCGGCATGAATGTTAACCCCGCTGTGACTATAATACGGTCAATTCAGACATTAGAACATTAAATATTGATATTCGCTGTTAACCTTGTGATCGCTAATGAAAGCTGCCACAACATCATTGCACTAGAAAGATTCAGCAAGACGGTTGAAAAGAGAGCGGAAGGTTACTGACGTATTGATCAACAACGCGATAGAAATCGCTGCATAGCCACCAGTCCATGCAGCGATATGTTGGCCGTTACTGTTCGACCAACCTCGAAGGTAGAACTGGCATAGATTTATGACAACCTATGCCTTTGGAGCATCAAAACAAGTACTTACTTGGAGTCCTGTCCTCCCAGCCGACGCGACAACGATGAGGAACTGTGTGAGTCAATTGGCCTGGGTACCTCTCTGGTATATAGAGAACCTACTATAATACTTGAAACCTGAAGCCACGGCGTCATCTCTGAATAAAAGATGTATGGAACCCATCCAATAGAGGATTTCTGAAGTGGAGCTTCGTCATCTTCCTGTTCGGCAGCTTGGTCCATGGCTATGTCGGGATTGGTGGCGCCCTTCGTCGCACTGTTCGTGGAATCGCTCGTGGGGTCATAAGCCAACTCATAACCTTCTGGAGGCCCTTGGTATTGAATTCGACCAACGTTAAGCACAATCACATTGTCGGCAGATGAGATATGCTTCACTAGAAAATAGTCAATATACTTATATGTACTCGTACTCAACCATTGACATACAATTATGAGTAACCAACAGAACTGATTTGTTCTTGAGAATGCCGGACTGGCTGAACAATGACTGAAATACTATTGCCCAGGAAAGTGTCGGCCGAGGAACAAGGAGATTAGAACAGCACTCACTATGAGTCTCTGTCTCCGCATCTAGGGCACTCAGAGGATCATCAAGTAGGGTCCAAGGCGCATCAGCATATATGGCTCGTGCGAGAGCCTAGCATTCGCCAGTTTATTTAGTAACCATCTCAGTACATAAATATCCGATCGCTTACAATCCGTTGTTTTTGACCACCACTCAATGTACCCCCTTTCTCACCTAAAATGGTCTGGTCGCCAGCCTTCAGCCTGTTTAGATCGTGACGAAGCGCACAGGCGTCCACAACCTTGAGATAACGTTCTTCGTCGAATGGAAGACCGAAGATGATGTTTTCGCGAACAGAACCAGGAATGATAAGCGCGTCTTGTGATGCGTAAGCAATACGGCCTTGAGGGGGTATATACTGCCCTGTACGCAATGAACATTCCCGAAGGATCGAGAGAAGAAGAAGCGATTTTCCCTAGAGTCGGTGAATGCAGTCAGCAAGAAAAGTATGCAAACATGCAGGTATAGTATATACCGAGGCTACGGGTCCAGTGCACAAATGAAGCTGGCCGCCACATAGGTTGATGTTAATGTCCTGCAAGAATGGCTCTGAATCCGGAGACCAAGCAAATACTGCATCCACCATCTTGATTGAGGTCAGCTCTTCACTTTCGGCTTTCTCGGATGACCCCTTGTCACTATCAGCATTATCTTCCTTTTCATCGAAGAGAAGGAAGGACTCGATGCGTTTGATGGAAGCATAGGCAGCAAATATTGAAGGCATGTACTGCCCAAGAATGTTTAGAGGCGAAGAAAGCAGATTGACTGTAGTGACGATGGTGAAGAGACGGTTGGGATCAAGAGCAGCACCATCTCCACGAGCCGCAAGCGCCGCGTAAGGACCCAAGACGGATAGGATGCAGAGTGTCCCAGCACTGTTTGAGACTGCTGCCATGAGAGCGACAAGGTTGCTGGACAGAGATAAGATGCAAATTACAAGTGGTATACACGAGCCTTTGACAACACTTACTAGAAGGATCTAGCTCTGTTCATCTCCGCCGCGCGGAACTCTGCGGCTTTCTCTGCCAGAATACCTTCGTAACGAGACCACTTGATGGGTAGAAACTTGTGAATGATCGAAGACAGAAACTTGACGCGTTTATCTGTAGCTCCGAGCCATGCATTTTGGTGAACACCTGTTTTACGACCTGCAATTCCAGCTGCAAGCATCAGCAAGAGTGTAACGGCAATCGGTAGAAATGCCGGCCATGTCGCCTGCATCGTATAGTGAGTACAGTACTATGTCAAATTGACAAGGTGTCATTTACCTGCGAATATAGTATCACGATGGAAAGTGCAATCGACAGAAGAGCAGCCCACATTTCGTGAATGTACTCCATTCCCTCGCAGATTCTTTCCACATCCACCGACCTATGGAAACAAATGTAAAATTACACTTAAAAAGATCACGGTATAAAAGGCTACGCACATATAGGTGCTCGCCACGCCGCTACCCAGAGATCGACTCTTGGTGGAGGAGAGCTTCAAAGACTTCTTGTATATGTTGCTCACCAGGGCCCCTCGGTACTGCACTGTCGCATTGAAGGCCTGTGAGGCTTCTTATTTAAGTAAAAGCTCGGACAGACCATGATATGACAGAATACTTTTTCCCAGTACAGCGAAGTAGTAATAGTGATGAGGGCGTAGATGCAAATGAAGCCACCAACAAGTGCCCATCCTTGCACGGCCGGTTGTCCCGGGTCCGATACAAAACTAATAGTTTGATTTACCAGGAGTGGTTGTCCAAACGTAGCCAGCAAGAGCAGTACTCTTGGTAAGATGGGAGCTATGAATTGAAGCCCAAACGCTTTGAACGAAGCGATCAAGAGATAGTGAGTACCCTTCCTGTGTTTTGCGCATGTTAACTCTCGGATCTGTAAGGCGGCTATATTCTCTACGAACACATACCGTGTACTATAGAGTGCGCTGTGTAGCTTTCCACCTGTTGACTGGGCGCTGAGATCATCGGGAATAACGCCACAGTCATCGATGGTGAGAGTTTTCTTCCGCCCAGTCCACAGCAGCGGAATGAGCCAGAAACACAGCGATCTGGAAAGAAAACTCGCGGTGGATACAGTAGGCAACGTCTAGGAAGGATCCTACTTAGCGTCACGTAACAAATGGTGAATTGGCAGCGTACCTTCCTACGGAGGAGTCTCCGCTTTTCGACAGTCTCTACGCAAAGAAGGGAAAGGTAGGATGCTGCGGACAGAGCCGTCAGTACAGCAAAGGCGTGGGCGGTGAGGAAAACCCCGATTTGCAAATGACTTCGAACAGCCGCAGCGGTGAACAATCCTTTCACAAGAGTATAACAGATTATGATCATGCTAGGGTTAGATGAGCGGAAGTGCTCAGCCACAACTAGGACTGCAAGTGGTACCTGGGGCCCAAGTTAATGAAGCAACCATATAAGTCACACAGGCAAGCATACGGCTGAGACAAGTTGCATGACCAGTGCAGGGATCCAGAGGAAAAAAGTCTTCTTATCGATGATATCAAGAGAGTATTTCAGACTGGCCGCGTTAACAGATAAGATCATGCAAAGTAGAAGTGCTTTTGCGGCGATATGAATCCAGCCGACTGAGGCAAGCTTATTCGTTTGGTACCACAGGTAGACCAAACGAATACAGGCAAAAACCACGAACACAACATCTGGAGTAAACGAGAGTATACTGGCATCGTACGCCACGTAAGTTCGAATATAAAAAAGAAAACGGGGAAGAAACTTACGACTGCTCGAAGAACAATGTGAAGTCCAGGTTCCTACAAGACGACCCTGGACCAAACGAAGAGTCTTGAGAACAAGAGCTCATTGCAACCGTGTAGGTGGTAGTGTCAACGAAGGTGATAGGAATCGTTCAATCCTTATATTGTGAACTGCGAACTGCGGCAGTCCATATGACGAAGCGTACTCTGACGCCAAACGGGTCCGATGAACCTTGGTCATAATAAAAGCCGTTGATACTATGACCTGATTTAATGGGCCGTCTGCCCTGTCATTGGGCAGATTCCGTCGTCTAAGCTGCGAGGATGAGAGCTATTTTTCAGATCAGGGAACGAGTCAGGTACACTATCCACGGCCGAACATTGAAATGATATGGCTGCTGCGGTTAGTCCATGAGGTAGGGCAGATGTAGACGCACCTTTGAGCCTCAGGATATATCCGTCTGACTCTGCTGCGCTAGACAACCGGGAAGGTCTTCAAGAGACCAGTCGCAAGCTACAATGCCACTGCGGACAAGCCGTGGTCCCAGGATGAATGAAAATACCACTGTGGAACAATCGAATCTAATCAGAAATACTATAGAGATTTGCAAAGTGTGGTTTGGCTATGGTACCGAATTGTTCCTAGTCAATCTCGATTTGTGTAAGGACTGAGTCACGATCGAGTAAAGGAGAATGAATCAAAATGGACATGTCCGGGATTGAACCGGACCCCTCTCGCATGCTAAGCGAGCGTGATAACCAACTACACCACATGCCCTTGTGAAGGAAGGCAATTATTATAATCACTCTAGGATTTTGCCTAATCCCGCATTCATCAGCCAAAGTTGAACGAACTCGTCAAGTTACAGTAACTGCGACGGGTACAGTAGTACACTGTACAGTATTCGTCAAGACGAAGCTTACTCCCTCCATTTGTGATTTCGCGACCTACTTATCTGAGTCTTTCATCCAAAACATGATAATCCTTTCCTTGTTGCTCGGTGTCTTGGCCTTGCTGGTGCTACCTCGCCCTGTGGTTTCTGTACCTACTCTACTTTCAGCGCCGCATCCTCGCCCACTTGTTCTTTGGCATGGCCTAGGTGACTCTTATGGCTCACCAGGGATGCTTGAATTTATCCAGCTGGTCAAGGACATGCATCCAGGCCTTTTTGTGCACTCAGTTTACATCGAGGAAAACCTGAAAGAGGACCAGAAGGCAGGATGGGTATGTATATATTTTGCAGTGTCTCTTTTAGGTCCCCACTGAGTTTCATTCTCGCCAAGTTAGTTCGGAAATGTCAATGAGCAGGTCGCTAATGTTTCCATCCAACTCGCCGAGATTCCTGAGCTCAGCAATGGCTTCGATGCTCTGGGCTTTTCCCAAGGTACGTTACAAGCAACTCTTCGGTTGGTACTTTGCAAATTAGTTTTCCAGGTGGACAATTTCTCCGTGCTTACATTGAGAGATATAACTCCCCTCCAGTACACAATCTTATTACGTTCGGCTCCCAGCACATGGGCGTTTCAGACCTCCCACTCTGTCGCCCTTGGGACGTCTTCTGTCACCTTGCCCGGAGAGCCGCTCGTGGCGGCGTGTATACTGAATGGGCCCAAGAAAACCTAGTGCAAGTTGAGTAAAGTCATTGAGGTCTATTCACGTTTGTTGCTAACTTCCGATGGCAACTCAGGCTCAATACTTCCGCGATGCAGATCAAATTCCGCTATACCTAACTTCTAATCGGTTCCTGGCGGTCATTAACAACGAAGTTGACGATTCCGTCAACACTACGTATGCAAACAATCTCGCTTCACTGAACAAACTGGTTCTCGTGCTATTTTCTCAGGACAAGACAGTTGTACCGAAGGAAAGCAGCTGGTTCGGATCTTACGCTCCTCCCGAGGAAGACTCCTCGTTACCCTGGCAAGAAAAGACAATCATTCCAATGCGTCTACAGCCTATATACCTCGATAATCGCATCGGTCTGAAAACTCTTGACGAGCGAGGAGATGTTGTCCTCGAGACCTGCGACGGCGAGCACATGCAATTGGCTACAGAATGCTGGGAGCCCATAGTCAAGAAGTTCGTGGGTGGATTGGTTGAGAAACAATCCCTCGATTCCTCCAATTCGCAGACGTTCCTCCATGCATGATCAATTGTTGATTACGCCAGCTCATATACGCTACGTTTGGTATACCCGTCCTATTTTTGGTCATGATATACCACACGGACTTGTAATATATATCTATTACGCGCCATGGGCACTCCTATAATTATACAACAGATAACCAAGGTTAGATGAATAAGATAGGTTGCTACATTGAAACAAAATGTCGAAATTGTCCTGTGTCATGTCGGAGGCCAGGATTCCCACGAAATGCTATGATCTCGCGCGGACCAGGCATCCCAAACTCGACGCTGGATATCAGTAGCAAGGCAAGTGACGTTGCCCCATAATTCGCTGGTAACGCCTCTCCACCCTTCACGAGATATAGCATCTGGAATTGAGGTGGGCGACCAGGTGAATGTGTAGGGTATCAAATGGTAAACGTTTTCAGGGTTCGTGATATGCAAGAAGATATCAGGATTAAATGGGTCATAGTATGTCGAAAGAAATAGCTTTCTCGCTCTGACGTTGGAATGCCTACGTGACGGGTGATGGATGGTTAGCCCACTTAGAAGGGTCCAAAAAATGTGGAGCATACCGATACATGGCAATGAAGATGGCAACCTGGATGATCACGAAGAGGCAAATGGTCCAGGTGTTGAACAAGCTCCATGAACGCACCCGAGTACCTTCCAAGGTCGGCTACAACACGTAATTAACTCCATGGACTAACCATCCCGAAAAGGACAACCTACCAGCAATTTGCTTTTGTGCATGCCTTCCCGCAATGAACCGAACTTGCTACGGAGGTCGTCCTCCGCCGTCTTCACCAGCTGTAAGGACTCCGATATCCGCTTGCGAGCATTACGAGCAGCCTTGGAAGCATCTTCCAATGCGTCGATACGATTCTCATCGTGTGCAAGTTCATCACAGCTTCTAAGGAGAAGACCGTCAACAGTGCTGTCCACATACGACGCAGACGACTCTTACCTGTCCACATCATCCAAATCGTGTGCCAGATGGGCGATAGTCTCCCGCACGCGAGCCAGGGCCTCATTATGAGACAATGGCGTGGATGGCTCGGATTCTGTGCTATTGGCAGTATCAGGCGTCACCGATGCCTCTTGGACTTCACGACCCATAGCATCGACGATCCGGATAGTACTTCTGCTACGAGGGGTGACAGATTGGCGAACCGGCATCGTCTCCCTTTCCTCCCGTTTTGGAGCATGACTTCTCTTGATATCCTCCGAAAGGATGTCCATACTCTCCTCCGACTTAGGTGGCTGTTGCTGCTCATCGACAGCAGTCTCTCGACCGAACGCATCAAGTACGCGTACCGTTGGTGATTTCGAAGTCTTAACGGGCCGAGTATACGGGGATGGGCTATCATCGTCAACGGACGATTCAATCTCAAGCTTGACATAAGGCTTTTCGGGACCATTAGACACACGATTAGGTGGTGTATCGAGCAAAGGATTTGAGGTGTCATTTTCCCGATACTGTTTCGCGTCCTTAGGGCCCACCACAGGTATCTCCGGAAACCCATCAGAAGAAGCATTGCCCGCTTCCACGTCGAAGCGCACTTTGAGGATGCTCTTTCGCCGCGCTGTGGTTGGTATAGGCGTTGCCACCCAAGCCCCAGGAGGAGCAGGTGTCTGGAGAGGTGTTGCACTAGCTTTCGACATTGTCGCAGGACGCTTCGCTACTGCAGTATCTAGAAGTGAAGGGATTCTTTCCGGAGGAGTAGAGCTAGGTCTCGATATCAACTCTTTCTCGAACTGGGCTGCCGGTGTGGTTATCCAAGCTCCAGGAGGCCTAGGCGTCTTCATCGTAGTCATGTTCGCAAACTTGTCACTGTCGAAATTGGAAGGAGTGTGTTGATTATCGAGTTCATCTCCTGACGAATCAGGCGGGGGTCCTGGGAGTTCCGGTAGAAACTTAGGAGGAGACGGTGTCTGGAACTCGAGTGTGGAAGCGCGGAACGATGGACGCGGAGGAGTTTGCATGACGGAAGAGGTGCGAGGTTCATCAGGTTTCACTGGCGGTGGCGTGGGTGGTGGTGATTCAGGTCTCTCAGTGTCGTTCAAGTTTCTATTTGGTGGCATGTCCTTGATGGTGTCAACATTTAACTCCTTGGGAGGAGAACCAGGAGGCGTGGCCGACGGTAGCGGAACTGGCTTAGCAGTGGGAGTGTTTGTGGAAGAGATCGGCTCCTGGTCGCTATCTATTGGTTCTTCATTAGTTTTGCAATATTCAAATTTAAACATTGCAGGCATACCATGAATCTCATCTTGAGGATTAACCACAACAGGCTCAGGTTCAGGTTCAGGCTGATCCAGAATGGGAGGCGGGATGGAGTTCAACACTTCACTGAACTCTCCCATCAGATTCCGTCTGATACCTTTCTTACGGTCCGAATCGTCTTTGGGACTCGATTGAGTACGCGTCCTCTTCGGCGATGACCTCACCGGAATGTGGCTGACGTGTTTGGACTGATCAGACATCGAGAGTCGACTTGATGGTCGCGAAGATGGTCGCTCCGCGTTGTCCGCATCCAACTCGAATGGAGGTAATTGAGGGCGACGGCTAGGAAATTGGAATCCAAAGCGTGCACCAGGCGTTTGCGTCCTGCTCGAATCGTAATCGATAGTCGGCTCCTGGTGATGTTGAGGGGAGGATAGCCGAGGAAGCCGGCTAACGCCATTGGCTGCACGAGATGGAGAGGACATCGCTCTCGGAGGAAATTCCGGTGCTGGGGTGAATGAACCATCTGAAATATTCATTTGCGAGAGGGACGGCTGGCCTGGGAAAGATTCATCCATAATTGCACGAGTGCCAGGACGATTCGTGGATCCATTCGACATTCGAAAGTCCACTCCAGAAGAGGACGCGACAGGAGACAGTGAAGGTGACACAGATCTCCGGTGAAACCATTTAGGCCTTGGTGAATTCCAATTATGCTCCCGTTCGTGCTGGGCGACACGTTCTAGTTCATTAACATGCTCCTTCTCTACATCTCGGCTCGCATGGGAACTAGAGGGAGAAGTAGCACGACTTGAGCCTGACACTGAGCTTAGAGATCCTTGTCGAGACAGGGCACCCCGGTCTGGAGAGAGATAACTAGCCGCAGAATCTGGCCGGGCTGGTTGACTATATGTGCGCATACGGTCGTCGAGAGATTGAGTGCCAAAGGTGGATGAAGCTCGTGTCCTCAGTGGCGGCTTATTCCACTGTTGTTCCCTCAGCTTATTTCGTTCTTCTTCAGCCTCTCTTTGACGCTCTCGATCTGTCGAGCACCTCATGAGCAATGATATTCTCTGGTGTACAAGTGAAATACGTACATTCAGATTTCGAGCTTAAAGAACTCGACCTAGAGAAGCTATCATCATCAAGGCTCTGCAAAGAAGCTGCACTCAGTCTTCTCGACTGCATTTGCATAGGACTTCCTCGTCCCATGCTTTGTGATGGAGAGGAATGAGAGTGATGGTGCCGAACGTGTTCTGGAGTAGTAGGAATGTGCGCAGGCGACCTGCCGTTAGGTCTATTCCAATTACGCTCCTGGTTACGCAGCTTCTCGGATTCCGGAACTACGTTACTAGTCAGATTGTATGATGGATCGAGACCCATACATAACTCACATTCCGCATTCGACATGGAAGAGCTCGCGCGTGAAGCTAAGACTCAGGTTAGCGACGTTTGAATGGCAGGGAAGAAAGACCGACACACATGATTTTTCAATCTCTTCGCTTGCTCTCCTCACCAAAGGTAGGTTATGATGCGTATGCGACTTGGAGTGAGACGACCAGGATAGAGGTCGCGCTGGAGTGGGTCCACTAACGCGTCGCCCAGAAGGAAATGCCACTGTAGAAGACAGTGAGACCATCATAGGTGGTTATATGCGAGGGGTCCTTACATCTTCGCGTATTGTTGGGACTTGGGGTAGATTCCTTAGGTGCAGACTCTGCCTCTGAACTTTCAACGCCGTTCATTGCTCTCTGCATCTCAGAATCCTGGTCCAACAGATCTATGCCGAAATCAGCTAGAGACAGAATCCATTCAGTGTGCACTTACTTGAATGCATTTGCAAGTGGGAGGGTATTGCTAGCGAGCGCATAGGTGTGCTTGTAGATAGGGGTGCTCCTGTTGAGCTACCGAACTGCTTCATTATGGTGGCCGTATCTCCACTGACTTCCATAGGAACATCAGAATCAGATTCTGTGGTTGAAGATGGTGTTAGGACGTAGAAGCTCTAATAATGTATGTCCTGCGTACGTTCAGATGAAGGGGGAGGCGGCCTGGTCGTAGATAGAGTGAGTTTCTGCCGTAGGGCATCGTATGCCGCAGCAGAGGATCTGTAGGAGGTGTCGCTTTTACGGGAATGTACTGCAGAAGGAATCATGGATATGCGCGACGCGGATAAGTCATGAGTAGAACTTACCTGAAGCCAACTCAGCTTCTTCATCGCTCATGCTTCTCCGCTTGCCCTTGTTATACGCTCGTTCCTTATGAACGAGTTCAAGACGCGGACTGTCCTCGACCTCGCTAGCATCAATGCTGTTCCGCCGTTTCTGGAATTTCCGAGGGGTCTGTCCTGGTTCACGTAGCGCGTTCGAAAAGAGCTCCTTGAGGCTTTGGCTAGCTATGCTATTCGCAGTTGTGCTATAATTCACGGGCTCGAAGTCTGAGGCTTTATCAGACGGAGAAGAGGGCACGGGTGCGCGTGAGGTGGGTGACGGGGTATCCTTTGCGCGAGCAAGAAGGGAACGTAGACGGCCAACGTGATCTTCAACAGGTTGAGTGTAGGAAAGTGGAGAGTTTCTCTCTGCAGCAAGTTTTACTCCAGCTGATAATCTGGGCGTGGATTCGTTGTCCTCATCATCATCGTGAAGATCATAACCGTGTTGGTCTGAAGAAACGCGAGAAGGGCCAGCTCCGGGTGTGTCGTAGAGATTGCCGTTATGCATCTTGTTCCGCGTACGTCGTCGCGTGAGCCTAAGACGTGGCAAGATTAGAGAATTATCCATGGCGAGCAGCCCGCTGTGAGCAACGCCGGCCACGAGGTTTGCGCGCACCTCTAACTTGACGAAACACAATAAAAGCGGTCACGTGCAATCTTCCGACAAGCACCTCGCTGGCGTTGTGAATTTTGGGTTGCTTCTAGCTGGCCATCCAGACCAGAGCAAAGGCGAAATGAGACAATGAGTGAAGAGGTATCTCGAGGAATGTGACGAACACGAAAGATCTGCTCGAGAGCAAACCCAACGTGAAGAGTGCTAGGCGCCCACGAGGTCCCCAATTCGCCTCCCGCGAACGCTTAACCCTGCGTATCTCTGTTCTTATCCAGTCACTATGTTCACCTCCCCGTTCAATATTCAATCCTGGATGGAGAAAAAACGCTCTTCAGTGTCGTTATCGTTGACCCAGATGCTCGGGAAATGAACACCCTCCTTCCACCAAGCTCACTGCGCAGTCGGCATGATCGGCTTACCCAGTGAAGAGTTTGGTGGATCATGCATCATGGCGGAGGAAGACCAAGGCCGGGATGCAGAGCAGGTACCGTTACTCGATATATACATTTTCCGTAACATTGGTTTGGTATATAAGACCTTTCATCAGCGTTATCATACCAACATCAGTTTGCCTCGATACTTCCACCACCGCATACATCCACCCAGCATTCGAACGAAGCAGCTATGACTATCTACAACTGGGAGCCTGATACCCAATACAACCTTGGAGATGTTGTAGTATACGAGGGTACGTTCTGCGACGTCTTCAACGTCCAAAGCAACCTGATGTACACGCTTGTATGTGTAGGACACAAGTACAAGATCGTGCAGGCTCATCGATCTCAGGTACGTGTGTGCTTTCTTGCTGCCGTGTCCTTTACTTGACCTGTCGCGTCCGCCCAGGCCGATTGGGCTCCTCCTGTGGTCCCCGCTTTGTGGGAGCGCGTCCACGAAGAGTATCACGGCGGCGAGCAACAACACTACGAGCAACCTCAGTATGGACAGCCGCAACAACCTCAGCAGCAACCAGGCTACAACCCTGGCTACAGTTACGGTGCTCCTCCCGACCAAGGTAATTGATCCTCTGTACGTTTTCAATCAAGTTTCAACTAACATCTACGCGTTCAGGCGGGTACAAGTACCAGGGTAACCTCGGCGATGAGAAGCACCCTGACCAGACGGTTGAGATCAAGCCTGAGGAACAGAAGAAGAACTGGTACGATTTGGACGACGACCGTAAGAAGAAGCTTGAGGTGCGCCTTGTTATTAACGCGCAGCATTTCCCCACACGTCGATGTTGATACTGCATCAATGTTTCAGATAGGTGGTGGTCTCCTTGCAGGTATCGCCGCCGTCGGCGCTGGTTACTACGCTTACCATGAACACGAGAAGAGCGAGGAGGAGGTGCGCAGTTCTGTTGCGTCACATGAAAGAATTCACATTAATACTTGCGCAATTCTGCCAGAAAAAGGCTAACATCTGGGCCCTCCAGAGCTGGCTCAAGGAAGCCCGAGCTCGTACGGATGATTTCTACCGTAACGGCCCCCGCGCTCCTACCACTTGGATTCTCGTCGAGGGTAAGAACATCCCCCAGGGCGCTCTTCCTGGTGGCGAGGAGAATGGTCAGCCCCTCTACATTTGCCGTGCTTTCCACGAGGTTTGTGTCGCTTCTCATCCCCGGTAAATATATTTCCTGACGCTGGTTTCACATCGTCGATCTAGGGAAGTCTCCGTAAGCAGAGTGTGGTTTAAATCTCGTCCATGGTGCTTATATTAGTGTAACAGAGATCGGTAAAGCTTCGCCTGTCTTCAAAGAAGGTGCCGTGATTGGCTACGCACACAAGGAGATTCATGTATGTTTTGATTTTATTGTTCAATGTTAGATTTACTTCTGCTCTTCGACTGCTATCTTCAGCATTGACCCGCGCTAACTACGCACCTATCTTTCCAGCTCCCCACTTACGAAGTTCTCCTCGGCGACCCTCGTGCCGTCCGCTGGGTTGACTTCCATGGTCGTCTAGACTTGGCTCGACTCGGTGCTCGTCCCGTCGAAGGTGGTCGCGAGGCCAAAGGAACTCCTCTCTTCATCGCTCAGGCTCACCACAAGAATGCCATCCACCCTGGCAAGATTAGCGAGAAGTTGGACAGTATGTATTCCATTCTGATGGTCTTGCGCACACCTGGCACATATTGAACCATCTTATCCTTGTCCTGTAGGTGCCTTCATCCCTTATGGCGGAGGTGAAAAGGAAATCAAGGTCAGTTATTTCCGCATTTGACCCTCTCTCTCACCTTTGCTGACCTATACCGCTGGATGATCAGGACTACCGTGTTTTGTGCTACAACTAGACATCTCTGTCGTCTACACGTACGCCTTATGGGAAGGAATGCTACAACGATCTATCGGAAATTGTACTATAGTCAATTCATACCAAGTCAATGAGAACCAGTCACACCTGTCTACAACCATCTCACGTGCTACATCTAGCCACAAATTCTCTTGCACCTAATCGTTTGAACTCCAACTTTTCGTCCCCATTCGCCTCGTTGGTCTGTAGCTACCTCTTCATACTTAACCAGTATCAAGCTCCCACACCCACAAGCAACGTTCCATCAATTTCGGTCAATGGTATTCCGTCTCGTCTCTTTTGTACACCTTTGCTCACAGTGATTCTATAGATCGCGGATCATTCATTGGCACGTTTCCTAACCCCCATAACCGAGATAAGAAATTTGTTAAGGTGTATGGGTGCCCCATGGGGTATGTCTCGCAGCCAATCGTGCGTCATGTAGCCCGAGGCGGTCCCGATGATCCTCCAAGTGTTTTATGATAACAGGACTCCGTGGAGGTATGACGTGTGTTTGCCTGAACATATTGGAATAGGTAATATGTGAAGTTGTAACCAGAATGTTGTCCGAGCTTGGCTGAAGTCGACTCTACTTTCAGAGGTCACTCCAAGGTACTCACACTTCTTTCACTCCAAAGTCGCTCTTCGCGAACTTCTACCGTTTCCAAGTCACTTCACGGTCTAGAACTCCGTCAGTAAGTAACAGAAGCTCAGAACAACACACTGACGTTTTTATCACTTCGCAAGAACCCCGGTGTACAAAGGAAGACAGAACGACCAGCAGTTCGGAGACAAACTTAAACCAAGTTATCATGCTCAACACCAAACCCGAAATGCACCTTTCGAATCCCTCAGACTTCTCGCATCAGTTCTACTGCAGAAGTTATTCCGCCCGAATCCCCGCTCCCTACCCTTCGTTCCTCGCTCCGTTCTCCAGAGTGACCCCGCATTACACCAAGGACGTAATCATCCTTGCTTTCATCTGACTTTCTAACACCGCACGAATCGGAACCATCAACTCAGTCGTCTATTGATAACTGTACTGTATACTGTGCAGGGTGCGTCGCAAGAATACTGGGTATAACTACTAACTAGTAACAGGTGATTGGTCGCGCACATGGAACAGGACCTCAACGTTTGTTCCCCGCACGGGTCCGAGACAAGCACGATGATCACCAATATTGGTATCTTTGGTACCCCCACCCCCCAGACTATTATTGCATGCATGGAAACTTACGAGAGCGAAACGACTAATCGTGTCCCGGACCAGGTCCTGCAAGAACCTCCAACCGGGATCCTTGTAAGATATGGCTGGGGTTGGAACCATGCGTCTCGAAATGCCAAGCTGGGTTATTCGTCCTTGAAGGAGCGAACAATGAGAGCTCGTCAAAGACTTTTCGCAGATTCCTTGGCGTTTAAGAGTTAGTTCAGGCCGACCACGACACGTAATGGGAAGGTGAGTAAAACACGATCTATTGGATCAGTATACTGTGCATTTTCGAACGGTTTCACCCACCGTTTTTTGAATTCAGTATATACGGTTATAACTTACAAGGTTCACATAATCGTATCGTAATCCCGTAAGTCCCAGGGCCCGCCCACGCTTCCGCTGCATCCACGTTCTAGCCCTCCCTGGCCAAAGAACCAATTCAGGTTCATGTCCGCATCCGCTTTTAAGGAGACACCTTCCGTGAGAATGGCCTCAAGCTTAAGTGCATGGTGGGAAAAGGTCTCCTGATGGACCATCAGGTGGCCCGATTGAATGCAATTTAGACAGGATCGAAAAAGGCTTGGAACTAGTGACTTTTTACACTTTTAAGACACATGCGTGAGATGCAATTTTGGGGGTAGGCCAGAAATTGAATAGGATCATGGGTCGAGTAGTGAGGGCTCCGAATCCTTGCCAGCTCCACTTTCTCCTGACCGTGACCACGACCACATCCTGCTAAACGTCCACTATTCCACTATTCCAATACTAGGACTCGGAGCGCCTTCGTTTTTGGAACGGGTGTACGTAACTTATATGTGAGGTGTTTGTTCCTCGATGCATGCGTTTTTCATATGGCCGGCCGGGATTTGCGTCAATGTCCGGCTTCTGATCGTGACCTTCACTTTGAGAGCTTGAGACCGGAGTGAAGCCCTTGGCCCTTGGGAGCTTGTCTGGGCTTGTCTGTCCTTGGTGGAAGGACTTGGGGACAGGCACTAACTGTAACGTTCATTTGCCAAGCTTCCCTCCGGTATCCCACCGGATGCATTTAACTTGATAATACTGTAAGTCACTATACGTTTCGTTTGTCACTAGGGGCATAGTATACTTTACCGCCGCCGCGACTGTCTCACTGATATGCTTGCCTACTTGACAGAAATTGTCGTCCATCATCTCACATATGGACAGATTTCAACTTTATCACTTGGGCCGTTAGACGGAGACTTGATGCATTTGAACTGTACTATAAGGCCTGGGCACGGGGGGGATAATCGTATGACAATCGCTGTAAGTAAAGGAACCCCGTCCAAAACACAATTACTTGCGTCAAAAGGGTTATGACATGGAGGCAAACGCCGAGGCTAATTATACCAGGCACTACTAGTATTCCAATTGCATGAAACGTGCCTCCTGAGTCCCTCAAGGCCTCAAGCTTCAAATCCTCAGCAGTCCCAACGTGCATGAGCGTACTCGGAATACCTTTCCTTCATCTCCTACAAACCCAAGAATCGCGGCATTAATGTATTGCAAGGCGAAGTAGCAGCTTTAGGCGGACTGACCTATAGCCTGAATATGGCTCCGGCCAAGCCCGAAGCTCTCACCTGCACCAATAAATTGGCTCTTTCTATTTTATTTCGAGATTGAACGCATTCGTCGGGAGCAAAGTTGCCAGGAACCGATCGCCGATCTAAAGGGTCAGTCTAACCAAATTGGGCAAACCTATCGCCATCGCTCTTGTGCCGGCGGCATATGATCCAGATCCTGCGCCTCTTTTCCAGAGCAGCTGTAAGAGAATCAAAGAACTCCCTGTTCGCCTTCTCAAAGTACACTAGCACTGAGGGAAGTCAATTCTAGAGGCTTCGAATTGAAGAATGAAGGTGCGAGGGTAGCTCGAGGCGCGTAAAAAATCGTAATGGAAGCTGAAGATAAGAACGCATGTGGGCTTTTAATGGGATTTTATACGGGCACTCGAGGAGAGTTACGGAAGATCATGCACATGAGGGTTGGCATGTGGAAACGAGGGATTGTGCCCGTGCGTTGTTTTGTCATATTGCACACACACACAGTGGCACAAACCCCCGATATCTCGATACATGCAGCAGACTGCGGGATCGTGAATATGCTGCGATCGGTCAGCTTCGTGACGGACAGTGCAATGATGATACGATGAAGTTGGTAAAAGAGTGATTCCAGCTGGACTACAACTGTTCATATAGTCTATATAGAGAGTTTCGGCTGCGAGGACGGAAAGCGCCGATGTTCTGGAACACAGGAGAGTACGGTCGAGTCGCACGGTGGAGTAAGAAGGACAGAAAGGAGGGGGGGATCAAAGAAAGACATAAGGCAATTTGTCGCCGTGGAATCAGCGGATGTGATCGCAAGGTGGAGCAAATGCAACATCTTGCCCACACTAACGTGCATGATACAGAGCGAGAGAATGAAAGGATCGAAAATGAGCAGTGTGGAGAGAATATGCAAATCATGTGTCAGCGTAGAGTAGCAGCATGACAAGTGAAGCTGCAAGAGGCCAAGTGCTGCCATTTGGGTGTATCCAAGGGAAGCCAAGAAATATAAAAACATATCATGGAAGCAACCACGATGTGGCTCGTATGAAGGGCCATATGCAGTCAGTGCGGGGAGATGTCAGAGTGGACCGCAAGTGATTGGCAGCCGGAGTCTATAGAGCATAGATCCGGGGTTTGGTACGCTGAATAACACTCCTACCGTTTCAACGTCATCAGTAGTACATACCGGAGGGAAGCGCGTTTGAACTGGCAGCAGATGTAGTCGGAAGATCGCCACGCTGGGGATTGGCCTTGGTAAGTGTGCGTCTGCGCTGACTGAGGCCATGCCTTGAGGAACGGGCTTGTGGACTGACTGACGCCTGGGATGTGGAGGCCATAGAGGCGGAGACGGAGTTTGGGCCGGGATGAGTATAAAGTTGGAGGAGATGACGGGTGATAGAGTCATGAGAGGGTGATGCGGCCATGTGCGAAAATATTAATATGGAGGCCTGACTGTGAATTGAATCCTGCCATTTCGAGGAGCTGCAACAAGAGATGGCTAAACGCCATCGATCCGGGGCGACCGGTTGGCAGAGGGGGCGATTGGAGGGGGAAAGCAGGCGTATTTGGTACGGTTGTGTGGGCGATGAAGGTTAGAAAAACATACGAGAGGCACTGGTACTGACGACGGCGTTGGTGGTTGTTGGGAGGGGGCGGAGGGGTTCATGGCGTGGCGGAGGGCTGTGACTGAGACTGGCCCGGAGGATTGGTAGGGATAGACGCCTGTGGTGGATTGCGCTTCTGCAGCCTCATTCTTCCTATTCACCCACCGTCCTCCTCCCGCCTGGCCCGCCTCCTCTCTCTTCGTCTCCTACCACCACCATCCTCCCCAAAGCACCCTGCGTGAGCCACAATGCACCGCGCCACCTCCTCTACAAAACATACCCGTCGGTACGCCCGCCTCCTTCCCACCCTCCCCGTCTTTCCCGTTCTCACCCTTCTTCACAGCAGGCCTCCTCGCGATCGACTCTTGAAGAGTCTCCAGGCATGTCTTATCTTTCGATGTCGTCTCCCCTCGCCGCACTTTACTAACCTCATTACTCCACCCCAGATACTTGGCCACCCGGGCACACCGCTACCCCCGGCCCTCTTGACACCACCCCCCTCACGAAGTACCTCCCCCGCCCTAGGTGGCAAACGAAAGTCGGAATCCGAGGCTCAGCCCGCCTCCCACAAGAGGCCACGGCTATCGCCTGCTGAGACCCTACAGCGCCCCCAGAACCAGACTTCCTCGTCATCACATTCCCGACTAACACCCTCCCAGACACTGCGATCAGACCCTTCAGAGGAAGGCGAGTTGCGCGAGGATCTACCCCAGGTTTCCGGTAGCAGCAGTGGCCACAACGACTCCGACGTCATCCTCAACGCTAACCTCCCCATCCGCCGCCCGCGGCGAGGTGTTTTAGATGAATCGTACTTTCAGAATCTCCAGAGAAAGTACGAGAAGTTGGGCCATGAATTCAGGGCGTCAGCTGTCAATAGACTGCGCTCAGTGTACCCCCCAAGCCATCCAGAGTATCGCGCCCTCTCGAATCCTCCGCCTGTCAATTCGTCCTACCATACGCACGGTGCTCTTATAGCACGTCTTGAATGGCTGGACTCTCTACTTTGTTTTTCTTATTCCACTTACGGTCTCGACACCATATGGCTCGGAAGGATACATGCAGCACCAGAAAGCGAAAGGGACACAATCCGCGGAAATTACAAACAAGTTTCGACTCAGGCCTGGGATAACTTCGCTTCGGTCCTCAAACAGTGCAAGTCCCACTGGCAACCTACTGTGACCACAGAAGAGCACGAGAGGATGCTCTACGGGTTGTGGTATGTTCTCTTCTTACTCATCCAAGTTCATCTCTGAGCCCTGCCCGTCAACAGCTGCATGATTGAGGCATTTGGCTACCAGAAAAGGGCAGATATTCGTGCCCAACCTCTCCTGGACCAAGACATGCACTACTGGAAAAGGTTTAGGATGCAGGAAGAGGAACTCAAGCAGCGAATGTCAGAGTCCGCGCCTCGAATGCTTCCATCCCCAGAAAGCATTTCTGCTTCTAGCGCCAATTCAACACCAGCTGGCCGATCAGCCGGAACGCCTGACCACTCCGAGAGGAGGCCTGCCGAGAACAAGATCACTCCCCTACCCCTGCTGCAACACAACCCAGACCCAAATCTCACCTTGCGATTCGGTCCCAACTACGTCTACCAGCGTCGAAACTTTGAGTCATCAATCCTGTGCGCCGGCGATTCTAGCAGGCAAGCTCAGAAGTACTTAACAATCCCGGCCATGGCCAAACACTTCCCTCGCACTTTCACGCGAATGGTCAACTCGAGCTATAGTTATACCGACGAAGCTGAGCCTGATATGGAAGACGACGATGGTGAGCTCATGTGGCCAGGACAATTTTCCACAGGCAACAGCCTTGGATGGTTATGCAACATGGGCAGAGCAATGGTCAGAGAGTATGGCAAGAGCTACGGCTACGTCGGCTCGGAGGCCCTCATACCAGATCCGACCTTACCTGTTCGCGCCCAGCGGTAGCACGCTCAGTGCTGTCCATTAAGCCCGTTGTTTGCGCAGTCCGTTCCACCGAGGTCCTGTTTACCCATACACCTTCGCATACCCCCACTACGTCAGTCACCGTTGTGAAACTAGGAAATACCCCGCCGTGACTTGTATTGCTGCGTCTCTTACTATCCAGGACCTCGGATGTTTTGAACCTCTTGCGCGCCACTTTTCCTTACCTTTGGTGAAACACTTTTGAAGCAGTACGCCTTTGTCGGACCTAGGCTTGTTGACATCGCCACAGCTCATCGGCATATGTTTCAACTCCGTTGGCAGCGGAAAGACCTGCATCGCAATCATGGAGCTCTGGCCCGCGAGTCATTTGAGCTGCATGGGTTGTTGGTCCTGTTCATCTAGTTGCCGCCCCGCGCGTCTCCCCACACTCTTCAATTGTAGCCTTCGCAATCTTCTCTCCTCTTGTAAAACATTCATCTGGTATCTCACTTGCGCTGTATTCCCTCCATATTCACATCAGCCGCCTCTACAACGACTCACAAAAGGAACAAATATCCCCCCTTGTAACAATACCACCGCGCGCCTTTTCCTCTTTTTCTTTCCATCATCTCATCGGGTCTCTCTCCTCTACATCGCATCCTTCACATTTGTTTTTCCCCACACCTGCATCGCTTCCAGAGTCATCTTGCCGTCGTCTCAGCAACAACTGTTGTTTTCCCGCGGTCACTTTTCGTTCGTCGCCACAACCCCCTTTCTATCCACCCATCCCGCTGGTCCCCCTCCACCATTCTTATCTCCGCTGACCCCTTCCCCGCGAACGTCGTCCTTTGATTTTACAACAGTTGTTTTCTCTCACCGCTGTGACCCCGTTTCCCTGTCCATTTCTCACCGGATCGAACTGGAGCCTCATTGTTACTTTTTTCTTTACTTTTTATCTTCTTTATTCATCTCTTGGTTGCTTTCCTTATCATCTTATCCTTTGCATATCGCACATTTTTGTTTTCTAGTACCATAGTTGCATCCTTCCAATTCAGCAATCGCATCTCGCTAATCTCAATCTCACATATTATTGTTTTCCCTTGCAATCGAAATCGAACGTCAGACCTTCAGGCTTCAGGCACACCCAGCAGCCACCGCTCATGCCTCATAAACCGTACGCACGTTCCAAGTCCAACTACCTTTTGGTCCCTCTTAGTCCAGGGCGCCCCCTGCCCATCTCCTCAGTTTACCCCACACTTCTTCTTTCCTTTTCCTTCTACATGCATGCATACCGTTGCACGTTGCCGCGTTCGATTGCATGGCCGGAGACGCCTCGGAATCGGTTGCTCGGTCCCCAAAGTGATCAGTAGTGACAGCTTACATGCATGCAGGGATGCCATGGGATTGACCATGCATGGGCAAGGGTTGACGTTGCACAGTAGTTCGTCCAGACTCCAAACAATTGATGTCACTACGAAGTACCCTCGGATTTCCCATCCTAGACGGCACGGACTCATGACCTTACGGGTTTGTTACTGTCTGTTTATTGACGTGCCTTACGTATCCTCGGGCTCAGAGTGTAGGCCAGGCTAATCAAGGCTATCTTCTTGTAGTCATCCACTGCGCACGTTTTATCTTTTCTTGTGCATGTTGGCCTCCGGCCTTTCACGTTCACCGGGGTTTCGAATTCTGGAATTTGGATGGAGTATATAGACGTTCCTTACAGACTACATACAGACTACATGCATGTACAGTGTACATATATCATTTGCATTTATCGAGAGCTTGAAGTTAAGCTTGTCCTTTTTTCTTCTTGTCACTTTACTTATGTATGTACCGTACCTTCTTAGTATTATAGAAGTACTTACGCCCGCATCTTCCCTTTTTCGCTTTCCCCCCTGCGGACTATTTATGGACTTTTGGATTTTTTTGGTTGTTAACGCTGTCACTGTTAGCTTTGCGTTCTCGGGGTTGCATTGGGAGGAATGACATTGACAATATATAGACTATATACACTTGGACGTTTCTCGGAATTACCTCTCGGTGCGTTGTCGCGAGCATATCGAGTCGTTCCTGACCGTCCGCGGGCGCAGTGCTGCAATTGGTATTGGTATTGGTCTGCGTTTCTGATACAGTCTGGAAGCTTGAAGGCGCGTGATTTTTTGTTGTTGTTGTTGCAGGTGGCCCTGCTCGCAATTGGTATTGGTCTGCATTTCCGATACAGTACAGTCCGGAAGGCGCATGATTTTTTTGTTGTTGCAGGTGGCCCTGCTCAAGTCAAGTGTTCAAGTGTTCAAACGTTCATATGTTATTGAGGTCTCGCAGCCAATACGGCCGGACATTCACCCATATATGGCGCAAGTATGTACTTGCATGTGCCCTCGATGTGCGCTGTTTGAACGTTTGAACGTCCAGAAAAGCTTGATATCCCTTCCATGCTTGAGCACGTTCTGACCTGTCATCCCCACATGTCATAGTGGAGTAAGTAGTAGAAGTCCTTGAGTTGATCATGAGGACTTTGCCAGTCATGTTTTAGCTATGAAAGGAAAGCTTGCGATGATTGGTGGAGAGGCACACTTGGATGCGCCGCTTCGAATTTGAACTCGGTGCTTGTATAGGTGTTTATGTTAAAGGGTTAACCATTCAAACATGATGGAAAATCCAATGACAGTTGAAATGCCTTGCCGCAGTGACTGGAACTTTACTGGACATTCTGGTTACTCTGACGATGCGGTACGACAGGTCGACAGCCTGAGTCCGGATATCGTGGCAGCGACGAACACTGCGGCCATGATGGTTTCTTTCATTCTTGAGAATACCGCTCAGCATACTTACATAGAAACCAATTCAACGGCAAATACCGTCGAAGCCACCATTGAATGTGCCTCATAACGTGAGGCTGCGAATGAACTATTCATATGGCGTCAGTCAAGCGACGTCAAGAAGGATCTTCAGTGACGAATGGGTAAGGCGTGTTCTGCTTCGTACGGGACTTCTGCGGGGGTTGAGAGGTAGTGGAAGCAAAGCTGTTTCAATATGAGTGGAGTATTTGTGTTGGGCGTACCTTGGAGTGAGTACCTGATGGGGTGCAAGACGAATGGGAATGAGGCTCGTTTGATTTGGAAGATGGACAAGAATCGCCGCTAAGTCGATATTGGGATATTGCATTGAGTTACAGTCTAAATGATGATCGCGATAGCTTCATGTTGGGAGGGAGAGAGTAGGGTAGGGCCCTTAGGCAGAAACCTGAGTAGAAGCGCTGCAGAAAGATTTGCGACCGCACTGGTGCTCGAGCCATAGCCTGAGGTATGAATATGTATCTACCACCCTAAAAAAGGGGACCAGGGACTGAAGTTTCTCCAATCAAATCGTTTATTCCGGTACCTGGATGAGAGGGAAAAAACTCAGTGAAATTGGATGGACTGACGAAGAGGGCGAATCTCAGTACCTTCTGAGTAAAAGTGGGTCAGCTTTCGTGGTCAATTGTGAAGCAATGTTGATTTCAGGAGCTTGGTCCAGGTTCGCCATGTATTCAAGTGAACGAGGTGCTGTTTTATTCAACCTGCAAACGGAATGATAAGATATTCCCGTTGCATGCCTAGAGAATATGAGGTGGCATACGTTGAACGAGCCACAAGCTCGAAGTTATCTTTTGAGGATTCCATTCTGTAATTCCGCTGCCATCAGCCCATCCGATCGACAGTTCCAGAAGTAAATACACCCACGGAAGAGGGTGAGAAAATACTGGCATTATCATTGCGAGAAGAAGGCAAAGTTTGTAGCACGGAATAAACATCGTGAAGCGAGCTAGAATTTGAAGTGTAAACTAGATGTTAATGGGACAACAAATGAAACTTTGCAATGTACTTACTATCCAGTACCTGCGAAAGGATCCGGTCCTTTCTGACGGGGATGGGTACAACTGAGTCTTCATTTTATACTGTCGGATAGATCCAGTGTTACCACAGGCGTCGCGACGATCTGATGCACACTACATTTGCCCTGTACTGATGGTAGATAGGAAGTTCGTTCTCATTGTTAACCCTGGAACTGGTGATGTTCATTCGTACTAGCCGCGCCTAAAACCCAGTAGAGAATCAAAGGGGAGCTGGATCAGCATCGATGACTGACTGGCATGAAACGAAGGACCTTGCGGAATCGCGTTACACATCTTTTTTGGGGCTCTCGTACGAACACCGAAGGGAAAACCTGTTAGCAACATGGTATGGGACAAGATAAGAGGTCATTCGGAGGATTTCCACGAAGGCTCAACAGTACTTGGCTGCAAATATCATGCCTAGAACAATTGGCAGGCAATGGTCGCCGGTTCACAACCACGACAAAGGAGCCGATAGAATCGGAACGGCGTAGATAGCTCGACAGCGGCTATCTGCTGAAGTTGTTACAGAGAGCAGAAACACTAGAGGAAAAGCGTTGCTGTACATTCCGAATTTAAGGAATAATTGATTACTTAACTTGTGATCCCAAAAGCGGTCACAGTAAATCCGGGACTCGCTGAAGTGGAGAACAGAAACCTCGTTGCATTGTGGCACCTTGAACGCTTGAACATCAGTGCAAAGTTCCCATCAGCCGGACGAGCATCCATCCACCAGCATCCGATCCGGACATCTGAAGAATCCGGATGTCAAGATAACAATGAGCGTGATTGTTTGTATCACTTTAGAATGGGTATCCAGCATCATAACAAAGACGTTCAGGGTATCGGGACGTGATGCTGCAAGACAGTTATTGTGTTCACACAACCCACGAGAGGTTACCGATGTGGCTCCCGGTGACATGACAACATGTATCGATGTTTGATTGGACTTGGCTGCATAACGACGTGTGGCCTGCATTGAAGCGTCCAAATGAGACTACGTATCCGACGAGGAATCCATAGCGAGCATAGACACGCTTCCAATCAACGCAGAGACAAATAGGCTGATAAATACCGTCCAGCACGGAAATGCCGACCGTTGGGCGATAGCAGACGCTTAAAGAACAGGAGTCGTAGCAGATTGAGTGGGATAGGATGATACCGTTGACTCTTCTGAAGGCTCTAGCTTTAGGTTTCTGCCAATACGACCAGGTTCTAGAAGCGCGAATCTTTGAAAGCAGGTGAACTGACGACAAGAACAGATTATCACCTTCTAGACGGGATGAGGGTTACTGGACGGGTGATGTCGAACGCTGACTTGGGACTCCTAGCATCAACCGGGTCGCATTAGACATCGGATCACTGCAGCGAAGATGACGACTTAGCGCCAAACAGGTTCCTGTCAATGAATGACATTGAAAAGATATTTCAAATGTTACAGAGAAACGGATACTCTGAGGATGTTCACGATAGGCACCACCTGAGTCTTGTCTCGCTAGCGAGAGACATCGATACTGCGCCTGCTCTTAAACCTAGACTGCGAGACGACCACAAAAGATCATCCGCGAAACCTGCATGTAGGTTGTGTAGAATCTTCCAGACGTTCACGTCATTTTCGCTGACAACTTTCTCCGCTGAAGTACGTTATATCATTTTTGAGATGATGTCAGATATTTGCCTTGTGGCGCCGCGACGTCGTGACCTTGCTCGCAGTTATGATAGCACCTATTGACAATCTAGAAACTCCTGCTTGTATATGAGGGAGCAAAATAAACCAACGTGAACTCCAAACGTCATTCAATAAATCGTGCATCCTATGCTAGAAATGTAAGCTCGACCACTGAAGGAAGTAAACCTACTAAATAGATTTGACTTTACCCCTAGATTCATGCAAGCATTGAGTTTCGTACTGTCAAAAGACAACTATTCGACTGAGTTAACCAACGCGGCGTTCAATCTGTAAACGACTTGCAATGCGGTATTGAAGCCTATACGAAGCACGCACATTGATTTGTTCGCAACGTCTACAAGACTGGCATGACTGGCATCGTAGCCGATGAGATGTTTCGTCCTAGACAACATAATCTCTCAATCCCTTTGTTGGCAGGTTCAACGGTGAAGTTGAATCTGCTCACGGAAGAGGCAAAGACAATGTGGTAGTATAATCGTGACAATGAGGCAAAATTTGCAGAGCGTGATTAGAAACATCGTGAACGGCCCGAATGGCAGGTTCTGTGTCTATAGAAGAAATAAAGGTTGCATAACATCTTGAATTAGTATTCGCAACGAGATAGAGGGTCGAGTAGTTACTTACTATCCAGTAACAATGAAGAGGTCCAGCCCTCTATATCTGAAACAAATGAAGCCGTGTCTCAATTACGTGTTGCTGGCCACGAATAGCACCACAAGAGCATCAAGCTCAGATGGTTCTGAGTGACTTTCGTGCTGCATCGATGTCACAGGCTCTGCACAGCCTGTCAGTAGTACATTGCTCAGTACCGAAGCATTGTTAATGATCACGCCTTGGAGAGAAGAGCAAAGGGACCAGTCTCTCTAGGTCAGAGCAGGCAGAGAGCCAAACCTTCGTCCCCCAGGATACCTCTGTCTGACAAGAAGCGCAGGGACCAAGATGAATGAGCTTGGCAGTGTAGGGGAGATGAATGAAAAATCATCGTCATTGCACTGTCTTCTATTCATCACGCACTGCTACTGCGAACTGTCATGAAGGCTGTAAAGTCCACAACTAAACGAACAAGCTGAACGAGGATACTGGACGATCCTTGAATATGGTGTGGCAGGCTGCACTCCCGGAAACAGAGTTGCGCAGGTAGAATAGTTGGTAAGAGGATACAGTCGTGGTCAAGCCCTCTCCGAGTCCGCACTCGAAAATGACTCAAAGCTTAGCGCTCAATAGGTGGGAGGATGTACACGTGGTAGTATGTGTGTACGACGGACTCCGAAGTCTAACCAAAAATTCTTCAAGTCATAAGTCGCAGAAATAGCAGTAATTGAAAACAAAAAGTTGGTTATCACGCTCGCTCAGCATGCGAGAGGTGTCCGGTTCAATCCCGGACATGTCCATTTCCATGCATCCGAATGCCTTTTTTGCTCTTTCAAAGCCCTCTCATATATGTCCAAATGTCATTGGAGTGAATGGTTCAAGGGTCGATTCTCGGTGAGCGAAATAAAGTCTAAGGTAACGCAAACCATGGTCTAAGTAACGACGAATGGATCCAAATGAGCAAAAGTTAAATCCTAATTGCATCTAGACCGTATGCGCTGCCCAAACCATCGAAGATCCTCTGTCCGAGTCTTCAAGTGAATGGCTTGAGGTGGCATTAGTTGGCTGAAGCATAACGGTACCATCGTTGTCGATACTAGAAGGAGACACGATCTCTGCATGTTTATTGGATGGCATAGATTGACCGAACGTTCCGCTTAGCGATGCAGTCGTCCAAGCGCGTCCTTGAGCGACACGGTATATGATTAGGTAGTTGGAGATTACCTGTGACAAAGTTCATATTGTGATAATAAGTGTGGGCCTGGGCATGACAGGAGATGATCTGCAAATACCTGTGCTGCAGGAGCGAGAGCCAGCCAGATTTGACTGGTTTGGTGATCCATTCCATAGGTGATAAGAAGCAGAAGAGCGACGATGGAGTATAATGCTGCCGATTCGATGAACATTGTCGAGACGAAGTTATAATGTTTTCCGTAGGAACCGCCAAATACGGTCCGAGCTCTCTGTCTAGCTGTCCACATCTGACCCACAATCATCGCTGTTAGGATGATGTTGAGTGATAGGGAAAGCGTGTAGCACGACAGATTGATTTTCCCTTCGATCGCAGTGAAAAAGCCACCGGTTATGGAGAGGTGGATTGCAGTGATTGCAAGAGCTAGGAATTGTTAGAGTGATATTGCTGTCGGCGGACATCAAAGACATACCAGTAGAAGCCAACAGCATCAAGGCAGGGAAGATCATGAAGTATATCGCTGTGGGACCTATGCAAGCGGTCCAGATTATTTTGCAGCGCCAAAGCTGACAAGAATTTGGAATTAACCAGATTCAAGTGCGCTTAAAAATAAGTTGATACCCACTAATAAAGCATCCGCCATGATGTTGCTTGTAAAGTAAGCAACTGAAGAACTGATGTTAAATGCCTCCGTGCTTGCTGCTTTTAGATAGGCCCATGGTCCTCCTGGGTAATTGCGATTGTCAATATAGATATCCTGGAGACCATATGCATTCACGCCGGTGTAAACGCAGTTCAGAGCACAGAGAACGGTAACAAATCCCAAGAAAAACAGGGAGAATGGCTTGGTCCTTTGTTTCCATAGCGCCTCTGCACAAATGCAGTAGAGAACGAATTGCATTCCTGACCAGCCATCAAAGCATAAGATGATAGGTAAATTATCAAAGTAACATGTACCAGACTTACCGAAGCCGACACCCGCGAGATACCCAGCGGCCATCCATGTTTTCTCCCAGAATATGTCGCTAGCGGTTTCATCGACTGGGCCAAAGTAGCCTGAAGCTTGCGTCATGGTGGATGGAAAATGCAGATGCGTAGTAGAACCGATACTGTACTATCACAAGGCTGAGAACAGAGTTCTTATAGGCGGGGAAGACAAGTCAAACTTGGGAGAGGAACACATTGCACCTGACTGAAGACGTCGACCATCACTTCTAGATAATCAGTGGCGTGTCCACCGAGTATTGTACAGCAGATCGAGTTGATCTAGGGGCGATGGGTGATAAGAAGGAGCATCTGCCATGAGATGCACGGAATGTCAGAGGCTAGGACGCGTGTCTCCACTTACTGAAAATTTGCATGCTTTATCGCGTATAGCGAACCGATGGGATTCAAGCACCTACGCCGGCGGCCGCATAGCCAAGACACCTTGTATTAGCTTTAGAAGACCAAAGGTACGATGGAAATCTTGATTATTTCTTCCTTTTTACAGCAAATAATCGAGCCTTGTATTTGCCAGACGGCCGGGGTTCACAATTCACCGTCCGATATACAAACGGACACGGTACCTATGGAGTGGGTTAGCTTCCGGCCTATAGGATACTCTCGGAAGACAATCCTTCCTTCGTAGTACCTATGGATGTTCGAAGCTGCGAAGCGGGAAGTCACGTATACTCATGACAGTCATCAGAACTTTGATCGCGATCATCGATCACGTACAGCGTGACGATTGACTAGTTCCAACCAAGATCTCCACGGTCGAGAGCCAAGCCACTTTACTACTTGCCTACGCTCCATTGCTTGAGGGGAGTAGGAAAAAGACTGAAATTCAATTGACGTGAGTACCTCCCAACGCAGCTAAAGTGGTGAGGATATATTTTTCTTCAATGCTCACCGCCAGGTCCTGCCACTGCATTGTTTGAACTTCACGCGGCTGACGGTAGTATTAGTTTGAGCAGGACTCCGAAGACAGGTGTCCCACTGACACATTCCGGTGGAACGTCGGAATACATATCTTATCCTTGGACATGCCGTCATTCCACCCAATTGAATGGAGGGATCCGAGATTTGTACAACTCGCACCGAAGACCGAGATATTCACAACCACACGCACATGGTAGCTCTAATTGAGCGGTGACATTATCTGTGCATGTCAATGCACCGGTGAGTGCCGAGTGCACTATGCCTTCTAAAGAAGGTAAACCACTCAAGTTTCGAATGCTTCATGGCCTCAAAAGAAGCGAGTACCTCTGATCAATACTCTCACGTAAGTGCGCGTACCTATGAGTGCGGGAGTCCTGTTCCTCGAAGATGCTTTAGCCTTCCTGGGCATCATTCACGGCAATGGTCTCCTCTTTATTCTTTGCATTCGCGATCCTAAACGGAGCGCTGTTGCTTGGCACACTTTATAGAAGGAACTACAACCCGGCGGATGAAGATCTAGATTACAGTGAGTTATTTGTGCTCAAGTCCACCGACTCATTGATTCACCTCAAGCCATTGCATAACAGCGTGGTTAGGTGGGGACTTTCCTTTCGAGATGCCGACTGGCCCCATCCCTACCGTTGAGATGACCTTTCACGAATCTATACGATTCGACATTGCCTACAACAGCTCTATCCCAAACTGGGAGACCCTTCACTCAGATACATATGGCATCGGCTATACACATCTAGGTCCTTTCCACCATCGATATACATCGTCTGCCCATCATTCATTACATTGCCTCCACACCTTTACGACACAATTTCATCGCCACGACCCTCAACGAGTTGCTCACTGGGAGCATTGCCTCATGTACCTGCGACAATCTTTTATGTGCAACATGGACATGACACTTGAAGTCGGAGATTTCTTGGTGAAGAATCTCACCCTCGATCGCGCGGGTGTCACTAGGGAATGTAGAGATTGGACGGCTGTGGATGCGTGGATGAAGACTACATTTAGAGAGTGGGAAGAGTTTAACGGGTTCGTTCCTGACTAACTTCAATATCTTTCACCAATGAGTTTCGACATTCTCCCCGGTCGGCGCACGGATGTTGGTTTGTGGATGTGAAGCTCGTAGATTAGTGTATACGAAAATGATATTAAGAAAGCTTTGACTCGTTAATAGCATAACATCTTACCTGAATATGCCGAAAATGTGACTATATGTTACGAGGATCAGTCCTATGAATATACTCTTGGTACTCCTGATAATTCCGTTCCGCCTCACTCCAAACAGCCTCCCAATCAAGACACATCTTATCGAATCCATTCGACAGGGGTATATCAGGAATTTGTTCCTCTCGCATGTCCATTTGACACAGGAGCGACTCCCTGAGGTAATTGAAACAATGTCGAGCCAACGGTGACTGAGGATCGCGACTTTCCTCAACGTAAGCTAGACGTATAACGTCCACACATAGAAGCTGGTGGAAGATTGCGAGAGTATGCACGGAAACAGTGCCATCAGAATGACCTTGGTAGATGAGGTGTCCACCTGAAGGGAGCATGTTACTCCAAGCAGGGGAGTTGAGTTCGAAAGCTGTGGACCTGCGGACGAAATGCATCACAACATTGTCAAGTTCCGGTATCGACCAATGACTCTGTGAGCATGCTGATCATGAGATGAACAGTATGAGGAACAGCCCAGACGATGCGTCATCGGGTAAGGACTCACTTGTACAGGAACGTATGCGACTCGTCGACCAGAATGACAGTGGGATGGACAGACCGACCATAACAACGCAAAGTAGTGTCAATGGGAGCCATTTTAAGCGTCGAGCAAGGTTTACATCCATTGTTGCTTTCGTCAAAGGTATTCAGCCTCGGTGAATACAAAGAGAAAGGCAGAAAGGCTAACCTATTGAGAACGGAGCATGCAGATATGAATCGAGATGGAACGGACAGAAAGGCACCAACAAGGTCTGCTCCGTCAGTTCACCAGATGATCTTGTTATCATTCTAAATCGGTGTCAATGAAAGCCGTGAGCTACAGCAGTGAGCTTCGGAGCTTTACATCTCTTATCACAGAGACAAAGTTTCATCCTATTGGCCTTCTCGAAGCTTGATGTAGTCAACAGTTACCGTATCGAAGCATGATGCGCACTCCCGTGACTCAAGGGGCAACAGTAGGAGTTCGTACAACGGGTGGTGAGAGGACGAAAATGAACGACATGCGACCTCCTTATCTTCATCGGTTGTAGTTTGAGATTGGGAATGAACGTTTGCGAGGATCTGCGCCCAACCATGATGAAAAAAAGGGAATCCGAAGATCGCAGTATGGCAAGGGCTTGCCTCCGGATATACGCCTTCCCCGCGCCGAGAGAGTACTTAAGCATCAACTTGAGAAGAGACGAACTGTTGGAAACATGTTCGCTAAGAAAGTCATTGTTCTCCTCGTCCTCTATGCAGTTGGCAGGGCCTTGTCGTCACCCCTCGTCCGCCGTCACGGGGACAACTGTGGTAAGTATTCCAAGCACCTCAACATGAATGTGTGGTGCTGAAGAGAAATTACAGATCTGTTGATGGCTAGGGACGGGAATGTGGCCTCGACCGGTAAATCAATGACCTAGAGCGGCAGACAAAGACATACCAAAGCTAACAGACCATTTGAACGTAGCGAGTGGGGGAAGCGATGTAGAATGGGCGCCCATAGGAGAGCTCAGTGAGTCATGATTATCGCCGTATTGAACGTTGCATCCACTGCCCTAACAATGAGTGCGTCAGGCCTTGAGGAGATCAGAAAAGAGGCCTGTGGAACGGTGGAATCGCGCAGTTGGGATGAACAGATCTGACAGATCCAAAAGCAAGATAGGCCTAGCAGTGGTGAACATAACCAGGCTTTGAAATTTTGAAATTTGAAGCCTATATGAACGAATCGACTCCTGCACTTGACGAAGGATGTTTCCATGGATTGCGGCGAATCACGGTGAATGTCCAAAATGGTCGGCGCCTAATGACGGATTGGCCTGGGAAGGGCTCCATAAATAAATTGTACTTATCTTGAAGTACTTACCGTACATCGACTTGTTTTATCGAACAACAGCCATTATAAAATAGCTCTTCGAGTACGTTGTGGTAGCATCGATAGACCGTCTCCAGAGGAGAAACGCAACTTCTAGCAATCTCAAGAGTCCAACAAGCGCGCAAGTTTTATAGCAAACATGTATGGGCGCTTCTTTATACCAATGTTTTATAATGTTTAAGAGGTCGAGGTTGACGTGAACCTTGATCCCTGCGAAGACGGTTTTTACTTCGCCATCCGTGCAACGATAGAGGGTTCCTACTCACGATGGAGCGCTCACATTAGCTTCACTTCGTGACCACGACGAGAGAAAGGCATGTCTGAGCGCGACATCCCACAACTGCTTACGCCTGTTACTCCTGCAAGTCCTTTCCTCCAATTATCATTTTTCATGCGCTAATATCCATTCTTTATACGTTTGCAATGCCAATAGAGTACCTCCGACGAACCTGTGGAAAACATCATCGTTTCTGTCTCGACTACGTTCTTCCCCGGCGCAGAACATGCCCATGTACCAGGGTTCCCCGACTTCATCATCGTTTCGTCCGACAGTGTCCACTTCTACGTACACGTAGACAAACTCCTAGACGCATCTAAAAATGGCTTCAATTCCCTTCTCCCACTACGCCCTGAAGACCAAAAGGACGGGATGGAACTGGTCCTCAAGCTCCCGGAGACCTCCTCTGTGCTCAACATCATCTTGCATACCATCTATACTATTTCCTGCGCACATTATTCTCCAACGGTAGACGTAATTGTTGAAGCCGTCAATTCGTTTCCCAAATACGGGATCCCTGTGGGGACGTATGTCGCACTTTGGACACCTTTATACCAGCTCATTCTCTCCGTAGCACCTTATTCCGCCATCGAAATGTACGCATTGGCGGCCTCACACGACTTGTACGACCTCGCAGTACCGATATCTTCACATCTTCTTGGCTTTCCCTTGTCTTCGATTACCGACGACCTCGCGACGAGAATAGGACCTGTATACCTGAAGCGGCTTGTGTTTCTATATTTGAATCGCATGCGTGCTTTGAAACAACTTTTATTATGTCCACCACGCCCGCATGAAGCCACAGAGAAGTGTGATACTCTGGAGCAGAAGAAGCTTACGCGTGCGTGGGCGTTGGGTGCTGCTAATCTTGTGTGGGATGCGAGACCAGGTCTGTAGGATTGATTATTGCTTAGGTTGGTAGGCGTTGATTCTTCTTGCCCAGACCTGTCTGCAAGTTCAATAATATCCGTGCTATCTTTTCTTACAGATGGTCTAACATGTACGTTGTGCCATGACTCTCTGCAAGCTCGTATCAGGGAGCTTGTTGTTCAATGGTCTGATGTAAAGGCGAGTAATGAAGTTTGGTCTCTGGTTCTGGCTTGTCTCTTGTTTGTTTTTTGTGCAATTGCTTGATTATCCACCGATCTGATTGATCTCTTGTTTTCTTTGCAGACAACAATCTAATCATACAACACATACCTATCGAGCATTCACGGTCTCGAATATCATATACACCCCCCATCATTATCTTCATCACCATCATTGTCGCCAACAACAACGATATCCAACAACCAATCTTCTTCCACCACAACTCCGTAAACGTCTATAATATCTCAACAATCGACATCGCATACACGAATGATATCACCCACCATACTTATTACACTGTATCCATATCCAAACCTGCACGAGGCCATTTCTCATACACGTCCACATCGCCATCGTCAACCCTCCCCCAATTAATCTCCAAAACTGTATCGATAATTATCAAGAAAATTCAAATGGTCGCGGATACACGGGTGCGCCATTATTTACATACCACACACCGGCTTGGTCCCACGTAGACGAACGATTCTTCGGTTCACATTAGACTCATAGGTGAGTATGTTGCTTTTGGTCTCAAGCCTCTGGACGAGTTCTCATGTCGCACACAACCCCAATGTTTCTCGCTTTGATACATGCGATTTTGATGCGCTCTTCGATTTTCAGTTCATATCTTGCGTACTTACTTGCGAAATGATCGTCAGGAGGGTATAGAACATGTACTGCGTTGTGCCAATACATGTATGGTGCAAAACACCTAGTCACTGCTACTTTTGTACAGCGGAAACAGCAGATTTTTTATTTACTCTTGCAGAAACACACCTTTTCGCAAGAGGAATCGATTCACCATGCCAGAGGGTTTGTCGAAACTCTCAAAACTACTACAGGGCTCGTGGGAATTTGTCCACCTGCCTTATTTGGTATTTTAGCGCCCACAAGAGTATGCGAGAACCCACTCTTGGACCAGGCTGGGATCTTTTTCAGTGACAACAATGCATATCCAAAGCTTCAGGCCTTCAGGAGCTCGCGCCACTACGTCGCGCCGGTGCTGGACATGAAGTATCAACCTTTTTTGGTCGCGACCCCGAGTTGGCCACTGTCGCAAAGTAGCGGCGTTTAGGTGTTCTGCACCGTAGTGCTCAGATCCAAATTATGTCTATCGCGCATCTAATGATCTTAGACTTAAGAAGACCGTCGTGACAATATCTGGATTCCGGAAATCTTCATTTACACGGAGCAGAGAGAAGATCATGTAATGGTGACCATATGTGTAAAACATAGGATGAAAGTCATGAAAAGTATGAATATATGCGTACGACAAAGGCAAGCGATGATGACGACAGCCACAATCTCCATATGATAGCATTGCCAGGCGATAAGCCCCCTTCTCCCCACCGCAAAAAAATGGAGAGCGACGAAAGAGTTGTCGGATAAGAGACGTTTTACCGGTTAGACTTGGCGACACGCTCGAGCTCATCCTTTTTCTGTTAAGGCGAAAAACCAGAGTGAGTCGGGGAGGCGGTGATGAAAGAGGAATGGGAAAACTGACCTTGATAGCGTACGAGTTCGACGAACCCTTGGCAGCGTTGATGAGCTCATCAGCCAAGCACTCAGCAATAGACTTGACATTTCGGAACGCAGACTCGCGAGTCTATATATGCGAGAGATAGACTTAAGAACAATGTCAACTATAAATTAGTGCAAACGAAACTTACACCGGTGGTCAAGAGAGCGACAGCCTGGTTGACTCGTCGCAGAGGAGAGACATCGACGGCCTGGCGACGGACGGTACCCTGAGAACCGATACGGGTGGAGTCTTCACGGGGACCAGTGTTGACAATAGCATCGACGAGAATTTGGATAGGGTTCTGGTCGGTGAGGAGGTGGATGATCTCGAAGGCATGTGCGACGATGCGGACGGTCAAGAGCTTCTTGCCGCTGTTGCGGCCTTTCATCATCAAGCTATACGTTTGTCGCGCATTCATAAGTGAATTCAAAAAAGCGACATTTGAAGTAAGCTACGCACCTGTCGACCAATCGCTCGACAATGGGCATCTGCGCCTTCTTGAATTGCTTCTTGGCATATCGTCCAGCAGTGTGGGGGACATAGACGGCATGTCGGATCTGGATGTAATCAGTCAAGGAGATATCCTTGACCTCGACACTAATTTCATGCAACAGCAAAGTAACAGTCTTGTAAGTACACTCGGACGATGTACGAGCAGAGGTTCGAGGACGCACTCCTGAGTATCCCACTTTCCGAAAAGCTTGACTTCTTGTCCAAGCTTGGAGACGTCCTTGGGGAGAGTTTGAACCGCGGCCATTTTGTGTGGAGGCTTGCTGGAACTTGAGGAAACCGTGGGACCTGGGGATTTTTGAGGATGAGATGTCTGCGTTTGCCGCTGTGCTGCTCGATGCTCTCACTCACCGACTGACTGCCTTGTTTGGCCTTCTTTGCACCCGCCACAATCAACAAGGTTTGCAGACCACTCGGCATCTCCCGGTTCAGCTGTATAGTTCTGTCCGAATGTAGTATGCCTGTTTGACTGCTGTTGTTCGCGACGACGAGTCCCCGCATTCTCTTTGGTTTTTAGATGTAATATCTCGTCTCTTGGCACTGAACGACTTTTACTTTTTGAGACGCTCACTTACACTTCAAGCATTCAACGGAGACCTTTCTAAATCTTGTGAAACTTCCGTCTAGACAGACTTCCAGTACAGTATTCGGAATCTGTTACTGGAAAGGCGAGGCTTCGATTCTGCTTCCTGATGTAGCATGATGCCTTACATGTAGGCTCGGAAGCTCCCTTGCTTTCTTGAAGTCTTGCGAGGACAACTGTACCGTCGACAGTGGTTAGTTTGTCTCTGCCGACGTCGCGTGACAGAGCCCGGGATTCATAACGTTGCCATTTGGACGAATAGACTCACTTCACAGACGGCTAGATCTGGAATAAGTGGGATGCAGACGATGGCCTGTATCGCTCATGCGCCCAATATGGCATGCTTCTCTTGACATGTTTGCTTCTTTCAGCCTCCTTGCCTGTCCAGCCTTTGGTACATATAAACATCTCTCAGATGTCGCACCTCCTCTCTTCCTCCCTCCGCGACCGACTGCATAGCTATGTCACAACAGATCAACGACCGTGTTTCTCGTGTTGCGTGCGTCGATACCAACCAGCCTGAAGACGATGTTCGCCGTTCGCTATCCTCGTGTGGTGAAATGTCAGTCTCGTTGACGTCATGCGTTGAGAAACCCAACTGACATACGCATACAATCACCTTTCAGATGCAGAATCTATCCTTGGCACCCTAAGGAAGATATCACCCACTTCTTTGTTGAGTTTGACCACCCTTCCAGCGTTGAACGCGCTCGATCGTACCAGTCTTCCACACTCAAAGTATATGCTCTTGCCGACTGTCCGAAGATAATCAGCCGTTTCTCCTCCCTTGCTGCCCCAGTTCCCTCAATTAAGCAAGAATCTCAAGACATTCCTTCCCTCATATTACAGAATAGGCCCAAGAAGCGCCGTTCACAACGTCCAGCACGTGGAGAATCAGGTAGATTACTGGCTATATGCGTCGGACTTGGTTCACATATATTGAACAACGTTTGTCGCAGTACGCAGGAATCCATACGATGATCGCGGGCGGCCGAAACGAGGTTCTTATGAGACCAACAGGCAGGAGGGAAGCTCCATCGCGTCTTCGTCTCGCACGTACTCTCGGAGTCCTCGCAGAAATCGGGTATCGTCTGAGTATATGCGCGACTGTGGGAAGGAAAACGGCCAGAGCAAGATTTCTTCACCATCTGCATCCGTGTCTACCTCCATGGCCGACGCTGGTCGCTTCATGGATGTCGACGTGCAAGATATTAACGGTGATTTTTTCAGTTCCAATGCCTACTTTCCTTCTACCATGCCATTCCCCCTCTCTTTCGCGATGCCTGGTGTAATGCCGCACAGTCTTCCGTCACTCTCCTTTGCCTCAACAAATTCGGTTGGTTCTCTTCCGACGCCAGCCCCATCAACACCAGCCCCCACGCTTTCGCCGTCCATCATCTTGTCGTACGAAGGCGGCAGCTTCACTTGCGACCTCGATGCTCTCTCGGAGGATCCTGAGGGCGTGATAGGCGTTTTGAGACAGACCGCAGCTAACGCATTGGAGAGGGATAAATGGATGATCGTCGCTGGGCACTATCGGGGGAAGGGAAACATCTTGGCTGCGTTGGCCGTGATCACTGTTATGATTGAAGGCATGTATTGCTTGAGGCCCGGAATTCCCTATTGACGGCTGATATCTTCCCCTCAGTAATGACGTCCCCTGTCGTGGGGATCCCAGAGCGTGAACTCAAGCCTGCGTTCCTTATGCTCTCGAGTTGCCATACCGATCTCGCCAAGCGAGCTCGTATCGCATCGGGTCCTGAAGATGACGGAAGGCGCGAACACCTTCGCAAAGCTCAAGAGTGTTTACAGAAGGTGTATGGCAAGAACGTTCCCAGTTCTGACGATAAACCGCTTGCTGCTCCTCAAGCCAGTCGAGGCTACCTCATCAATGCTGGCAACCTTCAGAGTAATGATCCTTTCGCGACAGTGCAAGATGATAGAACACCTACGAAGTCCGGTGGCAGAACCATCAACGATCTGGAACGAGAGAATCAGTCCTTACGTGATCGTCATCGCAACCTAGGCAAGAGCCTGTCACAAGCAAACGTTGCGAAGCGCAAGGCGGAGAACGACCTGGATGATGAGCGGCATCTTCGACGTAAAGCCGAACGCGACTTAGCTGGCGTTCAGCAAGAGCTATCATCAGCCCGTCGGTCTGAGCGTTTCGCTCTGGAGCAGTGCCGACGTGAAGTTGAGAATCGACGCAAGGCTGAAGAGAGAGCGGCCAAGTTGAAAGACGAGTTGGTCAAGGTGAAACACGATTTGGAGATTTCAGGTGAGGGCATAGCGGAGAAGGAAAGGCGGGCGAGGGAGTGTTTCGGACGACTTGGTATGATATTCTTGAAGGCTGCCAAGGGCGAGACTGCAGGATTGGAGGAGATCCCTGGTACTCTGGCAGCTGGGAGTGGAAGTGGACTGTCGACTTTAGATGGGTTCAAGGCAGAACGCCTTAGCGTAAGCGTGATCAGTCAAGGATAGGCTTGCTTTTCATTCACTACATTCTGAATACACTGTATCTGTTATCTGCATTTTCGGAGTTTACATTCGCATATATTTGATGCCTTTGCCTGCAGTCATCGTTGTGTCACGACCTTTTGTTCGCGCTGTGTCCTGTGATATAATTGTACCAAGTAGTTGTACATCTGCCCCTTCAATGACCCCCTTGTACTTCAAGCGCAAAAAGGTGTGATGGAAGCATACACGGATATGGACATGTCCGGGATTGAACCGGACCCCTCTCGCATGCTAAGCGAGCGTGATAACCAACTACACCACATGCCCGTGTAAATTCACCTCTCGATCTAAAACTCAATGCAAAAAAACTCACAACTTCCTTTTTAAGCGAGGAATGTCTACAAATGGCTAGAGCATCTTCCCCCCTCACCCGCCTTTTAGGAAGTACCGGGTGCGCAGCTTGCACATGAAAATTCGATGAATATAAAGCTATTCGCACAGTCATAATCCGGACGAACAAAGTAGTATGAAATGACATGATCATGGATACCAAAAAGCCTGAAAAGCACAAGCGAGAACAAGACTCGGAGCCCAAAGTTTCTTCTTGTCGAAGTACCCACATAGTCGTATCACGCCTGCAGGGAGTCAAACCAGGATGACTCAACCAGTTTAGCTTCTCCTCTCTGCAACGCCATGCTGATGCGATTCCAGCGAGGGAAGCTAGATTCTACGTCCTTGTGCACGAAATAGACAGGGTTCACGCGATCATGTCGCCATGGATCGTAATACATGTCTCGTTTGGTAGGGTTGTCAATATTATGTCTGTAGGAGAAGAAGAACGGATATGGAAATGAGAGTTGAGTTGAATGCTAGAGGATCATAATAGGACACTCACTCGGTTCGAAGGTGATCTATCAAGGAGCTGTGGGTACGTTTACAACGGGCCATCCATTGGTAGTAGGAAGTACGCGGACAACGAGAACAAATCCAAGCGGAGTGGGTGAAGTCCTTCCTCCGAGCCTCTTCATTAGATTTTGCCGTTGCTTCCATAGTAACGATGTCAGCGAAGTGCTCCGAAGGAACTTGTTCCCATGAAAGTTCATCTTTGTTAGAGTGTCTGTCTGATACTCTATGTTCAACCTATTCCGTTTCATGTGAGTCGAACTGCAGCGAAACTGGACAGAGCGACGTACAGCGGCGCGCCATGTGTAGACTGCACAAACACCTTCTTCCGGGCATCCAACCCCAGTGCATCGAAGTCGAATGTCCAGAGCATCCATTTCCTCCACAGTGACCCGCGTAGGATCCTGGTTACAAGCTTCAATAACTGCTCTGACTGTACTTGCCAAACTGTTCATCTTTTCAACACTGGTTGGAACATCACCGTGCAAGCGCGATACGATTTCCACGTAGGTATCGTCAAGTCCGGGGGCTGGGGGAGCAGACATCTCATGCGAGCTTCGATGAACGAGAAAATTCGGATATGTTGCAATAAAGGAACGATATCCAGGCGGTCCGGGTTCGGTGCAGTGAAAGTACTGGGATACTGCCAAGGAGAACGGATCGACGTCGGTGGGTAACGAAATCTGGGAGGCGACAAGTTCGGAAGGCTCAGAGCGTTTGCGATCTCGCCACAAGTTTGTGAAGTCATAGAAGATATGTTCGAGCATCGAAAAATCTATATCTTCACCTGGTTTCCGAGACCGTCTTATTGGGGCGTCAATTAACGAGGCCACCTGTGGTTCCACAAGGAATTCTTGAGTAGGAGGACTGATTGGACCCACGTAGCGTCGCCACGGAACAATGGATTCTTCCAGTTTTGCAATTCGGCGTTTGATTTTGGCTACCCGCGTTGCATACAGGCGACGTGCTCGTATTTCTTCCATTGCACTGAGAACTTCTTCTTTCATGTTCTTCCAAGCTGCTCGACAAACGCCGAATTCTGGATCAACCAGGTGAACACACCAAAGATGTATCAAAGATCACGCACCGCGATCGGTCAAAGGTTTAGGTTGTAACACTCTTGGTATCTTCAATAACGGGTGACCGGCACTCGGATACGCCTGTTCAGCGTATTCGATGTCTCTGTTATATCCAAGATCGCGAAGACGCTGTAGTATGCTGTATTCCATGTGACAAAGTTGAGAAGGAAAGTTGTCGATGATAATGAGTAACTACTCACTCTTCGAGTCTATCTTCCCTCAAATCTTCGATCTCCTTCTGCCGGGAGTCCTTACGGTCCACATACCAGTCCTCGCACCGGGTTGAATGCTTATTGAATGCATTATTTAGCCACCCTGTCTCAATGGTCACAACTAATGAATCAACTCACCGAGTAGAGCTCTTTGTAACGAGCACTGTACTTAGCCACAAATTCCTCATACTTCGGCTTTTTCGTTCGTCGCCATTCTTTCATGATTTCTTTGACATAGGGCTTATATCGACGCAAAGAATAGTTGCCATCACCTGAAACAAAGAGAATCAGCGTGCATTCCGATGGGCCAATGAGCTCCAACTAGCAAAAGTACGTACACCCAAGTAGCTCATCGGGATCAGGCAGTGGTTTCTTTGTGTACTCATCAAAAGCGCCAGAAATTTCCCAAGACCGATAGAACCTACGAGGCACATGGTGGCGATGGTCAGGAGAAGGGAATACAGGTGACAGAGAAGAATGTACATTTCTTTTGAACAGGGTTTGCAATACCTTGCCATTGCCACCCAATATACAGTCTGGATATTTGGCCTGAGGCATTCCTAACATGGGTTCCGGTCTGGTCAGCAATACGGCAATTGGAATGATAGATTGGCCACATACATGACAATAGTTGTCGAAAAGGAGATTCGCGTACGCGGGTTCACTAAGAAAGGGAGGACATGGAGGTAAATCTTCAACATTCTGACGAGCAGCCCTCCAAAATGGAGCCGCAGAACGATGCATAAGGAGTTGTCGAAACGGTTTCGAAGTCCTGGCTAGATTTAACAAATCAAAAGGTTCCAAGTGGACAAAGATCTATGGGAAGACGGGTAAGTGGGTCTACCGTGACGACGAAGGAAATGAACGCGTTACATCGAAAAGAATGTCTAGGGGCATTTCAGGCATGTCTTGAAGACTACCTCTACGGCCACGTAGGTGACGACGGTGAGCAACCACTTGGACATCATCATCGGTTTTCTTGGAAGAAACCTTTCTTCTCTTAGCAGCAGGACCACCCGCTGCCTTTCGTCGCTTGTTGGCCATAATTTGGACGCTAACGTGTCAAGTTGACTTGTAAGTTTCTTCAAGTAAGTACAGGGCCTGGGGGCTGAAGAAGAACTTGAATGGACGATCTCCGTCGGACGCGTATAAGTACACTTCCGAATGCGGTCAGGTGATGGAACCAACTTGCCAAACGCGTCTGTGGTTCGGAAGGACAATGAAGACGGAACAATAGAACACCTAGCGAGCTGCTCGCCACGGCTGTATTGAAATTTGAAACGAGTCCTACTGCTAGTATACCTACCTCCTAGCGAGACACGGTCAACTTCTATACGGCATCAAGTGCAATGTTAGATACTAGTGCACTGTCTATGATTCTGAGTTGACTCGGAAGTCACAACACAAGACTGGCATGAAATTCAAGTTTAACGCTTGAGGAAAAGTGCCTCTACCGGCAATGTGGCCACCGACCAAGATCTGATCAAATAGTTCGACAAACGCTAATGGAAAACAAGTCGAACTGGCCGATTCTTTATGCTCAGTCAGGTTGTTATGTATATCGTAACAAACGATTGAACATATTATAGGTGCTAGTATCAACGAGCTTTATGCCTCCAAAACGTGTATATATGAACATGTTTGTGCTGGAAGTAAGTAAAAGATAGAATGGAATGCGTGTATAATTAGAGTGAATGATAACCTTTGATATTCGTCGTGTATATCCTTGCAAAGATCAGAGCTCGGTATATTGCACATTATGGGCCTCCTGTTCAAACTAATTATCATCCGAGATCAGCTCAGATACGCCTCTAATATGATTAGTGTAGTTAGTATACATCCCTGGGCAACTTCCCAACTTACTAGTAACATACCTGTGCGAGTGCCCATTCAGACATGAGCTGTTGTATCCGGGCATCCACTGAAGCTCTACAGAGTTCGCAAGTGAGTTGGCTCTCCATGGTGCCTAGAACGTTTTGCATCCTAGTCGGTGATAAGTCTGGATATATAATTAGTTCTCCGTAAAGGATGTTCGGATTAACGATACAGCATTACCGGGTCGAGCATCCCATGCAAGGCTAGCACACGACAGTGCCCAGGCTCTCGTTGTTCGTTGCTGCTGATCGATGCCGCAGTCGAAGGTCGGCGGATGTGAAACAGGTGGCGTAAGCATGAGTTCTTGCAATATATGGGTCCGATTGATGTGAAGGAAAAAAAGCTTCTTCAGGTATATGGGACCCATTCGAGCGGCCATTTCATCGTTGACAGTTGGTAGATGAAACGACAGCAAATGAGGAGAAACGGCCACTGCCAAATCGCGCAGGTCATTTTCAGCGGCGACCATATATAACTCAATTGCGTGCATCGGGGCTTGTGTGAGAAGAATGGGGAATAGCGGGGCGGTAGGGTTGATGTGTTCGCCCAAAGAAATGCCATATTTCTTCAGAGTCATGATTGATGCGATGAGAACGGCCAGGGATGGGTTATACTGACTGCATGATTGTTTATAGATGACGTGAAACACAACATTGATAACATCCGAAGTTTCTGGTAGAGGTACTACCGGAGCTGATCCCGGTGCAGAAGCTGAGTCGGAAGTGGACACCAGGTAATTAAAACTGTTTGTTGAGGCTCTGATAAGATGGTCGCGGTGGACGTGGAAGAAAACCCGATCAGATGACCTGATAATGAGGTCTGGAATGTAGACGTCGGAATGGGAGGCGGGGTGGAAGGCTGTGGAGACTGAGACTGTCACCGTCTCCGAAGTCGGGGAACCAATCTGACCGAGAAATTTTCTGTGCTCGATGTTTCACCGTAGGATGGCACACGACGACTGCTCACCGGTGTCGGTTCTTGGAGAACAGAATCCATCTTGTCTTCTGAGGGATTGACGGAAGAGGCCTCATGGAGAAAGGAGGGCATCGGGGGGATGGGGAGGAGGGATTGGTCGAAGTACTCCATGGCTGGCCGAACAACGATGGGTGTTCAGGTAAAGTTACTTCCTGTACTGAATATCGAAGCGTGGATTGTGGTCAACGGCCCAAGGTGAGGCCGTCATCATCGATCCGGCCCCAAAACCTCACGGTCGAGTTTGTTCATCGCCTCCCGGTCTTGATATAGGTTGTCCTTTATCCGTTCCTAGAGCCTAGGCCCGCTTCGAAGCTCCTGCCCTCAGCTTCAAGTTACCTATATAAGGGCATGCCTCCTGAACGTTTGAACACTGGCTGGAACCTCCGAAAGTAGCGGCCTTGGATACTGGGTAACCTGAGCTCCGGGATACAATGCCACTTGTACAGTACCACGTCGGATAACCCGCAGGATTGCCAACATGCTGTGATTCGATATGTGACTCACATTAGTTGCTTCCAAGGACACATCCCTGAAATATTGATTGCTGGCAAAAGCCGAAGTGCCATTGCCATCGCGGGCTTAGCCATATTTACTTGTTTTCCGTCTCAAGGTCTTTCGTCTGTTTCCCGTTTTCTTCAAATCCATTTCTAGGCCTACAGGGCGCAACGGTGGCTCTGGCTTAACTCTCGCTGTCTTGATTTGTTTTCTGCATCCGTAGTACACGAGACAGACGCGTCTATAGATGCCGCCACAATTTCGATCTCCGCTAGGAACTCCAGGTTCGATAGCTACGGTCCTGATGTTTTAGGCAGTTGTCGATGTCGAAGAATGGCCGGCGAAAACAAAACAGCAGAAAAAAGGTGCTTTGCATCTGCGAAGTACGTGTATTATCGAGTAGACATGCAGCGTGCACGAGATGTTATTGAACGCTCTCCTCCCGTCCCAGAGATGCAGTTGGCAGATGAGTATCTGAAATCTGCCTCCCATAGATTACGTTGAGTGGAGCTGGACGGTCGTATTATATCCCCAGGTGTCTGTCGGACGACCTACTGCCTAGGTCATTTTGACGTAAGGAGGCTCGACCATCCACCTCGCCTTAAACAGCTTGCTTGACGCAAGCTCCTAAAGGAATGATTTGAAATTGAATACAGATATGGATTCCCGCAAGCCTCACAAGCAAATGGACGCATTACAGTTATTTGCGGAACGAAAGGCCACTTTAGCAAAAGAAGAAAAAACAATGCAGCACAGAGGCTTTCGAGATCCGCTCTCGGCTTAAGGTGATACTCGTCCTGAGAAGCTGCAAGCTCTCCTGCTCCACGAATTCTCCTATTTCTGTTCGTAATTGGCTCCGCAACTTCCGCCTTATTCGAGAAGCGGTGTATAACGCCTTGAAGAGCACCGCGATCGCAATGAACATGCAAAAGGGACGTCACCATAGAGCTCGGCGAAGAGAGATATCTTGTCTTAGCATGGGGCCGCTCTCAATGCGCAAAGTACGTCTCAATTATAACTCTCTCAGGTACAGTTTGACAGTCAAAAACCAGAACAATCGAACCTTCGTCGAAAAACAATGTAGCCTAGTATTGATGCAAGACGCCGTACGAGGCCGCGCCCCTGCGTACAGGAGGTTTACCAACCCGACCATATAAACTGCTCTCTTCTGGTATGTGATCGTCACTCACATCACCGCAACGATGTGTTTTCCTCAGACTATATCTGTGAAGGTTCCCGGGGGATGGGACTGCGGAGTGGAGCATTATTCAACCTGCGGTCAAGTCGCATCATATCTGAAGGCCTATCAGACATGGCGGGAAGGCTTGAGAATGAAAACCTACTTACGCTGCGTTCAGGAAATCTGTTACTATATTGCTTTGAAGATATCCACAGTGTCATCGAAGCAGAATGTATCGATCAGAGTGACTATTTTCCCCCATCGACTGTGAGCAGGTGGGAGATCAGAAAATGCAAGCCTGCAGTTGTGGACTGTCTCGGCGTTCCAGAGCACACTTCCACACGCCGCGTTGCCAATGTCCATAGCCGAAAGACATCGTCCATCTTTTCTATTTTCTATTCACGCCATCGGTACAGCGACATCATCGGGCATTCTAGTAACACAGTGCAAACCCGAGAGGCAAATCATTAGAACACCGAGACCATCATGTTATGACAACCGATGCAGAATTCAGGTACCAAGCTCGCAGCGGCACTAATATATGCTATCAGGCAATGATGTCAGCTATAGCTTAGACGTAATTGATAGAGGTACAAATACAAGCTCCATATTCGCAGCCACTTCAACCCGAGAGACTCTCAGAACAGTTGATGGATACTGGCAGAACAGATAGTGGCATATGGATGACTGAAGTAATTCATACCAGTGTAGCATATTTTCAATCAGGGCGACCAGCACGCTCTTCGTATTTTCGAGGTGCTAAATCACCGGGGATTGAACTGATGTGAGAAGAAGCAACAAATATGCTCACCGCTCGAAGACCATCATGCGTATACATTGATGATTGGATCAAAATCAAGAGTGTACGTTCGGTAATGTACGCCAGCGTGAGGACCACCAATCGGTGATTTATGATCACAGAATCGAATCGAAGGGCAAGACTGCCGCCCTCGTCCTGATCGTTAGCGAAGCAACGCCGATGACACCGACCTGAATGTAATTTTGGAAAGGAGCCTATCACTTTGAAACCTAGCTGTAAATCATTCCTAATAAAGTGTCATAGTGGTCATTAGACTAGACTAATATGCGTACGAAACGTAGAGATTGGCAAGCCGTATATGATAAGCGGGGCACTAGTCCCACCTTGGATCGTGCTGACACGCTTCGGCCGGGCCACCGAAAGTGGGACAGTCCGCAAACTGTTCGAACGTGCTAGCGAAGCCATCGGAGACGCAGATGGATAGCCTGCCGTAGAACAAGTATACGAAAGGGATTCGAACTTACTACTTTCAACGCAGATTTGTCGCGTTGTTGGCGAGAAGTTTCTAATCGAGTTCCTCTTCGCATCCTTAACTCCACAACGCAAGAATAAACCAGCTGAAAAAGGTCATCAGATAATGCGATGTAGATTCGTGAACAACGCCATACCTTCGCACGCTATTGCACGCATTCAATCGGAACCTATCTCCCATTATATAAGGTCCGTGCATATTGGCAGTCGGACCGAAGAAAACGATATCACGGTGACCGCAGCATTCGTTGAATGGAAGTTGACGTTGTCGCGGACCTACTTATGCCCGGCTTAACGTTGTTAGTGCGTCTGAATTGAGTTTCGAAAAATATCCCATTCATAGATGAAGGTACCAATTCCAGGATTCCAATAAAAACTAACCATGGAGGAAATGTAACACACCCCAAGAAGGCGAGAACAGTCTCGAAAACTATACAAAGCAAGAATTAACAGACCCTCTTCTTCATGGCGAACGTTGATCAATGGCATCGAAATCTCGGAGGCTGGGTGAAATCGTCCTCTATAAATTATTGCTTAGTCACAGTCCGTGGTAGTGAGATAGAGACACACCGGCGTGATAGTCCACTTTTGAACAATATCCCTCACACGTTCAGCCACTGCTTCTTTGCATTGTCCACACGATATGTCATGCTGAAGAGAACCCAACACAGATTGCAAAACTGCAGGAGAGAGATCTATTGCACAGAACATAATGAGCTCAAGTCGCACGATGGTCACAAGGAGCCTACCTGAACAAACTTCACAAGTGAAACTGGTGGATGCCAGAGCCCAAGCTCTGGCCACTCGCTTCTGTTCCACAAACCCGCAGTCAAGTGTAGGGGCATGTTCGCTAGGAGGTTGGAATAGCAACCTTTGTAAAAGCTGTGACCTGCGCATGTGAAGGAAGAAAAGTCGCTTGAGATAATGTGGACCCATACGCGCAGCCATATCATCATCAATCCTGAACAAAGGGAATGCGAGGAGGTTCGAGGAAGCTTCCACCGCGAGATCGAATAAGTCATTCTCAGCCGCCACCATGTAGACCTCAATGGGTTGGAGAGGTGCCTGAGACACGATCTGTCTAAAGAGGGCCGTTCCACGAGCAACATAACGATTTAAGGGCATGCCATACTTCTTCATGGCATTGACAGCTATAAGAACATTGTCTAGAGAAGGAAAGTAGTGACTGAAAGAAAGGTTATAGATGCAGTGAAGGACTAGGTTCAAGACGATGGCGTCTTCAGGCAGGGACAATATGTCCGACGTTCTCAAAACCAGCAGAGCATTGAACGCATTTTCTGAGGTCTCATTGAGACGGGAGGTGTGAACATAGAAGAAGACGTTATCGGAAGATCTCAGCACAATATCCGCTGGAGTGGGTATGAGCTTGGATGATGGCCCGAAGACCGTGCTGACAGATACAACGATGTCCTCTTCGACCTTATTCGCTGGCTCGTCCGGCTGCATAATCACGTAAGAAAACTTGCTCTGCTTGCGACCGACCCAAATGCTCACCAACGTCGGCTGAAACTCCGAGTGGCCTCCGTGCGTAGTATCTCCTGAATGTCTGTATTGGACTAGGGGAATATCCGGAAGCATGTCTGCTGGCCCGGGATACTCATTGACGAAGTCATAACAGTCCATAATGGGATACCAGTGGTGGAGGGAAGACGTTGACGAGGTTGAAGTCCGTGCTGTACATTGCGTCCCACCTTGAATATGAACTAGTCCACAATGAGTAGGAGAATTCGAAGGCGTACCTCTCGAATGTGCTCACTGACCTTCAAGGTTACTTATGGTCACAGATCCCACCAGCATATAAAGTACACACTAGGCGGGGAATGGAGGAGCAACGTCGGGAGCAAGGTCAATATAAAGTAGGCGGCAAACCCGAAGCATATGCCTGAGGCCTGAAGCCAGGAAGGCCTAAGGCCGGACTCGGAAGTACTTGATCGTTCCAACGGAAAATGCCGGATATGGCACCTTTATATGCTCTCAACAACCGCATCCGTAGGTCCGACGAAGGGAAGGAATATGTATCACGTAAAAGAACATGAGCGCGAACCATACATAATGAAGCAACATCCACATCTGGAGGTAAGTATATATAGCAGTCCGATAGCTCTATCATACTGGCGTCCTTGTAGTCAGTCACACGCCCCATACTGTTATCTGTATTCCGCCCCACAATCACCAATGGTCATAATTAGATGAGGCCCATTCGACCTTTGCAACACTAACTCAACAGCATCGAAATCTTCCTGCGTCAACCGAAGATCCGACACCTTCTTATTGTCATCTGTATGATCCGAGATGCCTAACCTCGCGCCTACAGATGTGATTGAATTGAAGATTGAATCGAAGAGAATTCGTATACGACGAGGGAAGACCTACCAATGATTACGGCTCCGACGAACGGGTGGTCTAACACCCATCGCGTAGCAACATTGGCAATGCTAATACCGCCGTGTCGGTCGCCAATAGCGCGAAGACTTGTAAGAAGCTCTTGAAATAAGGTCCAGTCGCCCCATGCCTTGACAATCATGTCGAGATACTGGTTAAGAATATGATTCAGTAAAAAATGCTGCTCAGTATGACACTCTGTACCTTGCGTTGAGATGGAGTCAAGTCACCCGCGTATGAATCAGGCTGGGGCTGATTCAACCACCGATCAGAGAGAAATCCCCCGCACTGCACAATGATAAATCACGCTTCAGATTGCCTGTTGGAATCGCTGACGAGGTTTTCACTCACCAATGTGCCATAGGTCAGCAATTTGACATTATGTTTCCTGCAGACGTCGGCCATTCCATGTAGCGGCCTTGTATCAATCAAAGAAAACTAGGAACACAGGAGTTATTAAGCGGTAGGAACTCTTGGTATTGCCAAGCATACCTGAACTTGATTGGAGACAACCGCACCAGGGCCTAGTTCAGTGCAGATTTCATCCGTTCGTATAGCATCGAAGTTGCACAGCCCAAGGGTTGTAATCTTCCCTGCCACTTGAAGGTCCCGAAGATGGTGTAACGCCGTAATATATCCTCTATCGTTGTAATCCTGCCAGTGGAACTGCGAGAGGAACAACGTGTCAGCCATTCAAAGCAATCACAAAATTTCAATGACAGGCTGTACCTGAAGCAAGTCGATCGTCTCACATTGCATTCTATTCAACCGCTCTTGTACAGCAGCCTGTACACTTTGGCGGGTAGGGTTTGTCGTTCGGAAAACACACCATTTGGTTGCCCCGAATGCGAACTCAGGTGGAGATAACGTCTTTCGGAACTGTCCCTACACGTAGAGGATGGCCAGTTGTAAGAGTTCTTCGCAGGAAGTCGCACATGCTTACAAAGAGAATTTCTGAGCTACCGTAGTGATCCGCTAAGAGTAGTGTCAGTCAAACGCATCGATTGAGATCAACGCATGTACATACCCTAAATAGAAATGATAGCAGTCATGGATATCCATCAACCACTCGAGCGTAAAGATTCTTGGTACACACCATGTCTATAAGAGACTCGCGGAGTTAATAAATTGTTCCATAGAAACGTAAAAAGACGCAAGGAGTTCCTGCTCACCAAATGCGATGTAACCCTGTTTGGCATACACTGACATTTGACGGCGAACTTTGGAGGAAGGTGCACTTCCCCATGCATTGCTGGACAGTTGCCACAGTCCATTCCAGAGGCGAGGGAGAGTGAAAGGTCCTAGCTGGACAGTTTCCCCCGTGAGGGTGCGCGGAGAAGCCATATTTGGGATATCAAAGCAGAATAGTTGGAATGGGCGGCAACCTTGCACTGAGTGGGCCCTTCTTATTTCAACGACACTCGTCTGTATTCCTTCGAGTCTTTTATATGGTCCCGGGATCTGGTCACCGCAACTTTCATTTCATGGGCTGACAATCTATAGGTGAAGATTCCAAGAGGGGATGCGCTCGGAGTCCGAGCATCCGTGCAGTGACAGTCATAATTAGAAAGGATGCACCGAATGCCAGTGTGGCACCAGCAAAGGCACACTGGCAGAAATCATCCCGGAAAACAGAATGGCGAGCATGTTAAACGCTGTCTTCCAATTAAACCGTATATCAATGGAACGCCCTCACCGAAACTGACGCATACAAATTTGACAGAAATCACTGTCGATATTATGTCATGCCCATCCGTGGACTCGTTAGAAGGACTAGAAAATTTTGTGGCCATGCGGACCATGTGCATGAGAGAGTTGGAGATCTCGATTCTGATCGACGTTTGTAGGTAAGTTGGCTGATTAATCATTTGTGCCTGTAGTAAACAGCACTGTATTGAAGTACAGCATCATGTTAGCCAGTCAACCATAGCAAGTCATTGGCGTACCTGTATAGATTGGGTGAGGCATGCATCGCACTCGGAGGCTGACGCAGCCCCGCCAATGCCTGCTTGGACTGCGTGTGCAGCTTGTCAATGCTGACTATGACGTTTATTCAAATTATTCAACATAAACGTGTCACTGTCTTCTGTCTACTTGAGGTAGGTACATGAATACCTGTTGAAACGGTTGAAAGGTGCTGCTTACTTCCGCGATCGCATTAGTACAGGCCTACAGGGCACCGCCGCCAGAGCCGAGTGTCGGTCGCTGAAGTACATCCGGAAACACGCCACTCGAACCCCTGGTCGTTAATCGGGCTTTTAGTGCAGGGGGAAGATGTACGAGCGTCCGAACTGTGTCCGTTCTTACAGTCGTCAGGGTCCATACCAAACATGGGCACGATACCCGGTGTTTATATTTGAGACCGGTGCCCATAAGCGAGGCAGGAGGTTATGTAGCATCTGTACCGAGAGCTTGTACGAGTGATACCGGGTAGCCCATGAATATATCTCAGAAATAATCTTGGCCAGCCGAAGCCGACCCCGCATACAACCGTGAATTGTGATATAAGAAGCCACTGCTGCCCAAGTACTCCAGTACACATCTACACATCCATAGCTGAAACCTAGTTCTACTTATCCATTCTCACCATGCCCGGAACCGTTATGGATTCGCCCCGACCCACCCTCGGACATGTGTGAGTACGACATTAGACGGCGGCGGCAAGATTTAGCTCACGATGCTCGCACAGCAATCTTATGCTCGACACATTCCTAGCTAATGCTACCGTCAATGAGCGAGTTCTCACCCAGTTATTGTACCTACAATGTTCACTCACCGCAACCACAACAGCCTGCGAGCAATCGTGCGATCAACATTGGCCACATCTCCGCCTAGCACCTCCGCCTCCTTTATCGAATCCGCAAGGAAGAGACTACAGCAAACATATGCTAAGGTACCAGTCGCATCGAAGGGTCTGTTTGTGACATTGGAGAATGGATACTCCATCCCGGGCCCTGCATTGCAGGACACTCTCTCGGCCACACGTTCATTGTACGGGGCAGGGATGGGTATCATAAGCCTCCAGAAATTTGCTGAAGTTATCCGAGCGACAATCGGCCATAGGTGGGACGAAGATAGTGAGCTGGAAGCCATGTTGGCGGTTATCGATGCAGATATTGCCCAAGCAATCCAAAGCTCCAAGGAAGAACTTTTGAGGGACAATCCCGGTGACCGCGCAGATGCGATTGCCGCTGTGGCTCAGTTAACGTCTGTCATTGAAGAGAGCCGCGTGGATATACAGAGATGGGATGGCGATTTTCCATTTGAAAGGGCGGCAGACAGTTTACGATACTTGGTTTTATGAGGAATCAGTCTTTTTGTATAACTTGTCCATCATGGTAGTAAAACGTACCCTGGGTTTTAACAAGGAACACATATGAAGCCTACTCCCGTATATAAAAAATGGTGCAGGTTGCCCTGCCGGTGTCGGGGGGTTCGTGGTAGTTCTGAATTTCTAGATAGATCAGGGAACGGTTTGGTGCGGGGTACTGAGAGGATTTGCTCGGGAGATCTTCTGACATCCATAAGATGGTGAATTTTTGAGTGACCGAAGAGAACGGTCCATCCCGGGCTCTTGGACGCCTCACGTCAGGCCCCACAAATTGCCTTGAAAAGAGAATCTTTATTGATACCGATCTCCAATGACCCCGACCTGGATCAAAAGAGCAAGGTTTGACTGTGAATATAGCCGGATAAGCAAAAATGAAAAAAAAGCGCCGCAGTTATCGGCAACAGCAATGGCTCCCGGCAACGGCTATTTCTGTCCCTCCGACCCTCTCCAACCCCCTCACGTCCGCGCGCAAGAGGGTTATCTGCTTTCAGTTCCTGCGGGCTATCAGCAGTAGGTGATAGTCCTGGCGAGGTACCACTGAGACAGACAACTGATCATAGAATGGTGGCAATCTTGTCGCAACCCTTTCTGTGATGTCAGCTTGGCCCAGTCTATATATGAAACGTTCTTTCAGCTCTAGTGCCGAGTAAATGCTTCTATATGTTGTAAGAACCTATTGATTCACATCAATTCATCGATGGGATGAATTGGCGGAGGGAGGGGGAGGATCACATATACTCTCACGAGACATGAATTCCTCCGAAGGGTTTCTAAGTCTGAGACTTATAAAAATGATACGGCAACCGACTCGGCCCCCAAAGGTTTTTTGGGGAATTCTTCATACCTGTCGCACACATTCTATAGGAGTGACTTGAGTGCAGGTTACAACAGTCGGCATGTTCAGGCGGAGCAGCAGACTCACTAAGGTACGGTGACGGGGAGGCAGACCGCCCATAGGCTCTGGGATATCAGTAACACTAGAGGGATAAGGTTCAGACGGTTAGGCTGACGCTATCGGGCGTGTAAAATCCCGCCAAAGAGACTTAGAGATGTGTGGAAATGCAGTAAGGTTTCAGACGTGATGGATGAAGGTCAACCTTCTCAACCACTTTACCCATTTCGAACAAAGACGTCCTACCGGTATTCGCCGACGATATTACCTATTAAATTACTCATTTGACGTTGATTGATGTGTATAATCCTCGCATTGCCTTTGAACACCTTGGCATTCGACAACAGCCATCTCCCTTCAATAATGCCGCATATACTCAGGCCTTTTCACCACCATCCGAGGTACATATAGCAGTTTATCACTGCTTGACCGGAGAAATGCACCACTTAATCACGTACACTGTCGGCGCCGCAGTCCATCATTTTTTCACTGAGGTCCCAAGCTTTCATGCGTTCGGAACTGCTCTGACTCAAATAGTCGCTTGCCTGTATGTTCCATGAATTTGATACTACGATCTCTGCCAATCCCTTCTATCCACAGAACTCGCGAGCTGCGGACTAAGCGTACCAAGTGTTCTTGTCCACGTTATATCCAAATCATCGGACCCTTGTACATATCAGTATACAGCCTCAACTTCTCGGGAATACCTGCTATGTTTGAAGCCATTTGTTCCTTGTGTTTAGCCTGTGGTGAGTAACATTGCTATATTTGCCTTTGAACTCCCCACAGATTGGATGGAATGGACTAGAACTCTGTTACAACTTGTTATCGCTTGCAATATGTGTATTTTGTCTATTCACTCACGGTTTTCTGTTGAACACCCTCTCTTTTTTGAGTTTCTCAAACAGTTTCTACCTTCGTAGATATATCAGTCAGCGTTTGCTTTAGTCTCCACCGTGTCACGCCGACATGGAAACATTCTTCCGACAGTCGGTGACTGTAAAGTCCGTCCAACAACACAGTCGACATTTTTCTTCTCATAAGACTTCAGTATATGGTATATGGACCGAGGAGGAGGATCCGCTGTTGGACACAGTACCTGTCTATGAATACCCCCGTATACTTCCGGCTTTTCGAGTCGCAATGTTTGCTTACCAAAGTTGTTAGCTTGGAGTAATCGCGGATTCCGAGGGTAGGGAGCGATTTCGGAAGCCTCTGCACAGGCTCAGCAATAAGTTTTACCTGCGTGGGTATCGAACCCATGCCTCTCCGCTTTTCGTTCACAACTGACTACGTCTCCTATTGGGTGCTAGCGATGCCCTAGCAGAGGCCCTTTAGGAGGATGTCACCGTAGCCACTCAGTTGTCAACGGCCGGAGCTCCCCTCTGTTGGAGCTCCCCACTGTCGTCACACAAGCTCGAGCTTGTCTACTTATACCTGGTGTCGGCGCTGTCGACAGGCAACGCTCCCTGTCCCGACTCCAGGTACGTGCATCACATCTCCATGCATTAGTTATCGTCGACGATACTAATGCTTCCTCTTTCGACTCCAGGAGTATTATTATCGAAGATCTATCATACTCGCGCAGCATTTTTCGACTACTTTTACCCGATACTAGGCTTTAGCTCAAAGCCCCTATCTCCATCTATATCTCATCCTTCATGCCTGACCATGAACATGAAGCTATTCATGAAGGCGATGATGAATCACCTTCCGATACATCTCAAAGACACACCATTTCTTCCGAGATTGATGTTTCCAAAGCGGACGAGGTTCAAGAGCGGGCCGAAGTATTGCAAACACTCGTCAATGAAGCTTTGCGTGGAGAACTTGACGAGGTCATGCTTCAGTCCCAACTTGCGGAGCTTCACACTTCTCCCGAAGAAGCCCAGGATATTCTCGATCAAATTGTTCAGCAACGCCAATCTAACACTGAACAAGAGATTATTTCGTTTGGAAGAGAAACAAGTGACACTGAACGGAATGATGACCAAAGGTTACGAGACCAAGCTGATGCGATTGCTTGGGCCGTCTTTCAAGGTAAACTTGATGCTGCCCGAAAACTTTCCGTTAATCCTGGCTCTTCAAACCTTGATGCGCTCCGTTCTTTGTTATCTCTTCCCTCATCTTCTCTCAGTAACACTGGAGCCATTCCTCCTGCGGTCCTCTCTGGTGCACCATTTCTTGCAAAACAATCTAAGCCTCCTGCGGACAAGCATATCGCGGAGACTTTACGATTGCGACATCTTTATCGCACTGAAAAGGCCGCAGACTCCATCATCGACTCTTTACAGCAGCACTCCTCTCTTTACAGCAGCACTCCTCTCTTGACGAACCGCTTTCTCGTTCAATCTGGAAGGATGTCGTCGCAGACAAATATATTGATTTTGAAGTTCTTTATGGATCATTGGAGTTCGGCCATGACTATGAAGATGAACCAAAAGCGTTTCACGATGATTATGTCTTGGTTAAGAAGGAGAATTGTTCGAAGAAGAAGCCTGTTCGGAGTGAAGCCGATTGGATCCGCTTATATGGTGCTTGGGAAAGCGCAGTCAAACTTGTCTATCTGCATCGGAACGAGGAGCTTCATGAGTATCGCCGAATCATCATTGAAGTCTTTCGTGCCTGTCCCAATGAACCTTACATCGCGATCACCACTGATCAGATGGTTCGACAGCTTTACGCTCATGCTCCATTCCATCTTGACGATCGTCAGAAATCTCAAGTACCACTTCTGTCCAATCTTCGGACGCCTTCCATTCCAAAGCGCCCGTTCGACAATTCGACCCCTTTTCCATGACCTAGCAAACGCTCTATCATCCCTTGCGAAAACTGGAACCTTGGGAAGTGCGAGTCTCCTTGTTTCTGGAAGCGGAGACATGACACTTGCTCCGAATGTGGAGCCTCACATCGAGCTCAAGACTCCACCAATTGCTTTGCTTCCCTCTCTAACCGGCGTAGAGAAAGACGAGTTAGTGGAAGCTTCCGAACGCGTGAGCAAAGCAACAGAAGGACCACGTCGTCTAGCGGAGAAACGAAAGGCCGATGAAAGCTTTGAACTTCCGAGATATCGTCGCGGGTATGGCTGGGCTAATTCCGACAAGTCATTCATCTCACCTGCCGCCTTCTCTTCTGAAACGGCTCCTCCATTACCTATGCCCCCTGAACGCTTAATAAATAACCCAGAAATACATACTGCACTTGACTTCTATGCTAATGACATCAAAGTCGAAACACCATTTAACCTTCCAGTGCTCGAGAGATATCTTGAGAATCATCCAAATCGGCCGCTAGTCGATTCGGTTCTTTGGGGTCTTCGTTATGGGTTTTGGCCATTGGATGAAGGCGACTGGAATTTTGATGAAGATGGCATTATGGATAACTACCCAGCTGATGAAACTGATATGGATGTTATCAAACAATTTCGAGATAAAGAAATCACTGCTGGTCGCTGGTCAAACCCAATTCCTACCCTTCTCCCGGGCATGAAAATCTCACCTATGTTTGTAAACTGGCGTGATCCCGCGAAACCCCGCATCATTACTGATCACACAGCTTCCGGATTGAATGACGGGATTCCGAAACCTGAAGCAAAAGTCCGCTACGATGACATGCATGACTTTGGACAAACGCTACATGATATATATCAACAATTCCCCGACATTCCTTTCATCCTCTATAAATCAGATGTTTCATCAGCGTTTCTTAATCTTCCAGCTCACCCAATTTGGCAACTACGCCAGATTGTTGTCGTGGACAAAAACATGCATATCGTTCGCCGACTTGTTTTCGGAAACCGCGCGTCACCTCGCATTTGGTGTGCGTTATCTGGCTTACTCTGCTGGATAGCCATTCATCACTTACAAATCTCCGGCATCTTCGTGTATATGGACAATTTTTATGGCTGGGAGTTTGCCAATGATCTTGTTTTCTTTCATAATCAATTGCGCCCACGTCGTCAAGTCACTCTCCTCAAATTCTGGGATGAAATCTCTTGTCCGTATGAAGACAAAAAGCAACTACATGGATCTGAACTCAAGATCATCGGATTCTGAATAGATGTCAATCATGGAACGATTACCATTCCAGCTTCATCAGTTCGCGACGCCATCGATGCTATAAATAATTTCATCTCACGCCGATTTGCCTCTCTTCATGATTGGTCCCACCTTGCCGGACACCTCAATTGGATACTCAACATTTTTCCCTTGGCTCGGCCTGCCCTCACCGAAATGTACAGGAAGATGAGTGGAAAGAAACGACCAAAAGGCCTCATCCCACTAAATCGTGAAGTCATCACTGACCTTACTTGGTTCCGTGATGTGCTACCTCAAGCAATAGGTGTTCGTTTCATTGAGAACGGCCGATGGCCCGATTCAGCTGCAAACCTTACTATTCAGACAGATGCCACCTTATCCCTAGGCATCTCCTTCGTATACAACCAGCAAGCATTTTCTTATCAAATCCGTCCACCATCCGGGAAGATCATTCCAGATATCTTCTTTTTAGAAGAAATTGGAGTTCTATCAGCCATTCACCATGCTGCCACACTTCCTTCGCCACCACGCCACCTTCTCATCTACTGCGATAACCTGGATGCCGTCCAATCATTCAATGCTATGCGAGCTACTGAACCCATGCATAACGCCCCTCTTCTTGCAACTGCAGAAATTGTCCTTTGTACCGGTATCAATTTCCGTGTTCGTCACATCGCCGGCAAAGACAACACTCGTGCCGATCTCATATCTCGTCTTATGTTTGACGAGTATGATCGCAAGTTTCCAAATCAACGCGTCCGCACATTCTCTCCACCTAGAGAGCTCCTGCCGGCGCAATGGAGGGAGTGCTTTTGAATGCGCTCGGCGAGCAGGCTCCTAATCGCCTGTCTCCTGCTCGCCGGCGACTTCCTTGTTCCTTACAGGCGATTGATCAGCGCATCTCATTCTTACAAGCTCACTCTATCGAGAACTCTACCAGAAAAGGTTACCGTACTGGCGCGAAAGACTATATCAAATTCTGCACTCAGCACTCCATTCCTCTCGATCCCACTCCCCAAACTCTCGCTCGCTACATTGCCTATACTTCACAATTCATCGCATCAGCTCCAAAATACCTTACGGGTGCCCGTCATTTTCTCACCGACATCTATCCTAACTTCGATGATAACCGCAAATCCGCTTTCGTCCGCACTACAATCCGTGGTTCTATCAAAGTCCGTGGCGACCCCATTCATCGAAAACTCTCTCTTCGCCTTTCGCATCTTCTCACTTTTCATTCTATCGCCCTCCACTCATCAGCCACCTACGATGACCTTCTACTATCTACAATTCTCACTGTCGCCTTTTTCGCTTGCCATCGTATCGGAGAACTCGTCATTCCAAATGACAGATCACTTTTCGACTGGAAGAAAATCATCAAACGATCCAGCCTTAATTTTCTCCTCAAACGAGCCTCCTATATCCTCCCTTACCATAAAGGAGATCCACTCTATCATGGGACGCTCATCATGCATATGGATCACGATGCCATAAACCCGGTCCTGCTCTTATATACTTACGTTCATCAGCGAGATCTCCGTCACGGTGCACGCCCTGCTCTGTTTATAAAAGAAGACGGTTCACTACCCACGAGATCTTGGTTTGAACAAAAATTTTTCTCCGTCCTCCCTCGATGCGACTATGGAGGCCACTCAGCAAGAGCTGGCGGCGCTACATACTACGCCAATCTAGGACTCTCCGAAGACGTCATCCAAGCCATAGGTCGATGGTCCTCCATCTCCTGGAAATCCTATATTCGAGATAATCCAACCATCCGTGCAGAACTTCAGCTCGCCGCTCTTCGGCGACCATAACCATCAAGCCGCGCCTTTCTCTTCACACCTCCACCATCCCCCACACTCACACACCCATAGCCTTTATAGCTATCTCGCGGCTTGCCAATGTAGTCCTTGGAACTGGCGCCCGCCAGTTCCGTCACGGCTTCTCCGTTCGATCTGAGACGACCAAGCAGAGCCTCACTAGTCTCAGGTTCTGGGTATGGAATCAAGATCTCATCGGGCAATCTGTTGCGCTTCTTTTATTGCGGCTGCCGAGATGTGCAGGCTTACCGGTAGCATCGGTCTTCAGCCTTCCGACACACGAAGAACGCTACTTCATCGAGTGGTACGCCAGTTGTCTTCTGTTTGAGGATGCAGTGTATCGCCTGGTTCCTGTGGAGGTATCCGCAGGACCACATACCTCCATAGTACTACCCACTAAATGCACCCGAGGGTACTGCAAATTGCTGCGGAAACTGATGCTTGCGCTGAATCTCAGTCTCATAACTTCTCCGGTCTGTTTACCTTGTTCATCGTCCGCATGCACATCGAAACTGACCATCTCGTCTGTTCACCTCATCTGTTCTGACTTTTTTCTGGTGTCAGGATGCTGCTGCGAACGAAACCCCATTGGTCCTTTCTTGTCTTCCAATACTATCAAGTCATGGCTGATTCAATGGTCGAGATGTAGCATATGAAGGTTGTGTCTAGATAATTAGGACAGAGGCAGAGCCTGCCAATGGACAAGGAAATTTGTAGCCCTCTGCGGATTGAATCTTTGCAAATAAGCTTTCCATTGCATAGTAAGTACTGTAGGTTCAGTCGAAATTCGCCGAGGCAAAGTTGCGGTCAAAACTGGGTAGACCTTCACTTGACTGGCCGCGGGCTTTAAAGGTATTCTCCCGCCCCGGAACGTCATTGGGACTAGGGGTCGCCAGACAATTGTGTTGTGTACGTTCGGAATCTGGATTTCTTGTGCGGATACAAGAGGATACAATGCATTTTGCGCAGGCTTGCTTAAGTTCTTCGTAGAGTGATTTCGAATCCTTGATCAAGTGGTCCACCGGTCTCGGTCATAACACCTGCGGCGAAGTGCGAATTCCTAAGTGCGTCAATTATACCCGTTCACAACGAGGTCATAGCATGTATTGTATAGACATTATACTTCCAAAGCCGGCCAAGCTAACCTGAGCGGTGAAGAGATCCCGTTGACAGCATCCGTGAGCATCCTGCAAGCATTTTCAAGCGGTCCGCAGGCAGGTTGCCGAGTCGCCGAGCAACAATTGCCTATTCGGGGATCGCCGGCGGTGGGGCTGGCAGTGTATAACTACAACCCCCGCAGCGACCTTAGTTACAAAATACCTCTTTCTCTTTCTCTTCCATTCTCCTTACCATACCTTTCATTCACTTTTCAACCGACAAAATGTTTGCGAAACGTGCCGTCCTTTTCAGCATTCTTGCTACCGGAGTTGGACTCGCTCAATCGTGCGTGCCTTTTCCGGGAATCAACCGCTAAAGTCGATGTCTGACATGTTCCTGGCAGAATCAGCCTCTCCGCCGGGTGCCAGTCGACACTAGCCAGTCTAGTTGTCTCTCCCAATTCTGCCTGCTTGAATCCGCAGGCTTTGGTGGGCATTGTCACGGCGGACGATAATGCTTCTCTTGTCAATCCGATCGACAACTGGTTGTCTGGACAATGTTCTCAGCCTCAATGCACCAATGAGACGCTTGCCAATATTGTTTCCACTGTTACTGCGGGCTGCCAGTCAGACTTGCAGTCCCTTGGATTTGGCAATCTCAGCGCAGATGAGATCACAAATGTGGTTCAGATGGCATATCCCACAGTTCGCAAAGTGGCTTGTCTGTCGAAGTGAGTGGCTCATATTTACATCTTGCATTTAGCTCATCTCATACCATTGCGATACTCAGCCAATCCAATAATACATTGTGTGTCACCGAGACTCTCAACAACGTCCAGTCCTCCGTGGGCACCTTGAGCAAAACCGAACTGCAGTCTTTAGTTTCGCAAATCAGCGGGGGACAGTTGCCTGATATTCCCTCCTCCACGCTCTGCACCGACTGCACCAAGGAGGGTTTCAACATCGTGAAAACTGATTTCCCTAGCCTTGTCACTTCCAACATTGAAGGTGTGGTCACCAACGAGTGCAGTGCCGACTTCGTCGGTTCGTAGTTTCAACACAGGAAATGTCAGCGTGCTTGGGACTGATATTCTTTCTCACAGATGGCTCCACTCCATCGAACATCGAGCAGACGGCTAACACTGCTACTGCCACGCCTGCAGGGAACGCCAGTGGTTCCACGATGGCATCTTTGCCCGTTGGCATCGCCTTCTCGGCAATTCTCACCCTAACATCCGCATTCGCACTCTTTGTTTAATTTATTTAGTGTAGGAACGGACCATGCATGGGACATTAGCTGTGATGTTCGAGAATGTCATTGTATATCTTATTTTAACCATATTGCGATGCTAGTGACTACGAGCATTTTGAGTTGAGCGAGTCGTCATTGTCCCCTGAGAGCGATGTCGCTTTCGTAAGGTCAGTATTTTTTTTATTCCGCGGTTCATCGTACTTGAACGAAAGCTGCTATCGGCAATGTCACTTCAGCAATGCGTCCTGGGCTCGAATGGGAATTTCATGTCTCCACTGATGTTATAAATGCCATATCCGGGTTCCATAGAATCAGAATATATGTGTGCGAACCAGCCAACGCCTCCGCCGACAACGGACTTCAGGTCTTCACAATGTTGGTCAAGAAGGATGTAGTATTCCTGGTTGAATCAGGAGCGTGAATTTATTATGGTCTAGTTATAAGCATGGTTGACATACATGTTCATTAGGAATGTCAGCGACCGCCAGTGGGCTGTTTGGCTGCACGCTTGGCGAAGTCACAGAGGGCCATCCATTCTATGCCAAACTGGGGGGTCAGTCAAATGGGGCCGATTCAAAATTGAATGATAGACCTCGTCGAAGTACATCTTCTTTCCGTTACCGTGGTCAATGAACCACTGAAGGTCTCGTTGTACAAGAGGCCAAGCTTGATCGGCTTAGAGTAGCGAACATGTTTCAATCGATTTGCATTATGTCCAAGTTCATGACTATAAACTACGTACCAGTACTTGCATCCTGAGCGAAGAATGGCAGCATGTGAATGTTGATAGAATCAATCGCATCGAGTACGTCCTGAGCACCCCCGCGTTCTTGATATCCAAACGCAAGTTCACTAACAGTAACGGGAATGTTGAGGCTGGAGAGATTAGCTTTGGCCAATAAGACTTGTTCTGCGAGTTGATCATGAGGGAGAACCCCGTCGAAAAGGGGTTCTGAACCGAATTGCAGTACTCGAGTCACAAATTTGGCTTTTGGATTCGTGTGCAAAGCAGCCAACAGAATATCGCGTCGGCCGATCCATATGTCATCCAGATTGAATCCGAACTAGAACAGGCGGTTTTCAGAATGGAAGCGTTGATCTTTGGAAGTGATTACCCACCCAGATTAGGGCATGCACCCCTAACGTGTTCGCCCATGCTGCATCCACAATATCGTCACTAGACAGAAGAAACATTTAGGAACTTCCTTTATGGAAAAAAGGAGACCTACTAGAAACCCTCGCGATCGCATGCACCATACAGTCGAACATATCGGCTTTTGAAGTGATGCCTTATATCATAAAATTCTTTATGAAGTTGCTCTCGGGTTTGGCCTGGATTTGAGTTGTGAACGAGGGTTTGAATGAGGTCTAGGGCCTGTAAACACTTACAAGCAGTGACTTCGTAGCTGAAGCCAACGAAAGCATACTCAGTGCTTGGGTCGCACCACCAATGACTATTATCATTCGGCAGGAACAACGGCTTCCTAAAATCCAATGCAGGGAAGCAAGAGCGACTACTCTGTTCATTGTCAGTTTCACTTATCACAGGCGTCGAGAGCATCGGCTGAAAACCGAGTAGCAGCACTGCGAGCAGAAGCATAGAGTGCAACATTTGGTTTCTAGACTGGGGCAAGCGTACGAAGGGGGGGATGCTTCAGGCTCGATCCAGACATCCTGTAGACATTCAAGTTGAATCGAGCGCGAGTCAAATGATAAGCACTCAACACGACCACATGGCTGAACGTTGTCGGTCCTTGACCGGGTGATCCAGAAGAGAAAGAAACAAAGTGGACTTTACCCATGAATGCCGTTGACGCCTCCATTGAATGGTGCCGAGGAAAATCCACCCACAAGCCTACAGGCCGAGACCATCGAGAGCAACGTAGCAACATGGCGAGGACACCACAAGACACAGGTTAGCGGATCCATCGAAATCGAATAACAAGTCACCGGGACAATGACTTGTAAAGTTCAGCAAGAAGCATAGAGGAGCATATGTCGCCCAAGTAAATCGGTCCGTAATCATCTGTCACGTTACTCGTTGTCCTTGTGGGATGATGTTTAAAAGAAGAAAATAGGACCTTAAGAACCAAAATGTCAATGTGCAAAGTTACAAAAAGTTTGTTTGGATAAATAGAATAGATAGAAATACATAGCACACCGGGCGCGCCACTTTGAAATCTCAGTTGATTCGTCTTTCAACAGCGTATCTTGGGCTTGAATGGGAATTTCAACTTGCCAGCAGAGTTGTAGATCCCGTATCCTGGTTCCTGATTGTCTGAGTAGATGTGCGCAAACCAACCAACGCCTCCGCCAATAACAGCCTTAAGGTTTGTGCAATGTTCGTCAAGAACCCCATAGAATGCCTATCGTAACTCCGCGTCAACCAGCGACTCAGTAGAACCAGAATATGTCTCACCTGTTCGTTTGGTATATCCGCGACAGCCTTAGGGCTATTGGGTTTTACACCATCATACGTAACGGATGGCCATCCATTCTATAGAAATTCGATGTTAGTTGAATCGGAGAAGGGAAACCAATGAACCCACTTCATCGAGATACATCTTTTTACCTTTTCCGCGGCTGACGAACCATTGCAAGTCTTTCTGCACCAACGGCCATGACGCCGCACCTTCCAGAAAAATTAGACTGTTTTATCAGGTTCAGAGAAAACGAAGTAAACCTGTTGAAGCTTGCTGAGAGAAGAACGGAAGCATATGGATGTTGATGAAGTCAACAGCATCGAGAACATTTTGGGCACCACCATTCTTCTGATAACCATACGCCATTTCACTGACGGTGACAGGGATATGTAGGTTGGCAAGATTTGCTTTTGCGGCGACCACTTGTTGGGTAAGTTGACTCGGCTCCAATACTGAATCGAACAATGGCTCCGAGCCAAATTGGACCCCGCGCGTTACGAATCTCGCTTTAGGGTTGTTGTGCAGTGTCGCAAACAGAGCATCCCGTCGACCTTTCCATAGATCATTGCCGTCAAACCCAAACTACATGGGAAGGGCGGTTAGTATTGCACAGAGTAGCGACGAACGGAAACGTACCCAGATCAACGCATGGACACCAAGCACATTGTTCCATGCAGCGTTGACTACATCATCACTGTGAGGTTTTCTGTAAGCTATAAGATCTGTCTCGCAGACGTCAACTCACTAGAATCCTTTACGATCACAAGCTCCATAAAGGCGAACATAACGACCATTGAAGGTCTTCCGGATATCGGCGAATTCCCTGTTCAACTGTGAAGCACTTTGACCTGCGCAACATTGAGCGCCTTGTTAATTAAGAGGAGTTGGAGACCTACAGGCAGTGACTTCATAGCTAAAACCCAGGAAGGCATATTCGGTCTCGGGCTTGCACCACCAGTTTGTAGTTTCCTTAGGTACAGTGGGCGGCATTTGGAAGCCTATCGCGGGGAAGCAGCTAGCAGAAGCCTCTTGTTTGATCGGTGCGTTATACAGGCTGTTATCATGAGGGTAAACGTCAAGTTCTAGAGGGGTCGAGTGAACAAGATGAACGGTGGAAAGAAGCAGGCAAAGAAGCAAAACCGAGAGCGCCATTGTGAACTTCCAGGTAGCTGCCAGCAGCAATTACTATAAATACTGCGAGCTCGATAGTGGTGATAGAGATTGTGGGGAGTACAGTTTCTGGTTCACATTCATCATGAGGTCGGCATTGCAGCTGACATTACAATTCAGACTGCTGGGCAGGCCGCCCGAGGCTCGTCAGCCGCATCCTGCACAGGAGAATGGTAAGACCGGTCAGGGCTTGCAGAAAGTGAGAAGTCAGGCTCGAAGGTGGTAGAATGAGCAGAAGCATGTTACCACATTGTGAAGTGCACGAGGGACGTACCGGCACGTAGGTTCATGGTCAGAAGCCAATACACCCGCATGTCGACTGCCACCTGCTGTTACGGTCTGTGCTTCATCTACATGAAAGGGGTCGGATGATGATAGGTCGTATAGAGATAGACTCTGCATAGGCCAGTTATAGCTATCTCTGAACCCTACATACTTTTCTGCAACAAACGCCGAAGCACAATACATAGACGGTGCTTGTGTATTGCAATGTATCATGTCATACACGGTTGAGGACCTTCAACACTAGCTGCGGTGTAAAATGAGCGCGTTCATAGTGTCATTCAGAAGCAGATGAGCACTGATGAGCCTACTGGCTTCGATTAGGCGGAGAAGCAAGTACAAATACGCTAGAGAGAAAAACGTCCCTTTACAACTGTATTCCAAGAACGTGTCAGCCGTTGATAGCATGTGATGGATCTAAGCCTAGAGGAAGGAACTGGGGATCTTGTAGCAAAGTTTTGTCCCAGGTAGTTTGTTGCAGCTGTCATTGCGCTTAAGATAGAACTAAACGGATGATTTTGAGAGACGCCTACGTGAGCGAGTGCCTTGTCAGCATCAACCAGATTCATGTGGTCCGGTACAAGACTTCCGTTCTGTCACGACTGTGAGAGCTGAGGTGAAATGAAACGTAGTATTGAGAACGCACCAAAGACACCTCGTCCAGACCGCGCAGGGCCAAACGCAAGTCAGTCGGCAGCTGACTAGGGAAAATGAGCACGTGAACCGGAGGACGGAACGGCTTTGATAAAGATGTTGTATCTGACAACCCCTGCGTACTCCATTAGATAAGGATATGTACTTGTTGAGTAACAAGAACTAACGTTGGCAAGACTTAAAGCCAGCCTGATGTGGCTCCGTTTGCCTCGGGCTTGGCTACCTATAAGAATAAAGTACTCCCAAACGCTGTCAATGATGTAAACGGCATCACTGAAGGACGGTAAGACGGAGGTGGGAGTAACCTTCTCTGCGAACTGCATTTATCCAAGGATCAGTGTGCTAGGTTCAATATATGTACAATAAATGCCGAGGCTCACCGGCTGCTGTTGAACAATTCTCCACATACGAGGTACCCGAGACGGGGCGGATTGTCGCCATTGCCAATAGTCAGCGCGAGCGTATTCACGATCGCCAAGAATCATCCAGAACATTTCGTCTTCGTCGTTTTCGCCTTCAGAGAGTTCAATGATGCTGTCAGGGGACACCGCAATGGATAGTGCATATTCCAGTGCATATTCCCTTTCAGGTTGAGTTGCACCACGGCCATACCAGACATAGACGGTCCCGAGTAAGGATATGCAATAAGCAAATGCGGAACAAAGATTCTTTACGGTCTGCAGCATACAAGTGTCAAGACAAGACAAAAGCATTAGGAGAAATGATTGTGCTTACCAGATCCACCTCGTCAATATATACGACTCCATATAAAGCGCGTACTACGTGCATCGCCGTATTCTCAGATGACCAGTGCGCACGAGTACCCTGATTTACCATCAGTATCCCTGCCTGATTCACATACATGATCAAATACCTGACGAACGGCTAGCCGTCCACCGAGGATGTAAGCTACCTCTGCAGGTTCGTCGTATTGTGAAATGACGATCTAAATGCTCGCATATGAGTTAGGGCGCATACTAACATAACAGTCTGCAGCGTACACGAGTAGTGTTATACCGTCTGGCTAGTTCTTGCATCTTTCGTTCTTCCTTCTCTCCTACATGTGCTTTATTACCGATCCAAGACCAGACCTTGGTAGTAACAAGACCACTGGATTTCGCCTTGGATCGATGGATGACCACAAGCACTTCTGAGTCATAGAATATGCTTGGATCTTTGTTCACAACGTTGGCGGTGTTACCAACTATACTCATGACCTCCACTGATATTGTATTGACGTCTGGATCAGGCTTGTAGACATCATCTGAGGTGTCAAGCAAAGTCCCAACGTCAACAGCAGGTAGCGGTTCATCAGTATGTTCTAGAATAGGGTCAGAATGTTAAGCTAACTCGGAGTGGAAGTTCGCGCACCTATGACAAGAGTGCCCTGCTCTTCGGAAGGCTCCTGAAAAGGCTCAAGAGAAACCTGCTTTGGGACTTCGACGGACGCTGTAACAGCATCGTCTACAGGAACCGTTGGTTCCGAAGCAAGACCATTCGAATACCACTCAACATGTTCCTGAACGGGAGGCACGGACGTCACTTGTCTCGTCAATGTACCCGCGGGTGAATGAATAGGCGTCTTTTCCTCAGTTAATGGAGGCAGGACAAAGGCGGAATACCTCTCGTAGCTAGACTTCCGTTTCTCCATCTGGCTTGGTGCGATGTTCCTTGGACCCCAGTTTGCAACCAAAGACTTAACATCCGGCTTCACATAGTTCTCGTCGTCTTCATTGACGTCTGCTTGCAGACTTTCAGGAGGCGGGCTTGCTTGAACTGGGGAACTCGGTTTCTGAGCAACCTCGGGGGATACTTTGCGTGTCTGTGCCTCATGTTCGTTCAAAGCTAAAGCCACGTCCATCACGGTGGCTCGCTTTCCTGTACTAGGTATACGCCCATGTCGCACAGGGCTGGTTGGTGACTTCTCACCAGGTTGGCGTGAAATCGGACGAGCAGTGTGGCTTGAACCTGGCGAAACCTTGAGGATAGGTTCGTCTTTTGGCGCCTGAGGAACTGAATCCGAGCTCTCAGTGGTACTCTTGACCGCATGAGACTCAAATGATGGGATACGAGGGGAGGGGACCACAGGCACGGAAACATCGCGCTTCTCGTCTGTGGTGGCAGTCGGACTCGAGGAAAGTTGATGACCGGGAGTGACCGAAGGAAGGTGTCTATTTGCTTGAGGAGTTACGTGCGGCTTGAACGGCGTGGATTCACCATGTCCAGTCAAAGACGCATCTTCTCCGTTAACTCCTGACGCACGAGAGGATGTCTCCTGAACAGCAACCTTGGTCGCTTCCCGAGCCTTACGAGGCTTTCTAGCACGATCTTTTGTCGGCTATGCATAAATGAGGATGCAGTTAGTCAAATTGTCACCAAGTCGATTCAAATACAAGGTAACGCAATGGCGTTCAAAGCGGGAAATAAAAAAAAGCGCAGACAGCAATTATATTACCAGAAGGAACGTACATGACTCAACGGCTTGTTTGTTCCTCCTGTCATATGCGAGTCAACTAATCCTTCTCGCACAGGCCCTCCCCTATTCGCACCAATACTCTTTGCACGGGGCCGCACGCGGACACCAAGTTCATCTGCCTCCGGTTCTGGTGATGCCTTCCGACTATGTGATGCAGCAGAAGGAGGGCGTGTAGGGGGCCTGGAGGAAGGCCTTGAAGGGGGAGAAGGGGTAATGGGGTTATCTCCAGTCTTCGTAGGTTTGATATACGATATCATCGTACTTCCGGATCCGAGACCTTGAGGACGAGGCGAACCGTCAGGTCCAACCTCGCTCTTGGATGCTCTACCACCAGCGGTATAAGCTTGTGACATTGATGGCGATGAAGCTGCGGACTTCAGTGACTTCCCAGTATAGTCAGGTTTGATGATTTTAGGAAGTGATGATGAGGCAGGTTGAGGTGTGGTGGAAACGGGAGCAAAGGATGCATCAGAAGTATGGGACTTGCGCATCGCAACGGGCTTCGGTGATATGATGGGAAGGGAGGGAGATGAAGCACCTTTCGCGTTGTCGAATTGCCGACGCTCGAGTACGTTAGGTTTCCGACTGCCCTCGTTTCGGCCACCTGGAGTAGGGCTGCCTGGTGAACCGGCAGCAGCCTCAAGCTGACTACTCGCTCGGACCATGTTCTGTACGAAGCCTCGGCCTTGCAAACGGCTGATACTAGGAGTTGGATCTTTCGAAGGTGGGGGTTTCAAGAACGCGGCAGACGAGGTCTGTGACCCAGGGAGTTGGACACTACCTATAGACTTCCGAGGCTGAGGCTGAATGGGACGCGATAACGAGGGGGTTATGATTGGCGATTTGGAAGGGGATGAATTGAAGGACTGTGGTGAGTGCGGAGGAGTCTGGATTGGAACTGGGGAAGAACGCGGGAGAGGTGACTTGGACAGTGAACGTGTTGGCTGAGTGGATGCACCCGCTAAAGCAGGTGTTCGACGGCCCTGCGGCGTTACAGCACGCAGACCTGGGTCAGGTGAAGGAATTGTTGTTAATGAGGAGACGGGCGAAGTACCCGGAGCGATGTCGAGCAGCTTCTCTTTAGCATCCACCGGTGGAGGTGATTTCTGAGGGTGTACACCTGTCAGAGTGCTGATCGTTCTTTGACGACCGGCATAGTTGGAGCCACCTGTAGGTTGCGCAGTTGTGTGACTTTCCTCTACACGCTCAACGAAAGATTTGACAAGTGAAGGGGTACTGGTTCTGCGATCCCTCTCTAGAAGAGGATTCGCCTTTAGACCAGACCCATTGCTTCCCCCAGGAGAAGGAGGGACTTGAGTGGCCTTCGTCATTCCAGGCATGGCAACGCCTCCTCTTCCAAACACGGGATGTGGTGCAGTTATGTGTGTTCGTTGCTCGAACTGTGTAGGATCATGCGCATCCTGCTGAGGGGCATGTTTAGTGAGTCGGGGGCCAGTGGCGCGTCCACCAATAAAGGCGGCGAGGGAGATCGGTGCCTTCGGGATATCTTTCTTCTCGCTAGAGGACATTGTGGAGGGCTCAGCATGTACAAGTCTCTCGTTAGGTGTTTCTCTAGTCAGTTTCCGTAACGCATCACTCTGATTCTGCAGTCTGTGGCTCGGAGCCTTGACTTCCAATATGTTATGGTCAGATCCGGCTTCTTTGAGCGAAGCCGCAACATCGGTCTTAGCTACTTTCCATTGAGTTAACCATATTGCACGAAAGAAACGAGTGCATCTTACATAGATCCACGCTACCTGCTCGGCTTGCCCCTCCAGTGCTCCGTCGCATGCGTGCAAGCCTGGAAGCTGCGATCTCTTGTTCAAGCCTCCTAGTCTCCTCCTCCTCATCCTGGTCGACCTGTCGCTGTAAAGCTTTGATCTTACTCGTCCATTCGGCAAGTCCTGACTCTGTCTTGGGGGAGGTGTCGAGGGTACGTCGGCGAGATGCCCTGTCAACACCGCCTACTGATGACATATGGTCAAGGTCGCGGGAATAGTGTCAATCTGGTGGAACGATAGTTAGAACAGGTTCAAGTCCGGCGAATGTAAGGTTGGTAGGACATGAGGCGGAGGTGTCCCTTTCCATGCTACTTACCCTCAGCGCGTTGCTCACTGGCGCTTATTGTATTTCCTAGTAACCTGCGGGCGCTATGTGAGGCACTTGTTTTTGAACTCATCCACATATATCCGACTTCAATGTTTTTTCTCTCTTCTGTATCTTCTAAATCGATGGACTTTCTCACTCTAGGTCTTGTGACCAAGGACGTTTACTCCCCACTCCGCTCAACTTCTCACCCATGCTCAAACGTGGAAGCTATACGTTGGATCCAGGTTGAATCGCTGTCACCTTTCGCGTAGTCCGGTTTTACCGCTCTACCGTCTACTCTCGCGGATATGAAATAAGGCTGAGAGGTCACCGTTTGGCTCAGGAACATATCCTTCATCGGCAGTCTTGACAGATTTTATTAACCCGACGCAATAGTACCTTGACATCGTGGAAGGCAATTTCTGGTACACTCTCTGGTCTGCTTGCCCTCATTCAGGAACATCCCGACAAACACTGTAGAGTGCCAGTATAAATGCTATGGTGTCTTTCGTACACTTGTTAGCTTCTTCGTCCTTTGTTGCTCTTCAGAAGTTCTCGAGTTCTGTGTTCGATCATGCTGTTCTTAACCTGGTTCATCTTCGGTTTGGTCATTCTCGTTCCTGGACTACTTGCTGCCAGCCTTCCACCAGCACTGGATCCACATGCAACCATTGTCAATCTGCGCATCGAAGGTTCACAGAAAACTATCTACGAAGGGCCTATCATCACCAAAGGCCACAACGTTACCACTTCATCCGGAGGCACGCATCATTGTGATGGGACAAACAATCATGAGAATCCGACGCCAGGCCCGACCTGCACTAGCGCGCTAGATGATGCTTCCAAACTGAAAGGATTTACGTGGGATGGGTGTGTCTTGTCACAGCCTTCATCTGCGAATGGTGTCTAATGATTTATTGTCGCATTAGAAGTTTCTTTGACGAGTTTGACGATTATTTCATAACTCGCATTGCCTTGGATACAGGCAACGACGACGTGGCGTGGGGTATTTTGCTGGACTTCGAGTTTACGCCTGTCGGCGGGTGTCAACAGCGTGTGAAGAACGGAGACCATGTGCTCTTCGCTTTTGATGCATTCAACAAGAATCATTTCTTGAAGTTATCTGGACCAACGACGGTCAAGGCCGGCCATCCAGTGACTTTCACAGTCACTGACGGTGCAACCGGTGTGCCGATTGGAGGCGCTATTGTTGCAGGTGGTGGTACCTCAGAGGCGACGAATGCTGACGGGGAGATCCAGCTGGCATTTGAGTTAGTAGGGCCTCGTTCGATCAAAGCAGAACGGAGCGATTCGATCCGGTCCAACAAGCTCTCATTCTTAGTAGTCCCCTAAGTACTAACCTCAACTCCCAATTAATGTCACCGTGCTCATTTACATTTTCTAGTGTCTTTGTTTGGCGATTTTTGTATTTTTCAGTACAAAGAACAAGAGTTATTTGTCCCAGTGGGTGCACAAGAAAGTTAAGCGGTGTTCCGTTTTGGGTTAAATAAACGTCCGAGCCGCCGACGGCCAGTTTGCTTTGGCAAGTCACGGTAAAACGCGTTAAGACTGTTGCCCTATCTACATCTTACACTTTTACTCTACACCACATGGCTCTTGCCACCGAACTGCCTCTCGCCCTATTATCCTCCTAATTCCTTCCTCTTCCCCTCCCACTCCTTCCTCCCGCGCCCCTGCCTTGCCACCCAACCACTATGTCTTCCGCCCCCAGCGCAAGCGACTTGAAGAATCGCGGAAATGAATCATTCAAAGCTGGACAATTCGTACAGTGCGTTTCTAACGGTGCTACGGCGTTCACAGCATAATTTAACGGGGACTTGCATACCCAGAGCTGCCAAATTGTACGCCAAGGTTGCTGCCACGTACTCTACCTCCTTTCGTTCCTTCGTTGACGCGAGTCATATAGGCCGAAGCCCTTGACCCAAACGATCCGGTCTATCCGTCCAACGCAAGCGCGGCTCTCTTCGAAAATGCGGATTATCTTGGAAGCGTGGAGGCAATCTTCCGTTCGTGGACATCCCTGAAGTCATCACACTCAGATAAGCCGGACCTCGTTGTTCGACTATCAACCAGGCTGGCAAAGGCCCTGGCACACGGATTCATGGGCGGAGGCATCTCTTCTGATTTTCTTACTGAGCACGCCACAGGTATTGAGGAGCTTAAGCTGGCTGGTCGAACATCACTCTCAAATGACATAAGCTCCGTTCCGGCAGCCGAATGCAACAGCGCCTGGCAACTTTGGTATTCGGTCTCGGAAAATGTAAATGACCACGCGAATGCTGCCAAGGACGCTCTGGTGCACCTGTCACGTTTGCCGATGCTAAAGAAGACCCCGTATGTCTGCTTTCCTCCATGTCTCCTTACATCTAAGGGACCTTGTCTCCCAGTGAACCCACTGTCGGTTATTGGGCGGTAAGTAGGATCATAACACCTGTTCCGTACTCAACCTAACCGCACGGTTCAGCTGGGCACCGATCCCGTCTTTTCTCTATTGGATGGCTGGTTGGACGGGAATGCTCACCCTCTTGACATTGACAAGCTCCAGGAATCTCAGCTGAACAACGTTGGACTCTTATTTGGAGGTGTCGGCGACGGTCGGTAAGCCCTTATGTATAAATCGTCAGCTGTTCTACCGTCTCAGTGCGCCGATATCATGTCCAGTCATGCATATGCTACTACCATTGGCATCAACAAAGTATTCAAACGCTTGGGTAAATCAAAGCAAGAAATGCTGAATGTTCATCTCACGCTGCTCGATATACATCCCGGCATTCTTGCGCGCGACCTTGTACTCATGATGCTTGCATACGAACTTGGAGATGAAAATCTAGATCCAGTTGATAAACTAGAGATTCAAGCCACCGCTATATACACCTTTGCCGGTGTCGCAATGCCCTCATATTGCGCAGAACGGTTGGTTTGCTTCCAATGATTATTACTCACGTATGCGCTCAAACCCACTTGCCCTCAACAGTCTACGAACCTTACTCGCAGACCTTCGGCATCGTCTCTCACAATCACCTCCCTGCCTACCAGAATGGCTGCACGTTGACTCCAACGCCGTCCAAGAGATCTCACGAACGCTCGTCTCATGGCTCACCATCCCCGTTGGTCCTGTTAAGAAGCTCTTGGACGCTCATATCTACATCAACCCTGAAAGGAGCGGTTTCGACTCGCTACCCTCAGGAAGGGTCCCGCCTGCGATCGTCTCAATGATGAAGCAGGAGATGGACGAGCGTCGACAGCAGTTTGCTAAGGCGCTCGACTCCTACTCACCAAACGATCTGAGAATGATGGGCCTGGTTTCCCCTGATACATCTGCGAAAGAAGCTAAACGCCTGATACAGGCAAATCGTGATGAACTCGTTGAGCGAATGATGCAAAATTACCTGGAAGGACCACCCGAAGAGAAGTGGTATAAGAAGATGAAGATATTCCTCCCTCCGCCTGAACTCAGACCGAGGCACACGAAGTTTGTTGAGCTTGCTGAAGGTGCGAAGGTCGGAGGCATATTCGGGGACGCCGCGGTCATGGAGGTAAGCGTCGCGGTCGGTTAGCGCGTGAGTCGCCGTTGAATGTTCTTGGATCCACATAGGCAAACAAACATATTTATTCCACTTGGGAGTCGAATATGACTAATTTTGTAAGCATTTCATTGCGCGTCGAGCCTTCAATCCTGAAATACTCAACGTAGCGTCTTGCCATTATAGTATATCGATCCCGTCAGGCAGACCAAAGAACAGGGCTATCCTAACACTTCTGCTAGCAACGTCAAAAGTCTTGCTGATATTCACGATTTCTTGAAAGAGTCCGACCTTGTGTCAAGCAAGGCTTGCGAGGCAGCTGATGATGCGCAACTTTTTTTCTCCGGTGCAGCTTTCCTTGAGCTTTTTGGGAAGGCGTTGAGGGAACTCAGCGGCCATATCAAGATCGAACTTCTTGCTGGTGGCTTGATTGAGGAACTTGCCAAAATGCGTTTCAAAGCGGACGTCTCGCGCCCCGCAGAATTCCCTCGTTTCTACACTAGGATGTGGCTCAGTAATGTTCCGTGAGCGAGTCCACGAGAGCGTTGTTTTACATTCCTAACTTCTGTTCCGTCTTCAGGGACTATACACATGGTCTATTGAATGTGGTAGTCTACACTCTACCAAACGTTGACCAAACCGGCGAGGGCGCAGCGGCGTGTAACTCGTTGACGGCTAGTGGTGCATGGAAGGGAGATGACGAGTTCTGTCACACGTACGCGATCTCAAAGCTGTCGTGTTATGTTCGTTGATCCCTTCTAGATACACACTACTACCCCTTGCTGACATACCGCGGTATTTGGGATGCCGGATCATACCTATGGATGGAATCCGTATTGTAGGATGTCTTGTAGTTGCTCCTCAGGCATTGCCGCGGCCACTCTCTGAACTCGCGACGAAGCAAGAGCTTTTCACATGGCTCACGAGACAGCTCATGAACATCGTCATACCGGGGGCTTCCCGACCACGTCCCAACCGCATACTCCTTCCAAACAACCTCACTGCATTAGTAGGTCTGCTTGTTCATCTTCACGGTGTCGGATTTCCGGGACATTGGCTAGGAGAGTTCATGCAGACCATTCTCTCGGATAACATGGTTACAGACATTGCACCCTATCGCGAAACGCTCCCTATTCCAGTATCAGACGCCGATAGGAGGGTGAAGAAACGGAAAGTGCGATTGGATCCTTGGCTTCCTGACCTTGAAAATACTCTTGCTGTATCCCACAAAGGCATACCATTTGCTTTCACTCTCCCGGCCGATTTCGTTCGTTCTCCGGAGGAGATTGGTCTATTTTATGTACCTGTGGAACAACATCCCGTTCTAAAGGATCGACTTCACCCTCGAGATCCAACAATCATCTTGGTGTTCCACAAAGAAGACTTCAATTCTAACAAAATGAGTATCTTCATTCAGAGTGTTTTGGAAGGAGGATCGTCTCTCCAAGTGGGTGATCTAGTGGTTCTGACGGCTTCAGATGCAGTGGATCATGACCGAGAGATTCGATGGAGGATGAGCAGAAGGCGCGCTGAGGGCATGATGACGGGCCCATGGTTTGTGACTGCATTCAGATCTGACATGATGGTACCAGGTGCGTTGGATATTTACTTCACAGTTATCTCATACTGAGTTCAATATTTAGCCACTAGATCTGTGCCGTCTTCTCAATGGGTCAAAGTCAATTGAGCAGGAAACGGGAGTGCTCGATTTGGACTTGCCTTGTGCTATTGCTACTCATTATTGCAGTACAATCGCCGTGATTAATACATTATGTCTTCATTGGATAGTAGGCTGTTCTATCAATTGCAGGCTTCTCGCAAGATTAGAAACGTGGAAGTCAGAGGGAAAAAGGCTTGTTGGTAACCAAATATGACCCCAACCCGGATTGAACGGATGACCTTGAGGACATTCCAAAACTGGAATCTCACGCTCTACCACTGAGCTATGGGGTCTTGCTGTTCAAACTTTATAATTTTTAGCTCATTAAATTAACCTGAAACTTTAACGTGTAATAACAACTTTAACAAGTTGACAACTGAGTTTCTGCAGTGCTAGTAAACACTTTCACTGAGCAGATACCAGCGACATGCACCCCCGGAATGTATTTCGTGTGCCATTGAATTTCTCTGACTTGTCAGAAGCATATCCTGCTCTGCAGCCATAGTATGCACCATTGTTTGAGAACGTCCCGGAGAACTCACATCTCTTTCAGCATTATACAACTACCCTCAAAGGGGCCTACCATCAATTTCCAAGATATCGCCGCGCAAAGGTTCGCAGCAGTCCCTGAATCGACCGTTTGTATTAACTGTTTTGTGTGGGCAGTATAGGCGATTGACCGAAGCATTGCTTCATAAACAATTCAAATTGTCTGTATCTCTTCCGGAGAATCGACTATGTCCACCTGTGAGTCTATCATGATCTCGTTCCTTTCGAAAGGAGTATCTTAGGCTCTATGCAGGTTCCGAACAGGTAAGTATAAGCACATGTGTGCAATAGGGGCACTGAACGGAGGTCGATACAGGCTCAATTATGTGCTTTGGATTGAGGACATACTCGCAGCCAGTTCATTTGTATCAGAGGACTCAAGACCTGTAAGGGGTATCGATATGTCTGTTCAGTTCATTGAGCGCAACGTTGTGGCGCTGACGTTGCTCTCTAACCAGCGGAACTGGTGCTTCAGCCATATATCCTCTTCTTGGCTGTCGCACGAACGCTACATGGATGTTTGTTGCTACAGGTCAGCTCCTACATACCTCGTCGTCGCGCAAAAGTTTTCATCTGTTTATACAAGATATTGACGAACTCTCACTAAAATACGCCAAGATGAATATCGAGAACAACAACCTGAGCGATCGGATCACCCTTGTAAAGTCGGATCCATCTGGACCAATTCTACCTATTTCTTCAAAAGATGACATCGTCTACGACTTCATCATGTGCAATCCTCCTTTCTACAGTGACCGAGAAGAAGTGCTGCGTTCAGCAGAGGCCAAAGAATTTGAGCCCAATGCCGTGAGTCGAGCTCATGATTTGTATTAATAGCTAATTCCCATTGAACTACTCTAGGTTTGTACGGGTGCCGACGTCGAGATGATTACACCGGGAGGTGAATCGGCCTTTGTTTGCCGCATGGTGAATGAAAGCATCGAGCATGGCGTAAAATGCAGGTTAGCGTATTCGTCGGTCCGACCTCATTCAGGCTCTGATATGGGAACTAGATGGTACACATCTATGTTGGGCAAGATGTCATCTCTGAACGATGTGGTAAAGGCGTTGCGTGACAAGAAGGTATGTTTGTTCAGAGTCATGAGCAACTGCGTCCCCTGAAACAACCACTCAGATCGAGAATTATGCGATTACTGAGTTTGTTCAAGGACAGACGCGACGTTGGGCTATTGCATGGTCCTTCACAGATGTTCATCTGCCGGACGTACGTGACGACTTTACGTTGTCGAAGTATGTATGTCTGACGACACGTTTCATAGTCCATCGCTCGCATAACCAATCCCAGCTTACAAGGCATAATGCCACCGAGGAACTCCCTCACGCATGCATGCCGTAAGGTTATACCACCTGAAAGACTAAGGAGCATTCTTTGGGGAATTATCAAGCCCATTGACGGAGTGACAGTTAATGAAGGAAGCAGTCATAGGATGGAATCTGAAAGTTCCACGAGCAACCTTGTCATCCAAGCAACCGCGGATACATGGTCGAGAGCAGCAAGGAGGAAGAAGTTGATATCGTCTCATCCAGTAGTCCCAATGGATGTGGACAAGGTTGATGCACTTGCGATCCAGCTGATCTGTCGAGTTGAAATTCCAGACAACCCAGGAATACATCATCGAGGCCGAGACGAATCTCATGTAGTTTTCCATTGGATGAAAGGACGCAACCGACTGCTGTTCGAGAGCTTTGCGAGCCATGTCGGTAGGAAGATAGACACAGCTATAGTAGCGATAGATGAAGAGGAGCCAATGAGCATAGCTTGATTGAACACAACATGTTCTAGCCTCTCGGTATGTCGGCGGTTTCGAGGGTGAAACACTGCATGTAATATGAGGTTTGCATTCAAAGTGTCTACAGGCTAGTGATGCTCTGCGTGCGATTCGTGGGCATGATCGTCGTGACCATGGCCATGACCTTCCCATGGATGCTTCAAGCCCTATGAGAGAACTCAGTGACGTGGAAGCGGAGATGCATGTGGAGTATCGCACCAAAAGTTTCATACCGTCCTTTCTATATAGGACATAAGCAGAGGTATCATAGATATATCAGGAAGACTTACCGGGCACGATAGAATATGAAGAACCACATTGTTGCACCCAATGTCGTAGAGAGCAGCTTATATTTGAAGCCAGGAAGGTGCGGGTGGAACCCAGTGCCCGATCCTATAATATTGCGTAAGTTTATGTGTTCAAGATAAGTAGAATGCGCCGAGGCTGTTCACCATGTCCAGCCATGACGATGGAAAGGTTGAGGAAGATATTTGTCCTTGTTTATTAGGCGTCGGGGGTATCCTGATGTGGAAATCCCGCCCTCGCCTAAATTCGCGGCGCCTAAGCGTGTCGCGTTATTTATTTCCACACGCGCCGACTTCCTACTTTCCTTCTCCTCTGCCTCTCTTCTAGTCAGCCATGGATGGCAACAGGAAACGCAAGCGGGTTGAGGATGAGATTAGCACAGTCTTGACATTTCATGCTCCTGGAAACCGAGTATTTGACCGTCTGTTCAAGGGTATGTCTAGCTGGTCATTCTACTTCATTGGGTTCACCATTGCGTGCGTAGATGCATCCCTGGAAGACCTTAAAGCTGGTGTGAAGAAGAAACTTGGTGTGCCAACTGTTACAGATGTACGGCTTGCACAGTTACGAGAGGGCAAACGGATTGATCTTGAGGACGGTGAGTTGTAATCCGACTTACTGAGTGTACTCTTATTTATCATACGGTCCACTCAGATGACGATTTCGATGCGCTTCGTGCACGGGCATACTCGAATTCATCAATGGACATTGTCGTAGCGCTTGGGGAAAGCAATGATTTCAGCCATGTGTTGAATGCTCCTCGTACCTCTTCTGCTGCAGCGGCTCCCGTAGATACTTTGGTAAGATAGTAGTGCTTACATTACTTAATCCTTCTTGGCTAATTAGTCTTAGACTCCGAAGCGCAAGAAGCGGAAGACAAAAGCACAGACTCCTGCTGCAAACGACCGCCCTCGCTCGGACGCTGTGCCTGTTGCAGGACTCAGCGAATTTCAGGGCCATGGTGCTCGAAGTGAAGCAGAATTTGCCACAAGAGCTTCTCCGTCCCCCGAAGATGATGATTCAAGACAACCTGTTACTCCAACCAAAGCCAAGTTGAAACAACTACAAGCACTTCGGAATAATGGTCTTCCATCTCCGTCTATTCTCAAGAAACCCAAGCCTGTGGGTACCGTTCCATGTTCATCTTTGACTACACCCGGTTGGAAAGAGACGAGTACAGCCGTGTCCTCGCCTAACGTAACACATAATGTCACGTTCAGCCCATACGTATCGGTTCTAACGAAGAACGGTCAGGTATCCAACCAAGCTGCTGAAGCTCGCAGAAGCACGGAACATCAGGTCTCTCATTCTGTGTCAGAACCAGAGGCATCATCGTCTGCCATTCCTGATGCGGAACCACTCGCTGATGCAAAATCGAAGAAACCGAAGAAGCAGAAGAAGAGAAAGCTTAGCCTGGATGCCGAATCTGCACTTAACGGCTTGTCAACTGAAGACCAGCAGCAGAATGCAAAGGCCGGAAGTACTCTGTCCACACAGACTCCTGCAGCGGCCGACTCTGTTCTTGAGACTGACGCGCTACCCGCTATCCCTCTCAAGAAGAAGCGCAAGAAGGACCTTGAAGCTTTAACATCAACTCTTCAGCCGCAGGTGGAGGCGACCACGGAAGGCCCTGCCGAGTCTTCGAAGCGGAAGTCTAAGTCAAAAAAGGTGGGCAAGAGCGGAACACTAGTTGTCCCACCTCCGTCAACCGAAGTTCGTGTATGTTTGTTAGTATTTTCTGGCGTTCCTCTCGGCTGATAGCTCATTTGTAGGAAGTCGAACCCTCTTTGAGCAATGCTCAACCCGAGGTTTCAGAGACTCCACCGCCAGTACCTGAGACATCCAAGAAGTCTAAGAAAAAATCAAAGGCCCGTTCAACACAGGCGGTACCTGATGTACCTCCCGAAACCTCACAATCCTCTGCTGAACCGGTCGCGACCAGCAACGGTGAGGTTGCAGACAATTCTAAAGGCTCAACTAAGTCCAAAGGCAAGAAGAAGACTAAGCAAGTCGAAGACGTACCTAATGGTGATGCCGAGTCGACTGCATCAGTACAAGTTTCCAAGTCTGCTGAGATCTCTCTTCCGGACGTCTTCAATCCGCCAACGAAGAAAAGCAAGACCAGAAAGTCTAAAGCGACCGAAGCGTTATCTACAACAGCGCAACCTGTGCAACAAGGTATATTCCAACTGTCCTTGTAGGTGTAACATCATTTGACGCGTGTTCTATAAAGATTCTTCCCCTCCAATCACACCGGCAACCACTGTAGACACGTCGACTCAACCGCAAACTTCAAAAGGTATGCTTATAGTGCTTCTCAGCCATGACAAGTCAGTTCTGATTCGCTTTCTCGTATTAGCGAAAAGGAGGCCTAGCAAGGCATCGGCGTCGGCTGTGGCTTCGACAGCACCAGGTACTTTGCATACTATCTCGATTCAAACTCTCGACCATAATCTCACGCACTCTTAGACGATATCACTTCTGTAGGGGCTGCTAAATCAAAGAGGAAATCGACAGCTTCGACGATGAATTCGGATGAATTAGCAGCCAAAGTCCAGGAGGCTGTCAGTGCCGTACTTTTCAGAAATCTCGCTTCTGTGTCTGCTACTGTCAGTGGAGTGTCCAAAGCAACTGGGACTGCTGCACCGATTGCTAACGGAGTCGTATCCTCCGCTACGCCCACAGTGTCACCCATAATAAACCCTGTGGTTCAGGCAATGGAACCTAATACACAGGAGGTTTCTAGCTTGGTTACTCCTGCTGCTGAGCAGAGCATCTCCGCACGTTCAAAACGTGCTTCTGCGGCTACGAAGAAGAAGACTACTAAGAAGGAAATCGCTTGTCCCGTTTGCGAGACTGTTCCATTCCATCTTCGTTATCTTTGTCCAGTGTTCAAAGCTGGTCCTGTTTCCATCGAAAAGCGTATCGCGGAGCTAAAGGAGAGTGACGGAGATCAACTGCTCATTGAGGAGTTGGAGAAGTCTTTGCAGAAGGCCCGGAAGAACGATGCACCTCCGACTGACACCCCGTTGAAATCAACTATTCTTTCTGAACGACGTTCTGCATCGGACGACATATTTGTTGCTCCGTTGACGATACCTTCCACACGTGTATCAACAGTCTCGTCCCAAGCCCCCTCCGAGTCGATATCCGCTGCCCTGACCTCTTCGAGGTCTCAATTGTCAACAAGTTCGAGACCAGACAATACTAGTGCTAATGGACAAATAGTCCCTGAGTCAGCCAGTGCTGCTGTACAGTCTTCATCCTCCGGACAACTTGCACGGGCTCACATTCCTGCTGGATCTGCGATTTCAGAAGTTCCCGTCGAAAGTCAAGGAGAAGGCAGTAGTGACGAGGAGGACGACACGAGCACGGAATCAGAAAACGAACAGGGTGAACCTGTGGTGTCCATTCCACCTACTACGCAGATCCCGAATGTGTCAGGGTCGTTGGAAAGCATCGATTTGGAGGCATTACTGCGTGGACCAGTGCGTCCCTCCTCTCAAATCCTTGCCACTTTAAGTTCCGACAGTAGTAGTGAGGATGAGAAACAAGAGCAGGAAATGGACGAAGACGAGGATGCAGAGTTGGAAGAGGAGAAGAACGATAGGGCGTTCCGTCGACTCTCAAAGCGGTTCCAAAGAGACGATTCTCCCTCCTCAGATGATGCTGATATGGTTGCCGAGGATGCTCCCCTAGTACCTCCTACGATTATGGATCCCGATGCCAATGCGTCCTCCGACCAGCAGGTACGTTGCTTTTACGCTTTCATGATTTCGATCTTTCACTTATCATTGGCTACAGAAGGAATCGGGGACTTCCAGTGCTACGACGAGCGCGTCTTCCGAAGAGCGTGCTGTTGAGGATACCGTAGGGCGAGACCTGTCACCAGAAGTTCCCGAAGAACATCCGAATGGTGACTCGACCACAACACCCGGAGACATCTTGGGACAGACCACATCGAGCGCTGCAGGTTCGACGGCACCAGAAGAATCCGATAGTACAGTCCCAGAACGGGCTTTCACATCGGAAAAGCCTCGACCTGCAACGATTGACGGGGCAGCGGGTCCAACAATCTCGCCTCGGAACGAGATGGGTGATGAGGAGCAAAGCTCAAAAAATATAACTGCGACAGTAACGGAAATCTCGATCCAGGATGCGCACACTGCCCAATCACCTTCACCAGATACCATCTCTCATGGACCACCTGAATCACCTTTGCCCATATCTGATGTACGAACCGCGGAGGGTGCAAACTCAATTGACATTGAACTGTTCAGTGATCCACCGCGTACTTCAAGAGGGGAAGATCCAACGGATCCCATTGAGCCTGCAGAGGACCTTATACCCACTCAGCCAATTGTCGCTATCGATGATGACTCTATTGAACTGGACCATGCTGATCAGGAAACCGACGTTCGGATAACGCCTCCACCTGCAAGCCCTGCGAGGCCTGGTACCGCGAAGCGCATGAAAAATAGGCAGGGAAAAGTGCCTCAGGACGACAGTGAACTGCCTGTCCCAGCGTCTGAACTCATTGCAGAGTCGACCCCAGCACCTGCCCGAACTACGAGAGCTACCAGGCGAACCGCCAGTACGACTCAGATACCTGCTAGCAAGCCATCACAGGATATCCCCAATGGTACGGAGAACGCGTCCCAGAAACCTTCATCGGCAGCTTTGATGCCTCCTCCCCCTGTTCCTGCTGCAGAGAATCCTCCTGCTCCTGCTCCTGCCCCTGCTGCAAAACCTGCTCCCAAACGACGTGGACGGCCACCCGCTGATCCTGAGGAGAAGGCTCGCCGAGAAGCTTTGAAGCAGGCCGAACGGGATCGGAAAGCCGCTGAGAAGGCTGCTGCCAAAGCAGCCAGAGAAGCAGCAAAACAAGCCGCAAAGGAGCAGAAGCAGAAGACTGCCGCGGCTCGGGCGACACGAAGTCGGAAGGCAGCTCCGAAGAAAGCAGACGCGCCTGAAATCGAGGACCAGTCAGCACTCATTGCTGTTCCTGTCGTGACCAAGGATACAGAACAACCGCCCTCAAGCACGTCTGAGGGTGCGGGCGCTGATAATCAAGCGTCCCAACTCTCGGTTGTTCAGTGGACTACCTTACCTATACTTACTTCTCCCGCAACCGAGCATTCTCAGGTGGATGAACTGCGATCCAGCAGCCCGCCTCCCGCCAACGAACCGCCGACTTCCCCTTCAATTTCTTCATCTGCGGTAACTCAAAAAGAACGTGGCGCTCCTTTGACCAACGGCGGAACACCTCAGGCAAGACCCAACTCATCTCAACCATCAAGTCAAGCAACACAGGGACGAAAGACACCCAGGAAGTCCACTTCGACACCTCGTGGAAGGGATGATCCATTGTTCTTACCAGGTAGCCAGTTCCCTGATTCGCAGTTGATTGATTCGAGTATTGAGATTCCGGGGCAGAGCGGTCGAGAGCGCTCAGCGTCGCCCTCAGTATCCGATTCTCAGGACGAGGGAGAAACTCCGTTGCAACTGAAGAAACCTCTAGTACGACCGAATGCTTGGACGGCCGCAGCCAAGTTCCGGAGACTTTCTGATCTTAATAGTCAGGCGTTGTTCCCTACGCCTACTCCGACATCTTTCTTTTCGTCGAGTCAGAGGTCTAACGTTCCGGCGAGTACAGGTGCTAATGATGAGGAAAGTGAAGATGAGAGTAGTAGTAGTAGTGAAGATGAAGACGTGGATAGGTCGCATATACCGAAGAATAGGAGAGCTGGAACTTCACGGAAACCGAAGAAGGGACTTTTGTCATATGCATAATGTCGTGAGTTACGCCATATCTTTCTTGGTTCTTGCATGCACTATTTTATCACGATCTTACTCCATAATGCTGACCTGAAAAGTAGCTACTACTACATACCTATCTTGTTTATATCTTGCTCAATGTATTTAGGATGCACATAGTCATATCTCGCGCGGAGTCTTGGTGAATACCATCTTACAGGATTTCCCTTTCATGTCATGCATCACTTCCGAACCCGAGGAATTACAACGGTCTGCAAGAGTAACTTCTATTGTTCAAGTTGTTATGGTACATATTACACTCTATAACTTTACGCAAAGCAATTTCACAAAGAAAACAAAGACAGATGAGAGGTATTAAGCAGCGACAGCAACACGTCGAGAAGCGTTCTTCTTCGTCAAGAAGGGTTGGACTTTAGCAGCACCCATGACGTCGTTTTTCTTCGTCTGCAACTGGTATTTATGTGCACGGCACTCCGCGAGGAAGTCAGTGAACATCTATTCAAAACAACATGATGAGCGAGGGAGACTAAAAGATACGACAGCGACATACCTCGATAGTGTCAAGGGGTCCGCCAGCACTCTCAGGGTGGAACTGTACACCCCAGATCTTGCGACCGGAATCGGGGGTCGACTTGATACCCTCGACCGACGAGTCATTGCAGTTGATGAAGAATGGCTCCCAACCAGCAGGGAAAGGATCCTGCAACTTGAGAGCATATTGATGGTTTTGACTAGTTAATAGGACGTCAGTACATGACGAGAACGGCATGGTATCGCACAAGAACAAACCTTGTAACATAGACACGACCAGCCTTGATAGAGCCAGATGAAGCGAGGGCAAGGACAGGTTGGTTGTGACCACGATTACCGAAAGTCATACGGTAAGCATCCAAACCAGCTGCAATACCGATGACCTGGTGACCCATGCAAATACCGAAGATGGGCTTGTCCCACTCCTGCATGGTCTTCCTCAAATGCACGGCAGCCTCCATGCAGTGGTTCGGATCACCAGGACCATTGGAGAGGAAAAGACCATCATATTGATCACGGATCTTGTTGAAGTCGAAGTTCCAAGGAAGCATCGTGACCGAAGCTCCACGGCGAACGAGGGAACGGGGAATGTTTGCCTTGGCGCCGAAATCGAGAACGGCAATCTTGACATCACCAGTAGGGTTGAGTACGTAAGGACTCTTCGTGGATACTTGAGCTACAAGGTTTTCCATGGTAGGATCCCAGAACTCTTCAGCCTTGGGTGCGGGGAGAGCGGCATCATCGCCAACAGCAACTCGCCCCAAAGTAGTACCCTGGTCACGAAGTAGACGAGTGATGGCACGGGTGTCCACGCCGGAGATACCTGGAACACCGTGACGATTGCACCATTCGGCGAGGGATTCAACCGCGAGATAATGCGAGGCCTTCTCAGCGACGTCGGTTACGATAATGGCTGAACACTGAATGCGATCAGACTCGAGGTATACGCCGACATCATTGCCATTAACAGGTGTCTTGTTGTTTGGAACACCATAATTTCCAATCAAAGGGGTGGTGAAGACCAGAATCTGGCCTCGGTAAGAAGGGTCGGTCATGGATTCGGTGTCTAGACATTACACGTCATAAAATTGCTAGACGCACACGATGAAAAGACTCACAGGAAGTGATGGAGGTGGAGAACACGGTCTCTCCATAAATACTTTTCGGGGCACCGAACGAACGACCTGCAAAAGACTGGCCCGACTTGAGATGCAGCACGGCCGGAGGCGCTGCAAAGCGGGAGATGTTGCTTGCATGGGTCGCAAAGCCCCGAGAGAAGCGAGTGAGATACATAATGTTTCGAGCGAGCATATTGAACTAGGTCTGTATGTCCTTATCAATGACTGAGAAGAGAGAACACGAGGTCGCTGAGGTAACTGAAGACATAAGAATTTGTCAGTTCGAGTACTTTATGAAGACTGAAATAAGCACTAACTCGTCGCGAGTGCTTTGAGTGAAGATCATGTACGAGCGTGAACGCTCAGAGAGATAGAGATGGTCGAGGTCGAGGTCGAGGAGGTGGAAACTGCGATACGCCAATTGGTCCAATGGTCGACCTCCACAATTTTATGATAGCCAATTCTAGCTCCGCCTACGCGCCGAGTCATTCCTAGACACGATCACGTGTGGATTTGAAACCCCGCTCGTGCGGAACCTCGACGCGTCAACACGAGGTGAGCTTACTCTTCGAAGTTTACACAGGTTTGCACCCAAGTTTCTTACTTTGACCTGTGCAATATCTTACGATGCTTTAGCAGCGGATATATATACATATGTCACTGTTTCATTGTGCCAGGAACTCCAGAGGAGCTCCTCGAATATGTAATCCTCGAGATGTTACACGGCAAATAAAATGTCGCACAGAAGCTTCCCTGCTCAAGCAAGTCCTGTGCCTACTATGAAAGGGCCAACCAAAAATATGGCACGCTTCGAAGACTCTGCCGTTTGACCTGTGGTCAACATGTGGGAAGAACGGCTTCACCACTTTTGTATGAATATTTTGTCTGAGATTCTTCTCCATCTAATGAAACCTTTATCACCAGTTCCTCAGACAACCTGCCTTCGTGGGCAATGTTTAGGCTCAATCACCACGCAAGGCACATCAAATATATAGGGTTTCTCACGAAGCTGAATGCCGGTTACACCATGGCATACGAAGCGGCGTTTGGAACCTAGCATGTTCTTGTCGCATTTCGCTCTTCCAGCTCTCTGTTTCCAAGAATTGTCCAGTTATGGTAGTTCACTGGTCAACCGCATGCTCGAGCCTACCCTGTAGAGGGAAAATGAGAGATTGGGCTGACGGAGGGGATATAATAAGATTTCGGGGATGAGAGGTACAACACAATCCCGACCCGAAATGCTTTTGCTAACTCTGGAACACACTCGAGGATGGTGTTTTAGAAGAGATCGAGGACTGTGATGCTAGATGCAAAGTTAAATCCGTCCGTCAACGCGTACACAAGCAAATGGAGCTGCGCATGTCGTCAATCATTAGTGTTATTCTCAATGTAAGCATTGAATGTGAACGCACAAATACGATCATTCTACAGAAGCACCAATCGTTCCCCCAGTGCAGCGGAGAGAATCGGCAGGTGTTCGGTGATGAAATCCCGTAGATCCCCAAGGAGACCTACAAGTCCATCCTCTGCACCCAAGAACGCGACACGTTCCAAATCTCGGAATCTCGCAAGGGCTTGGTCCATAAGACCCCAATCGTAAACCTGAAGTGAAGAAATACGTTGATCCCGGACCGATCCAACGAAGGACAATGTGAATGTAAATTGGCGAAGATTGAGAGGAGTTGGGATAGCAGATAGAAGGGATATCATACAATCCCAATTGGTAGTCTGAGGGCGTTGGAGGCAGTCGAGATCGAGCACGAGGGCCAAGGAAAGTTCAACGAGCTTGACACACGATGATACGTTGTATCTATCCACTAGCGACACTGTCAAAAGAAGCAGAGGTTATTTCAAGTATATAATTGGCACTCAATACCAAAGCTAGCAGAGGAATGATGTAAGACATACCGTCACTGTACAGTGTAGGTAGGGTTATGTGCAAATACTCCAACTTCGTTCCAGCTACACGGATGAATGCGCCAATATCTTCTGTAGCAGGTCCTGTATCGAATATATTCAACCTTAAGGAGGTGAGGGTTGAATTTGGGGTAAGCAAATGTCTGAGTAATCGGTATGTTTTCCATCCAGAAATGGAAAGTCGTGAAATCTGAGGAAGGACGTCGCCGTTTACGGATCCTGACGCTGTGGTGCCAATATCGTCCGTGCAGCCTATCAAGGACACCTTGAGATGATTCACTTCCTCAAAGTAGCATAGGAAGGCAGAGAGTGTAGACAGCGACACCGCATGACTACGAAAGTCGAGTTCAGAGAGCTGTCGACGGGGTGGTCTCTCGCAGGAAGGAATGAGAGACAGAGGCGGTAGGTTGAATCGGAGGAGCCTGAATACGCGTAGATTGGGCAACTCCTGTAATACAGAGTGAACTAAGGAGATGGGAATGATCCGATCATCATCGACACTGGGGCCATGGCGTCCGAGTCCTCCTTCCCCCACGATGGTGAACTCTCGGATTTCATGCCTCTTTGTAGCAGTATCCTGCGTATGGAAGAATGCTTGAACCAATTCAAAAAACTTCGAGCTTGATGTTGAAGATGACATGGGATTGTAACAAAAAACGATGGAGCGGAAGATGTAGGATTGGGAAGTCGGTGTTAAGGCTTTGCATACGAGAGAGCACGATGCTAGAGATGCCTTGTCATTGTGCAGATGTCCAATGACAATATCGGTCACTTCTGGAGGCAGCACAAGAAGAGACATCATAGAAACTGCTTGATCCCTAATGTTTCTGCTCCTGCAGGCACGTTCCCGGGCTCCTTGAAGAGCTATGGAAGATATTAGGTGGGTCTATAAGTAATGCGTTCAGTTCGCGAATGGAGCATACTTGTATCAATTGAGCATACTGACGCACGCTTTACCACTCGATTGACCGCGTGGTTCTTCGTGGTTGGGGAATGACCTGGCGAAAAGCTTTCAGTTATTGCAACGATCGATCATTATACTGTATCGAATATTGATCTAGTCTCCCACGGGCAGTGTAGACTCCGTTGAACTTGGTTCAGCCTCAGGATATCTTTGCCTGACTGTCAATCACTCTTCGACGATCTGTCAATTCAGCTGTTGAAAGTTGAACACCACTAGCTATGGGACAGCTCTTCCCAAGGTCGTTGAGGAATACCCCCCTGTTTTTCTCGAGTCGTCACTTCTCAAACAGCCTTAGCAATTGCCGTCGGTCTTACACTATACTCGGACTCGAGTCCTCCGCGGACGATAGCTGTGCTGCTATAGTTACATCCTCTAGAAAAATAAAAGCAAATATTGTCATCAGACAAGATGCCGAGTGAGTAAATACATGGGATGCTTAACTTATATTCACGGTCGTGTGAGACATCAGCAGTATGGTGGTATCCACCCGTATGTTGCAGTACAGTCACATCAAAGAAATATGGTAGGCCTTTGACCTGCGTGTAACCACTCCGCTGAGTCTTACAAAAACGTTCTTCACAGCCAATTGCTGTGAAACGAGCTTTGGCTGAAGCGCAATGTTCTGTGCATGACATTGACGGCATCGCGTTCACTCGCGGTCCAGGTGCGTCGCTCTTCCTCGCGATAGCGTCGAAGTGCGCATTAATAAAATAACTTTCAGGGATGCCAGGGTGTTTGACTGTTGCAGCAACCACGGCAAAAGCACTCGCCGCGGCTCTGGGGAAGCCTCTGGTTGGCGTTCATCACATGGTAAAAAACCACCATGTCCTGAATAGGATGATTCACTAACACTTTCTCATTCTAGCATGCTCATGCACTGACTCCATTTCTCTCTCAACCGGAAGACGATTTGCCAGCGTACCCGTTCTTAACATTACTACTAACTGGTGGACACACGCTCTTGTTACTGGCCACGTCTCCTAACTCATATGAGATTCTGGCTGAATCCATTGACAGTACAATTGGGTTCGCTTATGATCGCGCATCTCGCGCCTTGGCTATGCCACCACATCCGAAAGGGCCAGGAGCATCCCTAGAAGCCTTCTGCGCTCAACCGGCAGATGATTCCGAGCTACAGGACCTCATGCAACCTCTTGGCGTACCACTGCACAATAGAATGGCTTTCTCCTATGCCGGTATTGTCGCGCAAATCATTCTACGTATCAAGGAACTCGGTGATAGCCTTAATGATCAGACAAAGCTGGCTCTTGCTCGTGCTTTCCAAAACGCTGCCGCACGTCATCTCGAGGAAAAGTTGCTCATGGCGATCATGTCATGTCGAAAGCGCAACCTTGATATTAAGCATATGGTTATGAGCGGCGGAGTTGCCAGTAACATGTTCCTTAGGAATCGGTGAGTCACATGAAACTATCAAAGCTGATGTACCTAAAATATCGTTGGAATAGTTTACGAAGTTGTTTGGAAGCTGCAAGTTTGGCTTCTCAGTCACCTATCAAGCTGATATGTCCACCTCCTGCCTTATGTACAGGTTCGTATCTGGGCAGTCTTAAAATGAGCAGATTTGAACGTATCACACAGACAACGCTGCAATGATTGCATGGGCCTCCATGACCCGGTTCCTTACCCAGGATTATGATGATCTCACCGTTTCCCTCCGTCCAACATGGACGCTCACGAACCTCACTCAACCCGAAACGGAGGATAAAGCATGGAAGGGAAGAAGGGCTCGCCATCCAGAAGTTGATGCTGTATAGCATCCATATTACACTAATCACATTCTCGAACTACTCAGGAATAGGCTTGAAATCGCATTCCAATTAATCTTCACATTGAAGCCTTTGACGTGCTTGCGAAGATGGGGAAGGCGGCTAAGTCCGGCCACAAGGGTACCGCCAACGCCACCTGCCTGTGGCCAGGTTGTGGATTGGCACTTTGACAATATAAATGACTCTGAGATCCCCGCAACACCGCTTAACAACGTACTACCACCCACTCAATGGAAGAGCCCTCCGACCTTACAGAGTCCAAGAAACGGTCAAGTCCCATTATACGTTTACCAAAACGATCTCGATGCGAGCGTTGTTATAAACCCTTTCCTATCAGTAACGCCGCTGGTCGAGTTACCGGGGAAGAGTCTCGTACGCATTGCCTCTCATGCATAACCCACAAACGATGCACAAACTGCCACATCACTAAACCAAGGGTAGAGTTCCTCAAGACGTGCAGGATTGCGAGGGACATGCCTGAATTCGAAGAACTCGCCAATACTTGCAAGAAATGCCGAGAAAGCCATAATCGATATGCCTCAAGGAAAAGGAAGCAGACTTTGAGACCTGGATTGAGAACTTGTGCGAGGTGTACGCGCGTCGTTCCAGAGGACGAGTTTCGTGTAGATGGCAATGGCACTATCGGAAGGGGATGTAAAATCTGTCGGCAGCGAGCCAGAGCACGATACGTCGCTGGCCAAAGGTCTGCCGCCCGGAAGGCTGTTCAGACCATACCACCAGCCCGAGAAGACCCAGAATCCATGGATGAGGAAGAGACCAATGTTCTCGCAGGAAACGTGGTGGAATGAAACTATATTCCCGAATAACCGAATAATTAGAATCCTGGAGTACTCTAGCACGACAGCTGCCGGCCAGCAGTCGCTATCTGTGCCCAACCGTATACCTATATAGATAAAACATAAATAGTTTCCCTCAAACCTTACTCAAGATACTACCATGGAGAAAAAAATGATTATCGCCTTCGTGCATCAGAAAGCTGTGAACTGTCTCCCTTCATGCCTACCATGCGTTCAACGACAGCCTAGAAACGATGTGATCAGACCGCCGCATGTCAGAAGAAAAATGAGCGCAAAATACCTGTGCTTGATCCCAATCCATGTTATCTTCCTCCTCGGGCTCGTCGTCGACCTTCTTATCCTCATTACCAATACCCAACCCCCAACCTCCCATACCAGGATTCGGAGTCTCAAGATCCGGGCTCCTAAAAATTACGGACAAGTTCAACCCTACCACTCTTGAAAGGGGATAAAGACTTCATACCGGAGACTCTCCAAGAACTCTCGCCCCTGTTCCCTCCCAGTTTCCACGAAGCCGTGGAATCTCGGGGTATCACCTCCATCGTCGCCCTCGTCTTCCCCCCGGGATGACCTAATGTGGTTTTTCAAGTCAATCCGCCCTCGCCTATCTCGAGGCGCACCCGCAGAAAGGAATGACGGTGCGCCTCTTGAGTAGCGGTGACGGATATTGGAGGAGCCATGAGTCATCGGTGTACGAATGGCGCGAAGAAGATGTTGGATCGCTGCTTCACCTGCTGTGGGTGGCGGCGTTGGTTCCGTCAGCGAGAGGGCGGAAGGTAGAGACCGCTGTGAGACCAGAACCAGTAGCCTGATGAAAAAAGAAAATAGGTATAAAGGTTATCGATGGTGTCAAAAAACGCTTACATTTGTTGCAGTCTTGGTTGTTGATAACTAGGGCTCTCAGGATATTCACGTTGCGCTAATAGGCGGGCATTGAGAACGGGGAAGGCAGGCAAGATGATGCGGTCACGGAACGATTGTAGAGCAATGGTCCGAACATCAATCTGGGGCGTCGATTGGTGTAGAACTCCTGACATCGAGCCTTTGACATTCTGCGCTACCGGAGAAGTTGGTTTATGACCTTTCGCAATTGTTCGGTAGAGTGATGACAGTATGGTGTCAGTCTGAAGCGGTAAAAGTGCCTGCAAGGAACGTTAACGGCGCATACAAATTGTTGATAGGTGTGCTACCCACTCCTTCGACGTATGGAAGGACTTGATCCCAAAAGAAGCCCCATAATTCAACCACTCGATTTACGAGCTTGTCATCGTCGATACCGGACAATTTGGAGGTGACATTGAGCATGCCTGCGTTTATCAGTTCCGACGCATCATGTTCTAGAACGGATATCGCCTTCGACGGGGAGGCAGAGACGACAGTCTGGATATGGCGCTTGACCAAGGCATTGAGATCCTCGCTAGACGCAATTGATGAGGTCAGTACTGTCAATAAGATGTAAGGTGAGACACACATACATCGGCACTCGCAACGGTTCGCCATTAAAGAGAGGCAGTACGTAGACGTGTAACGTAGTCCACGGGTTGTCAGTAGTGGATAATGACGCAATGTTTGATGTAGTAGGAGGTAAATTCAGCGTCGTGGTAGAAGCTGATGACAGCGAGGGATTCAACGACGGTAGGTGGGCGAGGTTACCCAGTCGATGCATCTCGCGAGAGATGAGTTTGGAGTCGTACGTTCGTGTGCCGGATGGCTACATAAACCAGTCAATTTCGTATTATATCAGACTTTTACAATAAGAGCCTGGACAAGAATAGTTTCGAGGGAAGCTAGAGATAATGCCGCCAATGGCCGTGTCTGAATGAACGATGACTTACCTTCGAAGGTGATGCGTGTCCTTTGTTTGGCTGATTGGAGGATGCAGACACGCCTGGCACAGGAGACGCCGTGGCTTCGCGGGAAACAGCGTTGAGACTGTCTGCTCGCGACTGGCTACGAGTGGGAAGCAGCTGAGGAGCAATAGGACTTGGGCGCAATGTGGAATTAGAAGAGCCACTATTTGAAGACAACAACTTCTCGCCGAAGAAACCCAATTTGCCCTTTGTTGGCAGATGATCGGCGAGGCTATGAGTGTTGGGAGGACTGCCAGACTCTGCAGACAATGTACTTGCATTTGTACCGGAACTAGCACCATGCAGCAGACCTGTAGGTCGTGGAGTATCGTCACCAATACTATGAGAACGTCTCCCGCGTTCTGGAGTGCGAACCACTGGCAATAAACCGACGTCCTGTGAGGCCCGCCGGCCTTGAGCAGATCTTCCAGCCATGAGGAAGGTGAGACCTCGAGTCTATTGTTCCTCCAGCTGTCCCGTTGATGTATTTCCCAGCGTCGATTTGTTCTGAGCCGAGGGGTTTATGCTCAAACCTTCGCCCGTGGAACAGTCGGTGGGTAAGCGGCCCGATCGCTTCACCGTTCCTCCGAATCCCACACCGTCCATTTGGGGCAACCGTGTATGTTTGTTGGAGAACGTTGTACACACACATACTGATATTTCATCTAGTCCAGCTTATACTAGTACTGCGCTGCACATGTCGTCCCATACTAGCCACAAAGAGGGTAGCCTAGTGACCCATGTGCATTTGGAACATTTGATATTACATGTCGCCCAACGTCCGTCAACGGATGTCATGATTGCTATTTATTATTTTCACTGTGTAGATCTGAGGACTCGCAGACGATCCAAAACCCTATCTCCATCAATGTAACAACCCTTCAACCACCGATTGACCTCTTCATCCTCACTAGCAGCGTCCGTGAAAGCAGTCCTTGCATGGAGGACGCGACGATTGTCGAATACCACCGCATCACCCTCCCGAAGAGTGTACTCATACCGAACGGAGGGTCTCTCGAGAAGAGAAGAAAAACGCTCGAGAGCAGAGTAAAACTCTGGTGGAGTCGACAATGGAAGTGGCGCTTGGAAGGGTGGGGCATAATTGATATGGCGTATAGGCTTGGGTTCGTCTACGTTCATAGAGAAAGGTGCCAGCTCGATGGTAGGATGCGCGTTGTGCAAGTGGTGTCCATTATTGATATAGTGGAAAGTGACCGGCGTTTTGGTCAACACATCAAAATCCGCTGGGTGGGTCTTTCGTAGTTCTTCAGCAGCATAGAGTCCGTCGACGAAGAGAGAAACGCCTCCTTTCACTCTGTTGCGCAGACAATGGAGGAACTGATATCGCGGAGGGTGGTGGAAATACCTATGTTTTATTAGAGCATGTGTGGACATAGATTATGGCGATGACATACTCCAAGTCAATATGAAAGCCAAGATCGAGATTGGTATAAGCGATATTCGTGCTATTGCGAACGTTCTGCACGTCCCAGAGGTCGCCATAGAAGGTTTTACGAACCTCGCCGAACTTCTCAACCAGAGCGCGAGTCTCGCAGGTCTCATTCGACGTCTCCGCGTTGGGAACCCCAGTGACCAGAAGCAATCCGTAGCGAACTAATTGCTCGAAAGCCTTCAGCATACCCGCCTTCGTCTTCATCTCCTCGTACGGTATGAAAAGTGTTTTCGAAGAGCGAATGCGTTTCCCGTCCCAGGCGACCGGATCGACATCTTGATGGAATTTATGCAAGTTTTGTGGAGAAGCATGGTTATGAAGAAGATCACTGGAGTAGAATGAACTGTGTCCCGACGCCCATTTGATCTGCACCCCATCATTGCGAACTTCTACACCATTGGGAGCGGGGCTTATGTCCGCGCCAATATCAGAAGTGCGATGTAGCTTCTGCTTGTTAGACGGATGCACACATTGTGGACATTGGCACGAATCGCGAAGCCACCTGAATGGGTACGTGGTGCCGTTATACTGCAGTCCTGCTGCACGGTCAGAAGCGACTGTGGTGAAGCGCCGGGCAGTTCCGGAAAGTCCGAGTCTTGCTAAACGAAACATCATAAAGCTGCAAAGCATTGCCTCGTTAAACTTGCGGTATTAGGAGTTAACGTCGAGAACTCACTTTGAGCGGATCGCGCGTAATTGGAGGTGGTTTCAGAGGGAAAATGTAAGAGAGTCAGACCAGTGAAGCAACGGGAAAGTCAAGATGAAGGGGACGTCCCAGGCGGTATTATTTATGAACTTTCCACCGCTGAGAATTCCCACTATCAAAACAGTACGCGATGTTAGACGTAAATCGCGCGTCGAAAGGTGAAAGTAAAGGCATTCTGCATGTCCGAATCAGATCATATGAGCGTTTGATCGGGGGGTCATCGGATTTGGGTGTGAAGGAAAGAAGCCTCTTCATGAATCATTGGTATAGAGGGTGGGTACGAGACTGGCATAGAGGGCATAGAGGCTAATAATAGAGCGCAAACGTTTGCGACCCCTTGCTTATTGTGACTGACGAGCGAAAGGAAATGGACTGGATGAGTGGAAGCGTCCTCGTCATCAGCTCAGACTCGTCGACGGAGAACACCGACATGAAGAAACTTGGCAACTCTATTTGTGTTGTTCCCTGCTGATTTCAGCCCCTAACATAGATATAGCATGACCTTCATAGTGCAGGGGAAAAAATTAGGTTGCGCAATGAGAGCCCACCGCGAGATTCGAACTCGCAACATTCAGATTCAGATTCAGGAGCTGACGCCCGAGGTCTTAAAAGTCTGACGCTCTATCCGATTGAGCTAGGCGGGCACATTAACATATCGAGTTCAATCTCATTTTCATTTTCATTCTGATCTTCGTTTTCAAAATTTCCGTTCCACAAACCTTACGAGTGCACTTCAAAGTTCAAATCACTGCAATATTTAACCAGGATCGCCTAATTCGCCCCGGCAGGATAGGACTTGAGTCAGCAAATGTACCAATGGAATAAGCCTACAAGCTATAAGCTTTTAAGTCCGACCTGATGCGCCATAGCCCACCTTGCCGCCGTGGACGGTGGCACTGGTATGCGTCATGGGCAAGCTTGGTCAGGGGCTTTTATAGCAGCATAACCGTGATAGCCATCCTATGATCTCCATCTGTCTACTCGTCTATACGGAGTGGGTATATCCGTTCGATCTGTACGGGCGATGCTGCCAGTGGGTCGGATTGCTGAAGGTATAAAAGGTGGACGTGAAATGACACAGCCCACAATCAAGTTCTCAGTCTCTTCAAGCTCCTTCAGGCACTCATAATAACGATATATAATGCCCGCTACACAAGCAGGGAGCACAGTCCTTGTTACTGGTGCAAATGGTTTCGTCGCGATGTGGGTGGTACGCAAACTTCTGGAAGAGGGATATCATGTTCGTGGAACAATTCGCTCAGCGTCCAAAGGAGACTATATGCGCAAAGTCTTCGAGGACCTTGGTGACAAGTTGGAACTAGTCGTTGTCCCAGATATCGAGAAGGTGAGGCTGACTGCAAGGTATCTTGATCCGACACTCACGATCGCCTTTGTTTACCTAGGAAGGGGCATTCGATGAAGCTGTCAAAGGAGTTGATGCAGTTGTACATATGGCATCTCCTTACCATTTCGGCGCAGTAGATCCAGCGGGTAGGCGTTCGGGACAATATTACCTAGACTCTTCTCATGAATTTCCTCTAGAGTTGATTGATCCAGCAATCAGAGGCACGCTTAGTATTTTGCAAAGTGCACTGAAATATGGGTGAGCACATCAACATAGTTGATCTATCTCCAAGATTATAAATGCAGACTTTTCCTCAGCACGAACATTCGCCGGATCGTTATCACAACTTCTACAGCAGCGATGGTGCGACCTACGAATACGCCCATCGTATTCACTGAGGATGATTGGAACGACGCGTCCATTCAAGAAGTAAAGGAAAAGAGCCGCGATGCTCCTGGTTACATCAAATATTTTGCTTCCAAAACTCTCGCCGAGCGAGGTCCATTATTTCCTACTCCGTGGTCAGGGCCTATGCTCATCTCTTTACAGCTGCCTTTGATTTTGTCGAAAAGAACAAGGAGTCGATAGGATGGGACTTGGTCACCATTGCTCCACCCTACGTATGTATCATTACGTTATTAATTTTCTGGATAACGACTGACTTCCTTTCACAGATTTTCGGGGTTCGTATTCTCACTTCTATTTTGCATCACGACTAATAATGTCTTGCATGCAGCCTATGATCAACGAACTGTCAAGTCCTTCCTCAGCCAATGCTTCCTTAGCGGAGTGGTACCAGGCCATACTAGAGTCGGCTAAAAGCCCTGAGGAGCTTAAGACCTCCGGAAACGCATGGGCGGACGTTCGAGACATTGCGCTCGCTCACGTCAGGGCTATACAACAACCTGAGGCGGAAGGTAGGATAACAGTTAGTGCAGATTCGTTCAATTGGCATGACTGGGGTAAGTGAATTATTCGATATGCCTCCGTGTGCCATTACTTATCAAATGGGTTCGCTCACAGTGGATGTTGTGCACTCATTGAACCCCTCGCCATATCCTCCTAACTCCTATGTTCAAAGTGATCCTTCATATGATCCTAAGACCGCTGTCCGTCTACTCAACTTCGATACTACGAAGGCTAGGAGAGTCTTGGGTATCGACAAGTATATTAGTATGGAGCAATCGGCGCGAGATATGCTTGAAGACTTCAGGAGTAGGGGTTGGTAGGACGTGTACGCTTATATTTTCGTATCCCTCTTAAATTAGACTGCTTTCATGCTTATGTCTATCAGGGTGATTCATAGCTGAAAAGGGATTCCGTAAAGGTGAGGTAGTTCATTTGCACCTTTTGTGAGGGTCCACACGTCGACAATATCATGGTACCAGCAACGCCCAAGTTATCTATCACCCTAATTGCGTCCAGGGAAGGTGGGGTGAACAAGCCTTCGCACATTGAACGGTTCTTTCATTATCGTTGGCACGTAGCAGCATTCATTCTCATCAGAACTACCATATACTCATGAGAAAGCTCAATAATAGTCTGGTGGACGGCGGTTTCCATCGGAATCACGTATTCATAGGCGATACAGTGGTTGGTTTGACCTGATCAAGACTAGAAATGCTCCAGGTTTCACGAAGTACAGTATCATTGCGAGTACATCTACATAGGACAAATGCATGCTAAACACAAACCTGGATCACGGGCAAGGATCGTAGCAGATGATTTCAAACGACCCCTTGGCAAAAATGCAACCTTCTTTCTCCTACTGACTGCACTGAGCCGATGGCGTGAAGGGGAAGCTCGACAGCTTACGGCACTGGCAAGCATGCCAGTTGGATAAACGTCAGTGTAGAATAATACATACTTAGCGGGCTCGCTACACCATATGAGCCGTATCCTTCTCAGTGTCTATGGTCATCTCTGACTCTTGGACGATCGATATCTGAATGGGCGGGTGTGATGGAATTTCGTCGGAGTCGTGTTTCGTCTGTAGCGCAGCTAACCCTATGTCCGCAGTTTCTTCTCCGACGGCTCCCAGCGTGCTTTCTTGTGTAGTCACAAATGTCGTATTAGGGCGTTTGGTTGGGCGAAAAGCCAAACTTCTCATACTGGATATAACGATGGAAGCATCCTCTTGAATTAAACCAAGTTTCAAGAGCCGGAATACCCTGCACGCCATTGCGTTTTGTAGGGCAATGTTGGGTATGATTAGCATTCCTTGGAACGTTGGAGAAATTAAAGACGTCAAGAGGACTATCGTCATCACGATATTCACCCATACGGTAACCCTATGTAAATAGGGATGAACGACTGCCTTCACAGTATTCAAAGAATATGATGACTCACAAATAATACAGTTGTCCAGTTTGCAGTAGGGCTCTCGAAACATGCCCCATACCCTTTCCGCTGAGGAACATTTTCAAGCGTCCTCGCCACGTATTTTCGAAACTGAACGAGAGCATCCGGAGGGTTATACCCACGAACACCGAAGTATCAAATAATGTCACAGTGATGAATCCTATCGAAGTGAATTTGGAGACATTCACAACGATGCAGTATGGTGTTGGACCGATGTGACTGGCTTGAAATCCGAAAGGCTCGCTCAGGGCAGAGAGAGTCAAGAGCCAGAGAACGAGAAAACCAGCAGATATCTTGCGGGAGTCAAGGAAGACGCCCCTCACTCTGATGAAGAAGAGAAGGGCATTATAGGGCATTGCACATTACCCAAACCAGGTAAGTATGCTAAAGTGTTTAGGACAGTCGTGGTGAGGAGTGGCTGTAATTCAGTTAATATGCCAAAACCTTTATACTTATGCTGATGATGCACTCACTCTCGAATATTACAGACGAGATGAGGAAACCACCAGTTACCATGCTGCGAACATCCGCCGGTTAACAACGGTTACAGCAATAGAATGGATGAAGCCTACCGAGAGCATACGTAGATGACATTGGATAGTGCGATAGTGCTCTTTTTCAACATTCGGAACTCGTCACCCGCAGCCGTTAACACATCCCATATCCATGCCTAAAAAGAGGTGTCAAAGACTATCATATCGTGAAAGGAAACAAAGAGTACTCCGAGTACAGCCGTCCAAACGGCCTTCGTGAGCTCATACTGAGGAGCGAGATTAGGTTGCAACCAAGCTCCAGGGGCGAGCGGGTTCGGCATGGAGGCGCATGTAGTAGGATCTTCCGCCATAATGCAATGTGGTTTTGTTTTTGAGGAGATGGGAGCACCGGCGGAGGACACGGCACCTCATCTACATATACATATATGTATCCAGCTGCACGAGGCAATGTAATAGTCCGATGACTGAAAACTTTTGATAGCTTAAGTACATCATTCCAGGTACTATTCAGCGAAATAACACTGTGAGTAGATAGAACGGGCATATAGTGTTCTGTGACTTCAAGCAGTCAGTTAAGCATGGAAGCATGTCATACATGCACGATACCTAGGTATATTTATCAAGGGCAGGCCCGGTAGAACTGGGAAGAATCACGTCTGGTCGGCACTTGCCACTACACGCGTTTTCGATTGTTCCCTGGTTCCATGCTATTGTCGGACTATGTGAAGAGGCGGTATTACTTCAAGTGGGCGAACCGTCTTGGAAGACAGTAGGTATCGTCTAGAGATCCAATTCTACCTCATGGCAAGAACATGCTTGAAGCAACTTGAAGGATTCAGTCTGTGTTGTGGGGTGAGCTAAGACAACCCGTGGGAAACGTGATCATGATATTTTGGCCAAGTACGGAGATCCGATGCAGTAGGAACGCCTCTCTAAGTTCAAGCCTTCTAACCCGTTGGGATACTTATATTCTCTATCGCATTCTTAGTGACTCAGGCTTTTGTGCATAGATACAGATTTCGGAAGTCTTTATGCTGATTAGGCATCATTTACCACCGCAATTCCACCGCTCATTACTGTGGGCTCGCTTCCAGCATCTGTGATACTTTCGGAAGCCAACGTTAACCCAACCATGGAGTCCTTCGTCTATGTATAGACTTCTAATTTTCATCATGTACAGTATAAGGGCCTCAAACCGTGACTACAGTCTAGCTGCGATAGGTAAGCGTAATTGCGGAAATGTAGAAATTGCATTTCCAGTGCTGGTTGCACTAACTTACTGGTATATCAATAGCACTAGCCTGATTCATCCATCATGTCCACAAAACTCACAATACAAACATAGTTCAGGCCAGTGCAGAATCCCAAGTCCAGGTCGGGAACGAGACACTCCTACAAGATATTCTTTCTCATTTGTTTATCCACGCAGCATAAAACGTTCAATTTTCTACTCCAGATGTTTCTCAAAGTCTCTCAGCCCTTCGTGACAGTCAATGCTGCACTACCCTCAGGATGCAAGCTTCTTGTAACCGGAGCCAATGACTTGGTTGCAGCCTGGGTAGTCCGAGAGCTCTTAGAGAACGGTTTCCTAGTTCGTGGCACCATTCGTTCCGACGCCAAAGGAATATATCTACGAAAGCAATTTGCGTCCTATGGTGATGGACTCGAGATTGCTGTTGTACCTGACATCGAGTAGGTACGTTATTCACTTTTCGTAGGCCAGCGATCTGAATGTGAAGCTTCAGGAGGGTGCATTTCACGAGACAGTCAAGGATGTCGATGCCATCGAGTATACAATATACAGCCTCCCCTTATCGGTTTGATGCAGAGAATCCTAAAGGTAGGCTGTCCCAGAATCCACACTACTCGGTCGTTCCTAGGAATACATCTCAGAGTTGATCGATCCCGCCGTAAGGGTTACTACGAGCATCTCACATAGTGCAATGAAGCATGGGTCGGTTTCCTTTCTTCGTTATACGTACCGCTGAATTGTGAACTGACGCATTCTCATTCACGCAATTCAAAAGTTCGGCGAGTGGTCATCACCTCGTCTTGTGCTGCTGTAGTTCGTCACTCGAAGGAGCCTCTTGTTCTGAACGAAGCAGACTGGAACGATGCCTCTATCGATAGCGTCGAAACCCTGGGGAAGGATGCTCCCGAATCATATGAAATATTCTGCTTCAAAGACTTTGGCCGAGAAAGGCAAGTGAATTGAGAACACGCAAGAGTATATGCTGACAGTTTCACCGTTCCTAGCTGCGTGCGGATGCTATAACCAGAATAAAGAGAAGTTGGAGTGGGACTTGATCACGTTATGCCCGCCCGCGGTAAGTCTCACTTTCGACTGGAAAAAGTCCAATCTTTGCTGACTCGCATCTTGTAAGAGATACTTGCGTGAGTTTTTCACCTTCGAGTTGCATGGAAGTTCACTTATATTTGTTGTCACAGCTCATAATCAATGAAACGGCGGACCTACCTTCCGTGAACCAGTCACTGACCTTGTGGCACCACCATATCTTTGACGGACCTGAAATTGCCCCCCAATTCCTGGGCTACAGCGACGTGTGGACCAACGTGTAGCAGTTGCCCACGTCAGAGCATTCAGAGACTTGCGGCGGAAGGCAGAACAATCATTAGCTCAGGCGCGTTGATTTTCAGATGTCCAGGTCTAGCCTGAGGTACTTAGACCTCTTTCGAAATAGGCTTATTGACTAGAATGATCGGAGTAAGTACGTGAATTTCAAGAAATCATTATGCCAACGGATTGACGAAACTTCATGTAGTGTAATATCATACATTCACTGTCTGATTTGCCTTATGATAGGGAAGCGTTCCGAAAGCCCGTGGCCTCATATGACCCGAAACAGACGATCTACATGGTCAATTACGATATTTCTAAGGCAGCGTCTGTTCTAGGCTTAATGAAATACATTCCAATGTGTCAACTGCAATGGATATATTGGACGACTGGAAACGTCGAGGCCGGTGACCATGTCGCGTCTCAGGGAGTAAGTAACAGATGTTCTGATATTGTTGGCTTTGGTATCAAGCGTGGTCTAGGTATGTATCGATAGATATACTCGTATATAGTGATAAGCGAGAATCATGCTCTCGTTCAAAGATCTACAATCAGTACAACAAGAATCACTCCAAAGCCGATTCCTCCTCGTGTTTGACCTCGACTTCCCACCCTGCTGTGATATTCTTGAATATTGCACGTTCTTGGAGGCTTCCCCACTTTGTCCACCATTCATTTGCTTCGTCCTCGGCGTCGTATCCGAATATCTTCCGCGCGATCTGGAAATGGGATTCATCAGAGTTATAAAGCGAAGCTACATACGCCCAAGGCAACCGTTCGTACCTCCCACTGGTTCAAAACATCACCAGAATCCGGGTCCTCTGCGTCGAACGCATTTAACCCAAGTGCATGTCTCTTCCTAAGACGCTCATCACGCATCGTCTGCATCTCACCATCCGGCATAGTAGTAATCGAAAAGTAATCCCATTCCTGCGCAGCAACGAACCCGACCCTCTCCTGTCGAAGTTCTTCGAATCCTTTCAATAAGGACTTGATCTGGTCAATATGGTGTAGATGACGGAAGACTTGTCCGAGAGCGGCTGCGTCGCCGACACCCATGGCAGTAGCTTGAGTCGCGCCCGGCTACAGAAAGCTCGATAAGTCAGCGATGAGAGTCATAGTGAAACGGTGTGAGACGGTTAAACTCACGAAGACTGGATGTGCGGCATCTCCGACCAGGACTAACCTATTATTCTGGTCAATCCACGATGCCAGTTCTGGCATTTGGACGATAGGAACATATGACACGGAGGTTGCTAGACTTATGAGCTGAAGTATCCTATACGTTCTTCAGTTCATAATGCAATACATGATGGTCAAATGATACTAACCTTGGGTCACACTCTCCTAATTGCCTGACAACATCCTCTGGAGATATGGACTGCGACCAGCCTGTCGGCGGAGTATCGTCTAGAGGCAAGTACATTGTCAAGGCGATGCATTTTCCCCTCTTCCTGGTCTTCAAAGGATATGTGAGAACGGATTTGTTGTGGCCGAACCAAGTGAAAAAGGAGCCCTAATTCAAGAATACGGTCGGAAAATGGAGAATACAACATGAATACTCTGTGTCACCTCTTCCTGAAATAGTGTAACCAGTTCTGGATGTTGACGGATTTGATCTTCTGATATGACTGCACTAAGTGCGAATTGTCAGTAACTTTTGCGCCACACTCAGTCAAGCAAGCATACTTGTAGGTTGCCAATCCAGTAAAGGTGGGCCGCTCAACCTGGCCTACGACTGATTGTCGGGAGATGCCTGAGATGCCATCTGCACCGACCAAAACATCAGCCTCTAGCGTTTCTCCGGAACTCAGGGTGACGAAGGGTCGTTGGCCTTGCTCGCCAATTGATATCGAGGTGACTCGCGCACTGGATCGAATAACAGCGCCTGCCTCTGAGGCAAGATCCTTCAAGACTCTTCGTAGATCGCCATACTACAAAATAGAATGTCTGAGAATCAATAAAAATATTCAAATTCGACTTTGTAGTGGGACTCACGTGTAGTGAGACGAACTCCCCACCCAGTTCTTTCAGCACTTCCTCCTGCCAGAGGTGCTTGCCGATTAGCGATCCCGTCTCATCTTATAGGCATCGCATGAGTGGCGTACGACAAGTCTCTTGATTATAGACTCACAACGGTGAATGTGCAGTAGATGAGACGACACGGAGAACTCGTGAAGGCGGTCAGTCAACCCCCATCGGCTGAAGAGCCTCGCCATATTGGGAGCGATGTTGACACCTCCTGCACCGGTCGTCTGCCATTCGTCAAATTTTGTTGTACCAACAATTAGGATCTGTGGCTCACCTCCTCAAAGTCATCGCTTTGTTCTAAAAGCGTGACACGGTGTCCAATTCGCGACAGGGATATAGCAGAGCAAAGACCAGAGGTTCCGCCACCTATAACTATGAAGTCAATAGGAAGCATGGTCTGGTGCAGGCTCTTCTCGGAAGATGCTGGAGAATCCTGGCATCAGCCAAACGTATCAAACCGGAGGCTCAGTCAGCGGTTACAGCAGAAAACGGGAACAAATAAAACATGCCATGAGGGTACTTATGTGAATTATTTTAGAGGAAATTTGACCAAGAGCTTCAATGGTTCGAAATACTAGAGACTAGTTTGTAAAGGAAATATGGTGGCGCACCGGAAGCGTGGCCGGCGGTACAGGATAACAGTTTAAGCGTCATTCGAACTTGACTTCTGCGTCGAGGCCCCCGCACGGTTTTCCTTGATATATATGACCATGTTCCGGTGATGACCATGACCATCTATGGTAGCTGAGTGAGGCATTTTCCGACAACAAGGTCGGAACAGGAACTTCGGGCTGCCTTCCGTGAGACCTCACATGCAACCATGATGCTGTTGTTGTTGCCCCCTGCAAAGACGAATCAGAAACCATTCCGAATCTCCAGGAGGGGATTATCAATTCTACCCAAAATGTTGTATTCATAGAATGTTTGTAAAAATGATTGGTTGATCGATGGCTGCAATGATTAAAGCACGCCATGCCGTATTTGGAGCGAAGATTTCCTTTTGCAGAACGGGCCAACGGTGGCACCAGGATTCTATGCTCACTGAGTGTGTTCGATTTACTGAAGCCCTTTCACACAAAGTTTACGCCAGGCGGATCCCAGGTTCGTAGACAGTATCTATATAGGGCGATGACACAATGTATAGAATGCATCTGTTGATCAAGCTTCCAGTGCCTACTGTGTGACTCAATGGTCCCTTGATGCACTTATCACTGTTTCCAGGTTACCTGGGGGGGCTTTTCCAAGACTTAGTGCTCCATATTCGTACAATTGGATCTATATCGAACAGATACATAAGTAATTGTTTGAAGTCGAGTCTAGAGAAGTAACACGCCTGGAATATAACTTCGCTCTTTCCAGTAGCAACGATCTCCGTCCACGCTGCAATTGGCTTGTGTGACGGAGAATGAGATACGCTTCCCCCATGAACTCTCCACAAATGAGACGTCAATCGTAGTCGATTATTGGAGCCATTGTTGCGCAGCGAACTCCACAGACAAACTCGAAGGAGCAGCAAACTTTTACAGCAAGAAGTTTCCACCGCATTTGACAGACAATTACGCGGCAGAGATATTCGCCAGTATACACCACCAAGTTCACCACAATGAAACCCACCACCAAAAGACGGTGGGATAGAAAAGACCTCTGAAGGACAATATGTGACGTCACTTAGCTCCTCTTTATTCTGACTTCATTTTGGCTAGCCCTAGCGAGCCCTTTGTGGAACCAGCCGCGCGTAATGTCGCTCACGACAAATAGGTATATATACCTCCTAGTCGCTTCCAACGCTCCCCGGAAGTGCTTTGACCCCTATATTCACTTACCACCTACACATTTTAACTCTAGCAAACACCCACAATTTTAACAATGGCATCTGAAAGTATGTGTCTCTTTCTTACATGGCACGTATAATTTCGACCCCTGTCTGTTTCGTATTGCAGGCAAAGATCAGGCTCGTATGGCTGCGGGCTTGAAGGCTAGCATCCACAACCCCAACGTTTCTGAAGAGGCTAAGCAGCGTGCGGCTGAACGTCTCGAGAGCATGGGCACTGGCGAAACTCTCGGCCAGCATACCGTGTCCCCGCCCTCGAGTGAACACGAGCAGAGCAGGGTTCTTGGTGGCTACAAAGCAACTTTGGCAAGTGAGTGGCTTGTTGCTCCGTATCCTCAGATACATATTGATCAATGCGTGTCGCACAGGTGAACGCGCATCTGAGACGGCTAAGTCCCACGCTCGTGAAGTCCTCGAAGCCTCCGGCTATACTGTCGAGCGAGCTCACGGTGTCTCTGAAGACGAGCACGAGAAGCGTGTCATCGCTGGATACAAAGCTGCTCTGCACAGTACGTGACAAAGAAAACCATGCAGCACGATCTGATTTTTTCACTCACCATTTCGCAATAGACCCCAGAGTCTCTGAAGGCGCGAAGCAACACGCCCAGGAGTTCCTCAAGCAACACGGTGTTATGTAGTTTGCTCACTTTCGACCGCGCACACAAAAGAATGTATGATAGCAGAAGGAATTTGGCCGTAGTATAACATCTATGTAACATTAGGGCTCGGAATCGGCTTGTTTCTTGAATTGGCCGTTATGTGACAAGGGATGACGAGTCGAGCTCCGAGTGAGTAGCACCTGTCTGTTGAGAATTGCGGCTACAGCCCGTCATAATCCTAGAAAATAACAGAAGAGTGAGGTGGTTATTACGACAGTGGGGCGCATCGCAGAATCGAGTCGTTCATCAACGTTGTCAGGTTCAATTGTGAGGCCTTGAGGGAGAACCGGGATCGATTTGAGCCGGCGTACGGATATCATGAAATTACTATATCCAGGTAGGTTATGATAGTACCTTCCGAGAACGGTCCGCTGCTCGGACTGTAACTGCATACTGAAAAGATATCGTATGAATGTTCGACTTCTCTAGGATTGCACAGACCTCTTGAAGCCGACCACCAGCTCAGCTGTCCAAGTACAAGACGTGAGAGTCCCAGAATGAAGTTGCGGCGGTAGAAGGTATGAAAGTACTTGGCAAAATGTCTTCGATGTAGAAAGATTCAAGTGTTGTCGCGCCTTTCAGAGCTTAAGTTTCGGGCTCCCCGTGTCTCGCGAGCTCTGTCCCAAAGGATGCCTTCTCGAGGCGAATCGAGTCTCGGGGTCTGAGGCGAAGAAAGCATTGGCTCTCTGTCAAGACGTTGTCCGATGTTATCCCTTGTCACTCTGAACCATTGCAAATCAGGATCATCCTCGCATGGTCCCATCATCATACGTCCCTCCATTTCGTCACGTATGATGATCGCCCCCGTTCGCAGTTTTTCTCGTCTTACTAGAAGGTACACACAACCCCGGTCCGCTTCGATTCAATGCCGCCGTTCTCGACCTGAACAATCTGAATGCCTCGTATCGTGGCCACGTACTAACCATCTCTGGTACTATGGGAAAGACAAATGGAGAAGGCGAATGTTGCATGACAGAACTCTTTCGGGGATTAACACGGGCTTCACAGTATTTGCTATCGAAGCTTTGAAAACGTCTCAGGCGACAACTGATCACCCGCATTGATCATGCCACCCTGCTCCATCCGGTGAGCTATGGAGTTGACCACGATATTTCGAATTTTTTGAGCTTTTCAGATATTTTGCTCATTCGCAACGGATCTGTAAAGCCTCGTGTCGGATGACCAGTGGATTCCGTGTGGGTATCAACGAGGCTGGTTCTGTTTCGCATGGGCGTGCGATAGTATGCGATAGAGATGACTACGTTCGGCGATCTGCTGAAGTTTTCTCTGTATGCGATTTGGCCGGGCAATCAACTTGATGTGTTGGTGTCCTTCGCAGTTCCAGACCCTCTATCTTCTTTGCTGCAAAACCATGAGGAGCAGTTGGCTTTGACATTGGCTTCTCCCCTTCGAAGACATCTTAACGGCTTCTCACCGAATGGTCTGTCCATCTGAACAAGAAAACTAGATAGCCCTCTTGCCCAGATTGCCAGGTGGACAGTGGATACCTACCCTGTGTACACTTTTGTGTGACTCGACACCAAGTTCGAGGCGCGTGTGTACGTGCCCCCTTGCGATCTCCTGTGACATGTTCAGCTGTGAACTTTCTCAGCGTTCTCGACCCTGAAGATACCGGTGCCATCCCAGCCTCGGGAACACGGGGTGACAATTTGAATGCATTGGATCTTCGCATTCCCCGCGTTGCGAAGCATGAAAGACGTCTATAGCGATCTTCCTTGATTGGCCCTCTCAGTTTCCGATCCCTTGCTTCGTAGCGCGGATGCTCGTCACATGTCAGTAGACAGACCTGCAAAATTCCTCAACGAGTCTTTACGAGTCTTCCATCTGACTCCATCGCGCAAGCCCGCGCGCACCAGATGGCCAATTATTCCTTGATTTACGACAGTTCTGTAGTGCGTGAACGTTTTACTCAGCTTCCATGAATCGGTATTCATGTGCTCTAGCAGGGGACCATTGCGTCGCGTGTTCTTCCATTACGCGTACCTGGCAGCTGGTGTCTTCCCGGTCGCATTGACGCGTTGGGAATAGCTCGAAGACATTCATCTAAATCAGAAAGACGGGTCCATCCGTATCCCGTCCCATATTTCGAAACATGCATACGACATGTGCGTAATTTTACTGCAAGTGTACGGAGGTTGATAGACCTCAGGTCAAGATTCCTTGGCGAATTCTTGAAGAGAGAATCACCAATGTCAGTTGTCGAGAGATTTGACGTCTCTTCGCTGGGCCTGATCTGGGTCTCGCTGGTGTGCACGCTGGTATTTCTCCGTACGTTTGTCACGAGTTATGATGTCGAAAACTGGCGAAACCATGTCTGTTTCCAAACTCATCTTCTGTATCAGGCATGCAAGAGGCTCACTACTCCTGACGCCGCTCTCGCTCAACCGTATAAATGCTTCAACATATGCGAGCAACTATCCTCAAGCGCATCCTCCTGGTCCCCCGCAGAAACACTCCCATTTGACCCGCATCGAGCCAGTCGGATATGTTTTCGTGCACCTTCCACAGAGCTCTGTTGGCTGCTGGCACACTCTTTGGCTTATTGGCAGCATCCGCCTCAGGTTTGGGCACATCGTGTTCTGCTCCAGTGACTAGGGGTACTGCAGGACCCAACGATCCTTTCTGGATGCAAAGCATTCAACGCCAAGGTTTGTTTTGCGTGCTCATCATATTCTTCTACGTCATACTGATACATTTCTGCAGGTACCGCGGCATTCAACACCAACCCTGGTGCTTACAAGGTTTTCCGAAACGTCAAGGTATGCTCTTCGGCTCGTTCCAGGATAATTCATGCTGAGTCTTTCATTCACGTAGGACTTCGGCGCGACGGGTAACGGTAATACCGACGATACTGCTGCTATCAAGTTAACATTTTCATTCTGAGATGTCTGACAATACGGCCCACTGACCCCAATGTCTCCAGTTCTGCCATTACTTCGGGTGGACGATGTGGATCAGAATGCGATTCGACCACGTATGTCACTGTTGCTACAAGTGACGCAAGTTTTAATCTGACCGATTTCATAGTACTGAACCCGCTATCATCTATTTCCCTCCTGGGTAGGAACTTCGAATATGAAATATATTGCACCCGAACTGACAGCAATTCAAAAGTACATACAAGGTCTCTTCATCTATCCTCGCACTCTACCAGACTCAGCTAGTCGGTGACGCAAGACATCCTCCTACCCTATTGGCCGCTCCGAACTTTGCCGGTATCGCAGTCATTGGTCAGTCATTTTTACCTTGTTTCTACCAACGCCCTTGCTCAATACGCGTTGTCTCTATTTGACAGATGGCAATCCGTTCTATGTCAACCAGAACAACTTGTCAGTGTCATGAGGCAATCAAGGGTGTATCCGAGAATACATACTGATCATCGTTTTCTTTGTGTCTTAGCTTCCGGTCTGTCAGGAACTTTGTTATCGACATTCGGCAGGTTAATGGCGGCGCAACTGGTCTTCACTGGCAAGTCTCCCAAGCAACGTCACTCATGAACATCGTCTTCCAAATGTCCACTGCTGCTGGGAATCAACATCAGGGCATCTTCATGGAAAATGGAAGGTAAGATAGGACGCCCTTCTGTATCCGCGAGCTTACGTATATGATGAGCTTCGTTTAGTGGAGGCTTCATGGGAGGTGAGCATCAGTTATCACATGCCAAATACGTTGTTCTCCTCGATCTCATGACGAATCTCAGACCTCATATTCAATGGTGGCAAGCTGGGCGCCTGGTTTGGAAATCAACAGTGAGTCCGGGAATAAGCCTAATTGTGATCTTCGATCGATGGGACTGTTATTCATAGGTTCACCGTTCGTAATGTGACCTTCAACAACCCCCAGACTGGTGAGTCTACGGTTGCTGATGTCATCATATCAACCGTATGTCTAATAAACTATGCTTGACTAGCTGTAAGTACGTCTGTTATTTATGCGTGCATCCGAAGTTCACTCGAGAGTGAAGATCTTTGCTGGTTGGAACTGGGGTTGGACATTTCAAGGTACATTTCGATACAGGATGCTCTCTGGTTATGCCGCTCAACACCTTATCGTTCAGGAATTACCATCAATAATGCTCAGGTACGTCTCTCGATGTCATCGTTGGACGATCTTTTCACGCGATGATGTGTGTAGATTGGCTTCGATATTTCCGTTGCTACAAACAACGTCGACCAGGCCGTCGGTTCTGAATCCATCATCGATGGTGTGATCACGAACACACCTATCTTCATTCGTTTCTCCAACCCAAGCAATGGCAATCTTCCGACTTCTCTTGTCCTCAACAATATCAGGCTCAACAACGTCCAGAAGGCCGTCGCTGTTAACAATGGGGCGACTTTGGTTTGTATTCCTTTATGTGTCGCTTCTTCCTTCTTGTGCTTACACCCTTCTACTTAGTTGAATGGTGGTACCCTCACTATTGACTCTTGGGCACAAGGCAATGCCTACAGCGGAACCAACTCCGCAAGACGTTGGACTCAGGGTCCCATTGATTCGATCCAAAAGGCATCTTCTCTCCTTGACAGCGCGGGTAGGATCTTCGGCAAGACTCACCCTCAATATGCCGACTATGCGGTGGACCAATTCATCAGCGTGAAGTCGCAGGGTGCGAAGGGTGATGGTCATAACGACGATACTCAAGCGATTAAGAATGTCTTTGCTAAAGTATACTCCTACTGTCGTCCTGCATATGTCAAAGATTGTTGATACCCCATTACATAGTTCGCTGGCTGTAAGATTATTTACTTCGACGCTGGTACCTATGTTGTCACCTCCACGATCACCATCCCGGCTGGCACCCAGGTCGTTGGTGAGGCTTGGTCAGTCATCCAAGGCACGGGCAACACTTTCACCGATTACAACAACCCTCAAGTAGTTGTCCGCGTTGGCGATCCTGGCTCTCAAGGTGTCGCTGAGATCACTGACATTATTTTCAGTACCAAGGGACCCGGTACGATTATGTGCAATACTTCCTCTCAGTTTGTGGCTCACTTTTCGTACCAGCGGCCGGTGCTATCGTCGTGGAGTGGAACGTTCATGACCCCGCTGGTCAACAGGGTGCAGCGGGCACCTGGGACACACATATTATGTGGGTTCTTTTTGGCTGTTTGTATCCTTCTGTAACTAAATTCTCCTATACTTTCCATTTTCTAGCCTCGGAGGCTGTAAGCGATCTCGTGTAAAGCCTTGTATCATTCTGACAGACTCGTGTAGATGCTGGTTCCAACCTTCTGGGCGCCCAATGCTCCAAGGCCGGAAACCCAGGCAATAATTGCTTCTCAGCGTTCATGGCTCTTCACCTCACAGCGCAATCCAGTGCATATCTCGAGGTATACATCTTAATCCACCTATAATCTCTCTTTCACGAGATGGGCTGATGCGATATCAGGGTCTCTGGGCTTGGAATGCTGATCACGATCTTGACTCTGGAGGAAGTGGACAAATATCCCTTTTCAGCGGGCGCGGTATCTATTCCGAGTCCCAAGGTCCTGTTTGGCTGATTGGAACAGGAAGTGAGTGCGGTTATCACTTTTTGTTGTTGCTCTCATTGATGTATTTCGTCAGGTGAGCACCACATTCAGTATCAATATTTCCTTAACGGCGCGAAGAATCATTACATTGGATTTGCCCAAACCGAGTCGGTGAGTCTCATAGAATTTAGCCTGACGTTCTTCACCGGCCTAATCACCTGCTACTATAGCCATACTTCCAGCCCAACCCAGTACCTCCCGCACCTTTTATCACGAACACGCAATTCAAAGATCCTTCACCTGCACCCGGTTCCGCCTGGGCACTCACTGTCGTGAACTCTCAAAATATTCTCTTATTCGGTACGTTCGGTATAGAGCAGACATCGTATCGAATTCCTGTACTGACTTATTCTGCTAAATGATGCAGGTGCTGGTTTCTATAACTTCTTCCAGAATTACGCCACCGACGCTTGCATCGCTGGCCACAACTGTGGTCAAGCGGTTGTTAATATTGATTCTAGTTCGACCATTGGCATTTACTCCCTATCCACTGTCTCTACCACTTGGCAGCTAAACGTCAACAGTCAAGGTGTCATTGATCGCTCTAACAATGCCAATGGCTTCGCGGATACCGTCACTGTGTGGACCCGTTGATGTCTCCCAGTCAGTCACTTCAATGACATGACACAACCCCTTGTTTATTCGTAACGATTAGCTGGTGTATTTGTATTACGATTCTTGTTCTTTTGAGTCTTCTTCGTTATGAATATTAATTGACACACCGATTACGCGTGCATGTGAACGATATCATGGTAACTTCAAAGATCTCAGTGACTTTTCATGAATAAGCCTCAAAACCCGGCGAGCTCGAAGAATGGGTATACCATAAACGAAATCCGAACGGCGTGCCAAACCTACTCTCGAGTAATCGATAGGTCCTCCAACCTTCTCTGAACCTCCTCAACTCTCTCCTCAAGAACTTTCACATTCGTCTTCACAACATTCTCATTCTCCTTCCAGCTATTCTCCACGCCTTCCACCGCACGCTGCAACTCCTCCAAAGCAGCTCTGCCTTTTCTTTGTTCCTCTTCCAAACTCTCCAACGTGCTCTGGAATGATGCAGCTTGGGTATGCAGAGTAGACAACGTACGTAACCGAGAGAGTATATGGGGTATATGGGGTAACATTGGCGACAAACGCGTCAGGATGGGTGTAAGCTGCTCTTGAAGAGTTGATGTGGCGACTTGGGTGGAGATGGATGGGGAAGAAGGATGAGGGGAGGTTGCCGATGAGACTGGTGCATGATGCGAGCCTTGTCGGCGTTGAGACGCATTGAGATGTTGCGCATTCGCGTTCGAGACACGGTCTAAGTCCGAGAGAAGTAATTTGAGACGTCTAGAGATCGAATCTATGTGTCGGGGTTGGGTGAGCAGGGTGAGTTGTGTGTTCAGTCGCGTCAAGAGTGGTAGTATCGGTGGTGGTAATGGTGAAAGCTGGCGAGAAAACATCAGTTTTTCAATGAAGCGAGAGGTAACACAACACACCTCGTCCAGAGCGGTACCAGATGATCCAATGAGTTTCTCCAGTTCTCCAACGCGCTTATCCATTTCCGCAATATCTCTGACCTCCGTGTGTGGTTTCACGTCCTTCTCTTCAGGACTCTTCTCTCTACTTGAGTCTTTTGCTTCGGTTTGCTCGAAATTCAACGTGTCGGCCTCTCCGAGGACTACGCTAACAAGTTTCCCTCTGCCCTCTTTGACCTTGCTAATCTTCTCCAACCTGCCCTTGACATCCACCATTCCTCTAATGAGTTCACCTGGATCGACGCGACCTTCTTCGCGTTCTTTGTGCAGTAGGGGATTTGAAGGATCAGCGAGCTCTGTCTCAAGGGCCGCAAGTTCAGCTTGAAGACGCTTCAATCGTTGAGACAGCGGAAGGGCAGGTGTAGAAAGGATTGGAGATGTGCGACCTGACTCTTCCGTCGGCGAGGGTGGATATACGTATTGTATCCGCGGCCTATGGTGTCCTATATGTTGATAAGTTTATTTATTAGTGAAATAGCACAGAGAAACGCGCGACATACTCTTCTCCAGTTTTCTGAACTTCTTGCCGGCTTCGTCTGGTTCCATTAGGCTGCTCATGTCCAGCTCTTCTTTGGACGGCCCTTCTCCATTCTTCTTTCCGTGAGTCTTTGAAGGTGCAGACTCATCGTCGCTGGATTCGGCTTTCTAGCATTCCCATACAACCATCAGAATCGTATGTGAGGATACTATCAGAGTTACGCGCTGACGTTTTCCTGAGTAGTGAGGAATACATCCTCGGTCTCATAGACATCGGGCGCAGTATCCTATGACAGAAACAGAATAAATTATATGAATCGGTGACAATGACAAGATACTCAACAATATCAGGCAGACCTGCGTACTTGTTGGCACTCATCGTCGCTTGAAATAGAATGTTAATGGGCGCCTATACAAACGCGATCTTGGGTGCTTTACATGTGTGCACGAGTGAGGAGCGACGAGACTGATGTTAACGACGCGAAGAAATGGTTATCTGTCTGCATATGTGAATGGATTGTCCCAGAAATGAGATAAGAAGGAAGTCACCTCTAAAGGCTCATCCAAAAAAAGTCGTCACCTGTGCGATTCGAACACACGCGGGCAGAGCCCAACCGCTCGCGACTGTAAATAGCAGGCGATCCCGTTAACCACTCCGGCAAAGTGACAATATTGAGACAAAATTGATTATTTAAAGATCGGCAGTTCTCGGCACATCAAATTCAAGTTACTCCTAACACTGTAGCAGGTACATTCTTGATCATCTAATCTCCTCTGCGAATCTTGTGAACTTTCGAGACAAAAGGGAGAATAGCAGGGCGCGGCTCGCCCCGGTCACCCGAAGCGGCCCGATTTTATCTGTAGTCGCTATAAGGCTAATAGAAAGTAAGTAGTGGAAAATTGAGTCATAAGATTGAGAAAGATAAAACGGGAAAAGAAGGCAAAAAAGAAAGAGTAGAGATACAAATACAAAGCATGCAATTATGAAAGGGCGGGAGGGCACTGTGCGAAAAGTAGGCTGTTCATAAGGAGGGGGTGTTTGCGAATGTATGCTTGCCAGGCTTCTGATGTCCATCGCCCCGCCGCTTGGATGAGTGAAGGTGGTGCGCCACATTCAGCAAGGAAAGTGGCGCCACCCGATCGGAGGGAATGCCCAGCGACATCATGTGGGAAAAAATACTTGAGACATGCGATAAACCACGACCGGGTGGGGATAGAGCCATTGCTCTGTAACCATAGTTCTGGACGGCAGGGGAAGAGGTGATCGCGAGAGCGGAGATATGAAGTGAAGGCGGGCAAAGCATGTGGAGTCCTAAGGGTCGTGTGGACCAGGATTCGGTTGCCCTCAAAGAACGCATCGGCTTTGTGAGAAGGGAGGAGAAAGGAGTAGGAGGAGTCGGTGATGTCCACAAGGTGCCGGAGTGAAAGTTTGCGAGTGTCGCGAAGATGGGTCTGATCGGGCCAGACAAGTTCACCAAGGCGCATAAGGGCATGGAAGCCGGTTAGCAGTTGGGTGAGAAAAAGACGGTCATCGTGGTGAGTGGAGGATTGTAGTGATTGACAGACGAGTAAAAGGTCATCTGTAGTAAGTGCACGCTTGCATTTGATAGGGTTGCTGAGCATGCGCTTGCAACCTTTCAAAGAGCATGAAACGATACGCGAGGTACGAATTTTGCGAATATTGGGATAGTAAACCTCAAGTTCATTGCATATTCCGGAGAGGTATGAGTTGACAGAACGGGGTTCGATGTGGTGTGACATGTAGATGATGTAAAAGCTGAAAGTGTCTTCTGTAGGTTCAACTGGAAAGGTGTGGATGTGACAGAATTCAAGGTACGAATTCAGGTGTGAAGAGTAAGAGCTCTTAGTAGAGAGGTCGAGAGCATTGCTCAATGCGAGCGAGCGGGAATGGATGAGTCGCTCGAGTGACCACGGCTTCCTTGGAGGTTGTCGTGATCGGGTACCAGATCTGATTGTCATTTTTTACAGGCCCCCAGTGCATCCCGAGGGGGTATGAATGAAAAAATAGCGATGAGGGGATCGAGAGATCGTGCTCGTTGAAGCTGACCTCTCGAAAGGGCATCAGAAATGTCATTATCGACTCCGGCAATGTGATCTACATGGACTTGTAAGTGATCATCGTGCATAACATCAACTGCAGATTGGAGAATTGGATTGTACGGAGGGGTGGCTCACAACGTGTTGAACATATCAACAGCATTGGTGTTATCTGAGAGGACAGCGAGGTGCTTGATGTGATGTCCAATTGAGTGCCAGGTGCAAGTATGGTGTATTGCTGAACAGATAGCCAGTGCTTCGAAGAAGTAGATAGAATTGGTAGGTGCACCACATTGTAGGTCTGAGTGGAAACCGATATGATGCCATGGGAAATAAAGGCCGAGTCCTGTACCGGAGGCATCGACAAGAGCAAAGTCATCATCAAAGGAGCCTTCGATAAGGTCATTTGGTCCCCACACTTCTGAATTAAGGATATGAATGCCATCGGAGTTGGAAACATGTGAAGTGAACCAGTTAAGATCACAATGGATGGCCGAATTAAGGTACACTTGAGCATGAGGATTGGTCTTCCCTCTGATCTTGTCATAAATGTTACTGAGGGCGGGTCGAAGGAGAGGATAAACATTGAGGGACCAGTTAATATAACCAGCGAGTCATTGGAATTGGAGAACTGAGTGATGATGGGAAGATGAGCCATCATGAAGAAATAACTGAATATCATGCAGGAGTTTCTGTCGACTGTCAATGGGAAGAGTGACCGTCATTTGATTCAGGTCAACCTCCAAACCAATAATAGTAAGGGTGCGACCATACACTTGCTTACGGCGCTCATGGGGGATGCCGAGAAGGTCCCAGAGATGGAGTAGGCGAGCTTGCGGTATGGGAAGGTAGGCGTTGTAGGGTTCATAGAACTCAACGTAACCTTCTCGTTCAAAACCAAAATCATCATTGACGTAATTGAGATGGTCGATGCACAATTTAAAAATTGCGATCCAGATGACAAGGCAGAAAAAAGCATGCCAAATGTGAAGGGATGCTCGCCCTCCGAAAACATTACAGTGGTCTACGTGACGTAAACCATCTATAGTTGTAATTTGTTTGATCTGCCAGGTTGGATGCATGGGTATACGGCGATAAGCTTGAGAGACGTCTGATTTCCAGAGTACAAGTTTCGCATTTCCATGTTGCCGACGAAAAGCACATAGTTTGGCACCCAAAGCAGGAACACCATCAAGAATAACTCCTTGTATGGATGGTCGAGGAATAAGAGAATTGAGGGAAAAATGGCCTGCACTATGATTTGTAACTAGACGGAGTTTATCAGAGTGAGGTTTCAGAACTGCATGTATCGGCATGCTAATCATGCCGGGAAGCAAATCGGGTCCAAAGGCAGGTGAGAAATGATGTAAGCGAATTTCTTCATCACGCTGTTCTCGTATGAAGGCCATTTCTTCTTCACCAGACGGTCCTGGTTGAGCTTCATCCCAGGTCAAAGGGTAGTCAGTAGATTCAGTTTCGGCCGAAGGCCAAAGACCACTACGCAAACCCTTACATACTGAGCGTACGAATTCCTGGTTTGGGTGATCTCTGAGCATGTACTCAAAGGTGTCGGTTTTGATGGGAGTCACAATCTTAAAGAGATCGGGACGAGTGGCAAGTGTAGATTGTACTTCTGGACTATTGAGCTCGCGTGATGGTACATCAGGTAGGGATTTATGTGTAAGAGACACATCAGCCGTGGTACGTATGTCACATTCATGATCGTTCCAGATAAGGCTTCTGAGGTATGACAGTCGTGACGAGTCCAACCTAAAAGCGAGTTTACTGTTTTGCAGTCTTCGTACACTGCGTTGCAACATGTCCGTGTTGACGGCACGCAGAGCAAATGTGTCTGTATCTGCATGAGGAAGCGAGGTTTGTGCAGTTCCCATTGTTCCACTTCCTACAAGCATCTTTCGATCATTGTTGGATAGCCTTGAATTGGGCAGATGAAGCGCTTCTCTCGCTGCTGTTTTGGTAAACGTTCGCTCCGGCTGTGTGGATATATTGCATTTGGAGGTCGATGAAAGACGAGTAGTCTGTGAGTAACAAGTCTCGTCTTGAAGCGACTCGTGACCGAATCGCTTTGTCGAGTTCGAGGACTCGGTAATGGAGGGGAGTTGCGAGGGCTCCGAAGATACCGAGGATGTGATCGGCGTAGGCTCGCAGTTCGCTAGAGCGGTTTGGGAAAGCATACGCGATGGCGGATACTGTCCGGTTCCAGGCATAGACCCAGTCGCTGAACGTTTCGACTCTTTTACTAGGAGCCGTCGGGCGGTACGAGATTTCGAGTCCACCCAATTTCTCGACTTGTTTTTCCTCTTGTCCTGCTGAATAATGTCCGGAGAACACATGGTCGAGATTGACCGGTTTCCCAGAGAGGATATTGGTCCACTCTGCGTCAGGGAACTCAGGTGCTCCAGAGGAGTTAACAAGGTTGCTTTTGGCGAACTTGATATCAATGGCATACTGTTTGAGCAAGGAGAGAGTATGTCCGAGTTCTGGTCGTAGGGAACTTTGTTTGATGGCTGAATCGACGGCCCATGCAAATTTCGAGGGATCTGGCCATTGACGCTTGGCTTCGGGTTCATCGTCTGAGAATGATAAAGTGCTTCTTGATGAAGCAATGGAGGACGAGTCTCGAGTACGTTCGAGCGATCGTAGTTCCTCATTGGGCAATTCGATCCGTCGAGTTGTTCTATCGGCGACTGTTGGATCCTCTCTAATAGAGTCTTCTTCGGTAGACCGAACAAGGAGTCTGACATAGGAATTGAGGTCGCTTTCTGACGGTTTGTCTTGGTAACATTCCAAGACTTGTCCGATTTGGACGATCGCGGACAATTTCGGTAAACGTCCCGCTTTGTACTCGTCGACGACGTCCATGCACTGTCCAATAGTCCGAGGTGTTTCTGGGACACTGGAACTGGCTTCGCTGTCAACTTCTGGTCGCTTGCCTGCTCTGGTACTGCTAGCCGCTGTATGAGGGTCAACCGTGGATGTTGAGACGTAGCCCTGAGAGACTCCAATGATAGGGGTCGGTCCTTCATTGCCTCGGTTGTCCATAAAGATGAAACGATAGATGGGACTGGAAGGACTTTATAGCTGAAAAAAACTACGCCTAACTAGCGAACGTAAGAACGTCAGTACGAGACGGATGGGCGACCGAGAGGACGAAGTCGGCTCACCTAGCGAACGGATGGAAGTACGAGAGAGAGGGGCGACGGTGTGTCGAGACTTCCATCCGCTCGCTATGAGGGTGAGGAGCTCTGGTCAGCTCGTACTGAGTGCGCCTGAGCGACATGTGTTTGTGAGGATGCGGAAACCCCGAAAAGGTAATAAACGCCCTCGTCGATTAGATTCATGTAAATTCTACTTTAAACCCAATTCAACAACCTTCACTAGCTGGCAGATCTTCCATTTGGACCCACAACATAATGTGGTTTTGAATCGTTGCTCGCATAGTCGGCTATTGGTCGGCTGTACAAGAAGGTTGGGCAGCGCTAGAATTTGAGTTGTAGACCAGTTGAAGAACAGCTTCGCAAATTGAAATTGAACCATGGTATGTAAGTAGGTAAATCCGAACCTTGCGGCATTCCTAGCCTAGAAGCACGGAAAAGTGGAAAGGGCGTAGTGAAAAGGATCGATCCGAGCAGAGTCATCTTCTTCGCAGCGCTGGTTCTGACACGTCTAGGTATTCATAACACGCTTCCATGCTTGCTCTACTGGCCGGCACAACAGGATGCGTTACTTCCACTCTATTAGTTTACACGGTATTGTTTTGTTGAGCGGCATATGCCTTGTTCCTGGTGAAGAGTTCTGAAGCTTCCAGTTGTTTGGGACCCTCAAATTGCCCTGTGTAGCTATATTTAAGATCGTCCATCTCCCATGGGGACTGGTATCTCCCAACAAGTGACGAGCCCAGAGGACTCTAATGGCCGAAGATCCTTTTACGTGTACCTCTCTGCCAAACCCCCTCGCCCCTGCAGCTTGGCTATCTCCCAACCTCGCTCCTCAATATGAGGTGGCAAAGAGCCTTCTTGCGGCTACCCTCGGAGTAAAAGTTATTTCCTTCAGCAAAACAATAGACTTTGACCTCTTTATTTAGGCATGGATATGGGATGTGCTGACGGCTGTCAGTGACGACGTCCGAATGTTAAGGAAGAGCATGATCACATTACCCAATGCCGTCTATGTTCTGTCTCGGTGAGCTCGAGTTATTATGCTATGTCACACCATCGTCAGATGAATTATGCTTGCAGCATTTTAACTGGCGCTGTCGTTGTGGCGGCCTTATTATTCGAAAGTCAGTCCTTCATTGGTGGATAATCAATTCATCACCAACTGTGTCACTAACTAGGTCGTAGTGACTCCCCAATCATGTCCCGTGATCTTTGGGATTCTCACTTGGATCGCGGGATGCGCCATGCCTTGCAATGCCCTGCTCTTCTTCTTCCGAGTGAGGGGCGTCTTTTTGCGCTCGCGCTGGATACGTACCGGTTTTCTCATCCTCTGGCTCTCAACTTTCTCCTCCTTGGGGAGTCATTCGGATTTCAATCAGATCACATCGGCCCAACCCGATATTGCATCGTTTCCAATGTCACCAAATTCAGTTCTATAGGTTTCATCTCTGTGGCGATATTCGATACCTCCGTGTTTGTCGCTATATCCATCCACATGATTTCATTCAGCATGGAGACTACGTGGCGAGGACGCCTGAAACTATTTCTGAGCGGACATGGTATGGGACATGTTTCGAGAGCCCTGCTGCAAACTGGGCAAATGTATTACTTGTGAGCAACACTCTCTTGACTATAAAACCGGGTAATCACTGACCCGCTTTCGCTAGGGTTACCGTATGGGTGAATGTCGTAGTATTGATAACCCTTCTGATGTCTTTGATTTCTCCAACGTTCCAAGGAATGCTAACCATACCCAACATCGCCTTACAAAATGCAATGGCGTGTAGGGTATTCCGGCTCTTGAAACTTGGTTTAATTCGAGAGGATGCTTCCATCGTCACACCCAGTATGGGAAGTCTCGCCTTTCGCTCAACCAGACGCCCTCATGCGACATTTGCGACTACGCAAGAAAGTACGCTGGGAGCTATTGGAGAGGAAACTGAGGACATAGCGCTGGCCGTGCTACGGACGAAGCAAGACTCTGAGTCCAACACGTCGCCACAGGACTCTACTCCAAACACGATCGTTCAGGAGTTAGAGACGACTGTGGATGCTGAGGACAGGAAAAAATCCTGTTAATATGGCGCAATCAGTCGGCTGGGTATGTACGTTCCCTTTTCCTAGCTTCACAATATGTTAACACATAACAGGTGTATCTGAGGTGATTGTGTTCCTACATTGACTTTGATGTAACAAATATCATTCTGGCAACATTGAACTGCCTCGATTGATGACCTGCGGTCAGATCGCTGGTTACAAGGATTTCGATTCCGACGCCCGCATCCTATTAATACGGATTCTCTCATGTTATCTTTTGATCGAAAGCACCCAGTGTTTGGTACTGACATTGCAGCACGCAGTGAATTCGGAGTTTCCATCCAACAATTCATCCCCTGTCATCACCTCCCGCGGTCGGATGCCGAACACCTCAAAGAGAGCGTCAACTAGATACAAATCTCTTCTACAATTGAGAGCCATCTGTTGATCACACAGATGATGTGCTTCATGAGAGATCGAGATGTTTTCAGTCAACATTGTCGCTAGAAGCACACCATCGTGATTGGGTTACGCTCTGGGATCTGATGCCTCCGCTGATGCCTGCCACCCCGTGATCCCCTCTGCTCCCCATCACCCCGGCCTCCATCTTGGGATGCATTTACTCAAGTATGCTTTATGTTGCAGGCAGGTGAGTGGTATTCATCACTTGTGGTATTGCTCATTGACTGTGAAGTCGTCTGCCAAGGGTCTTGTTCTCCGATATGCCCATGGCGTTTTTAGTCCTGGCATGACATCTGCTTAACATGTAGGGCATCATCTGCAAAGTCAAGCCCATACGCCATTGCCTGCTACTACGCAGGGAAGCTATTCTCATGTCATGCAAGTGATGATCATCATGAAGGAACGAGATTCTGTGGCGCATCAAGTAATTCAGATGGACCTCCGGTATACCAAACGCTTGCCGACAGAGCGTAGTTCACGAGACCACACACACAAATATATATATACCGTTGGTCTGTCTTTGATATCAGCAAAGTAGGGCTGCAATGGCTAGTCCAAGCCCCATAGGCTGCGACTCTTTGCCGAACCCCCTCGCCCCTGCTGCCTGGTTGCCTCCTGATTTCGCTCCATGGTATGCTGCTGCACAATACGTGTTCTCTGCTGTGTTTGGTGTATGTGAATTGGATTTCGATGGTTTAGCAGATATTCATATGCTTCGTAGGCTTGGCTTTGGGATGTTGTCATGGCTCTAGGTGACGAGATCCGGATGTTCAGGAAGAAGCCGTTAGCGATATCCAACATCATATACGTCTTGGCTCGGTATGTTCTGTACCCTTTCCATCTTCAGTAGAGCGCCTTTTGAGTTGTTCTCTTAGGCTCCTGAGCGGCGGTTGCATTTTGGGATCTCTCTTGTTTGAAGGCAAGTATGACCCCTGACATTAAAAAAAATACAAATATAATAACCTGACATTTGGTCTTTGCAAAGTCGCTCCACAAAAGCATTGCGGTCGGGCCCTGCAGGTCTTATCTTGGTTCGGAGCATTTGCAGTTCCCTGCAACGGCCTACTGTTCTTCCTCCGAGTCAGAGGTGTCTTTCATCATTCCCGTCTCACCGTCGCTGGTTTTGCCATACTTTGGCTTTCAACCCTCTCCGCATTGTCCGCGCCTTTTGGGTTCCAACCCGTTAATATAGGCCCGACGGCCTTCTGCCTCATCGGCGGCGCGGCGAAATACAGTGCGGCTGGCTTCGTCACTATCGCCATCTTTGATACCATCGTGTTCAGCGCTATAACCTTCCGCGTTCTATCTTTTGCTGTAGAAGATACTTGGCGGGGTCGTATCAGAGCGTTCATGAAGGGTCAAGGCGTGGGACACGTCTCTAAAGCACTTCTGCAAACTGGGCAGTTATATTACCTGTGAGTAACAGTCACTTTAATCATCGACGTGTAAATCTCATTGTGCTATTATAGGGCAACCACTGGAGTCAATGTGGCAGTCATGGTGATCCTTCTTAGCGGCGCTGGTGCGGCACAGTTCCAGGCGATGGTCCCGGTACCTAACGTCGCATTGCAAAATGTCATGGCGTGTAAAGTATTCCGACTTCTAAAGCTCGGACTGATCCAGGACAATCCGACGACTTGGTCAACTTTCAGAGGCACAGCTAGTAGGAACACAGGAACAACACAGACTGGTAATACACGAAGGGACATTATTCGACGAGAAGGAGATGAGGAATTTGGTTCACGCCCACCTCTTGAATTTGTAGTCAATCCCTCACACGCTCAGGTCACCGTTAGTCAACATTCGGAGACGACAACTGACAACCTGGAGATGAAAGACTGGAAGGCGGGTGCCATTGTGTAGATGATCATCAAGATGGTCGTAGGACACAATTCGCAACGGTGTAGAATTAGTTAATCGATATATCTTCCGTCTGGTTTAAAACTATCATAAAAAATTGCAGCATGAATATATCCTTAGCTGGAGGGCAGCATCCTTGATCGTCGTGGCTTTGCAGTGTTCTACAGTGTTTTTGATCAACTTCTGGCTAATAATACAGTTCTGTATTGAGCCGAGTACAGACGTCGTATTGTTTAATTGTTGAATGTCCTTCATGCTGCCAATGTGAAATTCTATGACATGTGGCTTAACTGCGACGTACAAATGCTAGATTATTCTCCTGAGGATAACGACTAGGTTGCAAAACCTGGGTGGCTAGCAAGGAGTCGCAGTGGACTAGTCGGGGATCCAGCTTATGTCACTGGTGAGCATGCTAATTGTTGAACGAGCCTCACTGCAAATAATACATACCTAATTAGTTGACTACACCATATTAACGGTGTTCTTTTCCTTCTCAGTGTCTACAGTCGTATCTGACTCTCGGACGATCGAGATTTGAATATGTGGATGCGACGGCATTTCAACGGAGTGATGCTTCGTGCCTAACACAGCCAACCCTACGTCCTCAGTTTCCTCTCCGATCGGTCCCAAAGTACTTTCTTGCGTAGATGCAAATGTCGTGTTAGGGACTCGGGGTGGGCGAAAAGTGAGAGTTCTGACATTTGGTTGCGTAGGGGAAGTGGATCCATCTTCACGGATGTAACCAAGCTTCAAGAGCCGGAATACCCTGCAGGCCATTGCATTTTGTAAGGCGAGATTGGGTATGGTCAACATTGCTTGGGATGTTGGAGAAATCAAGGATGTTAGGAGGATTATCGTTGTCGTGAGATTCACCCATACAGTAACTCTGGTGAAATGGGATAAATGGTTGTTCTCTTCAACCTCAGAGGACTTTCACTCACAAGTAATACATTTGTCCGGTTTGCAGCAGGGCTCTAGAGACATTTCCCATACTCTTCCCTCTGAGAAACATTTTCAAGCGTCCCCGCCACGTATCCTCAATACTGTACGAGATCACCCGGAGAGATATGCCCACGAACACTGAAGTATCAAATATTGCGAGGGTGATGAAACCAGTCGAACTGGATTTGTGTACACCGGCAATGAGGCAGTATTGTGTTGGGCCGATATGACCTGATTGGAATCCGAATGGCTCGGCAAAGGAGCCGAGCGTCGAGAGCCAGAGGACAAAAAATCCGGCAACGATCCAACGATCATGAAGAAATACACCCCTCACTCGGAGGAAGAACAGAAAGCAGTTGCAGGGTATAGCGAGAGATCCAAGCCAGGCAAAGATCCTGAAGGCTAATGCACAGTCTTCGTGGGGAGTCACTGTGATTTAGTCAGTAACACTGCACTTAGATTCGTTATTCATTGAGAAGCGGCGCACCTTCGTATATGAGAGAACCCAAGACGAAACCACCAGATAAAAGGCTGCGAGACTCCGTCATCTGCTGACGTACCATCATAAGGCAACGGGCGAAACTTACCGAGAACATACGTAGATGACATTGGGTAATGTGATCGCTTTCATCTTGAACATCCGCACATCGTCACCTACGGCCAGTAGGACATCCCATATCCACGCCTAACGAAAGAGTTTAAGACTTATTGCATCACAAAAGGAAATAATTCTTACTCCGAGGACTGCCGAAAAGATGCCTTTTGCCACCTCATATTGAGGAGCGAGATTGGGGGATAGCCAAGCTGCAGGGGCGAGGGGGTTCGGAAGAGAGGCGCATGTAAAAGGATCTTCAGCCATTCGGACGACCGCCCATTAACATACGGTTCAAACAAAGAGAACACACGAGCAGGTAGGATAGTAGGTGGTATACAGCACAACCTGATATACCCCATGAAGGCTGCCCGAACCGGTGGAAACTTTGGAATTCGCGCTCAACGCGCCATCCAGCCTATGGACACCTGTACACAAAGCATGGAACTGAGAACATCGCTTTGTAACAAGCTTCAATCATTCGATAGAAAATCGAAGCATTGTGACATACCTAGTATCTACATGCTCTCGGTCCACACACTGGGCTGGCATATATATAGCGTGATGTTTGTGATGTTCCCCCGGGCGGAGCAGACGAGAACCACGGCCAACACTGCGCAGTGCTGTAGCTGCGAGCGCTCATATCTCTATTCTGGTATCCATGTATCTGTTGGAAGTCAGTAAAGCATTCCATGCTTTGGTTAAGCTTCACGAAAACGGTGTTATTAAGAAGTGACAACGTAACCGCAGACCGGAATATAGGCCTGCCAGACGCTCAAGCTCAAGCTCAAGCCTCGTGTAGAAACAGGTGGTAGCGTCAAAAAGACACAACGTAAGAACTTCCGCAAGTCGGAATGGTCAAAAGAAGTATCGTTCATGATGAAACCCGGCCGCTCAATCACACGTGCAGTGAAGTTTTCCAGCGTGTTTCTAGTCCTCCGAGTCTATAAGTAAGGTATGTAGTATGACGAGGGTGGTTATATTCAACAATGCAGCAAGAAATCCAAAGAAAGACCATGATGGGAGACAAGGGGAGGATGAGCGCTCGACGATATCGTGCAAACTAACAACAATGACGGGAGCACGAAGGACGCAAAAGGCTCGTAACGACGTGAAGGTCAATGACGAAGGGCTGAATATACGTGGCAATACGTACTACTAGGAATATGATACGAGGGGATGGTGGGTGGATGAAGCCCAAAGTCCGGCTGTGACGGGCAAGTATTACGGCGGCGTAAGGTGACTCGGGGGATCAGAGGGTGATGAGTGAGGCGCGTCTTGGAGTGGGAGGGTATAGACACAGAGATGCTGGAAAGACAAACGAAAGGAACATGTGGTGAAAGAAAGATGAAAGATATTGACGTGGGTGAAGCAAGAAACTAGTTGACGAAGACGATGTCCAATGCGAGCGGAAGAACAAACAAAAGTCAGGATGCATCTCAGGAATCAAAACTTTGTCCCAGGGTCAAGAGGTCCTAAAGGTCCATACTCTCGTGCACTCGAACGGCCGCCACTACGTTTCTTCGCGTGACCTTTCTGCTGCAACGCAGAGCTCATCCCATCTGGAGTAACAGGCGATACACCAGGCGAACCTGCTCGCGTTAGTGGTGTGTAGCCGTTCCCAGGTCTGCTGTCAGATAGCTGATACCTAGGCGTCTCCATAGGCATACGTGCAGTTGTTGGCGACGGCCTGTCATCGAAGCCGACCTCCAGCATTGCTTCAAGATCTGTTGCAGCTACGGTCTCGGCGCTCTCAAACGCATTTGGCTGAAGACCAACCGGTGGTGGCGGGTACTGTGTACTGTTCTCGTTGTAACCACCAATTTGTGCCCCCCAATGGTCGTCCTCCGAGGACGTGACAGAATACGTATCAGAGCCATCATATTGACTGTTGACGTCATGGCGTGGCGTGAGTAGGTCTGAGTTGGCACCCTGGTAGTTGCCTTGTAATCGGGCGAGTTCGCGCAGACGTCTTTCTTCTCTCTTGATCTTCCGAAGACGCGAACGTTCCCAGTCTTCCCAGCGACGTAGAGGAACGTTGATAATTATCTCCGCAGCGTGACCATCTCCATGGCCTTCACCTTTAGCTTCACCCTCCACTTTTCTATCAGGTACGAAAGAAGGCGTCAATAAAACTCTAATTGTTTTTCCGAATGATTTTGACTTACCGAGTCTCACCCCATGAGAAATCGTCAAAATGCCAGAACGCATATACAGGAAGGATGAAATTCCAAACCGGTAGCGCCAAGAGGTATATCAACATCCAGAACACATAGACCACCTTTCTCGTTGTGATCAAAATCAAGACCGCGGGGAGACCCAACACGGCGATAAGCAGCAATAACGGAATTGCCTCCTCGAAGTTATGAGGTGGTGATAACGCCATACCGACAATGAGCATGTACGTCAGAGAGATGGCGATGGGAAGGACGACGGTACCGAGAAGATCCATGAAGACCACGAACTGCATACTGAAGCAGAATGTTCCACAGAGATTACGGACGAGGACGAGTTCCATGAGGTTATGGATGGTTGAATTAATCCATCGACGACGTTGCGAAAGAAGAATTGAGAAAGTGTCGGGGACCACGGTTCTACAACGAGCCTGGGGTAGGAACATCATCTTGCGATTAGGGAATGTCCGTAGCAGAATCGTTGTCAGGAAACGATCCTCTCCAAGCAGCAACAAGTTCTTTTGATGCAGCGTTGTGACAACATTCTGACTATATTCCTTCACGATCTCCGGCTTGATGATAAGTGGTACCCAATCGTCGCCCGACGTCTTCCTAGCTTTGAGTCGGAACATCGAGAAACATCCAGGAAGACATGAAACACCACCAAAGACGGACTCGAAAGCTTTGGCGAGATGATGGGAGATGAAGTATTCGAAGACCTGGATGGCGGTAACCCATGATTGCCGTTTATTGGCTATACGTGTCTCACCGCATACACCCATGATCATTTGATCATGATGCATGCAGTTCACAAGGTACTTCAGTGAGTCGGGGAACACCTTTGTATCAGCATCAACCTAGACAAGAAAAAAGTAAGAATATGACCACTCAGACGAAGATTAAAATCAGAATTCACCATTAAGCAAACCTCGAAGAAGTCGGGAGTCACTCCCATGAGTACGTGAATCTTGCGGAATAGGTCGAAATCGAGGGGGGTCATTCGGTCATTGTAGGTTACCCGAGAGAAGAAGTTCATCAAGATGAGTTGACTATCGCGTTTTCCGCGATTACCGGGTTTCTTGTCGGACGCAGCCTCAGCTTCAGTTCCGCACTTGACAACGACAACGGTAGGTGTCCGTCGACCAGCAACGACTAATGAGTGGAACAGTAAATCATGGCTGATGAAGAAATAGCTAAATATGGAACGCAATACTCACTATAGTGACCAGCATATATCATCGCTCTGTTCTCCGCCTTCGAACCAGATCCAACCGCCATATAAGTCATCGGCACGGGGTTCCCAAACCTCGGATCTGCATCCAGCAAGCTCACACAAATGTCCGGCGTACTCTTTTTCTCACCCGCACCAGTGATCATACCATCCGCGACCACGAACAGCAACTTTCTCGCATCGGCATATGTAGTCGTTGAGATCGAATCCAGCGTAGTCCTCAAACTCTCCTCTCCCTCCGAATAACAGGTAACAAGACAGACTGCGAAGAGTTCGGCACCGATTTGTGCTAGGCTGACGATCGGTGCGGCCCCATCGCTACCAATGAGCGTGGAAGCGGAGGATGCGAGGGAGCGCGCGGACTTGCTGGGCTTAGCGAGCTTCTTGGATCCAGCAGGACCTGCCCAAGGCGCGGTACCATTCGGGTTGTCAATAGATACATTGGCGCCCTCAGGCATAACCGCAGGGCTGATAGCTGAGCGATTGAGGGCAAGCGTGTTGGGAGGTCCGGCGAGCTTCTGAGACATGAACCAATTGAAGATGCAAGCCATGACGAAGCGGACGAACACCAGACCCAAGATGACAATGAGTCCAGCGTAGAGCACGAGTTGTGAGACGAAACAACCGGGCGTAATCTTGTCAATGTTGCCCGCAAAATATCGTTCCATGAGGCAGGGGATGGCTTGTTGAATATCATTATGGTAATAGAAGAGACGTGTACCATCGCGTCCACTCTGACCGGGCATCTGTTGAAGGATAGTGCGGATAACGGCGTCGAGTCTGTCTTGGGGGATCGCGGTGGGGTGAAGTTTCATGTATGAGTTCAAGTTTAACACGGCGCCATCGAGGACCATGTAGTTGGCGAGTGAAGCAACTTGGTCCCAGTCATAACCAACAATGAAGTCAGTTTTGACAAAGCCAATGGAAGAAAGGGTCGAGCTGGTATTGAGAGGACCGAGAGGGCAGTCTGTGCCCGCACATGGTGCTTCGACTGCCGCACGGAAGCTGAGGCCATTGCAAGAAGGGTAATTTGCAGCATCGCGTTCAAAGAGGGTAGTAATATCTTGTCCTGGATTCTTAAGCAATGATTGAAAGTTGACACCGTCAACTTGAGGAATCTTGGTCACATTATATAGAACCCCCTGCACGCCGAGTGTGTTGGGATTCGTACCGACACGAGAGAACCTGCTAAGGCTCTGTGCGCTGAGAGGACAAAGCACCTTCTGGAATCCGACTGTGAGAAAGCCAACAGCACCGCAAAGGACGGCGATGATGAAGCAAAGGGCCATTTTCTCCCTCCACGCCTGTCTCATCTGCTTATCCTTGAGCCCCCCTACGGACTCTAGCAGGATAGCGGGAGCCCAAAAGGTGACAATACGAGAGAAGATTCTCCATACGTCGAAACTAGTGTCTTCCGGGACGGTAACGGATGAACCAACGGGTAAATGTGCTGCTTGGGGGTTGATGAGCGGGATTGGAGCGACACTGCGCTCAGGTCGAGTAAGGGTCTTTGCACGACGGACGGTTCCAGAGGAAGTTGGAAGACGAGGAGTAGGGATCGGGACGTCGCTGCTGTCGTACTTTAAGCGAGAGGCCATGCTACAAGCAAAAAAGAAAAGAAAGAAGTGGCGCGGTGGCCGTCAGGAAGTAAAGAGTGGCGGTATCGATGCCAGCCAAGGCAAAGATATTAGAGAATTCACCTCGACGTCGTCGTCGACAGCGAGCAGGGCAGGGAAGAAAGACGCTCAATGTCTCGCCGGCAGAATATTAACTCGCTCAATTGGCGCTTTGACAACCAACTTTAGGCGGAGAACAAATCCATCAACGCATGTGGGTCTGGACACCCTCAGCGTAGCTACAATTCGGAAGCATATATGTTCGCTGTCTTGCGCTGAGACCTCAAGATATCAACTTCATCTGTGTAGAACATGAGAGCTCTCGACGCCAGCTTCCAAACGATATACATGACGAATTGGTGCAACCCTCAAGTTGCCAAATTCAACTTAAAATAGGCTTGCAGTAAGTGGTACCTGTTTGGTCCTTATTCCGTTTTGGATATTCCTACTGACCATCTTTACGCATTTGTTCCATCTGTCAGGCATCCAAGACTTCCTAGCGCGCACGGACCGTCGTCTAGACCGTCGCTCTCATGCTTGCGTAGTCTTCGAGACGTTACAGTGTTTCAGTGCTTTCCAGAGTGTAAGTGGCTCTGTGTTATCTCCCTGAGGCGGAGGAGACAGAGGCACAATCTTCATGCCTCAGGATATCCCATCTACTCAGCGTCAGGACGTCTGCACTGGCTGTAAGCAGACCGACGGACCGGCGTATACACGGAGATCCAAACTAGGGCACGTATACAGCTTTCTGCCAATGAGACCATGATGCGCCGAGCGTGATGTATCTCAAAATACTCGCTGGGGTGAGCTTTTTTTGACCTTCGGTGATACTCTATGTCAACCCTGTCAGGCCTTCGGGCGAACGATGATACTCAGGATAATCTGTTGTCATTTATATGCAAATCGTTATGGGAAGGTGACCGCGATTCTTGGTTACTCAACTTCCAAGACCAGATACATCATTGTACAGGACGGAGTGCCATGGCATCATTGCAGACGTTTGATTCAGCATAATTCGTATACAGTATGGCCTCGCTAGCACCGCATACTTGATTCGAGCGTTGCAATGCAACATTCGAGAATACTTATAACCTGTGTCTGTCAACTCATGCCAAGTGGTAAACAACATTGAAGAATACCTTATCTCACCTCATTCCCCCAGGACAAAGCCGGTGAGTTGCTACAGAACAATTCCCAAACAGTGCATATGTGTATGTCGTAATGTGGATGGACCTCCCCGCACCCTGGGCCGCTGCCGGAGCTCCTGGATAGTCAAATCTTATCTTGTATTGGCGTATACACTAATCTCATCGGTCACATCCTCAGTCGTTTCTACCTCGCATGAAAAGTCCTTGGCCATTGCGAAAACGAGCTTAACGTTGCTGAAATCTGAAGCTTTTGAAGTAGAAAGTCAAAGTCGCAAGCGAGTGAATGCGGGCCCTTTGCAAGGAGCATAATTGGCTAGAAAACTTGTCAAACTAATAAATAAATGTAGTACTTACTCGATATCGAGAAGAGTCGTTTCAAACCCTCTGACGTGCCTGAAGCACGGCCGCAATTTACTTGCCCAGGATACTTACCTGCGAGGTGCTCTTTGCTACAGAACTAGCTGAGCTACGCAGTTTCAAACTCCGCATGAGTTGTATACGATAGGGATGCACATGGCGATTGAGATGCAGGCTTCAGATTACCCATGCCGTCCGTAAATATAGCTGGTCTTTATCTCTACACAGGTATGCACCTTCAAGACAGATTGTTCGTGCGTTAACCGTGTCGTGAACAACAGGAGTATCGTGTCTGGCACATAGTTTGGCTTGATCGGCTCGAAGCTGACATCCAAACTACACTGTGACGGTGCTCATGTCGTCCTCCAGCCTAGATGAGAAGGTTCCCCTCCTGGTTCAGTCTACTTCCAACTCCCCTAGGGGCGGAAGCAGGAGTTCGTATGTCTTGGTCATCCACGGAGGTGCTGGTACAATGTCGAAAGACCGCTCGACGCCCGAATTGCGAGCGAGATACAAGGCAGCACTCAGTCACGCTTTGGAAGCCGGGTATACGGTACTAAAGGATGGTGGCGAAGCTATGGATGCTGCAGTTGCTGCTGTGTCCTCCATGGAAGGTTAGCTGATATTGAATCCGAGTGAATGAGATTGGGCGCTGAAGGGTTGCTTTGTTAGATTGTCCACTCTTCAACTCAGGGAAGGGTGCAGTATTTAATGTAGACGGAAAGGTAAATATAATATGAAGCCTTCGAGCACGTAGGTATGAGTTGACATATTTCCTTACAGAACGAACTAGAGGCCTCAATAATGCTCTCCACACCACCTTCTATCCACACCTATATCCCTCCCTCTCGTCGAGGCTTCGGTCTAACCCTACTTACCCACACGCGCAACCCATCTCAACTTGCGCGCGCTTTATACCTCTCCCCTACGGCAGCGCCTCATATTATGCTCTCCGGCAGTGCAGTAGAGCAACTCGGTGAAGGCCTTGGAGTTGAGATGGTCGATGAAAGTTATTTCTTTACTGAAGCCAGATGGAGAGAACATAGACGAGGTTTACGCCTGCCCGAGGAGCCTTTGCCGTATCCCGGCGATGACGGCAAACGTGAAGGAGTGAAACTGCCACTAGATCAGTTACCTACAGGGACGGTAGGTGCTGTCGCTCTGGACATCCGCGGATGCATAGCAACTGTAACCTCGACTGGCGGCCGTACGAATAAGTTGGTGGGTCGGATCGGTGATACGCCGAGTGTGGGTTCAGGATTCTGGGCAGAAGAATGGCCTCTCAGGGGTAGAATCAAGAGACTCTGGCGAACGATGAGAGGAAAGAGTGATAAAGTTGCTGTTGGAGTCAGTGGAACTGGTGACGGAGACGTAAGTCCCTTAATCTTGTGTAGCATTTTCGCTCTGATCATTGAGCCTTATTTCTTACATTTGTAGTATTTCATTCGTTTGAACACCGCCTCAACTATAGGTCGCCGAATGAAATACCTAGATGAATCTGTCGAGAAGGCATCCAAACATTGCGTGGAAGAGTTGCGCCGAGATGGAGGTATCGGAGGAGTCATTGCATTAGACAACAGAGGACACAGTAAGAAATCTCCCTGCCTTGAATGCGGAGTTCGAATTGACAATGCCCCTATAGTTGCTATGCCTCTAAATTGCTCTGGCATGTACCGCGGGGTTATCAGGGAAGATGGTCGACCCAAGACAGCCATTTTCGATGACGACGAGTTGGACTGAACTTGGCTGGATTGATGTTGTGACGCTTCGTGCCACCGATATGTGCTCGTAGTGATGCTTTGCAGGCAATAATCGTTGACTCGCTTATCTTCCATCTCTTTCAAGAGATAACAGGTACTTTCGGCGCAAGATTTGTAGAACGTGAAAGCGACTCTAAGCGAATAGATGCTGTGGATAATAACATAGTATATTGCAACACAAATCTAGTGAAAAATACGAATGCAGCCAGTGTTCTGTTGGTCACACCTTTGAGCTATCGAGCTTTACTAGAAGCTTATTCTTCTTCGGAGTCTTCGCGGACGAAGAAGTTGAATTCTTGACCGGATGATTTTGACACCATGGGCAGACAATCCTCGAGGGTGGTACATGTATCATCCACGGAAAGACCCCTCGGTGCCCAGCACTCCAGTGTTCTGATCCCACCCACCGTGATCAAGTTTATCAACTTTTTGTCGATTTCCTCCCAGACTGGCAGTCGCAAAGTCTTCTCTGGTGCACTTATCTCAGAGAAATCGAGCTCGACCTCTACTCGGCACCCATCGGAAAATCTATTGGGGAGAAGGGCAACAATCCAGCTAAGATCATCGTCGGTTCGAAGGTTCCCATCCAGTTCCATATGGTCTTCGGTCGAGGATTGGGATTCGATATTGATCTGTAACTTCTCCAAGAACATACGGTCCTCCAATGCAAAGACCTCGCGGAACTCTAAAAGAAACGTACGTCAGCAACCAAAAGAAAATCAACGGTAGGGCATTGGAAGAGTACCTTTCGCAACAATATTGTTCCATGCGGCTTTCCAGGTTATGCTCATCTCAGAAATTGGGATGCTATATATATCGAGCAGAATCTTCAATACCCGCAAATCGAATGGATCAGAGACGGTAACGCTGAGCTCCTGCATGTTGAAAAACCAGGATTCTATCACATCACGGTCGAAATATGGCTTAACGTCGAGCACATTCTCGTACATGCCCTCCGGCCACGACGTATCGTGCATTCCAAAAACCCACGGCTTGTTGAATATGGAGATCAAGGCATGAAACTCTTGGATAGATCCAAACCGACAGGAGTAAAGCCGAAGCTCGCCTATGCTGACGCTCCGCCGGTTGACCTTGTTCAGGATCTCCAATGGGAAAGCCTTTAAACCTTGCAGTATAATGTCGGCCCCTGTTCCGTAACGCAAAACGAACTGCATGATTTGATCCAGGTAAATGGTGGATGCCGTATGGAGAGATTCCTGGTAGCCTATTTTGAAGAGATGATCGGGGTGTAACATGAACCACAACTCTGTGAAGACCACCTGTTGTTTGGCGTTGTCTTGAAAATGGCAGGAATTACGTGTGAACCATTCCATAGTTTCCTGAAGTTGATCAGGCCCCCTGACCTTGAGGCTAAGTCTTGTGTAGTTGGCCCCTTCATATCCTGGAAGGATCTTGGAATAGGGTATTTCTAAGTACAGTGGTAAATAAGCGAATGGCAGCACCAACGTCAGCGATTGCCACACACCTTCGATTGATGCCATGCTAGAGGTGTTATGCAGGAGAAAGTAAGTAGTCAATGAGATAGCCCGTCAACTGGCACTGATGGGTATATATACCCAGAACCACAAAGGAATGGCGCTTCCACTGTGGAAGGCTAAACATCATTCTTTGACCATACCAAGACAATAAGGGTCAAAGCGACCTCAGGCTTTGACATGGCCGATACCCACGAGGCGATTCGTACAGACGCCTGGACACAAAGGAAAACCGGTGACTATTTGACAGTCCGTTCTCTAAGCTCACCTTGTAACGAGATTTGCTAGTGAACACTCTAGGGAAAATGGACCGGGGATCTTGAGATCGGATCTTGATAAAAAGAAATGCGTTATGTCCTTCATCACCCGAAAAACCTGGGGGTCAGAGAAGGCTTTAGAATAAACGTACTATAGAGCTGAATGCTTCTACCTTAGAAAGAAGATCTTGCAAATGCCGAACAGCAGTCACTCTCCGATTGAGGGCGGAGGGGTGGTGCCTTCGTCCTTGATCCCGCCGAGGAGAAGGACATATCTTCACAGTAAAGTTTGGCGGGGCAGATACAGTAAGGACAGAAAACGTACATTGTTCTTGAAAACGGGGCTGACCAGATTAAGTCACAAGTACTGCGGTGCCAAAGTTCAAGTTCGTCGAATCAGAACACAGACCGCAGCGTGCCCTGCATGTCCTCCAGAAGCATATTTTCAAAACGGCGACGTGTAAAGATCGTCTGTCCTATTTGATAGAAGGAAGCAATTAAAGGAGCGTTCTGCTCCTTGGGAGGCATGGCCTTTCCATATCAGAACACAAGTTATGAAACCATAATACGTTGCAGCTATGTATTCAATGCGGACACGGTGTCAACACGCGGTGAAGCGAGTCCTTCTTGCACTGCGGACCTGGCATGTTCAGACTGAACAAGTAGCGTCGCGAGCAATTTTGTATTATCTGGATCCTCTTCAAAGTCCCCTGCTTAGTACACGGACACGAATAGACAAATGGATGAACTCACCGTCGCGTATGTCCTCCTTTAAGCTACCGTTCACAACGGGACACTGACTACATGAACTACAGCGTAATGGGTGCCCTCGGTACAGGGAAATCAACGGTGAATACAATACTCATCAGAGTGAGGGACTGTTGACTGATCACTTACACAGTTCATCAATCTCGTCAGCGGGTCAAACTTCCAAGTCGGACCAGGCTCAAGCACCACCCAGGTCCAAAGCTCCCAGCCATTCGACGTAGGCGGTCGGCGTATAGTCCTGATTGACACGCCGGGCTTCGATGACACCACTCGGACGGATACTGATATCCTACGAATGATCGCAACATACTTAGAAAACACGTGAGGACCTTGATCGATATACTTGTTCAGCATCCAACTCACCTGACCTCACCTCTAAACATATTGTAGATACAATGACAACAAGAAACTCAGCGGATTGATCTACATGCATCGAATTTCAGACCGGAGGACGAGCGGAGTTTCCCGTCGCAGCTTCAGCATGTTTCGCAAACTCTGTGGCGACGACACTCTCAGTAGTGTCATCATCGTCACGAACATGTGGGGTGAGATTCGAGAAGAGGTCGGCGTGCAACGTGAACGTGAACTGGCGACGGAAGACATCCTATTCAAGCCTGTGCTTGACAAAGACGCCAAGATGATGCGCCACTACAATACGTTGGAATCGGCTCGGGCCATTATGCAGCAGTTTGTGAACAAGGAGATAGTGATGTTGAAGATCCAAGAAGAGATGGTTACGGAAGGGGAGCACGATATTCAGTCGACGGCGGCTAGTGCGGAACTGGAGGATGAGCTTGAAGATCAAGGAAGAGCTGACGTTAAGATTGCAGGCATTAAGTTCGCTCGACCTGGACCGGCGACGAGGCCTGCTACATCATGAAGATGTAAATTACGCTACCTTTGCCAATGAATCGGTTACTTCTGTCTGATAGAAAGTGAGAGATATGGCCGATACAGTGAGCACGTACCGCACGGAGTCAGTAATGAACCTACGCACTTGCAACAGGACTTTAAAAAAGCAGGAGAGTCAAGGGGGAGAGTCCAAACCAGACTGTCCATACAACGGTACAGAATCGTGCAAGAAATACTGATAGAAACACTAGATATTACGATATTGTTATGCGTGTGCAGTACCTTTGACCACCGCCGCTTGCAATCGCTGTCGCAACTTCGAGCGTTCGTCTGTCGGACTGCTAATATCAGGTGAGAGTGCTCCGCTAGCTACGTTCTCAGTTTGCGATGGGCTCTTCGTATGTGTGTTCAGCTTGATGGGACTTCCGTCGTCCCTCCGAATGCCCACTTCGCCGTCTTCAACAGTCTCAACGGTTTCGCTGAGGACTGCTATCCGGGTCCAACGTCGATAACGCGTGTACTGCAGGCAAGCAATTAATATGTATACGACAGATATCGATAAGGCACAACTTACCTTGCCCATGCCTCCCCTACTCGATTCATTCTCCCACTTGTTGTCGCCATACACCCAGCCATCAGCGTCCGTGTAGACTTCATCATCACTACCATCATCCTTCGAACTCGGTGACTTCTCCGTAGTTTTTCCACCGCCCTCTCCTTCCTCTTTTTCAGAAGACCCCGGTGCTTCCGAGCCACTCCCACTAAGGCTTGCTTGACGCATCTTGCCAGCAACCCTCATGAGACGGGTGGCACCAGTCGGCGCAGTGGGGTCTTCCGTAGGAATAGGTCGTTCGACGCGTGCTAAGGTCGTTCCTTCTTTGTGTACGATCACGCGCCATTCATCTTCTTCCCATTTCCAACGAGCCGTCCTTCTTATACGTTTATTGCCTTCACGCATGTACACCGTCGTTGACGCCGGAAGTGAGAATACGCTTGGTGGTGCGACGGGTTGTTGAGAGCCTGAACACCATGATGGACGTTCACCAGGGAGGAGGGCAGCAGTCCAATCTAGACCTACCCACCAGCGCTGGTTCTCATACACGGTGAATAGGAATCGAATCGAGTTAACAGTCTGCGCCGAAGTTGTCGCAGAAAGTCGTGTGATCTTGGCAGTCTGCGGAGATATTACCGGGGGAGGCAGAGGTTGGCCGGAGAGGAGTGACCAAGCACGATAGAGCGTCCACCGCATCCATGCACTGCGCCAGAACCCCCGACGGATGGCTGTAGCCCATCGTGCTCGCCAGGTAAGGAGTATTGTTCCGGCGATAGCAATGAGAATCCGTAAACGGATAATATATGTTAATAGAAGATATGGCACGTATAGGATGCCGAGTACTCGGAGAAGTACTGAGAGGTTCGGTGTACTTTGAGAACTCCTGAATGACGAGAGAGAAGGTAAGAGGGCATGGATGAGAGTAAGATCGGAAATCGTTTGTTGGAGATTGTCCTCAGTTATCGGGAGTTGTGCTGTCTGTGGTTTTGCGGTCCACCTTGCGATAGATAGCACTAGAAGCATCGCTATTGGTAGCACATATCTATACACTATTTAGACTGGCACGCGATCACGAATATGAACACCTACCGCAGCACGATATCTCCTAGTAAACATACTGCCCACCAGAAGGCTAGGGCTAGCCAACTTTCTTCCCAAGAAGCTTTCCAGCTTACGACTTCTATTCCATGTCTAATCCGAGAAATATACGGACCAAGTCCAACGAGAACGGTCACGAGAGGGGATGGGATGGTATTCAAGAATTCAGCGAGGGGTGTGGATACATCTTGCGCAGTTTTTGACATGACAATAGAGGAGATGATGGTACAAGCATAAAAGTCAGAGCCCGAGCATAATATTTGTGGTCAGACTTTGTCTAGCGCGACGGCAGGAGGTGAGAAGGCTGTAGTGCGCTTGCTGGGCTTGCATGGCGGCAGACGTAAATCTGGTCATCTCTTTTCCGTAAGTTATCACGAGCAACTCATGAGTCGACCTCCATCATCGCCGTGGACGACGATGAGCACGGTGAAAAGAACAACGAGCAAGCCGGATGCACTATCGTCGGCAAGGATAGCGAGTGATTTACGTCTCATACGCGTACTCTCCGTGTCTACATGGTTGTTATCTGCTTTACTCGTCCACCTTGCATCATATCTTCCTCTCTTCGACTCCTCACCACAGGTTGTGCTTGGTGAGGACATCAGCCGAACCGTATCACCACTTTTGCGTTGGGACGCCTTTCATTTCGGACATATTGCGAAACACGGTTATGTCTACGAATATGAATGGGCTTTCTTCGCAGGAACTCCGCTTGTCATGCGGAAAACAGCTCAACTATGCCATCTACTAGGCCTGTTCAATTCTGAAGATGCACTCACTTGGCCAAACATTCTATTTTCTGGAGCTTCGATAGCCTGTCTTTGTGGTACCGCTAGCACGCTATATGAGTTGACCTTGGAGCTCACCGCGTCACCTTCGTTCGCGTTATTGTCCTCATTACTTTCCTTATTACCCAGTAGCCCAGCCACCTTACGTTTGGCTCCTTACACCGAACCGTTTTTCACGTATTTATCGTACAAAGGTATGTTACACCCCTGCCTTCGGGTCCTCATGTTGACGTATGTTTTTCTTACAAGGCATGCTTTCCTGCGCCAGAGCACGCTGGACACTTGCGGCCATCTTTTTCACGCTTGCAGGCGTGTTCCGATCCAACGGTTTCATGCTTAGCGGCTTCCTACTCTGGGGCATGGTCATCGATCCAATCCTGAGTCATCGAAATGTTAGTAATGGCCTCACTGTACTCTTCATGATCGCCTCAATTTGTGCTGCAGCTCCAGATCATGCGTATAACACACTCAGCGGCGTTGACTGCCTTGACATTTGTTCCATTCCTGTCTCACCAGCTTGCCGCCTACCTCACCTTCTGCAGAGACAACACATCACCTGCTGCCTGGTGTTCAAAGTCGCCTCCGTTCGTTTATTCCTACGTGCAGTCGAAATATTGGAATGTCGGATTCCTGCGCTATTGGACCCTATCACAGCTTCCGAACTTCCTCCTCAGCATGCCAGTTATCGTCCTCCTGCTCTGGGCCTCATCGCACCATATCCGACATATCCTCATCCCCCATCTTCACACCATCTTCTACCCAAGCACACTAGGATCCCGGCCCATGATACAGAGCTCGCCGTTCCTTACAACAAGACTTATACCCCACGCAGTCCATGCATTCATATTCACTAACATTCTGCTCTTCGCCTCACATACCCAAATCATCCTACGTCTTGCGGCTTCGATGCCTTTCACTTACTGGGCAGCTGCATATCTCGTCATGGAATACCCAAAGGCTGGACGGGCGTGGGTCACCTGGAGCGTAGTCTGGGGTGCGGTATCTTTGGTTCTCTGGACTACTTTCTTACCGCCTGCATAAGGCGTTGCCGTGAACGTCGTAGAGTTTGGAATTCAACGAGTTGTTTCCGCCCTTTACAGCTACATCGAACGCGACGAACTCACGACTGATGAACTGTATTCGTCATCCCGGGGACCATTAAATAGTCGCTTTGTTTGGTCGCGGCCGAGGCATCCCCCTTGGTTTCCAACCACCTATCTGCGTTGTTGGCTTTCCCTCGTCTTCCAATGTTCCGTTTGGTCCTGTGAATTGTACATCCATCACGGGTCCGTCTGGATCCTGTGAATTCAACAGCTGTGAGCGGGAATTTCCACTCAACATGATGAAATATATTGACGCTGCTTTGGGGACCAGCTCCAGTGCCGGTACTTGAGGGTGGACATTGGCTCTGCATTGAAAGTCAGAATCAGAGATTTCGCAAATAGAGCGGTACATACACTGTCACGAGCTTCGGGAGTCAGGGCGACCACTTTACCAGAGGCTTCGGAATCACTACGGCCACTATCCTTGTTGACAATATGACATGTGTTCATTGAGAAATCTTACCTCTCTCGTCCCACTTCAGTCTCTTTCAAGTTTTGTCGTGTTGAATTGGTCATGATTGCCGTCTGGTCTTTCCTAGGCCTGGGGCGAGGGGGTGGAGGATTGTCGAGAGACGACTTCAAAGTAATGCAACCTAAATACACTGCTATCCGTACTGCCTTCTGACAAGAGTTTGACAGACACCACTCACTTCCACCGAGCCAACCGTGTGGCTATGCTTGATCGACTTCACGCAACTCGTGCTGACATCCACTGAATCAAACTTCAGTGCATTTTTTACTTGCCAATTGTGTCTCGCGCGAAGGCTTTGATTCAGACTGACCGGATCTACTCTCAACTTGATACGCGGCCTAGTCTGACATCCAGCCTTCGTTGAAGCTACCCTTTGTCGCGTCGTTCGTGATTCTTACCGAGAAGGTTATGATTCTCATGTTTGATGTTTCATTGGAAACTTGAATCTTGGCTCTACAGTATGTGTGCGAAGTGTAATTGATGATGAGTCTACATTTGACCAGATGTTCCTGGTAAGTTTCCTGTTGAGCAGAAAAGGTTCGATTGCTTGTCATACTAACGCCGCTCACACTGACAGTATGTACAGGGTTTCAATTCAAGGTTGCGCAGGTATGCTCCGTTATCTCCGATTGTTATGAAATAGGTTTCTCAAAAGGTCTGTGCTGACGTTCCAAGAAAGGTTATCTGGATGCCCATTGTCCTATTTCCCACCTTTGACCCTCAAGTCTGAGTCACCCACAGCACCTCACGAGTGTTCCATGATGTCGATTATCACAATGAGCCTCTGCTTTGGCCCATTGACCCAACACCCCACGTCAACCTGCAATTCGGGTGGCGCATCGAATTCAGCTCGCCTGAAGATTCCTTTGGCCTCCATCACAACGTTCCGCGTGAAATATAAAGTGCGCGGCAGTTTTCGATGCAAGTATACTCTATGGTCAATTCTCTGCCACTGTTCTACTCAACGATGATCACTGTTGAAGGCGAGTTGTCGTTCCTGCGCCGCATGATCGTGATATCTAATATCAGTCTCTAGAACTACCTCCATTCACGTCCTTCATATATAAAGACGAACCTCGATACCTGAAGCTTGAAGTGCTGGGGCCCGATGAACTAAATCAAGTTCTGGACTATATTGAAAAGAACAAGAACAAAGGCGCAAAATACTTGAAGGAAGTACGCGAGGCCGTTTTTGTCTTGTCTCAGGAGCATCTTGAAGCCGATTCCGATCAAACCTCCTCTATGACGTCTGTCTCCTACTGCGAACTTATCATCCGATTTCTCCGGGACTACGCCTGCGTGTCATGGGACGTGACCCTCAGTGGATTGCAAGTCTTCCCTCTCAAGTACCTCCAGAAGCTAGATGCTAGATGTGTCCCCGTCTGCAAGCTCGCCTTGATCGACTGTAAATTCGAGAAATTCGACGAGCTCCTTGCCTTGCTTTCGATTTTCCAGCCCTTCTGGAAATTTGGACTGGTTAGGACAACCTGGTCGAATGCTGTAAATGAATCACAGATACAGTTGAAGTCCAAAGAGTTTCGACCGCACTTCTATTACTTGCGGAAACTAACTATCTACGTTACGAATGCTCTCGAAGTAGCCCTCTGGAAACCCATAATGGAATACCCCTGGTTGCGAATAACCGATCTTGCAATCACTTGGAATAAGGAATACGGTATATCTTACCCTGATTCCATCATCCTCCTGGCTGACGCATAGGGTTTATAGACCTCATTCCCACATTTCATCTAATGAGACTTCCTTTGTGCCGAATCCTACGCATCAAGATTGTCTCGCGACCCGTTCCTCCGACTGGATATCCCCTATCGGACTCAGCGCCTAGAGCTAGTGGCACTCTCAGATGGATGGCTCAACTTTTCCCTTCGTCTTCAGCGCCTGGACCAGACGACGCCTACCCACGCTACCCTGCAAAGTCTCCCAATTTCGGAGTGAACGACACAACCTACAAAGACTGGCTCAACTACGTCGAGATCGATTACTCGGAGATGGACGTTTCTTTGTTTACCTCACCGGTATGGCGTGATCTGGATATCAGGCTGAAGGGACTAGTTTGCAAGAATCGTTACAACGGGATTAAGCGCGTAGTGTTCAAAAGTCCAGCTTGTCTTAAAGGACAACCGGAGCGTGCTTGTGGTTTATTCTTCAACTGCATCCCAAGTTTGGGAGACGAGGCTTGTGGTATGATTGACATTCTAGAGGCAGACGACTCGACGGAACAGTTGCCCTACACTTATTTTAAGTTTACCTAGCTTACTCGCTGGACATGGACGGTCGTAATTCTATTCTTGCATGTATGCTCCCCCTCATTGCTAGTCAATGTAATATCATTACAACCCCTCGTTTCCGCCTCCGAGAGCGACTATCCTCTAAGAATAGGATAAGGAGATGAGCATGAATGGTTTCCTCGCTTAGCATTCCTGTCGTTGCGGTAGAACGAAGCTCGCAGAAAGCATGATCATATTATAAACTAAGTAAAAATAGACATGGCGTCCAGTCTAAACTGTATCTAACAGAAAGGTACGGAGAAAGTGCAGAAAGAATCTACTAAGTCTAAGGTGTGGGTGCTAATGCAAAATGTCCGCTAGTGGCGTAATGCGATGGTATGCTGTCTATGGAGGGTATGGTCTATGGTTATATATCTAAGTGCAAGGATCCAATAAATGCAGAGCACGAGAGCAAACTGAATAATGAAGAATCCGAGATGGAGAAGGGAGGATGAGGGGAGGCTCGAGAGAGAGAGAGAGAAAAGGGGAAGGGGTAAGGTGGATAAAGGGAAGAAGAAGAAAATGGAGGGATTAGGAGAGAGAGGGGGGGGGGACAGAGAGTGAAAGAAAAGCAAGAGAGCACAGCAGGGCTACTGACCGAAATGCCCCGATGGCCTCTCCGATGCATCACTATGTCTGACCAATGCCACCGCAACCTGACTCGTACTGGCCACCAGCGCCATTTCAAGGTCTTTCGGTTTCTTCTTCTCACTCGCATGTACGTCCCTGATGATTTCTTCCGGTGTCGCCATGAAGATCTTGCCTTTCCAGAAAGCAATGGCGGTGAGGAAGAACAGGATTAACCAGGTGGCACACATGAGAATGACCATGACGAGGTTCCAGACGTAGAATCCTTGGAGATGAAAGATGTCTCCGAGTTTACCGATAGTGAGGATCCAGCCGACATTGGGGAAGGTAAGGGCCCAGCCTGGAGTGTATTCCTGATAATCAGTGCACGAACGTAGAACGAGGGGGAAATGTTTACGAACATCCGAGGATCTCGTCCAAGTGTTTGTGCAACTTGAACCAGTATGGGAGAGCGCCAAACAAAAAGAAGAATACGGCCAACCCGAAGAGCAGCAGACCAGCGAGCACACTAGATGCATACCAGATCTCACCCGCGGATTTTGACACTAGATTATGTGCCGCAAGGCTACAAAGGGGAAAACATCTTTTAATTAACGCGTATACTAGAGGGAATGGAACGTCAACATACATATCTTGTCCTTGCTCTGCCAGATTGATCAGAGCAAGAGCAGTGAATCCCGGAGGTCCACAAGCCACGAACGCACCGTTGGCCTGATGTCCCTCAAGGAAGCCGGTCTATCGTTGAAGCGTGAGCGAACGTGCAAGTCCAGTAGGTGACAAAACGTACGGTCATGATACTAGAAGAAAAAATAACTTGAATATCAACTATATCATATACAGAGGTAAATGAACTCACCGAATGATGTATATACAAATATAGAAGAACGTCATAAAGAAGCCCAATCCTTGAATCGAAACAAACATGAAACTGTGCTCAACCAGTCTGTGAAGGTATAACTCACCTTGGAAAACGTATCCTGTCAGCAAAACACCCAAAGCTCTCGGATCCTCCGGAGGCAGCACCCGTAGAACGTTGAACGCAACAACGCCGACGAGCATCTGTAGGTCGTTAGTTTGTGTTTAGCTAGAGAAGCGCTGAGAGCGCGTACCATAGGGAACACCTGACAAAAGAAACAAAGGCCGGATTAGATCAATTGCTACCGAAAGAAATGAGTGACGTACCAGGAAGGCCCATGCAGGGGTGAACGTCTTTAAGTCATGAGGCTTGTTGAACCATATCATTAACATAGGGAAGCACACTAGCAGACCGAAGCCAACGTAGATCCTACGGAAACATCAACATGATGTCAAGGAGAGAGGGAGAAGCGAACACACCAGAACAAACAGTAAATGAACGTAGGGGATACATGTCCCGTTGGTAGGACATAGTTAATGGTACCGATTATAATCGTGGCAAAAGACAGAACCTGCGGGTCGAAGAGGCGTGAGTCAAGAAAGGACAGGCGGCAAGTCCACAAACATACTATTAGAGGGACGAAAATGCCTTTGGATGGATCGGTGATGAGTCTCTTCGCTTGTCGCGGGTACACTACACACATCGAACAAGAATAAGATGAGCGCCAGGTACAGGGGGGAGGAGGGAAAGGAGAAGACTCACGGATGAGCTGAAGCAGCAGAGTCGTCGAGTTCAACAAGAACAATGCGATGTTCAGAAAGTAGAATACGGTCTCGACCATGGTCAGTGGCAACCCCGGGTGCGGGTGGATCCCAGCCAAGCAGACATAGACTGCTCCGGTACCCATACCTATCGGGAACTGCATGTCGCAGATTACTACATGTATTGGCTGGGGGTAGCAGAGAGTACCTACAGCCTGCCAAGACCACCCGTGTATCCTTCTCGAGATATTGCTCACTTTGGTGAATTTTGGGTTCATAGCGAGACCAGGAATGGATCGGTCAACGTCGGAAGCCTCTTTAGAGAGCATTTTGGGGGGTGAGGGAGAGAAGAGAGACAAAAACGGAGATTAGTGTTATACAGGGAGCCTCCACGGAAACGGAGAGAACCCAGACACAGTGCAAGAGACAAAGAGAAAAAGGATGAAACCGGGCCACTGACGAGAACGATCTCGGTAGGGAGAAGAGGGTGGAAAAGGAAAGTGAGGAAGTTGGATGCCCTCTAGACGAGAGTCTATTATAGTGGACGAAGAGAAAAGAAGAGAAAAGAAACCGATGCACTGTGCGCGAGGCGAGCCTGAATGCACGTTGCTAATCCACACCCGCAGCACGGCTGAGAACTCCTTTGACACCCTCAAAGAGGCCAAGCCCAGTCAAAAGAAGCAGCCATCGTTAGACGGTCCCGCCGAGCCGAGCACGGTAGGCAGAGCTGGAGATCGTTGAACCATCGTGGCGTCGGCATGGAGGCTCGGTTAATTTGAGCATTTCTAAATATATACACATGCTCGCCTCGACTGGTCCGTCTCTTGCTCAATCTCGAACACCGTACCTGTCAAGGATACATGCCACAGCAACGCTCTGCGTCGTTTTCGCCACGGCAGGTCTTGGTGAGCTGGACGTGACCACCCAGGTGAACGGGATTGCTAAGATTGCTAAGATTACGATTAGCTCGGTGTATCAGACACATAAACGTCATCGCGACACATCGGTGTACAGCAGAGTAACGGTTTCAGCAATGGAAGTTTCATGTCCGAGCCTTGGCATAGATAAGACCGCGCTGGAGTGGAAACAAAAGGCATTCCGATTGCAAGGCGACAGCATGCGTTGGGAACGATGTGGCATAGATAGCGACACCTTGCCTTTTATTTCGCCTTTTGCATCGAGACAAATCTTTCTGAGCTCGCACGAGGTTCGGATAGAAACAACAGAAGCGGAGATAACACCGGAAATCGGCAGAAAACCATGCAATAACAGTTGAATATCCTTCCGCACGCTGATGCCAAGGATAGAAGGCAGTGTAGGCGCCCAAATACAACGCTCGTCATTCAGACCAGATAAGGCAAACACTTCGATTCTTAACAAAGCCAAATATGGCTACCACCTCCTTCGTACCCTTCTCGGGCCACCACGTCACGGCTTCGGATTTTACAGGATATCCATAGATACAACCTCGGAATTGCGCGTTCGTGTTACACTGCGGTACGGAGTTATAATTCTGCCTGTGAGATTTGCTACGAAGTTCATGGGGAAAAACATCAGATGAACAAAGTTGAGTTCCTTTCGCTGTATCACCCCGTACTGATCTTACCTTCCGAGGGGTACACCAACTTGTACTCTCCACTGATCAGCAGTCGTCTGTCTATATCTTTCACTTGAGATAGAAATAACAACAGACTGTTCAACAAAACATTCGCACGCATACATTCAAGGCTTCGTCGACCGCGCGTGTGTAGCACGGAGCGCCCATTATCTAATACTTCAAACTAACTTCAAACTTACACTGTACAGATTACATGGCTCGGGACGAATCTTTCCCATGTCAACCATAGCAAGGACTGCGCATATCTCTAAGATACTTGGCAAACCTCTAGCGCCGTCTGTCAATGATTCTAATCGGCATATACTGGCAATGTACGTACTCAGTCACACACACACACACGTTCTTCGACATGACGCTGGGAGGAGTCGGTACAATACAAAAGAACTTCTTTTTGGATAGGAATACAATACAGGTCTTGGAATATGAAATATGTAATACGGAATACGTATAACTCCAACGAACCGTTAAAACCAACCTCAGCAACAACCGAAAGATAACACCATGGTTAGAGTTTTACCTAGTCTAGTAACACCCTCCTCCCGTGATTATCAGGTGATAATGTCCACCTTGAGGAGGAGTTGAAGGGAGGGAAAGGAAACTCTGGTGAAATGCGAAGAAGATGCAAAAGTGCAAAACGAAGGGGAAACCCGAAGAATGAAGAACCGAAGAGGAACCGAAGAGACGAAGAAGGACGAAAGAGCCAGAGGAAGGGAGTAAGAGTGAGTACATCGTATGAACTATTTCAGATGTGAGCTATTGTGGAGCGATGACGGAGGACGGACGTGACAATGGATGAGTAAAAAGCGAGTCGTGGGTCGGAGTCGTGTAGGGTGAGCGTAACAGAAATGTTCATGAGAGAGCCAGTATGTGCAACAGGCAAAGAGGGTCCCTGTCAACAGTCAGGGCCATAAGGCACGATGTCTGTCAACTAGACCTCCCCGTCGAGATCGAAGCATCGGTGGCACCGATGCCAAGATCCACCAAAGTCAACGCCTCCGCCCTTTCCTCCGTCTGTATCGATATCTCAACGGGAGATAACGGACTCGAGAAGGACCTTTTCAACCATAACGATTCTGCACTACCGCCACTTTCATCTACCATTGCCACCCCCTCACCCAACTCCCTATTGACGACAGTTATCGAAAGTCCTTCCCCGGATTTAGGTCTCTTCGGTCCTTTCTTTCTTGGCGGTCCCACACATCCCTCTCTTCGTCTCTTTAAGCTATCGTGTCTTCCAAGAAGAATATCTGGATGATATGAACCAGACAGGCTGCTAGTTGGAATAGATGGACCGTCGATATGTGGCGAGGATGATGACGACGACGGTAAGGATGAAGATTTATCAGGGAGAAGAGGATGAGATAAGGGTTTGGAGGCATTCACTGAGACATCACGTCGATGATGTGGATAACGTGTATATCGAACATGATGTGCTCGTGTATTAAGGTGTGTTGCCGATACCGATATTGGAGATGTGACAAGTGTAGCCGAAGATGTCGACGGTACCGGATCTGGAGTAGGTGATATTGATGAAATAGATGTAGGAGGCGGCGGCGTTGACGGCATCAAAGGTGAAGGTGGCAATGAAAGTGAAGCGGTAATAGTGGTGGTATGTAGACCGGACAGTAGATGTAACGGCGGTAAGGGTTCCGCAATTTGAGCGTTTAGAACGTCGTCGCGGGATTCAGTACATGGTGAGGCGAGTCTATCGGAAAGTGGTGGTGGGATGGGTACTACTATTGGTGTAGATGGAGGCGTGGGTGTGACAGGTGGTGGTATTATGGGTGATGAGGAGGCGGTTGTGGAAGTAGAGGCGGACTGGATCGCTTTGAGGTGTACGAGGTGTTTCTGCAAGAGAAAAAAAAAGGATAACGCGTAATTAGACCACCAAGAAAACGACAAAGGTAGAGACGTATAAGACAGAAGTGCACATTTACCTCTAAGATCCCATGTACTCCGTCCCTAGTAAACGGTTTCGGCAAGACATCATTCATTCCAGACAAATAGTACGAGACGACTTCGTCTGGATGGTAGTTACTCGTGACGGATATGATCGGTGTGAGATGATCGAATTTGCGGATGAGCGATGTTGCTGAACGACCATCCAATTTCGGCATCATGATATCCTGCAAAAGGATACCACAAGAACAAGAAAATAGGTCAGCCCACCGACTCATATAAATACACATTTTGCTCAAAAGCCAATGAAGCATTTGGTTAATGCAATGATCGATAGCCACGTTTACGGAAGTCACAATATATTGACTCATAAAACGAAAAAGGCAGCCCAAAAAAAAAAGGAACCGAGAGGAGGGGGACTCACCATGAAAACGAGATCATACTTTTCCAAATTCATCTTAGCCACCGCAGCCGCACCATCGACAGCAATGTCGATCATACATCCAAACACCTGTAACAATTTCTTGCTCAACATTCGATATACCACATCGTCGTCAACCAGGAGAACACGAGGTGGGACAGCCCATGCTGGCGGGACGATCTTTGGATGACTGCCGGTGCCGGTGCTACTGGACGTTGTTGAGATGGAGGATGAGGTAGTTGAGGTAGATGTACACCTCGTGCGGGGTAATGGTTTCGAAGGTCTGCCAGCAGACTCGGAACCAGAACCAGGACCAGCCGGAGGAGGTGAATACCGGAAGTCTACATCAGCAAAAGCCGAGGGAATGGAGTTAGAAGTACACGGGGGAGATACGGGAGAGGATGATGTGGATGAGGACGGGGCCGAGGATATTGAGTCTTGAGTGGAATGAGAAGATCGTGAGGTTGAGGAGGATGCACGACAAAGTCCTGTCGTGGACGGCATGTCATGAAGCATGATTCGGTTCGTGATGCAGATTCGGTATCGACTTTACGATATCAAGTCGCGATGAGTAGATAGTATACTGTGTAGCGTGGAGACAAGGCTCCACAGGTACGCTCTCAGGACGGAATCTGCGTACGGGCACCTACAGGTTAATGAAGAGCTACGGAGATACAAGGCAAAAGAGTCAGGGTAAAGGAGAATAGAAGATAATTGAAAGGCGGAAGCACGCACCGAGAGAGGAAGGAGGTGGATAGGAAGGCATGGGACATGGACAGAGCACGGCCGCAGGTTAAGGTTTTGGAGGGGGGGCGTAGAGAGGGAGGCCGGTCTGGCCAGAGAGCGATGAGAGAGGCCATGGGACGGTCTATGCAGCGGGTCTCGACTGGCACTCGTAGATGCAATTCCAAAACGCTCATCGCGACGATCCAGAACGCGGTCCACAGTCGCGTGTGAACTTTAATTGCTTCTCACCTCACACCGTAATGTCCGCATATCAAACCATGTTTCCTGCTTGAAGAGTAGTGGGATCCCTATAATACACAGTCACTGTACAGTACACAAAACGGAAGAAGCAATACAGATTATTGGCATAAGATAGACTACCAACCAACCAGACAAGCGTGAAGGCAGAACATGTCCGATCTCGCATCCAAGGCAACAAACCCCAGAGCCAAAAATGAGGGAGGGAAAAAAAATGAAAACAGATAGCGAAAGCGAAAGACGAGCGCGCAAGCGTAAAAAACAACAGTGAATAAAATCACTGAGAAAGCGACGCCCCTGCTGCCATGTCTGCACCTTCCGGCTGCAGACATATCTGTATCAGATTCTGCAACAACCCATCCTGCCGCGCTTGATTCCTCTGGAAATCTACCATCTCGTTCAACACGTTCCGGTAGTTCGTCTCCAGATGCCGGATGTGCAAAGCCATCTCCTCTTGTGTGCGCGCCATACTCTCGATCGTCGCTTGCAGCGCTTCGACCGTAGATGTCGACGCAGACTGAGGCGTGGGCGAGTCGGAAACTCGATGTCCTGACGAGGACTTACGGGCTACTGGCCCTTTTCGTTTAATCTTCTCAAGTGACTCTTTGCGATTGGCTCGGAAGTGCGGATGACGGAAAGTCCAGCTCTGTAAGGGAAACCGGAAACCGTAAGCCAACCGCGCGACCTGGTACGAAGAGCGAGGGACGTACGTGTTCGCCGAAGGGATCGTCATCCGAGTTCTTGATCTAGAAAAAGAAGCGTATACACGCTCAACCGATGACGACGATGGGAGTAGCATGACGCAGACAAACCTTGTGAAAGTCATACTTGTTCAACTGTCGCACGAAGCTCGCAAAATTTGAGTGCTTGAACGTGCGAGGCAGGATCGTAAGCGAGAACTCGTTCATGTCCTTGACGACAAACGCATCTCCTCTCGGGGTCCATGAAACGACATTCGCATATGACGTGTCCTCTAGCATCCTAATCGAGTGTGGGTCCAGTAGGTGAGTATGCTTCTGGGGGATTAAAACCAGCATCGATACTTACTTATACAGCTTCTTCACAAACTCGCTGGTAGTCGACTGACTCTCCTCGTCCTCGTGATGGGAGGAAGAGTCATCGCGGTTCTGCTGGGAGTGATGGTTATGGGGAGAAACAGAGCGGCGTCGTTCTTCACGGTGAGAAGATGGCAAGGCAGAGGAACGTAAATCGACAGGTCGAGAGATCGAAGGAATCTCGTTGCAAGCACTTGCCGTAGATTGTGTTTGCCATGGGGACTGCAACAAAAGGGGTAGTTGAGAGTCGCTGAGGGTAGGCGAAGGGTAAGGATGAATCGGAGGAGGGTATCGAAAGACTGAAGAAGCAGAATTAGAAAGGTTTGAAGAGAGATTGGACAATGGATCTGAAGAGCTGCCAGTGGCTGAAGCCAGAGTACTCTGGAGGGAGGAGGCGTTGCGGAGGAGAGACGAGAGTGAGATGTTTTGAGCCATCGAGGCAGAGAGACCAGATTGTTCCATGATCGTGGTGTGCAGGTTTGTGGGTGTCTGGTAAGGATGAAAGCAGAGGCCTTATAGTAGGCCAGGAGGATTCTGGAGGGAATCGAACGGTAGCAAGCAGGGCGCGGGTTTCTGCTCTGGGTCTGTCTAGAGCAAGTCTAATACAAATTCCCAGCTCCCCCTAACCATCAACTACTCTGCCACGCACACACTCGCTTTCCGTTCCCACTTCCTGAGCCTCAGTTTCGGCCTGGCATGAGGAATAAAAAAATTCTGATTTCAATGCTCAAAACGCTTTCGAACGATATACAACATGCCCGTGGTCATGCAGGACGCCGCATGGAAGACGCCAGGGAGGGCATTGCCTGAGAAAGGAGGCATAGTACCATTTTGGGCATGTCGGCGCGGGCCCGTTCAATCGATCAAGCAGAGCACCTGGACCGCATCTGGGCCCTGCGAACAACCTCCGAATGGCCCCGCTTTCAATGCTCTCGTTCAGTTGCGTCTCTCGATTCATGTCCTAGAACTTCAAGTTCTTCGTCGTTTCCTCGTCTCTAGCTCAGAATGCCTCCGCCACAACAAAGATAAGACCATATGTGAGTCCCCGCTCAGTTGATGACGACGAAATGATCGAATGGATGATGTCCAGCATGAACTAATGCAGTCCCCGGGGGGGAGTCCTGGACTGTCGTCGGTGCTATTTGCATTGCACTCTTAGGTCCGCTTTCTGTCCCAGTGTATGAACGTGCGGCGATGAAGACCAATGCGTGAACAAAGGAGGACACTTGCTGTTCCTATTATTCCGTCGCACTTCCTTGTCTGACAGGTTTTACGCTTTGACATTTGCTGTACTGTTCGGCCAAGTATCACGAATATCATAATCACTGAATTGACGGTCTTAACGCTGAATGGTCGCTCCGACGAACGGACGTTTGTATGCGCTACAGCCGAGACTAAGAGCTCGGCCTACGAGACGATGAACAAGTCGAATATGTCATTTGTGTCATTCTTTGCGTCGTGTCTAAAGGAGGAAAGTCCCTAACTGGTAACTCCTACACCCCGAGCTCGTAGATCTTGCGCAAACGCCGTTCGATCGCTCATGTTACTCCTAATTTAAGCTTGTAGGTGCGGCATCGGTTCTCGGCTTGCCATTCACATCCTCCTTTCTCCATCTTAGGTATGGAATAGGGTACGCCCCAAACGACATCAGATTCACTTATATGCCTTGGCGTTTCCCGCGATTTCTCAACCCTCGGATGAAAGCTGACGGACGACCGTTGCTTTTGACTCCGTTCAAGAGTCTATCCGCTCTGTTTGCGCGGTTCCAGGTCGAAGAAGTTTCATTTGTCGAAGCGTTTGTCGAAGCGTTTTGGAAGATAGTATCGGTATCGGACTTGAACAACCTCAGGCCTCCAGGTACGAAGTCATCAGATCGAGGTATTGAATTGTTTGCGTAGGTGGATGTGTTCTAGCTTTTGGCAAGTTCTAGGTTCTAGGTTATTGCCAGTGCGTGCCTTTGATCCTTCTCATTCTCCACATCTTTTTTGCTTAGCGTGGCCAATTGGGCTTCTCGGTCCGTTATTTTGTATAGTTAGTTCGGACATGTTCACCTCTTCTTAGTCCTTATCACCGACGCAGTCTGCAACCTTTTTTCTATTCAGTTCTTCGCTTATCTCTCAGAAGACAGGTACATACAACGCCCACGGATCATCAAACCGACATTTTGAATTGTCCTCGTAGGTGAATACATTCTAGTGTTCTAGGTTATGCGTTCTAGGTTACTGGAGGTGCCTTGATCAAATCCCTCTCGTCCTTCACACTTTTTGACACAGCCGAACCAATTAGATTCCTCGGTCCGTTGTACATATTGCACAGTTCCAATCTTCATCACGCAACCATCCCTAAATCCTTCGTCTATCTGCCAGAAGACAGGCACGTACAGATCTACTCACGCTGTGCGGACCCCCGCACTGACGTATGTACTCACCTCTTTCTTAGACATGGATCGCGGTTGTATCTCAGTACCTCCCATATATGCATATGGGTACCCCGTTAGATCAACGGCTCCGCGGATTTCGTGCCCGTTGAGATTCTTCTTTTAGGGCAATGATCCTCAAATTCCGTCCTAACCCACTCATTCAATGAAAAAAAAAACACCCTTCACCCTTCGCTTCTAACTCAATACTGATCTCTTCGGCATGTGTTCTAGCTCCAACTATCGGATTTCGGACGTCATGCGTCATGTCCCAGTACGACGACTCGTGTGACTTTCGATCTCTTGCAATTGTGACAAACGTGCATCCCTCCGTTCTCCGCTCGTCTTGCGACGGCACCAATATCTCCATTTACACTTACACCTACGGTGGAGATACCACCTCGGTCGTTTTACAATACTTGAGTCTGTGTCCGAATCGGGTATCTAATTCAACATGTAACTTGAGAATATGTTCTACTCGTCCGTCACTGCGTAATTCCTTGCAATTGCAGTTGACAGTATCATCGAACACCCTCTGATGGTTTCGGTTTCGGCCTCGCTATCGGCTCTGGCTTCGATTGGATCGCCACCATCTTCACTCCACCAATTCTTGTGTCAGGTCTCCCATAATCTCCGAATCCTATCGCCGAGTCATATGCCATTTCCGAATCATCCACCGCACAATACATCCCAAATGCCTCGGCGATTTCTTGTTCGGCATTGGAGGTGTCAATTGACTGTTCTATATCAGGTTCTTCAGGCTGTTTGGTAGAAGATTCTTTGACCTTTCGGAGGTCCTCATCTTCAATGGATTCTGTTCAACGTTATGGGATCCTTTAAGAGACTATCCGCCTGTCCGGGCACGACCAAGATTACATACCTTCTTGAGACTCTGTTGAGCTTTCAGAGTCGTCCTCTCGTTCGCCTGGATGTATCCCCTCCTCGTAAGGTTCAATTTTCATCGACTTTAATGTAACTGTACGTGCTATGCCCGAGTTTAACTCGTTTCTTCTTTCGTATGTCTGCTTTGGACTGTAAGCTCGATGCGCTATGTACAGCATCAACGTATTAGCCTGGGACCATGATATGCTATTCACGGGGGGAGTATAAACTTTTCATACCTCGCTTTTATCTTGTCATCCCCGTTAACAGGATGTTTGTTGTTCGTATCCATTTAAGATACGTAGTCAAGTAGCTATCAAGCAAATTGAAGTGAGTATCTATTATACACTGGAGTTTGTGGATGCAGTCCGGTGCAAGTACTGCCTCTCGACATGTACTTGAGTATAGCGTCGTTCCCACATTAGTGAACATAGCCTCATCGTGTGCCCCGTCCTAATTACTCTCCCATGGTACACGCCATGCACGGAATGGCGAACCTCGAGTTCTTGAATTCATTATATGTCTATTCGAGATGCACAACAGCTTCCGATGTCGTATAGTTTATGGAGTACTGATAGAGTAGACCTGTCTTATTAGAGGGCCTTTCATTACGAAGCATACATATCTCCAGGCAAACCCGCAGTGCACTTCGTCTCTGTCCTGCCGTTACTGATTGCAACGACTAGATGAACAGCATCTTTTACAGCCATTTGCCGAACGATAGGCCGCCTTTTGGAGATACTCAGCATACGAATTTCACTCGCCAAAGGCTGATTGCACACTTATCCAAGCCGGTGAGAAACATTCTCTGGAACGTTCGTGGAGTGGGAGTGCTTTCGCCGTCTCAGCCGCCTTGAAACCACCTTCAGCCGAGAGCGGACCTGAAAAGCCTCTACGCTGTAGTTTTTGTTTAAGTGGCCTATCGTTCCGCAAATAGGTGTGACGTAGTGTGAGGTCCATAGTGGAATGTGGTGGCGGAGCTTTGCAATAACGAGGCCTGCGTTCATCGAAGTTGAGAGGAAGCTGGGATCAAGCGCGCTAGCAGCCCTCGGTTTCTAGAACACTTTGTCCCATGAATCGAACAGCAAACAAAAGTTTTCGTGGTAGAAATGAACCGATTCCCGCTGATGGGTGGAGAGTGAATACACCTGTTAACACGCTCTTGGACAATCCTGCACCTAAGGTGGAATTTCCAGTTTGACTGAAAACAGCAGGACTCGCGTTGCTTGCATCTGCTCGACCTCTCTTTACTTGATACAATTGCTTGGCAGAAGCCTGATTGCATCATAGTTAGAGTCGACGTGCACGAGAACGACAACAAAGAGGTACGATATACTTCGTGCAGTGGCACAAAGAGCTCGGCATCCTCCGGACTTGAGGCAAGAGTAGAGTGTTTCGCTAGTCTGAGGTCTTCTCGACGTCTGTTACAACAGTCTGCTGCTCTTTCCCAAGGAGAACATACCTGCTATACCACCATTCACTTGTATCCAACCATATACCACATTTGGAATCATCATGAACGCATATAATCAGTCCCAGAACGTCTCTCCTGTTGTGAACGCGGACAAAAGCGTCGTTCAAGCAGGTAGCCAAATGTACTACCCAGTCGCTAAGAGTCAATTCGTGAGTTGCATTTACCGTTAAGCAACCGATCATGACTTACTAGTGATATAGGATGACGCTGAACGCGCCGTGGTATCCCCTGGCGATGCTACGGTCGGATATGGCAGTACAAAAGTGGTAAGCTCACCTTTCGTGTATTCGGCTCCTGCACCCTCATTCTTGCCGGTTCCAAGCCTATATACCCCATCCCCGTTGTATCACTATTCCTCGACCATCAACAAGAGCTGTCCGACGATGAGTATCCCAGCCCGCCACCCGCCTACCCTGAAATACTAGAAGTGGGGTATATGGAGGGAAAGGGCTCTCTAGAGACCATCTCCGACGAAAAGCAAGTGGTCGACATCCGAAAGCTATCACATCAACCTCCCGTCGGTACAAACCGACTCTCATTATCCAACGGTGGGACCCCCTCATCTTGTCCTTGTCCCCGTTCTCTTGCTCATGTCAACTTTTAGTGCAGAGCAGCTTGCCGGAAAGTATCGACTCATTGTCGATAACCGACAAGAATAGTATCTCCGCCCATGTTGGCAACACCACAACCCAGCCAGCATTCGGTACGGGTCAACGAGAATACCCACCCAAGGTCAACTCCCATATTGCTCCCCTTATCGATTCAACCACTTCCACCGTTGCTGGACCACAGGCGAGCCAACTGACACCAGCGATAGAGCCTCCTCGGAACCATGGGGTGCAAGTGCCTACAGCTGCGGACCAGCAACGGGACTTGGGATGGCGGGTAGCTGAAAGAAACTCGAATGAAGAACGTCAAAGGAGCATTGACAACACAACGGACATCCGAACGGACATCCCTCTTGGTCTGTCGCGCCATACGCCCATCGTCGTCTTAGATTCCCCGCCACCTACCCCGACCACACCATCGAGGAGGCGCTGGATTCCACTCCCTTCAGTGTCTCCCTCGTTTGATATCCCCACCGTACTCACTCCCCAGGACACTGTCAACGGTCCTGTCGAAGGACTTGGACTGACGCTGTTTTAAATATCGTGAGGGAGCAGTGGCGCAATCGAGGAGCGGAGGGACATCTTTTTATACCTAACCTGATGGCAAAGACCATCAGCGATTATTTCATTTAACTTTGTATGTGGAACGTAACCTAAACACGCTATTGTATTCTCTTTGTTCCCTGTGTTATCTCGCACGGACCGCCTTCCTTATTATCACATCCGATGCCTTTATGCACAGATTGTGATTCTAGCGGCTACTTACTTGTACACGACGTGCTTCCGGAAGTCTTCGTCCACACGATGTATCCACGTCTTCATCACTCGAAATCATGCGAAGTGAATATTATTCCAGTTTTGGAAGCGGCAAACGTGTTGCCAAAGAGGATGTGGTCGCCAATATGCTTGGCTAGAACCTGTACAACGCTTCAGTGCAGGTACTCACTACATGCTGTCATAAAACCAGAGATGAGAGCTCTGAAGACATGGTTGCGGAAGGAGAGTCACTCCTCACTTGTCTGCGCCGCGCTCCGGCCTCCATAATTAGACGCCAGCTCTTCGTTGCTTATCCAGATTCGGAAGGTATGATAGAATAGAGGCTGAAAGTTGAACGCCCTTTGCCTCCAGGCTTGTAGAGCCACTCTTGTTCGTCAATTCAACGGTCTTCCAACAGTACTCTCGGGCTCTCGGTCGAAGGATGTGTTCTATGGGCGATGTTGCCTGCGGCATTGGCACGCATACCCTCTTGCACTTTTGGTTTCCGCCCGGCCTTGCGACGGTATCAATAGTATATATGACCGAAACCCTTAGTTGCTTCATGCTATCGAAATTCTTTACCCGTGAGGTATTCCAATTATACTACTGGGGGACGTGATAGTCATCACCCTCAAGGTGGCGTGAGTGGGTTCGGCTTTGGTTTTGGTTGGACAGCTGTCATCTTCACCCCACCAATTCTTGTATCAGGCCTCCCTTGATTTTCTTCAGGCTCTTTTTTCGCAGAGGATTCTAGGGCTGCCATATTGGTGAATGTCATGGACATGTTGTCTTCCTCAGGATGACGAAGACTCTTCTCTTGCGACGGCGAAGGTAGCACAAGTGAAGATGATAATCTTCCGCCGGGTTCCAGCATCAAGTCTTCTGACACCCACCGGACATCCGTAAGTATCGTTTTGGTCAAGAATATGAATAATATACGTGCCATGTTTAACCCAGGTTTGGTCCACGACGCCAGTTTGTCCATCTGTCTCAGCTGGTTTGTTTTCATCTTCATTTACCTGGTCTGGACGCACTGGATCAACCAGCTCAGAAAGGTATAGAGGACGAGCTTACCTGCTCTCTGGCCTTCCTCGCAATGTGTACGATCGTTCTTCTCATATAGATGTGAAGATACGCTGTCGCTAATGGATTTACTAGATTTGACACATATCATAAACGTTGCTCAATGCTAAGGAATAGACAACTGTAAGGTTTTCGTACCTCGAATTCACGCTTGTACCTTTGAAAATGTGTTTGTCCGAGTCGTCCTCCATGTTGCGCGATATGAGATACGCTGTCCTTTGGGATGCAGGGGGCCCTGTATATGCAGGAGAGCTTCTAGCAGTACGGGTTGCCGTTGCGCATGACATCTGACGTTGCCAAACACCGCCTCACGTCCAAGCGTGGATGGCCCTGCCGGTAAACAGGGACATAGCCCTTTGAACCGAATTTGGTGAATCTGCTACTTACCAATAATTAATACAAGATTTCCGCGTTGAATGATCACGCCGCTTTACACAGAGAATACCTGTTATATGTTTATGTTTTGAGAGTCCATAAGCAACAGCTGTGCACAGACTATGTACTGACATTGTCCATCCTCGCCTTCGAATCTCCTTCCGTGGACATGGACATGGTCTTTTGACGTAACGTGGTGACTTAGCTACTTACGGTGATCGGTGCAAAGTCACCGGGGGTATGAGTGTATCTTAACTAACCTAATGGGCAGTAAATTGACGACTGTAACGGAGGAATTGCGGCCGTTTCAAATCTTTCATTACAGGAAAGATGTTTGGCCCTGGCATATCCGGCACAGACTCTGAAAAGATGCATTGAGCTGGCTGCACTCCCATCATCCTTGCGCTAACTGCAAACCATGCCTATGTATTTTGAAAACCGACATCATGTTTCCATAAGCCGCGTTACGACCTGTACATCTCGCGTCTTCATGATTAATTGGCCCTTTTGATCAGCGTATTGCCCTGGGTAAAGTTTCTCACGCACAAAGTGAACCATGCTTATGCAACGGTATGGCCAAAGTAGTGGGCTATATCGGTATATGCGTAGCGACCTATTGGTTCGAGTAGGACTCGATGACTCCCATAGATACCGATAGGTTTGCCATGCTTTGCAAGCTGAATGTGGTATCTGGATGCATGGTCGTCTTCTTCATCCTCGAGCTGCACGATATATCGCCGAATGGCAATGGCGAGATCCTTGCAAGAAACCATGTCAAGAATAGTACACGAGGAGAGAAGCCATGAGAACATACGGATGTTGAGCAAAAGGATCATGACGACGACAACAACCGAGACAATTTTCTGCCGCAACTTCAACGACACAGTACACGATTAGGCGGTATCATCGAATATTAGAGTTGAGCATACAATCTGGAAAGTATGCAAAGAGAAAATAAAGTAGAAGAAGAAACCGGCCGCGGAAAGGGAGACAAGGAGACTGATCAATGTGAGGCGTGAGCCAGCTTTGATCTAGCGACATTCACGATGAACCTACACTGTGAAATTTAGCATCAGATATGTATAAGAACGTACAAAAAAGAAGACAACCCCAAAAGAAAATCGATACGACAGCCGTAAAGGTGAAAACGACCCCGGATGAGAATGACTTTTACTGGTGCGATGTCGTTGTTCTTGAGGTCATTAAGGTCGTCACCGCCTGACATTAGTACTGGGTGGTTATAACGTTAGCTGTACAGTGGTGGATAATCGTGTAGTTGGAAGGAACCACGAAGGGAGTACCAAGTAAATCCCATAATTCCCGCACTGAGGAATAACGACAGCAAAGAGGATGCGGAGACTCCAACGCGGACGGGAGCGCAGCAGAAGAAGTGCCTCGACATTTTTAATACCGTATGTAGATGATGAGATTACGCAGTGTGATTTATGGATTCTGGGTGTAGGACACGCTGGTGAAGCGATGGCTAGCACCACGAATCTGAGCATGACGACCGACCGGCGGGAGGCAAATGCAAGATACGTCTAAGCAAACGCACTTACAAGCATTCAGCTCGAACAGGACGAAGAGAGAAACCACCTCGGAGAGCTCGGTGACATGCTACGCATGACAGGAGTTAGGAAATAGATCCAGTTTCCTTCGAGCTCACAACACGAGTGTCGATGTCGACTGATTGGAGAGAGTCGACGCGGGCGAAGCTCAAATGCAGTCTGAAATGGAGGCCGGCAAAGCAATAGTTCACAGCGAATTATGATGAGAGATGGATGAGAAGATACTTGCGAACGACATGGTGGACGTGATGGTTGAAGGTAAAGTTGTGTGAACAACCACACTTTCTTGATTGGGCTCATGTGATGGGCCCGATCCGTTCTCCGAGAGACTTTGATCTGAATACCGTTGTCCCGTAAAGCCCCAACATCACCTGGACCAATCTCTTCCCAGCCAGATGTAAGGACGGCCCATATATTTTCTCTCTCTTCGACCACGAAACGACAGTGCCCAGGAGCCATGTCTACTACGCTCATTGAAATCGAAACTGTAACGCTCTCAGATCGTTTAGAAAAGCCCGCTACTACGCCGACACTACGGAGGCACAGGGCAGGCACGAAGGGCAAGATTCAAACGGAGGAGCTGCTGGCTGCACAGGTTCGTACTTAGGAAGACTGCGATGAAATTTGTGCTGAATTTCACATCCCCTAGCTAAGTCCTCTTGCATCGCTTCATCACGCGAGCTACTACAGCCGTACGAGATTTGGGCCTGCTGGTAATTCTCATAAATTTGTCGGTTGCACAAAGACCGTTGAAAAAACTGTGACTTTCTTTCCAGGATGTTCAGCGACATATGTTCCTCTATCAATTCACATGCCCGACCATGTTAAGGAGCTGCAGGCGCAACAAGCTATTCAGGCGGCCCAGCAAGCATGGTGGCATTGCCGATGCTCTCAGACCACTTCAGATGGTTCAAAAAGGACTATATGCTCCTCCCGTGGAAATCCTCTTCTGAGCCCCTCTACGTCTTGTGTTAATATCCAAGATGAGTTGCTTGAGGCGATCGCGTCCCCTCTCTCTTTGGACCCTGTTGAGGGCCCTATTTCGGCACCCCCAAGTCCAAGCATGTCGAAGATATGGAAGACCTCCGACAGCCATCCTATCAAGTGGGTCCATTCAGCGACACTTACTTTGACTATGGGACTAAATCATTATAGCCTTTCCGTGATGATACCACCGGAGCTTCTTCAAGTGATATCCGCACATCTGATCCAGAACGAGAACACGCTTCCAATCATGTTCGACCTGTCTCCTTCTAAACACCTTCATCTCCTACTCGACCGACCTCGCGACAGCTTGAACCAGAGAGACATTCCTAGCGCTCATGTGCGCTCGATCACCCTGGCTTCATCTCGTAGCTCAAATACATCTCGGTCTTCGGACCTAGTGAGTGTACTGTGGAAACAAACATTCGCCCGAAAGAAGTCGAAATCTGAACTCTCTTTAAACACCGTACCAAAACAAGCCAAAGTGCGTTCAGATCCGGTTCTTGGCACAGCCAGACGTCCCAGCTTCGACATCAGACCTATCCGAAGACGGTATGCTCCTCATATGACTCACAATTGCAAATGTGATATTAACTTTTAGACTTTGCCGCAGCTCGTCACAGTCAAAGCACGATACCAATACTGCGGTGGCGAGGAAGACGCCTGAATCGATCGTGATCGGGAACCTCTTTCTATCTTCTTGTCCCGGTAAGAAAGGTAGGGTACTTCTCCGTGTCAGTTGTGAAATACTTTGAATGACAATTCTGCAGTACGTCTGGATGGGCCGGTGAATGGTCGTAGTGCGGTTCGTCGAGATTTAGCTCAGGATCTCATGAGGATGCGAGGCGCTGGCGTTCGCTGTGTCGTTTGGTACGTTTTCCATCAGCTTGTCAGTGACAAACTAGCTTAGCAAGCTTGTGTTCGTTCGCAGTTGTTTGGATGATGCCGAGCTTGAATTCCTCGGAGCTCCTTGGCCAGAGTATTGCCGGATTGCAAATGAGATTGGGCTGGATATCCTACGGTTAGTGCAAATTCCTCTATTTCATCACATCAGCAGACACTCATATTTTGGTTTTGCGTTAGACTACCCGTTCCGGAGGGTCTCGCACCGCTCGATCCCTCAACTTTCGATGCCCATCTAACCCGTCTAATTACTACCTACACTCTCAATGGACATCACACTCTAGTCCATTGTCGCGGAGGCGTTGGCCGTGCGGGATTAATCGCCTGTTGCTGGATACTCAAATTAGGGCTCTGCGGCTGGGTCGACACAGATCCATGCAGTAATGCATATGTCGACGAGCCGGAATTAGGGCTCAGGAGGGATACTTTATTGTTGGTGGAAAGAGCATTGTCGGTGGTAAGGCGACGACGAAGTCCGAAAGCTGTCGAGACGTACGAGCAGGTTAAGTTTATGGTGGACTATGTTGAATTTCTGAGGAAGGGAGGGAATGGGGGTGGAAGTGCGAGCATAAATGGGGGTTCCTTGGACGGCGAGCTGGACGTTAAGCTTGGTGCTTCAATGCTGGAGAATTCAAGGCCGGCATGGAATCTGAAGGTGGAATAAAGGCGTCTATGCAGGACACATCGCTATCGACATTTATATCTTTTTCTTGGTTATTTCTTTTCTTCTCTGGAGATCAATGGGGACTAACCTTATTGTCAGTTATTGACACTGTACATAGGTTTTAAAAAGCTCAAGGGGTAAAGCGATCTAACAATGACACTCATTACAATACTTGAACCAAATTAAGAGAGCATGAATAACGTGTATAATTGAAAGCGAGAGCTTTGTAACCGATACGGCACAGGACAATACAGAGAGGCTACACTACGTGATGACAATGGAACGAGTCGAGGATACAAGACGAGAGATGGGAGGAGACATGGAGTGAATACAGTGGTACGCTTGGCTACGTACTTGATAATTAGGTAGGTACAGGTCCGACACATTGGATGAAGAAGGGGAACGGCCAAGTCCGATGATGTATGTAATCACTTGAGCACAACTGCGACCGATGTCGGAATGACGTCCGCAGTATCCAAAAGCACAGTGCGTCATGCGCGACTTTTGGATCATTCTCCAGCAATTGGAGATAATAAGAGGATGTCTCGGGACGTCCAAAATGCGATCAAGAGGATTAGGGTATGATGATCGCGCAGGGGTATACGGCGAATGGAGGTGAAGGTGACAAAGAACATGTCGGGATGGTGCTTAGTAGCGTCTCCGATTATAGAGAGCTGTCAGGGTCAACCTCGCAGCTTCTTCAATAGCATCTTGTTGTCTGTAGTGGGAAGCTCGAGCGTATTCGACACCACCAACTATGAGCAAGTGGTCAGAAGGGTGGCAAAGAAGAGATGTTGAGCTCGCTCACAGTAAGCAATTGCAGTCCATAGTGGACGATGAGAAGGACCGTCGGGGTTGACAGCCATCTGCAAGTGGTGAGCACATCCAATGGTCTGCAAGTAGTTGTTTAATTGCATGCGCCATTCTACAACCGGTAAATTAGTATGTAATTAACATAAGCGATCCTGGAATGGAATTGACTCACCAGAAGACATGTTTGGAAGGACGTTAGAGAGGAAAGAGGACTGTGTGCTTGAGTACAATTGCTTTGCTCGACTGGAATGGTAGGGAGGTGGTCCAGTCATAGTGAGTATATATACTTCTTGCCTAAGAGTTCTGAGGTATAGGGAGAGGTGGTATGACTCGACAAGAAGCACCCGCATAACTAGGTGAGAGCGTAAGTTTGACGGGTCCGATATTGAAAACCAACCTCAAGTCGAGACTCGAGGACCCAAATGCGATGCGACACCTGCGCTGTTCTTAGGACGTCCACGTAAAACACCACTGGCGTTCGTGAAGACGGAGAAAAGACAACTGCGCATATGCACAGTGATATCTTCCGACGGGAAAGCGTCAGTGAAATCATGGTATATCATCTTGATTGTGTATATCTTTTCGCCACTTGCGCCTCGAGGGACAAGGACGGCATTGGCAGGAGCCAAATCTGGCGTGGCATGCCTCCAGATGGATAAACAGGGCGCTCTAGTATGAGGGTCTCCCTCGGTGAACAGGACTGGGTACGCGCCGATGTGCGGAATTTGCGCTCGGTGCTCAACTTTGTGAGTCAGGGTCCCAGATATCGAGCACGGTCCCAAGGACCTCCTTCGTCGGATCCTAGGAAGGAGTCAAATGGTGACCAGACGCTTTCCTTTGCGTCGTGTCGTAATGGACACCTACTGCTTTGACTCAACTCCGTACGCGGCGGGTCCAAGGACAGTTGCTTGAATAGGAATGCACGCGCTTCTGTCAAGAACGTTTCACACAGCCCGTGCACTGGACCAGACGTTTGTGGCATTCAGAGAACCATCAGATAGCATACTATGACCTCCAACTGAGATAGAAATGTATTTTAACCATGCCTCGAAGTTGAATTTGGTCAAGAAAAGGGAGGCGCACGCTTGGAAGGCGCGCGGATGTATCGGTGCACCTACGCAAGCAGCAAGGCCATCAGCCAAAGAACACGGGAGAAGATGGGGCAGTAGCCTCGAGGTATGGTATTGGAGTGTCTGTACAGCTATATCAACCACCTACTTCTTTCCAGGGAGTCCATGCATTCTTGTCAGAGACATAGCCTTGGAGTTGATCCCGAAGGCTTCGGATTGTGTGGTAACATTTGGATAAAGCAATCCAAGGGAGTTTGATTTCCAAATTCCCTGTACAGTTCAAGAAGTTTCCAGATAGTTTGTGTACCTTGGTACGTCAGACATACCAGCCCAAAGCACTGGGTCACAGTTAAAGCTACACGTCAAGCCAGTGGAGGTCTACCTTAAAGGGCGGGGATCAATGAGATGCCGAGGAAAGGAGATTAGATAACCACGTGGATCGTTTAATGACACGCTTCAACGATTCAATAATTGGCCCAGCCACCGGAACCGTTCTCACCTCCCGTGCAACTTAATTTTGCATGCCAATCTCGTAGCAACCGCACTGCAGAATACGCCACCAGAATTGTCATTTTCAACCATGGATCCTCTTACAACATCTGTATCTGGCTCTCGATATCCCGTCTGCGTTCCTGTGAAACCAAATCCACCTTCTCCACCTCCGAAGCCAAAATTACAACGCACGTCTCCCCTACCAGTGCGCGACGTCAGACCTGTCTCTGCGATCCGCAGAAAACCAGTCGTAACGTTCAAATCCCCGTCATCACACGATTCCACTGAGGGACCTGTTATATCTGGTTTGTACTCCGAATCTCTGAATGGACCTTTCAATTCTCAACAGCTCTTATAGCACGTATCTCCCAACAAAGTTCATCGAAACCAACTCCTTCGTCATCCATTTACTCGACCAGCTCGGTAACCGAGTCCGTTAGTCACTCTGTTAGTGCTTCACGCCGAAGACCAATCGCCCTCCCACTTTATCACCCTAAGGGCCTGCTCGCGCTGTCCCTACCACAGCTCGATCCAGGCCTCTTTGGTCTACCTAGCCCAGTCTCTGTTGATGATCAAGAAGTTCAAGAAGATGAGGTTGCTCGTCGTCCTACATCTCGTGCCAGACGCCCTGCAGCCAAGGTCCGCGATCGAGAGCGCGACGAAGCCGAGGACAATGGTACAAATGGGACAGATGCTTTGAATGGACAAACCAAACAGACTAGTCCTCGGAAACGGCGTGCAGGTGCTGGAGGTGGCGCCGGGAAGAGGAGAAGAAAGGACGCAGAGGAAGCGGATGGTACCTACCCCCAACCTGCTCGGAGGACGAGGAACGCACGTAACGCAAATACCTTACCTGCGTCTCCACTAGCTGGCGTAGCGGTCGCTGCTACCGATACTCCTGACAATGCCGATACGCCGAAGGGTGCAGATGTCGAAGATACGGAGACACCTCAAGCTGAAGTGACCAAACCTAATAAACGTGTAACTAGGCCACGTCCGACAACCACGAAGCGCAGGGGATCTAGCGCGAGCGATAGCACTACGACCTCGGTGTCGGTATCCATTGCTACAAATTCCAGGAACAAGAGCTCTGTGCCTGAGAAGGCGGCTGAAGAGCCCATACGAGAAGTGGAAATGGAGCAGGAAGATAAAGAAGAGAAGGTGGACGAGAAAACGGAAGCCCCATCTGTGGGGGTAGATCAGGAGTACAAAGAGAAGCCTGAGGAATCTGCTTCAGATACCACCAAGGTCGCGGAGACTTCAAACCCTATGCAAGTCGACGAACCCGTGGAGACCTCTGTCCCAGGGATACCTGCGCCTGTGGAGAACGTGCTTATTGCCCCTCCACCGGAAACTGTCACTGCCGTTGCTGAATTGGTGAAAGCGATTAATGGCACAGCTGCCGAGGATGACAAGGAAGAAGGAGAGCTAAGTGAAAGTGCCGACGGGGAGTCGGTGAAGAAGAGTTAGTATGTCTCAAACTTCTAGCCTCCTTCCTATGCGTGTCTATCTTTCCCCTTCACTCTGTTATTGGTATATCTGTCTACGTCTAAGTCTATTCTGTAGCCTTTACTCCTCGTTGTCTGTGTTATGCTTCCGCTTGGTCATGGCTCGAGCTTTGAATACCCTGTATCATAGAATTTTGTACCTCCTTCTCTCCACTCCTGTACCGTGTCGAACGTGGTTATCTATCTATTCTATTCGTTGTTCCCTTTCTTACCCTCAACGTATGTGCTTTCGTCGTGTTTGATGTCAACGCGTCGCGGTTGTAAATGAAACGCGGTGTGACCAACCATCTGCATAATGTCACTGCACGTGTCATCGTGACACAGTCAGTAAATGTGACAATATTGATCGCTTGGAGATCTTCGAAAACATATCAAGAAACATATCCCCTTCTTTACTCTTTTGGTTGATGAATTGCTCGCTTTGTCATGTCCGCCTTTGTTAAGAATAAACTCAAGGCGGCGAGGGACGCCATTGGCAAGAAGGACTATATCACAGCTCGTGATGCTGCTCTCAATGTCTTGGAGTATGAGTCCGAGAACTATAATGCGTATGTCTGTTCTGCCTGGGAAGCGTACACTTTGACCTGAAGTCAACTCTTAGGAATGTCTTCTTAGGTGTTGCATACCTTGAACTTGGCGAGATAGATAACAGCGAGCAAGTAACTCCGATAAACCCTGCACCTCTCCTTTGCGGGATCGTCCTAATATCCTGCTTCTTTAGGCGTATCGTAACGCTATAGGATCGAATCCTGACCAAATATTGGCATGGCAGGTCGGTATATGCGCCTGATCTCGGAGTATTCTCTTATGATGTCTTTAGGGCCTAACAAAACTGTACGAGAAATCCGAGAAATGGGACAAATATGCGGACACTCTGCAACGTCTGACTGATTTGTTTGCGAAGACGTGCGTGAGCATACCCTTTTTTTTACGGGAAGCCGACCTGAAATTCGTATGTGCTTAGGAACGATGCAGTAAAATGTGCCGAAACACTTCAGAAGTTCATTGAGTTGCGCCGGTCTCAAGGCTCACCAAAACAAGTACGAAATGCACTCCAGGTCGTCCACCGTAGAACCATTTTCTCACATCATAGACCCAACAGTTGGCGGATGCGCTTTGCCTTTTACTACCTGACTCCAAGTTCTACTCTGTCCTCTCTACACTTCCCCCACCTGATCCGAGCAACCCCACTGCAAGCACGGTTTTCTTCACGCAAAGTGCGTTTCAGAACTCGTTGCCTGTCCTGGAAGAGATCGTTGCCATCATCGAGAAGGACGAAGAAGACACTATCAAAAATGAAATAGCGAGACGAAGGACGAGGCTGGGCGCATCGGGACCGGAACAGCTGAAGAGGGAGGTGGGAAGAGAAGTTTGGGGCTCCTCGAAGGTGCGTATGAAATTGCCATTACGACTAAAAGGTGACTATATGCTATTCCCATACAGCTACCCACATTGTACAACGAGATCATGAACCATCCTCACACTTCTGATGACCTTCGACGCGCTACAGAGTCCAAACTCTTACACCTCAAACAACAATTGCTCTATGCGCTTCCAACAACCGGTAAATTGGCTACCCAGAAGGCACGTCTAAGGGAGGAAGTAAATGAACTGGTGAACGGCATGGTGCTAATTGGAATTCCGAATGAACTTGCATGGAATATTTATATCGAAGGCAGAGATGCAGAGACGATAGGTACGCAACCGTTCTAAACCTCTGTAAGGGTCCGGATTAAGATTTCCTTATCTTCAGAGGAATATGATATTGGCATCCTGCGCAAGTATATGAAGTTTTTTCCTACGCTGCCTCTGAGCAAACTGCTATATGGATACTTTGGCTACTGGGACATTCCGCTCTCCGAGGAAGATGATCCCAATGGGGACAAGAATCAGGAGAATGAAGAGGAGGATTACATGGGTGTTATCCTCGTCAGTAATCTATTTTCTTGTTTGTGCCTGCTTTTGTTGAAGTTTACCTCTTATCTAGGATGCGTTCGACGACCTCTCCCATTCTATCCTCGCTCACCGGATCGTGGCTGAGGTATATGAGAACACAGTAGACCTTGAGAATGCTATCAAGGTAGCCGAGAGCGGCCTTGAGCTTGTCCTGAGACACGAGAAAGACGTTGGTTCCGGACTTCCACAGTAAGCATTGCTCTATTTTCTCATCTCAAAACTGTAACGTAGTAACCTTGTTTATAGTGTCGCCAGGGCTTTCAACGTCATCTTGGGGACGTCGCTCGTCAATCTCTACCCACCGAAGTATCATACTCGCGCCCTTAGGATAATCGACGAAGTTTTAATCCAGGATTCCGATAATATTCCTTGCCTTATGGGTCGTGCATACGTGCTGCAGTTCGCTGGGAAATGGGATGAGGCAGCGTCGCTGTTCGCGAAGGTCGTGGAGCTTGAGCCTGAAGATCTCCATGACGGGTTGCGAGCAAAGGAAGAATTCGCATGGTGCAAATCGCAAGCTGGTGACCCTGACGGTGGCGCAAAGGCTCTTAAGGAAGTTCTGGATACCTTGGATACGCTAGAAGGCAGAGAAACGGACCAGGCAAGATGTTGGTGGAGGCTTGGTAAATGCTATTGGGATATGGGTGGTCCGTTTGGTTTCCTATTCTTTCATTGGCTCCGTCACTTACATCGTATCTTAGAACGGACGCGTGAAGAGGCTTATCAACACTTTATCACTGCTCTGAAGCGTTGCCCTACGTTCGCCCCAGCATTCACTTCTCTCGGCATATACTACGCCGAGGTCGCCTCTCCACCAGACCCGAAACGTGCTGCAAAATGTTTCCAAAAAGCGTTTGAGCTCGATCCAAGAGAAGGGGAAGCTGCGCGACGTCTGGCTGAAGGATTCGCCGAGGATCGAGAATGGGATCTAGTGGAGGTCGTCGCCCGGCGGACAATTGATGGTGAAGGTGGCTTGGAAGGCGGAGTGGAAGCTGGCCCTCCGGCACGATATCTGCCCTTAAACGCCTGGGCATGGAAGGCTATCGGCGTGGTCGATCTGGTAAAGCACTTCTTACATTCCCGTTTATTATCAGCGTTGATGCTGACGTTCGATCGCATTAGAATCGTCAGCAATATTCGACTGCTATTCAGGCGTTCCAAATAGCCCTGCGAACGGACGTCGATGACCAGCTTTCTTGGCTCCGTCTCGGAGAAGCGTACAGCAAAGCGGGACGTTATGCCGCCGCCGTCAAAGCATTAAATAGAGCACAAGAGCTTAACCCGGATGACTGGATTGCTGCGTATTTCACCGGCGAAGTCCAACGTCAGATGGGGCATTATCAGGAGGCTATCAATGCGTTTGAAGAGATTCTCAAAAAGCATCCGTCAGAGTTGGGAGTCCTGATGTCACTGGCTCAGACCCACCTTGAGCTTGGTCGAAGCGAATATGCCTCTGCGTTTACTGCTAGAGCCGAAGCGTCATATTTATCAAGTATTCAGGTCGTGCTGCGGCTGATAGAAGCAAGCCCAGGATTCCGTCGCCTTGCTTGGAAATTGGCTGCCGATTCGCTCTATTCTTTGTCACAGATGCTCAGCTTCTCTCACGATGAGGCTGTCGTGGATACTGTGGGTCGCGTTGGCGGCATCCTGGCTGGGCATTATCAAAATCGCCTGGAAGGAATCATCGACCTTCCGCCCATTCTTGATACAGAGTCGCATCCAAAGTTATCTCTAGCTATCCTCGAGGTTGCCGTTGCTTCGTATGATTATCGTATCACACTTGGATCAGTGGACGACGCCGCAAGTGCAAGTACACATTTCGATCTTGCTACTGCATTTTCTTTGTTTGCTCGCAGAATATCTCCTGGACCTAAGCAAGACCGTGTAAGAGAGGAAGCAATCACGTCATACAAAGAGGCTCTCTCCTTGGATCCTTCCAGTGATGACTACTGGCATGCACTCGCGAACGCTCTTTTCGTGAGCCAACCTAGAACAGCTCAGCATGCATACGTTAGAGCGCTAGAGATTGATTCCAAGGTCGGTATTTGTACCAAGTATTCCTCTGTCCTATTAACCATAGCCGACTTGACAGAAAGCAACCAGTTGGACTAATTTGGGTTTATTCTACCTCTACCATGAAGATCCACAACTTGCGAATGAAGCATTCTACAAGGCTCAAATTCTGGATCCGGACTTCGCACTGGCTTGGGTAGGGCAAGGTCTTGTTGCAACTGCTAATGGACATGACCGAGAAGCAATAGCACTATTCGAGCATGCCACAAGTCTGATATCCCCTGTAGTAAGTCTGAACACCATCACATCTGATATCGTATATCTGACCTCGTCTAGCCTGAAGCGGATGTGGAATTTGCGAAACGCCTCTTCAACAAACTTGGATCTTCAGGTTCACGTAACTCACCAGATGCGATGCATCCTGCCTTCTTCGTGCTCGACCGTTATTGCAAACAGCATCCACAAGACTCCAATGCGATGCATCTCTTTGGTCTTGTCTGCGAATCCATAGGACACACTGAACTTGGGGCAGACTTGATACAAAGAGCAATAACGATTCTAGAGGCAGCATATGAAGAGTCTGAAGATCCTGCTATTGAACGACAATTCACAATAGCTCATACTAATATCGGTCGACTACGCCTCGCGCTGGAGGAACATGACGGGGCACTTGAGGCATTCGAAGTCGCACTGGGTCTTCTTCCTGAAGAGTCTGATGACCCAACGACAAGCGTGCTACTTGCTCAGTCGCATTTCGGCTCAGGATTGGCGCATTTCAAGCTTGGCCAACTTGAAGATGCGCTGACCTCCTTCCAGTCAGCTCTGGAGTATGCATCAAATAATGACACAGTGAGAGGACATGTAGTCGTCCTTCTAGCTCAGACATTGTGGGCGTTAGGATCTGAGGAAGGGAGGGAGTCGGCGAAAGCTCAACTACTACAAAGGTATGTGAACCTTGGGGGCCGACGTTCGTCTTGTCATATTGACTATGTCCTATCAGCACCACCTCGGATCCTGAGAACCTCATTGCCATAAACACTCTCGCTGGCATGGGCATTCTTACAGAGGATGACGGGCTTGTCGATGCCGCGCTTTCTGAAATCTTGGCTCTCCCACCACACAGTCGACTTGAGCGCGACCCTGATGGGAACGTTGCGTACCTACTGATGCAGCATCACCTTGGCCAGGTTAGTCGATCCGTGCAATAAAAGTTCTCCACATTGCATTACTTATCCATGATCCGCTGAACAGGGCGACATTAAGCAAGCGCTGTCTGTTACACAGGCAGCTGTTGCAGCTCAACCTTGGAACCCGAAGGCTAGGCAACGATTAGGATCGTTGTTACTACGTTCGGCCGATGCTAAATCTGCTCAGGCGATCTTGGGGAGTTTGTCAACTGTAGAAGAGCATGATCTTTATCAAGCGCGAGACTCCCTCGCGCTTCAAGCTATCGCGGACAGCGAAGATCCCGAGAGTTGTGACAGGGCCGAAAGATTGGCTAAGAAAGCTGTCATGCTTACCCCTGGACGAGACTTCAACTGGCAGTCATTGGCAGTCGTACGCAGTCGCGTCGTTCCTACGTGATCCACGCTGGTATATGGTGCAAATGCCTGGCGTCTTCAAGTATGCATGGACGCAGCAAGGTGACCGTACTGATTCCCGACATTGGACACTACCGAATTACCTGTATATTCTGAATGGGGATAGTACCTACTGTAATTGTATGTGACCTTCCTACGCTACGATGATGCAGACATCTTTAAGGAAATACTGTTGTAGCATTAAACATGTAATGCCAGTCGCATCAAAGCATTACTGCAACTTGTATGATACGTGATCTAAGGGGTGGGATGGGAAGGAAGGAAGCTCAAAACTTCCCGATGACCGCTCTCGCCAATAACACAATCCGCTCTCGAACGGCATCTGCGTCAGCAGGAGCGGAAGCGTTGCTACGCTTGACCTGATCGAGCCACCAGCTCAATCGAGATTGCAGTTGTTTAGTCGAATAACCTTCCGTGAGCCTAGAGTGAAAGAAAAAAATCAGCAAATATGCAATGAAGCACAGGACTAAAGATTCGTACAATCCCCGTTCCTCTAGAGCATCTCGCAAGTCTGCTTCAGACAGAGATAAGATTCCGTTCTCCCGAATGAGCAGTGCATCGTCCTCGCTAATGAAGTTCAAATGCCGTTTGACACGTCGAATCCGGATTGGCCTAGGTGCAAAGGTAGACAATCCCAAGACACTGGAGATACGTCAGACCAAAAGTCAGTTTTAACTAACATTGTTGTGATTTTACATTTGACCCACCCTGTCAAAGAAAGCGGAGTTGTTGAACCAGCCAGCAATGCATCTGTAGATAACGAGTTGTCCGCAGTTGCTCGCCGGTAAATTTCATGGAAATCGTCTGCCATGCCCTCCATGTAGGTGCGCTGCTGCGCGCGTCTCTTGTCGTCTATTCGTTCCTTCTGCGAAGGAAGGATACATGTTGACGGAAGGAGGAAAGGCGCATAGAGAACAATAAGTGGAATGATCTCTTCTATGACGATGAAAATCATAGCGAAAGGGACCAATCTGTTAGGCAGGGAAGCAGATAATGATAAGTAAGCAGAGTAATAACGGAGTTCATGCTAAGAGGCTCACTTCACTATGTCGTCTTTGTAGGTTCGGATGAACCGCGTTTCCCAACGAGTGAGCGGTGGACCGCCGTTCTTCACTCGCTCTTGCATCTCCCTCGCACGAATACGGTTCGTGTTAACAAGCTTCACGCCTCTCCAGTAGAATTTCTAATAATATGTTGGCGAAATTAAGATTTCAATAAGATCAGTCACACGAATGAACGTACAAATAATTCTTTTGCCTGGTGAAAAAGGCTACCAGCCCACGAAGCATCCTTAGGTGGCGGCGCAAGAATACCATGTTGAGAGGCGGCTTCATAGTCACGCTTGGTAGCTTCGATTAGAGAGGTAGAAGTGGATGATGACGACGTCGTTGGATGGCTCCCCTTGGAACTCGGAGCGGATGAAGACGCAGCATTAGGCAAGGCAGCGGTAGATGATGTTGGTCTTTGCGGCTTTACAGGACCGGGTCTGAGGTCAACCTTTGGTTTTCGGGAAGACGTTGGAGTCACAGCGTCCGGGGCATGTTCAGAAGCGGTCTTGTCTGTCGGAGGAGGATTCGAGGATAGAGCACGAATGCCTAGACAGCGCGAGGCGGGAACGATAGACGATGAACGAGCTCCACTTGAAACGAACAACGGTGAAGCCCTTGGCAGCCTAAGAAGGACGACCGTGGATTGATTGCGAGTCGTAATCAACAGACTGAATGAACAAGTGTTATCAATCCACGTTTGTAAGATATGATTTCATTGTGTACCTTCTCCTCAATCCATTCCGGTTCAACTTCGAAGCAATCATGCAAGGCAATCTGCAAAGAGATTTTCAGAACCAGTCTTGAAGCTCCGCAGAATAATCTCCGACCAAGCTAATGATTGCAACGATACGAGAGCTGAACGACGGGACGGCCTCCGAAAACAACAAAGACTGCAGCAGAATACCTTTCCTGCAGGACGGTGAATAGAAAATAGGAACTAGGCGCCCGGTCGCAGTGGCGTACGCATGCGGCATCGGTAGCTTAGGTAAGCAACTAGCGTTCATAGAAGGTCCTCGCGGGTGGCATGTTGCTTGAACACCCACCGACGAGGACGGCCCATGATCAACCTTTAAACATGATCCATCTTGTTTCCAACAAGCTGAAAATCTCCAGCGACGGGGGAGCTGCTCTTATGTTGAATGACCGGCGAATCGTGATAGGGCTGCGCTCATTGGGAGGCAGTGTGATAACACTCACGTAGTGCTTACAGTACTAGTACAGCCTTACCCGGCAAGGCGATATTGAGGCAGGATCTCTCTTGTGCCCCCAACGTACAATAAAGCTTCCACATGCCTCTACGTCCATCCTTCATTAGACAATCACAGAAATCTTCGCGGATCAACCACACACTGGGCTCTAGTGGACCCTTCAGATGTCACAATTCTCTTATATTGGTCGTGCTACAACCAAGGACAGCCCTTCCATTACTTGAGGTACCGGATGAACTTCAGCCTGTGGGTGTTAATGCAGGTGTTCCCAGGACTATCATGCCAATCTTCCCTTGGCACCGCTCCGGTACATGGTTCTATTCTCCGTGATGTAGCATGCTCTTGAACTATCTACAGCTCTTGTTCTTGTATTTTTTGCTTCCTTCTTGAAACCAGAAGGAGATATTAGACGATGACGATGCGATGCTCACTTGTTGCCGTGCCATTTACGCGAGCTCTATCAGCGCATCGCTTCAGCTTAGTGCATCTAACAGGCCTTGTCCAAGATATAACTTTGTTCATCGCTTACAGGATTCCTGTGCATTCAAACTTTTCTGGCGACAACTCGTCGCCACCGGATCAAGATCTAAATTCCCTTTATGGGAGGAGATCTTCAAGTGCATGACCTTTTACTTTATTGCTACTGATGACGACGATCCGAATCATGCTTCAAGGAGGTAGGTGGGGGGTCGTACGAGCTGCAAATTGTGGAGGTGGATGTCAAGGAAACATGAGAACAACAAAAAACAGTCGATCGTTCGCGCCTACCTTGAACAATTTGGTCCTACACAAGGCATTCGATCACATGGCATTATTGTCGGCTCCTCCGACTTGGCACACACTCCAGAGTGCGGAACCGTTTTCCGTGTGACGTTTTCTGCTTCATTTGTGATGTACTGCGATACCCCTCTACCCAATGCTTGCATGCCTAAAAAGCTTATTGTCAACGAACTTACCTGCTAAATTTGGACAGAGGCAAGGTTAACTGCGAGCGTTTCGGAGCGTTTCCGCTACTCCGAGCGCCAAAGTTAACCTCTCCTCCGAAACCTGATCATCACACCCGTAAACAAGATCATGAGTACCGAAACTACAGCGGAGAAGCCTACCGTGGCGGAGCAATCTGCAGTGTCCACTTTAGAGGCAAGAATACAGTCACTGAACCAACTGAACGACCGCATTCAACAGTTGCGACATGTACCTAGCCTTCTTCTCCGACATACGACGACTCCAGATGTGCTCATGTTCTCAGATCCAGCTTCCGATCTGCAGCATGATCTCGAGGTTGTGAAGGAAGTGAATGAAAAACTGCGTTCAAAGGATGTCCAAGAGATCCTGAAAGCAGCCGCAGAAAGTGAGAAGAAAGACCCGACTGGTCTTCAACCGCGACGCGGCAAAAGGTCAGAAAAGTCAAAGTCACAGTATGTCCAGATATTCTTCTGCTGTATGCTGATAAATTCATTCTAAATGTTGCGTCCTCTAGCGATGCGCCTTCCCCGGAATCGCCTATGGCTTTTCCCTCATTTCAGCCGCCTTCGTCCCAGCTACTACCTTCGGCAGACCTCATCAGTGCTCCGCTCAAACTAGAGGGGCTGGCAGATTTTATAAGAGACTACAACAAGTCACATAACAATCGACTACATATATGGACATCTACGAGTCGCCAACAGGCAACTGCTTTACATAACTTCCCCGTAACCGTACGTTTCACTATCCCCGATGTGGTCGCTGTTTACCTGACCTTGGGATGTAATCCCACCGACGAAACCATCATCGTGGAGAGCGCCACCGCATTCGGTCCAGCAGAACGGGTGAGTACGCGACAGCAGGTAGTAATGTTACCGCTGCGCTGGATGCTTACACTACAGCTTCCCTTCCTTCCTTAGAAACCGCCACACTCACAGTCGGACTATGCTGTGTACCAAAAACTATCGCAACAGCTGGCCAAGGTCATCCAATCTCAGCCGCTTGCTCCGTTTCAACTTATACTCGTTCGTTCCCTCCATATCATTTTTTTAAGTCCGACGCTCTCCTGACTGTTTGGGCATTTTTTTGGCAACGGTTCAGACGGTTCTTGCTTCATATGAAAATCTATTTCTCGAACGGTGTAGTGTTTGCCAACGCGTTCTTTCCGTGGAGGGCCATATACCAGCTGTTGGAAGGATATGGACTCACAAGCCTTCCGGCTCTGAAAATCCTTGGGAGGCTAGACATCCTACTTGCATGCACAATTCATGAATTTAGGGACCATCTTTCATTATTCTACCACTTGGGATTAGACCCTAGCCAATGCATATGTAGGGCATCGAACGCCTCAATTCAACCAACAGCTGAGAAGACGCGTTAGCACACCAAACGGTTTCACGCACACACCCCCATGATGCGCACTAGAGTCAAACGTCATAAATATTCTAGGCAAGCAACGACGCCCCAATGAATGCTGTTATTCGGATTAGGTTATTATCCCCCCCAATAGGACAGTACGATGCACCTGGGTGATAAGCAGCTCAGGGGCCACTGGATGTCAAATCAACGAATACCGACCGATACGGTACGGTCCGAGCTATGGAGGTGGCGTTAGTCACGCTGTCTATTTCCTCCTCGAACGCCACATAATTGGACGTTATGGTTGGAGGAGGCTGAAGTCACTGCGAGCTTGAGGCTGCGGGAAGCCGGAAGAACGGGTGGGTCGGTCCAGACTTGCCGCAATTGTTTGCGATAACACATGAGCTGGAAGGGTGCAATTGAGGCGCATGTCCCGCACAAGGCGGATGTATTGCATGAACGTTCAGCAGAGGACTATCGCCATTATGCGTAAGTTTGTCGACGGGCCTTGCGTTCATGCAGGCCGTGAACTCCGTTCTGGGTGTAACCTCCCTCTTCTTGATGCCGGGACGGCGTCAAATAATAGGTGCGTGACTATGCATCACTGTCACAGAAAATACCAAAAACGAGGTCCGATTTTCCACAATAGGACCCGCTAATTGTGATCGGTTGTGGCAAAGTCTTGTAGCTGCTAGTGGGCATGCCACTCGGGTCCCTCCTCTTACGGTCGCTGCTGCTCGTATTCCTTTGTCCAAAACCTGGAAGACCATTTTACGAGCAAGAACCCCTGTATAGAATGGCACGACTCAATCTGCCATTCCAGCCCGTGCCACGCGAGCCTCGCTTACACGGCAGATCATTCCACGTGGATAGGAATGGCGCTGCACCAGTACCATCAATTGTCGGGCGGTTACTTCCATCACATCTACGATTCGGATCGCTCGTCTAAGTACGTGAAGACGACAGCATTGCAATCTTTGGCAGGCTGGAACAGCCGAGCACACCGTACCAGGTAACGTGGTCTGCAGCGCAACTTGAGGAATAGGAGCATGCCCTCGCCCTTTGTGAGCTGCACACAAGCGCGACCGAACAATGAGAGGGACAAAGAAAAATAATAGGCTACGCCGAGGGCACTAGTTTGGTAGATGGTTCCCATTGTCGTATTCGTCGGAGAAGCTCTTAGGGGAAGATGAAACTCGACCTGATCGGTACGGCATCTATCTCCAGTAAGCGATCTTCCGATCCATGAAGTCCCGACCTTCAAATTCCTACCCCCCAGCTCCGAAGGTGACCTTATAAACGAACCAATTTCCGGTCTTCACATGGTCACTTTCGCCACCCTTGGTCAGACTCAAAAGGTCTCCTAGCCTTCTTTCGTTTATTTCCCTCCTCGCGCGACTATTCCTCCATCCGGAGTGCGCGACGTGCTCTTATTCACCGACGATACGCTTGGGCCTTCGTGTCATCACCCTTTATATTCACTCTGCTTCTGGTCGGCGTCACCATTCTTACTGCCCAGTCCCCCTCATACGACTTTGCCTCTGGATCTTATAACCAATGACTTCAGTCGCATCCATGCCAATAAGTCGTATGCATTCTCCCGATGGCTTTCATGGTGGGGCGCACTCCGCCGTGTACTCATCTGGACATCAGTATTACATGTCAAGCCCAACGCTACATAATGGTATGTGATCTTTTACGTACTGCTTATGGTACGTTATTGACATTGCCTAAAGCTTCCCCCCAACATCGCCCTTCGCCAATTCGATCAGCTTCCAATGTAATCGTATCTCCTCGAGGACAATTCCGTATCTCTCATTATCGCTCGATCGAGGGAGAGGCTGGTGCATGCATCGTGATTGCCGTCGATTTTTGCCACCAAACCAACGAAACAACTTTCCTGCGTCTCGTCCTGGGACGACGGGCTCTGACTACTGCTGTCCGTCATATACCCGAATGTCGTTACGGGGCTTGGGAGCTGGAAGCTGTGGTCCCACTGCCGGACGATTTTGCCAACCCTTCGACTCCCGTTCCGCTATCCGTGCAAGCCCTCAACAGTGACAACTCAATTTTAGATTCGGTGATAGCTGGTAACTTCGTGTACTGCTCTTGTGAGTTTCCAAGGAATGTTATCACCATATTCCTACTTATGTCCATCTAGCTCCCGGACCTGTCTATAGCACTTCCATACCGCGTCGCGTGGGTCATTCAATTAAACAGAGCAATAGCTCAGAGAACCTCCTCCTGGCCGACTCAATGGCTTCTCCGCGCACTTCCTTGGTTACCATCTCCTCTAAAGCGTTTGATGCGCCCGGCTCACGGATGCGTCATCCCATGCCTCGTTCCTGTAGTAGCCGCTCTCGCAATGGCAAGGCATCGTCACAAAGTCTTCGGCCTAGGAAGAAGCAGGCTCTCATGCGGACCAGGCGCTTTGGACCTGGCGAGAACATGCCTGACTCGCAAAGAGTGATCCTAGATGTTGGTTCTCCAGTGGAGACCATGGCCGTTGATTGGACAGATGAGGAGGTCAAAGTCGGTCGCCGGCTCATTCGCTTTTATTCGCAACAGAACGGCACAAAGCTTACCGTCACTTGTGACCACATCAAGCAGGACGATTATCACGAAGGCGACGCAGTTGTGTCTTGCATCTATCGCAAGGACACTAACAGTTGTTATGTGACGTCTGTCGACATCATCTGCCTCTTGGAGAGCTTGACCAACGAGAGCTTCGAGATCGAAGAGAAAAATCGGATACGACGTAATCTCGAGGGTTTCCGTCCGAAGACGGTATCGAAGAACCGTTCGGGATCTGAAGACTTCTTCCAACAAATTATGGACTTCCCCGCACCCAAGCCGCGTAATATCGAGAAGGATGTTAAGGTGTTTGATTGGAACGTTCTTCCTCAAGCTTTAGACAAGATCATTTCCAAATACGTAAGTTTAACAACCTTCTCCCGATCTTCTCCCATACACTGACCTTCGGTCTTCTCGTAGTCGCTCTATTCCGATCTCGAGTCCGGTTCGGTTATGGTCAATGCCAACTGCTATTCTCGTACATCATCAAGTCCCCCTTCGGATATGATGCCTATCATGGGTCCATCACACTCACCCAGTCCCTATGACAGTGATCGAATGACGGGTTCTTTGCATTACGCATCAGACGGTGCCTTTGCCAGCGCCAGTATGCATGGTAGTGGCTTCAGTCAGCGTTCCGCGGATATGCCGTATTATGCCCGCTCTGATGCAGTGGGATCCTATTCGTCTTTTGTGGAGTCTCCAGCTACCGCATCCTCCTTCTCCGGGACACCTTCGCCTCGCTCACATTCCTCGTTTGGCGACGCCCAGTGCGACCCGCGCATTTTCACACCGGAGATGCATTCCCTCTACCCTTGTAACCCGATGCCTGGTGCCGCATCCATGTCATCCCTTACAGTTAACTCCACCGCGCCCTCAGACGGTTTACTCTTTGATGATGAATTCTCATCGCTCAACTCTGATTGTCAACCACTTATGCCAAATCAGGGTGCGGCATCTCTTGATTCGTTCTCCCTTAAGTTCTCTTAAATCCCATTGAAACCCCCTTGACATTTTTATATACCCAAGCCACCCTGTAGCCTTACATATTCGGTTCGATTCATTCGGTTTTCGGTTTCTGTGCCATAGAGCAGCGCCTTTATACTTGTCTGCATATGTTACTTCACCCGCCTTCGGGCTACTACCCACTGTATCAATTAACTATTTACTTCCTGGGCCTCTCAATCAGCATGATGTTTGAAGATACATTAGGAGTAGCTACATCATACAACATTAGACTAAACGCTCCAGACACATAAGAATCCAACGAAATAAAAGTCTAAGCAATGACCGAGATAACAACACGAAAGTCATAAAGATATGCAAAAGTGAAGCCTCCAGAGATTAACCGTCCCGACGGCCAAAATTCAAGCTACCAAACTTAGAGAACCTTCCCCTGATAGACCCGCCAATGCTACCCATAGTTGATGTGGTTATCGAAGCCCCAGAGTTCACATGGAAAGGCATACCATGGCCATTTGCAAAAGAATCATGAGGAGACCCTTCGGAGAAAGTATCGCTTCCAGCGCGTTCTCGAGGTCCTGACGCAACACCGTTGAATCCATGCCGAGTCAAATGGGCCATATGGCGTTGAAGCAAGGATTGTTGTGTCTGTGGGGACAAGACGCCATTTGCACGCTGTTGTACATTATCACGAACGGATTCTGGTGACAGCGGTGCAGGGTCCATAATCGTACGGGTGACGTCAAGAGGGGCCATCGCAAGGTTTGGCCGGTTGACAGACGAGGAATCCTGCATAGAACGTTCGTACACCTGGTCTTGCAACGACGATGGATACGACTGCAAGATAGTATGTTGCGTTGGATGTGAACTGATTGAGTTGGCATCATGTTGGAAGTCTACGGCCAAGCGTTGGATTTCCTCGTGGAAGTTCTTTCGGAAGAATGACTCAAGAGTACTGTGAAATGGTAACATCTGTTGTGGACAGAGCTGACCATGCAATCGTAGACAACTATCGATCATTCGGACCTGACAGAGGGTCTATCAGATGTGATCCTGTTGAAGAGACATGCAAGGTTGCACCCACCTGTTCATCGATGGCATTGCGTAATTTAGTCACTTGCTCGGCTCGATCCGGATACCTGAGCATATAATCCCCACTGAGGAATGTCTCTCGGTACAACGAAATACCACTGTTAATTGGCGTATCGACAGCAGCATTCAAAGCCATAGACAAGGGCGTCGTGGACACAACTTGAGACGTCTTCGCAAGTGCCGAATACCTCATGTTGAGGCCTCCGAGCTCTCTTGTCCTCTGCTCCACCTCTTGCAGTGCGGTCTCAACAGGAGAGATTTCTGCAACCACCACATCGATAACTTCAGATCGCCGGAGCACCGTAGGGAAGGCCTCCTCTGTGGTCAAATACGTTCTTTCTATCCAAACTTCCTCCACGCCATCGGGGCCTGGCTTGCTAATGGATCGAGAGTAGCTGAAGAGGTTAATGGCACTAAAGGAAATAGGAATATTAATGGAATCCAAGTTCTTCGAATGTACTAGGATATTCATACCAGTGTTCGTAGTAGTTTCGAATTTGGGAAGCAACGTCAGGATTCGTGAATATTGCCAATTCACGGTTAGGCTCCGGGGTCACCGCAGTACATTGAATGTATTGGTCATTTCCGAACCGAATTTCGATCGGGGGGTCACCCATTGTCTTCAGCAGTTGGGCGCCAGGGTGCTTATTTAGCATACGTTCACAGAATGCACCAAACTTCTCCCACTCGTAGCCGCGATACTAGTACAGAATGAGTAAACAATGTAGAGCCAATAATCGAGGGCACCCACGATGAATTGTTTGCTTCGAATGGCGTGAGGGAAGTTTCCATAGAAAGCAACACGGAAATAGTCAGAGTAGTAGCGTTGATCAGTAATGATATGTTCCAAAAGGGCTGCTTGGTGCCGTAAAATCTCTGCAAGTCTGGCACTACACGCCCCTATTAGCGCAAATACACACAAATAGGAAGGAACATACTAGTTGAACGTCACTTCGGCATGTTGGAATGCAAGCTCTTTGCAAATCTCGATGGCGCTCTCCCACGCCTTTCCCTTCCCTATATGACAGTTAGTGGCAATGCAAGTTGACAGCTGGAATACGCCTGACCAAGATAATCCAAGATGAGTAGATACAGTGTCTCCTTGCGGTGGAACTGAGACTGCTGCGGCAACCCGAGGTCTTCCATTGGAGGAGCGAATGTATTGAGATCCCAATCGTGGAGGTCCGCATGCAGTTTCAACGTGAGTGCCGCTTCAACGTAGTTCTGGGACTGTAGATGCATCTGTACCACATATGAGAACCGACTAGCCGTAGTGAGGTAAGTTCGCGCAAACTTACATTGACAAGTTGATGCACATATTTGATATAAATTTCATCACGGCCAATCCTCCGAATGAAATTCATGAGGCGGAGCTGGACTACGTTTAATATCATTCAGGCCCAGAGAATAGAAAACGTACTGTGGCAATCACGCGGTCGTCCGCAAATTCCTCGCCCTCCGGCAGTGCTCGAACGCTCAGCAACAGTTCAAGGAAGAGGTCGACAGCATCTAGGAAATTGGTCACTCGTGTACGCAAATCCGCATGGACTTCAGATGCTTCGAAAAGCTGCCGCAGATGACCAATGAAGAATGCACGCGAGATATCATCCCCCTTGCTGTCGGACATAAAAAGCGTATCCAACTTGCTGACCAACTCGTTCTCGATATCATCGAAGTGGCCCGAGACTTGGAATTCCGACACAATCATGCAGTACAGTATATGTACCGCGTTATAACGGAGCTGGTCATGGTGGCTTAAGCAAAGATTAACCACATGGCCAACCAGCGAGTTCAAGGCCAACTGTTTGCTCTGTGGCTTTTGTCAGAATAGAAAAACACGGAGACAACGAGACGACGCCAACGTACCCCATATCTCGCAACAGGTTGGCCTTCCTGAGTTTCTTGAGATGGTCCGCCTAAAGCGTTCCAAAGTCTGAGTAGGATTGCTGCACCCTCCCCTCTAATGTCACCAGCAAGACGCCAAACAGCTCTTCGTTTCTATACAATTCTACTTGAGGACCATGTTTGATATGCGGAAGACAAATGCTTACCTGAGGACTGAACTCTTCTATCACCAAATGTTGCGACGATAAGAGTTTCAAGAGAAGGTTGAAAGCTTCCCTCCACATGTTTACGTCGAATTGTTCGCCTGAATGCTCGTGCGGTACATATTCGCGCTCGAGGAAGGTAGCGATGGGGTCCATTATCTTGATCAGTACTTTGTGCGCAAGGACGTTGACATTGAGCCAATTGCTGGGGAATGCGTCATTGTTGATAATCGAAGCGCCTACTTTGAAGATCTGCAACAGCAGAGCACTTAATTTCTCCTTGCCTTCGATATCCCATACGCCCTCAAGGAAGCTCAGGAAGAGGTTCTTGGAAGCGGATAACGCAAGAACGAGGAACACCATCGCAGTCTCTCCCAATCCCGGACTGTAAAGCACCTGGACCTCAGACGATTCAGGGGAAGTAGCCGGCATATTCTTTGGCAACTCTGATAATAACGAAAAGGGATAGGACTCGGGGAAAGTCACGGGAGGACTATTAACAGCGGAAGTGGAACTCGACCGGGTACGCTCAATGGCCTTCAAAGAAGCCGAATTCTGGAACTCGCGATAGGAATCCAGTACTCTGTTGATTCAGTCAGTCAGAAATTGCGGCCATGCAAGCAAGCATGCACTGACCTAGGCAGAACTGATAATAAGAGATCAATATTACCCTGTTCTTTCATCAGGAGTGTGCGGTCGGCCAAAACCTCTGGATTGACTAAAGTCTGCTGGAGCTTATCAAGCATGACTGCAACGACTGACATAGAAAGTCGAATGCTTTCCAGCCAACCGATCCTAGCAGCGTCCCGTATTGCTTCGGAATCACCTAGCTGTGTCTGGGTGTACTCGTCGAAACGACCGAAATGCGGCTTGATCCACAACAGTACGTTGTCCACCAGCATCGCCCGAGATTGCGGGTTCTCAAACAAGAAGCCCTTCACAATCTGGAGATACATGATCAACTTCCAGATGACGATCTTGCCCTTGACTGAGACAATGGCGTTAGCAAACGTGGTCGCAATCGTGACAAGTTCGACTATCGAGAAGACCTTGTTGAGCTCAGGAAGGATGGATGTGAAGTGTTGCAATGCGATCGTCTGTGTACCAATGATGGATGCGGGAGTCGTGGCTGACATCATGGCATTCACCTCGGCGAGGTGTCCACGAAGCTCTCTCTTGAAAGTTTGTTCTGCTTGGTCTGCAGTATGTCCACCACCTAAGCCTAAATCCTGCTGCTTCTGCAGCTCCCGAGACCGAGTGATGAACTTGAAGATGTAGTGCCACACCTTCAAGGCTGCACGCAAAGCCGATGCAGTCTCGTTTGCTGTGGGGTCACGGAGGAGGCGATTCATAGAGTGGATCATGTGGGACGAGGCCGAAGGACAGTTGAAGTGACTCTCAATATAGACATCCAACACGGGTTGGAAGTTGCTGAATCGTCGATCTTGAACGATTCCTAAGACCGTCACCAGCGCATTGAACACAAGATGATCCATCTCGCCGCTCAAATTATGGCGCGACACAAGGATGCCGAATAGGGAATCGAAGATGTCCTGCAAGAATCGTACAATCTCCACTTCGCCTACAAAGGTGAACGTCGTCAAGATTGTACCAAGGACTTCCTTGTCCACGAGATTCTCCCAGTTCAGCAGACCGAGGAGCACAAAGTTCTGAGTGAACTTCGTCGAGCAGAGGGAGGATCGGATGGTGAGGCTATCTTTTAGAAGCGGGGCTGACTTCTGCATTTCCGGAGGGATGGACAACGCGTCCGGTTTCTGGCCAGCTGGAATCCACGCGGGAGCATTCAAGTAGGCATCAGGTGAAAGTTGGGAAAGTTTATTAGCCTGGTATAGAGCCAACGTGTGGCTTCCATCTTCCAAGAACGCACGACCATCAGGAAATAACGGAAGAAAGGCGAACGCGAAAGGTCGTTCGGGAGCTTCCGCACCACGACTCATCGACCTTGATCGTCCATCTCCTCGATGGCGAAATGTGAAGAGGAGATGTAAGCGTTGGGCATCTTTAAACGGGAGTTTGACTTTCACGAGTTCGCCGAAGGTAGGTTGACTGGTGCGCTGGAACACCATCGAGTTGAACTGATTCATCTCTGGCTCTCCACTGCATTGTGTGAGGAGACGCTCAATCGTGCGGCCATCCCTGTCCCGCACTTCGATAGTAACTTGTACGTTATTGCTAGCGGTACCACCCCGAGCAAAGTTGGTCATACTACGCCGAGCGGAGATGGTCTGTGAAGATGAAAAGTCGCCGCTCCATAGTTTGATGTAAAGTTCGTTACGGACGTCGCCTGGGAAGACGACATCGGGGAATCCAAGGCGTAAACTGAGAGGGGTATCTTGTAACAATGAGGTATTTTCACGGATGATGGTATCTGCATCGCCATAGAATATTTTGACAGAGACTGCAATACTCTCTGCTCTGTTTCCATGAAGTAATGAGTGAGTTACTAATCTAGAGATCATGACATGTAACATACCTAGGCGACTTCTCATATTCCTTGGTATTCTTGTTGAGGATATCTTGATGGAGCATAGAGAACGTAGCTTCATGAGTCGGGACATAGATAGGCATGTTGTACTCCCGAGTAGAAGACACCTCGAGTGCTTCTTCGACCATCTGCTTCAATTGCGTGAGCTCTAATACAGCGCAGCCAAAGGGTCTCCTGAACTGTGACGTATCCGAAGACGATCCGCGGCCACTCGCATTGGTATCGTAAGGATCAGACCAAACGCCGCTGCTATTGACTTCCCTGTATGAGGCCTCTGATGCCCGCCTACCACCCTCTTGTATCGATCCCATAGTACTACCCATCTTCATTGAACCGTTTCGAACGATACGGCAAACGAGATATATGGGGTCTTGAGCATCCGACTGAACGATATCCGTGAACAGTGTACGGATTCGTGCATTAGGATCTCGAGCAAGAACACCATTGTGGTTCAAGATCACACAGAAATCCTCCGAAACGAATCGCGAACCGTTCGGGTTGTAGAGCGAGAAGAACAGTTCAGCAGTTTCACCAGGAGCACAAGGTGATGCCACGAAGGCTCGGACATCAAGGAAGATGTAGAAGAACTTCGCACGTGCTGGCGGTACTGAAGGAGAAGATAGAGATCCCATTGAGCGAGGGTTCCGATTAGCACGGGAGGCATCCGTACTGGATAGCGAACGTGTTCGTGGGTTGCTATGTGAAGAGCTTCGATCTAGGAATGAGCCAAGGGTGAGAATTTGCGATGGGTTGGGTGACGTGGGCTCAAGGTATGCCAATGAGGCTTGCATGGCGTACATTCTGACAGCACTAACCCAGCTGCGCGGGTCCAACTCGCCTTCAACGTCGACGTTAACCAACCCTCCCCATGTCGGATGGCGGACAATGATGTCTAGGCCTTGAACAATGTTCGCGCAGACGAGTCTGGCAACACACTGTCGACGTAGATTGATAGTTTCTTCCGCACTGAGGGTTTGCGCCAATAGTTGTCGACGACCCAAATGTAGAGCTTCGATATGCTCGCGAACGATCTGGAAAAGCCTATAGTCTCGCCTCGCCAAATATTGATACATTAATGCGTGCCATTCACGCAATGCAGATGCGATCTCATCGACTATGGGCTGTTCTGCACCGGATACTGTCTCATCGCCAGACCTGAGTGACGGTCGTGGGGGTAGAGGTTTCGCAATTTGAGATTCAGTTGGCGATGCAGACCGTAGACTGGCCGGGTACACCGGTACTCGAGCACGCGACGAATGTCCTTGGTCGGGCGTCGGAGCGAGTTTGAAGGATTTGCGAGGTGCTAAACTTGCCGCATCACTCTGACCGTCATCTCCGAAACTGTCAATGTCGCGAGCCCAAGCAGGATATGCGTCTTGTACACTCCCATTTGGGAGGATGTCAGCGAGTCCTTCTGCGTCGGAACTCTCGTCGCGAACGAATATATGTGAAGCCGGAAATATGCCAATGAAAACCTGCTGATGCTGGCTCTCATCGACTTTGGCAGGTGATTTCAGAGAAGAGGAAGATGGGTCCGCTGTGGTCGGCCAGGTCACCGATGGTCGACGAGAGGTGCAAACAACATAACTGCTCGGCAATGTCAAATTACATCAGAAATATATGCGATAAACGTGCGCACCCTCGATACCAAATACCTTCTACATCCTTGTCTCGCGGGGTATATTTCTCGAAAGCATATACTTCATCACCAACTTCGAGCGAGACAACGTCTCTATGTACGAGATGTTCTTCGCCAGATGCATCCGTAAAGGTCGAAATACGCGTACGATTGGAAAGCCTGGTGTCTCTACGAGATGGTGAGAGTGGATGAACTGCATAACCATAGAGGATTAACGGGAGAGGTTCCCATACACCTTTGCGCTGGCCCGTCGCCTGCCCGCCGCCTGAGCCCATCGCTCGCGACGATGAACGAGCACAGGAGACTATTACTGGTCGGTGTGACTGGAGAGAAAGCTTTGAGATTGACTTCCGAGTTGAAGCAATAATGGTGGCAAGTAGAGTCGACTATCTCACGCTTAGCGCGCACCTCTTTCCAGAAAACTATCTCGATGTATATTTGCGATTTGGTTCCTAGTCTTGTCGGCGGATTCAACCTCAAGGGATTCAAGGTTTGACGAGTGTATAAGGTGGGAAGCAGAGCTGAACGTAATAGGATGTTGGAGAGCTTTTTCGAATTCCTTATGTTCACGCGTCCTCGCTCTTCGAGGTGCCAACAAGCAGTGGGCCACATTCACTGGTCACGGATAGCATTCACGTTCATCTCACAGCACTAGAACAAGGCCACGTCAAGACGAGATATAGACTCCGTCCTTCTAAAGGCTTCGTCTGGGGCGCTGTTTTCAAGATGACAAGCACATGCACAACCAAGCTTTCTCATGCGCTCTTCAGGGCCTGTCAAAGCCCAAGAACTTTCCATATGTCCGGGGGATTTGCGGTGACAACGTTCTTCGAGAACTTTTGAACCTTTTCATCTCGCGTTTGGGACTTAGGTCTTCTCAGTGACGCTGTTCACTGTGGTTGATATACCACATTCCATGTTGATCACGATCACTCTGTATCAGAGCATTCTCGCAGCCTCTCCCTACTTGGTGCGTGTTGATTCTCACCGTTATCTTCTATTTCTATCCATGAGAAGATGCGTAAGACATAACCTTGTTCTAAAGTACCGCCGGTGGTACGCATTCAGCACCTGCTACGATCGAAGGGGGATCTACAGTGCTGCTCCGGCGTTTCAGCTGAAAATGCAAAGGAGTATGCTTTGATTGTGATGAAGGGCCTTCCGCACAGCTCCGCCTCTGACCAGTGTCACCACTGTGTTTCCATGGTGTCGTGTCCAACTTTCCGCAATCTTCATTTGATGATACAGTGTGGTATCCCGAGCTATCGTCTTGGTTCTTCATTTATTAGCATTCGGCTCCGCATTGCAAAAAGCTTTAAAAGTACAGAATGATGGTAACATGATAATTGAAATTTGAAGTGGGAATATGCATTGAACACGCTGTATTGATACAACGTGTTCAATCGTCTTCCAAGGTCTCTTCAAATATATCGAGTGCTTCATCGAATGAATAGGTCTCGTTGGGCGTAGCCGGACGAACTACTCCTTCCACATCATCTTTATCCACATCCGGGTCCCTGAACTTGATGTCATTCTCACCATCCGGGTCCCAACTTCCGTCACTGCCGCCGGATGAACACTCATTTTTGTTGTACTCATCCCCTTCCTTCTCTTCCTTCTCCTCTGCCTCCTCCTCTTCCTCTTCCTTCTCCTCGTCCTCGTCCTCGTCCTCGTGTTCTTCCTCTTCGTCGTCTTCGTCGTCTTCCTCCTCATCTTCTTCCTCACCTTCCTCCTCGTCTTCCTCTTCGTCTTCGGTTCCCCGCTCCAGCTCCTCAACTGAGGTTGCATTTTCAGATGACACGCTTTTAGAGGCAAGTCTGTGGTCGATAGCAAACCACTCCGTATCCTCCCGTAGTAAGCAATGCTTGGTCTCCACTATACGCAACCCATCGAAGTCGTACCTCCGAATACCTTCCAGCTCTCCAACACCCGCCAAGCCTCGAGGTGGAAGAAGCAAAGGAAGGTCACGGATGGAATTAAGTGACTTGGCGAGGATCCGTATTTTGGGGCGAGAAAGTCGATTATCTGTAGCAATGCGATCCCAAGCGTCCTCCTTTCCCCATGGAAGTGGGCCTGCTGGGTCCGTCGTCAGCCATACGTCCAAGTGGAAACGCAGTTGGTCGGTGTAAATGAATTGCATTTCTGGGTCGTCTAGGACGTCATGTCCAGTAACGACATGTTGAAGAGACGGGCACCATTGCAGAAGTGTCGACTTTCCTTGAGGAATAACGGGGTTTGCGGGACCATATGGCCGATAATAAGTATTGATGACACCATAATACTCCAAGTATTTCAGCTTCGATCCATGGGCGTCGAAGAATGGTAGTGCATCCCGAGTGAGATTTATTGAACTCGCAGGTCCCAGAGGTGGGCGGGTACCAAAACGGGTGAGCTTCGGAAGGTGCCATGATGCCAGCATTGTGAGGTAATTTTTGGCATCATCCTCATTAAAATGAACCCACAATGTTTCCAGCCTTTCGAAGCTTAAAGACCGCACACTTGGATGTATTTTACGTTCATCAAATCGGCACATAAGGGACAATGAAAAAGACACTAGATTGGTGAAAGCGCCTATCAGCGGAAGAGAAAGTATGTTAGCATCGGGAGCGCGATCGTCAACGTTGTGGAAAGGAGTGTACTCCAGATTCGTCAAGTTGTCCGTCAAATGCGCGAATACGACTTTCAGTGCCTCTTTATTGGCCGAGAAGAAATACGGTGATGAAGATACGTGCCACAAGATGCCTCGGAAACATATAGATCCAATGAACCGACAAGTTGTCAGGAGATATGTCATGCATCCGTCAACAACATCCACCCAGGGTTTAGGGACATAGAAAGAGAAGGTTATTTTCTTGATTGCGGATGCGCGGCGGGCATTCGAACGAACGGTCCTGACCAACGCCACCAGTTCACCAGGTCTTCGGATGACGATATCTTCATAGAGAAGTTCACTTGCGGCTTCTTGCCAGGCCTCACTTTTACAAACGAGCGGAAGAGTCTTCTTAAACCGCAAGACGCGACTCCAAGCGCAATCCGATCCGTAGCTCAATGATGGGTCAAGGAATCCGGACGGTGGAAGTGCCGCCTCAAAAACAAAGCGCCATGCGATGGAGTGCATTCGCTGCACGGCAGGTGTACATGGTGTCGTACCAGGGACCTGCCGTATTCGTGTGGTTCAGTGATCTTCTAGAAAACGTATGTCGAATTTTGTCAAGAACTTCATACCAATGTCACGTCACTTGTAGTATTGTCCAAAGCCATTTCTTTGTCACGCTTGGGGGAGGTGTTATCAAGCGTTTATCCGAGGCCGAACATATGCACTCTTACTTCATTCGCCTTGTGCACGATCGGTAGGGCGACTGGTAGCGTGAAGCGAGCGCCACTCTGACAAGGATCGAAAGCCCGTCAGCTGTGTTGCGTAAAGTGGGAACAAGGAGTATCCTTCCAGTATAAGCGAAATACAAAGAGGTCTCAGAGCCCATGTTGATACTTATAAGAAAACAATAAGATGAAATCGAGTGGCTCTTTGATCGATCTTCGGAGACCGCCACCAATGATTTACCCACAAAAGCGACACGCTGTTTGCTCCCGTGAACGGCTTAACACTTGACTCTATCGAGTGGCTCAATTAAAGTCTCGAGCTTCTGTTCAAGAGCCTACGGAGATTGGGACATAACCGAGCTCCTTCATTGTCACAATCACCGGAAAAAGAGAGGAACGTATCGGCTGCGTGTTTGAATCCTTTTCAGGTTGAAGCACTGATCATACTTCACATCTATGAGTTTAACTGCAGATACATATCGTAGCACATCGTCATAACCCCTGCATCACACTCCGTTATCACATGTATGAGATATTCACCGACCTTGCGAAGTGCCACAACATAACGCCAACCTTCCCATAAGGAAACTTTACCAGTGGGCGACAAAATCTTTCTCCTCTGGGGAAAGCTCGTGTTCAAACATGCTGAAAATAGGTCTCGCCTGAGCAAATTCGGAGCGTACAATGTCTGCACGCTCCTGACTTCGAGGTTTGATATCACATTGGTAGGGCTTTGGACCTGTTGCAAGACCCTAGAAATATGCCACGTCGTAACGTATGTCAGGCCAAAGATGACTAGTAATTGGATGCAATACTTACAGCAGTGAAATCCGTATACTGAATAGGAACATGCGGGTCACGCTTGTTCATATCGACCGCCTTAAAATTGAAAGCCCACAGGAGATTCATGACGTTCATCATCTGTTACAACAAGATGAGTCGACTCCCTGCAGAATTTATAAGTATGCTGAAGATTCACTATCATTGTATCTCCCAGAAGGATACCAGGACATATACGCTATGAATCTGGTCAGTAACCGGAATCAATGTTCTGCGTTGGCGTGAAGGCATACCCTTCCGCATCCAAAATGGAAATCATGCCGGAATCCAGCAGTGTCAACACCAGGTTTAGTTCCGAATTCTGAACTTAGGTATCGGTCGGGGTTGAAAACCTCTGGGTCCTCGAAGAGATCTTCATCATGATAGATACCATCTTGAACGAGAAGAGGAATAATCGTCAGACACGTACGGCATGTAAGACGAAGGCAGAAACTCACAAATGTTCATGAACAGTGTAGTTCCTTTTGGTATGAAGAAACCGTCAACCTGTATGACAAGATCAGTCATGGTAAACATCAAGCTACTCTCAGCGATATACCATCTCGTCTGAAGTGGACGCATGAGGAAGCCCCATTGGCACGACGGGATAGAATCGGTGAACCTAGAACGTTGCAGTGATACCGAGATGAGAATTAGAATCAATAACTTGATTATGATTTCACCTCTTTGACAATTGCTCGCAAGTAAGGAAGGTGCTCGAAGTCTTCCAGGCTTGGCATCCTGTTTGACCCAACAACTTGATCAATCTCCATGTGCGCTCTCGCTTGCACTTCCGGATGGCATGCCATACAGAGGACGAAGGTTTGAAGATGTGACACGGCAGTGACTGAACCTCCCTCTAGAGAAGCGCCGCCAAGATACCTGGTTGACGTGTAATGCATCAGTAACAGCCCTGGTATATAAATATGGTGTTCCGTATCCCCACCCAATCATATCTCGAGTCAAGCCGAGTGCATCTTTCTGGTCGAAAAGTGTTTCCAAAAAGGAACCGTTACGGCGGTCTTCTCGCATACGAGCCTCGCATTTGTCTCGTAGACCTACGTATAGCTTTCGTTGTTTGGCTCGAATGTCACGGCAGATACCCTTCCAGCTCGCCCATCGCTCCGGAACGTATTGGAGTATAGGCATAAGATCAATAGGCGGGTGCGCTCCAGGTTCTAATGCCGCTTCCACTCTGTGCTGTACGTCAATGAATTCGGTCACCGTACTATTCTCGTATCGTGGACTTCGGACGCCGAAGACAGTTGAAAGGATCAGTGAGGTCGCATGCCTTTGTACGTGGGTAAACAAGTCCTGTAAAACAGCTTTCCAGTACAGATAGTCAGATAGAAACGAAGATCATGAACTCACCTCTGGTTGTTTGAGTGTGTCATATAAAAGTTGAATTGCCTCTACACGTTCAATTGGCAGATGTCTCCTACAAGCTTCCTTAGTGAGAAACATTTGTATTGCTCTCCGCAAGCTCTTCCACACAGGACCTAAGGCCGAAATCTGGTTGAGAAAACTGCAATGACCGACAGCGCATGTGAAGAAATTTACCATACGGTACCATTGCAAAGCCCAAGCCATCGGTGATCATTTCTACCATTCTGATGTGCGGGCGGCTCGATGTAGATGCACTCCGCTTATCTAGATAGTCCTTAACGATACGAGGACTTGATATGACGACCATGGTGCCAGAGCCAATCTTTAACTAGAGGACGAGAAGAGTGAGCAGAAGAGTATTGATGAAAACGAAACATGGCATACCGAGAATATCCCACCGAACTGCTTACCCCATCTCGAGAATCTGGACGTATGTCAATAATGAGAGCAAGAACAGCGAAACATCACATACTGAATATGAGTATACTTCGTTGGGAACTGATGGATGTTACCCAGAACAGGTAAGGTTGGTGGTCCCGGTGGAAGTCCAGTTTCTCTGGAGCCGACCTTCAGTATGTATCTGAAGATAAATGCCCCCAACGCTATGAAAGACCATCCAAGAAGCCCGGACATGGTCATACTGAAAGTAATGTTCAAGGGGAGATGGTGCGATATCGGTCTTAATAGACTGCGCGACTACTCGTATATAGACCGCCCAGGGTCCTCATGTCATTAGAACATTTACTGTTAGTAATTGGATGCTTCTAAGCGTGGATGGACCCATGGACAGACAGCTCTTATTCCTAGCAATTTGAATAGAGAGAGCCGCCTATCACAGCTATTTCAAAACGATAGGCCACCTTTTGAAAATGTCCAGCACAGCGAGATTCAATCTCCGAAGGCTAATTGCAACTTTCTGAGCCACTACAAACATAATTTGGAGCATTCGTGGAGCAGGAGAACCTGCAGCGCCTCAGCTTGAGTGAGTGCCATCTCCAGCCGAGAGCGGTTCTCAAAAGCCTCTGTGCTGGGTTTTCTTGTAAAGTGGCCTATCGCTCCACAAATAGCTGCAATATCGGAAATGGTTCCAAAGAGCGCCTTGGCCCTACCGCCGAACTTTATCGTTGCTAATGCGAGGCCGAGATATTCGGAAGTCATTACTGTACAGAAATGAGTCTAAAAAGTCAAATACATGACCATAAAAGAAGGCGGAAGGAGAGCTTAGGTTCGTGATGACAGAACTTGTGATGTAAGTTTTCAGACGGACCATGCAAATCATAGATGTCCGGAAACATGAAAAATCACCATTCAGATACGAAAGCGCGCTCGTCAGGTGTCAGTTCTTGCTCGAACATGCTGAAAACTGATCTGGCTTGAGCATACTCAGCTCGAATGATATCAGCATGTGCCTGGCTTCGCGGATGCACATCGCATGCGAAAGGCTTTGGTCCTGAAGCAATGCCCTATATACGAGATCAATACTTTGCTCTGCCTCAAAAAAAGACGTTGTACTACTTACTGGTGTGAAGTCATTGAACTGAATTGGGATTTCGGCATCACGAGGGGTGTCCGTAGCAATCTTCAAATTGAACGCCCAAAGTAGGCTCATGATATTCATTTCCTGCAATAATGAGGTCAGTCGTGCTAAACAGCTATTTCATATAGATACGAACAATGGATTGCATAGCGAAAACGATACCGGGACAAATGCGCTGCGAAGGTTAGAGTTTAGTAAGGAAATACTGCGGTAATGATCGACAAGGACGTACTCTTCCACTGCCGAAATGTAAATCATGTCTAAGCCCGGTGGCATCAACGCCCTGCTTGGTCCCGAATTCCGATGTTAAGAATCGCTCAGGGATGAAGCGCTCCGGTAAGTCGAAGAGGTCGGGATCATGGTAAATGCCGTCTGATTAGACACAAACATGAGCATTGTGGTGACATTTGAATGTTGAGAGTGCCTCACAGTAGTTCATGAAGATAATCGACCCTTTGGGAATGTAAAACCCTTCAACCTGAGACGGCAAAGGGACTGATGAGGAATCTGACGAGATGGTTTAAGTCTACTGCTAACGTACCGTTTCGTCGGTTGTAGAACTGTGCGGAAGTCCGAGAGGAACGGGAGGGAAGAAACGGAAAGTCTGCACAGATTCGCACGTACGTCATTAAGAAAGGAAATCAATAGGACGAAATTCAAAAACTGACCTCCCTGATAATCGCCCGTACGTAAGGAAGCTTCTCATAGTCCTCTGAGGAAGGGAGTCTATCTTTTCCAATAACGTCATCCAATTCCTTCTGCGCCTTTTCCTGCACGTGGGGATGACAAGCCAGTAAGAGCATGGCAGTTTGGAGGAACGATGATGTATTGCCGGATCCGCCTTCGAGGCAGCCTCCGCCGATGTAGCTTGCAATAATAATCAACGAAGTATCGGTTTGGCTGGGGCCAATCACTTACCCCACCGTTGCGGAATCAATGCCCCATTTCTCTTGAAGATCGATGATATCTTCAAGGAAGCATCCATTTCGTCTGCCATCTTTCATTCGTTTGGCGCACATGTCTCGCAGACCAAAATAGAGATTTTGCTGTCTATTTCGAATTTCACGACAGCCGGCTTTCCATGGCGCCAAGAATTCCGGGATGTACTGCAAGATGGGCAAAAGATCCAAGGGTGGTGTAGCACCAGGCTCGAGTATTCGCTCCCATAAACTGTTGCCTTCAACAAATTGTGAGGCGATGCTGTTCTCAAACCGTGGGCTTCGTACGCCAAATACTGTGGACAGGATGATGGAGATAGTCTGACGCTTGATGTGAACTAAGAGTCCCTGAGAATAAGTAATAGATGTAAGTCGATGCGACGGCGTCGGGAATTCGACATGCCTCAGGTTGTTTCAGTGTATCATACATCAATTGAATGCACTCTGCGCGTTGAACAGTCAAATGTCTTGCACAAGCTTCACGAGTTAAGAATAACTGCATGGCCTTCCGCATGTTTTTCCAAACCGGCCCTGTCTCCACATGTCAATCCTTAGTTTCCGGAGCCATGAGAAGAAACGCACCGTCTGTCAGAGCCGGATGACAGCCATCAGTGACGAGGTCAACAATTTTCATAGGCGGTCTATGGGCAGTCGAGGAGCTCCGTTTGTCCATGAAATCACGAATGATGCTTGGGCTTGTGATGACGATGGCAGTTCCGTGTGCAATTTTGAGCTGCACAAGAATGTGACGTTAAGGGCCGGGACAGTGTTTTACTAGACTCTCGTCACCTACTGAGAATATTTTCCCATATCGCCTTGCCCATGAAGTATATCTGAAGATCGCGTCGATCAGCAAACCGATGGAAAGACTATAGTGGGGTGCGCGAAAGATTCACTTGACGTGAGGATATCGAGTAGGTAACTGGTGGATATTGCCCAATAAAGGTATAGTCGTGGGACCTGGTGGTAATCCGTTCTCTCGAAGACCGATTTTGCGTCTCCAAATGAAGATCAGCAAGAGGACGATCGGCCCAAGTAGGACTGAGAGTATCCCACTGTAGAACATCATGCAAAGCGGTGTCTAATGCTTATGACAGCACAAATCCCAGTTGGGCAAGCTGAGCCAAGGCTTCTTATATATATGTTTTAGACAGTCAGCGTCTTTCACAGTTACCCAATTTGCGGTCAGGTATGGAATCATGTCTATCGCTATCTGCGTGAGAACAAATGGTTGCATCCCGTAAATGTGAGAAGTGAAATGGCTAGAATAGAACTTACCAAGAAACGCTCAGCCGCTCATGGAAGAACGTGCCGGCTGATGAAAGAAACTTCTAATCGAATTCGCTTTGAGCGGACACTGATAGCAGATTAGGTTCTTTTAGACAGCTTGACATAAACACGTTTGGTATAGAGAGAAAGTCTCGGGTCGCTCGCACAGACCAAAAAATGATGACTGTGGAAATGCGATATCATCTTGACTGAACAGTGAACCAAGGCTCGCAATCTGTGAGACGCGTCGTGTCAGAAGGGCGATCTAGAGGCGATGTGGGACTCACTAAGGCCATAGTGTTCACGAAGAAGTTCGCGCTTAGAAAACATCCAGTCAGGGCTAGGCAGATCATGGATTTGCGAAATCCGTGTCCAGCCATCCGGTGTGCCCCTCATTAGCAAGAAACCCATTTTACACTGTACAGGACAGCTAAGATAGAGTGGTTTCAAAAAGCGACTTGTTGTTCCGCAAATGGTGTCATTAAACCGTGGCACATATCAAAAGAAACAGGAAATGGACATGTTCGCATTTGAAGACCATTCTGTGTCAACCATCGGCACGTTACAGCAAGGAAAGATAACCCCATTTGTGAAGCAGTAAACCCGTAACACCTAGTGCGAACAGATTTCAATTGAGACGGCGCCCAATGGAGCAGATGGATAGACGTACCGCATGTTGACTATCACGATGAGATCGCAGGTGACTTCCGTACCCACTCCTTTTCCTCAATAGCCTTTACAAAGAACTCCGCGAGTGCATGACGACTCAAGATCACGCCAATGTTTCCGTCACCGACGTATCCCGCAACTGCCTTCTGACCTTCCTTCATCGTCAAACCGGGAACGCGGACAAGAGTCCAATCGATGTCGTTCTTGTCACATTCCTCTTGGATGTATTTGGAGAATGTGATGATGTCTTCGTACGCACCACTCATGAAAAGCCACACGAGGCTGACCATGAGCCATGGAAGAATAGCAAATTTGTCACGGGGATCTTTGTGAGAGAAAGTCGAGAGGGCAATGAGCCGCTTGCATTTATGTGACGCCATGACTGGGATAAGAATGGTGTATCCGCGGGTAATTAACTTCTCTTTGGAGTAAGGAGGGACTGGACCAAGCGTAGATAGCACAGCGTCAATCTGACCTCCAGACACGAATGCTCTTCGGAGCGCATCTGCATCTGTCAGTTCGCCTTGGATGACAGTGATGGCGAGATTGGAAGATATGTCTGAAGAGAGCTTCGAGGGATTCCGAACGTAGAGTACGGCAGTTCCAGCCGGGTAGACTCTGAAGTACTCATGGATGACGAGGATGCCAGAGGGTCCTGTAGCTCCAAGGATTAGAACACGCATTGTGCGAGATATGTGAACGATCAGGCAGAGCTTCGCAAGCTAGTTATATGAGAAATTAAATTGAAGTCAGCTAGAGCTGGGCACCAAGAGTATTTTATCGGTGTATTGGTGAGATCGCTCTAGGAGTGGTCATCAGTGCTGACTCTGATGGCTGGTTTTATAATCTGCTAGCCCCGGTAAAAGCTGCCGCAATCGATGACGTATTGAGACTGGTTGAAAAAAAAGTAGATCCATTGCTTGAGAACCGAAAGAGATGTTTAGCGGTCGTTGTGAGCTTTGGAATGCAAGTTCGAGTCAGATGCAGTGACCAAAGGCTGTCTCAGCCTAGCTAATTGGGAAACATGGGTGAAGGTGTTGCACAACAGCACTAAACAACCGCGTGCCTCCTCGCGTGTTTGGCTCAAGATATCACTGCGAGATCTGCTTCGAGTCTTCGTTGGCCATGTCAACGCTTGCTGAACATGCTCTTCACCTTTCTCAACTCGGTCATTCTATCCAGTCTAACGCGTCTGATATCGCGCAAAGACCGGAGCAAGGACAACCATCAATTGCAGGACCCTTCACCCGTGCCATCCTCGAGACACCGCTTGGCGATCTCATACGCGATATAGACCCAGCAGAAATTGGGCTCTTTACCTTGGTTCAGCCAACGCAGTCTTTGCCTACACATGCGCAAGAAGACGTGCCTGTCCCGCCAAAAGGCGAGATTGCACGCGTAGAGTTCTCTGGCGCAACGCCTTTGCGGAGACCTCCTGCGAGACAAGCAAGGGATGATCCTGCGCGTCCCAGGGAGCACGAACCGGAAGTTTACGCTCAGGCAGCATTGAAATATCTCGATCGATAGTGCGTATTATTATGGTATACCTGCTTCTCATCTCTGAATATGTTCCCCAGTACATCAATCAGACCGATGCCTCGAGCATCGGAGCAGGCTGAACGGATTATTGAACAGCTGTCTGCTGTCCGAGATAATATCTATGAACTTAGCGAAACACTCAAGCAAGTGAGTAACTTAACGATCCTTGCTGCTATGAACAGTCTTAGACTAAGTACAGATGAATGTTGCAGGACCATCTAACCCACCACTCTCACCTAAGTCGGCTATCACGGCGGAGGAACGTCACATTCAGGAGATCGGGGCGGAAATGCTCGAGCTCAAACAGAAGGTGATGTGCCTTGTTCAATGTTGGTGCAGTAAATTCTTACGGAGCACAAAACCATAGAAGGAAGCCCTTCTGAAGAAAAAGACAGGAATCCGAGCCGCACATAAACCCGGGGCTCCCAAGTCCAAACCTAGGCCGCCACCGCCACCGACATCCCCAGATGCTCAGGAAGAGAGCTTCTGGAATACGCCAGCTGCTACCGCCCGTACCTTGCACTTCACTGATGATCTTCTGACCGACGAAAACATGGACCTCGCCAATACGTCTTCATTTGCCAGCCCGATACCAGAGAGCAAGTCCCACGCACGAAGTGGACGAGGCAATCTACGGTCGGAGTCTGCGGGTCGACATATGGCTTTCTCAGAACCGGCTGAGAAGGCTGTTTTGCACGATGAATCGCCTGAGCTGGAGGATGTGCCTATTAACAATGCGCCTCTATTACAACAGTTGGAAGCCGCTCGACATCATTCGCCCGAGCCATCTTTGTCTCGCGCAGACGAGGACGACGCGACTATTAGGATGACGACTGTACCAGTTGCAGAGGCCGTTCCAACCTCCGCAGAAGATCAGGTACTACATTCGGTATCCTCGGAGATACCAAGGCGGACGAAGCTGAAGGTAACGACCGAGTTGGAAACCATTGTGGTGCGTCTTGTTGCACGCGTGTGGTCCTATGTGATTCTGAGAAACTGCTTTTAGGTCAAGATTTGGTCAACGGTTGGGGATATAATTATGCCGGGCAATCCGTTCGACGTGCATGGTATCAACGGCCCAAAACCTCCCCACGCGAAAGAGACTATGTACGTAGCCAATCGCCCTACCTATTTTGCATTCACTGACAGCCTAATCTACAGCGCGCATCTCCACTCACTTAGTACGCAAGAACCCGTGCCAGGTTCACCAACCACTTCCCTGTCCTCACTAGCGACTGCGCCACCACCGACTGGCCAGGTTACCACACACCAACTGCTCATCGCCCATGTCCTCCTCGCTCTTCTAAACTCTCCGCCACAGTTTACTATGCCTCTCAACAAGCTTAAAACATTAATCACTGAGACTGATCCTGGGAAGAAACTGATTGGCACTGCTATTACGAAACCCATATATGCCCTAGTGGCGAAGAGATGTTTGAAGATCGATCGGAGTGGGAAGGAGCAGGTAGTCAGGTTCATGGTGTAATCTTTGCGATGGACTGTGGTTCTTGTTAGATCTCATGTCATGAATATCTTGTATACCATTTTACTCTCGCGTGTTACGCGGATACTATCGCTCTGGGCTCTGTGCTTGTTTCTGGTGTTTCAGGGTGCTATTGCTCATTGGTATGGCTCAGCAGCATTCTCTGTGAACACTGAGCACCTTCATGGCCGCAGTCCAACTTTCAACATGTGTTAGAAGTGTATGACTTGCATACATTATTGCGCCACTTGAATGTTACCCATCTAGTGTCATGCAATTCTGTAATATGAAGCTGTCCCGACCTCACTTCCGACGCCGCGCGTCCCACACTATGTATCAGTTGCGGTTCTATCTCGAGACCCGAAAGTTGCCTCCCCAATGTCCGATCTCGGGCTCAGAGAGCTGAGGATCAATGGGCCTGTTTCGATGAGGTAAAACTTACTGTGGCCGACGATTGCGTTCGATGCTCACCGAATAGAATGGAGGCCGTATGTCGACCTAAGAGACTGCTTGCAAGTCTCATCCACAGATGACTGTTGAGTGTCCATGCGCGTGAAGGCGGCCTGCCAAATCTACCTTTTGAATGTCGAGCACAAGTTGTCGATACTCATAAAAGTTGGGTCTTCTTTCCGACGATGTGTCAATGGGACAATACAGTCCTCAGCGGCATATTCAGAGCCAACGTTAACGTTTCGTGGGTCCCAAAGCACGGCAAAGCCTATGTCCGAGATGTGCAGCGACAATGGCATCATGGATTCCTATTGAGCAAAGCGCTATTCCAAATGTACAGATGACATGACTATTGTAAGAAGCTCAGCAAAAGGGCAGACATGTATGCCCCAAAACTACGAACGCAAGCGAGGAAAAAGCATCAAAAGACGGTGCTCGCGTTCAACTCTACAGGGACGGTACAATCCCGCAGCCTCGATATCCACCCAACGCCATGACGAAGCCGGGTGGCAAAGCGTGCGAGATGTGTCGCTCTTCCATGACCGTAACAGACAAAACACGTAGGAATGAGCGCGAAATGCCTTGACTTGGTACATGGGTGAAATGTCGAAGAAAAAGCGTACCAAAGCTTTACGAGCAGAAATTCATGTTATTAATACCACCAATCCTCTAGTAGCATGCAGCACTGGGGGAGTCGGGTTGAAATATTCATTAAGATTGTAAGATTGCATAAAGTTTGGAAAGGCTAAAAGACACGTCAGATGAAGAAAAGAAAAGTGAAGTGAGGACGAAACCTGGTCAAGCAAGCGGACTTGGAAGTGCATTCCCACGAATCTGATTAGCGCTTATTTTGTGTGTGGCTCAAAATGGCAGTAGGCCAGCTCCTCGAGCTCTGCAGTGAAGCTCTGTTCGACATTGCACGTCTGTTTATTCCGAAGAAATATTGACGTTATAGAGCGAAGCCTTGCAGTCCTAGAACCTTTATAGAAATCCGGCTTAATGAACTCAGTAGCAGCAGGCAATTGGTAGATTGTGTCACAAAGGACTTCGGAATTGTCGGTTCGTAACTATTGAGCCACTACAGGACCTCTTTGTTATAGATATGAGTTCGTAAGCTTTGCAAACAAAGATGAGAGAACGGAGTGTGAATATCAATGATCGCCGACGTACTATTGCGGAAGTTTATTGCATGGACCCTGCGGCTGGGTTAGAGGCCAAAGACGTGGGAGTCTCCAATAAAGGCACTTACCACTAACTAAAGAGCACGCGCCGACCACAATACCCCACCACTCAACCATCCTTCACTATGAACACCAAACTCGTCTCTTCATCCGCTCCATCCTCAGGTGCATTCGTCCTGGCCAACGCCGCTCAATTCACCGCAATATCATCAGGCCAAATAATCGTGAGCAAGACATCTCCTGCTCCACCTTTGTCAACGGGTAAGTTTGTTCACGACTACTTGGCCTGAACAAATGACTGAGACAAGCAATAGTTGAGGTCAAATATAAGCACCTCCCGGTAAGAATAAGGCGAATGAGGATGAACGTATTTCATCGCAGGGAGGCAAAGGCTTCGAGCCAGCCACTACCATCCCAGAGCGCCTCAAAAGGCAAGGCTCGCGCCGCACCTATTGAAAATGCTGCATCAGGGACTCCCCCATCTGCAGAGAGAACTGCAGTTCACGTAAGTATCGCCACAAATGCGGCCGTTCTCGAGGGGGACGCCATTGTACGGCAATCACTTAAGAGAACAAGAGGTCAGTTGTATAGGCAACAAATTGAAGGTGTACAGGCTCACAGCTATACCTTCACCAGAAACTGACTCTGAGGACCTTCCACCCCGATTCCGTAGGAAGTTTCAACGCCGTCGTGCCACAGAGGAAATACTAATAAATCCGATTACAGCGGATTGTGAAGACCAAAGTAAGTTCATACGCCTTCATTAAACATCATGACAGTCAATATATGTTGCTACACAGAGCGTGAAGAAATCGTAACTCCTCGTCAGAGTGTCAACGCACCTGAAAGACCGCAGTCGCAGCGGAGCACCGGAGCCAGCGCAAGCAGAAGCAAGCCACCCTCCTCCAGTACCACTCGTCTAGCACCAACCAACGACACCAAATCTTGCATTCCGAAGAGCGGAGAGAAGCAAGCAGACGACGTTACCCGACAGGCAACCCCCTCGCGCTTGCAAGAGGGAGCAGGTCCCAGCACGATCGACACATCGGTAGCCATGATCCTGTTAGAACTCGGACGGCCTGTCCAGCAGACTGTCACTAGCGGCAGCAACCTCGTAGGCCAATCATCGGCGGACCGTCATAGCAATGATAAGGCTTCGGTCGTGGACAAGACGGCGAATAGACGGCGTAGGCGGCAGAATATCGTGCCCCAAGAGCCTACCAGAAGATCAACCAGAAAGAGGTGTCCAGTACAAAGAACTTGAACTTGAAAAGACGAGAGATGGTACGAAACGCAGGCAGAACTTGTTTAAGGTCTTGTGCAATCGATTATCGATACCACTGTATTGCAGCGGACTCCCGCTCACGGACATGATGTATACCAGAAATGTACCGTAGACTTTTATAACACTTGATGTTTCCCCTCCCTGGCCGTTGTTGGATCGCAGTAGGCTCAAGTAGTACTGTACCGCAGACGACTCGTACAGTACATAGAGTCATGGACAGAAAGACTGCAAATCGGCAATCGTCCATGATCCAGACTCCAAATCCGGCAGGTAGTTCGAAACATCGGGCGCTTTGGGTGCTGTACGTCAATTTCGCTGAGTTGCTAGCTTTCGTCTTGCCATCTCCTTTGAGGCCAATTCACGATGGTAACATTTGCAGATTGGCACACCTCGCGTTTTGCTGAGCATGCATATTTAGCTCATTTTCTCCGTCTTCAAAACGTTAACAGACCAGACGGTGACGGTGGAACTCAAAAATGATCTCTCCATAACCGGCGTCTTGAAGTCTGTAGATCAGTGGGTGTTTCTTTACTTTTCGTTACAACTCTCTTCTTACTTCAATGTGGTAACACTAGGTTTTTGAACATCCGACTGGATTCAATCAAAGTTCTGGATGAAGCAAGACATCCTCATATGGTGGGCTGAAACTCGAGTTTTCTGCTTATAATCAACTCACTCGATGTGTAGATGGCAGTAAAGAACTGCTTCATTCGAGGCTCTGTCGTTCGTTACGTCCAGCTCCCAGCCGAGCATGTAGATACTCAACTTCTTGAAGATGCTACGCGCCGTGGTAAGGACATTCTCATCTTAATGCATGCGCCACCGGTACTGATGTCCACCGTAGAGGCCGCCAGTGGTAAACGATAGTAGTAATGCTCTGGTCGTGCAGGTATATTTTCATGAATCAGGACGCTTCACGCTGTGTCTCACCATAGCAGTTTTATTCCTCGCTTGTTGTCGTTGGGATACCCTAACACTTTGGAGCCGATTCGAGCGTGCGCATGTGTACAGTACAACTCAATTGAATATGACGCTCTCATCCTCAGGGGTTCAGTCTCCCGGGATAAATACTGTACAATTTTGGGCAACAGCCTCTCCGGCCAAAAGTCAAAGACAAATAAAGAACGCTAACAGATCCCTCTATGAAGCTGGATGTCGCCAGACCTTAACGGTACCATCCGCGCTCGCAGTGATCATCTCGCCATCCTCCGTGGGATGATGCTCAACCCAGGTAATGACTTTATCATGTACTCTTGGAGGGGGATTCGGTGGAAGTGGCGTGGCCTAGAGACCAATGAACTGAGATGTCATACTGAAGACAAGGAGCTCACTTACGTCAAGTAAATCCCAAGCCCATACTTGTCCGTTCTCATCTCCGCAAATGACAGAAGCTTCACCATGATCAAAGCACGACCGACAACGATACGACTCGATACTGTGCCCAGTGAAGTCGTTCAGCATTTTGCCAGTTGTCGCGTCCATGAGACGGACGTGGGAGTCCAAAGTGGTGACTAAGTACGTATGTTCATCTTGGGATGGCACGACTGAGGTTACTGGATCTGTAAGACATAGCGTGAGGAACGATTAAAAGGCTAAGCAAGACAGCAGCTCTCAGCGCGAGAGGACGCACATCCTATGTAGTCTTCGCGAAGCTGGCCCATACGCAGATCGTATGTGCGGACATATTCATCCACGGATCCTGCCATGATAATGCCATGGCCGACATATAACGTTTGTATCGCGTCGCGTGCTTCGTCCAGCACTTGAACAGGCTGACGATTCTGGGAGCTTAAACCTGAAAGTTGGTCACCATACTTAAGACAACAGACCATAAACACATACCGGATGTCCCATAATCTTACAGTCGCGTCATATGATCCTGAGCAGCACAATCATAAGTGAGATATCTCTTAAGCAAAGAGGCTTTGAGCATACCGCTGGCAATAACAGATGCATCCTCGTTGAACTCTACAGCATTGATCTTCCCCATATGTCCGGATATTCTCCTAATGGTGGCTCCGGTCGTGACATCCCACAGGAAGACCGACCGATCTCCTCCAGACGATGTGAACTTGCTGTTATCATGGGATCTAGCGAAGAGGACAAAATGAACGGTCTGCAACTTTGCTTGAAAGCAAGAATGGTTCAACTCACGCACACGCTTATGGAGAGTACCTCGTACCCATGGGCTGCATATACTTTGATCTCTGCCCCTGAACTTGGGTTCCACAGTCGAACAGTACGGTCTTGTCCGCCGGTTAGAACATATTTCGATGTTCCCTTAGCATAGCGGGCGACATGGACAGGACCCTTGTGGTTCGCGAGAGTGGTATGCAAAGTTCTTGCGAGTGCATTTGGACCTCGAGAAGGAGCCATGGAACGAAGCACAGAACAACTAGTTACGTAGAATGCGGCAGGCCCACAGAAGATATCTGCAGTGCTTGAGAGTAGTAAGGTATATTGTATATGAAGCTTCGAAGTGCAAGTGTCAAATGAAGTGTGGAGAACGAACGGATGGAAGCGCCCCCAATAGTATTTGTTTGTAATGAGTGTAGGATTTTGGTGAGCGCTCACTACAAGCACTTTCTAATAAGCCTTACAAACGGTTATAAGTGGGCATAACCTTTGGATAGTAATCTCCTTATCTCCTCTTCCTCTCAAGCTGAATAATGCATCTCTCACCTCTTCGTCCACCACAACTCTACACTGCCGCTTTCAATGACAGATACGGCGACGATGAGACAGTCTACAGGCATGTCTAAACGACAGCTTTCTCCTGCACCTCTCCCAGTCGCCAAGCGACCCCACATCTCAGCCCCAGTGACCTCAGGGTCTTCCAGAGAACGTCCGAGCTTGGACACCCTCCTATACGACGAGGTTCTTCTCCTCATTTTCTCATATCTCTCTTGGGCAGACCTATGCGCAATACAAGCAACCAATAGGAATTGGTGCAGGCTCTCCCTCGATAACCAGGTACTTATTCATCAGAGAGTTCAGAACATTGCGAAACCAGATATTGAACGCCGTGTCCCCGAGTAGCTTTGGAAGTCATTATATCTTAGCGAATATGGCAGAACTAGGCTGAGAGGTGTCAGGGGCTTCATAGCTCGTCCTGATGGAAGGGAAATCAGACCTCTGCCTGGAAGGACAAATTTTGAAGACGTCCGTGACTGGAAGTGGATGTTTCGCATTAGCTCAAACTGGCGTATAGGCAAGTATTTATTCTTCCTTCATACTTTCTTTTATTGATGTTTCTGCCTTGTTGCAGGGAGATGTTCGGTGGATTCACTTACACCGCCCTCCAGTCCTCTCTTGTTACCGCGTTCATTACCGGCGCAAACCAATGAACCTAGGCCAGAAACACTTCTGCTCCTCGCAGGCAACATCATAATTACAGCCTCCTCCCGCCCATCTTCTTCGCCTGAAATACGCTTCACCACAAGCGGTGCAGTACATACTATGCACTGTCCTTCGAGTAAAGGCACCAACCCTACAGAGGTTACTGCACTTGCGTTAGATCAATCACCTCCTACCAACGCACACCACATTCGTCTCGTAAGTTTCCTCTCCACAGGCGAATTCACTGTATTTCTAGTCAACCACCAAACTGTATCCAACTCCACTCGATTAATGTCCTGGGTACCCGTGTCTCGGACTCCCAGAACCTCCCCCATAATTCAAGCTGTGTATCACCATCCTGTGCTCATCACACTTTCGGAATCCTTCTACCTCTCACTATACGACCTATCCTCCAATAATATCGTACATGCGCAGACCTTGTCTTCATTCACCTCCTTCCCTCCAAGCTCACTAGTACTGTCTTCGACGTCGCCGGGGATGTACAAGCTGGTTCTTGCGTACGCTATTCCGGTCTACCCAAGCCATTGGAGTGTAGGCGCGACGGAGTTGATCATTTCGTCCTCTCCTTCGTTGGGTGTGACCGCCAGTCGAACGACCAAGGCATTCGACGTTCCTCCTGGATGGATTGATGAGCACAAGATGAAAGCTGCTCGGGAACAGTGGGGAAGGAAGGTTGCCCGAGTAGCTGATACGCAAACCGATGGAAAGTGGGTCGTGCTGGCTCCCGGTGAACCTGTCAAGCCTACTTCAACGCCCATTGGTCCAGGCTCCGCCGCCTCGGGGTATCCATCGTCCAGCTTACATTCCCCTTCCTCATTACAACTTTATCGCCTTCATCTTCCTTCATCTACATCATCATCTTCCCTCCCTAAACTCAACTTCGTTCGAACCCTGCATGGCCAGACTGGATCTGTTTCCGCACTTGCTCTGGCAGATGGTCGGTGCGTCAGCCTAGGTGTGAATGGGAGTATTTGGGCATGGGACCTTGAAGGTGGTACGGGCGCCGAAGTTTCCGGCGCAAGACCGGTTGACTTAGATGAGCTGGAGTCGTTGGACGTTCATCCGTTGGTGAAAGGCGCAGTTGTGTTCGATGAGCGTCAGATCATCAGTGCTGACTCTAGAGGCGTAGAGGTTCGGAGGTTTGACATTTGAGACTCCTTACCGCTTGTTTATTATTATTCTTTCGTCTGCTTGCTTTCTGTATCATAGCCTGGTTTGTGTTTCATCTCTATTTCCACTTGTGTTTGCAAGGTGCATGCTCGAATATCTCTGCATCGAATGCATCGTGCTGGGGACCCACGGATGCGGTGTATGAACAAACTGGGCTTGTAGCCACGGCCAGTATCTTTTCCCATCGTTCCATGGTATTTCACCTGTGCCCCAAGGACTGCGGGAAGGTTTATACGGCTCGACGAATTTTAAGCATAATGTGATTGGGCGACATCAATCTTGCGGCGTTATTGCTAATGTACAGATGCCAGAACACGTAGGTGAGCGGTTAACTGGATCGTATACTATGAGTAAAGGGGCACTGAGTTCTGACCAACTGTTTCTACATCGAAGTCCAACCAGGCTACGTTTATAACCACAAGTAGTGGCCGCCTTCAATGATTTGATTTCGAATGTCACGGAAAGTTGTGGTGCATTCTCTTCATATCACCTTTCTGAACTCAGTCTTTCATTTCAGAATGGACACCGGTGTATGCTTTATCCGTAGCGCAGCAGGTCGTCTCTTGAGCTAGCAGCCGCACTTTCGTGGGCCTACCGATGTGTAGGTATGCTGTCTTCAGAAGTACTGAAGCTAACTTCTCGCGGGGTACAGGCCGACATGCGAGATACATTGGGCTGTCTGTCAAGCATTCTCTTGACGTAACTAATACCCGCAGGACTCTTGGTTGCTTTCCGGGGGATGCCCAGATAGTAAGCGATGTCATACGAGTTAAACATTCTCACATACGTTACTACTAGTCTCCTCACTCTTTTCACCAATGAGTTCCAGAAGACTGTCCGAATCGCTAAACAATATCTTTCCCCGACCATTAATGAACGCCTTGCTGCCATGAAAGAACTAGGGCGAATTGGGATGACAACCAGTGCGTCTCAATTCACCGACAAGTGTTTCTCGCATATTTCCTGACTGCCAATAATTACTTGCAGGCTGATATGCTTCAGTGGATTATTGAAGAAGCTCTGGCTAGGAACTACGATCTGGACGTCATCGTACAGATGGTCCTCATGATTAACTTCGTTTCTATTCACAACACATCTAACAGTCACTACTAGGTACAATAATTCCTGGTCATCGTTCGTGGACGCTGACACCACCATAGAGTTTCACCCATGCATTGTACCATCTCGCTGTACAGCCAAAATTTCTGGTATCTCTCCGTGAGGAATTCGCCTCCGTCATCTCCGAAGAAGACCAAGGCAGCTATGAGCAAAATGCGCAAATTGGACAGCCTCCTCCGTGAATCTCAGAGGATGAATGGCACCGATATTGATAAGGATAACCCTCATCATGTGTGCTTTTGTTATTTACACAGCCGAAATCACAGTTCACCTGTTTCAAAAAAAGTTCAAAGACGTAACCCTGTCCACCGGAGCGACTGTGCCTGCGGATTCATACCTCGGTGTACCTCTCCTTTCGATTCAGCATGATGAAGAACTATATCCCAACCCGGAGGTTTTCTATCCCTGGCGCCTTTCAAACATGCGTGAAGGTGCGGAAGGCGTGAAGTATCAATATATCACTACTTCACCAGAGTACCTTACCTTTGGACATGGAAGGCATGCCTGGTATGTGTACCTTGCATTTTGCGCACATAATTTGTTCATGCTGACTAGATATAATCCTTCTTATTAGTCCCGGGCGACCCTCCGCGGCGAATGAGATCAAGACAATGCTCTGTCATGTCATCTTATATTATGACGTGAACTTCGAGAACGAAGGCGTACGTCCGCAAAACTACTGCGTCTTCATGCAGTCCTATCCTTCTGTCGATGCAAAGGTTTTGTTCAGGGAGCGTCACGTATGAATGATTGTGCTGTTAAGTATATGTACTCATAGCATGCTAGGAACCGACGCCATTCCATGTATATCGAATCATCAGTTTTAGCAATATGATACCGCCACAAAAATGTTCGCGACCTGTCTTGGGACTGCCGTTCGTGTGAACCGTGAAGCTTGAAGACGGAAGTCCGGATAGTAAAATATCGGTCATAATCATCCTGGGCAAGTATATATATGTTAAAGCACGCAAATACGTGAAGAGAGGAAAATATTGGAGGCCAGTCATGAAGGACATAGCTCACGGGCTGCAAGCGGTTCGGCATCCCCCGTAATCGATACTTGTGCAGAGTCTTTGTTCCTTGTTCCCCCATCCTCACTAGCTCCTCCTTCCATCTCCTTCTCTTGCGAGAACATATCTCATTCTCCACGCGTCATACCAGTCAAACCATCATCACAGTCATCATGAACACCCATACTCATCCTCCAAATGCCACCTTCTTCCAATATCTCGATGTGGCGGCCGGTGGCCAACCTCGCTACGCGTTCACGACGCGTCAATTGGTCAGTTCCCTTATCATAGAGCAAAAGATAATGACTTACATTCATTTCAGGACGACCTTGAGCGTGGTGTTGTCCGCTCCTCTGAGTCAATGTCTTCCATGTTCGATCAAAAGGACATTCAAAGACAAAAAGTTGCCAAATACCCTACGCCACCTCCTGTGTATCTCGTTCCAGAACCCGTTCCCATTGCTGCACCCAAACCCATGCACCCAGATGCGATCAGTCCCCCTCTCCTCACATTGCAATGGAAACTGACCGGCAATGAATTCTATACGCCCCCGCCCTCGTATAATCAATTGTCGCCACATGAATGGGCGAAGGAGACGGCGGCAACGGTCCCTAAGAAGGACCGTATCGTCGACGTCGGAAAACGCGCCCCTCAGCCACCTATCGGCACAGGCCGACCACGGCCATCCAACACACAGCGCAGATTGGCCTTGACGGCAACCTCGCATTCAACCTATCACTCGCAATCGGTCAGCAATGAGAGGGCTATGGCCTTACTGGCTATTCTCAATGGCCATGCTGGTCCCGCAATGGTCCACAAACCTTCAGATCAGTGGGCACTTAATGAGCGATGTTCGTCGTATTCCTCGTATGATGGTCCCAAGGCGACCCCGGTCTCGTCTTCGCATGCCTACAACACAAGTAGTCATCAACAAACTTTCCCAATCTCTGCGTCTAAACCGCAGACCCAAATACTAGAACCCATGTCGACTCTGAGGGGAGTGCCTTCTCAGAGCCATGGGGTTCATGTATCAAGGTCTGCGGACCGGATGCAAGTTGGGCGGGATTCGTGGAAATCGTGCGCCAATGAGGAGCACAATGGAGCCATGTGCATGAGGAGTGAGGGCATTGTCAATGACCTATCGGGTGCTCTGTCGCGAGATCGGCCCATCATCATCTACGACACCCATCAACCTATTCAACGCACGAAGAGAACCCGTCCTCTCCCGCGTCCCCCGATCCAGGCAGAGATCTCGCCACTCGTCATGAGTTTCTTAGCCTTGAGGGTGTAAGCCATTGGGATGCATAGGTAAAGAGTAGGAAGGAGTGACAGTGGACACTGAACACTTCCCTAGGAGTCTTATATCTGATGACATGGACCATGATTTTGTCTAGAACTCACATTTTTGTCTTTTGTCTTTTACTTTGTTCTTGTATTGAATCGATCGTCTTATCGCTATATCAGACACCTTTCTTGACCCGACTACAGATGCGTTACCATGTGACGCATTGTAGCGTTCTTTGACTAACACAACTGAGAGTCTGGTTACGTTACCTTCGCGCATACATTCAGCGCGGTTGCTAGTAGAGAATTAGGACCATCGAGAAAGTCGTTGAGAAACTGTTCCTGCGACTTTGGCGCGCATTGGATTCGTTAGACGCCTATCATTATCATGATCGATCGTTGCACTGGAAGCTTTTCGCCAGGTCATCCATCTTATTTCAATCACGAACTACGCTCTCAATCGAGTAGTAAAGTGCATCAGTATGCTCAACTGATACAAATATAGCCCGTTCATGAACTGAATGCATTACTTCTAGGCTCACCCAAAATTCTCCGTAGTCCTTTCAGAGCCCGGGAATGTGCCTGCCAGTGTAGGAGGAGAAACGTTAAGGATCAAGTAGTTTCTATGACGTCTCTTCTTGTGCTGCCTCCAGAGGTGACCAATGTCGTGATTGGATGTTTGCACGATGACAAGACATCTCTAGCATCGTGCTCTCTCGTATGCAAAGCCTTAACACCGACTTCCCAATCCTACCTCTTCCGCTCCATCCGCTTTTGTCACAATTCCATTCCATCTGCAACAGCAAGCTCGAAGTTTTTTGAATCGATTCGCATTTTTACATGCACAGGATGTCGCTACAAAGAGGCATGAGATCCGAGAGTTAACTATCATGGGGGCAGGGGGACTGGGACCTCGTGGCCCCGATGTCGATGATGACCGGATCATTCCCATCTCTTTAATCCACTCTATATTACAGGAGTTGCTCAATCTACGCACGTTCAGGCTCCTCCGATTTAACCTACCTCCTTTATCCCTCATTCCTTTCTGCGATAGACCGATCCGTCGACACCTCTCTGAACTCGACTTTCGTAGCCATGCGGTGTCGCTGTCTACTCTCTCTGCTTTCTTATGCTACTTCGACAAAGTGAATCATCTAAAGGTCCACTTGGAAGGCTGCACGGACGATATTGGCACCACTGCGTCAGGATCCGTATCCGGCGATGACCCTCCTCAGATCTCACGACTTTCCATTTCTGGATGGAAAACGTACCGATTGCTCAGGCTTCTTCTTACCCCAAATTTGACCCTCACTTCGTTGGAGTTGCGTATAGTCGATACAGGGCCTGCGACGGAAGATACTAGCGCGTTCATCCATTCAGTTGGAAAGAACTTGGAGTATCTGCACATAACCTTCCATGCATACTACACTGACGGTACGCCATATCATTCCTCTGCTAGCTTTAGTATTTGTATTGAGTACTAATCATGCACCTGAAATTACATTCTCTTCTTTTCTGATAGTGCCGGTAATGAATAGGTACAACATATCATCGTGCATCAAGCTTGTTGAACTCTCCTTGACCATCGTTGTCGATACCAACTACCTCAAAAACCCTCAGAATTCGACTTGGGATCGTACGATATCTCTTCTATCCGCCATTCCATCTCCTCTCAACCTTCGTCGACTGACATTCACATTGTCCTTCATTGGACCGATCGAGTTTGAACCTACTTCACTTCAGCCCTACGATTGGGGTCTTCTGGACCAAACCATTGCGAGATTCCGAAATCTAGAACGTGTCACATTTTTGGGTGCAGAAGATGGATTTGAAAGCTCCCTTGTAAATCTTGGGGATCTAGGGGATCTCATCATCAAGCGGCTGCCGATTCTCTCTGCGGGAGGACGATTGATGGTTCTGTAAAAATGACCGTGTTCGTAGGTTCACGTTCAATGCTCACATTGGGGATGACACTAATGATTGAAGACATGTGCAGTTCTACTGGCTTGTGTACGTGTTGGCGAAGGAGTTCAAGTTTTCGTCCTGCATCAAACTCCTCGACCTCTCTTTGAACATCATCTTCGAGTGCGTTCCAGAGCCTAGCAAAAGCGTTTCAGGCTGGGATTGTGCTGTACCTCTCATGGCCGAAGTGCCATTATATCCCCTCCATTTCAATTATTCTCTACGGACCACCCATTTTGTATCGATGGTCTTAAATATTATGATTGGAATGCTATGGATCAAGCCCTCGTGATATCCTGAGGGTTAGAACTTGTCATTTCTCAGAGAGTGGAAGGTTTCGCTGCACTCCCATTTTCACTGGCCACACGGAAGTTCGTCAGGAGACAGCTCCCCAGGCTCTCTGCCGCTGGGCAAATGGCTTCGTTGGCTTGGCTTGGTTTATGTCCATATTTATGCGTCCCGATGGATAAGTGATGACACGTAGATAAGAACAGACAGAACAGTGGTAATTCGTTGGACTGATACTTACTGCATGAATCCGGACGACCAGTATGTTCCTAGTCACATGCGAGCCTTGATATATTCATCGTCGAGTTTGCAGATATTCTTCTAGTTTCTGTCGTTCTAGGAGGTGCGATGGATCCAAAGCTGCACCCGAAATTGACAGACTACATCATCGACTATCTCCATGGCGAGAAATCCTCTCTTCTGTCATGCTCCCTTGTTGGCAAGGCGTAGACTGCGTCGTCCCAATACCACGTTTTCCATGCAATTTCCTTTGAACTACCCTAAGACGAATTTACCCGACCAATGCTCGGCTTTCGTAACTCTCGTTCATACTCTCGAAGCCTTCCTCACGTCGACCTTGACCAAAACTATGCGTCGTTACGTTCGAGAGAGGATGCACGGTTTGACCTGCTCACAAGGATGTCTAACATCTGCTAAATTACGGGACAGATAACATCTTGAACCGAAGAGGAACCCATGGTACGATGACTACCAGCCACTGTAAAATAGATATTTGGAGCTTTCCATTCTCATATAGCACTTGTACCTGAAATTGTTCTGCAATCGCAAGCCGATTTGCTTTTAAGCGTATGAACTAGTGGCACTGCCCTAAGCAATGGCAATCCGTCAGGCATCATCCCACCACGAACACAGCGAAATCTAATGTAGAACGTAGGATAGTCAACAAAGCACAGGTATCGGATAGTACACGGTACAAGGTCCCACCAAAACTGACTCATGCCTTCGCAGCCGCAGCCGCCTTTTCCGCCTTTCTCGAATTGATCAGGTCAAGTATCGGATCTTGTTTAGTGCGTTGGTAGCTGAGACAACAAAAAGCGTAAACATAAAAAGACGGATGAAAGACATGAAGGTGACCATACTGCCAGATCCTAGCTAGTTGACCGAGACCAGTCGATCCAACGAAGAAGTTGACCTACAACCGAGCAACAACTTTAGTAGCACCGAGGTAATATGCAAGGGCTGGAACCTACCGCGGCCAGACTGTAGTTAACTGGGGTAATCACCAAGGAGTAACGAACCCAGATGAAGCCGGTTGCAGCGAGAGCTAGAAAGGACGATCATAGCAAGCGCAGTGAAAGTGCTGTAAGCACGAGGCTGCGAATAGCAAAAGAACCTCATGGACGCACCGACGTTCTGTGATACGCTAAGCTTCTCTGCTGGCCTCGAGAGATCCTTCAACCCAGCTGCGACCAAGCACCACTTCATCATCGGAGCCCAGAAGAACACCGTTTTGGGGCCTTTTGAGTCATTTCACCAAGTGCATTGACGCAGTGGCGAAAACATGTCACAAATTCAGTTCATAGTTCAGGTATCGCAACACCATTTGCGCAGGGTATAGATTATACGGAGATAGTCCAAGAAAGTATAATCAGCAGTCGAAGGTCTGGCTTGCATCACGAGAGGGCTCACCGGCCGGGTGATTCATGAAAGCCTGGAACTTCGAACCTGCTGCGGCAGATGCTGCTCCCGACATTGCGAAGACTGATTGAGATGGTCGAAATAAAGAAACGACGGAGTTGGACCGCGATGAAAGGGGGTTGGTCAACGTCTGGAATGTCAAGCAATGTCGGTCGGACGACGATGAGCGACTATCCCGAATTGTTCGCCGTCAGCATAAATGAGTCAAACTCTCCATAATAAGCGCACGTCGGCTCGACAGTGGCTTGCCTTCTCGTTTTCTCGGATTTTCCTCCTGCATACATATCTTCTTCATTCTCTACAGTTTGCGATACGACACTCATTCGTGCTTTATCTAGGATCAAGACCCGTTAATCTACGAACAGGATACTCTGCAGAGGTTTCTCAAGTCTACGAAATAACACTGATCCACGATTGGAAAGAGCTGAAAGTTATCTGAATTAAGTTCGTAAAGGTTCGATTCGAGGTTCTACATGATGGGGAAAACTCATGGATGTACATACAGCACAAAACTACTCTTTGAACTTCACGGCGTGCTTAGAAACCAAGTCAGCAAATGCCTTCATAAGTCCCTCGTCGATTTTACCCTCAAAGAGGAACGGGCGATATCGACTGTATAAGTCAAAGCCCTTCGCATCGGTATCGAATTTTCCAACTTGGAACTCGCTACTTGCGTGAGTCTTGCTGGTATCCTGCACACGCAAATGTAAGACCTGTGGTGACGCCGTTGAAAACAATACGTACACGGTCGCCGAACGTCACACTATACAGATACAGTATTTTGGGGGAGTACCAGGCGGAATAAGGCTCGCTTTCATCCAAGCCCTCTAAAGCCGTGTTGACTTCGCATGCTATATAAGGGTATGTGGAGGCGCAGTGCATTACCACGTCCTTGATGGCGATCTCATATCTGGAAATTCGGTCAGCTAGGTCGCTGTGGATACTGAAGGACAAACCGAAGCATTGCAGTATTAGCCTCTGTATACAGTTCATCAACGGTAACACAAGTTTTAATTCTGGTTTAAATCTGACCTGAAGTCCCAAACACAAGGTTATTGCCGTGTTGCGAATTCTGTTGAACTGTAGACAGGATATTCAATTCGACTGGGAAGCCAAGCCCTCCAAAGGAAAATGCGGAGCGGTGAAGCCACTGAATTTTACGTGAGCGATACATCCTAGAGGCAAAGGCGAATCCAGCAGCACTTACTTCTGCTACGATTGGACGCCTTTCTCCTTCTTTCACCTCGAATTCCCAGAGAACGGCGGCGAGCTACGAATACGCGTACGGGTCGGAGAGTAACATTTTCCAAGAGATGAGATGGTGCGTACCTCGGTCGCGCTCGTGCCAAACATGATATCCTTCTGCGATACCTCTCTCTTAACGCCTACTGTGCCTTGGATCTTCTTTTGATTCGTTATGGTAATCGTGCACGTTTCCACGACGCCGTGCAGTTTCTTCTTCTGTGCTGCCTTTATTTGTGCCTTCTCTTCTGTCCTCCCAACCTTGGAATTCGCGTCAGGTATCACCTGGGGGCTTTCGATCTTCTCAATATCGCTGTTCAGATCGGTAAAGACGGGAACTGTGCTGCTTTCGTTGATCTTCATCTTCTTCCCTACTTTGCTGCTGATACCAGTCTGGTCCGCGCGTTCGTCTTCCTTCGCCTTCTTATTCTGGCGCTCGGTCCATGAGTATGCGAACTCGGGATTGATTGCCTTGATGCATTCATTGTCATCCTCGGTGGGATGACGACGAACCAAGCCAGCTTCCCCTGCATGACCCTTCACACACAATGCGGCGACCCATTTGTCGAAATGGTCGCGCATGATCCATGTCCTATAGAATTCGAACGGATGGCAGCCAATTTCCAGGAACTGCGAGGAGTCCACTGTGTCTTGGACTGTCACGCGGGCCTTCCCAAGCTGATCTTTCAAAGCCTCATCCTTCCAACGGGTCAGTAGGTCCTTGGTGACCGCTTCGCCTCCTCTGCCCCACGTTCCAGGCGTCAGTACAATGTCGTACTCAATGGCCCGAGGGTTGAAATAGCGCGCGTAGACATTCCAGCGACTCGGCTTCTCGTAGAGGTCGTACACCACGCCTGCAATGGTAGACCAACTACGTTTCCACGTGTCGAAACGCTTATTGGAGAGGTCGTAGATGGACGGGAACGAGTCCTTCTTCAGGTCCTCCATTTCCGTTCGGTCTTTAACCACAATAGACTGCCACATGTCGAAGGGACGATTCCTGTTGAGCAGGCTTTTGGCGTCCATCGCATGCTGCTCCTGCAGAGCGGGTTCACCGAGCGTAACGTCTACTCGGTTCTTGAAGTCTTCGGTCCGCATTATGACATTGTCGTAATTATGTCCGAGGATGACGAAAGTCTCATCTTTCGGGAGCGTATTCTTCGGGAAAGAACCTTTTGAGAGGGCATGTAAGTGATTGCGATCCTGGACGAAGAACACAACTACAAACGGATACCTGTTCCAGGATGTGGAGCCTGATTACCAACGAGCTCCTTCGTGAATATCGGGATCTTGTACTTGACTTGCTTGCCCTGCTTTGCGTATGTATTGACGGTGACATCCACGAAGCGATCGGTCAAACGAAGCACCGGATTGACGGTTTGTACTGGCTCTGTGTTCATGTTGCAAAGGGTTGGTGTTGATAGTCGAGTATGTTCTAGCGACTTTTGTACTGTATGCTGACTGTTCGGCACAGTGCAAATACCGACCTCGAAAGGCACGAAGGGCTACCTAACCGACCGCGCCACCAAGACCACTGTCTGAAATCAGGGTCGACCCCAGGGCCAACGAGCAATCGACTGTGCCTGAATTGAAGGCCAGGACGCCATGTCGAACGCTACTAGGCGGGCAGTACCTTCGCTCGACCAGCACCTTTGTCAAAAACTGGACTCTGCCTTTCCGTTCACGCGCAACGCTGTCACCCGCTGTCCGCTACGCACTTCCCAATTACCCCTGTGGCTGCTACATTCAATCCGACAGGCTAGGACCAGCATTCTAGGGCAGTTCATTTCGAGGTTGTGCTGATTAGCGAACTCTGTAGGTAAGTGAATCAAAGGTTCTATCAATATGAATACAGCTGGAATAGGCATGAAGAAAGCCGGAACGAACATACAACCGAATTTGGGGAGGCACATTGAATGGATAGTCGGATGTTTGACTTCTGGTCGTCAAGACTCTCGCAAGAACAACCGTCACACTGCACATGCCAGTTGATGGAAAGGTAAGATAAAGTCCTTTATATGCAACATATGCAGGCTGCCTTATACAAGAGAGGTTTACGAGGTGGGGAATCGTAATCTCGGCAGGATTACAGAATTGAAATCGCGTTTGGTTGCTTCCAGGGATCAGGAACCAGGCACCCTAGCCCGCGTTCTCTGTCTACGGGCTGTAGAGTGGGCAACGTAATAGCGTCGAGTGAGTTCATTGTCGTCTGTCCACTGCGCTTCTGTGGACCTCACAATCTCCGATAACAGTCATCCTACTGGCTTCTGCAGCATGGGCTTAGCTGACCAGTCAGGAACTCGGTCGTCCTCTCAAGTGTGCTCAGCTTGTCTATTCAGTGCGGTTTAGGTGCTGTAGTCTTGGGCATGAGGAGCTACAGCGGCCATGATAAGCTTTCCTAAGCTTATGTCGCTAGACGGTCTTCCAGCGCCTTGCACTTTCCCATTCGCCATTCTCGTCAACCTTCACGCAAGTCACGCCAGGAATCTCACCTCTTATTTGACAGCAGATGGCCTGGCAAAGTGCTCGAGACCGAACGAGGCACGCCCTCGACCAATGACGCCTTCCGATATTGGCTGTAGAACAGTCCGTGATGCTGCCTATCTTGACAACCCTATTGGTCAATGTGTTGTTCAAATCCTCTGATTTGCTGCGGTATCAAGGACACCATGCGCCATTTCCATCGGTCGACGACATATGCAAACATATGAGTAATTGTTAGGGATTAAACGCCTGGGCTGCATACACAGCAGTATAAAGCCGTCTACTCCGTGAGGTTTGTGAGTTTATTCCCACTTGTTGGTATTGTGCACATTTCTCACTATAGCCATTTCTTGGCAGGACATTCCTCGACTGGATCCTTTGCGCACCACAACTCGCACATGTCTGTCATTGGTTGCACTATAAGCACCGTGATGGCTTTCGAGTCGTGGCGGCCGCAAGGATTGGTCGACGTTCTGTTTCGCCGAGGGTTGTCTATCCCTTTCCGAGCTTGCAAGTTGCGGCGACATTCCCTAGCTATGTTGATATCCGCGACACCAAGCTATGATACTAGCATCCTAATTCGAGATGACTGAAATTGACTGAACCCTTCCAGTCTATTGAAGACTATCACGTTCAACTTTTCTTTAATAAAGTAACTGCTCTGCTAGTGTCTGTATCGTGAGGTATCATACGAGTCTCAGTGGCACTGGCAGAGCGTCTGTTCGGTCGCTATGTCGAATCTCTGACCGGTTACCGGTTATATCTCTGCCGGTCTCTTCGTATAATAATAAAGCTCTGTTGCAGGCCACAACATGTATTTCTCCTCCTCTTGCCTTCCACCGAGTATGAATGCAACTCCGATATAGAAGGACGTCGAAATCCTGTCCACTGTTTGGCCTGTTACTTATGCGTCTCTTTCCTTCTTGAATGTTCATTGTCAATTGTCGGCAGGTTGAGAGTCCATTTCCGCTCTGTGTTCAAACTGATCAGTTCACAGTTACATCTTTGTGTTCTCCAGGTTGTTCGTGCCTATCATAGAAGCCCCTCGGTGGATGCCTGGCGTAACGCCTACCGGCAGTTGCCCCCGGACGTGGTCGGGTTGTTCGGATCTGACTCGTGTCTGGCGTTTTGAATCTGTACTGCTTCATCCCGAGTTTCTGCAATTCTCCCTGTGGAACAACTGCTGTCATGCCTTGACAGGCTGCGCTGGTGTTTTCTGAATCTTTTTTTCCAAGTCATTCTGGGAAGGTTGTGACTTCAGAAGTCTTGTCGAAGCATCTTGACAAAAGCTGAGACGCTAGAAACTCATTATGCATCATGTGTCCATCCCTCACCTTCGCACCCGCACCGTCTGTCAAGGTTCTGATCCCCACCAACTTCTCGGACACACTACGCGTGGTCTTACCCTGATGATTTATACTTTGACGCCGCGAAGAGATACGCTTGTGGAAGATGCTCTACCTATCTGTGCCTATCAAAATGACAACAACAGTTGGCATCGACCAAGGGTCACTCTAGTAGCGCTGTCTGCATTTGCAGTCTTATGTTACGGAAACAACTCGAGGACCGTGCAGAAACCGCTTCTTGAACCATACCCTCATTGTCAAAACATCGTGCTCGCTATCTTCCATCGTCTAATCCTGGGATTCTTTCTCTCGGCCAATAGCATATAGCGTACGAGCTTCGACGTCGTCCCGAATCCGTTCACAGCGCTATTATTGTGGGATAGCGTCACCCCCAGCTGTCAATCCAGCGGTAAAATTGTGCATTGGGGGGCTAGGGACTTATGGCTCCATTGGGATCGATGATCTACATAAACTTCGCAGCCACTTATATCTGGTCAATCTTCCCTCGCTAACACCGTCGACCCTCCCTCTTACTTCTCTTACTTCTCTCTCTCCAAGTGCTGACGAAGCGTACGGTCATGACCAACACGCGTATCGAGACAGTTGTCACGTCAACCACAATGCGTTTGGCAGACGTTCACCCTCCCTCTCGAGTGTTGGCTGCTTGGGAGCGAAAGAAGAGAAACAACGTGGGCGCTCACTGGCTGGTCGAGTTCCTCGCTGAGATGGTGAGAACCGTTCGCATACTCCTTTCTGTTTCAATTGACAAATGGCTTCTTGTCATAGTTTGGAGTATTTCTTTACACTTATGCGGGAACCGGTTCCACAGCTGCATATGTACTCGGTAACCTTTCCAATATACCGAACTTAGGCAGTGCGTTTCATAAAGTCCCTTCATGAGTGATACATTCAGCAAAGACATGTCTCAGATTTGCTCCAAGTTGGAATGGCCTATTGCATTGGCGTTGTGTTAGCATTAGTGTTATGTGCCAGAGTATCAGATGGTCACTTTAGCTCCGGTATCACTTTGGTCATGGTCGCGTTCAGGAAATGTCCGCCTCTTAAAGGATTAAGGTATCTTGTCGTATCAATTGAAGATGACGTGTAATAACCCCTTCGCGCAGATTAATAATTGCTCAAATCCTTGGTGCCTATATCGCATGTCTGCTCATCTACGTCCAGTATAAGGACCTAATCGGCGTGAGTATCAATAAATTATCGTCCTCCTGTTGTATCAAACCATTATACAGCCTATTGAGGCCGCGCTGAAGGCGGAGGGTGTCTATGACGCCGTTCAATTTACCGCTCAAGGACCCGCCGGTATATTCGCGTTATACGCCTCACCTACTGCGAACCTGGGACATGTCTTCTTGAATGAATTTGTCACTGTCAGTCTGTGGTTCCAGGCATCCTTTCGGCTTGTTCTGAACCTCCCGTTCTTAGGATTTTACGTTAGGAGTCGCAATCTTCGGCGCGTTGGACCCTGCCAATGACTTAGTTCCACCTTTCATGGCACCATGGGTCATAGCATTCACCTAGTGAGCCCACTCTCCATCAGCAATACGGTCTAATACGGTCTTTCCTTAACGTGACTTCCCAGCGCATTTGTTGTTTGGGGATATGCACCTGCTGCATTGGCTGCTAATACCGCACGAGATGTTGGCGGACGTCTTGCCGCAATCACTATCTGGGGCAGAGCTGCGTCCGGCGGAAGTTATGCTGCAATCGCTGCCCTTACAAACATTCCTGCCACTGCCCTTGCTTCGATCTTCTATCAGTTCGTACTTGCTGATACTAATCGACGTGAGTACCGGATCTTATCACTATGATACTTGACGTTTCTGAGAACGTACAACGTGGGGCCCTGCAGCACTTTCTGCTGCCCACCAGGAACATATTGCTCTACACGGGGCCCAGTCTGCGGAGCGATCGGAAAGGACCTCTTCTGTTGAGTCCTTGGACGAGAAACAGGGCGCCGTTTAGACGTATCTACGCTACCGAACGAACTCATGATCAGACTCGTTATGTGTACATTATTCGGTAATCAGCTCATTGCCAAGAGGTTTGTGTATGGTTACTACAAATGGCTGAAGGCAGTCCGCGGTCGTGTCAGGTCAGCTGGACCTGCGAGTGCAGGAATGCGATCGAATGATGCCGTCGATCATTGACCACATTTTGGTACTAGTCCTCCGGAGGTGATCGACAACCGACGACTACTTCCCCGCTACCCCGCAACCCCACATTCCAGCTGTGGGACAACCTGTACGATGCTCGGATGCGGGGTTGTCGAGGCTTAGCTGGAAGAACATTCTGCGCATAGGCAATCTCCTATTTCTTCGTTCTTCTTAGCAGAGGGTTGACTGTCCACCCGGAGCCAAGCCATACTAACCACTGACTATCAATATGCATCTGCGTTTGAAAAGGTCGCATTCTGGTCATGCACGCCGATGATCCCTCAGCTGACCGGTATTTTGATGCATCTGGGGCAGGCCGAATCATCCTGACGGACTCCCGAAAGCGGGCTACGTCTTGGCTACGCAGCGGTTGAGAGCACGGTCCGCATCACAAATGTGTGTCCTGTACTTACAATACTTTGTGTATATTATTAGGATCCGTGACAGCAAGTCAAATTCCAAGGCTATACAAGTGGAAGGAACTCAGGTTTGCCACAAGAACGTATCTTTGCGTTCAACGTGATGTAGTATGCAGGTAAGCCTATCACACAATTATTATTACGAGACCTTTCTAGACGGACACTCGACCACATGAGACTTCACCCAATCTTCGCGCTCGATCAGGTACTGGCTTCCCCACACCGTGACCAATTCAGTGCGCTAAACTACATTGAGCTCCATTGGCTTCAATTTTTTCCCCAAACCCCCAATTGGGCTGAACAAGTTGTGGGCCCTCTTATAATACCAGGCACTTCGCGATGTTTCTCTCTCCTGACAGCCCCTTCTTTTGCCTTTGGTCTATCACTGCTTACCTTGACATCGATGGCTGCTCACCCACTTCCTCGTCCAAACTTCACGCATCTGGCAGACGTCGTACAGCGTCCTCGCTTCCTCACACATTGGGAGAGAGTTCGTCATCGTCAAGCTCATTGGTTCGTTGAATGCATGGCTGAGTTTGTGAGTTCTTATCATGCGTGCTACGCGTTCTTTGATGGGCAAGCGACTAACCCGCCTAATTCAGACTGGAGTATTCCTCTATGTCTTCGCTGGTATGCATTATCTACCAAAAGCCTATGTTTGAATCTCATCTCCTCGCTAGGTGTGGGCTCTACTGCCCCATTCGTTTGTGGGAACATTCTAGGAGAGAGCCTATCTTGTGAGCTCTTTTCCCGACGCCGGCTCTGTCGGGAATGGTTCCTAACTTGCGCCAAACAAAGCGATTCTACAGATTGGTATGGCATATAGTATCGGTATCGTCCTGGCGCTAGTCGTAAGCCAATGAGAAGATTGTGCGGGTACCGTTTCTAATCACCTGAGTAGATTTGTTCTTCGACATCCGGGGGCCACTTCAATCCTGCTGTCACAATTTCGTTTGTTTTGTTCAAGAAGTTCCCTCCGCTCAAGGCTGTGAGGTTCGTCGCTTTCATCAGTGCTGAACCATACAAGAAGCTTATTGTCTGGTACAGATATATTGCCGCGCAGATCCTCGGAGGATATGTCGCATGTCTTCTCATTTATGTTCAATACCACCACCTCATCTCCGTACGACATCTATACTTATTCCATCCTTTTGTCATGTATTAACTCACCTCGTTTGTAGTTGGCCGAAGCGACATTGGAGGCAGCGGGCAGACTCGATGCTGTCAACTTCACTCCCGTTGGCCCAGCAGGAATCTTTGGTCTCTATCTTATGCCAGGTAGCAAGCTTGGTCAAGTATTCCTGAATGAGTTCATCTGCGTGAGTCATGGCACTGTCTGATCTAGTCTTGTGGTTCATGTTTTTTTGTTGTTGACCACTGTAGGACTTTATCATTGGTATCACTATCTGGTCTTGCCTCGATCCAACTAACTTCTTGGCAACTCCCGTCGCTGCTCCATGGATCATCGCTTTCGTATAGTATGTCTCTTCCTATGTTCCCTTCTTCTTGCAAAATCTGACCATCGAATATCACTCATCAGCGGTATCGTGGTCTGGGGTTTCTCTCCCCCTGGCGGTACGTATCCCTCGTGGTTTCGTCACTTTAGGTTCTCACTGCTGTGATCTGTAGTCGCTGCAAATGCCGCCCGTGATGTGGGCGGCCGTCTGGCCGCCGTCACCATTTGGGGTACGAAAGCTGGGGGAGGAAGCTATGCCGCCCTCGCTGCACTTACCAACATTCCCGCCACCATCCTTGGTGGACTGTTTTACGAGTTCATCCTCGCCGATTCGTCTCGGGGTACGCATTATTATCTCAGTCTTACCTTTACGACTGCTAATGGGAGGAACGTTCTTAGTGATTACTTCGAGCCATATTGAGTTCCTGGCTGGGCACAGAGCTCATGCTGAGCATAAGGAGAATAACCATTTGGGACGAGGCACTTCAGGCTCGCCATATTCTGAGCAGACGTCGGATGGCGGAAAAGCTCACATTGAAACGGTTGAGCGTGTTTAAGCCGGGCTGAATATGTTTAACGTACCTCTTCTTGGCCGGCAGTCTTGTGGGCCATATGGGGTACTTCGGCTGGTACTGCGGTTGGTCTATTTTCTTCTGCGCAAAGTGTATTACTTCTCTTGAATCCTAAATAATACTACCTGAGCGTTGGCGTCGTATATTGTGCCATGCTTGCGGTAATCGGGAAGATGTGAAGACAACAGCAAAGAAGACGATTCAGTGGAAAAAGTCGCCCCTTCCGCTGGTATTTATGCATGCCAGAGGTTAGATCAGTCATCACCGTAGGGCATAGTCAATCGACCGACGGCCGAAGCACATCCTAAACTCCGAGCTCTGTAATCTAGTCGCTACCCGACTTATTCACGAGCTATGGCTCTATTTCGGGCAGCTATGTGATTCTGTACGCGATTCGCCCAAGCTCTATCGAACAGCGTCACCCTCAGGTAGTCTATCAGTCATGTTGTCTACCAGCAGTCTGACGACTCACGACGGCAGATTCATTATAGTTTCGTATAGTCGTTAGATCAGCTGCGAAAGCGTGTCAAATTTGATAAGGCATTTGATGAGTGATTCGTCAGAGTTTTACCAACGTGTTAAACTAAACAGCTCACCTATAAAAAGCGTAATAGTCATTCTGCCGCACGCTGTTGCCGAACTGACTGGCAAGATGAAATTGGCAGTTCGACGGGACAGCCTCCGCGATAACAGGACGCAAAATAGCTGCAATGACCACAGCCAGCATGATAGTCACCATCGTCCCACCAGCGATTATGCATACTGTGTCGTGATCATGTACTGTGGTGTTGGAGGTGTTGCTTATAGTAATAACACCTCTAATGTAAGATGGAATTCTTGGGCAGGTATTCAGTTCTATGTAAAGGCCTTAGAGTAGTAACTCATGTTCCCACCGGAACATCCAAGCCGATTGGCAAGGGCGCGCTCCGTTCGCCAGGGTGTAACGAACTGTCAGCTTTCTGCTTGATTCGAGAGGGTTATCAAGCTTAAGTAGGGACCTGTATATGAAATGGCTTGAACACCGGCCGTATCATCCCAGTTTTCATGGTTTTATTTAGCGTGTTCACCTGGAGAGCTATAAAAATCAGACTTGCGAGGAACAACTTAACAAGGGGTCAACGCGCACTACACTGTCATGCAATTGATGGAATCTAGAGATCCATCGTTGACTGGTTGAAGTACGCAAACGTCGCCCCGAGGTCTGGATTAGGCTCGACATCGGTAGCCCATGTTCAAGTTCCCACCGAAAAGTTCAAGCCGATAAAAGACGCTCTCCGTTGGCCTTCTGTTTGATTCGAGAGACCAATGATCCCTAGAGATCGGATGCTGATATATGAATGTACGTCTGTTTTTTTTTTTTTACCCGCCTGGAGTCTATTTGTGAGGCATAGACTTGTGAGGGATAAGTTAACGGGGAATCGACATACAACATGCCGTCACGCAATCGATAGATTCTAGGAATACGTCATTAGCTGGTTCAAGTGCGCAAACGTCGAGTGAGGTCAACCCTAGAAGCATCAGATGTATGAACCTGAAGAGGATTTGGCATATTCGAAACCTTAAAGAACTAGGACTTCCGATTCATCTCGAAAGTTTCCGTCTTGTTGTTTTGTTCTTTTCTTTACTTTGGAGGGAGGTTCCTATTTGGAATCGATGCAGAGCCATGGTTCATCGCATCCAAGAGAGTCAATAATCTGTCAGACCCTGAGGCTTGTACTTTAGCAAATACCATAGTATCAGGATACCAGACCGCACCATCCACAAACATCATCGCTTCTGAAAGGTATGAAACTTGATTGCCACCAAGTTGGATACAATTCAGAAGTGGGCATTTGTAGGTTTGTTCACATGATGGTGCTCACGTCCTGTGAGCAGTCAGACAGGGATCGTGCTCCGGGATGGGTTTAAAGCGATACACCCTCAAAGTTGCTTTGCAACAGAGTCCTATATCTGTCAGTAAAAACCGCCTTTACCACGGATTGACATGGGAACATGAACCTGCTGACTCGGAATTTCAAGTCTTGATGGGACACAATGTCCAGCATCATGGCATCACAGTGACATGAGGATATACCATTTCGTGAGAGTCATTGCATGGGCCAGGGACCAGGGTGATATAACAACGGAGCTGTACAGCTTTGTTGACGGTTTCTGTCGGACAGGATAAAGAATGGATCGGGATCGAAAGCAGATGAACGCACTCGGAGATCCTTACACGAAGCTTCATATTGTTTAAGGCACCCCAGCGTCAGAGGGAAGCGACAATTACACACCATAGTGTTCGGAAACTTCGACAGGCGAACAATATGACTTGAGCATGGCATGAAGTCTATTGACATGCATGTCCACTTGACTGAGAAGCGGTCACATGGCGGCCGGCAGTTATGAACCTTGATAGTATCATAGATATTGAGTTGAGAATATTGTGTATCATCAACCTGGTACGATCGGCAAACATTGACCGTTGAAGAGGAGACAAATCGATTGAAACACTTGAGGGATTCGGGGGTGAACACTTGAATTGCAAAGGAGGTTCATTCGGAGACCTCTGCATTCGTGAGTACATTCAACGCCGCTAGAGAGACAGGAGAAGGAGCACCTGCCAAGGATAGACACGGATAGCACACTTAGGGATAATGGGGATCGAACCCAAGATCAAATAATTGATACTCCGCCATATTTCTAGTGGACGCGGAAAGGGAGCATGGCCCGTTAAGGTACGTTCCCAGTGGTCGAAGCGCAAAATGAATCTAATAAAGGGGGTGCATTGACTGTTCACATAGAATCCGCAAAATGGCCGTCGAGTGCACAAAATGCCATCTTACATCCGCTAATCCATTCTCCGAGCCCCTTTGCCTCCTCCTCTCCTTACTCCCTTCTCACATCCCCTAGTCCCTGGGCTCGGCAACCTCAAGCACCCACGACATGGCTTTCACCAGAACTCGGACGTTGCGAGACGCGGTGCTCATCCTTCTCGGGGCGACATGCATGCATCTCGCTTCGAATTTTATGGGAACGGTCACAGACAAGTTCTCTGGAGATATCATCGTCAACACACACTTCAATTCTCCTGATTCGATTGTAGGAGAATTGCCAGACGGACCCTTGAATGCGAACACTAACCCGGACCCTGTCCCTCACCAGGACTTGCTTGTACACAACTTTTCTCCCTCACAGACTCGACCCGACCTTGATCATGAATTCCCCGAGACGACAATCATGTCGCACGCACCAGGATGGACAGTCTTCGAAAACCTCTACATGTCTAACGGAACACTCTTCATCGTTAGCTCACACCCGCCTTCATCCTTCCCAGATATCCAGTACATCACTTCTACAGGTCTAGCAGCAGAAAACACCCCGGAAAACATCGCTGCCAGAATGCCAACGTCTGCCAACATGGACTTCATCACACCCGAACAAGCACGCGATCGTTGGGGGCCCTTGGAACCCGAGGGGAAGAACCGCGTCTGGAGCGTCGAAGGGAACACATTCCTGGTGAATGACCCCTCCCAATTCCTCGATCACTACTATCACTTTTGCGCAGAGTTGCTGCTTGGCGCGTGGGCATTTTGGTCAGGGGCCCACGATGCCATCGTCGAACCGTACTCACCGCTAGAAACATCCGCTCCCCCACTTCACCGCGCTATATTCGCTCATGCAGATGTACATGGATGGCGAGACCGTCCAGGATTCAACTCATACTTCCTGCGTTCAGCCTTTCCCTCGCTTACCGTTGAGGTCCAAAGCGACTGGGAAGACCGCATACAATCTACTTCTGCCTCCGGAATGCATGCTCGTGCATGGCATTTCGACAAAGTGCTTTTCACCGATCGGAGTGCTGCGTTTAGAGGACAGGTGTGTGGAACACAGGTTCAACGAACTGCGGCGGAGGCTATCCATCATATGCACCGCGAAGGGAATTTGACCAAACTCTGGTGGGAACCCGTACGACGAGCAGTCTTGCGTTTTGGAGGTGTGGATGAGGACACGTTAGATGTGGGTTTGAGGGCGGATGTGAATGCGATGGCCCATGTAAAGAAACCCGATGGACAGAAGATTTCTTCCAGTTTGAGTGCGAGGAAACAGGACGTGGTCATCACTTACATCTCACGTCAAGGTGCTCGAAGACATTTGGTCGAAGAAGACCACGATGCGCTCGCACAGGCTCTGGAGGATATGTGTCTTTTGAAAGGATGGGAGTTGAACATTGTTATGGCGGAGCGTTTGACGAAGGACGAGCAGGTTGAGCTGATCGCGAGGACAACGGTGAGTTGGGGCAGTCTATGATTCACTTTTGAAATTATTTCGTGCTTTTATATGACTGCGTGCCGTGACGGGTGAGCTAATGCTGTGATGCTTCTTTTTCATTTTGTGCAGATCCTGCTGGGCGTGCATGGAAACGGACTTACGGTAAGCCGTTGCCGTCTCCAAATGCTATGCAACTCAGACTGACGTCTTCCCTTTCCTTCACTCTCTTTTCATATCCTAACCCTTCATGATGTCTCGCTTTCTGAATTCTCCTCATGGTTCTCTCGCCCTGTTATCTACCCTACATAGCATCTCATCTTAATGTCCCCAACCCCGATCTCAGCTGTGATCGAGATGTTCTACCCAGGAGGGTTCGCACATGATTACGAATGGACGACACGCGCTATGGGCATGAAGCACTTTGCAGTCCAGAACGACACGTGAGTCCAATCCCCTTGTCCTCCTGGATTCCATTATTCTTTGCTTCAGGCTGACGTTTCGACGACGTACTAGTTACTTCACGCATCCGAACCTTCCGTGGGTAGGTTATCCTGAAGGGTTCCAAGGTACTAAGATCCCGGTATATGCGCCGACTGTGGTCAAAATTATTGAGGAACGCGTGGCTGGGTACCTTCCGAACTCTGAGTTGCTCATGCCTATCAACCGATTGGGCGATTAGAAGAAATTCCCTTCAGCTCCTCGTTCCTGCTTCGCTGGGATCACCAACCGATGTAGTTGTTCCGATGCAGCCTCACGGCCAGCATTCTCGTAACATGCCACTTGCAGACATTACAGTACCGGTCACTTCACAATGACTATGATACATATACACACATTCCTTTCATCATTCCTGTCGTTTTGCCACATACTTACTTTATTATTCTTTTCTTGTACGGACCTTGGGGGTCGTTCAGTGTCCATCTGTTCACATCTTGCTATCTTTAGGTCTTTAGGCGTAGCTAAACTCTTGGATTCTGCCGTCACAGTTGTACTTGTACAGTTTCCACTTTATTCGTATCACATCCGGGCCAATGCCAGTTGAGGTATTCAAGTCGACTTATGGTTAGCTCTCCGGATCTGCGTGGCTGGACATAGTTCCTGATCAAAAGTTTCCCAGCGTCGTTTGCTTTCAGGTTCGAACTTCATGTCGACAGGTGCATTTCAAGTCAGTCTTGAAGCTTGACGAACACAGTTTCTAAAGAAAGCACAATGAACTATATCACATTGTACTTGATACATATGTAGCCTCCGATGGAGGATGTGAATTGTTGTGATGCAAATTGCCTCGTATCTATGAACGCTGCCGCCCACTATTCGTCATCCTCCGGTAGCCACATAGGGTGGAAAGAGTGAGTGAGTTGCTGGCCAACATACACAGTCAAATCTAATTACGAGATAATGTTGATGTTAAGTCAGAACATTAGACACAAAAACCGAGGATCACTGGCCTTCACATTCAATAAAGTCACATTCCACCTCCCGCTCTCCGCAAAAGGACTCTATCCTGTTTTTCGTATTCTCCGCTGCCTCTTCAAGACCTGGCACATTGGTGCGAAGTGGGGTGGCTATGACAGTCAACTTCTTGAATGATCCGCTAGGACCCATGATATCCTCGTTGGCAAGGAAAAACGCCATCGCGATGTCTTCCACATTGATCCTCCTCCTATTCTGGTCCTTGGGTTTCAAGAGCTGAGACAGAGCGAACCAGTCTTCCCAACACGTCTTGCCATCAATCAATAACGTGAGACTTCGAAGCTTCCGTGGTAATTTCCAGACCACTTTCTTGAGAGCGTGTTCTTCTGTTAAAGGTCTTTGGAAGGGTGACGTGTATAGGATGCCCAAGGTGAGATGATGAAGAGAGGCCCATTGGCGAGGGATGGCTATCCGGGTGCCTGTGAGAGACCATTGGTGATGGAAGTTGTAGATTTCAAGAACGAGCGAGGATGAAGAAGAGTGAATCCTGGAAACGAGGTGATGATGACTCTTGACGTCGACGAGTTGCAAGTGGCGTAGACGAGACATGTTGCCACCGCCATGACTCCTCGTGACATCGGGATAATCAATACTCACATCCTGTAAGCAGAGGTGCTCCAACCGACTAGAATGGGACGTCGAGAGAAAATGATCGACATCCATATGACCGCCGATAATCGAGAACTTGCGTAAACGAGGCAGAAGATGGGCGAGAGGAAGTCCAGTCACTAAAGATGTCAGGAACGAATCATCTCGCTGCATGTGAACGATAGAAAGTGTGTGAATGGCGGACGCCTTTTGGAGATATACAGAAAGTTCCTGCATCAGTAGGGATAACTCTGCCTCTGAGTAGTGTGTTTGTGGACTTGAATGTGCGGCTGACAGTGGTAGCCAGAATATGGTGAGCTCCTGCGTGGAATCTAGAGCCTGGTTAGGCAGCGTCACGATTCTGAGAGGAGCTTTGTCTACGAAAAGTAAGGCATGCCAAGGTTTGGTCTTCAATATCGAATGCCAATAGTGAACATCGGGGCCGATGTTGGCGAGTGAGTATACTCCATTGCGGACTTTGTTGACCTGCGCCTCATGTGTTGGGCCGCTCCCTATGGGCACATAGAGTCCGGCAAGGGTGGGTAGCAAGTCTCGTAGCACCTGAAGCTTGATGTCGAGAGGAAACTTAGACAGGTATGTGAGATCGGATTGTGGCGCCAGCGGATCAACGTCAGCAGTGGCATGGAGTGACGACTTTGAAGAATAAGGTCCCGGCGGAGTTCTGGGACGAGCCATCGTATTTGTGGTAGCTGTGGTAGCTGTATGATCGTTCGAGTAAGATGCAATATGTGGTTATAGCTGGATCCTTATATATGTCGGAATCCGAGTCAAGGAAAATATGGCGGTTTGATCAACAAACAGGGCCATACCACATTTTGATTCGCCAACCATATGTGTAGCATGGTCCGAGTCATAATAGGCCAAACTGAGCTAGATATTGGGCCATAACTTGTACGGTGTCCACCAAAGCATGAGCCGACTATTCCAGAGGAAGGTGAACCATTGCTAGGTCAAATATATCCATTGCAAGAGTAAATAGGAAGTCCGTTGATTTTGAATGGCTTCAAAAGTCATGTTCTTTGTGGCGAAGTTAGTCGGTGCACGTCAAAGAGTTAACGTGTTTGGACGTATGCGCACCGCGGCTGTGCGCCGAGCTAGAGGCTCTTTGAGTAATATCGGCAGGGAAAGCCGTCAAGCAAGCCAAGTGAAGAAAGAACTCAGGGAGACACAGGTCATAGGTCGTCGCGACAAGTCAATTGTGAGAAACCTGTGAGACACGAAGTATTTGCAACGTGAGACCAAAACACGAATGTTTGAACTTGGTACGAAACCCCTATGATGTTGCGGTAACCTAGGCCTAAATCCTGCAGAGATTCCTGCGTCGAAGCAAATGGATAATCGGCGTATACAGTAGTCTTTGGAATGAGGAATCAACATTTGCATCCGGGGATCGACGTTGAATGCCGGCACGCACGTGGCTACACCGGCGGTCGACGAAGAGAGCTATTACTCAGGGTCCTAAGTATGAAGCCAGGCATACAGTATATATTCACCGTCTTCACCGCCTTCACCGTTAGAGTCCTCAACGACGATAACTCTGGGCCTGGATTCTATGACTCTGTATCTCTGTGACGCCGTCTCCTTCTCATTGCTACATTTATAAACCCTGCAGTGTTATTCAAATCCTCAACTGCCGCGATGTCCAATTTACCGGAAACACAAGCAAACCCCTTAACGGATTTTGTGGGCTCTGAAGGCGTGGAGCTCACAAAGGATGGAAATGTGTCGAGGATGCGATCGCACAAGGGCAACACGCCCTCTCTGCCGCAGAACAAATTCTGCCCGATGTGTCCAGCCAAGTTCACTCGGACGACCCACCTGAATCGGCATCTTCGAACTCGTATGTGATGCCGGAACTCGTATGACCACGAGGACTTGTATACTGATCGACTGGGACGGCTATTAGACAGCAATGAACGCATGCATGAATGCGATGTAAGTTACCGCTTCTGAGCCCCACCTTGTCCTCCGATGCCGGATTGATGTCCCCCGCCAGAAATGTCATGCACAGTTTACTCGAAGTGACCTTCTTTCGAGGCACAAGAAAAATTGTGGCGACTCGTGAGTGTTGTTTTCAAGCTTCTACTTGGACTTCCAAGGATGCCGCTATCGTCCACCTCCCGATATGTGTGATTGTCGTCTGTTCCACTATTGCATTCGGCGAGAGAACCTCTCATGTACTGACTACTATTGTAGGCCAGATTCACATCGTTCGCGACGAAAGTCGTGTCAAGCGTGTGCCGACTCGAAGATCAAATGCGACCAACAGCGGCCATGCTCGAAATGCAAAACTAGGGGTCGTGAATGTGTCTACCGGACAACGCCCAATTCCAAGTCTACGAATGGACGATCGACTCGCAATGCTTTAGACCGCAAGGAAAGTGGAGACTCTAGTTCCCAGTCACCTCCTCTCAGCACCCCCGAGAGTGGTGGTCCTATTGCGAGCTCAAGTACACCAACCATAGTAACTTCTCCTGTCTCCAACTTTCCTCTTTCTGGACAACCCATTAATATTTCGTTTGATGCAAAGTCTCAATCGCAATCTTCCGCATACCTTCCGCCTCTCACAGAAGATTTATCTAATGTTTCATCTTATGCCACTTCATCCGCCGCCTCCAACTATTCTACCGAAGTCGAGACCCCTCATGTCTCCTTCGCACAAGAGGCCTTCGAAGTTCAAAACCAACTGAATGCGCTCTTCTCGAATGAGATGTTTGACAAGTTCTTCAATAACGCAATGGCGCCTGAGCTTGGCAGCGGGTCCGGAGTTGTTCACAACACATCGAATGCGAGAGGGGAAGAGTCTTTCAACCTTCAGGTTCAGGATACTGAGTTCCCTTGGTCGACAAATGCAGAAGAGTCCCAACCATTCATGGCTTCCATTGATCCTTACGATTTCGAAGCATTTATGGCTCTACAGTCTGGCGGGTTGGACGCTTCGCCACCTGCTGGCACAGCGAATATGGGACCCTCGTTGGACGGTCCTGCAGGAACATTAAAAACGAACGCGCCTCATCCTGCCGAATTGCAGTACTATCGTAAGTCCTCGTGTTCATTCTCATGCTATTGAGTGCGAGTGAGCTCATTGTCTCGTTTAGTCCATATGTTTTACACAAAGTTCCTCGAGCAAATGCCTATCCTGCATGTCCCAACATTCAACCCAGAAGTCAAAACTCCTATCCTTGTCTCAGCTATGCAGGCATGCGGCGCGTTGTATGTCAAGACGCCGTCCGCCTTCAACTTCATTACATCTACTTTGGCGTCGGCAAGAGATGAGATAGTCGCAGCTTTTGTAGGTCAAAGGACCCAGCATCATGGATTTTAAAACTGACTTAGTGCTTATAGTCCAGGAGACCGACGATCGAGGATGAACAAATTCAGTTGGTTATGGCTGTCTGTCTCCTCCAAACCATCGGACTCTTCCATCAGAGACCTGAGCAACGGGCTCAGTCGAATATGTACCATGCTATGCTTGTCATGGTTAGTGTTTAAAGCCTTGAGCACCCTTAAACAATCATTCTAATGTCTGCATATACAGATGATACGCCAGAGTGGGTTGTTGGAGAAGAACTTTAGCTGGGAACCATTGCCTCTCACTGATCAGGCATCGAGCGAGGCAGCCTGGCGCAATTGGGTGTGCTACGAGACCGCAAAACGGTAATGACTTTATTCCTACACGCATACCTTATGGTCTAACTGATGATTATATTTACTTTCAGGGCATTATCATTGACCTTCCTCCACGATTGTTGCCACTGTATTTACTTCACTCTCCGACCTACTTTCTTCCCTTCCGAGTTTAATCTTCGTTTGCCCTGCGAAGACTCCCTCTGGAAAGCTACCTCGTACGAAGAGTGGCATATCGCGCTTCTGAAACCTTCTCCGTATGGGACAGCCCGAGATCGTCTTCGGGGTGCCCTGCCCATTCAAAATGCACTCTCGACTTTGGCAGAGATGCCTCCGACGCCTCGACCTGCCTTGATTCTAAACCCCTTCTCACAATTCATCATCATTCATGCTATTCTTCGAAAATTATTCGAGGATTGTCTTGATAAGCAACCTATCGTGGAACGTTCGCCGAGCGACGATATGACGAATATCAACCCCACCATCCAATTCATGCTCCACAATTGGCTGCAAAGTTGGTTCCAATCTCCCGAAACACCACGACCCTCTAAACTCGCCGAGCCCCCGTTCTTCCACGATGCCCTTCCGTTCTATTGGATTGCCCAGGTGCTGCTCTTAGCCTATCAAGAAGGCTTGCCACCTTTCGTGTCGGATACGGCAGGGTTCAACACGACGAGCGAGGCGAAGTTTAGTTTGATGAAGGAGTGGTTCAAGCATATCAGAGGATTCTTGAGGAGTGGGGAACAGGGTCCGACGTTGTTCTGGGACGAGCTGATGAAGATTCGGATGCAGAGTTGGCAGACTGCTTCGGCCAATGGGAATCCTGCGGGTGATGGAGACGGGCTGCTCGGCTTTTTCTTGAAGCAGTAGGCGATTTTTCATCTTTTATCATTATTCGTGGCGTTCTTTTTTGTTTTGTTTTTGCTGTCGTTGGTTCTCGCTATCGTCAACTGAATGGTGTATTATGTAAGTGAGCACATTTCGGAAGGTTGTTCGCCCTGCGGTTTCATGTTGCTGACTAGTTGGTGTAGAAGGAATTCCTCGTGTAATCAATACCTTCGTCCCTGCAATCAGACGTTGTTGCCCTGTAAAATGCCAGTCAGCCGCGGAACCAGAGGCACGATGATAGGCGCTTCGTTAAACGGGTATGTGGAATTCTCCGCCTCAAGTACAGATTGTTCTTTTGTTCTCATATTGACCACGTTTGACCCGCAAATGTTACAAACTGCCGGCGGTAGTTGCGGGCCACAGCCTTGAGTTTTCGAATAAAAGGACCCTTTCAGTCACAGCTTCGCTCCTTCATCCTAACAGTTATCCTCCCGTGGCGCAAGACCTATATTCGACTTCTCGGCCAAGACGATGAAGCATCTCCGTCAGCTATTCCATATTCATGATCGATTCTCTGCGCAACCCCAACCTCCCTGTGATGGTCTTCCACACGAACTTGTTGCAGAAGTGATAAAGTATCTCTGTGCGCCACTCGACTCAGAGCTGATGATGCCCGCTTTCCTCTATGAGGGCGAACGAGAAGAGAGCATGGACGCGTACGATTTCACTAGGACATCCAACAAGATTGCTAGACGCCTTCTTGCAAGTGTGGAAGATATGCGAACTGCTCAGGCATCTTTATGTAGCGCAGCCTTGGTTTGCAGATTGTGGAGCAATGTAGTCGCCGAACACCTTTACTTACACTCCGTTGTAATGTCTACGGTGTCTTGCGATAAACTTCGTCACACCCTCAAAAAACTCAAACGCATCGATGCTACTGGCCCGTTGAAAAAACTTACCCTTTTACGAGTAGCGCCCCAAGAACCGAACGAAAGGGCGGCGAAGAGGGAGGAGCAAGCACAAGCCAAATTGTTACACTCGCTCATGAAATTGACTTGGTCGGCTTCATTGGATACTTTAACCCTCATCAATATGCCGCACGCAACCTCGTCATTTGTGTTACAAAGCGTCGACAGTCAGCTTACCATCCATAATGGCCCTCGAAAGCTTGTAGTGAGCTTTGGGTACTTATCCAATGCGATGCCCACTTTCGTCAACCTCAAGGTCCTCTGCTTGCGCACTGTGAGGCCCTTCTTCGCGATTGAAGACTCCCTGGATGTAACGAAGATGCCACATCTTCAAATACTGCAAATGGTTGATGCACAGCTTGCTGCTTACGACGAGTGGTTTTATAGGTTCCGAAACCATCCGACCCTGGAGACCCTGGAGATCTACTTTGCTTTAAACATTGAAAACGGGCGCGAAATTTGTACGCTTTGGTGGGTTCTCCATGCCATCCCCTCTACATGGACCTCGATTCGCCACATCACTTTGGGTATCTTGGATACGTTACCTTCTGGACGTACGCACTACAAAGATGTAGTGCAGTGCCAACTACCACTCCATCTAAAGAGTTTGACTCTATTAGTCAACACTCCGTCGATGTGGTCTTCCTGTCTATTCGGCCAGGAGTGGCACGGGGAAGATGTAATTGATAACTTCCTAAAGAACCTGCGAAACATCGCAGGCTCGAAAGGGTCGTTCAGAAGCTTGACCTTCGTTACGCTCCCAATACCTACCGAAGGTCTTAATGACTTGGAATATCTGCCAAATCCAATGGACGGGTGCGAATTCGCAAAGAGAGGTCGACAAAGGCTGCAGGACATTCAGAAATTTTGCAATGACATCTCAGTGACATGCATTATAAAGGAATGTGAAGGTAAGCCATCTATCAGTTATCGCATTAAAGGTACCCAAGGGTCTCATCCGTACAATTACTAGATCTATCCGTATATGTCAACGAGAGACTTCGGTGCTGAAAAATATCGTGATCCTTTCTTTCCAAAGCCAATGAAACCACGGTTTCAACACTTCGTCTTTCATTCTGAAGAATTCATTTCTCAAAAATACATTTACATGCAGATTCCTCATGGACTGGATGGTTAAAAAAAACTAAATGTTAAGTTTTGTACGGCAGATATTCTAATCAATATTATATTTTTTTGCAGCGGGAAAGCGCTGAAGGGTCGGTGGCGTAGTTGGTTATCGCATCTGTCTAACACACAGAAGGTCCTCAGTTCGAACCTGGGCCGACTCATTCTCTTTTTATTAAGGACATCATCGGGATCCACCACTGCAACTATACTTATAATGTTTCAAACTGGTACTGACTTGGAGGGAAACCGATCTACTGAAAGTACGCATGTTGATTCTCAATTGAATTCTCAAATCCAGCTCCGCATACTGGCACCTTCAAAAACCTCTTGCTTAGAATCTGTCGTCGATGTCTTTGATTTTATCAAGACAGTGGTTCACCTCACCCAGCTAGAGGCAGTGTCCCTCCTTGAAACTACACGGGTCACTGGTCGGCTTTTCACATGATCTATTTGACTAGAACGTTAACCAGGGGCAAACTGCATCGACTCTTACCCCCGATCCTCTACGATGTTCAGCTGGCTTTCGACCGCCAGGCGACTTTATTCTGTATGTTGCTTCTATATGTTCTAGTCAGGTATTAGATATAGCCCTCTCCAGGTTTTTGTTGGTCCTCCATCTTTGGCCACGCCCTCCTCGACCAGCCCTCCGATCAAGTTCGGTATCCTTGGTGCAGCGAAAGTGGCATCCACTGGGCTCATTATACCCGCCCTCAGTCATCCCGAAGTTGAAATTCACGCTGTAGCTGCGAGGGATCCCATACGAGCGGAGGCGTTTGCCAAGAAATATAAATTGCGGACGTTTTATGGAGGCGGCGACGCGTATCAGAGTGAGTCTTCTACCCCATTCTACACCAGATGCTTGTCTCAAACGTTCGAAACGAAAGAGCTACTTGACGATCCGGAGATTCAGGCTGTCTATGTTGCGTTGCCTGGCGGATTGCATTATGAGTGGACAATGAAGGCACTTGCAGCTAACAAGCATGTTCTGGTCGAGAAGCCTAGTAGCGTCTCTTCGGAACAGACCAGGGAAATGTTTGAGTTTGCTCAGAAGAAGGGACTGGTTATTCTTGAGGGGTTACAATATCGGTGAGGCCTGACAATTTAGGTTATCGCTTATTTGCTCAATGTTTTCTTGTTAAGATTCTACCCTGCAATTATTCGTGCGAAAGAGATCATCGACAGTGGTGAACTTGGTGCCATTAAATCCATCGAAACTATAATAACTGGTCCCCAAGGAAGCCTCAAGACTGACGATATCCGCTACACCTGGGAAATCGGTGGAGGCATCTTCCAAGACATGGGCACATACCCTGTCAACGTTCTTCGATACTTCACGTCTTCTGAACCGACGTCAGTGCTAAGCGCATCCTACACCGCACATCCTAACGATCCCAAGGTCGACCAAGCGATGACCACGACTCTCGCTTTCCCGGGAGACGTTGTTGGTAGTATCGAGTTAAACTTTGAGATTCCGTACAAGTTCGGCCTCATTCCGAGCCTACCGAAGATGGACGTGACGGTGAAGGCTGAGAATGGCGAGATGACGGTGAAATTCTTCGTCCTGCCCTTCGTGTATCATTCTATCAACGTGAGTGTGAAGGACGGACAGAGTGGGAAGGGTGCAAAGAAAAGGACGGAGAAAGTGTATAGCCCCACAAGTGTGAAGGGGCGTACACTGAAAGGAGAAGAATGGTGGGCCTCGTATGTCATCATCTCATGATTGTCTAACAGTCACAGGCGGCTCACATTCGTCTCTTTTTTGTCCTTTCCTAACAGATATCGCTACCAACTCGAAGCCTTTGTAGACAAGGTAAAGGGACGTGAGCCCGACACTTGGCTTACGGCGGAAGAGTCGATTGCGAACTTGCAGACAATCGAAAAAGTGTACGAAAAGGTATAGATTCTTTCGATTTCATCATGTATGATATGTCACAGGTTTGCTTTTCACAGGCTGGCTTGCCTCCACGGCCGAAGTCAACATTCGCATTCTCACCAATTACCGACGATTCAATCGAGGCCAAACGTACTGCATGAATGGTGTGCGATGGTGCTCACTTGTCCACTTGCTCTTTTCGTTTTGGGTACCCAATGACTGTGGAGCGTTTTGCAATGATAAAGTCCTCATGACCTTGGTCAAACAAATGAATATGAACCCTCACGACATGCATGTGGGAGCCTTCAAGGTACTGGCGAGCTATTGGTAAAGCGACCTTCAACAACCACTTTTCTGGTTTTCTTCTCTCAGTCTTCAGATCCTTCCGTTCATGTCGGGGTATGCAAATTGATAAAAATAGAAACACTTCCAGGACTTTTTCTCCCAGGGAAAATGAAAAACTTCAGGACTCGCAGGAAATGCTTTGCAGCTCCACTGGTCTGGATCTCTACAGGCTTATTTCTCTATCTCTCTTGGTGTACTTACCGGAACCGAGGGATTTCGCTCTCACGCACGCTTGGAATCGCCCCTGGATTGTCTATTAGGTAAGTCTTGTGTTTCGTAACAGGTTGATGTTCGCAATCCTTATTTCGTCCTTTCTTTAGCACTTCTTTTGTCTAAGATTTGTCGAGAACCTATCGTCGTATATACGTTGTTAGATGGACTTTACGCCCTATGTAAGAAATGCGCTGAAGTTCATTTCCCTCCATTGATTCTCACATCATTGAAACAGGCTTGAATGTGATGAAAACCACCCGCTACCGATGTATTGGTACTGGCCATGGTCAAGTATGCCCTCTCATAGCTACCGGCGCACAACGCGAGGCAGGTAGCATCAGTTGTACCATCTTCATCTCTGTGCTATGGCGCTCCGTCAAACCAGCTGGACGGCACTGTTCTCACTGTCATTTTTGTGCATACAGACAGAGACAAACCCTGACCATCGATGATCCCTCAGTTTATCCATCCATGGCAGAGTAAGTGCCTTTCAAATCACACGATGGTTCTTCGTCGACGGACAGAGGGTCATCTTGAACCACCATCTTGTTGTTTTTATGGAAGTGTCTTCTGCGCTAAACCCTAGGACGCGCTATCTGTTCGCTCTCAAGGACCCTTGTTCGAAACCATTATGTCGGGAGAAACCTTACACGATGCGATATGTCGCCGTTTTCATTGGTGCAGGGACTGTGAACGCGACCCTTGATAATGGTTCAAACGTCAGGAAGTGCTACACAGCGGTACCGAGAACGACAAAAGGTGAATTTCACTTCGTATGTTGAAAGGTATAAAACCCGTCCGTCGTTCTCAATCCAAACAGCAAGACTTTCAAGTCTTACATTGAATTCTCCTCACCGTACAATGGCCTTCAAAACACTCGCTGCTTTTCTCTCCCTCGCCGCTCTTCAGGTCGCAAATGGTCCGCCCAATTGTGTTGCACTTCATTTCTAGCAGTCACTTACCCTCTTCCATCTCTAGCTGCTTTGACCAGACGTGTCGCTTGCGCCGACGGCATCAACACGGCGACGAACGCAGCTTGTTGCTCTCTGTTCGCCCTTCGTGACGACCTCCAAGAGAACCTCTTTGACGGTGGCGAGTGTGGTGAGGAAGTGCACGAATCTCTTCGTCTTACCTTCCACGACGCTATTGGCATTGGTTCCACTGGGTAAGCAAAGCAATGGTCTAACGGCTCAAGGGAATCGCTTATACATGGTTTGTAGTGGTGGCGGAGCTGACGGTTCCGTCGCAATATTCGAGGATATCGAGACTAACTTTCACGCCAACGCTGGTATTGACGAGATCATCAATGAACAGAAACCGTTCCTCGCCAGACACAACATCACCGTCGGTGACTTGTGAGTTAGATCTTAATTTTTACCTTGCTGCTTCTTAAGCAGTTTTCGGAACTCAAGTATTCAATTTGCCGGCGCGCTCGGCGTGAGTAACTGCGCTGGTGCTCCCCGTCTGCCTGTCTTCCTCGGTCGTCCTAACGGTACGACGGTACCTTTTTTGAACGTATTCATCGATACTGAATCAGCTCGCAGCCGTTGCTCCTGCTCCCGACGGGACTGTACCCGAGCCGTTCGGTGAGTTTCTCTCCTTGATACCCTGATATCCTATATTGACCCTAGTCAATCGCATAGATTCCGTCGACAAGATTTTGGAACGTTTCGATGACGCCGGCAAGTTCAGCACCGTTGAAGTCGTCTGGCTGCTTATCTCGTATGAAGATTCTTTTTCTCTCGTGCTGTCTCCGCTAAATATTGGCTCTTAGGCATACGATCGCTGCCGCCGATCTCGTTGACCCGAGCATCCCTGGAACACCCTTCGATTCTACTCCTTCACGTTTCGACACTCAATTCTTCCTCGAGACCCAGCTCCGGGGAACTCTGTTCCCAGGGTGAGCTTTGTTATTGTTGGTCATACATGTCCGCTAACGTCTACATATAGAATTGGTGGCAACCAGGGTGAAGTCGAGTCACCTTTACGTGGCGAAATTCGTTTGCAATCCGACCATACGCTCGCTCGTGACTCTAGAACTGCCTGTGAATGGCAGTCCTTCGTCAGTGAGTATCTTAGCCATTCAATGATTGCTAGCAGTTCCCTGATTGAGCACTTCTCTCAGACAATCAAGCTAAGCTCCAGAACAGGTTCCAGGCTGTCTTCACTAAGATGACGGTCCTTGGTCACAATGCTGCCGACTTGATCGACTGTTCTGAGGTCATCCCCGAGCCACCTACCTTCACCGGATCCGCTACCTTCCCCGCTGGGTTCTCCAACAATGATGTTGAGCAGGCGGTATGTCATGTCCTTTGTCCTGCAATGTTCAGTGCACTGATGGACGGTGTACTAGTGCGCGAGCACCCCCTTCCCAACTCTGGCCTCTGACCCCGGTCCGGTTACTTCTGTCGCTCCTGTGTAAGCACGCCTAAACTCTCAACACATCTTACCCCGGCTGACTTTAAGATATGTCGACAGGCCACCCTCTTAAGTGATTCGTTGACACCATGACATGTATGATCTTCTCCCGTAGACTTGTGACTCATCTCGCTCCATCTCTCGTGTATAACCTTCTATCTCTGTCGAAGTGAATGTATTTTGGTGCATCTGTAATTCGTTCTCGGCGTGAGAAATGTGAGTTTGTTGAGAATAAACTCAAGGTTTGTCTTCACCATCGCGCTTGTGGATAACACAATCCCATTCAATGGCTCCCGCTCCGGCTTCAATCGACAAAGCTAGACAAAGCTTCTTGACTATCTCCACACCTCGTTCCACGTGCATGTCTGAAGATGCATGGGAACATCGTTGTGGTACGTTGTGCTGAGTCTGGTCAGCGCTGAGCTTAGACGTTCACAAATAGGAGTCTTTGAAACCATGGAACCCCGCTATGGGAACGTTCCTTTACTTGACTTAACTTGACTCATCTCACCATGTCGAGTCTCTTTGGATTCTTCAAGAGGGTCTATACCGTATGGTGCACTTATCAGAATTTGAATTGAAGTCCTGAGTGTTTTATTTCTTGTTCAGGCTTTCAACCCACCTGCAGCTCCGGTTTCCACTGAAAGCACCCCCATCAGGTTTGGAATTCTTGGCGCGGCCAATATAGCACCTCCTGCACTCATAGGTCCTGCCAAGAATCACTCTGAGGCTACTGTGTATGCCGTCGCCGCCCGGGACCTAGGAAAGGCGCAGGCATTTGCGAAGAAATACGGAATTGAGAAGACATACGGGGGATTGAATGCATATGAAGGTGAGTCCCTTGAAGTGCAGTCAATGCCAAGAGCCGCACAGTGACACATGCGAGCAGAGCTCTTGAATGATCCCAATATTGATGCTGTTTACAACCCCCTGCCAAATGGGCTTCACTTTGAGTGGACCATGAAGGCACTGGCTGCAGGAAAGCATGTTCTTTTGGAGAAGCCGAGTGCAGATACTTCTGAGGAGACTAAGAAGATGTTCGAATTCGCACGGGAGAAAGGGCTCATTCTACTCGAAGCTTTCCACTATCGGTACGTAGATATAATGGTCGTGTGAGCCTCTCTATTGAACTGTGACCTCCCTCGTTCAGGTTTCATCCTGCTGTCCACCGTACGAAACAGATCCTCGAGAGCGGAGAGATCGGAGCCATCAAGTCTGTTGAGGTATCGCTCGCAGTGCCGAAGGGCATCGTGAAGAGCGATGACATCCGGTTCAACTATCAGCTTGGCGGAGGCTCTTTGATGGACATGGGTTGCTATACCCTCAACTGTGCTCGTTTCCTGACGTCCTCAGAACCTACTTCGGTCATTTCCACCTCGACTATCCCTCTTTCAAGCGACCCCAAGGTCGATGTTGGTACTACAGCGACTCTGGCATTCCCATCCGACGTGACTGCTACCATCATATGTAACCTTGCTCTTGCACCTACGCTAGGTTTCATACCCCAAAAGCCGAAGGTCTGGGCCAAGGTAGTGGGGGAGAACGGGGAATTGACCTTGTATCAGTTTGTTTTGCCGACGTTGTATCATTATATCGAGGTAAGCACGAGAAGTGGAAGGGGCGGGAAAGGTATGAACAAGAGGACGGAGAAGGTGTATAGTCCGAGGGACATCAAGGACTCGGACAAGGAGTGGAAAGGGGAGGATTGGTGGACAACGTAAGTGTGCCAAATTAACCCGCACGGTTCTGGATGTATCGACTAATTGATTCGTATATTTTACTTTTTGCACAAAGCTATCGATATCAACTTGAAGCCTTCATCGACAAACTGAAAGGTCGAACACCTGCAGCCTGGGTTTCTGCTGAGGATTCTATCGCCAATTTAAAGGCTATCGAAATGGTTTACAAGAAGGTACGTCGTTATGGGCGGATTCAGTTCCATTGCGGGACCTTAAGCATCTCTTCTATCGTCCTAGGCCGGTTTACCTTTGCGACCCGCTTCGGAATTTAAGTTGCCTGATGCCTAACTTCACTGTCTGGCATAGCGTAATGGTACATATGCCTTCCCTCTCCATGTCCTCATCCGTTGTGTCTCTATATACCAGTTAATCCAGTCCGTTCAAACCACCTGTAGGGACCGGCTCTGGATTCACTTCCAAACCACATTCAGGCTCCTCCGGGAATCTCTTCCAGGTCTGATTCTTCGGACATACAATGTAATGAAAAGACAAGCAAATACGGCGACTTGTAACGTGAAAGATACCTCTGTCTATATCTCCAAGAGCCCGGCCTGAAAGACCTTCCATGTACGTGTAAAAAGGTCTCAGGTCGGCCTGAGTGATAGAATTTGGTTTATCATGCACGTTTGCGAAGGCCTTGACGGCTTCTCCTAACTGGGGATCTCGAAGTATAGACATCCGTTTGCTTTCCGTACGGGGAGGTAGGGGAGGACCATTCACTTCGAAATCATCATCGTAGAAGAAGGCGGGCACGGGACCGGGATAATGAGCATTGGGCATGCCAGGAGTAACGTACGGATCGCTTTGCACGATACGGAAACAATTGAATGCATAAAGACCACAATCCAGAATGACTTCGTGACCCTGTCCGTTAATGAAGTACAACCAATAGTGCTCTTTAGGGTCTTGGCTTTGAATGATGGAGCCATCGGATTTCCTTTGCTACGCAATCCTGTCTTGAGGCTTGACCTCGAGAGACCCAGTGGCAATACCGAAGTCAACGATAGGTGATGAACGGTATTTAAATCTCAATCTTCTCTCATTGGAAGATTTGGACCCTGAACCGGAACTAGTGGTGTATATCTCCACTAGGATCGCAGTGGCGACGGCCGCGACGCTGGTTAAGAGATGGCTACCTTCATCGTTGAGAACACGCCGGTGCATCGTATCGGCCACGTTCTCATTGGCTGCGCGGGGAAACCATGTCAAACTATCGAGGAATATACTCGGAGGATGAGTGTCATCGATTTCGACCACTTTGGCCTCGATACCATCTTGAAGACGTGTGGGAGGTGTGTTGGCATTAGGGTCGTTAATGATTTTGTGTTGAAGTGCTACCTGCATAGGTCTGCCACCCGGAAGACGGCCGAGGCTGTACATCCATGCTAGAGCCGGATAAAACTGTTCGAGGTCTATGCGTTCCGTCTTTCCTGATTTTAGACAGATCCGTGCGAGCAGGCAAGGTCAGTGGCGTATACCAAAAGAAACGATGAAAGACATGATGTACCACATTCGAGTTTATGTTTCGGCCATTCCTGTACTTGGCATTCCTTCGAGCAATACGCACGCTATTAATATGCGTCAATAGGGAGGCAGTTGACGTATAGGGGCTGCTGCAGAATGTACTTCACCACATTTGATGCAACGATACTTGGCACGTTTGGTGCTACACGCAGGGCAGACCCCTAGCTCGATAAGCGGTACAAAGACTTGAGATATGTCGTGACACATTGTTGCGTCAAGTACAGATGGCTGCAACGGTTGGGAGATATGTGGCGAAGATTTAGGAGACCTGTGTTGCCGCCTGAGTTTAAATAAGAAGGGTCGAAGAGCGGATGGTTCGGAAGCAGCGCATGCGTTTCCAAAGCGGGTAAGATCTTTGGGAGGAGAAAGCGCGTAGCTCACTTGCAGATTCCAGTAATGTATTTCCCTTCGGACATTACTGAGGCAGGTACCAGCAAGCAAATGACAAACCCATACTTCGTCGTAAACGCATGATGAAATCAGACTCCATGCGTAAAGCTCGCTTCCAGTCTCTAGTATACTCTCCGGAGACAATCGTTCCTTCGTTCCATGCGCAAAGCTGACGATGAGAACTAATGAAAAAGATATACTTCAAGAATGACCGTGTATTCATTTCCGCCAGATCCAAGCCTCAGAGGGAATTTCGATTTACACAGACGGCCACGGTACGAAAATCCAGAAGTCAGAGCCACAAGTACCGAAGTCCTAACAAACCAGTAAGTGTCACAAACACTGGCAAACTTACCGACGCTGATGCTTGTTTCTCTGCTTCCACTGTTCGCGCCTCTTGGCCGAGTCTCCCTTGGGATCGTTGATAGCATCCAACTGCCCCGGATCATCTTCCATACCAACCATTGGCTCCTTAGGAAAGTTCTTCCAATGCGAGTTTTCTGGACAAAGGACATGGTGGAGAGATACACATTGCCGCTGGACCAGACGACAAAAAATGTCCTTTTCCACTTCGGTAAGGGAACGTCCGGAAAGAGTCTCCATATAGTTGATGAAGGGCCCAAGGGCTGTCTGGCTCACAGAACCAGAGGTGTTGCGCTCCTCTGCATAGGTCTCGACGACCTCGTGCAACTTCGGATCCCGTAAAATCGACATCCGCTTTCGTTCTTTATGCAAAGCAGGGGCATTCTTTCGCAGAATGCGCTCTGTGAACACGGCAGGGACGTGCCCGAAAGTCGCCACGTTGGGCAATCCGGAAGAAATATAAGGTGTACTATCCACCGTCAAGCACATGTTGAAAGTGAACATGGCACAGTCGAGTATGACCTCTTCGCCTCGAGCTGTAGCGAAGTACAGGCAATAGTGCTCGTCTGGATCTTGACCCCGGAAATACGTGCCGTCTGACTTTTTGGAGTAAGCTAACCTGTCTTGATTCTTCACGTCCGCGGAACCAGTGACAATCCCAAAGTCGCTGATAGGTGACGAACGGTACCTGAACCGCAAACGCCTCTCGTCCGACTCAGCGCCCGATGTGGTAGTGTACATCTCCACCAGGATCGCTGCAGCGATGGACGTGACGACAGGCAGGACGTATCCGCTATAAGTGATCCTCCTGTGCAGCTTCCGAGCCACTTTTGGTTCAGAAGCCTTGGGGAACCATTGCATCTTATCAAAGAACGAGGTCGGCCTCTGGGTATCGTCTATCATGATGAGTTTCGCTTGCCAACCGTCAGGAAGTGGCAGGGGAAAGACGTCGGGGTTAGGGCTATTGATGATCCTGTATTGTGTTGCCATATGTAGGGGTTTCATATCCATATGGTTGGCGGATTCAAACGTCCATGCAAGAAAGGGGTAGAACTCTTCAAGAGCAATACGATCCGTCCGGCCTGTGAAATAAGAGTAATTGAGTTACCTGGTACGTCAGGAAACTTGAAATACGTACCATAGTTCGACTTGTGGCGAGGCCAGTCCTCTCGTTGACATTCCCGAGAGCAATAGGCTCGCTACAAGTGAATGTTGTCTGAAACCCATTGAACCGAGAGCAAAGATGGCTAACATACCTCCGCGCAACTTTTACAGAAATCGAACGTCGTTGATTTCTTCTTGCAATGATAACATTCTTCGAGCTTTTCCGGAGGGAGATGAACTTGAGATACCTGATGACACATCTAGAAATGCTTCCAAAGTGTACAAGACCAAGCAAGTGCGAGCTGTAGCTTCAGAAGGCCGAAAGGCCGGAGATGTTACAAGTTCAAGTACAAGTTGGACTTGAAACCTAGCCCATGTGAGGGGCTCCTAAGTGAAATCGCCATTGGGCAATGCGGCTAACCCTCTGAAGCTAGAACGAAGGGTACACCATATATGGTAGTCCGAACGATGGCTGTCATCCAATCAGCCAAACAGTCGGTAAGCACATGGTCAGTCAACTTGATTCCGTGAGTGGTTAGAGGTAAGCAATACGATGCAAAACCAAGAAGTGGATTTTGGGAGGCAGCTGACGATCGCGTAGAAAGGGTAGTACTGTGCTTCCGCCATTTGCAAACTTTTCTCCAGACATTGTCTGAAGATGTCGAAAACACCATCTGAATTGAAACACCATGTAGAAAACTAGGGTTCAAGCCTTCTTCCTATTGCATTTATGCCAGAGTACGATCCCGAGCCGTGCGTGACATGGGGTTCAAGAAATCGGCACCTAAGACGACGTTGTATACAAGTGTTGCGGTTGGAACGGATTCCATCCAGAAGAGCAAGCGAGCATTGCAAACATATTCATGTAAGATACAATGGTCTTGTCTCTCGAAGATCGTTAAAGCCAAAGGAAGAAGATACGCGCTACACCGTAGCATCAGACGCAAGACAAATGGTGAGGAAAGGCAGAACAGAAATGAAGTGACAGAGAAAGCCTGAGGAGGATTGGAACCCACGCTCGGGACTTTACCCACGAAGTGACGTCATAGCAATATGAAGACTGTCGTCATGTACGCCAACTCGGGAGATGCTCATAAGGCGAGGCAATTCCAGCCACGCCCGATACACACGCTCCTAATTCTCCCTCAAACAACCCCTTAAGTCGTTTCCATCTATCTTTCTATCTCTTACCTTCCAAGATAACAAATTATGTTACGCACACAAGCACTTCGCTCCGTCGCTCGCCGCGGCATACCCCTCGCTAGTGCTCGCATTGCTTTGCCGGTGAGTTTCATACAATTTGAACATCAAACCATAAGGGATCAACTGACATGTCGTAGCATGTACGAATGTTAGCGACTCCGCCAGACCCTACCAAACCTTCCTCAGATCCAAAGTTTGACTCGGCAAAGAGCGACTCGACAATCAAACCTAAAGGAACATCGCAGACAACGCTGTATCTCTTGGTGGGAGGAACCGCTGTGGCTGTTGGAGCATGGTACTACATGCAAGGCAGCAAAGTCGATCAACATGCACAGAGAAAGGCAGATGAAGAGCAGATTAAGCAGAAGGCCCAGGAGCTGAAGGAGGCCGGCAAAGTAACGGCGCAGGATGCTGCAAAGCAGGCGGAGCAAAGTTACGATGCCTACAAGGTCCATACTCTTGACATTCTGCACGAACCTGGTATTGATTAGTCGATTTCAGGCTTCTGGTAAGGAGAAGCTAGCTGAAGCACGAGCTCAAACTGCTTCTACAACCTCTGAAGGACAAGCTAAGCTCGACTCCTACAAGACCTCTGCTTCGCAGACACTAGCGGAAGCACGTGACGCCGCCAACGAAGCTGCGCGTAAAGCAGAACAATCATATCTCGAGGCCAAGGACGCTGCCGCTCGCAAGGCTGAAGAGGCCCAGCAGACTTGGGGCCAGTGGTTCGGAAGCTGGTTTGGATATGGAAATAAGTGATGGAACGAGGAGCTGAGAAGGTGACGAATGGTGCAGACAAGGTCGAGGAAGAGACCAGGAAGCGTGCATGAGCTCGTAACATGGAAAATATTCAAGAATTTGGAAGGAAAAATCTGGTCGGACTCTGTCATTGTATGATTATCTTGCATATACTGCTGTAACAATGTACTATCATCGTGACATTTATTCCCTCGTCAAGGTCAGGGCAGATTGAGGCTTCTCGAGATTTCTTGGGGTGTCAGCCAATTTCGCGTCGCCGTTAACTCTTCGCCATGCATGCATAACTACCGGGGCCGCTCCTACGTTTTGGGACCTTGTGATGAACTTACCTGGTCACCCAGTACAAGCGATGCACATTGTCATACCTACCGTTTCCACAGATATCCCGGACAGCTTATGGTCAAGTATGAATTCAACCCACGGTACCGTCTCGGTCCCCAATCATGCCAACCTACGAGAATTATACTTCTAGGCTGGTCTAAAGAGAGTATGCAGAGGCTCGAAGCGAGCCTAAATACTGCTTGATTTACGTGTTTACGCTTGTTTGACAAAGTCCTCGATGATCTTCCCTTTTTTGTCAAGGCAAACCAGTTTGTCGGTGTCACCGTGTTTCAGCCGCTGCTCACCTTATTACCCTGTGCGCCATAGATCCTCGTTTCAGTGTTCACACTCATCAAACCGTCTTCGTAAAAATCGAGATTGCTAGGATTCAGAAGACATGTGTCATCAGATATCTCAAGTCTTCCTTCCACTTGAGAAGTTGGGTGATTGCCACGCTTGTCAGACCACCGCTGCCACAAAGATTTGTTCTGCATGTGGAGAGGTATGCGAACCTACTCGAATTCAGACTATCAGTCTCTGCACCTTGTCCATTATTTGCTGAAATTCCTCCGTCATTACAGCGGGCTTACTGTTCTCAAGAGTGTCAAAGCCAAGACTGGAAAGACCATAAATTGGGATGCGGTCAGCTCTTTGGTCCTACTTGTTACCACCCTTATTCGTCTGACCACTCTTCATATGTCATCTAACGTACAACAGGTAAGACTGACCGCATCGATCTCGAACACTTCTATCCCTTCCTTGCTTGGATGTACGCATATTCCCACATGACCGCCACCAAACCCATACACCCCGCACTTCAACACAAGATCATCAACGACGTGAATCCATACGTCACCCCAACCCAACTCCCAGATGGCTGGGAAGCCAAACTGGTAATGATAGATGACACCCAAGCTCCGAGACCATTTCTCGACCATATGGATTGGTTCCCATTGGCTTATAGTCCAAAAGTGGCTGGTAAAATGTTTCGTAGGATCGCCTTGAGTGGTTACGTCCTACCGATTCTCACTGCTGTTGCGTCGGCGATATTGGCGGAGATGTACACGACGACGTCAGGTGCAGGTTCATCTGAACGACGAGTACGCTTGAAATACCGTTCATCACCTATTAGCGATTTCGGTATTGCCACCGGGAGCGCTGTGGTCACCCCGCAGGACAGGTTAGCGTATTACAGACAATCGGACGGTTCGATTTTTTGGGGGCAAGATCCGGACGATCATTATTGGCTATACTTCACTACAACTCGAGGGGAAGAGGTCCTCCTGGATTGCGCGATGTTTCCCTTTAATATGTGTCAAATGGTGGATAGCACGCCGTACGTCCCTGCAGAGATGCCTATGCAGGAGATGGACCCGGCCTTGTCCCTGCGTTTCTCTCAGAACGCATCGTACGGAAGAACACTCCGCCATTGCATCGGGAACGAAACTGTCTTTCTATACTCCGAGATCCCAAGCTGCACGAGGTTATAAAGGTATTTGTGCAAGTGCGTGACCCGTCGGGGAGCATGACGCCGGACGACCTCCAACCGTTCGACGAGTATATGGAAAGGCTCTCCGGACGGTCTCTCACGGATGTAGAGAGGACTCTTCTATTGGCTGAGTCCTCATCATTGTGTATCTTTACATTACGTCTTGTGCCCGAAAGATGAGAGAGGTGGAAGAAGTTCCCAAAGGAGCCGCAAGTGGGCATTGAGGGTGATCCGAGAGAGCTGGATGACTTGGATGATCCTGATTCTCATTGGGCTAGGAGGCACAGGGAGTGGAAGAAGGGAGAGAAAGGAAGGAAGAAGCACAACGTGCGTTGAATTTTGTTAGGTCTTGGGTTTGTAATTCATCAAGGAAGTATGGTGCTGCATTTTGTAATCTCATCAGGTTTATTACTCACATCGCTATTTCTGTTTGATATTTTGAAATGACAAATTCAAACACGATCATACATCTGTCGAAGCTGAGCGTTGAGTCATAGTTATATCACCGGTTTTTCTGTGCAATCGGTATCTCTCCTCCAAACCAGACGCCATAGGTATCTCGCAGCTATTGCTGTTAACAGGCATGCGATATCTATATCCTGTGAGACAGCGTACTAGAATTGCTGGAAAGTCTAAATGGTATCCGATGTTGCCTACTTCTACATGGTTCGAGAGATCAAGATGCTACGTCTTGGAATAGCGACGTTTTTAACGTGGGTAGCTCCCGGCGCTGCTGTACATCCCGAATCTCTTCATCGCTCATACATGCGCGTGCAAGCATTGCATTGACATAGCCTGCGAGATCTATCAATCCCATGTGGATGTACGTGTCAGTAAAAACACTGGCACACAACAGGAACGTTGAAGCTCACTATACCACACGGGCTCGATCGGTATCCTACAACGGACAGCAGTCACTATCATCCGGTAATATTGAGCACGGATTTGTTTCAACTCGGGAGTGTCTCCGTCAAGAAAAGCATTGGCATCCGCATGTCCGGCCTTCATAGGATCATCTCCCACATCGCAAAAATTGAACTGGGAGACGATTCGGAGTTGAATGAACGACTTCCGCGTGAGCCGATCAGCGTTGTGTTGTAGAAAGCGGCTGATATCTTGCAAAGACCCTTTACCGACGACTTTTCCATCTTCCCCCTTCGGTAACAAGTTGACAAGTAACGTCATCCTGATCAAGTTTGACGGCAGCCTCCAAGTTCCCAGAGTCCTACTGCAAGTGTCCAGCACCCCGATTGTCAACTCCTGCAGAGACTCGAAGAAGATGTCGTTGAGTTGCCAGAAGGACGCAAGCTGATACGAATAGACGAGGTACAGCTCCAACACACGCAAGCTGGGCAGCAAGCTAATCGCCTTGAACGTGCTATGTGCATCCCGGTACACAACTCCGACCAGCTGTAAGGTGTGTAACCGCGGCAATTCGCATTCGAAGAACGCGTCGCCTAGGAGGGAGACATCTTTTAAACAAAGGTGTTCGAGATTAGGGAATGGGAGCTTTATTCCGTAAGAGGAGTAGTATCCGCCACACAGTGTAAGCTTGCGAAGACGTGAGAAGAAATCGTGTGTGCAGCTGAATTGGGGGTTAATCGGGCAATATTGGGCCTGATGACCATCGTGAAACACCACAAGGGACTCCAGGGACTCCAGATTATTGAGGATGGAAAGAAGGTACTCAGGCTTGTGTTTCCAATCATGTTGGAAGAAGACTGAAATGTGCCGTGCCAGTCGCACGTTGGGATACTTGCTGAGGACGCGGCTAAACGCACGGATGTGACGATAGGATAAGAGAATGGGATGTCTGTAAAGGTACTCTGTGCCTGCCAGGTACCACGAACGAGACACCAGTATAACGGTATGTAGAGAAGATAGTGCCTCCTTTGTCGAGCATTTAGAATGATTGAGCTGGTCGGGCAGGAGGTGATGGTATTGCCAAAACGCAGATTCTCCTGGTGAAATCACTTCTTTCATTGGTCCAACATAGCTGAAATGTGGGGCCTCCGGTAACATTGGAAGGGTGTGCATGTAATGTTCGAAAATCTGCAGGACGAGCTCTTGGGGGAGGCGACTGGCAGCGGACAGCGGACGAGTGCGACGAAATGCACGACCGATTGTTCGCAGTACGATGACAGGTCGGGAAGATAAAAGACCGGACAATTTGAAAGAGTGCATCTGGTGTGGCGTAGGAGTAACGACGGATTGAATCTGGAGCCTATAGAATATTTGTCACTCGCGCTTTTATGCACAAAGCCAGAGTTGTTAGCTATTGAGCGCTGTGCCCCCAAGTTCACAGTGATACATGGAAACTTGACAGACCTTGTTGTAAGAGAATAACAATGCGACGACATACCAATAGGAAAACAATAAGCCCGGAATCCTAATTATTGAGTCTGAGTAGATGGTAACTTGGAGACTCATCAAGCAGATACTACTTACAATAGTAAACACATACATGAAACTCATGCTCGAGGAAAGCTGAACAGGCCATTTGCAAGAAAGCGTTGTTGAATCTATGTTCGTTCAGGGGCGTTGCATATTTTCATTCTGTTCGGAGCCAGTATGAAGTACAATGAAGCTATCTGACACTGACGCGCCAAGCGCTTGCAACCAATAACACCGAGGAAGCCAATTTGACGGAACTGAAGACAATCTTAGCCCAGGCGTCTGAGGAGCATTTAAAGACATGAACTACTCACGCCGCTCTCGAACGTTGCTCTCCCCATGACCTCTGGGCGGTATTTCCCCGGTTCATACCCAAGCCGCAAACGAACGCTGGTCCTTTGCAAGCTGGCTAGAAGATGAGAACCTTGTTCAAACGCTGGCAGTCCTGTCTACGTTCCCGCTATGCCTGATGGTCTTGTTGACCATTGACAGATTTATTATCGATTCTGTCAGCTGAGGAGGCCTGAGGGTTCGAACGGCATTCTTGGGCTAGGCCGAGTGGGATGCCGAAGTCTACTTAGAAACGCGTGAAGGGTACTCGCAAGTGTTCCTTTATGGATGATCACGATGCAGGGCTCAGCGCGAATCACGTTCAGAAGATTCGACATGCTTGAGAACGAGAGACTTGGAAGATCCGTGCTCACCGGCCAAAGTCTGAGAATGAGGTGAACCCAAGGTATGATGCACAACAAGCAACTGTCAAAGTACAATCAGTTACTGAGCCACAGCAGGACATGTATGTCTAGAAGTAAGGGTCTCCAAGATTTTTGAGCCAAAATCAAGTAAAATCTGTCACTTGCGATCTAGAAAGGTATATACGAAACGTGGAGCATGCGTCGAGTTGATCACATCTAGGTTTGAAATGCGACCCGTAGATGCTAAGCTATAAACAGATCACTGAGGCGCGAGAGACATAGGTACATCCGTGGAAGAGTACCTTGATACTTAGACAGTCGTTATGAGCACAGGGTTTTGCGGCTTGAGAGCTGGACGGACTACAGGAAATGCCGTTCTAAAAGACGGCTAAGAGCGACTCGGAGAAAAACATGACCGGGCGTCCCTTTCGGCCGGGAAGGTCCTCATAGGAGACTTTGACGAATAGAAGGATGAAAGGGCACACCGGCCTATGCCAGCGGAAGCTTGGAAGAATGGAGGGAGCCTCGTGTACTTCGCGTTCATCCTGAAAGCGGCGCCAGACAGCTATATGGTGCATATGGCGGGTGTATCGCCTGCATGTTGCGTAGCAGTTAGCGCAAAACTATGTTCAGCGGAATCTTGGCACTTGTGTGGGGTAGGTTCCAATGAGGGGTTGGGGAAGGGACGATGAAGAACATGTGGACAACCAACGCGCTATCAAGTAGGGTCTTCCAAGACGCAATGGAAGAGCAAATTCAAACAAGTAGTAATGAAGACGAGTATAGCGCTCTCTGATGGTTGCAGGGTGCAGTCGTGTGGCGATAACAGCTAATTCGAGCCCGTCCACATCTGTTCAGATGACAGGATTCCGGTGCTTAAAGCAAGCGTTAGGGCTGAAAAGGTATGGCGTTGCACCAGGTGGCGTGTGGGGAGGATTCTGGAGCTACATGATGGATTTCGACTGTGGTCGACGTCGTCTTGTTAGTGTCTTGGTTACATTTGGTTAAGCATCTTTCGTATCTTCTATGTCGAAGCAGACATGATGGAAAAGGACGATTAATATGGGCAGATTGAGTGGAAGCTAGAGGACAATGAGGGAAAATGGCCATTTCCGTATTCTGAACGGATGCTTATGTCATCCGTTCGGGGCCCGTACTGGGGAGACGGATAACACCAAGACATCGCTTGCTTTCCTTCCTTCATATCCTCTTTCTCGCTTTCAGACCCTTCGTCGAGTTTGCTATCGTCGAGAACAATTACGGACCTCTCTGATTCCGTTTAGCCAAGAGAGCTTTAGGCCATACTCCGGGGCTTATTTCTCTCCGATTCTCCTCGACATTGAGGCAACCTTGCACGGCCACTTTAGCATTCATAGTCACTCGTACTCGCCAAGATATATGTACAGGCACCAGACAGCAGCTTATTGCTGATACAGCCTAGCCACAATGCCCGCAGTATCGAGAGGTCACAGAGCAGAGGCAAAATACAACGTTGTCCTTGATTGTGCGTACACTGCTTGGCATATAACCAGCGACGTCCTGATATCCCCTTAGATCCTCAGCTGGGCTTGCATTCCGCCGCCGCCTCTGGAAATATTGCTCTCGTTCGGTATGCGCTCGATCATGGCCAACCAATTAATTCTGCTCTCGACGGTGTCTTGCCTCTTCATGCAGCATGTTCGGGGGGCAACGATATCGTAGTTCGTCTTCTTATAGATCGCGGCGCTGATGTGAATGCACCGAGGTGAGTTCATACATATTGCCAGCCGGTTTCATCCGCTGATTTTGTTCGCCTGCTAAAGACTGCCTCGACGATACTCAAATGACAAGGGTCGTGACGCATCCATGCCTATCGTTGGCACTTCCGGGTCCACACCTCTCCATTTCGCATGTGCAAATGGTCATATGAGTGTAATCATGACGTTGCTGTTACATGGAGCCCATCCTGACCGTGCAGACAAGCACGGTACCACTCCAGAGATGTTGGCCCGTCAAAATGGCTGGGTATCCTGTGCTGATATTCTCAAGGAATGGTCTCACAACAAGGACAGGGACCTCAGAGAACGGGAATTATCGTCACATCCGCTCTCGGATAATGAGGAGACGAGTTCCCCAAAGCAGAAGGAATCTCACGCCTATTGTGGGTCGCTCGATTGTCGGGAATGCGCAACTAGGAAAAGAATCCGAGTCAAGCGGTCTATCGACTCCGCCATCCACATGTTGAAGCCAACCATAACTCAATGTCACCCACCTTCCTCGAGTACTGACCAACAACCACCTTCGCCACTAGCAAAGCAGCTTGGAGAGTATACTTACTACCCCACTCCCGATTCTAACGCTTCGCAAGAGTTCCCCGGCCGACGCCCTTCACTTCCACATGTATATGATTCGCCTGAGGATTCAACCGCTTCCCGCAGACGGCCATCGAACTCTCAATCTATCGTTTCATCTTCTTCTCGCAGACCCCGCTCAGCCGATATGGATGCCGAACCTTCGCCATCACCGGGAGCGCAACGAATTAAGGGCAAAATCTCTCTGCTTAACATCTTCAAGAAAAATAGCGGCGAGGCTTCTGGTACACCCGACAGCTTATCTAGCTCTAGCTCAGTGTTTACCTCTATTTCCCCTTCTCCTGCACCGGACGTGCATGCAGCACAAGCCGGTTCGTCTTCCGCATTCCAATGTCATTCCGCTGATGTCCCAACCGCTACTCCACCAGATTATACGCCTTTGAACGCATCGCGTATGCGTAATCGCCTCCTCAGCGAAAGTGGCCGACAATCTCCTGCTCAGGCTGTTGAGCTGCACCATGCTTTCTCAAAGGAAAGTCTTCAGGCTCAATACAATGCTAGTACGACGGCTGTTTCTGGAATCAATACGAGTACTCAAGGATCACGAAGTCCGTCCGTAAGACCTGGAATTTTGCGTGGCGTGCATGGCCGCTCTTCATCCTCAGGGCCATCTCAGCCTTCTTCACATGTAGACTCGACGAAATCTCTGAACAACTTGCCTGCGGTATCTGGTCAGTCCATTAGATCGCTCCGATTTGATTCATCATCTGCTACATCGACGTCATACTCGCGTCGACCTTCCGAGAAACTGGAACGTAGGCATGATAGTCAAAGTCCTGCAAGGCGTGTCAGGGGCAGTGATAGCAAGACGTCACTACGTTCTCATAGCCCTGCATCCCCGCGGGGTTTACAACGAGATGATGAACAGCTCCCACCGACATCCTTACCGGTTGCCTTCAGTTCTGATACCAGCCCGCAACGTGCTGGCGATATTGAAGAGGAAGTGGAAGAGGACGAAGAATATGGTACACCCATTGAACCGCTAGTGGGCATGAGCGAACTCACTTTGGGAGATAGACCGATACATGCCTCGCCGGAAATGACATCCTCCGATCTTCCTCCAGCAACTGAAGGCGCCCTTCCCCGCGTTTTCGAATGTCCGTTCAGCATCAATTGTCCTCCTATCGGTGATGAAGAGCCACAGGATTCACGCGATAGACACGCTAGTCCGAACTTACTCGGGATTGATGGAATCGATGGACGGACGAGGGGGGATTCATTGAGCAGCATGAACACGAATCCTACCAGCTCCAGCAGCGCTAGCGCTTACTTGGGTACTCCTGCTATGTCGACATCGAACCTACCCATACCCGCGATTTATTCGCCTACATCACAAGCATCAGATCTGCCCGTGGAGAGGGCAGGGTCTCGCATGGGAGAGCTCATAGATCCCTCTCCGAAAAGATCTCGGATCCCTCTTGATATCGATATTCGTTCAATATCTTCACATGCACAAGCAGAAGCTCTTGTTCAACAAGCTCAGCAACGAATCTTCGACTTGCAAAACGAAGCTCAGGATTGGAATGTTCCGAGAGTCAGCTTGGGTGAAGGTCGCACACCTTTGAGCGCCCGTCTCGCCGCTTATGGTGAATCACTCGCAATTGAACGCAAGTTCAAGGAAGAAGAAGAAAAGAGCAGGAGCCCTCTCCGAACGGTCCACTCGATTAATACGAGCGCATCAGGTTCAGAGGGTAGTAGCGGTGTGTTGAGTTCGAGTACTTTGAAGGTTAGTCGCAGTGCGAGAGGCTTGGACAGGGCGTTCAGTCTGGAGGACAAGACACGCGTACATGGTAGACATGGTCGAGTTCAGAAGGTGAAGCGACCACATACTAGCGGTGGAACTCGTGAGTATCCTTGTCAACGCATCTATACGTGAATGGTAAGCTCATGATTTATCACGTTTAGCTGTATCAGGCCCTTCAGACTCCTCGATGCTCCTCGAACGCCCCGGTCATTTCCATTCTATCTCAAGTAGTGCTGCCATTGGATCTACTCCCGACATCTCTTCCAAACCTCCTCAGCCTTTCGTCGTCGCCATTACACCTCCACCCTCCTCTTCGTATCCAGCAACACCCCCAGATCGTTACTCGCTCGATTATCGACCCCGGATGACTCGCTCACGTACACCTGACCCCGAGTCAGACTCATCATACGTCCTCACCGGCGTACCCCTCTCTCGATTTCCTACTTCACCTGACAACGACACCTTGTTCGATGCTCTTCCTTCGGAAAGAACCCTTACAAAACAGGAGCGTGAAGTCGCTCGGGCTAACAAGTTAGCAAAGATGGGTTTCTCGTCTGGTGGAGATAGCTGGCAAGGTGCCGGTTCGTTCTCACGAAGCCAGAAGCCTCGTTTCGGTGGTATAAAGACTCTGGTGCAGACTTTGACTGGAAAGTCATAGATCTCTTGAGCTCATTCTTTGTCTCCTTCCCTAACCTCCTTTACACATATCATTCGACTTTCGACTTTCGACTCCCCCCAACCCTTTTCTCTTTCTCCTACTCATCCTGTTTTCTCCGATGGACATTCCTGATAAGTCTCTGCGACTACTTTTTGTGTTATCCTGATTTGTTGTATCTCTCATCCCCACTGTCACTTTATTGTTTGTTGTTTGTTGTCCAATTGTTTCCATGGCTGTACTTCATATTCATACTTTTTCATCATCCATCCAACACATCGCATTTGCTTTGCATCATTTTCTTTTCTTTTGTGTCTTGAACCCAATCTCGCTGCTAGAGATGGTGTACGATTGGCAGGTTTTATTATCGCTATGTATATTCATCCACACTCGCATCCTCAGATCTTTCTTTATTCTTCTCACTCGAATTCCAATCGCATCGTCCTCGCACTGATATTATTTGTTGTACCGTTGTTGTATTATCTATGTACCATGTATGTCAGTTATCCAATGTGTATTCCAGCACTTCGGTTTACTATAGACCTTCTTACCGGGACAGCACGAAACGGTTTCCCTTATCGGGAGGGCGATTCATAATTGTGTTTAGCTTCCTTTTCTCTTGACCACAGCCTTGCTCGTAACCAGGCTGGTTTGCAAGAACCTTCTCATGATCTTCTCACTTGTCTGATTGATACCGCTATTGTCAATGTCTCTTGCCAAATACGCTTTCGATTTCGGTGCGCGTGAGAGTTGTGCATTGTTCCTTGTTGCCTCTGACATCGTACTCAATGAAAAATGTCAGCTTGAAAGTGGTCACAGTCGTCATGGAATGGTCTGTGCCACTTCAGCGACCGTAATGAAGACCACGAAGGAACTCAGCTCCAGTGTGTACATGACCTCAGCCTCGAGGGTTTATTAACATTGCTTGGTTCCGTTTATTAGCTGTTCTTCAGGCGGTTTCGTCTGATTTCGGTAAGTGGCATTACACAACCTCGTGATTGTCTGTTTATGGGCAAGTGCAGAGATAAAGATACCATCGTCCTAGGTTACATTGACAACCGTTGCTTCAACGCAGCCTCAGGCTTGACACACTTCGGTCGGCCTTTGTCGAATCCAGTTTTTCTTTTTGTGAAGGGTTAATTAACTAGATCCCATGTTGTCAAGGCTGACAGATTGGATGTGGTATAATTGTATTCTTTTGATGTTGCCTCCGTTCTTTATTCTTCTGAAGAACAAGGTACGTTGAGGCTCCTTATATCTCGTCCTTGAGCGCTCAGCACCTGATGGCTTGTTTTGCTTAAATGTGCGACTCACAAAGTGTGTAGGCCCCAACTGTAGTTACTTCACGTACGCCACACCAAATGCGTTCCTCCTTCCTGACCTCCCTTCGGTACACACGCGCCGCCATCGTCCTACGAACAATTGGCCGTTCGTTCCGTCGCAAACGTCCATTGTCTGCGGCCAGCCGCCTACCACAGGAGATCGTAGGACTTATATTCGAGTATTATCTGCCTTCTGTCACAGTATTGCCGATGGCTTCCCCATTTGACTACTCGGGGCCACTGTGTTGGACGGCCTCTGAAGGCGAAGATTTTATCTCCCTTGACGTGCAGCGTTCTTATGAGCAGCTCGTACGTTATAAGGATGCGGTCAGGGAGGCGTTGTCTTCTCTACATAGCGCAACATCAGTCTGTCGTTCGTGGTATCTGGCAGGAACAGAATACCTCTACAGACACCCTATCCTCATGTCCTATCGGCAGACCCGCGCGCTGGACCGCGTCCTGACGAAACATCCCAATGCTCAGTTAGCCCGAGACCTCATTGTGTTCCTTCAAGAGGACCACTATTACAAATCTGAACGCCTTCTATCCATTCTCAACAACTCAGACTCCCTTGACACACTCGTCGTTATTCACGATATCAATGAATTCACATTATCCACATTTGACTATCGTTTTGATACAAAACACAGCTTTTCATCACGTCTTCGCAAACTTACCATCCATGGAGGCTCGTGGGCTTGCGAGATGAAGCTGCCACTCCCTGCTCTTGAGCACCTCTGCTTACAAAATACGTGGTTATCACTTCTCGGCGAAGAAATTTTTGAGGGAGATTTGCCGCGATTACACACTTTGCAACTGGTCGACGTTTACTTCGGTTGTGCAAAAGTTCTTCTCACGAGCCTCAGTAAGCTACGGAGCTTACGGGTCCTAGAGCTTTTTCTGGTCAAGCCGAAGACACTCCAGGATTTCTTTATGGTCAACGACATCTCGTTACCTCAGCTGCAGCACTTGACGGTTGGAATACTAGATTCCTCAATCGCACCGCTGGGGTCCTGGAGATTCCCACCGAATTTGATCACGATGACTCTACTCGTCAACGTGCTGCCGAGACGGGAAACTGGGGAAGTTATCTGCGACGGCCCAATGGGAGCCATAAATAACTTCATTCTCTTCAACACCGATCAAATGGTCCCAGGAAAATCTTTCAAAAAACTGCTTCTTGTTAATCAGCTGGACTTCAACAATACTGCGAATGACCCGGTGTCTGAGGCAGTCGCGGATCACAAGAAATTTCTGAAAGGGGAGGAGGAACAGTTCAAAAAGGCACGGAACCAATATTTCCAACTGTTACGCGTCACACATTCGTGTCGAATCCCGCTAGTGCCGATCTGGTGCGGTATGTATTCAGAAATACTCTACTATATTTTCGCCGCTTACGCCTTAATTAGATCTTGCGGCTTTTGTCAACGACAAGCTCGCGCACCCATTCCGACGGCAAGGGGAGGACAGAAAAGGCAAACTCATAAGTAGCTGGCGGAAGACCGAGTCTGATGACACACAGGTTATAGCAAGAATCTGGACTACTCTCTTTCCGTCTCTACCGCCACATCACACATCAATGGCTGTAAAATCGAGAGGAACGAACCAAATCTCGACATAGTCACACAATCGCGCTTGTATTAAATAGTCTTGATATACTATTATTGCATTATTATGACAATGCTATTAATCGCCCCGAGAGAGAAGGGTCTGAAAAGGTTAAGACAACGACACGACTTTCAGGTTTGAACTATTACAGTTGCCGGATGCGGGAGTATAGTCATTTGTTCTAAGTAGCACTGCCACTCTACGTTGAAGATTTCCGAAGTCGGAGCCTCCAATCGTGCCGTTCCCGGATGTTTAGGAGATCCGAAAGACTCTGACAAGCCTGGATATCACTGAATGTCGATAACATAGGTTTGTAACATCTCACGGGTGAGTGATGTACCCTGTAGTAAAACTGGCATGCCATACCAAAAAATTGTACGGTACTTATGCTCCGTTCTTATGCGCCTCGCCCAGGCTGCAGGAGCACAGGAGCAACAAAAAGGATTCGGTTTCCATGGGTACACAACGCCGATGCACAGCTTTGTGGCCACTAGGAATTCGCCTTATAATCAGCACACTCCACCCATCTACAACGGTATCTCCAGGAGGACACGGCCTTCACAATGACGAAGACAAACATCCTATCCTCACTTCTTCATCATGATTCCCCCAGGACTGTACCTGATCTCCCTCCTGAGATCCACCGCGTCATCGTTCAGGATCTTTTGGACCCTATTTTGTTCATGCATGGACCTCAGTTTCAGTATGTTAAACCAGCCCAGAAAACGCTCGGTATGTGGTGGAATGGCGAGCACAATCTGGAAGGCCCGGGATGGCTCAAGGGCTATCGAGATCACATTTTGGAGGCATATCGCACCCTGGTTAATGTGTCCCATGTCTGTTCTGGATGGCGCAAAGTCGTATTTGACACGTATCTACCCAAGGTTTACGCAGACCCTTCGCTCACCTCTCCCAGAGAGCCACGGATTGTCAATCCGATCCCCGAAGATTACGGGCTACAACCTTTCTTATTAGTGCGGACTCTCCTTCAGGACAAACCTCCCCCAAGTCTTTCGGTGATAGTGGACTACGATACATGGACATCTTTCGTTGAACGCTTGTCGGTGCCCGGGTTCAAGAAACCTACAATAGAAACCTCCCGTACCAATAAAACCCTCGAGTCTATCCTCCGCTCATCGGCTCATCTTCATATTCTCACTATTATGCATACTGGCAGCATTCTCGAACGAATGAGCCGCGTTACTCTCACAGATTATCGCAGCGATCTGCCCGGAGAGTCACTTCGAGCATACGAGCCTGTTCTCCCGCGGCTGTATAAACTTACTGTCTATGACGGGCCCGACACTCACAAGATACTCAGATGGGCCTCTTTACCTAATCTCGAGCATCTTTGCATCCGGAACATGCTAGTCCCTTCGTCGCAGCAGAGTTTCTCGAATATGCCGAATCTGCACACACTACAGCTAGTCGATGTGGCGTTCACAAATCAGATGGCATGGGGACTTGATTCCGGAACATGCATCAATAGACTCACAAACTTGCGACGGCTTGAATTGTTTTCAGATGACTACGGATTTCTCAAGATTTTCTGGGATATCAGGGAGACATGGCGTCACATCACGGATTTGACCGTAGGGGTGCTGGACGTCAGAACGGAAAGTCTGGCTCGATGGAACATTCCTCCCAACCTAGAATCTCTGACAGTGGTTGTGAAAGTTTGGCCAAATTTTCGAACAACAGCTGCCCCGTGGGAACATGCGAGCGGGAGGGAGGACACAATTAGCGGACGTGATGGTCCACTGGAACATATTGCAGAATGTCTTCGCTCGGAAGTCAACCAGACACTTATCGCGGAGGGCAAATTCAAGGAGCTTACCATCGTTGCGGACTGGGAAATGGAGGAAACAGATCTAGCTTCTTTTGACTCCTACCGTGATATTGAGTATTCGTGCGAAAGGCTGAACGTCAGATTAAGGGCGTACAGAAGCGGTAAGCCCTCAGTCAATAACCACGACGGATATGGATATCACTCATTTTTATCGCACGTGCCAGATCCGAGTGTTTGGATCAATGGGAGACTCAATATGCCATTTGAATCGCAGATTGCAAGAAGGCAACATCAGAATGGACAACAGGGCATAGACGAAACCTCGCGCTGTAGGATTTGTTGCAAGAGGTTCGATGATAGTACTGAGGACAAGAACAATAATCAGGATGAGGACGAGAACATGGACGAGCACGTCGCATAATGTGCGGGGGAAGGACAGTGAAAACAATGGGAACGAGGCTTAGAAGCGTGAGGACGATGGGTAGGAAAATACATCGTGTCTTGTAATGTATTCATATATTCAATAATACTAGTATAGCCTTTTACCGTTGCCGCTGCCGGCCGCCACACAGAGATGTACAAGCTCAAGCTCGCATGCAAACTTAGCACTTGCTAGGAAATCTATGACCCTGCAAGGTCCCCTAGATGCAATTGATCGCCAAGTGGGTACTCGAGTATTTCAAGTACGTACTTCGAGGTTAGTCCCAGTGTGCTGCTTATCATAGAATTATCATCCAGAGGTACGAAGCGCTCGGAGAGGACCTGGGAAATCCAACGTTCATCGCGTTCACCTTGCATACTTTCCGTCAGCCACTCCGACAGCATTTGATACGTCCGGATACTTGCCTTCTGATTGGACCATACTCAACCGGCGAGCCTAAACAAGCAGTCAGCTAGAAGCCCTATATACCATCTCTTCGATTACCTCTGAACCAGAGTAAGTCGGTGATTGACATTTTGCGCCACTTTATAGCCATACGTACCTCCTTCACGTAACTGATGGCATTTCATTTGCAGTCTTCTACGGCAGTAACGTTCGGACCCAATATGCTTCAGGTGTCATCTCAAGAGGATACCACAACGCTCCTTAGACCCACACTTCTAGAGAGGTTTATATCCCGGTCCAAGCAATTTTTTGGACCTGGAGCTTCCGAAGACAATAATCTTGTGCTCCCAGAATATACTGCAGTTGAAATCCACGATTGCGTAACGGACAAAATCTACGTCGATGAATCCGAAATCCCCAAAGAAGAGGCCATCACCTTCGAAACATGGACTAGGCCACGCCCTCTTCCCACGTCCTCAGAGGTCCGCGCACAGTCAATGGAAAAGGAACATGTCTTGAGTAAAGCCAGAGGTGTAACCGTTGTACGATTCCCTTCCCTTAATTTAGTTGCCAAGTTCGGGACACAAGGGACCGCTGAAGGCCAAATGCTCTGGTTTCTTCGGCGCAAGACAACCGTCCCTGTCCCCGAAGTCTATGGATGGTATCGCGAAGGCTATGAGACATTCATCTTCATGGAATACATTGATGGTGTGACATTGGACGATGTTTGGGATGACCTCCAGCATGCGACGAAGGAATCCATAGCCAAGCAGTTGGTTCCCATACTGGCTTCACTGAGGCAGGTAAGACTACACGAAGCCTATGTCGGTGCGCTTTCAAATTTCTACATAATGTCTAAGGAAGCACCTCACGTATAATCAGGGGGTATCTGTCATCGGCTTCTCCTTGATCAACTATTTATAATGCGTTCAACCAACAAAGGACCCCTTCCCTCCATCGAGTCATTCAACGATTACTTCATGGATGTAGGCGATGGCTTACCCGGGTATCCTCACGCTTATGTGGACTTTCGTAATGCACTCCCGAACCGGACTGACATCGTCCTGACACATTCCGATCTTCATCCGGGCAACATCATGGTTACACCGGACGGTAGCAAGGTCCTCGCCATCATTGACTGGGGAAATGCAGGCTGGTACCCTGCATTCTGGGAGTATGCCAAGTCTCGAATGATGTGTCAGGCTCTTGTGGGGTGGGCAGATTTCATTGCAATCTGCCTCACTCCTTTTGAGGAAGTTTGGGAGGTTTTGTCTTTCTATGAAAGTTGTGGAATTCTAATCTGATTCCTACGCTACGACGTGATGTCAGCGCTGTCCGGGTTTGGGCATCAATGAGAGTTCGAGAGGCCCATGCAAATGACTGTTCACTATCGCTGGACAATCTCAGTATAGCAGATTCCGAGATTTCGTGTTGATTGCATTAAGCGTCATGAAAGGATTCATTTATAGTCCTTCAACGCTTCCAAGTCACCCAGATCTTTCAATAAGCATTTAACCCGGCCGCTTTTTCATAAAATACTTAGGAGCGGCAGCCAGAAAAACCTTGATTTGAGGCCTAAATAATCTATGTACTAATGAGTGCTGTATCTTTAGGCAGAAGTCTCGTGGTCTTGGACGGCTGCATGTACGGTACTTTTGAATACAGGCTATTTCTTTGTTCGGGGGGCGTTCGATAGCCTCGTGGTCGGCAATCTTATCTCCCGCCTGCCAGATCGATAAGATAAGATAAAGCTATACCCCGCATCTCCAATTTCAAGTTCACAGCGTCCTTGGGTTTTTGCTTTGCAATCATTATCGACCCATCCCCGACTCTTGAAGGCAACCGCTTCATCGGCCAGGACGGTTCAGGCTAATATCCCATAGGTTTTTCCTTGACTGAGGTGGTTGCTGACCCAGGAAGGCGATGTCGGAATCTGATTTGCCTGTTGTCGATGCGGCTGCTCGTGCGATCGAGCATGGATTGAAATTGAAGGTTATCCTGGTTGGTGTTGGGTGAGTTCTTGCAACCCTGAGTTCCGTACATCGCTATTGAAAAGTTCATGGAATTGTTAGAGGTGCTACTTCGTCTGGAAAGACAAACTTGGCGAAGCATTTGAGGAGTATACTTCCTGGTAGCGTTATTATCCATCAGGATGTATGTGCACCTTCTTCAGTAGCTATCATTGACTACTGAACAAATATCATAATTTTGCAGGACTTTGCACCTGTGAGTTCTGATTCTTCGAATAACACAGTACCGATAACTCATTATATGCGTCATCTCTCGTGTCCCTGATGTACACTTGACTGCTTCAGCCACTAGAACAAATACCGATTCATCCGATTTACAATGTTCAAGATTGGGACAGCGCAGAGGGTGCGATCGACTGGCCTCGTATGGTCGATTCCTTACGCGAGGTATGCCCCTTTCCGCTCTACAGTCTTTTCGTGCTACACAATTGCCGACTGTCCTAAAGCCCGCTCCTTCCTTTCTTTCACTTTCCCCCCATTCGAACGTGCCTTGTTGCATGTATTTAGGTTAAGCGGACTGGAAAGATTCCGCCGGAACATTATTCGCATGATCATTTGAACGCTCAAAAGGACGTTCCTGTTGACCAGGAGCCCCTCAAGAGATGGCAAGAGACGTTTCAGAAGGCGGAAGAAGAACACAGGCAGAGGGGGGAACAGCTTATTTGGGTTTTGGTGGATGGATTCTTATTGTATTGGCACCCGGTACGTTTATATCGTAATCCCAACGGCCCACGAGACCAACGTAGAGTATTGAATGCAGGAAGTGGTTGATACCCTGGATGTACGGATATTTTTGAGAGTACCTGAAGAGGTACTCAAACAGAGAAGACATGAACGGCATGGATACCATACAGCAGGTATGCGCACTTTACCATGCGTCATCTCCTCCCACGCCCGTCTCCTACTCAGTACGCAATATGCTAACTTCGCGCCTCCCTCCTCTCTCGGAACTTCTCCTTAACGCCGCCTTCTAACCGCGTTCCTTCGTCAACCCGTCGCTCTCTGAACGGAGTGCAATCCGACTATCTAGAAGGATCCCTATGGCGAGATCCACCGCATTATTGGGAACATATTGTTTGGCCGGCATATGTTGCTGCGCACAAAGATATGCTAGAGGGCGGAGACGTAGAGCATGGCAAGTCGAACGGGAAGGTCAAGGGGTTGTTGATCTTCGAGGGTTTAGAGACAAGTATGAGTGAGACGGTCGAGGCCGTGTGTCTCAAGCTGCTAGAGGTCGTATAGCGCAGTACTAGGAGATATTTGAGACTCAGAACGGTCAAGTGTCCCTAGACGGGTATGGCTATGTAGAAGTCCGAATATGTATTTGTAGTAGAGTGGTGATGCTGCCGGGATTTACAAACATGGAGATTCCGGTTGGCTAAATTCCGTCCCTGTTGATATTTTGGATATTCTGCGACATATCCTCTGATATGTTTTTGGCCTGAACGGGAGCAGAGCGGCGATAATCACATGGAAAACACAAAGTCGCTATATTCGGCCGGCCCGTGATTGGGTTCGGCCATCCGTTATAAGTAAGTACCCCACCGAACATCTCTCTCGTACCACTCTCTCCCCATCCCCTTTCATCTCCCTACTTTTATACAATGGCCCAGGTCATCGTCGTCGGTGGTGGTCTCGCTGGTCTTTCGGCCGCACACACTCTCCTCGAAAGGGGCGCAAATGTTCTCCTGCTTGACAAGCAACCGTGAGTTTCGTCTGGTCAAGCTGCTTTATTTCGTTCTAACTTAGGAGTCAATTAGCTTTATGGGTGGTAACTCGACAAAGGCTACCTCCGGTATTAACGGTGCCGGAACACAGTCTCAGCAGGCCCTTGGCATTCCAGACAATTCAAAGATTTTCTTCGATGACACCAAGCAATCAGTAAGTTTCCCTTTCTTTGACAAGGGTATATCAGCTTAAGTATGTTATACATTAGGCACGAGAGCTTGCCCGAGATGATTTGATTCGTGTGCTCACGGGCCGCTCAGGCGACGCCGTCAACTGGCTTCAGGACAAGTTCGGTCTAGACCTTTCCAAAGTCTCTCGTCTCGGTGGACATACGCAGCCTCGTACACACCGAGGGAGTGCCCAATTCCCCGGAATGGTCATGACTTACGCTCAGATGGAGCGTCTGGAGGATCTTGCGGTCAGCAACCCCGAGCGTGTCAAGATCAAGAAGAAGGCGCGCGTGGTCAAGCTGCTCAAGGACGAGCAGGGTGCCGTTATTGGTGTCGAGTACACCGTTGGTGGCAAGTCGGAAATTGCTTATGGTCCCGTCATCCTCGCTACTGGTGGTTATGCTGCGGACTTCACTGAGAACTCCCTTCTTAAGAAATACAGGCCAGAGTACTACAACCTCCCTACGACAAACGGCGATCACTGTACCGGTGATGGACAGAAACTAGCTCTCGAAATTGGCGCCAGCGCGATTGATCTTGAGAAAGTCCAGGTTCACCCCACCGGTTTGGTAGACCCCAAGGAACCAGATGCGAAGGTCAAGTTCTTGGCTGCTGAGGCACTCCGAGGTGTTGGTGGTTTGTTGTTGGACAATGAGGGCAAGCGATTCGTCGATGAGTTGCAGCACCGTGATTACGTCACTGGTAAGATGTGGGAGAACGGCAAGGTATGATGCGTTGCTTACAATCAAGCGGCCCCTTCTCTAAACTGTTGGATGCTGGTAGTTCCCCATCCGGCTCGTTCTCAACGGACAAGCATCCAAGGAGATTGAGTGGCATTGCAAGCACTACGTCGGCCGTGGACTCATGAAGCGTTTCGCGAACGGCTACGATCTCGCCAAGGAAATAGGCATTTCGCCTGAACAGCTCAAGAAGACCTTCGATGACTATAACGTTGTCATCCGAAATAAGAAGGATCCCTTCGGCAAGAAGGTTTGTTGCCGTCATATGCTCTGGTTTACTTGTCACTAATTCCACTCTTTTTAAAATCAGTTCTTCCAAACAGAAGAGTGGAGTATGGACGACTACTTCAACGTCGCCATCATGACTCCCGTCCTGCACTATACCATGGGTGGACTCGAGATTGACGCCGAGTCCCGTGTCGTTGGCAAGGACGGCAAGCCCATCCCTGGTCTCTTCGCCGCAGGTGAAGTCGCCGGTGGTGTCCACGGTGCCAACCGTCTCGGTGGTAGTTCACTGCTTGGATGTGTGGTGTTTGGACGTGTCAGTGGTGACTCAGCCGCGGGCTATCTCTTGCAGAGATTAGGCCCTTTGGCAGAGAAGGCTGCAGGACGTCTGGGCGCCGTTGCGGGTCACCTCGGTGGTGATGCAAGTGCGACCAAGGTATGTCACCGTTGTCCTTTGGTATGCTTGTGATGCTGAGATGACGGTTCTTAGTCTTCGGAGGAGAAGAAAGCCGAGGAAGCACCATCAGGCGGCAACGCATTCAGCGTAGAGGAAGTCGCCAAGCACAACAAGAAGGATGACTGCTGGGTTATCGTTGACGGCCAGGTTCTCGATGTGACGAACTTCCTGCCTGACCACCCAGGAGGAGAGAAAGCCATCCTTCTGTATGCCGGACGGGATGCGACGGAGGAATTCAACATGCTTCACGATCCCAAGGTTCGTTCTTGGGTTCTCTTATGGCTTCCGTCTTAGGGTCGTTATCATGGGCTAATATATTTCCACAGGTCATTCCACGATACGCACCCGACGCGATAATCGGAAGCCTTAAGAAGTAAATGACCTTGTGTTTAGGACATTGTGCTTGCATTGCTTCCATCCCCCATCGTAGCTATCATACCTATACCGGTGGCATAGCGAAAACGCCTCGGGTTTATAGCCCTGTCCTCGATCATATCATCGTATATGTTGTATCGATCATTCTCCACTGCTGTTTCCGCTCTTGTTTGTGTTCGATCATGGGCTTCTTGTTGTATAATTTACTCCTATTTCACGCAATTCTAAACTCTGAAAGTCTGTGTGCATGGCCTACCCGAGGAGATAGCTGTCATGTCGTTGTGAACGTCGTACAAATCCGAAGAATAGCAGTTCAATGAAAGTCAGGCCCAGATATCTGTCACTAATTGAGGTTAGTCCCGAACCCAGATGTTCTATGTGGGGAGAATGCAACATCCGTAACGTGCACAACGTTAAGCGTGCCTGAAAAGGCACTGGGATTGTCTCAACACACCCTAGAAGTGTTAGCCGATTCGCAACTTGACCGTACTCGATATCTCACTTGGCTCACTTGTATGCGGCAGATCGCACACACTATCTGAACAGTTTCAAAAGACCAAGGAACAAAAAGTTCGAAAAGATAGAGGAAAGCACATGGGAGCGGATGATCTGCATATGGCTACAGTATGCCTATCTCTATTCCGTTGCTACCCGGCTAAAAGCTGAATGTACTTGTGGACTTCATCCTTCTAAGGTGACAAACAGCCCAAGGATGGCTATAATGCTCCTGGTAGAGACCGATGCTTTACAAAGCATGGGAACTCCGGGAAGCTGCCAGACGGTGATAGAATTGAACAGCTCGAAGGGGAGCTGCCGCCCTCCGAGGCTTTGCATCGCATTGACAACAGAAGTCCTTGAAGAAGTCCCTGATCATGAAGGTATCTATCTCAATTGTGCCTCCGGAACATACGCAAGTTTTGCTTCCGAAATGGACAGTGCAGTGGAAGATCTTTCGGCCGCGGTGACGCATTCGTCGTCAATATCTTGTCTATAGTCACCATCCCATATTGACAGTGCGGAGATTGCTGATGGAAAACGTCAAGTGCATATGCCAAGGTTCCATATGCTGCACACCCATCTATGGCACTACTCAATCGGAATCGGAATCTGATATCGTTCGCTTTTCACGAGGGTTTCAAAGATAATGCTCGCAAGGAGCCGTGGTTCAGGCTACAGCTGACCGGAGAAGCCTGGCCTGACAGGACCACGATTCTTCTCCAGGATCATCATACATATATTTGGGGACAGCATGCGGTTTGTATGGATTCCTTTCGCTTCTCGCTCTCCATCTCGTGCCTCTTCCTGTGGTTCCTCACTGGCACAAAGAGGTTCCTCCCCCGGCTTGCTGTCGAGACTTGGTCGCGATGACTACCATGCCGGGTCCCTCGAAGTCTGGCAGTGATATGGAATTGGAAGTGAGGGCATCGAGTTCTGGCGCGGGCTCGTTCACGGGGATATTTGACCCGGAGAAAGGTTATGGTGAGTGGAGCAAGCTATCTAACTTCGTTGCCCTTGAAAGGCGAACGCAATCGGTGCCTTCCTTGTGTAGTTGTACAAGCAAGCCTGCCAACCTTTGACGATCCTAATTTCGATAGTGATGTTGATTTCTTGGGTATGTCTTTTTCAGATTTTCTTAACATGATAATCCTGGACCGCTAATAAACACGACCTTTGTTAGAGGAGGACTCTCCGTATCCCGAAGTCCGGTCGGCTGTATCGAACACTGATGATCCTGACATGCCCGTCAGTACTGTAAGGTCATGGATTATTGGCCTCATCTGGGCGATAATCATACCGGGGATGAACCAGTTCTTCTACTTGCGTTATCCCTCGGTTCAGGTATCTAGTGTAAGTTCTCACTTCTCTGTTGCGATGATTGTGGCTCTTAGGTAGGCTTGCATCACAGATTGTTGCGCAGTTGCTCTCGTACCCTGTTGGTTGTCTATGGGCACGATATCTTCCCGCGGTGTCAATATTCGGACTTTCGCTCAATCCCGGACCTTTCACTATCAAGGAGCATGTGAGATGTCCTATCTGTTTCATCGTGGACCGAATGCTGACGTCCTGAAGGTGTTGATCACCATGATGGCAAACGTAGGATCAACATCTGCCTATGCAGTAAGTTTCTCTGGCTTTCCCAATTTGTATCCCGTTCAAGCATTGTGATTTTAGGCCGATATTGTCGCAGTGCAGCGAATATACTATAATGAGATACATAGCTTCGCCTGTATGTGACTTTGCTTTGCTCTCTTTGATACTCGGAATAACGGGGACGGCGCCTATAGACCAATGGTTGATGACAATGAGTACGCAGCTGGTATGTTTACCTTACTTTCAATATTCCAAATAGCAAAATGACCTCTCGGAAAGATTGGCTTTTCATTCGGTGGCATTGCTCGACGATTCCTTGTCCAGCCGCCTTCTATGAGTATGTCTCGTCACACATCTATGTCCACATCCTTCCCTTAAGGTATCTTCCATTAGTCTGGCCAACGAACCTCGTGACCTGCGCACTCTTCAACACTCTACATTCCCAACAATACGCTGGAATCGGTGATCGGGGTGGTATAAGTCGAGAACGATTTTTCTTCTATGCTTTCACCGCTTCGGCGTTGTGGTACATCTTGCCTGGCTACTTGTTTTCTGCACTCTCGATGTTCAACTGGGTTTGCTGGATCGCACCAGACAACGTGGTCGTGAATCAGTTGTTTGGTTATAGTTCTGGCCTGGTAAGTAATTCTTGAGCACTTGCATGCTTCGAGTCTCATTCTGAGGGGGAGAATGTAGGGCATGTCCATTATTACCTTCGACTGGTCACAGATCGTATATATTGGGTCTCCTCTGGTTAGTTATCCTCGGATTTGTCTCCTACACTTTAGCTGATTATATCAATAGGCAACTCCTTGGTGGGCCGAAGCGAATATCTTTGCTGCATTCGCTTTCTTCTTCTGTAAACTTCGCATCATTTACTCATGTATAGAATTCCTACTCATTCCTGCACTTAATTGGTAGGGATCCTGACGCCTCTGTTGTACTACACAAACACTTGGTATGCCCAGTACATGCCGTAAGTACTTTTGTTCGTTAATCTGGCACCAACAGCTGATACGGTTATCCAGCATCTCTTCCCGCACAAGCTTCGACAACAGTGGTCACGTCTACAACGTAACCCGAATCATCAATGCTGACCACACCTTCAACGTCGAGAAATACAAAACCTACAGCCCGCTTTTCTTGTCCACGACATTTGCAATAGCTTATGGCCTTTCTTTCGCTTCGATAACTGCGACGATCAGTCATACGGTTCTCTATTTCCGGAAGCTACTGATGGCCCAGGTCAAACGGTCAATGAGCGAACAGCCGGATGTACATGCGAGGTTGATGTCGAGGTATCCGCAGGTGCCGGAGTGGTGGTATACCGTGATATTCGGTATGTGGCTGCACCCGATTTGTTTCCCTATTAATCGAATGAGGTTCATTGACTGACTTTAATTACAGTTACAATGTTTGGCTTCGGTGCTGTCTCGATCGAGGTTTGGCATACGGACTTTCCTGTGTGGGCATTCATTGTTGCTTTGGTAAGTAGTTTTCGTGCCACCACTGGATACCTCGCTGAAACTCTGACAATAGTGCGTTTCCTTCCTGTACACAATTCCTATCGGTATGATCCAAGCTATCACCAACCAACAAGTCGCTCTCAAGTAGGTTCACTGTTGTTTTTTAATTGGGCGAAAACATTGAGAAAAATGCCCTTATTATCAGCGTCATTTCGGAGCTCGTTGTTGGATACATGCTTCCCGGAAGACCCGTCGCGATGATGCTTTTCAAGACATGGGGATATATCACTATGGCTCAAGCTCTGACATTCACATCTGATTTCAAGCTTGGGCATTACATGAAGATACCGTGCGATGATTTCTGCACTGCGGTCATCGTACCACATTCTGATGGATTATTTGGATAGGCCAAGACCAATGTTTTGGGCTCAGGTCATCGCATCTATCGTTGGTTTGACTGTACAGCTCGGAGTGCAATCCTGGATGTTTTCGAATATTCCAGACATGTGCACAGAGAACCAGCCTAACGGCTTCAGCGTGAGTAGAATACATTTGTGTAGGGAGACATAAACTGATTTTCTTGGGTCCCCCAGTGCCCAGGGACACAAGTGTTTGGTACAGCTTCGATCATCTGGGGAGTAATTGGACCGGCACGGCAATTTTCCAAGGGACAGATCTACTAGTAAGCTTCAATCTAACCCACATCGCCTTCATCCCCTCACATTCCTTTCGACAGCGGCCTGGTATTTTTCTTCCTGGTCGGCGCGGTGATGCCGTTCATCGGATACATCATCCAACTCAGATGGCGAAATTCATTCATGAAATACGTGAACTTTCCGCTCATCTTCAATGGCGTCAGTTACATCCCTCCAGCAAACGCCAATAACTATGTTCCGTGGGCACTTGTCGGCTTCTTGTTTAACTACGTCATCCGGAGACGCCATTTCTCCTGGTGGACAAAGTACAACTGTATGTGCAATTCAATGTTCCGTGCGAATCTGGCTAATGATATCGTGATCTTAGATGTCCTTTCGGCTGCACTAGATTCTGGTGTAGCCATATCCATGATCCTCATCTACTTTTGTCTGCAGTATCCTCTCAATGGTTCAATAGGAGCGAACACCATTCAATCATGGTGGGGTAACAAAGGTTACGCTGAAAATGCTGACGGGTATGGGACACCACTACGTATTTTGGCGGAAGGGGAGATCTTCGGGTGTGTTTGTGCTTCTTTGAATAATCATCGTGCTTCTTATTCACGTACTTCATCTCATCTAGACCGCCTCCGGGTTCATGGTCATGAACGCATTGCCTGTCTTGGGGGCTTATATATTGATTTATAGTTGTGCGACATGTATGTATCAATAGCTAGACGATCTACGGTGCCGATTTATGAGACCAGGTGGAAATAACCAAAAGTCAGCATTCCGATCCTGCATAAGTTATAGGCCTAGCTTCCAGTCTCTAGTACACTTTCAGAATAGACACAAGCGCGCCTGATTCTAAGATGAGATTATCGGAACAATGAATAGTTGCTTACACTCAATCTTACAACTGGAGTAACAACAGCAATGTAAGTTGTTATAATTATTTCAACTTACCACGGCAGATAACTTTTCCCGGCAATACGCACCATTTAATCAATCCATCTCACCGGTCTGTTCTTACGACACCTCGTTTACTGATACCTCCATTTGTTTCGACATATCGTCTTTTTTTGATGTTCAATGAGGCTCAGTTTTGAAGACCTGGCAAAAAGGCGACTATCTCCAAATTGATGCTTCATTTATTTGAACAGGATGAGCCCTGACAGTAACTTACGCCTTTTATTGATTGAATGAGGTTGGTCCAGGCGACTGGCATTCCTGAGGCACGAAAGTTGAATGTAGATCTCTATATTCTCGGTCTTACAGGGACTAACTGGCATGATCGTGTTCCCTAGGCTTTGGCAATACTGACGTAAAATATCGCTAGGACGCATGGACTATCTTCGTACCAACCTCTCGTTGCGCCGGAATATCCTGGATCACATGCGCGGGCCAAATTCCGGTCGCTAGTCTCGTCGGTGTATACGACAAGCATGTCCACTTGATGTCCACATGCCGGTGTCCGTCCGTCGATATCCAATTGAATCGACTGCAAGGACCGTGTAGCGGCGCGGCGGGCAGATTTGTCTTCCACATGACTGTAACAATTGTACTCAAATATATAAATGCGAGAAGGCATGTAGCAGGACGACTTGCTTTCGTCGTTGTTTGGTATTCCAGCCCCGGGAACCGAGATGCATCTCATCACTGTAGTCGCCATAGGCCTGGCAATGGTCTCAAAAACCACGGCTATCCTCATTCCTTCAAGTCCACCTTCGTCGGCAAAACCCGTAGACTCGTCACTCCTTAGCGTGTCCATTGAGTTCTTCACCTTTCCAGCTTATACCCAAATTCAGGCAACTACAAACTGTCTGGCTAACATCGCAACTCTCCGTGGGGCGGAACCCGCTATCCGGATCGGAGGTACAACCCAGTGCGTCGACTTCCCCCTGCCCATTTAGACGAATTCCATTATAATGTCGACAGAGATCGAGCCACGTACAACCCCACGCTCTCCACAGCGGTGAACTATACAGTCGCCTCACCAGCAGATGCGCCTGCGTCCCTTACCTATGGACCATCCTTCTTCTCCCTCGCTTCTCAGATGAAGGGGGATGTTACTGTCGGGCTGAATCGGCAACTTAATAACCAAGCTATAACGCTTCAAGCAGCACAACAAGCGAAACAGAGTATAGGTAATTTGTTTGCTATCGAGTTAGGTAATGAGCCAGAATGTGAGTGTAGCCACTAATCTCATCATTGATAAGTCTGAAATTGGGTACAGTCTATGCTTCCAATTCTCCGGTCATTCCATCTGGACAAAGTTGGAACCAGGATACCGACGCCGCAAGTGAGAAGTCCTGGTTCTCGACTTTCTCTGGATCGGTATGTCTGTCTTGCTTGCTCTGCTGCAGTAGATCTTTTTTGATAATGTTGGCTTGCAAAGGTCGGGAATATCTTCCAAGGCGCTGTATACCTATCTTGGAACGCAGGCGGTTTGTTATCTCGAATCGGCTCGGATGGGGCTAGGTTTCTCAAGTCCATCTCAAGACATTCTTATCCTCAATCAGCATGTGGAGGCGCAAGTACGAATCTACCCAGTCTCATGAGTCATTCGTACGTAACACTGGATTTTGTTCTTGGGGCGATTATCGAGCTTCATTCCAGAGGTATTGTCTCGTATACTCGTCAATATCAGTCCGAGGCAACGGCGGTGCACGCGGTAGGCCTAAAGTACTTCTTGGGTGAGACGAACTCCGGTACGCATCTCTCTATTTAACATCATGAAGGACGAGAAGTAATCATTCGTATCTCTCGCAGCCACATGTGGAGGCGGAGGCATTAGTCCTACCTTCGGTTTGTACTTCCATCGCGATACCATGTGATGCTTGTTGACGCTATAAATATGCAGGTGCCGCATTGTGGATCGTAGATTATGTGCTACAGGGCGCCCTGAACGGCGTGGACAGGCTGTATTTTCACCAAGGCACCATAGGCAACTGCGCAAGTTTCGCTCTCAACAATTGCATGACATCGGTGACTAATATCATCTTCATCGTCCAGGCATATTGTTTCTGGGGTACCTCGTCAATCTTCACACCGTATTATGGTGTCGCTTTTGTCTCCGAGTTCCTCGGTACGGATGGAGCCAAGGTGGCCATGCTAGACGATGGTACCAGCGCTATCGGCGTATATGTTGTCTATTCCTCTTCCAATGTGCCGCTCCGAATTCTAGTGCTAAACAGCAACTACTTCGATGGCAGTGGTACACGATCTCCGACTAGCGTCTCCTTTACAGGTCTCTCCACCTCCAGCAGCACGAAACAGGCGAAGAGACTTACTGCGCCAAATGCTACTTCTCGTTCGGACCAAGGTGCTGCCGTGACTATTGGTGGAAGTGCCAGTTTTGCATCGAACTGTGCGAGAGCTGGAACGCAGAATACAGAGAGCGTGAGTGCAAATGGTGGTTCTATGTCTGTTTCATTGCAGGCTGCGGAAGCCTTGATCGTCTTCCTGTAACGATCGGAGGTGACATGTACTCGTATGCTGATTGTGGATCTTATCCGCGTTCGTTGTCACTAACAATGTGTGATGCTGAGTGTGATTGATTGGGTCTTCCCAAACGCATTGTTCTCCGCCGGACACGTTCTGTTTGGCCGCGTTGTGCTCAGCGGTCATTGAAGTGAGTGATTTTACTTCGACCTCGGCTAAAACGTTCTTTGTCCATGCTGGTTCAATGGTCAAGCCGTGGCCCTCCTTTAATGTTTTGTTTACACGACACTGTGGAGTATAAATACCCTCGGAGTCCCAGATGCCCTCAGCTCATTTTACACCCCCCCCTCTCTTCCTACTGCCCAATCAATTAGCTCTCAACACAAACACAATGGAATCTCCCGTTGACAGTGACATGGGATCCTCAATTGGTGGTGAGTAATTCACATCTCTTCTGCGTTATTCTTCCTGATATCGTACATCTAGATCTGCCTCCTTTTGTATCCTACGTCGACGTTATGCATCGTGTAAAGTTACGACTAGAAGTGAACGGACCTGACGACCTAGAGCAAATTCTGTTTCACATGGAACAACACTCGTCTCCGGCCTCTCAGGAGCAGCTGTCAACACCCCAAGCCTGCGGGGTATGCTCCCGTCTAGATTGCGTAGATGGCCACGCCGTGGATCCGGATGAATGCCATTATCATGAAGCCATTTTCAGCTTCCCCAAGGAGCAGGAGTTATCGTATGCGACGTGTGCGACTTACCTCAAACAGATCGTGCGATTCTTGACATGGGAAGACCATTCTATGGCAAGATGCAAAGTAACGCTCAGAGGACTGTATTTCCCACTGGAAATCTTGAAAAGCATTCGCCGTGCAAGTATCCCCGTTCGCAAGCTGGCACTTGTTGATTGCACTTTCGGATCGCGCAAAGAATTCTTCACGTTGCTCTGCATTCTTCCGGGGTTCAGTCGCCTCGATCTGATTCGGACAACGTGGACGCAAGTTGATCATCGTAATGATGTGAACGACGACAAGGGCTTGGCCCTGGCTACACGTAACTTCCTGGGTTTGAAGGTCGAAACTATTGATCCATCTGACTTACGAGCAGTATACCCTTTACTGGACATCGATCGCGAGGACAGTGGTCTGAGTCTCTCCTTTTGCAAGCTTTCTGTCTCCTGGAATGCGAAATGGGATGAAAGGATCGCTCAAGGTATGCTTTACATATTGATTCTGCTGACTCCCTTTCCTAACATTACATCATTCACGTAGATTTCAAGAAGACTTTCCCACTGACCAGGTTTGGCTACCTACGCCGCCTTCGCGTGGAGGTTGGCATCAACCCTATATTACACGGTAGCAATCTAGGCTGGATTCTGTCCCTTCTGCCAGAGAATATCAGGCCCAAGCAAGAAGGGCCCACTCGTGGATGGCTCAAGGCCGTTCAATTTGACTGTTCCGATATGGATCCTAATACCTTTAAATGGCCGGTGTGGGACGACATTGAACGAAGATTGTTAAAGCTCAGGACAAACGAAACTGGTAGCGGTGTTACGACAGTACAATTCAAGGCACCAAGAGGACTTTCGGCTGCTTATACTCAGGCTCTTCTGTGCAAGCGTCTGCCTAATTTAACACAAGCTAGACCTGCCGTCGCTTTCTTAGAGCAGTTCTTCCCCAACGTCTTTCTTCCTGTGGTTGATGCAGACTCCGCCTTCGTTGACAATGAGTCATGAACCTGGCCTGTAAAAATTATCCGCTGTGCGGATTAGATCTTATTTCCTATGTACCATCCAACTAGTATATATTTACATGATCCTCGTTATAGACGGCTTGTCTCCAAATGCTACAGGACCCGATGCATTTACCTTCTTCCCTTTGAGGCCATATAATCTCATTCAGCTACATGATGCACTTGTTGACTCAACGCTATCGAAATTCCAGTATGGCGATTACCTCCATAAAAATCTCGGCGTTGCTGGTGCATCACAGTTGCACAAACTACAAGCGTGACGAATATGTAGGCCCTTCTTTCTGTTGGGAACAATCGGAAGCTCTTCTTTGTACCTCGTGGGTGCCGCTCAAAAGCCTCGTAAGACTGTTCGAATCTTTGCTGCACTTTTCAAGTCCTGCCAAATCCTAAGGCACAGCTCGTAGAGCCTAAATAACCATTGGTCGGCCAGAAGTGATCCAGTAAGAATTATCGTTGTGATTAGTGCAATTGAAAGGCCTACACGAAGCCTAGAGTACAATTATAGCTTCTATATAGTACGTCTAACGGGCCAATATATGATAGGAGATTAGTTACTGAAAGCCGATCCTGGAGTAAGAAGTCTGATAATACGTATTGAGAGGTGAGTTCTGTAAAAAGCAAGCGGATGACTTGAATAGATTAAGTTCTAAAGGTCGGTGTTCAATACGAAGATCATCTCCGGGGACGAAGGTTCTGTTACTGCTAGAGTCAGTCAAACGGAACGAAGATGTCAAAAAAAATAAACACATACGAGTGTCAGCTAGAAATTAAGTTTGCAAGATATTACGTTGATGCAAAGAAGGCAGGTTATCTGTGATCGACTTGCGGGCGTCCTCTGGCAATGCCTCGCGACGAAAAGAGTCCCGCATCATGTCAAATGTTACAGATTCCAGTGAAGGAAGTGTAGCTTGAATACGTTCCATACAACCCCAAAAGGCCGGATGGCGAGTGGATCCTAGCACAATAGGGCAAACCTTTTCTTGCGGATATATGGGGTCCACAGGAAGAGCGTTCAAGGTGATACGGAGGCGTCGAAGAGAGGGAGGAGTGCGAGTTATGATATGCATGCATGCTTCAAGACTCATGTCTGTGACACAATCGCCATCCGAAATACAGAGGACAATGTTCAGGATCTTGAGATCGATACACTTCGGGAGCTGGAGATAGTCCCATTGAGCCATGACTGAGAATAGAATAATTCAACACTGTGTTCTTAGGATGGTGGGAAAAGTCAAACCTGCACTCATATGGAGTTCGCCCTTGGGTGGACTTATACTGTCGCGGACATCTATCCGCAGGCTTTGGATATGTTGGCCACACTTTGAAAGTATCGGTCCAATACATTCAAGGTGCGACAAGAAATCGCACGATGTTTGTACATGCAAATGTCGGATACCAGCATCAGTGGCGAGAGCGTTACTGATGACCCGATCCACAAACGCAGGGACAAGGCCTTGTATTGTGAGTGACTGCACGTGAAGGAAGGAGTCCATACGTTGGTCGTATTGAAGAAGGAACTTCCTGTGAGTGTCACCCATCGTGGGTAATAGACGGTTCATGTAAGAATTCAGGCGTCTGATCTTGGAAAAGAGGGACAAGAACTGTAGCCAGCCAATAGCATCCGGATGGTCCGAAAACGCTGGTATGTCATTGAGCAGACACAATGTTAATTTGTCTAGCTGGAAAGCTCCAACTGGGAGAGTATCGTAGGACTGGCTGGGCTGTAGCATGACCCGAGTCATCTCCAATTCCGACAATTGCGGCAAGTGGAGCAGAAGCCGGGCCAAAATATCCAAAGAAATCATGGGTCGTATTCGTCTGTGTGTTGAGCTACATGAGGAGTCGAGATGGAGAGTACGGATATGCGTTGGTATCGTTTCATGCATGCCGAGGAAAAGTATGAAATCAGTCAAACGTTCGTCGTCCTGATCAAGGCGAAGCTTGATAGTATGGAAGAGTCGACGACGAGTCATCGAATACCAGAGATGTGAAACGAACGAACAACAGAGAAGAGTATCCCGATCGCCATGTAACCAATCGAGAAGCTCTTCCACTAGTTCTGGAGGGTATTTGATCCGTCTAGAGCATGAAACTTCAATGTTAAGAGCCTAGAATATAAGGATATCAATAACTTCTTTAACGTTGACTTCGACATAAAATACTACGCCATTTCCTCACCGAATCCATGGCCCTGTCTGGAGAAGGATGTGTACAACCCATGTGCATGAAATGCTGGCATACAACTAATGCTGTGTACATAGGTTAGGGTTGTGTCACCGTCACAACACGCGTCAGTGACAGCTCGCGCTTCATTTGGGTTGATCGTGACGGTCGGAGGCCAAGGTCCTGTTTGAACGCGCACCAGCGTCACCGCACCGTATCCAAGTAACAATAATCACCGAATAACAATCCCTACCATGAGCTCAAGTGGAGAAGATGCTCTCTCATATTTTTCGGCACTGGACGAGTTAATACAGCTGATATATCAAGGGGCACAGAAGTTTGTATTTCTTTCCTCGGTCGACGACATTAGTTGGAACGTGTATCTCGGTTTGACGGGACCAGAAGGTCGGTGGTGGCGCGGACGATGGACGGAGAAAGATGTCCAAAATTTCGTGGTAAGGGTATCACGATGCCTAAATGCGTTGTCATAGAATTACTTATTCTTTGTTCTTCAGGGTGGGAAGACTTCGTCTATCCTACTTGAGGCCTTCGCAGATAGGCTCGTACAAACCATTGTTCAAGGGGAACTGTTTGTAGGAAACTGGAGCCCCGAGAAGGGTGCCAAAATTAATGTCAGCTGGGCTAATAAATGCTATACTTGATGTCAGAACTGACTAATCAAACGTTGGCCCGAATATAGCTGACTTTGGGTCCTGGTGCAAAGACGCCTATTCAAGTGCCTCTGACAGAGCTTTCAGCACAAGAGGCTGCTTCATATGCCGCCAAAGTGTTTGCTGAGGTACGTGTGTATAATAACAATAGGAAATCCTGCGGCTTGGTGATGCCGGTGTCAGATCGCCCTCCAAGCACAGTCAAGGAAGTGTCGGCTGAACCCATCAGATGACATCCCTTCGACGTCGACTGCCAACCTACGACTAAGCCCTCCAGCAACTTGTAAGTCCAAATTGCAATACCCGTTGATATTGAATAAATTCGCAAACGGTACTATAGCGCATAAACGACAAGCAGAACCCGAGTCTCCTCCTAAAGTGACTAAACGCAAAGCACTTGAAAGGGAGCCCACTGTCGCAGAAATCAAAGCGAACGAAAAGATCAAGGAATTGGAGGCCCAACTTGCCTCGGAAAAGAAGAAATCGACGACCACTTTAGCCTCAAATTCAACAACGGGTCTTGCATCACAAGCGAGTATGATGACCTCATATTGTCTAGTGGGATTCTCCTGATGTTTTACTTTCCACTTTGCAGAGAAATTACCATCTGCTAGACCGCTCAAAGGTGCTTCACTGGCAAATCCCAATCAAGCGGCTCGTAAATATCAGGAACTTGAGTTTGAAAGCGACGAGGACTAGTTGTCTCCAATGTTCGTTTGTGTAACTTGACTATCGATGCTAAGTTACCTCTATGTTCTCGCATGTACCTACACGGACGGAACTATCTACAATGCTGTTACAATATTTACAAATAAATGAAAAAGCAATTACTCCAGTGGTTGACTATACAAAGCATCACTGGCAGCCCAACAATAATGTCCACAACCAGCAGCACAAGGATGACCCAAAACAGCCATCGAGCCTCTGACACCTCCACCAACCCCAGCAGGTCCTCCACCATCACTGTTACCGTCCTTCACAATGGCGCTGACTCCGTCATCCGAGACATCGTCTGCGACTCTTGACAGCGCACGTCCTCGAGTTGGAGGCTTGCCTTGATGGACTAGAGAAGGTGTCGGAGGCCGAGGGGGTGCAGGGAGTGGTTGGGGGACAGGTGGTTGATGTGGCTTGATTTCGATCATGGGTCGACGTAAATAATACATCTGATAGCATTCCTGATGTCCTCCATGCATGCATACTGTGCATTTAAACAGCATGGCTCGGACAGGTAAATGGCTGGAAAGCGCGTTAACAACCTAAATACGAGGAAAGGTTGCCGTGTACGAACCATATGGAACACCTGGAAGAACTCTGCTTGCATTGTAGGCAAAATGCATAGTTCCCAGCAGGCTTCGGAGGAGGCTTGGGCTCAAGCGAGAGCTTCACCTGGTGATGAGGCGTCGTGGCGTTAGTGGGTGTGGTACTCAAAACTGTCCCTCCCGAAGGAAGCATAAGGGGTTTTCGACAGCGTCCACATGCCGTATAGATGGTAGTTTCGAGCTACGCAAAAGGTCAGTGAAATATTCAACATAAGATACAACACACGTACCAAGGTTGCGTTCCGGACTTCTTCAGCAGGTGTGAATTTGCGCATGTATGCTGCAGCGGTATGTAGGCGAAGTCGGACCAGGAGGTCTGAAGAGAAAGGAAATAGACGAGAAATTCAGTCAAGAGTTACTCTGACATCCCCGTAAAGCTCACCTATATATGATTCCAAAAATCGAACCAGACGCGTCCTCGTTACCTTGAGCTCCGCCCCAGCTACAAGCGACAAAAGGGTACACATTTGTACGTCACCCTGATGATGCAAACATATTAGCATATATCAAGTAAAAGCAAAACCAGATTGCGCACCTCATCTGCAAACACATCCAGTGATTCTCGCAGAGCTTCCCATCCTACGTCTCGTACACGCTCCTCAACCTCTTCCACCTGCTCCTTGGTGACACTAGCCGCTCGCTTCTTGGGAATCGCATTCGAAACCCTCTCTACCGATGTGCCCCGACTGCTACGCGCGCCGCCAAGTGTGAATTCGGCCGAAATGGTGGATCGTACACGTTTGTGCTGAAGGTACGAAGTGGGCTGCACAGAACCAGGACGTCCAAAAGAGAACGAGCTCGCCAAATCGCGAACGGTATCGTCGCGATATAAACTGCTGGGGTCTTTCATATCGTCCGTATAGGGAGAGTTGACTGCGGTCACTGTGCGAATACTACTTTGCGAATCTTGTTTGGTGAGTTTTGGGGTTTGGACCGTCAGCGCCGAGGTGGGTTTAAGAGTTGGCTGCGACGCAGCAAGAGAGGCAACTGTGGAACTTCGGCTTCGCGTCCGATGGCGACTTGATTTTGAGCTGCGCCTAGAGATCTTGCCTTTTGAAACTTTGAAAGCGGCATCCGAACCTTCGCCGTCGCTATTTTCGTAATCTGAGTTTGACGAAGAGGCCGGAGAAGGCGAATCTTCGCCATCCCTGTCATCTTCATCCTCCGTCCAGGTTTGCTGCCCAGCCACTCGCGACAGCGGGCTTGGATTCGGATGTATGTGCGTATGCGATGTTGCACCGGAGGTTCGAGGATAGAGGTAAGGCGAAATGGAAGGCCGAAATGATGTAGAGATTTCTGTGTGAATGCTTCCCCTATCTGAATGGAAGCTTTCCTGTAATTCGGGATGCTCGTCTTCAGACTCTGCGTCACTGCCCCTACCACTTCCCTTTTCTTCTTCATCTTCATCTTCTTCGTCGGAATCACTGAGAGCGCCCTCTCCGACATGTTTCAAGCTAAGTGGACCACTTTTAACACTCATATCACTTGGACTTGCGCTCTGAGCACTATGCAGGAAGGATGGCCTTCGGCCATACGATGGGAACATCTTGGGTCGCTTTTGAGGTCCCGAGCTGATGGGAGTCAAGGCTGACAAACCTGAGTTAGAGGGGCGACGAGCACCAGGCACCGAAGGTAAAGCAGAAGAGGCATGGTGGGGTGAGGAATGAACAGACGATGCAGGAGTTACTCTTTGTGGCGTGAGGTACCCCGTTACGGAACTCGGTGCAGATGGCTTCTCTGGCGAATGGCGTGAAGATGATGGGCTTGCGGAAGACCTTCTACCGTGAGCCTGGTCATCCAGAGAAATTGAACGAGGAGGTAGAACAGAAACTGAGGTCGAAGCAATTCGATGTCCAGTCGTAGGTACAGCGGCAGGAGCAGAGTTAGAGTGTGGTAGTTGGGGAGGTACCAGGGGAAGAGGTGAAAGAGAAAGCGTCGGAGATGGTGGCAGGTTCAAGTCAATTAGCAGGGAATGCAGTAACAACCATGCTTGCGCTGCATCTTGCTTGCCTGCGCCCGAGGCAACCTGTCGGTTCAATTGTGAATAGGGATAGCAATGCCAACATAGGGTGCTATTACCTCGGCATTATGAGTACATATCTCTCGCCGGTCGGTACCCTCAAAGATATAACCTTTTGCAAGCTTCACGAACACATCGATGTCTTCCGTCAGATCAGTCCCGGCAAGCATTCCAACAGTTTGTGTCTTAGGGCCATAGGGTTTGTCCCCCAGTGCCTTGAGCTTGCCTTTCTGCTCTTGGACAAGTTGACGCTTCTCTGGCGGTCTGAGGAGGTGATAAATTTGAGTTTCGGTGTACTATGGAAAAAGGACACTTACATGTCATCATAGGGTACTTCCCATCGTCGGGGTCTATCAGCGACGAAAACCAAAGAACCGGATACATCCCAAGTAGCAGCGACTCTAGGAACAGCATCGAGTGGTTTCAACATTTGGCGAAGATCGAATTGAGAGAATGAGCCAGAGAAGTGCTGGGCCCATATCGAATGTGGGTCACCGAAAACCATGTCTAACCATGTGGAAGATTAGATTGCTTCCTCCCACGTTTGGGGGTCTCACTAGGTATACTCACCTGTCACTCCGCCGTCAACTGCTGACCCCCGGACTACCCACTTTGCAATATGCCCTCGTCTCACGTCCCAAATTTCTACCGGATCACCAACTTCGCTCTTCATAGTCGCCAAAGAAGCTTTAGTTTCGGCGACTGACAATGCAGTCTCCGTTCCTTCACTGGGTAACGCCTCAGAACTCATATTTGGGCTGAGCGCACCAGGAGGAGAGGCTTGGTCGACCGTTCCGCTTCCAGTGCTGAACTCGACATTTGAGACTACAGCCAATTCACATTCGTAAGCCGGGCCTGGACGCCAGAGGACCCGACGAACTGGAAATGAGGTATGAAGGGTGTAAGCAGGCGTTCTAGAGATATGAGTCTCGGGAGATGGCGCTGTTAGGTCCCAGACCTGAGCAAACAGCTGTTGTTAACGCTGTTCAAAAAAGCGTATGAAATGTTAATGTACCTTTACACATCGATCCAATCCACCACTGGCTAGCCATCCCATCCTCGAAGTCTCCCCGTCCGCAACGACAGGTGTATTCGTTAGACCACTTGTACCACTACCTACGCCACCGAAGCCGCCAATATCGTCGAATAAACCGGCGCCCATACCTCCATACCAAGGAGAACTAGCTTGGGTGGGGCTTACTGGCGCATTCTTGACGCCGAAAGTGGAGTGAGGATGCGACCAGTCTAGCGCGATGATGGCTTTACTGTGCGCTACTGGTATGCGATCTAGGAGACCTCGCTGTCCCATGTTGAGATCCCACCTGTCATGTGCTATATGTGAAGACATATCCACGGAATCGGAGAAAAGAAAGGGATGATTTACCGGTATATGCTACCGTTATCTAGGCCTGTGATCGCCTGTAGAGGCTGCCAGGAAAGGGGGGAAAGGACCAAAGAACGCACAGAAGTTGGATGGCGTATCCGCATAATAGACTTCGAGAGGTCACGCATGTCCTATAGACCAAAGCAGCGGTCAAAATCCATCTCTATCGTTTGGCCTCGAGCGCCAGGGGACACGCACCCAAATACGAAGGTCTCCATCCGCGGAACCAGTCAGGCAATAATTCATCGAAATTGTAGAACATGCCAATTGTTGTATAGAGCGAACATGGTCACGGGCACGGCGCTCTGCGGGTCATACTGAAAAGAAATTCACGATAGCAGTCATACCTGGATGGCTTACCATACTTCGAGGCGCCAGTCTTCTGCAGGTCCCACATGATAAGTTCGCCATTGCGGGCACTGGTAAGAATCTTATTGCTGAAAGCTTCAGATGTATTGTCAATCAGTGAAAATTTTATGGTCCTAGATTACGCACGACCGTGCCCCCAGGCAACATCGGTGAAAGCACTATCTATCTTGAAGCCACTTCCACCCCAAAGGTTTCGCGACGCCTCAATCCGATATCCGCCACGTCCAACGGCGGTTCTATGCTCAGCAGAAGTTGAGGCAGTCGCATCAGGCTCGGTGACACGGAGGATCCGGAGAGCTACGTGGCATGAATGAGAGCAGTAGAGTAAAGTGAAGTACTGAAACGTACATTCCTTTCCTGCTACTACACAACGAGTACCATCCTCACTTTTCGCGATGGAACCTCCACCATAAGTTGTCGCGCGGGGCAGACGGACGTGACGACTGGGGCCTGTTGGGCCGTGCGTACGAGAATCAGAGAACTCTGGAGTAAGGGACGGAACCCTGGTATGAAGCGAGGGCCGCCTTGAGGTGGCAGAGGGGCCTCCGCTGTTCAACAACATGGTCATAAATGTTGCACTAGGTGCCTCAAACAACCAGGATTGTATTATCCGCTTTTATTTTCAGAAAACGACGCTGGGCGACCTAAAAGTGGTTCACCGACCGCAGGAGAAGTGTTCCACGATTGAATTCATCTGAAAGCATTCAAGCAAATGTTGGACGCAGTCAAAGGCCACTAGGACTGCCGTTTGTATCCATTAAGAATATGTTTGGAAAAGCCAGAAGGCATACCTACATAAAATCCTGAATTTCAGGCTGAGCTCGCTCTGAGATAAGGTGCAGAAGAACAAAGTTTTGAAGATTGTCCCGCTACGTCAGCTTGGTAAGCGCTCGAACACTGCTCGAACATCAATTTAGGGAAGTGACATCCTCTGTCAAGCTCAGCTTGCGCTTCAAGTCGCTCGAGCTCGCCATCCATTCGTCCATGATCTGTCCCAGCCATGGGAATGAAGCAACCGTAAATGAAAGAATCGAAAATAGATTTGTCTCATCTCATTACTAGTCCTTACTTGCATGTGCTCTTTTTCCGAGAGAACGACCAACATAGAGTGCCACTGCTCTAATTCTCGGGAATAATCAATACCCAGGCAAAGCTACAATAATTAACCCCATGATATGTATGTCCTTGAGCCAGCAGGAAGCACAGACACTTCAGTAGATGATGGACTACTGTATGAATAGAACATGTTGCTAATAAGCTTCAGGTCAAAATAAAATGAATACCCGAATAAACGTGCAAACTGGATAGAAATGCTGTCGCTCATGTTTGTCATGCTTTCTAGGAACGAAGCGTAGAAGTTAGATACCAAAAATTGCTCAACTGAATCACGCATTGACCTGCGACGATGGCGTCGAAAGTCTTCCCGTACTCACCACCGAGCCCCTCACATCCCTCACACTAATCACAAGGCCGCTCGATCTCAAGCTACTACTGCCCAGACTCCTATTCTCCGCAAAACCTGATTCCAACTGGCCAGGTGTCACAAATTCGAAACCCGCTGGTGCGTCTGCTGAGGGTGTGAATATGACAGAGGATATCGCTATTGACTTGCGCTGTTCGGGTTCGACACGTTCCATCATTGCTCGATTGTTGAAGCCTGCTAGCAGGGTGTTTGAGTATCTGCAAATACTTGTGAGCCTGGGTAGAATGGGCACAAGTAGGAGCGTGGACGGACAGCTTAGCTAGAATGATGGCTCTACAGGTCATCGGCCATTAGTGAGTATGGGCTCGTAGGTAAAGTTACTCACGGGCATTCGTGAACATACGTTTGCTGTTCGAATATGTAAGTAAATGAAAACTATGTCAAGCTTCTGACGACTTACAGGCATCGCAAGGAACGTGACAATGGCAACAATAGCAACTGTGGCTGAAGATCAGGATTCGCTATGTCACTTAAGACCTTATTCGTGTTTCGTATAACTTGCCTGTCATCGTTCCCGTCTCTACGACAAAGAAGATTAGACGGTTTATCAACGAATGACTTAGTTGGTTTTGGCCCTGAAGTTTGGATTCAACAAGCTTATGATTCTTCTTCGACCTTAGGAGCTGTAAAGCACATGGCATCAGGTCAGAATCGACATGGCTCAAGGTGGAGCTCCTGCGGTACTGACAAGGAAGGTCATCGCTATTGCGATAATGACGTCTACGAGTGCACTTCCCGCTAGCCATACCTACTCAAATTTTCAGCTGTATCAGAAGACGACCAATGTTAAACACGAACTGTGAGTGCGACGTTTGACCGACTTTGTTGTGATGTACCGGAAGAGGACTTTAGCTGCCAGACGAAAAGAGATATGAGAACTTTCAGTCATGCCCCAAGGTGATGAACTCACTTGAGCACCACCAACGATAGACCCGCCCAGTTGAGTCAACGCAAGCTTGTTCAAAATAAACCGCCTCAGATCCGCGCGAACATACTGTATTCCAAGAAAACACAGGAATTTACGGTAGCCACCGTTCCGGTCAATACTTTGGACTTGGCTAATATCCAAAGACGCCATGAAAATGTGAGCTGCACTGCAGCGGATATAATTCCACCGAGTATAATGAAGCTAAACCACCCCATGCCAATGGTTGAGAAGCTCCCCGCGCTTCCCCATCGGTAGATGAAGTTGTCAAACATGTCTACTGTGAGCATACATGTTTGGAGGGTGTCGAGCATAAATATGCCGTATACTGTGATGACGCAGTATCTCGTTGAATACGCATAGAGACAACGGGAACAAAGATACGCTATTATGACGTACCAAGGCATTTGAACAAAATCTGATCTTTAGGAAAGGAAATATGGTATATGTCTGTCAGAAAGTTAATTATCCAGCCGTGCTCCCGAAATTCGACCATGCTTACAGACTTGCACCAAGAGAACTCCAAGCAAACCCCAGTTCAAGATGAACCCTACGAACTGGCTGACGTTTGATTCTGTGCTACTTGCGTGACCAAAAAACGTACTGGAGGTCCCGCTCTGAGTACACAAGAGATCAGAATTTATTGCCTAGAGCAAGCCTGGAAATTGATCCTGATCATACGGCCACTCACATGAGATTCCAAGAAGGATGACTGACACTATCAGTCGAGCGGGAGTACATGTGGGAGAAATCAAGCGAATGACGAACGCCTTGTTGAAAGACTCGAGCGAACAGTGGGCGCAAAGTAGAGACAACGTATAACCGAACCGGCGGTGAAGGGTATCCCAAGCATGAGTCCTCTTCCCTATTTGTATCCATTGCAATGGACGTGGTAACGTCTAACTATCAAAGGGACATCACGTCGAAATAACTGCCGTCCGCCCGTGAACATATTGACAATGACAGATGCAGGGTGTCATCATAACAGTGGGGATTAATCCCGCTTTCATTATAGCGTGAACGCCGGCCTTCGCTGTTGAGGAGCTAAACCATCATTCATCATTCCCTCAATTTGATGCACTGCGCTCTGGATGCGAACCCATAAGTCTTCGAATGATTCTTTCTGTAGTAGTCCGTTCACCTCCGATCATTGTCACGGTGTTCGGCGAACAGTCGCAGTACGCATGATAGCCACCATTGTATGAAGAGATTGCGAACAGTAGCCAAGCTCTTCTGAGGGTGCTCTTCTCTGTCAGTAACGTTACTACAATCTCGAAAGCGTACGTACACGGCATTGTCTGGAGCCGACCTTCCGTAAAGTCGCGGGGAAAATAGGAAGATGTCACTAATCAGAATATTGAATCCCTCGAGTTCAATGGCAACGTCCAAGTTCCAAACTGAAGACGACCGAAATGCGCCAAGCGAGGATCGAACCCGGCGGTGCCTGAGCCACGCGGTCGAGGAGCCAAGCTGAGAGACGCCGGCGGGAAAGTGTCGCCATTAATTGCCTCGATGGCGAGCTCAGAGCCAGTCGCCGTCTTATATGTCGCTCGTCGGTGGCGACATGCACCGCACAAATTTTTCTATGTGTGACCTTATATATGTCATCCATTCCTTTGGAAATAGAAAGCCGCGAACGTTGAGCATCCTTCGCCTTCGTCCTTGACATCAAATCCGACGAAAGTTTCCCTCCGCCATGGGAGTCGGAGCAGGCTCGTCGACACGACCACACAGTGTTGTCGGAAGCGCGAAATCTTCAGTCAAAGATCATGGCAATCATTCGGATGCGGTCTTGGATGCTGAGCAAGCCGTTGGAGTCCTTCCAGGGCCTCCAGTCGACCTAAGGAAGGGCGGTCTTCACAGAGGTCTGTCTACCCGACAGGTCTCGATGATCGCCATAGCTGGTACTATTGGAACTGGTCTGTTCCTCGGAACGGGAAGATCATTAGCGCAAGGTGGTCCTGCGAGTATGCTAATATGTTATAGCATCGTCGGATTTGTAGTGTATATCACCCTTCTGCTGCTTGGGGAGATGGGGACACAGTATCCTGTTGCAGGTACGCATGACGCGTTCTGTTTGTCATTTCAGTGTGAATTTTCATATTGATACCATTCAGGATCCTTTAACGCGTATGCTGTGCGTTTCTTCTCTCCTTCATATGGCTTCGCTCTCTCGTGGAACTACTGGTTCAACGATGCTGTATCCGTCGCGTCCGACCTCACCGCAGCCCAACTTGTACTGCAATACTGGACAACTTGGCACACTTGGGTCATTAGTCTCATATTCTGGGTGTTCCTGGTCAGCATAAACGCCATTCACGTGAAAGCCTATGGCGAGCTGGAGTACTGGCTGTCTTCGTTAAAAGTCGCAACCATCATCGTGTTCATCATTGTCGGTATACTTGTCAATGTCGGTGTCAATCAAGCACATCAGTATATTGGTGGTCACAACTGGACTATTCCTGGTGCGCCCTTTGTTGGGGGATTCGGCGGATTCGCCAGAGTTTTCGTCACTGCCAGCTTTGCTTGTGAGTTCTTGTTTAAGATGGACACACCATCGAAAACTCAATTTATATCAAATAGATGGTGGCACGGAGAGTCTGGGAGTAACTGCTGGCGAAACAAAGAACCCGACTCGCAACATGCCTCGAGTCGTCAAATTTGTTTTCTGGAGGTGCGTTTCATTTCGTGCCTATCATCTAGATCTCTACTTACCTGCACCGTTTAACAGGATCTTAATATTCTATATCATCAGCATCCTACTAATTGGACTGAATGGTACGATATTCTTTTCTCTCTTTTGTCACAAGTTGGTTGCTGAAATCTACACATAGTACCATATACCTACCCTGGTCTTTCTAACAAGACGACCACAACCTCTCCATTCACGATTGTCTTCAGCGAAGTCGGAGCCAGTACGTCCTATCTTCTTCTTTCATATCCCACCGTATATTTTCTAACATTCCCTACAATCAGCCACTGCTGGTTCCTTCATGAACTCTGTAATCCTCACCTCAGTCCTCTCGGCTGGTAACCACGCTCTCTTTGCAGGTACTCGGGTCCTTTACGGTCTCGCATCGACACAGCCTGTCGCTCAAGCACCTAGATTCTTCGCCAAGACCACGAAAGCAGGCGTTCCAATATATGCGCTATTCGCTACAAGTAGTATTAGTATACTCTGCTTTGGGAGTAGTTTCATTGGAAGTGGACAGCTTTGGGGATGGCTGCAGAACATCGTCGGCGTTTCGAATCAGGTATGTGCTATTTGATTTATAAATCAAAGTGAGAGAATATAGATCTCACGTTGTGGTTTAGATTGCTTGGCTGAGTATTGGACTCGCCAGTCTTCGATTCAGACAAGCATGGATTCGTCAGGGCCGTCCTTTGAGTGAACTCAAGTTCCGGTCACGTTGGACATGGCCATGGGGTCCTTACTTCGTCGTACGTCTGCCCGAGATTCAGACCATTCCAACATTGATGAAGCTGACGTTTGCTCTATCCCCAGATCATCACTGTCTCCGTCATCATCCTAGTTCAAGGCTGGTCATCCATATTCCCCACCTTCTCAGTAGTCGACTTCTTCTCATTCTACATCGAACTCCCCGTCATGCTCATAATGAGTCTCGGATGGTTCATCGGTCGAAGAATATATCGAATACCCCTCAAACATCGACAACACAACCTCAACAATAACTCTACATATCCGAATTACCAGAGTACCGAACACACTACCCACGTTACCCCTACGATTTCTGAAAGTCTCCCTACACCTATACCTTCATCTGCGTCACATACCCCGAGGAGCCGGTTTGCACGGTTACGACGTTTACATGATTTGGTCGATACCCGAACGGTAGACCTACATTTGGACGAATATCATGAAGCGGTGGATGATTATCTGGATGATGAGAATAGGAAGGCGAGGTTGACTTCGAAAGGGAGGTGGTTGTGGAGACTGTATTATTGGTTAGCCTGATCGCGCTAGGTTACTTTTCATGTATGATATTGTTTTCTTGGATTTTTGCTGTTGTATCCAATACAGTTGTTGTGTTTTGCTTTCCGATGCGTCCGTCTCAATTTATCGCCATTGGATTTAAATGGAACTAGATGTTGCACTCGCTGCATCATCGCTTTCTACTGAGACTCTCGGACAGCAATGCTTATTGTGAGACGCATGTATGCCCGTTGTGCGAGACTACCTGCACATACTGCCCGGTTTATTTGCTTTTGTTGTCTGACACCTCCCGATAAGTTTCCTTTTTTTGACAAGACATGAAGGCTCGTCGACATCGCTCATCGATCAGGATGTAACGAAGCTCTGGCATTGAAATGATGACACTCAGTCCATAACTGGCACATAATAATAATTCTATTCAATTTGGCCAAAACTCTGACATTGAAAGACAAGAGTTCCTCCGATTCACCGCTCTTCTCGAGGGACTCTAACATACCTAACGTGGTGTCCTCTATGCTGCGGTAGTGGAGCTCGGGAAGCACCTTCTCAGTGGAAGAAGTATCCAATGTGATAAGATGTTCAGCAGACTCAGGATTGTAGGAGACATTGCCTGCTGGTATCTTGGCGGAATAGCGCCGAGCGGCGTTCACTGTGAATAATTGTCAGAATATCTTCTGAATAGGAGGATGGGAAACTTCTTACCGATATCCTGCCATTTGAAATTACCCGCACTGATGAGCAGTCGTTTCCCGCCTGCCTCTGCGTTCTCGATTGAAAGGACGTGCGCCAGTGCGAGGTCGCGAACGTCGACCAATTGACCTCTGTTGAAATAAAGATCAACAAAATAAATCGAAGACGCCCCGGTTTGAATAAGACGTACCCGTCGTTGGCCAGGGACTCATTGCTGGCCTTGCCCTGAATAACATTGTCGTAAAAGAAGTTGTTTGGCATATTCAAAGCAGATGGATCCTTGACTTCTTGGAGCCACGGACCAAAGACGTAGGGCGGAACAAGGGTAACAATATCAAAAGATAAGTAGCCCTTCTTCTTCTGCTCCTCGAAAAACTCCCAAGCGGCGAGTTCGGCCAAAGTCTTGCTAGCGCAGTACTTCTCGAGCTGGTCAGCACCTTCGCCTTTGGTCTCTACCTCACGGATAGACTTCCTGTTCCAATCGGCCTCGGAGTAAACACGGCGTTCAGGAGCAACACCGAATTCCTGAACAGCAGCTCCAGAGGATGTGATTACGACGCGTTTGACTTGAGTACCGTGTCGCAGAGCACTCTGGAGCACTCCCAGAGTCCCTTCGACCGCAGGCTTGATTAGCTCGTTGGGGTCTTTAGCACTCCAACTGACGGGAGATGCGGTGTGCTCAATGGCGACCACGCCTTTGACAACCTCATCAAACGCTCCTTCCTGATCCAAAAAAAAATTGAGTATGGAGAGCCGAGACATGGGTGATAAAAGACGACGAACCTTGGTGAAGTCGTTAACGGCGACAAGCTCAAACTTGTCGCCGTAGGACGCAAAGAGGCTCCGAACGTGTGCGGCCTTAGAATCGGAACGAATGGTACCCCAAACAGAGTACCCTTTTTCCAAGAGGGTCTTTATGATCCAAATGGCCACGTAGCCGTTGGCACCAGTGACCAAGACTTTACCAGAAGTGACTGCAGGCATCGTAGGGGTAATGAGCGAATATGTAGAGGAGTCTAAGCGGGACCTTCTGACCTGCCAATCGCTTGAAGTACAACTTATATTAGCCTTCGTATATTGAGCTTTGTAATCCAAGATCTTATCGACCTCTCGTCATTCCAAAAGGCTGAAGACGAATTGCACTGAAAGAGAGCAAAGGTGCTGAGTAAGACACATCTGTAGGCGTTTCATGCGAGAAACCGGGGGGATTCAAGCACTCCTCGATGAATTGGTAATCAAAAAGACGACAAACCTGAATGATGCGAAGGAAAGTCTCCATCATCAAAGTAGAGATTAGAGGGATTCCTTTACAATGCCGGATGATGGAGGGCGATCCAAAGAAGCAGGTAACATCTAGACAAGGGCAGTATCTTGATTAATAAGACGACTCATATGAGGTCTTGATGTGGTCTGCACAGGAGTTCACACAACTCGGCATTGATATGTATCTAGAAGTATTCAAAAGCCTACCTGGCGTACTTACCTACCACGATAATAGCCCAAGAACAGTCACTGCAAGTTACCCCACGATTCCCATATACTAGTCACAGATTACCATGTCGACCATCGAGACCTGGGATAACTCAGTCGTGGGCCACGCCACAGCAAGTTTCAAGCTGACTAAGTCGTCATCCACACACAAAAAAGAAAAGGAAGGCGTGAGCGGCCAATCCAATAAGCGATGAGACACCAGGTAATGGCACATTTAGAATGAGCACACCAGCACCTCTAGGTTGGAAAGGGTGTCAACCGTCTATAATGTACTAAGTTTTCGTCATACAGGCACAGCCAATCAGTGTGTACCACGCCGGTTATCATAAGGGACGAAGCTTACAAGGTTATTGTTCGACAATCTGGCAGCGCTGAAATGACACGTATACTATATACCCATGCTAATGTACCTATGGCGTACTGTGATTCGAGGGTAAGACTATTATAGGTGCCAGCTATGGCAGTGTGATGATGGCAGTAGGACGAGACAAGCAATCTTGCCATATTTGGGTACCCTACCTAGCTACGGGTCAAAGCGAGACGGTGAGTAGACTACATCCAAAAATGATATGTCGAAATTCTTCATCATCACTGACCAGTATGTATTTGCAGACAGCCTGTGACTGCCATTATTTATAGATCTCACACGGCCTCTATAGACTCTCAAGCACTGAACTTGGCCATCTCCTTAGTAAGCGTGAGCTAGTACTAACTCATCCGCATACCCTCACTGCTCATAGTATGAGTGAAACAACCGAATCCAGGATGGCAAACCTGAAATTGCAATCGACTATACGTCTATCATCAGGTCACCATTTCCCCCTTTTCATCTACAAAATCAGTATCGTTCATGGTAGCTTGGCTCTCATGCAGGCTACTTGATGCCTCTCCTTGGCTTTGGTGTATACCAAAACTATACCACGAGAGAGTCAGTTCTCGAAGCGTTCAAAGCGGGATACAGGTACCCTCAAGCTATTTCGCCCTACAGCTACAACGAGATACCTGACATAATCACTTGGCAGACATGTGGACTCAGCCCAGGTCTACCGTAACGAAGCTCATGTGGGGGAAGCCGTCAGAGAGAGCGGCTTGCCGCGTGAGGAACTCTTCATCAGTGCGCTGCTTTTCCACGTCAGCTGCAACGTAGTCGCATGACAATAATTTCTAGCGACGAAATGTGTTAGCAAAACACATGGTTACGAGAGTACTTTGAAAGGCGTTGACGAGTCCCTCACTAAATTTGGCTTTAGTAGTCACACATGCCATCATGCACCTTAGCTGATAATCTGACGTCTTTGGCTCCACAGATTACATCGACCTTTTTCTCATCCATGACCCATACTCCGGAAAAGACCTTCGACTCGCAACGTACAAAGCTCTCCTAGAGGCTCGTCAAGCTAGAAAGATCAGAACTGTTGGCGTATCCAACTAGTTGAGTTCTCTCAACCTTGTGGTAAACTTCGGGCTTTCATTGACATGGTGTCGGAAGCGGCATCCATCACCTGGAAGAAATCAAAGAAGCAGGATTCGAGACTCCCGCTGTGAACCAGATTGAGGTATGATCAATTTTATCTCTTGTCGTAGCAGATCCTGATGATCATGCTTGCAAGCTGCACCCATTCTGCCAACAGAAACCCATTGTGGAATATTGCAAACAACATGGTATCGTTGTCCAAGCATATAGTCCTCTCGTTCGTGCCAAACGCATGGATCATCCAACGATAGCAAGTATTGCTCAGAAGGTTCGGGCATATTTCGTTTGGTGCATATTTTCAACATTTGACGTTCGAATGGTCCTTTCTTTAACCTAGCACAATCGTGATCCTGCTCAGATCCTGATTCACTGGTCATTGCAGAAGGGATTTGTGCCCTTGCCCAAGTCTGCCAATCCACAGCGAATCTGGTCCAATGCCCAAGTTTACGACTTCGCCTTGGACGAGTCAGATATGCAACAACTGGACGCATTGGATCAGGGAAAGGAAGGGGCTGTCACTTGGAATCCTGTCGATGCACCATGATCTCGATCGAAATGAGAGTCAATGTTTGGACTTGGCAGAAGAGAATAACGGAGATCCAGAATGAGATTATACATCTAGAGATGAACGATACCAGTATAACGGAAGGTATACCTTACGAAGTGTGACGATAGCAGGAAGATTGTTTTCGACAGAGAATACGAAATGTTCGAAGCATATTCCAATGAGAAGCTTAGTCCTCGTCCATGGCGGCTTCACCTTTCTCCTTGCGTTTTGCTATCCGTTCTTGCATCTTCGCCTGAGCGTCCTCTTTGGCCTTGTCCAGTGCCCCTGCTTTACCCATAGCGGAGAGCAAAGCGTGGATGAAGCCAACATAGTTATGCCTTCGTAGACTGTTTTCGAACTACACGAATCGACGTCAACTGAAGTAAAAGAACACGAAAGCGAGTGTCGTAATACTCACCGCCCATCGTTCGCGTTTCGAGTTCTCGTTTGCGAGTCGGACCATGATCTCCTCGACTGCTGCGTGGTTTCCAGAAGCTTGAGCTTCACTTAAGCTCGTCTGCAGTGTTGGAAGAGGGTCATCGTGAAGCGCCAATAGACTGAATTCTAACTGGATGATGATGTATTTAGTCTGGCATGAATTACACTTAAATTGTTCGACTCACTGATCCGGGCGGGTATGTCGCAATTCTGGCTTCAATAACTTCCCTGACGAAGATCTTAGAATCAGAAGAAGTAGAAAAAGATAACCAGGAAAACACACCTCGCTTTCGCCAACCAACCTTCGCCCTTCTCCTCATACGGACCATGTTGAACCGGACTGTCTTTCAAGCCGTCAAGTTCGTACACGCTGCCCATATACGGGAGGTACACAATAAAGTGGTATGCTTCTTCAGTAGTCTTCGGAAGTCCCAATCCCTCCAACGAAATCGCCGATGGTGGTGAAAGGGCATTATGTGCTTCCCTTAACCAGTCCGCACTCGTAATGACCATTCCTCTTGTCTGAGGATCCATACCGACAGTGAAGTTAATCAAATCACTAAGTTGCACTCCTTTGGGAAGGTCCGGAATGTTTCCGATTGCATTCATGACTGCAAGAGTGGCACATGCGTTGTTCACGACTTGATGAGCAAAAAAGCCGGGGAATTCGAGATCATATTGGCCTCCGCTCGATGGTTCTGCCGATGAACCGACCCATTTAAAGAGGAATATAAGTGCGTGGATAGGTTGGAAGGTGGAAAGGGCTCCTGAGTCTAGGGAATACAAATCATCGACAACGAGAGGTACGCCGAGTGATTTTAACAATTCACTGGCATGAGCACCGTTCAGACAACGAGAATTCTAAGACATATGACAGAACTTACGTGAAGACGCTCGGGTCCGATTCTGTAAGTTGCCAGCCACTGGAATCGTCTTCGCCAGACATGTTGGTTTAGGTGCAAGTTCCGATCACTAGGTTCGGCGCGTCCAAGTGGTAGGCGCTTCAAAATTCACAACCGCAGACGCGACGCGTCATCGTCCAAATATGGATGATGGAACCCAAATACGGCAAGTCCTTTGGGACACAGCGCGTTGTGCCTTGTGTTTCGTTTTGACCACCATGTCTCAACCAGATACTTCCCAGGATCCCAGTAAGGACCCGAGAGCTGCAAACAAGGCCCAGTTTGAGCTCGAGCTAGAATTTGTACAAAGCTTGGCGAATCCTTACTACTTGCACTCTCTCGCTCAACAAGGCGTTCTCAACCAACCAGCCTTCGTGAACTTCCTAAAGTATCTTCTGTATTGGAAGGAAAAGGACTATGCACGATTCATCTTGTACGTTCGAGCGATTTTTTCTCTGTATTTTTACTTGACTTCTTGTAGGTATCCTCACGCTCTTCATCATCTGGAACTGTTACAACACGCGAAATTCAGATCGGAGATTGCTAAGGATGAATGGAGGGAGTACTTGAATCAGAAACAATTCGACCACTGGAGAACTTGGCATGCGTCTACTCCCATTTGTAGATGCCATTTAGTATTCTGACATTCTGTTTCAGGCGTGAATGGAAGCCTCCACCAAATCCAGCATCTACAGACGTCACCATGGCCGACGAACAGAAATAGTTGGTTGATGAGAGCTTGTGCTTTCTCTCGCAGAAGTGTACGCCGTATCAGACAATAACGCTTGCGTGCCGCCTGGTTGTCAACGACGTTGGCTCGGGCAGTTTGCGACCAGAAAACTTGGGCGTAGGCTTATTGTAGTCATGCAGGGCAGAATCTCGCTGTTGTCATTCAAGTAGAAGAGCGTTAGATACTTCCTAGATTAGACGAGACCTGCCTTCACTGCTGTGCGGCCAGGCAGTTCTCATGGGATGATGGGAAAGGAATATTGATACAGTCGAAATTAGTTGTGCGTGTGTCCAGGCATCCATACATTTGAACTAGGAATATAGCCTGCCATACTACTGGTGTCCGATTTCTTCAGTCGCGCTCTTGCATGGTTTTATGAGGGCGGGATTGCTAAGTTTAGAAATGTCGGGGCGCCCATCAACAAAGGGGCGCTCACCTCATTGCACCCAAGTTCCCACGGGTTGCACAGTGGTCTTCATGCCTCCATCCACTCGATGGACCAGTACTCCAGACAACCTCTCCGCGATAACCACACCGATGAAGAACTCGCGGACGACGCTCCTGTTTACGACCTCTACGATGATGGGACCGATATTCACCTGGCAACAGTGGAGGAGAAGAAGCGGTTGTGGTGGAAGAACGCTTTCATCAATGCGCTGTTCATAGCTTCTTGGTATGTTCGCCGACGCATACAACGTCTCTCAGTCTCCACTCGATACACACGATTCTGACGTACATACTTCTCGTTATAGGTTTCTCTTTGCGACTATACTGTCAGTGTACAACAAATGGATGTTCTCGCCGGAACACTTTGGGTTTCCAGCTCCGCTCTTCGTCACAACCATGCACATGATTGCGCAGTTCATACTGGCCGCTGCCTTGCGTGGTCTATTCCCCGATCACTTTCGCCCAGAGCACAATCCTTCAGGACGCGACTATGCGTATGTGTTTGAGCAGCGTGGTTTATCCTTGAGCGCTCTTGGCTGACATGTACACCCTCCACAGACGCAGGGCGGTTCCTACCGGTATCGCTACAGGTTTGGACATCGGATTGTCCAACCTATCTCTCAAAACTATTACCCTATCGTTCTACAGTGAGTTCCATGAATGTGTGCATCTGTAGAGTTTCTTGCCAACGTAATCCCAACTTAGCTATGATCAAATCGTCCTCTCTCGTTTTCGTCCTGCTCTTCGCATTCTTGTTTCGTCTAGAAGTATTCTCTCTCCGACTAGTCGGAGTAATAACTCTCATTGTGGCAGGCGTCGTGCTCATGGTCGCCACTGAAACACATTTCGTCCTTGGTGGCTTCATACTCGTCATCAGCGGAAGCGCACTATCTGGTCTTCGTTGGAGTCTGACGCAACTCCTGCTGAAAGACAAACACCTCGGAATGGCTAATCCCGTGGCAACCATCTTCTGGTTAGCACCGATCATGGGTATTACATTGGCGGTGATCAGCATGGTCATAGAGGATTGGCTAGGTTTATTGGGATCCGTGTTCTTCTCAAACGCATCGCGTACCGTAAGGACTCTATTCTTTCTTGCCGCCCCTGGTGTCATAGCCTTTTCCATGATTCTGAGCGAGTTCTAGTGAGTTGCCAAATCAGTGCATGATGGCTGGAGAACACTACTAACCAATCGAAACGTTCTTTTCCAGTATCATCAAACGAGCGGGAGTCGTTCCCATGTCTATTGCAGGTATCGCAAAGGAGGTTACCACCATCATCGTGTCGGCATGGTTCTTTGGTGACGAGCTCACACCGCTCAACATTACAGGTGTTGCAATAACTATATGTGGTGCGTAATTACTTCGTTTTGATCTCGTCTGTTTCTGTGCCTGTGGGACTCATACAGCATTCCTCAACCTTCTCGTCCAGGCATCGCTTTGTTTACCTTCCACAAATACCGGAAGTCAATAGAATCCAACGTACCCCTAGACGCGCACGGAAATCCGATACTCGAGGATGAGGACGTGAACTCAAATACCACCCTTCGGGACGTCCAGTATACTTCTTTAGATGAAAGGCAACCATTAACTCAGATTTCAAATAGAGGCTCGCAGGAGGAACCGGTGAGTTTAGTTTTGTTGTAAACCATGCCTCATATCCGCTCACGCACTTCTCTCGGAAGGCACTACATTCGCCTGAAGAGATCCTTTTCGATATACCTCCAGACCAACGTTCGAAGCATTCGTCTATCGACACTCCTACTCGTTAGGTTTGACCGTTTCACAGTCTTCAGCATTAATCTACGGGATGTCCATGTCGATCTTGGCTGGCGGGCTCATCATATTTCATTGCATGTGTTGTACGTCAGGATTAGTGGACTTCTCATATTTATATGGTATCTTTCTCGGGATATCCCATGGTTCAAGAATTGGTGATGCGTAAGCTAGTGCATTGCTCCAGTCTTACATTGAGGGAAGCTGGCGGAACGTAGTTGGCGAAGACAGTCCTCTCCCAAAGGAGCTACGTCTATCTAGCTATCGGGAACTCCTCGGGTCTTACCAAGGTCATGGAATACTAGAAACTGCTTAGCCCAGGAGCTGGCGCTGCGATAGATTGCTCCCGGAGCTCGACGAGCTTTCAGACGCCACATTTTACCCAATTCAACTCCAAGTAATGAACGACCATGGGTTCCTAGTTGCTTCTTCGCGCTCCGGCTTTACTAATATATGGCCTTGCCGTAAACCTTCCCGCGAATGAGAGCACCAGGAGCGTCAGAGGAGCTCTTCGACCTCAAGTCCTTACAACGCATCGCGGGAGCAACTTCGTCCAGACAAGGTTCAGACAGTCATCACATAACGTTATTCTCCCACCTTGCTAAGGTGCATGTATTGATAATGGCGTCTCTCATTAGTCTGCTGTTCGGTCTTGTGAAGCCTTGTGAAGCCTCCTTCTGACGCCGGTCATGGTACCATCGATGCTAGCGGCGACTCTCAGCAAGCTTGCACTGCCTGGCAATACTGGATCTCCTGTAGATTGAAACTGGCTAAAGTGCCAAGTAATCGGGAATTTCCTTCTAGTCGGAACACTGCATGGTTCCGTTTCATTATGGCCGTCTGTCTGAATCCGATCCGCTGGAGAAGCGCGTGCTAGTTGTGTTTGGTAGGTCTCGAAAAGGTCGGAAACTCTACTTCCTGTTTCAAATGGGGCTATGTAGGGTTTCCCGCGAAGCAACGGAATGGAAACAAGGAATAGGGTTGGCTCATTGAGAAACCTCAGGCAGCAATCGATGTGCACACTTGCGAATTGCTACGCGAGAATATATGCAAGTGTCTACGAAAACCCTATATATTACAGTAGATGGTTGACATCTTAACAGATGTTTCTAACATATTAAGAATGAGCCAACTACTGTACGAATAACACAATGCATAAGAGCCAATAACGGAGAACAAGAGGTAGATAGAGTGAAACGGAAACACAACTAAACTTATGTGGTGCAGACACCGCGCTCCGACTCATGGGTATCTTTTCGAGGTTTCGCTGATGACTGAAGATCAACCAGGATCAGAGGACGAAGGACAGCAGACGAGCGAGACTACTGACTCTGATCAGCCGTCGCAGTCAGTTGGTTGACACATGCCCAAGTGGATTGAAGGATGTTTAGCTGGTATTCAGTCTGTACAGATTGAATAGTCATCTCGTCAGAGAGGCCCAAGCTCCAAGCCATGTGTAGAGCCATCTTCAAGTGATATCGGCTTAGTAGGAGACATATTCGGGATCTCAAAACCCATACCTGAGCATAGTAACAGAAGGTCGACGTTCGACTTCGTTTGTACTCGGTCCAAGCAAGCAGTATGACTGCATGTAATGTATCAATAACTGGGTAGTTAACCAAAGACGCCAACAGTGTCTAGAAGGGGATATCAGAGATTAGCGCACATAAGAGAAGCGAAGAAGCACCAACCTCAGCATTAGAACAGTAAGCTGCTTGCACATTGGTCACACCCCTTGATGTTATTTCAGGAATGTCGACGTAACTAATTATCCCGTGAGCATCACATCGAATGATGGACGATCACTACGTACCGAGTGGCCAGAGCAGCAATGCAACTCGCCAACATCGGTGGCAGACTCTGATTGAGGAATCGCTCGACAGCGTTTTCGTATGACAAAAAGGGGAAGTACGACGATAGATTGTCGAAGAAGGCTTGAATGAAGTGGGCCATAAGGTTGGCGTGAGGCCGATCGGGGTGCCTAGTGTCAAATAGAGGAGTTTGCGAGGGTTCAGAAGACTGCTGAGGGTTTGAGAAGTCGATGCCGTAGGTGGAAAGTGACGCCGCATTCGAGGTGTTCCCCAGGTACGAAGACGTGCTTCCATAATCCCTATGATGGTCAAGGCCTCAGTTGCAGAATGGGCCGCGTGTCGTAATAGACTAACCAGTGTGTACCGTTCAGACTGTTGATTGAGTCCGATGCATAGCTGCTACTGCTGGTATTAGCTTGAGGGTAGCAGGATAATGACATCTGTGAGGAAGGTTGACCCAAAACTTGAAGAATGTCGTATGGTTCTGGTTGAGCAATTCCAGGTACTCGGGCATTGCATGGAACTATGGGTGGAGTAATTTCGCACTCAGGAGAGGGTGTATGACTGTCCCACGATGACGAAGCCCGAGAGCACTGAGCGGAACGGCGACCATCGGAGTTTGAGCCAGCCATGATCCTGCTTCGTTCTGCGAAATACCGTTCACGGTCACGGAACCGACATGGTATCTGTGCATTTGCACATGCTTCGCATTTGACATTGGGTGTGTGTTGAATGCATTTAACCTTCTTCAAGCGGCTGAAATGAGGGTAAGCCCTCAACGTTTAACATCGTTAGCTTATGAGGCGAATGAACGGACTTACCAATTATCGCAGGAGGTCACTAAACGTGGACGTTTCTTCTGACCTTGAACGAGATGCGGAGCCTCGAGAACAAAGCGAATGTCGTCCATTGCAGCAGAGGGAGAGAGAGATAGAGGATAGAAGGGACCTACTAAACCGTGATAGACGACTGGAACTTATATATGCAGACCCAACATTAAGTGGACTGTAACAGCGTCTGCCGGCGCGACGGGAACACGAGGATGATTTCGGTGTGAAATGATCACATCCACAGCGTCAATTGCCAGATATTCCAATCTGCGTGCCTTTTTGAGACCGAGAACCCTGTGCAACCTGGGGTGCCGTCGGCTATTACCTCTCTCTATAGAGCTGGCGCCGCGGCTGGAGATCGTTTGATGAATATATGACAGGTAAACTCCAAAATATGTGGGTTCACACTCTGACTGGACCCGACAGGTGCGGCCTGATGGATCCAGCAAAGAATCGCGACTGTCCCCGATTATCTTCTGGCTGTGCACGTGGAGAGCAGGCGAAGACGTCTTGGTTCACACATACCAATCTACATAGCCGTCCGATGCCCATCGGACGAGTTGATTGACTTGAGAAACGTACTTAGCTGGCTGCAATACGTATTCAGACGGTTTGAATGGACTGAACTCTGCACTCAGCCAACAATGGACATTGCGGCACTGCTTGCAATTGGCGGCAGCCGCTGAACCGATTGTGGGTGCAACAACATTTGAAACAAACAACTCTCTCTATCTCGACTTCCCTGGCGCATCTTTCGGATTTCCGTGTCAAGATGGCGTCAGACCCATGACAACAATGCCACGTGAACGCTGAAGGTGATCTGGCTTTGCCAATATGCAGACAAGAGATGCGGGAGAAGCGTTCACTAGGATGTACAGGACCAGGTGCAGAGCGTTTCGTACTGCGCATAGTACAGACGTAGCGAGGCGTCTTGGAGCACTCCTTCAAGTTGCGGGAGGCGCTGCACGTACCTGAAGACTGTCTCAGACTCGTCGCACGTACTGAGCGAACGAGCGAAACCATACCAGCTACTATATGTCTCAAGACAATGAAAAATGGGGTTAGATTCTGAGATATGTAGAGGTGCATCGTGATGACCGTGTAGCGGTCCTCTGATACTTGGTAGGTTTAGGCGAAACCACTATTAGGTATTGCCAAGCTGGAACAAGAGCTGAAGAGACGACCGCGTCGTGGGTGATGATCCAAGATTCAACATTAAGTTTGACGTTGCTCCAGTAGGCGTGGCGAGGCGCAACAGTCCGTCTTCGATTCAGTGCGCGGCACATTTTTAGGACCAGAGAATTTGGACCTGGGATTACCTCAGTTATAGTTTCTGTCGGAATACGTGCATGTTCCATACGGCACCGGGAAATGAGAGAACTTGGGGGTTGGGCCACATGACGTGATTGTGACGGGTGAGTTTTGACAGACAGCCTGCGAAATGTGTAATTACTATCGTAGAGTCGCATCACATACCAATGCCATCCTAGAAAGTGAACTCCATCGCGCTCCCGAACGAAATGAATGTTAGAAATTCGCAAGAGGGTCATGGGCAATTCGTGACATTTTTTGACAGACTGTTTGAATAAAATGGATGCACCAGTTCAGTATTGCAGCTTTTAAAGTGACTCGGGCTCGGTGAAGCCTTGGTCAGCTTGAGTCCTTAGAGTTTTGATTATCAATGCTGACATCGGTTTGATACGAGTGGCGGGAGGCGCGGGATAAAGGTGCGATAAAAACGCTGACTTTACCCACAGGCCAACTGAGAATTCAATGTATGCAGTGAATAGAGTTCACGGGCGCTCAGCTTCAACAACGGTGGCGTACCTCTAGCCTTATTGGCAGACGGTCTGCTCATGAATGAACGAATGAATCGCGACCATGTGGTTCCCTCCGGGGGTATCGTTGGTAACAAAAGTATGTTAAGCCACAGTCGCGGGAAGATACCGCGGAAGTGAAGACGAGGGTATGGCCCAGATGATGTTGCTGACTAGCTTCCTCAGTCTTTGCGGTAACTTGGCGCTGACCTATTCAAAATGAATGTGGGACGCATTAATGCGGACCAATTGGGTCATTACCAACTCAGCAGCTTGAAGGGGCGTTCATCCCGTGTAACTGGAGACGAAAAACATCGTAGGTATAGAAAAGATCAACAGCTTCGAAGAGTTGATGTTCAAGGCAGAGAGCTGCAAAAGCTGCGAGTATTTTCTGTGAGTTATTTAGTCGAATATCTGTGGACTTATGAACGGTCATTTTGATACAGCTGAAGGCGAAATAAAGGCCACACACCTCATCTAGATGACGTCCGTAAAGTGAAAAAAAAAACTGCCATCAAGAGACCAAGCTCCCTAAGGTCGTGTACAGTACCATCACATTAACGTTTGTGTTAAACAGCGACGCATCGCCTTGTTGTGGGCCTTTCGACGTGAAGACGTTAAAACGTTAACTTCACGCCTGCTCTCAAAAAAGTCTGTTCGGTGTTCGGATTGATCCGGAGCATCCTATTATAGTAACCATAGTCGGAGGCAGAAGACTCCACTAGAACTCCAGGCCGATCCTTCCCCCTCCGCACTACGCAACTATGCTCCACAATGAGCCCGGCTGGCCTCCATATATAAAGCATAGAACATCATCACAAGCCTGTAACACTTCTTTCAATAAACCCCCAACAAGTCACCAAGATGCCGTTATTTAAATCTAAGACAAAGGTATGTATTGAAGCTTGAACAGTGACCTTGGGTATCCACTGACGTTTGTATAGCATGCCGACGATGCACGCCTCGCGGAAGAGCGCGACAACGCCGGTAATAATAATCAGACTCAGACTTCCAACAACAACAAGGATCTCGGCAATAACAACTACGACGCTGGCAATCAGCAAGGCAGAGGACAATCATTTGGATCGAATAATCCGAGCCAAGGTCAGCGTGAGACTGGACCCGAGGTACGCGTCCCGTGGTTAGTATCTGTAACAGAGACTTACACTTAATTTGGTCCGGTTCAATTACAGGCTAAGATCGGAAGCTCTGCTCTCAGAGAACACGGACTCCTCAGAGAACGCGAAGCTGAAGTTTTGCATGCTCAAAGTCAGGAGCTAGCAGAGGCCGAACGGCTCGAGCAGTCCGCCTTAGAACATAGGGAGAGGGCTGTTGCTGTCGGTGCAGATCCCGCCAACAAGGCTCTGGGTGGAGGCTCAGCTTGATTGGCGAAGGGGACGCAATGGTTGAAGATATTCCTGTGGTTTTGTGTCGTTAATGACGTACTGTACAATATACAATGAATGGAACGTACCTTGAGAATCTTCGAGCCCAAAGTGCATTCGCGAAACACGAGAGTTACAGGGGTAGTATCAATTAAAAGATAGATGTAGCATATCCAATCCGAATCACAAAGCAATGTCACAAGTATAAAGAATAGTCTACAGTCTTGATCCATGATCTCTAATAATCCCAATACAAACATTGACCCAACCGTCTGCGCCTGCCATGCACGCGCCGAGCCAAGCCATTTCAGCATCACCAGGTATTTCGACACCCTGAATAATTGGGTATGCCAGCTCATGAAATGGTGGTTCGGATGGAGATGCTGGGAACAGCTTGCTCAGGTTTTTGGAGAGAAAATCGTGGAGAGAGTTTGGCGATCCTAGGAAAGTCATTTCATCAGGAAGTGCGGTCATAAGCTAGTATAATCGGCACTCATACCGTCGTCTAGTAGTGGTGGAACAACATCCTGAATAACGGGTCCGTCAGGTAGGTAGATGCGCACGGGGATGTTTCGGACGTTGTAGGCCCCGTCACGATCCGGACCGCCATTTCCTGTTTGTGGATCCGCTGATGGGGGTCGCGTATGTAGAGATGTGGAAGATGGCAGCGGTGGCGACTGTGATCGAGCTGGTGTTGTAGTAGGCGTGACTTTGGACGCGACGCGCCAATATTCGTCAAAGTTGTCTGAACGTAGGGGCTGACAGGTAAGAGAAGGACCTGAGGATGGATACAAGATGATACTTACGTTCCTTGATTCCCTCCCAGAGTCCGTCTTGTTCAGCCTTCCTGAGGCCGGTCATACGTTTGGTGTTTCCCCATCTGATAAAGTCGGCCTCCTTCATTTGACCCATAAATGCTTGCTTGCATGCTTCCGCGCTTGGCGACAATAGAAGCTTCTCAGTTGGCGGTGACACAAGATGTAGCACTAGACGCAACGGTACTGATTGTAATGAACTACTTGATGTAGTAGGTCGAATGGAAGCAGCGATGGTATGGCTGTCGTAGATGAGACCAAGAGGCCAGTGCCTATCAATAGTATAAGGAATGAATATCAAAGGAAACTCGTGGACAAGCTCACAGGAGATAATACGCACCATTTCAGTAGGTTGCCTTCTTCACTCTCAAACCACCACTCCTCCTCCTTGACCACTCTTGCAGCAGCCTCATCAAAAACTACATCCATAAGGAATTTCTTGATCTCCGGCACGAGTAAAGGCAGATAGCTGACTCGAGGTGCTTGAATATAATAACATTCCAATCCGCGATCGCTATTTGCAGGAAGTTCCTTCGGGTCGACGCGAATCTCAAGGGGAACTGTTCCCTCCCATGTCAGTCGTCTGAAGAGCGTCGTCGATGCCGGTGTTGAGAAGGCAGATGGCGAGGGGCGTGCGCCATAGGTGGACATGGTCGTGCTCGACGTCCAACGCGGGATTAAGCAAGCATTCCACACTCACGTGGGAAGCTCGCGGGGAAAGCGCCCATTCTCACTTTCGGTGGGTCGATCGAGTCCCGATCTCAAATACAATCATGGAGGTTCGCTGCACACCTATGGCGGTGAAGTTGATTTCCAGTCAAAATTCAAAGAGTTCGCGGCACCTCTAAGTTTGTATGGTCTAAAGGAGAATATTATCCTCTTGGCCCCACCGCAGCAGACGCCGTCTCCTAAAGCTTCATTCCCGACGAAGCTTGCCCTTGTATTCCAGCCGCCCCCGGTTTATCTACTGTACACCCTTTGCATAGCAATACGTCTCGGGACTTTGAATCGCACGTGGCTCCGTGATTTCTGCAACCAGTCTATGTTGCAGATTCAGCTCGTGATGCTACGAGACACGCCCGCGGTGTACGAGTCCATTTGGTAAATCGACAAGTTCCTCCACGTGCGGTGGGCTCATAGCCTACCACGTCCTGCCACACGAGACTATGCAAATTTATGAGGATAAATATCTCCGCTTCGTTGTACTCCTGAAACGGGGTAAGCAAACTCATTCGGGCGAGGAAGACTTCACGCACCGAGTGATTTCTACCCTCTCTTGGGAACATATCAATGGCATGTGCAGTCGTTTAGAACATGAGTAAAGTCTTCACATGCATGGAAGCAGAAGAATTTACATCGCACCCAGGCATCGCGCTTAACGCGAGTTGCCAATGATGTCAGACCCACTGCTCCAAAAAGATCGTATACCCCAAGTCCCGAGTCCTTAGGGAGTGCTCTCGCCGAATATGCATCGTCGGAAGTACGCCATCCGAAAGAAATTGAAAATTTCTAAGCAGAAAGGTTGTCACAGATCACTTTGAGACGTTGATCAGGTGTTGGCCATAGTGTTGAAATTGCTGAAACTGGTGCTATGGCTTCTCACCTACGTTACGATAACACGGAAGATGAAACAAGGGAAAGTTCGAGCCAGAAAAGATAACAACATTGCTTGGAACTTGTCCTCGTCCAGAGGTATCGAAATGGGGAGATCGATTGTGCAGAATTGCGTGCATGGTCAATGCCGCGGTTTCTGGCGACGTTCTTAGTGCTAATATGAATTGAAACATTTTCGCTACCAGTAATCTGCCGTGATGGCCTCAGGTCTGATCCGTCAAGATTGTAAGGATCGTCGAGAACACCATCAGGGGTGTCGCGTGTCGTCAAACGCCAAACATATTCCCGATTGAACACCTTAATCACCGGATCAGAGTTAGCCTCATGAACGGTGATATAGCAAGAACAGCGTATCAACAGCGCCAACGTCGGACGGCGTTTCGCAATCGGCCACCGTTTTACTGGATGCTCAACTGTATGAGATGACGTACAGAATTTATGAGCGACCATACGTATCGGCCCTCGTACTTCATCGAGAGTACGGTGTTCTAGAGTGAGGTCACTTGATCCTAGTGAAAGGGAGATCCAGAAGGAGCCAGCCGTGTGACAGGAGAAGGTAATGTTCCTGGTCCAACGGGATAATTGAGTCCTCGCAAGTAATGGAGCAACGCGAAGGGTGCACATCCAGTCAAAATTTTTGCAGGTGTTCCCGCAAGCCTGAGGCGCTCTGATTCTTGGGAATGAAGACTTGGAGCGGCGTTTATTCTGGATCATACTACGTAGAAACCAGAGGAACAGTGTGCACGTCACTGACACGTCTCAATTCGGTGAGTAAACAAAGCGTAGTCTCCCACAGGCAGTGTAGACAGAGACGCAACCTTCGTACCTTAGGATATCTCTGCCTGACACAAAGCGCGGAATGGGAAGGATGGGTCTCAAAGATAGTTTCGGTTGAAAGCAAGCAGAGAAAGGTAAGAGAAAAAGTCGGAGGAACTTGCCTTCCTATTTCGGACATTAATTGATGCTCGTGACTCGACGCGACTGAAGCGCGTCGCCGCATGCGTGTTCTCTTTCTTGACGCGGTTTAACGCGATACACTAACCAGCTGTGTCTTCACAAACTTTTTTATCCATTCAAGTACACGCTGGACTACGACGCCTCATGAGCTCTTCGACTCAGGACCCAACAGCGGCAGTAGAACGCGCGAGGAAACTACAAAGTTCCCTAGAGAATGCTAACCTCAATCTGGTGAAGTCGCGTCAACTGTTTGATACTCGTGTCTCTGCAGAAGACAGTGGACTCAACCTTTCTCTTGCACCGGGGGAGAGTGCGGGTCTAGTTGATCCTGCGGTAGCGTCGACGGACTTAGCAGCGCAATTGGTGAGCCCTAATCAGCGTGCAATTACGATGGGAAACCCTGACAAAGTATGGTCATCTCATAGTCATTCTTCCGAAAACTGAAGTTCCAATATTTGGAACATAAAGCTAAGAACCAGTATATCAAAATCATCGTCAGCGATGATGCCCCGGATATCAAGGCTGCGGATAATGAGCAGCTCAGACAAGTGAACGAGAAGAAGAAAGAAATTTTAAAAGAGGCAAAGTTGAGATTGGCGGAGACTCAGGGGAATGTGCAGAAGCTGGCACCTCTGGTAGAAGAAGGTACTTCTCTTCCTGTTTCTGCTTCCTATTACCTAAGGCGTCGAATACCGACTTTTTGTTTGGGCAGATTATGTGAAAGCGAGGGCTCTGACAAACGAAGCAGCTTCGCTCGCTCAGCAGATACTTGATGCAAAGCTTCAGCTTAGTCGTCTGCGACAAATACATCCTCACCCTCGCCTCACGATCGCTGGCGCGACGGCGCAAGCCGATGCTCAGGACGAGCAGATGCAATCATTAGAAGATCAACTTCAACTTTTCAATGAGAAGATTGAGGACGTGAAGGGGAAGGTAAAAGAGGGTGCAAGGCATGTAGAGAGGTTGAGGATGGAAAGGGCGGAGGCCGAAAAGCAGGTCAAAGCCTGCAAGAATGAAGTGGATGATGGTAGGGTTATTGGATTATACGACTGGTGAGTTTCAAAATTCTTTATCTAGCTGGGGGGTCCTGATGCCAACCGATTCCAGGTACACGGCGTCGCTTAAACTCCATAAAGAGCTCTTTTCTTTGGAGTCTCATCAAGCGCCGTCTGAAAACGAGCTTGTACTGATATATTCTCTCGATACACCCAACAATACCAAGAAGCGCGTCATCGTAAAACTCCTCTTCGTACCGAACACAAGACAACTTGCTGAAGTCGAAGTGGAGGGGATCTCAGCCGCCGTGGAGGAAGTGGTGGGCATGCATATACAGGCAAATGACGTTTCGGGCTTGATTGCTGCGCTTCTGGCTCTAGCGAGAGCAGAGGCATGAGTCGGGCTTATAATATCCTTCCCCTACTTGTTGTCCTATCGCAATCCGCTGTTTTGTTTGATTCATTGATGTATCCGTAGACTTTTGTAGCATAGACATACCGTTCTGTACAATTGTCATGATTGTGCTATAGCCTGTAATAAATACCCTTTATGTGCTCGTCCGAATAGCAACGAAGCGCATTTAAACCTGCAGTAGTACTCTCCGCTCGAGCAGAACGTCGGCCTTTATTTGGACGGCTCCTTCCGAATGGAGGAAACTTCTCAACAGCCTTGTACAACAGAAACAAACATCTTTCGACCTCTTGGCTGCTGGCATACCTTCAACTTGCCACTTGCAAGTTACCTGGTGGATAAGCTTGATAAAGGTATATTCTCAATATTATCCCCCCTCCGCGATCTCATGGAGCTCAATGTCATTAAACTTCTAGGAAATGGTCAACTGCCAAGTCATTATCTAATGGGACGCAGCTCTCTAACGAGGAGACTAGAGGCAAATTTGCTACACAATGCTGTTCACGCTATTGAAATGCATTTCAGCATGTCTTTGTAACTGTTCTCTTAAAGGACCATGATCGTATCGGCCTTTTCCAACTTTCCCTTTGTCAATGCCATAAGAGTTGGAGGTGCCAGCCCTCCACTCGAGGATTCTAAAGGAATAGTTCGGAGTCAGAATGAAGGGGGACGTACAGGACTCACGGCTAAACTTGTTCAGTAGTGCTGGCTTACTACAGTCTGTGGGTCTAATATTATCTACGCTATAAATCGACGAAGGCCTCAGTGCCTCACAGATGTCGCCTCGTCAACTCCGCGTTACTACTTTGTTCATACTGCTGGTGTATCCTGTGAGTGCTGCTTTGATAATTCCCTGATGACGATGCTTTGTCCTAATACACTCCGCTTGCCGGAGTCAATTTTCGACAGACATCGCAGACCTCTATCGATAACAAGTCACTGTTACTCCTACATCCGCGTTTCAAGGTTGTCTCCTAGAGACTGTCAATGCTGCATCGATGATTGATGCAAAACTACTTCGTCCTGAGAAGGTTGATGAAAGTAAAACGCTGGTTTGAGGTGCTGCGTTCTCGCGTGTATGCCTATGGAATTCACATGGCAAGTCACAGACGAAGACAAATATCGCTTTGCCAGATGCATCGTATGCAATTACTACCGCCAATGGAGATTTGCGTGCAAACGGTCATGATATTCACATTTCACTTCGTGCGATCGGAATCCTATAGTGATTCAAATTCCTACCATTACTATCACCACAACAATCGCCCTATTACTGACTACAGCTATGCCAGTTTTATATGTTAGAGCCGACGCTGCGCCTTTCGCAAGGTGAGGAGCGGCGGTCATCATTCAGATCGACAAACGTTGTACTGTATTCATATCAACATTTAATTTCGTTTTTGTAGTCTGCTGTGCTCGTTCCCCTTGCAAGAAATCGAACACACGAGACTAGACAGACGCGAATCTTCGGAGATATCCTGGAACACGAGAGTTTGCGTCTGTCTACTCCGCAGACTACACAGGATCTCTGAATTCTCGAACAATATTTGTGGGACCCTGCGCACTCTTAATTCCTGCACTACGTTGAATTGGTTGGCTAAGCCTGCGACGCAGAGCTCCGCGTTCCGTGACGTACGTCAAGCACAACATATTTTGCTTTCAACAGTTCTGCATTACTTCGTTTGCTTGACGTATGATGCTGTCAGGAATTGCGTGAAAGTGGTATATCAACCATCTTATATAGCTCAATTTGACATCCTTCGGAGCCCGACATCTTGGTTATACTTTTTATGTTGTGCAACGTGTATGCATGAGGCATGTATGGCTTTGATTCGGAACTAATTGGAGTAACGCAAGATGACGTTCCCGGGATCCGTTCCAGGCACCTCTAGAGGATCTTCAGGAGGTTCTGACCATATTCAACGACAACGACGGCTTTTAGGATTGAATGTCATTTCTTGTTTGAGATCATAGAAGAGTCCAAAGATTGCAACGACAACATGCTACATTCTTAGACTGAACGAGTAGCAAACCAGGAGAACGTCGGACACAACAAAATGGCCAGATAAAATGACGAAATCACAAGGCGGGATGTGACGTCACGCGTTAGCGGATGATGCCGCACCTTGGCTTGCCCGCCTACATAAACCCCTTGACTGCGGTACTCGGCTCTATTGCTTTTCTCCTGTACACGTCCACCATGGCGTACTCCTGGAAAGATGGTATCTTCCTCAAGGTATACGTCCTCTGTACCGCCCTGTAGAGTATACTGGACGCTAAACGAAATGCTCTGTATCTCTTAGGTTGTCAATGTTATTGTATACTTCCTATTCTTAGGGTCCAACATCTATTCTGTTGCGGGACCACAAGATATCTATGTGTCCGGAAAGCAGACCTACCTCACTCCCGCCCCATGGGCATTCGGTATCTGGTGAGTACTTGTTACAGTGTTCAGATCTGTATTGACGTGCTCGTGCTTGTAGGTCTATCATCCATCTATTGCTTTTGGGAACGATCATCTACCAATTCACCGAGAGCGGAAAGCAAATAATAATTGATGGAATTTCATGGCGGTTCCCGTTGTTGGGACTTCTTAACTCCATTTACGTCAACTTTTGGGTGAGGCATCACTACGTCGTTGGTACGTAGCTCATTGCTTCAGTCACCAACGTCAACCTTATACGTCTCCTATCACAGCCTTCTTCTTTGCACTCTGTGTGTCTTCCGCGGTCACTGTATGTTCGCGTCTGTTACTATGTCTTTACAGAGACTTGATCAAGGTTCCTGTAGCATATCTATTATGTCGTGAAGAAATTCCACGAACCTCAAAACCTCGCTGACGAGCTCTTCGTTCACCTGCCATTCTCACTTTACCACGGCTGGACAACAGTTCTCGTCGTCTTGACTGCATTTGAGGCATTCGGTAACGACGCAACAACTGAACGTGCCGGAGTATGGACAAAAATATTTGTATTCCTTGCCTTGTGAGTACATATCTCCTTCCGATTATCTGAGCATCCACGTTGACCTTGCCCTCGTCGCAGACTCTTCCTCGAAGCCACCGCTGCCACCTACGCATTCGCTTCGGCTGAGGGTGATCTTCCCGCCAGCCTCGCCATTGCTTGGTCTCTATGGGCTATCTTTGCCCATCAAACCAGCAGCGGTTTCGTTCACTGGACTGCACTCGCGTTCTCCATCTTGGCGTTGGTGTGGGTTGTCAAGGCGCTCGTTGGTGTAGTACAGAAGGTCAGGAGGAGTCGTGGTGGTGTCTCCTTGGATGAGGAGAGAGCTCCGCTTGTTGGATCCTAATCGCTCAGGGTACACACGGAGATGATGTCCACAAATTGAAATGACGGTTATGACGTCGGATGAACGGCGTAGGGGATGGAGGTGAATGAGGCGACGACCTTGTACCACGAACAATGTCTGCTAAGTATAGTTACCTGGTTTGTTTTCCATCAGTTCCTTTTTCCTTTTATCTTTGCATCTCAATGTATTTTACGATCTCCACTGTGTATAGTTATGATACATCGTCTTGTTGCGAACAATTGTGATGCAATACCTATATTCTGTCAGACACACCAATAACCGGCAGCGCTGTATACTATGTTGATAGACCTTGATAAGTTATATGATACAAGTAACCGCTCTCTGGAATGACACGTTGGTAGGCCGCCTTAGAAAGCGGAGCCTTTCGAGGTCGGCTCTCGCCTCAGACGATTCTTGCTCCACGAACGCTCGAAAGCTCCGATGTCTTCTTGCGGTACTGTCTATATTTTGAAGTTGTCGTAGTTTCGTCGACTGTGAGGTGCGTCCTCGCAGGGCCCTCTCTGGCACATCCCAGATCCGAACAAATGTTACAGGAACAGGCCGTCGTGCAGGTCTCTCCCTCCACATCAGCACGCTAGCTAATAAGGAAAGCTTACCCTTCCGGAGCGAAAGTACGAGTCTGATCATAAACAGCTTGGAGAAATGCCATCAACCTTTGAAGATTGGAAACTGTACGCTGGATGTTTTCAAAAGGTGACCTATCGCTGTCGTAAGTAGCTGAAAGCAAGTCAAAGAATAGAGGGAAATAAGCGAGCGAGCGGGAATCCAGAACAAGATAAACACAGATGCAGGGGACGATGAGATAGATCAAGTCACAGGGGGGATGTGACCACGGAGTGTTATCGTAAACTAGTCTCTACCAGGCAGTGTAGACAGAGACGCAACCTCCGTACCTCAGGATATCTCTACCGTCAACGAGAGCTAGCGGCAGAGGAGTGCACTTACCTGGGGCCAGGACTGGGAACAATTCCCATTGGCGGCACCGACAATCAGCGTTTGCTGAAGTTTATACGACGGAAGGAGCGAAATTCCGACCGTTGGCAATTGAGACTATGAGCATTGCTTCAGAGTGCCTAAACTATAGCTTAGTTAGCACTCGAAGCCTGGAGCCCGCATTCAGCCGCGAATGGATGAGAAAAGCAGAAGAGTTCGATGTTCACAGGTTGAAAACTTTCTGAGTCCCGTGTAGAGGTCTTCGGAATCACTCCCTATCTCCGCACTCGCTTCGACTTCTTTACGCGAGTCTCTCAGAATAGAGAGCTTGGTGGGGTGCGACTGGATGGAGTTTATTAGGACCGCCGAAGCTCGGCGGCGGAGAGACTGCTGTGAAGCCTGTGAGGGACTCCCTCACAAGTAGCCCATAGAAAGTCGACGATGTTAAGGCCTCAGTCCAGAAATACCTAGTCTACGATGTTCGACAACTTTTTGGTTCCCGTGACGCTAGGAAGCAGGGTCAGTCATTAATCATGGACTTACATGAGACCTAACTGTCACTCCCTTGTCATTCTCGATGCTGAGATTATCATGTTCCAAGGAATAAGCCGGCTGAACAAGCATGGTGCTGAAGATGGCTCCTCCCAAAGGGGCCCATTCGATCTCCGTTAGCGTTCAAGCCTCGAGGCTGCGCAGATTGACAGCAAGAATGGTGTTTGAGGCCCGATGTTCCTCCAAGCGAGCTTCCACGATGTAATTCATTAGCTCATGTATATGGGGTATGAACGGAATTGAGCTTACTCTGCAACGAGTCGCGAGTGAGGCTGCATCAACGGGTGAAGGAGTGGCCATACAGTGGCGTATAAACTAGTTAATACCGTGTGGCTGAGTAATGTAACGAAAATCTGTCCCAACTGTCGAAAGCGGCATGGCGAGTCTTATGTACTTGAAGGAAAGCAGATTGCCACCACTGTCAGATATCCTGACTGGCTAATGTGATAAAGACACATTGTATGAAGGCACTGACGGGAAATAGTGCGAGGACTGCCAGAGAGATTGTATCCAGGATGCACGACCCCTTCTTGCGGCACGGCCACAGCACCTGTCAGTAAAGTTTGCAGATGCCGTATACTATAAAGGGTATCAATGACCCAAAGCGCGGTAGGAAGAAAGCCGCAAGCGTTACTGGAAATGAAAAGGCACATGGCGAGAACGTCCAATTCTCAAGCATGGGACGCTTTAACAGCGCCAAAAGTGTGGAGAAAAGGCATTCAGACACAGCACAACTCGTATTGCAGTCGCACACGGCGGTGAATGGTAAGCGGTTCAGCAGTCACTGACTACGATGGGTGAAGAGTAACAGGATCACGGCTCGTGGTAGGAGAGGTAATCCACCCAATTCATAGTGTGACACTCGGAATGGAACAACCTGGTCCCCATTCTGGTCATTGGGTGCCTCTTCACCGTGCCGGAAGCAGAGTCATAACTGCTGAAACGCTTCATTCCATCCTCCGCCACGAACGCCAGGGATGTAACAGTAGAGATAGTGGCCGGGAATGAAACAAACGCATAGATAGTTGGAAGAAATTAATCTTTCCACCATGATCGACATCTTTCATGCAGCGGGGAAAATAGTCAACAAGAAGGCTTCGAGGGTGGCTTGGAACCTGGGAAGGGAAGTTCATGAATATCCGATAGACTGGGTGAACTATAACGAGGTATGCAAACGCATATGACAGAGCGTAGACAGGAAAGTCGTTGACCTCCAGGCTTTCACGCTGCAAACCTTGGGTTGAAATCGATACCGGTATCGTCAAGATCCGAGGACACCTGACTAACCCATTCAACGAGATGCCGCTATACGTCTCGCATGTAGTAACGCTCTGTAAAATTTCCGCCATTCGTCTTCGACGTCATGGCGCTGATCATAAAAAACCACAATAGACTTGAGAGTCTGACTATGTACCTCCACCCGGCGCTGTAACGTGAACCATATACCTCGAAGCATGTTTCGATGTAAGAGTATCCTGAATTTTCGGATGCGAACGCCGAACAACTAGCCGACAGTCGTGCCGGAAGGTCTTAGGTTCCAGCTCTCTGTCATTGCAATGGCCAATAACCTGGCTTGACAAATCTCGATAGCACTAGGCACCTGGCATTGACACCATGGCAAATGCTCAAGATAAACGGTCTGGCTGATCGTACAACAGGCAATTGAGTAGACAAGCTTGAACCTTCGTGTCCCGATATGGTTTCTAGATCAACCATGGATCTCACCGATCGAGTAGAAGAGTGCAGCCTTTGACTTACGACTGGAAGGGGTGCTTGCGAAGTTGGATTTTGTTGGCTGGAGCTAGAAACCTTCGTGTCAAAGTTAGCAGGCTGGTGCTTCAGATCATAGCGCGTCTGTCAACCAGCGCTTGATCTGAAAAGAGGCACCAAAAGCGCCCAGGCGCTCGATTACTAGATGTCGGCTTCGGAGGAGACTTGGAAAGGGCTCTCCAAACCGTGTTTACCACCTTGATATCTCTTTCATGGATTTTCCGCCACGAAAATCAGATATGTGCAGCCAAGTGCGCGTGGACGGCAGTGTGCAATCTCGGGTTTTTCGATATCTGACTAGCCGCTGGCCTTTTTCTCATGGCACAGCTGATTGCATGTGCATATATAAGAACTCAGGACGAGCCAGAGTTCAGGCCGGGTTTCATTGACTTGGCCTCCCCTGTACATCATGTCTGCTCAATCAACTCCATCTGAGTTGCGCAAACGCTCCCCCTCATCTTCACCCAGTGGCCGGTCTCAAAAGGATCGATCATTAGATTCGACGAGACAACTCAAACCAAGTTATCGGCCGAATAATGCACTCAGGATGACTGCCATCCGAGTGGTGGTCGCAGGTTTACTGGGTTTCTTCGGTTTGCGAGCCGCTCAGAAATGGGGCAGGAGCGAGGTGCCAGATGCTTACGCTCTATGTTCCCCCGAGGGAAAGATATTTACTGTAGACGAAGCTAATCCCGAAGTTGAGTGTATGGTCATTCACGGGTCTCACTTCTCAGACGTTGGGTCGCTCGGTATGCCGTCTTTGATCTAAAACAGCCTGACGTCTCACTGATGTCATTACGTAGCGGATATCCGTCTCCGTTGGACTGCTATCCCGGTGCGCTTTATCCAATCCGGGGCTGTTGTGGTACCAGGAATAAGTGGTGTGTGGTGTTCTTATGATTGTGGAGTGGTGGACCTACAGGACGTTCTTGCCAGATTCTCATGTGCACATCCTCGAGTATGGCGCCACGATACAATTGCCATTAGAGGGTCCCAAAAGCGTTAAGGGTCGGTTGATATTTTGTTAGCTTGTCCTGATTCTTGCTTAGCATATCCCAGAAACCGTGCAAGTGGTTAGGAACTACATTCTCTCTGACCCTGACGTTCGTCACAATAAGTCCACCTTTGTTGAGGGTTGGGGTTGGGACCACACACAATGGCTACTAGAGCAATGGCCTACTTCGGTTCGTATCTCGGGACATCATGCTTGTGACGCCCCTCTTATCTCATTGCCACTTTTCAGGAAGACCTAGAAAATGATCCTGTTGTTAGAGGACGACCTATCGTTCTCCAAAGTAAAGATGGACATGCCATATGGGTGAGCAAGAAGATCCTGGATGACATCGAGTTCATTCCCGAAGAAATCGAAGGGGGAACGATCTTCCGGGATTCGAACGGTAACCCAACAGGTATGCTCGCTTGTTGCCAAACTAGGTTGCCCCTAATAATCTCCGGTCATCGAAAGGGGTATTCATGGACAGTGCACAGTCGTTGGTAAATGCCCCTGAGCCTACTCACGACCAGATGGAAAAACGCTTCGGACTCGCCGTTCGCGATGCACATAAAGTCGGTTTAACCGCCCTTCACGACGCTGGTTTCAATCCTCGTTCTCTGGCTTTCTTCAAGAAGCAGGCCGAGGAAGACAAGTTGCCGGTACGTCATGAGGTCTATCTAGCGCCACTCTTCATCGAATTTCTATCGGGGTCTATCAGATACGAGTTTATGGTATGACCTATTTCAACGAGTCGGCTGAGTATTGGGGCAACAGCGTCGAGAAGGTTATTGGGGCTGGAAATAACCGACTTAGCGCACGAAGTGTGAAAATCTTTGCGGACGGTATGACCTTCATCGGATACTACAGTGCGGATGTCTAACGCAATTGGAATAAGGTGCCTTGAGGTCCGGGGGTGCTGCTGTACGTCTCCGCCGTTGAACCTCAACTTCTCGTTCTTTTCCTCAAAGACACGTGTTATAGCTTTATGAACCTTACTCGGACAATCCTGAGACTCGTGGATTCCTTCGCATTGATCCGGAGTTGCTCAACAAGGTTATTCCCCGATTCCTTCGTGATGGGTGGCAAGTTGTAAGGACTATCCTTGTGCTCTGGTTCCAGATTCTTGAACTCAACCCAATGTCATTAGAACGTGCACGCAATCGGTGATCGGGCAAACGGCGTAGTGTTGGATGCCTTCGAGGCGGCGTTGAAGGATGCCAATGTCAGCGCTTTGCGCCCAAGACTGGAACATGCTCAAATTCTTGCCAAGAAGGACATGGCACGGTTTGGAGACCTAGGCAGTGAGTTGACAGTGTTCAGTGCGCAATATTTTAGGTGTTAAGGCTTGATATCTGGTGTTTAAGTCATTGCCAGTATCCAACCTACTCATGCGTAAGTTTTCTGGAAAATAGTCTCGATGCATCAGCTGACCATAAGTGCAGTATCAGCGACATGTGGTTCGGGGAGGATCGCCTTGTAAGTTTCACTTCAGCGTACGTTCGGACCGAGTGAGCATCAACTTTCTCCGCTCTCTAGGGCCCTGAACGCGTAAAAGGATTGTATGCATTCCGCAGTATTATCGACCACGGCGGACGTATTGCGTTGGGTTCAGACTTCCCAGTGGAAGACATGAACCCTCTTGCTGGCTTCTATGCCGCAATTACCAGACTGTCTCCGGACGGGAAGTCCCCTCATGGACCCGGTGGATGGTGAGCGGTCTGCTATCTTGGGTCCACTTGCATCGTGACTAAGGTATGGCATTTAGGTTTCCCGAACAGCGAATGACTCGCCAGGAGGCACTGAAGGGCAAGTTGCCAGTATATATGGTTTCAGAAGTTGAGAAGCTGAGATGTTCATTTGCAGGCATGACTCTCGATCCGGCCTACGCCTCCTTCTCCGACGACCAACTTGGTACCATTACGCCTGGGAAACGTGCGGACTATGTCGTTCTATCGAAAGATATCATGACAATTCCTGCGGGCAAGCTTTTGGAGACAAAAGTGTTGGCCACGGTGATAGATGGGCGCCCGGTCTATGGCAAGATCTAATGGAATTTACGAAGTAAATAGAGTTGCGCCTCGAGTTGCTTCGGCAAATTACTGGCACCCTCCACGATGTGGTTTGGTTATTGATGTTTTGCATGGCTGATGCTGGTCTTCTTGAAACTCGCATGAATGTAAATCTTGCTTGTTCAATGTTATCTGTAGTATACACTATTATATTCTATCATCTTATCTTCATCTCTACCCTCCGAGTTCTTGTTGTCCCGAGACCCACTTTTTGATCCATAGAATGAAATCGACGCGCGTTTAGGTGGCGCGGTGGTGTGACCTAATGTGGTGTGCGCGCGCGACGCGTCGCTTCTTCACACTTCCCACCATCTCAGTCTTCGTTAATTCGTTGCATCCTGGTATTCTTGACTCTAGGCATCATAAGTATGCCAAGCTTTGCAAACCCGGTTCTAGGTAGTGCGCAGAAAAGGAAGCATGTTGAAGATAGTCGTTTCACGCAACGGAAACGTCATGCAGGACCCGCACAACTCACTACCACCAACAACGCTAGTGGCAGCCGTAATGGTGACAAATATTGGACCGTGCAATGGTAGGCATTAACGCCTTTCAAAGTTCTGCCCTTCACTATGTACTATAGGCGTAATCATCAACAGAAGAAACACAAAACATGGGATGGTGACGGTGTTCTACTTCTGAGTCAATCTGGCCAATGTGTAGTGTTCGACATGGAGAGTAGAAGGTGGGACTGCGTAATCTTTTGACGCCATTTGCTGACTCTGCGAACAGAATTGCTAGTGGGAAGCCATCTGGTATCTTGCCTTCAGAGATATCTTTGGAGTCTACGTTCAATGTCGGCGGCAAAGACGTTTACGTTGACTGCGAGGTAAAGCGAGAAGACTACCTATCAGGGCGCTGTTTTGATAGTTCATTTGCAACGGCTCCGGAGCCGGCAAACATTCGTAAATCTACAACATTATTGAAGCCATATGTGCCACTAAGGCCAAGGACCATAAATGGCTTCAAGGCACCCTCTTTCCTCAAACCTAATTCGCCAGCGCCTTCAAATTCTAATCCAACAGCTGCGCGCTTGGCTACGCCGGAACCGGTGAGCCACGTAGTTCGTTCGAACAAATCCTATTGGAGCGCGAACTGGTGAGTAAATGCTGGATATATGCCCTAGGCCTCACCTTACACTACTGTAGGAGGAAATTTCAGACCAAAAAGCACAAGACTTGGGACGGTGATGCTTTCATCGTGCACAACGGAGCTAAACTGACCCTCATCTCCGACAAGGGTATCGTGTAAGTTGTTGTAAAACTTCTTCAAGATGATTCTTATTTAGATTATGCCGTAGGTTCGGGTCAACGAAATGGGATGGAACCCCGCTGCTCAGCGGATTCTCAGGGCGTGTTGGACAAAGGCAATTCGAGCTTGACTGTCAGATATCTCAGGCAGACATGCCAGCAGTGACGGACAGTTCAATGGAGGAAGAACCCGATATCGACCTTGAAGCCGAAGGATCATCTGCCCCCCAGATCTTCGCGCCAAGCAGTAGACCGTCCACACCGAATGTTGTCAAGAATGAAACGCCCTCCAAACCTTCATCTGTTTCGGCCAAATCATTCTACGCTCATGTGAAGCCCAAGCCCAAGCTAAAAGGACCACTGTAAGTTTGTTGGTGCTGCATATTTTCACTGTGTTAACATCGGTCGCTTGCTATTGCAGACATGACCCAAATGCCGAGGGAGCCATTGTGATGAACGCCCCTACGGCGGACCACATTTCCAAATATAATAAGAAGTAAGTACTGCAATCAACCATGTTGGACGCCACTAATCGCAAGCAGAAACGCGCCAATTGTCCCTGTTGTTATCGACCCTATTCTTGGTCGAAAGCTCCGGCCGCATCAGGTGGAAGGTTGGTCGGCGTCACGCTGGATGTTCTTTGGCTCACTGTCACTTTCTGCAGGCGTGAAGTTCATGTACGAGTGTGTTATGGGTCTGGCTCATTCTGGGAATGGCTGTATTTTGGCGGACGAGATGTATGGATGGCTTCACCCCACTTCTGCAGTTCAGAACCAACTAATTTGCTTCTCTGCGTCACAGGGGTATGGGAAAGACACTCCAGGCAAGTCTGACCTTTGAAGCAGGCCGTGAATCATGGCTCATTGTTTAATAGACCGTCACGTTAGTATGGACCTTGTTAAGTGCGTTTATTTCCCTATGCCGTTCGTGTTTTTTTGGCTAAGGAATAAAGAGCAAAACCCGTATGCTGGCATAGGGCCTGTTGTGGGCAAAGTACTTATCGTTTGCCCTGTCTCTCTGGTCAACGTGAGTTACCGACCCGCATTCGGGCCGCACTAGTTAAACTGTTGCTTCTAAAGAATTGGAAAAATGAGTTTTACAAATGGTATGAGAAATTTTTTTCCTTCCCGTGCTCAATGCTTATATCCCTTGAAGGCTAGGACGCGACCGAATAGGCGTATTTGTCGGCGACAAAGACAAAGCTGCAATCAAGCAGTTCATCAATTCGTTCGCAAACCTCCTTGGACTTATGGTATCGAAGCTGACTGACTACTTAGGCGCATTCACAACGTGTTGATTATCGGGTATGAGCGGCTGAGGACTATAATGTGCGTATGTTGTGCTGCATTGTCAAGTGGACGTGCTCATGGCCATTCATCTTTGGTAGTGATGACCTCGTGTATTGCGTGTACGTTTTCCCTTCCTACTAATTCTGGTAAATGATGCTTATCGCTGTACTAGGCCTCCCATTGCCCTGATAATCTGCGATGAGGGTGCGAGCTCCGGGCATGTAAACCTTCGTCTCAGCTGACATCTTCATTAACACAGGGCACCGTTTGAAGTCCGCAAGCAATAAGACGTCAACCATGTTTGACGCGCTTCGGACGCCTAGGCGTGTCATCCTGTCAGGGACACCCATTCAGAACGACCTGAGTGAATTCCATGCCATGGTACGTGATCGCGCATATGGTTTTTATTATGCCTCTGACGCCCACTTCAGGCAGACTTCTGTAACCCGGGGTTGCTCGGTATGTTCTTTGTCAGGTTTATCGATCGCAACTGACTCCTTTAGGACAGGCGACTATCAATCTTTCCGAAAACTTTATGAAGGACCCATCATGAAGAGTCGAGCACCGGACTGTTCTTCAAAAGATAAGGAACTAGGAGACGGTCGCTTAGCGGACGTACGGTTGTTCTATCAAGACTAGTTTTCATGTGTTCAACTCTTCCATGCTTTCTAGCTCATGGGTAAGGCGCGGATGTTTGTCCTAAGAAGAGATGCTACCATTCTGAAAAGTTATTTGCCGCCCAAATGTACGTTTTTTTGCATTCGATATTATTACAGCGTTCTGACAATGGCGGCTACAGATGAATACGTCGTCTTTATAGCTCCGACGAAATTGCAGCGTGACATGTTCCAGAGGATTCTGACTCGGGATAACATTGACAACATCTCCGCCACCCATACCGCGGAGTCCCTTGCTCTCATCAATTTACTCACCAAAATTAGCAGTAGCCCTATTCTACTGAAGGCAACGGTCGATCAAGCTCGCAGTAAAGGCGGTACTGGTGATGTGATCAAGAAAAATGCTATCGAAGACGCTCTAAAGTTACTACCTGAGAAAGCTCAGGTTGAAGATGTCTCACTGAGCGGTAAGCGACCTGAAAATTCCTTCATTTGGGGTGCTAACATCCAGAGCAGGGAAGCTGGCTGCACTTGCGAATCTTCTTCGAGCTATCTACAAGGTACCAATGACGCATGGCAAACATGAGGATGTTATTGACACTTCACCAATCTGATAGAGCACGGAAGAAAAGTGCATCGTGGTCTCGCACTATACATCAACGTTGAATGTCATTGAAGCATTCTGCAAGAAGAAGTCATATACGTACCTGCGGCTTGATGGGTACGTAAGACAACATTCTAGGTGCTGGTTGTCTAACGTGTTATCCAGTCAAACGCCTGCTGCTAAGCGTCAGGAATACGTCAATGATTTCAACAGGTCAACACAATCTCAGCGATGTGCGTGTTCAAGCAGTCTATTCGTTGGATGTCGAATTCTCAAAGCGCTTGCGTAGTCATATTCCTTCTCAGTTCCAAAGCAGGGGGCGTTGGGCTTAACCTCATTGGTGCATCCAGGTTGTGCTTGATTGACTCCGATTGGAACCCAAGGTGAGCCTTTCTGGTTCCGAGACGCTTTCTTAACAGATTTCCTTACACTATTAAGTCATGATTTACAATCAATGGCCCGCATCCACCGGTACGTCTCCAAGGAGATCCACGATTGAGTCTGCTGACACACTATTCTCAGCGATGGACAAAAGCGACCGGTTTTTATCTATCGTTTCCTCACCGCTGGCACAATCGATGGTGAGTCGGTCTCGATATACTGGGAAGAGGTGCAACTAGACGATGCGTAGAAAAAATCTTTCAGCGGCAGGTCACAAAGTTAGGCTTGAGCAATTGTGAGTTCTCGTACAGATACTCGCTGGTTTGCCTCATCGTGCTAATACATCTTGCTTACAGCACTCATGGGAGATGGCAAGTCCGGTTCGAAATCGGATTCTTTTTCTCGTAAAGATGTCAGTTGAAGCTTTGACTGTGGCGGACATTTTCTGATTCTGTCACAGCTACGGGATATTTTTACGGTTCACCCGCATACCGCATGCCATACCCACGATTTACTGGAGTGTCCATGCAGTGGGGACACGACGACCAACGTCTCTCCTGATATTCTAGAAAGTGAGGACGACAATGAATGCGACGAAGAAATGGGCTTCATGACAGCTTCCCAAGTGAAACCCCGGCAAATCGAGAAGATGGACAAGGCGGTAAATTTGGATTCCTTTGTTCTTTGTTCGGTTTTTCGCTCACGGCTTATCAGTATCTCAAACAAAAGAAGGCACAGCTGGCATCCCTGGGAGAATGGACGCATATCAATTGTCTGAAGCCTGGCGCACGGGACCACATTCATGATTCTATGCTCCAGAAACTTCTGTATGCCTCGGATGCTGGGAAATCACGGCAGTCGGTTGCCGGTAACCAAAGTCGTCCACAGTCCATTCTGGCTGCCACAGACCTCGAAACAATGCTGGAGGACATGGGACCTGCCCTTGCGATGACCGATGTTCCAGGAGGAACGATATCTTTCTTATTCGAACGTGGAGTAAAGACGATCGTGGAAGAGAGCGACTTGGAGATATCTCTCGAGGATGATTGAGAGAATCGAGAGTGATAGACGCATTGACTTCATGGACTTCCAGATAGAATCATCTTGCTGTATCGTAGTATTACCCTCCTGAAGCTGTTATTTTTATGTGTACGTAATGCGAATCAAGACTACAATGTACATACTGTACTGTACATGAATGCAGCTTCTGCATCCTCCTCAACCTTCTTACCTTCCCGATATGGCCAGTCACTGGCTACACAGCTGAGGAGTTGAACATTATACGGTGCATCCCATCTCCTCATCGACTCTACACGTACGCTGCGACGACTGGTGAAAGCATTCAGGATTTATGTGACCGTGCCGGATGTTATATAGGTGTGTACCTGTGGCATGGGATCTTTCCGCGATTCCTAATCTACTTCAAATCGCTCGTCATGTGAAGCTGAAGGAAGAAGTCTTGCCATGTAATTCTCTCAGCAGAACCACGGAACTTTTACGAGACTAAGCATTCCGGTTTCCGGTTCTCTGGATATTACCTCGCTTTTGCTTGTTACGATGCCCAGCTTTCGCATGATAACGAATCAATGTTACTTGCTACACAGGCTCCTTGGAAGGGCGTTTCGTGATGGCGGACTTCTGAGCGGTGTCGTAAATCCTTTGAGTGGTAACCAGCAAGTACCCCCGAGTCAGCTGGCATTAGCGAGACATACTCGACGTTCTGAAGCTGGAACAATATTCTGACGAAGAACCCGTCGGCTTGCGTTCAGCTGGAACAAGTATCCTTGTACTAAAAGTGGATGCTCATACAGGCAAGGACCTACTGTAAACTGCTGTGCTGTAACTCAAGTGGATGCACGAACACTTTCGCGCGTCTCATGCAAGTGTTCTATCAAAAGTGTTTCAAGGAGCCGCCAAACTCTGGTTGTTTCTTACACAGTGCGACCGCGGATCTTACATACACTCGAACTCTCAGGTTGCGTGTGACATGTCCTAGGAGATCCACCGTTGTGGTTGCATACCCATTCAATTGCGCCTATTTATAGGATGAATAGAGGACAATCTCTCTCCTATGCCAGAGGAATATGACAAAAACTTTCAACCGGTTTGAAATGAATGGTTCCGTGAAATAGGCATATGCAATGAGGGGAATATATGAAGGGGTCACCCGCAGTGCTACAGGATAACGATCTATGCCCTCCATGGACTCTTCGTTCGCCGAGCTGGATAGCCTTGTCTCTTTGATCAACTCCTCCGTCCAACAGATTAAAGAGGAATACACGAAACTCGGTCAACGCTTTCCAAGTCTAGATGATGTTGAAGAACATCCATTGGATACCGCGCACTTTCCAGCGGGGCTGCAGACGGCTGTTCGTTGCATCCAAGGGTCATGCGCTCAATTATCGACCCTCGTCACTTCCCCTCCGCAAGCCTTGACCCTCGTAAGTCATACTGTGGCTGTCATACCATGCAGTTGAGCTGATCGTGATGTTACTAGCATGGTATGAGCGTAAGTGGGTCAATCATTACCGGCTCTCAGCATGTACTCAATGGACCCACAGCACTACAATTCAGCCGCTCTTGGCGTCGTAACCAATGCCAAGATTGCGGATCACTTAAAGGGTCACCCAGACGGCGTGCATGTCTCCAAACTGGCAGAAGCAAGCAAGATCGACCAAGGAAAACTTGCTCGAGTTCTTCGTTTCCTTGCAACGAGGCATTGCTTCCGCGAAGGTAATATTCTCAGCTCACTATACCTTCGAATTTGGTCTACAATTTCATCGTCTAGTTGCACCCGACGTTTTTGCCAACAACCGTCTCAGCGCCATGTTGCTAGCTGATTCCCCTATGTGGGCTCTTATGGGTGTCTGGTGCGTATATGGAATGGAGTTCGAAATGTGCCGACTCAGTCAACACATTTAGCTCGGATGAGAACCTTCGTGCAGCGTCCGCATTTTACGAAACCTTGGCAGACCCTGTGACCGGTCCATCTCCGGACAGTAAACATGCACCTTGGAGTCGTGCCATGGGCTATGACGGTAACTTGTGGGACTTCTATCAACAGGTGGACCCTGCTCGTGGAAAACGGTTTGGTGTTTCTATGGTCGGATTCAGTTCCTTATCCAAGTTTGATTCGATGCTGCACGGTACGTTCCGTGCCCTCAATGATCACTTTAGATAACTTACGATGAAGTTAGGGTTCCCATGGAAGGATCTTCCTCAAGGAACGGCTGTCTGCGACGTAGGGGGCGGTATTGGCCATATCGCTATGCACTTCGCCAAAGCCTGTCCTCAGATTCGCGTGATCCTCCAAGATTTGCCGCCAACGGTTGAGCAGGCCAAACAGTTCTGGAAGGATACAGCCACTGATATTGTAGACCAGGGACGGGTTTCTTTCGTCCCTATTGATTTCATTAAGCAGTCTCCTGTTCCTGAACAGGATATCTACTATGTGAGTAACGCCCATTCCCGTTTGTCGCAGGATGTTATGACTCACATCGGTGTCGTTAGCTAAAACACATCATGTATGTCACCATGTTTGAATTGACCTCTCACGTAGATGCATCTCACACCCTTGCAGCCACGATTGGGCCGACCCCGACAGTATCACCATCTTGTCAAACGTCAAGAAAGCGATGAAGCCTACTTCAAGACTGATCATTCGTAAGGAAATTTAAAGCACTCTAATGCCATATTAATGTCACTGTTGTTAGAGGAGTTCGTCCTGCAGTCTGCTGCTCCCGAGAAAGGGGAAGAAGCTAGCCTGATTACGCAGGTACGCGATGCTATCTTCTATATCTCTCGAATTATGGCGACGAATTTTGTATCATTAGGCCCCTGTGCCTTTGCTTCCTAACTATGGCGAAGGGAAGATACTGCACTACTATACTGATCTCGCGGTACGTGCTTTTCTGCATGACACTGTGCGCTCATCGGTTACTGATTGCGTTTAGATGCTTGTGAGTGCTCTATTATATACTCTCAGTGCGTTCAAAATGCCTCATGATTCACAGGGTCTCGTTAACGCCAAGGAGCGCACGTTGCAAGAGTTTGTCGCTCTTGGGTATAAGCTTCTGTCACTGAGTGTATGTCACATGTCATAATGCTCTATCCTGCAGGAAACAATGCGACCTTGTGCTAGTCAAGGTTTGGGATTGTGGCGAGTCTAGCGCTCTGGAATTCAAGAAGAATGACTAGTTTTCAATTTTCAGAGGTGAGACTATTCCGAATCTGCACTATTTCCGTGCACGTCCTGACCCAATGTGTTCCAGATGCTACAACAGAGGTTCCGGCTTCCGCACTGCATAGATACGTCAAGTACTCTCACTATCAACTTGCTTGTAAATGCGTGCCAGCGTTCGCATCACCAAATGCTACCACTGATACCCTTGGTCACGAGCAGAGTTAAAATCTGGCAAAGACAGCTTTGAAGGCCCGAGCCTCATGCCGTAAGCGTCGCCATATAAGAAGAGTTTTCTTGCGATCGTCGCTCTCCAGCCAGCACTGAGTGGACCAATATCGGACAGCGGGTCCTTGGGTAAGGCTCTCACATGGTACAGCCAGAACTGTGTTCAGGAGGTTGCGGTAAGCGTAAGTCGACCGATGTCGCTTCCTGTGGGAAACTAGCTCATATAGGCATGTTGACGATTTGTCGCCTGTTATGATCTTCAGTTGGAGACATTGCGTGTCTGGTGGCTCGGCATGCTTTCAAGTTGCTGACTTCAGGCCTTAGGCATTGGCCGCCCGGCTCAACTTGGTGTTACGGCAATGAGTATGTGCGTGCTTCTGAGTAAGTCGTATCCGATTAAAGCCGATTTCTAGGCGGAGCTAATGGAACTATCATTTTCTCTGCATGACGAATACTAAGGACCCTCACAGTGCAGAACAATTATGTTCAGCTTCGGCTTCAGGTATCAGGATACAGATCTGGTCTCCACAGCGGTTCGTATACCCCATAAGCCGATTCTACGCGTAAGTGCAACTTTGGCAGGAACTGCAGCTGATTGGAACTCAGAAACGTTATAAGACCAAGACGATGTGAATGTAATGGTAACACACCTTAACCATGGAAAGCACCTTCTCTGAACTTGATAATCTGGTCTCCCTGATCACTTCATCCGCTGACCAAATCAAGCAAGAATACCGCAACTCGAGGCAGACTATTCCCAGCCTTAACAGTACTGAAGGACATCCATTCGACGCAGAGGCCATCTCACAGGAGCTCCAAGATGCCTTACGTACCGTACATGGTGCCTGCGCCCAGTTAACCGCGATGGTAGCACCACCTCAGTATACATTGACAGTAGTAAGTTCACGGCTCTGGTTCACAGACGAAATGGACTCTCATGATGGCCCGCTCTAGTTATCTCTGGGTGTACGTATAACCAAGAATACCCTATGGTTTACCATAACAATTTCATATAGCATTACTTCGCTGCATGTCTGAATGTTGCTGTAAACGCAAAACTCGCTGATCACTTGCAAAGCCACCCCGACGGTCTGCATGTTTCCAAGTTGGCAACATTAACGAAGATAGACGAAAACAAACTTGCGCGAGTCCTTCGCTTGCTCGCAACCAAACACTGTTTCAGAGAAGGTGTGTGACTTTTGCATCACCAGCGACAAAAACTAGAGAAATGTAGCTAATAGGCTTTTAGTAACGCTTGATGTCTTTGCCAACAACCGCCTCAGTATAGGACTCTTGTCTGACCAGCCTATTGGTACTATGGTTGGTTTTATGTACGTTTAGTATACTCATGCATTGCTGCCCGCTCCGCCGAGTCTGCTAACGCCACCTAGTACACTAGGACCGACGACAACTATCGCGCAGGAACAGCACTATCAGATACGCTGTCTGATGCGACACTTACTTCGTCTCTTTCCCCAAACGAAGCAGCTTGGGCACGTGCAATGAATTATCAAGGCTCTGTGTGGGATTGGTATAAGGAAGTTGACCCAGTCAAAGGGAAGCGATCTGGTCAAGCTATGGTGGGATTTGGTTCTGTCCTGAAGCTTGACAGTATTGTCAACGGTCTGCGTTCCTTTTCTAACGACGGTCTGAGTGTTGACATCGCATTGAATCTTATGCATTTGTCCAGGCTTCACATGGAGGTCACAGCCAGAGGGTATGACTGTGTGTGACATCGGTGGCGGCGTTGGACATGTCAGCATGCATATTATCAAGGCCTGCCCGCAGCTTCGTGTGGTATTACAAGACTTACCTGCTACTATCGAAGAGGCGAAACGATTCTGGAAAGAAAGCGTTCCAACTCTCGTGACAGATGGCAGGGTAGAATTCGTTCCATTGGACTTCTTGAAGGGATCCCCTGTTGCTGGTTGCGACTTCTATTTCGTACGTGATTCGCTCATTATTCTCTGCGGTTGTGATCATACTCATATTCAACTAGATCAAAAATGTTTTGTGCGTGAAAATGGCTCGACTGCTTCTCATCCTGACCTGAGGTTATCACAGACACGACTGGCAAGATTCCGACTGCGTCACAATCATCACGAATATCAGGAAAGCTATGAAACCGACCTCACGACTCATTATTCGTCAGTCTCTTCTTTCTTCTTTTCAGCTCCCTGTATATTTACAGAAGTTCTGTGTGTAGATGAGTTTTTGATTCAACATGTCTCCTCTGACAATAGTGACAATGGCCGCTTCGTTAAAAAGGTACACGATACGAGCGCAATTTCATTTTTCGGGAATGAGTAATCTCAATATGATTATAGGCACCTGAACCGTTGCTACCTAACTATGGCGAGGGACGAATTCTTGAGTACTACTCTGACATTGCGGTTAGTGCTGGATTCCGTCTCGGCCTTTTCTCCCAATTGACGTTGTTCCGGTCTATCCACCTAGATGATGGTGTGTATCGTGTTCCACCACATTCCAGCTGATTAACAGGTTAATCTAGGCATTGGTCAATGCTAAGGAGCGTACTCTGCAGGGATTTTCCACTTTGGGGTGAGGCGACATCAGTTGACCAGCTTGATGCCAGTGTCACTAATCTCTTTCTTCGAATGCACAGACAACAGTGTGGCCTCGAACTTGTGAAAGTTTGGGAATGCGGACAAATGAACTCCTTGGAATTCAAATTGATCGATGCAGTTTGAGTGACCAGAAATATCATTCATGGTATCAAGGTGAGTCGTCTATCACCTCGATTTGGTTACTCCTTACTGAGTATGTTCCTGACTGTGGTGATCCTGAGATAGCATGCCGAGAACGTGAGTCAGGTTTGAGTCCACCGAATGGTTTATACATGTACTATTAGCCAGTGTACGACATTTTTTAAATCTTGCTACGTTCTTCGTGACTCGAGATATGACCAAGGCCAGCAACTGATTCACGCCTGACGGGATAAGTTATATCAGAAACGTATCTCCTGCCTTGGAAGCCCAAATATAACGACAATATATTTAGAAACAACGTAAGATGTGCAAGCAGTAAGAGCAGTAAGAGCATCAAAACCAAGAATACGAGACAACAAGAACGGAGAGCTAAGATAGGCTTTGTAAGATATATAGCATCCGGGGTTCTAATGAATTGAGCATAAAGCAAGGGTAGGAATGACAAGATATCACTGTTTCGGATTCGGGAGAGGAATGACTTTCATGGCAGAGGTTTCGATTGAGGCATTCTTTGCCTCAACAATCCGATCACGGAGAGCTGCAAAGATCTTAACTTTGTCGTTGAGCTGCGTAGTTGCAGTCAGCGTGACGGGGATTGATTGTGGTGGGAAGGCAAAATACCTGGTGGCTCACAACTCGACCCGAAGTGCTAGGCATGACGAAAAACAGCGTCTCAGTGACTAGTAAACCCAATTCATTAGTGCTAATCAGGGTGTCAACAACTGCAATGACTAACCCTCATATGCAGTCCCGTGTACGGCTTTGTACGGTTGGATACCCCAGTCAAAGGTCGACTTCTTGCTTTTCTTGCCTTTCGACTTCCCTTTGCGCTTTGTAGTTTGCCGTTGCTTAGACGGCAACTTGTCCGCCGTTGCTGAATCTCCATCGTCGGTTATAGGTGTTGTAGACCCAGAACTCGCACTTGTTTCGTCATCTTGAGTGGATTCCAAGACAGGGATGAGTTTTGAAGCTTCCTTGATGAAGACTTCCCATATACCCTTCCCTACGAATGTGATGATTCGCGGGCGAAAACGGGCGATCTTCGATAGCAGGACGGGAACACCAAAGATCATGTCTTGTTTCGACAGCTCTGCTTGCTAACACCAAAGTCATGAGGAAGAAGTTTCATAGAATTATGATACAATAAAAATGCTAACCTCAGCTGAAGGTCGATCGACTAGGTTGGTCTAGATGTAATGTTAGATCCCGGTAAGTCAAACGTATAGCATAGATGCTCACAAGGCCAAGGTTGTACGCCTGTGGCAGAGTGAAATCTTCGGCCGCAGGAAGAAGTCGATCAGTGAGTTCTAATCCAAGAGGGACGAATGTTAGTAGCCAACAGTCACAATCTGCCATGCGTACCTGATCGATGGAGACACCGCCAGAAGTGATTGGTAGGATTGGCAAAATGGTGTCCCACTTTTGCCGACATACATCCTGGACTGCAGGTACAACTGTCAATGACCTTATACATGCTAGGTTCATTTGAACGCACTTGACGCCACAGAACATCACTACATAGACGGCTATGGATACTTAAAATTTGCTCGATATTCAAGTCACATACCGTCAAGGTTCTCCTTTAGATAATCTTGTAAGAAGTTTAAATGAGCATATTGCTCAGGAGGTGCGAAGCCGCGCTTGGGCTTCTTTGCTCTAGGGGAAGAGCCTGCCGATTCTTGCTTGAGTTTCCGTTTGCGAGGTGTACTTGGAATGGTCAGGGAAAGTAATGGCTCAATGTCTTGTTTTATTTCCGGGAGACCTGATGTTGTCAGAACAGTCCAATTGTCAGATGTGGAGAGTGATTCTTCCACATCTGGCTCCTGCTTCACTGACGAATGGTTTCTCGCCGAACGTCGTAGCGGGGAGGTGAACTTGAAGGTTTCCAGAGATGCCTTCAACTTTTCCGGAGAATCTAGTGTCTTGATAGACATTTCAATCTACCGGTGTATCTAGTCTGAATGTAGGAGGCCTTTCAGGTAATGTTGTCGCGAAGACGAGAAGGTTCAATGTCTTGTACATTGCTTCAAAGCATAGTTTTCGGCATGATCGGGGGGCTTCCGAAGGGGGGCCGCTCGACCGGCATAAGCGCCAAACAGACCGGCCTGAACTGAATTAACATTCCAGTTCTGAAATTTCTTCAATGTAGTTGTACCGTGCATATGTTCCAAGAGTTCAGTGCAATTAGGGAAGTGGTAGGAAGGAACATCGAGGAGCGAAGGGGGGCGATAGAACATGGAGACGTTTGATCCTTCTAGCTGGGTGGGACCCAAATGAGTGCTTCATCCTGAATGTAGTTGAACTCCGTCTCTTGGGACTTCTTTTGTCCGATGGACGGATGGAGAATCGATGTTTGTGGATGCTGTTGGTATTAAGGCGCATAACAACGTAGAATGTCGTGCTCGTTAGGTTCATATTCTGAAGATGCAACTTGAACCTGTAGGAAATTGTCTAGGAAACCGATGTAGATAATGTCGAGGACCACCTAGGTATCACAACACTACGTCCCCAAGAATAATATGGGCGGCAAATTTACGACCTTGAAATATCTGCGAAAAGGACATGACGTTTCAGAAGAACACCTTGGACGTGAGCATCAGTCTGCAACACATGAACATATTGTGCAAGGGAACGAAGCACTCTAATGAAGTAACGAACTTTCAAACCTCTTAGAAAACGGAGTCGTCTGTGTGTAATACTGAAGCCTCACGAGTGGATAACGGTATCCGGCACTGCGGTCATGCAGTGAATTCAAAAAAACAGTTATGACTCGGGTTACAAACGACAATGCATGTCAAAACGAGCCTAACCTAGACCTGCTGAATAGTCACAACATGCGTCTTTCCCTCAGTCCCGATTTCAGTGGTAGAAGCCTGCGGCCCTCGAGGGTGGGGTATCGCGTCTTGGTTCTCCTGCTCAGCGTGAATTTGCAGCGCAGTCAGATAATCCACATGACTCGGGGTGATCACTTTGCACAGAGCCACTTTTAAGCACAATTTCACAGTAATTCTGGGACAGAAGGACGTACCACGAGAAGAGTCAGTGAATATGAACTCATAGAACAGCCCTCCAAGGATAGTAGCGGGGATGTTTGTAAGGGCGACAAGTGCGGCGTAGCGTCCACTGCCAGCTTTCAGACCCCATAGGGAGATCGCAGCAAGACGTCCACCTATGTCGCGAGCAGAATTGGCAGCGACTACGAATAGCAATTGGTCAGAACTCTGAGACAGGATAGACATAGCGCGAACACACACCTCCAACGGGCGAGTAACTCCAGACCATCAGACCGCTTCAAAATAGTGGTTAGTGCTGGTCTTTTTAATTAGTTGAGTACGGCGTAAACGCACTATGTCAGTGCGACAATGAACGGAGCAGAGACTGGGGTAGCCATAAAGTTTGTTGGGTCAAGACATGCCCAAATCGTAACACCGAGGAGAAAGTCCTATAACCATAAAAGATGACGCCTGTCAATACAGTCATAAGAGAAAAAGAAATAACAATTGATTGACGCACACAGACGAATTCGTTCAGGAAAGCCTGTCCTAGATTAGTTTCCGGAAGCACGTAGAAGGCGAATATGCCTGCTGGCCCATTGGGCGTAAAGTTGACGGTCTCTAGTTCTCCTGCTGCCTCCAATGTCGCTTCAGCCAGCTACATTCGTGGTTATTACGGATATTTAATGAGATGCAAAAAAAGGACAGGCAACGTACAGAAATTAGTTGTTGGTACTGAGCGTAGATGAGAAGACATGCGATGTATCCTCCAAGTATCTGTGCAACAACATATCTGTAGTAACTAAGGTTAATTTTGGATGATAGAAAGAACGTGTCCTTAACGAACCTGACAGCCTTCAAGGAAGGGAACTTCTTAAACAATACGAATGAAATTGTGACGGCTGGGTTGAAGTGACCTCCAGACGTCGAAGAGCAGATCTAGAAATACTAATGATGATGACAAATCTATAGTTAACCTGGCAGGACTTACGATGAGGGCCAGAACGATCCCGATAGCATATGCTGCACCAATCTGGAAAACCGCTTTCCTTGAATCAGAAGTGTTCTAGAGAAAGTTGAGGCCAGCAAGAGGAAAACATACAGGATAGACTTTGGCCTAGAATGTTACCACAGACGGACGCAGCCGTGGATCCTCCACCTTGGGATAAAATGAGCTCGTCACCGACACCCTTACTGAGACATACACACCGGCAAAAACATAGAGGAAAACGCCAGACTAGAACAAAGTGAATAAGTTATGTTCATGCTGCAGACGACTTGGAGAGATTGCAGAGATTCGATGGTAAGGACTTACGAATTCAGCTACGCATTCAACGAACCAGTGAGCTTGGTGATGTCGAACCTTCTACCAGCGGTTAAGCAAACGAGGTCGCTCTTGCACGTCCCCCAAGACGTTGAAGTGAAGATGAGGCAATGGGTGAGTAGTCATTCGCGGCATTGAAGACAAGAACGATGAATAGTAAGAATAACAGATGAGATGAAGGGAGAAATACTGGATGAGACGAGAACACCTACAGACTGACTGCCCTTTATAACAGAGTCTATGAGGGAACATAATTTAGGTTCATGAGAGAACCTATAAAACAGTGCCCAATGTGGCTTAGGAGACTGAATCAGTCGATAGCGTGGAGAACTCAATTAACAACAAAGGGCAACCGCAGTCGCTTGAGTGCCCCATACACCTCAAAGGCCCGAGTTCTGGTCATGACAGTTTGAGCTTGCATGCTAGATCCTGCCAAACCAGTGTAATGAGTGTATTCAGCAGGCATCTTCCGCCGCCCGGGCATCGGTGTGGTGTTGCGGAACGTGCGGAAATGCGTGAGGCACTGTCACCGCAAATCGCAAGGCTAGAGAAAACTCTGCGAGCGGCGTCGTAACGCCAATAGATTTCTGGAGCTAGTCAGTGGTCAATACAATCAGACTCAACATCAATAGCAACGCTTAAGACTCAGATATTGATCTATCGTTGTGAACATACTCTCCAGATCGGACGATAGTCAGACTGCTAGCACAAGCACGCCATTGGAAAGTCTATTTGAATGAATTGTTCATTCGAGATTCAGTTTTTACTCTGAATATTAACCATGTCCAGAAAGCCAAAGGACGCGCATGTAGTGCTTTCGCAGCGGCCTAGCCGCGGATAGACCCTGCTGCGAATTACTCCCTGAGAAACACAGAATGAAACGTACCGTATAGGCGTCCATAATCAATGACGGTTTGAGCTGCGCTTTTCCCCACCTGATTGGCCTTCGTGTAATTCTGTGTGCAGGTGACAGCGATAACAGACTTCTCGAAAGGTGACACTTAGCATTTTGCTACTTCTCGGCACCGTAAGGTCTCTCACAGCAATCCAAAAAGCCACTCGTGGCCTTAGCACTAGGTTGTTGTCTTTGTGAATATTCGCGACTAGGCGCAGTGCCGGTTATATGCAGCTAGACCCTTCTTTCCATACTGTGCAAAGCCCTGCGGGATACTGGAGTTTCGGTCTGGACTCGAAGTTCATCTGACCGGCGACCTGCGGAAAATTTGTGAAGATGCCTTGGATCGCTGTATCAACAAAGACATGCGCACTACAACATTGGCAGCTCGTTAGCAAGTTTCAATCAAACCAGAGAGTGTGAGAAGAAAGCACTCACTTACAAGAATCTCTGACTAGATCCGACTTTATACAGCGAAACACGCAGCACTTCAGTGAATTTTCGAAGAAGCATCCCAGGAATCTTGACGAACTCCATTCTGTACGTACCCAGAGAGAACTACCCACCTTGAGTAGAGAAGAAGCTGGTGGCCCGGAAGCCAGAGGTAAATCAACAAATTGATGTGATGGTGTGACAACGCGTGCAGTCACGCCGGGTCCGTCTGCTGCGACGCGTCGATACAGCCTTGTACTAGTATCTCAAATGGACGGTTCATATGTTGGTGTCAAAATGACTGGCATCATAAGAACATCCTGATACGGACTGTCTTCAAATGATGAAAAGCTGCGCTGGAAAGACTGGCTCATCCGGAGCTCCGATCAATCCCTTCGAGATCCTGCCTGCCAAAGGATACCGTGTCGACAGCTATGAGGATGTTCTTATGGATGTTTACGTCGCCCTTCGAGGACTGCTGCAAGTGCAATTGTAATCACGCTTGAAGTAAGCCTTGTGACGTTTCTAATCCTCGCTTTTCCTCTGGGGTAACGCGTTTGAGGATACTTGTAACACCACGCCGCATATATGTAAGGTGTTGATATGGTTTACTACACGATACTGGGAAGAACGATTGTGGATGAACAACTATCTATGAGTGTTGCTTAGATATGCAGGCTAGAGTCCTTTGTGCTCAATAACTAATCATAAATCTGGGTCAAAGGAATGTGTGAAGTGATATCATGGTCGTGGAATTATCCGTTTGGCATGTTCAGACCATGCTTTGGTTGTCTGGAACACATCGCGGTACAGACCGTGTTGTGGCTTTGGAAGAAGAAGACGACGACATGCGAATGTTCAATGCGTCTGCACCATGTTCCATTGACTGCTGCTGCCCGGTCGACACGCTCCTAGATGTCCCTGACTGTGGAGCAAAGCGGACGCTCTGCGATATAACTTCAGGGAATGAAGAGGGGTCCGGAATAACTCCAAGCTTCAACAAGCGGAATACCCTGCATGCCATGGCATTCTGCAACGCAATATTTGGCACGCTGGCCAGTGCGCGGTACGTGGGTGACACCTGGGAAGTGTGCAGGAGTATTATTGCGAAGATGTTTAGGCCAACGGTAGCCCTAGATAATAATCAATGAGACTCTGAAAATAAGCTGATCGAGATTACACCCACAGATAGTATGCTTGTCCACTTTGTAGAAGTGCCCTTGACAAGTGTCCCATGTTCTTCCCACTAAATAACGTGAACATTCGTCCCTTCCATGTCTCCGCTGAGCTGTACGATGAGAGGTTGATAGAGATAGAGATGAATACTATGGTATCAAATATCCCCACAGCGAGGAAACCAATCGTTATCTTCTTGTCGAAACCAGTGACAATGCAATACAGCGTTGGATCGATGTGCACGGCGGTGGCACGCAACGGTGTGATGAATGACGTGAGGGTTGACATCCAGAGCACGAAAAGTATGGCAGAAAAGACTCGGGAATGGTAGAAAACGCCTTTGGCCCTGAGGAAGAAGAGAAGAGCATTGGAAGGTATTGCAATTGCTCCAAACCAGCCAGACACCGTGAGCATGGTCTGACAATCACGAATAGGCGAAGCTGCAACTGGTCAGGTATAATTCGTCTCGTTGAGATCAAAACTGGACCCACCAGCGAAGAAGAACGATGCGGTGACTAAAACGCCAGATGAAATCCTGGTACCATATATCAAACGATGTGCAATAAGTCGTGTCCTACTCATTCACTCACCGAGACACCACGTATACAACATCTGGAAAGGCTAGTCTGCCTTTTCTCAGCATGCGTATTTCATCGACCACGCTCATCATCCAGTCCCACAACCAAGCCTAATCCAATTTATCGTCGGGATGAGGGTAGGAAGGAGAGAAAAGGACACTCACTCCCATGACGGCGGCAAGGAGACTTTTTCCAACTTCGAGCTGAAACGTTAGGTCCGGCGGAAGGAATGCATATGGCGCCCCCATATTCAGAGGCGGCTGCCATGTATCATTGCTTGTGGCCATCAAGTCGATGTCTTTCAGAGCAAAGGAATGGTCAATTTATAGGGAGTCGAGAGGTTGATGACATCTGTCGGGAACGCCAGTCATGAGAGTTCGAGATGATCTGGAACTGTCCGATTGTGGAGTCTATCACGTACTGCTACACGATGATGAACTAGCGAATGTGTACAGGACTCGCAAGTCTCGAAAAGAACTTCCAAAAGACGTGTGTAGAAGTTCAACAATGGGTAAGTGTGACACTGCTCGGTTCAACGAATCAGATAACACACAACTTGAAGGTAATACACACTTAACGTTCCTGGAGCTTTGCCATTCTCGGACGTTCGATTCAAAATGAAGAACCGTAGTTGACGGATTATCTAACGCCGGGTTTGCGAAAGCGAAGTCAAAGATCCGCTCCAGAAGTCATCGGTTTGGGGAACCATCGATGAACACCCGCATGAACAATGGCCACTTTACGTAGGCAGTTCTCCCCCGGTGGTCTTTGGAGTACGCACCGACGCTCATAATAGTGATATGACTTGTCAACTAGGCTATGAGTTAATTATGCGAAGTTTCGGATGCTGTCAGCTTCGAACATTGAACACTGATGGAACGTTAGACTGCTAGTTCTCACCTCGGATCGAGGTGATGGTCCCAGGTCCGACTGTCGGTCCAGTACGTGTGGACAGTCCAGTGGGGGTGTTCACTAGGACTACATCATTTCGCTGGGAAGGCCGATGAATGTGGAATGGGAATCCTCGTCAAGAGGAAAGCGTCACATTAAGACTGCATATGTTGTTCAATACCGTCTGCCCTGTTCCCATTTTCAGGCCGATCTGACCCGACATACAATCCGATTACCATTCTGCTTTTGCCCAATCCAGGAAGATATACTGACCAAGTGCAGAGTAAACGTAACGTCGATGCTGGCTGAGCGCTGAGCTTTTGCGCACCGACAGTCTCACGAAGAGCATAAATTGAGGAGCCGAACCATCACGGCCTCCAAACTTGGACATATCATTACGGTCATCGACGTCATCTTGCTGCACTCACTCTCCGCACAGATGTCAGAAACACCACCAGCCTTTGGCCGCGTATATAACCCGCTAAAATGCCTTCTTCAATGTCATCTCTCTTATTCACCTTTACCCACCAACACCCTCCTTTGTTCCACTCACCATGTCCGACACTCTCAATCCCGCCACCCTCTTGAGTCGTCGTTTCCGCTTCGAAGAAATACCAGACCTTAAAGGCAAAGTCGCCCTCGTTACCGGAGGCTCCGCAGGTATCGGATACTATAATGTTCTTCCTCTTGCACGCGCTGGAGCCAAAGTCATCACAATCTCTGCTAACGAGGACAAAGGCAAGAACGCCGAAGCAGAGATCAATGAGAATATAAAGCAAGCCGGTTCTGCTGGCTCGGTCACTTGGTATGGTTGCGATTTGGGCAACCTGAAAGAAGTGGATGGATTAGCGAAGAAACTTGCGCAGGAGCTGGATCAATTAGATATCTTGATCTGCAATGCTGCGATTGGGCAAGCTCCGTATGGCCTGACTGAGGATGGACTGGAGAGACATTTCGAGGTATATAAAATGACAGGCTCTCTGTCATGGTTTGAAGAAGGTGACAACTTCACATCATAGGTCAATAATCTCAGTCATTACGTTCTCGTCAACCGTCTCCTTCCTATAATGAAGAAGACGGCCGAGACGGCACCCCCGGCGAGCGTTCGTATCGTCATGCAGTCCTCCGAAATGCACCGGGTCGCCCCCAGTGGCACTCAGTTCGCTTCCAAGGACGAGATCAACAAGGACGGTGACGGCTCTCAACTGTACGTTCTCCTCACCTACTTGATCATCCCCACATATACGCTCATGCTCGACTCACCACAGCTACGGCCGAACGAAGCTTGGCCTGATCCTGCTTGCCAAACAACTGGTCAAACGCAAACTGGACACCAGCACCGACGGCACCAACCCAATCCTCGCCATCTCAGTCCATCCTGGTACCGTCGATACCGAAGTCCAGAAATCCTGGGTCGAGTCCTATGGGAGTATCTTAGGTAAGGCTTTAGAGGTGTTTTCAACGACAGTAGGCAAGAGTGCGCCCGAGGGTGCTGAGGCTAGTTTATGGGCTGCTACGAGTACGGATATTGGGGAGGGAAATTGGAGGGAGTATCAGGTGAGTATAAATGCACCTCTGATGTCGTTGTACACGGATGTGATACTTATACTGGATGGTCAACTTCACAGGGCAACTACTATACCGAGGCATATGGGAAACCGGGCAAGGAGACTAAGCAGGCCAAGGACGAGCAGTTGGGAGATAATTTCTGGAATTTGTGTTCCGAGCTGGCGATGGACATTCTTGGGGATGATGTCCAGTAGATCGGGCGTGGATAGTCGCAATAATCAGTAATCAGTATCGCTACAAAGAACAGAATCGAGAGAGACCCCTTGTATAATATCCCTAAATGTCCTATATGATATGTTCGTAGTGTGCCTGTTCACGGGATCGGATATTCAAATTCGCATTTATAAATGGAGAAATATTGTTTCAGTGTAGGGGATGATAATGCGGGATCATGAAGTTGATGCACGTTTCTTCACACACAGACCAACGGTCTATCCCGAGGTCCCAAGTTCAACAAAATCGAACCAGCCATCACTAGAAAACACGCTCGCGAGAGATTTCGCGATTGAAGCTATGAACGATGGCAGATTAGACATCAAGCGCCAGAAAGGAGCTATGACCGTACTTACTTAGCATTCACAAGTCTTCAACGTCATCTAAATCTTATGCTTTCAAGATTAGTGTATGGCCTAAGTTGCTGCCAGAGCTCGTCATGGTCGTTACCAGGAGTGTCCCTTCTGATCCTAACGAGCTCCAGTGACAAAGAATTAGGAATAGATTGAAGCCACTTGAGGATATATGCGTCATCAGTCGTCCTATCAATCGAGAGCAGGTTGATCTGCAACTGGTTTATGACCCTGCTCTGGGAGGGAACCTTCGGTAAACACTGGCCCCAAGTAACGTCTAGTAACAGCAGCGCGTCATTAGGAGGAAACATTTCGACGAGCCGTTCCAGGTCTTCAAAATCTTCAAAGTGACAGTGAGCGAAGAGAAGTCGGCGGACATGTTGAGGTTCCAGGCTGTGAGAGTGAATGGACCTCAGTGTATAGGATAACATCTCTGCCGCTCCAGCGCGAAACGTCATGTCGTGGAAACCCAGAAAACCGAACTCAGGGTATGGATCGGTATGCAGGAAGGCCATGGCCTGCCAGAGAACATCATCGGTGTCATCTGCGCGGTCCTCCTCTGCGAATATTTTGTCAGATGGCCTGGGCAGGCGAAAGTATATGGATCGAGCGTTGCGGAGGATGGATGGGTCTGATTCTACTTGAGAGGCGAAATCCCGGACCTCTTGTTCAGTAGAGAATTTGTAGAAATTGGGAGCATCTGCGCGCAGTGCATCGACGGGCTCGATGATATCTGTCAAGTCTTTCAACATGATGAGGACAAATCGACTGGCGGGGGGAGGTTGCGTTTGAGTGGTAGGATACGGATCTCGGAGGGAAGTCCACTCGCCCTTTTATATTAGCAGAGAATGCATTTTCCAATACGCTCAAAGTCAAAGCGTTTGAGAGACAAATCATCGGCGAGTGGCGCCAAAGCTGCTTGGCTTGAAGGTCAAAGTGTTTCCAATCAGATACTGCCGATGTACCAAGGTCAAAGCTTCCAGGAACGCAAAGTTGCTTTGGCCCATATTCCTACTCGCATCATTGCAAACGATCCTAGCAAAGGGATCGAAGAAGCCTGGAAACAATTTCAACCGCAAAACAATTGAGTCGTCTCTGCCGATAAGACAAACTTTCCATTCCCGTAGGTATTGAAAGGCTCATTACCATTATTTGTAAAGGCGAAAAGGATGGTCTAGGAGCTCAGAGTGTGACAAGGTAGCTCAGGCGACTTCAAGTTCGAGTTGGACATCTCCACCGTAGTCCAAGCTTTGCCAATAAGGTTTGATGCGCCGTTCCTAATTAGGTCTTTGATCGCCTACGTACCTCACGAATATTCTTGCCAGAAAAGTTGCTGCATGTCTTACTGTACAGTGTCCTTGGGATCAGAGCGGTTCACGTGTATGTTTGCATTGAGCTTTCAACATAAAAAGGAACAAACTGCAATGAATCAAGTACAGAAGAGCCAAAGTAACCATCGGTATAACAACTGTGCGGAATATCAAACGTAAAATAAGTATCCTTACTCCTGTCCATAGAACTATAACCTAAGAGGGAAGCTTTTGAGAGTTCATATAATAACATATAAAGTAATCGATACGAAAACAAAGTCGTGAGGAATTGAGAAGTAAAGGATACGAATGCATCGCGAAAGCATACGGTGCACACTCCATATGAGCATGTATTCACGGGTAACCGAGCACATACGATGCCGAGGTATATCATAAGTGCTCTCGACTGTGAGCGTCGATTAGGAAGTGAGTATGGCTGGAGCGTTCAAGCTACCGGAGTTCCTGGATGAGGCCTGTGAGAAGAGATGTGTATTAGAATTTCAGAGTCTACGTGGAATGAAAGAATCCTACCTGCGCAGTCGACGTTGGCTGTAACTCTGGCGTGGATGACGCCGAAGTTGACTTCTGAGTCTCAGTATCACCCAACGAAGAGACGATACTAGTCACAGCTACCGACACCAAGGCAGAGCTTTCTGGCCCTGACGCAAATCCCGACGCGGAACTCGTTCCAGAAGCCGTCGTCGCAGTTTTTGCAACCGAAGATGCACTCATTGAACTAGCCATTGACTTGAACTGCGGAATCCCAACTGAAATTCCGAGGATATCCAGGTTATACGTCGTCGGCACTCCCATCTGCATAAGTTGAAGCCATGGGATCGTGTACCCTCCTTCACCAATTTGCGCGGTCACTGCGTTGAATGTATCGAGTTTACCTAGAGGAATGATACCGAGGGATGCGATAGCTCCTTGGACGAGCAAGACATTGTCGATCGGCCCAGAGTTAACAGTTTGGCCGGGAGGGATGACGAAATCTTCAAATTGATGGTCGAAATGAGCAAAGGTAGTTCCATCGACTTTGGCGTCGTCTTGAATGAAGAGAATTCGTAATTCTGCGTCCAAAGGGTTGAAGATATCGACGTTGATGGTGACGAGGTTAGTGATGAGGGTATCTAGGGTAATATCGACGTTGATGTGCTTTATGAGACTTTGACCCATTCCTAGTTGAAAGTGGTCAGCAAAGAAAAAAAGGCCAAAGTACGACAAAGTTGTACCAGGGAGAGAGGTTGCCAAACGGACACCCGACAGTGACTGTTGTAACGACTGTATGAGTGAACTTTCACTGTCGCCTTGAATGGTCAGCGCTAGATTATCTGTACTCGTCAGGAAGCTGGAGAGGAAGCTCTAATAATACGTTAACGATATAGGAATTGAAGTAATATTGCGATAAAAGCGTACCTGGGCCGTGGTGTCATTTGCATCTCCAGGTTGGTAATGGAATGCAGACGGTACAGCCAGATCCCCAGATACCAGATCGAAGGGCTAAGATAATTCATTAGCATTACAGAAAGAGAAGTCCTAGAAAAGGGGCATACATTGATCGCGGCCCTTCCAATCATGGTGCCCTTGTAAATCACTGGGAGAGCGATGTCAACAGTGTGTAATGAGACATTCGATGGATTCTGGAGCTCTGTTGTTAACGGTGCTACGATGAATTCGTCACCGCCGTCGCCTCCACTTCCGGTTACTTTGATGTCGCTTAATTTTGCAGTACTCTCAAAATCGTTGATGCCTGGTCGAGAAGAGATATTCAACATGCGTTCGTAAACGGATAATGTTTACGCACCCTTAAAACTAGATTGGACACTGAATGGTATCCCAGATATAGGAATATCCCCGACGGTGGTCCTGGCAGTAACATCGGCACTGCCTTCCAGCGTGAGGTCGACGCTGTCCTTCAGCGTTACAGCAGCTAACAATGCGGAGAATGCATCGTTATTTAACGATCTCAAAGGCTGGTTACTCCAGGACAAATGCAGATCGGCATCATTGCCCGTTGAAACACCGCCATCTGCGGCAACCTTAGGAAGATTAAGCTAGGGAAGGGAAAAGTTGAGAACTCGACCAATAAATAAGGACATTTTGAGGCAGCTAACCTGCGCAGCTTGAGTGCCACCAGTACTAAGCACAATCTTTTCCCCTGCTTCGACAACCTGCAGAGAAAAGCCAAAGGGATTTTTGTATACCGCACTGGTGTGGTCAGAGCTGGTTGGTGGAGCAAAGGCCTGATCCTGAGTCTGGAGGATCACATCCAAGTCGCTAAGGGAAATTGATTGAATGATCTACAATCATCAACACGGTCAGCGACCATCAAAGGGATGCCTTGTCTAGCCCACGTACATCGAAGGATTGACCGGGGAGAGTGACAGAAAGCGTTAACGATTGAATAGCAGTTGTTAACCACCCGACGGAACCCGAAGAACCCGGTGGTTTGACAGACTCTCCGACGACGTCGAGGGTTTGGTTGTCGGCCTGCCCAGTACCTATAAGTATACATGGCTAACTTTAGCAAGAATGCGCTGCTTACGGCTAAGTATCTCGAGAATAAAGTTCCAACGGCGTCCAAATCGGAACCAGATTGTGGAATAATCCGGCCTGTTAAATGGGTAGAAGCAACTGAATTCGGCGAGAGGGTAAGTGAATTCGTTGTAGACAAAGCTGGAAGAAGGAAGATGAGTTGGCAATGGGTTGGGAGAAAAGGGAATGCACTCACGCCCGAGCACGGTTTCTCCAAACAGAGCGTTAAATGTTACTGTTCCTAATTCGATGCCAAGCTCTACGTGATATCAGAAAAGAGTGTAAAAATGCTTGAGTCACGATACTCACGCGCAGGCGAAGGTATGTCAGAGTCAGTGTCGATGTGAATTCCGCCAGCTGGGTCATCAGACGGAAGTCGGAAGTTGCTGATGGTAACGCCTGGTAGGCCATTGAATGCTTTAAAGGAAACGGTCTTTCGGAGAGAGACATTCTCAAAGATGGTACCCAAAGCAGTCAGACGGAGTTTGTCCGTCGAAATCGTCCAGTCAAAGCTTGGATTTTGCAGTAGAAAGATCGCAAAGTTCGTGAATCTATGAAGACGACTGAGATCCCCTTCAAGCATCCCCCGACACGAAGTACATACTGAGAGTTGTCCGTAATTTTGAGACGTGCATTGCTGAAATAATTCGGTACTCCATCGTTCGCTCCGGCACAGACTAAAAGAAACGTTATGAGTAGGAGTGAGAGAACATCATAAAGTCACGACAAACTCGGTGGCAGCTCGATCATCGCAATGTCGTTTCCCTGCCAATTGACTATGACAGGCTCGGTGAACTCAATCAACGCATCGAGAGGACCTGTTCCAGTTAGCGATCCTTGAAGAGCGAGGTCAAAGCCTTCGTCAGAGATATTCCTGTAGATTGGACCGTTCGTTAATGCGATCAATCTAAAGAGACCCTAGCAGAGACGAACGTGATATTGGCTTCAGAAAACGTCAGCTCAGCTTGGTCAACGAGATGCTGTGCGATAGGAGCAGCTACAGCTCCAATGAGGAAAAGCGCTGTATCATCCACCTACTCTTAGCGAACACATCAGACATACAGCAGCTCGATCAAGAAAAGAGGATGACGCACGTTCACCGGGACATTATGTTGGGCAAAAGATAAATCCGTAGCAAAATCATCGAGTTTGACTGAACTATCAACTGCAAGCTCTACCTCGAGATTTTTGAGTGAAGCTAATATCGCTGAATTGAAGTCAGGTTGGTGGCCACTGGTGAATCGGTCAGCGAATATGTAGTGAAGCAGAAGTGCAAATTATGCACCTAACGCAGGTGGGTGAATTGATGTCCACCTTAGTCGTCACCGGTGGGTGGAAATCAGGATTATCGAGGACGAACTGGAACAGATCAACCAAGCCCCCGAGATTGACATTATTATTTTGAGCACCAATTGTCAACAATTGGATAACGGTGGCAGGATCCAGGTTGAACTTGAGCGGCAGAATCGAAGAAGTAACATCACTGTGACCGTTCGCGTGTATGGGGTTAGAAGATACGTCTACATTATCGATAGAGCCTAATGTCAGATTGTGAAATGTTGCCGAAGCACCAACTGCCAACAGGAATCAGAAAACATAAAGATATCTACGCAGTACATACAGACCTTTCAACAGGTTGATACTAGCAGTGAAGGGGTTCTGCAAGATAAATGATGATCGTGCTACTGCTGTAGACACGATATCGACGGGGAGCGTGATTGAAACGCTCTTGATCAACGACTGGTGGATTGCCGGAATGGTCACTGGAGACAAAACGATTTGAGAGAGTGCAAGTTTGAGTGACTCGATTGGAGTGGAATCCATGCTTCCGGAGATAGTCGTATCAACATTAACACCTTGCAAGAAGTTTTCGAGAAGAGCGCGGCCTGCAGCTACAGCGTCTCCCTGAGGATCATAGTGCACATCTTACGAAGCAATGTCAATGAAAAGAGTTCGTTTCATGATAGGCTAGGAAACGACATACCGGTTGCATATGATTGATTGCCCGGCGTGATTATCATGTCAGCAAGGTCTGCCTCTCCGATAGATGAATTTCTAAACAAATGAATGAGATCCAGAGTCGAGAAAGCATAACAACTCCTGAACCTACCGGTATAGCAGTGAGAATGAGACATCGCCTGTGCCAATGGTTAGGTTGCTGTAGAGGACAGTCAGCGATCTTGTTTCCCTTTAGTACGGAATGAATTTACCTTGGATTAAACAACGCAGTATTCACCTTGATTAACAGGAAGTCCGGGAACCCATGATTGACATCCAAATCGCTAATCGTTGCCGGCTTCTCACTTAATCCGTCCAGGCCTTGAATAGTGGAGTCAACTGAGAACGTGATGTTGGTCAGTGTGATTACCCCGACTGCAGTATTAGCGTCAGCATCAGCAGAACCCGACAGTCCCATTGTCTGGCTCTCCGTCATCGTGGTAGCAGCCAGGAATTGGTTGAAGGTATCGTGCTGGCCATCCGAAACTGCAAAGGGAACGTCGCTAAACCCAAGATGAATGATATGGTTATCGACATCGGTCGTGCTAGGGCCTTTGGGAATCGACAATTGAGCAAAGTTCTGACCATTGAATGACACCTCAATCGTTTGCTGTAGAGCCGTAATATTGATGGGGAAATTGAAACCATCCGGCAGTTTGAAGGTTACATCTGTGGAATCACTACTGGTGGATGGGCTGTACGCAGTGCTCTCCGTAAAGTCAAGTGTCAACTGGTTGAGGCTAATGGATTTGATGATGCTCTGCGGGTTCTGGTTAGGGAGGATAGTGTCAACTTGTAAGGCCTTGATGCCGTCATTCAGCCATGTAACCTGCAGAGACAATTAGTAACGAACAAAATACAAAGCCAACATGCTCTTTACATCACTAGGACCAGCAGCAGAGCCACGAACAGATAGATCACTGTCCTCTCCATGGATGAAGCGATTGAAGATACCAGACACAGCCGAAAGTCCTTCATCAGAAGTCTGAGGAATAAGGCGACCAATCAAGGAGAGCGTAGTTGTAGATTCCGGAGACAGCGTGACAGTCTTATTAGTTGCAACGGATGCAATCATGATATCGCTTGCGAACGTATTGAAGCCGAGCGATGACAACTCAATACCGACTTGCGAAGGCTGAAGACGAAAATATGTCAGACGAGATATGTAGGGAAATAGGAAACCTACGTTTGTTGTACTGGCTGCCAACTTCAGCGTGATGCCGCCGGCGGGGTCGTTCGATGGCAAGGAGAAGGTCTCAATCTTCACACCACCTTTCAAGCCATTGAACCCCTTCAGTAAGACCGTCTTCGGTGTCAATGTGATATTTTGCACAGAGATACCAAGGGCTGTGACGTTGAGGTTGTCAGCAGAGATGTCCCATTGAAAGGATTCTTGGGTCAATAACGTCTACATGAACACATGTCAACCAAGCAATAACACGATGAAAGTCAAATGATGACACTAGCCTTCGTGAATTCTGTGATATGCCCAACGTCTGCAACCTGGAACTGCGAGTCTACGATAAATTGTGCGCCAACGTCGCCAGTAAGATCAATATCTTCCATTCTGATACTTCCAATAGGTTGGCCAGACCAGGCTACAGTAGCGCCCTCTGAGAATGAGATTGTGGCGTCGACTGAAACAAAAGAGACTTAGCCAGAGAAAGACATCATGGAAAGGACGACGAACATGGACCGGCATTACTGATGGACCCGTTCAACCTAGTACCGAATGATTCTTGTTGAGAATCGGTGATGAGAACGCTACTTATTCTGAAAAGTAATTGATCCATCTCAGTCCTTGCGGCTGTATTCTCCAACAAATCGACTCTACGTACCCTAAATTCGATCCTCCAACGATCTTTTGCACAATTGGCTGCGCTAAGACGGGAAGGATAAAATTGAGGCTGTCATCCGTCTTAGTTGGTAATGACGATTGCGTATATGTGAGGGTGGTTGTGTATTCGCCTGTCAAAGATCATATCAATCGGTTTAAAGTTCAGCTGACGTGAGTCGAGGAAACCATTGAAGCAATCGGCTACCTCTAAAGGGTGGACCGACTACATAGAATAGACCATAGCGGTCTAAAGGAATTGAATAGTCTTAAGCGGACTCACCAATGCTAACCTCAGCTTTCAACTCGACATCCGACTTCAACCCTGCAAATGCCTTCTGGACAAAGCTTGGTAGATCAAAACCCGTAAAGATGTTGTCCCTACGCTGATGCGTCGAGACATTCGGACCAGTGGTCATCAGGTACTGGTACCCGCCAAGCTGGACAATTCCGTCCAACTGCTCCGTATTCAACCCTGCCTCAACTGCCAGAGCCCTCGTCACCGTGAAGATCGAGCTCGGATCTAAATTCATGTTCAACTCCAGATGGGAAGATTCAGTAGTGGTATTTGCTGTTGACGTAAAGTTGGTTGTCGAATCGATGGTTCCGAGTTTGATACCGAAGGCAGAGACTGTAGATTGAATGCGATTTATTTTGAGATCGGTAGCAAATGGGTTGGCGAGGGAAACAACGACGTGTGATATGTTGTTTGCTCTGCCGGTAGTAGGGAGAACTATAAACAACAGCATACTAGTCAGAGATGTCGGGGAAAGCCCAAGGATTCTAACCGACCTTGCAGCACAGCCGTATCCAACAAATCTTTCTTCAACGCGGGAAGCGTAACATCGATGTCGAGTGTCTCGAAGGCATTCATAAGAGACGCGACTGCGGTACTTCTGTTATAGCCGGCAATCGACAGCTGCACGTCTTTCTTCCCAACAAAGTCATCCAGTGTCTGTAATCCCTGTGGGCTAGCACTGGACTCGAACACCGAGCTAGCTTTCACGCTGTTGTTTCCCATTGTCAGCGTCAAATTGGGCAACAAAGCCGTCCCAATCACTCCGCCGTCTCTAAACAGCTGAAGCTGAAGATCACCGACGGTTAAGTTCAAGTTCGACGGATTGAAGATCGACACTGTTAATACCAACCATCAGTACGCGGTCGTATTCTAGATCCTTGAAAGTGGAAATCAAACACAACCACTTACCGTCAATGGCCAGCGTGATCCCTTGAGTTGTACCGCCTTGTACATCTACGGAATTGAGCGTCGTAAGTCCTTTCAACCCTTTCAAGCCCTTCAATCCAGAAGGGACACTGAAGTTGATCGGATCTAAGGTCAGTGGACCGATTGATGTGTTTGCGATAGCACGGGAGTGCCCGACGAGCTGAAAACTCGAAGCATCCAAACTCGTAAGGTTCGCGTTAAATGTGGAGAACACAGGGTGACTGGGATCCGGAACGCTAAGATTCGTATCGGTAATAGTTATATCGATAATACCGGCGGTGAAAGTAGAGTTTGTGACTCGAATGGAAGACTGCGAGGCTCCGAGGGCATAAATCTGAGGTTAACAAACACAAAACCAGAAGTACAGGAACGAAACCTACCGTAGTCAATCCTGCGACGACGGTCCCACCCTGCGTGATATTGAATGCATTCTGTATCTCCCCAATTGACAAGTCAAATCCAAAAGGTAATGACATACTCGCACGGATCGAATGACTCTCCGCGCTAGGTGACCATGGTGCCAGTGTTGCGAACCTCAGGCCCATGTCCCCAATATCAATGCTTTGTATGGGATTTAGAGCTCCTGCGAGAGACCTGAATGGAACATGCAGGGACAGTGCAGAAAGCCCGGTGGACAACCAGGCGATCTGTGTGCCATCAGATTGAAGCGTAGATTGACCTGTGGCAATGACATCGGAGCTTTGACCATTGAGATAGTTGGTGAAGAGCTCGGAGACAATTGCAAGATCCGAGGAAGAATCGTGCGCTTCGAGGAATCCGGAAAGCGAGATAGTGTTGTTTCCAGTAGCCTGTTGAATGAGGAGCGTTGACGTCAGGAATCATCGTATGAATGAGTGAGGGACAGATACAAACAATCTTCGTATTGTTGCTGCTTCCTGAACCAAGACGAACGTCACGGTATGACAAATCGAACACGACCGTCCCAAGGTCAAGAGTAAATGGGCTAATAACAGAAGGAGACCATGCGTTAACAGGCATGGGAAAGCCAGTGGAAATTACCTTGGATTCGTCAATTGAGTTACAGCTACAAAATTAATTCCGCCGGCGGGGTTATCGCTCGGAAGCTGAAGATCCTCCAATAGCACATTGCCGTTGAAGCTAGCGAAGCCTGTGGGTAACATTTTTTAATCAAAGTTTCGGGAGCAGAAGAGACAAAAATACAGACCGTTCAAGGTGACAAACTTATTGAATTTGATACCTTTGCTAACTGGAAACTTGGCGGCTTGCACATGAAGATTGTCGCTCGACAACCTCCAAGTGAAGTTACTCTCAGTAATCATGTGGGCCGCGAAGATGCCAAAAGCGACTTCATCAGTAATGTTGAACGTTGTAGTCTAATTGAGAGTCGCGCGCTTATGGCTGGCAGAGAGTGCGTCCAACGTCATCACTCCAATTGGAGTCTCGGTGCCATTTTCCTGAACCCAGGCGACTTGTACGGGATTCGTGAACTGGATGTGAGCAGGAATAATCCCTGTATGGGTCACCTGAAGATTAAATGTGAGTGAAGGTGTGCCAACTGACGTCCCAGAGTGAACTTACGAGTCCTTGAAGAGATAAAGAAAAACTAGGTGAAGAATATGAGTTAGAAATGCAAGAGCGGCCTTAGGAAATCTTTAGCTCGCCTGTTGTTTTGAGGAAAGCTGATAGTCGCGACTTCAACATCCAGTTGACTCCTGTTGACAACGAGTTGGGCGATGGCCGTAACTACCGGGAAAAGGATGACGAAAAGCAACGTGATTCCAAGAGGAATACAGATGATTTGAGTGATGATGAACCATCTTCGTTTGTAGAATGGAACTTTGGGCTGCTGTTGGACGGGTGCAGACGCGTCTCGGTTTTGCGCCGAAGTTGGCTGTTGTGCCGACGTTTCTGAAGAACGAACTACGGGAACGCCAGCAGCGGTCGCTCCGACGATGGTGTCCCCTTCAGAGAAACGCGATCCCGCCGGTTGCGTCGCATGTGCTAAAAGGAAAGGAAAGAATGTTGAAGAGATGACAGAAGCGCAACAGTGACGGTTTAAAGCTCACCGGCTAAGCCAGCCTGGGAAGATAGGGAAGTCGACGACCGATTATCCATTGAACGGTCTCATAGAACTCGGGCGTCGCGAGGAGAGCAGAGTGAGCCAAGACATGGGCCATGTTCTAATAAACTGAAAACCAAAGAGATGCAGCCCCGGGTGCAATGTTGCAGTGCTGATGAAATGTGGAGAAGCGAAAAACGAGACCACATGGGTGTACCGTCAAGTGACCATCATTAACGGCACTACGAAACTCGTATCCATTCACAGGCTAGTCATGCTTCTCTGTATGAGAATGACATAACAGCAGATGTGAGAATTCTCGCGCTTCGCGTACAATAACTTCTTAAGTCCCATGACAGAAATAACAGGGCGACGGCCATCCGTATATGGTTCCTTCTCGATGAATGCCGACACCATGAAGAAGGGTGGGGCGGTCATAGCCTCTAAACCCCAGAATGAATGCTCCATTTGGCTCAAAGCACTTAATGGAAGCCCACTAACGCCTTTAACAAGTTCGCATATATCAATTATGCGGTCGTAGCTCCTGACAGAGTTATGTCGCGCTGTCTAAAGAAGGATCAAACGGACGATTGTGAGCGAAGAAGGTAAATGAGTTTTGAGTTGCAATCTTGCCAGAAGATGACAGGCGATGCACATAGGCAACGCCTCGCCTGAACACTGGCACTCACCAGCGACTACTTACTTCACGGCCAAACCTGAAGGAAGAAAAGAAAGACCATGGACGTGTGAATGCAGTAGAATCTCTGTCAATGAATGTACTGTCTTCTTCTTCTCGAGAACATGAAGAGGCTAGAAATGAGACCATGGCAGTCGAATGCATGGAAGTAAGTGAAGTGACAATTGGTCAATGCTAATTATAGACGGCAAGTTCGTTGTCAGCCGGAAAGCGCCCATACTGCTTGGCACAGATATTTCAAGGATCCAGCCTAACGAATTGCGCACGAATGTACACAGTCACGGCCTGGATGGCACTTTGTATTGGGGACGAGTTTCCATCTGCGAAACAAGGGTAAGTCACAAACCTCAAGATAATATCTGCACTACTTCTTACCGCATTCGCCATAGCCCGAGTGACAACCGTCAGATAGTCTTCTCGAAGTTCTGCCCGTACCAGTATGAGTGTTAGAGTCGAATTCCAACGCCGAAAAGTCAAGCCAATGTGGTCAGATAGAGACAATGCATGCAGGTGAGCTTTCACAACTCTCGAACGGAATTTCGAGCGCCAGCACCTCTCAAAAAAAAAGCTCAAAAACGCGCAGGCTTCAAGTTGGCGCAGGACACGGGTTTCATGGAAACGCTGTATTATGGAAGCCTTGACACATTTATGCCGACGGCGAACAAATGGGGACGTCACTCATCGTCGTCCGACATTGCTTGACATTCCAGACGTTGACCAACTCCCTTGAATCGCTGTCCAGCTACATCGTTTGTTTCCTCAATCATCTTAATCAGTCTTCACAATGTCGGGAGCAGCATCTGCCGCAGCAGGTTCAAAATTCCAGGCTTTCATGAATCACCCGGCTGGTGAGCCTTCTCGTGATATATGCCAGACCTTCGACCGCTGATCATGCTCTCTTGGACTATCTTTGTTAATCTTTACCCTGCGCAAACGATATTGCTATACCTGAAATATGACTGTAAATTTGCGACATGTTTTTGCCACTGCGTCATTACACTTGGTCGAATGACTCATAAGGCCCCAAAACGGTGTTCTTCTGGGCTCCGATGATGAAGTGGTGCTTGGTCGCAGCTGGGCTGAAGGATCTTTCGAGGCCAGCAGAGAAGCTTAGTGTATCACAGAACGTCGGTGCGTGTATGAGGCTAGTTTGCTATTCGCAGCTGAGTGCTCACAGTAGTTCACTGCGCTCGCCATAATCGTCCTTTCTAGCCCTTGCTGCAACTGGCTTCGTCTGGGTTCGTTGGTCCTTGGTTATTACCCCAGTTAACTATAGTCTGTCTGCGGTACGTTCAAGTCCTTGCATATTACGTCTGTGCCACCAAAGCTGTTGCTCGGTTGTAGGTCAACTTCGTCGTTGGAACGACTGGTCTCGGTCAATTGACTAGGATCTGGCAGTACGTTCACCTTCTGGCCTTTCCTCTGTCTTCTTATGTTTACATTTTCCGTTCTCAGCTACCAACGCACCAAGCAAGATCCGGTACTTGACCTGATCAATTCGAGAAAAGCGGCGGACGCGAAGGCATGAGTTGGTTTTGGTGGGACTTTGTATCGTGTACTATCTGATACCTGTGCTTTGTTGACTATTCTACATTCTGTATTAGACTTCACTGCGTTCCTAGCGGAATTTTGTCTACCAGATTGCCACTGCTACGGCCAGTGCCACTAGTTTCATAGGTTGAAAAACAAATCAGCTTGCGATTGCTGAACAATTTCATATACAAGTGTGTATGAGACCGAAGGCTCTAGGTTGGGATGGTATCGGATGCAATGCTCACTCTGAGGCTCCCCTGTGAACATTTCCGGGCCCGCAAACATGCGACTTCACTCAATATGTGTTACTACCGTACTTCCCATCCGCCGATCTTGCGTGGCGTTGAAACCAGCCATGTAAGGTCTGTAATTCAGTATATGACAGACCTCCTTACCATACGGGGCCACGTTTATGTCGCTACATAATGATCGAATCCATATGAGCGTTGGCGAAAGCTAGCCCAATCAACGTTCAACTGCTTGTTTTGCGAGAGCCAAACACGATCTCACACTCTCTCCGGGATGGGAGCACAATGAAGTGTGGATGTCGCGACTTTAACAGGTACACTCACCCCCGAACACCATGCATATTATCTCTGAACATAGTCTGCGCACACAGGAACTTCTTATCAGCTGGTTCTTTCATTGCACGCCCAGCTTGAATGAGCATGTTCATTTTGTTCGTACCTAACCAGTTTCAAGCTGACAAGAAATGGACAATCGTTTCAACACCGCTTATAATCGTACAAAATCCATCGATGACTGATTGCGACAGGAGATCACGTCTGAGAACTGAGTACAATCCACGCAGCATCCTTATGCGTTCCATCTAATACCTAGTACGGAACCAGCAAAATACCTGAGAGCAGGATCAGACTCGCTATTCAAGAGTAGAAGCATTCACGTACCACTTTCCAAGGTCAGGGAGTAGGGGCAAGGAGGGCAACAGTCGCGCAGGCTGCAGAGCAAGTGCCCAGACCGGCGTTGCAGGCGATAATAGCGGGCGGTGCAAGTGCGCTAGCTACTACCGTACCAAAGGTTACGCCGGCAGCGGCATAGCAGGCGACTGCCAGGGTATTGCAACCTAAATGATAACATGCAAAATACATTGCCGTCAGTGTGCAATGCGATAGTGGAGGAAGGGAGGAATTAGAATTCCCATGTCGTCCTGATCGCCCGACACGTTGACTAGATAAGTAGTCGACACATCGCACGACCAACACGACAAAGTTAGGCATCTGCATACCAGTCTGGCAAATGCCATATGCAATAGGTCCACCAGCGACTGGTCGCACAGCTGCAAGAATGGCGAATGGGGCTAGTAAAGTGGCAGCAAGTTTCATGGTGAATCAGGTGCAGGTGGTGGGCAGCGGAAGGTTGGGGGAAGACGTAAGACGGCCAATATTACCATAATATATATGCTCGAGACTTCGTTAGGGCATCGATCGTCTCACGGTCGTGAGAGCTATGATATCAGATTTATGAAAGGATAGTATGTTGCCAGAATGTACTATCGTTTCGGGGGAGTTCGAATTTCCAGGTTGCTTCGAACTCTACCCATTTGTCCCTCCACACTTATCTGGGAGGTCTGTGGTGATTGTAATATGTAAAGATATATCAGAATATATGGTTCCCTGAACCATTTTGCGAATGGTTGAGAATTGCAAGAATAGGATGCAAAATACTGTAGTGTTTCGCGCATTTGTTCACGTCACAGGTCACAGGCTCGAAAATGAACTGAATTTTCAGGTCTGTCACAGGTCACAGAGGATCGTGAACTGACATTTGGAAGCATGACTGGGCGCTTAAACGAGGGTCAGTGCTTTGAAGGGCCGCACAAGTGCAGCTTTCTGGCTACTTTCGGCTATTCTTTCAGGTTGCTGACATTATTTGAGAGCTTACAATGTGCCTCCAAAGCTTTGGAAAGGGATTGGTAGTGCCTTGACAGAATCGGCAGTAGCCATGAACATGATGTCACAGGTCTCTCCGAACTGTGAACTGGGAACCGGACGGTCACAGGTCACAGGCTGTGAACAAATGCGCGAAACAGTACAGTAGTCATCTTACACCTCCCAGAAGAAAAGCAGATAAGCATATCCTGAGTGATTCTAGTCGAAAATTACAGATCGGATACTCAGATAGTGTAAGTATATGCTAACTATACCAGGATCGGCCACCCGATTTGCACAGAAAAATCTGCTTCGACCTCTACAGAGAGTATTCGAAAAGTTGAGGAGGAGAGCGTGACATTCATCCGCCACAGTTTGGTAATGTTCGGACTCCGCAGCTCGAAGCACTGCAAATGTACCCTGCAATATCAGACTCCGACTGATCCCACTCTCCAAATCAAGAGCGGTGCCGGCTGCGCCATGGTGACCAGCCCGTGACAGGAATTCGAACTCTGCCTCAGTGTAACCAAAATTCCTACCTCTTGACCGGAATCGTTCCGTACGTCGTTGCTCTCCACCGTTTTGAAAACAGATTACTTGAGCATGTTCGCAAGACTTCAATGCATCAATTCATATAAAAATTCTGCTCTAAAGTGGCCTTGTTCAAGTACAGGATGCGCTTTTATGAATCCGCTTCGAACTCCCCCGAAATGATAGTACTCGGATTCCACAGAACTTAGGGCGGCCTGCAAGATTAAACCGTAAACATGACAGCTATGATGAAATGTGCGAATGAACACCCGAAAGCACGTTACAGAAGGAGACGCTAATGAGTCCACGTCGCACTCATCACTTTCGGGTGACTCAGTCGCTTTGATCTCATCGTGAAACTCTTAAGTCACCCTGCTGCAAGTAGAATTTGAGAATTAATGATGGGCGTAGAGTCTGCAATTGAAGTTGAATGTTGAGTCCACCTGCGACGCCAAGCGCATCATTGGCTACTGCAAGGAGCAGGGCGTATACCTTCGAGTCAGGGTGTGATGTTCTCTGAATGAATCTTTCGGATATAAATCGCCAGTAAACAAAAGGCTGCCCATCCACCTTAACTCAGGACGTACCATCCATTGTCCACTTTGTGGAAGACAGGTGAAAGAGAAGGGTGATTGCACCAGTGACCTCTCGGATCGATTGGATGGGCAGGCGTCTTTGGCACGATCATGAGGACGTTGCGAACTTCTTCACCAAAGGCGCAAAGGTGTAATGATAAATTAATGGCTATCGTCGAAGGAGTTAAACAAGTCGACGTAAGCTTCCAAGCTCTTCGCAAAGATTATGATTGGTCGGTTTGCGATGGATGAGTCACTGGACATGTATACATGAAGAACCACCGACAGATCGTATAGTTCTTCCTTTGAGATCGCAGTTAGTCCATCAGCGACAACTTTGAATGCTCAAGACAGAATGACTTCCAAACAACCAGCCAGGCACGTTATTCCATTACAATAGAGGCAATGGTCTCAGCGTGTGCTGCCGATCTCGGTTCAATCTTGCATGCAAACGGTTCTGGACAACTAGGGCAACATTCGGTGAGATACTGAAGAAGAATAAATGAGATATTTCATACCTGACAAGCGTCGGAGTGAATGCCAAATCTGAAGGCATTTTGAGGCCTTTTATCGGTCTATCTGGTGAACTAACGTTGAAGAATGAAAGCGTATTGGCCGCGAATAGAAAAAGGAAGTTGTCGGCAACATGTCTTCCGGGACAGATGCTATTCAGGGTAATGACGAGGCCATATGAGAACATATCGCAGGCCAACAGATTGAATAACCCACCGTCTTCCGAACCCATAAATGTACTCATATGGGTTTTGTGCATTACCAGAATCCAAAAAGCGGTCAGGATTGAAGCACTTAGGGTCATCGACGTCCTGGGATAGAGCCCTAAGATACGTCTAGTGAGGATACCAAAGGCCGTTTAGCTATAAGTTATGATTACCAGATGTTTGGAACAATGATAGTATTTGCAGGGATGTTGAAACCTGTAGACAGCTTTCACTCCAGAATCCATAGATAGATTGATACAGACATACCATTATAAATATCATCTTCTCCAGTGCGACGTGGAAGACCTGTTGTAAGTATATGATCAGCTTAAAAATCCATGCCATACAGGCATGTTACACACTGGTAGGAACCACGACGTGCCATCTTGCCACTTCTCGAAGCAAGGCCTGAAGATATGGCAGGTTGGGGCGATCTTCTAAGCTTGCAACCCTGTTACCACCGGTAACGGAGTCTATTTCCTGCCGTGCCTTTGCTTGTACATCCGGGTGTAAAGCCATAAGTAAGAAGAATATAAGCATCGTAGTAAATGACTGTAATCCGTGTTTTCAGTACGACGTGTGCGAAGAGGACAAACGAATGGAATGTGCCTTACTGTTTCTACACCAGCTACGAAATGGAGTGCATTGAGAACCCGAAACACCGACCATTTGTTCCCTCTCACCTGCAAATAATGCCCCAGCTGTCCACTTAATGTCCTCGATCAAATCCTCACTATGTTTTCCATGTTTTTCCAACGTTTCAGGCTCACTAAGGAGATCGGAGACAAAAGACTGCGGTGCATTGCCAGCAGCCTACCAGACATCTCAACTCCATGCCGCAACAGAGGGATATAATCCACTTACCAAACACCTCTCGACATGCTCATATGGCCGGGTAATAAGGTCAGTGATGAGCTTTCGACCGTAGTCGCCAATTTGATGAAACGTAGTGAACGGGAACCATCGAGGAAGATGTTTTACTATAGCACAATAAGTTATATGAACAAACAAAAAACCGGTACTGAATAAGGTTCGTACGGATGGGTATCAAGTCAACGACATAGGCTCCAGGCATGGCAGCCTCGGTCATTGTATCCATTGTGTGTTGCGCGGCGACAATGTACTGATCAAGTGCGTCCAAATGAGTCACCTTCATGGCTAGATGACAACGATCATAGCTTACCTCGGAATCTGCTGTCTTAATGTCTAAACCATATGTGATCGTTAGAATCATACGACTCGCAGCGCTATCAAGAGTTACTGTGTCAACTATATGCAGAGTTTCGGCAAGACGCCATAGACATACAGTCGACATTGTTCCCTGAAATCGTCAGGGTCAACTCGCAGGCGATCTAGCAACAGTTTGATGACATCGAGCTGCAGGTCTTGATACTTTCTCGATGCTTCCGGACTTAATACCTGTTGAGTTAGCCTACGAATGACTCGATATCTGTCGTTGTAATCGTAGAACACTAAAGTCTACCAAATATTCAGAACCATCCCAAAAGCGCAGTAGAGATAATTGACCTTATCAAGACCAAATAACTCGCCAGCCATCACCGTATGTGGGCGGTGAGAATAATTCTTCGCACGCTTATCTAGAAGGTCCTTGATTACTTCGGCAGTGTTCAAAACCAGTACAGACCGCCCGAATGCGCTCAGATAAGTCATTCCGCCTATTATGCTGCTTAGACATGATGAAAGCAAGAGATCTGGAAAGTGGAAAACGCACCATATTTGTTTCTCCATGCGAGAAGCTTGTCCCAGTCCACAGTACGGGGCATATCAAGAAGGTTTCCGAGAAGCCAATGCTTCGGAGGTGAAGGAGGATATCGACCACGATCCCTTGAGCGATAGATAATGACGCAAAGTGCGACAATGACTATCGCATAGTAGAGCGGCGACATGTTCTACTGCAATACGAATCTTACGGACAGACCTGCTGTAATTAATGGACGCCAGTCAAGGGATAATGAAACGGATAGGTCTCATGCAAGGGCCGAACGGTGGAACGAGTGTACCCCAAAGTATATATGTATTGTTCTTCACGCGTGGGCATTGCCCGATATTGCAAAAGAAGATCACGGGGTATGTGCGGACTCATCTCTGGTGAAGTGTAGGATCGAGTGCGCCACTGCCTCAGAGCTGCATGAGGACTCTAGGACTGATGTTTTGTTCTCACGGAAACCTGGGTGAGAAAATATCAGTCAACTCGGGCGACGAAACCATCTGCGTGGCACTTACATGAGCCATAGAGAGTTTACTAGAGACTGAGGCATCAAGCTTGTGATCAGAATCAGCTTCGACAATGAGTTCATAAACAGGACTTGACAGTTTGATTGATGCATTAGATCTAGTCCGAATCGCCGGTAACATACATTCACATGAGGCATGAGAGCGGATCGTGAATTCATGATACTGTTTGATTGGGTGAGCTATCCCCGCACGCCAATAAGGCGGATACAAAGGGAAGAGCATTGCAACGCTGTCTCTTTCCATCTTCGAAGGCGCGAGAAGTTGCCATATAATTCAAGGTTCTGGGAAGACAGCCGCGTTCCAAAGATGATTTCGCTCTAGGATGGCCAACATAGCCATTAAGAGAAGATAGACATACACGGAGCTCAAGATGAACTGTTGGCCATTGGAGTGCAGGTACATCAAATCCGCGAAACCGCCAAGCGAATGAACAATGCAAGTTATTGTACTGCCATAGAACTGATGACTTCTGCATGGGCATCCGTGCGAGGTTGTATCTTGCACGCAAACGGCTCTGGGAGACTAAAAGAGGATGCGAGCTAAGTTGTACGACAAACTTGGGAGGATGTTCCTACCTAACTATTGTCGGAGAGAATACTACATCTGCCGGCATTTTCAATCCTTCCGTCAATTGAGCAGGTTGATCAATATTGAAAAACGCCAAGGTGTTTACGGCAAAGAGGAAGAGGAAGTTATCTGCGAGGTGTCTTCCAGGACAAATTCTAATCACGAGGTTAAATTAGGGAATACTTTGCGTTAGCTAATTAGTCAAACACACCGCCGTCCAAAGCCATATATATATTCGTAAGGGTTTTGCGCGTTGCTAGAGTTCAAGAAACGTTCTGGATCGAAGCGGCCGGGGTCAATCACGGATTGAGAGAGCGCCCTGATGTCCGTGCGTTCAGGAGATTAGCTAGCGTGTACGGTGTAGACACTCACCAGATGTTCGGTACTAAAACAGTATTCGCAGGAATACGGTAACCTATGTAAAGTCCGTGTCAGAGCCATTTCAACTAGGCAACTGTTCGCTTACCGTTGTAGGTGTCATTTTCCGCTGAACGACGGGGAAGTCCTAACGTAGCATAATCTGATTAGAAGCCTGTAATGAGAATAAACCTACGTACCTGTCGGAGCGACAACATGCCATCTTGCGATTTCTTGGAGCAATGCCTGCACGAACGGAAGATTGGGCCGGTCATCGAAGGTCACAATCCGATTTCCACCGGTCACGGTATCGATCTCTTGTTGCGCCTTAGCCTGTTCTTTTGGATACAACGCCATCGCCAGGAAGAACGTAAGCATCGTAGCGAGGGACTGTATTCTAGTTCATTAGCAGGGCAAAGTACACAAATGATGTGACCCTCACAGTTTCCATCCCAGCTACATAATCATCAAGTGAATGGAGCTCAATTCAGACGAGCGATTGACAACGATTGTCTCTTACCTGAGAACATTGCACCAGCAGTCCACTTTATATCCTCAATTAAGTCTTCACTATGTTTTCCATGCTTTGCCATTGTTTCAGGATCAGCGAGGAGGTCGGAAACAAATGACTGGGGTGCATAACCGTTGGCCTGTCGACACATCAGTTATACAAAATTAGCCAACCTTAATATTTGCTTCATCCACTTACCATATTCCTCCTTACATACTCGAATGGCAGAGTCACGAAGTCGAAAACGAGTTTTCGTCCGTAATCGCCCACCTCGTGAAATGATGTGAACGGAAACCACCTGGGAAGATGCTTCACTACGGGGATAGTTGGGCTTACTACATGGTTGAAATTAAGGAGGACCTTACAAGCAGGAATGAGGTCTACGATATAGGCTCCGGGCATAACGGCTTGATTGATCGTCTCGGACGTATGTTGTGCGTTGGCGATATACTATTGGAAGTGGTAAAAAGACATCAATTGCAAGCGTTGAACACGAGATATCGATTTATTGTACCTCAGAATCTGCAGCCTTGATTTCTAATCCATATGTAACAGTGAGGATCATACGGCTGACGGCACTGTTCAAGATGAACTAAACCAGTTAGCTTAATAATCCATTACAAACACACGTACAGTCGACACTGCTGCCTAAAGTCATCTGGGTCCAGTCTCAAACTCTCCAGAAATAATTTGACAATATCCAACTGCAATGCTTGATACTTCTTTACTGCTTCCGGGCCTAATACTTGTTGAGTCAACTTTCGAATGGTTCGATACCTGTCATTGTAGTCGTAGAATACAAGGGTCTAGACGAATTTGTATGATGTTATTCCACCACCCCGCACATAAGGACATAATGCTTACCTTATTTAGTCCAAACAACTCTCCAACCATGACCGTCTGAGGACGATGAGAATAGTTCTTTGCACGTTTATCCAGAAGGTCCTTGATGACTTCCGGGGTATTCAATACCAAGACGGACTGTCCAAACGCAGTCAAGTAGGTAAGTCCTCCTTCAAACCATGGCAGTCAGTTACCATCAATCATCGGACATAGCAAAGAGGAACAGACCATAATCGCGCTTCCAGGAAAGAAGTTTGTCCCAATCGACAGTCCGAGGCATATCAAGTAAGTTTCCAAGGAGCCAGTGTTTGGGCGGGGAAGGCGGGTACTGTGCACGATTTCTGAAATGATACGCGATCGCGCAGACAAGCAGGACTGAGACAAAGACATAGTAGAACAGAGACATGATATGCCGAACGGATTTTGTTGCAAGAAAGTGGATACAGTTGCGGAGGCGAAGCTTCTGTGATACTGAATGTGTTGCTTTTGCGGAGACAGGACAGACGTGCCGTGCACCTTATAGGAAACGGAGGGTTTAAGGAGCTTTCGTGATGGTGCTGGGCACCGTCTAATGCGAACCACCGGAAAATCAGCAGCTGAACAATCTTCCACCGGTGCTTCATAAGTACCCTGGAACACCAAAACACCAATTTGAAGCGGTAGGAAATGGTACATGCAAAGTGTTCTATGACGTGTTGTCGTCACCATCAAGTTCCTCTTTCATAAAGTGAGGTTGATTACAAGACCAAAACGTAAGCAAACATAGAAGAAAGAGCGACACGAACGGAACAAACAACTCGATCCTCAATATTTTATTGGGTCGATTGCAACAGCTGGCTTGAAGAAGATAGGCAGATAGTCGCCAGCAGCTCCACATGAGGCGCACGATAAGGGAGAACTAGATTTGGGTCTTCGTGATAAGGTACTAGTACACGGGCTTCCCTTTGTTTTCGAGCTCTTGGAACGTGTCTTCTCGCGTGACAAGCTGCAAAAGTACGGGTATTCAGTCTGCAATGATAGAAAAAGCCACCGGCAACGCACTTCAAACACAAATTCCATCAATTATATGAATGATCCCGGACAATGACATACCTCATGCGTACTCCGTCCCTATAACGGCTGTCGAGGTGATACGACACACAACATTCATAACAAACTGAAGGTCACGATTGTAAGGCGAAGTTCATGATGAACAACCAGGGCTGTTAGACGTCAAATTGGTCAAACGAGGTGCCGAGGCTTCCAGATCAAATTCAAACTCCGCCGTAAATATACAGTATATCTTTCTTTCTTTTATCTCCACACATTTGTATATTTACTTGCTATGCTGACGACTTCTTAGCAGTACTGCACGAGGGTACACGGTGCGTTTGGTACGGGGCACAGGTTTGAAGTATAAGTATTTTGCTCGCTACATCGCCACTCTGCAGTAACTAGGCAAGACCTTTTACCATAATTTTGGTGATGTGGTTGATCATCGCATATGTTTATAGCACCAACAAAATTACCTTGCAGATCCCACCTCGCAGACCGTGTGCCGACTGACTTCATCACTCAATACCAGTACAAGGACGTTGTGGGTGTGATTAGCGTGATTACTAGTAACAAATAACAAACCTTGTATGAGTATCACTGGCCGTGACAAGCTGGAATGATTATTAGTTGGTATTCGCTTCTCACGACCTGTTTGCTAATAGATGGTCTCCGCTGCTGCCTTCAGAGCCCGGAGGTACTTTGGAACATTGTACGGTCTTCATCGCCTCTATACCTTCATGTTACGACTAATCTACCTCTTTGCAGACCTGAATAGGCTCCGGCGCGTATACGATAGTGGCTTTCTAGTCTAACTCCGTGGAGGGACCCCCTACCCAATTCCGACGTACGTTAATCACTTGGACTTATATCTTTGATCTGCCAACAGCGTCCGAGCGTGTCGTTCTGAACACGTTTATAGGAATTCGGTGGCGGCTTCGAACAACCGTTGAACCATCGCCGACAGTCGACCTCCTGTGTCTTCAAGGTCTAACTTCGACTCCAGTACTGCTATCAATGATGCCTAGGACCGGCAACCATCACTGTTGCGTTAGTTGACGAGTCTGATTTTTAAGGGGCGTGTTATATTGACTGTGGCTGTCATATTGACACCCATCATCTGGAACAAGCATGTGAAGGGTGGCGGCGAGTGTGAAAAGTTGTATAAAAGGTAGTCCATTCCAGTACCTTACAAATGCCAACTATTCCTTATGTTACCCCTCACCACGCTTTGCCTCTCTCTGTTCCTTAGGTGCACATTCGTTTCCGCTCAATCGTTTGCTGTCCCAGGAGCATGGAATGTAAGCTCGCTCTCATTGTCAAGTGCCGCAGCTATTGAGAAAACCACAGGTTACCCGATCTTCAGCATCTAAAGCTGAACGTGCCGCCATCGCCCAAGCTGTTATCGATACCCTTATACCCCAATATAATAGCAACAGTGGCCTAGTGGATTGTGCGGATGAATTGTTTCTCCCTAACGACGGAATGTACTTACTCTTATAGTGACCTCGCAGCATTAGTCTTCTATCAAAATGCGGAACTGATATCTGCGATATCGTTCCATGATATAATTACCGGTAACAAGACTTACAGCGATGTCGTGGCCCGGAATATCGAGACAGTGATGCAACGTCAGCCTGGATTCGTCTCTCTAAGGTTAGCGATCAGGTTGGCAATTTGTTAGGTCGCTTTAGTTAACATGAGCATTCCTAGTGTAAGTTGTCACGCCGTATCGTTTAATAGAACCTCAACCTTTATCAAGCGGCTTGCATCTGTAGACTGATTTCGGGGGACGGACATTCAACAACGACCCGGCGTACGTTGAACCCTTGCATTCAATCTACGTGATGATGGACTAAAACGCGAATGCGCCTACTCAGAACATGGGGTGTCGCTGCTTTCCATGCGTACCGTGCATATGGAAATAACAACTTTTTGGATGCCGCAACTTCGGTATGGAACGAAGTGAACGCATTTGTCGTCTCTCGGGACAATGCCGCAAGTGGTTCCCACCCCATGAAGAATGTTACATTCAAACCATTTTGTAATTCCCGTAAGTGACTTTATGTTTTAATAGACTATTAATCAAGCTGACAATCTGGACATAGATTCAGTCGCTGGCGGCGTTTTCGACGTGAGTTGCATGCTATAAGGCGAGATTCATGGGTACAGATGTTTGTGGTTATGAATAGAGCTCTAGCGATCCTAACAATATGGACATCAGCGCGGACACTATCGGGTATGCATTTTTCTTCTGTTATGAATCTCCACTTACCGTTTGGTGTGCAGCCACTTTATGGTGTAGGTTCACCTCCTTCATTGAGAATACTGAGGTCTGAACATACAACAGTTTGTCAGCATACCTATTCGAGGAGACGAAGAATTCAACGTACGAGGCTGCATTGGGGCTCTCGTCGCAATTCGTCAACTTGAACTTACTCTCAACAAGCGGAATCCTCCACCATTCACTGGATCTAACGGCCTGCGGTAGCGATATGCAACAACTTTCTTATCAGTCAGGACTCTATATGCAGAGCCTTATCGTGTATGCAAACACGACCAATGACGCAAACCTGACATCCGTGTAAGTCCATAATGAATATGATATAGATGCACTTCCCATGCTCTCGCCATAGTGTCAACACCTTAGCATTCGACGCAGCAAGCGCATCGTGGACAACATCCCAAGGAGTTATACTAGAAGGTAGAAGAATAAACGCCTCTCCAACCTACGATGCCCTTGCTAACGATTGATCAGGTTCTCCTGATACGAAAAGTGGTTGGTCCGACTTCAAAGGTACAAAACACTGTTTTGTTTCTCGTCCTCATCTTATATTCAGGTTTTCTCTAGGGATATTTATTCGAGCTCTCCATGAGGTGTGGTCGCGAGGATCGAAAGACACTGACGCAGCCAAATTTATCCAAAGCTACGTGACAGTTCAAGTATGTTCATCCACTTCTGCACAATTCACAGCAAGCCCAATGCACAAATTTGCAGTACAACGCTTTGCTGAACTACGCCCGTGCTGGCAACCAGTACTCTCCCAACTGGCTAGGCCCTCCAACACCTAATCTCGTTCCGTGGGGTCAATTGGCGGCGCTGGACGTTTTGAATGCTGCTATCGATATGGACATCAGTCCATCGGAAACCACTGCATCATCTGATACACCATCTACAAATGATGATGGAAATAGCGATACCACCGGAGACCATTCATCATCCATCAAAACTATCATTGGTGCGACAGTGGGCGGTGTCGCCTTCCTTGTCATCTTGATATCTATTGTTGCACTTATTCTCCGGCGGAGACGACGCCGCTGGCGCTCGAATCAGCAACCAATTGACTTGGACTCTCGCGACAACGTTCCAAGCTCCGAATTCAATATGACCATTAGCCCATTCGCCGAGTCAAGCACACCTTCCATCACACAATATACCGATACCCCGCCAGCGACTTTGTATCGTTCCGATCGAGGCAAGGTGCATGCATCTGTAACTTATGCTGAGGCGCAGCCACCGAATGTGTCTGAGAATACGGCTCGGGAGGCTCTTCCGATACTGGTAGAACGGCTCAATGAGGTGATCGCCAGTTTCCCACCTCGATCGACGGCGCAGCAGGAGAGATTGTCTTCAGAGGGACCGCCACGTTACGATACTCTTATTTAGGCCCTATATTTCTTACACCTTCAGATCATTTATCTAGTCATAGTTTACCGTACGGACTGGAGTGAACGCCACATCTGTCTAACACACAGAAGGTCCTCAGTTCGAACCTGGGCCGACTCATACACCTGCAATCGAACTACATTTCTTGCCTCAGTCCCAGTGGACTTTGCATGCATTTTGCTACATTCCATAAGTCATAAATCGATTCAACGCATCGTGCGCCCGTATACTGAGCACAAGAAGCAGTCAGGAAAGAGATCGTATTAGTACAATACAGACACATTAGAGAGCACAACAAAGCAAGAAGGGTCGTTAGACAGAATACATCGTGAAAACATAACACCATACGCGCCCAGCAATACAGCACAACGCGTACATCACAGGAAGTGCGTATCCTAGAAAACAACATTACCGACAAAGGGTCATATAGTCGAATGAAACGTCGTGATAAGAAATGACCTCTACGTCCAAAACGAAAGTGGAAAGTCATTCTAGTTTTCGTAAAAAAGAGCACAAAGCGGTGCGAAGAAAGTCTCGCTCGAGGGGTATCAGCAGAGACAAGTTGAAAGAACAGATCAATGACCTGCTCCAGGAGGCGCATAAGTCTTCTCTCCAATAGCACCTTCATGCTCGTACAAAGGTGGCATGTCCTTCACCTTCATCCTGAAGATATACTTCTTGATGTTCCGAGGTAATGCCTTCAATTGGTATGCCGCATGGGTACGAGTGGGTACAGAGAACACTTGATCAAGTTCTTCGAGTGATAGGGCTTTGGTCTCGGGAAGGAAGAGCAGGATGAGGAAGAAGCCGACGATGTTCCAGCCTGCGTACCAACCAAAGGCACCTTGAGGCTGGAACGCGCCTAATAGTCTTGGGAAGGTGATTGCGACCACGAAGTTGCTGTTGCATGGCATAGCGACGATGAGTGGAAGTTAGAAAGGAATCAGAGGAGAACTTACAAGAACCAAAGGACTGCAGTCGAGAGCGACATGCCGATATCACGAACGTAGAGTGGGTATGCCTCAGCTGAATACTGCATGGCGGTAATGGTCAGTGAAACGAAAAGAAAAAGTATAGATAAGCAGGATAGACTTACGGTGAACGGCACGGGACCCTCACCAGGCGAATACGCCATTCCGAACAGATAGATGCCCAAAGCGACCACTGCCAACCTGGCTTTACCTTCCGGTATCCAAAACGCGAAGCCAGTCATGAGCAAAAAGATAGCCATCAAAGGGAACGTCGTCAACAGCAAATTACGACGTCCGAATGTATCAATGGTGTACACCGCAGGGAATGCAAACAGCCAGTTGACCATACCGAAACCCCAAGAGGCAAGAAGCGCCTGGATCTCAGTGAAATTGGCTTCGGCAAAGATGTTGGATGAATAGTATGCGATAACGTTGACACCGCAGAACTGTTGCAGGAACATGACGATGGTTGAGGCCAAAGCCGCGCGACGGTTTCGAGGGACGGTGAATAGTTCGAGGAAGCGGTTGCGGCCGGTGGTGATTTCCTTCTCAGTCTCGAGGAGGGTGTGAATGTCTGTGAAGGAAATGAGCATTACGGGACCAAAGCGGAAGCGAGCAAACGTACAATACAAGTCACGGGCAGCCTGGATGGGTGCATGACGAAGGCGAAGAAGAGACTCGTATGCCTTGTCGTAACGACCCTTGGACATCAACCAACGCGGCGATTCTGGGCAGAAGAAGACCTGACTCATGATGATGAGAGCAGGAACACCAGCCTATAAGTCGGGGATAAGAAACGAAACCCCGACTCTGAAGTAATTGAAGGAACGTACAGAGCCCAACATAAGACGCCAATTAAGCCCATGAATATGAGGCTTATCGGGAACATGGTAAAATGCTAAGTCCATGACGTTTCCGATCATAATACCGAATGCAGTCCACATTTGCCTTTGAAAGGCGATCAGGTTGGATCGAGACTGGAATGGAGGGCAAATGGAAAACTTACCACATCATAACCAGGGCGCCACGGATGACCGGAGGTGCACACTCAGCAGCGTATACAGGAACAGTCGCCGATTTGGGGCCAATGCCAAACCCGAGGACAAACCGAGCGACGAAGAGATGTTGCCATGAGTTTGTGACACCCTGCCAGATACAACTCGCGAAAGAAACGAAAGCAGTGACGAAGATGGTACCCCTACGACCAAGGTAGGCATTGAGGGGAGCGGTCAGCCAACAGGCGACGACACCGCAGCAAAGCTAATCAAGAAAAAAAATCAGAAAAGACGCTAAAGACGGAGATGAATGAGAGACGTACGTAGGGAGCAGAGTTCACGAGACCAAGCAGCCACTGATTACGACCAGCGGAGCCATCTGTTGCTTTCTGGTCGAGGCCAAATTGTGGAGCAAAGAAGAGATTAGCACCATTGATGACAGATTCATCCATCTACACGAGATAGCCAAGCTTTTAGTATATTGAAATAGAAACGACAGTGGAAGATAACAAATACTCACACCCTGGACGGCAGCAGCTAGTGAACATAGGATCACAAGGTAGTACAATTCCCATGGTTGGTCCCAGCGATGGGTCAACTCGCGTCGTAGGACGTTGCGATCGGCATCATCGAGCATAGGAAGGGATTCAAATGCAGTAGGGTCTTGTGCGACAAGAGCACCTTTCTTGAACTCCTCCTTGAGATGACCGAGACCGTGATCCTCTGCGAACTGGGCAGCATTGGCCATCAGTTTGTCATGAGGGATTCCCGACAACGGATTGGCGAGCTTCGCGTTGATGTTCCTGACATTATCGATATGCTGGACCTCCTTGGAGTACTCGTAGACTGAGTCCTTGCGCTCGATGGACTTTTCCTCAGACATGGTGAGCGCAGTGAGGAGGGCGATGACCAGGAACCAAGAAACCGCCCGAGAAGACGTTGAAGACGGGAAGAAGGCGTCGACGGTCAACAAACATAACTGGAGAAAAGGTGCAATATATAGAGGGCGTCTGTGTCTGAGCTTCGTGCCGAGGACGATGCAGGTAGTCAAATACTGTGCGCTCGCATCAGAAGCAGTCTCCACTTTACATTTGTGCCGGCATTCCTTGTTCCCTTTTCTGGACATCTAGGGTCCGTTTCTACCTCGCGTCCTTGCCTTTTTCGGCACATAGACGCCTGTTACCCCGGATCCCGCCCCGCCCCCATCCCCACCGCTAAACTGGAAGTACTGCTGCCGGCGGTGCCTAGCCACCGACTCGGACGCACGCCACAGTGCTTCTTAGCCCGCCCATGTCCTCTTTCGTCCTGTTGGCGTCGGTGGTCTCTGCAACGTCGTCTTCGCCGCACTCCTCGCGTTCTCTCACAGTCCGAGCAGCTCTCTCTCACAGACCCTTCAGGGAATCAGGTGCCCTGATCGCTTCCGGTCCTCGTACACTGCTCTGTCCCATCTTGATACAACCCTGTGTTGTCGTGAAATGATGTATGATTTGGGGTACATACTATTATGACATGCACATGCACGCAGGCGTCCAAGTGGTTTACCACAATAGCCTCCCGAAAGCTGGTTCTCTCACCCTTGGCATCACTGCCGTCGCGGCTCTGTCAGTCTTATCGCGGCGCATTCGATCCATCATGCTGGTTCTGAAACTACTCTGCTAAATACAGAATAACCCCGACGTACTCGAGTCGCTCGTTCACCGTGAATTGGCTACCCCGCGCCTCAAAGACGAAAGTTTTCTGCGTATCCGTTTTGCCATCCCATCTCCCTCGCATGTTCGTATCCCACCTTACCAGTCCCATTATCTCTTGTAGAAATTTTGGAGGGATGGCAGATCCTTAAGTGGACATGTGATGCTCGCATTTCCGGAACTCTAACCTCCACAGCATGGCTACAAGCACAGCAGCCACGCATCGGGTCTAACGACAATACGGTTGAAAGTTGAAATCTCCTCAAGCATCTCTCCTCTAAACCGGTATTCGGTCCGACAAGTTCAAATTGATTTGCACCACTTTGTCACTCTCTGGCGTATTGAATTCCGCAGCGGTCCAGGGTTTGCGTGCGTGCGAGCCAAAAGTTTTTCAAGTCCAGCTTTTGGCGCCACATACTGCAGGGAACCGTTAGGACCCTGTCGAGCAGCCAAACAGGAAATTCGCAAGGAATCCCGAGATTTGTAACTTAAATTACAGACGTATTCTCCATTCCGAGTCTTCCATCATTTCCGCCGTCTCCGAGATAACCCAAGTTCCGTGTCTATGATCTACCATGGACAATACAGACCGAAGCAATAAATGTTCAACGAACATTTCGGATCCTGGTTGACTCCTAATGCACAAATTTCACTCTTTTCGGACCGGCAGGTTGCACGATCGTCCCGTACAATGTGACGTCGACGGTAAGTACCCTAATTTGCGACAGTCTCTTACGCTATGGGCGTTTGACTTGCATACCGTTCAGGTGAGTGAAACTCAGTGAGCCTTTCAACGGACGCTTTATATACACACGCACTTCGCTTTGAGAGACACTAGAATATTACCCGTATGCAACTAAAGTCTACGATCTTCGATTCTCTGCGACCATCCCACATTGGCTCGTGGATGTACTTACACATCCTTTGCCTCATTATGTCGGAGTTGACTATATATGCCTTCACTACGCCAGTGGCCGGTGAGTTGCTGACGTCCGCAATTTTCTTCTATCATAGCTTGAACTTCGCCGTTATCGTTGAACGGTTTCTGTCATGGACAGTGTATAGGTTGCCATCCCTCAGGATCTCAGCTAACGGCTCCAAGCAGATCGGAGCTCGAAGTATGTGAGTCACGAGATTTTCACTTCTCTTGATGTCGTCACAGTACATACAGTTGTGCAGGGTGTGAACAGGTTCTTGGTGCAACTACTGTAACCAACGGCATCAATGGCTCATGAAGACCATGGGGTTGTGTCATGAAACGCACGCTCGAGATGTCGGGGGTCTTTTGTAGCTGCTATGACATCGAACGCCAAACTGTGAGTGCTTTACTTATTGCCGAACGTCGAATTGCAAAAGCCGACTCCAATTATTTTGATCGAGAGAAACGCTGTATGCTCGAGGTATATAACTATGCCTGCTTCGCTTCTGCGTTGGAGCCCTTCAGCTCCACTCCATCGTTCGCTATTTCTCCGACTTTTCCAAGCCTCACACTATTTCTTTCTCCCCCTCATCATCTCGTTAACATCCACCAACCATGTCCGACAAAAAACCCACAAACCACAAAAATCATGACTCTATCTCGACATACTCCAACGAAGGAGTCCAAATCCAACACATAGATAACGTCAGCCAAAACATCAACGTCAAGCTCGCCAATCCTTTAACGGGGATCCCTCATGATCAATTAATGTCTGACGCTGCTCAATTCGCTGAAGAGCGTGGACTAGGTCACCTTAAGGAAGAGTTCAAGAAAGGTGCTCTTGTCGCTCAAGACCCTACATCCTTCGAAGCCCTCCCATTACTCGACGATGCGGATCGGAATATCCTGAGACGAGAGTTGACACATCGCTGGGACCAACCATGGCAATTGTATTACCTTGTAATTCTATGTTCAGTAGCTGCTGCCGTCCAAGGTGTGAGTGCGATCCTTCTCTCATTTGATTCTTCCTTTGCTGTAGTTTCGCTGAATGAATTTGCGCATAGATGGATGAATCGGTTATCAATGGTGCCAATCTGTTCTTTGCACCACAATTTGGTATCGACATACATGCTACCGATGGGAACGCTGGTCGCAACCAGTGGTTAGTCGGTCTTGTGAACTCTGCTCCTTACGTATGTCCGACACCGACCTCTCATGCAATTTGGAGCTCAAGCGTCTAAACTTTCCTTGAATAGCTTTGTTGCGGTATCATCTCTTGTTGGCTAACGGCACCCCTTAATGCCTATCTCGGCCGTCGAGGAACCATCTTCTTGACTGCCTTCGTCTCTTTCGCCAGTTGCATTTGGCAAGGCGTTACAAACTCATGGCAACATCTTTTCGTCGCTAGGTTGGTGCTTGGGTTTGGAATCGGTCCCAAGTCTACGACGGTCCCGGTCTACGCTGCAGAATGCGCTCCCGCTGTTATCAGAGGTGCTCTGGTTATGATGTGGTACGCATCTCCAACTTGAATACCTTCATTGTAGGTTGATGTATTTACTTCATTCTAGGCAGATGTGGACTGCTTTCGGTATCATGATTGGTTACGTCATGGACGTCGCATTCTACAACGTCCCGGACAAACCTGGTATCAAAGGGCTCAACTGGCGACTCATGTTGGGTTCTGTATGTTACTTCTCCTCGGTATCGAACTCAAAGAGACTTACATTTGCCTGATACAGGCCGGTATTCCTGCTCTCATCCTCATGAGCCAGGTCTATTTCTGTCCCGAATCACCCCGTTGGTTAATATCTAAGGGTCGTTACGACAAGGCATACGAGTCTCTTCTTCGTCTTCGTCATACACCCATACAAGCCGCTCGCGACTTATACTGTAAGCTCAATCCCCGTTCCCCAACTCTTCGCAGATGTTGAGCAGTTTGCTTAGATATCCACACCCTACTCGAGGCCGAAAAGGAGATCACCACAGGTCGTAACCGCTTCCTCGAACTCTTCACCGTGCCGCGAAATCGTCGAGCCACTCTGGCATCCCTCATTGTCATGTTCATGCAACAATTCTGCGGCGTCAATGCGATCGCCTACTACTCTTCTACCATATTTACCGATGCCAACTTTTCCGAGATTCAAGCTCTTCTGATTTCTTGGGGTTTCGGAATGGTTAATTGGCTGTTCGCGTTTCCCGCGGTGTATACCATCGATACCTTTGGCAGGCGGAATTTGCTATTGACATCTTTCCCTTTGATGGCTATCTTCATGCTCGTAGCGGGCTTTGCATATTGGATCCCGAGTGTAAAACCGAGATTGGCGATTATTTCGTTGGGTATATACTTGTTCGGAGTAGCGTACTCACCTGGCGAAGGTCCGGTACCATTCACTGTGAGCTCTTCACACTCCTTCTCGTATAATCAATAGTCACTGATCATCTGTCATAGTATTCCGCCGAGGCTTACCCACTCTACGTTCGTGATATCGGCATGTCGCTCTCGACTGCAGTCCTCTGGTTCTTGTAAGTCCTCCTTTGCTTGCTTTCTGACTCTAGCTCATCCCTTACCATTCTACAGCAACTTTGTGGTCGCAATCACGTTCCCGAGACTACTAGGCGCGTTCCAGCCTCAAGGTGCCTTTGGTTGGTACGCAGGTTGGAACGTCGTTGGCTTCTTCCTCGTCCTACTCTTCCTCCCCGAGACCAAAGCCCTATCACTCGAAGAACTTGATCAAGTGTTCTCTGTACCCACTCGTACCCATGCGGCGTACCAGTTGAAGGCATTGCCTCGGAACATCAAGAAGTATATCTTCAGGATGAAGGTGAAGGATATGCCGCCTTTGTATGAACATGAAGGTGCTATTGGGGAGAAGACTTATGCACCTGCTGCGGCTGGCCATTGAGAATCTTGACCTTTTCTGTTGATCATTCCGTTAATAATATTTACTTGTATCTACCTATTTTATCTATATGCACACATGTACAAGCCTCATAATTTGAACGCTTCTGTATTTATATCATCCTAGAAACACTAAGGGATCGTAAAGCGTGGCTCTAACTTTGACTGTATTCGTCCTGCACTGCAGTCATAAGAGTGGGGTAAAACGTTAAATCAGGCACGTCCGAACTAACGATCACAGCGTGTACGCCAGGTTGAAGTCCGACATTATCTAGACATTGAGCCGCTCGCCCGGCTTCGTCATGACATTTTGGAAACGTGTTGCAGAGCAAATACGGATGTCAATGTGTCTTTCCTTTTTTTATACGAATCTTCTTCGTCACGACATTCTTAACCACGGCGGGGTGCCATTACTTGGGACTTGGCTCATTGGTTGAGCCAATCCTAGAAGCAAGCGGCCTGAATGATCGACCGGGTCCAGAAAGTGATCGAAATATAACGCACCCACAAGTGATCTATACCGGTTACTACCACTGTTACGCGGTTCTTCGCATTGCTTCGTGGTCGAGCATGGCTGGTAGGCTGTTTGGGTACTGTCATGCTTCCTAAGTACGGTACGTATCAGGCAGAGAGCTTTCGCATCCATTGGAATTAGACAGACGGGCAACGTAATAGACGTTGCGAGTCGTTTGCGTTCTTCAAGTTACCTGGCCAAAGGCAACTATCCAAAAGGAGGCAAGACATGGCGGTCATCAGAGGAAAAGTACTACTGTATGGATGAAGTGCCAAGAGTTCGACAAGCGTGCACTTCCCATCTTGGCGAGAGACGACGACCAACTACTCGAGGCTCCGGGAGCCTGGAGCAGATGTAAGGACGGCAAAGGTCTGACAAGAAGGCCAAGCACATATGTACGTGCTTTCAATTCCTTAGAAACTGTAGTTATAATCAATTTTCCAATATTCATTCACTAGTCGTTCCACTGGCATGCAGTCGCTCCGGCCCCCTAAATACTCGAGTGCGCTCCGGTTTTACGATTTCTTCCGTGGCCATATATCTATATATCAGAACAAGTCACGCAGATGCCCTCGAGAATCGAAACAGCGACTCTTTCAGTCAGCTCTCAGTCAATGTGCACACCCTGACTTTTCCTTGGAAGCGCTCTCGGACGATGAACATCCATCATACCGGTGAGATGAGTTTCCATATCTGCATATTGTATGTCTAGCTTCCAGTCATACGAGTCTGTGAACTGTGGAGGCTCTGCTCACGGCTAATGAGTCTGAGAGTCGACTATTTATATCGTCAACCTACTCCACATTGTAGTTCGCCATCACCATTTGGAAGCTACCCTGTAAGTGTCAAGTTATTCTACACGTTGAAATATTATGATGTTTGGAGGATTCTTCGGCAAGCATTCCCGATGGCTGCGGACAATCGAAAATGGCAACCTGCGAGTAAACTCCACCGACACTACTGCTAGTTCCTTATTGACATCTTAAAGATGTCGTCGGGGTGACAGAATTTCAGATGCTGAATGGTGCATTGCATAAGCCGATGGTACTGCGCGACGGATGGAGATATACGAGTTTTATACATTGGGAATGAAAAAAAATACGCGCTCGAGGAGTTACATCACAATACTGACATTAGCAAACTTGAAGGTGAGTCAAAGGTGAGTACCCAACTCTAGGATCCCCATTTCAAAGTTGAACTCTAATTGCACAGCTTGTGCTGCAGTGATATCCGGTGCAATATGAATTGACTATTGCCTCGGCACCAAATCTTGCCAGAGGGAGACGATGAACGTGCATATAAACACACCTTCTCCATTTCTGATGAGAAGTCGTCTCGAACTCCACCTACTGGTCCGCGACCTTCCCTCGAGCGATTCCTTCGTGAGCGGTTCCTGACCTGGCTTCTTCCTGCACAATGTCGGAAGAAAAAGTCGTCGACCGCAAAGATCACGACTCGATCTCTGATTCCTATTCCAAGGAAGGCGTACAAGTCAAACATATCGACAATGCCAGCCAAAACGTCAACGTCAAGCTGGCCAACCCCTTGTCAGGGATCCCACATGACCAACTGATGGCAGATGCTGCTCAATTTGCGGAGGATCGCGGGCTTGGCCACCTTACGGAGGTCTTCAAGAAAGGTGCTCTCGTCGCGCAAGACCCTATTGCCTTTGAGACTCCTCCTATGCTTGACGATGCCGACCGAAACATTCTACGGCGCGAGTTGACCCATCGCTGGGACCAGCCATGGCAATTACTATCTTGTAATTCTATGTTCTTTAGCGGCCGCCGTCCAGGGTGTAAGTACCATTTATCACCTTGATCGTAAGGCGTAACCCTCTGACTATGTATCTATGGATGGATGAAGCAGTTATTAATGGTGCCAATATCTTCTTCGCCTCACAATTCGGTATCGACCCAAATTCACAAGACGGCAATGCTGGTCGTAATCAATGGCTCTTTGGTCTCGTGAACTCTGCTCCCTATGTATGTCTTCCTTCGTCCTCTTTATTCCGAGCGCTGTTGCTGACTTCTCTTCTCCGGATTAGCTTTGTTGCGGCATGATTTCGTGTTGGTTGACCGCTCCGCTCAACGTCTATCTCGGTCGTCGAGGAACTATCTTCCTCACCGCATTCATATCTTTTGCCAGTTGTATCTGGCAGGGCGTCACAAACTCATGGCAACATCTTTTCGTCGCTCGCTTTGTCCTTGGTTTTGGTATAGGCCCTAAATCAAGTACTGTCCCTGTGTACGCAGCCGAATGCGCCCCTGCGGTCATTCGTGGTGCTCTAGTCATGATGTGGTGCGTTCTCAATAGCACCCTCCCCTCACTACTCGACCGACTCACTTTACTCTTTACAGGCAGATGTGGACTGCATTCGGTATTATGATCGGTGATGTGGTGGACTTGGCATTCTTCAAAGTCCCGGACAAACCTGGCATCACAGGGCTAAACTGGCGTCTCATGTTGGGCTCTGTACGTTCCTTCAACTGCCCCCGATTCGGTGTTTCGTTTCCTTATCTCCGTCAAATAGGCTGGTGTTCCCGCTGTCATCGTGATGAGCCAGGTCTACTTCAGCCCTGAGTCTCCTCGTTGGCTGATGTCGAAGGGTCGCTACGACAAGGCATACGAGTCCCTCCTCCGCCTTCGTCATGCACCCATTCAGGCTGCCCGTGACCTTTACTGTACGTCCTACCACTCATGTTCTTTGGCATAGCATAACTCATGTTTCCTTCGCAGACATCCACACCCTCCTCGAAGCCGAGAAAGAGATTACCACAGGTCGAAACCTCCTCTTCGAACTCTTCACGGTCGCTCGAAACCGTCGCGCTGCTCTCGCCTCCGTGATCGTCATGTTCCTGCAACAATTCTGCGGCGTCAACGTCATTGCCTACTACTCTACCAACGTCTTTACCGATGCCAACTTCACCGAGATCCAAGCCCTTCTGGCTTCTTGGGGTTTTGGTATGATCAATTGGTTGTTCGCGTTCCCCGCAGTGTACACCATTGATACGTTCGGACGGCGGAATTTGCTGTTAACGTCATTCCCGTTGATGGCTATCTTCTTGCTTATGACCGGTTTTGCCTTTTGGATACCGGAAGGGAAGGGCAGGTTAGCAGTTGTCAGTTTGGGCATTTATTTGTTCGGAATGGCGTACTCGCCTGGTGAAGGTCCTGTGCCATCCACTGTAAGTCTTATCCACCCCTTTTCTGATCCTCAATAGTTATTGACGATCTGTGTTATAGTACTCGGCAGAAGCTTAACCTTTGTACGTTCGTGACGTTGGCATGTCATTATCAACTTCAGTGCTCTGGTTCTTGTGAGTTTTTTCTTGCTCGATCTTCTGACGTTTTCTTCATTTCCGTCGTACAGCAACTTCGTCATCGCCCTTACCTTCCCCCGACTTCTTAGTGCCTTCGGGCCCCAAGGAGCTTTTCGTTGGTACGCAGGCTGGAATATTCTTGGGTTCTTCTTGGTCCTCCTCTTCGTACCTGAGACCAAAGCACTCTCGCTCGAAGAGCTCGATCATGTGTTCTCTGTACCAACACGCACTCATGCTGCATATCAAGTCAAGGCATTGGGACGGAACATCAAGAAGTATATCTTTAGGATGAAGGTGAAGGACGTACCCCCGCTATACCAGCATGAAGGTGGTATCGGCGAGAAGACGTATGCGCCTGCTGCGGCTGGTCATTCGTCCGCAGGGCCTGCAGGGTCTAGCGACCCTCCCTTCCGTCACGAAAGCTACTATGTATAGCTTTCACCTCCTTGATAGGCATAGAAGACACTTCTTAGGCTAACATGGATGTACAACTTGAACTTATAAGCATTCTTGCATGCATCAAGGAGTCCCTGATGTATCGTAGTAATTGCGAGGCTGTATAATAGTGCGACCTAGTTTATTCTTTGAATCAAGTCTGTTTGCCTGGCGAAATTTGTATCTTCAGTCGTTTCCGATTGGATTGTGTAGACTGCGGCGAAATGATGTAGGCAGATGGCCGCGATGAGGAAACCTCTTCGCGATGACATCACGAGGAAGTAATTAAGCTTTCTGATGCCAGTGTCAAACCTTGTTTTACTGCAGTGATTGTACGTACAAAAGATGATCGATGAGGCCGATCTGTCAAGGACACCCTGGCAAACGTTGAGTCTTATCTGGAGACGCGGTGGCGGCAAGCGTCGAGTTTGAGGGTGACAACTTCAGCGCTGCGCATATACAGAGATGAGAATCGACAAACTATTACACGGCGATACTGTGTGAGTAAAGCAGGCATGTGAGTCTGAGGTAGAGCATGCATATGATGCCACCGACAGCCTGAGTTATATCCCTAGCGTCCTATAATGTGGTCCTATAATGTGCAAGGCCAATGAATATGTACGATCTAGTTCCTTAGAATTGTGTGGAAAATCATGCCAATTGAAGCATGCGTTGCTAGTTCAGTGATCACACCGGAACTCCGCTAATGCTACGAGCATCAGTACTCTTGAAGCTTCCAAGGTCAACGGTTGACTCGGAACCTGCAACCTAAATGATCCACCGAGTCTAAGATAATCGAGACAAAAGCACCGTATATATCAGACAGGCTACTGTATGAGCACTTGAACTTGTTTTGCCGATGGCATTGCAATGCATTTCTTGGCAAGAGATGCCGCGCCATGCCTCTTGCAAATGTGGAAGTTTTCATTCCTGCGTCATGACCGTCATGACTCTTGAAAAAAAAATACCCACGTCGCGTCAAGGGGTCAATTAAGTCGCGGTTCAATTCCAGATTCTACGACGGAAACGGAGATCCGGCAACCATCATGTAACGTTGCTGATGGTGAGAACGTTAGATGAGGTCTTGAGACCTTGACTGCAGGAGTTCTCAAGCTTCAACTTCCGAGTTCTACGTGGAGAGTGCTGTAGACATTCAGCGAGTTCACATATGAGCTGTTGACGTCAATCTCATTCCATCTGAAGTAGCGGACTCGCGTTAGAAGAATCTTCAACGGGTTCGCTAGACGTTCAATGTCAACGTTCAGGAACAGACAGCGTCGATAAACCATCAACGAGCCTCCTCAAGAATCTAGTGTGCAAGCAGCGAGCTATGAGTGGCAAGAAGTATTTGATGGTGATACATACTACAGCAGAGCAGCAAAGTAAGAATAACAAAAAAGTGTTCCGTGAGCGAATAAACAGAATAAACAAAATGCAGAAGTCGGTGAGGAGGTAGAGGGGATAGTCATCCGAATGAGGGTTGCGGCGAGAAGAATGAGGAGGCAGGGGTTTGGTGCGGGAACAAACAACAAGAACACATGAAAGCGAAGACGAAGGTGTGACAAGATCGACAAAGAACAATAATGAGAAACCACCCAGGTGAACTCGAAATCTTGTTGACCGCGCCTAAACTGTACCTTGCACGTTGCACGGACCTGTTGTCGGTAGGAGGTGGAAGTGTTGAAGTAGGTAGGGAGGAAATGTCGCCAAGAGTAAGGAAGGGAGGATGAGAAATGTAGAGAGTACAGCAGAGTTAGAATAACATAGAGGGTCAGTTGACTGTCGAGGTGGAGATGGTTAGTGAACGAGATGCTGTTTTTCTTCTATTGCAGTCGAGAGAGTCGAGGTCGGAAGGGAAGGGGAATAGTTCTTGCCTCGTCTAAGAAGGGTCTAATCGGAGTCGACCATCTCGATCGCGCCACATTGTTCGCAATGCGCCCACATCGACCTTTTGCCGTGGAGTCCCGAAGAGCAGGCCATCCGGAGTTTTGGTATTTGAGAGCAGGTTTGACTGTCACAAGTGCACGACGCGAGAAGAGAAGTATAATCAGCCACGAACTTGACCACAAACGATAAACGGCAAAGAAGGAAAAGCGCAACGGCAAGAACGTCTTCTGCGAAAGAAGGTAAGTACCTACCCGTGGTGAGTGAATGCCGATCCTCGGGGTTGGAAGAGTCCGACCGAACGTTGTTGCTGCGCTGGTTGATTGAAGTAGTTAGTGTCGACTGACATTTCTTCTTGTCCTTCTTGAGGGTAAAGATCGAACGCTGGGTAATATGCTGAGTACAGCTGTCAACCGTGTTGAAGGCGTTACCGCACGCGAGAATACTCACGAGAATTACGAGGTGAGTCGCTATATGCGGATGATGTCGAGCTAGCATTCGAGTGAAGCCGGGTATGGAATGACTGGGTAGGGATAGAGAGCGGTGGAAGTTCAGGTACAGCATCCTCAGACATGGCTACGTCCGAGTCCAGATCCGTTTTGGGGAATGGAAAGAGTTTTGGTTGTTTCGCAGTCTACAACGATCAAGCAATGTAAGTTCCATATATGGCAACAGACGTCGAACAGGAGGTGGACCCACAGAGTACGCGACATCGTCCTCGAAGTCAAACGACAATTTGCGCTTCAAGGCCATGGTGTATAATGAGGAGAGGTGGGTATTGGTACAAGGGAAGGGCAAGGAGCGAGCGGAATGAGCTCTTGGCGTCGACAGTAAAGTCGAGGGAGAGTTGGGAAAGGAGGGAAACGCTTCACAGGCCGGTACCTTATACTGCCAAATGTTTATACTTGTTTGCTCTCCGAGAAATGCTGCATTTCCTTAGGTAACCCGGTCTAACGCCCTCGGCACTACTCGGCGACCCTTCAGAGTAGCTTCCGATTGGCTCGCTCAGCTCGGAGAACTGAATTTGTGGTAGTCCGATGATCAATTTAGCTTTTCCGGCAGTGGCGCGTTACACCGGAGTCACAAACCGGAGGTCACATCATGACGCCAACACCACCGTGACGCCGTCCGATGCATGATGGCCACTGGCCAGTGCGCGCGAGTCTCCGAAGCTGTCAAGCAACCGCCACCATTTGTTGCCAAGTTCGAGACTCGACCAAGCGTACAACCGTCAAGTTTTTTTGCGTTCACGGCACCTTTGGCAAGTACGCATGGCGATAGGTACCCTGGAATAAGGTATTATATCTTCTGGTATATTTCCTAAGTGAATAGCAGCGGTGGAATTAGTCTAGGTATGGTATAGGGATCCAAAAGGGACCGACGATCCCCCTGGCGCCGTGGCGACTGTGCGCACCAGCGGTCTGGGAAGGCGAAACGCGACCGTTGCTTGTGGCGTTGAACTCTATGCTATCAGACCCTTGTCTCGCAAGTATTGTCGGTGTTCTTCCGAGTGCGCTCGAACTGTATTGTCAACAGACATCCGCCAAAATGGAAGTGCGATCTGGAACATATCGTCAACTTCTATGAAGAGAATGGTGACTTGTGATGAATCAGTACTCACTCTTCCTATGAGCTCATAGATTGAGTCCATGAAGAAGTTGTTCCCTGGTGATGATCCACGGGTGGAGCCACGGAAAACATTCAGGAGGAAGTCATATGTGATATGGAAGTCACCGTTCTGAACACCTTTGAGGATCCCTTGCGCCACCGCGTCTGGCTGAGCGCCACCATCGCTTTCCTCTATTTTGAGCGTGACCTTTGGTTTAGTTTGATTCTCGACTTCGTAGCCTGGCGAGTAGATGGTTCCAGGAAAGGCGATGTGTACATCGATGTCGTAGAGCATGAGTTCGGATTGGAGTGTTTCCGCCAACCCTGCATGGTACCAATAGCGTAGTACGAATAATCAAATGGATTCAGAACATAGTCAAGTTCGTCAACCAAGTCAGTGCAGACGAATGAACGTACCTCGAGTAGCAAACTTTCCAGGTGAATATGTCGAATAGCCAACTATCGACATATACCCAAGCACCGAGGACACGAAAACGATCTTGCCCTTTGCTTGATCGCGCACCATACGTCTCACCGCCGCCTAACAAAAGAACAACCGTCACATTCAATCACACTACAGAAGAACGCGTGAAATGGACATACCAGAGCAGACCAAGCTTGGCACCAATACGTCTCCTCCATACCCTTCTTCAAGGATTCTTCACTCTGCTCCACAAAGTGTCCTGGTCTAGACGTTCCAGCAACGAAGAACTGAGCATCAGGACATCGACCATCATGGGCTTGACATGCTGCCTCGAGTGCTTCCGCTGCGCCGGACGCATTGTCTATAGAGTAGGAATAGGCTTTGATGGTTTGGTCTGGTGATTGTCTGACTGTCTGAAGAACGGCGAGTATGAAACACACGTCAGTGAGCCAAGCATGTATGTGTTGAGACAAAATATAGAATATAAGTTAAGCGCACCTCTAACTCCTTCAGTGCCGTGTCTAACCTCTCCTGATTCCTCGCCACGATCGAGACGTGTGCGCCCTTCCTCACGAGTAACTTTGCTATTGCAAGACCCGCACCTGCCGAACCGCCTGTAACATAACAATGCTACACTCATAAAGAAGTTTAATATGAGCAATCCCCCGGCTTTCAGGCTAAAACCTTGGAACTTACCTTGCCACGCGGATCCCACTTCTTCTTAAAGAACATCCTGCGGTATAGAGAATACGTGATTGTCAGGGCTACTGCTGTACAGGCTGTGAGGATCGCGTTGGCGATCATGTCAAGAGTATAACGATGTGGAAGTCAACGTTCGGCGACTAGTGTATTGAGCAAAGAGTCACCTGAGTAGAAAGTTGAAATGAAGGTAATGAAGGACGCGAGCTGCCAAGACCACGACATGATTGGACAAGGCAGCAGAACTTCTATTCTAATCTGGCACCTCCACTTGTCGTCTTCCTTCCTTCCTTGTACACCACTGGAAGCCCAAACGTATAGTATTCATTCCAAAGCTTACAGATACAACAAATAAATGAATCAACCCTGTAACCAATCCTGTATTAAATGATATCCTCGCAAAACCGATGCTATCGTGAACGAGATGCTTTCGCCTTCGATCTCCTTGTCGACCGTCTTCCACTCGACCCACCCTCACCTTCCTGTCCAGCATTCCCCGCTCCCTTAGTGAGTCCATCAGCAGCACCCTTCGCAGCCTCCCACCATCCCGACTCCTCGACCACTCTGCCCGCAGCACCCAACACTTCACTCACAACCTGCTGCACATTCATATTCGAATCCCTCCCAGCTTGATCGTTCTCGCTATACTGCCAATCACGATGCCGATCCCACGAATCCCAAACGTTTGGGCGAGATTGTGAGTTCGGTTGGGTGCGTGAGCGGGTTCGAGGGCTGCTCTGAGCGTTACGAGAACCTCGACGACCACCTGCTGCATCTTGGCCTTGACCATTGATCATATCAAGAATCAAACCACCCATCATAGGTATCAGACCCGCTCCTGCGAATAGTGCGCCCACACCATTCCCCTCGCCATCAACATTTGCGTTGGCTAAGATGTACCCAGCCCCTATTCCAATTAAACCGAATATAGTTCCCCATTTCACGAAAGCGAACGCAGTGCGGATCATCCAGCCTGTTGTTCGGTAGAAACTGAATAGAGCGACGTAGACTGTTAGTAGCGTGATGAGAGGGGGTAGAATCCGCTGGGTGTCCCATGAAGAGGGCTCTGTTATGAACGCCGTCACTAGCCCAAGTAGCGATGAGACCAGAGCGATAGAATGAGACAATAATGTCTCCAGTACGGAGTAGAGTGTCGGTGGAATATGATCGGAGAGGTAGTCCAGCACTGGGTCGAGGAATTCAGGGAGGTCAACGTTCGACATGATGGTAAAGACGTTGTCTACCTCCGACGAGGAGGATCTGCGGTACCCGGAAGTTGGGTGAAGGATGGATAACGTCTCAGTGGACGTGGAGGACTCATTTCAACGCTTGGGCGCGGGACACGTCCGTAAACGCTCTCTACTCGTTTGCCACGTGTGTCGTGCCGAGCGGCCCGTCCAAACGACAAAATGACTATCGTCGAATCAGAGTCGATACCGTACTATGTCTCTTTCTTTTCACGAGGATGCTCTAATTTTCGTTCTCAATTGCTTTGAACCGCGGAGGGATGATCCCTGCTTTACATCCAGCTTCTCCTTGGATGGTCCTAAAAGCATCCATTCCTACACCGTTTGATGATGTTACGGTAACTATGATTGAATATTGATCGCTGACAACTTCCCTATGGAGGAACTGAGTGTTGTTGCGGATGTCATATCCGACGACCTGCCCTTTGAACAATCATGTCGTTCAAGCATACCCTACGTATCATCCTCTAATGATCGAACAGGCAGCATACATGTGTGCCGCTCTAGAGGCTATACGCATCGAGCCACAGCATAGTCTAAAGTATGGTTTCCAATCCAGTCGCCGACAGTCTGCGGTTTTGCTTTAGAAGATGAAGGATGAAAACATCTCACACATCGGGTCAAGATGCAGGACGAAATGCCCGCAGGCGAGCAGTAAAAGAAGACTTCGACATTTCTAGATGTCACTTGTCGATTATAGACACGAACGTATGGATATTATGATCAGGAGTACCGTCGTGATGCTTTCGACGACGCGCTCACCGTCAGGTGCCGTCTTTCACTGGATTGTTGTTTGATTCGTAACAGATGCGAGGTCCTCACAATGCCTCTCTACATGTGGCAGTTCTATATAATGAAATCTCTCACGACCATTCCTTGAGTTGTCCAACCGTCGTTCCCGCGTCAGGTGTTGACAGATGCTGATGCATGATGCCCCTATACATGCAATAGCATGCCGGTTGCTTTCTGCTCAGGGTTGAATATCCAGATATCGATGTTCACGGAGTGTCAGCGTGGTGTATACAAACCGACGACAGAGACGAGAATTTTGTTTCATCTTTCGTTTCTTTCCCTTCATTCTGCCTTGCGACCTACCTGCAACGAAGATGCCTGAGGCGTCATTTCTCATTCTTTTTATTTCATTCCTTTTTAGCTTTCCCTTTATTCCGTTAGCTCGTTCTCAAGATACCAATGCGACTTGTCTTTCGCAGTTTGGATGGGTGAGTACACAATCGTAGATCAAAGATTGGTTTGTGTGTCTAACAAAGCGATCTTTGGTAGATGACTAACTCTCGTGGACAGAGTCCATGCGTTGTCGAGGCCTACGTTGAAGGTGCCTGTCACCCAGACGGAGGTGAGTTCTGGCTTGAATCTACGGAGCGACTGAGGAACTTAATTCTCATCTAGAATGGACAACACCGGCCCTGCAGAACACTTCCTTTGGATATTTGGGACCAACGGTCCAAACTGCCAATCCATGTAGTTGCAGCTCCGTAGCGTTCTCCTTATTGAGTGCATGCGCATACTGTCAAGGTGGAAAATTGAATACGTAAGTATTCTTGCTGCTCTTTCCTCTCGTAAGACTTGAAAGGCTTCTGTAGATGGACATCGTATACCACGAACTGTGATCCGACTGAGATAAGCAATGGAGGGTAAGTGGTTCAAGGAATTTGTGCATTTATGTGCTCATCTTATTTCCCAAAGATACCACCATGATATTTCATCTGGGACAGCGATTCCGGCCTGGGCGTACCAACCGATGGTACGTAGGTCTGTCTTCTGTCCTTGACCTTGGACTGAGCTCGCCCTTGTACAGGATGCTACAACCGAAAAGTGGGATCCGTTGAGTGCACAGAAGCTGTCCGAAAGTGGTGCGTTCTGTCGAACCAGCGTCCTATACCCCGGAGTCCAGTGTAGTAATGTCCTTTCAGGGATTCCAGATTCTATCTCAAATAACGGTAACTCGACGTCGAAGCCTCCCGGCAGTCCTTCCAGCTTTTTCCTCTCTTCCTCCGCCCAAACCATTGGAACGGCTATCTCCAGTAGTCCAGTAGCTGTACCTTCTACAATCAATGGGTCTGCCGAGAGACCCATCCGGAGGTCTTCGAGTGGTGCCATAATTGGAGGCGCGGTGGGAGGAGGCGTTTCTGCTCTCTTGCTCGTCGTAGCCGGCGTCCTCCTCAGGCGATACCTACGTACTAACCGCGCTATGAGGGCACCTTCTCGCCAAGTCCAACTCTATTTACCTTCATCTCCCAGTTATTACGACGAGAAATTCCCAGCCGGCCTGACCCCACCTCATTCCGCCAACCCACTTCTTAACTCTCAGATACCGGTTCAGATATATGTGAGTCCATGCCTATTGAACATGCTTTGTCGTCGCTGAATGCACTTATTAGGATCCGTTTCGAGCTGGATCTGCCATACATATTCCCAACCTCGCTCATGTTGAAGGGCAAGTGAATAATGGAAGGCCGTGCCCAATTAGTAGTCTGCCGGAAGTTTGAGTAGTTATCTCTCGACCTCTTTTATTCAAATGTGATTGGCTATTTACTCTATAGTTCACGATTCAAATGTGGTTTTCAAAACTTCCTTCAATTCGCTTTGAGCCGATTGAGGCGAAAAATGTGCTGGCGCTTCTCCAACCGCGCACGGCGATCGCGTCGCGTATTTCAGCACGACGCGTCCAGTGTCTCGTGTTTTGCCATCAGTCACGTCACGACATGATGACCTTCTTCTATCCTGAGCAGTTATGTCGTGTGCTATGTCCATGTCTCGACCACGAAGTATCTTCGAGGTTTTCCCTGTCGAATTGCTCGCTATGATCAAAGCAGAAATCCCGATCTCTGACCTCAGGACTCATGTCTGCCTGTACAAGGCGGCTCTTCGTTTTGCTGATCTATATGAAGACGACGATGAAGAAGACGAGTTCTGGCAGGCATCATGCATATTGTCTGGGATTGGCTTCATCGAGGACGAAGATGCATGGACGACGTGGAAAAGTGTCGCATTTGAATGTCTCGACGAGGACGGGTTCTGCAAGCATCCACAGTGCGGTGGAGCGAGGCTTGAGGCTAACAGTAAGTCAGTAAAGAACGCTTCGTTCAAATCGCGTGTGACTTTCTCAAAATATGTCTATAACGTACAGCACGAGGTATGGTCAAATTCATGAACCTGTCCGCCAAGCCTACAATGCAAGAGCTACAAGAAGCAATACTTCAATGCAAGAATGTTGAATGGGTGAATCACAGCCCTCTCCTAAAGCACTTCTGCTTTGGATCTCCAATGGCTCGCCGTGAACATGGCCACTTCCACCATCTTGAGGTAGAGGAAGACACATATTTGGACCACCCAGACATTAAGGAGGACGATCCACCAGAATACCAGTGGAAGCTACATCCAATCGCACGCCGAAGTTTTGCGACATTTCCTGTGGCTAAGGCCCTTCATGTGTTTAAGCCTATCGCTGACTTTGGGGGGGATGTAGAGAACCTCTACGGAGTTACGATGGATGATGTTGTGACGCGCTTGCATGAATCGTGAGTGATATCCTTTCGTTGAGACATATATGTTTGAATTATCTAAGCGTGGATGTTCAAACGTTCAACGTTCAGCATTGATAGAGATGTAACGGTAACTGACCTTCGTAGCCTGATGTATGCTCGTACGGATGACTGGGAGAGAGCTTTCCCCGGGGGCCGGAATGTTGTCGAGGTATTGCAACATCTCAAGACAGTACGTGATGTATTATACTTCTTGTGAGTATTATATAATTGAAGTAGAAGTGGTTATAATGGCTTATGACTCATTCCAGTCGGCCAGATGGGATGGAATTCGATAGCTGGGATGATTTCGAAGAGGAGGAACTTGAACCGTGTGCATACTTTGGTCTCCAATTCCGAGCAGCACGACTTCTTGAAACAGACAACGCGTCTGACAGGCCTCGGCCTTTATACTCATGCCCACAATAAGTAACCGGCGCCAGACGCGCGGCGCGTCGCGTCACGTGACTCACATTGATTTGAGGAGGAGACAACTGACTGTCTATGGAACAGACGGCACTACAACTGTATATACAATGTATTAGATATCTATTCTAGCTATCTATGTATTTAAAAACTCGTATGTCCACCATGAGCAGCCAAGACAGCCTCAACTCTGTCTGGCATCCGATTGATGTGCTTGTTCACATCTTCTATAGGTAATTCATCCCACACATGATGGACAGCAGCTTGAAGCTGTTCTTGGGTATTCGGAGGATGCCTGAGATTACGCAGAGCAGATTTGACCTCATGCCAAACACGTTCAATGGGATTGAGATCTGGGGAATTGGGGGAATGGAAGAGAAGTGGTATCTCATGATCAGTGAACCATTGTTGGGTTGATTTGCTGGTGTGGCATGGAGCATTGTCCTGTTGGAAGGTAATGGGACCCCTCTGTAGCTTCATCTCTTTATACCAATCCAAAAAAACCCCATCCAACACCTGTTCCCGATATCTAGCAGTGTTCATACCCCCACCTCTCCCTCCTGGGTATTCCAACACAATCAATGGCCCCTTGCGCCCCTGAATAATGCAAGCCCAGACCATAACACAGATGGAGGACTGCTTGAAGGTTGGTACTAGGCATTCCTCTCGCAAGACTTCATCAGGACGGCGTGTAATGTAGATTCGGCCTCGATCATCTCCCAAGTAAATATAGCACTCATCGGAGAATGCAACTTCTTGCCAATCCTGGCTTGTAAAGCTCTTGTATTTCTGTGCCCAATGCATGCGAGCCTTCTTCTGCTTCTTAGTAAGGAATGGCACTTGACGAGCAATCCGACGACCATATCCTCGTTCCTTGAGAATGCTCCGAACAGTGCCCTCACTGATCTTCGGGTCTACCTGGTTTCCAATCTCTGCAAATGTCACCCTCCGCTCTTTCACTGCCCTCCTCACCACCAGAGCCTTCATGCGATCCGTGACTTTGTGTGGACGACCAGAACGGGGGCGATTGTGTGTGGTGCCAGTTTTGATGTACTTGTGCCAGATGTCTGATGCTGTCTGGCATGGGATGCCTGTAAGCCGTGCCGCTTCAGTGATGCTCATGCCGGCTTGGATGGCTCCAACTAGCCGGTTCTTCTTAGGAGAATCATGTTGAGAGCGAGAAGATTTAGTAATGAGCATAACAAGCACATGTGTTATAGGTGGATGCTGGAGTACGGACTAAACAAAACTACATCCGTACGCGACGCGACGCGCTGGGCGTCTAAACGCCGGTTACTTATTATGGGTGCGAGTAGTGGGGAAACAGTGGCTCGATACTCATGGGCTATGGTCTGTAGCCACTCTGACTTTATCTTAAATATTTTGTGCGCCAAAATCTCCGTTTGAAGACTGCGAAGCAATATGATTCACCTATTAAGGTCTTCAACTCCAGTACATGGTCCAATACATCGTAGCCAAAGTCTTAACCCACGCGGTTTCCTCGCACCTCGCTTATGCTACTGACAATGATACGGATCCGAAATTACGTAGCGATCTTGCCTTCAACTTCCAACCGCCATGTTGAATCCTCATGCACCTTGTGGTCGAAGTATCTTCGACATCCTCCCAGTGGAATTGCTTGCTTTAATCAAAGAACACATACCAGTATCTGACCTAAGAACTCATATTTGTTTCTACAAAGCATCTTCACGATTTGCTGCGCTCTATGGCGACGAGGATCAAGAAGAAGCCTTTTGGGAATCGTCGTGTATACTCTCCGGTTTAGGATATATCGAGGATGAAGACTTGAACGCGACACCGTGGAAGGAGGTCGCCTTTGACTGTATTGAAAAAGACGGGTTCTGTGCTCATCCGCAGTGCGGAGGTGCACGACTAGAATGGAACGGTAAGCCTAAGCTTCTTAACTCGATATTCTTCCATGTGCTGATACAATTTGGGGTTAGCACGCCAAATTGCCGCCACGATGGACTTACCTGGTAAACCCTCCTCGCCGGATGTTCAGAAACGAATTCTTGGTCTAGAGCCAAATCACCGTCCAAACCTAACTTCCAATCCAGTAATCAAAGGTCTTACCTTCACGCATAAGCCGCGTGGTGACCTCGATGACGATGATGCCTTCAAGAATGAGGCATACCTGGATCATTCTCAAGAAGAAGGCGTTGATTCCAAAGTCCATCATCCACCTGAACTTGAATGGCATCGGCATCCAATCGCTCGACGTAGCTTCGCTGTATTTCCGCTTGTGACGCGCCTGTGTATCACGAATTATCCAGACTTTGAGTCTACAACTTGCTCTATTGTAAGCCATTGCGGACTCACTATGGACGATATAGTACGAGACATGCATAATTCGTAAGTTTGATTAGCTCACCCGATGCTTGGTCTTACTCACAAATTAAGGAGACCAGGATGGATAGGCTCATGTCTTTGACTGAGATTCAGTCCCTACTGGGAACAGTCAGCGATCTCAATGAGGTATTTCCTGACGCTGTGCGCTTCCTGAGCGTCCTGGATCGCCTCAACACGATGCGAGGCATTCTGTACTTCTTGTGAGTTTGTCTGCATTTGCACACTTTCTTACATGGTCTCATGCGATGAGCTTTGCCAGCATACCGAAGTGTCTCCGCTTCGGGGGCTGGCATGGATGGATTGAGGGACCGGAATTCGAGTTTGAATACCAACCAGCGCGCACCTACGATCGGGACGTTGGAGCATATGGCCCATGGTAACATGCTTGTGTTCGTCTGGGTACCTGATAGATGAATCACTAGAGCCTAGTTCGCCGATGTACGCGCACGCCAGGTAGAAGATTCAATATATCGGAACATCCCTTAAATACTCCCTTTACGAAATAAGGTTCTCACAAGACGTCAAAAGGGCCTGCCCTTGGAAGATTCGTTCAACAGTCTCCATGAGGACATGCAGAATGAATGAAATATGAATAGGACCATGGCATGTGAATCGCGGGAATGCTCTTGGAGAAATCATGAACTAGAACATTGCAGACAGAATTAGAGTTGCCAACTTCGACCTTCGAGTGGGTGTCGTTCATCAGCGGGGGACCCAGCATATGGTTAGATTCGACGTAATGTTTATGGCTGTTTTCCGTTTTGCAAAGTCCTCTAACGCGCGGCTACGATAAAAAGCTACCTTCCAGCTGCCTTCATCTCTAAGTCGTGTGATCTTCAAAGCTTGAGAATCAGATTTCACTATCCTACTTGGATGCTCGAATGCATCGATTTGCATGGTCTCTTTGTGACTGGTCCTACTAAGTTGCGTCCTCAATTCTCTCCTGTGACGTCTACTTCACGCTCTGAAACGGCTATCTCGAAAACGTCTATCAAAATGCCAGGATGTCCCTCGTCTTCTCCGAGTGGTTCATAGAACATGCTTCATGAAATGGCAGCTTACAGGTGTTTGCATAATGCGACGTAGGGAAACATCTTGCCCTCTAATAACGTTTATTATTCTACGCCTTTTGAGTGTTGTTCTTGTCGTCATAGGACAGGCTACGAAACCGTGAGTAAACCTTGTCCGAAGTCATTATTATTCTGCTTACCAGAAGCGCTTCGCTACAGCCATGAGCTCGCGAGCGGTTAACTTTGTCAGAAATGGACTGCGCCTGGTCTTCCGGCTGCACTGTTTTTTCTTTCTCGCATACTAGATCGTGTTGCCATGAGCAATTACAAGGCATCGCTGGAGTGATAAAAGGGGAAGCGCAAAGTCCACGGCCTTGCATTCTCCCTCGATATACTTCAACTACCATGGTTTCAGCCAGAAGCCTTCCTCCCGCTGCCGTACGAGCCATCCTCGGATATCTTAATGACTCTAGGAGTGCCCTAATCCTCTATTCGCTTATTTCCCAAGCATGGCGAACAGAAGCTCGACATATATTGTTTTCCTCGATTCACCTTAATCCTTTCAACTGTCCGTCCGGTGCCAACACGCGGTTGCAGGAACTTGATCAATTACTTTCTAGTTGTCCGAAAATGTGCCCAACGGTAACCAACTTGGCCGTAAACGGCATCGATAGGCAATCCGGGAAGCCCTCTGTTCTTCATATGGATGTCCTTACGAGCATCCTAGCAAACCTTCCCAACCTCAGTGGGGTTTCCATTGCTCATTTCCGATTGGAATCGTCCAATAGAGATATTTCCCTACCTCGCCGTCTTAAGCTTGATCACTTTGAAATCTGCAATGTGTGCGGGACCAACTCGAACTACGAACTCACGGCTTTGGGTGACATCTTGAAACTCATCAATGAGGTTCAAGACATGTACGTCACCTTCGAACAAGACGTGCAATCGCCTCCTGTTGCGGAGAAACACACGCTGGAAGCCTACGTTGGTGAACCTCACATCTTGTCCATTCGAAATCTCGAGATAGATTCGTCCATCCCTCTCGCTCCATTCATTTCTGTGCTTCAGAAATTGCTTCGTAAAAACACGCTTGTCCGCGCAGAGCTAAGACTGGTGGATGCTCTCGATCTAGCCGTTGCAGCCCCCTTACTTCGAGATGGTGCCACCAAGAATGTCATGTTCTCTTGGGCATCGATACAAACCGACAGACATCCCAATATCCGTAAGCTTCATATTTTGTCAAATCGCTTATTTGCAATGATGACCATCGAATCACTTGATATCAGCCATAAAGCGGCAACTTCAAGCACTGGGCCTATCAATGTACCCCTTGCTCGAGAATGTCGGCATTGTGGTTGGAGGGACGGGCCGTGCCACTCAAGCCGACATTTTTAACTATTTCCTAAACGCCTTTGATCTCATCAGCACCCTGCCCAAGAGTGTCAAATCTGTCGGTCTACAACTCGAAGATGATTGGGAAGTCGAGGGGAACCAGATTATTGCTGGGCAGTTCCATTTTCAGGAATTAATGGAACAACTTGGACCTCATCTGAAAACATTGGATAACGTCCTCTGCCAATCACCGAAACTGGAGCGTTTCATCCTCAGCTACGTCATACGGCGTAGAATCGACCGTGATAAAGCGGTTCGAGAGGATACGGATTCCGATGTGGACATGGACATGGATATCGCCGGGGAATGTGATGCAAGTGATGGTCGGGATCCACAGGATGACGACGATGCGATGTCTGAGGGTTCAACCATATGGGAACGTGAGGTGTCGAAGAGGCTTAGGATTGTCACCAAGCGCGTATGGGACTCAGAAGAATCGAACGATGAGCAAGAAGGAGGTCCACATACAGATATGACGGAGCTCCAGGAGTTCCTAGAGGCCAGGATGCCATACTCGGCTGCACGGCAGCTGATTGTGGTGTCGGACTGTGATTTGAAGGAGCTCGAATTTGAAGTATGAACCTACAGAGTAGAGAAGTCATGTATTCGGCCCGGCACTACGATATTGCAAACTTCCAGGCAATACGAGGATATTGAGCGTCCGTCGTTGTTTATTTCATGTTTTGCAAGTTACAAGAATAACTACAATACCCAGTTCGGTCCATAAGAATACACCAGGATGGTATAAGTTTTGAATTGCCCATCCGTCTAAAATGGGAATGCAAACCAGACGTGAAGTGTCCCCAATAAAAAGTGTGCACGAAAGATAAACAAAGCAAAAGCACAAAGCAGGTTCAAGGTCGTGAACATGAAGCATCATCCAAAAGCGTCAAAGTAGATCATTCATAAATCAAGCAAGGGTACGTCGAGCAGGTGGTGGCGGCGTAGCCGTGGGCATCGCAGCTGCACCGCAAAGGAACGAGTTAGACTCAGCGGGAGCGTTCCACGCATCAGGGTATACGCATCCTTCGACTGGGGCTGCAGCTAAGGCAGTATCTTCAGGATCCGCCCAACCATCCCCACCACTAGTTGTAGCTGCACTGAAAGTCGGAACAGGCAACGTCGGGATCGGACTGATAGCTGTATATTGTGGAAGGAGAGCGGGATCGGCTCCGTTTGCGTTGGAAATGGCTGGAGGTGGGTATTGAGCGAGCGAGGCTATTGCTGTAGCTGCAATCTGACCTGCACCCGCGCCTCCTGTTTGCCACGGTTGATATGACGTAGTGAACGGCAAGGTGAATTTTACGCCAAGTTGGTCGCATATGCCGACAGCTTCCCTTGGGTCGGTCGGAATCCAGCCTGCGCGAACGCTTTAGCTCCTGACATTGACGACGATGATTAGGAGCGCTCACCGTTCTCCAACCCTAACTGGTATGACCAGAAGGGACTTTCTACCTTGCCTGTAACTGAAGAATTGCCAACCTTCCATGTCCAGAAGAAGTAACCAGGGAAATGCATAGAGTCCATACTAGCTAGGACGAACTGCTTGATCCCATCATTCATATCTTGTGTCCAGTTCTCCCAGTCGTCCCACTGTGTACAGTCTGGGAAGCTTGGAGCAGTACCAGCTCCTTTGATCCATAACCCACACTATCCCGACGTATCTTAGCAGATGATAAAGATGATCCGAAAGTGCGAACATACATCATTGATAGCTGCACTGAACTCGCCGGTGATTGTAATACCAAAGTCGAAGTTAGATTGGTTGACTTGGAAGGCACCGCAAGCGGCAGTTGGCCAATGATCCAGAGGTTGGTCGAGACCGCCACCAAATGCCTATAAACGAGTTTATGAGAAGGAATGATATCAATGCATTGCGAAGAGACTTACAACATATGGATGGGTGTCCAGAACGATACGCTGGAACGTCTGTCAGGCAGGTTGAAGATATGAATTCAAGCGAGGAACATACATCGGAACCAGGTAAGAAATCCTTCCAAGGAGTTAGACCCAGGAAGCCGTCGTGAACCACCATATACGCGCCGGAACCTATTCCGGTCTGCAAAGAGGTAGATGAGTCGTAAACATGAAGCCAGAAAGGTGATGAAGAGCTTACAATGTTCCGAAGCATGTCATAGCTCTGAAGGTAACTACGGATACTGTTAGCGACCAGGTCGTGAGAAGCAAGTATGAACTGACAATCGTTCTAGCTGGTCACGGCCAATGATACCCATAAGAGGTTCGTTAATAACACCGAACATCTGCACAACATCCTTGTACTGGTCTTGGCTGATGAACTCGGCCAACACACGGATATAGTCCATGACACGCTGAGCATTGGCAATGCCCATAGGTCCATTCAAGAAGTTGATCGGTCCTAGCCGACCTGAATGGTTGTATCCTAAGCAGAAGGCCTTTCGTCAGGAACAAATGACAGACGGTCGCGTTGAAAGAAGAAATGGAAATACCGTTCTGACTTCCGGGAGCAGTATGAAGTTCAAGGTACACCCTCAAGCCATACTTTCGCGCCCACTGGAGCGCGAGTAGAACATACTTCCACGCTGTCTTTGCGAGGAACGGTTCGCCCGGCCATGTCTCTATCGCCCAGTAAGGGACAGGAAGCCTGACCGCCAAGTTCAAAGCTTGATATAATACAAGGCCAAAGGAGAGAGACGTACCGGACCCAGTTCAAACCAGCCCCGGCGATTTGGGCAAAATCTTGTTCAGTCTGGTAAAACCGTGCAGTGAGCTGTCAAGGAGGAAGACCGAGTCTGACTTACGATGAAGGTTCTGTAGTGCTCCTCTAATTGGTCCAAGCCACCACCGGTGTTGGTATCGTTAGTCATAGCGACGCTCAGCGTCCACTCGTCTACAGCCTGACCGCCGGGAATGGCAGGATTTGGTGTAACATTTTGGTACTTCTCAAACAACGCTGGAACGATGAATGGCTCCAGTACGAGCCATCCACCAAGGTTCACGCCACGGATTTGGTCACGAGTGTAGTCCCACGTCTCGTTCAAAGCAGGAACAAAAGACTGTGCTCGTGCGCCGGAGTTGTAAGGATCCTTAGGATCATCAATCCCTGAAATCCAGTAGAAGAGTGAGCTGAGGACGTAAAGTACGCCGAGATGTGAACTTACAGAATCCACCAAATGAATTTTTGTAAGTGAATGTAGTGCCGTCTGCCGTCTTAATGATGGAACCATCACCACCTGTAATGTCCCCTGCGGGCGATTCAGGGTTGGTAGAATCACCAGTACTAGCACCGCCAGACGAGGTGTGATGCTTTTTCACAACCACGAAGATGATGGGCAAGACTACAGCCAGTATCACGATGATGAGAGTAACGATTAAAGCTAGAATCCACCATACTCTTCGACGAGGGCTTTTAAAGCCTGAAGTCGAAGTAATAAAGCCTTTTCCTCTCACTTCAACCCTTGCAGCCTCTTTCTCGTCGGGATCGAACAAAGTTCGAGAAGCAGTGTCGCTGGGTTGGCCACTAATTAAGAAGAGACGAGAAGGATCGACCGTGTATGGCGTAGAAGCCAGATATGAATTATGAGCGCTGTCCTGAATGGAAGGTGTCCAATCCGAGCTGAAATGAGTGGCGTCGGGAGGCACGAGTAGGTCTCTATTCAGCTCTATTTGCTCGTCAGCAGTGCTGGGTGTCGCTGGGACACGACCACCATTATCAACGACGTTGTTGTTGCCGGAATGAAAGAGACCGCCATGAAAAGAGACCTCTGAGTCTGAGAAGGGTGATGGTTCGTGGTTTGCGACACTGGCAGCGGGAAGTCCCGAGGCCATGTCTTGCCTTCAACGACGACGAAGTCGACGAAAGATAGGCTCGCTTTTACAACGCTCATGGCTCTCTTAAGAATGTTCGTCTAGTCTTCTGCTTCTCTTCACATGGGTTGAGTAGCATACGGACTGATATCCCCTTCCCGGCACTTATCAATTGCTCCCTCGGCTGATACTAATCTGGACGCTGAGGGGGAAATACACCGAGGGAAAGCCTGAACGCCTGCGACGTCTGCATCGCTCGCTCTATGTCCTCTTGGGACTCTTTGTCCATCTGCGGCCGTGTTCTCGTCACCGAGGCCACGGTAATTCAAGGATACATCGCTGGTTCTATTCTCGGAACCGTCATCTGCGCATTCCAGAGGATCCAAGGTTCAAACGTCAGAGCTTGTCTTACAAGTGTATGACCTAACACTCGTGGCGTTCGATATATAGGGTGGTCCTTGCGTTGTCCATGACGTGAAGGGATCGCAGCTCCAATTGACACTCGCCAGATCTTGAGTTTGCGGATTCAATTCGTATCAAAAGCAAACTAGTCTCATGTGCGCTCGTGTTTCTAAACCTTCCGTTCTTGCCATCGAGGTCCTGTGGTCTCACTGCTCGCATACGCCCCTTCGGAATCGAAGAGGGCATACGCCACAGGCAACCACCTCACTTGGAAAATTCACCCAGTGTGACTATCTTGCTGTCTAGTCCGGGAAGTTATGCTACCTATAGTCTCCCTGTAGCGCGAGAGAGTGTGTGTGCGGCGTCTTGGATGCCACTTGTTCTCTTTTTCTGGAGTTGGTACCGAAAGCCCCTGGTCTACAAAGCTTATGCCAAAGTCATCGATAGCCCTCAAACGCCTCCCTTTTTTGGTCGACGCAGAGACTCAATACCTCTACGAAATTCTCTTTCCTTTCTGACTCCCCTGCCACCTCAATAACAAGCCCCTTATCGGCTTGTGATGTTTTTCGCGCCACCTAGATGTGCCCCCTGCAGGGTTTCCTCACTTTGCTGGCGATGCTGACGGCTTGCTGCCCGACACACCATCTCTTCCGGCCACACTTGCCAGAAGCCTGAAATTTCACGATCGCTGGAATGGGTACAACTGTGACATTCTCTGGATAACCTTCACTTTTTGTGTTACTTTCGGGTTTTTGCCTCGCCATTGGTACTACTTTTATAGCCGACGAGATCGAGACTACTGTACTGTTTCGCGCATTTGTTCACGGCCTGTGACCTGTGACGGTCCGGTTCCCAGTTCACAGTTCGGAGAGACCTGTGACATCATGTTCATGGCTATTGCTGATTTTGTCAAGGCACTACCAATCCCTTTCCAAAGCTTGGGAGGCACATTGTAAGCTCTCAAATAATGTCAGCAACCTGAAAGAATAGCCGAAAGTAGCCGGAAAGCTGCACTTGTGCGGCCCTTCAAAGCACTGACCCTCATTTAAGCGCCCGGTCATGCTTCCAAATGTCAGTTCACGATCCTCTGTGACCTGTGACAGACCCGAAAATCCAGTTCATTTTCGAGCCTGTGACCTGTGACGTGAACAAATGCGCGAAACACTACAGTATCGAAGAAACAATCGAGCCCAATTGTTTCGATTTTACTGCATTTCAGAACAGAACGTACTTCTGCCCGAAACTCTACTATGCTCTTCCATTGCGCCGGAATCTCCCGATGTTTGATTCGGCTAGTCTCCCTGAGGCAACCTTCGTGCCTCGGGATAAGTTATCTCTGGATTCGGCTCGCTTTCACTGAGTCTTTTGAGTCTTGCTTTTGACTCTTGTGATCTCTAAACAGCGGTTCCTGACACCATTGCCCTGACATTGCTCATAGACATACACTTGTGTCGCGTCGGAGGACCCCTGATAATACCCCATATATGCTGTTCGAAAATCCGGACCAAAAATGGCGAAAGTGGCCGAAGGATGTTCAAAATCCGTAGGATTTTGGCCGAAAAGTGGGTAACAGCCATGCTGAGGTCCGGATCAGGAGGCCCCTTTCCAGCAATGCCATCTGCGAATCCGGATGAAAATTGCCGGGTACCCCCCTGAAAATTTCTTACTTATTGCTTGGAATGGGAAAGTATATTAGTGGGAGAAATATTAGGGCCTGATCGGTGCAAAAATGTGTTTGCGATATCAGGCCAATATCGCAAAACAAAACCGCGAGAGACTGTGGGGATATATCGGGCATGATGGAGTATCGGAATGAGTGACGACTCATTTTAGCAAGTGTATGCAATGACAATGTCAATGACGAGACCTTCATGTCAATGCCCTACATGCTATTTTACTGTAACTCTACTGTATAACCATTAGAGATGTTCTGCAGACTCTTTCAAGGGGGTATGGAAGTGAAGAATGAAGCCGGTGAAGGTGTTCTCTTTGCACCAAAATAAGAAGTCACAAATTGTCACATGCTAGTAACCACCAATATTGAGGTCAACCAAACAGCCCTGTCTTACATTTCGCTACTGCTTTCAGCGCAATAATCGCCATCACATCATTTGGCGGGAAATATCGACGATATCGAAAACACTTTTTTGCACCGATCAGGCCCTTAGTGGGAGAAATACTTCATGTAATCGTAGTGAATACCTTACAGTAAAAGCAAAATTGGGTAAACTCCGACAATGCTTTCGGGCAGTCAACGTAGGAAACATTGTTCTGTCGAGGAAGTAGAATCCATCGGCGGGGTCTTATATGCGGGTCTTCAACTTAAATACCACTTTTTCGGCCAGCAGTTCACACAGGGGTTGACACCATTGCGGATGCATCGGTTTGACTTCGTTCCTTCACTCTGTTTCTTGTCCTTGATTGACACATTGTACCCGATCCCTCTGGTTCCGTTGTACTATGCAAGGGAGGGATTGATAGTGGTGTCTTAACTGCTCTAGTACAGGGAGCTGTTCCACGAATTGCTGAAGCCATGCAGCTATTGCATAAATGCAAGAAGGAGCTTTCCGGCAATGACATTTAACCATATGATTCAGTACATGTGTAGTCTACTATTGGAGGCTATCCCTAAACATTCATTTTTCAGCTTCTGCAGCCATCTTGTAGGTATCTGAGTGTTCTTGAGCAGTTTCCGATGGTTTTCGAATGTTCTGGCAATTTTTGGGTATTTTTGGAGGCCGTTCGAGAAATCCGGAGGAAATTTGGCACTTTTGGGAAGGCCAGTCTGAAGTCCGGAGAAAAATCCGGACTTGCGTCCGGACCTAAAACCCCCTTGTCCCGAACAGCATATTTGGGGCATTATCAGGGGTCCTCGCGTCGGATACTTGCAAGAACATCGTGTATGACGTTATTGCAGAATCTTAATCCATATTGTCCTCAAACTAGCTCAACTGCGGTATTTCGTTCTCAAGGGCTTGGCATATCGATACGGACAGATGCTAGCGCTAAATTAATTCAATGTCCTCTCGGAACATTCCTTCAGCGTGGTCACATTTGCAGGCGAAGTTCTTTAGAATCTTCACATCACACTAATCTACGCTCTACATCCATCACCCCAGGAAGGAGAAGAGCCCGAGTCGCTACGCAAGCAGTCGACACCCTGAAGAAGGTTGGGAGCAGCCTTTAATCGTACGGAGTGTTGGAAACCTTTATCCTGCACCATTCTCGAGTGAGCCATGAGCTTCCAATCTATTAACTGTTTGGCATCCTGTTATAATTACTCTCCAGCGCCCCAATTTCCTCGTAGCCTCTGATTATTCGTTATGAGCAACTCCCCTGATCGTGGTGAGGGCTCTTCACAACCTTTCGAACCATTACCACAGAATACCATATCGCAAAGTTCCACATCGCAGAGCTTAACTCAGGCTGTCCGCGAAGGAGACGCAGCTCCACATAGTTCCGACACTCTGGAGAGCGATCCAGGAGAAAACCCCGATGACTTGACTCGCACGACTAGCTTTGTGCGGGAGACTCTGCGTAGTCCTGAGCCGCTCCCGGCGCCTGGACAAGTACGCTTCGCGGAGACTGTCGAGGTCATCGAGGTCATTCAGGACCTTGGAGATAATCCCGACGAAGCTCAACCTGTACCGCATGGTGTTGAGGGATTACCGGTCAATTCGGAACAAAAGGTGACATCTCACGTGTTACTTGTGGCAGTAATATGTTGAACTGACATTACTCTCTCGCAAGGCCCAACGTAAAGGCATTTTGGTAAATTCGTCACTTTTCAATCTGGTGCTGGTCGTGAGGTTTTTACGTTGACTCTGACAGAAAAATAGTAGATATTCCTCTAGCGAGGTTTCCGTTCCCTCGCTGTAAGTGCTTTTCGTGTATATTGTATTCAATATCTCACCTGCACAGTCCCTTGGACTCCCAACCCGAGCAACTCAGTGCCATTTCGTTGTCTGTGCCCTTGCCACCATTTACTGAGCACGACACACCAACCGGTAGTCCATTTGTACCATCCTCATCAAGATCAAGTCCATCAGCGCCAGTATTCCTCAACATTACTCCACCGTCTTCCCCTCCTAGTAACCTCCCGAGACCATTACTGCCTTCCCCCTCTTCTTCGTCATCTTCGTCATTTGGATACGCTCCAGTTACGCCGCCCAGCCCTCTCTACTCATATCCAACCGGACCTCAGCCTGTTCCGATATCAGACTCGGGCCAATCCAACTCTATTCCTGTTAGTCCATTTTACCCAACATTTGATTGTTGTATACCTGAGGTTTCTATCTATCTAGTTTCGATCGTTGTTGTTTCAACAGTATACCCCTCATCAAACGCCATTCGACGGACATACTACTTTGGAATCCAACCCGGACTGGGATGTGCTGGCTGAATATCTGTCGTATCACGACGAGTCCAAGGTTCGAAGTTGCGATAAGAACTTAGACAATCTACTTGTTTTCGTTGAGTTTTAGCTCCCTTTCGGTCTGGTATGGTGCTAACACTCAGACAGACCGGATTGTTTTCTGCAATAGTCGCTGCTTTTACGATTGAATCGTACCAGACCTTACAGCCAGACCCTACCGACACCATCGTTGCTCTGCTCACTCGAATCTCCTTACAAATCGATCAAACCGACTTGCAGTCGACGAATGAGACGCTGTCTCCGATATTCAATGCTTCAGCTGGCGATGTTGGTATCAATATTCTCTGGTTTGCAAGCTTGGTTCTGAGCCTCATCATCGCCTCTCTGGCGATCTTTGTCAAGCAATGGCTACGAGAGTACCTGATATGGGATTGTTTCTCTGCAACTGAACGTATTCGCGTGCGGCACGTCAGATACCAGGGCTTGCTCCGATGGCGGGTCTTCGAAATCGCGGGTTTCCTCCCCTTTCTATTGCAGGTCTCGTTACTCTCCTTTCTCATCGGCTTATCGAACTTCCTTCGCTCCTTGAATCTCGTGGTTGGGTGGTGTATCACCGGTTTGATCGTTCTCTGGATAGCGATCTTCTCATCGACTCTTGTGACACCCATGTTTGTCCCTGACTGTCCTTATAAGATCCCACTGTTGTCACACGGAACGCGGCGGATTCACCGCTCTATAGCAAATCTACGATCTCGTTTCGGATCCAAATGGCAGTTTCGTGCGGCTAACCGTTACTATACCTATCCTGGAGATGAACGAGGTATTCGACGTGATGGAACCATCGATGTTGATGCTCTGGTTTCCGCAGATGCAACCCTGGCGGACGATTCAATGCTAGAAAAGGTCATCTGTAATTGCGCTCAAGCCCTCAGCCTGGAAAACGTCGTAATATTCTCTCGCAAGATTCTCGCACGGTATCTTGACATGCAAGTCGTGACCCTTGCTACCCGGAAATTGGACTTCGGCTTTGTCCCAAGTCATGCCTTGAATGCACTGATTGGCATGATTTGTACTGTCATCTCTTCCAATGATCAAATTGAAGCATTGAAGACGATCACCCATTCTTCATCTCCGCTCCTCGAACTGGTTTCCTTCATGTACCGCCTATGCAATCATGTCATAGAACGAAGGAGGACCGACTATCTCTCAAACTGGAGGCAAGCAACCCGGGTACTACACCAAATCCCAATTGTTTTGATTCGTATGGACTCTGAAGAAGGCATTATGGCTTTACTCAAGATCGCCATCAGTGCCCCATTAATGCCCATTACAGCACCAGCCGTTGTTCCAGTGGATCGTAAGTATCTCGTCACGATGTCGTATGCCATCATCGAATTCTCACAAGTACTGTAGAAATCAAGAAATTTGTTCATTCAGCAACTTCGATGATTCTTCAGCAGGACCCCGAGCTACACCCGCTATCACTCATGAGAGCCGTTTTTGACTATATTGCGGCTGTTCAGCCACAAGATCTGGAGAAATGTCGTGAAGAGATCATTTCATTCTGTGATTCGGCTACGGCATCTTTGGCAGGAAACGAATCTGGCCTCCTGAAATCATCGGTCGCTTCACGAACTACAACCCATGCAGCGATAACCTCTGTCTCGTCAAATTCCATTGATACTGCTCTTGAGGCACGACGTACTTCGGAGGCAATGACCAGAATGAATCAGGTTAATTCAGGGATCATTCCAGATGAAGTAATTGATCTGGTAAGGAGGCAATGGATGCATGACCACGCAACCATAGACGTGACGCATTTTGCTATCTCGCCAGTGCCGCTACGTGCTGTCTCTAATGGTATGTCGTGTTCTTGGCGTTAATACGATTGTTCTAACCAAGCTTTATGAATATTACTAGGCGGTCCCTGGCACCACGTCTACGAAAGATGACCCTGGGCTTGCATGCTTCGTGTACCACACTTCCCGACATACCAAGTATGAAATCGTCTAGAAGTACGCAGACTTGGGTAGACAGGCTGGTGCGGAATTGTTATCGCATGTCGCCGTCCAACGCCTTTGCTACGATGCTTAATTGCATTCGAATGGGTTTGCCCCACGGCATGTTTGATGTGGATGTGACAAGCGAGGAATATAACACCTCCTATCACTGGCCACATCTTCTACATGCGAAGTCACCAACGCTGCTGGCCAGCTGGGTGATGCAGAGAATGACAAATTTTTCTTGCATATTCTTCCTCTAACTTTGACAAGATCGATATTATTCTGTCGAGCCCTGGGAGTATTTGTGCACCCACTGAGGCCTGCAGACGTTGCGAACTCTGAGGCGGACCAGGCCAGTCCCTATTGCAGTATTCCGATCCGTCAGTGCCGATAATTGAGCTGGATGGAGAGTTGATTGAACGACATCCGCTTTCACGATGCTGAGCCTACCTATGGTACACGTATCCTTATATTAGCTACTCTTCATGCTCGCGGTAGTCGTTGTCGTATCCCTCCCACCACTCTCCTTTACGTTGTCATAAACACACCCGCGCTGACTATATTATAGATATCGGCGAGTACCTCACTGACAATAAAAGGGACATGACCAGTCAGTATAATTATAAGTATACAAATCACTACGCTTTGCCTAGTGCTGTCAACCCTCGTCATAAAATTCTGGGTTGTTGGGCTATCCACCTGACCACTTGTTTTCGCTACTCCGGACCAGAGGGCTCGAGGTCTAGCATCATTCCAGACTATCTATAATTCGGGAGACAATCGTTCTAGTAAGGGCCGGAATGTCAGTGGGAAGCTAGAACACACCAACAATGGTTAGCATCACGGATGAGCTCCCTGAAATTGCCAATATTGCTACGGAAGCCGTATTAGTTTGCCCTTTGTACATTGCTTTGTAGTGATACTCACCAGGAACGCGCCGGTGCCCCGTGACTATTTACGAAGTTTGCACGCTTCCCGACGAAGGACAACGTTTGAGGATGGCGTCATCATCGTGGACAGTATATCAACCTCGAGATATTTAAAATCACCCGAACATATAGATAAGAACTCTAACTGAGGATTGCGAACCAGAATATCAATAGCTGCTCTGCTCAGTCAGTACAACGCCTCAGAACAGGTGCTCCGCGCGAAAGTAAACATATATAGATGAAAACTTACCGGAAGACACATCGCGCACGCAGTGCCTTCAAGAGTCAGTGGACAACCTAAAATCCACAAAGGCATGCTCGTGATCAATATATGAATCTACAATACAGTCGTCATTTATAGCGAGTAGTCTCAGCGACTAGACAAAATCACCCGACCTCCGCGACTTCGTCTCAGAAGCCACGTCTGTTTCCCGACTGACAGTAATCTGCATTGGCAAAGGAACAACTTTCGTAGTTCGTTTGACTTCCTCACTCGAGAAGGTCGCCAAATGAATATCTCCTCCGTCGTCAGGATCGACTGTACGCCTTCCAGTGGCATCCCGAGATAATGCTGCAGTGGTATTGAACTGTAACGACCGGGTACGCTCTCCTGTCGATGATGTGAAGTTTGAAGGAAAGCCTTTGATGAGGCCGAGTTTGAGGAGTCGAAAGACCTTGCAAGCCATAGCATTTTGTAAAGCGATGTTCGGGACAGTGGACATCCCTTGGAACGTCGCAGACACCCTTGCATTCAGGATAATAACCATGACAAGGATATTTCCACCGACAGTCACCCTAGATTAGGAGAGATATTCAGCCTCCGATCATGACTGCTTTGAAATTTGCCCATACAAATAGTACAGCTGTCCTGTCTGCAATAGAGCTCGAGAGACTCGTCCCATATTCTTTCCGCTCCAGAACGTTCTAAGTCTCTCCGACCAACTAATAGTAGGGTTGAAGGATAGAATGCGGATGGTGATAGCAATGAAAACCATGGTGTCGAAGACGCCGATCGAGAAGAATCCCGCAGAGCTGCGCTCATCGACACGAGTGATGATGCAGTTGTCGGTCGGACCGATGTTATTTGCGGTGAACGTGAAAGGAGCGGTGAAGGAAGCGAGTGTGGAGAGCCATAACAGGGAGAAAATGATGGTTATGATTCGAGAATTGAAGAATACCCCACGAATGCGAAGTAGAAACAACATCGAGTTGCATGGAAGGGCAAAGGCTCCGAACCAGCCGGTGATATTGATCATGGTTTGACAATTGCTCAAAGGCGCGGCTATTACGTGCGGCGACTGCATCAGACACTCGTCGTACGAGGCAGAATGAGTACTGATCCTCACCAGCAAAGAGAAACGACATCGTCACAAAACCTCCAGAGGCGATCCTACACCGCAAATGGTAAACATTCGTCGTTGATTTCGGACGTGGCATCATAAACGTACCTAGCGAGAACGTATGCAACATCGGAAAGCGCGACGCGCTCTTTCCTGAACATGCGTATGTCCTCAGGTATGCCCATGAGAAGGTCCCAGAGCCATGCCTAAAGAACTGTAGGTTAGATACGTCATAAGGAGGTTGAGAACGATCCGACCCCAAGGACACAAGCAAAGACATATCGTGAAGCTTCAAACTCAGAAGCTAGTTTAGGAGGAAGGAACGCAAGAGGAGTGATTGGATTCAGTAACGATTCGAGAGGGACGTCGCTCGAAGCCATTACCACTAACGAATGTCCCTAACAGCTTCTCGTGGAAGAGAACATGTCCATTATAACGGACTACAGGGGTAGAAATAAGGTTAGAATCACAGGGTCGTCTGACATTGAATGAGATGGCAAAAGTTGAATGCCGGAAGAAACTATCGCAACGGGCATCCCAGGAGTTTCTTTTCTAGCGCGATCATATTCAACGCGCAACAAATACCGGCCTGCCGGATGTTTGGAGAAAAATTCCAGGGCTTGTATTGGGGTGTAGCGCTCTGCAGCGGTCTTCGCGTCTCGGTCGAGGGTCGAAAGTGAACGATATGTCACATTGTGTCGCGCATCGATGTGACCTGCTGATAATTCAAATAAATATGTTGGACGCTCCAGAGTTTCGAGAGCGGCGAGTAACCTATTATCCGGGGCATTAGAGCGAGACACTTGTTAATGGCCCAGTGATGTCGTTCTTTTCGGTATCCATTCGCAACAGCTTCAGACTTGCTGGGACCTGATTTGCTATATGTCCTGGTAACGATTACAGAAGGTAGAACAAGATGCATAAAGTTCAGCAGAGGCTTCGTTGGAAGTCGAGGGCTTACTTATTTCAGAAATAATTGGCAATGACCCGACTGCAATCAATCGATCATACCAGCTTGAAGACGTCCAAAAGGAGATTTCTATCACCGAATTGATAAGCACCGTTCCCCTGTGAATGTCACAGAACTCATAGTGGCCATCTTTTCAAATATTGCCCTGCAACGATTCTATGAAGCAACTAGAATTGTCTAGGTGTACTGGGACTGGGCGCAATGAATTTTCACTTACGCTTACTTCCGATACGCTTGGCGCTTGGCGCTTACTTCCAGCGTAGCCTCCGTGTCAGTCCCCTTGGCGTTCATTCATGCACTTATATCTGACGCCCGCTACAGATTCATAACGGCCTGAGCCCTCAAAGGAGATATTGTGTCAGGTCTGTCAGCATGGAAAGGGCGTCCTACTACCGTTAAGGTCAAACAGGTTAAAACGTTTCCGGTGTGGTCCAGGCTCTCAAGCTTCAAGTTTCAAGAAAGTTCAAGACGGAATGGCTAGTAATGCACCCGCTCTTGATCGCCGACTACAGCACCTTTTCATCAGATTCCGTCTCGCGTAATGATTTTGAGCTTCATTTGCCAAGTTTGGCCGGGCGTGTATGACTGGAAACTATTTGACCAATTGAAGGCCTCCCTTTATCTTGCCACTATTCCAAATCCAAGACGCTCCTGTCTTTCCCTGCCACCATGCCTGCAGACTTTGTTCAAGCCGCCGCTTTGACCGTGGGGGCCTCGTTTGTATGTTCTAGTGGCTTTTTCCATCATACTTGCGAAACCAATCATCATCTTCACTCTACAGGTAGTGTGGAATATCTATCACAGATATGAGCCAGCGGGTTTCCTCTCAGCAGGTTTCCTCCTCTTTGCAATCCCAGGCTTTATAGCGCACCAAGTTCAACCACTATTCTCTTCTTTAACAAGGGCTTATTTAACGATCTTTACCATCTACTGGGGGGTTATCCTCTTGTTCACTACCGCCTATCGTCTCTCTCCTTTCCATCCACTCGCCAAATATCCAGGCCCTACTGCCTGCAAGGTGTCGAAGATATGGATGTCTGTGATCGCTGCGAAGGGCTACACCCATCGATATGTCTGCGACCTTCATACACAATACGGTGATGTCGTCCGCATCGGTAAGTAATCCGATCATGCGCAATTGAGGCACCGCGTTGATATATGAACGCATTCATGTAGGACCAAATGAACTATCGTTTCGCCACGAGGACCTCATCAATCCCATCCTTGCGAATAAGGAGTTGCGGAAAGGTCCTTGTAAGTTAGCTATTTGCTCTTCCCCAGATGTATTTCTGACGTGCGGCCCCCAAGACTACGACATACGTACTCAAGATGGTGTTTCCCCTCTCGACGGTCTGAAGGACTATGCAGAGCATGCTGCACGTCGCAGGCTATGGAACCGCGGAACGAGCGTTGCTTCTGCAAAGACCTACACTGACCACCTTCGTCACGTTATTGACGAGTTCATGCAAGCGCTCGCTCAGAGGCAAGACCAGACGATAGACATATCGAAGTGGATGTCGTTCGCAGCGTACGCGAAGCAAATGCTATCACTCATCGTTCACTGACTCCAACTCTCACGCGTAGGTTGGATTTCATGGGTCATATGACGTACGTATACATTAGTTGTCCACAGAAGGGTTTTGAGCATACATAATCATTCGTTCAGATTCAGCGAATCATTCGATATGATCAAAATTGGAAGGGATCACAACGGCTTAATCCACGCAGTCGACGAAATCTGCTAGTGAGTCCTAGCTTCTTGTGCTCTATGTGGAGTGTAAGCTGACTTCCCCGATTGTTGCAGCCAATGTCATGTGGTCTCTCAGACTCCATGGATCTTTGCCTTCCTCAAGTATATACCAGGTGCCGCGAGCGGTATTAAGACTGCCCGTCGAGCGGGTCAAGAGGTCGCTGATAAACGAATGAAGAGGGGCTCCAACAGTCGCGATCTGTACCATTATCTGGTACGCCATGTATCTCTGTTCTGGCTATGCAATTGCTGAGTAGGTTTCATTAGCTGGATGAGGATGGTTTTGAGAAGATCAAACCTAGCAAAGATGTCGCTCTTGTCGAGGGAATTCTCTCTATCATTGCTGGAGCAGACACTACCGCAACAGCCATCGTCAATGCAGTCTATTTCCTGCTCAAAAATCCCGAAGTGAAGAAGAGATTGCAAGCCGAGATCGATGATGCCTTGTCTGCCCAAGATTCACCCGACTACACCAAGTTTGTTGAGCTGCCTTTCTTGAACGCTTGCGTGTGAGTATCCTCCATCCTCTGGACTGTCATCAACAATTACGAACAACCTTTTAGTAACGAGACCTTACGACTACTTCCTCCTGGTCTTACTGGCTTCCAACGTCAAGTTGATCCGAAGAGCGGAGGAAAGATGCTCGGCGAATAGTAAGTAAACCGATCTCCTCAGGTGATCATACCAACAGTACGCTAATGGTATTTTTGTCGTACGTAGCTTTGTTCCTGCTGGTACCAACGTTTCCGCTCATCTCTACACAATTCAACGCGATCCTCGCTACTTCCAACCTCTACCCCTGACATTCTGGCCTGATCGTTGGCTCGAACAAGACGTTTACACCCTGCCTTCCGGCGAGAAGATCGGCAAGGACCAAGTGGTCTTGAGCCGAAATGCTTTCTACCCCTTCTCGACTGGGCAACAAAGCTGCGCTGGAAAGACCGTGGCGCACCTGGAGCTCCGATCAATCCTGATTGCACTTCTGCATCGCTTCGAGATCCTGCCTGCCAAAGGATACCGTGTCGACAGTTACGAGGAGAATCTCATGGACGTTTACGTTACTCTACGAGGACCGCTGCAGGTGCAATTGCAATCGCGCTTGGAGTAAGCGTTGTAAGTTGTAACGTTTCTATTCTTCACTTTTCGGCTGGCGTAACACACTTGTGGCTTATAACACTGCGCTGCGTGTATATAGAGTATTGATATGGGTTGCTACAACATACTGTTAGAAAACGATTGTGGATGAACAACTAGCTACCTATGAGTGTTGCTTAGATACGTAGTTTAGAGTCCTTTGTGCTCGATAACTAGTCACAAATCAGGGTCGAAGGAATGTGTGAAGTGCTTGTCAGAGGGACATCGTGGCCATGCAATTCTTTTTTTTGCTATGTTCAAACTGTACTTTGGTTGTCTGGAACGCACCGCGATACAGACTGTAGTGTGGCTTCGGAAGAGGTAGACGACATGCAGATATTCAACGCGTCTGCACCACGTTCCGTTGACTGCTGCTCGGTCGACACGCTCCCAGATGTCCCTGGCGGTGGAGCAAAGCGGACACTCTGCGATATAACTTCAGGAAATGAAGAGGGGTCTGGAATAACCCCAAGCTTCAGCAAGCGAAATACCCTGCACGCCATGGCGTTCTGCAAGGCAAGATTTGGCACGGTGGCCATTGCACGGTACGCGGGAGGTATCGCAGGAGTGCTCAAGAGGATTATTACGAGGATATTCAGGCCAACGGTAGCACTAAATGAATATCGGTAAGACTTTGAAAGAAGCTAATCGAGATCACGCTCACAGATAGTATACTTGTCCAGTCTTTAGGAGTCCTCTTGTCAAATATCCCATATTCTTCCCACTAAATAACGTGGACATTCGCCCCTTCCATGTATCCGCTGAGCCGTAAGATGACAGGTGGATAGAGATGGAGATGAATACTATGGTATCAAATACCCCCACGGTGAGGAACCCGATTGCTATCTTCTTGTCAAAGCCATCTACAGTGCAGTACAACGTTGGACCGATATGCATGGCAGTGGAACTGAACGGCGAGGCGAATGACGTGAGGGTTGACATCCAGAGTACGAACAGTATGACGATAAAGACTCGGGAATGATAGAATATGCCTCTAGCTCTGAGGAAGAAGAGGAGAGAATTGGAAGGTGTTGCAAAAGCTCCAAACCAACCATTTACCGTGAGCATCGTTTGACAATCACTGATAGGCGAAGCTGCGAGCGGTCAGGTATAGTCCGTCTCGTTGAGATCAAAAGTAGACTCACCGACGAAGAAGAATGACGTGGTAACGAAAACGCCAGATGAAATTCTGGCACCATATATCAAACGACGTGCGATAAGTTATATCCTACTCATTCACTCACCGAGACACTACGTAGACAACATCTGGAAGGGCTAATCTGCCTTTCTTCAGCATGTGTATTTCATCGATCATGCTCATCAACATGTCCCACAACCAAGCCTGCTCCAATTTCATCACCGGGATAAGGGCAGGAAGAAGGGGAAAGGACACTCACTCCCATGACGGCGGCAACGAGACATGTTCCAACTGCGAGCTGAAACGCTAGGTCCGGCGGAAGGAATGCGTATGGCGTCGTCGCATTCGGTGGAGAGTTCCATGTACCGTTGCTAGTCGTCATCAGGTCAATGTCTTTCTGAGTAGGTGACCAGTCATTTTATAGGGTTTCGGTAGGAACCTCAGACGTAGAAGCTGATAATACCTCTCTGGAGCACCCGGCATGAGAGTTCTAAATGATCTGAAATTGTCGATTTGTGGCTGTCACGTACTGCTACACGAGAAGCAACTGGTGAAAGTGCACAGGACAAGTCTCAAAAAGAACTTCCGAACGACATCTATAAAAGTTCTACAATGGGTAAATACACTGCTCGGCTTAATGAACCGAATAACGTACAGCTAACATTCCTTTTGTCCTTCCTCGGAGGTTTGATTCAAATGAATTACCGCACTTGATAGATCATGTAACGCCGGCATTCGCGAAAGTGAAGTCAAAGATTTGACTAGCCCATGAACGTCTTGTATCATTGTATCATCGAAGGTAGTAGGCGAAACGACTGAGAGGCACTAGCATAACTAAGGCTATTTTACTCCCTTATGTCAATAGAGGACTAACTGTTGGTTTGGGAACTACTGATGAACGCCAGCAAAACAATGGCTGCTTTATACAGCTAAAGAACAAGGACCGTCTCTGACGTCGGGCTGCATATTTGCTCTGCTTGGTCTTCGGACTTCATATCAACGCCCGCAGTCGTGATATCGAACCCTGAAGAGCGCATCCATGACTTGCCAAAGATTGTATGAGTCAATCATGCAACCATGGAAACCGCTGAAAGAACTGTGTCACGGTGCAACAATTTCGGACACTGTCAGCCTCGAACGTTGACCAGTGATAGACTCACGTCTAGATCTTTGTTCGAATCGAGGTGATGGTCCGAGCTCAGCCTGAGTCATGCCTAGGACAACGATTCGGTCCAGCGCGAAGGGGTATACAATTCGGTACGCGTGTTCACCGGGGCCATGTTGTTTTTCTCAGAAAGTCGATGGTGGAACGGCTCGTAAGGGAGGGAAACGCCATCGAGACTGTTTGTACATGTTGTTCAATATCATCCATCTTGTTCCCATTTTCAGGCCGGATTGATCCGACATAACAATCCCATTATCATTCCGCTTTTGCCCACTTTAGGAAGATACACCGTAACTGACCAAGTGAAGGGCCAATGCAAAACCGATGCTGAGGCCTTCTGATCAATAGTTCATGAATCTGTAAAAGTCAGGAACTTGTAGAACGTTTACCAAGATACGGTGTAAGCGTTTACGGCCCCTTCGATACCCTAAAACGCCTCCATCAATTAGGTCGTGCCTGCTGCGCATCGTTCATCCTCCCTTTACGCTTACCATGTACAACACTGCGCTTCATCCTCCCAGTATTCTGAACGTTTTTCCAACGGAACTACTCAGTCTCGTCAAGGAGTCCATTCCCCAAGGTGATCTTAGGACGCATGTATGCTTTTACAAAGCATGTCCTTCGTTTACCGCGCTATATGGTGATGAAACACGGCAAGCGGCATTTTGGGAAGGGGCCTGCATACTCGCAGGTTTAGGCTGTTTACCGAATGAGGCTCCGGAAAACGTGGATTGGAAGCATGTCGCTTTTGAGTGTATCGAGAAGGACGGTTTCTGTGACCATCCAGCTTGTGGAGGAGCACTTCTAGATTGGAACGGTAAGTATGGCTTGCTGTATGGAAATACGGCACATTGAATGTAGAAATTGTGTATCAGCCGCTCAGATGAAAAACATGGAGCTGGATCACTCTCAGCTCAACTGGAAAGCACTGATCGAATGCATTATTCTCGACGGCGAAGAAGCAGACTATTTACGCCCAGAACATAGTCCTGTCTTTCAGCATTTCACGTTCACTCCGTATGTTCCTCACGGTATTCGCCTACCGATTGGCGAGGACGTTTATTTGGATCGATTCGAGTGGAAGCATCAACCCACTCCTGAGTATCAGCTTCGATACCATCCCATTGCTCAACGTAGCTTTGCATTGTTTCCATTGGTCAAGATCATGGACTTCATGACACATTTTAGCAACACACTTCGACCCACAAACCCTTTGGGCATCACGGTGATGGACGTTTTGACTGCGTTGCATGGCGTGTACGTTGTTCGGATTCTGCAACCGCCTTCCTCTTGTTCATCAATTTCGGAACAGTGTTGACACCCATATGACCGTGCGACAGCTCAGCGAGACGCTTGAGCTATTGGATACGAAGACTGCCTTCCCAATCTCTACGGATTATCTCTTCTTCATATTGAAACGACTAGAGACTCCACGATCGTTCTTGTACTTCTAGTAAGTCCTTGACATATTCATTCTCACTAAAGTGTGTTCACGTCGCGTAAGTCGACCGGATGGCCTCAACTTTATAGATTGGGAAGACAATGGTCTGGGCCCTTTCTTCGGATTAGATCATCGAGTCGCTCGCGCTCTCACACAGAAAGAGGTTGAGAGGCTTTCTGCAGCCGAGGAGTAATGTCGTATCGGAGTGTTCTTACCACTTCATAACCTACATTACATGACGTATAGTATACGTGTCGCAATTAAGCCACTTCTTGAATTACCGTATGATACAGGCCTGCTCTAAAGAAGCCTTATAGTTGTGATTGCATTTTGGTGACGATGTGAAGGGTCAAAAGACGCTCGCTCAAAAAAAAAAAAAAACACAGGCTGGCGGCTAGATGTCCAAATATCATTTGGTGTATTTCTTGCAGCCGAGAAGTGAAACAAGGAATGTGACTGCGTTTGTGCAGTTCAAGTTCCCCAGCAACGCAAACATTGTTTGCTTGTGTTATGCAACATCCTCCACCGTGCTTCCTTAAATAGGCCACTGGAGAGTTACAGCAAGTTTAAGTTACACTGTTACAGTACAACCAAATGCAGTATGTTTGAAGCACTACATTGACCACATAGCGGATATTTTCAAAGAAACGGTACATTATACTGTAGAAACTTTTATGAAGTTTAGAACCGCCCTGGCTTTAGGAATGGACTCTCAAGCATGCACATTAGAAGAACATTCCTGAAACTCCGAAAACATTGCGTCAATACAGAAGGACTGGTATATTCGTGCCAGACACCCGCATAAGATGTTCGAGGAAGATAGCAGGATCGACATCAACATTTCCAGCGAAGGCGTCTATTGTACGTCCTTGGAACTACCATCTCGATACCCAGCTTTACAGATCTGCAACATCTTATTTTCCCCGTCAATCGCCGTGTTAGTTTGCATTTAGCTGTGTGATACGTCTGGCTTTGTAAACTTCCTGCGGCTGCTGGGTCTAGTAGAGCTAGAACCCCGAGGATTCCTTCCAGAGCTCGGCGAATTACCATTGGACTAGGATACCTAGGCATCTTTCCAAATGACTCAGACTACTCTTTTACAATACGAAGCTCCTTGTAAGTTCCGTATCTGAGTTGTGTGGATCTCGTCAACAACTGTGTCAATCGTAGGGCCCGTGTACGCGCTTGACTGGTGCAAGCACTCAGCTCCTGGACAACAGCTTCGACCACGTTCAGCGTTCCGTTTAGGGATCGCGTCGATCACAGAAGATTACCGAAACCGTATAGCTGTGGTGGGATTGCAAGACGAGAGGGTACTGGTGGAAGACGACTATACCGATTACGCAGACTTTGTCACGCTTGTCGACGCTCATCATGGTTATCCCGCAACAAGCCTCCAATGGCAACCTGCTGGTGCGATGAGCTTCAATTGGAGTCAGAAAGCTGCAACATCTGAGCTGTTGGCAACGACTGGAGATGCGTTGAGGGTTTGGGAGTACTCAAGCGATGCGCCTCATACAATGTCTTCGTTCGTAGGGAGGCCATCAAGCGGTGGGGGACATAGGTTATCATTGAGGGCAGCACTGTCTGGGGTGCGTTTGGGTTATTGTGTCTCCATCGGAAAAGTCGACTGATCTATTGCAGCAAAGTAAAGTGCAGAACAACTCAACTGGTGCACCACTAACGAACTTCTCCTGGAACGAGAAGTCGCCAAGTCTAGTCGTCACATCTTCCATTGATACGACATGTACAGTATGGAACATTGACACCTCTACCGCCATCACTCAACTCATCGCACACGATCGCGAAGTATACGATGTCGCATGGTTACCAGGATCGACAGACATCTTTGTCTCTGTCGGTGCCGATGGCAGTTTACGTGCGTTCGATCTTCGCAGTTTAGAACACTCGACGATTTTATATGAAACTCCGGCACCAAAAAATGTCCCTCCTCCTACTTCTTCACCGTCTTCTACCGCACGACCACACACATCCCCTCTGCTCCGAATTGCATTCAATCCTGCCGACTCAAATTATATGTCCACTTTCCATCAGGATGGACAGGAGATTCAGATCCTCGATATGCGCAGTCCGGGCCAACCAGTCATGGAATTGAAAGCTCATCGAGGACCTGTGAATTCACTGGGTTGGAGCTCTACTGAGAATCCTCTGCTTGCCACCGCAGGTCGGCCATATCCTTCGCTCTTCACTAACCTGCTGTACTTAAAATGAAAACTTTATAGGTGACGATTGTCAATTGCTTCTGTGGGACCTGAACGCGTTCACCCAAATCGCAGCCCAATCGCCGCGAAGCACGAGTGCAGGGTTAAGTTCTCCACGCCCTGACGCCAAAAAGCGAATAGTAACAGACCCAGTAATGGCATATACAGGACAGAGTGAGATCGTCAACCTCGCTTGGTCACCCCAAATTGCCGGAATGGCCCTACCCACAGGACATTCTACGGCTCCGGGAGAGTGGATAGCAATCGCAATGGGCAAGTCTATCAAGGCGTTGAAGGTTTAGGTTATTGTATGAATGGGATGTACGGATGTAGATGATATATGTATTTGTCTCGTTTCGTCGTGGTTTCGATTCTCTTGCTAACTCGATACATATCCTTTTCACCCAGCCTGAGCACTGCCTCGCCATTGTGCTTCACTTTGACCTGTATAAAGCTCGAGAACTCTCGATATGCTTTATTCCTTACAGATGGGAAGGAAAATATACCACATTTACATGTACAGGACCAAACAACTGATCATAAAGAAGTTTGAACGTTGCTTCTCCACAGATGACAAGCTTCAATTTAAACTGGAGTTTGGACGCCGTGACCAAGGCGGCATCCATGTCCTACTCGCATAAGACCAGTATATCAGCACTAACGTATTAACAATCTGTTTGCATCAGGCTGTCCCTCTCACCCAGGCCCTGTGATCTTTCGGAACACGAGATGCACTTTCGACTGCTTTACTGACCAATGGAATCCATATGGGTATACCACTTCCAGCTGCATTTCCCGCTGATACAGGAGACTTTGTCCGCATCATAAGATTCGCTTACGGATTACAGACACCTTGGTCACGTTCATATATGCTGACGCCGTCACGAAAGTGCTATTTGAAGTGTCTTATTTATCAATATCTGTTCAACACCATTGCTGAGGTATCCAGCGACACTTTCAAGCCCACATTTTGACACATACACGACGCAATGCCCACAGTTACTTCTGGCAAGGTACTCGTTACCGGTGCCAATGGATACGTAGCCACATGGATCATCAAGACTCTCTTGGAGAAGGGTTACTCTGTACGCGGTGCAGTTCGCTCTGAAGCCAAGGGAGCCCATACCCGAAACCTATTTGCGTCTTATGGTGACAAGTTTGAACTATGCGTTGTCGAGGATATCACCAAAGTTGGTTCTTGGTATATAGATTTGGACCTCGTACTCACATCACCCATATAGGATGGAGCGTTTGATGACGCCGTTAAAGACGTCGATGCTATTGAACACGTCGCCTCTCCCGTCACGTTGAGTGCTGTCGATCCCAATGAATTGATCAAGCCTGCCGTTGAAGGCACTCGAGGAATACTTCAGAGCGCTCTACGACACGGTACACGGGTGAAGCGGTTCGTTATGACATCGTCCACATCTGCCGTGAAGGAGATTGGGGTTCCCGGTCGTCATGTATACTCTGAGACGAATTGGAACTGGAAAGCTGTTCGGGAGGTAAACGAGAAGGGTGCTTCTGCTGATCAAATGGAGAAGTACTGTGCAAGCAAGACCCTCGCGGAACGTTTCGCCTGGGACTTTTACGAGGAAAAGAAGGAGAGTGGGATACCGTTTGATATTGTCACGGTTATCCCGCCTTATATTTTCGGTCCTTGGCTCCATGAAATCAAGGATCCTTCTGTCTTGAACGTGCCTAACAATATGTTTTATGATGACGTTATCCAAGGCAAGGCCGACAACGAAACACTGGCCAACTTTGGGTACGTTTTATCCGTTCATTCTAAAGCGTTATATCCTATTGCCACTTATTTTCGTAGCTATCAGTGGGTCGACGTTCGCGACCTTGCTCTTGCACATGTCCTTTCGCTGGAGAACGAAGAGGCAGGAGGGAAGCGACTTCTCATTAGTGCGGGAAATTTCAAGTTGCAAGATCTAGGTAAGAAACGACCTCTGTGAACAACTGCTTTATTAACATTCTTTGTTAGTGAATTCTGCTCGACGTTTCTCAGATGAGATTCCATTGGGCAATACTTCATACAGGAAGGAAGCTGCGGAACATCTGGCTACCTTGGATACCTCTAAGACCGTAGCCATCCTTCCCCAGCTCCATTATCGCGATCTCGAGGATACCACGCTGGCCATCTTAGAATGTTGCGAAAAGAATGGATGGTGGTCACGCTGAACTTAGGCTAGATAGGCAGGATACCAATGCAACTGCAGTCGCTTCTGACCTGATCCTGAAGGTTGATTTTCAATACAAATCATCTGTGCGCTATTGACAAATCCTGTGTGAAGCCGGTCAATCTAGCGTGAGCACGTTCGCTCTCAGTGACCAATGCATGCATGCACGTACTTACCGGTACCAACGAATAGGAAGACGTGGCCATTACAACTACAACGACATGGCCTCCCGGCAGGACATGGACCAATGCATTGACTCCAGATATTTCCTTTCCGATGGACCGGCATATGCTTGTTACCTGGCGTCCCTGAACATAGTGCGGCATTTCACCGCATAGATGTAGGTTCTTATTGCTGCTGTCTACGAATAGGTTCGGCATCCAACCTTACATCCGTATTGTAGGCTATCATCGGAACATATCCCTTTTCTTATCTTGTAATCGGCATCGAATCTCTACGCTTGCCGTACATGTATCAGTGGCCTCCTGGGAGCTCTGAGCCTAACTTGAAGATGAAATTTAGCGATCGCCGAACGAGACCGTGGCGGTTCCACTCCATTATGGTTTACTTTCACTTCTCATGGTCATATTCCAGATCACTCATGTGAAGACATTAGTGTGTGTTTCTTACATGCCTGTAGTCAAATTGGTGTACTCGTCTACTGAAAACAGGGCCCAAAAATACAACACTTCAATACACAACCTATTAGGTACTGTACATGAACATCTCCTCCTCGTACCGGTCTTCCGAGATGTCGCTGAATGCATACTCTATCTGTTTCCGCGCTGGCTGTCGTGCACACCACCACTAAGAACCGCCCACTAATGTGCCGTCAAGAGTACGAATTGTGCCTTGAACATCAAGGTTTAACATGACTACGATTACGAGGGGTATATAAGGCTGCATGAATAAACACCAGAACGATCATACTACCACAGTTTTCTATATCTACGATAACAATGCCCACTGCAACTTCTGGAAAAATCCTCGTTACAGGAGCTAACGGCTTTGTCGCTGTCTGGGTTATCAAGGACCTTTTGGAGAATGGATACTCTGTGCGAGGCACAGTCCGCTCTGAGGCTCGCGGCGCGCATGTTCAACACCTCTTCGCTTCTTATGGAGACAAGTTCGAACTGGTCATTGTTGAGGACATAACGAAGGTTGACCAAATTCTCCTTGTGCTTGTTATCTTTCTCAAAGCTTTTTTTCTTCTTTTGGACAGGAAGGGGCATTTGACGAGGCTGTTAAAGGCATCGATGCCATTGAGCACGTTGCCTCTCCCGTTAGCTTAGCCGCCAACGACCCCAACGAGCTTATCAAACCGGCTGTTGAAGGCACTCGGAGTATCCTCCGTAGTGCTTTGCGTTATGGTTCGCAAGTTAAACGCGTTGCTATCACGTCCTCATTCGCTGCGGTCGGCGAAGTTGGGGTAGTTCCGGACGGAGGCATCCATACTGATGCACACTGGAATAACAAATCCGTCCGAGAAGTGGAGACAAAAGGTGCCGCCGCAGACCAGGTGGAAAAATACTGCGCCAGCAAGACTCTCGCTGAGCGGGCGGCCTGGGCTTTCTACGAAGAGAAGAAAACCGAGCTTCCGTTCGACATAGTTACCCTTATCCCTCCGTACGTGTTTGGACCTTGGCTTCACGAGGCCAAGGACATGTCACCTATTGGAATAGCCAATCTCATGTTCTATGACCTCGTCGTCAACGGAAAGGCTGACAAGGATACGTTGGTAAATGATGGGTAAGTTAATTTCTAGTACCCACCATGTCTGTTCTGAGCTTTGTGCTTGTAGTGTTTTCTGGGCCGACGTTCGTGACGTAGCCCGTGCGCACATTCTCGCTCTTCAGGTTGAGCAGGCAGGTGGGAAGCGACTCATCATAAATGCCGGACCTTTCAAATGGCAGGACTTCGGTACCTATGGCTTTTCTATTCAGTATTGGTCCTTACTCACCGTCATTCGTAGTAAATGCAGCGCGACGAGTCTCCAGTAAGATACCGCCAGGTAACGAGTCGTATAACGCGGCGACTGCTAAGCACCCCGCTATGTTGGATACCTCCAAGACCCAGGTAATACTCCCTCAGCTTACCTATCACACTTTCGACGAATGTGCGGCAGCGACGTTAGATTGTCTTGAGAATGCGGGATGGTGGACTCGACGAGTTTAGGATGGACTAGACATGTTAGAATAGGTTTTTGAGTGTCACTAAATAGGAGACTGTATGTCACAAGATTCGAAGTATGGGAAGCAGTTGCACCGAGAATGAAGAACACGAGACTTAGTTTCTAATTCTTCAAATATAGCTTTACTAATCTACCTTCAGAATATCTCGACAATATTTCCAATTCTAACTATCCTGCTCTAGCAATCTGTACAATGATCGCCCTCATGCGACAACGTTCACCGTTCATTTTTTGACTTCGTAAGCTTCCCAGCCAATTTCTTCGAGTCGGTCAACCTTCGTCATGACCTCAGTCTCCAGGTTCTTCAAATATTTCTCCATATCATTAATCAGGTCTGGAATGCCAGCGCTGAGAATCCGCACCGCCAACAGACCTGCATTGGTACCGTTGTTAATAGCCACAGTAGCCACAGGGATGCCTCGCTATTGAAGGAGGCCGAATAAACATCACAGGACCAGCGTGGAAACAAAGGGTAACTCACTGGCATTTGCACAATACTATGCAACGAATCAACTCCATCCAATGAACTTCCTTTTACCGGGACACCCACCACTGGCAGAGCAGTCATAGCAGCCACCATACCCGGTAGATGAGCTGCGCCACCTGCACCAGCGATAACTACTCTCAAGCCTCGGCTAGCAGCACTTTTTGAATATTCTACTAGACGATCTGGGGTTCTGTGCGCTGAAACGATGGTGAGTTCATAAGGAATATTGAAAGAGTCGAGAATGTGAGCCGCTGGCAGCATGATGGGGAGGTCGGAGTCCGAACCCATGATGATTCCAACGAGGGGATGGTGATGTGAATGCCCTTTGGAGGGAGGGAGGGGAGCATAGCGGTCAAGTTCGGCTATCGAACTTCCGCCTGGGATGCGCTCAAGTAAAGGACGAAGTCTCGACCGGAGTTCCGCATCATTCTGTGCAACGACGGTGACATGGCCCATCTTACGACCCTTTCGACATTCCGCCTTTCCGTACAAGTGTATCGTGGTGCCAGGGACCGTGACTGCAAAGTTGGTAAAGTCGAATATCTCCTGGTGATTAGAAGAGGCGCCGAGGACGTTAAGCATCGCAGTGGAGGGCACTTTAAGTGCGGTGGAGCCGAGAGGGAGAGAAAGGATGGCGCGGAGGTGGTTCTCGTATTGAGATGTTTCGCATCCTTCGATCGTATAGTGACCGGAGTTGTGTGGCCTTGGGGCAATTTCGTTAACATATATTGAACCTTTAAAGACAGAAATTAGCACTTTCATCTGCACTGAACTCGGTACAATACGAACCGTCTTGCATTAGGAACATCTCGACACCGAAAATGCCCGCTCCTTGGAAAGTCTTCACGGCGGCCTCCGCAACTTGTTTGGCACGGTGAGGTACCGCAGGATCGCGACTCCTTAGGGGAGCAAATACCAAATGACAAACGTTCTCCTTGTGAACAGTTTCTACGGCAGGGTATGACGTAGTTTCACCTTTGGTATCGCGAACGACCATGACGGCAATCTCATTGATGAAAGGAACCCACTTTTCTGCATAAAGGGGACGGTCTTTGAGAGCAATGAGGGCTTGGTCGATTTGAGAAGGGTCATGGATGACAAAATTGCCTCGTCCGTCGTAAGCAAGAGTGCGACTCTTCAGCATAAGCGGAAGGCCGAGCTTGTCAATGGCGCTTTGAATGGACTCTACAGTTCTTTCAACTGGAAGAAACTCGGATACAGGCACTCCACTGGCTTTCAAGTGCTGTTTTTGCAAGAACTTGTCCTGGACAATCCGGATCGTGGACGGGCTGGGATGGATCCCAAGAGGAACACTGGACTCGATCTCCTCAAGTACGCCAACATCGACATGTTCAATCTCCACTGTCAACACATCGACTTTCTTCGCCAGTTCACGGATTTTAGCAGGGTCAGTAAACGATCCATCGATGTGGGCTTTCTCAGCGGTGCGAGGGACAACAATTTGCTTTGCCGGAGTATAGTCTCCAGAGTCAAGGATCACGACGTCGATATTAAGCAATGATGCAGACTCTGCAAGCATACGGCCTAGCTGGCCTCCACCTGCGGATAAAAACAGGCGTAGATCACTTGGTTAGAGAAACGCATTCTGAAGATAACAAATTCGCGAAACCCTGCACAATGCAATTTAATATAGAACCAAAGTATTATTCGTAGAACTTGGGAGACCCACCGCACCTAGAATTCCAACTGTCTTATCCATCCTTCCAACCTGGATGGTGAAAGTCGAAAAGCAGAAAGAAAACACCCCTCCAAATTCGGACAGCTTGATCTAAACGCATAAGCGCCCATAAATCATAATTCCTTTCCGTTTCAGCCATGCCTGCAGCGAAACCTCCTGCGCCGAGAAAAAGACAACGAAAACGCAAACGACGAGCTGTTGCTTCGTCTTCGTCTTCTTCAGACTCGGATTCTGACTCTTCGAGTGGGTCTGATCGACCCGTTGTACGCAAAGTACCAGTTCAAGCGAAGAAACCTCAGGAGCACGAAGATGAATCCTCCTCATCTTCATCGTCTTCAGAAGAGTCTGAAGACTCGGAATCTGCACGTCGTAGAGAGGCTCGGAAGGCTTTATTTACGCCCAAAAATGTGGAACCCGAAGTAGAAGAAGAACTCCAAGCACAACCGATTATTGGACATGCTCAACGACCTCGACGTTCGCCCTCGCCGGACGTCCCACCACATCCCGTTCCTTTACCCTCTTTTCTGCCAGAAACTGGCGATGCAGGGGAAGATGCGCGGAAAGAACAGGAGCTGAAGGAGAGGTTTAGGAAACTTTGGATGTCGAGTATCGCCGATGCGTTCAAGGATGATCTCGAGGTCATACAAAAGGTGCGTTTTCATCTTTTCCTGCTCTAAGATATAAACTTATAGAGAGCGCTAGGAACCTAATATGAATCCATCACGGCTTGCCGTCCTGATCGAATCCCTTGCTTCGGGTGCAGACGTCTTCTCATCCTCGGCAAGACCGGGTGCAGACGAAGTGAACGAGATGCAGATTGTACTGGACGCTGCAGATGCTGCTGAACAACGAAGAGCCCGTTGCCAGCAAGCTGAGGGGGATGTGGATATGGCGGATGAAGAGGAGATGTAGACTGAAGGTGTGCTGTTCATCTATTTTTTTGATTGCAGATCTCAACTGACGATATGATTCTCAGTCTCTGCAGCTTTGTTCTTTTGTTGACGCTCAGGATTTGCTACTGCTTCAATACGAGAGAAATTACTTGCATTTGGGCGAAGTTTCTAACTTCAGATCCGGTGTATTGGTGTCCCGCAGTCTTGTAAGCCGGGGTGCTCCCTCAGAAGCTCATAGCTTTAAAGCTTGGCTTACATATCTGGGATACGCCGAGGAAATAGAGGATGTCAAAAGTACTACGCAATTGTATCAATAGACCGCAGATACAGTATACCGTTCATATTTCGCCTTTCCAACACCTTATGACTGATGACTACATGACCTGCTCAACAACAGCATTTCATCCAACGTGATTGTGGCGGAAAGCATGTATCATATTCTCATGATATCATAGTGGGTGATGCTATCCATAGAGGAAAGTATTTTGAAGGCGAGCAAAATACAAGTGAGGAATAAGCGGAAAGCAGCAAGTCGACCCTAAAAAGAATACATCTAGTACGCCTTCTTGCCAGCAGCAAGTTGAAGGTGTGCGCTGTGCTCGTCGTAGGGAACCTTTGACACGGGAATTTCTCGCCAGAGGTCGGGGGTGAGGAAAGCGTATGTTTTGGTGATCTAGACACAGTTGGAGTTGTTGAGTAAAAATAAGATATTGACGATCAAAGTGAGGATACGTACGGCAACGAAGGTAGCCTTCAAGAAGTTACCCATGGTGGCAGTTGAACCCTTGGATTGGGTGTAGCAATCCTCGACACCAGCAAGTTGCAACAACCGCTTGGAAGCAGGAGCAGCAACCAAACCGGTACCTCGTGGCGCAGGGATAATTCGGCACATGACGGAACCGACCTTTCCACTGACCTTCGAAGGGACAGTATGAGGCTCACCGAGGTTGACACCCCAGTAACCTCTTCGGACGGGAATAACAGAGAGTTTGGCGAGAACGATAGCCCCACGAATGGCAGTCGCGACTTCCTTCGCGCACTTGACACCGAGACCGACGTGACCGTCGAAGTCACCAATGGCGACGAAAGCCTTGAAACGGGTACGCTGACCGGCACGGGTTTGCTTCTGGACGGGCATGATCTTCATGACTTCGTCCTTGAGTTTAGGCAGGAAGAAGTCGATGATCTGGTATTCCTTAACGGGGAGAGAGAACAGGTAGATCTCCTCCATCGACTTGATCTTGCCATCCTTTACGAGACGACCGAGCTTGGTGACAGGAACCCTTTGAAAAATGCAGTTTTTTCAGGATCAAGGTGACGATACAAAAATCAATAAGACGTACCACTCCTTCTCCTCGTCCTTACGGCCTCCACGACGAGGGCCCCGGCGGCCCCGTCCTCTGTCACCACGACCCCGTCCGAATCCACCACGTCCGCGAGCTGCGTCAGCCATTCTTGAGTTGTCGGGAGTTTGCTGTCAGAGCAAAAGCGTCGTAAGTATGTAGTCACCAAATGTGCAAACGTGCAGCTTTAGCCAGAAAGTGAAGCACAGGTCGTCATCTAGTCGGCAGTCATGCCATCCATCGCACAGCACATCGTTTCGGATGGCGAAACTTCACCAGTATCATTGTTTGACCCTCTGCTTTGCATTTCAGTATCAAATGACAGCATAACTACTCACAGGTTGAGATATGTAGCTATTGAGCTCGCCGTTGTTTGCGTCCTCCTTGCCTTGGGGTGTCTTCACTACTAGCGCCAGCATAAAGACCCCGAGAACCGCCGCACGTGGAGTAGACGCCAGACCATATTGGAAAAGTCATTCGAATTCAACGGTCAACTTCATCTTGACACTCTTCATTTCTCTTGATTAAAACAGTACCGCAATCCTGTTCAGGGCGTATGTTTTCTTTTCTATGAAAAACTGTAATAACCGTCCACTTACGATCAAGGCTGCTGATTCTGCAGAGATTCTGACACCCAGATCATGTTCGCTGCATTTGTAACACGAATGTTAAAATTAGAATGCATACAGGTGAAAGCGAGTCACGTAGTCAGGAGAGCACATCCAATATGCGAGCAGCCATCGAGCCTAAGCAACCATAGTCTAACAAATGATACAATCGTCGTGGTGTCGACGATGACGTCTCGCAGCAGCGGCGGCTGCGGCTTGCATCTCTGCTTGCAGTCTCTGCTGAGCCGCTGCAGCCTCTTGCTGCTGTCTGATCATCTCTTGCTGAACCCTCTGAGCCTCCGCCGCCTGTCGTTGTCTCTCCGCAGCCTGTGCAGCTAATTGAGCTTCCAGCTGCCTCTGCACTTCTTGACGGTGTGCCTCCTCTCGACATCGCTCCTCAGCCTGTCGAGCCATCTCCCGAGCATGAGCCTCCCGTTGACGAGCTGCCTCAGCTTCAGCCCGAACTCGTGCTGCCTCGATCTCTGCCTTGTGTCGCCTCTCCTCTTCTGCCATCTTGAGACGCATAGCCTCTTGTGCACGCCTCATCTCTTCCTCTTGCCTTCGCCTTCCTTCAGCCAGCTCCTTTTGCTTCTCGGCCTCTAGTTCCGCACCAGCGGCAGTCTGCTCAACACTCTTCCCTTCCCTAACCACCTCATCTTGGATCTTCAACGTTACTTTCTCCTTATTCACAAACTGCTGTACAATCGCCCTGGCAGACTCCAACGTGTTGTAGTGACGCATCATCTTGGCGCCCTTGTCAAGCACAGGTTTGAATAGGATGTCTTCTGTCGCCAGTTCCCGTTCCCGTTGCACCCCGACCTCTTCACGAATCTCACCCCACATGTTCGTGACGATGATCACACTAGCGAGAGTGCTGTCGCCGCATAGTTTGCGAAACATGCCGAAGTTGCGACGAGAGATCCCGCCCATTCTCGGGTCTGAGATTCGGTGCATGTAGATCACTCCGCTGAGTTTCTTGTTGTTGCGGTATCTACAACATGTTCAGAGGTGAGGTCAGGTGAGTTGGGTGCTGAGCAATTGCATTGATCAATTTCCTTACGTGTTTGCTAGATATGTTGTGATCGTTCGTAGGATGTCAGTATCCGTCCGAGTCGTATCATCGAAGCCCGGAGTATCGATTAGGACCATACGACGACCACCTATGTCGAATGGCTGCGAGCTTTGCACCTGAGTGGTGCTTGAAAGTAGGCCTGATCCGACTTGGAAGTTTGACCCGCTGACGAGGTTGATGAACTGTGTAGCTGATCAGTCAACAATCCCTGCATTTGTTGGGTATTGTATTCACCGTCGATTTGCCAGTCCCGGTCGCACCCATTACACTGTAGTTCATGCTGTCAATGTCTGTTGTGAACGGTAGGTAAAGGAAGACATACGCGACAGTGAGTTCATCCATTTGTCTACTCATGTCTGTGTACTAAGTAGAGGACCAGAAGACGTTTCTTAGAGTTGTGACTTAGGTCCAACGCTACTTATACAGCCCAAAGATGGAGCATGTCAGCAACGCAGTCGTAGAAGCATGCCTCGTTCCGAGAAATCCAAATATCATTAATTCTCTTGGATTGAATTTGACGACGTTTGGACTCATGTTCAAATCGTGCTAACTTTGAATGCACGTTTGCGGACATATCGACTACAGGTTGCATTCTGGACGTCAATGGAAGCCGAGGAAGAGAACATTCATCTTACTTCGTTTTGACCTTCTGTTATGCGACTTGTAAGTGCACTTCTAACGGGTTCTCTGGACGGCAGTCGAATGTCTTCGCTGCTGCTAATAGGAGACTACTTATTTGGGCTCGACCTGCATGGTCAAGTTTGCCATTGATGGATACAGACAATCTGATTTGAAGGGCAGCGGATTCGGCATGAGTGTATTTTTCGATAAAGTTTGCTGCCAAGTGTTTGAGAATGTCCACATTCAGGGCAACCATCCTATTTCATCATATGTCGGCTAAATTGCGCCCGGGCGAAAATTCTGTTGCGAAGTGCTTCAATGAGTCACATTCCAGACATACTTAAGCCAGGCTTGGCCATGCTCTGTTTGCCTGTGGTTTGCCAGGATCATCGCTTCTTTCAAAAATCTCCTTCCTCTTCACTTTTCCCATTCGGTTTTTCTGCTTCCAAATGTTTCTACATATTCTTTCTTGTCTCCCAGCTTGTCGCGTTAGTTTGTCGCACTCCGAAGTCTAGCCTCTGCGATCTACGCCTTGTGATTGTCAATCTGTTCCTGCACGTAATGGGTCTTGCGTTCGCCCTAGTTCTTGTGGTTCCCGCGTTGTCTCTCTTTGCTTCTTACGGGCTACTTTCCACGGGCTACCGTTCCCCCAACACCCTTGGATTCTAGCTTCGCTTGTCCACGAAATCCCTCAGGATAGCTCGTGCAGACTGCGAAATATCTCAGCCGCCCATCATCTTGGCATTTTTGCTTAACGGTGGCTTGAGCAAATCGCAAGTTTTGTATCTGAATGTCATGTTGGTTAGGGTACTCACTCGTAAGTTAAGTTGGATACCTCTCGGTTGGTCGCAGGGTTTCTCTTAATCCCTTCCAGTCGTATTCTCAAATTCAGTTGTATCACTCAAAACTATACGTCGATCATTCATTTCAAACAACTGAGAATGTTCTACAGTTATGCTAAACGAATGCAGGCACGAGCCCATTTCCAAATTCAATGCGCTGAGAGTCGGCCAACGGTACACTCATCAAGTCAGTACGAATTTGCAATCTCACTTCAAGGATACTGACCGACCCTGGATCGTGTTACACGCATGACAGGATCTCTGGGGTTGCAAATGGCAAGTATGGCATCTGTCTATCCGTTAACCTGAACGTGAGGTATGCTAATAAGATCCATTTGGCAGGTTATTTTAGTGTCGAACGTGTTTGTGATGATCCCGGCTCAACATGCTCAGGTTAGCTGAAGTCAAGAAGCATGCTTCACAACTAGAAGTCCAAATATCGTTAATTTCCGTGGTGGACGCAGATCAAGTCGAAACTTCTTTTGCCTATGCCGAAGCCCGTGCTCATCTCGTCCCATCTCTGGATGCTCTGTCGGACGTATGTTGGTTTCAAAGCGTCCGTTCTCTACGCACTGAACCCCGCTTTCGGTTCGTTCCGGTATTCTGTTTGGATATGGGATCCCCATCTTGAAAAGCGTCGTAATCGCGTTTCACTGGACACGAAAAGCTGTGAATGTAGCCACAACTCAAATCTCTTAGTTTCTGGGACGGGGTGGGTTTGGCGAGGAAGATATGGAACCTGGGCGTTGCGGATAAGGCCATTCCTTGGGGTTTCCCTTTTATATTTTCAACTGGCTTTTGCGAAGACCACGGACATGCAACCCCTTGACGTCCTACAACAGAAGCCCAAGTGTCCATATGGTCCGCCGTAAACTGACTTCTTCATTAGACATTATATTCATCGAGAACAGGCTACAAGAGAACAGGAGGCTACACAATATCATGACTCCACTGCCTATAACTCCACCCTCCATATGTTGCTACTAAGTAGGCATAACTCACAGTCCGTATCGTCAGGGTCATACACCCAAATGGGAGGCTATTAACTAGAATTCCAAGAACAAGGATCAAGAATGACATTAAGGTATACATATACTCCACGCTCTATACAAGCATGCCAGCGATACCCGCGGCTTGAAGTGTCCTGCGAGTGGAAATCATCAGTACGTGAGCGTCGTGTCTCGGTGAGATAGACTCACGAGATAAAACCGCAGATCATAGCACTTGTTGCAATTTTCGCAATAATCTTCGCTCTCGACGGTGCAAGAGCACTCAAGACACCAATCTGAATACCCAACGACCCAAGGTTCGCAAATCCACAGAGAGCATACGAAGCGATCGTATAGCCTCTGAAACTCAATGGGTTATCGCTGCCCATGATAGCCATGAGCGTGCGGTACCCAACGAATTCGTTTTGGACGAGTTTGGTTGCAAGTAATTGGGAAACGGTGAGAATCTCGTTACGCGGTACGCCGATGAAGAAGGTGACGGGGTAGAATATATATCCGAGGATGAGTTCAAGGGTGAGGGCATTAATACCAAAACCGTGTCCGATCCAGGTAAGCAGACCGTTTATGGTAGCGACAAGGGAGACAACGGTCAACACGTTCGTCCTTCGCTGTGTGTCAACAATTCGTCTCGGATGAAGAACATAGGAGGGACGTACAGAATCTGACCTGCAACAATCAAACCGAACAACGCGCCCTGACTGAACGCATGAAGCGCATTAGCAGGTCTGTTCTTCTCGCTTTCAGATCCGCGGTCGACGGTAACCTGTCCTCTTGTCACAGGCTCGTCCGTTTCAGGCATTCTGAGTTTACTGATTGCAATGGAGGCTGGAATACTCATCACAGACGCGGTGACCAGGTTTTGCGCAGGAACACCCATGCTAATATATGCGCCAAGAACAGATCCTGCGATGGTGGAGAAACCTGCATGTGCGCATTTAATTACTAGGTGCCCGCGTGACGTGGAATACTGTAGAAAATGATGCTTACCAGATGTCATGGTCAAGTGCAGTTCCGACTCAGTCATAAGGTCCACGTACGGACGGACAAGACATGCGGATTCACCCTGGCCGATGAAGGGTGAGGCGGCCGCGACGACGGCTTCTGCACCAGATACATTCATCACTTTGAAGAAGAACCACGCGCTACGATTCTGTTGGTGTCAGACTTCAGACACGAAGGCGAGTGAACGTACAATCCCTTGATGAGCCATTGCATGACGCCTAGGTAATACATCATCTGCACGAATGCAATGAAGAAAATGATCGACGAAAGCTAGAAGTATAGTGAGGGAGGCATGAGGCTTCTTCAGTTGAACGAAGTGGTCGTACCGTGTTCACAAAGAACCAATGCCTGTCGATGACATCGGGGTCGAAGAAGAACTCGGCACCCTTCAAAGCTTGCGCCAAGAAGTCGGATGCGAGGAGAGCAATCCACTTGAAGATGGAGAAGCCAGCACCTGACTTGAGCACGAACATGGCAATTGCTTGTTGCATAAACAAGCCTACCATGACCGTCGGCCTTTCTGGTACTCAGTCAAAGTTCTCCGCAGGTTTCATTACACAACATACCAAGGGATTTGTGACCGACGCCTGCTGGAGAGCCAGAACCCAGTCTGGAACACGAAAAGTCCCAGAACGGAGATGGCACGATCACCATAGTTGGTATTCTAAAACGAACGACGGTCTATCAACGTTCTTTGGAAGAGAGAAGACATCAGACGGTAAAAACAATTCATACACCGGTGAGTGGGAAGCCAAAAGCAGAACCGAAGACGATGCCTAAGAGGGCGAGCCAGCCCATACCGAGTCGGACCATGCGAGGGAGGCTTAAGAAGGGTTTCTGGACGAGGGGGACCCATACTGCACCCACTGGACGCGTTACGACTGAATTGGGTATGAACCGGAAAGCAATAACGCTGTGTTTATTCGTTAGTTTGAGTTCAGTTCGGACAATGAATTATACACACATTATGAAAAACCATGCCCAGACTGTCTGCACAATCCTTCACAATTACCACCATCACCACCAAAGTTAGCGAGCATGCTCAGAGATGAGAATACATAATTAAAGTACCATCTATGTCGGGTAGCTTTGAGGACGGTAGCAGATATCCACCAGCCAAGGATGACTGCCGCGATGCCGCCGAGGATGAGAGGGCGATATTTCCGGTAGAAAGCCTCTCGCTTTGACCTGGCCTCCTCGACCTCGATGTCATCATTTGCAAGCTCCTTGCTCTCCTGGACCTCGGGATCGATCGTCTTCTCGTTTGTAATGGATGAGCCGGTCGTGCGAGAGGTTTTTCGCTCAATGATGTCCACCTCGGGGGCGGTTTCGGCAGATGAATACATCGTTAACTCTGAGAGCGTTGCTCGTGCGAGCAGAGACTCGAGCGAAAACTCAAAATTGAGCGGAAGGACCGACGAAGGATGAAGGTAAAGTTTGCTGCATCATCATGCTGGAGCTTAAGTATATTTTTCCCCCGCCCACAGTTGGCGCGGTGGGTACCATATGGACATCACTTCAAACCATGTCCCACCCAACTCCTCGTGTGCCTGGCCAGATAGCAGCTATCGCTAGAATATACCTTCTCTGTTTTCGAATTCGTCACTTCCAAACCTCCGAGGGAACTCCAAGGATCATTTATGAATGACATCGCGATGGAATCCAACCTCGTTCGTGATGCACTTCTTGAGAAACCCATGGCAATTCGCAGGCCGCATATCTGATATCACTTATCTACGACACAGAATGTACACACATGGCAATGACCGGTGACCCTGCATCAATAATCATCGGTCCCTCTGTGATAGCGAACACCCGAGATTGGCGACCACCCCGCGCAGTGTACAGCTCCGCACATACAGACATATTGGAGTAACAGATAGCGAGAAATCATACGGCGAAACACACTAGTCCGAGCTTGGGGTCCAGGCAGACCTGTCCAGTTGTTGACAGGCAAGATCAAAGCTGGCGTTCTCTACTCGGAGGCCGGTGCTTATCTGGGTCGTGTGCCGAGTCCGAATATAGATCAACTCAAGAAATGCCTACGTAACGTTCCAGGTCAACGACTTCATACAATACTTGCAGGAGCAACAACATACCTTGTGGTCCACTAATCCACTTTTCATAGTTGAATGTGATTGGAAATCTCCCCTTGGCGAATGCATCCACAGCGATATCCGGGCTCCCCCTCTCGATAAACGCCGTGTACGTAGCCAAGTCTTTATCTGTTTCGTTCGACAGTCGGACCTCTTCTCCACGAGCCACTCGAACGGAGGTCTCGTATACCTTCTCATCACCAGGCTCGGCGTGCTCGTGGGCCATACTCAAGAGAGCTATAGTCTGATTGATATATCTTTGGACTCTCGGTCAAAATTCAGCTCGGACTAGATGCATAAATGGAGACGTACTCCTCGTATTCGGCCCGTTCTTTCTTAGACACGTCTGGATTCAATAACTGAGTTGCGACATACTCAGTCGAGTGAATATCCTTTGGCCTCTCTGGGACCTCTTTCGATCGTGCAGCCTGTTTCTTGTCCTGGCGCAACTCGACGCGGGGATGGTGCCGGACGACGGTACTCGAACCTATCCATCGACGAACGCCATCCATTAGCCTGGATTTGCTGATCGTCAGCAGAAAACAATACAAGAGGAAGTGATGTGTGCACACCTTGGAGGATGGAGGTTCACGTTATGATGAGCTAGGAACGGACTGTAGTTGATATCTGCTGCTGTTTTCCTGCAAAGGCTTCAGCACAACATCACAACATACCTAATACAGGATCACTCACCCTGGCAACTTCAATGTACTATTCATGCAGTATACGAAATGCTTTCCAAGGCTTGTGAAAAGAAGAGGCCTATAATATTCGATCCAAAAGTCTCCCCGTGCCTGTACGAATTGCTGTATTCTTTCCTCGCATTCTTGGAGATCATAAGCTCGATCGAGGTGTTCCTTGCGATACCAATCCCGGTAGGACTTAGGACGTTTGCGAGCTAGAGATTGCGCCGCGTTGATGGGGCGGTCGTGGTGAACACCTAGGAAGAGATTGATTGCTGCTTGTTTGTCCGCGTCTGCAGGAGAGGCAAGCGTCAGGTCAGTCATGGAGAGGATAAAGCGAGTGGACTTACCGAGGAGGGAGTTGGTGTAAAACCGACGAAAGTTCTCGATTATGTCCCTGGAGTGACTGTTCCAATGAGGCATTCGGCGGTATGTCTCGACACGATTCACAAGTGCACTTCCAGTATATTGCATGGCAAGAGCTACACGTCGTCAACATCTATCCCGTCGGTCAGACCATGTTCAGATGCGACTCACTGTCCCCATGATCATGATACATTTCTGTCAACATGTTCACTGCGTCCGAGTCGAATGCCAAGTTCGGACTGTCGACCACACCCAGAGCGTAGAGTTGATGTCCTAACACACGCTTGCCAAAAACGAATTGAGCAGCGTTTGTCCGATCAAGACAGTCTACGCAGTTGGTTCTGCAGACGCCGTTTTGGAGCGCCATGGAATTGCGCCAGGGGATCGCATTTCCGGTCGTGCTATTCAAAATAATGATTAGTGATTTGGGATGACCTGAAAGAAAGAACATGGATGGTGGAGACAGAACTGTACACATACTCGGCTGCCACCTCACTCCGAAGGTGATGAGCGTAGGGCTCAGGGCCCGAATGGAAGAACCCAGTCAACTGGATGCTCTCCTCCGCAATATCCTCCAGATAGCTAATCACATCTTGGGTCTTCTCCTTATAAGCCCTCGACATATCCCACGCTCGATAAACGATCTTCTTCCCCCGAGGCAAGAACTGATTCAGGTATTCCACACATTGAGTGTACTCTTCTAGAAGTTTGGACTCGCGCGGTTGAGGTTCTCGGCGTTTGATGAGGTTGAGGACCATGACAGGAGCACCATACCTGGCGAAAAGGTCGTCAAAATGACGCGAAGCTGGGGTGTAGAAAGGGTCCATCACGTTGACTAGCACAGAATCGAGTGAACACAGATATATTTGAACATCGGTAATGAGAACATACTTTCAATGGGGGGTTTTGGAGACATGCTGTTGAGTTCCTGAGTCCAATAGATTGGTATGCTTCCACGGTACTGAATGTGAACTTTGAAACAAACTCAAATATCAGTGCAGTGGCACACGTACCTGAACGTAACTAGTAAAGTTGGGACTTGGTCGTCGCTTCTTAGAGCCAGTAGGTGTGTCACGAGTGGCAGGGTAGTAGAATGGTGTCGTCACAGTCTCGCTAACGATTTGTTCTGTCTCGACTTCGTTGGCAACATTTCCCTGAGAGCAAGACAATTAGCGGCTGAGATCGGTACATATATGCGATTAAGCCATACCTCATCGTTGACCCCTCGTTTGAGGTACCGTGCACCAGCATGATGCCGAGAGCGACGAGCGATCAGAGTCACGAACACAATCCTGCCGAGTACTGTAAGCTCTGCGCAGGCAAGGTCATCATTCAAGTCAGACGTGATGCAATTTATGAGCACACTTACTGGCTTGGTCAACGTGCCCATGTATAAGAGGAAGAAGCCAACAAGCTTTGAGCGGAGGTCCTTCTTTGTCAGCAAAAGGTGTTGTCATGAGGTGATGGTTCCAAGCAAAACGGTCGTTGAACATCCGACTAGAAGGAATTGGGCACGTCAAGTTGTGTTGCAAGCTGGATGTGAGGTCATATGTATAGCTGGCGTAAAACATTAGACTCTCCGCAGGAACCTAGAGGCTCTCAAATATACCTGAAGTAGAAGTTCTTGGAAAGATCGACCTGTTTGAATATGTTGATGAGTCGCTGTTCTTCTGTCGGTCGCTCTATCTTATGAGCGGAGCAGACGGGTATCATGTCGGTCTCCTCGCAGTGGTATATGTAATGACCACCGAGAAGAGCGACGACTGAACGCTTCGAGATGGCGATCATGTACCAGCCAGCGGTAAACCTTATAAAACCTGGCGAAGGTAAAAAAAAAGACACCTTTGGGGTATAAACGGGGGTATACACATACCAATGACACCGAATAGCACTCTGGCTTTGCCAAGGCCACCTGAGGCTTTATTGCCATCGTCGATCATCTTCAGCATTTCACTCATCTGCTTCCCGTTATATGTTGCGTCGTCCTCAACAACGTCGAGTTCATCGTGCGACGTCCTGTCAATCTTTATGATCTTGTGTCGCGAGTCGGACGTGTTTGAAGCAACGATGTAGAAACGGAGCTTATTCTCGTACAAGATAAACTTGTTGAACGCAAGCAGTGTGTCATCAGTGATGTGAGAATGCAAGGCTATAGTCTTGGAAGGATTCGGCGACTTGTACGTCGTGTTGGTATCCTTGTGGACTCTACTGCTCGCCGGGAGTTTCAGTGAAGACTTCACTGGCGAAACTGAGCTTGTGGTTGTCTCGCCATTGTTCGATATTGTAGAAAGAGAACCGTTCATGGAAGAAGGCATTTCAGGTTGGGTATCATCAGTATGCGTGGTATCTATCATTACGAGTTCCGTGTGGTGTTCATTGTATAGTACAAGTGTGAGTTGGGTCAAGTAGACTTGAAGTAAAGTGTTCAACGTTCAAATGGACCCTTACGCAATACCAAGGTTAGGGTTCCCCATTTGTGCGAGAACGATTCATCACAAAACCATCGTGATTCACAATGAGTCATGGTTTTCCTTCATGCTGCAAGCTCCTGCCCGTAGAACACGGAGTGCAGCATCACACATAGAGCCCGGGCCACTGCACGTTTTCATATTCACTTCCAAAATTATTTTTAATATGGTCATCATCACGCGTCCCATAACGTACGTCATCAATATGGTCAACGAAACCTTCTGTTCAATTGGGCTGTAGGGGAGCACGGGGTAATGAATCTCGGTATACCCAGAGAAAACTTGAATGCAGGGGTATAGGGCTGGATACTGCTGCCTTAGAAAGAAGATCGCCGAAGATCCCGTCAATGTCGAGCAGCATCGCTCGTCCGATTAGGGGAAGGGGCTGCTGCCCCTTCGTCATTACTCAGGCCGAGAAGAGCGGCGTTTCGTCACACAAGAAGTCATTGGGGTAAATATAGTAGGTTCACGAGACGTATCCTGTTCTCGAGAAGAGGACTGACCAGATTAGGTTACGAGTACGGCTCTATCAGGCTGCGGTGCCACACTTGAAGGCTTCGTCTAATCAGAACACATGCTGCGGCCTGCCCTGCATGTTCTCTAGAAGAGTATATTCAAAATCGTAACGCGCAAAGAGGGTCTGTCGTATCTGATAGAAGGAAACAATTAAAGGAGCGCCCTGTTCCTTGGGAGGCATGCCTGCTCAAAACGCAACTTATGAAACCTTGATGTTTAACGTTTAATACCTGCGGCTGCGCATCCAATATTCAGTGTGGACACGACGTTGACACGCGCTCAAGCGTATCCGGAAGTTCGTGGTCATCGCAGTCTGATATTTGGGTTTCATGTGGAAAGTTGTTCTTCTTACATTGCGGACTTGGCGTGTTCAGACTGCGTAAATAGTGCGACGGTCGCAAGCAAACTTAACTGTCTGGATCCTCTTCAGAATCCCCTTGTTAGTACACAGATACGAACGCCAAATGGCTGAACTCACAGTCGCGTATGCCTTCCTTACCCTACCGTCAACAGGCTACTGACACATGAACTACAGCGTAATGGGTGCCACCGGGACTGGCAAATCGACGGTGAATACATTACCCAACAAATGCAGGGATTGTTGACTGATCAACTACACAGTTCATCAACCTCGTCAGCGGGTCAAACTTCCAAGTCGGATCAGGCCTGCTATCAAGCACCACTCAGGTGCAAAGCTCGCAGCCATTCGACATAGGTGGTCGTCGTATGGTCCTGATCGACACTCCGGGCTTCGACGACTCGACTCGGACGGATACTGACATCCTACGAACGATCTCAACATACTTGGAAAACACGTAAGCGTCTTCATCAATACAGTTGCCCAATGCTCACCTCACTTCACCTCATCTTTAAACATATTTTAGATACCGCAACAACAAGAAACTTAGCGGAGTGATCTACATGCATCGAATCTCAGACCCGAGGATGAGCGGAATATCTCGTCGCAACTTCGGCATGTTTCGCAAACTCTGCGGCGACAGCACTCTCGGTAGCGTGATCATCGTCACGAACATGTGGGGTGAGATTCGTGAAGAGGTCGGGGTGCAACGTGAACGTGAACTGGCGACAGAAGACATCCTATTCAAGCCTGTGCTTGACAAAGGGGCCAAGATGATGCGTCACTACAATACCTTGGAGTCTGGCAGGGCGATTGTAGAGCAGTTTGTGAATAAGGAGGCAGTAACGTTGAAGATCCAAGACGAGGTGGTTAGGGAAGGGAAGAGTGTTGAGCAGACTGCGGCTGGTGCAGAGCTGGAGGCCGAGAAGCAAAAGGAGCTGGCTGAAGCAAGGCGAAAGCAAGAGGAAGAGATCAGGCGTGCACAAGAGGCTATGCGTCTGAAGATGGAAGAAGAAGAGAGGCGACACAAGGCGGAGATTGAGGCGGCACGAGTTCGGGCTGAAGCCGAGGCAGCTCGTCAACGGGAGGCTTATGCTCGGGAGATGGCGCGACAGGCAGAGGAGCGACGTCGAGAGGAGGCACACCGTCGAGAAGTGCAGAGGCAGTTGGAAGCTCAATTGGCTGCACAGGCTGCGAAGAGACGACGACAGGAGGAGGAGGCTCAGAGGGTTCAGCAAGAGATGGTAAGACAGCAGCAAGAGGCTGCAGCGGCTCAACAGAGACTGAGAGAGGAGGTCGAACGTTTGCATCATGAATCTAATGACGGCGGCTGCGTCATCTTCTGAAGTTCCTTTCAAATTGCACATGTACATGTCGTATCTTTGAGCTGCGTGATTGATAAACACACTTCTTAATGCGCTGGAGGGAAGAAAGTTTTGGATGAGTATACTGCGGCTTCAAAGTCTAAGGGGACTTGCAGTTATAACTTATAGACACTCACGCGTCACCGTCAAATGCTACCATATTGTCCATAACTATCAAGAGTTGGCGAAAAGGATTAGTAGACCGATCGCGAACAAATGTGGAATGCCATGCTACCGAGAAAGCGTTCTGCAGGAGGTGTAGGAAATAAAATTCGACCTTGACTGACGGCACCTTTTTGTCCTCTTCGTACGTCTCCAGTCTATAGTGTTCTCACCTTTCATCACGTCGTACTCATCATTGCTTTTACATTGAGCCCCCAGATACCACTGCATTTCAAGGGTTGGTACTACGACAAAGTTAATAGATCTTCCTTTACAATGGGTGACCGAAAGTGTGGTGTCTTCTCATAAATCAAACAGCCAGTGCAGATGGCCACAGTCTAATCAAGCTCCTCCCTATGGACAAATAGGATAAGTAAGGGTTTCATCCTCATCAAAAAGAAAGGGCCTACAATGAGCGTCGCTCAACAGGAACGGCTCCAAAATCCCGTTGTTGCTGAGCAGCACTAGAAGCGCAAATCATAATGAGGTATCGCGACCTATTGGATCGATGGGTGCATACCTGACAACGTTCTGGCCCCAACCAAATAGCCGGTTTTGAATGCAGTCGGTATCGCACTCGTTTATGAAACTGTGTCATCAACTTATGTTAGACAGATTAGTTGACTATGTAAATTACATACTGGTGGATCGGGGGCTTCAACGAACGCTGCTGAACTGCTCCAGCAACGTTTGTTGCAATACCAGTGAGGCCATCAGCAATACCGGCAATATTGTTGGCGTGCTCCAGCTTGTTACCGATATGCCTGACCTTACGTGCTTCCAAGTCGCGGCGTTGCTGAGCAGCCCTAGTAGTCAATCAAAGTTGTAAGAGTTGTATGGTAAATGCAAAAGCGAGAGATTACCCGACATACCCGGCGATGTTGGTTGCGATACCAGTCAGACCGTCCGCGATGCCAACTACGTTGTTCGTGTGCTCAAGCTTATTGCCAATATGCCTGACTTTACGAGCCTCCAAGTAGGATCTACAAAGTTCAATAATGAGATATCACGATCCATTGGATCGATGGGTGCATACCTGGCAACATTCTGCAAACCAAATAACTTGTTTTGAATGCATCCGACATCGCACTCGTTGATATGACTGTGTCATTAAATTATGTCAGGCAGATTAATGGACCATGTGAATTACATACTACGAGTTCAAAGACTTCAACGGGTCCAAAGACTTCAATGAACGCTGCTGGACGGCTCCAGCGATGTTGGTGGCGATGCCCGTGAGCCCGTCAGCAATACCGGCAATGTTGTTGGCATGCTCAAGTTTGTTGCCGATATGTCTCACCTTGCGAGCTTCAAGGTCAGATCTATGAAATAAAGTTAGCCTCTTCACCTGGACACCGAACCAAAGGGCGTACACATCACGAGAGTTGACAACAGCCCTGTGCATAGATCATACTTGTTAATTGATCATGCATCTGGAATGTGAATATATGACTCACTCGAAGGGGGCACAGAGAGCCGGTACAGAAGAGGCCGCAACAACAGCGAGAGCGACAGAGGTAGAGAAGCGCATGATCGGGATTGGATTCAAGAAAGAAGCTGATCGATAAAGAATGTCGTAGGAAGGAAGAAGTCGTGAAGAATAAGCTAAATCGTAAAAGTGAAATACAGTAAAACGAAGAAGAAAAATCAAGGCTAGAGAAGAGGAGGTAAGCAATCGTATTCGACTGTAGAGCGGATAGTCGGTACTCACTGGCCGGCACCAAGATTTGAGTGAAAGTCTCCGAGGAAGGGGGCTGAGGTTACCAGCTCTCGAAGACGGGCCTTTATACAGAAAGCGTCGGGCGTTTTAATGAAAATAGACCTGCGGTTGCATGCCAGGTCATCCGTGTCATCATCATCTGATACATGAACAGTGGCAAAGTAGCGTTTCAACTGAAATTGCAGGTCGGTCGGCTATTCCAAGACGCACAATAACTGATTTCATGCGCCGCAAAAGTTAAACGCGATTCAACGAAGTTTCCTAGAGTTGTCAAGCCATGTGACATGATATGAACTTTAGTTTCTGCCTACTCAATCCGGCCACCTTTAAGAGAGTCTCAGAGTCAGCAATTCATCCGGCGATTAGCAGTAGTGTAACTTGTCGATGTAAGCTCACCTTAGGCTTAATATGCGACACAAGATGAAACCCAATACGTGTAGTCCACCTGTTCGCGTAGTAGCAGAATCAATGAAATGCACTGAACGCAGTGAGTTGTCGGACGGTCGTCAATGCCAGGTATTCCCATTCCCATGAGATGGAGTACATACGGAATACATTCGCGTCTAAGAGCTCAGAAACGATTCAGGTACGGAGCACTCGTGCGCCTCTTAAAGAGAAGTAAAAACGGTCATATCATCGGGCCAGGATCCCCGCCAGGTGCAGTAACATCACTGGTACGGTTGGTATGTCGACAGCTTGGAAATCGTGGAGATCGAAGCTTGAAGAGTCGTGCCTATGAGGACCAGACCAGTTTAAAAGGATACGTATAAGTCGCATTAATGCAATAATGCCTTCAATGCGGGGAGGAAGGGACGGGCCACAAAAAAATCTACCGACGATTCCAGTCAGTCTAAATATATCGTGATCATACAGCATCAAATGCAGAGCAATTACCACCGGTCCGGTCCGGCAACGGGCCAACTTCTATCAACCGGCGCGACGCTACAGACTCAAACATGCCTGCAAACTCATTTGTACGCGGAAACCATGCAGCTGAAGCTGATGGCTCTCTGGATTCTGACACCGTCTCTGGTTATTATCAGCATCATTGACCACAGCTTTTTGAATGCTTAACACTCAGTAGAATCATTCATGATGATATGATTAGTTCCTGCTCAACCGTTTCTCACAAATCACTTCCTCCAGCTCGTTCAGCCTATTCAATATATAGGCTGAAGCCGATTATGACGGCCAATATAGAGGGAAGTCAGATTACCACAGATTTTCAGGGAGAAATTATCTAAAAATTGATTCCACATATGAATAAGCTAACAGACATAGATCGGCCCTCCCCGATTGTCGCTCTTCTCGGACTGACGTCTGAGATTCCATAGTAAACAGATCCGCAACGACAGGGTCTTTTTCGCATTGCTCAAAAAATCTCAGTATTCTGTGTCATGCACTCCCTATTGGCTGACAGATACCCAGACGCATGTTTCCAACGTCCTTACTTCTGTAACACTCGGCGGATTGAGCGCGTCATTCTGCTTTCATTCATCTCGTTTCGAACCGCGGGTACCTTCGTTGCGCTAGATTATCCATCCATTAGATCGTGGGCAGGTATGACGCCATCTGTAGGTTAGGTATGCTATTCATGTGTTCAACAGCTGACATTGCACGCAGAAGTTTAGCCACTTCACCTTCGGCACACTGTTGCTGCGCTGATTAAAAAGCAGACCTCTCATCTCCGCGCTCACTCTGGCGCACAGAAAATGACTAAGGTCGTTCAAACAACGATCTTTTCTTCTTTTTGAGCTCTTCGGGGAAGAACATATAATCCCCTTCGGCCCCGATATCTGCTGAAATCCCAATCGCTGGCTGTAACAGCGGTTCATTCACTCATGCCACGAGTGTTTATTTGGTCTTTATCCAGCGTTCCATTACACACACTGTCCCATATTTCCACAACCAATGCTCATGAGTCGGAGAGCTGCATACCCGATGCCCGATGTAGAAGAATGTATAAGGCAATCCTAGCAGGTGAATGCATCTGCCAGGGCACTTACTACTCACTACTATGGCTAAGGGGAGGCTGCCTTCATTTGACGAACTGCCTAAGTTTCAGAACTTTCCTGGGTGTGCTTGGAATGTCTGGGGAAAGGACGACCAATTGGGAACTGTCAATTTATTGACTGATGAAGTCGTGAAAAAGGCCACTGAAGAAATAAAGTAAGCATTTTGAGCCATACAGAGTTGTGTCTTGCGGCGTCCTTACTTATCGATATTTGTTGTAGGCTGGGAAAGACGATATGTTTGAACTGGTGAGTCGCCTTGGGATGGTCTTGCTTATTCAATTGCACTGCATTCATCCGCAGGCCTGTCAATTTTCCCGAGAAGGTGGATATTAGATCCATTCATAGATGGTACTTGGAGCTCACATTCTCACGTCATAAGCCATTTTTCGGTAGACAGACACCGAAGATCCGCTCTTGGGGAACAGACTGCGTCAGCGACGATTCGATCTTCATCGTGAGTGGGACATGTTTGCTTATGGAACTGATTCACTCGAAAGACAATGTGGCTTTGTAGAACACACAATCCGGTACTCAATGGGATGGCTTGAAGCATTTCGGTATCGAAGAACACAAGATATTCTATAACAAGTGAGTGCGACTACAGGTATTAACTCGAGTACTTGATTTTCACGCCCATCTTAGCACTTCTACCGAGTCTCTTTATAGAGGCCAGCTTTCCCTTCCGGACCCAAGCACCATCGATCCCAACTTGATCAAGCTAGGGATCCACAGTATGTAATGGCATCAGGGTACTACCGTACTCAGATGTTTGATGATGATCTCTTCCAATAGATTGGGCACAGCATGGAATCTGTGGCCGTGGCGTATTCTTGGACCTAGTCAAGCATTATACTGCCGATGGCAAACCGTTACCGTACGACCCATGGGCGGCGCACCCAATTCCACTACGTGATATTGAGGACTGCGCGAAGATGCAAGGCGTCGAGTTCAGACAAGGTGACATACTGATCCTGCGTGTTGGTTTCATTCAGCGGTATACTATGGCTACCCCAGAAGAACGATCAACCCTAAGTGGCAAACCCGAGAACTTGTAAGACGATTTACACTCTTAAGACACCATTGCGCTCTGGTTGATTCATGACTTTGGACAGCGCTGGCATTGAGCAGACAGAAGAGATGAAGCGGTTCCTTTGGTACAGTCTTCTCCCGGTGGCTCTTGATGCTATGTCTGCATCATTCATTGGCGTTACGCACTCTCTAGGGACAACCACTTTGCTGCCGTAGCGTCAGATCAACCTGCATTAGAGGTATGTCCGCCATATGTGACCTAATACAAATTGACCTTGGTGTGCTCCTGGCCATCGTGAACAGCGTTGGCCTACGCCAGATGGTGTCCCACATCTCCACCAGGTGTGTTTCGCGCGCTCACATTTGGGGCTCACAGTTTGATCTTCATTTACAGACAATACTAGGGTGCGCACGATGCTTGTCATGGCTGTGATCGCATGTCTATAACCTTCCTGCACAGTTTGTTCGGCATGCCCATAGGTAGGTTCAGCGCTTTAAGCCGGGAAATACTCACTCCAACGTCACAAAGGTGAACTATTCGATCTAGAAGGGCTTTCCAAGTTCTGTGCCGAATCCGGAAGATACACATTTTTCTTCTCGTCCTGGCCTCTCAACGTGTAAGTAGATATCACTGTCCTTCCTTCGACGTATCGGGTGATCCTGACTACGGTACTGTACTTAGCCTCGGTGGCGTAGCAAGTCCTCCGAATGCTGCGGTAAGTTCTGGCATACAATGCTTCTGAATTCATCTGACCAACTGCTTCGCTTCAGGCTTATTTCTGATTTGGAAGGACAACCTGCGATATAACTGAATGCCGTTATCTAATTGTTCAGCTTTTGGTTCTTTGCGTTCCCATGAGATCAGACACGATTTCCGTCAATGCGACAAATGTATGAGTACTCATATGTGAATCGATTGACTCCGCAAACCCAAACCAGCGAAGGTACTATGCATTCACAATGCGGATGGGTCGGACCGGAGTCATATCTTGGAGCATACGGTCTATTCGCGTCTATGACAAGTACTTGGCTGATTCGATGCCAGAATTCTTCGTGAACGATTTTGTGGCATTCACTCATTGTCTACGCCGTCGACACCTCCCCAGATCTCTTTCTGTCAGTCGATACCATCACAAAGGTGCATATATAATGTCTCCATAGTGCTCGTTGGCATTTTTATACCTCTTCATCTCACCCAAACCCTTTCACTAGAAACCTACTCTGTAAGACCCATCAACTTTGAGATGCCGGTAATCCCACTCTCGGTCGTCACCAGAATTATTGACCATGTACCTTCACATATGCCTTCTCTTCTCACCTGCTCGACAATTTGTCGAGAGTGGCTTTCGAAGGTGCAATACCACCTCTTTACCGACATCAACGTTCGCGCGCATGGAGATCCAAGGAAACTAGCCGAGTTTGCTGCGTTTCTTGAGACCTGCACACATATTGGGCCATATGTGCAATCTTTGAGTTTGGACGGTCGTGACAAAGTGCAAACATTGGCTGCTTCACTCTCTCCCGAAGGTTTGTTCCGTATCTTGACAAGACTCCCTACTCTCCGTTGCCTGACTCTTGTGCGCCTCGATTTTCAGCCCGCTACGTCCGACATACCACAATTACCCAATCAGTCCAACCTGGAGTCGGTAAGAATCTTTGACCTTGGCACTTCAGCGGAGCATCCTGGATTTGATGGAATCGGATTCGTCCAAACTCTCGCTTTGTTCAGCATGCTGAGAGACATGTCGACGGCGGATGTCCGAAATATTCGATTTCCGCAAGTGTTTGATGAGCAGAGAATTGAATCATTGGTTCTCCGGGCGCCGGGCCCAAGTCGTTGAAAGTCCAGCGACTCTGTTTCTCTTCGAATGGCGGACCCGTTCCAATCTTAACAATTTTCCGCCGTTTAGTGGACACAAACACGCTGTATCATGTGGCTTTGACCTGTAAGAACGCGGAGGAAATACTTGCCGCTGGAGCTTTGATTCGGGAACGTCGACCAACGGATGTCTCCTTTGTCATACATTCCGTCGTGGTCGAACAAAGTCGCGAAATCCGTAAGTGTCTCAAAAGGCTTCCTGACATGAGTGAATAGAATGACACCTTCATTAGCTGTTATAGATCAGTTTGCCGGGTTAGGATTATCTCGATGTTCCAAACTCCGGTGGATGCACATCGTGGCAGCCGAAACAGCTCGTTATACCTCGAGAGAGGTATATTATCATTTCAGACGCACCTTCTTGCTCATTTCGATGTTTCCACAGAAGATGGTATGGATTCACGTTGAACTTCAAGATGAAAGCCTTGATGGAAGCCGTGCCGATGTCCACGTCAGTGGAAAAGGCGACCAGTTTGATTTTTGGGACACAATGAATGCTCTAGAGGACGACTGGAAGGAGTTAGATTTGATCCTCTGCAGATTCAAGGAGTTATTGGGGTTTACATTCCACATCATCGCCTGGGCTGGCATGTACGGCAATAGAGGTTTCAACAAACGAGTAACAGAAGACATAAAAATGGCCGTAGAGGGGCTTCACAGGACGTATTCCGCCGATCGTCTGGCGCGATTTTTGGAAAAAGTCATGCCTAAATCCGCAGCACTAGGTCTTCTGAGTGTGCAGGAGCCAGACCTGCCACGTTTACAGGCGTAGGATGCTCAAAATGCTCGGTTGGACAGGGTTCACGAGTAGTTGGAGGATTGATGGCATGCTCGATTTCACATCACGTCCACGGTAAGAGTAGCCTATACTCCTGCTCGTATGAATAAAGCATAAGTGCAGTAGAGAATGTTCGTCTTATCGTTATAGCAAACCCTACCCTTGATCTGAATATACTGCAGGATTTCGAGGAGAAAGTCTCATGCTTTGGCAGGCCAACCTATTAGCGCTATCAAGGACGAAGTTCATGACGTAGTGCTCACGAGCCCAACAAGAGATTAGAATGCTATATCAAAACTTTCATACATGCCGTAGTGACTTAAGCAAAAGAAGGCAGGATGAACACGAAACGGGAAGTCCTGAAGACCTATTCACAGAAACACGCGTTTCACAGGCTACAAAGAGCCAATTGCGGGGAGGAGATTCCTGTGATTTCGATGATGATCAGTACGTGAAGGTGTAAACATCATGTCCGAGAAAATGGACGAAAGACAATACCGACCGGTCAGAATGAGGAGTTTCCGATCTGGAGAGTACACTGCGGTCGTCGCGCCCTGAACAACATGGCCGTCGTCTTCGAACACCTAGTAAAGTGTAACAATGCAGCCACACTGACACGAAGATAGCCAATTGCATACCTTCTCGACCTTGTACTTTCCACCATAAAAGGCGCTTTGTCCGGTATTCAATGTCACACGAACGGCACCACTGGGCACGTCTATCGTCAGATCTTTGAATCGTCTGAGAAGGTTAAGACCCTTCGGGAACGCTGAATAGATTGACGGTAAGAATTTATGTAACAGGGGAAGAGAGAATAGGAAAGAACGGCGTATCGTACATGCAGCCCATACAGCCCCATTTTTGTCTACTGAGAGATTGTCGAAAGACATGTCAACTAAGAATGGCGAGCGAGAAACGCAAAACATCAACAACGCTGTGCCATTCTCAAGAAATAACAAATTACCGGTGGGAATGACTTCAGTCAGAACCAAGGTATTATCAGTCTGTTTCTCTAAGACCTGAATGCCTCCTCCTCGTGAGCTCGCAACATAGAAAGTATCATTCGTGGGACTCTTGGTGATACCATTGGAGGTATGAAGTTTGTTGGCAGCGATCTTGCACCCGTCGACGACATGACAATAGCCTACTGATGTCCTCGACAAACGGAGGTATCCCTCAATTAGGCGTTCCTATCAAGCACAGGACAGGACCTTCGGTATTAGCTGTCATACGAACGCGGGGCAGAGAGGGGCATCAAAGCAAATACTGACGTAACCGATTTTGACCCCATGGTCATTGGTGAACCAGAAGCCTTTCCCATCGGTGGTCCCGACGACATCGTTTGGTGTCTGTATGACGTTGGGATCTTCCACAGTTTTGACGTACTTTAGGACGTCGCTTCCAATCCGAGTCTCAAATATCTCAATTGCGGAATCTGCGCCAACGTCCTCCGCATTACCTGTGAGAGGTGCACGGTGATTGACGAGATATACAAAGAGCTTCGTAGGGTCCAAAGCTGATGGTACAACATCCATGCCATGGACAGATAAACCTCTCGGCGAATCGAACCCGGACAATGTGAGACGCGTGATCTCTCCTGTATCAAGAGAGTAGGCAGCAACATAATCGTCGGTAGGCTTGCCTGACGCATTCAGATGCGAAACGCTAGGAAGCCAATAGGGTCTTCCGGCAATACGAGAACAGGCAACGTAGATGGATGAAGAATCATCAGGGAGTATAGCCTCTATAATTATTGTTCGTCAAAGATGTCGACAACAGGAATGGATGGGTGAGATATGATAGATGATACTCACTCTCACAGCCCTCTAATGCTGGGACTACTTTGCAATGCTGATTGTTTAGAGGTTCTACATTGCGAAAGACGCCTCCAACACGAAGTAGGGGCGCCACCGCCGTTTGATATAGTACACCTAAAGCAACAACAAACAAGACAGCAGCGAGAGAGAAAGCACCCATGTTCGCTCAGTGAAAAGGGGCGCGTTATTAGCTCAAGGCAAGGCAAGGTACTAGACCAACAGAGTTGACTGGAACTAAAAGGACTGGAACTAAATGGACTCTTCCCATGTGATCATAGCTCATCTACCCCAACGGTATTACTCGGATACGTCCTGAGCCGAGCAGACGCGTATCTGTGTTTAAGCCTGAATACTTCGAGAAGATAATAGCTGCAATGAAAGTGATATGAACGGGCTACAGCCAGAGGTACACTGACAGTACACTGATAGAAGCAGGCACAACGCTGCTAACGACTCGAACTGTCAGCCTCAGGCATCCAGTTCAGAAATCGGTTCGGTTTCAACAGAGCCGGCAATTGCCGTTGATACATTTCCTCGCAGGTTTGTAGGACCACTGTTGTGAATGCATTGCGCACGCCAGCCTTTCAAAATTACAGCTTGCAACGCTAGAGGAATATAGTACAACATTCGAAGATCTCGTGACAGGGAATCTAAAGGCCAGTTTCTCTTCTGATGTATATGGCTATTCACCAATCAGTTATTCACTGCTTGCTGAACATACTGCACAATTTCAAGCTTGCGCAGTATTCATCAGACGAGATATCCTCAGGCACCGCGGTGCCAGCTCTGTCTACTCTGCCTCGGCGAGACTAGCATGTTCAGGTCCTCTCAATATTTCGGTTCCCTCAGCAGAGCAATACCAGGGTTCTGATGCGATGAATCTCTATTTTGAGAGACGTAAACACTTCATATGCCAAAGTCAGATTCTGCCAGTGCACAATTGCCTGCCTCGCCTTGCACTTGATATAGTGCGAATCTGTTCTCAAGCCGTCTTCGACGAGTTGCGAAAGATAGTCACCGAATATATCATCCGGATGATATATTTTGTTATCGAGGTGGCTACCTACTGCATATTGCGCTGTCTATGGAAACTATGCTTTATGTGCTTGCTCGTCATTCTACTCAACATATTGTCTGGCCCCAAATCGAACTCCTGCTAGGTTGAAGCTTTCAATGTACACCTTTGTCAAGTATGACGGAAGGAAAAGCACGATCCTAATATAGACCCAACAACGCAGGTTCGAGTTCCCATCTGAACGGCATCGCGGCTCCCAGCTTTGCTCTCTTCTTCTCTTGTTCATCTGTTCTGGCAAGCTTTGTATCTCATGATGCTCACCGTTAATCTCACACGCCTCAATGAGGACGTCCGCCATCCACGGTGTTAGTTAAGTTCAGGTTACGGAGATCAGGAATGGACGTTTCCCGCTTGACTTGGAAATAGTTGGCACCTACAGAGAGCTGACCGGAGCCCTGTGAGTACCCGACTCGTATATATATAGTTTCTTGCCGCTTCATGCTAATTGCCCCTTCATTCTCCAGAAATGCTTGTAGCCGTTGAGGAAGTTGCAAATAAGTCATTTGACTACGTTGTGATCGGTGAGAAACAGTGTATACCACTAGGTCTTGACGGCAAGAGCTAACTGTCGTACGTAGGCGGTGGTGTAAGTCTAATCGAATCCAGCCATTCTTGTTTGGCCCTGAAGTGGCATCCTAGAATGCAGGATTACCTCTTGCAGTCAGACTCAGCGAAGATCCAACGGTCTCCGTTCTCTTGCTCGAAGCTGGGGATGCCAACCTAAATCATGTTGAGATTTGTACGCAAAGAGCGTAAGGCGTATTGTCTCTGTACTGGTGATCTAACACGATATCATATAGTAAGACCCGGATCGTTCATCCGACATTTCTTTGGGAAAGAATATGTCTATCCCTACATGACGGTCAGTCTCGTAGAGCCACGAAGTCGTTCACAGCTGATACACCTATATCTAGAACAAACAATTATTCCTCAACAATAGTGTTCGACCTTGGTTTCGGTACGTTGCTGGATCTGCGGACTTGTAATATGTTGTGAACTAATGGTTGATTATCCACAGAGGCAAGGGCTTAGGCGGGTCGGCTGCAGTCAATTTTCAACTGTGGATGAGGCCTCCTGCCGAAGAAGTCAATGGTTTGTAGCCTTATTTTTTGCCTTTTGACTGTATAACCTCTTGTCGAAGATCTTGAACGGCTCGGAAATGCTGGATGGAACTGGGATGATTTCCAGAGATTGATTCGTAAAGTCGAAAGGTACGCGACAGTGCTCATGAAACTGTTACACTTCGCTCATGACGTGTTAGGTTCTACCCCCCGACGACGGAGGTACAACAGAGACTAAACTCGGACTGTAACAATTGGAATCTTGGTTCCGATGGTTCGTTCCCAGCACTTTACTGCGAATATGCAATAATTGCAGCCATTTAGGCCCATTAGCGATCGCTCACCCTGCAACAATTCCCGATGTAGACCTCAAGCTCCAACAAGTAAGCTTCTTTTGCCGGTTCAGGAGTTGCGTCAGTTCAGTCAATCTGGCGTGCAGACGGTTCTGAACTCTGGCATTGAATTGGCATGCAATCCCGTAAGTGCAACATTTTCAATCCTGTGCAACATTCACCTTACCCTCTCTCTGCAGCTTGGCGGAGACGTAGGACTCTTTCAGCTTCAACGTTTAGGCACAATGATTATCATCTAACGGTCCTCATAGCCTACAGGAACGTTCTTCGCTCCATGCACCTATGACCCGACGACCCATACTCGAGCTTATCCAACTACGGCCAGTGATACAAATATCGTAGTCACATGTCTACTGACTCCCTTGTAGGCTTACTACCTACCAAACAAGGAGCGTTTGAATCTGAAAGTTCTCGTCTTTGCTCGGGGAAATCGTCTTATTACTACGAAGGAGCTTGATGGAAGCATAGTCGCCACTGCTGTCGAACTCGACCATGGCGGCCAAATCTATACGGTTAACGTCACACGAGAAGTTGTCTTATCTTCTGGGTATGTAGATCTTCTTAACGTTCGCAACATGAATTTTACATTAAGATCCATTTCATAGAACTCTCAAATCACCTCATATTCTCGAGCTCTCAGGTATTGGGCGGAAAGACGTGCTGGAAAAGATTCACGTGCCGCTTAAACTGGAACTCCCAGGGCTAGGAGAGAATGTACAGGAGCATTTACTCATCGCGATTAGCTATGGTGAGCGTTTTGGCGTCATGCTTTATGAAGCACTAAATAAGCTCTACTTCAAGAAATACGTGATGACGTGCAGTTTGACACCATTGACCTACTTCGCGACTACCCAGAACTCGTCGAGAAACATGCTGAACTTCGGTTCGTGCTCAATTCGCCATCAGAACGCTCATACTCACAAACTGAACTCCCCCGTAGAACATCTGGTGAAGGCATTTTCACCATGGGCCTGACAAACGCCACCTTCGCTTCAGTTGATACAATTTCCTCGAAGGCTAGGGCTATCATTCAAGGCGCCAGAGATGCGATACTGGCGAAGATAGAATCATACTCGTCTGCATTGCAAGAGCAGTACAAGATTCAGTTGGAACGTCTGGAAAACGGCGCACCTAGCTGTGAGATCGTCAGTTTCCCTGGTTTATCAACTATGTACAGTGAGTCGGCGGCGAGCTTTTCTTACTCAGTCCCAGAGCTAATCGGCGATAGATCCTCCAAAGTTCGGGAAAAGATATCTCACATTAGCTGTTGGACTAAATCACCCTTTCTCGCGTGGAACAATTGTAAGTTTATTTAGCATAATAATGCGATATCCATGTCTGACTGGAAGCTTTTTAGCACTCCCTCTCTTCAGATCCAGCAGTCGATCCCGAGTTTGACCCACATTATCTTGATCATGACATTGGTTCGTCATCTGATATAAGCCTTGCGAGTGTCTACAAACGATTGTTTCGCTATTTACTTCAGATCTTCATATTATGACTGAACTTGTCAAGTTCACAAGAGGCTTATCACGTATATCGCCTTTAAAGGATGTTATTGGTATGTAGACGCAAAGATCGCATGCATTCATCACTTCTGATGCAATCTTTAGCCAAGGAGCATAACCCTGGTCAGGGTGTCCAGACTGACGAGGAAATCAGAGGTGAATAAGGCCGTTCAAGACTTTCATGAATATGGTACTGACATATCTGGATGTATAGAGTGGATCAGGGATAGGTGTAGCTCGTTCTGGCGTACGTTCCCTTCATTGATAATTTGTTTATGTGGAGGTAAATTGTCGGTAATAGATACTGCCGGATCATGTTCGATGTTACCTCAAGCGTCCGATGGTGTGGTTGACGAAAAGCTCAAGGTACCCACTACCGTCTTGGACTTCCTGTAGCCTTCGGGTTAACTACTTTGCTTCAGGTCCATGGCACTACTAATATTCGGGTGGCAGATCTTTCGATACTGCCACTTCACTTTGTTGGCCATCCGTCTTGTGAGATTTATTTTATATACTCTTTACCTTTTTTTTTTTCCTCCTTACACAACGCCTTCACAGCTTTCGTGTACTACATAGCAGAGAAGGGTATGTTTGCTCCCTTTCCTCAAATGATATTTTCTGATGTATTGGATCCAGGAGCCGAGATCATCAAAGCAACAAGGTCTGATGAGCAAGTAAAAGATTTGTAGATTTTCTTTCGTACGTATGGATGATAACTGCTCGGTCCAATAATGACGTTGGCGATGCCTTCTATCTGCCCGCGTTGTCATTGCTAACGTTGATTCTCCCGCCGAATGTATGGTGAGTGTCATTTTCGACAGTCCCCACTACCAAAACGCAACCGAACAGGCCCCGCTTTGGAAGAAAATCATCTTCCGAAGACGTTTGAAATGCTGAGAAACATCAGTCAAAGCTTTTTTAAATGTTAGGCGCTCCCATACTCGGTTCAGGCTCAGTAGCGACCTACCTGAAGAACACGGGTAAATCTGAGTCTCGGCTTGCAATCCTGCCAACTCGGTTCTTGATTCGCATGTTAAGCAATGTGATGATTTCCCCGGAGGGTATTTTCCTCCGATGAAGAAGGTAAGTTTGAATAGTCAGAAATTTGGCAGTGTGATATGCTTATGAGGGTCCATTCGACGAGTGACAGGCTGCAACAGGCCCTGATGCCAGGATATGTAGTCGTTGTTATGCTTTATGGGAGCATCGAAGGTAGCTCCTTCAACGGAGGTGCAGATGGTATCCTCACTAGTGACGTCGTGGAACTCCGAAGGTGATTTCTGTGTCCATCTTACGTTCTTCGTTTCCCAATATTGACAAGAACGCAACGTTGTCTTAGCTTTTTGTGGCGATTTGGCACCTTTGGCGCTTTTTAGGATGTTGTATCTAGAAGGTCAGTCCGGCGCATGCGCTTTGGCTCGTACGGCCAGCACTACGATTGTGGTCGGTGACATGTTGCATCTGCCAAAATTCTCGATTCGAAAACCTCCGGTCCTGTGAATCTCGTTCGTGCCGGACGTTCTTCGAAGAGGCTGAGCAAGAAGTCTTTAGTCTTCTGCAGAGCCACGCCAGTTTCACTTTATAGGTACCTACAAATGGTCTCCACGATTCCAACAGCCCACTGCGATGGAGAGCAATACCTCGTGCCAGTCCATTCCAAACCCCAATACTTCTCTTGCATGGATGCCAGCGGATACTGCATCTCAATACGAAGCTGTTCGTTACTTCTACGCAGTAGTACTCGGAGTACGTCATATGTTTTGTTTCTCTCTATCAGACACTTACAACGTGATAGGTGTGGATATGGGATGAGCTTACATTTCTTCCAGACGAAGTACGGATATTCAGGCCTAGATTCTGGAGCTTTTCAAATATTGCATATGTTGTATCGAGGTAAGTAGACTGTCAACAAGAACATTTTAAATCACTGAGCCGATCTCAAAGAATCACCACCGGTGCCTCAATTATGTCGTCGTTCCTTTTTCTCAGTGCGTTGTTCGAGAGAGAATATTAACAGCACTGAAACGGGTTGTTTTCTATAGGTGCCCCAATTGCAGATTGCCAACTTGTCATCCGAATCGCTGGATGGTTCGCGGCGTTTGCAATGCCTGCAAATTCACTCATGTTTCTTTTACGAGTGCAAGGGGTGTTCCATGAGTCTCGCCTCATTGTGGGCATCTTCAGTTTCTTATGGCTGGCAACATTCGCCTCCTTCACTGCCCCATTCTCATACGGTGCCACCCACATTGGTGCATCATCCGGGTGCACCATTAGCAGTGTGAGGAAGGGGGATTCCGGAGGTACCATTGCCGTCGCTCTTTTTGACACATGTGTTTTCATTGCCATATCCATACGCATTCCATCGTACTATGCCCCAGCGAGTTCATGGAAAGAACGAATCCGATCCTTATGGAATACAAAGAATATGGGTCAAATTTCGAAGAACATCTTGCAGACCGGATATCTTTATTATATGTGAGCTTATCTTTTGTTTTACTCGGCATGGCCACCCAACTCACGATGACAATATCCAGGACGACGGTTGGCGTTAACATTGCTGGGATTTTCGTCCTACTAGCACCAGGCATATCGCCAATAGTACGATCAACGTTCAGCGTGCCGACCATCGTTGTTCAAAACCTGATGGCATGCAAAGTTTTTCGACTTCTGAAGCTCGACCTCTTACGTGAGGACCGCATCATCATGTCACGCTCTGCACCAGGATCCATCTTTACCCCTACAAGGCGACCAAATCGGATACCTGCAGACGAGACTGCTTTGTCAAACAGTGCTTCAGCTGGAAATGATGATATCGGTCTAAGTACCTTGACCAACTTACAATACACACGCAAAGAGACTTCGACACATGTTATCCTTGCCGGGTGGATGGATTCGCAGATTCCAGAAGTGGAAGTGGACAGTAGAAAGATCAGCGATAAAGTGCAGCACTCCGACGATGTGGTTTAGCTGTTTGGGAGTAATGGGACTGCGAATGTAGAACAGAAGCCATAGCAATTGCATGGTCAGTGGAATGTCACCTTCCGCAGAGGATACCAGGTCCTTTGGCACATAAACTCAAGCAGATCAACGTCGAAGAGAATCTGGACAACAATACGACTGGTCAAGATTTTCCGTGACGGTCATCGCATATTAAATGCCTTCATCATCATCGGGGTACATCCAAACATCTGTCCCCTAGATAATGATTGCGAAGTTGACGGAGAATCGATGAAGCAACCTGCCCAACGCTCACCGTTCTGACTAGAATTAACCTAACCCTAACCCTGAACCAGTACTCATCTAAGACTATCTGGGCCCTGGGGGTTTCAAGTCGTTCTCTTTATACGATGATCCATAAATGACAACACTTTCACCGAGCTATCCGACGTCTGTATTCAGGTTCCCCAGAGCCACGGTCTCGCGATGAGCGTGTTCTCACTACGAAGACCGGATAAGAGCAAGGCGTGAATGGGTTTTCTAACCTAATCCTAGTGGCTCTCGAGCTCAGCAACTATGAAATATGAAATTTAGATCTAAGTTAGGACGATGAGGATTGTTCTGGTGGTGACTTGTTCACCGACCTCGTCAGCCTTGAGAACTAATGGCACTCGGGCCAGCACCTCTTTTTGCCTTGTTGCTACCCATTGTTCGCGCTATTCGGACCCTGAACTCGGGAACCGTCAAGAGACTGTTTGAACGACCCGCGTGTCATTGCCCTGCCTCCGTTATATGGCTGTACTTTGTTTGCTAACTTGTTTGATTCTAGTCTAAATGGAGCATCATTGAAGACCAGTGGCCCCAGGTGATGAACACGAATTCATACTGTTCTCCCAGTATCCTCAACGTACTGTCCAACTGAAATCTGATATCAATCACACATTGATAGCTTGATGAACTTTCTGGCCTCCATCATATGTCAATGCTACAAAAACCACCCTCAAATGGCTCACTTTTCGTGCGGAACGATCTTGAATATAATGTGCTTAAGACTTCTTTTCTTAGAACGAAGTTCCCATCGTTACCCGCCAATCGACCTCGTTGTCTCGCGCGCCATAGCTAGTCACAAGGTGAGTTCACGGAAGGTCGTACCCAAGACTGATGGTGCCCTTCAGTATGGGCCCTCAGATAGCCTCAGATGGATGCACTCCTTAACGGCGATCCAATCTTCTCGGATGCAAATAGCATTAGCGTGTATCAAACCATCTCCTCCTACCCACACTTTAGTTCTGTCTAATCAATGGAATGCAATACACCGACCCGTAAGATACAAACGCCCCGATAAGATGACGCTAGTCATCATTGCAGACAGCTTCGGTACCTCAGTTGCTTTTGCATGAACAGGGTCGTCAGTATTCTTTCAATAGTCCTCGCATTATCTTACCCTCCAGAGAGTTTGCATTGCGTCTATGATTGGTTTGCATTAGCCACAATCTGCAATGGAGGCTAACTTTTCATGCGAATCCATTCCCAATCCCATTACCGCCCTTGCGTGGATGCCTCCAAACCTTGCTTCACAGTATGAAGCTATTCGGTTTTTCTTCGCAGCTGTGCTTGGAGTGAGAAATTATGTTCCCGGCTTTCCTTGTGAAACTTAATCGTCGTACTTCAGGCATGGATATGGGACGTTGTAATGTCTCTTCCGGATGAGCTGAAGATGTTCAAGGCGAGACTAGTATCCTTGCCTAATTTTGTGTATATTTTGGCTAGGTAAGTTGCTAAATGACCAGGCTTCCTCATACTCAGGTTTACATGCATTTTGTTGAAGACTTACAACTGGCGCGACGATATTGATTTCCTTCCTCTTCTTATGTAGGTTCCTTTACATATCATCTGAGAGCACTCAGTAACTGATGCGCATGTTGACCAGCTGCGCCGACTGAAGACTGCCAGCGACTTGTCCGAATCAACGGCTGGGTTGGAGTATTCGCCATTCCCTTACTCGATGCTCTTTCTGCTTCGAGTAAGAGGCGTGTTTTATCACTCGAGGTCGCTCATTTGGATCTTCTCCCTCCTTTGGCTGGGAACCTTTGTCTCATTCAATGTACCATTTATTTACAAGGCTGCTCACATTGGTCCGTCATTGACCTGTTCCATCACTAGTGTGAACCAGGTCGACTCCGCAGGGTTTATCGCTGTCGCGCTTTTTGACATCGCTGTCTTCCTGGCGATATCCATGCGTATGATGACTTTCATTCCCGCCGACTCCTAGAAACATCGCATGGTATCATTTGTGAGCGGCCGGAATATGGGTTTGGTTTCCAGGGCTCTCCTGCAAATGGGCCAGCTCTATTATTTGTAAGTGATATTTATGATTTAGCCGAGATCGCTGTGTGATGCCAGAGTTATTATGCGCAGGGCCTCTGTCCTCTCGAATATCACCGTAATGGTCGTCCTATTCGCCCCAGGAATGACACCAGTGATCCGGTCAATGTTTTCTGTCCCTAGTCTTGTCCTACAGAATGCAATGGCCTGCAAAGTCTTCAGACTCCTGAAATTTGGTCTCATCCATGAAGATCCCACTGTCGCTATATCGACACGCCTGGCTTCCAACATACAATTCAAGATCCCCACAGAGGACGCCTGTAGTTCACAGGATACCACTGGGACGCACCATGGAGACATTGGCCTGACGCGCCTTCCGAGCTGTCGTTCAACGAAGGACGAAGGAAAGCACCTGGGTACACCAATGCAAATAACCGTTCAGCAAGAGCCTGAGGTTGATGTAAACGATGAGAGAGCGGACAGACAAGAATGGAAGCGTTCTGACATCGTGTAGTGTATATATACGCAGTTCCTACTCTTAACTTGAGGCATCCTTTACTGCACAAAAAGGGAACTTTGCAAGTGCTCAAGCGATATCTTGTGCTCACGTTTTTGGATGGAAAACGTTCATTCAACAAATCATACCTGTTGAAAAGTATTACGGAATACATCGTACAAAGACGGGCTGCCAACATATCCGGCTTCGCAATCGCGAATGCTTAACCTCTACCCGTGTGCCACTTTACCCATTCAAACAACATCGATTGGGTTCCAGCTGATCGCTCCCTCGGCCCCACGATCCAAGGCGTCCAGGCGCTTCACGTCATCTTCATCCAACGCGAAATCGTAGATCTGGGTATTTGAGAGGATACGGGCTGGGTTCGAAGAACGAACGAGGGGAATGAGGCTGAGAACAGAGAAATTCAAGTCAGTCTCATGTTTGGGAGATAGGACATAAAAAAATGTCAAAGAAAGTGTGGAGAATCCAAAAGGATCGAGTAGCGGAACTTACTCGTGCTGAAGGGACCATCGAAGCAAGACTTGTGCCGGCTCCTTGCCATGCTAATTCCAGAACGCGTCGTCAAGTAATGTTCTTACAGTGAAGTCACGAATTAATAGGTACCTTCTTCGCAATGTCTACTATCACTGGATCGTCTAGCTTTCCCCGGATGACTGGGCAGTAGGCCTCGACTGCGATATTATGTTTGTTGCAGTACTCGATGATGGGGCGTTGTTGGCAAAAGGGGTGAAGCTATCCAGAATTACATGATTGAATGACCTCGCCCAGGAACTTCCAGAGTGTAAGAAAAGGTTTACCTCGACTTGATTCACCGAAGGCAATTCAAGGCCAGCTTCCCTGATTTCCTCAATGTGATGAATATTGCTTAGAAATAGCCATATCAGTGTGCGATCGAGCAAGACAGGAATGGCACCGCATACTAGTTCGATACACCGACGGTGCGAACCTTTCCTTGCCTCTTGGCCTCAAGCAAAGCTTTATACTTGGTCAGTCGGTTCTCCTTGCCAGCAGGAGGGCTATGAATGAGGTAGAGATCGATATAATCTGGGTATCTCGTCTTCAACGTGTCCATAAAGTAGTAAGATAAGACATTAAGCTTACCAAATCCCAGTGCCTTCAAGGAAGCATCAACACTAGCAAGCGGTTCGCCCTCATCGGGAACCTTTGAAGCTAATGCAAAATATGAGCTTCCAATCCCAACATAGTGAGTCATTCAACACTCACTAACAAACACATCCTCGCGCTTCAGTCCGCTCTCACGGACAGCTTCGCCGACTTCACGCTCGTTTCGGTATAACTGAGCGGAATCGATGTGACTGCGTGATTTGTAGTCAATCATACCAAGTTCAGAAGTCCCCAATCATCAAAAATGTCATACCGATATCCGACTTTCAGAGCTTCGAGAACGCCGGGCTTGGTCAATTCGAGAGGATCTTCTTCCTTCCCGAATCCATAGGCTACTCCAAAGCCGAGTCGAGGAATCTCATACCCTAGAATAGCGGACAATCAGCACTTCGAAACCTTAACCAAGCTTCTAGACGTACCAGATAGCAGTTTGACCGTAGATTGGAATGTCAAAGCGCTGGCAGCCATGATGCTCGCTTCAACTATCGTAAAAGTACAGGCGATTGTGTGGAAGAAAGGGTTGCGAGCGACAACGCCTCATGCTCACTAACCCGTGTATTTTTATAGCATTCTCCCCGGCGTTCTGTAAGCTATCAATCTGATCTTCAATCGAGGAAGCTACCCAAATTGGTTGGAGAGCGAAAGCCTAGAAGAAGACACCCAGGACTGCGTCCTGCCTAAAGTTTGAGAAGAGGATGGCGGCATTCCGAAGGATCATCGCCGCTGCGTTTGTACATGAACTTCAAGTTGGTGAACGATGAAGCCGCAATGAAGTCGGGCTTGTGATCGATTTATCTGATAAGATAAGATTTGCCAAGCCCTGCGCTCCAGTTTGGCATGTAAATACGTAGCAGCACGGTTCTTCTCTAAATCTGCGGCTACTCGAATATTGAGAGAATCCTGGATTCAATCCAGCTAAACCGTGACCTTCCAAAGTTTGAAGTTGTGAGCGCAAGAATTAATGATTTTTAAAGCGAGGTGGTTCTGTGTTCAATCCCTTTAGCTCAGCTGGTAGAGCGCGTCACTAGTATTAGTTATGACGAGGTCAGTCGTTCGAGTCGGCTAATGGGAAGGACAAGAGCTCCAGTTTTCTTTTATTGGGTTTAAAGTGGTACCGCGCCCTGCTATTTCGTGCCTGTCAACCCGAAAGCCCCCCAGCCCCGCAGAGGAGATTAGATTCATCAATGACAAGCCAGTTTGCATATCGCTCACTCCCTGGAGTCCTTTGCAGAAGTTGGCGGATCTATTTGCTTGAGTTTGTAGGTTGTAAACAGAATGATTGTCAGTAACATACCGCCAACTATGGGATCACTCAGGCAGTAAAACCCTGCATATTGTCACCGGGTCCGAACCTCGAGCAATGAACAAGGCATCCGATGGATACAGATCAGTACTCAGACTCACATAAGCTGTGCGCAGCGTATCATCTGGAGAAGGCCAGAAGAATAGCTGTTAAGTAGTTTTTACAACTCAAATCCTGGAAGTTAAATCTACGCGTGCTTGCACATATTGAGGCTTTGAAGGTCATCGAGTTGGCCATTCTGGAGGCCAAAACTGAGCATACAGTCATACAATCCGATGTGAGCTTTACAGAATCTTACAAAGCAGTGTGTATAGAAGCTCAAGGAGAACTATGTAACCCTTTGGCCATCAACATTCAAACAACAGAATATAACGTGACAAAATGCAGATAATCCAGAAAGACAAGCATCGAAACGAAAAATGGAACTACATACATAGCTTACTACAAATCTAGTCTTTTGTCGTACACATCATATTTCGGCTCCAAGCCCATCGCTTGTAAATCTTGTGCGACACGCTCAGCGCCAGCCATCACACGAAGAAGGTTCCTTCCCGTGAGACCTGACAACTCGAAACGATTCCAGCCTCGACGATAGAGTTCAGCAATCTATAAAATAGCATTAGTGAGTAATAGAGGGGCTCGAACTAGAGGTGTTGAGCACGTACGAGGGCTGGGTACTTGGAGACGTCTTCGAGACCTTTGGGCGTAGAGCTTATACCATCGAAGTCGCTACCGATCCCGACGCTGTAGAAACAATGACGTGAGTTCATTTCAATCGTGCACTCTTCTGTTCAAGCTGGAAGAAATGAAAGCAGGGCGACGTACTGTTTCCTCCCAGCGATAGCAGCAATGTGTTCAACATGATCGGCAACAGCTGCAACATCGGCTTTCCCCTCTTCAGCAACGAAGTAAGGAGCAAAGTTGACCATAACGACAGCGTCGGTCCGGGTGTCATCTGTACCAATAAGAGAAAGAACGTCATCTGGTATGTTACGTGGGACGTCATGAACGGCACGAGCGGATGAGTGCGACCAGATGACTGGAGCCTGTCAAGCGTACTGTGAGTTAGAAGAGTGGCGAAAGATGCGAGTGAAGGAAGCCGACCTTAGAATGTCTGAGAGCCTGGCGTGCGGTGTCGTCTGAAGTGTGACTTAAGTCGACCAGCATGCCGATACGGTTCATCTCCTCGATAAGAACCTTGCCAAGCGAGCTAGGAAGGTTCAGCAAATCGCAATCGGTCTAAGCTTATACCACAATGGCGTACAAATCTCATACCTTAATCCATTCCACCTGGGCTTAATGCCTGGCTCCATGCCACATGAGTCCGCGAAAGCATTATGGCAGGTATGTGTAAGAGTGACATAGCGAACGCCAAGCCGGTAGAATTGCCGCAAGACAGAGATGGAGTTTCCGAGTTGGTGTCCGCCCTCGACACCTAAGAGACTTGCTATCCTGCCCCGCCTGATTGCTGACATTACATCAGTGGAAGTCCCGACAAATTCGAACGTCTATGTACAAATGTGTGAGAGGGCAGAATGCATAATTCATAGAGTGTACTTGCGTTAGGATATTTCTGGATAAGTTCCATCGCGATGTCGATTTGTTCGAGAGTGTCTCTATGCGAAACTTAGCCTGTGAGACGTATAGTCGCTACAGTGCATGGCTCATACCGGACCAGCCAAGTCGCGTTCAGATAATCCTCGCCGACTTGGTCTTCCTTCGGACAGCCGACATAAGTGGACCTGAGGTGTATAGTTTGTGACAGTTCATGACATGTCGTTATTCAAGGCCTTACCAGAAGAAACCGCCAACCTGCCCCTTCCTCAAGCGGGGAATATCAACGTGTCCATATAGCTCGCCATTCAAATCGACAGCGGTTGCGTTATTTCTGAAGCGTGAGCGAGCAAGGATAGGTAGATCTATGGAGGGATATCACTGTTGGCAATAAAGCCATGGGACTGAAGTCCATTGCATACCGATATGTCCATCCTGGACCACAAGAACACTTCAGGAACATGACCAATAAACAAAGTGCGACCGAACTAACGATGATGGGCGCGACATCAAGCAACCTCTTGGCTGCTTTCTCAGGGTCTTTTGGCAAGTGGCCCACATACCCACCAAGCTTCTCCCAGTAGACGCTTCCGAGGATAAGCGCCACGACGAACACCGCGGTCAAAATGCCATAGATTGTGGCCCGTGCAACGGGGGCACGGCGGTAGATCCTAGCTTGCTGGCCGAGAGAGGGACCCTCGCCTAGCAACGGCGATTGTTCGCCATTCGACATGGCGGTTCAGGAAGACCTCAGGAAGGAATTCCTTGCTCAATACTTTCTCACTCGCCAATCTATTCCAACCATGTTATGACGCAGCGAGCACGTGGAAACTTTTCGTGCTAACGCAGTATGGAAATACTCATTCACGTTCCCATTAATTAGCTCACCGGCCTCGTCGTTATAATACTTACAGTACTACTGCTAGTGACGCGCTCTATTGACTGAGCTATGTAAACGCGGTAACCTAAGCATAGTATACGCTTAAAACAAATTTTGAAAGGAAGCATATTCAACCCAATTAGAGGGACATATATACATCGGACACATTGTAAAAATAAAACAGACAGAAAATAGATCTAGGAATTTAGCAATGTGGGTTCTAAATCACGTTCTTCCGCGTCACCCAGTTCCACCTGAATACACCCAGCCGCAAAGGGCGTGCAGGCATTCACGAGGTACGCCGCCTCCTGGAGAGCCAAAGTGCCGCGTTGAGTAATGGAGACCTCTCTAACACCCCATTCTTTATCAGAGAGCCTGCCACCACATAGCGTGGACATGACCTGCGTGAGCTCGGCCCATCCTGGTGTAGCCAGGTCAGTAGCTGAGTGTAGCCATATGTCGAATTTGAGTGCACGTATACTGGGGTGGTCCCAATCAGACGATATATCTGAAACTTCTTCCGTAGACCAGCCACTGTGTTTGCGAAGAGCCGCAGGCATGCACTGCTCGAGGACGTTGAATGCCCATTCGAGACTGGTGTACTCAAGAGACGGGAGGCGGAGGTGTAAGTCAGTTAAGTCTCTGAGATCGAAGAAGTTGATGCTAGATATCACATCATCTGGGAGATTAAAACGTCAAGACGGTGTCCAACAAGGTATAAGATAGCACGTACCCGCAAGTCTTTCAGAGACTTGGAGAGGTGTGAAGCAAAGTTTCAGGTGGCGCACGTACGGTGCACGGTCTACAATGCCCTTGAATATGATCAGGTCTTCGACGCTCGATGCCAAGACCTCCAGCCATGTTAGGTAGTCCAAGACCGGTACAGATATTTGAGGATTTCTTGGAGGTTCGAGCCAAATGTTGTGTCTATACATTAATTTCTCCATGGCCGGGAAAAACTTGAACCAGGCAAAGAAATCGTCAGTCGATCTCCACGCGCACTTGACAAAGGCCAGATCTTGAAGATACATGCCCGACTCATGCGAGACCTCCTCGAGCTTGATCAGCTCATCTTCGGACAGGCCCAGATGAGTAAGACCTTCAAAGTGCAAGAATTGTACAGTAGAATCAGAGCTGGTGAGGATTGCTGTAACCAATTGCATCAATGATCGTGACTCGACATCGGGGTCGTTGGCGTTGATTTGGCCTGTAATGTCGAGTTTCATGATTAACTTTTTGATGCCAGACAAGATAGAAAGTTGCCTAGCAATGGTGATGCGGACATCCTCTACATCACCACTGTGGTTAACAGAAGCTGCATAAGTGTTGTATCCGAGTTGGGGGACGAGCATGGTGCAGAACCGAGTGTAGGTAAGAGTACAAGAGAACAATGACAAAGCGGAAGTCGAGGGTCAAGGAGTTAACAACTCGGTTGAAAGAGGCAGGGCTTAAATACTGCTCAATCCGGCGCTAAGTGGCAGTCAAACACAATAGACCTGCAGTGATGGACCTGCGTGAGCTTCTGTACAGATGTCACCCTTTGTTTCGTGAAAACAGCATCAAGGTAGGCCACACTGGCATCAGCAGTGGCGTAGCAACGAAGAGGTCAAAGAGATCGAATGTCCACGACGATCCAGGCTTTACACCGTTGACCCTGACGAAGACCACAGGGTAAACGTTCTATGAGCCACAACCCTCATCAACAGCATCATTGACTTCAAACTCGGCATCTTGACAAACACCTATATTTTCAACGTCTACTCAAGGTCCTGCAAAACATTCCAGCTTGCTATTCACAGTGCATTGAACGGACTCACAACAAGACTAAGATCGTAATTTCTGCATTTCTCTATCAATAGCCCACTTAACTGCCTCCTCCACATCCTCGACTTCCATCGTAGGTTTATGTTTGGGCGGACCAGCCTCAGGGTCGTATACGCCGGTCCGGACGAGAATAGAGTTCCAACCAGCTGCATTGGCTCCTACAATGTCCGACTCCGGGTTATCTGCATTCGCACTTTAGATCGCATTTACTGGCATATACGCCGGATAGTCGGGATATGTAGAGTGCTCACCGCCGACCATGTACACTGAGGGAGCCTCGTGAACAGGGCCACCCTGGATCTCCGCTAAACGGTCTGTGAGGACTTGAGTTGCAAAGTCATAGGTGGCCTTCGTTGGTTTCCCGTATTGGATGTATGGATAGGTTGTCCCAGTAAACGACTATGAGACACTATGAGAGCTATATTCTCAACAAATGAATCAAATCCTGACCTTGAACACAGCTTGGAACGCCTCTCTGAATGCTCCTTGACCCAGCCTTGGCCTCGCAAAGTCACTTCTCCAAACCAAATCCGGATTGCAGAACACGAGGTCAATCTTCGGACTGGATGCATATTCATTCGGATGAATGTATGGTGCGCCGATGATTCCACGGGACATGATAACGTCATAAATGACCTGGACGTCGAGAGCCCAGTTACGTGGATCGTGAAAGACAAGTATCGCACGGATAGGCGTTTTCGAGAAGTCTACTTGGGGGCTGTGGTGTGGAAGATCAGAGCAACGCTTGAGTACCTTGGTACTGGCCCGCTCCGACTCGGAAAGCGTATGGAAAGGCCATACCCTAAGTAGAGGCTGAATTTTAGCCAATATGATTGACTGTTGTGAGTAGGACACTTACGCAGGATTCCAAGCAAGAACGTCTAATGTAGTGTATGCTCGCTTAAACCCATATCTGAATTGCATATTTATAAGAGCATAACCGCATGCAAGAATCATACGACATACCCCTCAGCTACCTTTCTTATGGTATCGTTGACACCTCCAAGGACGAGGACAGGTTCGTCCGCATACTTGTCTACAACAGACTTCAGAATGGTATGGGCCTGAATGTACTGTGTTGGTTTGATCTATACGCAAGCAGAGTGATTAACAGAATGATTGACAAAATGGGTTTGCACCTACATCAACCTGCAACAACTTCGTTAGCTTACGACATCTTGCGTCCTCGCTTTCCCCGCCTCCGTTCGTAATCTTCAAGTAGTTAGCGTATCGCGTGAGGTCTTGCATAGAACAAGCTTACCAAAATATATGGGATCTTCCTTGCAGAAAATTAGTTGTAAATCCTGGATAAGAGAAAGAGCTGCACGTACACACCCAGAGGGTTTGCACCCTCCAACAGCTTCAGAGCCCTCTGTGCTGCTGGCAGAGCCGAAGGCCCTCGAATCAGAACGCCATCCTGAAGTAACGTCAAGCTTAGAAATAAACTACGTCATAATAATAACTTGCAATGTCGAATGCAAATGCAAGAGGTGAGCGTTTTGCACTGTGAGCTTGGTCTGAATCAAAACCACGCGTGAGAAGCACAACACCATAGCGAGCAATTAGAACGTACGTTGCAGCCACCGAGAGCAGTGGCTCACAGGCCGGAGAGACGGAGCAGATTTCCAAACCCGAGACGGGGTAAGCGAGACAAAGCTCGCCATCAGGCGTCGTCGTTGGTGCCAAGGATGAGGCCGGTCATGCGGCGTCAGGTCCTCAAGACTGGGCATCCATATTTGGAAACCTCATCGAGGCCGCCAAACAATAATGCCAAACAAACTGAACGTACATACGGCTTATGTTTATTGAATAACAATCCACTCACATCCTTTCATCCGTGCGAAATACATTCAGAAGTCCCCGTTATCTTCCGTTCTGCCCTGTAGAATTGAGAGAGACCCAAGACGCTGTGCTCCTCGTCTTAACGGGACCGATCATTGAGCGCTTGATTGTTTGACCAGCTTGCTCTCGCCCACGTTGATGGCGAGCAAAGACAGCATGCTTCCCCTCCCCGTCTCATTTCGTTCTCGACCATACCGTATTCGCAGTGACTCTCGTTCACGACACCACAACAAATTTGAACTTCTCCTGACCCGTGCCCGGGTGACCAATTTGGGCCTACTCCTCCTCGCAAGCTTCGCAACACTGTCATTTCTCTTTAACCTCAGATTTATACTCTCTTCTCCTTCGAATGGGCGGCCACACATGTACTATCATGCCCATCCGCCATATAGTATACTTGAATCCTTGAACCGTGATAAATCGATTCTGGGCTTGAACCATCTTGTTGTCGTACCTGGCCATGGGATTTGGAAAGGCTCGGGACCGGAGGACATATTGGATGAAGATAAGTGGATATTGGAGTCGCATCAGAGAGGTGGCGGACGTATACCTGCATTTGTAAAACACGTTGAGACCGGGTGAGTGCACGCAGCTGGGGGAACTGCTGCGGAAGCTGATCCAGGGAACCTATGTAGTGTCAAGACTACTCTCGCAGATGAGCATGCATTGCTTGTATTTAGCGGGTGAGCCAGGACCAGATACATTTGAACGTCAAGGCACTCTGGGACTAATATTCAAGCAGTGGGCAAACTCGTCCATCTTCTACGACCACCGAAGCAGAGTCTTACCTCCGGGTTGCTCGCATTTCTGGTCTCCTTCCCAATGACACACTTCCGTTCTTGCGGGCAACAACAGAAGATCACGCATTAGACTCATTTCAGAACCTCCTTTTCTCTATTGCCCGGTTTCATGAATATACCGGTCACTATCCTACAAAAATCACCGTAGTCGGGTACGAAATGAAGAGACGAAGGTTTACCGAGCTGCATCGTGCTGCACTCCGGTGGCCTCAGTCAAGATTCTACTATATTGGTGTCGATGCCGAAGCTGATCATCGAGATGGCGAGGTACGTCCAAAGCCCTGATGCTACTCGGCTTGTATTCACATACCTCGACTGGTAGCGACAAAATGGCTACCTTCCGTACACGCGTGACGTATACGGATGCCACGACTTGCTTCAATCTAAACGAAAGTCAAGAAACCCATTCATACGCTATCACTCATATTACACGTCATCTCCCGAGCTGGGTCCACTCTTCAATTGGTGTCCCGGTCCCGAGGATGGCGGTCAGACAGCTTTGTTCGATGGTCCACTTCCATGGGATGCGTTCAAGTGATCGATCACCTACGCTGTAATGCTACTAGACCGAGAAGACGGACTTGGTTTGCGCATGGGTTTCCCGTTGACATAGATGTAAAGCGTAAGCAAGAACACGATCGGGACATAGCAAGGACAATCGTCGGACTCTCCGGTATTGCTCTGCAATGTAATTATGATATCCTGATATCCTGTCCATGTGCGTACATTCTATTGCATGTGAAGTAGAAAGAAAAAGTAGCTGACTCATGTGAATTGTTGTAATAGAGACTTAATGTAATTCACTCAACGTACCGTAAAATACATATCTCGTCACCTGGAATCCATATGTGCCGATATGAAGAGACAAGAAGGGTCCGATCCCGGGATTATACATCGTTATTTCTGCGGATGAACGCCGAATCAGTGTATCAGACGCGATACGGAGTGGGTCATGGCTGTACTCACGATTTGTGATAGACTCTTGCCCACTTCCGCTGCGAAGTTCGAGGTATAGAGACTATCCATAAACTCCTTCATTTCCGAGATTTTGGATTCGCCATCTGTCTCCTTCCCGTCTGTCAATCGGAACATGATCATGTACTCGTTCTCGTACGCCTTTCCCATCTTGGCGCGTGCTGTAGCAATGCCCTGGGGGATATTGGGGTTTGCAGATGAGTAGAGGATATAATTATTTTGCAACGCACATGTAGCCAAAGCTTGCCCGGAGACTCATTTATATCCAAGATGTCTAGCTTAGCCACATTGTATTCAGGGTCTGTCCATGTGTTAGTTGAGCTATATGGCTCACCCGAAACGACTTGGGCCATAGTAGCGATGCACGTTCACATGTTTCAAGCCATTCGTCCCGCGGTCGAATAGGAATGCCTAGCGACTGAGGTAGAATAGACATTGTGAAATCTTCGGTCATCATCGTTTTAACGAGAGGAAAGTTTGACTCCTGTAGACCCTGAATAAAACTGAGTACAGTCCGGAGTTGAGGAGAGGGGTCTGGAGGGATGACGGGTTGTTCATCCCAGACGGAGGGCGTGGTTGCTAGGGATGGTGGTTGGTCGGACATTGGGAATACAGTTCGAGCGTCAATATTGACAAAGCTTCTGAGAGTGTTATAAGGATGGTGCCATTGGGGAGACTCCTTTATTATAGAAATGACAGTTCTTGTGAACTCCGGGTGTGCGCGTTGCCCATTTCCCGATTCCCGACGCTGAGCGGTCTATTTGTAGGTGATCGACTCGTGATCAGAAATAACATCCTCCCCGAGCAGCAGCTATGCTCTTTCATGAAGTTCTCCTAGCCGAATGTCTTCTCAAGCGTTGAATAAAAGTGATCGGTAATGACAGACACACTCTGTCAATCGTTCAATGTCGCGACAAACATCCTACCGAGGTACTCAAAGATAGTAATCCGGCTTCCTATATTACATGTATGAACACCGAGGCGATACGCCGATGCTCAGCATCATGGGCGCTAGCATGAGAAAGTTGAGAACATTACAATATACATTACTTGCTAACGCCTAACTATAGCTGAGAGCAACCTGCCTAAATTACAAAGCGTCATTCCTGTCCATTGACGAGGATCATTCTGCGATTGTAGGACTCCGAAGCACGTACTCGGTCGCCACAATCGGACTAGATGGTTCCGGCCTATCGCGTGGATGCTCATGATCGTGCGAATGCCAATATGAAGACGATCCGCCCCTACTCGCGTTATCTAGTGAAATGCGCTCAAACCTATCTTCATTCGGTGAAGGTTTCGCTGGCGCATGAGGTAGCTGGTGAGGAACGGGCATGTGCGCTGGCATGTGCACTGGTGCAAGGTATGGCAAAGATTCGGTTGATTGGTTGGGGTATGATGATGTGGAGCCGGCGTCGTCGTCTGGACTGCTTACGGTCTTCAACATGCCGGTTTCTCTGCCTGTCCAGTTCGCATGATGGTCAATGTAGGTGGACTGAGCCTTATATTTGAACTTCTCCAGGTCGTCGTCCTCGTCTATCACCATGGTTCTGGAACTACCCGTGCTCGAGCTCTTGGTGCTGGAACTGCGGGAAAATCGACGAGGAATGACACTGTGCGGAGGAAGGACCCGACGGGTAGTTGTGAACAGCACAACGTTGACAAGACCTGAAGATGTGATGAGTTCGGGACGTTACAGTAAATCTCAGTCTGAACGCACCAGATAAGAGGAAGATTGAATCGCTGACACGAATGTAAGCAACGAAAGAAAGAGTGATCGGAATTACTTTACCTGAAGATTGTGGCTGCGAAAGGGACCTCATGGCCTGACCAATCCGCAAAACGACAAATCGCAATGGGCAGGATCATGATTGTGTATGCGACCTGTTTCTAGGATTAGACATGGACATCGTACCAAGGTAGACGTACATACCGGATATCTGTCAACTTGTCAGTACGAAGATTAAAGACTATTCTGATTCTCAATTTACTCACAAGAGCATCATCTTCGCCACAGAAATGATTGAACTATCCGTCGACTCCTTGCCTTGTAATTGAATATCACAGTGTCGCTTAATTGTGAGCTTCCCTCCCTTCACTTGTATGTTCCCTCGAAGGCGGAAGAATATCATCGCGTAGAGAACGAAGCTAAAGAGGGCTGAGGCGAACAACTGAATCCATGGTCAGGCTCGTAATCAACTTGATGTCCTCTCCAAAGGAACTTACAAACATATAGTCCAATCTGCATAAAAATAATGAGTAACGAGCTGAGAAATGTCGAAGCGGAGCTATTCAACTTACGTTATTCGAGGAACGTAGTAGTGTTCGGATATCCAGCACCAGTAACCAGAGATGCCAACTAAACGACGTCAGTACAACCAAAAATTGAATATGCACTGCGTCACGTACAGAACGGCCCATTATGCGTGGTATTCAGTGCAGCAGGTCCGGCAATTACGATTGTACCAACCGCAGACCAGCCGCCCACAAGGGTGAAAATGAGAATATATCGACGCGTCTCGAGACGAAGGAAGAGAATCCAGAACGTGTGTAATGCAATGATCTATGGAGATAACGAGATTAAGCATGAGAAAGCGACCGGACATATCACGAGAGCACCACAGTTACGTACCAAGGACCTGTGGTGTATGTCTCAGCAATCACGTTTCACGATAACCCTACGGACTGACTTACCAGATAGCGGTTCCGACGTCGGCCACATGTTTAATCGCACCTGTATACCATTTGCAGCCACTTCGAGAGACATATGACATCGTCACGTACCTTGAGCCACGCACATTGTATTGAATTCTACCGCGTTTTTCATGTACCATTCAGCGTTCATGATGGAGCCAATAGCTGTGATCCTTCTGATGAACTTCTGTTGGAGTAAAACTAATATTAGAGTCGTACCTTGCATTAAGTCACAGAGCAACAATGATATCAGATATGCAGCTGCGTGGCTACGGACGAACATGTTCGGGTTGACGGATTTCCGAGTGTTCCATGCTGAGAGCTTTAGGGATCCACAATCACTTTGACATATCTGGAGCGGAAAGGGACGTTCGTACCGCAATAGCGAATAGCAGTCCGACCACTGCAATCATAGAGAAACATGAGATGATAACGAGAGCCTGCAATCGATAGTATTCATGAGGAATCCAAATCCAAAGAGCTTCATAGAATTAACTCACCAATACCCCTCCGCCTTCAGCATTGCTGTAACCCACCCTCAAGAGGAAGTTCTCGCCATTAGGAAGTAGGATGACACTTGTGTCGGCCATCTATCGTGAATAGTCGCTTCTGCTGTCGTAAAGTGCTCTTCTGCCAAGATCCGTTGAGCAACCAGAAAGCAAGCGGGGGCCGTAAGTCAGGGTAAATAGGTTCGTTGAAGCAATCAAGTGTCGTAGCGTAGCTGAAATGATCGTGAAGTAAACTACAGAGGGATCCAGCCCCAGAAAGAAGTGAAAGAAACGAAAAAGATTGAGGCGAGGGGAGAACGAATGTGGTGGTCGCAGACCAAGACACAAAGAGTTCCTTTCATTGCGATGTGTGCATCATATTGGCGGTATACCCGACGGTTGCGTATCACTAATTTGCACGTTTCACAGCCTGCGTATCACCGAAACAGTTATATCATTCCTTTCGAGACATGTGAATCCCTATTGATCTGCAGCTCAAAGGACGTCAGCATTCATGAATACCTTTGCATCGTCACAGAACGAGACTGAAACCACTTCTTGACATACCCGAGTTTACTCTGGACGAGTGAAGTGGACTATCGAAAGCAACGCTGCCAGCGCCCCGCGCCATCTCTGAAGTACAGCCACCTGTTAGTGATCTCGATCAGGCACCTGTCGTTGACCATCTTCACGACCAAACGTAGGCAATCTGACAATCTGACATCTCCTTCAAGCAATGTACACGGTATGAAAGGTGTGGTACCAGTACAAACAGACACACAATATATTAGTACACGTTGGAGTCAAAGTCAGACCAAGTTCTGAAGCCCCAAACACGAAACGGCAGAAGGGCTAAAACGGTAGTAAATGAAAGTGAAAAGGGTCGTGGTCGCATGTGTGCGTCGTGAATAGTCCTAATAGTTAAGCGAATTGTCCTCTTGAAAGTACATGTCATCGGGTGGAGAAGAATCAGGGTTTGAATCGAGCAGGCCTGTAGTGTTTTGGAGTTTCAATGTCGACCGTGGACTTGCGCGAATGGAATGGCGATGCGCGACCGCTTGAGGGGGGTATATCTTCCTCAACCTCGGCCTGCCGCAAGCGAAGAAGGGATCGATTCAATACTGTTGTCGTCATTGCCCAGACGAAGCTAAAATAATTGGATTAGCATTAACACATTAACGTAGATTGGAAATTGCTAATCACAATGCACCGAGCATAACGAGTGCAGGTTTTCTTAGAGCTGCAAACGCTAGGTTAAGAGCTCGAAGGCCTGTCAGAGCCTATTCATCCATTTGAGTAGGGTGTTACCAGTCTTGGGCATTCAAGACTTACCACGAAGTATATGATTCCATCTCGATACAATGCCTTGGTGATTGGCAGCTGTGCACCTCTTGGTCGATCCAAAGCATTCAGAACTGTAGAAAATAAGACCAAAATCTCGTACAACATCTTAAGATGTCAAGTCAGAAGAGAAGTCTCGCTTGCAGTTAGATCTTGATGCTATCTCACCGGACATGCCCAAACAGCAACGAATATCGGCGTCGTTGTCGTAGTAATGCACATTTGTGCTTCTGTTGACCATACAACATTTGCTGTTTGGCGAAAAAGACTAATATTTTAGTATATCATTCACATACATTAGACAAAACACACTTACGAGCAAGTTTAGACAGACTGAAGCCCAGGGTGACCACTTGAGCGGAAAAACTCGTAATGAAGCCTACGGTCATCAACTTAACGACAATCTGGAATTTCGTGAGATGAGCTGTTGTAAAATCCGATCAAGAGTATACACACCGGTCTATGATCCCATAATATCACAACCCGTAATAGCACCAGTATGTTGGCAATACCAATGGAAAAGATTGCAAGGATCGAGGTGGTAAAAAGAAGGCTCCTGCACCTGAACATGGAAGTCAGAATTTAACTGTGACGCGACACACTTCTCAAGCATACCCCTTCACATTGCATGATCAGCAAACGCAACGAATTGAATTCAGGGTCGTACTTACAATGTCCGACAGCGTGATACCTATAAACCCGCACATCTCTAGAAAGCGGACGTTCAAGTTGAACCTTGAGTACAACGACAATGATCCGTACTCACCATACGCGACAGCCAATAAGCAACCCAAAACGAGATACCGATTGAAGAGGAACGCGTATTTTGGGAATGAAGCGGGTGCACGCCATACAAGGCTCACTTCGTCGTTGAATGTAAGAACATGATCATAAAGAAGGACAACGAGGCCAGCAACTTCATATAACCTGAGTAAACGCGAACCAAAATCCGCTCAGAATCGACTCACCACTAAGGTATCGAGTCGCGAATGCATCCTGTAATTCGCTGATGAGAGCGTTGTACAACGCTAACCCCGCAGCGGAGGGGAGGTCCACCGTTCCAGACATTGCAACCTAAACGAAGGAACCTGGTACGGGGAACGCTAGGATCGCTCGACCTGAACTCAATTCAGTCGGCGAGGGTAAGTTATAGACTTAAAAAAAGTACATTGGCCGCCGAAAGGAAAAAGAAAGGAAAGGAAGATGAAATTGGAGGAAAAGAAGGTGAGCAACAACGGATATAGCATGCTGTGGTATGGGTAACATGACTACAAGCTGGTCGATGCCAGAGCCTTGCATGGAGCAGGGTTGACACGGGTGTCACAAGGGAGTAGCGAAACGGGAAGTTCCCGATCATAATCCGTTGATGGTCGTCCCTTTATTGGCTGAAAATATGACTTCTCATCACAAAGTCTGGGAAGAGAAGTGCTAGGGGTGTCATCGAGGATGGTTGTCGTGTGAGGTGCCATTCAGCTGTAGAAGGTTATATATGCATCAGTCAGAGTGGTGACAGAAATGGATTGTTGTTTCGACAGCCCATCCCGGTCGGAAGCATCTGGGTAAATCTGGATGCTTGGCAGTAACCACGACGCCGGAGATGCCGAGGAGAAAACAAGAACAGCGTGGAACGCACTTGTCTAGTCACATTGAGTTTAAAGGAGTGATGAGAAAGCGGAGAGACTGTAAGTAGCGAGGTGCATAATTTTGACCGCAAGCACCTGGGAGAATCAGAGACGGTAAATGAGCTATATTCTTAAGTTGTTTAGTGGGTCGTGTGTTATTTTCTATTAAGGATGCTGAAGATTTTTCCTTGACATAGCGACTCAGACTGATCTGTGCAGGGCTGGGGCCGCCAGGCAAAAGGCATGAGTCACCAAGGGCAAAATGAAGGATCATCCAGTCAGAGAAAGATGCAAGCCTGCATTGTAGCAGAATGTTTCATTCAGGAAGCGAACTATGTGAAGCCTTGTCGTATGATGAAGGTTAGATGAAAGGATAAGACGGTGGTTGCTGGCAAACCTGGGAGCTGTCAGAAAAGGAAATTGCGTCGAGTCTATTGACAAGCAAGAGCAAATAGAGTCAGCGAGTCGAAGGTAGACGTGAACGACTGTGGTTCTTTAGACTCTAATCCACGTGCACGTCTTCCAAACGACCAACGAGAAGTGCAATGACATCAAATAACGATAGACTTGAGGGTCGTTTAACGCTGCGCGTAATTTCATTGTCACTGCAGACATTCTGAAATCATGTGAAATATGATTATCCTGTAAAAGCATCATAACAACATCGATAGAGTGGTTAATTTACAGGCTCCATGACCAATAATTCAGAAGCTGCGCTGAAGGGAAGTGCATATGTGATACCTACGATCAGTTAGTGCCTATTGAGATGTAAACCACTTCTCAAGGGCACCATAAGCCTCATCATTCTGCTCTTCGAACGATTCCAAAAGCATGAAATCGTGTGGGGCATCCTTTCCTGCCACCCACCCAACCTGCTCCTCACCCAACTGGTCTGTCATCTTCCGCCATAAGGTCTTAACCTGATCAACCAAGATTTCCGCTTCACCCCAAACGATGAACGTCCTCGGGAAGTCTTTGAATGAAACTTCAGGCATACTGGGGTGCTTCGAGCCAGGTGAGAGGTACGAGTTCGTGTTGGCTGCTTCGGGGAAACCTAAGGGGCCCACGTAATTCACACGAGCGTGCTTTAGGAGGGCATCGTCGACGGGCCCTATGAAGTCTGACTCTAGGTTGACGTACACAGACGCGCCGGGAGTCTCGTGTGAGGAACCGAGATCTGACCAAGGACAGATCAAAATGAGATTTGAAGGTGGTTTAGGGAGAACATTCGCGGCTTCAGGGAGGCGGCCCGCTTCAACGAGATAGCGCGTCAATGCGAGTGCAAGATTCCCTCCAGCAGAGTCACCTCCAAGGATAATGTTCTCTGGTTTGAAACCGACAACGTTGATGAGATAAGCATAGCCTGCTATGGCATCAAGCAGCGCAGCAGGGAATGGGTTGGTGAGTTCGTCGGGCGGACCTGTGGTGAGCCGGTATTCGACAGCTAGCGTGCGCTCCACGTTAGGAAGAGTTGTCGTGAGGCGATTGATCAGGTATGCGTAGATAGAGCTGGGATGAGCGGACATGCCAACATAGCCCCCGCCGTGGAGGTAATACAGGACTTTCTCTCCAGGTCGTGGACGGTCCCCGACCGGGACGCTCTTTCCCTCCCGATCATACCAGTATCCAGGGATACGAACGGGTTCCACTTTGGCTGCATCCGCGAACTTCTTCAGCGGGTCAAAGACGAGAGCGGGAGTGGGTTCGATCCAAACTGATTTATATTTGTCCTTGGGAATGGTATGATGGGTTGGATGGGAGAGAAGAGGACCTGTTCTGTTACGTCCAACGTTTAGATTTAGTCATATCGAAAGTGAGGAGTACTTACTTCTCGGGAATATCTCCAAGATCAGCAAGGGTACGGATAAGGTTTACCTGAATACATTGCCACCACTTCCACGACCTCCTGGGTCTGTTGAATCTAGGAAGGTAATAAACACACCAGAAAGGTAAGCGAACGAGGAGGGTAACAGGGAGAGCGAAGGTCAAGTAAAGCGCTTTCAACGGTTGTCGTTTGAGTGCGTAGACCATGACGAGGGGAAAGAGTGCGACCGTAATTTTGACACGATGCTCACAGCTTATATCGTGTGCCCTGATGGGCGTGGGATCCTGCGAATCGGCACGAATAAGAGGACTAGAAGACTAGATCATGTTATGATGCGTTGATTTGTCAAACCTAAAAGGTCGGTCAGATGCCCCGTGAAGATAGTGTATGTAATGACGAAACGTTGATATCGGATTCTCGCCAGCTACCTCCATGGTCATCAACACTGCATGTACTGAACGACTAGAGCACTAGTAGTAGTGCCCGACGCCTTGGTGAGATCTGCGCGTGAGACGAGGATCGCACGAGAACACAACATGGGACGCGAGTACAATCCGGAGCATCTCACGGTGAGATGTCACCTGAGCACACACTACAGGAAGGTTAGCTCACAGGCAGCAGACCTATTGCATACCTGTACAACATATTTGGCTTATATATTAGGAAGAGGTCATTTTCTCGCTAGAGCTCGAACTAGAGGGTATATGGAATGTCACCAGAAAGGCTTGCCGCAGAATCAGCCTCATTGAATCGACATCTTAAACAATGATAAGAAGGCTCCAAATTCAATTGAGAGTATCGATAAAGGCGACAAGAGTTCGAGGATCGTGTTGTGCATCGACAGCGGATGGAGAGTCAAGTTTTCATACAGCAAAAACAGGCATTCAGTCAGGCCAGAATCAGGCAATAACAGGCCAGGGAAAAGTCGACGCGGGCACGGCCGGCAGATATCCTGTTTTGGAAACTGTGCCGGCCGTACGTTACACGACATTCCACGTCTGACGCTTTCAGGCTTACCTTTACGCTTTCGACGTTCATGGACTGCTGTTGCCATCTCTAATCCTCCTTCCAAGTTGAACGAGCAATAATACTGGTCCCGCAGCTTCTCAACCACTACAATAAGCTGCAACTGGCCTCGGAATATGCCTCTGAACGATGTTATACGCCAGCGCGTACAACCTCTAACGGCCGCAATGACCTCGAATAGAATTATTCTTTATTCGATATTCAGTACTGGGGCGATGCTCGGTGCTATTCTGAATGCATGTCGGAACCAGAGCAATTTCTATTCTGTCACTGTATACCTGTCTCGGAGTGGGCGTAGCTTGTTGGTGAGCAGTTCGTCACATATACCACCGTGCGACACTACATCTTTGCTTTGAAGATTCTGGCGAACTTCGGGTTCCTATTTGCCCTGGCATGTGGGAAGATCTTGCAGAAGATATTCTTTGGGCCTTTACAGCCTCGTGAAGTCGAGGTACGTCTGCACACCCTGCAGAAGCCAACTCACGATCGAACAAGTTGATCATAGCGCCTCTACGACCAAACATGGATGTTCGTCACCGAATCATTATTGGCGTTCACCATCTTCCGGGACGAGTTTGACATCCCCTTCCTCATGATGTTCGGCTTCCTCTTGTTTGTCAAATGCTTCCATTGGCTCATGGCCGATCGCGTAGAGTCGGTACGTCCCTTGTAGCTTCGATTCTTCGCTTCCCTATTGACTGCTACTACTAGATGGAGCAAGTTCCATTCCCTGGCCCTACCCTATCATTCCATCTTCGTATCAATGGCTTATTCGCTGTCCTACTCATCACTGACGCCGCGATGTTTGGGTACGCGGTGGACAGCACATTGATGAACGGGGTTGGAGGAATGGTCCTATTTGCTACTGAGGTATGTGGCGTAGTATGTGCGGATATCAGTCTGACGTCTGACGGTTATGCTGTGTAGTACGCCATCCTCATTGCAAGTACACTCAACGCCATGTCTCGCTATATCTTGAATATTCTTGAATGGCGTAGAGCAATCCGACGTGGTGGCGAGAATGCACCTCCTTGGGAGAGCAAGAGCATGTATGTCTTCTACATCGAGCTCGTCACCGGTATGCCTCCGTCATTTCTCTTTTCCTGTCCCGAATAAATGTCTGATTCTATCATTAATTTGTAGACTTCCTCAAACTCACAACATATCTCACATTCTTCATGATCATCCTCACGTTCTACGGTCTCCCACTCAACATCATCCGAGACGTCTATATCACCGCGCGGTCATTCATTACTCGACTCCGTGCTCTCATTCGATATCACAACGCTACTCGAGATATGGACCGTCGGTACCCAAATGCTACAGAGGAGGAACTTGCCGCTATGTCCGATAGGACGTGTATCATTTGCCGTGAAGAATTGACGGCACCAGGTGCTCCGGCCACTGTGGATGGGCAAGCCGGCCAGGAAGGACCACAGAGGGAGGAACCGAGACCACAAGAGGAGGGTCCGAATATGACCCCAAAGAAGTTGCCTTGTGGTCATATTTTCCATTTCCAGTGTCTGAGGTCCTGGCTGGAGAGACAGCAGAGTTGTCCTACGTGGTACGTACTTCGTTACAATCCGCCGGTATGAAACGTTACTATATGTGCATGCTAATGCCCTATTTCTAGTCGTCGTACAGTTTTGGAGACTAACCAGCCGAACAGGAACAATGCTCAGCAGCCACAACAACAAGGTCAACAACAACAGGCGCAACCGAACGGTGGCCGTGGGGTTCCCATTGCACAACCTGGTGCGATGCCAGTCCCTCAACAAGCTCAAGCAGGCGTCGGAGGTTGGCTAGGGAGGTTCTTAGGCATCGCACCTCCGCCACAACCGCCTCTCGTCGTTCCACCACAATATATGGTTCATCCACAGCCACCAGGGTTCGTTGGCGTACCACCTCCACCTCACGCTGGCCAGCCTGGACAGGCTGGTGCATACTACCCAGCTCAACAGCTTCCTCCAGGATACGCTTATGCGTACCCATATCCACAACCAATGTATCAGTATCCTATATGGCCGAACGCATATGGGGCACAGGTGTACCAACCTCAGCATCAGCAATTGAACCCTGCACCCCATTTGAGAGGGTTCCAAGGACCTGGGGGTCAGATCCATCCTTGGCCAATCGCTCCTCATCATGGGGTGCCTCCGGCTCAGGCTCAACAAGGGGCCACACAACAACCAACGCATCAGCAACAGAGTTCACAGGGAGCTCAGGTTACGCCGACGCCTGTATCTACATCAGTTCAGGTACCGGCTCAGCGTACGCGAACGGAGTCTGAAACATCGACTACTTCTGCTTCCACATCGTCTTCATCTAGTGGTGAGTCTGATGCTCAGAGGGAAGAGTTGTCTGCTACACCTAGGAATGCCGCTGCCGCTGCTGCGTTGAGGCGTTTAGATGCTTTAGTGTCTTCACAGGTCCCCGCACCGGTCTCGACTAGAACGCAGTCGAACGGTCCGTCTTCAGGCACTTCGGTTGCTAGTGGGACGACGACCAATACACACAACAATGCCACGAATGGCACTGAGTCTGGTCCTCAACCCACACCTACTGCGCCCTCTCCCCCTTCTCCACAACCTGCAGTAATAGCATCTACTCCTACCCCTCCAGCGACGTCTCCTCCCTCATCGTCAACGGCGCCTGCCCCTGCGCAACCTCAAACCTCGACACAGGGCTCAACGTCGCAAGGTCGTATCAATCTACCATCGTTGATACCAGCACCAGACCTATCTCCACGCCCCGCCCCTCCGATAGCGTATGCATATCCGTATCCACAAGCTGGGCAGCTTCAGCCTCCGTACCGCTTTGCACCTCCGTCTACTACGGTTCGTGCTCAGATGACGTTCCCAGCTGGGCCCCCACCACCTTATGCTCAGCCTGCTCAACATCAACATCAAATGCGTCAGCAACAGCAAAATCAACAGCACCATCCACCACCCTATCGCACCCCCATCAGCGAACTACCGCCTACATTGACAGATGAGCAACTTGGGAGGCTGGATCGTCTTACGAGAGAGGCGATTGATGAGAGGTTGAGGGTTCTGGAGGGTGTTTCTGGGGCTGTTTATAGGTGTATTGAAGAGTTGACCAGAATGAGGAGTGTGTTGCCCCGGCCGACTCAAGCACCATCGGTCCCTCAGAATGTGAACGCTGCGGCGTCATCTTCTGCGGCGCCTGCTACTGCTGAAGGGTCGACACCTCCAGTCACATCTGCATCAGACACAAGCCCTCCGACTGCTGACGATGGTCATGCACCTGTATTCAATGATCTGATAGAGGCGTCTGTCGCGGCTCAAGAGCTTCCCATTAATGGTCACAATGGAGAGGCCAACACAGGTGTTCCAGAGATCTCAAATGCAAATGAACCCTCACCTAAAGTGACTGCCCCTGAGCCTGATGTACAGGAGGGGCATGCCTTACCACCGCCAGATGGTGCTACAGACACAAATGGAGAGACGGGTAGGCGGAGAAATGTAGATGACTTGAGTTAAGCGCAGTTGATATCTTTCCTGTATCTGTTATATCTTCATGTTCGTCGTTGTGTTTTCTACGCAATTTGTTATTATGTGTGTATTCGTACAACGACGGAACAAAAAGTGTCAGAAGCCCACAATTGGAATTCAGCTGGACTTCGAAGCGTCTGTCAAGATGGCCTCTGCCCTTCGAGTGACATACTCTGTAGAGCTGACAGCGGACTTGTCCACTCTCGTATAGAAAGCTTTGAAGATTTTGCCCAGTGCTTGTTTAGGGTTTGGTTTAGCTTCGGCTTTTAGGAGACCTTGTTCCTGGATGACTTCACGTAGAACGCAGTCAATCTCTTCTTCTGAAAGTTGAGGTGGGAGGAACTCGGAGAGGATAGCGGCTTCCTTTCGTTCCTTTTCTGCTAGGTCTGAACGAGACGCGTTCTCATATTGGCTTGCAACGTCTTTCTGGATGGCAGAAAAGATGACGCGTGATCAACAACCTCTCAATAAATCATGGGAATATCGATGGCATACTCGACGGTCAACTGCTTTGCGAATGATATCCTGGATTTTGCTATTTGGAATGGGTTGGGACTTTTGCTTGTCGGCAGCGTACACGTCAGTCAGTACCGACTATCAGGGGATTCTCTCAAGTAAGAAACATAGACTGCACTGGCATGCCGAGAGACGTAACTTACACGTAGAGTAGTGGACTTCGCGGAATCCTTAGCCTAGAATTCAATTATTTACTTCAAGCCCAGCATTTCCCAGGAGCATGGGAATGTTACCTTCATTGCGCCCTTAAGTTCGGCCAAAATCCGCGTCCGAACATCTATTTACTCTCAATCAGTTGGACTGTCAGCATGAAATCAAAGCGTACCTGTCTGAACAGCATCGGAATATCCGCGAATAAATATGGAGCTACCCCTGCAGGATGATACAACCCTAGATCTTCCGCATGAGAGCATTCTGTAAGGCTGCCAAAGATGTCACGACCTGGAAAGCAGAGTGCAGAGCAATATTCGACGAAGACCGGCGACCACGTCTATATTGCATTGTTTGCCTTTGTTGTCCAATAACCTCGTTCATATTTCCTTTCTGAATTTGATCAGTCTTTTGCACGGAAAACGGGATGCAGCCAGACAGATATGTTGATCATGAACGAAAGCTATTATACATGGTAATTACAGTCCAAACTCTCCACATATTCACATTGACAGGGACCTATTACTCAAAGACATCAGTGGCAAAACGGCCAGTCGTGATCCGCCCAAAGATATTCGAAGCCTCTTCCTCGTCAACTTGCTGTGTTTCCTGGATGATCTTTGTCAGTTTCTCCTTCACAGAGGTTGCCACCTTTCCGGAGCCGCAAAGGTAGAACTGAAATTCAATGTAAAGTTAGACGGTTGTGATCAAACTGCGAACAGTAAATATCGTACCCTTGCGCCTTTCTTATAAAACTCGGTGACCTCCTCGCGGTCGTTCCAGATGCGACTGTCATTAAGATCAGATCTACAATGCAAGTGGTGTCGATGCTAGTAACGTGTGTACTTACTCTTGGACATACTTGCAGTTCTGCGAGTTTTCCGTGGACCTTGAAAAGGCTGGCCTGATGTCAATGATACCGAGTTTGGCCCATTCCTTCAAATCAGAATCGGAGTACAAGAAATCCTCGGACGGAGTGCGGCAGCCAAAGAACAATAAACTTTTCGCCACGTCACGGCCAGCTTGAGCTTGCAAAGCTCGCTCCTGCAGGAAGCCCCGAAGAGGAGCCAGACCAGATCCGGCGCCGAAGAGAACCAAGGGAACGGAGGGATCAGACGGAAGGTGGAAAGCAGCGTTCGAGGAACGAACGGCCATTTGGACCTTATCTCCTGGACGGAGAGAAGCGAGGTAGGTGGAGGCGACACCAAGGAAAGGCTCTTTGCGACCAGAGATGGCGGGCGCCTCGATGACGCTGATGGTCAGAGTAGCGTGTTGAGGGTTCCACAAAGGAGAAGAGGAAATGGAGTATTGGCGAACACGCATAGATGGAAGGATCTCAAGGAACTTCTCGAAAGGGAGCTTAATATCTGGATTGTCCTCGAGGATGTCCAAGATGGACAACCTCTTAGCCACGACCTCTTCTGGGGTCAACGCCTTCAGAGCATTCATAGAGGCCTCAGAGTTCTGTGTCTCGGCCAAAATGCGCAGCTCACGGGTGGTCGCTGGCTGAGAGAGTTCGACATATCCGCTCAGCAGATTGAAGACACTGATGGGTTTGTTCACAGGCAGCGAAGTAGGACCAGAAGCAGAGATAGCGATCTACCAGAAGATACGTTATCAACCTAGAACAAGCTGGAAACTCATCATCTTACCTCATGCTCAGCCGTCAGACCGAAACGTGCAAGAGCGCGATAAACGTCACGAGGAGGGTTGACGGGCAAACTAGAACAGAACATGAACTTAGAGATAGCAGAGTATCTCGAATCCCGACTCACATAGCAAGATAATCTCCTGCGCGATAAGTCGTGCCCTGGGGCAAGACGAACTCTGACTCTTCTGTCAATGACGTAACCTTTCCGGGGAGAAGAATAATACTGACCGAGGTGGCGTTTCACAGGAGCACCAGGTGAAGTCAAAACGCGATTCTGGACAACAGTGCCGAATGCCGTATCGGGCTGGCGTAAGAGGTGGGCACGAGAAGAGCCACTCTCCACAGTTTCAATCTTGATACCGCCTTCTCCTGATGCCTCCGTGGTGCGATAGACCTATTGAAAGCATTAGCCCATTTTCGCCGATCAGTCGAGGAATCACAAACCTTCCTGAGAGTCTGCCAGAGTTCGGCTTCCCACTTGTCGAAGCTATCATAGAAATCACTTCCTCCGGCGTCACCAGCACCTCGTTCGAGAAGACGCTGGGCGCCCCGCTCAGCAGCTACGGTGTCAATGAGAGTAGGGATCCTCTGGTATGTGGAGACCCAGTCGTGATTTCCACAACCGAAAACGGCATAGGACACGCCCTTCAGTTTTTCGCCTTGGAGACTGGTCAACCAAGAGACGAATTGCTTTGCGTTATCAGCAGGTTCACCTAGTAATTTAAGACAGTGTAAGAGTACAGCATTGCACTGATTAGTTGAAATTTTCCGACCTTCGAAAGAGGCTGTGACAGCAATAATAGGTCCATCGGTAATGATTCGGCCCGTGGCGGAGTCCAGGGTTCCGATGTGTGCTCGGAATCCTGCATGGAATTGAATGAGAAGAGAAGTCTGTGCAGTAGAAGGAAGTACGCACCATGGGAGGCAGCTCCGGAAGCAATCCGTTGGGCAAATGCCTCAGAAGAACCTGTGTTAGAGCCGTACAGGACATACAGAGGTTGTGTCGGGACTGTTTTATCAGCTCCGGTACTTGGTGTCGACTGACTAGATGTGGTCGTGGCGTTCTGATCCTGCGAGAGGATCGTAGAAGGCGTAGCCAGTAATCTAGGCTTGCCGTTGCGAGGGATTGCATGAACATAGAAATGACTTGGTTTGATGGTTAGAGTTTGCTTCAGCTGAAGCGTGTATGAAGGGTCATCCATGACGAGGTCGAAACGCTGGAAGATTGAGACTAGCGTAATTTGAGCTTCTTGCCATGCGAAGGGACGGCCCTGCATAGATCAAATTAAGGAGGAGAGCAAGGTGGCGCTTTGAAGTACGTACAATGCATCCTCGCATCCCGAATCCGAACGGTTGCCACGCGTTGGGCTATTTGGACCATTAGGACCAGTAAATAAAGCGCAGAATGAGAACGACATACCGATAACTGTTCGAACTTGCCATCGAGCATACGTTCGGGTCGGAATGATTCTGCCTGTCATTAGATTCAGATATTGTTGCGGTCCACTGGAACGCCCAATAACTTACATCCTCACCCCACACTTTAGGATCACGATGGGCTACGAAAATGTTGATGACTATTGGTTGGTTCTTCTCAACAGCGTACGTCCCGTTCTTCAGAGTCGTATCTTCCAAAGGAGCTGCAGAGCGCATAGGAGCTGTGGGCGCGAGACGAAGAGTCTCACGCATGACCGCTAGATATCGTACTTGAATGAGTAAAGATTGTCCACGACCTGGATGCGGCGCCTACCGATCAAGTATGGTAACTTGTGGACATCGTCAACAGTCATTGGTCGATCACCAATCATTGTGTCTATCTCCTCACGAAGTTTTTGCATAGTGTCGGGATTCTTCAAGAGGTAGTATATAGCAAATGTGAGCATGCCTGCAGAGAATGTCGTCAGCTTAAATCAGGTTGGTAGAGGTAATTCAATTCATATGCCTACCTGAGGTTGTCTCGTGACCTGCGAAGCATAACTGTCACTAGTCTGATTTCAGTTTATAACCGAAAAGCGTACCGGCAATGAGGAAAGTCAATAACTGTTGAGAAAAGCGCTTGTCAGCGCAAAAACATGAGTCGCAAAAGAGTTAGCTTACGTTGTTTCGTATGCTCTCGATGGAAAGGCCTTTGCCCGTCTGCGGGTCTTTGCCTTCAAGCATGACGTGCAATAGATCCTTCTTCTCGATAGGGTTGGCTCTGCGTTCGGAAATGACTTTCCAAATGTGAACGTTAGTAGAATTCAAATAAGAATAAAAGAAAAGAGCCCTACTTTCATCGACCAAACTCATCAAGGTCTGGATGTCCTGCTGATATTTGGAGGCGCTACCCCGCATCAATGTGTTGACTACTCCGGGGCGCTGAGCGCGACGTCCACTCTCTGTCAAGAAGTCTGCCATGGCTTGAATGAAAGGAGGAAGGTCAGGCTGACAAAGAAGTCAGTAGACTAAACTTCGAGAAATATGCAAGGCACTTACACTGTAGAACGAATTGACACTAATTGCGAGCAGTGTAAGTCAATACGACCATTGGTGTGGACCATAGATATAGTGTACGTACCGATAGGACATTGCACAGAATGCGATGGCATCGAAAGTCAATCTAGTAAAGTCTGCAGCAGCATCGATCTTGTAGTTTGATCCAAAGCTAGAACAAAGCTAATGAGGCATGGCACAGACGTGATTGCGAATGAATCACATACCGTTCCCATTTGAGGACTAGCTGAGATACAATGTCATACATGTCATCGTACATCCCACGTACAGCAAGGGTGCTGAAAGCAGGCATCAATATACGATCTACAAAGAGCATTCAATACTGTTATTGCAGAGAGAGAAAGCACCAGCGCAACATACGTGCGATGTACCAATTCTCTTCTCCAGGGACAAAGGCCTGCGTTGTTTCAACACCGGGGTTCGACGCAATAAGAAGAGATTCATACCGTGAACAGCCCGTCGCCGACGCCATTACGGACCTCCTTCAGGCTGCTAGCAATAAACTTGCGGAAACGCTTTTCATCAGAGACTTCACTGAGCAGGTCATACGTGGTGACCACCACGATCTTGAACCCTACATGATCAACAATCAGTCGTCACCATCTGCAAGGCAAGAGAACTGTGAAGCACCTATGAGGAAGAGTTGGTATATTTCGCCATATTGACGTGCGAGAAGGTTATGAGATAGCAGAGGAACTTCGCTGTCTATTGCTCCTACATTTCCCAAGAAAGGCACTGTGGGTGGGTTGGGGATTGGAGTAGTCATTGTCGTCTGTGCTTAAGGGAGGCAAGTCAACAGACACCTCGGGCTTCTTATAGTGTTTCTATGTCCATTCAATTTCTGAATTGGTACGGCATCAAGCCGCATGTCTTCGGTGGAAACGTGGTCCCTCAAATGCCGACTGCCGAAGACTGATAACCGTATTGGATACTTGTCCTCTCCAAGGCTCCTATGCGACATATCTTCGGTCACGAAACGGTCTCCGAATTTTCGGAATAGAATACCCATGGGTGCTCCAGGGCGTTCTGTTAAAACATCTTGCTCCTCGAGACTAATTCACGTGCCAACCTTTGCCGCTTGTATCCTGTCGTCCTCTACGACCATCACTGGCAGACCGGAAACACACCGCCGAACAGTCATGAAGATATGTTTGAGGGATCCGACGCAGTCGAACTATTCCTCAAGGCCACACAGTATGGCCGAAGTATGAGTAGGTCGATGAAAGTCATACACCCCCGGTTGCCTAGGCGCTAGTCGAAGCGACTGCTTCGGTTGGCTAGATCAGATGGCCGAGTCCTGGGCACGTAGAGTGCCTGCAGGAGGAATATTCACGATGGGGCGTGTCAAAAGATGTACATCCGGCTGCAACCCTCCGGTCAGTCAAACAAAGCAATCGACGATCAACCTACACATAGGGTGCCTATCAGTGATTGGAACCGGAGAAAGAGCGTCCGGGAAGGCGGAATACCAGTGGATAAACGTATGCTTGAATAGGCCTACCAGCTACGGTGTGCCAGCATTTTCGGTCTCACTAGGTCTTCATGCTAAGTAAGATATCCACGCACGGTGTCGACTTCCGAACAGCGGGAAGGCCCTCAGAAACTGACATTGACAGTGACAAGCCTTGACGACAAGCCTCGCGAAGAAGTGCCTGGAGCATGGATGTTGACGTCAAGGAAGATGGGTGACCATGTACACTAAGAGCAGCCGAGCATGCGGTCTTCACATATCTTGCTAGACGTTCTGATCCTTGCAAGCTGCGGGGAAAGCTTATTGATTGACGCGAGTCTAGTATCCACTAGTATTCGTGTAATTTCCGTCGAATGTACTTCGCAAAGACCAGGTCTGGACTGTGTGAAAAGCCCAAGAAGTTTTGATTACGAGGAACCAGTGACCGGCATAGACGTGCAAGTTCACGAATCAGACATAGAGTGCCCATGAAAGCAACTAAAGTTGAATTCATTGGTAGCGAGGCTTGAATACTTTCGGCATTCTCCTTATAGTAACTGTTGTTGTTCCCAAACATGCTTGTATTTGTCAAAGGAGAAAACAGCAGAGTAAACAGGGTAAAATTCTCAATATATTCGCCTACACTTCCCCACTATAGTTGAGCAAGGTACCATGTCTTTCCATGGTTGTAATGAGAGTGAACATTGGATTTCACGATATTGAGAACAATAACCTGGCGAGCATTGGAGTTCCACAAGTAACTTTGATGTCTACTACTGCGAAAGCAGGCACAAGGCAAGAACTACTGTATATCCAGATACCGGGACAGAGTGTAGGGAGACACTCGATCTCCAGCAAACACTGATGCATTGTCGACCGAAAGTGCTTCTTGATGATAAGTCTTGCCCTAAGAGGGGCAATTCGCCATGAACATAAGCTCACTTCAAACATGCCTTGAAATCATCGACAAGAGCGGGAAGCGCTAATTATTGGCCACCGATACTTACTTACTCGGGCAAAGGCAGAAGAACCTGAAAGGTCACCTGTGGCCAACTCTGGCGCACTGTATAGATACATTTCTGTGGTATACCTCCCATTTATTCAGACATAAGGATGTCGCGTCGTCGGAGAAGTATAGTGTCACTTGCGCCTCAAAGTGCATAACGGTCGGAAGGACTTGAGTAGGTGATCTGCTTGTTGTTGTTTTGCAACGACCTCGTAATGATTTCCATAAATGGTTTATTTCCCACGACTAATCGCAAACTCGAACCCACCCCAAACGCTGCAGCCACTGGCATAACACTCGTCCTTCGCGATACCCCAGTCATTTCTCTCGTTCACTCTGCTACATCGCTCTTGTCTATGTCCCACAAAATAAGACTTCATGGAGATCTCACAACGACTCGGATCATCCGTCTTTTGCGACCTTTGAGGACGAAATGCGAATCGTTGTCTGCATCTCCCTCAAAACCTGGCGTTTCCGTGACATATGCAAGTTCGTCACGAAGGCCTATGGAATCCTCAAGTGACGTGTCTACATCTCGACACGCATTCTCTTTAACGGCCCTCCCCCCTCCTGAACGCATGCATTCTCTGAAGTATGACAGGGAACTTCTTCAGTTATCAAGGAAGATATACGACATCAAAGACGCGTTTCACAACGTCATTCAATCCGCTTTAGGAACCTCGTTTCTTCTTCGACGTCAGTCCCAACCATCGCATGCAGACGAAACCGAAAGCAGGGTACTTGGCCTCGCCGCGATGTGTTCCACCATTGTCGGTGAGCACATTGAAGCCGAGGTGAAGGCTTCCCAGGAAACCATGAACACAGTGTCCGCATTCGAGGACGGAGACATATCAGTAATTACTGAGCTCTACGATGCCATCCCTGCGCATCATCGTCGGTAAGTCCTAAGCCGTCTTTAGAACCAGTGTCTACGCTAAGCTCGTAACCTCAGTCATGCCATCATATCTCATGCACTTTCCGTTATACTCACAACATGCCCTCACTATCCTACACTGCTATCTATCCTTCTAGAACTGACAGTGGCATACACCTTGGCACACGAATCCGAACGTCTGCTCGAAACCATTTTCGTGACCGTATTCCGATCGAATAGTGCCTTTATGGTGTCCTCAATATCCGATATATCGCAATCACGTTATCTTACATCTCTACATGAAAAGTGCTGCAAGTTCACTTCCGTCAATTCTCGTGTCTTCACCCGAATCCTTAGTGGCGTATTGGCTGATTCCTATGGTTCCAAGAGATCATATCCGTGGATATGCCCGGCAATGTCTCGTCTAATGCATGTCGTTCGCACTCAGGACGACCCTTCTTTAATGAACCTTTGCATCGGGATAGCAGAATGCGTGTCGACCCAACCAGAGAAGGGCAAGGAGGTCGAGACTAACGTTGGGCCATTGTGGACCATGCTGGCGGAGAATCTACAAGTTATCTTCACCCGCCTTCACTCTCGCTCTTCGACAGCCAAGGAGAATGACATTCTGGAGGGTCTACAGGCCATTTCCGAATTCTTAGAGCAGGCCTTTGTATTTGGATTACATCGACACGATTCCCCAGATTCGTCGGACGTGAGGAACACTCTCAGTTCCCTTGCCTTATATTGCCTAACATCTTTATACCTCCCGTCTTTGGGAATCGACGCTGAGCACAAGTTTATAAAGATGCTAACGGAAATGCAACTCAACAATGACTCCTACCTCAAGTTTATTTCAGTTATTTACCCTTCCAATGCCGAAGACCTCATGCTTCCTCCTTCAATAGACGAGTTGGCCACATACCCCAAAGCTCTGCGAATCAGATCTCTGTTCGCCCAAGAGGCTCCGTTCTGGTCCAGTGTCCTGCGACATGTGGAAGCTCTGGCATTCAATTGCCCAGGAAGTTCGCCACACCCACATCGTGCCTTTTTGCTTTCACTCAGAGCGGAGCTTGTCGCACGTGTGGAGGAAGTAGAGCATCTTCAGTTCAAGGCTAATCTGGCAACCACAACATACTCTGGAAAGAACTCTGCGTTGTCAGGCGCCGAAGTAGAGGCTGATTGGCGTTGGGAGGACCTGGTGGGATGTTGGGTGCGGAAGACACCTATCGTGCCCAAACGGCGCAAACGACTTCGTCCGAATGGTGAATCTCCTGCTCATATACGTCGACTGCAGCTGAAGCGAAGCTCACTCGAAGAGTGGGCTCCGAGTTGCACTCAGGGATGGGACGTATTCAATGATGCAGGGAAAATCCAAAACTTGAAGAGACGTCGAACAGACTCGATCGCTCGGCAGTCTGAGAAGTCCTCTTCTGCTTCGTCGTCCATGTCTACAAGTAGCCATGGTACATTGTTCTCTACTGGTCAATCAACTGTCGTACCTCCGAGTAATACCTCTCGTCGGAAACGCGCTCGCTCTCCAGACACGCCTCCTTCCTCACCGGCCCCTTCTATTGATCTTGAAGATATCCCTCCTAGATCGAAATTGACGGCTTCCAAGCCAAGGCGGATATCAAACTTCAGTTCCATCCTGGCTGACGCTCAAATGAATCGTGTCGTGCTTCATGACTCTGACAGCGAGGACGACAACTTAGGTCTACTCAAAAGCCCTCCGGCCCCTTCCCTGGCTGAAAGACTCGTTCTAAACGACCTCGAGGAGGAGGATGTGCTCCAAGGTGTTTGTACTGCCGAACAGTTGTCTTCAGATGACCTCAACCTATTTGCGTACCCTTCATCACCTATCAAGTACTAAGCTATCTTCGTTCTTGGCACCTGTGTGTGCGGACTGATTATCATGGACATATATACTGTATCATACCCTCAATCTGTGCCTATACCCGTTCTGACTCTGTAATTTTTCTTCATTTGCTTTTCAGTAACTTGATTTGTTGTATATCTTGCATTGAACGCGGCAGCATCGGAGAGCTAGCGTGCCAGTAATGCGACACGAAACTAGTATGGTGTGTATCATGCTTCGTTATTCTTCTCCATCCTTCTGACGTATGGAATCGTTTATAGCATAGGTCGGGAATGCCTTGCCGGAGTTATTGTGTCGAAGCACCCTGTCTGCTGGTTGATTCGCAATCATACGTAAATCTGAATGCATCCAGTCTTCGGCAAACTCCCACTTGAGAAGGCGGCATGGTCATATGGCCGGCTGTGGGACTGGACACGCCTGTCCATGCATTGAAAAGACTCTCTATGTATATCTGGCTAGATCAGCTTCAGCAATCGACCATCGCCTATAACAAAGTAGTCTCGCAATCTCTGACTAGTGGTTATAGATTGAAGTGAGTATATTATCCCCATGCTGTGGCCCGAGTCATAGGCCTCACATCTCAGTTCTAGTGGCATACACCATGAACCCGGCTGTTACGCGGAACTACCCTAGGTTCCCTGTAGAACTGATAGAGCGGATGATCGACTATCTTCATGATGAACCTATCACCCTTGCTGCTTGTTCTGTCGTGGGGCGAATTTGGCATATTCCCGCTCGCCTGCATCTGTTCAGCGAGGTTGTCGTTACTAACGATCGGGGCGGATTCGAATTCGAGCAATTCGCTGCTGCGTTGGAAACAATCCCACATTTGAGCAAGTTTCTGCGCAGTCTGCACTTCATTGGTAGTCGTAGTTATGGGCTGAATGTCCGAAAGGATTTTGGAAGGGACGATCAGCTTCCGAGAATCACTTCCCGTCTCATTGCTTGCATTCTTAACAAGTGCGATCGTCTGGGATCGATCAATTTCCAAGCTGTGTACTTTGGTCAATCGGTGAGTATCCTGTATCTGATCACTTCGCATCTGGTCATTTACTATTCAATTAGCCTGGAGATGGGCAGCAAATCTTCAGCTCTACCGTTAAGAGTGCTGCGACACTACAACACCTGACGTTCAACAGTCCTGGACCTTCCTTACGAGAGGATCATGCATTGGACAAGCTCGCTCCACTCTTTCCGTCCTGGTCCGATTCCATCCGCTCTCAGCTACGGCTATTCGTGATGCTAGCCATGGGTGGCACCCTTCACCTGCTCGTCAAGGACGGGCTGGATACTGAAAACCCAATCTTCACAATTGCTGAACTTGTCCAGGAGGACAACTTCACAGTGTCATCCGCTATGTCACACATTCTCGCTCAGGGACAAGTTCCACTCCATCGCATTGAGAAACTTACGATTCCAATTTCGTTCCGCAATGTGGACTCCTTTCATCCGTCTCTATTCGGGATGGCCTCTCCCAACCTGATGAACATTGGCATTTCATTTGGAGAATTATACAAGATTCCCAATTTGCAATTGCAACACATGCTTACCGTTGGATACGGTTTCATTGGTACGCCTAGTCCTTACTTTTAACCCCTCTTATCTAACTAGTACGATGTAGGACCTTTGTGGAGTTGGAATTTATATGATTTGAAGGCTTGTCCCTCTCTTCGCAGCTGTACCTTTCACTTCGATTGGGCTTTCGGGGAGCAATCTTGGATCGTCAGTTGGATGGCTGCTATTCGAATCCTCGATTCTTTACCCGTAGAAATCGTCGAGATCACATTCTCAGTAATTGCCTTCGAAACTTCAAATCATCCACCAAACCTGAAGGAGCATAAGTCCATTCCTTACCACCAGCTCAATCAAGCGCTACGGCGATTTCCCAACTTAGAGGCCGCCAACGTCATAGTCCATCCTACCATATCAGCGGCTCATGGGTCACTTCATCAGCAACAGGACGATGTACATCTCCTCATTGCTACACTCAAGCTATGGAAGCCTCTCCTCCCTCTGATGTGCGACCTTTACATGGTCGACTCGAAGAGTAGAGTTGTTCTGCACCTCCGTAATGAGAAAGGGAAACGAGTTAGTTGGAGGTTGCGACCTGGAGTTCGCGATAGCACCATTTATGCGGATCTTATCGAAAACGGATTTGGTCATAGGTGTGGATGGCCGAGCGATGGTCTGGACCCTGGCAGTTCAATGTTGTATTATGCAAAAGCCAACCTGGCTTCGTTTGTATGAATTCTCCGGTGACTCGTCTACAAATTTCTATGTAGAGATGTGCGATAATCCCTACCAAATTCGAACGATGATACCACACATATTTCTCTGGTGTCACTCTTCACGAAGCTTGCAAGCAACCATCAAAGCATCTATCTGTATGTGTGCACTTGATGAGAGATCCTGCTATCTGCTTAAGCATGCACGAAGACATTTCGAGAGTGTTGCACGTAACCAGCGATCGACAGATCATGATGTTCATTCCTCCTTTTCATCCCGAGCCTTACACAAAGCTACGTGGAGGGGACATCGTAGTCAATGGCATATTGTGAATCTAAGTAGTTGTATGATTCGCAGAGCTAGAGTTCAATACAAGGAATTGTCACATCATTTGGAATGAAATGACCCTACACGCTAGGTAATCATCAGCACTAATGCGCGTTCATACCCCCCTCTCGAAACTTTAAGAAGGTCATTGAGCCGTAGCCTGATGCAAGTTTAATACACGCTAGATGTGGTATACGTAACTATTGTACAGTTGGATCTTGATGATTATCATTTCGTTCGACTCCAGTTTTGCGTATTTCCGGTTTCTATTTGGCCGACGTCAGTGGAACATGAACCAAGCGCAGGTCCGCTATCTCTTTCAATTCGTCGATGATGACTTGGGCTTCAGGAAGAGTTTCGAGAGCTTTCTTTGTAGCCTATCGTAAGAAATGTATACTAGCTCAACAAGTGTACAGCTTGGGAGCGAAAGTGACGGGACTTACATCAGGACTCGTCCATCCAAGCGTCAATGCAACGCCATTCTCCGCCTCTTCGACGATAGGTCCAACAGTGCCTTTGAAAACACCCGAATCTGAAGGAAGACCATTGAGAGTCGTGACGACGCCCTTCAACAGTTCCAACGCATGCTCCTTCTTTTCTTTCGTCGTATGACCGCTCTTCAGGGTCCACAATGCAAGTTCAGCATATGGAGCTTCAAAAGCGATATGAGGGCTCTCGATGAAGTCAACATGGAAGAGCTTGACCCCGGAACTGAACTTGCGGATCCTCTGTCTCAGAATCGGGTATAGCTCTTTGTCGTTTGAGATCTTGATGGTGCTTAAGCGTTTCCCATTCTCCAATGAATTATATGGTTAAGGCCTAAGGAATTGAGAACGGTTCACAATCATGACATACCGATAAGCAACCACCAGATGGTCGGATCTTGAACGCCCAAGCCATAGAAGATTCTATTGCAGCAACGTTTTAGGAAACTTGCTCCAAGAAAGACAACAGATATGAACCTCTTTGTACCATTCGCATTCTTCAAGAATTCTACGGCCTCTTGCACGATATTGGGATCAGCTTTGTAGGCATCGGTTACCGTGATCTGAGCGATTTCGACAACGTAGGGAGGGGCCATTGTAGTTTGAAACACGAGGTGAATACCGGAAAGCAAGCTGTGCAGCAACGATACGTCGAGGTAGTTTCACTGTATCCAAGCTTCATGTGTAAGATCGTGCTTATCTATCCTCTGGATGAACGGTTCTCGCGGGCTCTCACATACACACCGGAGGTCTGATCGGTGGGGACTCGGGAGCATTTCTTCTCAGCTAATAATATCCGGGACGACAGGGGTCTGACAAGAAAGGCAGGACAACATAGGTTAGTAGCCTGACGGTCTTTGGGAGTGCAAGTACACTACTCAAATTAGGCAGGCCTTACATAAATTGCTATCGTGCATGTGGCGTTCACTTCTGCTTTGGGAAATTCGAGCCTCCTAATTATAAAGACTCTGTATGAACTTGACCTCGACTAGGCAAAAGTCAGGACGACATGGACCAAGCGAGGCTTCGCGATCTCTCTGGGTGAGTCACTCTACAGAAATCTGAGTTATACCTTGTGGAAAACACGGTCCGTTGACTATGACCCAGTGATGGCAGAAGATCATTAGAATAAACATGAAGTTAACGGGAAGTACCATATATGAACTCACATTGGAGGAATTCCATCAAAGGGGCAAAAATGGCCCCACCAGTTGAACGTGTGAAGGTGCCCGGGTATGCTCTCTGTTGAGACCGTTGTAAATCATTCAATATTCAAATATTCAGGCCTTGCCTGAGCATACCGAAGTGTGTACAATGGCCGCTCCGCTCTTAGACGCGCATCACGTTCAGCTTATCGATATTACATCGAAACATGTAACCGCATCTTCACTCCCAAACATGTAAAGTGCGATGAATCTGACTTGTCATTTACTCCCACTAGACTTAGCACCATGGTGACCCAGCGACCGACTTCGGATGTGGACACTGGCAGACATAGACGAACAAACGCTTCATCGTAATGAGAGCTGACTGTAGTCTAACGACCCGTCAACAGACGCACTCACTGATGTTACCAGGTTCACAGGCTTGATCAACGGTTGGTTCTTCATTCTCTGCGCTCATCATGCCAGTGGACTGACACGTCTATGAGCTATACTAACCCTTCGACAAGCACCTTATTGCTCTGCGTGCAGCTGCAACGAGTAGAAGTGGATGTAGAAACAGATCGATCGAGAGCGCATAGTCAAGCGGGACTAATCTGAATTTGGCGGTGAAGGACAGGAGTGTTTAGGAAACAGCCACTAACAGTCTGCAAATAGAAATGCAGCTTATTGAATAACACCCGTCCACCGTCACGCCGAAACCTGTTTTGATGCTTCAGATTACTCCTCTGATTAACGTATTTCAGGAGTGGGCCCTTTGACTCGGAGTCCTTAAATAGTTTCTTCGTTTGAAACTTGTGCTCGGTATCTTCCCCTCAACATGGCATTGAACCCAAGTACACTCACTTTCCTGGCGTCGTTGGTACGTGCTCGGTAGCATGCCCAGCCCAACGTACAATTTCACTGCTGTACTCACGTATCCTGGCAGACAACATGGTGGATATACCACTCGTTCGAACCCGCAGATCTACTCTCGACTTCCCTTCTCCTATTCGGTGTTCCAACCATGCTAATTGCCTTCCTCCGAGCGCAATTCACGTCGCTTGTCACTGCCGTCCTGACCACCTTTGTCTCATACTATTTTATCTTGCTCGCCCTAGTAATTGGATACAGGTTGTCTCCTTTCCACCCTCTAGCTCAGTATCCTGGTCCATTGCCAGGGAAGATATCGAAGTTGTGGGATGTCTGGATGACTGCGAAAGGCAGCCATCATCAGTACGTGAGAGCGCTCCATGACAAATATGGGGATATTGTTCGCATCGGTGAATTGCTACTAGCTAGATTTCGGTCTGTATAAATTAACCGGTCTGGCGTCAGGACCCAACGAACTCTCGATCCGTCACGAAGATGCAATCGCACCCATCCTGACCAGAGACCTTCGCAAGGGCCCCTGTGTGTCCTCCTTTCTAAATTATATTCACAGTTTTTCATATTTGTATTAACTTCTCCCTTCCCTCCACCAGATTATGACTCCCGCCAAGCTGACGGCAAACGCGCTCTCGACGGGATACGCGACTTCGTCGAACATGCCGCTCGACGTAAGCCATGGACGAAAGCGACGAGTATCTCAGCTATTAAGGGGTACAGCGAATATCTAACAAAGACAGTGGATGAACTGGTTCAGGCGTTAGACGTTAAGCAGGAAGTGGATATATCGGATTGGATGACGTTCGTCGCGTGAGCGCTAGCATTCATTTATATCAGTTCAGATTTCTTATGTTCATGTTTTGACAGATTCGATTTCATGGGCGAGATGATGTGAATTCAGTTTCTAACTACACACTGCCTTGATGCCTGTACTGACCAATGCTCTCGCAAACATTCAGCTTCAGCACGGAATTCGGTATGATAAAAGCAGGAAAGGATACGACCGGGATCTGGCATGCTCTCGAAGAAGGTACCTTGTATGTGCCCCTCTCGCTCTCAATTTACTGCGATCGATATTGACACATCTTACAATGACAGTGCTGCAGGGATACTTTCCCACATTCCTTGGATCTTTGACTTCCTCAAACATCTCCCTCAAGGTGGTTCCGCCTTCGCGGTTCTGCAAATTATAGGTGCCCGAATCGCAAAACAGCGTATAGAAGCCGGGTCCAGCAAACGTGATCTCTTCCACTATCTCGTAAGCACTCCTCTCTCCTATTGCCAAGACTCACTCACCAATCGTATATCGACAGGTCAGCGAAGATGAATCCACTGGGATAAAACTCACCCATGAGGCAGCCATTTCTGACGGAATGATGTCTATTGTCGCTGGCTCTGATACATCCGCTACCAATCTTACACATCTCTTCTATTTCTTACTCAAGAACCCGGAAATGAAGAAGCGGTTGCAGGAGGAGATTGACCATATTTTCCCGCAAGGAGAGGAAACTGCGGATTATACGAAGCAGAGCGAGATGCCATATCTGAATGCTTGTATGTGAGTTACCAAGGTTTCAATTCTGCGTCAGATGAGTCGAATTATGTACTAATGTTTTGTGGATCTGGAGTAATGAATCTCTGAGGCTCTATCCTGCCGTTCTATTTGGGTTGCAGCGTCGTGTCGAGAAAGGTACCGGCGGAAGGATGATTGGACCTTTGTATGTTCATCGACGCAGGCCACATTTTCGGTTGAGTCAACTGACATCCTATCCTAGCTTTGTCCCGGAAGGGACCCAAGTCTCCGCCGATCTCTTTTCTCTGCATAGGGACCCACGCTACTTTTCTCCTATCCCTGACACATTCTGGCCCGACCGTTGGCTCACTCAATCTTCTTACACCCTTCCATCTGGCGATACGATTCCTTCCACACAATTAATCCACAACAAGGCAGTATTCAACCCATTCTCCGCTGGCCGCCAAAATTGTGCAGGCAAATCTATCGCATGGATAGAGATGCGGGCCATTATGTGCGCGGTTTTGCAGAGGTTTGATATAGACGCTGTTGACGGGTTTGAGCTGGAGAGTTATGAGAAGTCGTTGGTTGAGGTTTATGTTACGCATCGGGGTGCATTACCGCTTAGGTTGAAGACTCGGTACTGAACTTTAGGCTTGGCGGTGAGTTAGAAAGTTGCTAGACGTTGAAATTTATTGATAAAACTGGTCTTAACAGATCTGATTATTTTCTCATTCTGCGTTTCGATGCTACGTTTCTTTAGGTCCTTGACTTTCTACTATGAAAGATGCTATTCGTTGGCCCTTGTAACACCACATTGAACAGAAAATCTTCAAACCCCAGAGTACTTACTTAAGATGAGTGTCGGATTGGTTACAGACATGTATTTTTTAAGAGACTACGTACAGGTGAACTACTGCAGTATTTGAGAACAATCTTCACCGACCGACTATTACCGTTGCCAAATTGGTTGATGAGTAGACGATCATCAGAATAAACCTAACGGGAAGTACCAGATATAAACTCACATTGGGGGAATTCCATAGAACGGGCAAAGATGGCCCCACCAGATGTTGTGAAGGTGCCTGGGTACAGTGCATGAGGTTCTCTCTATTGAGACCGCTGTAAATCATTCAATGTTCGAATATTCATGCCTTGGGGCCTGAGCATACCAAAGTGTGTACAATATGGCCGCTCCGCTCTTAGACGCGCATCACGTTCAGCTTATCGATATTACATCGATATATCCTTTTACTGCATAACTACCATGACGGACATCGCAGAATGCGACGGAGATCAACCATCCGCACCTGCCCGTTTACCAGTAGAGCTGATACGCCTCATCATTCAAAATCTCGTTCTCGACAGGCCTGCTCTCCAAGCCTGCGCCATAACGTGTCACACATGGTCAGAGCTGTGTCGCGAGATTCTCTTCCACACAGTACACCTCGATCTCAAGGAGAAACGAGAAGATATCCACATTCCTTTCATTTCGAATATAGATCCGATCGCAGCGCGGCTTGAAACCTATCTGCAATTCTATAGCTCGACTCCGGCTGTCGTCCGACACGTTCGAGCCATCGTGTTGAAGTATTCACCAACATGTAACCGCATCTTCAAACCTAAAGAGCTTCGCGCCGTTATGTCGGTCTTTCCGAGACTGCTCAATCTCGAATTACCCAATTGCGAGTTCGTTGTTGGAGACGATATCTCACCTCCTTTTATCCATGAGTTGGAGGGTTTGAGTTTGCAATTTGCGACCTTTGACAGCACGCAGTCTCTGCTCGATTTCCTGGCTCAGTTTTCCGGTCTACGACGTTTATCTTTGAACTACGTCGAAATACGATCTTCCCCGTTGAATGATCAACATACGTTTCACCACTTTCCTAGGGAGCCAGTTTGGCACATCACACACCTCGACACAATGTCTTATGTGAGCGAGGCCATCCTAAAGATGGTCCGTGGACTTTCTGCTTTGGACACTCTTTGCAGTCTTCGCCACATTCCCCGCAAAGGAGACCTTGAACCGCTGCAGGACTTGCTCAATGAGGCAGGTCGTTATCTTTCACATCTGGAAGTTGACTATGGGATGATTGGGGAGGATTGGACCGGTAAATTCCGAGATTCGCCCTCTCTTATGTCGATTGCTGATCCCTTTGTAGGGCAACTTGACCTCTCGCCCTGCGGAGCATTGCAAACCCTAAACCTGGGCATCCCCCCACGTCAGCTGGGCACCCGTCTAGCCCACTTCGTCGATATACTTTCTCAAAGTGCTCCAGCTAGCCTTCGGGAGATAACCTTCAATGTTGTCTTTGAAGAGGAGCACGCCCAATGTGATTCAGCTTGGCCCATTCTGGATGAGCTCTTGACAGGAGGAAGGTTTCCTCACCTCAAAGTGTTCATGCTTCGGGAACAGTGGATTAATGGTCTTATTGATCCTCAACAAATTGAGCAGAAGCTCCCATTGGCTTGTCGCAAACGGATAGTTTATGGTAAATACGTTGGACGAGATAGGTTTGTCGTTGGGGCTATTTTCGCATGACCTTTGAGAGTTTAGATAAGAGCGCCTTGGCATTTGGCCCGGTATGGCTTGAGCACGTATTTCCATCCTACATGATTTTACACAATAGGATACTTGGACTCGCCTCGTTTCCCATGTTCTGACCCAAGTGTATCTAGGTTCATTACCAACTCTGTACGTGCTTCACTCGATCCGTCACATGCCTCATGCCTACTTCCTATTAGGCAGAAAGGACGAATTCGTTGGTGTATCCTGGCTTACATCTTCATGATGTAGCCGGCCCAGATCGAGTAGACTTGACCATAATGCCCACCATCTTGACGTCAGGTCTCCCTTGATCACCAAGTTGTTGTGTGGACTCTGGGTTGGCTACACGTTTGTTCTTAGAACCGGGGGGACGGCCCCTTTTTCTTTTAGGTGGAGGTTCAGTAACGGAATCGTTTTGGACTCTTCTTCTCTTTCTTATTTCAAACGCTACCGGTGCCTTTTGAGCTTCTGAAATATGGTCTTGACCACGGCCTTTAACTGTAAAGTGATTTGTGAAATGGTGGTGAATGTTGGGCCCAAATTTTAATCTGGCCTACCATGCGTCTTTTCCCTCGGTAACCGTTCCTTATCCTGCCCATATACACCGACTGGAATCATCTCCTGAGGAGCTAGTCTAACTGTATTCTGCGATACGTCCTGCGAACCTTCCTAAAAGCTTTTGGTAAGTTATGTCCCACTGGAGATTTAATCGATAATTCCTTACGCCGAACTGAAGCGTGCTACTAGAGGCTTCGACGATATCAGTCTTTGAACTGGAAGGTTTCATATCACCCTCCGATTGAGTTGGCTCTGACAAAGTGGAAGGTTTTAATCCACAAATTCAACGATTCCAAGAGAGCTGGCTACCTGACATATGTCTGAGCTTGGGTCGAATTGTCTTCCACTCGAGGGGATGGGGAACGTTCAAGCTGGCTACCAGCGAATAATGTCTTATAGCTGTCAGTGCATCTGGAATAGTCTCTCACAGGCAGTGTAGACAAAGGTTCCTGCCTCAGGATAGTCTGTAGGCTCCCACGTCTTATCCTGTGTTGGCGTCCTAGGGACAGCATGTCCCATTGGGTTACACCCTGCGATACTCAAAAGGTGTTCGCTTTGGATGTGCTCTATATAGTACACTTGTGCGTATGTGGCCCTCCAACCGTTCCAGTAATGAATATAATGCATTTTCTCCGGCCTAAGGTCGCTGAGGTTGCATACTTTGATTCGCCTTCAGTTCGCCTTCATCGCTTATTAGAAGGGCTCAGGGTTGCAATTCAGTCAGTGTGGTTTAGTACATGGTATAAATAAGTAATTTCGTACAACCAAGTTATACATACACATCCCGTCGTTCTACTATCATATATATCCATTCGTTTATATCCCTATCGCTATATCACTGAACAGGACTTGAACCCTTCCTTTCATGTACTTCACCGGCCCTACTATGACAAACCGAAGGCGCGCTTCGCATTGCCATAGAAGACAGCATCGACACCTTCCTGCTCGACACCGAGCTCTGCGAACGACTCGCGAGCGAGTTCGTACCAATCACCGGCATTGGAAGCAGAGTGAGATAAAGGCGACGGTGAAGATCCGTAGATGATTCTTTGGAATCCAAATGCTTCAAGTGCAGGGCCAACTACAAGAAACGCCAGGTCAGCGCTAAACAAATAACGAAATATTGGCAGAGAATACGTACTGTACATCTTGATCCTACGCTTCCATTCCTTCTTCTCCGTTGTGTCCCTTCCTGAGGGGGCAGACGCACCCCCAGGAGTGGTAGCATCTGATGAACTGGGTGTCGTTGTTTGAGTAGGAGCTGGAGTGGGAGGTGTAGGCGTGCCCCAGACCGGGGGAAGGAACTTGATGAAAACATTGGAATACAGGGAAAGCGCCGCGGTGTGTGATTGATAGGCTTGATATGTAGGGTGAGTAAGAAGCTTGACGATAGGTAACGAGAAGTCATCTGGAGGTGGTAGAAGGTTCGCTATAACAGCTTTCGGTCAGAAGAAGCGTTTGTATCAGTGAAGGAAAGATCAACCTACACAAGAATACTTTGGCGTCAGGGATTGGCGATGACCTTGGGATGGCGTTGGCGAAGAAATCCTCTAATGCTTCCCATTCGCCCTCGCCGTCCCGTAGGTTTGCTTGAATGTCAAGATCGACAGAGAAGCCATTTGTGAGAGCCCAGTTGAGCGCTTCGACAGCTTTCGGTGTGGACTTCGCGTATGTCGACGCCAAAATGACAGGTGGTTGCGATGATCCAGAAAGATAGGCAGGTATGCTATCCGGTGCGCCGTTCTCAAGAGAGAATGGGACCAAGATGCCAACGACAGGCATTGAAGTTGAAGAAGCGGAAATACTATACTTCCATTCAGCATCGCTAGAATGAAGTACCAGATCAAACGTCAGGAACTCACCCTGCCACCGCCTTCTCAATCGCATCAGGAGCGACACCAGTCAAGTTGATCACAACACCTCCGATCTTCTCATCGTTCAGCTCCTGTCCAATCTCTTTCTTCCATCGACTCAAATCGCGGGTAGGAGCAATCACGTTCGCATCGATCACTTTCTCTGGCTGGATTGTGCTAGGGCTTGGTGGGCGAGGGAATTGCTCAGATGTACCACTATTCGGGGGAGTAAAAGCTGACAGGGGGAGAGTGGGTAAGACATGGCCTTTTGGCCCTTTGCGCCGTGCACCGACACCGGGGGAAGGAGGAGCAGGAGGAAGGACACCGGAGCTCATCGTCGAAGTACTGGGGAAAAAGAAACTTGTCTAGCTAGTTGTATATGGTTACAAGTAAGATGATTGCAGAGAAAAGAGATGTATGAAGAGGAAACAAAACGGAAGTGAGATTGATTCTGGTGGTACTGTACCGCTTTCAAGATCGAGTATATAGAACACGATCAAATTAGGCGCTCATGCACTTCTCCTTGTCATGATTAACTGATTCCGGTTTCTAAGCAATTGGCTTTTTTCAACTTCATTCCTATCCAATGAAGACGTGGCAAGCACGTCGTTGTTGCTTGTTGCAAAACAACAGGGTATACGACCTTCGTTTCACACAGGCATCACTAAACTACGATTCGGGCCGCCCAAATGGCGATGATCACTGTACTCATAGTGAGCGTTCTTATTCCTTACACTGTAGCTGACCATGAGTCTGTCTGCGACTCCATAACTATTGAGCGAAACCATCACCTTTCCATAGCCACAACAACGAGACACTGCCTCGTTCTCACTTGATTTCAAAGTGGATTATAACGGTCACCATCTGTCAAGCTCAGGATTCATGCTTGTTCTCGATGTGCTTGACCGATGACAGCTGGACAATGACCATGCTTCATAAAACAGACCGTCTACTTATTATAATGCGGTCACAGTCGAGCTCCGGTCGGTGCATTAGTGATCAAAATAGCTGTTCCTCAAGTCAACGATTCAAAGTACCACTCTGCCCGTATCTCTGATTCCCATCGTTTCTTTCCAAGGGAGGCGTTCCTTCGTCAAAAGATCGCCGATGGATGTCATTGTTGTCTCTCGCAGGCTTTCCATGACCGCATCTCCGAGCATCGTCATACAATTGTGTTGCAGTGAGCAATCAGAGCGTTTCCATTCTAATTGCCGTCATTATCCTCCGCGGGCTTAGATACAGACGCTTAGATTAATATTGCACGATCTCTACTTAGTATATCTCGCTGTGGCAGCGATGGAGCGGTGAATGGGACACTTGCGTTACTCTCACCCAGCTGGTACGTACCCACGTTGGCCTGGAATTCCCATTGACCCGCTGAATTATGCTGCGACGTCTTGCTTGGTAGGCATCAAAAGTGCGGTTTTTACGCCCTGTTCTAAGGTCCAGCTTTGTGTGTAGTGAACGGCACAGCCCATCCTACAGAGAATCTCACGTCACGCAAAGGTGCACGTTGACACGAATAAATGACCAGCAATGGTTAAGTTCTATCAGTACATACATGTATCTCTAATACATATTTGACAATTACTAGACGTCCTCTCCGTCCTCCACGAAGGTCGTGATCAACTACGACACCAATCGGGAAGATTGGGACCACGACTACGACTACGACTACGACTTAGTACTAATATGACTGCAATAATGTCCGGAGGGATTCGCGACTACTAAAAAAACTCTGGAGCGCGAGATAACGAGAACGGCGTACAACAACGAAAACAACTGAAGAGCATTAGCAGGAGGATAAAGAAATGTTGGAAAGATATCGTAGCGAGGAAACGAAGAAATGGTACGCAATAAGGATACGCTTGAGTGAAAAGATAAGCATGCACGGCATTGTCCTCGGAAAAAAAAAACGGGAACTTGGAATCAACAACGGGACAAACAGAAAGCAGACGAAGCAATAACGGGTAGTCTGAGAAATAGACTGCAAAGCGAAAAGCAATAGAACGAAAATGAGAGTTAGAAGCTGAGAGGCCAGAGAGAAGGCAGAGTAGCAGTAACTTGACGAGTGTCCATATGCACAACAGAAGGGGCGGACATTCGAGACTTCGTACACAAACGATGAGCAGGATTGGCTGCAGAAAACGCGAGAGGAGCAGCAGTGATCAAAAGCAGTTTCACCAAATTGACATCGAGCGGCGCAGAGGACTAAGTAACGACGAAGTGGGCCAAATGATAGGCGGGAACGACTTTTCCAGGAAGATCATAGGCACGACGTTCAAATGGCTCTCGTGAACTTCGGAGAATCTTTCCCAAATCCATCACCATCGCGGCTCGCACATGGAGAATATCGAGAACCAGGTCCAGGCACGAACAAGGCACCGCGATTGTGGGCACTTCGTTCCTTCCGACGCAGATGAGTGGGAGGAGGGAAAGGTTCGGGAAGACCCTGATCTAGGCCTGAGGACCAGAAGATCTTGGGACGCCAGGATTCACGTTCGTCCATGATACACGAGTTCTTGAACTTCTCGACGAGAGCTTCTTTGCCTCTGAAAGGGGCAGACAGGGAAATTAATAAGACATTGGAGAGTCATGGATAAGGAAGACGTACTGATAGTTAGCGTAACTCATCTGCAAGACCTTCTCGCTGGAATACATATTCCTAATGATGCCATAAAGTGAGAGTCTGAGTCATAGAACGAAAGGTCGAAGCACATACCACTTGACGCCGAGTTGCGTGCTCGCGAAGTGCAACAAGTCCTGCACTGTGATGAAGTTGACGAACGCATAACCAACGTTGCACCCTAAAAATACATCAACGTCAATATCAATACACGATCCAGAACGAAATAAAACACCCTACCGTTCTGGAAGTCCATCCTCAAATACAAGAAATCGATCCTCCTTGGACAGACCCTCGCAATGAAGTCCAGCAAGTCCTTATCACTCATCTTATTCGGGATATTCTTGATCATCACGGTAGTACGCGTATCCAGCCCACTCTCGATCTTCTCCAAGTCCAATTGATTCTTCTCGTGATTCTCTGGAGAATCTCCCCCGGCACCTTGATGACCTGGGCTAGGAGCGCTGGAGAGACGAGCGAGGTTCTTGGTGTGAAGAGAACGAAGACTGGCCGGTGTACGTCTAGTATCATGGGAACTTTGATGTTCGAAAGAGCCGAACGTGAAAGCTTCAGATCTAGAAGCGTCTACGTGACGAGGGCCTCCATATATCCTCTGTGAAGTAGATGGATATGGAGAAGGCGACGGAGCGTAGTATTCAAGCCCACCAGGGGTGGCATGTGCAGGAGAGAAAGGTACGGAATGGGGATGAGGCGCATACATCCACGGTTCGGATCCAGCGTGGGCGAATCCGTCCGCCCGCATAGGGATAAACGCCTCTGGGGGTGGCGGAGACGAATGGTACATAAATGGTACAGGAGCAACAGAGTGAATAGCAGAGAGCGGAGTCGGAACGAGGGGATGTGAGGTGTACGCGGTTGGATGAGGCACATGATGAGGCAGAGATGCTGATGGTGCTTGGAACTGTTGCGCAAAAGGTTGAGGTTGATGGTGTTGGAAGAACTGGCCCTCGGGGAAAGGTTGAGAGTAGGACATGGGAGGTGGAGATATAAGACCAAGCGAGGATTCAAGGTGCATGCGAGGCGTTTGACGATCACCCGGACCCATACTGTTGCTTCGCCCCAATGTAGATCGACCAAGATTAGGAGTCTATAAGGAGATGGGAAAGGTGTGAGGGCAAAGCCGATTGAAAAGAATGATAAGAACCGACCTTCTCGACACCATCAAAGTAGAGTGGCGCAGCAGCAGTGGCGTGCTGAACGAATGGATCATCTGTGTCGCGGGTAGAGTGACGACGAGTGGCTTGCTGACCTCGGCCTTCACCATGGCTGATGCTCCTAGGCCTGACGCGATCTAGCGAGGAACACTGTCAGCCCAACGTCCAGCGAGCATATATTCAGCGCCGAAAGTGAAATACTCACAATCAACGCCCTCATCTGGCAACGGCAAATTCGTCTTCAATGGGCTCGAAATATCAACCGAATGCCTGAGCGGCAACCGATCCCGACCAGTAGAAGCAGAGTTACACTCAGACCGCAAAGTCAAACGAGAGTTGAAGATGGGTCGACCGTAAAGCTGCTTATATGCAGTGTGCGCACAACGAAGATCATAATATTCGACTCGGAATGTCTATTTGTAAGGAATGTTAGTAATTGAACAATTGACATAAGATGAGGAGAAAGGGCGAGAGAAAGACTAGCCTGTTCATCCGAATTGACGACCTCCAGAGAGGCAAGTTCACCAAATGAACGCAGGATGCGCTTGATACTATCCGTGTCCGTGAAACTATCATGGAGCGTGACGAAGAACGTCGCATTGGCCTCGACGACGAGCTCGCTCTGGTCAATATTCTGTATCCAACGTTGAAGAATGTAAGCTAGAATGCCACGCAGAATGCCGGAAAGTGAAACTTACGCCACCCAGTTGAGCAGGGTTAATTAAAGTAGCTTCAACGCGCTTCTCCCTTTCGTCCTCTACATCATATCCACTTTCCTGGCCGAAGCACAACTCACGGAAGCTCTTCCCTTGCAACTTCCCGACAGCCGCAGCGGCGACTCTCAGGTCGAAGTACGCGAGAATGACAATACCATAGGACTCTTTGAATCGGATGAAGATGCCTTTGACTTCGCCGGTGATTTTAAATGCGGTGCGGAGGAGGCTTTCGGGCGCTTCTGGAGGTATATTGCGAACCTAAAACAAAGGAAGGGTGATGCGTCAGATCGCGTACGGCAGTAATATTGGTAGATAAAGCCGAGAGCTGGGGAAGTAATTTAATTAAATGAATGGACTCACAAGAACGAATCGAGTGGGCATCGCATCTTCGCGATTCCTAAAGAACCGATCAAAGAGGTTCCTACTAAGGCTTTCTTCAGCGTCATCTCCACTATTCGCATATGACACCAGGTTGAACGCCTTGTCCATCCTGGGCGTAACATCGGACGCTGGACTACCACCCAACTCGATACCTCTCAAGTTAGACGTAACTACATCAACGCCGCTGTCAGAGGAGGAAATCGACCTGGATCGGATGCTCGAAGGAGTCAAGTATCCGGGGAGGCCAGAGATAGCGGATACGGCTACACTACCTTTCCTCGCGGTGGAAGGACCCCATCGAATGGGAGAGACGGGTTCTGGCGTCGTAGGTGTGAAATCACTGGCGGTATCGTGAGTGCTCGAATTGAACGAGGAAGATGGGGTTAGGGGAGGAGTATTAAGAGAAGGTACGCGACGCGGGGAACCTGCACCAGTAGAGGTGAAGGACATGTGTCTGGACTTCAACGAGACAGGAGAAGAAAGAGGGGAAGTAGAAGGCGACGAAGCTAAGTCGAGGGCCTGACGCGTGTGATAACGGGAATGGCGGCTGGAGGGCTCGTTGGGTAGCCTAAAACCGGAGAAATAATATTCAGTCAGAACTTCGTTGGGTATTTGAAAAAGAACAGGATAAAAAATGGCGCATATAGTCTGCTTTGACGGGAGAACATGGTAGAATTTCAGGTCGAAAAGGGTAATACGGAGGACATGGAGGCAGGACGACTGGACTGGCCGAGCCAAGTGCATCAATGCGTGACAACGCGGGAGGAAAGGCTCAACAAAATAGACTTGTCTGGGCTCAGTGCGGAGGACATTGATCATTACTCACAAGAAGTTTGGCGTAGTCGGAGAGGAGTGGGTGCGTGAATGGAATGCTGGATGCTCATCCATCTTTTCGGACTGAAAATAAGGTATTAGGCCACGCGTACAAGTGCGTTCGACGCGACATACCTCATCACCGAGCCGAGAGAGGGTAGGAAAAGGAACAGGGATGTCCATTTTAGAATACAACAACACGAGATTAAGAGCACGTAGAGCAAGACACCAAGCAGGTGAGTAATAAAAGAGCAAGAAGCGCAACGGGGAGGGGAGGTAACAAGGATGAAGAGACAGCACGGGGAGAGAGAAAGGAGGATCTTGAAGAAATAGAGGGAGGACGAGACTTTATACAGAAGAAAATCGAAGACAAATGGTGGGTGCATAGCGGTCCAATGTCGAAGCTCGCATTGAGATCTGCTCCTGATCCGTTCGATTCGTAAGTACCCCTCCAGTGTGAGGGTCTCCACGGTGCATTCGGTGTCTATAATCGCCGGAAATTCGCTACATAAATAATTACCTGTATGCATATCACCTCGTAAGGGAAGCCGGTGCGGATCCTGAAGAGAAACGCGACGCATTTGGAGTGCTCCTGGTCCTGGGCGCCGCCTCACGGGCTCTCCAAAGGCAATCGTCTTTCCTAGTCGCCGCATAGGGAGTTTGCCGAGCCTGTTGCCAACAAGAAGGGAAGCCTGACTAACGCCTCAGCGCTCCTCAGCACGGCAGAAGAGAGTTTCATCAGATCCAATGGGAGCCCAGGCTGGCTCAAGCGAAGCAAGTCTTTGCTACGACGTCCGCTTCAACGGTCATGACGCACGTAGGTGGTGGGTGTTCCGACTAAAATGCCTGCAGGACTATCATGATACAGATCCTACGACGTACGTAGATATATGTAATCCACGTACACGCGATGGTTGAAGCAGAAATCCATACGCTTTGAGTCCATCCGAACTGGACGTTAGTTTGGGCAGAATTTGATTTGGCCGCATACTCATGGAGCGTGGCATCAGATCGAAGAGACAAAGGCAGCCAATGAATCGGATTCTTGAATCGGTAACTGCTGAAGGAGATCCCATGTATATTTCTTTCCTATCGCAATCCGAGCCCTTGTGGTGCTCTCCGGCGCAAGCTTTCGCCTCCGATGCTCCCCGCTCAACTCCGCCGCGCAACAGCAGCGACCCACCTTCGAACTCAGCACTCAGTAAGTACTTCACTAGCTTCACTGTTCATGAAAGTGTCTTCAAGTTCATTGCGAAGCTTGAAATAGTGAATCCTGGCGGACGAAGGTGAAACACTGACCTCCCTATGATGGTAGACTGTGGACCCATATACGGACCGTAATTCAGTCGTGTATTCGCTTGGCATAGAAACGCGCTGAACATTGCCGTAATCCCTCCTACCCCTCCAAATTGAATGGCAAGGACCTGGTGACGGCCAACTCTGAAACTTGTCAATGCACACTAACGCTTCGCTTGAAATTCACGGAACCGAATTTGGATTAGTTTTTAAATTTTGCTCCTCTCGTGCAAGGGCTTCATTGGCCCGCGCGGGACAGGGACACTGATACAGCACACTAGTCCAAATTACAGGTCGGAAAGTCCAGGCGGTGAAACTTACGGATGCGGCAGATTTGGTTCAGAGATTGACTTTCCCCGCTCCATAGTTTGAATCAGTGAATCTCTCTCCCGCGCACCTTCGGGATTGCAAGCGTCTTCGTCGTTCTCGCGGCATGAGGTGACATCAACTACAGATCATGTTCTCTTCCTTTCCTAGTCTTGCTTCTTGTGCTTCTGAATGTCCATTTTGAATGTCGCCTCCGATGCTTGCAGCACACCGGTCGGTATTACATACGCTCCTTATAGGACCTTCCGATTCTCAAAAGGATATCGTCACGGTATAGCCTCAGGGTCGTCAGATATGTAAAGAACGTAGAAGAAAAAAAATCTTCATTGACATTGAATCATCGAGTACGGAATGATACATAATGACATACAACATACAGTCTAAGAGTGATAAAACATGGACATAGAGATGTTCTATAGGGCCCCCGGTCTTGCTCGTCCAACTGTAGGTTGATATCTTCACAACAGACCCACATCTAGAACAAAGTTGCACGCCTGGGCATAAGAATCAAGGTGAAGATGGACTAAGTCAGTGCCTGTTGCACCGTGGTCGTGCTGGATAATGAAGCGACTGATGTTGGTGCGCCCTGTCGCCTCGTATTGAGCAACGAAAGACTGAATGATACCTGAGACGTCAGAAAATATCAGACAGTTGCAGAACGGAAAAAAATGGACGGTTTCTCACGAATATTTTCGTCGAATCTGTTATACTCTACGTCAATGTAGAGGCGGACCGTATGCAGGACGAGCAATAGCGGAATGATACGAAGACTGTACAGTTGCTCCGAAGGTACCAAACCTCCGAAGTGTATAGTATGCTGTTTGGATTCCACATCGATTTTATCACCAATAAACTGCGTATCCTGGAACGAGAGCTCGCTTAATTGTAAGGATTTGTCTCCAAGGACTTGGACACTGAGAAAGTCGTCGACACGGCAGTGGTTAAACAAGATGGCCGTGGGATCACCGGGCAGGGGAGGAAGACGGTCGAAGACAGCGAATTTGAAGCCGATGGATGGAAAGCCATGGAACGCGTAGGTGTATATATCAACCGTCCACTCCATCTGGTGGAGGTAGTGCCAGAAATTGACGATCTCTTGCACAGCAACTAGCGAGAGGTGTACATCATGTCTATCACCTTCGAATAGAAAGGTCAACATAAAATTGTCGCGACGTTTACGGTCGTCACGCAGGTGCTGCTGAAAGTTATGGATGTCATCCAAAGTAGCGATATTACGTCGCTGGTGTTCCCCTCTGTAGACATAGGAGAAAAACATAGAAAAGTGTTGTTCAATCTGGTAATAACTATCAGCGGCAAGACTCGAGTTCAAGTGAACCACTTACACCATTAGCTACAAACGGAGTCGGGCCTTGCATCGCGATGAGCGTTGTCAAGAGACAAGTGCAGAGGAGGATAAGGATGTGGCTGAGTGGAGATGGGGGCTGAAAGTCGTAAGAACAGGACATCGAGTATTTATATTGGCAGGGAGCACCACCAAAGCCACAAGGAAAGAGTTGATTTGACGTTGTGCACACCCATTGTCAGGATGGCCCGTTGGACGAAAGACATCTTCGCGCCATCCTATAAGTAAAGCTTTGACCTTTCATTTCAAATGTCATATTCCATCACAGGCTCGCGTTTGTTTCATAACAAAGGGATGCGGCACGTTTTGAAAAGATGTAAGCCAAGTCAGAGTTTTGTTTGCGTTCAGCATGATATTGAGATTTGAAGGCCACTCGCCAACGAATGCGAGCCGTCGCAGAACTCGCAAGAGAGCGCCTCATGCTGGCTTCTTCTTCTTTGGCGTCTTGATGTGCTATCAGCAATGCCGAGTGGGTCAAAGCAGCCCTTTCATTGACTTGGCGAGATGCCACATTCCCACGTTAAGGCCAAAGAACTGTCGAGAGTCGGATGATTTGAAATAGACAGGCACAGAATTTGGGGGTGGCGGACTGAACCTCATTGACCTGGAATCGTCTAACAAACGGTCTGAGAAGCGTCCCCCATTTGTCAAGCCTCTGATATCTCAATGCCAAGCGGGAAACATAAGTAAATACGAGCAAAAGGAGAGATTTCTTGCAAAATTAACATTACCACAAACAGTGCTGAAGAGAGTAGACGTCCACGGTGAGTAGGCCGGCGTCAGCAACCATCCTTCCAGATCGAAAACTAGTATGGCTGATGTACGGTCGGGGGGGGGACATGTTCTCATCCACAAATATTGCATGTACTCGAGTAGGTGGCCAATACGTCTCTAAGGGTCACCCCAGTGGTACCTGTTGTTGTCAATAGCATTCGTCAATGCAGGAGAGATGTTTGCACCTAGCCACTATCGAACTGGATCATTGGGGACCAACGACATCAGACATGGCTGAGTGTAAACAAAAGACTTGATTACGAAATGCGAGTTTTATTTCGAGTTACCATGCGCGTTAGAAGTAAGGCGTTCCTCTGAGTACGAACCTCTCAAGCTGCCTGTAGTCCGATCTGTCCTTCGCCACAGCCCAGATCCAAGCGTCAAGTTCTGGAAGAGTGATCTCCTTCAGCCATTCTAAAGACTCAGAACCTTTTGCGTTGGCCTCAAGTTCTTCGCTACCGAGATTCCGAGCGGTCTCAATAATTAGTTCGCAAGCGTCAATCGCCGCTGCGCGTAAAGCGAATGCTTGCTCGACGGTTAGAATCGGACCTTCCTTGAGAACGGTCTCCGCCCTGTTGCCCTTCGACTCCTCTGAAGGTGGCGGTAGTGCATCTAGAAGTGCGTCTATATTCTCCTTGTTGACTTCTGGAAAAATCGAAGACAAGCCAAGGGATGATTTTGAAGTGGACAGGTCGATCACACCAAGGTGGACCAGGAGAGAAGGGATAACGTTGTCGGAGAAGATGGGAAGGTGAGCAGTACGAGGGATTGGGAAGGGATGAGGTGTCGCAGATCCAAAGCGGAGAGCGATGGCGTGCATAGTAAGAAGCGCCTTCTTGAAACAGTAGACAGCTAGAGAGCAAAAATGGGCAAGCCTATTGAATAACAACAATTAGGAGGCTTACGTTCTCCCTCGACCAATGCCATATCTTGGAAAGCTGGTATGGCCTTCACAAGCTACGTTACGTCGATATGATCAGTCTCGGAGGGGGAAAAAAGGCAGGTAACGACATACGCGTTCAAGAATAACGTCGCATTCCGGGTCAACGTCTGAGTCACGTTCCTTCACTTTGTCACCCTCCTTCAACGCCTCTAGTACAAACGCCCCTAAATTGGGATAACCACCTTTTACCAAGACACTTCCCGTTTCATTGAGAACATTCGTAACCAACTGGACAACCTCCCAAATGGGGCCTGCGAGTTCACCGACCATGACGGCAGGAATGGTCTCGTGGGGCCTCTCTTGGTAGATTTTATCAGCCACGCTCATCAGCTCAGCCACCTTTCCTGCCTTGATGCTCTGCATTCCCTGGGCCGAGAGAAGGTCACCTTCTATATCCGCGGATATATACATGGAGAAAACAACGGCTCGGATGGAGTCAAATGCTCCTCGTCCAGTTGCTTCATGGAGAGGCACTCGGTATCCAGAAGCGAAGTTTAGGAGGGAAATGGTACAGAGAAGATTGAGTTCCGTAATGACAGAGGGAAACTTCAGTGGAAGAGCCATTCCGTGAGCGGTGCGAAGGCGAGCGAAGGTGCTCGTAAATGAGGCCGAGAATAGGAACCGTTTAATCGCATCGGAGGTGATCTGAAGACGAAATCACAAAGTTAGGATGCTTTGATTTCTTTCCGTAGCGTTAGAGGAAGAATAAGGACGCAGCCGTCGATAGGAGCGCGTGCCCCCGTAAACACATTTCTATGATTGCGGGAAATTCTGTGACTGCAGTAGCAGTTGGAATGCAATACACTGCATATGAGACAATAGATGGTTATTTTATTGTGTAGTAATATAGACCGTACCGAGATGTTTGTATTCGTTCGTACTCTCCTAGCAGACTCGCGGACGGCGGAAATGTATCCACCTGAAGGTGGTGACGGCACTTGAGTAGACATCGCTCGAGGTTTGATTCACAGACTCTTCTGGAGCACTCGTTAGTCAAGATCAAGAACAGTGGTCAATAAGAAGACTTACTGTTCTACACTAAACCACAGTTCACAAGAACATCATTGCACGGGAGAAAGTGATAGCTGCGGCGCTAACTTTAATCTACCCTATGATGTCTATGAAGAAATGATGCAATACAACATGTCGGAAAGAAAAGTCCAATAAACGGGTTCGACCTGATCATGGAAGATTATGACCGGCTGAGGACTTCAGTGCAACTTCTCATACCCCATTGTAATTCAGGCGGATTGCAAAAAGAGAATACCGACTTTGCCCACTCCTGGTCTCGATAGAAGACGAAATCATGGGCGCCTATTTACTCGTCTGCGCCACGTTTCTGGGGCATGGGCGGTTAATGAGTAATAACCATTACGAAAGGATCGTGAAACCGTACTTGGTTGTTCTAACTTCCTGATCCTTGACTGTGACGACATCAATTCTCTCCATAGTTCGTTTATTATGGACCCAAGCTCTGGTGGGCAGCATGCCTTCAAGAGCGATGAAGAACAAGCACGCAAGTTGAAACGTATTCACTTGAAGCAGCTGAATTTGAATGAAGCCGGTACGGGTGTGTAGTGTTCGAGATAATCTGGACAAATATGCATTGAGATGTATGCACCTAGAACCTGCCAAAGCATTGGACTCGTCTCTGAAACGACACACTGCCCTCATTAAACGGTTACGACAGTCCCTCGGTACAGAGAACCATGACCAGATCATGAAGGATATCGAGTCCTTATCCCTTGAGAAGTATGTGGACGAGATAGCTGGTGCAGTCGTTGAGGGTATGGCGCGCTGCAAGACGGAGAAGGATGTCTGGAGCGCGGTCGAGGTATGCTCAATTACGTCGTCTTGTATCACTGACTGATTGTACGCCTCCATGCTAGATCATCTCAGCATTGCACCGCCGTTTCCCCAAATCATTCACGCCAGGCTTAGTTTCTTCTCTTCAAGCTGCCTTGGCCCCTCCGTCTCGTGCAGCTCTCTCGGCCTTATCCCAGGAACAACGAGAGAAGGAAGATTCCACTCGCGTGACTCGCCAGCGCCCCATCTTGCGTGTTTGCTCTGAACTCGCCCTAGTGGGCATAATCAGAGATGCACCAGATAGGAGCGGGGGAGAATGGATGATGAAGGTTATCAAGGATTTGGTGGGTACTTGCGCTGCCGTACAACTAGATTTGTCCTTATACTTTGCTAGTTATCCAACGATCCGTCCTTATCATCATTGCCCTTGCTTTCAACCTTCCTCAAGTCCTACTCACTTCCTTACCTTGGGTTATCCCCTCCACAAGCCTCGAAGCAAATTTCGGCTGCATCAGAGCCAGGTACGCTATCTGAAGAAACAACTATGGTGGCCAGCGGCGCGTTCCCGCCTTTGGTAAAGGAGGAGGACGAGCTGGTAGAGAAAGACATACGTGATCGCTTCAAGAAGATGTGCGAAGGGTATTTCGAGAGCGTTTCCAAGAAGCTTGTGATAGAGCATAACGTTCGCCGCATCTGTGCTTCGTCGGAAGGTTAAACTAATATCATATGTCCAGCGACTGCAAGAGCAAGATCGTAAGAATCACGAAGCATACATTCGTTCTGGGGAAATTTTTGAAGATAGACAGCAAGCATATGAGAAGATGACGAAGGGATACGAGAAGCTTCTTGCCAGTTGCCAAACGTATGTTAGTTGTTGCAATCATTTTGCATATACTCAATGAGTTTTCAGCCTTTCAGAATTACTATATCTTCCTATGCCCACTCTCAAAGCTGCCTCGCATAAGACCGAATCCATTCAGATCGGCACCAGCACCGGTATCTCATTAGATGCCGACGGCGAATTAGAGGACACCATCAGGGGCGGCAAGTGGGAAGACGAAGAGGAACGACGCTTCTTCGAGGATATCCCAGACCTCAAGGATTACGTCCCCAAGGGCGTGCTTGGTGTTGAGGAGGACGAACCTGATAAACAAGAAGACGCTGCTGAGAAGGAACAACGCGCGAAAGCCAAGGTCGATGAAGAGGTACGCCAATTAGAAGAAGAACTTGCTGGCTTGGAAGCTTCGCAGAATGGCGATGTCAGCGGTGCTCCAACTGTTATCGATGGCAGGCTTGAAGACGGTGAGGGCGAAGAAGACGATGAGTAAGTACAGGTTCTCGAGTCAGGAATTGGCTGATAGAACTGTTAACAGTGCGGCGACTCCTACTGCTGGAACGCCGAAAACCTCGCCTCCCTCGACTCCACAGCTCACAGCTCAAGGGCCTTCTCAGCTTCTTACTGCTCTACTCGCGCGTCTCCCTGATGTTACCAATCGTGCAGGGATTGATCAGGCCGCGGTTGACTTTGCCTTCTTGAATTCCAAGGCTGCTAGGAAGCGTTTAGTCAAGGTAATGATTTTTTGACCCGCGTGCCTCTCCATTTTCTCATAGTTTGTGTTAGTTCTTCAGTCAGACTCCAAAGAGTCGTACCGACCTTCTTCCTCATTACTCGCGCCTCGTTGCAATTTTGAACAAGTACATGCCCGATATTGGCGTGGATCTTGTCAATGTTGTAAGTAACGTGCTTTACTGCAATCGCTGTATCAACTGGAACTGTTTGTCACCAGCTCGATGAAGAATTCCGTTATCTGCAACGGAAGAAGAACGTCGTCAAGGAGCTGTCTGAAGTTCGCCTCAAGGTACGTTGTCAGCACAATCAAAATACAATGCAATTTTCTCATTTGTGTGCGGATGAATGTTGGTCATGTAGAATATCACTTTCCTCTCGAACCTCACGAAGTTTAGCGTTGTACCCCCGCATGTCATCCTCCACATGTTCAAAGTCTGTTTGGACGACTTTTCTGGCACCAATGTGGAGAACCTTGCATTGCTACTAGAAGGATGTGGTCGATTCTTACTTCGGAGTGAGGAGACGCAGCAACCGTTCAGCAAGATGGTAGGTTGGCTTTATCTGGACTTTACTTTAATCTGACTGGTTGCATCTTTCCACCTCTAGCTCGAACTTTTGAGGCGTAAGCAGGGCATGCGACACCTCGATCAACGCCAAATGCTATTACTTGAGAACGCCTACTATCAGGTTAGTTCTAACACTCAATTCTGGACTTAGTCTAAGCTAATAGGTTATAGTGCAACCCTCCTGAGCGTACGGCCAAGGAAGTCAAGCAGCGCACACCCATGGAACTCTTCATTCGCCACCTCATCTACGACGTGCTTACCAAGAAAACCATCGACAAGGTTCTCAAGCTCGTTCGTAAGCTCGATTGGAACGATCAAGAAGTTCAACGTACGCTTCACAAGGTATTCACCAAACCTTGGAAGGTCAAGTATGGGAACGTGCCTCTTCTGGCGATGCTCACGTACGACTTACAACGCTATCATCCGGCGTTCACGATTTCAGTTGTGGACCAGGTGCTGGAAGATATTCGACGAGGATTGGAACAGAATGTCTACAGTATCAACCAACGTAGGGTGGCTACAATGAAGTACTTGGGTGAACTGTATATCTATCGTCTCGTTGGGTCGGGTATCATTTTCGATACTCTGTGGACTTTGGTTACCTTTGGACATCGTAAGTGCATCACAAGCGAACTCCTATTCTTTACTATAGCGCTGACGTCTGGTGTAGCCGAAGGACGCCCTGTTCCTGGACAACCTTCCCCTCTTGACATGCCAGACGATTTCTTCCGCATCCGACTGGTTTGCGTACTTCTTGACACCTGTGGCATGTGTTTTGATCGAGGCACGCAACAGAAGAAGCTCGACAATTTTTTGACGTTCTTCCAGGTATGTGCAATGGCTCTTTATGCAGGCCATCTTTTCTTAAGCTTGGGGTAGTATTACGTCCTGTGCAAAGATCCTCTGCCGATGGATGTGGAGTTCATGTTGACTGACTCGCTGGAGGTGAGTGTCATAATTTATATATATCCTCACAAGGTACAATGTCTCTATCTAGGCGGTTCGGCCGAAGCTTTCTATGTACAAGACCTTCGAAGAAGCTGCAATTGCAGTGGACGAGATGTTCAATGCCGCTTTCCAAAACGCTGGGAGTAAGTTATCCTGGACTGATGTATTGGACTGTTGCTAATGTTACATATCTAGTCTCTACCGGTGACGATAGTGGTGATGATTCTGGTGACGAAGATGAACGCCGAGAACAACAAGAGGAGGAGGATGGCGATCGCCCCACCTCTGAATTCCCAGTATGTTGCGTCACTTATACTACCAATATGCCCTGCTAAATGTCGATTTATAGGCTGATGAGCGTGCACCGTCTCCCGAAGCCGTTCTACTCAAGTCTTCCTCTACTCAAGAGAAGATTGGACCATCGGAAGATGACGATGCAGAATTCGCCAAAGAGCTTGCAAAGATGGTTATGGAGAGCTCGTCTGAGACTAGGAAGGTCGACAAAAAGACCGCCCTCGCTCTCTGGGAAACGACAGTCCCTCCTCCAGGAATGCGCAAGAAGCGTGTCGACGAGACCGATGAAGATGTCGACAGGACCGGCGAGGGTCAGCGTGTGATGAACTTCACCGTGTTTACCAAACGTGGCAGCAAACAACAGGTTAGTTATAGTTTACATTCTTGCTCCTCGAATCACGCATTGACCTTGTGCCCGTCAATCCAGACACGCCAGCTAGCCATTCCGGCTGAGTCCACGTTAGCAGTCCAGACTCGCACAGCTCAGCTGCAGGACAAAGTTGAGCAACAGCATCTCAAGAGGCTGGTGCTTAATTACGAGCAGCGGGAGGAAGCAGAAGAACTCAAAGGTGTGTATTACGATGCAACATAATGTCTCCACCAATTCATGATTTCCACGTCTCCTTTTTTTCAGCTCTTGAAACTCGCAATCGCGCCGGAGCTATCAAGATACGATACGTTGGGTAACATCGACCGCAGAATGTCTTCGCATTGCACAGCTTGGCTTCGTACTCGATTGCTTTCGACTTCGAAGTTCCTTTGGCGCAAGGATCGCGACTAGTCGCGCTCGGCGACGCACGCCCTTCATGACCGTTTTTGATACGGTTGGAATGTTCGCTTCGCACACACACCATCCTACCCTGCCTGACCTTGGTACCCAGGATGTTGCAGGTATAGGTTTATTTCCGCTGTCCGAGATTATTCGCCGTATGACACGACTGGGTATAGCCGATAGTCTCCACGACGAGCTTTCAGTCCTTGTATTAGTGTACTCCACATAGAATCCGTCCATATGTAGCTTATGTCGATCAGAGGGACTTTTTCTCGCAATTGACTTCGAAGAAACCAGGATGTACATTATATTCCACGTGATCGCGTTTTGATCATGATTCGCGCTAATGGCAGTCGCGTCTTTGACTTACATCCTCAAATCTCCTGCTTTACATTTTGTACTCTCGCCGCCTGGTACATACGAATGGATGATTCGGATGACTACTTTGGCGACGATGACCTAGTTCTGGATGAAACCACCCTTGCCGTGCTTAAACATGAAGAGAGTAAATTCCAGGCATCACAACTGCAGACGCAGCATGTGGACCGTCCTGTCCAACCTCCCCCTAAGAAACAGAAGACCCATCATGCTTGGAGCAATCCGCAACTCCAACGTAATATATCCCTTGACGCTAATGAATTCCCAGAGATATCTATTCAAGGAGATGGGACCTATGGCATTCCACGTCTGGGAGGCAAGCATGCTCATCCTGCTCACAATGTTGTCCATCCAACTGCTCGAAACATTTCAAATCCACCTGCATTATCCAGGACCTCTTCTTCCTCCGGGGTCAATCGTAGACCATCACCAGCCGTCCGACGACCTCCAGGACCCATAAATATTGCACAAAGGCCTCGGACTCCCGTACCTGCTCCGCAACCTTTACAAAGAGCTCCTTCAATACCTCAGCTCACACAGCGGCTCAATGGCACTCAGCTGTCCCAAACAACCCAGGACAAGGATAAGAGGAATCTACGTCTCGAGTTGGAGCTTCTGAAGGCTCGAATGGAGGAGGTGTGTAGAACTCAATTTAGTGTAATCGCCTCTGATTTATTCCTATCAGGTCGATCAAACGCAAGCTGAATTAAAACGAAAGCTACAAGAAGCTGAGGAGGCACGTCTAGCTAAAGAAGGCGAGGTGAAGATTCTCCGAAGTGGAATCGAGAAGGTTTGCTTCACTGATCAAGCAACACTTGAATCAGCATTGATCAGTTGTTGTGCGTAGACCGCAGAACAGCATGCTGCTGAGTTGGATAAACTCAGAGCAGCTAAGGAAGCGACGGAAGCTAAACAGGTCGAGATCCAGAGGAAACTGAGGGAAGAGATGGAGGCTATGAGGACACAGTTCACGTTCAGGGTACTTCTCCTCACAACCTTAACATTATTTTGTTCTTTGTTGACTCGCTTTGTTGACAGCAACATGAACTTGAGACGGGGACTCGAAAGACCCCTTGGACGGCTCGGACTAAGAGAATCGATAAATTTCCGTCATCACCAATGCCAGTCCCTTCGCAAATTCGTCAATGGAGCGCAGGGTCACAGGCCAATGTTCGAAGGAATTCTTCTCCGACTCCCCGTCGATCTCGCTTTGATCTACGAAGCGGTAGTCCTGAACAACCATCGCAGAGGGCTCGCAAGCAATCACTCACTCAACCATCCAAAGAACCTCCGAAACTTCCGGGCTTCCAAAATGCTTTCCAGTCAACGCCATTAAAGAACGCGAGTAAGCGTAAGCAACGAGAGATGAGTTTGAGTGACCAAACTTCGACTTTTGATCCTGGTGCTGCGTTTTCATCGCCGCCAAGTTCGCCAATCCAGCCTCCGAAGTCTCGCCTACCCTCAGAAGTGTCTGATTCTCGTACAGACAACGCTATTGTACTCCCCACTCAGGCTCACCTGGAACCTAGGAACGAGATAGATGACTTCTTTCAAGATCGAGGTGGCGAGTCGAGTATTGACGTGGAAATGGGCGATGTCGTGCAAGAACCTTCTGTTGCAGGCGCGGGGACGTCCGATGAGGCCATGGAAATTGAACCCCCAGATCCTACAGAAGAGGTAAATTGCATTCCCTCGCTGGTCATGTCACAGCTGACCGACATGCACATAGCTCAAACATATCGTCTTGACCCACTCTATGCCCTCTGACGAGCCAAGGCAGCTGACTTTTCAACTTCTCTTGGGTTCGGCACTTCCTCCTTCAACCTCTTCAGACTGTCTCTCCCGTTATAACTCAGCCTCTGCTGAACTACTGGGAACACTTGGCTCTACAGCCAAATTGATTGACCACAGCACTCACCTTCGTAATGCCGCCCATGCGCTCATAACCATGGCGAATATCCTACTTGCCAATGCTTCAGTGCGTGAAATGAACGTCTTGCGCTTTATGTTATTGATTATTTCTACAGTTTTCCCCCTTGGCTGCTCTCCTCCACCTGATACGAGTTCTTTTATACTCTATACCAGCAATCGCTGTGTTATTTCTAGCGATCCCCTCTTCAGATACAGAAAATGACTCGCCAGCCCTCGTAATGGCTCTCATATGTGGTATAATCACCCGCCTTGACCCAGCGAAGGATGATTATCCAATAGACACTGCGCCACCCCTGATGTCGGAAGTTCTAGGACTGCTAGAGACACTGTGTTGGAGTGCGCCCGAGAACTTGGTTGAACGGTCGGTCTCTTTGAGATTCGGCTGTGACCTCTGGCTAAGTCATTTCTAGACTCGCTATCATACCGCAGAAGCATGAGATACTCATGCTTCTAATATCGCCCTTGCAGTGCCCTGCTATTTTGCGGCGCTCTATCAGAATGTTGGCATTCCTCGCCTCTCGTACGTACGATCTTATACGTATAAACACATCGTGAACTCATTCTTCTTTGTATCGAAGACGCCGAGCTGTTTCGTCACTTCCTGTCGTATCCTGGGATGTCTGAGGGATCGTACAAACGCTACAGGAACATTCCGCAAATCGAACAATTGGCGGAGTATTTGAAAGATGAAGAGCATCGAGGGCCTGAGGTAGGTCACACATATCTTCGTCAGATAATCAATTGACTCAATCTTCTAAAGTGGGACGGATTGAAAGAGGATGTCCTGAGCTTGATTGCTGCTTTAGCCATTGCCAATACCGAAGCCGTCAGCATTCTTAATCAGTCTCAAAAACTCATCCCCTCCATGATTCTGTACCTATCGAACCTCAGTGCTGCCTTCTGGGAGGAAGACGAAGATATAACGTCTTCTGTTGATAGGGCTTCTTTGTGAGTGCCGTAAATCCCCGGGAACAGTCTATAGCTCATACTTTGATAGCGTCATGCGACTTATCAACCGAATCACCTCGTTGTTATTCTACATGGTCTTTACGCCGTCGCCTAGATATAGTCTGGCTCAGCGACTTCACTACACCCCCGCGCGCCCATTTAACGGCCTCGCCCACATGTTCACTATCACCATGAGTCGTTTCGCCTTCGCGGATGTTCCTCCATGGGTCAGTCCCGAGGTGAAAATAATGTTGGAGCACACTAACGGTGAGTATTGTCACGTTCATGAGTTCATCTTGTACGTTTTGACCTTACGAACGTAGATTTGGCTGCTATCTTGCTTGAATTAGTGCTGGAAGGTCCAGAGCTGGAGATGGCTTGGGCTGCATTCCAACCTGATCCTGAAAGCGCACGCCGGCATGCTGAGGAGAATGACGATGAACGAGAAGCCCGTCTAGCTCACCCAGCATCTGAAGAAGAGTGATTCGCGTTGTATGCTATGATCTATGGCCTTATGTCACTTCGAGTATGTACCCTCTATGATCCGATATTCTTCACATATGTAGCATACGCTTGTTGTATTACTTAGCCCCTCCTGCGTGCAACCCGTCTCTCATTCGCATCAAGAATAATTAGGGCGAAAGCAATTCACGTTATGCTCGCCTCGATCGTAGTGGGGGCATGGGCTGTGGTAGTGCTGCAGATAATCTTTGCTTCGCCTCACATGAGCGAAGTTCAGCCTTGGCCTCAGAAGCGAGGAATCGGACCTACCGGCTTGTATACGTATCTGCCAGACTCGTCTTGTCGACAAGCAGAGGCAGCCGGCACGGGCCTTGAATGATAAAGTGTAGTTCTCTTCAACTATTGTTCAACTCCCGGGTCGTGATGAACTGTTCGAAGTGATTCAGGATCTCTCCAACTCCAGTTCTTTCAGCTCGAATCATTCCGCATTAGTGCGGGGTACGATTATGTTACAGTATATGTACTGTAGCTAGCCCCACCGTGTTGTTCACTGGACGTTTTGTGGTATTGTCTTTGATGGTTGAATCGCCTTCCAAAGTAGACCACATTCCCTCGAATTCTCTCTATCGCAACATTGATGGGAACAACTTTGTGTGCCACTTAACATTGCAAGAGCGCACCAGAAGGATCGGATCCTATAAATGCGGTCAAGTTTCGATCTAGAAAGGATAGATTAGACAGGACATACTGGGGTAGAACCAGAATGCTACAGCAACAAGAAAATAGAGGTCTTTGTGACTCTGATTTCAACAAAGCGCGATGAAGAATGCTTGACTCTCGGACTCACGTATCAGGATCATGCCCTCAAACCAATTAGTCTTGCCATCAGCAAGAATGTAGTTCAAAGTGAGGACTACCGAACGACCATCAGTTCCGCCTCCCCAAGTATTCATTGAGACGTACCACTAAGGAAAAGGGCCTAGAATCGCACGATAACTCCGGTCAACAATGACTACGGCACCGGAATATAGGATACTGACCACACATTCGAATGGATCAAACAATAGGGTCAAGGGCTTGCCCATAATCCATGCGATGCATATCACTAATCTGCGCACGTACTTGCGCATTTAGAGATCCCATCCATGAGAAAGGCGAGTAGGGACATACGGAATGATAAGGATGGCAATTTGCTTGTAGGTCATCAACACAATGACAGAATACACCGTTGGGGCAACACTCACTATTGTTGATCCAACGGCAGTCTTAATGCAGAGGTTTATCTTATCCTTCACTGAAATTGTAACCGACTTTATGCGTTCTAAAAGAATACAATCGCCTGTGTCAGCGCAAGCCTGTTAATTTATCGCATAGAAGTAACAAACCGGCAGTGTTGCCACTCAACAGAGGAAGCAAAATCAAGCCAATCCACTCCCTGCTAATACCGCCTGTCGCGGTAAGTTCGCCAATGGTGTTGACAAGGAATTCCACAGTGGCGACGGTAAGCTAATTATGGATGTCATCAAAAGGATAACTTGGACCTAAAAGGATATAAGAATGATGAAAACACTGACAGCAATCACGAAAACAAGGAATCCAATCGCTAGCCAGATGCTGAGGAATGGAACTTCCTCTTCCTCCTCTTCGTACAGTGTTGACTCGGGGTCTCTAGTGTTTGAAGTTTGTTCGCCAAAAGAGTTTCTGTCCGTTGTCGCATCGCCCGTCTTGCTCTTTGGGCGAGAACTTCACAGACTGAAATGTGTCGGGGCTGCGCTCGTCGCTATAAAGCTGGACGTGAGAGAACAATTGGAAGAGAACGAAGTTGAAATAAACTGTGAATGAGGTAGTAAAAAGTATACACCCTTAGCACAACGAAACAAACGCACGGGAAAGTAGCACGAGGGCAGCCTATTCCAATGATCCAGCCAATCATCAGTGACTGTCAGCAAAATTTCAAAGAGGGACTGAAACTTGCCCCATGGCTCATGCGTAGAATGGCTTGGCCTTGATCTGGGTCCGTGAGCTGTCCATTCACGGAAAAATGGAATGCAGCAGGAAGTAATACTGCGATCACGGCAAGGACAAGAAGAGAGGAGTTAATTTGGGCGATTCCTGGACTAAACCCCTGCTCTGAAAACCGCGTCCCTCCCGCAAAGAAGCATAGTCCAAGTATGAGAACTAGACGGCAAGATATTTAACAACTGAACAAAAAAGAAGGGTCGGAATGAATACATACGGAGGTTGCTGAGCATAGCGCCGACGACTAGAAAAGAGTAATTCAGGCTGTTTTCATGAGAAGATGTAAGAAACATACGGGAAGACTGAACCACACAAAGTTCACAGTTGCGTACCGCAACGATCTGCCGCCCATGTTTGAGCATATCTCAGAATGGAATAGATCAGAGCATCCCACCGCCGATATAAACTCAACGCTATTGATAGTTAAACATGAACATCATAGAAACTAGGTTCAAGATAAGGCGAATTGTGGGTACCTGTTTCCCTGGGAAGACACAAAAAAATGAATGTGGCAGAAAGCCGAATACTCGTATATGACTTACCATTGTGGTAGCAACCCATATTCCGAACGCAGTACCGATACGTAGAGTGATCTCGTCAGTTAGAATACCTATAAGCTTGAATGACACTCAGAAAATATTCTCTACCCTCTAATCCATGTCATGCTTACGTTGCCTAGTGGGATAACCGCAAGATATAGACCTATTATCCAGATTGTCAGTGATACCATGTATACTGATAAAGAAGACAATTCTTGCATGAAAAGACAATAGGTGCCTTGAATTTGCTGAAATAAAGTGCCCACTAGCACCAGAACATTTTTAGTGGCGGATGCTGGCGAAGCTGAAATCGAACATACTGAAATAGGAATGAAAATCAAGAGGACGTTCAACCCTAAGTCGCGATCAGTAAGCGTCGACAACACCTTGGTATAATTGATGGACATACATGAGGATAGTATTAGCATTCGAATGCCTTGTGCAAAGCTAGGACGCTGTCCAATGCGCTTATCAGGTTTCATTGACTCGGTTATAGCATAACTCAAAGACCGCATGCGAAGGGCAGCGTTTGATCTGTTCGGATCACTATGGGAAGTAGATGACGCTGAGCTTCCCAAGTTGCGGCGTGTGGATTGCGTCGTGCTACTGCTGAGGGTCCGTCCGGCCTCTACCGCTGTTTCGAACTCATCAACAGAAGCCTGGACTTCTATAGTTCCATTAGCAGTACGGAATGTATGAAGTGCTGATGTGAAGGAAGACGTTAACTCATCAATGTGCTGGCGAAAAATCAATGGCCACTTACATGACTGTGGTAGCGTAGACCTCCCTGTTGACTGGGAGTCAGCAACAGAGGAGTTTCCATCTGCATTCGTACTATCCGCGGTATGGAAAGCTACAATTCCAGTCAGGCATCTGACACTATGGCTGGCATGGCACTCTTACATGAGATTGACCCTGCTTCAGACATGGTTGTGATTACGAGGAAGATCGTCTACGGGCGCACGAGACGAATACGACCCCAAGGAGCAGTGCTATTAGGTTATCGCATCCCATTCCTCCTGTCAACCTTTGGCAGTGCCGTGACTGACCGTGTCATACTCCACAGCTGTTGCGATAGAACGGATATATCCACTGTATTGCCGCAGTAGTGCGTCTTCTGTGGCTGGTGTAATATGCGCACTAGATCGGCGTCTATTCAGAAAATCACAAACAAATCGAAGTTTTGTATACCTGTCTTCCAATTGCCAAGAGTAGTTCAGATCACGTTTGGATGCGCACCAAAACGAATTCCTTCCTTTTCTTTTTCTTCAGATGGACGTCTCATAAGGAGTTCCTTGACCCTGTATGCACCTATATCAGCATACCTCAAGAGTTTCAACATGAAATGAAGTTTAACTGTTCACCGTGGTCCACCCAAGCAGCCACTTGCTGAAGATCAAAACAAAGCATAACAGAGCAGAGATAAAATGTTCTCACTATTAATGGATCAATAACATAGCGTACATAGGGTATCGATTTAGAGACAAACCACCGGATGCGGTCGAGAACGTTAGTCTACCCATGTGGGCTCAGTGGAGAAACGAGCCTTCGGTGAGTAAGAGCCTCCCTTGAGTCCTTTGCCATCCATTCGGATCTTCACTGAGCGATGTACATAGAAGTCTTTCTCCGTGAACTTCGGAACGACTCTCCCCCGCCCGCGATTGATCCTAGCAACGGCACACATGTCAATGGTACGTTGATGGCAAACAACAGTCCAATGAACTTACACCAACTTCTCAATCCATGTATTATCCTTTCGTTGATACCGTTGAGAAAGCGGAAGAAGTTCTAAAATCCACCAAAAAGGCTTGAGCAGCAATTGGTCGTAAACTGGAGAAAGGGCATCTTTCAAGTCTTCTTCCTCTTCAGTCAGATGTTTGTCTGAATCCTCCGTGCCGACCAATGTGGCGTCTGTTGGCGTGCGATTATGCGTTGGGGTGAAATAAAGTGCTGGGGGCCGAGGCTGCACAATAGGGTACAAAGAAGCAGAGTCCAAGCCGACTTTCTTCAGGAGGGATGAGTGGAAGCGGATACCTGTGTTCGTAAGGAAACATTGGCGAATCATCCATCGGAGAGGGATACGCGCCAAGTTATGTCGGGTGTCGTTCGGTACAGAGCCTCCTCCGACATCTGTGAGAATCGGGGAGATTCAAAATCATGGAATTTGAATGACATGAGGCTATTCAGCTTACCGCAATGGCAGCCAGCGAACCAAACTTCCTTTACGTCAGTATCAAGTGCGTTGTGGTCTTGTTTCGTGAACTCAATTTCTCGCTCGGCTTGGCGTTGTTCCTCCAACTGGGCACTGTTGGTTGTCTTGTGAATCCAATCTTGGACTGCTTCTGGCATGCCAAGTTTTGACGATGACGGTGTAACACCAGACTTAGGCATTTGTCCGGGCTGGACGCCAAGTTTGCTCTCAGCTTCCGTGGGACGATTGTATAGGTTAGCTTTGAATTTGGCGCGACGTTCGTCAAGCGACACTGCATGTCTGAAGAACCGGATCGCGCTATTGGAGGAGACGAATGGCAGTCGTCGAGAGATCAAACCAACCGAACACACGGTATCCCTGATCCACCGAGACATGAACGATGGGCAGCACATGGTGCAAAAAATCATACGCACCAGACTCCGACAAACTCAACGTCAACATCGATAGAGAAAGCCTTTTTGAAAGCGGCACTTTGCTTCCACCCTTGTTCTGATGCCCGAGTGTACATCTTGTACGCAAAAGGCACTTGTTGGTGATTCCCTGCCGGTAAAAGGCCAACCTTGAATAGATGGCGAAGTTAGTCGCAGCCAGTAAATGCCCGGAATTAACATGCCTTCTGGATCATGCCGGCCAACGAACGTGCGGTATACGCGCCACGCGAGAAGCCGAACAAGCAAATCTTGTCACCTCCTTGGTCTTCAGAAGATCTGTCAGCGAACGCATGGTCGAAAGGCAGTTACGTCCTGCTCACAGTTCTCCATTAGGAACGAATAGCCATCTGTGGCGCAAAATCTGTAAATCACAGCCCGCTCATTTACGTTCTAATTGAATCTTACCCATGACGTGCGCATCAAGGTTCCAAGCTACGGCCTCATCCATAGCCTTGGATACCTTGGACATAATTGGAGTCGCAATTTGAGGTACCGTATAAGTGCCGATGCCAGCCTGCGAGATGAAATAATGAAATCGAGCTCGATGTCAATCTAAGACATCGACGACTGCTTACATACCTGGTAGTAAACCATCTGCTGCCTATGGTCATCCTTCTGCAGGAGAGAAAATAGCTGAACAACGTTGGAATTCTACAGATACGAACTTAGACGAAGGTGAGTGTGGCGCAAACAATATCGTACTCACATCGTTGTCAAACTGGTCTCCCGTGCCGTCGAAGCAAAGAACCAATGTTCGTGGTCTCAAAACATTAGTGGGAGGGATGACATCGTTCTCGGCCAGGGTAATGTGAGGCTGGTTAAGCTTCGTCATTTCTGATAGTCGTTTGGAATATACGTTAATGGTCGAAAGGTTCGTTAGGAGTCGTGACAGGCGTAGAGAGACGTTAGATCGATAGCGCTATTGTCTTGTTACCATCGAGTTCTCATGTATATATATACCTAGAGAGCTTGGCTATCCTTAGAACGGAGACAGGGCTTACAGCGCGATTTGCATTGGTTAGACCCGCTCATCATCGCTTCCGAGCGCTGGGAAACGTGTGACAGCCTGTTGGTAGACCGACTTCAGCGCATCTTTTGCCCTTGATCATGATCTGTGGTGTGGCAGGCCTCCATTCTTCGGAAAGTTGCCGACCGAGGCATATGTTCCCCTGCGTTCTGAGCCTGCTTCGAGGATATGCTTTTGCTGAGGCCAGAGACGAGAACAGCCCGAAGAACAAGACTAGTTTCAGGGTATCCACCTTGAATTCAAACGATCAAATGCCAATCATACAGTGTTGAACCGAGCGGTAAGATCTAGCGTCGCAATCAACGAGTTACCGACAAAGTCATATTCAGCTAATAGACTTCAGAAATAATCAGTGATGCGCCTTGTCGGCGTGAGACGCATGCCAAGGAGCTACGACCGGCACGCAGAAAAAAGTAATGAGAAATCTTGCGATAGACGGAGATGAAGTTCAGAAGTTGGATGCAGATCATTGCAATGAAAACACACGCTGCATATAATTCATTCTCCGACGCGGCTCCGCCCAAACTGGGTGGCTGCCTCGGCCTTGCTTGTCCCCCCCCGCTTGGAAGCTCTTCACGAATTCCCCGTACATTCTGCATTTTAAGCAATAAAAAAGATACACCTTTGCGAGGGAAATTTACAAGATATACCTATTCAGTCAAAATACTGGCCGCCATCGATAGTTATTGTTTGCCCTGAAAGATAGCAGAATTAACATGGGACCGCTATATTCAATCTCAAAGTACTTGACATACCTGTGACAAAGTGCGCCTCGGGTTTAATCAGGTATGCAACGAGCTCAGCGACTACGCTTGGTGTGGCGCCTTTGGTTCCTGGTTTAAGAGCAGGATTCTACGCCACAAGCAAACCTTGGTCATCTCCCAGAATGCAGGACGAACAAGCCCAACCTACCATCAGAACAACGGACCCGAGCCCGCCATGTTTATCATCATCAGGGTGAACGACTGCAACAGATGAAACAATGAGCGAAATTCAGCCGGTGCAATAAGATTGACATCTTAGCTACTTACCCATCGGCGTCAGGATCAAGCCCGGAGCATAGCTATTCACTGTGATGTTATGTTTCTGCAGCTCGAGTGCTGTGAAAATGAAAGCATAAGTAAAATGGAGTCATGTTCCGTCGGCGAGGTACATACCAGTGGCTTGAGTCATTCCTCGTACGGCGAACTTGGATGCGCAGTATAGCGATACATCCGCCATTCCTAAATTCATTGGTTAGTCCGTCGACTTGTCCATATTATCATGTTTCACCATATTTACCTTGCTTTCCGGACAGCGAGCTAGCACCTAGTCAACAGAGTCAAATTCCGCGCCGATTCGAACTCTAAAGCGTAGCGCATACCAATGATTCTGCCACCACGACCTTGCTTGATCATTTGTTGCGCAGCATGCTTGAAGGCGAGCATTACACCAAGAGTATTTACTCCTAAGACACGATTGAAGTCTTCGGGTGTACCTAAGTTATTTTATTGATCTTAGAACGAAACATTGAGACTTTGATGATGAAACATACACTCAGTAATGGGCTTCATAAATAGGATGCCGGCATTCGCAACCATCTACTCCCTCGCATGAATACCTCTATGATTATGCCACCACCATTTGACTTACGATGTCTAGACCTCCGAATGTCTCAACGGTCTTATCCACAGCGCCCTTGATATCCGCTTCGTTCGTAACGTCCCCGACAACATAGAACGCTTTCCTTCCTTTCGCCTCGATTTTCTTGACGAGACTTTCCAGTAGAGACTCCTTCCCCTTGACATCGAAGATAACCACGTTAATATCTTCGTCGGCTAGACGGAGCGCAATGGCTTCGCCGATCCCTTGAGCTCCCCCAGTGATGATCGCGACACGAGTAGAGGTTGTAGACATTCTAGAAGCAGGACAATAGCGAATGGCGCAGAAAGCAGGAAGGGGAGCTAACGTTCAGTGTGGTACGTAGCCTGCATATTAATGGGTTGATCAGGAGGTGGGCTCATTTCTGAAGAAAGTGGTCTGAGCAGATGCAATTGAGATGGAAATTTCCCAGCGGGAAGACGCTGATGGATAGGCCTCACTATGTCCATAATCGTTCATAGGTCGACAATTGACCGAGAGCCACGTTGGCCGAGCTTGAGCTTATCATGGTCTCAATTCCCGTATTTAGCTTCTCGAAGTGAGCATGAGTGTTTATCTGCATCGGATATGCTTCTGTTAGTAAAGCGTTCGTTGTCACTGATTGGATAACCTGTAATGGAGGAACGTGGTGAAAGAAGAGAGAGAAGAAACAGCATGCAGACCCTCGGTGATGCGTTTATAGCGAAGCGCCGACGGAAGTGGGCGATAGTCTCAATTTGGCAACCGTTATAGTACCTATGATTGGTCGCTGAAGATTGTTCTCAAATATTAGTTCATTTGTACGTAGTCGAAGAGAAAATACATGTCCGTAACCAATTTCACACTCATCTTACTTAGTCTTTAAGCTTTTCTGCTGCGGTGTCACAGGAGCTAACTAATAGCGTATTTCGTAGTAGCAAGTCGAGAACCTAAAGAAACGTAGCATCGAAACGCAGAACGAAAAAGTAATCAGATCTGTTGAGACCAATTTTATCAATAAATGTAGCATGTAGCAATTTCCCAACTCACCGAAGAGCCAAAAGTTTAGTACCGAGCCTTCAACCTGAGTGGCAATGCACCCCGATGCGTAATATAAACCTCAACCAGCCCGTTCTCATAACTCTCGAACTCAGATCCGTTGATAGGGTCTATATCAAACTTCTGCAAAACTCCACACATAATGGCCCGCATCTCCATCCATGCAATCAATTTCCCTGCACAACTCTGTCGGCCAGCGGAGAATGGGTTGAATACTGCCTTGTTGTGAGTTAATTGGGTGGACGGGATCGTATCCCCGGATGGAAGGGTGTAAGAAGATTGAGTGAGCCAACGGTCGGGCCAGAACGTGTCAGGAATAGGATAAAAGTAGCGTGGGTCCCTATGCAGGGAAAAGAGATGGGCGGAGACTTGGGTCCCTTCCGGGACGAAACTAGGGTAGGAGGTCAATTGACTTGACGGAGACTGTGACCCGCGTCGATGAACATACAAGGGTCCAATCATCCTTCCACCAGTACCCTTCTCGACACGACGCTGCAATCCAAGTAGAACAGCAGGATAGAGCCTCAGAGCTTCATTACTCCAAATTCCCAAATCATCAGTGCATGATTCAACCTCTGACTCAGAATTGAAACCACAATAACTCACATACAAGCATTCAGATATGGCATCTCGCTTTGCTTCGTATAATCCGCAGTTTCCTCCCCTTGCGGGAAAACACGGTCAATCTCCTCCTGCAACCGTTTCTTCATTTTCGGGTTCTTGAGTAAGAAATAGAATAGGTGTGTAAGATTGGTAGCGGATGTATCAGAGCCAGCGATAATAGACATCATTCCGTCGGAAATGGCTGCCTCGATGTTCAGTTTCATCCCTGTGGATTCATCTTCGCTGACCTGTCAATATATGAATGGTGAGCGAGTCTCGGCAGTAGGAAAGGGGGCCGAGGCACTTACAAGGTAGTGGAAGAGATCACGTTTGTTGGAGCCGGCTTCTATACGCTGTTTGGCGATTCGAGCACCTATGGTTTGCAGGACGACGAAGGCGGAACCACCCTGAGGGGAATATTTTAGGAAGTTGAGGATCCAAGGAATGTGGGAAAGTATCCCTGCAGCACTGTTATTGCAAGATGCGTCAATAACGATCACAGTAAGTTAAGAGCGAGAGAGGCACCTACAAAGTGCCTTCTTCGAGGGCATGCCAGATCCCGGTCGTATCCTTTCCTGCTTTTATCATACCGAATTCTGTGCTGAAGCTGTATGTTTGCGAACATTGGTCAGTACAAGCATCATGGCAGTGGATAGTTGCAAACTGAACTCACATCATCTCGCCCATGAAATCAAAGCTATTAAAAATAAACATACGGAAATCTGTACAGATACAAATGAATACCAGTACTCACGCAGCGAACGTCATCCAATCCGATATATCCACCTCCTGCCTAACCTCTAACGCCTGAACCAATTCATCGACCGTCTTTGTTAGATACTCACTGTACCCCTTCATAGCCGAGATACTCATCGCTTTCGTCCATGGCTTACGTCGAGCGGCGTGTTCGACGAAGTCGCGTATCCCGTCGAGAGCAGGCTTGCCGTCGGCTTGGCGAGAGTCGTAGTCTGGTGGAAGGAAGGAAGAAGTTGATACAAATGGCTGCGAATATAATTTAGAAAGGAGGACACACAGGGGCCCTTGCGAAGGTCTTTGGTCAGGATGGGTGCGATTGCATCCCCGTGACGGATCGAGAGTTCGTTCGGTCCTGACGGCAGACCGGTTAGCTTATACAGACAGAAATGTAGCTAGTGGCAACTCGCCGATGCGGACAATATCTCCATATTTGTCATGGAGCGCTCTCACGTACTGATGATGATTGCCCTTCGCGGTCATCCAAGCATCCCATAACTTTGACATTTTTCCTGGCAGTGGACCGGGATACTGAGCTAGAGGGTGGAAAGGAGACAACCTGTAGCCAGTTACTAGGGCGAGCAAGATGAAATAGTATGAGACAAAGATGGCCAGGACAGCGGTGACAAGCGACGTAAATTGCACTTGGAGGAGGGTGGTTAGCACGGTCGGAACACCGAGTAGGAGAAGGGAAGTCGAGAGCAGATCTGTGGGTTCGAACAAGTGGTATATCCACCATCCTGTCTGCCAGGATACGTGAGTACAGTAAAGAAATTGTAGACTAGGCTGAGCACACTACCGAACACGTACCAACGACGCAAGGAAAGTGAGTGTACTTGGCTTAAATGCCATGTTGAGGGGAAGATACGGAGCACAAGTTTCAAACGAAGAAACTATTTAAGGACTCAAAGGGCACACTCCTGAAATACGTTAATCAGAGGAGTAACCTGAAACACCAAAGCAGGTTAAGGTGCGACGGTAGTCGGTGTATAGGTGATGTGTTATTGAATAACCTGCGTTTCGCTTTGTAGACTGTTAGTGGCTGTTTACCAAACACTCCTATCCTTCACCGCCAAATTCAGATTAGTTCCGCTTGACTATGCGCTCTCGATCGATCTTTTTCTACATCCACTTCCACACACTGCAGCTGCACGCAGAGCGATAAACTGCTTGTCGAAGGATTAGTGTAGCTCATAGATGTTCTGGTACATCACGTTAGTGCCAGCCGACTGGCATGATGAGCGCAGAGAACGAAGAGCCAACAAAGCATACGCCTACTCCCGGCAAGGGTTGGGAAGAAGTTCGTCAATTGGCCAGGAAAATAAATAGTTTGGGAAGGTGCCATTGTGCGTTGAGCTGTAAACTTAGTAACATTGAGTGTGTACGCTGATGAGCCGTTGGACTATAGTCAGCTATCATTACGATGAAGCCTCTGTTCGTCTATGTTTGTCCACGTTCAAGTCGGTCGCTGGGTCATCATGGTGCGAAATCTAGTGGGAGTACATGACAAGTCAGATTCATCGCGTTTTACAAGCGACATCGTCTACCCATTATGGAAGTGAGCGGCTGCGCGGTCCGTAGTACACATTTAATCAATGTTGGAAACTTGGAATATAAAGCGCTGGACGGCCTGTTTTCCGTCCTTGACGCGTCACGTCGAACAGTCATTGCATCGTCCCCTCGTTTGCTTGCTCTTCAAATTCTTTCTCTTTGAACAAGCATTTCTTTAGGTGAAGATGGTACTGGATCTTTTGGAAGTCCGTGAGCCATTCAATAACATCGGCATCTCACAAACTCCCCGAGATCACAGGTGACTGGGCCGTCCTTGGCTTACATCGTCCTCGGTGGATTTGTAGTCGCTGTAAGTACATCCCATCTACCAGTATTGTCTTATTACTAGACCTCCGATGTGTCTGTTTGCGCCCGTGGCAAACTGTCCCGGACTGAGATGATCAGGATGCTTACCTATATGATTCACTTGCAGTTCAGCATGGTCTCTCTCCTCGTGAAGGAGAAGGCAAGTCCCTCCGGTCTGTTTCTTTTCCGTTTTGTCATTTCAATATTCTGCTTTTTTTCCAGATGTACCTAAATGAAGTAGTCCTCGGTACTGCGTTCGGCATCCTTATGGGGCCATACTGTGCCAATATCTTTGATCCACGATCTTGGGGCTCGTTGACGAACACTATTACTTTGGAGGTCATGAGAATCGTACTCGCGACTGGTCTGTTTGCCATTGGGGTTGAGCTTCCTCAAAGCTACCTCGCTGATCATGCAAAGGGATTGCTAGTTATGGTGGTACCTACCATGGCTTTTGGCTGGGTCGTTGTTGCAGGTGAGCTCTTAACATGTAGGGATCGCACTATCAGTCGACATGGGGCATTTTTTCCTCCCTTTTTTTTTGTCATCGTCCAGGGCTCTTCCCCTCTTTGCTTCCTTCTGAATGTATGTGTGGGTTTTGCTCCAAAGCCGCCGTCATCTTTGTCTCCGTCTTGGATGCAATTACTATGGACGTTTAAAAGCGTCTTCCAGACATTACCACCCTCCATCACAGGACCTCTCATTCAAAAGATATCTCCTGATTGCCCATACCATTGCTAATTATGAAGAAAGCCTATGTCCCTCCGCCAATCTGTAGACTCTGGTTGTCACTACACCGCATGTTCTGGATTTGGAACATACTGTGAAGGGCGATGATGATGAGAGTCTTGCCCGCTATTCCTCCGCAACGATACACACGAGTAGCATGCTAAAACACTATTCCACATTCCTAGCTATCATCAAAGCCCTGTTCCCGATGTACAGCTTTGTCTCTGCTCTTGCCGTTGCAGCTTGTCTGACACCTACAGATCCTATTATCTGCGCAGCTATTGTCGGTCAGTCTGCTTCCTTTGTTCTGTATTTACTTTCATGAATCAGACATTCGTGCTCTATTGTGCCTGTAGGCGGGCAGTTCGCAATCAAGCACGTCCCGACAAATCTTCGGCGGATCCTAGCAGCCGAATCTGCTGCCAACGACGGTCTCGCCTACCCCTTCCTGTCAATTGCCATTTACCTTACAGTTGAACAATCCACAACGGTGGCAATTGGAAAGTGGTTCTTAGTTGGCTGGTTATGTACGTCTCACCAGCTACCAACTATTTCTGGTCTCTGTCTTTGTCTCATGGTACATTTGATTGTCTGTAGACCAAGTGATCATGGGCGTCGTGTTAGGCGCAACACTAGGTACCAACGGTTGTCGTTTATTCAATTACTGCTTTGACATACATTGTCAATAGGTCAGGCGTTCTGCTACCTCATGAAATACACACAACGGAAGGGTTTCATCGATCGTGAATCTTATGTCGCCCAATACCTCGCTCTTGCGCTTTTCACCATCGGCGTTACGAGCACGATTGGTAGTGACGACCTTCTAGCAGCGTTCGCAGCGGGTTCCGCAATCTCCTGGGATGGTTACTTCAACATTCAGACCGAAAACGAAATCTTCTCCTCGGTTATTGATTTGGTTCTCAATTGCGGATGTTTCGTTTACATCGGCGCCTGGCTTCCCTTTGCTGCCTTCAACTCCCCTGACTTGGATATTGTTCCGTGGAAATTGGTGGTTTTGTTCTTGGCGGTGTTGGTGTTGAGAAGAATTCCGCCGTTGCTGTTGCTTTATAGGTGGGTGCCAGAGATCGACGGGTGGAAGGAAGCACTATTCAGTGGGCATTTTGGACCGGTGAGTCTTAGTCATGTCAGAGTATGACTTAGAATTCTTGACCGTGCTATACACATAGATGGGCGTAGGTGCCGTGTTCATCTCTACACTTGCGTTAACGCGTCTTCCCCAACCTCACTCGCCTCCGAGGAATCAAGAAGAATACCTCGCAGCTACGCTCCAAACGATCGTTTCCTTCATTGTCCTTGGCTCCATTCTTATTCGTAACTACCTTCCTACTACTCTGTCCCTTTGTTGCTTAATGCATACCTATTTGTCAGACGGACTATCAATTCCCTTCTTTTCCTTTGGCCGCAAGATTCACTCCCGCACGATCTCAATGTCCCGCACTCGGACTTCCCGACAGCCCATAAACTCGGATTGGCCCCTCTGGATTCGCCGTTTGCCCGCTTCGCCCAATTTTCTGCAGTCGCATGCTACACTTTCCCATTATGCCGAACGTACAGGCTCTCAGGATGAATCGGAGAACTGCGCTGACGCCGTTATCAACCTCGATGCCGAGAAAGATGACGGCACTCATGATCAGAGTCAAGATGGGACTGGATTGTACAAAGGAGTGGAAAGCGACTTGGGCGGAGATGCCCTTGTTGTACGTGAAATTGAGGTAACTGAGGATACGGACGTTTCGGCGACTAGTCAGAACGAAGCGACAAGGGCTGACTTGAAGGAGTCAGGGATGATTGAAGGTGTGGGAGAGCGAAATACGAATGTGACCAAGAGGAGGTTCTTGAGCAGAGGAGATATTGAGAAAGGGATGGAAATGATGGATACACGCCGTTACGAGGTATGATCTCACCAGTTGATCTCGTGTTCCTGTTCATACAATTGCAAGCATTTCGTAGGAGATAAGTACAGGTACAAGTGGAACTCAAACTCCTTCCACGCCCCTCCGGATTTACACCCGAGACCAATTTCAAGATGGCTTCTTCATCTCTAAGGAGCAACCGAATGACCGTTCTTCTCCCGATCAGCTTCAACCTGCATCTTGCAAGGGTAGTGACGCCCAAGCTCAGGAAGACCACGGGGATGAGATACCTTCCACTGTTCGGACCTCGTCTAGGACGGTTCGCACCCCTTCTGATCAATAACATTGGCTGGGCCTCTGTTGGGGTCGATACTGTGTGCATTTCTGGAGACGGGTGTTAATTCTTGCAAGCAGTCGCTTACGAACGTACCGCATAGTGTCTGGATTTGCCGTCTTTCTTGCAGAACAAGCGATGGTTCGTAAATTAATCTCACGTCTCTTTTATCGACTACTTTACCCGCTAGAGGTCTGTTGTGTATACTCTAAAGTTTCATTTCGTTTCACAACATCTACTGTATAGAATTTTTAGAATCACTTCAAAAATATGCCGCTTGTAGATACACCTTAGTGCGCTAATATGAACGAACATACTTGCTACAATAAGGCGATTTATGCGATTCGGATTGTCAGACTATGGACCGGTCATTAGTCATGTTCAAAAGTACAAGTCCCCCTATAGTATCAACATCAAAGTTAAATATCCATGCTGCGAAATCAAATATGAATACTCACTGGTTCGTAGAGTATGCTTAACCGATTAGTGCCTCTCAGATGCGCCATACGTTCTCCGAAGAAATGGCCGAACTGATAGAAGAGCACATGCGAAGGATTACCACGCGCGGAGGGATTGGCAGGATCTCCACGCACAGTGGAACTAAAAAAAGAGTAGGCTTTTCCGAGATGCGACACCAAGATTGGGGACGGCCAGAAGTGACCCATACCAAGTTCTACTAGTTCCTGCTGCGTATACCCATCTTGATTGGCCAGATCAAGAGGGCGCTCGTGGTCACTCCTGTATACGCTATCCCAGCGCATATCAGTATCCTTGTGCACGTTGTCAACGAACTTGATACTGAGAGCCTTGAGACCTGAAAATTCGAGCGCTAACGTCCTATCAGTGGCTACCCAGTGTGCTTCTGACGCGAGTAGAATGGGTAGCAAAGAACCCATGCACTGCTTCCCGTGCACGTCGAAAGTGAGTTCTATCTCCTTCAGACTCGATGTACGAGGAAGGAAGGATACGAGTGTAAGTGTTGTATGGATCTGCGAGGCAATGGGAAAAAGCATGTTGTCCATCTTAGCGGCCATGAATGAGGCTCGCTCGAGAGAACCGCACGCGGAGAGACCGAGACCGAAAGACCTTAACGATGATAACGGTACTGAGGGCTAAATTAATGATGCATCGAACAAGGAAAAAAAATCAGAAACGTACTTCTAGTAATGACTGGATGTCTTGGACACTGGAGTGATAAGGAGACCGAGCGAATGTCCCCATTGGACAGCAGTTCGGCAAATGATGGCAATTCCTCGAGACCCCAAACGTCGAACTCCACATTTTGCAGCGTGTTTGGTAATAACATGCGAGCCAGCACGGGTATGAAAGGTGCAATGTCTATGCCGTAGTCGGTGGTAACCTTCAGGCTGTGCACGCGTAGCGTATGAGGTACCGGGACCCATTCTTGTAACAACTGCGTGGACAATTCAGAGCTATCACCTGGGAAAGGTTCCAGGAGTCCGCATTTGGTGACATTTAGACAGCCAATTTCGTCAAACAGGATCAGTATGTTGACGATATCCAGTATGCACGTCTCCGTTTCGTTTATTTCTGACACATTGTGTCTGTGATAAAGGTCCAGATCTCCAATGCACTCCAATTCCAGTGATTTCAGACGAAACAGACCGGGGGCATGGAATGGTACTTGTTGCTTCCGTATCGAGAGATCGTCGTCATCTGAAATGGCCGTGAAGTACACGCAGTCGAGGCGCAATGTCTCGAGTTTGGGTAGTCGGGTGAGGATAGAAAGGAGAATGCCGTTGGTTACGTATGCTGCAACATCAGGAATATCATCCTCTTTCCACCCGCTGTCTATCGGCCCGCAAAGCTCCAGATTCCTCACCGAGAGCGAGATGCTCGGTGGAGCTACTTGAATAAAATCAATAAATGTATTGTATTTGCCTTCATCATCGGCAATAACTGAAAGAAAGTTGAAAAGGAACTTTCGAGTCGTATAAAGCCATGAACTGTGAACAAGAGAGCACCGAGATAGAGTTGGATAGTGATGCAACTCCCCTATGATAAGATCGACAAGTTCCTGAGGAAGGCGACCCTGAGGAGGATAGGACATGATGATTTGATTGGACGGCAAGAGATGAGACTGGGAAAACGCGTTTCGAATGAGCGTCGTCCTTTATATCAAGACCGCAAGCGATATGGCGGCATCTTGCACTATTCAAGACTTTCCTAAAGCAGTTCGATCGGTTGATATCTGGCTACGCCATCACTATATGCGATAACACGAGATATTCAGGAGATACTCACGGAAAAAAATAACTGCAGATGGCCTTGGCATCAGGAAATACAAAGTCGTTTGAAGAACGGTGCAGACAAGGGCATCGGCAAAATACAAGATACTAGTTCCACCTGGACGGAGAAGTACAATGCCTACCTAATATGTGTAAAAATCATGGTTTCTGTCACGAAGCCGAATTGCAGCGAAGTAAGCAACACAGGCCGCGGAGTGCTATCAACCTTGCCATTGGGAGACAATGGCTGCTACTGTGCATCAAGTCTACCTCGAGCCATGAGAGAAGAAGATTATACTGCAAGCCAGCAAGAGGAGAACATGAACGCGAAACAAACTCATCGGTGGGAACCAGTGACAACTCTGAGATTCACGTAGTGGTCGGAAAGACAAAATCGTTATGCCCATTGGCTGGATTGAACAACCGACCTCACCATTACAAGTGGCGCGCTCTACCACTGAGCTAAACGGGCTGTGACTCACAGACATGTGTAATTTATATAGGTATTTTAAGCGCTTGATTGCGTAAGCAGAGGAGCCTTGAGCACGCGGTTGCGCCGTATTGCAGGTTTGTCACAAACCTCCAGCCTCGCTCGAGATCTCTTCTCTTCGAGTCGGTATTCCTAGTCTCTATCACCAATTTGATCGGACATACTAACTTTTGATATTCATATAGACTTACAGCTATAGCTCATCTCCAGAAACCCGCAGACAAGTTGGCACCTCATGTCGAATTTTATTATGTCGAATTTCTCGAAACAACAATCTAGTATTTGCCCCACGTACGTCTTATCATGCTCGCTGTATGCGCCTAAGCTTGAACTGACTTTCTCTATTTTGTAGCAACGGTCGTCAAACCGTTGGAGATGGGGCTTTCTCTTCCGACATGACTCCTAGCGTGCTTGCGGTCTGCCATATGCAAGGCACTGACTCCATGTACTATTACTCTACTACGTTCTCTGGCGGACCTGGGGTATGTCTTCCCATTTGACTTTTCGCCCTACACTTCAGAACTTTGATGCCTTTCTTTCCATAGTGGCGTTTTTGACGTCCCTTTCACGAAATGCCCTCCTGACCGAGGGTCGTCAGACTGGGTGACAGACAGTCTGACGCCATCCTTCTCGCCTTCTTCTCCTTCATCCGACCGCTCATCCACGCTATCATTCGGACCAGAAAAGTTCTCAGACTCTATCGTATATCCACCCACGCCACCTCCCGAGAAAAGCACGTTCGATGCAGAGTTCCCCTTCCCAATGGCTGCAGCTCCGAGGGATATACCTCGTGCTCCACTCGTTAGCGAACTTCCTACTCCACCGCTCACGCCGGATGATGGCGTCGATGGAGGAGGAAGTGTGTCTGCTATTAGTGCGAAGCAGTCGAACGCTGCTTTGGACCTTTTGAGCACGCTTTTCCCTCGTAATGCCCTCAAAGCTCTGCCTTATGCGAAGAGTGTTACTATCTCTTCCCCTAATCTTGGGGAAGCTGTCTTCGATGGGGTTGTCCTCGAGCTACCCGATAAGCCCAAGACGTTGTACGTAGACGGGAAAAACGCTGCTCACGTCAGTTTGCGAGAAAGGTATTTACATTTCCATTCCTCTCTTCCGTTATCAAATTCTTACACTCGCTTAGCATTGTTGCTCTTCTTGATTTGGCTGACGAACAACTTGGTTGTTCTGCCCTCGTTATCGCCTTGGACAAGTCATCTCCTCTGCTCGCCGAGCTCTTGCATGCCTTGATGTACGTCGGAGGCACTGTCGTAACCAATCCGCCTTTCCAAACCGATCCTGCTTATGTCCTCGTCGGCATGGACATTTAAGGGAAACCCTGATTAGGTTGAATTTTCTCAGTTTGTGGTGCAGAGGATGGTATTTAGGGGTGTGCATAAGAGTTTGTGACACTTGTGTTTTCCGATAATTTTTCCTTAGCGTTATGTTTCTCTAACATCTATCGCTCTCTGCCCTGAGATGAGTGCAGGTCTTCTTGATCTTTGATATCTGTTCATAGTACTACATTCAATATACGTTTTCTCTATGATTGTCCTCCCGCTCATTCCTTCCGTCGGTAAGATGTAGGTATCTTTTCAACTGCGCCTCCTGTCTTCAGCTACCGTTGTTCTGCTGTTCTGTTCAATTCAGCGAATTCAGCGAATTATTGTTACCCTTCTCCGCTCTTCGCCCGCTATCATCACATGGACTGTCAACGACGAATGGAGGCTCCCCATTTGCAATGAGTGTAACGCGTGGATGTCCATTGTAGTACTTTCATCAGAACTTCCTCCCGCTTTATTCCTGCTATCTGTATACATCTTTGCGCACTGGACCTCGTGCCCGCTTCTAGGTAGCGAACCGTAACAATGGGAATTCTAGATTCCATCCTACGAGCCCTTGTTTCATGCATTTGCGGACCAGAAGATGGGAAACGACCAACTGAACCTGAAGATGTTTATGTTCCACCTGTAGTCAGTCATAGACCGCCTGTTACTTTTCAGTCACCTTCGTACCATTCAGGACCTTTGCAGCAGCATATACCACAACAACATCCACAATACCCACCGCAGCAACCGCATGCACCTCAGCCTCACAAGCCTCAGAGCCCGCCGAGGCAGCATACACCAGGTCCACGCGTCGTAAGTCGATGATTCCTTTTATTCAACAAAAGCGATGTTGATCGGTCGCGTTATGTTATTGCTATTCTTTTCGTCGGGTTGTATAGGACCAGAACCAAGTAAACCAACAAAATGAACACTACACATCCCTCCGAGCCCGGGCAAATGAGGAAGGTGATAAAATGGCCCAATGCTTTGAACGCAGCCATGATGCGTACCAAGGCGGAGATGGAGCCCTTGCGAAGGAGTTGTCGAATGAGGGAAAGGCGCACCAGAGGGAAATGGATAGGTTGAATCGGGAAGCAAGTGAATGGATATACGTCGGTACGTTGATCCAAGCTGTCGGTCACTAGTTGAAATTCACGTCTCCGTCTTCTGATGCAGAGAACAACAAGGTTTGTTTTTCCACTCGTAAGATATACAAAATAGACTCATCTCGTGAATTCTTTATAGGATAGTAAGCCTGGAGAAATAGACTTGCACGGTCTCTACGTGAAGGAAGCTATTTCATATGCTGATCGAGCTATTCAAGAAGCTCGACAACGAGGAGACGCGGAGGTTCATTTCATAGTTGGTATGTCTTGTGTGAAATTTCTTTCTCGAAGTTTGTAGCATATAGTCACACTTCCTTGATCAAAAGGCAAAGGACTGCATTCGAAGAATGGCATGGCCAAGTTGAAACCAGCCATCGAAGAGCTCATGCAGAAGTACGTCTTTACTTCTCGCTATCCATCGTCGGCATGTTCAAGTATTGGCTGATTTTTTGTAGAAACCAACTCGTAGCCGAACTTAATCCTAACAACGGCGGTGTGCTGGTCGTGAGTCTGGACGGCAGAGAGAGAGGAGCAGGGCGGGTCATGCACCCGGACGATATCGCTAGAGGAATCGAGAGCAAGGAGGATGGATGCATTATCATGTAAAGACATGGTATGTTGCTATCGCGGTGAGTAACCTGACGGTACATCTCATGTGTATGTTCTAATTCGTTCGATGCGTCTACTTACAGTATTTATGACTGCAGAGAAGCTTTATGCAACGCTCGGCATTTTATTCTTGATCAGTGTCTATCGCAAGGTTTCTTCAGTCGAATAGCGTGCGCCTCAATAACTGCATTTATTTCACCTTGGTGCATTCTGCACGTAGGGACTTCCCTTGACTCTAAATTTTTTTTCACCTTACTCTGCGACCACGTCGCAGAAGCATCGGCTGCACCTCTAGCTGACTTGCCATACTCACTCGGCCTCACTGCAGACGCTTGTTTGCTGCGTTTTACGTCACGCCCTTTGCCGCTTTACCCTCATGTCTGCATTCCTTTCATTTGCAAGGTACAACACTTTCAGATGGCAACGCGGAGAACACGAGGAGATCATCCATTGCTGTGCGTTATTAGCCACTCCCCAATCCACGATCCATCTCTCGAGCGAACCTCCATCTCAACGACATAATCGCTTTGGTTTATAGGCTATGGGGTTGTTGGGCTCCATTTTCCGACTCTTTATCTCATGTATTTATGGCGATCAAAGCAAACGACCAACTGGCACAGAGACACGGGACGCATATCCATCGTCTGCAATCACTGAACAACTTCAACCATGTCTTCCCCCGCGGCCTTTCCATCTGCCAAAGCCGTCGCAGCCATATGTACCCCAGCAGAGAGTGGAACAGCGACAAGAACGTTACACACCTCAACTTGCTCGTGAACGTGTTGGCCAAGGGAAACCTCTACCTTCAATTCCTCCTCAATGTGTGAATAGGCCGAAGTTCCCGGAGTCACAGCAACATGTACCACCACAACGCCAGCAGAGCCCGGATCAGCAGAAACCATCGCCTCCATCTATTTCTGTAGGTGGACCTCCCATACATTTCACACCCCAGATTCCAGATCCACATGAGATCCTTATCCCAAGCCCGCTTGTTGTCGTAAGTAAACATGAATTAATTCGCTTATGATATGTACGAATACTGTAACTGATCCGTTTGTCTGTGTCTGTATTTTCGGCGCATAGGACGAGAGTGAACAGAACGAACATTATGAGTCCCTACGATCCCGCGCAAACGAGGAAGGCGACAAAATGGGTCAATGTTTCCAACGCAGTCGTGAAGCTTACCAGAGCGGTAATGGTGCTCTTGCGAAGGAATTATCTGACGAGGGGAAAGCGCACCAGAAAGAAATGGCGAGACTGCACTGGGAAGCAGGTGAATGGATATTCAATGGTACGTTATAAGCGATCTGTTTATCGTAAGCGTGTGATTATATATGGCCTATCTCGCTGTTTGCGGGATGTAGAGAACAACAAGGTTTGTTCACTGCAATTCGAATCACTGCCTTTTGACTACGACGTTACTTATGTAGCATAGGATACCTGGAGAGGTTGACCTGCATGGTCTGTATGTGAAAGAAGCGGTCATGTATGTCGATCGGACTATCGAAGAAGCTAGGCAACGAGGAGACCGTAGAGTCCATTTTATCGTTGGTGCGTCTAAACCATGTTGTACAACCACGCAGTGAATGAACCTAATATTCCCTGAATACCATTACAGGAAAGGGATTACACTCAGCAGACGGCACTGCCAAACTGAAACCAGCCATTGAAGAATACGTGCAGAAGTAAATAGAGTCTTGTACACTCATTGTTATGAGTAAAGTGGCACCATTGCTGATGCTATTGCCTTGCAGACAACGACTTGTAGCTGAAACTGACCCTCGAAACTGTGGAGTGCTGGTCGTCATCCTGGATGACAGCAGTGTGTCTGGAGATAGTCAGCAAGTAATGGAAATTGAGCCACTTGAGCCGATTGTGCTGGCCGGAGTGAGGCGGACACGTCACACACTTGCACCAGCAAAATCGGCCAAGGCAAGATCAGGTTCAGGGCGAGGAGCATCCCGTATTCGCGCTCTGCACCCCGCGAGAGCTCAGAATTCGACCAAGGCTCAGATAAACACGTGGAATGAGACGATGCATGGAGGAGTGAAAACTGGAGGGCATCGAGTAAAGAGGAGAAAGGGAGGAAGTTCAAAGCCCAGCTTGAATAAGGCCACAGTTTCGGTGTATTGACATCAATGTGAGCTCACGAACTGATGGCATTCTCTCCTGCAGAGCTAAATTCGTGTATTTGTATGGAGTATTACACTGTATACTGTTAGATTTAAGAGCGAGCGCGCAGCGCGAGTCGGTGACGAGCAAATAAGTACGTTCGTATACGTCGGGTTTGTCCCCTAGAGTACGTACAAAGGCGGGCAAACGCGTGAGGAGCCGACTATGTTACGCTACACTATATAGCTACTACGGGAGCCCGAAAGGTCCGAAACGCGAGATAGTGGCGGCAGCGCGACCATGCAAGTTCGCTTGGCGCCCAGGATTTCAACATATACTGCGCAACATCGAAGATGTATATTATTGTATCAGCGCACTCAGGCTAAATCGTATCTATTAGCGGCGCATTTCTAATGAATGATGGCAAACAACGCGTCAACAGCATACCAACCGTAAGGACTATTTATTCGGAATCTTGCGAGACGATCTCGCTAATGATTGATGGTGGCGATATCATCACCATTCAGCTCCATATCTCGTATTTTACGGCCTTTCTCTGTTCATCTCCATTCTCCACGTACGATGATTTACATCATTTACTTAACACCGCCTATCCTTACATGACTTCAGCTATGAAATCCCAGTCTGACCTAATACTACGGCTCCGACGTATTAAACTCAGTTAATACGTTTGGATCAGAAGTTATATGTCTCCCATATGGATATACGGTCTCCATTAAAAGCTATTTTTTGCCTGGACACCACATTCAAAGGTAAGATTTGCAATCCGATGACCAGTATTTGACGTTTGAGAGATTTTATTCAAATGGCACACCCATGTCAGATACGTGATCGTCGCTAGACGTTTTGCGATGTCATGTTCAAAATGCTGCTCAACCAATCTGAAGTCAAATTGCTTAAATCTCAGTAGAGTAATCGCACGTAAGCATTTGAGGTTGGATATCCCAGGTCTGCTGGCTCTCATGCGTAAGGATATTCCTCCCTTAGATCCTTCGGTTCAACCATGTAGACCTCCATACACTCCACAAAGACAGGTCGGACTAACGGCGCCCCTGGTAGAATATGAAGGTTGTTATTACATCTGACTGACTCCATGATCAATATCGGCATCAGCATCAGGCGGTGTATGAACAGATATCTAGAACTCCAATGTGGTACAGGGTTGCAAAGGAAACAGGTATAAAGGAGGGCTCACAATACGTCATCCACCCCTCTCGTAAGGATTTCCGACCGACGTCTCTGTTGACTTTCCATTTTTTCTACCAAACTCGTCATTTCCGCTTGATACAATGGATACAATGGATGGGAAGAACGAAGGAGCAAATTTCCAACAGGAGTGTAAGTCGGCAGGCTCGCATGTATCATGCCTCTCCATGCTCACCGTGTCTGTCCCAATCCTAGTGTATGCTCGATGTGCACGCGGCGAACATGACGTCGAGAAAAAGTATGGGCCTTGCGGTATTATCACCGCAATCATGTGCTTCCCGTGTGGCCTAATCTGCCTCTTGTACGCTGTGTTCTTCTCCCCCAAACGATGTACTGAACTTCATGTTAGTAACGACATTACAAAAAAGTGTGCCCGCTGCGGGACAATCATTCCATAAGGGTCATTCGTACTTTATCGGGCCAATTTGGATGGGTAATTTGCCAACTATCCATTGGCTTAGGGGCTGGCCAGTAGACGTGATCACATCGAATTTGACTTTGTTTGTATATATTCGTAAATAGTGCTATTGGACCAATTTTGACTGGATAGTTGCATCTGATCATATTAGAGCACATCGTATGGGCATGTAAATACCTAAAGAAAACTGAGCGTATCGAGCTGAAGCACTGATAGCCGAGGCTGAGACTGAGCCTACTGATAGTCATGGACAACGGACAGGACATAACTGTAGAAGCGAACAGGAAGAAATCGTGATGCCATGTGTAAACGAAGTACATGGTAACCTGAACAGATTCCGTCTAGGATTCTATTGAACTCACTGGGTCGGGAAGGTGAATGGCCTTTTACGGTCGTGGGAATATCTCGACCAATGCCAATTTGTCAAGGCGGCTGCAGATCCTCCTTCGATACTTCCTCTTACTCCCTTGCTTCCAAAGTTCATTGCCTCGTCATATCATGCTCTATATGTTACAATTCGCAACGTCCAGCTTGAACCCTAGTTCTTGTTCTTGAAGAGGAATGAAACAATCGAAGCAGACGGTTCAAGCTTTCACTTGATCAACAAGCATTTCATACAGGTTTCAGCAGCTAGACTTTGTTTACGGTGGCACGAGTTACCTCAGCTGGCGCCTTGGACGGTGCATAGTTTTGTGCTTGATCCTTATCGTCTCCCAAGGACCTCGGTCTTATCAGTGTCCGTTCCAATGGTGTATGCAAATGGTGTGGCGTCTTAAGGGGAAGAAGGTCTGATCAATCTATATTTTCCTGTGACCATTCCTCGACGCTTCTCGGGCTGACATACTGAGGATTGTCCTATACAACTGCCGTAGGGGCTCATATGACCATTCCAACGCTGGCATCATGCATAGGTTTGTCATCTGTTGTTCCGTGTATACCTGGTTTGGTGCCCCGCCGCCATCGTGACTGTCTGAAGATTTTCCCCCAGGATGGTATGGAGAGCGGCACACTGTCTTGGCCTCTTGGTCTGCGGGAAATATATCACACTCGATGATATTTGAGGTTTTCCTGGCCTGCTGACAACGAGATCTCGCATTGCTTGCTTGTTAGTTTATGCATTTTAAAGTCGTTTGCGAAGATGTTCCATTGAACGTTGGAATCCAGGCCTGCAAGCTCAACCACGTGTGATTGACGGCCTCCCTTCTCTACTTTAGAAGGATCTGATGACCCGTTTTGACGTGATTGTACCGGTCTTCGGATCCGTTATGATATTTCTGACAAGTATCAGGTATGTACTTCCGTTGTGGGGTTCTTGAACGTAATGAGTATTCACGATGATCACTAGGAGCGCCAGAAAGGTTCATCGTAATGTGAATTATCTTCACCCACCCCACCTCTCTCGTGGTCCAGCTGACGAGAACCAACCAAGAAGGATAATAACCAGTTAGACTGCGGAAGTAGGCCTAGCGTCGACTAAGCGGCCGCCGAATCTCGACACCCTCGCCTTTTTCCCCGTAGAGTTTGTCGGTCGTGTGAACAGGCAGATCATAAAAGTGGATATATGGAGTGATGGGAGTATAAATCCCACGTCTTCGGCTTTCGTCTCTGCATCTTCCGTCCGTTCATCCTAGACCACCATGTCGTTCGAAAAGGTACCTCGCGATGCAGCTACGCGTGTTATCATTGTCGGTGCAGGGTGGGTATACTTGTAATCGCCCCGACTCCTTATCATACTAACATGACGGCTGTAGGATAGGCGGTATTTCTACTGCTATCGCTCTCAGACGTCAGCTCAAGCACGATAACTTTACTGTGAGCCGAGGCCGTTTAATGTTGGTCGGTCTGCTTATGATCTCGTGTAGATATATGAGCTTGGCAATGAGGTCGGTGGAACATGGCGAGTGAGTACTAGCCGCAGTGTCCATGAAAATTTAATCTACATGCTTAACCCACATCGTAATGTAGGCCAACACTTATCCAGTAAGCTCTATCGTCGTCTACGCCATCATTCTCTTTAAGTGGCATATATCATCATCAATGTAGGGCTGCGCCTCGGATGTCCATACTCACTGGTACAGTTTGTCAACTGACCTCAACCCCAACTGGCCACAATCACATGTGTTCCAACCTGACCTCAAGCAATACTGGCAAGACTTGGCCCACAAGTACCGTCTCTACGACCATATAGTCTTCAACAGCAAAGTCGTGTCGGCGGAATGGGTACCCAAGACGCAAGTGTATCGTGTTGAAGTGGAGTCTGTTGATGGCAAAAGGCTGGTCGAGTATGGAAGAATCCTCGTTGCGGGAACGGGGATCCTGAATACGCCGAATTACCCGACCGAATTAAGTGGCGTTAAGAAGTTCAAGGGTGATTGGTTCCATTCCGCCAATTGGAACCACAGTGTCGATTTGCGTAGCAAGCGTGTTGCCGTTATTGGGAACGGCTGCTCTGCGTACGTGTTTCTATTCGGTTTCGTCGTGCATTTTCACTTATCAGAACGATACGTTGTAGTGCTCAATTCTTGCCTATCATCGCCGAGGAGCCTACCACTCAAATTGTGCAGTTCTGGCGGACCCCAATGTGGTTCCTGCCCAAGGTTAGTAGTCTTGCCCTTCATAGTGCTTGATATCTAACCGCATTTCAGTGGCGGGACACGTACTCCCCCCTTATGCAATGGGTTTTCACGAACATACCTTTGACCTTGCGATGGTATCGGAACTTCCTCATGTTTCGGGTACGTCACGCAGTCAGGATTTTTGCAAGATGCTAACACCAGTTATTTTGTTGAATTTCGTTGATAGCAAGAAATGTTATACATGACCGTCATTAGAGGTGGTCCGAACACCTGGTTGAGGAACCGATTTATGAAGGTATAAATCCACATCGATTTATCGAACGTATATTCTGACGATACTCGCGATATGGCTTGTGCAGGGTTTGACGAAGTACTTGAAGGAGAACGCTCCCGAGAAGTATCATGATGTCCTAACACCCAATTATCGTTAGTCTTCCTACATCATCCTCCCAATCTTCGTTTATCTCAGGGTGTCTCACGTCCGATTACAGCATTCGGGTGCAAGCGACTTATTCTTGATACTGGCTACTATGAGTCTCTGCATAGACCGAATGTCGAGTTAAACAATGATGGAATCGTTGAAGTCAACGAGACCGGGATCCTTACTAAGAAAGGTAACGTTCAAGCTTCCTGCCTTTGAAGATTTACATGCGGTGCTTAAAGTTCTGTTACGCTATGATAGGTGAAACCATCCCCCTTGATGTGATCATTCTCGGCACTGGATTCCTAGCGGTATGTCTTCCATTCTACCCTTGACATGTTTTTTCTGATAGGGTTTGCGATAGAATGACTTGCCCTTCCATGTGCGTGGCAGTGACGGTCGTAGCGTCCATGAATATTACAAACAGCAAGGCGGACCTACGGCGTATTATGGGACTATGACACCAGGATTCCCGAACTTCTTTATTCTCTCCGGTGCGTTCTTACCATCATATCTAGTCGATGCGTGCCTTATATGCTTACTCGTGGTATAACAGGCCCCAACACGGCAACAGGCCATGGTTCTGTGATCTTTACAGAAGAAGTGCAAATTAACTATATGATCAAAGTCATCAAACCTATCCTCAGCGATCTTGCCACTGCCTTCGAACCCACTGACGCCGCTTCCGATTCTTACAATGCTTGGGTTCAGAGTAAACTCGGCAAGAGTGTATGGAATGCATGTACTAGTTGGTACAGAGCGGAGGAGGGGAAGGGGAAGATCACCGGTATCTTTCCCGGAACATTTGTAAAGTTTTGGTGGACGTTGAGAGAGCCGGTTTGGGGAGACTTCAAGGTGAGTGATGGTACACGGTGGAAAAGGAGACGTGCGATCGGGAAGGTTGTGAAGACTGTACTGGGCGCGGGAGCTTTGGGTGCTGGGGTGTATGCAATTAGGAACCCTGAGGTCGTGGATCATATTTTGGGGAATCTAAGCAAGCAGGTGTGTTCCCTTTCTCTGATGACTGCTTGGCGGATTTAGAGCGCTGACAATGTTTGCGATTTTTCTAGGCTTCGCAGCTGCTAAGCCAAGTTTCCTCGTATGTCCATTGATCATCCGCTTTTCTCTTCGACTGCGTCAGTTCGGGATAACGACAAGGCTTGTACGCTTACTCCCCTTTTGGCCCCCGACTTTCGACCAATTCACCCGACTAGGCAAAGTCATGACAGTCATGATTTGTTTCGTGTAATCAAACTACAATTCGACTGGAAAGCGTACCGCTATATACGGCAAAACAGCATGGTCATGAGAAGCACCGTCTCAGCCGTCCTGATTCTGAGTGAGTGCCTCAAGATCTAGCCTCCACGGTTTGCGCTTGCTAGTGCGGAAGGGCGGGAAGTATGAAAGTGGCGCAAATAAACGAGAAGTATGGTGCGAATATCCATCTACTGCTGAATTTAAGGGCGAGCTCATCGTTCGCGACGACGATGACCGATGTACAGACTACCCAATTTGAACAACAACGAGAAACAGAGATCGAGATCGAGAAGCATGGTATGCTGACTATCAATTTGGCCCCCCATGCCCTGTGATTGAACCAAAGGCCGCACGAAGGAACTTATTATACGGCGCATGAATACACCTAATGCATTCGATAGGGATATTCCTTGAAGAACTGAATCACCGGCTCCAAGTCCGTCTCCGGAACAGCATCCTCATACAAATCAGTCGGCATACTTTTCGCCCTCAGAGCTATCAAGTTTCCCGCCCAAGGATGCGGGGCTTGTCCCTTGGTGACTCCCCAAATGCACTGGTTGGGAGGTGATCCATTGATAAAAGAGTTGTCGTCGTACCTTATCCCGATAATGTGTCCTAATGATGGATCGTTTCTCCCCAGTGTGTTAACGTACATGGTACGTTGACAACAGTCTTTGCCGCCAAGCCATGGTTGGCAGTCCAGCTTGTGCCATTGTGTCGGGTAATCATCTTCTTCAACGTCACCGAATACCCAAGGAATTTTGATGAGTCGAGGTTTGGTCTCGTTCGCGGCGAAAAGAATAGCGTCGAAGACTTGAGTGCCTGCTTCATGAACTCTTTTGCAGTAGCCCTTGTGAGCGGGCCAGTTCTGTATATTGATATTTAGAACATTGAGAAGATGAGTACAGTCAAAATTAGGCATCCGTACCTGCGTGATATGTTGTTTACTGCAGTAGTAAACGCTTTTGCAACCTGAGCATCGGTTGTTGGTAGGAGCGTCACAGACTAAACAATTGGTGTTCATCAAGGTAAATATTATTGTGAATCAGGGGCTGTATACTAGTGTTCCAATCACTATCGTTAGTTTGAAGTTGGAGTACATACGTGAAATTGAGAGTAGGAGAGATCCTGACTAACTTTGTCTTGGTTAGCGAGATGCAGGAAGATGAAAGAGTTGGAGATCAAATCAGGCGCCGCATCTACGGTTGCCATTGTTAACTTCTTTTCCCACCTCTGCCATTGTCCCGTACATGGGTGACATACGTCGAGACCCGTGGATAATAGGGACACATATAGAAACATATATTAGCGAGTACTCGTATGACCATATCGAGATTATGACAAAAACAAACAGAACGACATAAATGCCAGAATACCGTCATCAAGCATTGCGTGAAGATCTAGAAGAACCTAAACCCAGTCACGTCGAAACATTCGCCCCCATCATCATACCCCACATTCGGGCGATACTCCTTTACATCCACACTGACACCCAATCTTTTCGCATGCTCCCCAAGTCGACTATTCACGATCTTACCTGCGATCGCGGCTTCTGGGGTATTAGAGGCTTGACGTATATAGATGGTGATGCGACGGAGGTGGGGGGTTGTGAGGGATGTAAGGTTAGAGAGGAAATCACTGGTAGTGTCTAAAAATAAACAAAAGTCAGCGCCGTGTGAGGGAAAGACAGGAATGACGAGGAACTTACCGACACGATCACCCAAATCATTCAAATTCCCAAAGAAATTCAGAACGAGTTCTTCAATTTGGTTTCCTTCCTGAGAGAGAAGCTTCAAGTTATTAGATAATTCAACTCCTCCAGACTGTATTTCCAATTTCTTGATGTGCGGGAGGATCTGTGGAGGGATGGCATCCGAAGGAGATTGGAGAGGGGCAGCGATTAGGAGAAGATGAGGAGGAAGCGTGCTCGGAACCGAGGTTGACGGTTTCTTGTCCTCAGATCGACGGTCAGGTGAGACAGAGGAAGACCTAGGAATGGGGATATCGCAGCCTAATCCCAGGACCACAGCGTTTCGCCTAGGAGGATAAAACCCGGCACAAACCATAGGCCGGGGAACCTCGTCGTCCAAGTTGGCACTATCAGCAGCAGCAACATCAACGCTGGAAATTGAAGAGCCATTAGAAGTCGCCATAGTAGAAGTGGAAGGAGTTGAAGGGTCAGAAGTCGAAGCTGTGGACGCGTCGGGTGAGTTGGTAGAAGGCACGCTAAAAGAGGTCGTGTTCCTCGGAACCTCGTCTTCGTGGTCTTCATCTTCTCCCAGGCTGGAGTCCACCTCGAAAGTACCAGGCATAGTGTTCCTCGGTGGGGTGTCGAGCATCGGCAGAGGGACAATGTTCCTGTATACAGGCAGATCCAAAATATCGTTGAAAGGTGGGACAGGATCAAGAGGGGGTCCAAGCTCGCGCGTGAGAGGGGTGATGGAAGGAGCGGTTGACAAGTTGTAATCTCCGAAGGTCGCCAGATTCAAGTCCGTAGGATCGTTGAGCGAGAGACCAAGGAACGTGTTCGTAAGAGTGGGGAAGTCCTCTGTGGCAGGAGTATGGTACAATTCCGAGTTACAGTCCTCGTAGATCGTTGAAGCGTCATCTCGAGAGCCGTCTTCGGATGCCCGTGCATCCCCCGCAAATTGAGTCGAGTCGTTGACTTGGCACCCTAGAGAGGAAATTTGGTTACAAGCGACAAATGCGAGAGCTTTGGCGATCTTGCCACCCTTGTACGCCCTCAACGCGACCTTGGGAAACGCGTAGAGTGTGATATGGCTGAACTCGAGAGGGTCCAACGCAGCTGGCTCTTCATTCTCGTCTCGAGCCCTTGCCTTGCCTTTCACATCGTCAATCATACTCGGAGTGACATACCCCCCGCCGACACCCCACTTGCCCAACTCTTCAAATAACTCCTCAACACCCCTCATCTGCTCTACCGAGTCGATGTCTGCTGCATCCTCAGGCTCACTCCGGCCATTGTAATGCAGCAGCATCGTCATCCTGCCCAACGGCTTGGGGTTGGCTAAGTCGAGGGGCCAGGCGTCGCGATGAGCGAAGACATGGGTGTAGAAGTCTCGCAGGGATTCAGGTGAGGAGATGTACCAGGTCAGTCTGGGGTTAGAAACTATGATACGGGCCGAGAAGAACTATGGATGGTGAATGATGAGAATTGAGAATTAAAATACAAGTTTGACAGACGTACGTAGTGATTCCAGGAACTCGGTTGAACCAATTCCGTCAATGTCTTGACAGCTTCTGGCGACTTCATGTAGTCTATGGGTTCAAGAGAAAGCATTCTGTAGCGTATAGCTTATATATGAGTAAGGGTGAAGGATATGAGCAATTCGAGCCGTGAAGTCGAGAGAACGGGGGGAGGTAATGGTGGCATCACTAGAATGGAGGCAGGGGTATTTAAGTTGCAGGGGGAGGGCCAAAGACGAGACACAAAGCCAAAGTAACTTGACTGTGTCCTTTGTGTCTAGAACGCCAAAGTAAGTGGCCATTGCACCTATGCGGATGTGACGTTAATAGACAAGACAAAAGTACCGCCGGCATGGCCTGTACAATCCGTACAACTCATACTGTGTTTGGTCTCTGGTACTTATAATGGCCTATGACATTCAGAAAGGGGCAACTTGGAGAGAACAAAAGAGGGTATACATTTGCATTAGAGAGGCCAAGTTTCGTCCAAAAACTAAACGAGACAAAGAGGTAACAAGCGCTAATCCGGCTTGATCACGCGCGCCAAGCCTTTGTTGACGCGTTGTTTGCCCCCTGATACTGGCCAGACTCGGACGTCGCAGTTGAAGTCACTTTCTCAAAGGCTCTATGTACTTGCAGTGAAGCATCAATCGTCTCTCCAGGCTTCATCATACCTTATCTAACCTCACGACCTGGATCTGAAGACCTTTCGCTCCGTTTGACTTCAGTCTTCGCTGGTGCAAATGCTTCTCACTTGATGTTATTCCGCTCTTGGTTAGGTTTTTCGCCGACTCCTCAGCACACGTGTAAATCTATCGGCTTTTTCAACTGCTGTATGTTTTCAGGACCTTGGCTTCTCACTGAATAATGCAGACTGGTTTATTGCTTTGACCTACAACTCGATTTCGTCTACGCCAGTCTCCATTTCGTGGAAACCCTTGATCCAATTTTCTGTGAAACATGACTCTAATTCCACTGTCAGCAATTTCGGGAACACTCTTTTTGCCAAGTCCGGAAACTCTCGCTTTTGTACTCCAGATGATCCAGGCGACGAACGGGACTAAGTTCTCTACTAGATGACGAAACTAAGGCTACTACAGTTACATTTTCAAAAGTGAGTTTCCGTTGCCTATTCCGTAAACTTTCAACTTGATATAGTCCACTAGCAGTACGTCAACGGACCTCCTATAGTTCCTCACATTCTTCCATAATCCTTGAAAAACTGTATCACCGGCGCCAGGTCCTTCTCCATAACAGCACTTTCAAACCAATCTGACTATGCTTCCTTTGCTCTAAGAGCAATAACGTTTCCAGCCCAAGGATGCGGAGCTTGTCCACCTGTAACCGCCGGGATGCAACGATTTGTAGCAGACCCATTGACGAACGAATTATCGTCGTGTTCTATGGCGATCGTATATCCAAGCGCGGGCCCATTCCGTCCCAACGTCTGGACATACATGGTCTTCAGGGCACTGTCTTTTCCGCCAATCCATGGTTGGCAATCTAGCTTTTGCCAGTCCAGCGGAATATTGTCGCTCGTGGGTCCATACGTCCAAGGGACTCTGATGAGACGAGGTTGAGTTGCGTTAACAGGGAAGAGGATGGCGTCCATCGGTTGGGCGCCAGCGGCCCTGATTCGTTTGCAGTTGCGTTTGTGGTAAGGCCAGTCCTACACGTACAGATATGTCATTGACGAACGGTAAGTCAGCAAAGGCGGCAGTAGATTCGCCGCTCATACCTCCGTGCTGCATGCTTTGCTACAGTAACCAGCCCTTTTGCAACCTGAGCACTGCGTGGAGGCGGGAGTATTACAGACGAGGCAAGTAGTCTTCATATTGGCAATTGAGGGTTGAGCTCTATGCGATTCTGATAATTAGTCAAGAAACAATGGTGCTCATTGAAAGTGTGACGATACCTTCGTGACGATGAAGGCGAAAGAAAGTATAAGGGTCTAACAAATGTGTACACCAAGTATACGTACGATTAGAAAGCTGACTGACGTTGCTCAAGACGGCTCTGGCTATCGTTCTTACTGTATATAGGGGCTTGGGTACCCCTCAGGTCTATTACCATTGGAGCCTGCCTCAAATTGGAGATCCCGACAGGCTGGCCGCGGAAGTCGCACCACGGCACAGGATTGCATGTCACGATCACTATTAACGTACTGTAAGCTGTGAAGACGATCGCATCTGGATACAGCTCAGTTGTGATTGTCTCGAAGTTTGTGAGCCTTGTTAGCCTTGTTAGCTTCTCGTTGACGGTCTCCCACTCTCGATCTGTCCGCATAGAAATTTATTCTTCACCGATAAATCGCGGATGACGACAAGACAAGTTGAGTATCGACGACTCGTTCGTAGCAGCTTGTCTACTTCTAGTGTCTAAAATTGAGATAAACTCTCCGTAAGTTGGCACATGACATGAGAACAAAACATCCTCGTCGATGGTATACTACCAAGATGGTCCGAAAAGGCCTTTGGGGGAATACCTACACGAAGGAGTATTGACGAAGATGAAATCACGCACTGTAGGAAGCCACCAGGATAGAAAGAAGAAGCAATTACTTATAACGTTCAGGATGGTACGAGCGAGTAAATGACCCCCTGGCCAGATAAATAGTAGAACCGTACTCTGGCATCTCCAATGCTATCAAACACGTGTATAGGGAACCGAATCACGCTCTAGTAAGGGCTGCCTTAAACGAAAGTTACAACGGTCTTGTGAAATCATTTAAAGAACTGAAATACTAGGAGGCCTTGTGAAACGAATGGAGACTCGTCTCGCCAGCAATGGAAGGACATCAGTGAAAGCCAACTTCACGGTTTCCGCGATAGGTACGACATCTTGATCCATAGGATGAACGGATTGGTCATATAGGCGAAACGTGAGCGATTGGAGAGAGGGATATTTGGAAAGGTCATTTTCGAATAAGTACCAGTCACGCGTCTTCAGGTTTTCCATGAATAGTGAGTTCCCCGAGTTGATAACGCACCCGAACACTAGGTGTCGAATGGATTTAGGAAAATGCGTCGTGAAGAGTAGGATATCACGAAACTCCTCCGTGAAATTAGAAGCAGTACGCTGGTATCTCGAAGCAAGCTGGATGTACACGGCGTCGAGGCTTGTGCAAGAGGAAAAATGAGATGCCACTATCTCCGCTTCGGAGAGTATGGACTGGTCGGGTAGCGTGAAGGTAAAAGTGGTGATATTGGTGTCGGGCCTTTGAATCAGCGTGGAAGCAGAAAGTAACGCGTCAATGGTATTGCCAAAGGTATGCAAAGCATGGAGTTGTGGTAAATCCAAATGTCGTTGCATGTACGCATAAAAAGAGGCCAAATACATCTGATTAATGATGATACTCGTAACGGCAATGCGTTTTGGGACGTGTGTACGATCCGCAGAACTTGGAGGAAGAGAGGTCCTTGGGTGGAAGTGACACTTCCACAGCTCCAACGTATGAATTTGGGCAAAGATACCAAGGAATTCGAAAACATCAAGGGGAACTTCGTCTTCGTCGGGAGAAATTGTTTTGGCATCGATATGCTCCAGACGTAAGCGATGGAGATTATATCGGGCACACGTGAGCTCAGCCTCCGTAGATGTAAGAACAGCAGAGCTAGCTGTGTTTTGAATGGAGAGTCGTAGGAGTTCCAAATGTAAGTTTCGAAGGTTGGAAAGCAACGAGAGGATGACATTAAGGTGACCGTCGTGAAGGGTGATCTCGGTCCGCAGGTCAATTCCATGAATGCGGAGGTCGACGATCAACGGCAAGATGTTTGGTGCGGTTTCTAGAAACTCGATGAATTCATCCATCGTATCGTGGTCGTATAGAGGTACAGACATGCTCTCATATAGTCGTACTCTGGCGATGGGTAGCCAAGCTTTGCAGACCAGAGAGCATGCGTCAAGCGTTTGTCTATATGAACGGAGATGGTCCATCACGCCTTCGAAAACTTCTATCGGAAGAGTGGCAATAGGATTGACTGAGACTCTGGAGAGGTACACAAAGGGAGTGAGTCTATCTCGGACGAAGAGAGCAGTCCTCCCTGATTCTCACCTATAGCTGGAACTCCTAGATCTCGGCATTCTGTTGATATTCTAAGATGGGCTATAGACGCAGGCAAAAGACAAGTTATGTCTCAGTGCAATATATGTGGTAGTGGAGTTAATACGAAAGAGTTCATCGGTGAGCTGCCAAAAGCTGCCAAATTGCTGGCAAAGCTGTTACACAACAGGTGCAAACATGTGCGACGCCGCCTGAAGTTGCGATATTTCTTATTATTATTTATTGACCTGCACCTCTTCCAAAAGCACTGCTAGCGTATGTGTTTTAGAACGCGTCCGTGCCGAAGACAATATGCCAAATAGCTCATGTGAACCAATGATTGAATCGGCGACATTCAATGTCTTCCCTTCGTGGAGGAACACTCATGTCGCCCTTATTCAAAGTCGATTAGGAATAACCATTATAGGCTATACAGTATGCACAATAAAGGTAGATAGAAGCGTACATTGTAGACTCCGAAGATGAGAAAATGAGACCATATATTAGCCAAAGAGCATGTTCTGCAAGACCCGTTCACAGCCTCAGACAATCTCAGCTTCCTTTAGATGGTTGCGCTGAATACCCTCCCGCACTGTAAATATTTAATCAGACCCAGTTGTACCACATAAATGGTCAAAAGTACAAACCTGCTGAGATCGTTATCGATGTTGCCTTGGTATCCTACCCAGAACAGTCAAACATGAGATTGAGAGTATTATTGAGAAGCAAACGAAGCACGCACGATGGCAGAAGTCAAATAGGAATAGAACCCTCGTTGTTCAGGTGAGTGCTTAAAGAGAAGGTCGCGGAATTGCTGGCGAAAGACTACCAGGTGGATGAGCCGCTAAAAAGCAGGTCAAAGTAGGAAAGGGACATACACTTGGCAACCGTCTTTGCGTCATTGGGTTTGTCTCCATAAGTAGCTACATAATCGGCAACCTTGACGCCACGCATAATCTTCTTCTGCAGCAGATCACACTTATTCAGGAACTATCAGAAGGGTGATCATTAATCAATGGTAAGGAAGGGCAGCAAATACAAATGAAGGGCGAACCAAGATCAATTGGACCTTTCTCAGCACCTTATTTTGACAGACAGCTTTCCAGAGTAGGAGACTATCCTCGAGTCGGTTCACGTTCTTGTCCTCAGCGAGACGCTCGTCGAAACAATTGATAGGAGCGAGGAAAATAATAGCGTTAATGTTATCAAAGAAGGGCGGCCATACGTGACGCTGGAAGATATTAGAAAACAAGATATCCGCCATGAATGGGCACTTACTGAAGAACGACAGCCGCCGACATCATATAGTATCCACTCTTTCCCAGAGTTTGGATCATTCAACTCCTTCTCCGCCCTCTCCCTAGAGGGACTAACTTCGTCCTTTGCTTTATTAGCGCGGTCGGGGAAGAACCGATACTCCTGCACGCCCATGGTTCGCAGTCGAGCACGGACGACATCATCGTCCGTGGGCACATAATCCGGAGATGATACACGGAGAGCATCATTCAAGAAGCTACACAAAAAGGAATCAATGAAAATGTATCAGAAGTGAAAGATATTCGTACAATCCAGGACCCTCCTCCAATCGCAATTTTCGCCGTTTTAGGACGGCTTGTACAATGGGATCAGTCCAAACAGCTTGAATATCCTTGGACAATAATGAAAGAACAGCGGTCGTATCATCCTCTACGTCTGCAAACTCGATAGTTGAAATACTGAAGGTGCTGTCATCAGATGAAGTCGATGCACGCGTGCGCTTTCTACTGGACTGACATAAAGCGAGTGAGATAAGAGTACCCCTACCAGCGGAAAGAAAAAGGGTAAACGTACAGTAGTGCTCTGTCGGTAAGACTCTGATCCTTTTTGCCTTGGTCTCACCCGATCTAAGGCAGCCCTCCATCCAACGCGACTGTTGACGAAGAATTCGCGTGGCCGCCTTGGGTTAGGGTCTCGTCCACGTTCTACCTCCAACTGTGAAACGGAGGAGGGACGCGTGAAATTTGTTGAGGGTGCACCTAACCGCCGCTCAAGGACTCGCTGAAGCTCGCGCAAAGGAGCTAGACGCTCGAGATACAAGTTAAGTTCAGTCGTAAAAGCAGGAATGGCTGGCGACGATTCCAAGCTTGAATCAGAACCAAAGTAAAATGGTGAAGTAGACCGTGATCGAGGGCCACCTGGAGAAGACAAAGGAGGATGGCCAAGGTGCTGTTGCAGGGTGTCGAGAATTGTAATAACAGAGCGTATCAAGTTCAAGTGTATGATCGTCTTCCAGGCAGCTCGTTCTTCAACAAACGCATCGTATGCGTAGGTCATCTGAAAGTCTTCAACATCTCATTAGCTTGCTTGAAATTCAAGCAAGGGATTCCCAGAACGTACTCTTGATGGTCGTCGTCTTCCCGCTCTCACTCTGTCCCAACAATAGCACCCGAATAGGCTTCTTTCCCTTCTTCATAGCCATCTTCTCCGCCTTGATGGCATCGTCAATTTGCGAGCTGACTCTTCGTGCATGTGCTTCAGCTTGTTCACGTTGCCAGCGACTAGACGGAGATTCGTCCCTTGGAGGTGCAATAGCGAGGGACAGCGGGTCACGTGTGACAGGGTCGATGGCCATGGCGACAGTCCAGAGAAGAATGGGGGGATGGTAAAATTAGGGAGACGGAAGGCCGAGAGGACAGCATGTATATGGACAGAGGCTGGCATGGGTGGGAACAAGAAGCTCAGAAGAAAGATGGCGAGTGTCACCTCTGTCCGAGAATGCGTTCCATGGCAGTGAGAGAAACCACGTATCACGGACGCGCAAACACCTGCTCCTCCGGCGCTCTGTCTCCAATAATGGGTGTGAATATATCAGAAAAAGAGCCATGAACGCCGACACGAGCAGGGGTCAATCAAGGGACTGCGCTTTCTATTATCCGGTTGGTCCTAAAACGGCGCATGGCGACAAGATATCATCACGCAGGGTGTATTCAAGCGCGTGGAGATGACAAACCCAACAATCACGGACAGATGGGAGCATCGGATATTGGACGTGGTTTCTACCTTGCGAATCAATCATCTGACTGAGAGCAACTCAGGAACCGCAGGTGTCGGAATTAGTATACTAGGAGGATTCCATACCGTTGAGAAGATGCACACCGAGAATTTAGACGATGGTAGTCATCCTAGGTTCCTTCTGTCTCGTCAAAGTTTATTTTTGTTGCAGCGTTTGTCTTACAGCATGTCAGAACAAGCTGTGTGCGGGATCATGATCATTTCGTGGAAAAGCATTGTGCATAGCGCCGATCGCAAGTCCTGCAAAGCTCGTATCCCAGGTGGGATCAGGAATGAGTATGTGTCCTGCAAACCAAAATCCTAAATCAGTAAGCGAATTAGAGGCGATTCGGAAGCCCGAATGACACGCGCCCAAAAGAGATCTTGAACCTCGACGTCTTGCATTTTAATCTAAAATGCAGGACACAGATTCGCAGTATACGATTTTCGGTTATGAAGGGGATGGCATCGAGAAAGATGGCTGGATATTTGCGTACACGATGATTGTAGGAACGCACCGATCTACAATTGGGAGCAAGAGCCAGCCAATGAACACAAATCGGGTGTTCATTGAGGCAAGACATCACAAGGGAGAATACGCGGAGCTTCTGAGGAGAACAGACTAGAGTGGCGGTATGGCGGAACGATTACAAAAGTTTCGAAGAAGACAGCGAATGCGCATGAAGACCTCTGGTTAGAACTTGGGAAGCGACTCTTAAATTGCTCATGCGACATCAGCCGCATTTATTCCCTCGATGCAGATGGCAGGAAGACACAGTCACAATAGATACCGAACTTTGCGAAGGTTCTAAGGAAAGTCGAAGGAATGTGGTATGAAAGACGGTGTGGAGTGAGAGAGAATAATCCTAAAAAGGTAGCTGCGTTCAGAAAGCGAGGCATTGAAGTCTAGAATACATACCTCGACGGAAGTATCAGAGGCCAGGCCAAGCCTCGCAATGGGTCGCGTCATTGGGTGACAGATCGGGAAGTATGCACTGTGCAAACCCGCCAGTCTAGGATGTGTTTGGATAGGTGGGGAAGAAATGCGGGCGCAGAGTATTAATCGGGTAATGTGAGGCGGGTGAGGAAATAAGCAATAGTCCTCGTAGGTGTGACATTGAGAGGAGACCATGTGGACTTGGGAGGAATTCATGTGGAAGCGATCTAGCATTGACATTGCCAAATGCTAGGTAACGCATTTAGACTTCGATTCACAAGTATAAGATTCCCTGTGACAATGGCTGACAGTGACTTGTGGTGCACACTACGATCAAGCACGCATCAACGACAGCGGTTTGCGAAAGAAGTCAGATCAGGACGCGAAGAGCCTGAGAAGCTAAACGCCAGTCAAGCCTAGTCAAGCGCATCTACGGGGGGTGTTGGGGAGGTGTGATGCATGTCTGACACCGCGGAAGTGGTGCAGTATGCAAATTCAACGGTTGGAGGCTCACAAGAGAAAGTAAGATCTTCGGGATATCATCGAACACTAACCTGCACCTGGTTACGACCATAGAATTGTTCAACAAGAGAACGCGGATATTGACAGTAATGATGGTTCTGGCCCAAGTGGTCAAAATGCAAGACAAGCGCTAGCGGCACCCAAGAAATGGGCATACGTAGTCGGCGAAGTGCTGGTGTTGGTGTAAGCCAGTGTTGGAGAAATCAGTGAGAAGACAGGGCATGTGGTACATCTCTGATGGCCAAAACTTGCTCGGACAACCCAAGAGACAGGATATACATTGACTTGACGCGTCGGCTACAAAATGCAAGGGACCTTAGAGAGAAGAGAATGAGTGGTCCTATGTTGTGGGCAATGTGGCATTAACGATTATTTTATTGCTTGTCACTGTTTGTTAATGGCTCTTGGGAAACTACTAAATGCGGATCAAACTGATCCTTTCTGGGTCATGATCAGACAGTCGCTTGAATTGTGCTTGCTTGTACATAGTGCAGACACGAGGATAGGAATAGTACATGCGAACTCATCAATTTAGTACCTTAGTGCAGATATCTCGAGTCCTTAAATGATGAATGTTAGCGTGCCGTTCCTTGTTCATTGTTGGCGATATTGATAGTTCTAGCTGCGATTGGTGATAGCAGAGCTGCATCCTTCAACCCAGTATTTCCGAACTCGTGTGTCTCCAATTTTGCTTCTCAAGAGGCACTTCCTGTGGCCTCAAGAGTCCTCACATTATTTATAGCCCTATTAGCCATAGTTCTTCCTCCATTGAGCCTTGTCTCCCAATTCTCCGGATCCTCACTGTCAATCCATAGGCCAGTTACCGGGTTCCTATCGAAGTCCCCATCGCGGTATCTGTACTGCTCTTGTAACAGTCTGAGTAAAGGGTTTCTCAGCGCGGGATCCATTCGTACTGACTCTCCAGGTGCATAACCTCCAACCCCATGCTGAGCAAGGGTCTCTTCTGATAATGCCTCCTTGAATGTACACCCGCAATTCAGATAGCCTGGAGGTGCATTCCGGGGAGGGTAAACATGTCACTCTCTCTGAGAATCGTGCCAAGTGCATAGGGCATTTCCAGCTTGATTGAGTGAGCAGAAAAGCTTGATTCGTGCTTCAGTATGGCACTTCCATGACTCTTTGAACTGAGAGAGCACTGAAGATGCTGTATTGTTGAAGTCTAAGAGTTTATTTACAAGGCGAGGACTGAGTTGGAAGGGTGAACTCGCATGAGTTGGATCAAATAGCATCATAGTATTGTCCTTACTGTTTATGTTTGGACTTGTTGTCAATGCATTTAAAGCAACTCGGAGCTTGTCCAGGTACTCAATTGCTATTTCCTCGGTAATTACTGAAGTGCTGGATGGTTGATCGGTAATCAGGTCTCTGACAGTGCGATCCATGCATGAAGGAAATTCTGTCTGTGAAGATTGAGCTCAGCCAATATTCAATAAGACATATCATTAATAAAAAATGTACCTCGAGAGCATCCTTTACAGTGGTGTATGCAAGTGTGGCAACTGAGCTCATAATTGTGAATACTGTACAGTAGATAATAGCTGGTGGGTTCACATACCATTCACATTCCCATTGATTACTATCAGAAGTGACATGTGTTGCAGAACATCTGAAAGTGTCATAGTTGCATCGGCGGATTGCACCTAGCCCAGATAGTTTGTTTAGTCTATTGAATTATTGTGATAAATGAGGTTTATCTATCTTGTAAACAGTCATAATGTCAGCTTCACTCATAATTACTGTTTCTGCATCAGAGTTCTATGGAAAGACTTAGACATAGATTGAACACAAAGAAGAGATTTTCGCTTACTGCTAATATATAGTCAAGAATGTCTGCAACTGGAGAATGTGGCTATCCTCAATGCTTAGCTCTATTCAGAATAAAGGAAAAACTTTGGGGCATCAAACTGTACTAGTTCAAAGGCCTAAGGGTATTCCATAATTGGCACTTCATCTGATGGAGTTGTGCCTCCACCAGTTGAACTGGTTCCCAGATGCTCTTCTTCATTCAATAAACTTGAGTCATCCTGAGGTTCTGCAGCAGCCTTGATCTTGGCACCTAAGATAGGTCTATATTTAATCCTATAGCAAGATAGAAATATGCAATACACAGGTTAGTTGTGAGCCCCTTGTTCAGGCAGCACCGAGATCTGTTGGGAGCTGGAAGCCTGCTGCTCCATGACCATAATGGGCTTTCGAGATGGAGTAGAATGTCACTCAACTGACTGAGCCCCAGTGCTCGATGCTGACACCTTGAGTCTGACATTTGCATAACTAGCTGCGCCACTCCCTAATGTCAATTCAATGGCATTACCCCATTCCATAAATGCAGCAATGGTCCAGTCACTTATCTTGACCCATCTCCATATAAGCATAATTTCCTCTTTGTTGATGATCAATCCTATATTGTCAGCAAAAGTGCTTCAGCTCTTATGATGCTTTCACATATATTCTACAAAATATTTGTTATGATGGATAGCTTCAGAAGCAGCTGAGTCCTTGAGCACAAGGAGTGTGCCTCTATCGTGGGTCGCCACATAATGGCAGGCAGCATCAAGAGGAATCATCTCCCTGGTAAGTTGAAGTGTTAATGTTGAACACATGCACTAGAAAGATATATGAGGACTCACACAGATGCACCAATATTCATACCTAGCTGTGACACAGATTTGCTGGAGATAACTCTAGGATTGAGGAAGCTTTCATTCTCGTGATGTAAACATGGGTCGAAATGCAGTGGTTGAAAGTCGAGAGGAATGCCGTGTACATTGATTGGATCATCTGAAGATAGGAGGACATTGAATAGATGATATCATCTGCTATCGAGAATGTAGCTGACATTCCCAATCATGACTTTGCCGGTGTCAGACAGTTCTGGTCTCCAGAGAGATACACCATACCCTCGACTAGAAAGCTCTTCTACGTAGATGGCAGATGCTCGACCCATCTTCCAATCTGAGTGAGTGACTTGCAGTAGGACAACAGCAAGAGACTTTCTCATTTGACTAGTTGCGAGGTAATGACTCTTGGAGGCATTGCCTCATGGCTGCGCACTAGCTGCAGAGCAACCATCATCTCATAGAAGCTGAGGATAATTTGTTAGCATGAGAAATTCCAGATAGCAGCGTGCAGTGATCATGAAGCCATCCATCCAATGTGACATTGACAGATCACATAACGTGTCCTAGGATCGCAAAGCATAGTAGTGACAGGAACGTATGTCGCATTCTGTGCCTAGTCATCATATGTACTAGCTGAAAATATGGAATGAGAGAGGCATCATCAATATGACTATGAGAATATAGAGAGAGAAGAATGCATTGCACTGCTAGGTTTGTGGAGATTCAAGTTCAGCAGGGCTCCTGAACCTCATCTGCCAAAATGATTGTCCCAGTATGGTAGGGTGCCTCAAGGAGGTTCAAGTTGAACTTCTTACGAGGAACGAGTGCCAACATTCTCCCACATAGTACTGCATGAACTATTGGCATTTTGACAACTCATCTTCCAGATGCCATCTCATAGGTGCCCTTTGGCCATGCAAAGCAGATGTTCTCTACATTGAAAAAGGTCAAGCACCAGTAGGCTACCGCCCTCCAAATGGTCTCCTATGGGGACACGACATATCCAAGTTCATTTATATTTCCAGAGTACCCGATCTAAACATTATTATGCTGTGGTCACAAAGTATGCTCAAGGCATTTGGAGAGAACTACAATGACGAGACAGAGGAGGTCTTTTTCTTCAGTCCTGATACCTGTGCGAGACCCAGGAAGTGGAGAGTCTGGCCTGTTTTGAAGGTATGAAAGGATGTCCCCCTTCAGATCGATGGTGCATTCAGCTTGTTGGATGAAGACTCTGACCATGAGGAGGATGAGATTCGCGAATATCTACTTGAAGATTCATTCAGTGCCAATAGCTTCGAAAACCTTGACAATCACTTTGAGAATGCCTCATCAACTGACTCACATGGCAAGCATGACCTAATCTGCTGCCTGGTCAAATTGTATGCAGATGGTTGGGCAGATTGCCATTTCACATGTCAATCTGACTGCCCGGAAGACCAGAAAGTAAATTCTAATTTTGTGCACCTATTTGTTTGTATGGTAGATGTTTTATGGCAAATACAGTATATTGTCTATGAACAAATTTAGTCTTTGTACTAGAATTTGCCAGGCAACAGATTGTCTAACATATTTTCTATTGTTGTTCAGATATGCCAAAGCGACAGAATTAGAATTTGTTCCCCTGAGATAATTAATATCTGCTGATCCGGCAGATTGTGATCAGCCAATGAAAACATGATTCTCCGATCTTTTAGTCCAGAAGATTCAAATTTGATCAAAGTCTGCCGGGCATGCACAATAAGAATATCTGCAACATTGATACTGTTTAATGAACTTAGAAATACTCTATTGTTCTGATGCGCCAGCAGATTGTATCGAACATATTCTTATTATTGTGTAGTACCAGATTTCAAATTTAAACCTTCATCTGCAGGGCGAACAAAGTTGAGGGTAAAGTCTATATTATATATTGTATTTACCGGGCGGTCAGATCGGCGTGCGAAATGGCAATCCGCCCGACCATCTGCACACAATTTGACCAGGCGGCAGATTAGGTCGTGCTTGCCGTGTCAAGGGAACTTCCCTTGGATGTTTCAGACATATTCGAGGTTAACTCAGTTTGGATGTCCTACGTCAAAAAGAAGATCCTTTTGAATAACAACCCTCGTCATCGTCGCTACATCGTCCAACTACCCGTACCTATCCCGATACCTACCGCTACTACACCCCCACGATACCCATCTCCGCCTCCGCAAATTCAACGCAGTCAGGATGACGCTAACACTAATGATGACAACGATGACGACAGCGGCGGTGATAATCGCAAAGATGATGCCTCCAAAACATGTTCGAATACGCGAACTGAAGAGGCAGAGCAGCTTCAAGATGATGGAGACCTGAACAACGCCAACAGTGGATCTTCATGTCTTGCTTACTTCACTAATCCTTCGGGTACCCAGAATGAACCTTCAGCTCCGGCCAGTCATAGCCATGCAGTAGAAATAAATGTGTCAACGGGATATACTGCGGTGAGCCCTATATACCCATACTGCATATGACACACTAAATCTCCACCTCACGCCAGGATACAGATAATCTCCCTTCACATGAGCATAGTGACGCACCCGCACCTTCCCCCACCCCAGCTCCCGCGGATATTCCTAGTCCTTACTCCTTGACCAACTCCTACGACTTGCAGAAGACATTCCGGCAGAGTGTTTCCCTACAAGACTCATCGTATATGATCCATTTGACCTCTCGTTCGGCAACGATCCAGATAACGACCCTCATTTTTCCCCGAATATAGACGATAAACGGTATGGGGATGCAGAACCGATCAAATATAGGCGTCTCTATCCCGCTTTCCGGCAACCTGCGTCAGGTGAGAAGGGCAAGCAAAAAGAGAAGGAAGAATCCATTGCGCATCTCTCCCTCGCGCCCGATAACCTCCTTGGTATAGGTACTCATTCACAGGTCTATGCGTGCCCATTTGACCTCCCTTCTTCCCTTACAACTAATCGTTTTTCTTCCCCTCCGTCTCGCCCGAACACTGTTCGTCTTTCCGTCAAAGTGGCTTTACCGACGCAGGAGGCTCGTTCCAGGCTTCAACACGAAGCCGGAATCTATAACGGCTTCCCATCGTATATGTGCGAAGAGTACTGCGGATATCATCTGCTTACTCGGATGATGCAGAGTCCAGTTCCGAGCGTCAGAGTCGTTCCCAACTTCTATGGGTACTATGTGCCAGTCAAGAAGACAAAATCGTTAGAAAGGGAACAAGGCGGAAAGGAGAGGATTTTGTGGCCTTGGGAAGGGAGGAGTCCGATATTGCTAACGGAGGATTGTGGATGGCCGGTTCATGTACATAAGCTTGATGTTGATGAACGGTACGTTTGCCTTATGGTGTCTCTCTGCACGCTTTCGCGATATGAACTGATTTTTGGTGCAGCAAGGAGCTTTACTCCCTTCTTACACGTCTCCATGTTGAGTCCTACGTATACAATTCTGTACAACGTATCCGAACATTTGATTCCGAAACCGAAGACGATGAACTTGAAAACTCTTCTCTGCCTCGTCCTATGACCCTGTCCAAATTCCTTATTCAACCTGGCCCCTTGGCGTTTCATCCCAAGGACCGGACATATCAGAATCCGACTTTCCGGATAATCGGCTTTGGAGAGACCGAGTTGAGAGACGTTGGGGCAAGACCAGAGGATGTTATGGATATGGATTTATATAAAGAGACTGCAACAGCGAGGGATATGTTAGGGTTTGATCAATGCGAACCTATCTAAGTTACCAGTAAGTCATTATTTGCAACGCTCATCGAGATGGTTCGGTTATAACTTGCCTCAGATACGGAGACATTTAGGGTCATCTCGTTCTCCTTTGATTAGTCTGCTCTTTCACCTACCTACAAACCCGAAATATTCCTCTCGAGGTCGACAAGCAACTTTTCCTCTTGCCTTCACACAACGGAAGAGACGCCGTCAATCTGCCCACCCATTTTTCACAGAGTTTGGGCAACCCTTGGACGATTCTTGTGCCATGCATGGCCTTTTCGCATTGCTAAAACCCGAAGGGTTGCTGCGTATCCCCGTGTCTCGCTCTCTATCTTTACGAGCACTGTTGCTCATCGCTATCGTGTTGTCTACTGTACCAATCCGCCTGCATCGATGTATCGATTTTGAAGCATGTTGCTGAAACCGTTGGACTCTGCTCAACTAAACGAAGTCACTTGACTCACGCGTCCAATGCCACAAAGTCGCTGATTGAATCCCCTTTGTTCTATTTAACCTCCGCTATATTCACGTTTTGCATTTCTTTCCAGGCTCACGCCTTTCATCTCTTCCGCCATTCACGACCTTCTGTTACGACTATCTAATCTCGTCAGACTACACTGATTTCATTTCTGATTCATTATGGTTAACCAGGATATTGTCGTAGCAAATCTTCAAGCCACAAAGGTCATAGACGGTTCTCAGGCTACGACCATCAGGGACGCGTCTGAGATGCGACCAGTCTTGGAAAGCGGCTTGCCATCGAAAGATATAGTTGTGCTTTCACCGGAGAAGCCTTCCTTTGAACCTGAAGTTGATGAGCCTGCTTCTCTATGCGACGACCTATCGGATACATCTGCCTCAGAGCTTTCTTCAATGGGCTCGCAATATGAAGACCTTTCCACCCGTGACTTCCCTCACGCACATGCTTTTGACAGTCAAGAGTTGTCTCCTTGGGCTATCAACCCTTGCCCTCCTTCTTGCCAATGCCAACTGGCTATGGATTGGACACAGTCAATGGCCCTCCAGTTTGCCTTGTCCGAAACTGTTAAGGCTTATCAAGTCCATCAACACTCGTGGCGCGTCACCGACGTTCTTAGCATTGCTACTCAATTCGAATGGATCCTCTCATCTTCGCCTCCTGTTGAGGTCTTATACGAGGACATGGACAAGAATGCTTCATTTCATATTCCGGATATGAAACTCGGCCTGGAAAATGGTGTTGATGAGCATGGAGTCCCATGCGGTTTGCGGTTCTCGGAAGGTATCCATGTTCAACATGGATGGGATTTCCCTTTGGCCAGGGTACCCTACGGCGAGATAATTGTGCACTTCTGGGTTAGTGCATCGGTTATCAGTTGCACCGTTGCTGAGACTCACGCTCCCATACTGTTCACCTTCGTTGGTCCTAGTTGGCTGGTTACCCGGAATCTTCTTTCCCGTTCGTTCTCCCCATCTGGGATGGTGCTAGACCTGTTACCAGAAACTTCATCGCCGGTAAACTCGTCCAAGCTGTGCAGACACTTCACCAGGTATGTTTCCAAGCGTCTCTCTTACACATGAGGACGCTCCTCTGCCCGAAGTTTGATGCAAATTTATTGACCTCCTCGTTTCAGGCCATTGCGACTAAACCTGATATATACGTTCCAGTTCAAGAGGAATTACGCCTTTTGCCCTGGAACCTCCCCGGCTTCATCGGTATTGGTATCAATCACCTGAGGCTTAATGGTCTTTCACATTACCGGGGTCGTCACTTCGTCGTTAACATCACCGTCATCAAACCCAGTACTAAGAATGACTACTGGTTCTAAATGACTCAAACTAATCGGGATCGGGATCACAATGATCCCAATGGACAACAGACAAACCTTGATTTTAACTATGTCAGTCTCACTATCGACACTCAGTCATTTCTTCTTCTATGTACCCTTGAGTTTCGCTTATTCAAGCTTGTTTTGCTATATCTTGGGTTTACACCGATGTGGTGGTGCCGCTCTAATATCTCCTACTTGTATCGTCGTCACAACCTCTTGTCCCTTATGCTGCCTACTCTAAGCTGCGGTTGTTGTATCGCTAGTTTTTCCTTTTCTCCCTGATTTTCATTGGCCCGCCCCTGTTTTTTTTTTGTTTTCCCATTATAATGTCGTATACGTTATCGCTATCCCAATAAACCATCGTTCTTTATGCTCTTCGGTATCATCAGTTTCTTTGGCAGTCAAACGAAGGAAGACAGCCATTGTTGAACATGTAGGAGCATTAAATCAACTCTCGACCTCGTTGAGCGTTTTGACCCGCTTACAGCGCGTAGGAGAATCAATAGGAACAAAAAGACGATATTCGCAAACCTGAAGAGAGTCCTTACACTTGGAACGAACACAGATAGAGGTCATGAGCGTTGCGCTATGGAACAAGCCCGGGGGAGAACAATTAATGCACAGACTATCCCTGCTAACGGCAAAGACTCGACATGAAATCAGGCGACACCGGCAGGAAGGCTATAAAGCTACGCAATAAAATGCATGTTAAGATATGATGCAAGCCGGATTGATCACAACAAATGAGCGTGGTGAGACAAAGTGACGAGGATATAGGAAGCGTTACGCAGCCGAATCAAATGCGCGACGTTCCAGTGGGTTCAACCCAGAATGGCGTTATTCGATAACGAGCATGTATTCAGTCAGGATCAAGCATGCCAGGATTGAATACAGGTGAATACTGTACGAACGCAAGTGAGGAGATATCTGCATACGAGGTGAAACTTCGTCTGTGATGTTCACGACGGACGTTGAGCATCAATCTTGGACCCTGTAGGAGATAGGATCAGTGCCAGCGAGAGATGAAAGAAGGGATGAACTCACTAGCGCACCGAAGATGGCTAATGCCCATCTGACCGTAGAGAAAACTTATTACAAGGGGAACCAGGACGGGTAAGATGAGACTTACGGGAAGCCCAGAGCAGCAAGGGTAGCTGGGGCAATCGTGAACAAGATAGTATTTCCGATCATTACCACTGTTAAGACCCGGTGCTATGATCAGGATATATCAAGTGAACAACAATACACATTGGATACACACCGAGAATAGCTGCAAATGTCCACATGTTGTCTCTCACTAACACCTTCAGCAGCGTAGTCCGCTCGAACCCGTCCTTCCTCGCGGACCAGAGCTTCACCACAGCTAAAGTGAAGAGGAACGCTTCGTATACGATAGAAGCGATACTGATAAACCTTCAGCGACTGAGATCAAGAAGCGATACAAGCAAGAATCATACCTATAGGCCACCATCTCGACCGGTATCTCAGTATTGATACAATTCTCGGTTGTCATAATCTTCGGCATGCTGATACCCAGGGTCACCGCCATTACGATCACTTGAACGACCAGAAGACCGACGATCATTCGTATCAAGGCCGTGTGCCCGGAATACATGGCTTGTACTGTGGTGCAACAATCTTTTAGTTTCAGTCTAAAAACTATGGGAATAAGGCCACACACTGCGAAGGACGAGGAGAACCTCCACTGCCAGTTCTAAGAGAACAGCCGATATGCCTTCAACGATTATCCACTGTTGGCATGTCAATGGGTGGGCATTTAGGATTCTATCTCCAGAATATCTATGAGTCAAGTGGCTAGATGCAGGAGGCAAATAGCGTACATGAGGATGGCTATGGCGTAATAGCGAGTAAAAAAGAACAATAGCTTCAGTGGCGTCCAGTGGGTGCTAAAGCGAACATTTAGAGACTCGATAGTGCTCCCAAGTTGATCCACATACAGCCAGATGAATTGGACCTATAATCGGAGGTGGTCAGCTTCCCAGAGTCTGAAGATTGAGTACGATCTCACCTCCTCATCGAGTGTGATTAGGGTATCCCAGACAATGAAACAGAGCGCCGCGACTTTGCAGTCATTATCTACCTATCCGTATCGCAAACCGAACTGCAACAAGACTCACTGCCGCTACGAGCAGCCCCTTGAGACTGCATAAGCTCCAGAAAGGTACTCTGATCGAGATATAAACCGTGGGGCTGCGACATGGCTATTATGCAGCCCCAACTGCTAGGTTAAACTAGTATCGTATGGCCGGGATAAGGGAGATAAAAACGGTGGAAAGAACGAGGCTTGGGGACCGGGGAATACACCCCCCATGTCTCGCATATATCATGCATGTGAACCTAGTTAGGAGCCAGCCAGCATTACCTGGATCACCGCTGGTAAAGGTTTCATATGTTCAAAGACAGACTGAGCGCAATCTTTCAACAAGGGTCACGAACCTGTGCAGGATAAACAGCGGCAACTTGGAGGGGTCGGGAGCTTCGCACTGGAAGCGCTCCGAGGATGCTTGGTCGTCTTTCTCCACAACGCTCATGGCGGAAGGAACCCGTCTGCAGTCTTTAATTGGCGCATTCTATGGTGCTAGTGGACAGAACTAACAATCAGTTGTAGAAGCTTAGACGACTTGAAGTCCGACGATGGATGTGTTGTGTTGGTACAAATCATTACCGCTCATCCTTTTGATACGTAATCTTCCTGGGGTGTCACCACAAGTCGCTAGTCGTGGCAGATGTTTATGAACTATAAGGGCTGGATTTGACTCTTTGAAGGCTTACCTTACGTGGGAAGAAGTGTCGGTGTGAACCCAATCTAATCGAGGAGGTGAGTTGCATTCCAACAGCAGTTTGACAGTTTCTGTCGTGATCGCGACTGATTGACAATCCTTGAACAAGATCGGCATCAATATTGTCCCTCTAGGCAGGTTGAGTCATGTAAATTGGGATTCATTTCAACGCTTAGGCCAACTGCCACAGTTCTAGGTTTGAGCTCAGTTTAGGCCTGCCTGCCTGGTTTGGCATCCTCGGATGCAACCTGCTGCAACATTTGTTGTGTCGTCTCTATTAGGTATTGTCAGTGGCTCAACTTAGGTCATTCGGCTACAATCGACCGAGGAACAATGGATAGAAGTGGCCAAAGCATGCTCGAGTGTGGCCCTATAGGCGTTTCACATTGCTCCTTTGTTCTCCTCGCCCATATATACGCAAACGCTAGGGACATCTTATTCGCTTCCCTTTCTACCTTCCCAACTTCTACACCAAGACCAAGAACCCCCGTCGTTCCTACTTCAAGCTTCATCTATGTTTGGCCTCACTGGTGGCCGTCGACAGTTTTATGGCATGCGTTGGCCACGCAAAGAAGATGGCCCTGCACTGCCTAGAGATCCACCTCCCACGGGTTACCGACCTCCAAACGGACTCATCTGGGGCCATGACATGTCGGAATTCTGCTGGATCATGCGATGGCCTAAGTTGTTGATTCAGACGATGTGGTCTCGTTCTATGATTCGCGAATTCGGGGAGTTGTTTAGCAAGCACCTGGAAAACATTTTCTTCGATAACCCGCATATCGATCCGAAGCCGAGGAGACGACGACCTTGGCCTGTGCTGAAGGCCCTTAAGGGAAAGGTTGGGAAGGTGGCTTATGATCCTCCTCTTGGCTTCATAGATGAAGGCTCTGATCATGACGAAGCTAATTCTTGGGATGCTGTACTTCAAGACTCTGACGACGAAGAATCAGGAACTTACTCTACGGCTCCTGAATTTTCCAGCAAGAAGGAATGCGTCTACATTCCTCTGTCTGCGATTCAAACTCCCTGGTGGAAGGATGTGAAACAGACGCTCGTCAGCGTATCCAATAAACCTCGTCGCGTCCGCTTCGTCGTTCGGAGGCCATCCAAAGTCCCTAAAAGGAAACAAATTCAAGCGAAACCTACTAGCGAAGACGATGGGGAAGATGCTGATGACGAAGGAGACGATTCAATGGACGTCGATCCAAACCCACTATCTGTTGTGTCTTCTGGCGTATTCTCTGACTCTGGTGCGGACGGAAATGTCTCTGAACCGTCGGAGCCGCCGAATGCAAGTAATTTATCCGACATGTATTCGCTAGATGGTATTGCTGTGCTTCAAGAACACATCCCCGAGGCCCATTTCCCGGACAACCTCGTCGTTCATGACCCTTTCGACGTCTCTATGGGCCATCTGAGGGATGGCCCTTCTCGCCCAAATCATAAACCTAGCAGTCCTGCTGCCGTGCTCTACCGACGTGTCTATCCCGCCCCAGGTGCATTCTCTCGCTCCAAGTCTAGACGAAATGTTGGTCACCTCTACCTCTCGCCGGAAAACAAGGCCGGCATCGGGCATCATTCTGTCGTATATGCCGCTCCCTTTCGACTCCCTACCCCGCTTTCGACTTTTAATTCGGCATCTGCTAGACCTGGGACAGCGCGCATTATGGCCAAGGTGGCGATCCAAAACGAGTTTGCAAGAGAGCTACTGAGAAACGAAGGCGAAATCTATGATTCATTCCCCCGGTTTATGTCTGAGGAGTGGTGCGGCTGGCACCTTCTCTCGCCACAAATGCAGAGTCCTGTTCCTAGTGTGGCTGTCACGCCCAAGTTCTATGGCTATTACGTTCCCATCGAACGACCGGGTGACTCAAGTATCCCGAGCTGGAGGCAGCGAAGTCCCATTATGTTGGTCGAAGACTGTGGAAAGCCTATCACGGCTTGCAAGCTGAGCGTTGATGAACGGTACGTCCCTGATCTTCTGTTTATACTTGATATGAAACTGACTGTCGACACACAGAGCCGAGTGTTATTCCTTGCTGATGCGTCTTCACTTCATGGAATATGTTCACAACTCCTTCAAGGAGCGCAATATTCTCGTTCAACCTGGCCCCTTGACTGCTCCGCCTGAAGCTCGTTCAATGAAGAATCCCAGTTTCCGTGTAATCGATTTCGGGCGAACCCAGTTATGGCAGAAGCACCTTGAGAAGGAAATCAAAAGACTGGTCAAGGCAGGGAAGAAGCGCGAGGATATTGATACTGGCACAGGCCAAAATTCTTCGATTTGGAGGTCATATGAGAGTGAGATGACCCAGGAGATGTGGGAGGCGAGAACAGAGCTTCTTTTCGAGCAGCTTGAGAGTATCTGACGACGCAGTCCCGCCCGATTTGATCAAGAATTATATGGTTTGCTCTATGCTATGTTGATTATCGCTCTTTTTTTGTCTTTGGAGATGTATGGATCAGACCGTGGTGGGCGGAGACAATTTTGAGCGCCAGCTTCGACGGAAAACATACCAGATTTGGATTTGGCGCTTGAATTGTGCCAACGACGTCTTTCACGCTTGATCCTTAGCCTCGTCTGTATCTCAAAAGTCTCTCTACGAAAAGTATCTAATACCCCTCATAATATGCTTGCTCGAAGTTCTCTGCGGAATGTGGCACCTTGCACAAGTAGATGCTCGTTAAACGGTACATATCTTCTGAACCTTTTGAAATGAGAACTCAGAATTATCCTACATAGTCGCATCAACTTCAGCGCACACGCTTGAGATGCTGGCATCATATCGAAGAGGTCAAAACCATGGTGCTTGTTTTACAACACATAGCGCATATGGCGCATCGGAGGGACAATCCGAATCTACCTCCACTCAATCGAATGCTAGTATACGTTCGGATAAGAGCAAGGGATCATCATCGTGCGTGTGCTCTATGTCTTTCTATATTTACGTGTATCTTGACGTTGTTTATCTTAGACTGGACGCGCTATTCGACACCAACGTCTCGAGGTGGCCCAAAATAGTGGGCGATGACACAAGTACACCATCTAGCCTAACCTTTAAGGCTGGAAAAAAGGCCTCATCACGAGGCACGCCGTCTCGTCGTCAATCCATGACTCAACGAGAATTGTCGGTCTTTGAAGGAATGTTCGACCTACTTTTCGATGCGGCCAGCGCTCCCGTTCGACGGCTCACACCCACAGTGGGTGCTTCGAAGTCCCGGACAGATATGTCGGATATGGACATGTTTGAACGACTTCGCAAACATTCCAAACATATCAAGTGGACTTCGCAGGAGGAAGACGCATTAGACCGCAAAAAGGAGGCGATGGATCTTTGCGACACTGACCAACAGCTCCTAGAATGGGCCATTCGTGAAGTCTTTGCTGAATCGCAGCAGTATGAGGAAGAGGCTAGACGAATGCTTGATGATCCATTAACGCCGAAGAAGGATATCAAGCTACAACCCCCTGCTTATCCTTTTCTGGTCGCTGAATTGATGAAGAAGTTCCGTGACAAGTATTCCGACCCTCATCTCGCGTTGTCGATTTTCGATTATGCTCGCAACTTGTCTTCCCTGTCCTACGTCTTCGGCTGTACGACGCCCGCGTATAACGAGCTCATTGAGACCCGTTGGTCATGCTTCCGTGATTTGCGAGGCGTATGCGATGCGCTAGAAGAGATGCACGTCAATGGTATTGAGCTGAACACCCGGACGAGAGGACTCGCAGAAAGGATTCGCCAGGAGATCGGCGAGCGCAATCTGTGGGAGGAGGAAATGTCCACAGACAGTGGAGAGGTTCTTCAGATGATGAACTTTATCGAGAAGCTGGCTGCCCACGGGATCAAACCCCAAAAGGACGATAAGGAGGCGGTGAAATCGGCGAGGGCGAAGAAATGGGACAAACATCAAGAGCGTTGGAAGTCGTATGCTCTGAACGAGGCGGACGATAACTACGAGTTCAACCGTTGGGAAGATGTCGGTGCCAGGTAAAGGACGTTCACCAGTTGCCATTCTAGACTTAGCGTACATACGATTTAATGCCATCTATTATGGTTAGTCTTGGAGGGATCCTTCCAGCAATTGGAGTGAGCTTTATATACGGTACATGGGTATGAGAATTTTGACCTTTACCAAAGAAACCTGACAACAAGAATGAACGAAAGTGACTGCTACAACGAGTAATGAAACAATGAATGACTAGGAGATCAAAATAACAAATAATGTCCGAGACGATGTCGATTAGTATCGTAATCCAAAGCAATTATGTTGGGGTATGGTTAGTGAGTTTAGCGACGCCGAGATTTTGATTTACGGATCTGCTGGCTAGGTTCGGGAGGGATTGCACCATGCCCATGAGAAGGAACATAGTCTGGATCGACTTTGTCGCATTTGAGATGAAGAAGTAGATTGTGAACGAATGTCTGCTCATACCTAAAGAACACAGTCAGTGTCATTACACATACAAGAAAGGATCAATACTGACTGAGCGTTGGTGAATACAACGGCCATGGAGTCCGAGTTGCAGCGTAAGAGGTTCGGCGCCATGACCAAGGCAAGATTAGCTGAAGTCATTTTCGTGACCGCCTGAATCTTCTCATCCAGGAAGAGTTGCAAGAAGCTAATGACAAAGAGAACCACCCGTCTGTTGATCGTAGGCAGTCGATGGACGATCTGTATACAAGCGTCCGGATCCCTGGAGTTCGTGATACAGTCGTTGTAAAGCTCCTCCGGAACGAGCGGATCGCACAGTTCACGGAGCCACAATTTGAGCAGTGAGGCCAGTACAGTTGGATCATCACAGCCCTCAAGCGTGTAATAACCCTTATCTATGCGCAGTTTAAGGTCGGAGACAGCGTCTCCGTCTCCTGGAACTCGAAAGATACCTTCCGATTTCGTGCCTCCCAGTGCAAGGATGCCGTCAGCGAGGAAAGGAAGGATGATAGGAACTTTAAGGTGATGATAAGTGCGCTCTTGTAACCTAAAGATAACGTCTAGCGTTTCGCCGAAGATGGAGGGGTTGAAAGCAGCGTCCTATACACATGATCAGCCAAAGTGCGCTGATCGGTCGCTTTATGAACGTACCGATGCAGTCTCTATCTCTGGCAGTGTAGGTGCTTTGCCTCGTGGGCCCTTCCGCGAAATATTTGCAAGACGTCGGAGACAATACTTCGCCATGACATCTACTCTCCCTTCTGGCTGTGAAGTACCTTGTTGGAGGTAACTCTGAAGTGACCCTTCAAAGTTCTTTGACGGCGGAAAGGTGACCAAGAGAACACAAAGAAGCTGCCATCCCCTGAACACGCTCTCGCTATAGAGTTATGTCAGCGACCGCCGGTGATATTTGAAAGATTCGAAACATACGTCGTCGGATTGCCGTTTAACTGTTTCATCACTTGACAGTAGATTTCATCCCTCAATTCACCGTGGGCTAGACCCTGATTGAGCAGCCACCGTTCCTCTTCTAATATCGAGGCTGGAATAGTACCGCTGAGAAGTGAAGTGGTCGAGCCGCTCTGTGGTATACGATCACGCTCCCGGTCACCCATGATTCGTTGAATCGCGCGGAAAGTCTTGGTGGCTTCCTTGTTCAGGTCCTTGTTCACCTGCAGTAACGGAGAACTAAGTGGCCCCTGTGTAGTTGCACTCAACGTCTAGTAACTAAACGATAAGATAGAGCAATACCTTCTGCCAAGTCATCATTTGCGAGACTGGCACACGTCGTCGGAAGATGAAGCCAGTGCGATGAGTGGAAAAATATTGCTTCGCGAATTGGCTTTCCGAGAATTGCAGAATATCTGATGCGAGATCTTCAGGTAATACGGGGTATGCTCTAAAAGAAAAAGAGAAACAGAAGGTTGTTACAATGCCTTTGAATCCTTGAGGTTCGCATGCATACCCGGTACTCAACGAGACGCGTCGTGGTGCGGCATTCTTATAGATATCCGAGGGCATGGGCATCACAGGAATAGGCCTTCCTGCATTTCGGTTCTTGACAGGACTCAAATTCGCAGTTGCCTCTAGAAAGGATGTCGTAATGTCAGCGCATAGACAGAGAGGAAAATGAAATCTGACTCACCAGTGTTAGGTATTGGTGCACTGATTTCCTTGCCATTGAACGATACGGGTAAAGGTGGATCAGACGCACTTCGTTCTATGCGACCGGATCCATTTAGCGAAGAAGGCGTAAGTCTTCCTGGTGAAGGTGGTACGCCACCCTTCGTCTTTCCCTTCCCCTTTGTACCCGTTGGGGTGACGGGGGTGCTATGCTGCTCGTCTCTCATCCTCCCTGTGGCAAGGAAGGGATCCGTACTGATGCGTAGTTTGCCCAGCGATCGTGGAGGATATTCAGAACGTTTATAGTCACCGTCTTCTTGTGAACTGGAAGCCGCAATCATCTCCAGCGCTGCAACGAGAGACTGAGGTTGTGGACTTCGGTAAGGAACGAATGTGGCTGATTTGCTCGAACGCGAACGAGGGAGGATTGGTGAGTCAGAAGAAGACCGTGTATTACCATTACGTTTGGGGGTGCCAGCTCTACTGTGCTCGCTGTCTTTATCCTTCTCGGAAGATGGTGGTCGGGGAGTACCACCATTCAGTCTCTTCTTCTGCTCTGTGGAGGGCGAAGGGGGAGGACTTGTATCAGTAGCGTATGGCGATCCTGGTATTGGGGATAAAGGGTGCCCTCTCTGGTACGCAAGCGGGCTTGCATGCGAGGAAGTAGAGCCACTGAGATTGTGTTGGCCAGACTTCTCACTCGAACTTGATTTGCGCATTTGCTTTCGCATAGTGCTCGGTGGTGAGGAGTTTGAAGGGGATAGTTGTGAGGCTCTGCCGGGGGAGCTCCGAGTGGACGATTGAGACCGCCGTTGAGGCGTGGATCCGTTTTGACGCTGCGGGTCTGCGTCTCGGGTGTTGGTAAATGAGCGTGATCGTCTATATGAAGGTTTTCCATTGGCATCTATGTCCATGACCTGAGATTTGCGGTTTGTGAGGGAGAGCCTGCGTGCCAAGGCGGTATTCTATCGCATATAGTCAATTTCATGAAGCGCATAGAGACGGGATGACATCTTTACGCACTTGCAGTACGTTCAGAGGTATAATGAATGCCTCTGGACGTTCCCAAACAGTTTCACCAGTCTTGGTGTGGTAGTAATAAGGCAAGCCACTCGACTCGTCAATCATCTCCCACCATTCTCCTTCCGGACTAGGGGGAAGCCTGTGCAGAGCGAATGAGAATGCATCAGTGGCGAATGAATTTGAATACCTACAGAAAGTTGCCGACTGGAGGGTCCCAACTAACTTCGCCGGTCGCAGGGCAGGCATAGAATGAAACGCCAGACTGTGTATCTGGGCATGAGCGCAATCAATGATTAACCTAATGTGCAGAAGACGCATACCTGCGGATCGACGAGCGTGACCCAGAAATGGGAACCCCATCCATCTTCACCTTGACTGGAATTGGGAGAAGAAGACTTGGAAGGCGAAGCGGAGCTAGAAGGAGCTGGCCTTCCGTTCACCTGTACTTCAGGTGCAGGGGGTATGTCCGATGAATCACCAAACGAAATCTGCGGGGATGCAGCGCCTTGACTGGTGGAACTGAGGTCATCTTGAGCCGAAGGAGAGGCTGATGCGGCGGCCATGTACGGATTGTCGCTCTAGAGTTGGATATTATGTTTGTACCAGTACAAACGCGATATGAAAGACAGAAGCAGGTATGGCGAAGGCAGGAAGATAAAGAGAAATTGAGGAAGCAGGAGTGAGCCAGCGATATTTGTAATGGCGGAGAAGATCCGGGAGACAATTATAAGGGTATCTTTGAGGACAAAGGTATCTTTGGTTTAAATTGAAGAAACTCGTTAGCCAACAAACGAGTGCGGGGCGTGATCAGCGTGTCCACTCCAAGCCAGCAATCATCCTCGCGTTCCTCCATAACTTGACCGTTCCTGTCACCTAGTCACACTAAAGACATTTCGCACGTGGTAGTGTCACAGCCAATTTAGCAACGCATCTGTCGTTCACATCGTTCAAGCTCGACGTCCATAACATCGCCATCGAGGTCCTAAGTACAGTATATGGATACGTGTGGTTTTGTATGTGTACTAACCTGATATCTATTCTAGTCATGTCGCCGTTCATGCCGTCTTGCCAGGTGCTAGTGGTCTCCAATACCTGACGTCAACGGTAATGTCAATTTCAACAGACACTATATAGTCTCCCCTGCTACATTGCAGCCTACAATACCACCTATTATACGAGAATCGCGTCTTGACCCATATAAACTGCTTTGATTATGCTTGCTCATCCTTTCGTACGTTTTGCATCCTGCGCACGCTCAACCGTATCCTCTTCCCGTCTCCTATCCACAACCTCATCCATTAAACTACCGCACAAGGCTCCCCATGTCCTTCCTTTTTCATTCCTCCCTGCTAATTCCCTAGAGCCCAAGGCCACCCGTACCAAAGGCCTCACAGAAATTCGTGGTCCGTATTATGCACCTGTCACAAACACGTACCTCGACGAGCTCTTGACCGACTGGGGCGAATATGTGGACGGTGTCAAGTTTGCCGGTGGCGCCTTCTCCTTGATGCCTGAGGATAGATTGAAAGCATTGATCGACACCGCCCACAAGCATGGTGTGTTTGGAAGCCCTGGGTATTCGGAATGCAACTGAGTGTAACTTGATGCTGCTAGGATGCTATGTCAGTACTGGAGGTTATATCGAGCGTGTCTTGGCTGCGTCAAGTGGAAACAAAGACGTCGTGTCAAAATACCTCACTACTTGCAAGAACATGGGGTTAGTTCCTTGGAAGAGATACTTTCCAGTTCTTAGCTAAATCACTGCAGCTTCGACGTTCTCGAAATATCCTCCGGATTCTTGTCCATTCCAACTGAGGATTGGGCTTCCCTGATCGAATTCACCCTTGCACATGGATTGCAGCCCAAGCCTGAAGTCGGCATTCAGTAAGGCTTCCGACTTATGAATATGAGTAGCAAATACTTATCCCTTGCATGTATGTAAAGATGGGGCGCCGGAGGTGATGCCTCTATTGCCGAACTCGAGTCCGTTGGTACTCGCGACCCCAAGTGGCTCATCGACCGAGCCAAATTGTTCCTCGAAGCGGGAGCACATGTACAGTCTTTCCCTTCATGATACGCGCCTCACACTGAATGCATCTTAGATGATCATGATTGAAAGCGAGGGTATTACTGAGAACGTTAGATCGTGGCGAACGGACGTTATCTCAGCTGTGACGTCAGCTCTTCCGGCAGACAAGATCATGTACGTTCACCGCTGCCTGCTATCTAACCCACATATCGACCGCTTGCTGGCGTTTCGCAGGTTCGAAGCTGCTGATCCCCCTGTCTTTACTTATCACATCCAAAACCAAGGCGCACGAGCCAATCTGTTCATTGATCATAGTCAGATAGTCCAGCTTGCTTGTTTAAGGCGAGGAATCTGGGGTACTGGTAGTACCTTCGGGAAGATTGTTACATTCGAAGGGACGGGCGAGCATGGCCAGTCGGGCAAGAAGTAAAGAATCATTTTTTTTACTAGTAAAGCGATGAATCATTAATCATAAACAGCTAGTCGCAATAGGCGTCAGTGTACATCTACCATACGTCGTTGCGTAAAACTGTAGGTTGCCCGAGAAATATTCCATTACACTACTCAAATGGCTGAGACCACATCGAAGCCTAGCTGCTGTCTCGCGTGGTGCCACTCCAGCTGTATTGACCTGTCGAATGCCCTACTGACACGTTCCTTCTCCTCCTTGCTCGCAGACGTACCGACAGGTATCTCTTTCGCAGTCCACTTTTTCTCGGTCTGCGTCCGACTGAAGTTAATGCACCGGAAGCTGGGCCTGTCCATTGATCGAAGATGGGGCGGCAGAATGAGTGGGCCAGGCTGTACTAGGATGCTATGCGTACGGAAGGAGTTATGGTGAAAATCTTGAAAGTGGAGACGAATGATGAGGCTGTAGCATTCAGCACTACAAAACGATGGAAACGTTAGAAACAAAGACACCGTAGGGACATGTAAGATAACACACCGTTGGTCAACGCTCATCTCCTCCAGGTCAATCGGCGTTCCACAGTCTTCCATGAGCAGGATCGGACTACGTCTCTGCCATGGCCACAGTAACTTGCCATCCGCATCCCGCTCCAGTTGTTTAGACTTCTTGTCTGGAACATAGAACCCAAAGAACTTGGGTACGACTTGGCAACTCGGCGTAGGAGTTTTCACAAATGGTGTCAAGACGTGCCATCCGCAATACTCTTCCGTGAAAAAACCTGGGAATGTATTGTAAATATCACCTTCGTTGTTGAGAAGTTCTCGAGCATGTTTCTCCGGCAGAGATACTTTCGCTGCCACGCGGACGACGCCTGGACGGACTGAAGCGGAGTCGTATGTCGATAGAGGAGGTGGAAGTTCTAAAGGCGCAGAATAGACATTGGAGTGACGGCCATTGCCTAGAATGTTATCCGGATTGAGGTATATATGAGCTACGTTGTCCAAAAACGCGTCATCTGGAGCTGGGTACACCCGTTTGTAGACGATGGGTTCGGTGCTGACTAGGGAGGCGTCGTCTGTGGGATGTTGTCCCATTGACGCGTTGTAAGGATCATGGACAAGAAGAGTGTGTGGTAAGTGGCGTCGAGGGATCTTTTCTTGGAGAATAGGTATACCGCGAGTAGAGTACTCGTCTGGCAGTTTTGGACGTTTGATCACGGGCGTTGGTGTTCGACGATGATAGTACTCGTCCTCGTCTGAATCTTCATCTTGGTCTTGTTCCTCATCAGCAACTGCGCCCTGATCTTGGTCTTGTTCCACATCAGCATTTTCGACTTCGTCATGGTCATCGCCGCCTGTGTCCTCCTGTGCCTCTGACATGACCACGTCCTCATCTTTCACGTCTTCTTCGGGGTTTTGAAGACCTAAGGAGGTCCTGAAGTCAACGGCAACATTCTTTGCCTCATCGGCATCACCTTCACTGCGAGCATATACGGCCTCCCCTCCATTGGGAGGATCTACGATCTCCTCCTGTCTTCGGGGCATCTTCACAATAAGACGCGTCCTTCGACGGTTTCCCGAACGATAAATGACGCGATCGACAACATGTTCCTTCCACCCCGCGTCCTTGCACTCCCAAGGAATATAACTCGGGAATTTAGGGTCATCAGGCAACGTCGAGACTTCATGCTCCACATCAGAATCATCCTCCATAGCAATCTCCAGAGAAAGCTCCTCGTCGTGGTCTGAACCTTCATCGATAAGACCCAAGGGAGGTTCATGACGCATGGCCACGGCCCTCGGCAACTTGAGAACAGGCCAAGGTCTACGCCGACGTGGAGCAGGCATCCTACTAGGATCATCGAATAGACATTCTATGATTTCGTGCGTGTAGTTGTTCTCGAATGACGCGATTTGACTGCGAGACCAGAGTGTTTGTATGATCCCACCACCGAACTTCATTGAGTCCCCGAATCGAGATATGAACCGGAACTCGGATGGGTCGTGCGCCCACATGCACTTGTTAGGTGGACGAAGACCTGTTGGAGGTGGGTCTCGTGGGAGGTCTGCTGCATCTGGGAGACGAGGCCAAGGAACCATTGGGAGGAGACGCGTTCCTTTTGTGAATCTGTGTGCGACCCCGTGGTACTCTGGGTCGCGTTCAGCGGGAATGTTAGCCATGGGTGACAGTAATTGATCTTGAAGAAGAGGTCTATCTAGTTTACGCGATGTTGGTGGTGGTTGTGGTTGTGGTTCAAGATGTGGCATGGAACAATTGGACACGCGCTGTATATGAGACACATCATGGTTTGACTATGGCCAAAGCGTGAAAGAAGGGCAAAATCCGAACCTCGGCGGTATAAGAGGGCTTGAAACAATATGTGTCGTCGTGAGCTCCTTTAATTCAGCTATAGGGAACGCGTTCAGATCGCCCACCTTATAAACAACCCAACGTTGGTGAGGATCCGGAGGAAAGGTGTGGTTAGCGCATGCCAAGGGCCAACTTCAAAGTTCGCGATCGGGTACACAACGCCAAGGTGACATTACCAAATAGGCAAGGATAGTGTTCAACGTTCAATTATCCAACCTCGACAGCGTAAGAAAACGCGAATCCTGGAAAAGATAGGTATTCTGCTACATCTGCACTAGTACATTCTACCACTTTGAAATCAAAATCAAGGGTATCACTTTGTCTTTCCATCGATAACCTTCTTCGCATCCTCTGCAAACTTCTTTAGGACCTTTACGTCCTCCCCTCCTTCACCTTCACCAGCCTTAATGCTCTTCTCTATCCTCTCATATAACCTCGCTAAACCCTCATGTATCTTGCCTGGTCCATCACCTACGAACTCGGATATCTCCTCCATCTCTCCGACCCAGCGATAAGCTTTGGGGAGCATACTCGGAACGGAGGTTGTTATTCGATGGAGGATGCTAGGTTGGGACGCGGAGAGCTCGTGAAGGAGAGCCTGTGCGGTCGCGGGTGAGGATGCATTGGCGGCTGGTGCGGGGTTTTTCACGTCAGAGGTGAGGAATTGAAGCATATGTGCATACCTAAGATCATCGTAGTGCAGAGTCCGGTGATTCCTTTGGAGATTCCCTGCATTCATTGGTCAGAAGGAAAGGTTACCTGAGAGTGTGTGGTATCTGGACTTACGGCGTATGACATCTTCAACGCGCTAGCGTCTCCAATGCCAGCACCTTCACCTCTGAGTGGGGAGACCTTCAACCCATACTTGGACAATCGTTCAAAAGCGTCAAGTACTGCGGTATCTTGGGCGTCGGCAGAGGCATAGATAACAGGATCGTAATCATCATTGGGAGGACCTCCGATAATGCCGGCGTCGATGAATTTGATGGGTGTATTGACAAACGTGTGTGAGATCCGTTTGACGGTTTGAGGATTTACGGCGTTGCAATCAGCGAAGGCGACCTGGTGTGACGTCGATGTCGGACGCGCAGTATTCCCGAGGTGAGAGTAGTATGCATCTCGAAACTTCTGGGCGAAGGAAAGAGCATCGCTTGGAGGAAGGATACTGAGAACCCAGTTTGCTTTGAGAGGGATGTCGGATAGAGGAACATCCTGCATTCCAGCATCGTGTGCGCGTGCGCGTGAGGCGGGGGAACGACCGTCTAGATTTGTGAGGACAGTGAGACCTGCAGTAGTTAGGCGTTTGGCTACAGCCGATCCCATTGCACCAGGAGCAATGATGGCTACTACTGGCAGGACGGACATGGTGAGTCAAAGAGATCCGTCAAAGGCGGATAATGGTGGACGTGAGTCTACTAGAAGGCATGAGAACGTCCGGGGTGCATGTGGTGGGAATGCTAATTCTGTACATCTCCAGTTGTTGGACATGCAATAACTGTGCGTTACTGTGCGTTACTGTGCGTATGGTCTAGCCCAGCAGGTACGTGAACTGAGCATGCGTCATGACATGGGTGAAATAAGCGTTGCTTTCGTGAGCAGTGTTTAGTCAGGACTATTAGTTTCCGGAACCGAGTCGTCGGGATATCATGTGAGATCGGAGTGTGCCGGAATAAAGCTAACCCAGCAGACGCAGGCAGGAGGAGTAAGCTTGTAACGACAATGGGGACGATTTGGAGAGAGACAGGCATGGACGGTGGTGTAGGTGACGAGAGAGAATTGAATTGTCTCCACGGATGCAAGAGGAAAGGGAGGGAGGTGCATGTAGAAGAGGGAGCCGAAAGCGATGACGTAGTTGTTTTAGAGTGACGGCATGTGAAGCTGACACGGATTAGAGAGGTTCGATCTTGCTGCAGTCCGTGTCGCGCCCCCTGACTCGAGTTTAAATTGCAAACAGTAAGCACCGCTCGCCAGCCTCTCTTTCGCCCCGCCGTGTTGACGATGACCACCGACCAACCCGTCGTGATGGGCTCCAACCACCAGAGAAACAACAGTCTTGTTATGTCCACTATCAAGAAGGTCCTGCACAAGGTCGCACCTAGCATACACTCCAACCGCTCTTCCTCGCGTTCTCCTTCTCCCTCGGCCCGCCAGAACCACGACGTCGAGAAAGAGCCCAAAGTCGAGAAGGAGCCCAAAGTCGAGAAGGAGCCCAAAGTCTCGCCTCTTTCTGCGACTGCCCCTGACGGCCAAGCTAATGGTCATGTTGGCTTTAACAATGGTTCTGTCCCCAGAGATACCACTGCTCCTCGCACTCGCGGCAGGTCCAAGCGTCGCTCTCGTTCCCGCTCCAAGTCCCGTCCTCGCGACGTCTCTATACGCTCAGATGGCACTTACCGCAGTAGACGTCTTTCTTTCTCCGAGCTCAAGGCGGAGCGCAGGACTGAGCGCGAGGAAAAGGAAGAGGAAGAGTCCTCTGCCAGGAGGGAAAAGCATAGACTTCTGCGTGACCTGGTATGTCCCCGAGTGCTTATACTACTGACGTACCTAATCACTCGCGTTAGGACCCTCTTAAAGACCACTATGGTGACCTTCCCTTGAACATGTCCCAGCAGAAATCCGGTATGTATTCAGAAAAAAATATTTCTCACTCCGTTCGTCATTCACATTATTCTCAGAACGCCGCCTTGATGCGCTCAATGATATCGTAAACAAGAATCCTGGAGACAAGGTCTCCTTTCGTGCTCGTGTACACCACACCCGCCCCCTCGGTATGTTATCGCTCTCGCAACCCCGCTGCGCTCCGCTTATCCTTCATTAGGCGCCAAGATTGTGTTCATTATCCTTCGAAGTCAGATGACTACCGTACAAGGCCTCCTTGCAGAGCAGGACGGCCTCGTCTCCCAGAATATGGTCCGTTGGGGTGAAGGTATCAGCCGCGAGTCCATTGTCCTCGTCGAAGGTACCGTCCAGATACCCCCTGCAGACCAAGAAGTGGTCAAGAGCACCAGCATACACCAGTTTGAAATCAAGATTGAGAGGGTGAGTTTTTAGCGTAAATACAATCTATTCTCTTCGCTCATGCCTCCCTTCAGCTCTTTGTCGTTGCCGCCCCTACATCTCATTTGCCATTTCAAGTCGACGATATCTCGAGACCCCACGAACATGGCCCTCCCAAGGTCGGCGATCGCACTCGTTTGCAGAACCGTGCGCTCGATCTACGCGCAAGTCCTTTCTTTAGCGCATATAGTCTTCCTTACTTACTTCCATCATAGGCTCCTGCTTCACAAGCCATCTTCCGCATTCGCGCTGGTGTTTGCCATCTCTTCCGTGATGTCCTTCTCAAACGCAATTTCATCGAAATCCAATCCTCCAAGTTCCAAGAAACCTCCACCGAGAGCGGTGCGGCTGTCTTCAAAGTCGACTATTTCCGACGACCCGCGTTCCTCGCTCAAAGCCCTCAGCTTGCCAAGCAAATGTGTATCGCTGCCGACATGGAGCGAGTCTTTGAAATCGGTCCCGGTATGTTTTCACAACGCCGCGTTTGCTGTTGTGATATTAATAGACGTTACAGTGTTTCGTGCCGAGAACTCCAATACCCATCGTCACTTGACGGAGTTCACCGGTTTGGATCTCGAGATGGCGTTCGAGTCGCATTATGATGAAGTCCTCGACGTCATCGACGACATGTTCCTCACCATCTTCCGCGGACTCAAAGAACATTACCGGGATGAGGTGTGTCATTATCATTGTCTCTAGGTTACGTATATTCATTATCGTCATGTGTAGATCGAAATTGTCAAGCGACTGTTCCCTCACGAGGACCTTGTCTTCCCGGAGAAGACCGTCCGTCTACTTTACTCCGAGGGTATCAGAATGCTCCAGGAAGCTGGCTTCAAGGAGGACGGTAAAGAGATTACCGACGAAGATGATCTCAGTACTGCTGCTGAGAGGACCCTCGGTCACCTTGTCAAGGAAAAGTACAACACCGACTATTACATTCTTAGTGAGCCGTCATCTCGTTACCTCTGAATTAATGACTGACACATGTTGCAGACAAATTCCCCTCGAGTGTTCGCCCCTTCTACACTATGCCTGATCCCGAGAACCCGGTAAGTCTGGCGTCCCCCACACTGTGTTCCGTCACTGAACCGAGTCTACAGAAATTCTCCAACTCTTTTGATATCTTCATTCGCGGCGAGGAGGTCCTTTCTGGTGGTCAACGTATTCACAACGCCCCTCTGCTCGAGCAACGCATGATCACCTGTGGCGTTGACCCCGACTCCATGCGTGATTACGTGAACGGCTTCCGCTGGGGCTGCCCACCTGTACGTCGTCTGTCATATAACTTGTTGATTCGATCTAACGGACATCTCTCCTAGCATGGTGGAGGAGGAGTTGGTCTCGAACGTGTCGTCATGCTTTTCCTCAAGCTCGGCGATGTGAGGTGGGCGACTCTCATCCCTCGCGATCCCAGAAGCTTTGCCATGAACGGTCAAGATCTTGCTGAAGCAAGTATGGCTGCCGCCGCCGCCACGGTTCTGCATGGACCAGAGTCAAAGACATTTAGTCCCGGTCAACCTCATGGAGACCTCCCTCCTCTCGAGAACGTACGTCGCTATCGTTATGCATTTAAGTTCTTGACTAACAATTCCGCAGCTCATCGCGCGGTATGGTGACGCCACAAATACATCCTGGGTCGATCCTGCCTGGACCGTATGGCGTGACGAAGCTACCGGCGCAGCAGTCGGTTACATTCCCTTCAACGGCTACGCTGTCATTTTCGGCAACCCTCTTTGCGAAACGAAGCAAATTCCTCGCGTCGTCCGCGCGTTCCTGCAGTACCTCGCCACCCAGACCCTCAAGCCTGTTTGGTGCTGCGTCGACAGGGAGTCGGAAAAGTACCTCGCCATGGAACTCGGTTGGAGTTCTGTCATCGCTGTCGCTGAGGAACGACTCAATCCCATCGAGGTCGATCCAGCCAACAACGACAAGACGGTGAGGAGGAAGATCCATCGGGCGGAGAGGGAAGGCATAAAGATCATCGAGGTCGAGGGCAAGCCAGACGACGACATCAAGGCAAAGCTTGACGAGAAGTGCAAAGACTGGGCGGCCAACCGGAAGGGCACTCAGATTCACTTGACCGGTGTAAGACCCTTCGATGATATGGAGCACCGCAAGTACTTTTACGCTACCGACAAAAATGGCGAGGTACGTTGGACGGCCCCTGACCCACTTCTGCTCTTCATGACCTTTTTTCTCGCAGATTTGCGCTCTCGTGGTGCTCGCTCAACTCGCACCCATTCATGGCTTCCAGATCAAGTGGGCTCTCGAATTCCCTGATGCACCTCTAGGCGCAATAGAATATATTCTCGCCTCTGTCATCAAGAAGCTTGGAGACGCAGGTGTTCGTTCAGCAACTTTCGGAGCCGGCGCAACGGGCAGTTTGCGCAGTGTCGATAACATTGGTGGTTTCAAGGTACGGACGTTGGAGAAGACCTATAACGGTATCTCGCATACGTTCCATCTCGCGAGCAAAGGCGACTTCCGTTCCAAGTTTGGAATTGAGCAGGATCCTGTGAGTAGTTCGCAGCCAGTTCATCCCGGGCGTAACATTGACGGTTCTTTATGTAGTTGTATATCTGCTTCCCTAAAGGTGGTCTCGGTACGTGTTTCGTTTCCTCCGTTCCTTGTAGCTTTCGACTCATCGTCTGTGCCACAGGTATTAAAGGGATCGAAGCCATCATGAGTGTACTCCAGAAGCCAAAGTAGACGACTCTTTAGAGTGAACAATCCCCTTCTACATCGTACTCTCTCTTCAACTGTACAACAAGAACCTACTGTATCCATCCCTTCGGCACTCTCTCTTCGCCTACAAATCACGCTGTTGTACAACTTGTACTCTAATCTGATACCCCATCGAGTCTTGGTTTGGTAGTCACATTTATTCTTGTTCTTGTGACGGGCTTAGTGTAATTTCGTCACTGTAGAATATAGTCATGTAATCAATACCCTAAGACAATGGATTGTTTCCTCTGTTTCATGTCAGCATGTCGCTAACGATTTTGAACCGAAGCATACTGTGGCCTCTCGTCTTCGCCATCATTGTGGGATGTGGGATCGGGCAGTGTAGCACGGCCGATTGCGATCTTTATGACACGCGAGGTCGGCATACAAAGGACAGCTTTATCATTCCTCACTGCGTGGCAGCCTCTTGAATATAATCCTTATTGAAATTTATACAGAAAAATGTATTTATACAGAAAAATGTATTAGAATCAGGGTTAGGAAGCCGTCAGGGATTAGGGCGAAGTGGACGAGCGTCTGTGGAGGGAAAGCCTAACCTGGTTGATATAGAGGATAAAGGAGTTGAGTAGTTACAAAGTACGCATGCGGATTTTGTTGAAGTGGGGAGATGATGATGAGATATATGGTAAGATGAAGCAGAGATACGAAATTGGACAAGTATGCAGGATGGGAGAAGAGGTTGATGTGAAGTACGCATGCGGATTTTGTTGAGTGTATGGGTCAAAGTACAGATAAGATATGAGTATGGACTCTGGTAAGAGCAATGTCGATGGAGTGATTGAATTGATGGAAGCCATGCATTAAATCGAGAATGTCAATTGGTGAAAATTGAAATGATGCATGTACGAGGTGTTGACACAATCCGTGTGCGGATTATGTTGATGTGGATACAAGTAATATTATTATAGACGCAATCCGTGCGCGGAATTCATCTCTCCATACCAAATCCGCATGCGGAATTCATCTCTCAAGGCCAAATCCGCACACAGATTTTATTCAATTGATAAGTGATGATGGAACGAACATTGGAGGTTGTCAGATGTGGTAGTTGATTGGTGGCAGTCTTGACATAATTGTGAATATCTGTGTCTCACCAGCAGTAGATAGCGTGTACATAGATAGGGTCACCGAGAGATGGTTAAAGAGTGTTATATTTGCTCATATATACTGTATTATGTATAGGACAGAATAGATAGAGATATATATATATATTCTTTGGTATTGCATTATACCCGTAGAGGCCGAATGTGGTTAGGGTTACATTGATGGCGATGTGGGCGAAGGATGGAGATGGTGAAGTTGGACGTGGTGAGGAACTGTTGAACTGACCTTCACTGATCTTGACCGATAGGAGATGTCAGGCAAACGAAACACAGGCAAAGCGAAGAGCAGGAGGCGGAGTAGTAAAGGGAAGATGAAAGCGAGAAGAGGCCGAAAAGAGGTATGTCGGATAGAGATTTCAGTGGATAGAATGAGTACTGATAGGAACAGTGAGGACAGATGGAAGAGATTAGAGAAGAGATAGTGGAGAGTGTGAGCAGAGAGATGATGGAGTCAGGAGAGGTAAGTAGATGAGGATTTGTGTGATTGATTGGAGAGCTGGGGCTGATTGATGAGAATGGATGCAGGCAGAGATAGACGGCGGACAGATAGCAGGGACGCCAGAAGTGGTTGATGCTCGAAAGATGGTGGAGAAGATAAGGAAGAGACAGCAGAGAGGAGTGAAGAGTACAGGAGAGGTGCGTAAAGAAAGCAGTGGGTGAGAGGAGACTGATTGTGATAATGCTGCAGGGGGTTGAGTACGGGAGAGTGAGTGAGGAGATGATGAAAGCGGTAGTGATGCATAGTGCGGCAGTGGAGGGATTCCTGGGATACGGATTGGCAGTTGTTGTGGGATCGGGGGATCAGATGGTGTCTCGGCGGGGAGTTTCATCAGAGGTCCAGAAGAAGAGGGTATATTTTGAGGTTGAGGGGATTGGTGAGGGGCGAGTTGATTCGGAGCGGGTTGAGGAGTTGGTGAGAAGCTTGCGAGAAGGAATGGGGGCAGAGTACGTGAAGAACCGAATTGCGATTGGGGTGTATGCGGAGGAGTTGAAGGAGGGATGTCTGAGGAATGAAGTTGTGGATGTTGGAAAGCTGAAGTATGTGGAAGGGAAGGGTGGGGAGGGGAGGATTGGGGGAAAGATGTGGGTAGTGAATGGAAAAGAATACGGAATGGCTTGGGCGAAGTGGGACGATGAACTGTGTGGTGAAGCGGAACGGCTGGAAGAGGTGATGGGTGAGTATGGAGAGGGAAAGCGAGAGTATGACGAGGAGTACGATAGGACAGAGAAGAGAGTGAGGGAGATTGAGATGACGGTTGGGAAGTACGGGACATGGGTGGTGGAGGTGTTTGACGAAAGTGAGTATTCGGGGAGTTCTGTGGAGGGAGAGAGAGCTAACGAAAATGGGATTTGATTCTGCAGGGAAGGTTGAAGGGCGGGTGGGGCTTGGAGAGTATTTGGGACGGAAAGATCGGAGGGAGAGGGTGGAGGAAATGAGTGGGGAGCGAATGACGCGTGCATTCAGGAAGGTGATTGAGAAGTCGAAGGAGTTGAAAGATTTGGGAGTTGAGGCAGGAAGCTCGAAATGGAATGAGGGCATAAAGAAGGTGGCATGGGTGAAGGAGAAGAAGTGGAGGGAGGTGTTGAAGGATGAGGAATGGATAGAGGTGATGTCGCGATTGTTGGAGTTTGAGTATTTCTGGAGTGGAGGAATATGGATGGGAGGGATGGAGGAGTACGATGTGAAGACGATGTGGGGTGGGGTAAGTGATTGCGATAGGAAAAAGAAAAGAGAGAGTGCTGACCAGGCATGACATTGTTGCAGGTGATACTGCATATGGTGAGAACGGCAGTGAAGGAGCTGGAGGACCTGTGTCGAGTGGGATTTATGGGTAGAGAGGAAAGGGTTCGGGATGTGTTGAGGGAATGGGAGGAGATCTCAAGGCGAAAGAAAGGGCTGTTGGAAGGAGAAGAGTTGGATCTGGAGACCCGTATGCGGGTGATTGATATTGGGGAGGTGGGAGAAGAGATCCGGAGGGATTGGGGCACGACGAAGATTGATGCGTCAAGATACGATGGGTTGGCTCTGGAAGAGATTGACAAGACGTGATGGGAGATCTTCGAGTTGAGGAAGGAGGGAGGGCTTGCGAGGTATGAGAGCTGGATGGAGGCTCAGAAAGAGTATTGGGATGAGGTTCGGGGGATTATGAGGAAGAGGTGGGTAGAAGGAGGGGGGGTTGATGAGGCGGAGTGTTCGAGCAGGCTTGCACGGCTTCAGTGGCATGAAGGGCAAGTGTATCCGGCGACAGAGCTGCTGATGACGGGGTACATGATGCGATCTGTGGAAGAGTTCTCAGAAGCGAGTGAAGCGATTCAATTGGTGAGTGCTATGATGCATTGAAAGGGTTCGAAGTGAAATCCGCATGCGGATTTTGAAGTGTATGGATGAGGCAAAATCCGCATGCGGACTTTGTCGACGACTGCGCGATGAGCCACATGTGAGAGGAGATGAACGAAATCCGCATGCGGAGTTTGTCAGCACTTGGGATCATGAGACAGGATGTAGGGAAGTGAGAGATGAACTCCGCGCACGGATTTGGTTGCGAGATGACATATGTGATTGTGCTTGGTGGAGTTGATCGCTAATGAGGGGATGATTGGTTACAGGGTGGGCTGATGATTGAACTGATGCTGCCTTACATTCAAGGGCAGCAGAAGCATGGATATGATACAGCTTGGCACTCACTGAGAACGGTGCTTGGAAACTCGAAGAATTGGGTATCAGATACATGGGAGAAAGTGAGTATGAGTGGAAGTCTGAAGCTGCATTTGAATGTGATTCTGATGCATGGACATACAGGTGATGGCATTCATGCTGACAAATAGCAGATTTCTTGAGGGCGTGCAGGAGTTACTGAGGTGGAACGTTCCTCGGGCATTGGCGAGGCTGATTCATGTCACACGAGCTGAGGCGAAGGCATTTCTGGCACGGGACGACGAGTCGCTGATGAAGGATGGCCTATTTGGCATGTTTCTGGACCCTGAGGGGAATATACGCACGATGGCCGGGATGAGGGAGCAGGTGAAGAGGGTGCAGGGGTATTTAGATTCGGAGATGAGAAGAGGGGGAGCGCCATTCATGAACATGACGGCGGAGGATCAGCACTGGATTCCTGAGGTTATATTGGCTAAAGGAACGAATGAGCCATTCTAGGTCAGCGCGGGGAGGACGACATACCAGAAGAACAACAAGGCGGCAGCGCCAGTAATGGTGGTGACATTTGCGATGATGGCGGCAGTATTGGGAGGGATTGGTGGAGAAGAGACATTTATGGAGATGTTGGAGATGCTTCATGATGTTCTGAGGCAATGTTGGAAGGACGGCAGAGAGGAATATGTATTCTGGTTCGAGGGAGAACTTCCGAAGATATTGAAGGAGTATTCGAAAGGGGTGGAAGGGAGGAAAATCGTGATGGGGTTGTTGGATGAGGCATACAGGGGAACAAATAAGAGGTGGAATGCGGAGATGCTTGAGTTGAAGATGGAAGAGTATAGTCAGTGTATGGGAGGATTGGTGAAGATGAGGGAAGCATTTGTGGAGAGTGGTGCAGGGGACTTCAGGTGGAAGGGTGGGTCGATTGAGTATGAGGTGGAGTTTCACTGGAATGAGCTGTGTCGGGTGAGGGTGCATGCTGGATTGATGGTGATTGAAAAGTGCTAACTTGGATAATGTGATGAACAGGGGGCCATTGGGAACTTGGGACGGCGATGGTTTAGGGAGGTGCAGGAAGGCAATGTTGCGCATCTGCGGGTGCGACCGTACAAGGTGCCTGTGCCATTGTCAAGAAAAGTTGAAGAGGACCGGATGTCGACGTCGAATGTGAATATGTATGAGATGGTTGTGAGGGCAGTGCGAGGTACGTGTATTTGGTATTGAATTGATAGAGAGTATTAAAGTGATTTGTATAATACAGGGCATGAGGAGGTGCCAGTTGGAGTTGGAAAGGACTGTACGGATCCATGGCTGGACCCGTCATACCGTGAAGAGTACATGGTGGGGGCAAGAGGAGAGCTATGGTTGGAACAATGTAAAGTGGATAAGGAGAAGAGTGTGCAGGGGAGAGAAGAAGGAGGTAGAAGTGGAAGAGAATTGATTGTGGAGGAAGGGGAGAGAGAGGAGAATGTAGAGGATGAGGAGAGGAAGAGATTGGGGAAGGGCATGGAGAGGGGGGATTCAGATGAGGTGTCGAATACAGGCAGCGAAGGGTTGCAGGAGAGTGAGAGTGTTGCGGAGGTGATGGGAGGGTCAGATGGAGGGGCAGAGGAGGAGAACATTATAGAGGAGGGTTTGGAGCCTCGACCTCCATCTCCACCTGGAACTCCATCTCCATCTCCATCTCCATCTCCATCTCTGTCGCTGTCAGTGTCAGCCTCTCACACTGTGCATGGAGAGGAGGTGACTGAGTTGTCTGAGGAGAAGGGAGCGGTGGCGGGCGTGTCATCAGATTGGAGCTCATTGACGGAGATGTCAGATGAGGAGGACAGTGAGGGAGAGTCAAGGGGAACACGGAGGAGAGGAAAGGAAGGTGAAGCAGGGATGATGAGACGACAATCATTCCGGAAGAGGAAACGTAAGTTCAGTTGCGATGTCAGCGATGTGAGGGGGTGAAGGGCAAATGCGGGTATCTGTGAGATGCATTGCATGGGCACAGAGATGGAATCTGCATGCGGAGTTGGTAGAGGAGAGACGTGTACGTATGGACATGCATGGGGATG